CTCCGACCTTGCTGGTCGGAGCTATCTTCTCCATTTCTTCCGTCCTGCTGCTGGTCAGCCGTGTTGAATGACCGAGCTCGCCCGCGCTCGGAGTCGAACTGCGGGTTTTGACGGAGCAGGTTCGGATTGGAGTTCGTCCGTGGTGGGCGATATGCCTCCATGCCAGGTCGTGGTGGCTGGATTGGGAGACGTTCAGCATCCGTTGTCCGATCTCCTCTGGTATTGGGTACCGGCGCGTACGTTGTTGTGCGCGTCGCGTACAAGGTGCTAGTGTATGCACCGGCCGACATTGTTGTCGCCACGTTCGTCGTTGGCACTCGTGGTGCCGCGGTCGACGTGTTGTGTTCCGGTTCCGGAGCACTCGGTATTGTTGGAGGCTGTGGGATTGTTCCCACGCTCGGGTCGGTTGTTACGACTCCGACGAAGTAGGAGGTGTTGTTCTCCTTCTTCGCCATTTCTTGGGTCGGGTTGATTCCCCACAGGATGTCACTGATTGTTCGTGACGGCTGTTGATCCTGTGCTATGGACGTCCGGTATGAAGGAGGTTCAGCCCGACTTTGCTCCTGGTATGGAGGAAGCTCAACCTGGCTTTGTTCCAGGTGTGAGGAAAGTTCGACCTGGCTTTGTTCCAGGTGTTTCTTTTCCTCCCTCAGACACCGTGTTTCCGTGTCCATCTCGTCCATTTGCCGCATCATGTCTGTGAGGTTGCGGGCGGCCTGTTCGCCGAATTCGTACAGCTCGGTTTCACGAGCCTCAAGGTAAAGGATGCGGCTGTGTTGCGCCTCGTTTACCTTGTGGGCCTCGTTCAGGTTGTGCTCCAGTTGTGCTCGGAGTTTCTGTTCCTCCTTGAGGACCTTGTTCAGTCCGTGGACCTGGTCGGCTAGCTGGGCGTTTGCTTCCACCAGGTCGACATCGGCTGTCCTTTGGTTAGGAAAGCCCATGTCCCGAGCATTCTCGTCAATGAACCGACGTCCCATTCTGACGAAAAGGAGTTCTATCTCCGACTCGAGTTCGTCGACTCGTTGTGTCAGTCGGTCGATCTCGTTATCGGCCTTCTTTAGCTCCACCACGTATCTATCGACTTCGTTTCGGTAGACCTCGGCTTCTTCATTGGCCGTGTTGAGTTGCTGGTGGAACGCTCCGGCTGCTTGTTCCGACTCGACCAGTGCGGTCTGAACATCGGCCAGGTCTTTCTGTGCTTCTTCGAGCGCTTTGTTCGCTCCGGTGAGTTCTCGGTTTAACTCGTGGACCGCTTCCATAGATCGATCCAACATGCCCTTGAGTGTAGTGGCTTCATCGATGTCGTGCCGACACGGTTGGTCGGTACGCTTCAATATGGCGTTGAGCCGGTCGATTTCCCGTTGTTGGGTGGCGATGCCTTGTTGGCATCAGCCATATCTCGTTCCCATTTCCTCCGTTCGAGTTTATGGGTGTCCTCCGAGTTTCGGAGGATCCTTCTGCCGAGTCGACGATTTTGTCCGCCAAAACGATCTGTGTGATCAGTTTATGGCATCTCGCTCGGAGTAGGTCGAGATCGTTGATCTTTTCGGGCGGTGTTGCCGCGATCCACTTCTTAGCCGTGTATTCGAGTGCGCTGGCCTGGTAGCCAAGGCTCTCCTTATCGGACTTAGGTGGTGTTGTGAAGAATCCGTCCGCACTACTCGGTCTTGATGCATTTGTCGCCTCAAAGACTTCGTTCGTCGGTGACGGAGTACTGCCGAGTTCGCCCGTTTCGAACATCGGTGGTGACGATCTAAGTGTCTGGTCGACAGGTCGACTTTGTGTCGCCTTAGTCGACTTCACCGTTTGTTGAGCTTCGGTTGCTCGAGTCGAGTCGCTTCCGGTTGGCGAAGGTCGGCTCAACGGTGAAATTATCCGTTCGTTGGGTGCCGGCATGTTAGTCGGCGATCCGGCTGGATGAGGACCGCTTCGTGGCGGTGCCTCGGAATCTTTGGTTCCTGCCGGTGATTTAGTTGGCTGGACGGCCGCATCCGACTTTGTGTCGGTTGGTTGCCGTTCCAGGCTAGTCGGTTGCTTGTTACCGACTTCCTTTTCTCCGACCTCTGTGGTCGGCGTCTGTTGACCGACCTTGGAGTTTGGCGAAATCCTTCCGACCTGTGTGATCGGTTGGATGTTGCCGACTTCTGTTGTCGGTTTCTCCATTCCGTTCGAGGTCGGTTGTCCGACCTCTTTCGTTAGTGGTAGGTCGACCTTCGGTTGGTCGACTTCGTTTACTGAGGGCTGGTCGACCATTTGTTGGTCGGCTTCCCTAGTCGGTGATTGTTTACCGACTTCTTTGATCGGAGATTTTCGCTCGACCTGTGTGGTCGGCGATTTCCGTCCGACTTGGTTAGTCGGTATGTCCATGTTGGACGAGGTCGGCTTCGGCGCTTCTTCCGTCCTGTTGGGTGATTGCCGTCCGAGCTCGGTGGCTTTTGTAGCCGTTACCGAGTCTGGAGCTCCGTGTGAGCTCGACTGTTGGTCGGCATGAGACAATGTGGTCTCTGCCTGCAGCTGTTCCACATCCCCCCGGTCGGGTGGGACGGGGCTGCTACGTCAGCTGGGGCTTCCAGGAATGTTTTATCCCTGGCGTCCTCAAAACTGTCATCCGAAGTTGGATTCGAGTCGGCAAGGAGGATGCGTTCGTTGCGTCTCTCCTTTGCCTCGGCCGACTTAGTCGAGTCGGTTGAGGACGGTTGACTTTTGTCCTGACCGGCGTACCGGAGTGAGTACTTCCCGGTCATGTTCGCACGCCGAGAATAGTCGGTGTTGAACTTTCTCGCGTACTGATCTTCTCGAGGATTCGACATTGTTGTCAAGTCAGGTCGGCTCTGGTGGAGCCTTACGAATTTTATTGGTTAGAAAGGAAAAGTCGAACAATCTTCTGTGTGAAGATGTTCGGTGAAGTCAGGATCGTCTTTTTGTTCAGGAACTTCCGAGGGTCGGGAACGTCCGGTGAGATGTTGTTGTTGTTGTTGATGTGTCTGTTGGTGACTCAGTACACAGGGTATTAGTATACAGTACAATGGTACAGTACAGTACGTTATAGTAGTACAGTATAGTACGTCCTATATTACTGTGCTGACCAGTGTGACGTAACAGGTTAAGTGGTCTTGCACTTCTGCCTACGTCACAGAATGCGAGCCGCGTGCAAAATTTGCAAAAAACGATGAATCACGCCTATGTTAAGCTATGGGAACTTTCCCCTGCACGCTGATTGGCTGCCTCTTAAGTACTGATAAACGGTCGTTATGACGTCACAAGGAAGTTCGAGAATTTTCGCGCTATTTCCCGTTAGAAAAACAAATTATTTTAGGTCGGCTAGAAAGTTTATCTAGTCGGATTTTGAAGTTTTTAACCGTTAGGAATTAGTTTTATTAATTAAGAAAATTTTCTGGTGGTCAAAACACCGTTAGAAATTAAAATGAAGAGAATTTCCGACCTGTTGCCGGTTAGCCTTTGTCTAACTGTCTAGACAGGTTCGTTGACCTAGCAGGTCGGTTCTCGACCAAAAGCAAAATTCCGAGTCGGTTTCTCCGTCAGAAATTACTTTTTAACCGATGAAAATTTTAAACTTACGGCTAGAAATAGTTTTCTACCGTTAGAAAGTAAAAAGCCGACCTAGTTGCGGCTAAAATCGACCTATAACCGTGACTTTACCAGTGTCGGTGTCGGTGTCGGTTCCGGTCGTTTTCCTCCGTCCGAGGTCGGAAATCCGTCGTTTCCGTGCTGAAATCCGCTGTTAGAGTTGCGGGTCGGTGTTCAAACCGATGGTCCCCGTATAATTGGAGTAATCCGTTCGCGCTGCAGACTCTCGTTCGAGTCTGATCCGTCAGTTGGGAAAAGTCCGTGCTGTTGGGAATGTGCTCTTCAATGTGGAAGAGACGAAGAAACTGTGCTCACCAGCTGGGTGAGAATCACTTCAGTGATCCTCGTTTTCCTCAGCTGTAAGACGGCAAGATCAGTCCGATCAAAGTCAGAGCAGAGATTACTTCAGTAATCAATCTGACAGTGACTTTCAGGTTCCTCACGAGTTCTCCGTAGATGAAGCCTTCACCGTCTCCTCAAAGGGTCCGTTGAAAGAAAACCAAACGATTCTGCTTACCATGTAACAGGCAAGCGCGAGGAGATCACGAGTGTGCTTTATTGACAAATAAAGGGAACAATGCTGCGTAATAGCAGGGAAAGCAAAAACAAAGCACTGATGGCTAAGCAAGCAAGTGAATGCTAGAAAAGCTCTTGAGCGTTCGTCAAGGCGTGAAAGAAGCAACTGGCGGCAAGCACGTGCTGTGTGCCATCAGCTGTGTGATGATGCGCAGACTGGACTCAATCCAACGCGAGCGTACGCTGAGTCATACAGCGAGAGAGGGACGAGAGAGCAAGTATGCTCAGTGTGTGCGCCGCGTATATCCGCTTCAGCGGATATGAGTGCAGTGCAGCAGCACACGTACGTACAGCGAGAGAGGCGATATGGCAAGCATGAGTGCAGTACGTCCATGGTGGGCCGTATGCACCAGGCGCAGTCATGTGCCTCTGACATCTCTTATTTAAGTCTTATAATTGATTTCATGCTCTTATATTTACTATTTTATCACAATTGCTTCCGATATTGTCCAGTTTTTGTGCTCTGATAGCAGCATGTTTTAACTTTGTACTACGTATTAACTGTAAGTGACAGCCACCTATATTCTGTACTTCAAGACTGTACGTGGACGCTTACACTGTTCATACGGTACACAATGTGGACAATGACGTTACCAAAAACCGTGAAAGACTTGTACTTTGCACGTGCTGCAGAATAAATAAGTAGAAATATTAAAAGTCGCACAATCCGTTTGTATATCAAGCAGATATGCCGAAAAACGTTGGCATTATTCAATGAGGGCATACAGTACTTTTTCCGCTTATCCTAAGTGACAGAAGGAAAACTGACGCGATCCTAAAATTTGGCGAAACTTTCGAGCATGCTCAGCACAATTTTATGAATGTCGTTATCATAAATCTTGGAATATAAGTTCAGAAAGATGTTATCTTGGGCATATCAAAATCTTCATTGTCAACATTTAAGGATCATTTGCAGTGAGGATACTTTCACAGCATATACAATGAAGCCCATCAGCGTCATTTTGGCACTATGCGTTGCACTAATGATGGTTACAACAGGTAAATCACTGCATATTAAGTACACGTTTGGATATTATTAAATCCAGACATGTTTTTATAACCCACGATTTTTAATATTTCGAAGCTCGATATATAGCGCAAATAATTTTTGTACCTGCGTAGCTATATATTTAATGCCTTGATTTAAATTTCTGTTGCAGTTTTGACTAAGGAAGTAGGTCGACGTTCGACGACTTCCCAACCGACCTTCGGGTACTTCATACGCAAATGCAGAAAGGATCCAGAAACTCGTAAGCGTCTGCACAGTGTTTAAGACTATGACTGAGCCGACCGGAACACAATTAAACAACAGAAAATTTTTCAGTAAACATAATGAGTATTTGTAGCTAGTACATTAGTACAGTACTACGGTAATAATAACTGACAGTGAGTTAGGCGTTGCTTTGTAGTGAAGTGCAAAAAGGAGCACGCTGGCGACCCGGGTGACCTTGATGCCGGATCAAGTCCTTGTGCCGAGCTTTTTAAACAGTGTATAGACAAATACAAGCAGTCGCTGATGAGCCCGTAAATCTATCCAGCTCGTCCTTGTCTTTTAAATTGACAGCCACGTGATGTTTTGAACCAGCACGATAGCAGCTAGTACCTTTTTCATTCTTCTTTTACTTGAACAGCTTCAAGAGATCTTTAAACAATTTGAAATAAATGCGTTACACAGGCGAACTTCAAAATCGTAAAAAGACGAGAATCTTATTTAAAACATTGTTTGCATATATTATACACGCACTATGTAGTAATTAGTGCATGACATATTAACAAAACGATAGTGATGGGATCAACTGAAATAACAAAGTTTTATTTTGTTAATTTTATGTTTGCAAAACAACGCAAGTACTGGCTACCAGCCAGCCACATAGGTAGGTAATGTTAGCTTCACTCAGTTGAAGACTTGGAGTAATCGATTACCCCAAGTCAGTAGGCAGTTCTCAATAGACAGATATCCTACCTACTCATGAGGTTATGCTAAAAACTGTAAGCATTTAAAAGTCGCCGCGCGTAAAATCATTAAAATGAGTACGCTACTATGATTAGCTTTTCGACTACCAAATGCTAAGTGAGCTTTGCGGACCTTACGGAAGCGAGCAAGGTACGTGGACTGTGCATGTTACAGTGGTTCTCGAAATAAATCACTTAAATATTGGTGTACTACAGTATCCCACTTTGTATACTCAGTCACTGCAATATATGACAGACAGACATATATATATATATATATATATATATATTTAGTTTTTAAAGAAAAGTGATTTTGAAGATTAAAACTGTGGCTTACCATACACGCGTAATGGGCAAATTGTTTAATTTCGTCAGATCGATATAAACCTAGATCATTCTGCTCATTTGCACATATCGAAATCCCAACGCTCACAAACTCACAACCAGTCTAAGTATCTGTATATCGCAATGTAGCCAAGGTAAAGTTAAGTCACATAGCCTTTGTGGATACTACTTTAGGGAATACCGATGCCCTTTCTGCAATCTGAACAGCGCAAACTGCCACGATCGAGCTACTCACGGCAATTTTATTAAAGGTCGTATGCATATTGTGTCACTAACTCGTTGAATCAGAAAACGAAGCGGTTTTAGAAGAAGGTTGATGTACCCACGGGCGAAACGCTGACTGTTGCGATCCAATGGAATTTGTGAATGTATGATACCAGTCGTATTTTACGGATGAAACCATTAACAGGCGATCAGTATTCGTTGTCTTTACTATAGTGGCGCCTGGCCTTTCCAGTGTTGCGTCAAAGGGAGTTGATTTCAGCAAATTATCCATAGTGAAACCATCGCCGAAGGTATTAACTGGTTTGATATCCGTAATTAATTTGCGCTTGGATTTATGGAGTTTGGGCACAAGAGCTTTAGGTTTTGGGAGGCTCGAATCGCTTCCGGTGCAAGTGACTTGAGTGTGTCCAGAACTGATTGAATCGACATTGACTGTACGCAGAATGCGGTTAATCGAGCTGACACTCGGAACTGAATGGATGTCGCACACTCGTTGCAGCAAAAGAGTGTCACGAATCTCCCAGGCAAACACGGAGGGATTTTCTCGCTTCATTTGAAGAATCTTCTTAATAACCAATGGCGTAGCGATTTGAAATTGCTGAAACGGAATTGCGAAATCATCTTACGTTTACGCAAATTATACTGTTCCAAAAATTAGGATCTCGATCGAATAAAACGCATTTGATCTGTATTTATACGCAGTCTTTTTTATGTCGTTATACATCACCTTGTAAACAACGTAAAGCGAACCACTAGCGAATTCATATGAAAACACGTTGAGAATCGTACAGCGTACCGCAAGCAATAAAATAAACATCGTCTGTTTAATCTAAAGACGTACGTTACGTTTTCATTGTAACAAATGTGAATAAAGCTTAAACTTTTGCCTTTTGCCAACAAAATTGTATATGTGCCACAACTCAGATTGTAAATTTTTCCAAGTTTCCTTCTTTATGTCGTACCTTTGGTTTACTTCCTCCAATAGAACCGGGCTTAATGGAGCCGGTTTCGTGAAAACGAGTCAAAATTTTGCTAACACATCCATGGGATACCAGCAGCTGGCGAGATATGTCGCATGGGCGTACACCTAAGCAGGCTAACTCAACTATTTTGCGACGCGTATATTCAGGTAGCGGTCGGCCGTTGACGAACACACCTCCAAGTTGATTAACACCTGTTTGTCCTGCTGTAACAAAAGAGGGATTTATATTCAAAGCTAGAAATGGATGACGTTCGCTGGTCTTTTAGTCGGCTAAGTAATGAAATTCAAAATTATTGATAAAATTATAAGTAGACCGAAACGGGCTTGTAAGTTTACTTATACTGTAGTTCGACCGGTTATGAAAGTACGGCAAAACGGAAAGTTAAAGTTTATCGTATATGCTAAAGCCTGCTGAAAATAAAATTTGACAATCTACCTGCGTTAATGCGTACGACAAAAATAATTACGCTGTCTCAGTGACTGCATTGCGGTGACCTTAGCCAGCATTAATGTCGTTGTTCAGTGTCCCACATTGGTCACAATGCACACACTACATCTATACACGAAAATAGATGTAGTGATGAAATGGTATAATTCGCAAGTGATAGAATTTGCAGAATCTAAAAATTTCTGTTGGCCTTTGCTGACCCTCTACCAGCATTTATAATTTACCTAAGCGCCTAACTGAGCTTTAGCCGCAAGTTATCACCTACGATTTACCAATATATTACTAACAAAAACTTAGTAAGCAATTTTCCTCTCTTTTTGACAAACTGTGAGAATTATTAGCTGCTTAAAAAACGTTCAGAGTAGTTTAAATCATGTCAGTATACTGTATCGTATCTTTGTATCTTGTCGGTATCTTCGTTCAGCTGTCAAAAATTCCATACAGCCTTGGTGACCTTTACAAAAACGTTATTATGGCAAGTAGAAATGCTATTTGGTCCTACAGGCTTACCCAATAAAAACTAAAAACCCTTCGGTTTCCATTTTTTTGGTATGACATGTGATAAGGCAAAACCAAATCTCACACAAAATCAGTTGTAACGACGGTAAAGTTACTGTATATTCCTACCTGTATGGGGCATCATGACATTTCACAATTGGCAAGTCCTAGAGATTACAAACTGGTACAGTAGACTGTACTCTTTGCTAAAACATTTCAGGTCTTCTAAAATATCGATAAAATTAACTAGACCATTCGAAACAGTCTCTTTTGGCCGAATTGTTAATGTCTAGAATCATGAAAAACTTGCGGTAGCATATATGGATGTGCACACAAAGGGAATGCAAATGGGAATCGCCCGCTCTAACCGACATCGTTAACGTCAGCGCACTGTACTACTTGTTAAATGGCTGCAGCTAAAAGATGTTGTTATCTAACCAGTAACAACAAAATTACAGATACGGCGGCGACACTGGAAAAAGTTTCCACCTGCTTTTTCCGTCACGGATACGGCAGTTAATAGAGCAGTTAATCAGCTGTAATGGAAGTCCCGTTTGACTGTAATGAAGCCTTTGATTGCCGCACCAAGTTATTATTAAATATAGATTGATCCTTGTTCCAAGTGATGACGCCCTTTTGTATGCTAGCAGATGTTTCCTGTCTTCCCGCATCCAGCGCCACTTGGTCAGCATCCGATCGTGTTGCGTGCCAAACGAGATTGCTTTTTCTCCACTGGCTAATACGTCAGCTCGTCGGGACACAGAATTTAAGCAGGCCGGGATTGTGCGTATTGTGTTGACACTGATCTATCGACCAATCCCGCATCGCTGGTTGGTACTAATTTACTCGCATCGCACGACATCGTACATGTCTAGCGGGTTTTGTGTCATGCCCTTGTAATTATATCTAGTTATCCTGTCAATGGTTGGATCGGTTTGCAGGAAATCAAAAGGGATTGCATAATTTAGACTGTGCAAAGTTTGTTAACAAGATACCGCAAAAATTCTATAATACTACTAAAATAATTCTTATTCCATACTTCCACAGAGTACAGGTAAATACCGAATTAACTTGCGGTTCTAACTTCTTGGTCTATGTTATGTTAAAATGCGAAAGCTTCAACGTTTTGTGTGCAGTAGTAAGTGCATTCGTTATTGTATAGAGGTTCTGTGCAAATTAATTTCGGTTCGTTTTATTATATATAGTGACCGCTACATTGAAACTGCTCGAACAAATTGCGCTCAACTCATTTGGTACCGATGAAAAGTTGGCAACTTGACTTGCATATGTACAGTACAAATGCGTTAATATAGATACTCGTACTTGAAGTATGTATCGAAAAGAAGGTGCAAATGATAATCACGATGATTCAGTAAAGGGCTAAATAATATCACAATAGAAAACAACTTATTTTAAATCCATAGATCTTGCTTGAAATGCAAAATGGACATTATTCCCATCGGCAATCACGTAAGATGCAGTCTCTGTTCAAAAGTTAACATTGCTTAATAGAATAAAAAGAATAAAACCTTTTGGTCAAGATCTGTTGTTGAGATTTCGTCGGGAAAGACATTCCACGTAACAGAATCCAACGGTTCCTGAAAAGCGCGTACGGGTAGATGATAAGACGCACGATCTTATATTCTCTTGTATTTCTTTAATCTATTAATGTCTCATCTAATAAGGTTCCAGCAGTATTTTTTTGAGCCGCGTTTCATTTTTTTCTGTATTTACTGATCAAAAGAGGTGTAACTTTGATAAAAATCAGTGCAATTCATCTGCACTCACCGGCCACGGCGAAAATAGTCAGAATCAACAACTGGAACGGCAGCGTCAAAACCATAGCCCATGAAAACTGAGCAGTATTTCCTAGAGTCTACAAACAGCAATGTTAGTTTATTCGCGAGTAATACCAATACTTCTACTGACCAACAGTAACATGTATCGCGATTCGCGAGTGTACATTTTAAAGTTTTCTTTAGTCAAAAGGAACGATCACTCACCGACCAGAAGCTGTATATAGCAAACACAGTAATACAGTCGTCCCGGTATCTGCTGCCCAAATATCCAATTATCTGAAATGTAGGAAGCGTAGCAGATTACGCAGCATTTGTTCTGTTTAAGTGGCTCGAATTATTCATAAAAATGTTTTTCAACTTCTTTTATTTCATACCTGCCCACTAAATATACCGTCTCCTAAAAAACAAAAGTTCAATGATAACATTTTCTGGCTCAACGACTCCGGTATTATTGTTCTGGTAAAGCGGCTTCAGCATGGAAAGGCGATTCCTGGCACTTACCGAGACCAAGTAGAAAGGAAACCAGCATTGCGACATAAGCACTGCAATAGACATGGGGACGTGCATCAAAATTAATTGCTGATACACTGTTCATTGGCTGTGTTTACCTATGCAGCACATAATTAACTGTTACACACATGCGATAAGTAACCCCAAGTACGCGGCGATTTCAAAGATCATAAAACCGTGGGAAGTATTAATGCAAATTTCAATTACTTAGGTCCGATGTAAGTTACATCAGAAGTCGTTTCTAATGATGCCCTTGGTGGAATATTCAGGAAGGTTAGTCCGAAAGTTACAGCATAGATCAGCATTCCCAGAAGTAATATCCCATGCCGTCCATTATAGTGCATCCATTTACCGGTTAACGCAATAAATATACCGGCTGAAACAAAACGGCAAAATCATGTACTACCGGCAACTTGATATAAATTTACAGAGACAATGTAAGTTATTGCCATGTTACTTAAAACAAACGGAATAGCATGTATACTCTTATAACTTTAGAAGGTCTTAAAATCTTGAGTAATAAGCGAATGATTAGTATTAAACACTTCCAAAAAAATTTTCCTCTGTTTTGACTCTGTTACTGTAGATCTTTCAGTTTTCAAATACCAACTATCTCTCCCACCCCCGCGAAAACATTCGTCAAACCAACCAAGGCTTGTTGAAGCGATCCGAACTTTTCCGTGTAACCTAACGATGTAGCGTACACACTCCAAAAGCTTGCTTCTATTCCTGCAAAATTCGCACTCGCTGTCCGGTTGGAAAGGTAAACCAAATAATGACAAGGCCACAACAGAAAGTGTTACAAATCTGACGCAAGCAATATTTCTTCGAACCCAATAATGAAGGTAAATATAATCTTACAAATACACACACCTGTGAAAAAGAACAACGGTAACAGGAACAAAATTTCTTTGGTTTTTGTAGCGCGTACCATAGCATCTGTAAAAGATTTTCGCTCAGTTTTCAATAAGTACCGTATCGACGAATAATATCTATGCAGGAAACATCACGAGAACAGATTTTACGCTTATTACTGTAATAATTAATGATTTATGTAACAAATCAAAAAACAGCAATTATACTAAGAATTAAAACGCTGAAATTTCAGCTATACGAAGTTACTCACAAAATGCTTCTTTTGGGGTAAAATGTATCGTCTTCGCCTATAAGAAATAAACTGTTGTTACCGATACATGTGTAATTGCGCTACAACTGTAAAAGATAGCTGCACAATGTTACAGCAAACCTTATACTACTTGTAGCCGTTTTACCTGCTCATTTGGCGCTACTGTACAGTTTTGGGGACGTGGAATTTTTTCGCACCAAGGATGAGCAAGAAGGGAAAATACTACTACTCCAAGGGCCGCTGCACAAGTCAGTATTGAGAATGTTGTAATTCTGGTCTCGGACGGTATGGTCTGTTTCCCATACAGCATATAAAAGTAGAATAAGTTGCTGAATACGAGGCTGTAAATAACAGAAAACAATGTTTTACAGTAGGGTCATTCTACTATTCACTGAATTAATTTTGTTCTATTATTATTATTATTATTACATCAGGAGCAGACAACCCGCTAAACGGGACTCCAACGTCTGGTCGGTAAAAAGCTAAACAAAAAAAGCAATTGCTAAGACAGATCAACAGTTCGGAGAGCAAATTTGAAAAATCCCACACCATCAACATGATTTATGATTTATTGTCATTACAAAACACACAAATGGCAAAGCCGCATTCTGTTGATAAAAACATATCAAATTAGATGTTATATTTAACAGTTAAGGACGCTATATAAAACTTTTGCGCTATGGTAAAATGGTAAAATACTGAGACCAACGTGTTCCTGCTGTTTTAAACTAAAACGTTAACGTTACCTTGACTGAAACAGAGCAAGAAAGATCCCAGTGTTTCTGTTAAAAGATAAAACAATCAGAATCGTGGAATAGGAAGCACATTCGCAGCTATAGAAGTATATCATGCTGTCATTCATGTCGCAAGAAAGCTTTTCATTTTCGTTCGCGTACCTTGACATTCTCTTTTTAGTGGAATTCACTGCAATAAAGTGCCCTTGGACTTGCCAGACAAATGTGGTTCCAAAAGTTGTAAGAACGGATGCAACATATGTTGTACTGGTCAAAGGTCTAATCAAGGAAGCCACAAAAAGTGTAGTGCAGACACCGCCCACAACCAACGTAATCTTCGGCCCAATTATTGCAACCTGGAATAAAATGAAAGCGGTGTTACGATTGACTAACATTGCAGTTAAAATAGCATTAAAATTAAAATGCTGTTCCTCATATTATAATTAAAACATTGTTTGTGATTTTATTATACATAAAAGTTAAGGAAATTGATTGCCTGGTATTCGTAAAGATAGACTGCATAGACTTACTATTGACGGCGAAATTATCACCGCAAAGCATCCAATAACTGCAAAAATATAGTATTGCTATTCCTGTGAATCATAGGCCTAGCTGTATAATTTTACGAGTACTTTATTAAGTACAAGATCTATACTACGCGCGGCGCCCCATAGTTTTGAGATCTCTATAACCATAAAACTTCTGGAGAAACGGACAACGCCATTAGATCCGGGATAGTTCAGAAGTGGCCGGCATGTGTTGTTTTTATGAAAATATCGAGCCGGCTTCAAGCCGGCATCAAGACCAGATTGATCCAACCCATCTTAAAGGTCACCTTGAAACTTAGAAATATTTGCCTAGATACAATACAAAATACCAAGTGACACAATTATCACACTGATTAAACCGAAAAATAAATAAATTATGGTACTTATTCAAACACTCGCGTTATTCAAACATTGCTGCCGATGTTGCCGAACGCGAAACACGTTTAAAATCAACCGACATAAAATGTAAAAATATCAAATATAAAATCAATACGAAAAATCACTGGACGAGTGAGTGACCGAAACACCATTACTGCCCACTGAGCGGAATTTCTAGGTGAGAGTCATCGAGCGGGCTTTGCTCTGCTCACCTAACGGGCTCTGTGCACTGGACAGTAGTTAGCAGGTCACATCCTCACCTAGCGATTTTTCTCCTTACCTAGCGATATTTCTTACTGGACAGGTTGAGCTCGGTCAGTCATTCACCTAGTGATTGAGTGCGTCAAAAATCGCTAGGTGAGTACGTGACCGAGCTACCACCACTGTCCAGTGCCCAGAACCCATAGGTGAAGAGTACCGAGATGCCACTACTGTCCAGTGCACAAACTCCGTTAAGTGATCTATTGACCGAGCTACCACTACTGTCCAGTGCATAGATCCCGTGAGGAAGATGGGTGACCAGAGCTACCAATACTGCCCAGCGCACAGAGCCCGTTAGGTGAACGCGTGACCAAGCTACCAATACTGTCCAGTGCACGAACTCCGTTAAGTGATCTAGTGACCGAGGTACCACTACTGTCCAGTGCACAAACTCCGTTAAGTGATCTAACGAGCGAGCTAGCACTACTGTCCAGCGCATAGACTCCGTTAAGTGATCTAGTGACCGAGTAACCAGTACTGTCCTTTGCATAGATCCCGTTAGGAAGGTGGGTGACCGAGCTACCAAAGCTATCCAGTGCACAGAGACCGTTAGGTGAACGTATGACCAAACTGCAATATTACTGTGCAAAATAGAGCAGGGCCTGCTAAGTTCTTAATAGGTGACCTATCTAGCACCACTGCCCAGTCTTAGCGTCCTTTTAGTTTGTAATGTGATACTCTCGTGGGTGATTAGATTCGGATGGTTTTTCGCTAAGAAAATTTAACAAAAAATGATCTGTAAAGTCAAAGTAATTGCGTTCGACTGCACGAAACCAAAACATCCATTTTTTAATAAAATTTTTGTTATCGGGCTCTTCAGATTTATCCGTTCTAAGTTAACAATCCGTAAACCGGCCAAGGAGTTTAGAACCCAAGAAACGCGGAGGCGAAGCCGAGGCTGTTTCTTGTATGTTATAGTAGTATGTAAATGGAATTACGTATTGTAAAATTGCGCATTAACGACAACGGCACACGAGAATTGTGCACATTGTATTGCCCTGCAGTTGCGCGCATCTATGGACTATTTTAATGGTAATATCGAACGTACCGTATGATACGTACGGTTTATATCGATTTTTACGAAGTTCGTTTTCAGTTTAGAAGACCTTATATATAAGGGTAAACCTCTGGAGAGTTCTATTAAATTGTGCTTCTTACCTGAAGAAATGGACCATAATGTGTAACCGAACGTAGTCGATGCATTGAAATACTGATCTTTCACGCTGTGCAACACCACCGTTTGCGAAGTGTATGCGGTGCTCAGTGCGCCCAAATTGAGCATAAATCCAAAACTAATCAACAGGATATTTAGGAACGATACACGACAACACAGTATCTGCCGCTTCGATAAGGTTCCCGGAGGCGGTGGCAAGGCACTTTCTTCCACTTCCGGCAGGAGCGTTCGCGCGTTGTTCGTTCCGGGATCGTCGGTTGTATTCTTCTCCGAATCATTTTGTGCGACCGCTTCCAGAAGAGCTCTTGCATTGTCAGGCACAGACATATTTGTCAGATTTCCTACACCAGAAATAATCGTCAGTCTCACATTCTTTTTCAAGCCATCGGCCATATAGTTTTCGATACGTATTCGTAGATTGATTATACTGTACATAGTCTGAATCCCAAGAAAGATTAAAAAAATCTAAAAAATTAAGCTTTAAAAATTAAAAAATTTCATAATGTAAATAAAGTCTCTGTATTGTAACTTACTGCTTCCGACGAAAACTTACTCTACAATCAAGTTGAGCAGTGCAGCATTGCGCCAAAATCGAGTATCGCGTCCACTCTGTCAGTATTTTGAGGGATATCCGGAAGGCGGCAAATCTTTGGTTTACTGTTACATGTACAATCTGATTTGAATTGCATGTATGCTCTATAATAAAACTGCGAGCGCAAAGATTATATCTGGAAGAGGGCCGAATTTCTGTGATCCGACTTGCGATTTGCGCGCTAGCATCTTCCACTGTGGAACCATCTGCAGTACTTAACAGCGGAAAATCTCACAACCGAGGCAGATTTATTACAGTTAAGCAACGTGAGAACCGGTATGGGTGTAGCACGATTCGAGCGTGGTCAGTATTAAAGTACATCCACTGTACATGATCAATGATGTGAGTCGATGAAGTACACGTACATAATATGTCCGCGCTGTTTAGTGGGTTAATACAACTGTGGCGTACGCTTTTTTACATTAAACGAACAAACAATGCGCCTTTAACGAATGCAGTAAATATTGTACGATACAGATTACGAAATCAGTGTAACTGCTTATGATTTTTAAAATTGCTATATTTGTGTGTTTTAATTTCCCAAGAAATTTATTTATAACCTGTCTACTGTACGAGTACAGTAACCGTATACGCCGGACTCACGAGTTTCTCCCTTTTCACTACTTAGGAAAGACTGTGGCCTTTTAGCGATATAATTAACTCTCCCTTGACATTCCCAGAACTTTGATTAAATGCGGCCATTAAAACCAAAGGAGCAGCCACCACCTTGGTGTCCCGTCATATATGCGATAAATAGGTAAAAAGATAAGAATTTTATGGCCTATGAAATTTAATGCCGGAAGTCATTAAAATCTGCCCGTATTCCTTGACGACCTAGTTCTACCCTACAGTATGCTGTTATACCCTTAGTGGTAAACGTGTTCCTGTATTGCTTACATTCTAATGAAGCAAGCTTTTCTATAATTATATTGCTCTTGATTTTGTTGCTACTCCGCTCAAGTAAACAGAAAGAAAATAGAAATCGCAAAGAATATACCTCGTTTATAAATATGATAATTTGCATTTGTACAATTCTGCACGCACCAATCGCAAGTACTTATAGACGGTTCTAATAAGGCTAAGTAAGCTATGGACTTTATAGGTGTAAGTATCGTAATTAAGACTGGACAAAGTCAAAATACTCTCCATTAAAAAAAACTTTTTTCTTCCAAGCGATACAATCGTTAAATTAAACCAGCGACAGCATTGCCCTTGATAACAGTCAACAAATTCCAGATTCGGTTTGGCCCCCTCGGTCAAGAAAAATCATCACCGCTTCCACTTTTAACAAAGAGTATCTATATTTCACGAGATATCGTGCTACTCAGCACTGATAGCATCTTCGCAAAAATGTAAATCATTCGAGTAAACAATATAAAATCCGTGGCTTAGAGTTGTCGAGTATTAGGAAACCGTATTGGCTTTTAGATCTATAAAAAGATATATCACTGAGCGCTATGCCAAGGGCAAGGGCTTTCTAAAATTTTTCCATTCAACTATGCAGAATCCAGTTGTTCCAGCAATGGCCACCAGGATGAGGATCAGCAATTGATATGGTAGTAAAAGCGCCGCATATAAAAATGCAACAGTGCTTCCGATAGCCTACAATAAATAAACTTGATTAAACTGGAATGACTAATCTGCGTAAAAATAAAATTATTCTGCCGGCATACCGCCCAAAAATTGCAAACCGCAAATACAGAAACGCAATCATGCCGGTAAGCGCTGCCAAGGTATCCAATGATCTGCAATAAAAGCGTTTGAAAAAACATTTTCGACCTATCTGTGCGCTGAAGTTATGATCTTATGACTGTATTAACGCATCCGTTTATTTAAAGTGTACTTTAGCTGCGATTTGTGCAAAACGGAGAAGAAGTGCAGTTCACATTATAACAAGGCTACTTTCGTACCTGGCCATTAAAGATTCCATCTCCTGTAAAAACCCAAAGGCCGCTTGTTATACGTTAATTGTGTTACAGCCTACAGATTTAGCAGTGCTCATATAGCTTGCGCTCGATTGTTTTCCGTGATAAAACTTCTGAAGACAGTTCTAAACTGAAATTTGCAAATTTCTGTCTCTCTTCAGAATTTGCCTTGCGTTTTAAAAACATACGAACTTACCTAATCCAAGCATAAATGAGATCAACATGGCAATGTACGCGCTGCAAAGTATAATGGTACGAGACTCGTAACAAAATCCGTACTGGTACAAGAGTAACACTTGACCGTGAAAATGTGATAAGGTAGAAACTACCGGCTTTGAAACACCTCTTCTGTACGTAAGGGGTGAGTGAAGTAAATGTACTCGTACTAATAATTACGTCCACTACATACGTTCGGGACGGCATTAACATTAAGGACACCTACTTTGGTCCGACAAAAGCCTTATCTGACGTCACTGTCGTAGAGGCAATCATAGGTGTATTGAGAAAAGTCATATAAGCCATCACAATATGGACTAGCATTCCGATAACCAATATACCATCCTTTCCGTTGTAGTGCATCCACTTTCCTAATAGTCCAACAAGTGTCCCCGCTATAACAAAATTTACTGTCACACAGTTTTATGACCAAAAGTAAATGTCATGGATTACTAGAACATTTATGTACATGTTGTCATGGATTACTAGAACATTTACACATGCATGATATATTTATATGTAATTTTGAGGTATTGTATTTAGCAATAACTGCAGTTCAGAGATTTACCGATTATTTCGCCAGCGCCGGCAAAAACGCTCGTCAAACCAACCAAAGCTTGCTGGAGAGATCCAAATCTCTCCGTGTAGCCGAGAGCGGTAGCATAGATGCTCCAGAAGCTTCCCTCAATACCTTATATAAAAGGTTCCCGATTTAAGGAAACGTTCAAACAATCCATCTTTTCAAATAGTGCATAGGTGCTCCCGCTTAGCAAGGTATAGGAAGATGTACAAATATATGCACTCACCAAGGTAAAAGAATACTGGTATGAGGATCATAATGTCTTTCCGTCGCATTGCTTGAAGCATAGCGTCTGCAAAAGCGGAAAATTGCGAAATCGATCAGTGCAGTAATCCAGGATAACACAAAAATGTTACTGCTATTCGCTTGTACATATAATCCTACCTGAGGCTTGATTACATTAGGCATTACAATTCATATCTTCGTATTCAGACCGACAAAAACTTGCTTTTAACAACGAAAGGTCACAGCGCAAGCCCATGACCAATCATAAGATATTTATTATCTGCGGTATTAAATGCATGCACTTCGGTTTAAAATAATTCAGCACTCACAGAAAGCTTCTCCAGGAGTGCGGTGACTGGGTTGCGCTCTAGAACAACAGAACTAATGGAGCGGACGATATTTCAGAATTAGTATCAAGCAAACGTCTGCGTACAGATCCATGGCACACGCTAAGTATCCGTAAAAAAACATACTTACTGTACAGCTTCCTGTTTATCAACCGATACTTCCGCAGGTGGACGCGGTATTTTTTCTAACCACGGATGCACCAACAGAGTGAGTACGATCACTCCGATTGTTGCTGCTGCAGTCAGGATCGAAAAAATCTGAATACGCTTCGCCGGGGAAATAACTTCGTCTCCGTTTAACATGAAGAAGTAGAAAAGATTACTAAGGACTAAACTGCAAAAAAGAACTACTGTGTTAAAATTGCATTGGATTTCTATCCGTAATTATCATTGCTGTATTACGAGCACCATATGTACAGGGTATGTGTAATATTGTGTACTAAACACTACTGATATGTAAAAATATGGATTATGGAGAGCAGAAAGTAGTTACGAAAGTGCAATATTTATGTTATGACAGACCAGACTTACCTTGACTGATATAGTGCTAGAAAAATTCCGGTATTTCTGAAAGAGAATTTCGTAGAATTTCGACAGAAAAACATCAAATTATAATTTGATCATGGATGTGCAATTAAGGCTGTGCGCCGGGATTTGAAATGTGCAAACCTATTTAAATTTGCGCGCAGAAATATAACAGCAGAAACGCTTTGTATGTTCGTATATTGTTTTGATCAAAAATCCAGTGTTTTCATTACCTGGAGACTCGCTTGTTGGTGGAATTGACGGTAATAAAATGTCCTTGCACTTGCCACATTAACGTACTTCCCAGTGTCACGAAAACCGCCGCCATGTACATTGTGCTTTTCAAGGGCCTAATAAATGCCGCCACATACAGCGTTGTACATATTCCACCTGTTATTAACGTTACTTTTGGGCCGACCAGAGCAACCTAAATTAATAAATGGGAGATGTAATACTTGCAGGTTCGCGAAAAGAATGCTTCGAGGTTGCTTTGCTTACGATTGATGGAGCTACCAAGACGGCAACGCATGCAACACCTAAAAATGCTAGTCGATGCATTATACGTATTAAGAATTTAAAGATATTTAAATTTTATTCAGTACAGTTTGTTCGGATAGTTCGCAAGTAATAGCGGCTTGCAATTGGACTGTTGTAGAGCGGATTTGTTAATTTAATTGTAGTTAACTAAGGTAGTTATCAATAAACCTGAGGATATTGCCCATAAGGTATAGCCAAAGGTTGTGGAAGCCTCGAAGTATTCGTCGTTGACGCTGTATAACACAACAGCCTGCGCCATCCATGCTGTGTTTAGAGCACCGAGGTTGAGCATAAATCCGACTCCCATAAGCAACACATTGAGGAAACTTACTCGGAAACATAAAATTTCTCGTTTAGAAAGAATTATTTCTTCGTCGGATGAATTCTGAATTTTATCGTCATCTATCTGGCCTCCATTAATATTGCTGACAACGGAATCAGATGGTAATGGTAATTTAGTTGACAACGGATTCTGCTCAAATGAACTTCCGCTTTCGCGCATCATCATTATTCTACGTCGTCCGATCTCCTAGCTAATCCACAATACGTGTCTGAACATCGAAATGCACTATGTATTGCGCTGCTGGCTAGGTGAAAATAATAGAAAAAACTTAAGTGTAATTCATTAAACCATTTAGTCACAGTCGTTGCAATACGGAACTGCGTGGATATTTCCGCTACAAACCGTGGGTAAACGAATACTACTTTGAATGCCTTTTTGACCGAGCTTTGCCATCACCAGGTTATCAGGTGTGCCACAATGTCGTTCCTGTTCCTAACACGCGATATCGTGCATAATCTTCATTCCTGGTTGTGGTTTACCGATATAATTTTACATTTTTGCAGATAATTTATTGACATCTGAACTACAATAAATGTGTTTCCAAGGCCAAGGGCAGCAGCGCGCGTCACTCTTTAAGAAAGCTATCGGCCCATCGGTTAACAATTAACGCTAACTCTCCTTATTCATATGTGTATATGGTCTCCGTAAGTCATCACTTCCATAAACCGGAGTTGTCCGCCTGTATTAGTCGATGCCTCGATGGTCTTCGATATCTCTCGACAAATAAATAATAACCTCATAAAATAACAAAATACAATAAAATTTAATGTTTTACGTGAGTAAGATTAATACTGGCCATTTCTTCAATAGATAGATCGCCTATGACAATTTCAATTTGGATTTTTCTATTTTGTCACCGCGATGAATCACTAAAATGATTTTTACTAAAAAGTACCGCAATTTCTGAACTGATGTGAAACATATGCTTTCTCTCTTGGGTGTGTATTTCCAGAAATTCTCGATGTCATGCACCAACTTTGATTTCATACCATTCAGGGTCATGCTTTTACTAATAATTTACTGTAAACTACTTTAACAATCTTCCGTTCATATCACAGTAAAATTAAATCATTGTATAAAAAGTCCAAATATCGGATAAAATAAAACAACGTTCTCGGCACACGTAAATGCATAGTGCATACAAACAGTTACAAAAAGAACAAAATATCACAGATTCTGAAAAATGGATTCCCCATTATTATTCCGGGGGGTGTGTTCGATAAGCCTGCCATTCCACATAACAAAACCCAGCAGCAGCCATCACAGCATTGATCACCAGTATCAACAGCTACAAAAACACAAGCAACGATTTCCTCTCAGAACGAAGAAACAGGGATAATACTGTGGTTTAAGATGTCCGCTAGAAATTTACCTGATAAGGAATAGTCAGGATAGTAGCATACAAAAAACTAATACAGTTGGCGATGGCCTGAAAAGCAATAACAGAATGCACACCACAGCAGCCCTGTTTAGTTGCTCAAAACCAAAGGCCAACAATGTTTCACTTACACACCAAAACTGGTACACTCCGAACACTGAAACACAGTCGTGCCGATAAACATGTCCCAAGTAGGCCATACACTGAAAAACAACGGAATGCCTGATACTGCCATAAACCTTTTCGATCATGGATTAGAAGACCGCAGAATAACCATAAATCTTCCACTAACCTGGCTGTTGAAAATTGCATCACCTGAAAATGACCGAACAATCTCAGTAAAATCAAATCCATTGTCAACAGGGATCAACAATCGTTAATGTTTCAAGTGCAGATATTTTTCTGCCAGAATTACGAATCATCTCTGGACAATTAAGTCTAGATAAAAAAAACGAAACAACAATACAAAAAAATAAACAAGACCAAACGCTATAAGAAAAACAGTCACGGAAACGATGTCTCACCTAAACCCAAAAGAAATGCGACGACCATGGCAATGTAAGGGCTGTAAAAATGAAGTTTGGTAACATTACACCCACTGCCATCAAGGAAATGATAGCTCAATCGCTTACTCAGGGTCTACGTAAGCACCGTCATCGGTCATCCCCAGCGACGCGGAACTGGGCGTATTGAGGAATGTCAGGTAATAAGCGGCGACATGTACGACCATTGCGAACATAAGCATCCCGTCCTTCCCATTGTAGTGCATCCATTTTCCCAGAAAACCAAGAAGTAGCCCACCTGTTTATTGAGCAAATGATTGCTACAGACAAATTCGATCACGCCGAAACACACAAGGTAATTCACCAATTATTTCTCCAGCACCAGCAAAGACACCGGTCAAACCGACGAGAGATTCTCTCAATGTTCCGAAGCGCTCAGTGTATCCGAGTGATGTTCCATAAACATTCACCCAAAATGTCCCCTCTACGCCTGAAAATGATGCGATTTTCCAGCATACAAGACGACAACAAATTGCAAAACATACTTACCAATATAACAAAAAATTGGCATTAGTATGAGCATATCTCTGTTCTTTGCAACTTTGAGCGTGGCCACTAGAACCAACAAATCGAAACACGGTTATTGCATTTCAGAAAAATTCCGGCAAGATTGTTTGTACCTAGCGCTTCTTTGGCAGAACGATGAGGAACCGGTTCTCTATGAGACAACATAACTAATTATATTTACAGAATAAGTTTTGTCATGCCTATAGGAAGATTTAAATACGTAAATTAAACTTCTTAAAGAGAGCAACTCTGAGTTGGTTTCTAGCTGCAAAACAGATTATTCTTACAGAACTTCATTATTCTTTCTATCTTTGGGAAACTGATTTTACCGATCAAGAACTATAAACACTTACGCTCCATTTTGACTCAGCGTAAGGTATTCATGAGGCGGTCGGCGAACCTTTTCGCACCATGGGTGAACAAGAAGAGCGAAAACCACAATTCCAATTCCAGAAATACCCGTCAGCGTTCCGAAAACAATGAGACGCGTTTCAGTGTCGATTTGTTCAGCACCATGTACCATAATAAAATAGAACATATTTCCGGTGACTAAACTGAAAACAGATCACAAACGATTACCATGCATTGAAACAGCACATCAGCAACTCCTGTACAATCCAAAATACCAATTCTCAGTTCTTGAGGCATTAGCTATAGAATAACTATCAACTATACGAAACACTTTATACGTCTCTAACATTAACTCATAATTAATCTGCTCACCTCGACTGATATAATCCCCAAAACACTCCCGTATTTCTGTCCAAGGATAAAACAAATTATTAATAGTGTCGGTTTAACGCTACCACAAAAGGCAATTTTACCTCATTACTCGCTTCGAAGTGGAATTAATGGTGATAAAATGCTGTTGAACGACCCATATTATCCCGACACCGAATCCCATTAATGCTGCACCAATATATAGGGCAATGGTCAAAGGTCGAATAAAGCACGCGATGTAGAGGGACACACAAGCGGCTCCGGACACCATCGCGGTCTTCGGGCCAATAACGGCAACCTGAAGCATCATTTTATCATAAGAATTGAGAATTCACAAGAAAATTGTCAGAAAAACACTAGAAAATTTCCACAATATGTATTTTAGGGATATTCATTTTCACAGATTGGCCATTTACAAGAAAACCGAATCATAAAGACAAACATATCAAAATACCAGTAAATAAAAATACCAAAAATACAAGGAAAACGCCAAAAAAAACAGAAAATCTAAAGTTAATGTTTGATATTTGATGTGGGAAATTAACAAGAAAACCGTGCATAACTTATGAAATTTTAGTTATAAAATGAAGCGATTGCAGAATACTAAATCGAAGATTACATTTTTTATTAAACCGTAAATACTCACCACACATGGTCCAAACAAGTATGCGAGCGCCTGCGTCCCTAAAGTGTGCAAAAAATCAAAATTAAAGAAGGAATATCTCCGCGAGTGCCTCCTCCGTACCACAACAAACCGCCCACAAAACGTATCCCAATGTGGGTGTCCCTTGGAAATAATCATCGTTCACACTGTTTAACACCACCGTCTGGGCCATTCCTGCCGTCGTATATGCCCCGATATTGAACATAAACCGAAATCCCATTAGGAGAATGTTCAGGAAGCTGACGCGGATGCACAGTATCGAGCGCTTCGACAGGCGATCCGAGTAGCGACTGGCAATATCACTCTCCGGATTGGATCGGATGGATTCTGTCAGCTCATTGTACCGTCCGTCGTGTTCCGCACTGCGGAAGTTAATATAGTCCACTTCAGTGTACGTCTTCTGGGGAACACTGGCAAAGGCAGCTTCCTCCGGAGGACTGGAAGGCCCGGGCGCATTGTTGTCGGATACGGGTTCCCACATCTCGTATTACGATAGTATGCCAGAGAAAACATAATCAATTGATTATGTCTGCGTTAACCACTGCCAGAACGATAAGAACATCCAGCTACAGGAACCAGCAGCACCGTGACACTTATCAACGGAAGCTCATCCCCCTTATCGACGCTATCTGTTAGCGAACACCATATTCGACATGATTATGAATTACCGCAATAATAGATTCCGTGATAACGACACTCATATCAGCGTGTGCGTCGCGCAGTCAGGGAACAAAGCACACAAGAAAAATCCATCAAAAACGAGGCTATGGCTGGCTCTTTTCGCAATCTCGAACTGAAGTCCAAAGAACAATTTGGTATGCACTTCGAGGAAAACGTGGTCAGAGGCCAGATCTGCAGTATTTTTGCATGTCAGCAAGGTAACGCGTGAAACGTTTGCTGTTCTGTAGGGATTTTAACAGTCGCGTGGCTGTTTAATTCACATGAAAACAAAACACCACATCGAAACGCTGGAAATTTTGTTGAAACGTAAACAAAGTGCACACAATCGCAAAAAGAAAAAACGTGACCACAGACCAACCGACTTAGGCGGGCGCCATCCATATGCCGTTCGAACGTGCCAGCCGCCTAAGGGCCATGGTATTTTGTATTCTGTACTTATTTCTACAGCAGAGATCCATCTATTCATTATAACTAGTGGTGGTTGTTAACCACATTCTTGCACCGAGCGCGAGCGCTGTTCTCCGGTAAATGTTCACATTCATGGCAGTGCAGCATATGTGTTATTCGAACTCATAACCCACAATTCATTCGAAAAATCTAACTGAAAGCATCTTTATTGAAACTAACAATCACATTTTGTGGCATCCCGCCTCAGAGCAAGCATGCTTTTGATCAGGTGGAACAATAAAAAACACGGCTTAGGTTTATCGACAACATTCAGCGCTGCGTATTCTTCCAATGGGCTTCGGATTTTACCATATTACACAACCCAATCACATTTTTGACATCACGTTTCAGTTCAAAATTAATTTTTTTATCAGCTACAACCTTCTTTTCTCCAGTTCACTGATCTTTGCCTTAATCGCGCGAGATACAGAAGCATTCGTTGCAGTTCAAATTCAGTTGTGGTTGAAGTGTACAGTTCCGCACGGCTTGAAGTAAGGCTCCGGCCAACGGACGTTCTAGCATACGGGAGCAGATCCTCAAACTTGTCAAGATAGCAGGTTCCTTTCTCACGCAAACGCTTTTCTTCTTTCTCTTGAAGTGTCAACAAAAAATTGAGGCTCTCGGTATCGTACAAATTCACAAGACAACGGATCCATTCTTTAGACCATTCTTTCGTCCGTTATACGTCGTCGACGGCAGCTCTTGGTGATTCCGTCAAAAGAGAAAGAGCAGAGAGAAACTTCCCCGGGTTAACTTGATAATGGCGACGCAATATAACGAAAGGCTGCGCAGCGATGCAATGAAAAGTGAAACTGCAAAAGGGAATTCGATATAAAAAGCTGACATCATTTCGATATAAAAAGCATAAGCCTGAATATTTTATTATTTGTTTTTTTAAAAAATTATTCCACACTTTGCTTCAAACAACATTGCAAATATTACTGCTAACTTGTAAATAAATCTTACCCACAGCATCGCTAGGTAGTAAACAGGATCCGATACGAAAATTCACGCGGAAGACAACACGCACAAGCCAAACACGTACGAGCCCACAAATCTGCAAGAAGACAAAAAACTGTTTACCATCTTTCAGTTGCGCATAATGCAGAACTGTTGTAAAATACGACACTATCGACAGTACGGTAGACGCGAACCACGGTAAATTCCCAGAACTCACATACAACGGAGCGTCACGAAAGGCCAATACAACAGGTGTCGAGGTTGAAGTAGTCAATGCCTAAACTTAGAAAGGCATTTTAGTCGGGGGGTTCTTCTCACCTGTCAAGAAAGTAGAACCTTATCCCAACCGGCCGACATAGTCAGAAGATCCGGACGAGTGGCAAACGGCGAACCCAGTTCTGATGGCAGTCGAGGATGTTGCAAGATGTGGCTGGCATACAGTATACTCCACAGTATGATGCGCGAGATCTGCAGACAATCTGGGGATTGTCAGGATGCAGAGTAGCATATTTCGTAAGTCATTTGCAACAGATTTCGCTGGAGATAAAAGTAAATGGTTTTTATTGAAATTCTCACCAACAAAATTTCGCAATGCAGATTACAAAATCAAAATTTAAAAACCATGAAAATTTAAATTCAGAATTAATAACGAGTCTAACAACCAAGAACCATTATGTGCGCTTTCCAACGTACCCACTCTTCAAGAAGCGATTGCTAAAACCACATCCAACAGTTTGCTTATGCTAAGTAATAATGAATTAGCAATCATTGCTGACTAGCGAATCATTCGTATCGTTTGCTACGGTTTGGCATTTGCAAATTTGCACAGCAAATTGAAACATTGCTGATTCTACCTGACATCACTGGAAGATAATATAATATTATCCTTTTTTTTGTATAGTTTTTATATTTCTTTTATCTCGTTTCGCATCTAACTGCGCATTTATTCGCATTTTATGCAGATTAGTTGGCTGGTGTTTTCATGGATGCTGGGCACACGTAGAGGAATTACTGTACTTACTACTGAAGTACTGACTGAATACCGCATTTTTTTGAACCTAGATTTCCGTGATTTGATTTTGTTCTCCGTGTGATTCTCCATGTGCAAGTCTTGCGCCTGTGTTATGTGTGTAGGTAATTTATTTTCGATACTGATAAATTTTGATATAGTAAACTTCAGTTAGAAACTTCTTTGACGGTACCTTGGACCATGTGTAATGTGCAAGTTAAAGTATAATAGAAGTATTTAGTATTCACCGGTTTTTGGTTTAGATTCCTTTAGGAAAGCTGACATTGCAGCCTTGTCATTGGCCATGTGAAGTGTGGAAGTTTGGATTACTGTCGGGCTTTTTGATTGAGTGCTGTTAATCCAGGAATTTTCCGTGCGTGCTCCATGGCAAGATCATCGACCTACAAAAATGGTATGTAAAAACAGGATAATGAATTTTTTGTAATACAGCAGGCAAGTGAGTTCTTGTCGTTTTTGGCTCTTCAGTTTATTTGCCTCACTGCCCGTTGTAAGTTTGAGTGTCTGTATACTGTACTCCATAGAACTGATGCGATTTTTGTTGCCAGTAAAACGCACAGTAAGAGAAACTCGATTGTCGATAGCAAATTGTTTGGTAGTTTCGTAACATATTACTTCCGGAAATTCAAATGATTTGGTGGATAGAAATGTTTTTTATGTGTTTTAGGCAGCACGGATTACAATCAGCAGCGCTTAAAAGCATGGAAACCTGATTTAGATGCCAAGACGGTGTTATGGTCTTTTCTCGTCATTGGATTCTGTTTTATTCCTGTTGGCGTGCTCTTATTAATGGCCTCCAATAATGTACGATCACGCCCGTAATTTTGCCATCTCACAGCCTTTGAATGCATGCCAATCAAGGCTGATTAAACCACAAAAATGTGTAATCAGTTACGCCGCCATTTAACGGCGGCGTGCTGCCGTTTATTGTGATACTGTACATATGTATCATGCCGCTGCATAATTTTGAATGCGTGTTGTTGTTGTCGATTGTGCAGGTACACGAAGTGGTGCTCGATTATACATACTGCTTGCGCATCCCGCAGCGCGATGATCTCCATTATGCATCGAGTTACCTGAACTGTGCGGGATATATTGCTCACACTCCCAAACCAGCGAGATGCACGTGTAAAGTGGAATTAAATTTACCCACGGGAATGGAGGTGAGATTGTTGGTTTCCTTGTGCTTGTTGTTCCTTTTGTTTACCAGTGGATACAATTAATGCACCAGCGCGTTAACCTAGCATTGTCGTTCCTTGCAGTTGTTCATTTGTAGTTAAAATGCTGACACAAGCTTGTTGAAAGATTGTCGGTTATTTTGCACAATGAATAGTGTTAGACTTGCTCTTTTAAAGATTTTGTTTGTGTGAGACTTTCAAAGCCTTGAAATAATTTTTCTGCCTCCAATGATGTCTCGGGTAGCAAATTGTTTCTCACAGCTGACTCATCATTCATATTGTACAGTTGATCTACTCGAGTAGTGTTGTTTCTGCAGGCGACAGCCGATAGATAAATTAGTTTTAATTTAAAAGTCTAATTGGTATTTTTTCAGGGCACGGTAACGATATATTACGCACTAAGCCGATTTTATCAAAATCATCGCCATTTTTTGAAATCCCGTGATGAATACCAGTTGCTGGGATATGTTGGAGGAGTGAGCAAAAGCTGCTCGCCGTTTGATTCTATTAACCATTCAATAATAGTTCCTTGTGGCGCTTTTGCTAATGCCATGTTTAACGGTAAGGAGTGTGAAATGTTGAGCAGTTATTGATAATAAATGGTTTCTGTGATGTGTTTGTTCGTGTTGTAGATACTATTAAACTACATATGATCTCTGGAAATCATGAAGTTCCGCTACTGCGGACGGGATTAGCGTGGCCTCTGGAAAAAGCGCTGTTTAAAAATCCCGAAGGAAAGCCTCTCAATGAAAGTGCGTATTTGCATACATTTTGTACGAATAATTCGACATATTTAAATATCGTAATAGGTTTCGGATAGAAAGCACCTTTGAATTCCCGTATTTAATACTGATGTAGTTCTGGTTTCCCTCAACGCGCTTCGCTTATTCAGTTTCAGAAAGACTGAGTTGTATGGAATTTCGTCTCATGTTTTAAATTATTTTCGTATTAATCAGGCTACGATGGTTACGTAAAGCCGCCTTCGTGGTCGAAGAACATATGGGAAATGGATCAGGAAATTGCATTCAATAATGGAATGGAGAACGAAGGTGATAACCTTCTCATATCGCTTCGTAATCGTTGGTTTAATTATATTTGTCGATGTTTTAGATTTCATAATATGGATGCGTCCTTCCGCATTTCCGGATTTTCGTAAGGTGTTTCGCCGAATCGACCAGTCAGTGCATTGGTTTCAAAGTGGACTTCCGCCTGGAAATTACACTTTTACAATTGATTACAGTACGTATACGATGTCCCTGCGATAAACTGTTTCGTTACTTTCAGTGAGATATAAAGCTTAACTTCTGAGAACATCAGCCGCTGTAATATTATTATAATAATTCATTCAGGTTAAACTGCAAAGGCAAAGTTTTTTCGTTTCGTCGTTATGCTTTTAAAGCCAAGCGAAGTGCTTTGGGATGACAGTGCCTGTTTTTAGATTATCCCGTCACTCCGTACCGTGGCCGGAAATACTTGGTGATATCTAATGATTCGGCTTTTGGTGGAAAAAATCCCTTTCTGGGAATAGCTTATATCGCTACCGGGGTTTGCTTGATTGTGACTGCTTTGGTGTTGTTCATTATTCACCGAAGATTAGGAATACGGTAAGCACTGGGAACAATTATTGGGTAGTAAGTACTTTGTGGCCTAAACATTTCAAAGCTTTTTTACGTATATGTTCTTAATTGTCGCTCAATGTAGCGCTAACCACTGTTGTACTCCGTGCCGTAGCATATGTGCTCGTATTTAATACCGTTTCGTGAGGATATAGGAGATAGCTTAATAATTTTTCTTTGGAAAAGAAATGTCAAGTGTGGACTTAATTCTCTTATGACGAATCTCAATGGGCCATATAAATATTTTCAGAGAGGACGAGGCAATCGATGTTCGGAAAACAGACCCGTATTACTGGTGAATCTCATCCTTGTGCCCACACCATGAGTTCAACGGAAATTTATTTTCCTTGTGGTAGACTGCGATTTCATGCTTGTAATATAAATTCAGTCAGTTGATATGTGATATTGGAAGATTTTTGTATTGCTTCCTGAATGTTTTGTTCCGTTTTATTTTTAACTAATAATTTACAGTAAGTACCTGCCTAATGCAAGGTAACCTGCTGTTCTGTTGTTGCACGGTTTACATACAGTAACACCTGTTTTTAATTGTGCGTGGCATGCTGTACTTTGATTGTTTTGTTGTTATAATGTTGCATTGTACAAGTACTTACCTACTGTTCTGCATGCTCCGGTGTCGTGTTTATTTTAGTAATTCACTGGTCCTGCCCACTCCACACCAGCGATGTTGATAAGAATGAACTGTTGTTGTAGATTGATGGTTCCGCTTTACGAGTCGAACATGGGTTATAGTTACACTTTTTACGGGGTCCATCCACTATGCACACTGGTGCCGCCAAGAAAAATCCAAAGTGAATGCCAGCTATTCTCGCAGCAGTGATGCTGTTGGTACTTACTCAAAACTTTGACAAAAAAAGAAAAGTAGCTTAACTAAATACCAATCAACGAAAATTTTACCAAAAAAAACTGCGATAGCCGGGAGTCGAACCCGGTTCAAGTGCTTGGGAAGCACCCATACTACCGGTGTACTACTATCGCTTGAGTATGAATGTTACATTTGACTACCGGGTCGGGCAGCAAAACTTTTTGCTGTTAATAACGTAACAGCTTCGTGCAAGGGCGGGTGATCATAAACGAGCTAACTGGTAAAGGGCAGAAACGTTGGCACTTGGCACTAGTACTACTCTATTTAATTTTAATTTTTCAGTTTTACTTTCCGTGTGGCGTGTGCAGTGTACAGTAATCAACCAGCAAATGTTTACTGCCGATAGCACATAAATATGGTAGTGCGCTAAGCAATCCTGAGCGATTCCGATTTCCGATTAATGCAGTTCCTCGAGAAATTTCGTAATCGCTGAACTTGTTCATCGGACTGTTAATCGGTCCGATCGAGAAAATTCGCGAATTTTGCGAATCGGAAATTTCTTAATTGGTAGTGATTAAGAAGCTTCACTACTAACAGGAGGTGGTTAAAATTGGCCAGTAATAGCGTTCTATGAGTCGAGTCGCTTTCCGTCACTCGGAAAAACTCTTAATGCCGGTTAATTACATTTGAGGCAGTTGTAGCCATGGTACACGAGAATCGAAAGAAGTCTTTACAGTTAAGTCTTTACAAGTTGTAAGCTGTAAAAACTTCTTTCGATTCTGATGTACTGTGCCATGGCTACAAGACTGCCGCGATTTATTTTCGCAACGCTTTACCAAATGAGTAAAAGGTCATGATTTACAGGAATCAGCGCGACGACTTAATGTAGTACTTAAATTTTCTCCATTTTGAGTAAGTATTTAAACTTACACAATGCCATCCTAATAATTTTTTTCTAAGCCTTAATTGTAGATGCAGAGACTAGGGTAATGTTATTGGTCTTCGCTTCTAATCGGTGGCTTTTAAGCATACTCCGGCAACGTCAAATAAGTTGAAATAACTATATAATGGATACTTCCAATACTTACCTTTCTCCCTATACTATCGAAAAGGGAAGTTGCATAAAAATCATAAAATTTTTTAGCTTTTTCTTCGATCGGTGAACTTGCGCCTCCTTTTCAGACACTTAAAATTGCATAATTAAGTGCGTGGAACAGTTCGAATCCTTGTCGCCTCCAGAACAATTCTTCGTATCCGTATACACACGAGAAAATTAGTAATTGGTAAATTACCAATTGTACCTGATTGCGAGCTGGCGATTTGGTTGTATCCGTGAAGTTTCTACAACGAAAACCAGTGGTCAATGATCACTTACCAATGCGCTGTTGCGAAAACGTTATCAATAAATATACTGGTAACAAACGGTTACAAACCGCACTACGTCATACACTTTCATACTACTACCTGTACTTCGCGTATTGTAATTATCGTAGTGTGTACGTACTACGTACCGCACAGCACGTACGGAGGATATGACCACATTGCTGGATAGGACCAAAATATTCATTGCCCAGTTCGTGTGATGCGCTGCGCTCACTGCTGTTTTGTGTTGCTCCTGACAGCGTAAAAATATGAGTTTCACTTTCACCGCTGTGTCACCTGTGTGTGCATTTGTATAAGTTTATAGCACTCAGATCCTAGCATTTTGTAAACCTGTTGCTTTTGAGCTGATGTTATTTTGCCTTCCTATTTACAATGGCTGCAGCTGTTCAAAATGGACACGGGGAGGCGGAACTGCTGGACTATGAGGAAGAAGTGGAAGAACAGGTTACCAGTAATGGCAGTGCGGAGGCTGACCAGAACCAAGAACCCATGGACGATGGAGACCGTGTCGTGATGCATACGCCCTATCACGGTCACGTCAGCCTGCACACAGCTGGCTTCCGAGACATGTTACTGAAACCCGAAATCCTGAAGGGGATCTTCGATGCGGGCTTCGAGCATCCGTCCCGTAAGTTCCGAATTGCTGAGCGTCCTCCCTGCACACAGAACAGACTTAATTGTAATATTACAAACATATTTTATAGAAGGTTGATTTTGATGTTTCAGAAGTACAGGCGGAATGCATCCCCAAAGCGATGTCGGGTGTGGATATTTTGTGTCAGGCTAAATCCGGCATGGGCAAAACAGGTACGTCAGACAGAAGTCATGTGCATTACTTACAGTACCGTGCTCGTATCTGTTTGCTCTGTTGGATTAGCGTTGTTATTATTTCGACAGAACCGTGATTTCTTATCGTATTGCGCCGATGTTTCCGTATTTGATATCCTCTAATTTCGCATTAGTTTTTTTTTATGCGCGAGTACGTAGGTCGTCTTGTCGTAATCAATTTCCATAATTTCTGATTTATTCAAATTTCGAGCTTTTCCCATTTGTGCTGGTTTATGACTCATTTTTATGACGAAATTTTTTTTTTCGAAAAAAACGATGTTTTGGAATGCAAAAGAATTTTTTGCTATATGTGCCGGCGTATGCAGTGTAAGGGAGCAATAGTGTAGGAGTAATATTAATGCGATTTTCTGTTACAGCGGTGTTCGTTATTTCGACCTTGCAAATGATCGACCCGCAAGCCACCACCCAACCGACCGTCTTGGTGCTGGCACCGACGCGTGAATTGGCCTACCAAATCGCAGCTCAGTACCGTCGTTTCAGACGACATTTGCGTGGAATCCGCATAGGCCTTTTCTACGGCGGCACACCGCTTTTGGGTGACATACAGAATTTGCGCGCCGGCCCTGTCCACATCGTTCTGGGCACACCGGGCCGCCTGAAGGCTCTGGTCCGTGAGCGCGTGCTGAATCTGTCGCACATCAAGCACTTTATTGTGGATGAATGCGATAAGGTGCTGGGCCAGCTAGACATGCAGTCGGATGTGCACGAAATTTTCCTGGCGACACCGTTCGAAAAGCAAGTCATGATGTTCAGTGCCACGTACCAGACCGCGGTTTTGCAGGATTGCCGAAAGTATTTGTCGAAGGTGCGCTAAAATGTGTTGCAGAAGTATCATACACTGAGTGGGAGTGTTCCAAGCGCTTTCTCGCAGCAGACAGACATAAGCTCAGTGAGAAAAATACCGGATAGCGTTTTTGCTATCCTTGGAGTGCTTAAAACTTAAAATCTGTATTATCTGTATATCTTCACTAATAAGAACTTCCACCATCTGTAGAAGTCAGACGATAAACCATAGTTGCTTTGTGTTTGTATAGTCGACTCATTAATGCAGAACTACTTCCAGTCTTCCATAATATTTTGCGATGTGATTGCAGGAAGCGTTTGAAGTACTGGTCGAGGATCCTGCTAAACTGGTGCTCAAACGTCTCGTGCAGCACTATAAGCAGGTCACCGAGGATAAGAAGTACCGAATGCTGAAGGATGTCTTGGACGTTATTGAATGGAATCAGGTGTACGTTAAAATACACTACGTTTCAGTCTGATGTCCCATTTGTCATGCTACTTTGTCAGCTTAATTGTGTTTTATTTCTCCTAGGATTATTTTCGTAAATACCGTTACCCGTGCTTCAACACTTGGAACTCTCCTGTCTGAGGAGATGACGGAAGTCATTATGATTCACTCTGCAATGGCTCAGGAGGAACGCTTGGCACGTTACCAGCAGTTTGTGGATTACAGAAAGCGAATTCTGGTGGCCACGGACCTTTTTGGGCGCGGTAAATCGCTGTGTTTTGTAGTCCGATCGAAGTAAACCGATGCGTGTTTGAATAGCAAAACTGTGCGGTTCCCTTGCTCTTAAAATACGGTTGGTCAGTCGATAAAACGTACTCGTAGTGTGCGAAAATGTGATGAAATATTGTACCATTTGTAGTCTTTAGCAGTAGGATAAATAATTGTTGATCAAATTTTTATTGAATCAGATTTTTACGATTTTCAAATATTTGTAAGAATTCTTATTTCTGACTGTCGCTTTGACTAGGTATGGATATTGAGAGAGTGAATGTGGTGATTAATTACGATTGCCCCACGAACCCGGACCAGTATCTGCACCGCATTGCTCGGGCCGGACGCTTCGGAACGTGCGGATTGGCTGTGACCTTTGTTGCTTCCGATGTAGATGCACAGAAGCTGAATGACATTCAGGATCGTTACGATACGGATATTTCCGCGCTCCCTGACCAACTGGACCCGTCTCTGTATACCAGCGAAGAAGCGGCTGAATCTTCATCGCCGGATAGCATTGATTCTGCTAACTGAGTTTTCTGCTGGGCTCAATGGGGTTCGGTAAGGTAATTTCTTTCTCATGCTTTTTGTGATTTTCCCCGTTGTCTCCACTAGATTTTTTCTAATCTGATGTAATCTTAAAGGTAATTTTGTATCAAAGCTTTTATCTGTTTTACAATATATTTACTCTGACGATAGCGTTGTATTTGACATTATGCTGTGTAAATGGTTTTTTTCATTTTTTATTGTAATCTGCCAATTTAGCTTAATAAAGAGGAAAGGGAAAACGAACAGACTACTCGTTGCCGGATTCTAGCACAAAATCGACAGTCGCATCGGCGTATTGCCATACAAGTGGGTCTCATGGCTGTTAAACTGATAGTAAGCGATTGAAAAATTGAGATCTCCTCTGTAGATGATGCGTCAAGTCAGTCGTGTCCAGAAATAAACGACTTTTTAAACAGATTACTGGTTAGTTTGCTGTACTTATTTTCATGCCGCCTGGTCGGAGGGATCGAAACAACCTTGCCGAGAAATGCGCCGATATATATGTGGCTGGCAGTGGTCATTGGCCTGTTTCTGCCGGCTACTGTAATTCAGCGTTGAGCTCATCTGCATGCACAGCGGTCGGAAGGGGAAGAGTGACGGAAATTGCTGAAACTCTCCCCCTTCTGTTGATTCTTATTGATACTGTAGTTGATACACGATGAAATGTTTAAATGAGGTTTTGAATTTGGAATTATGTGAAGGGGCTATTTAATGGTCAAGCACTTATACCCATAATGAAGTATTGTATATACTCTGTACTTGTTTGAGCGAAGAAACAATTCCGTAGTCGATCGGTAGCTAGTGTATACTACTGTTATTTAGTTGTGTTGCTTTTTATGCTGCACAGTATTAAAGCGGGATATTCGAATAAATTCGCATTTTTTATGTATGCGTGATGTCTGCATTTTTATGACAAGTCTGCCAGGTCATAAAGATTTTTTTCTGTATTATTAGTCACCGTATTGCCAGACATAAACTGAGCCGATGATGTAAAGCTCTTCCCACGCAAAGCGCCGAGCAGCGTGAATTGCGCATCTTTAATGGCTTCAACGATTCCATTTTCCGATACCTTATTGTTAGGTTTTACTGCCGGATCGCTGTACAGATAGTCAGCGTGCATGCAGTGTTTTCGGTTGCATATACATTACCCTACAGCAGCCTAGAAAACAGATGCGATTTTAACAATTTCTTTGGCTAAAATATTTTTGAGATAGCGTTCCTTTAGGTAAGAAATTCATTCCGCGTGAAATACAGCAATTTGTTGGAGTATTCAGGATTTCCGCGAATTGATTATCCCGTGTTCTTCTTTGTATTTCTCACGCTAGTGTGCCACCGCGTCAAATATCTGGGGCGGGTTCGTTATAAAGGAACCAATCTCAAGTATACAGTAGTGTGTACAATGTAGATAGGCTACGTGCATAAATAATGAAGCCGTGCCGTGGTGTTGCGTACTTTCACTGCACAGCATGCCTATATTGATCGATCCGCTCCACACTCGGTGTCACCATTCCGGCATATACGCATAGCAGGTACATTACGCTTGGAGATCTCCATTTGAGTCCCGTTTTCGTGGATAGCGAACATTCCAGAACACTGTAAGATTCCTCCTTAAATATAACATTCCTCGAGAAATTTTTTTCCATTGTTTAATTTCCATACCTTTTTCAAGCACATCGGATGGCATGGAGTAGCAGAATGTACCAGCTCTACGCAGCCGTTGGGCTGTGCGCCGTATTAGTGTTTTTGGCCGCTCAAGAATGTGACGGACGCGGTAAGTTCGGCTGACAAAGCCTTACGGGTGTATTAATTGGTTTAATGTCCGAGTTCGCTCGGTATCTTGCCTTATTAGTATGCGATTGTGTTTCTTCTTTTGCTGGGTGATATAATTTGGGTAACTACGCTTTTTTTCGCTGTTGTAATACTGAAATGGTAATCGTTTCCGGTAGGAGATAGGGCGAATCTAAACGTCAGCTTATCCAGCGGATACGATATTTGCTGTATTTAGACAACCTTTCACAAAAAAGCTGCTTAGTTGTATAGTTACACAGTTTAAATCTACTTTTAGCTACAGAGCGACGAAAGCATTGTTACGAAAGTTATTGTTACGAAAGGATAAGAAAATGCTTACATGAAATCATTAGCTTAAAATTAGCATTAGGATTATTATTTTTTGTTTTTTAATCTACGGCGATCTAATATCTACACATCGATAAGACATACTACATAGTTATATAGAATGCATTTGAAAACCGTCTTTTTGATGTTCGAATATGGCCCAGATTTTGACCATTCGGTTAATTTGAGAAACGCGGAATTCTGATTTTCACAGATGCTGTGCATTGATTATTGTAGCTATACTAATTCGTTTATGCAAATGAAACGCGTATTGCACTGGTCAGGAATTATAATTAGCTCATTTGCAACTAATAATGTAATTGATTCGATCCAATATTTCGCCGCGCTACGTAATCGCATTAAGTTATGGCAAAGAATTTTCGTTGTTGTGATTATGAGGGTGATTTACGAAATCGCATCACGAAAACGGTGGAAACAGCACGCGGACGGTGACCATTTGCCGGCTTAGGTTTATAAACACTGTCCGTTAGCGTTAAGCCATCGCCGTTTAGATTAGCAGCGAAACCTTGTTTACGCCTCAAATAATCATCCGTAGCCCTGATGTGTCGCCGGCGCAACAGAATATTGGCAGTGACATTTCTTCCCGATGGGAAATCTGCTTTTCCCTTCAAAATGGACCCGTCAGCTGGCCGTTTTTTCGTCAATAATTTATTTCCCTCTTCCCTAAGGGCACACACGCAGTCGATCTTATATCTATCTTGGTAACCTTATGGTCTGTCTGTATAGCGCAGCTGTCGACAGGTGTGGAAAAAAGATTTGATGACTATTTTTTCCTACCACTCTGTCAATCCCAACATGCAGCTACTGAGAGCGCGTGTGCAGATAATCTGATGATGTCCTGTGCATGGGAAGAAATTTGTAACAGGAGAAAAGCGCATGCACGGCCCAATGAGTTCCTTTTGAATGTCGTTCGGGAAAAAAACTGATTCATCAAGAAAATCCATAGCTCTTGGTTACACGTCTGTTTTCCCGTGCAGATATGCCGGGTTCAATATGGAGCGCGGATGCCGGCATGTGGATTCGATAGTCCACACAATAAACACGAGAGTTGGAAAAGATATAGATATTAATCGATAATATGAGCGGGAGAAAATCAATTTTTGTAATTAGAATATCGGAGCTGTACTCGCTTTGTTCAGGCTGCTGCCTACGTACACATGCATAAGACATTTCCATCCGGCCGGGAAAAGAAATGCGCTGAGGAAAATGCCATGTGTACATTAGGATAGCCTGCTTACTTCCATATGCAACTGCATAACTGTAGAAAGCCAGTATATCCTGCATGTAGTGTTTTAAATAAACAAATAAATGTTTGAGTTTAGGTTACATCTACGCACAAAGAATACTACTTATTTAACGTAGCGTTGGTACCAAGTGGCCGGCACACGGAGCACAACATTTTCCCTGCACTGCACTGCGGCCATCTTGATCCAGAAAGGAGATTTAGGAAGAAAATATTATTATCGATTGACGCTGGTTATCCAAGTGATTTGCTCCAGCCTATAAACATGATTAAACACAGATCTCATCACGACCAAGTAGACGCTTATTCATGGCTGCTCATGAAGTACGCTTTTGACTGCACATGAATAATGCTGCTAAATGACCAGTATAGATGACGCATGCGCGGGCATTATTTGTCATAGTCAACAAAACTGTAATCAGAAAACTTAATGTAGATGATACAGTTACGACTTACGACAATGATACAGTTACGACTTATGACTGTCAGTATTACAAAAAATATTTGCAAGTTTGTGGAATTATGTCTGCCACTCCATATTTAACAAAATTTATACTGTAGTTACCTAATCACGTCATGGCTTTGTGTGCAGGACTATTGATCACATGGAGCTTGATCCATTTCACGGCGTTTAAATATTCAGATTGCGAGCCTTAGCCCCAGAAAGGCATCAATCGTTAATATTTGCCTACTGATTTTCCAGCAGCAGCGGGAGTTATTTATACCCGCTGGTTAAGTGCGCTCAAACAGGCAGTTGGTGATATTTTTTTCTGTTGACATTCACTACGCAGTAGCCACTCGAAAGACAATAATAAAAGGGGCAATTTGTTTGAGTTTTCACAGCTAGCACCAGACGCCAGCTGATTAATAAAGCCGGGGATTTTGTCTAAATGTTATTTACACATACGTATACACACACTATAATACAACAGCCCGTCGTTTCTTCTTGCAGTGCCCAAATTCGCCATCGGGAAGGACTTTCACACGTATTACGCCCAGTATAGTGTCGATTCCCCCAGTGAGCCGCACGATATCTACCGTGCCTACATCAAAGAGAATAGTCGGGAATTGCTGGTGGAACCGCGCATCTACGTCTTAGCACCGTCCGCCACCGACAGCCAGACCGATGCGGATGACGTCTGCGAATATAAAATTGTGCCGCCGGTACGCGTTGCCGCAGCGGATGCACTGAGCAACACAACATCACGACCTGGGAATAGTGAGGAAGATGATGAGATCACAAGCCGCAGCACCGTCTCGTCGCGCAGCAGCACCAGCAGTCAGCCTAGCGATGAGGACTACAATGATGAGGATGATGACGAGGAGGAGGAGGATGAACCGGAGCCGCTGCCCTTCATCATCCGTCCATCTAAGGAGAATAAACACGAAGCCATAATTGAGACCAGTAAAGCCCTCAACTGCGAGCACAAGATGGACTATGTCTTTGATATTGTCGCGGTCAGCTGTGCCGGCGACGTCTCCGAGAGGTATCTAGAAAGAAGCAGAAAGCTAATACGAAAATTACTTGAGATATCGATACGAAATATGAGATCATATACGTGACCTTCAGGTGATCATGCGACACAGGTGCAGCCGCGATTTCAATGCGTCGTATTCAGGTTGGCGACTGATGACCTTTGAGTGTTATTTCCGCGCCTTCTGTGGGCTGGAATGTAAAACGCAGGTCGTCGAGAATAAACAAGCATTTCATTAATTATTTTGTATTGTTAGTGCGTTTGGCAATTGAAGGTGGTTTCATTTGATTAATTTGAGTGTGTATGTGGTGAAAGCCATCGTGTGTTGATTCGAGCGGCGTCTTTCCAGCGATTTTAGCTGTTTAAATTGGGTCAACACCTTAGGAGAGAACGCACAGCTCCTCTGGGATGGCCAGACAGTCAGGCGGCGCTTGACGTTTTCCAAGCAATTTCATGTAATTTTCCCATAAAATTGAGTCGCCGAGGGGTCAGCTGAATTGTGCAGGACTGCAAACGATTATTTTATGGTGTCAATGTTACATCGCGAAAATAGTTCTGCATTCCCTCATGCAAAACAAACTGATTGGGCTGAATTAGGCTGTGTATAACACTAATAATAACAACACCAATACGCACTTTTTGCACTACATTTATACCTGCATATCTACAAAATTGTGAGCATATTTTCTTCAAATAAACGCGTTCTTGGTAGTTTAAGGACTCCAATACTATTTTACAGTTTTTTACATTGAGAGTCATTTTTTTATCCGGGATATTGGAGATTTGAATATATGCAGTTATCGATTTCAAATCGATGCCAGCGGGTATCGGTCACAGTTTACGATGAGATTAATGTGTTTTGAGCAAAGCAACCTTAACAGCTGGTGATTTTCCCACCATGCAGTTGACATATGATCCGCGTATTAACCGACAGGATTCCCGAAAAAACTTGCTATAATTATCCGACTGTATATATTTAAAATTACATCTAAAATATAGTCATCTTACAGTGCTCGGGTGGAAGTCAAAGTGGAAGACGTCAACGAATTCGAGCCGAAATTTTCTCGTAATGCCTACGAAGCCACAATGGAAGAGGGCCGTTTGGTGGACAATATACTGCAGGTGGAAGCGTTCGATGCGGACTGCTCGGAAGAATTTAGCCGCATTGCCAAGTACGAGATCTCCGACCCCATCAATTCCCCCTTCACCATTGACAATACGGGAGTGATTCGCAACCTACGTCCGCTCAACTATACACAGGAGCGCAAATTTTTCCTGTCGATTATCGCCTATGACGCGGCAGGGAAGAAATCGGTCTATCCGGCCACCGTCAACATCAACGTGATCCCCGTCTGTACGCCCCACTGGAAAGGTCAGTGAGGCATGTAGTCGGTAGTGGGGAGCAGTATTTGGTTGGATGAACTTTAAGATGTACGGGAACTTAATCGTTCGGAATACTTTAATTGTTCCCTTTTTGCCTCATCTGCGCAGACTGTTACGAATGCACTACTGTCTTGCTGCATATTTGTAAAACGGGGACCTGTGGCAGAAAAAATCATAACTAATTTCGTAAAAATGTAAACATTTAGTGTTTCCTTCGTGAAATTTGGAATTTTGAGAAATGTTGAATTTCGAGTTTTTTAGATAGTGTATGGTTTTTGTATATGAGCACGTATTATTCATTAGTATGTAAGAATTTATCCATAGTGGCCCAATTCGGAGACTGAGAAATATTGTTTATTTCGTAATGTTGTATAACCACTTTGAGGATGACGTACGGAATCACAGTTCAACGAAATTATGTTCAGAATTTAGAATTAACCCAGTCTGAACATTGAACTTATAAATTTACATAGATATCTTTGCGCCAGCATATAGTATGCATTATTTCTGGAGTGCATACTAGAAAAACCACCATAAAGTTGATAACGAGCTACAGCCTGTGCTTGGTGGTTGCAGTGAATCCCCAGAGAGTGGATTATGCTCCTGATACGGCCATGTTGAAACTGTATCCCAACGCCCAGCTGGATTTGTGTGAAACATCAATCATGCCAGGAAGCTGTAGCAAGATTGAGAAAATTACCGCGCATGTAACACTGAAGAATGATCATATTGGCAAGGGTTGCGACAGGGAGGACCAACTTCCGTTACAGGTTAGCAGCTAACACGCTCGATCCATTATAGACACTTTCAATGTGTGCAGCTATTGCATATACATACACATACCGGGCACTGGCAGTGTTGCTTTTACTCTGCCATTCCCCGGCTGATTCGGATATTAAAAAGCGCATGCGCTTGAACAATCATTTCACACTATCTTTCATAACCAATCACATTTTTCGGGCATTATTATTTAACAGGTCCAACGCAAGCGATGCGCATCCCGCATCCAGCCGCATTCCAATCTAATTGAACTGCTACCCAATCCGATTACGGCACAGGCCGACAGCAATCTGAAGATGGATCGCAACAATAGCCTGCCCGGCAGTAATGTACTGTACTTTGATGGGACGAGCACGGCCATTGTGGTACCCTCCCAGAAACTCAATCCCGATCACTTCAATCGCTCTTTCACCATCACGACATGGTTGAAGCGTGATGCACCGGTCAACAGGACCACCTACGATCATAAATTCGCCAAGGAGCACGTCCTATGTATTAGTGATGATCGGGAAAGGTCACGGCATCATGTGGCCGTGTATATCCGCAACTGCCGGCTGGCATTATTGCTGCGCCGCGAACCGCGGGCCGGTGACCAACCAACCGTCTTCCGGCCGGCGGAATGGCGCTGGAATCTGGATAACTATCTGTGCACCGGTGAATGGCATCATTATGCGGTAAATATATAACGCTGATTACAGGAAACGTCATCGGCTGCGTAAATTTAACGCCCCTTAATGTAAGAAATTTATGGGTGTGTTGGTGTTTGTGTGATGGTAGATTTCGGTGAAATATCCGGATGTGAAGTTGTTTATCGATGGTAAGGAGTTTGATGATGATTCGGCCACGGAGATCATCGACGACTGGGCACTGCATCCCATTAAAGGACTACAAACTACCACCGTCGTCGGCGCCTGCTGGCAAGGTTGGTGATTACAGTACTTACTTAATTTTCAGCTTAACATAGCCGCGTGCCACTCCTGGTTTTATAACGAGACCTTTGCGACAATTCATAAAATAATATGATTATTGATTGCTTGCTTTTCCAACCGTACCAATGTACATCAACAGCGAATTTTTGTTATAGGCGATTATATGCAGTATAATTAAGCGTCAGCTGACGTAATGTTGGCAAAAAATTAAACACTGAAAATTCAGAATGGTAAACTGGAATTGCGTTTTTTGTCTTACTTCGACTTCGGAGAAATCGTTTCCATTGTACTGTGTCGCCGTCTGTAGATTCCCTTATTCAGCTGTATTAACTATTAAGGAGTGTTTTACAGCCTGTGCATGTTTACCGAAGCCCGTGCGTTTTGTATATATGGAGAATTGTTAATGTTTTTTCGTTTACCATCCCTCTCATGTCCCGCTTGATATATGGCGCTCTTAGTGCGGCGAACTGGCCTGTCAGCGCACCCGCGTTGGCATGCCACATTGATCATGCTAATAGCCACCGCCGTTATAATGTACCGGCTTCTCACATTCTGTTTTTCCCCGTACTACCACAGGATCCCAGAGCCGTATGGATCAATATCTGCACGGCTATCTGGATGGGCTGTCACTGCTCGTCAACGAGACCGAGGAGGAGAGTGTGCTGCAGTGCATGAATAAATGCGCCGAACGACTCACACTGCCGCCGTCCACCGTTAGCTCCTCGGAGCGGGCGGTGTTCTCCATGCTGGATGGGGATGAAAATGAGCTGATGGTAGAGGGCTACGATACCAAGGCATTCCAGGACTTAATTAACCAAATCGGCTATGAGAATGATCGCATGTATCCGGCAGCGGGCGTCAGATTTGTGGATCTGCGCACCACGTTTACGTAAGTCAACACTGTTTATGATTAATCCTGATGCTTAATAAGTTAATGCGCTAAGAGCTCAGATGCCCCTCATGTAACGGGAAGCCGTGAGCATTGACCTTACGATATATGGCATGGGTATCGAAATGTCATCAATGGAAACGATGCTGTAGTAATTATTAACCGTGTTTCCTTCCTTAAGAAAAACTAATGAATTATAGTTTTTATGGTAATTCATTAGCACTGCCAGTTGTGTTATTGTCGACATAATCTGATTTGGAGCGGTAGAAGCTACCTGCACATTCGCCTGTTCATACCGCATGCAGGACTAAAGACCGGGATACCGCGTTCCTAGCTCAGCTTTGCTTTTAATTAATATGTGTTTAAGTAAATAATTCATGAGGTCTATTTTAAGATTATTAATTACTTCGAAAACAGTATTTGTCTGAGGAAGATAATTGCGCATGATCATAGATATCCGGCACACCGGGTGTAAAGGATATTAAAAGGTCACGAATCCCTGGTATTTTTCTGAGTGATAGACTGCGTCACGCCTGCATTTTCCATCTTGCAGTCGGGGAAAACAGTAATCCCAAGAAAACATGTTGGTTGATTAATAATGCATTAAGCAGCGGTGGGAGTTTGAGAGAAATTCAATTGATTAAATGCACGCCATTAAATCCGCTGCGTCGAGACCAACCTTCCTAATAATCCCGTGAAAAATGATTGAATCAGCCAGTCAACCTATTGTACCGACCACTTAGCGTTCCTTGGCCTACCTGTTTTCCTCTTGATTAAATCATCATGTACGTGCTTATTTTATTTTTACAGCTGTGCTCCTGCGCCGAATGATGGCAATACCACCATTAGCCTAATGAAAGACCTGCCCGATGTGCGTCTGACCCTCAAGGTCACGGAAGCGGTACCGCCGACCGTGACGCTTAGTGGACCCAGCACGCTCACCATCGACGGCATGGACAATCCGCAGCCGGATGTTTTTCGTATGGGTGTGAAGATTCTGGACTCTCTGACAATTTCCGTTATGCGGGCTTCCTCGCCCGTTCTCATGGCCCAGGAGCAGAAGACCAGTTTAACCCAGACCGATTACGAGGCCATGGTGCGCAAGTTCGAACGCGATGTGGTACTGCTGGACTCGTGCACCATTCGACTGAAGAATGAGCGCGCCGTTGAGGGCGTTACCCTCAATGTGTCCGAGGGGGCGGTACGATCGGCGGGAATGGTGGTACAGTTGAGTCAGCGCTCCACGGGAGAAATGGAATGGGTGATTAAAGGGTCGGGTGTCAACAATGAAGTACCGGAATTCTTGAATGTGTTGCGCGATATCCGGCTGAAATTGGACGAAGGCAAAATATCCAAGTATAACGATCTCCGTGTGAAGGTGGCGGTTTTCTGCACAGAGATGTTCAGCAAATTCCCCTCTGTCGAATATATTCTTGAGGTATGCTTGTCAGGTGCCTGAAATTATTGAGTAGATCAATTCAAAACAAAATTATATCCACTGGAATGATAACCGGAATAAGAAGAAAACAAATCAATCACATCTATTCAGCATTGAAACGGTAAAGGTTAATTAGGTTTCTTGCCTGCAGGTCGATTTAAAGAACTTTGAACATTTGGAGAAACTGCTAATGCATCCAGTACAGATTCCCACAGTCGTCCATCGCAGTCTGCCTAAAGCTCAGCTGCAAGCTCATAATGAGCATGTACAGTTAAAAGAACCAGTTATGCTGAAGAAGCATGAATTCGAAGCATTGTACGGTCCCCATTCCGTCTTTTCCGTCCCTCAATTCCATACCGGCTCCGATGTCGGTCACATGAGTTCCACTGGTGCGTATAGAAATGATTATAGAATAAAACTATGTTGGAAATTTCTTGTAAAGAGTACTACGCTGCCCTTTTTTAATCTTCTTAATACTATTCTTGCATGTTCATTAGGTGCTGCCATAACCGTGGTTGTGGTGATCTGTGTGTCATTCTTCATTTTCATCGTGTTTATTGGAGTGCTGAAACTGCGCAGCATTCACCTAAGATCTCGCAACACATCGGAACCGGACCTGCAAGCCATGCATAATCGCAAGAAAAAGTCAAAAGTTTCATTAAAAAACTTACGGAAGCTCCGTAAGTCACTGAGCAGTAAATCGCGTCAGTGTGAGAATCATGACTTTGATGACGAAGACGACATGGAGGATGACTTAGAAAGGGGCACCGCATCCAAGCAAAAGCCGGATATGAAGTGGGATGATGAAGGAATGTCCATTACAGTCAATCCACTTGAAGTAAGGTTGTTGGCACTGATTGCACATGCGAGACTTTGTTGTGCATCGCAGGCTAATAAGTTGCAATGCTTTGCACGTGTTAATCACATTGTTGCTTTTCTTCACAGTTATTTGATTCTACATTTCTACTGTATGTTTTTATACTATGCGAAAATCATTTTTGACTATTGGAATATTGTATCTGTACAATACTGTATAAATTTTAAATCGACAGCACCGTTGTAAGTCCTTTTGCATTCAGTACTCAGTTTGAAGTTTTTTAAATAATAATTAACTTGCTGAATTAAAGTGGAGGAAAAAAGTTTTTTATGTAAAGGAATTGATGATTAATTGTTGCTTTATGCCTGGCCCAAACAATTTTTTAATACATAGTATCCATATAAAAACTTTAGCCATATGCATGTATAGTTTATGATGATGGATGATGGTCTTTGCGCAGGTGATGCAAGCCGGCTCGGAAGGCGAATATGAAGATGACGTGGACAACGAGGAGGACTATCATGTTCATGACGATGATCTAACCGACGAAGAGAAGGAACACGAGGATTGTCATCACGGTCATGTGCTGGAGGATGAGGACTCGGCCAACGAATGCGAAGAATGCTCTAAACCCAACCGATGCGACATGATCGTCCCCCAGTCACCCACCATTCGACGCAGTCAGAGCTGCACGGAAGCGTTCGCCAAGAGCAAGGATTCTCGAATAAAGACCGATCTGGAATGGGATGATAATATCTGAAATGATTGAAACGTAATTTCGGACACAGAAACTGTACGTCATGACCTTTGTATAATGGAACGTCCAACGCGAGTTTGCCGTTACGTGGAGGTTTTACCGGCGGCAACATGCTTCTTTTTGCACTCATTAGTCATTATAGTCTATCCTGATACAAAATGTAAATTTAAAGATTTGTTCTGGTGATGGTGGCTCTTTTAAATTAGTTCATGGTCTGTTACTCAAGGGATCAGTGCGTGTTTCTTGTAATGCGTATTAATCGTTATGGCTGGAGTTTTAATGTACATCATTTGAGTTTTTTTGTTCCTGAGTCCTAATGGCATGGCTGCAGTTGAATGCGCAGTATTATTTCCATGTGTTGTTGGTCCGTTCAGAAGATCGCAGTTTTATGGAAGTTTTCTCATAAACAGTGGCTAAATATGTAGTGTCGAATATAGCGGCGGTTTTATTTTCTCATTACAGGTTGAAAACGTTTATACTGACCATGAGTATAAAACGAAGTGGAAAAATGCACATTTTATCTTAAGCAATAACTACCAGCTCAACAATGAAAAGCATTTGTGGTCACACTACCTAAAATACATACTTTGAATTTAGATGTTGAAAAACAATCAAGATCGTTGGAGCCATTCCACTGATTTGGTCTCACGTTCAACGTATCTCAGCAGTTGCCGAATTACACCTAACCACCTCAATTAACGCTGCTTCAAAACCGCGTGAGAGCAAGTCTCTCTCCAGTCATGTCTCATATCTTCCTGCTCACAAGACTAAGCATTTCCACGACAGCGTTATAAAGGTAGTATAAAAAAGTGTGTACGTCCATGGAATAAAACAGGTGAGCCATTTCTTCGGGAACTGCATTCTTCCGGCGTTCCCTGCCTCATCTGATTGTGTCATACTTCGATTCTGTCTTTACAACGGACCATTCTGACTGCACTCGTACATTGTGAACAAAGGATCACCCACGTATCCAGATTCCAGATTTCCTGCTAGTACAAAAATGTCAAAACTAACTGACCGGAGCGAAGAGAAGGTCTTCTTAATTCAGCTCCAACGCTTTGCTTCACTGTGTCCGTTACGGAAGTTTCATCTATGACGCCGTCACGCGCCTCCACATCGGTGGAATCCCGCGTACGGGCTGTACAAATATTCTGCAATGCCTTCATTTTTTCTAAATCCTCTTTACGACGCATTATATTTTTTTGCAATTTTTTATTATGTAATTTAGAAAATTTTCTGACATTTATGTCCATTATTGAGGTGCATTTTCTTTTGTCCGTTATAGAGGTGCACTTATAGCATTTAACGCCCAAGCGTTAAATGAGATTAACGCAGAGCGAGCGAGTGTGTCTAGGCAACACCTGAAGCTCCCTTCAGCGTGCTCCATGGACATGTTGTCATTCACAAACTTATTATTTCGCGACCAGAAAAAATGCAGCCCTCCCTCCCGCCGCTCTTTCACGCACAGCAGATGCGTTATCATCATATTCATACGCACAGCAGATGCGTCCTACCGTATACCCGCATAGCGGATGCTTGTTTTTTCGTTACTCTTCCTTGATTCTGTCTTCATTTGCCATTGATTCTGTGAATTTGTTCATTTATGGTGATTAAAGGGGTGTCCGGCGCGGCTCGTATCATACACCTGGTGACCGGCGACCGCCCTTCAGTGCGTCGTCTGGACATCACCCAGGCTGACCATGATCACTTGCCCCGGCATCCACAAGCGGCAACAAACGATCGCGAGCGAGCTCGACAAGCGTTAATGGGCTTTTAATTTGGGCATCCAATGCAGTACTGTCACAGACTGCTTCGGTATCCATCGGAGAAATTGTTAAGGCGCATTTTGCGGGCTTAATTTCATAAAACCTTATGGTATGCAGAAAGGTTTAATTGAACAACCGAACACGTCCCTGCAATGGAGCACGCGTTCGCGAATAACTGCTATTAACGCAGACTACGTCAACAACAACGACGGCGCGTACTGAATTATCTTTATTTGATCCTTGGCCAATGGGTGAAGACATAGCTTCTGAACATGAGTCACCGGCGCAACCGGCCCTTCGTCCTTGCCAAAACAACCCCCGTCTCCTCGCAAAAGAGGGTGGGTTGGAGGGAAAAACGACCTGTTACATGTAAAGCAACATTACTTCAGCACAATAGCAAGTGAAATGTACTAAACACAAAGGTACAACCGCTTTGCCACATCGACAATCAGAGATGCATTGCTTGTTCAAATATCGGATGCACATCCCAACGACACACCCTAATGGCTTTTCTCGGCTGGACACTGGTCAAATAGTTCGTCCGGCCTTGCAAATACCTCCGCTGTGTTAACTGGGATCAGTTTTGCTGATTCTGTATAGTTTTGATTTACGAGGAATTGTGTAACCTACAAATTGATCAGACGCAAATAAATCGGGCTGGTGGAGGTATTCTAATTCTGTTTATTTTTCGTGCCCCTACAGCTCGTAAAGCAAAAAACAAAACTGAATATACCGGTAACCATTTTTGTGATTTTTCGAACATCTGCAAAACCATTTTTCCGAATTCTCTTTGTTGGTCATAGTCGACGCGCATTCAGCGTTCCCAATACTACTGCTGCTGCATTTCCTGATCTCACTACCGCTAAACTTATAATTAAGCGCTGTCGCAAGAAAGCTCTCGATCGCGGCTCTCCGGCCGCTTCGCGGGTTTTTCGCCGATAAAACGAGCATTTCGGAAAGGCCTTACCGAATATTCTCAGCGCCTCGGCTGCCACCGGATAGAAATATCCCTTTCCTCAACGAAAGCATGCATCCGCCGCTTATGCTTACTGTTTTCAGCCAGTTGTGTCACACTCCGAGCTTTCACCGAGCTAGTTGCTCTACTGGTTTTAGTTATGAGTGTTTGAATTTAAGTTTAAATGACATTTGCTTGTACAAGTTTGAAATAAATAATGATTTTTTCTGAAGGTGTGACTATTGTCACCGCTTGTCACCACCTTAGGCTATATTGGCAGCAGTCAAAGAGGCGGCGACAATAACCTAATGGTAAGTCATAAGTGGGTGATAAATTCGATTTTTAAAAAGGGGGTGACAATAGCCGAAGGAGTGAAAGGGGTTTAAGGGGGGACAACAGCCATTTCCTTTTTCGGGACCTTTATCAACCAATGCGGGTTTTAGTTTTGCAGTTCGCAACGTCGCCTTTTTATTGCACGTAATTTAAAAAAATTTGCCCAGCTTCTATTCTTTTCTAAAGAAATCTGTTTAGTGAATATACAAAGTACTGCCTATTGTTATCGTACGCGTACTACTTTTAAGTGCATATTTCGATAAACGAGCCAGTCGATACTTGGTTTAAGAAACTAACGGTATACAGTAACTATAACCTGGAAAGACGAAGCGAAATAGAGGAACTCGTTGCAAATTGGTAAGTTAATTAAAACAATGTACAGAGTACAGTATCTGTATTCGTTTCAATGATGGCGATAAACTAGCGCCACCAATTCGGCGACGAAAGTGAACGCGAAACAAAAGTCGCGCCACGAATAAAGTCATTTCTTTTTAGTCTGATTGCTTCCGAGACATTATTCATTATGATGGTACTGTAGGTTGCACCCAAAGTTCGGCTATCTTTGGTGTCGTGACAGACGCCAGAAAACCAATGGATCCTCGTAGAGTCGTAGCGTATTGTAGGTAGATAGATACAATATAAAATCAATCATTGGTCTGGAAATTGTGAAAAGTAGAGTTATCGCCAAAGTTAGGGACTGCAGGCTATTTTTCCGTTTAGAATTGGACGTTCCTGTTGCCCGATTAGTATACGGTGCATACATTGGTTGACTTTAGTTCTGAATTTAGTCCCGTGACCTTTAGTTCTGCTGGTTGCTCTAGATTATTTAATGTGCGTTTGGAAAGCTGCTCTTCGTCAGTCGTACGGCAGTCACAATAACCGCTTAACCGGAAACAGTTTTAATGTGGAGACAATTGTCTTTGTGTTTGTAACTGTGCACAATAAAAAGACGATGCATCTGGTCTCATTTTTATGTTTTCTTGCATCTGTTTTCACGAACCTCGGTAAGGAGAAAATACGAGTATATATGTTCGAACACAAACCGATATATGTAGCACGCAGATCATATGTATTTTTCTCATCGTTGGTCAGATTTACGTCTTTTACAGCTATAAATAGTGATTGCATTCTGATACTTGTAGCGTACTACAAAATTTTGATATTCAATTGAAATACTTAATTAAAGCTACGCCAGTAGAATGCACTATTTTAGAGCGGCACTGGCTTAGCACATAATTTGAGTGCACTATAATGTTGTTTCGCTGTTGTTTACATTAAAAAACGTACACGTATGAAAATATTGACGACCGCGCTTTATGTACCAGGGAATTTCGGATGTTTGCAAGCCGCCGAAGCGAAGATTGACACAACATTCCCCACAGCTAACACCAACCCGTTTCAAAGTACTCCATACCAGATCAGTCCGGAACGAATGCGCGAACTACGGGAACAGATGGAGGAGACCGTACAGAAAACCCAAGCACAAGAAGAAGAAGCAGCTTTCGAAGAAGAAATTCACGCCGCAGACGCGGTCAAGGGGTATCTCACTGCAGCTTTTCGCCCTCTTCACTTTTCACCCGAGCGCTTGGAGCAAATCCGCGAAGAATTCCGGCAAGAAATGGCGCCGATCGATGAATCAGCCGATATACAACGCTTGAAAGTGCAGCTTTGGTGGGAGCATTACTGCGAACGCTTTCTGGCCAATCATGACACGGCTGTGGGCATCAGTCGAGAGCAAATGCAAGAGCTCCGGAAACAGTTCCAACAACATCGAGACAAGGTGCACCGGATGCAGGATACAGTGGCGCAGCAGCATGAAGGAAAAGAGGAAATTCCACAAGATCCCGTGGTTCGTCGGCTCATTAACAATTTTACACTCGTTAAGCCCAGCTTTCCGCCACAATGGCCACTTTCTCGGACCTATCCCACGGCATATCTGAAGATCTGAAGCGACCTGGCTACAGCAACATTCAGCGATCCCAGCAGCAGCTACCCTAGACTGTTTACATGAATACTGCCGCTTTTTTCTTTGTTCTTTAGTGACGGCTACCAAATTTTGCTTGCAGCTGAATGAAATAATATTACGTAGTAACGTAGATACTACTCTAGATAGATATCCAGAATTTTCTTGTCTGCATTTCGCTTTACTCTTAATTGCTTGGGTCGGTTTATCGGATTCTTTTTTTTGTCGGCGTGCGTGCTAATTACATACATGCGTATTGATTTGTTGTGATTGTTCGTCACTGAAGTTTTAATTTTTACACCGTGGTAGGTACGCAGTGACACAATAATTATGTACTAAATTACTAACACTAGACTTCTGTGTCACCATTGGTCGATTGCTAATTTTCCGCCCCCGTCCGTAACCACTCCATAAGGGCTCAGTGCCCAAACGACTTTTGCGCTAAAGTTGACTTTTATAAATGCCTGCTTGCTAATAGAATAGAATAATCACCGCAAAAAGCTCAAATCTCCATTATCTGCAGTTCAAAACTCTATGTTGGCGCTGAAAAGACTTCCCTATTGCATGCGTGGTAAAGTAAAAACTATTTTTGAATTAGCCCTTTCCGGCTACATCGTTCACTGCCGGCTCGCAGTAACAAATCTGAAATTTTTTACTTTATTTTTCATTAATAGTGTGTAATGCGTTAAAAGTGAAAGTAATATGACCTTCGGGCCTCACGATCCAGGATTACGTAATTTGGCCACCACATGCACTGTACATATAATCATATAACCGTTTCTGAACTCCTGCAATACAGCATTTCAAATTAATCTACAGATAATAACTTACGAAACTGCAATATCAGGACAATCTCAAATTACAGTTCTTCATGACCGAGTTCAAGTTTGGTTAGTACATAAATACGCGAGCACTACGAGTATAAAATCATTTTGTCCGATTGATCTTTTAGTTCCAGTTGGAAACGAACTAATGATCCAGCTCGTTACATCACAGCTCCATGGAAAAACACAAACTATTCAATCCATGTTATGGTATAAGCATAAGCCGCTTGCACAGTCATTCCCCCCTTGATTGCAACCAGCATCCACAGACCATGAATAGACTGCGCAAAGGAATTTTTGTGTGACATGTGGCCGTGTGCTGGTGGTATTATTTTTCATCGGGTGGGCATTCTTGTGTGGTACGCGTGGGGACGCCGCTTTTGTATTAATATCTTGTGTCGTACTGTATCATTAGAGAGATGTTAAACGGACGACTTCATTCACGGCGACCGGGAGCGCGCCTGTTCCCTCCCTGTGTGCTGTCTTTTCCGGTTGGGTTATATATGCAGCAGAGCAGTATGCTTTGTAGTGCTGGCGGGCACAATAATGCCTCCCTTCCACCCGCTGACAACACCATATCCATTGTACTCCGTATTCCCCAGCCCGGTATGAGCAGCTGATCGCGAAAAAGGGATAATGCTGCAAGCACTAGTTCGTGGTGTTATTACCAGAGGGATACGTATCCCCCATACACACTACGCTCACACATCTCTGCTGGTTGACTGACGCAGTTTCAGTATTTTAGTGATTACACAACGTTACCATTATGCGATGATCCTGGGTTAAGCTATGAGTATGTATCATTCACTTGCAAGTGTGATTGCTGGGGTCTCCTGAATTTTTGAATACTCACGACTATTACAGAATCACGAAAATGCCGAAAATAACTTAAAATTTAACTTTTAATATATATCACATTAAAAATTATGGTATATGTCCGTCATTTGGCTGCTGTTTATGTAATAAAGTTAGCGCGATTAACAAAACATTATTATATATCTCTACTGGTAGATATAGATACTAGCGCACCTAAAACTGGATAGTTAATAAAATATAATGGAAAACAATCTGCGGGAAAAATTCATGTCGATATACTTCCTGCCACAATGTAGCTAGCCAACGTGACAATGCATGTAGCGTGTGAATATTGTACAGCCTAACGCAGTACGATGTGTTAAATAATATCAAACGTCCAATATACTTATGAGGATGTGCAAATCAAAAATCGTTGAAACTGGTAAAATTGTACGTGCTAACATCAGGTAGATGATGCATACGTTGCATACTTGGCGCCTTTATGTTCAGTTTTCCATATTAATTTGATTTCGTGCGAAATAATGCATAACTTGTTACTGTGATTTGGCGGCAACCCCGGCAACGTAATACGGAGAAGGTGTACAATAAGAGAAACAAAAATGTTGTGTTCCTATGGCTTTGCAACACCATTACCAGAATCAGTTTTTCTCCTACGAGTAGATAAAATTCCAACCATGTTAGTGCTTACAGTATTTTGCGTTATTGTTTGTCAATATTCAATCATATCATTCTTACTAGTCTATCTTCTGACGCTACAATAACGAAGACAGCAATACAACCGCTGATTTACAAAATTTATAATTATGCCGTTTGAGATGCCCAGTATATATGAATCCCTCCAAATCAGTTGTGTGTAGTATTACCTTTCGTGATTCTGTCACTACTGCCATATCGTGTAACATATTCGCAGACATAAACGCAAAGAGTTAATTGCCACTCAGGCCCAATGCAAAGGATTTAGAGAAATTGGCAACAATTATCGTGCAAATTCACGATCATCTGTATTGAAACCTAAATTTCAGAGTTTGCAGAAAATCTGGCTTAAGAACGTACGAGACTATGAGTTTTAGGTAAAACATATGTGTAAATTTTTTACAAATACAGATATAAAGTTTGTCAGTTTTAATCTGTAACTTGACTGATTAAATTTCACCGGAACACAAAACTGCGGTTATTAGAACTCTACAAAAATTAATGTACCCCAAAAATTCTTGGTACTTAAGAATGGTAATGTGCTTAGTACTGTCGATGGAGCGAATGAAGGCAATAAATTAAATGCAATGAATCGTTTACAATTAACATAATTCGCTATAATATCTATGCATATAATTATCTGACATGAAAATTAAAAAATTATATGACTAATGTAGCAGCTGTGCTAATCCAGGGGTTACGTTGACATGCAATTATTAATAATACAGCGACACAAAGTCGCCTGATCGCATGCCGGTACCGTGCCCATACGCAACGTATAATGATTGCAGTGAATCAACAATACAAGTTTGCCTGTGTCGGTGCTTTTTCCACCTCCATTCGTATACTATAGTTCCCTCATACACGAGCTACATGTGAAAATTATTGGGATACGATAATACAGATAGGTCCCGTTTGTAACGTACTTTTTGTACGATCCGGCATGTGGTACATACACATATATGCATTTCCATATATCCATAATATTCCAATGTGCATGCCGTACGTTACTGAATGCCTGCGTAATACGTGTTTACCCACATTGTATTTTATCCCAAATCTATCCAGTTGCAGCTTGATCCCATACAACTCGGAATATGGTAATACCTTGCAGTACTGCATTGGCATCCAAAGAAAGATGCCCGCGATTAGTTCGGTGGCATTCTGGGGCATTATTACTACACTTCAGTAGTTAATAGCTTCCGGAATGCTGGGTACATACGACATAAACTTTCATCCAATCGACTTGAGCCAAACTTCTTAACCCATCTATCTATACGTCGTTGAGACGAACCCATTTTTTGGATGTTATATTACGTTGGTCGTACCCGCAAAATAACATCGTTATGCTTTGCATCTTCGACAACTGCTGCTGCCATTCTATGCTGCATTTTGTAAGCGTGCATATATCTATATACGTGCTGGCCAATGCGAATCCCAACATTATGTACTGGAGTGCATCGTCCCTTTTTGCTTGAGTAGTTCTTCCTATCTTTTTTCCCGAACTCAAGCACATGCGTACACATAGAAAGCGAATAGGCACTACAGCGAGTGAGAGCAGTGCCGTGTGTGTATTTGTCGCCTCTTGTGCAGCGGAAGAACCTTGGCGCAGGCAATTTTAATGTTTCTCTACCATGCAGCGCCACAACTGATCCAGTTCGGCATTCTCACCAGTGAGCAGGAAAAAAATTATGGAAATCTTCCCTCAGCATTATCGTCGTCGGCAGATATCTGCCTTAGCCATCGATACTGCCCACGTTGATTTAGCGGATCATCAAGCAGGCGTAATATGATCTATGTGTGCAAACAGGTACGCGCCGCCGCCATATACATAGCCTTTTGCAATACAATATAATCGCATGCGTAGTATAACGCCATCGTCGCCAGGCGCAGGATATGTAAATGCCAGGAGTTGTGACATTTATCCTCCGCACACTTTTATTAAACTTTCATCACGTATATCGCGGAAGGCGTCAATATCCTTAACTCAATTATTATCTGCATTGATTTAAGGTTTCCTCCACTTGATTGCGCAAATAGCTGCTATTAGACTGCATCTGTCTGTGCGCAGTTGCCAGTTTGCTCTTTTTTTGCACTGATGGGAAAATTGCTTCTTCCCCTGTAATTTAATTCATCCCTTGCACTGATTGTAATGCCACTATAAATACGTGAATCATAATTGAACCACCTACAATAAATTGTTAAGTTTTATGCTGATACAATACCCGGATCATGCATTGTCCAGAAAAACTTTAATTCGCCTTCTTTGCAACTTCTTTTTGTTGCAAAAATATTTTTTGAAATTTTATGGTTACATGGATCAGTCACACATTATTTTGAAATTTGGGATACCTGGAATTTTAAAATTTTAACACTTACCTGTTGGTACGAGAATGTAAAAACGTTTTAGTGAAAGTATTTTTTGCGCTATAATTACAGTGATCATTTAATCAATGTTGCTATCAATAAAAGTCAGCAGTAGACTGTTCATTAAATGACAGCTTTTCGGAGGGAAAACTATTTCTTATGCCGTGGGTAAGCAAAGGTAAATTGGCAATGACTATTAATTACCGTTTTGTCTATTAATTATTTCCGTGCTTGACCTTTCTGCAATTTCAATGTTACTGCCAACCAGCGCCAAGTTAAAAGGTTGTAATGTCATTCGCCAAGATAAATATGATTGTTGGGATGAGCAGCTCTCGAGGAGCAATACAAACGTAATGGAAAGATAAATGCGGCATGCAAAGGATAAAGTAACACATGGCTGGTTCTCACTATTGCAGATCCCACAAACTGAAAGGGGTTTAAGGACCGTCGGTATGTATTTATAGGATAAGACATCATTACGCAATGCTTATGTATCCAGATTGTCAATCAAATCGGTTCCCAGCGATCACATCCAATCTCGTGCAGACCGCTTGAACAAAAACAAAAAATATTCTGAAGAATAAATTTAAAAATACGTATTTTGCAAAAGGTGTCAAAATTCTCTTCACTATGGCGATAGTATAGTTTGGCGAGAAGTTCGTTGAAGTTGTCACAAGTGGGACTACGTTTTTGGAGAGCAATTGTTTGAAAAGTAATTCAACACGTTTAGTTTAAACTGATTTTTTAACCTGCCAAAAATATTTTTTGCCGTTTTTATGCGTTTTTTTTGCCATAAAAGTATACGCTTGTAATTGATGCGGTGTACGGACATTTACAGGGAATGATTAGTCACTCAATCCAGTTTAATGCTATGATTCGAACTGTCTTTAAGCAAAACGTTGGTGTTAAATCTGGTATCTACAAAACAACTGAATTGATTCGATGATTAGCTTAATATCAAAGCCAATAAAAAAGTCATGATATATTTAGAAATTTTCCGGTGATGACAAAGTTTCCGCTTTCGAGGAAAGGCAAGATCAACTTACTTAATCATCTAGAAATTCTGTTGCCCTATATGAGATCTTGATAGCCTGCCTTTTTTATTGAATGCAGTCACCTTATTTCCGGTGTGTTGTATGCCGTTGACACAGCCAGTTAACAATTTCACTGGTGGTCATAATTGCACAGCGTGCGAAATTTTCCATACCTAATGGACGTTTTTCCGGCAAAAACGCGCTTCCTGGCGTGTAAGCCCAATTAGATACGTACTGTAATTTGATGTTTCGGGATCCGTTTGACGCGCAATTACTGCTAGCGCAGGCTTCTGTTTGAATTCCTCACTACGTATTAAAATTCTAATAAAAGTATTTCAGGATTTTGTGCAGCATATTGCCATAAGCCGAAGTGAACACTTAGAAGCATTTATGTACTGTACTGTAGCCTGTAGATTCGGTATTTTACAGAAGTGTGTACGAGGCGAATACAGCTCACCTCGTAATATTTTTTGCCGAAAAAAACAAACTGATTGAGAATAAATTGCAATCAGCTACCACACAGATGCACCAACTATGTGCTCTAGAAATAATACTTTATAGTCCAATCTGTCAGCTGTATCTTTAAGGTGTCAACTATATCTTTAAGCGGCATAACGAGACACAAAGTAAATATGCATAAAATAATTAATTTTATCATTGTTGTTCATAAATCAGGGCAACAATACATTTTTGATGGAGATATTTTTTGGTTAATATTTTTTCCAGCGTTTTTAGATACCGCCTAACAACGTCCTCATAATAATAAACCATAAAATTGGCTAAAATTTCCGGGTGGTGTCCATACCTACTTCTGCAAAAGCAAGTTCACGATCACATAAAAATGGTTCCAATCGAAAAGTCTGCTTTAGGAATTACGCAGAGGCCTCCTGGTGTCATAAATTGTAATGACATTATATTGTATTGATTTTGGATTTACAAGACTTGTAGGTAATCAGTTATAAACCTGTACTGATACTTCCTCATCCACAATCACTTGTGCCCGTATTACGGACGGATTGCCGACTAAACCCTTTTTACCGGTTAGAATATATAGCGATTTACGCCCATCGGAAATCCTATCAGCGCACTTAATTCATAATATAATTTGTCCATTACTCATGTGGGATGGCACTGGCCGCTGCGTAAAAAAAGTCGCGTTAGGAGTAGACGACAAAAAAACCCGGATAAATTATGTATGTCGCAATCTTATTGATTAGGCGTACTTAAATAATATGTCACATAGAAAAAGCTGGCTAAATATTTAATTATTTATGTTTAGCAGATATCTATTACTTATAAGATGTTGTACGTGCTAGGCGCTACATACTGCATAGTCTGTATTAATATATGCTGTTAAAGTCAACCAGAAGCAGGTAGCTGAAAAAACGCTTACTTAAACCTGATAAATCGTTAGGAGCATTTTGGAGTGCAGGCGCGTTGGCTTTTGTTATTTGTATGACATTTGCATTTTAAAAGAAAATATATGTGGATGAGGGGAAGAGAAAAGGCATAGCGATTTCAATTTGGCAACCTGGAAAAATGTGTCGTTGTTGAGGCTGTCAATGTCACGCAAGCTAACAATTCTGTATACACAGGAGACCTTGTGTGCGTTTCTGCTTGTCAAGTAAATTCATCAACGAAACAGAAGATATTTACCGAACATGTAGTCGTCACGATTTACACCACTGTCTTTCCACAAAAACATTTTGATGGATAATGCTGCTGTTATGCCGATGCCAGGGCGATACCGCGAGCAAACAACCACGGCCACGAGCCGTATGAACATGCTTTTGGGATTCTGCAAAACAAAAGCAGTCCACCTTGCCGTATCGGCACTCCATAAACAGTACAGATATACTATGGGGGAATGTTACGCAACGCATACTACTTGGATATCTATCCGTAGATCTTATACCGTAATTGGAGTTAACGTTATTAGTATCTATATCTTTCTTTGGCAGTGATTTAGTGCAATACTCGTATAAAATAATTACAGCTCAGTAAAATACGAGTATTTTAATGATGATATAATTGATATACTGTACAATACGCCGCTTAGGTATTCTAAAGTTAAGATTATCAAAAACTCTATAATATGAAATAAATAATCTGATCTTACAAATCTTAAGTAAACAAACGTTTGAAGCATATTCAGCAGCAGTTTTAATTGTAAAAATGTGAAGCCGATAACACAACCCATTACCTGTAAGTGTTTCGGAGTTCCTAACATATTAAAGAGATAAACAACAGTATCTGAAGTGTTTTTGAATATTTTTTCTATAAGTTGGACATTTTATGGTGCAGATACATAGCTGCAAAATATACTGCGCCTAACCATTTAGTAAAAGCGACAAAAGGATGCTGTAGTCCATAATTTTTTATGATTATCTGTAGTAATGGATCTTTACTTATTCGCAAACAGCTAAAAGCTGCAATCGTAGCGACAGCTGTCTGGTAGCGCCATGCAGTCGAAAAGCGCATTCACAAGGTTTATTATGGATTAAGCGCATTCAGGGTTGAGATCTTTAATATTATTCGTGTGGGAAATAATAGTGGTTTTAATTTTACTGCTTTTGATCATTTCATTAACTCTGCAACAGCAAGAAAACCATACACTAATTTTTGGTGAGATCAATGTGCAAACAAGCATTGAAGAGCTAGGCCTGCTGGCGAATAAAATACTGGTGCTAAGCTGAAAAAATATAAAATTAATATACTTATGTTAACACTTTTACGTTGCGCGTACGAGTTTTTCCACTTTCTGGCTGTGGTGATCTTTACTTTTTTAATAGTAACGTGTTCCACTGGAAGCATTGGTGTACCTAACTTATTTCCTTTATAAAAAGTGCTTTTACTTAGAGCTAGCGAAAGAATTTAGAATCAAATCTGAAATCACAGGATGCAGTTACAGCTTATTGTACGATTTGAACTCACTATCGAATTCTTAATTACACTACCGGAAATCTTGTTTTTGCTCTGCCCGGCACTATTAGTCGAGTATAACCAAAAAGTTTTGCTTGAACATATCGTCTCAACTAATCGGATGACAAATTGTTTGCGGAAGCAAGAAAACAAAGTGCACGAGCAATTCATCACGCCGTAATGTGTAGCCATTACAAGTAGAGTCCCCGTAACGACCAATAGAATCATTCAGCTTTTTAGCAGATTTTTGCAACTTTGCAGTGCTGTCAAATGGTGCTGCCATGAAAACGTATCCCTTTTGGTTGTATTATGCATACAGACGATGCATGAATACAGGAGCTTTATAAAAGCCTGTAGTAACAAAAAGCACAACCTTATATATGGACTATACTAGTGAAAAGCCGACAAAAAAATTTGCAATTCAATTTTTCTCGTTACGGAATGCCAGAGCCATAAATTGTATTCCCCTTTTAATCAATGAAAAGGGAGACGAATGATCTGGCGCGGCGCGCGCGCGTTAAGTACATTCTATACTGTTTCGCGCACTGTGAGATAGCAGGGTAATGATTTCTTAGTCAATAGATCCTAACATAACCCAACAGGAAATTTACTGGTAAATTTTGCCACTTTTACCAAAGATTTCTTGACATTGTTACGTAAATGACATTGTACTATACTTGGGACTGTGAACGAGTTGCGCGCCACTAAACTTTCTTAGTACTTATATACTTACGCACTCATTGCCGAAATGGGCAGAATGAAGTGATCATGCGGGAAGGAAGTTTCGTCACATCGATCTTTTTATCCCTATCCTGGACGATATATGTGCATATATCTATATGTGGGTGTCTTCACTTGTGCGGGCACTTGTATCTGTGTGGTACAATTTTGGCGGACTGTTCTGTTTACACGCGCACACGCGCGCGCGTCGCTTTCTACTCCGTATAGCGAATTAGCGATATCTACGCACTGTTGTAGTATGTGCGTATATGTGTCGATTTATTCCGTGTAGGATTTAGACAATCTGCTCTAACGGGCCAAAAGAGAAAAACATGCTAATTCCTTCTTCCTCTCCCTATTTACCTTCTCTTTAATAAACTCAAGTATTTCCAGTTCATCGCTGCCCGCTAACCGCGAAGCGATGTGTTCACAAAACCCGACGATTTTGCGGATATATGTGTACCGGCTAAGAGGACATTTATATTGTAACATAATACGGCTTTAAGAGACTTCCTGGCACAGCTGGCCATTCTGTGTGGGTTTTCACGACGATCTATTTTGTATGTAGTATATTCACTAGGTTCTGTGTGTGTGCGTAGTATACGCAAAACTCCTTGCTTTTTAGGTAAGATGAGAATAAAGACGAATTGAAGTTGAACGTTGAGGCGTGCGCGCGCGGACGTCGAGCCAGGGATTGGCTGTGTAGTTTGGATGTTACAGCAACTAATACACTATCTATCGTAATCGACTTGTTAACGAAGTTCCCTAGCCTGCAGGCAAATACAGCCCGGGTATTTTTTCGGGGACAAAAAATACCATCAATCTGCTACCAACTCGGTTATCTGCAGTGCATTGCCAGTGTATCGGCAACGCCGGGATTATGCTTAAAGATTACTTTGACCGATATGCTCCACTGGACTGGTCCCAAACGGTGTCTTAAATACTGCAAGTGACCTTTGCGGAAATATTGTAACGGAAGCGATATTTGTGAATGCGCGTGGTATGGAGGATATGGGGGATTTTCTATGCCGTTTAGTGTGACATCTCCGCTACGGATCACTGCCTGTTTGGAGTTGTTTTTTGCTCAGCTACTCGTGGAATATTATAACCGTGGCTGCTGCTGGCTGCCAGAAGCGGCAGTCGTTGCAGTAGTGATTACGAGGAAAGATGCAGCTGGGTGATAGGGGCACTGTGCTGATCCATGACAAATCCTCGGTCAGACAGTCGTCGCGGCTACCGTTATCCGTTGTGCTGAAAAGGAAGTGCATTTCATTGTGCGGTTACTGGGGAATGCTGATCATGTTACTGTATGGATTCGGCCCAGTCACGGCAACGCCCAGAGGACCACTTCGAGGACGGTAAATATTTTACTAATGCTGATACTGACCGTAAATGTCCGAGCAAAAAAGGAGGATATTTGATTGACCGGAAATGATATATTTAGATGCTTTCATTCAATTGTTTTATTTGTTTTGCAACAAATATCGTACTACAGTTTACAAAGCGGATTACTGTGCATAAACAGGAATTTTTTACATAAAAATTCGAAAATAAGCCGCTACTGAGACATTACATAATATTTTATGTATTTGTCGTACCTGGTGTATGTATTTTGTTTTGCACCAAATTTTGAGTAATTGAAGTCAGCCAATTCTTCACAGCTTTTGCTGTACGAAGCCCATTAGTATCTTATCGTATTGTAAAAAATCTTATTTAGTTTCTTAGCATTTTATGTTTCGGTTAAGATACTCACCCGCTAGCAAAAATTAATTTTGGAACAACGATTTTGCAGGCAAACGTAAGAAAATGCTTATCGTTTTCCGCAAGCACGTAATGGCAAAATCATTGGTAAAGAGCAATCCATCTGGCAAGGTAGTAAAAATTTATCAAATGAAAAAAATTTCCATGCAAAAATTAGGTCGAGAGTAGAGTCAAATCGAGTGCAAAGCTATACTTTTTGTCTTAACGGTATCAGAAGTGGTGGCAAAAATGTACAACCTGGACAAAAAAATTAACACAAATAAGCGCAGGGTTAATATTAGCTGCATTCTTTACAGTTGAGAGCTTAATATAGACACTTCTTTGTTAGAACTAAAACGAGTATTCTCCCTGTTTCAAATAAACGGGATTCGATTGCAAATTGTACATTTACCTGTACTTGTTACGCTTCGTAATGCCTAACGTATATATGTACAGTGGTGCACGGCACTTTATCTACAAACCGCAATCTAATTATTGGAGTTGCGGTGAATGGTCACATCGGCCATTTTATCTATGACGCAAGTGGTTCCGGAACGAATCTGTACAATAGAGGACGTAAAGCGCGCAAATCGGCACCGGAAATGATCCTTAACATTGTCAAGTGAACCTTAATTTGATCGGTTGTTTTTAAAGAGTTCAGCGTCTGGTATTGTCTTGCTTACAGGAATCATCAAACTGGTCAGATATTTACGGAGAAGGAGATTCTGGATATGCTACTGGAGAACTACGATAATAAACTCCGTCCACGGACAACCGTCAACGGCACAGGCAAGTCAACGAGTTGGCCGTGATTAGATTGTCAAAAAAACCTAGTCAGATGTGTACGTATACGTGAACACTGCAACGAATTGTGTGAGTACTGTAGTCTGGATGCTGTTGTACGCTTACATAGTGTTACGTTAAGACGGGCGTAATACTCCCACAATGCTCATGGTAAGCGAAAGTTATCCAGTTAGCGCTTGGCATAATTGAGTTTTATTATCCTCTTGTAAGATTGCAGAATCTAGTTGCCTTTTTCCACTTGAACGCTTCCTTGCTTGCGTACGTTACTATGCGCAGCAGCAGCAATCGATGTGTTAAGGCGCATAGTGTATATGTACGCCCATATATACACAGCCAACGGAATTAAATCCCATCAAGGTTATCTTACCCAGAATCCCCCATCGTATGAGCTACAGAAAACAGTTATCCCGCGCGCACCCAAGGAGATTTTTCTTAATCGATTATTGACCGACAATCTAACAAGATTAGCAAAAAAATATAGAACAATTTGTTAATAGATTTTTCGCCTAAATGGCTGAGGATAAATCATATTAGGGCAGTTATTTTTGCTTGCGACAGTCTTAAGACATGCATCGATACTTAAGAGCATGTACTGCAAAGCAGTACAGCAAAACTTCGTGCGCACTTACATATTTTCTGTCAACCTTGATGGAAAGCATTTTTGCTGGTGAAAAGCATTTTGCAGCCACTACTAATTGAATCTGGCATAACTAGAATGCATGCATACTGGATGTATTTTTGGCAAACAAAAGGTTAGCTCTTAGTTGCACTATACAAAAACTTAGTATAGTGCAACTAAGAGTATTACTTTGATTACAAACAAACTCGCGCATACAGTATTCTAGGATCATATGGGGAATAAATTTATACAGGCATTTATTTATCGTACTACCACAGAAATAACCAACTCTAAATTGCAGCTCAAAATTACGGCAATACACGGGATTACAATTAGTGTTGTTTTTAAAAATCAAAATTATTATGCAGTTTTATCTTTAGCAACGGGAAACAAACCTGACCTGAATTATTTCTTTAAGTGATGCAATCATTTTCACCAAAATAAACGTGTGTGAGATATCTAAAAAGCGGGAAATGAAGCTACAGCTTGAGCCATGCAGAGCAAGCATTTAAAGATGATACTATTATAGATGTATCCAAAGCTAATTCATTCTAAAGTCTAAAGTCTAAACTCCCGTTGCGGCGCCATTAAGAACCTATTTATATAGTTTTATCAAAACACTAAAAAGCATCTGATTGAGAAGTCTGTTTGATGATGCCGCTGTGTAGTCAAAAAATTTTAATGTAATGCGACATCAACCAACAAAGTGATTTCGGCGCAGGAGGTCAGCTTGCAATAAGTCATTTAAAGGTCAGAAATGTTCTGATTACTTTTTTTCGACCGCTGCACTTTCCGCTTGCGGCGTGATAATAATTTTAATGATTTTTTCTCATCGTTGTTATCCAAATCTTCCAGATCAAACATCGTGAGCTAGTTTTCCTGGTTAGCAAAAAAATTTATGAAAACAACATGTACAAAAAATGTCACATTATACGTAAAACTAGGGTCGCTGCCATTTTCAACACGGAGTATTTTGATTACAATTCCGAGTGGCGACGCGTAGGCCTTGCGCCGTCGCTCTGGGCAACACACCAGCAAAACAATATTACTTCCGGAATGGTTAGGACTTTTGTCAGCCTGCTGCCCGCATATGCACAAGGGACAGGGAAAACCGGGCATAATCCTGTAACTCTACCAGGCAGAAAATCCCGGCTATGCCATCGATTATTAGTATTTTACATTTTTTGTCTATTTATCTAGAAATCCTGCTTGGCTGAGGTTATAAATATATATTCGATACATCATTCAAATAATAGCAAGCTCGAGACTTTTCCCTTTTGCCTTCGGGCGATGAGACAACGTTCCCAATACATAGCACGTTTCCGGCAAATATACACCGCGCGCCCGCTCTCTACCGCACACTCTATACAGATTCAATGCTTAATCACGCAATGAGTATCTGGACAAAAATCGATGCCGGCCAGCCCATGGCCAGAGCCGGGAAAAATGTCAGCAAATAATCTTACAATTACTGAAACGGTATCAAAAAAAGATGGTGACGCAAGAGCAGTGTAGAAAGACTCTTAAGGTAAATACAAATCTTATAATGATCTTTACAGTGTGTGTGCGCATATACTGCAGCAGTGTGTCCCGTGTTTATAGTGGGCCAGTAGCGAAAAGTGGCATGTGCTTCTGGTCCTGCATCACTTATAACATTCTCAAGTGGTCCATGAAAAAAAGATGGAAAAATCAATACAATGCCCTCCAACGTTGTATGGGTATATGTGTGTATTGCGGAGGGGAATATTTCTTTGAGGGATTCTATTCATACACACTGCTTCTTCCTTTCTGGACACAGTCATCACATTGTATCAACAAATATTGCCGAGCAAAGTTACTCGCTCCTTTTTACCCATCCAGGCGGTCGGCTTGACGTTGAGCTTGAGCAACGTTATAATTTATTGCCTGATGAGCCAAATACTATGAAATTAATGGTCAGTCCGATGATCGAAGACTGATGATTTACATTGGATGGGAAAATTGATTTATTTCATGCTCAAAGATGACTTTAAACATTATACTGCTAAAGATTCTTACAGTAAAAAAAGCGATTTCCTGACATCTTCGAGTGCTTGGCCGCCTTGGCGGCTTGACGCGTCCGAAATTTGTGAAAAAAAAATAAAATCTTTTGATTTGCTTGGACTCGTATTGCTTACTGCAGAACAATACTATTAGCGTTGCACCTGAAATTTTTGTAACAGTTCACAAAAATTAACAATTATATCAATTGTTATATTTCAGCTGGCCCAGTTTATGTGCGCGTTAATCTACTGGTGCGAAGTATATCCAAAGTCGACGATTTAAATATGGTAAGGACTAAGTATTCATTAGAGGGGTTGCTCTTTTTAGGGACAAAAAATTTTTTGTGTTTGGGAAGTTAAAAATTTTTGCCGGCATAGTTCTTACTTAATCTTAAATATTACATTCGCAAAGCCTGCATATATTTCCGGCTGTCATTTATACCGGAGAATAACAAAGTGGTTAACTAATAAATTTTCGGGTTCTTAAAAGATATCTAATCGTTTAGGAGTACAGCACACAGTTAACGTTTCGGGAGGAATGGAATGATGACCGACTGGCGTATGATGATGGCGGTTCTCATGAATATTTGGTACTGCCTGACCCCGACCGAATTTGGAAGCCTGATTTATTTTTCCAAAACGAAAAATCGGCACATTTGCACAACATCCTTGTCCCTAGTATGAATTTGGCATGCTATTAATTTTTGCCTGCTACGCTTTTGTGTTTTTGGCGGCTACTGTCCGGTAAGAGCATATTTAGATGCTTGTTTTTATTAGTTGCGCTATAATAAATTTTACGACTCATTTATACCATACTCACATCCAAATTTTGCAGCTAATGTTAACTGCAAAAATATTGAATGTAGGATTTCAAAACTAATTGCTCTGATGATGACATTGCCAGTGCTGTTGCGCCTGCTTATTGTGCTGTAGCAGTTTTGCTCATATCCCGAAATCATACTAATTTAGTTCTTTTCTTATGCCATAGACGTCTTCTTTCGCATTTATCCTAACGGGGACATTATGATGAGCATTCGGTCTGCTTAACTCTTTATTCTCCATGAAGCATGAACAGTCAAGCTAATTCTGTGCTTTTCCATTTCTCAGATTATCTATAACACTCGGATGTCCCATGGATCTGCGGTTTTTTCCCATGGACCGGCAAGTCTGCGAAATTCGCATGGCCAGCTGTAAGCCACGGTTAAGCTAACTGTTGCGCAATGTGATTTGCGTGTTGATTACCGGCGCATATATGCTTTGGTTAGGTGCATGGTTATGAATATTTGTTCGCATTGTCACATTTACCTCGTTAAGGTTTTTGAGTAACATATATATAGCTGGATTTTTTCAGACGGCTATACGACACGCGATATTGACTTTGCATGGAAAACATCCTCGGATCCCGAATTCTATCCCGTGCAGGTGGCACCGGATTTATCTATGCCACGATTCAGATTAGCCGGACGCCGCGTCGGATTGTGCTCTTCGAACACGGCAACCGGTACAATTTCGTTTACTATTACGTAATAATTAACCGTATATTTGTGTAGTAGTGTTGTAGTTCGGGTGTTATGTATATTGTCTGTTATATGACCACCAGTTATCACTAAAAATTTTAATTTTATTATTTTCTGGCTAAACCTTTTATCACTGCGTTTGGATTTGACGAGTGAATAAAAAAAACCTTACAAAATGAACCAGACAGTCGAACTAATACTGCGTTTTGGTATTAATAGGAAGTTACAGTTGCCTCAAAGTGGCGCTATTTTTCCAACGGGAGTTCTCCTATTATCTGGTGCAAGTTTATGTGCCCACCGTAAGGTCACTCCATTACAAAAGTTCAACAACAGCTGCTGGCAACGGTAACCTTTATTTTCAGTGTATGTTGATTTTTGTCTCCTGGGTATCATTTTGGCTGGATCCAGAAGCAACACCAGCTCGGGTTTCGCTGGGTGTTACAACTCTTTTAACAATGGCCACAACCCAGTCTGGTATCAACTCCCAGTTACCCCCCGTCTCATATACGAAAGGTGCGTTTTCTTGAGGAGACATATATAAATAAGTATTATTTTGCCTAAACTGGAATTGTGTCGATGTATTACCGTTTCTTTGTAACCATGTTTTTTTAAGTTGAAGAAGTTTTGTTGATTTTTTAAGCAAAATTATGTTAGCAAACGCTACCATCGCGCGACTTGCGAATAACAGACGCGCGCAAATATCCAGGCATCAGCGTCTATACCAAGCAGACACTTTATTATGAAAAAATTATGCAAACTTCATTTCCTATTTTTCCATCAAATACGTGACAAGATGTCTAACCGTAGGTTAGCTAGTTACCATAATTTCGACGCTTAATTCGTATACGAGAGAGACTGGCACGCGCCATCTGAGTAGCCCATTAGCCGAGAAAAAGTTCAAGCTAATAACAATAATTTAGCATTGGGAGAATACAGAATTACAAATATACAAGGCGAGTACTGCATAAATGAACTGGACCTGCTTATGTTAATTATGATTTGTCACTAGTGCTGTAATTTTGTTCTTCCTACGGAATTTTTTATCATAATGTGCCGAGGTCGAGAAAAAATAGCCGGGTAATCTGCACAACGGAAAGAAGCGATAACCTTACGTCAAAACTGTTTGTATAATTACTTTCGTTTTTTCTATACGACAGCAATCGATGTATGGACCGGCGTGTGCATCACATTCATTTTCGGAGCATTGTTAGAGTTTGCATTTGTAAATTACTGGAGCCAAGTGGATAAAGCCCGGCAGCGCAAACAGCAAGAAGCAAACAAAAAGGAGGAAGCAGCTCGTAAGGAACTGGAAGCAGCGGCCACCGCCGGCACGGCTGCACATGCAGGCATGTATTTATTCATGTTCTGCTTTCTATACCCTGCATGCATGTTGAGTCGACTAGTTCCGTTTGTCCCCAAGATTGACTTTTTTACGTAAGTACACCTAATCATGCGACCGTCTTGGCCTTCTATTCAACAGCCGGTAATCTCGGACCAAAAAAGCCCAGCCAGACATCATTAGATCATTATGGACAGCATCGTATGCACTCCATGAATCGGCGCTCACAAAGGTCACCGGTCTATCGGACCGGAAGTAGTGGCACACGGCTGGATACGGAAAACGAGCTGCTGGAAGTCGAACGTAATCCATCCGCTTACGCACTGGTATGCAGCAGATTCCAGTAACGTAACTGCGCCATTACTGTAATTTGAGCGGTTAGCGACTAATGTGAACTAATTGCTGCCGTCACACAGAATTACGCCATATTTCCAGTGCAGTGTCGTAATGGGCGCGCGTTCTACCCAATCGCACCCGGTTCAGCGGAATACCCCAAATTAAAGCTTGTTATTGACTTTTAACTCCAGCAGTATATATTATTCACGTGCTTACTAGGTTATTGAGTTCATTAGGGTTTTCCAAATATACTGTTATAGAAAATCGTTTGTTCAGAAGTGTGCCAAAGTTTCCGAAATCTGTGCGCTTGTGCTAAATTTTAAAATTATAATAATCGGGAAGGATTGCGAATTTGCAAACAGGAAATTTACTATTGATGCACCTGGATATCGATTCATAACACTAGAGTTTTTGCGTTCAGGGCACTTTTCCAGTGTCCCTTGACAATAGGCCTTAGGTCATTTAAAACTAAGTCTGAATATTTACTAGTTGCACCCTATACATAAGCGAGACAAACAATTATTGACACAGTGTACGTAAAAGTGCTTGATAAAAATTCCACACATCGACAATTTCAAGTGTCATAATTTGAGAATGCTCATTTATGTGAAGAGGTCCTGTAACAAACCCGCATTGACAGCGAACGTTAGCGCACCTGAACTCTTGAAGGTGTTTCGCTTAGGAAACGAAGATTACACACAACCGTGAAATTTTAAATTCATGACGAAAAATGCTCAGCCCTGTACTGACCTGTAGAGATAAAAATTTCATTTTATCAGTATATACGAGTACATAGTTTATTTGGCTATTCGCGCGAAATATACAGATACTGTCTACCCTAAGTACGTTTTACTGCTGTTTAACATTAAACATTTTTTAGATACCTATTACGAATTTCTGTATTTGTTAAAAATAATGTGAACATAAAAATCAAAACATTGATAGCACTTAAAAAATAGAAATGCTGATAGAAACATTTACAATATAGATATATTGATGAAAATCGAGTACACTACTTACGCACATTTTTCATCGCACAGAAAGTTTTATGAATTCGTTTTGTAATTATCCTTTTATATATAGCGGCCACTGCTACCTCAGCGATCGAAAAGCCGATTAAACACATCGGGCGATAATCATCCGTCTTCCTTCTTAATCCAAACCTGCGCCGAATGCAACGATATGGGCATCAGCGTAGACGATGGCCTGCCGGACTACCAGAACTACGACGCCGATCTGCACAATGACATGGAGGAAACCGCCCTGGACGAGGGTGACGGCGGCGGGATGGTGCGAATGCGCAGCATCGGACGTAATCGATCACAGCGCAGTAACAAGAGCTCACTGCGCTGCACCATGCACGATCCGCACTTCACCCTACTGTCCAATCCTTCCATATCGGCAGCGGATCTGGAGGCCGGAAATGCTCATAATGTAGCGGCCGCCACGGCGGCTGCCGCGGCGGCACACCGGCACGCCATGACCAATCACATCGGCGGCAGTGGGACGATGCTGCCCGGTGCCGGGTCCAGACGCGACTTACATGCATCGAGTGATTTAGATGATCATAAACGAGTTGCTCAACCGAAACAGCGAAGTTGCTTCGGCGGCCGTATACGCGTACCGTCGAAGCGTGCCAAGAAAATTGATTTCTTCTCCCGGTTGGTGTTCCCTCTGGTGTTCCTCATCTTCAATTTACTGTACTGGAATCTCTATTTGTAAGTCATATATACATCTTTATAGCGGGCATCGACCACATTTGTGGTTTTAAATAGTTCTTCTTAATATGCACGACCTTTAAGGAAGAGCATAGGATCAGACGGCTTTGTACACCATATATACTGAGCGTAGTATAGAGTACCTCAATTTTATCAAAATTTTACAAAGTCAGTTTTATGATCTGCAATGCAGACTACCAGTTTTACAGATTACCTCATCGTTATTAATAGCTATGGTTCCATGGTAATTACTGTTCGCCCTCATTTTTTTATCTGCTTTACGCATAAAATGCAATCGGTAAACAAATGTACATTCGACTAACCATAAGTTTAACAAGTTTCCAAATATGTTTTTAATTAGGTACTTAGGGAAACGTTTTAGGAAATATTTTTCAGAAAACCGCAACGATCGAACTTACAATTCAAAAGGAGTACAGCTAGATATTAAACCCGGTTTGAAAGCGTTACAATGGAACAGTCTATTGATTACTTTCTTTGCAGGGGCAACGTGCGAGAATGGCCAGAGAATATATAAGTGATTTGGGTTCGGCGTGATGCATCGTCATGGAACACTTTTCTCAAGAGACCAAAATTGTATTTAAGATTTTAACTCAATACATTATACATACCCCGAATAACATTTTATTGTCAACCTGAGAGTGTGGTGATGAATGGGAATGTCAGTGGTGATTACGCAGATCTGATCCGTTGAGTTGCGGCTTTAATTTACACTATTAATTTTGACCTTTGACTTTAATTTCAATGCATTCCACGCAATACTCAAAAGAGCGGCCTTAATTATTTACTGTTCTGATTTTACTGATATCTGATTTAACTTCTATGCAGTGAGATGTCGTCAAAACCGGTTAATTTAATTAAAAGAAGAGAATACGAGGTAAATTTCGCTGGCTTTCTGATGCGCACGCCGTCGCCGTATGAACTCTGCAGTCTGGCGTAACCTTACGGCTCACGGTCAACCACAAATATTCAAAACAAGTTACGAATAAACAAAAAAAGAAAGCTAGCTATATACAGGGCGACTTCACCCCGTACTCAAATATTTCCAATCACTATCAAAATTTGAATACGAACTACTGATAGGGCTACAAACACTGTTTTCCGGATTATTTCAGATATAAAGATGCTTACGTGTACACCCCGAATTTCGGAAGCCGCCTAAGGATAAAGGAAATAAACACCCTCACCATGTCAGCATCGTTTGCTAAACACACCAAACATAAGTTCGAACCGAAAGCCATAATGTCACCGAACTTAGTAAAATTAAATGTAAGCGCGTTGCAAAAGAAGTTAGCTGTACCTGCACATGTACAAGTGACTTCCGCCACGCGCTTCTGGAAAACATTGGCTGATACGGACGAACTTCCGGCCGTTAATGTTTCGCCACATCCAGCAGGCCTGGGACACTCCGGCGACTTTGAACGCATTATCTGCAATCAAGGCTGGCTGCGTGCGTTTCGGGTTATCCAATTGCAAGAGAAGTCGCCCACCTGAAGGCGGTGTGAACCCCGGAATCAAGCGTGTGGATCCATGCATTGCCCGTGGATTACCTCGGTATAACCTGCTTGAGCACAACGCCTTCGGCCTCTGGTATTACTCTTGTCCCTTGGGAGCGCGGAAAAACACTGGGTACAGATGTAACCTGCGTGGACAACCTCGCTGCCTCATTCATCGACCCCATTTCTGCGAGAGTCCTGCAGCAGCGGAGCACGCGGAAAGAGGAAAACTGCCGAAACGTGACTGGTTGCAACAAAGATATAGATATCGCGATATGTGCGATGGGTACCTCGCATCGCACATATCGCCACACATACGGTATCCCCGAACAGGATAGCATAGAGGAAGTGTTTTTGTTATGAATTTTGTTTTAGTACTTAGTTTTTAGCATGTGTTACTTATTAAAAGTTATCCTGCACAAGTAAGTACGCGTAATGGTTTATGCGTTTCTATACTTTATACGGTACTTTGGTAAACTGCAGTGCAAGCAAAAAAAAAGTTGCACGGCTTATCTGTAAGTACTCGTTCTAAAACTGCGGCAATTTTAGCGTAGCACAAAAGAGTTGTTCCTTGAATTTGGAATGTAACGTATGTGTTTCCACTGACAGCGGGATAATAGTCCCCACGGTAGAGGTACACGGCTGGACAGTGGACACAACGGTACGACCAATTTCTGATGGTGAGAACTGAGAAGCCTAACTGTAAAGCAGCCCACCGCACCGCTCCTGGCGGCGGTTGCATCGATAAACAAAAGCGGATGGCACTCAGTCACTCACGACACTCAGAAACGAAAAATCAAATCATTTTTCACTTTTGAACTTTCAGTCTTTTCAGAACTTCATAGCTAAGAACCGGAATAATCTGGTTGCATGGTGGGCACGGCCGCACGCTGCTCCATGTTTGCTTCCGTAGTTAATTCCACGTCCGAAGACCAGAGTGTTGATGAGAGTGAACTACCTCTGTGCGCCAATGTGCGCGATGTGCTGGTCACACATTACAGTATCCAATGGACTGCGAAGCTTCGCGAGAAGCGTTTGGAAGGCTTTGTGCTTTTACATCTGAGCAAGCCTGCTGACGGGGACAATTCCGAAACAGTAGATACAGTAAACCCATCTGCTCGAAGGTGCCAAGAATTACCACCCGAGACCTCCGTTAAACGCTTTGAAATTATCCTGGATGCCTACGAATTGGACATCAAATCCGCGCATATTCTGCATTCTCCAGTGCAACCCTTCCAACAGCTGGATGAAGAGCTCCTCAATCATGAAAACTTGAAGTCTCTACATTGCACAACGAACCGCTGGAGTGTCCATATTGGCGATAATGTAGCGAATTTTCCCGAAAGGATCGTGGTTTTTTATTCCACAAAATCCCCATCGTGCTCATTACGATGGACGGTGGACGATGCAGCGCGCATTCTGATCTTCACTTCGGGAGTTTTGGTGAATAATCGCGCATTGTTACCGTGCCAGGACGCTCCTGGAATAAACGTGACATGGGATTGTCAAGTGAAAGTGTTGCTGGCTGGTACACCCGACAAACAAATCTCCTTGTTTATGACAGGCGATCATGAATGTTTTTGCGGAGGAACCGATCAAGAGCTCATATGGAGATTCTCTAATTCAGCGCCCGCACCCATATCGACACTCGGGTTATTAATGGGAAATTTTTACGTGGAAGAGCATTCGTTATTGGGTGGTCGTTTACCGTTTCGACTGATCTATGGAGTTTCGCAAGCAGCGTGCATCCGCTCTGTGGAATTATTGAGATATTTCAGTGAATGTCTGGTAATCGCGGAAGGTATGTTAGGCCTTTATCCTTTTTCGCAATTGAGCGTCTGGATTACATCGACAGCATATGAAAGTCTGGGAATGGCTTGGCCGAATCTTTTATTTATCCATCCAGCGGTGTTGTCACCGGACGGTGGGATGCTAGTGCGAATTGCTCACGAAGTGGTGCATGCATGGTACGGATTGTCCATTGGCCCGCGAGACTGGTCAGAAGAATGGATCTCCGAGGGATTTGCCACTTTCCTTGAGGTAAATGTTGCGCCGTTGGCCTTGTTTTTGGTATTGAAATTTTTTGTACGTATTATGCAGCTTTTTTATATTATTATTTTTTATATTGTTTTGTTTGTTACATTGTTTGTTACTAAAACTATTATTGTTTTGTTTGCTGTATTGTTTGTTATTAAAACTTTGTTGATTCATGAATGATGTTTTTTCGTTAATTATTCGATTTCGCCAACTTAGTGTTGGGTAGCTTAACTTAAATTCGTCGTTGCGCGGAAGGCTTAGAGTGCGAAATGGAACGTTATACTTCCACACGTCCAGTAATTAATCTTTTTTTTTCGTCCGAAACACAGGATATTGTTCACGTTGAAGTCATGCAACGGGTGAAGAGTTGGTCGGCCGAAGAATGCACACGTTGGCTGAAGCGACGCGAATTATGGAAATACCGTTTACTCGCGGAAGAAATCGCCCACACACCTGGACATCTGCAACTGCTGCAGCAACAGTCGGCTTCGTCATCTGTTGGGAACGGTCTGAACTGCGCGAAATTGTCTTGCCAGATTCATTATCTCAAGGGATACTTTCTTCTTCGGCATCTGGAGATTGTTGGAAAAGAGGCTTTTATGCAGTTTTTAAAATTTTGGACTATCCAGCACGCCGGTAAATTCGTCTTGGCTGAAGGATTTATACTAGATTATTACACAAATTTTGCCAGACATCTGAATTATGGATCTCAAGATGCATTTATGATGCACCTTCGTGCGACATGGTTGAGCCAACCCGGCATCCCGACAGAAGTGGAAGGCAGGTGTACTTCTGCAGAAATGAAACTGTTAATTGATGAATACAGATCTGTGGTTAAATTATGGAACTGCGTTTTCGGTGCTAATGCGGCCAAAAGCAAAAGAAAGTTGATAATTAAAGTGCCAGCGTCGCAGGAACCACTCGATACTTGTTTAATTCTGGACTATCTGAAAGAGTTACCCGAACTGATCTGCCCCGAGGACTTGCAGCGTCTTCGGAAATTCTACTCTATTGACGTAGCTAATGCAGATATTCGGCATATTTTCTGTGAATTGATTATTATCAACCAGTGCGAACCGTTATGGAGTTTCTTAAAGGCTTTTCTTGCCAAAGAATTTGCCATGGGAAAATGTTTGTATTCGATGATCATGTTAAGCCCTGTTCAACGTTTCCGAGCAATTATTCCCGAAGTTGTAAATTTGGTTGGGGCAGATAAAGACGAGTTTTGGTGGAAAGAAATGAAGAAAATAATGAATGAATAAGTTCACAGAATAAGTTTTTTAAGCTGTAGAGCTTTTTATACGTTCTCGTTGCCATGAAGTATAACTATGCTGATATCACCATCAGCAATACAGATTCAAAGCAATACATATTGCGTATAAAAAAATGGTACTGTATTGTTGATCACTATCACTTCGTCATGGCATTACCGACAAGTGTTGAAGCATCGTACTTGCTCTATATTAAGAGCGAAACTATGGGTTACCACACCCCACCCATTATTCTGAAGATGCTTGTCTCTGGCGCGAATCCGATCGTTCCCGTCCGCGGTGTCGCTGTGAATCTTGGTTGGAATTTCTTCGACTGGCATCACTTCCGGTCGCTCCTGTTTGCACAGCGTTAACGCAAACTGCATCACCCATTCTTAGGCGACCACAGTCAGTATTCCATTTTCTTATGTCGCTTTGGCTCACACCGCGATTCAAGGCGATACGGTCACAGGTCTCTCCGCTCTCGGCTTCCACATGGAAGACACATCGGAATCCCGGCGCCGCTTGCTGACTGCCGGCAGCAGGGCGTATAACCAACAAGACGCTGAGCGTTAACCACGCGAAACATCCGACCTTTGTGTTCATTTTCTATAGAAAAACAATTTACAATAATTGTAGGTTTTTTGCTTGCACTAAACCTAAATAAAAATATAGCCACTAAACTGCGAGCGAGTTTGTCAACAAAAACATTTGCACTGCACAGTCTGATTATGTTACATGAATACATACTTCATTATCCTTACGTACGCTAGCAAACAGAATCAGTGGGTATTATCAAAAATGCACAATGCACAAAACTGCAATGCACAAAACAGGGTTTCTACGTGTCATATTTTATGTTGAATTCTTAGAAAATATTTGGGTAGGCAAAAGCTAAAACTGCTAACTTTTACTGCCAGTAATTATTTACAGTTCCAGATTACCTGTTCGGCGCAAAGAATGCAGTTTTCAGAAACTCCAAAAGTCTTGCTATTATCCTACGAGAAGCGCGTCGAGATCAAGTAATTATGTAGAACAAATTACTGCTTTCCAGCATAAACTAATGCGTAGCACAGGCGAGCTATACACCAGCTGAGATTTCCGGTTGAGATTATGAAAAGTGTCTGTTTTCGTTAATCCTTTAACGTCCGAACCAAAGATGGATGCACCGTGCTTATCGCATATCGCTATAACGTAAGGCTAAAATCCAGAGGGTTATGTAACCGAATAAATGTTGCACGGCATCAAACTGGAAGTCGAAGTGGGCATAATTTATGATTCCTTGACGCCTCTGCAAAATATGTGCTCTGTACAATACACGTCCTGGTACAGCATTTACCGCACAAACATTGTATAAACTAACAGTATAATACCGTATGTACCGTATACAGAAGTACAAAAGTTGATTGATGGAAAACTGCCTTGATATATTGTCTGGCTGGCCCTGGCATGACTAAATTGTCGTACTTGCATAAATTACCGTTCGAAAGCAAAAAGGTATCTGGCTTTAAGGAAGTTGTTGCCCAAGTTTAAGAAAACATTGTCCGGGCAGAATTTATAAATTCCGTTTTTTTTTAAAACAGCAGAGCACTCATCTCTCCAGGCGGTTCTATCGGTTACGGGATTTAAGTGTAATTTAGAACATCCTTTTACACGTTTATTGACGCTCTGTATAAAGCAAGATTATTACATTATAATTGCACTTGTACCAGCAATATCGTAATATAAGTTTATCACGTGTTCCTGCTACGCTTCGGTCATGCAGTGCCCGTCACAAATAAAGTGCAACTTTTTAGTTATTATAAGGTTTATATTTGTAGTTTAAACCCTTTGTACGATGATGCATCAAATATACTTTAAAAAACAGCCGACAGAATGGTGTATCCTTGCATAGTCCCTAGTTCCCGCTTTTCAAAACTACAAAGGTTATAAAATTGTTCTGTAGTACAGCCAAACGAATTATATTGTACATTCTGTACAGATATATGCTATAAGCTGTACAATTTGATTTTTAGATGCACAGGATTGTGCCAGATTCGCGTAGATTTATTATGTCATAATATTCCTTTCACTTTACAAAAACGTGCGTAATCCTCGAACCGTGATACCGCACTTCAGAGACTGCCAATTAGCACTGTACAAATCTGTACGCAAAAAGAAGCTGACCTTTGTTATATGTTGTGACGCGTTCTAAGTTGTTCTGGGCGGGCCACTTTCTACACAGGAAGTACAGGAAAAACTCTGTTTTGCTTTATTTTCTGGCTCAGATATCCGCGAATTTTGGAATCTTTGTTTGATACAAACTAATGCATTGTGTTACTGTATATTACTTTTGTGCTGTTCTGCTAATTGTGATATATTATCGGGCAACGATGTGGCGAGGACAAGCACTCCGCGATCGCATAATATACTTGTATCGATATCGCTAAAAAAAGATTCAAAAATAATATTATTATACCACATCTACCAAAGCAAAATCAAAAGAGACATATTCGGAAGAATTACACAGCTGATGTATTTCTAGTGATCCGCAACAGACTGCAGCACGAAAACCTTCTATATATAGCACCGCAAGAAAAACGGAAGCGACATACGTCGACGCAAGCGAACCGGTTAGAAAAAAATGCTAATGTACCGCATGAAAGATAAGACTGAAAATGAAAAATGCCGCGCTAAATCTGCCAAGCTATCTAAACTGTCGATCACATAGTGTAGTTAAATCTTTACTACCAGATTAATATCACGCCTTTGCTGGTCGAACCGATGACAATCGGATATTTGGATGGAAACTGTCGTTTAGCATTAATACACACTACTGCATTTTAAAATTCGTACGCCGACGCGTATATATGATTCATCCATCTATTGCACAAAATTATAAGTGCAATGTTGCGGCTACTGAACCGAGGCATCTTTCTGCGACCCGCTGAGAAATCGGGTCGCCTACTAACAGCGGGAATCGCATTCTGGGAAAATTTACCCAGTACGCAATGTAAAATCACTTGCTAAATTTTTGAGCATCGACGATTTCGTTTGCGAAGAACGGTGGTTGCACAATAATTTAGGACTCAATAAGGCGTAATATGAGGTGCGTTTTAACGCAATCACAATTGTTCAGTTTACATTTCACAAGAGCCACATTATGCATTATACAGCAGGCATATAGCGGATACCAAATAATAAGGTTATGGACAATAAATATTGCGTAAAAAGCGCATAATTCCTATTGTTAATAAATATCGATCTTGTTTTCGCGCTGAACCAGAAAACGTATGTTTTGAATTAATTCTATTTTATGTTAAAGCTTCAAATTATTCTGCAGGTCATTACAGACGTTTAGCATGAAATCACCAAATTTATTTGTACAGGATGATGTGTACTTATGCAGTAGAAAAAATTGCGAGGTATTCAAAAGAAAGCAATACAAGAAACATAAGAATGGCCGAACAAGTTTTTCCACCAATCTTCTTACAAGTTTTATTGTTAGCAAAGCAGTTTACAGATCATTTACAAACACACACGTTCCGCATTGGTCATTGATTTTTGAAATTCAATAAACAATTGGTCGCTGTTGAACGGATGCAGACAAGCAGCACGAGTGATAACAGGTGGAAATACAATTAAATAGTAAGGACGTCAGCAGTTTGTGCTCCACTTTGCGCTCCTCGCACACTGCGTTAATTCAGCTATAAATAAACTTACTATACATTTTATTGTTTTGGACCACAGTGCTAAAAGATGTTTCTCAAACAGTTTAAACACAGCACGTCAGAGGACGCACCCGGTAAACTGAGCGGCAATTTCCGGTTCGGTATAGTAGCGCGGCATAAGCGCCGGCATATTACCCGGCACACGCGGGTGTAGATCGTACAACATATGTGTACGCCGGCGCGTGAAGACCACAGTAGAGGCAAAAAATTGATATGAACCAGTTTAATGCGGCGGTGCTGATAGGGGCTTATGTTTAGGCGGCCCCGATTGACAGCGCCACATTTGCTAGACAAAGACCCGTGTCTTCATTTTTCGATGCACAGCCAGTTTTTCCTTATAGCTAGCTGACTTTACGATGTAATTGGTCTCAATGGTGCCGGCATTTCTGGCAGTGTGGAGTGTTATAAGCCACCGTTTTTAAGCCATTATCGTATTGGGATTTAATGGTGTAATTCTGCACATGGTTTTTCTAACAAAATGACTCGTTTAAATAATAAGCAGAAAAGTTACGATGTCGAGGCGGAAGAGCAGGTTGAACTCCATGGATCAAACGAATTAACCACGGGTAACCATCGCAGAAAGAGCACTGGCCGATCAGGAATGGCCGGCTGCTGTCACTGCACTTGCACCAAAAAATGTTGGATTACGGCTCTCAAGAACAATCTTAAAGTTATGCTGCTTATTGTCGCCATTTTTGCTGGAACAGGTAAGAATGCACAGATATGCAGGAATGTTAATATGTGTATAGGAGCGCGCTTCTTATGTCAGTAGCCGCCGTCGGATTCAAATAATTTTTGTAGAAGTAATTACGACACTAATTGATTAATTTCGCAATACGGTACTACTGTATTAGAAATTTAATTAAAATTTAATTAATTAATTGAAAATAATTTGTATCACTTATTCCGGGAACCTTGGGACACTTTGGAACTGGCCGGAATACGACTGTTAACCTGCTTTGGAACTGTACTTTCCTACACTTGCAATGCTTACAGTGAAGCATGCTGCTTTCTTTCCGTTGCACACCGTTTTACACTTTTATCTATTCAAAAGTTCGTACCGGCGAGTTGCTGTAGCTGTGAGAAAGCTGTAAGCTTTTCATTTCATTATATAAACAAGCGAAAGCGTTACCTTCCGGGTCGAAAGTTTTTTTTGCTTTACTTTTGACCATGATCTTTGACCACAACTGGCCGGTAGCTTATATATACCACGGCAACAGAAAGCAAGCGCTAAAGGTGAATTACCAGCTCAAAGTTCATCGCAAAGCAGCAGAACAGTTTGCACTGATGCTGAAAATGGGAAAGTGATTCGACGCAATCGCTGGAATGGCTCTGTTATTTTTTGGTTAAAATTGTAACAGCACAAATAATATATGGATCAGCAAAAACGGATACGTTCATACTGTACACTTTGAATAGCGAAATGCAATCGTAATTTACTGACAAAGTAAGAATGCCCTGGCAAAACAATTTTTTAAAAAAAAGCAGTCTAAACTACGTTTAACTGGGCGCTCGCGATTTAAACCGAGTTCCGAACTTCAAAAAGGCACTTTTTCGCTTTTCAGGAATAACATGTTAACGGTTTATGCAAGTAAACATTCACAACAAGTATGATAATGGTATGACATGCATAGAGAGGTCTTTCCTTTATAAGGTCTGTGAAAAAAGAAAAACTCGCGAGAATGTAATCCAGCAATTTGGACGTGGGTAATGTGCCCCTCGCTGTGCAGAACATGTAATCTCTTTCACACCGGGAAAATGCTTATAACACTTTAACGTGCCTGACCATGCATTTAAATTTTTGAAAATCGTGTCCGACAGAATGTAAACCCACATGTCTGCATTATGTACACTTTCTATGCAAACAGATGCGCCGAAAAGCAGGGTTGTCGCTGTTGCGCTAGAGTACCTCAAAGTAAACTTAAGGTCTTGTCTTTAAAACAAGGACCGGCTTTAAGTATGATTTATTTTGTTTTCCGACCTGGCGCCAAAAGTGCAGCTTTACAAAAGGCTGTTTTAAAACAACAAACGTTTTTACTGCGTTTTACCATCAATTTGTTATGTGTTTTCTGCCAAAATTAGTATCATGTAAAACATATCATTAATTAGCGTGCCGGTTTGTATAAATCCGGTTTTTCCAGTTTTATATTCTGCCAATCAGCTGTGGAGGTATAAGTGAGAAGCGCTCCTTAAATGCCGGTATTGCTTTTAATCGGATGTTTATTGCGTATACGTAATTGTTCAGGCTTCGTTTGATATTACGCATGGTCATAATCATGGGCGAATGTGCTGCTGCAGCAATAAATTTTCACCATTTGATTGCTGCCGTTAGCACTTAGTCGTGGCCAGGGTATCACTCACCGATTACCCTCTCATATTCAAAATTGTGCCAGGTATCGGAAGCTGCCTTTATTGGCTACAATCTCTGGAGTCTGGAGTATAGAAAATATTGATTTCTCTTTTTTTTGCAACAAGTAAAAAATAGAAACCGGTTTTAACTTGTGGAAGAATCAAAAATTGGATACCTTTACGCTTATGCATCACGCGACACTCGTTTGCTGATACGATTTAATTTCTTTGTGATCTATTAAACGGCAATCATACGTATTCCGCTATACCGTTTTATACTCGTAAAACTTAATCTAAAAATATCAGTATAGAAACATAGATCATTTATAAATGTGAGCACTTGATTTTCCTCGAGCGCAGTTCCAGCGATTGAGTTTTTCATTAAAAAAATTTTGGCAACAACCGGGACAATTTTGACCGTGGTACTTGGAGATGACAAATTGGAAAAACGTTGTATAGTTAAGTGGGTGTGAAGCATGCGGTAAGATGTCGTCAACCAGTTAGTAGATCCGAGGTTTGCCAAATGTTAAATATTTTGTCAGTTCACAGGATCATCATATCCATGTCATGCAAATATATACATGCCACAACTGTTTCGAAATAATCCAGCCAACTTTTTTATGCTCCGGCATGCAGTGATTGAAATGTGAACGCTAGGGGAATCGACAAGCAAAACTTTAACTTGAGCTGCGATAAATCTGGCTGTAATTTGCGAAATAAACCTCACATAACTTACATGTATATGCATGCATGTTTGGTCTGTGCAGCGTTTAGCTAGGTTTTTTTAAATAACTGCATGAACAAAATTAATCCAGTTTTTAGAATGTGGAAATAAGGATAAAAGTCATAAAACTATCTTATCTTGGCTTTTTATTGAGATTGCGCCAACCAAAATCTTTTTTTCTGCGAGATAGAAGGCACTAATTATGTATTATTTTATGTGCAAAAGTATCTAAGATTCGATCCTAAATCTGTATTCGTGTTCAGCAAAAAGACAACGTCGTCGTTGGCATTTTTCATTGAACACCTACAATTAGAATACTTCAAAAGTTGTTATCCTATCCTAGGGGTAAAGGAAAAGGTATCCATAAGCGTTGCCAGCCGGTCGCAAACTGCTACCGAAAATTATAATGTGCCCTATTAAAAACATACACGAAGTTCTAAAATTTCGTTAGCACAGAACTGGTGAGGATGAACCTTACCTTTAATGCGGAATTGGTGTTAAACTATGGACTCGGAACAAAAACGACCTGTGTTCGAATAAGCATATAATTATATTGGTATGCAATTTTTGCCACCAGATATAAAACTTAAAGGATTATAAATGTTTGGCACCGATAACCTAATGTTTTGAGAATAAGCAAATAAACAGTATGTTTTTGATAACAATAAAAAATAACCTTTATTTTAAAATTCAAGACGAAATAAAGAAAAATCTTGCATCCCCAGTCCTTGTTATAAGTAAAAATTAATAAGGGTATATATACTCTTGTGCCCAACGCATTTTTCGCCGTTTTTGAGACGCTTCTTGTGACGTTGACTGGTAGCATATCCTTCACCGAGTTAAGAGAATCCCCCAAAGTATACCGTGCCATTCTGACTGATGTTTATTTTTCTTAGCGCTGGGATTCCTTATGCGGGAATTTGAAATCCACAAGGATCCCCGGAAGATAATGTACGTCGCCTTTATTGGTGACATTTTTCTACGAATGCTGAAGATCGTCATATTGCCGCTGATTGTATCGTCATTGATATCCGGTTTGGCCGCTTTGGAATCCCAAACAAGTGGGAAGATTGGATTACGAGCTGTTGTATACTACTTTACTACGACGGTTATGGCCGTTATTCTGGGCATCATCCTGGTGACAATTATACGTCCGGGCAAAGTGGGAGGCCAGGCAATGAAACCAGATGATACCTCCACACCAGAACCCGTGCGTTTACTTTAACAGTACAATTTTGGCAATTCCCAGTTTAACCACGCTTTTTGGCTGCTAAGAAAACCGTTTAGGGCTTTAAACTGTACCGTCAAGATTTTTCGGGTCGTTTAAAGCATAATTCAAAAATTGTAGCCGAAATCAGTAATTTTTTACCAGCTGTTTTTAAAAAAACAAAATATCTTTTAACTGTGCTCATTACTAAAAATTAATAACTACCAGCCATCGATCTCAAACAAATCGTGAACCGATCTCGTAATTTATTGCCATATCGGTTTTCTATTCTTTCGTCAGTGGTAGTATTACGTACGCGGTACGCCTAATCAACAAAAAAAAGACACATTTTTAGCTCTGCAAAGCTGTGTTACAAAGTATATCTGTATATATATAATTAATCATGTACAGTGCGCGTAAACGCGTAATGCGGAAAAAACTTTTTAATCTGAAAAAAAACGGCTTTTGATAGATTACAACGGCTGATACGTTCTTGGACCTAATTCGGTAAGAAAAAAAGCAAGTTTATTCTCCGGAAAGGGAATAACGTTTCGTATATTTATACATTTATTCCAGAAATATGTTTCCGCCAAATCTTGTCAGTGCTACATTTCGTCAGTACAAAACTCAACTTGTCGAACCGCTCCCTCCGAAAATAAACGGCACTATACTAAACACCACCACCCTAGTAAAAGCTGTGGTCGACAATACGACGGGAAATATAACCGAAGGACCGAAAGGTAATAAGAGTTTGGTGTTTGCCAAACACGATTTTTAAAAGCATTTTTAAATTTGTTTTTCGTTCGCGCTTAATTTCGACGATGTCATCATGTTGTCACTTTGCCGCGAATAAAATGAATTGCTATGTATTAATAGCAGCAGTATCCACAGGTTTTAGGTTTTCATGATACTATTAATTTTATTCACTTGCAAATGAGCGAACAAAAGTGCTGAAATTCACTGAAATTCACTGAAAATTCACTGAAATTCACTGAAAATGTGTTTAGATTATAGCCACTGGATTATAAAGGGAACGGAAATCGAAGGAATAAATATCATGGGTTTGGTCGTTTTCAGTATTGTTTTCGGTGAGTTTTTGTCAAACGTACATATAACAACCGCCATAAAATAATTTAAAATCCCGATACTGTCTGTCTTTATTGGGCAAAAGCCATCAATATAACAAAAAGTGAAATACTACACAAAATGATTTAATTCCCGATACTTGTTTCTTTAAAGGCATTACGATTAGTCGGCTTGGAGAGAAAGGGAAGCCTTTGATGTTGTTTTTTGAATCACTAAACGAAGCTACCATGAGCATTGTTGCCGCTATTATGTGGTAAGCCGCATTGTAATTCTCCAGAATGTATCCCTGATTGTAATGCGTCCATCGGGAATCACGCCGATTAAATAACATCGCAGTAAAGTAACCTACCACATTAACGGTTGAAATTGTGTGATACCAGAAAAGTCGTTACGTTACGCACGCATTAATGCCATTAATTTTTCGAGGCATGAAAAATACTGTGTACATTTAAACTTCAATTCCGACAGGCTGGCTCCACTCGGTATTACCTTCCTGGTAGCCGGACAAGTGTTGCTCGTTAAAGATTTCGGAGTTATGTTGTTTCAACTTGGCTATTATTTTCTTACGGTTTTGGTAAGTGTTATGAATCCGCCTTCTTCGTGACCTTTCTACACCACAGCGTGGTGCAATGTCATGCATAATATATACGAGTAGTACTACATACCGGCTGTACATGCTTTTCGAATCGTTTCCGCTCATTTTGTTTAAAAGATGAAAACGTCCTGTATTTGCAGTCTGGACTATTAATTCACGCGTTTGTGGTGCTTCCCATTATATTCTTCCTTTTCACAAGGAAGAATCCGTTCACATTTATAATCGGCTCATTACAAGCTTTTGCCACGGGATTCGCCACCAGTTCATCATCAGCCACTCTGCCCATTACTATACGCTGTGTGGAAGAAAATAACGGCGTAGACCCTAGGTACGAGAAATTTGTCCCAGTTGGCAAATTAAATGGTAGTCACTAGTCATAATAGTTTACGTCTCGTGCTTAGCTACGAACAGATAGTTTGTTTTACCCATAAAGCAAAATAGAAACTATATTTCAGGATTACCCGCTTTGTCCTACCGATTGGTAAGTTACAGTGACCTTTAAGGTTTAAGAATTTCGAAAATTTAACTTATCAGTGATTACTTTTAGGTTCTACTATCAACATGGATGGTAAATATGGGACGCAAAATTGCGTATTTCAAATAAATCTGTAATCGTTAGATTCGTTACATACGTGTCCATACTGCAGCAACAGTTTTTTTTAATTCTGTAATTAGGAACTGCCTTATACGAGGCTGTGGCATGTCTGTTTATTGCCCAAACACAAGATGTCGCCATGGATCCAGGGAAAATTGTGGCTGTCAGGTACTAAACACTCGAGTTTGAGATATCACACCTTTTATTTATGTGAAAAATTAATGTCCTTTAATTTTCAGCATCACAGCAACGGCCGCCGCCATCGGCGCGGCAGGGGTGAGTCAGTTAGCATGTTTTGCATCGAATTAATTCCTAATAGCAATCGGATTAACTGTTCGCGGTATCGGTAATCGAAATGTTTATTGCAGGTGCCGCAAGCTGGATTAGTGACAATGGTAACACTTGGCCTTCATTTTCAGTAACGGACGAACGTCTGTTTGTTAATGTCACAACACTTCCGCAGGTCATGGTGCTGAATGCTGTCGGTCTGGATGCCAAATACGTTTCCATGATTTTGGCTATTGATTGGTTTTTGTAAGTTAATTTAATATAAAAAATAACGAAGATTTGTCAACTTTGAGAACAGTTTTTTCATTAAACGGTTACAATTTACAAATATATGCTGATTACACTGTAAGCGTAGACATTTAGACGACCCAGGCTGGCACTCCGTAGTTCGTCATGACCTTAAGTTGTTACAATCCAGTTGCAAGCATTAAGCAGAAACTTAAAAGTTGTCGCAGAGAAGCGATGTACTGTATATGAGACGTAAATCACACTTAATTTAACCCAATGTCTTTCAAATTCAAATAAATGATGCAAAGCTGCAGCTAGATGACATGTATACACTGTATCGGCAGTTAGAGCTATCTCCAGTTTTCACTTAATTCGATAATTTATAGGCTGCTTGATGTTTTTTTGTCTTTAAATGTGTTTAACTAGTTGTTTCTCGTCATACGGCGTATTCGATCGGAAGATACGAGTATGTCAGTGTAACCGATTACATGACTGAATAACACAGCTAGAGTATTCCTTACAAAAACCAAGTAACAAATTAAAGCAACGGATGTACGTTACCGAACTAGAAAGTATATGTCTATATTATATGTTTTGTTTAGGGACCGCATTCGCACAACGGTGAACATTCTCGGAGATGTCATCGGATGTGGTATCGTACAACATCTGTCAAAAGACTTCTTAGCCAAAATGGACGAAGAGCAGAAACTCAAACGCCGAGCTAGCCGGGCGCAACGACTACAGGAAGTTATGGAGGATGTGGAAGTGGAGAGTGCACTGCTGCCCAAAAATGAAGTTATAAAATCCGACAACACCGTTGTCCATGTCCACACCTGAACACGTATATATACGATGGCTAAGCTGACAATTTACAACCCATCGATAGAAAACGAGCTATCGTCCGTCCAGTATTTAGTGGTCTAGTTCCCAATTAAATCTGTTTTCTTGACAGTGTCATGTTATAATAACACTATCTACTAATCTGTGTGGCACTCAAGAAGCGCGTTGTGGAAATATGATTAGTGCCCACATTGTGGGGTTTTCTTTGAAAACTGTAGAAACGTCACTTTTATTCTTGTGTTTAATTTTTTTGCATGGACACAAAATATCTATTATGTAATGTTGGTTGATATGTGTTTTTTAACTTTTTTTTGTTTTCATGTATTACCATAAAGGTGTTGATTATAACCGGAATACACTGTTATTGAAAAAATTCTGTTGCGCATAAGCTCAGAATTTAATTCTTTGCGACCATATGGGGCGAAAATATAAGACCTTATTCTTGTGTACCGAACATGTAATGTTCTTGTGCACCGGTGAAGCTCAAATACGAAGGCTTGCTGTACGCATTCGTACAACAAATTCTTTTTACTCGTAGTTAAAAATGCAGTGTTTCATCACATACCATTGAACGAAATTTTATATCTTAATCATGTTTGTTTGTTTTTTATAATACAGTAATATCAACAATTATTTACAAAATTATTTACATGTGTTTGCATTTTAAATTACAAGGTCAACCAAGCTACGCAAATCCGTATAAAACTTTGGAAAATTAAAGCAGGCTGCATCCGTTGCATCGCGTAGATTAGCGACGACGGCGAAGATATCCCCCAAATCCACCAAAAACAGGCGTTAGACGGCCAGTGTAGAATTCATGATCCGGTATAACGGGTTGAGCAATGAAGCCCATGCCATCGGGATTTCGGGCAAATGCGTTCATTTCTCCCCACATTGCACCATAATAAGGCACTAAAATAGCATAATAACAAAAATTTTTGAATAAACTTAAGATAAGGCAAGCAGCAACACGTCCAATAAACCCCTAAGATGGGTGAAATAGATGGTACTGTACAGTGACTTAATCTAACTTTTAAAAAATGTATGAATTTAAGTATAAAGCGAGCCATCCCGGTCCCATGGAGTAGCAATTAATATTATGGAACAAAAAATTTGTCTATGCCCCCACGACTTGCATTTACGATCAGGTTTATGGCAACTTACAAATGGACGTAATTCCCAGGTAGTCGTACACGTTGACGTTGCCACCGCCGGGAATAGCCCATGGCTGCCGACCGCCAAAACTGTTGTAAACTTGTTGAACACCAGCGCCATATCGGGCATCCGATCCTCCAACCGGTAGACCACCACCGTACGATCCACCGTTGGAGGACTTCATCGTCATGTCCGACTGAAGGGATTTATCATTTCCACTTATATATTCGGATAAAACATTTTGGCAAAAGAATAAACAAACTGCAAAGAAAGGTGTTAGTTATCGTATAAGCATATACAGAACATATATAGATCCATTACTGTACATGTACTTGGCAAAAAACTTTAAATTAATAGTTATGGTTCTAAAGGTCACCTGTCCATAGGTCACTGTGCACGAAGAAGTTTCGCCTAAATATCGGCTTTTCTAGGACGATCAATCATAAAAAATCCAAATTATCCAAATTATGCATTTGGTCGCGATTTACAGCTGTATTGTATGCTGTACATTGTGTGTCATAACATAGCTGTTTATAATTTACAGCTCAGTAGAAGAAGATAAATGCTTACCAAATCCTAGACGAAGCATGATGGTATTGGTCTCCATATTACCGCTGTTGATTAAATAGTATGACTATGAAATGTTATAGCAGCCTTCGCTGATGATGACTTTGACCAGCGCGATCAAAATTAACAAATTTTATCGCCCACTACAATAATAAAATGAAATAAAATATCTTAAATTTGCAGCCTTTAAAGGCAGATTTGAAGAATTCTAGAGCTTGTTTACGTAAGACGTGCACGACTTTAAAGTTATCTTTGATGTCAACGGTAGACAGCCTGTTTCGTACAGCGGTTAATGTTTGGACGATTTGTCGCTGGGGGCTTTTCAATAAATCATTAGCAAATTAAAGCTGCACAACTTGTTAACGGAAACAAAAGCTACCGCCAATTAAGTAGCTGATGGTATCCGCTGTTTTAATTGAGAAAGTCGTTCAATCAGCGTCCGCTGAGTTCAACGAAAACAGATTTCATCTGGCGTTCGTTAATTAGATAAAATACATATACAGTACAAGGTAAATCAAATACAAATACAGTACACACGGTACAAATACTGCAGTGATACAATACATGCGAAACTACCGACGAGCAAGATTTCGTACGTACGTACGAAGAACAAACCTAAAGAATTTCAAGTTCACGAACCCGACATTGAGCGTATCGCTCATTTATTGTTCGGTAATTAATTAGCGGACATATAAAAACTGTAACGTACAAGGCTTCGCAAATCTACCTACATCACCACAAAAATTTTAAAAAGAGGCCTATTCTCAACACTATGGCAAAAATATGCGTTGAAGGGAGCATTTTATATAAAATGTGTGCGTCAAATACGCACATCTGCGTTGAAAGGTCATTGTTGAACCTATAGGTAAATAAGTATGCACCTATAGGTTCAGAAATGCTGACCTTACATCTGGACGCACTCTACGCTGAGTCTACGGTAGATGGTGTTTCCGTATACAGCAATCAGATCTTATTAATACTAGTATCTGATTGCTGAGCCGGGAAACGAATGATGCAATTTTTTGTCAGTACATATGACCACCAGACTACCAGTTGCAGCTCTACAAAGATGAATGTTAAATGGATTTGGCGCTGGTGATGGCAGTAAATTAAAATTCAGAAAAAGAAAAACTTAATACAATGCACCATTTTAACTTTTAGATTTCAAAGGCAGCCGTGATCCCTATTACAGTCGTCCAGGAGGTCATGAGTCAGCACTCCGGCATGTCCGGGCCGCGAAAAAGAACGATAAAAAACGGCACGACAAGAGGTTAATAAGCGCGCAGGCTAACGTGCTGCTCTACAAATTAACTTACATTTTCCTTATTGTAGCCCGAGGCTAAACGACGGTTTTTAGAATGGTGGTCTCAAGTGGTACAGTTTGACTGAAAAAGACAGGAATTAATTGCCTAATTCTAACGCTTGTATAACCTGGTTATTGTATATAATTTTCCAAAGTTGGTTGGTATTAAAGTGCGATCTCCAAAAATATTCACATTACTTCAGAAAGTCAAAGTTGTATCATATGAAAAATATGAGGAGGTACACGAACATATTTTTTCTTTTCGATTATGTTAACGGTAGCACGGTAGAGTAGAACATTTTGGATCACTTAATTAAACCAGATGCAGTGCCTTTAGCCACAGCTGACCAAAGCTCACCTGAAGACCGAAGTATAGTAATTTTGTAGCAAGTCAGACGAATAACGAAGTTTGGTTATTTTATTTCTTCCTTAATTTTCAGTTATAAGTTATGAATAATCAAGCAAAAGTGTTGTTGCTGTTTGTAGTTTTGAATTGTCTTTTGAAAAACTGCTTTCATTCTTTCCCAAAGTATTTGCCACTACGGCAAAATGTGTATAGCGGTGCAAAAGATCGGCTACGAGTTCGAAAAAATATGGGTAAAACTGACGTCAACGCAGTGTTAGCTTAAATTTGTAGTTTTGAGGAGAGACGAGATTTATTGATTTGGTATACAGAGATGGCCAATTCGCCGAGATATGTAGACCGCAAAAAAACCTTACAGTAGTGCGTTGCTGTATTCTGTGCATATACACAGCCCAGTACGTATGTATACATTTGCATTAGTGAGGCTTGGCGACTAATCATATGACTGACGATTGTCAGATCTGCGATAAGGAGTTATGCTCACATTCCCGTTATGGATCCCTCCACAAAAAACAACTTGGTATTTTCCCGTCGTGTCTCCTTTAACAAAAGGCTTCTCCACTCTCGGAGATTCTTCGGCCGCCTAAGCGGGACAGCTGAGAAAGGATGGTACAGCCATATTTTTTTTGCAAATCATCGAGTGCGCATAAAAGTTAATGAATTATGGAAGCGCAAACTTTTTTTAAACGTACCTGTCATCAGTGTCATGTTGCTAGTATGTTGGTAAAGTTGGTTATCCTCAGATTCAGTATTAAACTATTTTGTAGTTTTCATTTCCATAACATTCATGCTAACTAAAATAGCATTACCATTTTATTTAACCCACTTTACATACAATATTCGAATATTTGAAAACTTCACATACATCCAGAAAAAAAATTTAAATAGACCCAGACGCAGTACAGGAAATTGTATGGAATCCCCCCAGTACAAGTGTTTTAATTTTTTTAAAATTTGTTGCTCGTTGTAGTAAGTAGTAGGTAGGTGGCGAACAGCAGCAATCGTAGTAATCTACGTACCGTTTGACGTTTCCTTGTAAAGAAGCCACCATTAAACGTTGTGTACATATATTCCTCGAAATCGGCGACATAAGCGCCATATGGATATTATTCCTTTTTGTATCTACTCGTACGTGCACATGCGATTATTAGAACTACGTAAAACCTTGCCAAGGTAAGAAGGCAGGAAATGCCAAAACTGTTTTGATTAAAAATTGGCTGTAGGGTATTCTTTTGCCTCTTCGTATGCATTATTTTGAGCGGCGGCGAAAAGAAAACAAATCGATCGTAGCTCTGCAAGCAAATGAGCCGGTTTTGGATATAAAGCATGACTGCCAAATATGGGATGTTTTCTCAATGCTGATTCAACTTCTGTCTTTTTTGTGTCCTAGAAATGCCCTGCCCGGGACAATACAAGAGCGGGCACATAAACCCGTCGCGCACACAGGAAATCCACACTAACGCTTCCTGTTTTGGGGTGGAGATTAACTGCTACGGTAGTGCGTTACGTGAATGCTTGTATGTGTGTATGGGTCGTTATGCGACGGCTAATAGAAAAAGCTTTTATTCATCTTGTCAGTCATGGCAAATTAAAAGATTTCTACACGGAAGACATTTTCGTCCAAATGTTGCAAAATCACAATGGCATTAATTTTGACTTATTCCCGCGCCTCCATTCTGTGACCGGCTTAATACCGCGCCATTCAAGCACAGAGGAATAAAAAAGGAAACACATCTCTCGTTCCCAATCTCTTTCTCTCCCCGTCTTTCAGTCTCCAACCAGAACAATTGCGCAAATAATTTACATAGTACCGTCCGCGTACACATTTCTCAGCGCAGCGCAGGCGTCGCACAACGTAAAAAAGGCCCGTTTTCGGTGAATTGTATGAGCAGTGTGTGTGTCAAGCGCGTTTTGCTTCGGTCTCGTCGTTTTGTTGCAGCACAACATAATTGACGCTCGCCTCGGTTAAAGGCCGCCGCCTTGTATTGCCGGCAAAGTAACGTCAGTTGATAGATTTCCATAGATTTGGTCAGTATTACGATCCAATTATTTGTGCTCGATCTGGAACCGCCCCTCTTTTCCCTTTAACCGTTGAGTGCTCGTTCTTCTCTCTCTTCTCCCTGTCGCTCTTTCACATTTTTCCCGGCGTCGCTCAAAATCCAAGGAAGATAAGGTTGCATTCCCAAATAACACGAACCGGCACATGGTGTGTTGTGTGTGTATATATATGTGTACAATCCCGTCGACGCGGAAAAAGTCAGTTGGAGAATAAATCGTTAAGAAGCTTCTTCCATACGATCATAGGATTGTAGCATATAATATGTCCAGTACACAAAGTTGAATGCACCGAACAAGGATGGGAAGAGAATACGAGCAATAACATCGATCCGTTTGGCTTGTTCGGCGGCTGATAATATTGGTGGAGCAGCCGGCATCGACATGGGCGGCATGTAGGTTTCATGGGGCGGCGGCGATTCCGGTATGGGCATTTCGTACTCGAAACTCCCGCTCTGTGGAGTAACATTAGTCTGCTAAATCAGGGTTAACCTTTCGCAGGTGCATGGGTGTATTGTAATTACATCGGTATCTGTATAATCCAAATGTACCGCCACCTTCATGCTTATATAATATTAGCGCGCTAACAAAATAAATATTATTACTGCAAATAAAAAAACCAAAAATAATTTAATTGTGTAATAAAAGTAAGAAAGTTATTTTTTAATAAGAAACCAAATGTTAATAAGAAAAATAAGCGGATTATGCGGGTTCTCTAATAAAGTGGAAAAATCAAAAGGACAACGCCGTTTCGTAGATTAAGAAAACATCGACGATCTAATTGGCACGCATTTGGGCTGTACCATTTTTCGAGACCCTTTGAGATGATTCTGACTAGGTGATCTGCCTGGTGGCGGCATATCAGGCAAGAAGCAGTTATCAAATTTCATCGTGGCATTTGGACTGACCGGTACCAGTGTGTGGCTGCGTGACATGTGGTTGGAATTCTGCCGGGGACGCGGCACTAACATGGGCACTTTCTTCCTGGAGGTCTTCGAGACTATCACGTACTCCAGTAATGTGGCAAATACAAAAAATGTACATGTTCCCATCCATACATCCAAGGCCTACAGAAAAAGACAGTTCGCGCTTGAGGTCACAATGACGCATAAGTCTGCCATTTTAATATAAAGAATACAAATACTAAAAGTTTGCTCTTTTGAAACGTTTGCCACGTAACAATACTTTATTCAAATTATCTAGTCATTCCAGCGTATTTTTGCATCAATAATTCAATACGTTACGCGTTGGAAATTGAGACAGAGAAGAACTGAATGATTGTAAGTTCTACTTTACATTATGGCGCAAAAGGTTTTTCAACTGCCAGTACTGCTCTTCGTTAAGTATCGCTTTTCTTTAACAACCCAGGCAAAGTATACTGCATCATAGATGCAATGGTACAAAATTGTCTACATTCAAAAGATTTAATTGTAACTGAATTAAATTATTAAAATGACCGCGCCATGAATATGGTGCATGGGCGGACGTGCAGCATGAGCCGGAAGTAAAGTACTCGTCAAACGTACTTTAATATACGATACAGCTGGAAGTCCTTGCTTGGCGCCGCTAATTAGTGTGGTCATTGTGAGCAAAGTTGTGATGCCCAGTGAGACTCTGATTAAACATAATGGAATTGGCATATAAATGACTTCCGCTCAAAGTACAGAATACAATTGTGTGTATGCGCTTCAGTACCTCGCGGGAACCGCTTCCACACTGAGCCAGAAGCTAACCTATATTAGCAAAATGGAAAAAAACATAACTGACGGATATTTATACAGTACACGCGCTGTCGTTCGCGCAGAATGAAACTATACAATGTACACAGCGGACGTCACAGTTTTACCCATGATATGGAAACGATCAGGAAAGTAGGCAGATACGTCTGAATGAGGTGATAACTGACTTGACGCTGGAATTTTATGAAGACTTTCAAATAAGAAAAATGCCCTAAAAATATCATTAATTTCCTGTGACACATCCGCAGAAGAATGGGATCATTAATTTTCGCGTGCCGCGGTTTGTTGACTTACCCATTGAATATTCATCAGTGCCTTCCTTGTATGTGTATCCCGAAATGAGAAACTGCGGAAGTTTAAGCTCTATAAAATAAAAAGTGCGTTAAGAAATATTCAATGTTAATCGATCCCATAAAATTAAAAATTACGCAGTTTTATGAAAAATTATAACTTCCAACAAATATTAGCGTATAAATATTTGCGTGCAATCTAATCTAATTTAGAATCACTTCAGTTTATAAAACTGTGTCAAAGTATACGTAGTTGTTCGCCGTTTTTACACAGTAAGTTAAGTATATATATGTTTAATGTATAAACTTGAAATTCCTTGCCTGAATTGATTGTAAAAGCTTTTGATTTATCCCAGTGCCAGTGAAAGTACAGGATTTCTGTTGAGTAACCGTCTGGAAAAACAACGCCAGATTATGGTTAAATCTCCCATATGAGTACAACTGCCGGTTGCACTATATCAACTGTTATGTGTAAAATGAGCGGCGATGCTAATGCATATGCAGTCAGTTCTACGGCCCCAATGCACAGACAATCGATCTCTTTGAGAGTAAGTTGTTTGCATACAAAATAACGAACAAAATATCCGTGAATAGGTGATAGGTGAAGTCAAACAAGAGCTTTATACACGCGGCTACATCACTGTGCGGCCAGATATTCCGATGACCTTTGAGGAAGTTTTGTCACGTACATGTTTCTAAATAAATGGAACATTCCTGCGTATCCATGGGATAATAGTTCAGCTCCATTTGGCACGTTAATGTTGCTGTTAGTCTGTGTGAATAATGGCCAATGCAATTAATGAAAACTAGGTGTGGACCATTAATTTTTCCATGCAAACATGGATAATGGCTGCCACGGGGTAAAATGCTGTGATCGCGTGCTGAGCGATCTATATGCAAGGGTAGAAAATGGACAATGTTTATATTGTCAGGACTTACCGGGAATTATACGTTACATTTCCTTCCTGTGTTATGCGGAGGAAACGATTTGGTTGTGTTACCTCATGGAAGTACGCTACAAACCACAAGTGCTTGTTAGGACAATGCTACTTATTTATAGGAGTGATTTTGCTCGTGCGTCATATTGTATCAAAACACTCACATAAATCTAGATAAAAGTGAAACGGTACTTGGCTAATCTATTTTTACAACTGGTGTGCATAACTTGCATAAATAATTATTTCGTCTTTTTTGCATCGTAAGAAAAAAGCGTATCAGTAATTTCTGCTTTACGTGTAACTGATATTGCAATGAACGATGATGCAAAATGCAGTTAAAGATGTGGTGTCAACGAAGGCGCAATGAGTAAACATTATAAAAGAAAATCACGCAACTTCGCACTGACCTTTTTTAGCGTTTATTAAATATGGATCTGGCAGCCAGAGCTTTTTGATTTGACGCAGTTGATGTAGCTCAAGTATTTTTGTCCCGTCTTTGTCGGCATCAAAATGTAACCTTGGATCGTTCCAGTGTTGTGTTAGATAAAAATCAACTGAGTAGTCCTGCGCAAAATAAAAAACAATACAGTTCTGTTATACGAAAATGCCTATTGTTTCACTATCAGATGGTAGTACGCACCATACTGCTGGCATCGATTGAGCTGATGGCCACAATATAAATTTCAATGTAGACTCTTGTCGGTATCCCTTCCCCTTTGACCATGAAAAAAATCATTGAGAGCAAACAACTGTCTGTTCGAAATTCTTTGGGATATTCTAGGTTTTCAAAAGGGCAAACTGGTTAGAATACTCATTGATTTATCATCTTACGGCAAAAAAACCTGACCTGTCATAAGTTGCAAGGCTACATTCAAAAACTATCCATGTAGGCATAAAACAGCCAAAACAGTTCCACTTAAAACATAAAAATTTGTCTTAATATAAAAACACCTGCAAAAATCAAGGTAAAAAACAAATGAAGGTGCATGCTCACCGGTTTACCATAAGTTTAATTAAATTAATCAACAAAGGGCTGTATAATTTTTATCAAGAAACGAAAATACCACGCCTTGCATTATATTGAACAAAACAATGAGGTGAATTTACGCTATCTGGCGTTCATACAAAATGCATGATCGAGCAACATTAAATCAATTTTGTAGATGCAGTACCTGCTTGATACGAAGGCCATTCTTCCATGTTGTAATTTTTCATTAATCTGTGAAACAGTTTGTGCGGAAATTCCTTTTTCCCCCTGTAATTTAACAAACAAATTACTCTATACTGGAACCGCAACTGCTACGTACAATATGCGTGCAGTTCCGCTGCTTCATTAGTGCACTCAAACAGAGCAGAATCGAAAGGTCGCGACTATTGAGAAATCACGTATTGGTGATTTAATTCAATCGCTGTTACTATCTTTGCCTGGACAGAATTAATACAGTGGACCGGATAATAAGATGTTCTATAAGTGGAATGCGGAAATATTATTTAATGTAACATCTGTTTAACAGCGACTAACTAAAACAGCTGCTGGAGATTCCTAACATGATTTGTATTTACTCAGGTTCTTTAATGAAAAAAACTGTTTACAAGGACGGCGTGTGGTGTTTGTCGACATATGTTTTCCGCAGGGTTTGTGTACGTAGTGTTTTTTCAGGGTGCGCAATTTCCGCCAAATCCACGATCACGTTATAGGTTGTAATTTAGGTTGTATTTTAGGTATTTAAGTTGTATTTTAGGTTGTATTTAGGTTGTATTTTAGGTAATTTACTGATCAACAAAACTTAAGCTATCGAAACACTTTGACATAATTATATAGGAATATTAACACAAACAACATTTAGTCTTCCATAAAATCACAAAAACTCTGTTTACTGTGGCATATAAAAACAGCGCATAACTAATTAATCCGCTGAGGAAACATTTGGATCTGGTACTCAAGAGAGAAAACATTATTACGTCACTGGATGTTGTAACGCATTTAATCGACTAAAACTAGTGGAGAAAAGTACTGCGGACTACTATCTGAATAGTGCGATATTCGGGTTTTTTACAGGAGACTTTGATTTCGCCACCGACTAGTACGAAAGTACGTTAAGTTTTTATTCGAATATTTTATTGACAAAATACATAGCACAAGTGCCGCCGGAAATTAGAGTTTATTTTGTTAACGCAGATGGTACTTAATCTTACCGGGTTGCTGTTATAACATTAATGCGCTGCTGAAAGGTTGCATTAGAAGAACAATGCGTGCTTGCGTGTGAAATAATTAAGGAGTTCCCTCAACCCGGGCATAAAGGGATACGTGGGAGAAATCAATGGGACCTGATGTAAAGTCTCTCTTATTCCCTCCATTTACCTAATATTCCAACAAGAGTCAACTGTTCAATAATTCAGCAAAAATGAGTGTGTCTTGCCGAGTGCCCAACCGTCACTCCGAGCCGGGTAGAATATAAAAGTACCCGTGGGCGAAATATAAAGATTAGTCAATTACAGCGGGCTGTCCACATAGCTAGCTCCTTCCCCTCTGTAAGTCGGAGATTTACGGCCGTTAGAAATAAAAAAATGCAGTCGTGCTTGGAAAAGATTTCCAGAAATTTTGTGCAGTCATCGAGTACGTACTGTTGCACTGCAACATGCTTTTAACGAAAAAAGCTAATTTAAAGAACGAAGGACTATGAAACGTGTAAGCCACTTACGCCATCACTTTTTATTTCTTAGCTGCACAGGTAAATAACTGTTTACATTATTGTAAAAACATTACGTTCCCTAATTCCGGCCGTTTGTGAAATATTTAACTATTCGATCTTATCAATCCTGTTAGCATAGTAACGGGTTTCCGTTTCGAATGTATTTTAAAGGTTTCTGAATTGTAGACTGCACATTCAGTCGGCACGGTTATGAAAATGATACGAGTACCGGTCGCTAGTCTAAAAACACATATGTTTGCCAAAATTTCTCGAACTCCCCGGAGACCGGAAAGAACTCCGACGCCAGCCCACACTGCTTTACAAATAGGACCGGTTCTGTCTCTAATTATTATACAGATATACTACAGCAAAACCGTATTATCGAAAAAAAGCAAATTGCGACCGCTCTTATAAAATTTTTTCGCATAACTGTTCTCATAGAGATTTATTATGCAAGTCCAAAGATATTTTTAAGTAACGTTCTCAGAGGTTATTCTGAAAACTAATAACTGACATTCACGCGTAAATAAATATGATAACAAGCGACTGAAGGTTTGCACGATAAACAATATTCCTGCACAAAGGCTGTAGAAACCTGGCCTTGTCGATACCTGTTGGTAACACGATCAGCCCTTATGTGGGTAGTCGATCTACTCTTTCTTCAGCGTGATACGACGATTCACGTCAAATGCATCACACTGATCGGATGACCACTCTGTAATTAATTCAGGGAAAACTGCCGTCTAATCGATGGGTATTCTCCGCTGAATCCCATGTAATCCTGAGACATGCTCTTAAGGTAATTGCTGTTGACTTAGGGAAAAATCAAGAACGTTTAAGATGCCTACAGCATTCAACGATTTTGTACTGCAGCTATTGGATATAACGGCGCGCGGGAAGAGAGCCGCCGTGCAGGCGAGCGTGCTAATCGCTTATACCCATGCTAACATGCATCCCACGGTTAAGTTAATGTGTTAAGTCCGACTATCAGCTAATGACCACATTTGCCCCACTTGTGCGTTGTGCGGATACGTGGGCAAACAGTGTGTTTGCCTTTGTCGTTGCCCAACTCGCACTGTATCTCTAATCATTCGGTTTTTTACGGCACATCCAGGGAAGACGGGCGCCTCTTTAGCTGCCTACCTTCAGCGTCGAATCAGCAACACATATTACGACATCATGTGTATACCGATTGTGTGTGCACAAGGTATGCACGCTAAGTGACCTTTGCGCTGCATTTCTCTACAAGTCTCTTATATCAGCAATTTCCGGTCGTGTTAACGCCAAGTCGCATGTCATAAGGCAATAAGACGACGCGCGTGGCCTTAATTAAAGAAAATGTAGAGTAAGTACACTCTGTATACATTCCGTGCTGCAATGGCTGCTGCGGGCAGAAGCGGGAAAAATTGTAAATTTTTCCCAATAAATCGATTTGTACTGCGGTAAGCATTTGTTCAAACGCAGGGACGGCACTGATTCTGGTCGGCATATATCAATGAAATTCGAACGATCGTCTTTACAGCTTTACTTGTGTGATAATCTGATTGGCCATGTATATGTGTCCACATATATTTAGAACACATACAGCGTGGTTCTCTTACCTGGTCTGTAATATAAAAAACAATGACAAAACAACACGTATCCATAATTTTTCCAGGAGATAGCGCATCATGAGTCCGTGTTGGTGCTGTTGAGCAGATGGGGAAATACACAATATACATATAAGAATCCCCGATGTGTACGGCAGAAATCAGCTGCAGGTGAGCGGCGTTATAATATTACAAATCCGGCATTATTTTCTGGGATTGTTTATATTGTGATTAGCGGAGCAGAGTAATGACAGCCGCTGGAGGAACACTCGGCTGCGCACTGCCGCACGGAGGCCATGGCGTAGCAAATATAATCTGACAAAAAGGACGTTCCGCTATGAACATCCCGTTGACAATTAAAAAAAATGGCCATGTATATATATGTATATACCGAAAACGATGGATGAATGTCAATAAAGTGATGCATGCATGCATGCAGCCCGTGGAGCGCCTGGGCGAGAGAAGAGCGTAACCAGAAATGCCAGAGCAAATTGCATAGCTCGGTTGCCGCGTCCAGTTTATCCCAGCGGTTAGGGAAGCATTGACGAGGAGCGGGGCCAAGTCAGTGGAGCATTTCATGCGCGAAACTTTGATTTTGTGCAAAACGAGCTAAAGGAACACTATCTCTTGATGGGAAACGAGAACAACACAGGGCGCAAAAGGCTCCGGTCGGTCGGCGGAATGCCGTGTGCATCTATCTATCTATACATATATGCGTGTGTAGTGTAGTGTATATACACGACAACACAGCCACACAGGCTACTGTAGCCACATGTCGACTGAGTTACAGCCGCTTGAATTGAATAAGAAGCAAATCGGGAATAGGAAGATGACACAATGGAGCGTGCTTCGACAGTAAGAGGCCCATTACCAGGGCTCCAACAAGGAATCACAGTCTCCGTTGTACACGGGTCTGTTATGTGTGTGCCGACCGTGCCGCGGATCGGATGGGATGGGATGGTGCACCGACCGGCACAAAAATTTTTAATACGCTGTATGTACATTATATGGCATGGTTTTACTGATTATCCCAAACAGTTTTTGATAATTTGTGTGATACTTTAGACATGGTATCAGCCTTAAGCATGTTGCTACATAAAAACGTTGAAACGTCGAATGTACAGCTCGCATATTTTTGGTTTCGCAATAAAGTGATATTTGTACTGCGCTGTAGATGCAAAAGGTAATTCGTTTTTTTTAAAATTCTTTCGTTTCCAGCCTGCTGCGCTGATGGAACGGATATTCTGTACGGGGGCGCGGGCTAATACACAGGACTCCTTGTAGACTACTACCGGATCAACTTATGACCTGGTGCATATATCGTAAAACATTAAATTTATCGTTTTATTTCACAAAATTATGCTTATAACGGTAGATAATTTTTTGCTAAAATATTTTTCAAGTGGCTATTATTTTATGCTTAATTGTCCAAAATGATTTGTGCTCCCTTTATTGTTCGAATTGATAACTGCAGTGAACGTCCATTATACAAATAGAAAAAACATTTCTCTAGTAGATATGCCCCCAGCCAAAACGTGTCTGCAGTCATTTGACCAAAATAAAAATTAATATGGTTGTGTTGGGTAAAGGAATGCGAGATCTTATTTAGACCCATTTCTATTGTGGGTCGATTATTTTGTGCGGAAAACTATCGCCGGAGTACTGGAGCAACCATCCACTGAATCAATGCAGTTTTCAAAACTGCATAACTGCGTTGAATGATTCAAAGATTGCACAGAAGCATTATATAACGGAGACACATCCAAAAGATACAATCAAATAACACAATTTTTTTTGTATATCCGGTACATTAATTTGGCGATGTCCTATACATCATAATACATCCGAGCTTATAGTTCTGTGAACGCCAGTCTATGCTCAGAGACGCAACCACCGTAAAAGGCTACCGGTCGGTGTACAAGCCCGTCGATTAAGAACTTCAAATCATAAAAGGTTTTCGCTATCTGAGCGGACGGGATGATTTCCTGTCTTCGCAGTCATGCGTGACCTATCAAACCATGTATACAATGTGTCATTGAATGTGTCTCAGCGCTCAAGAGTAATTGCAAAAAATTCACTAGCGACAGCCGCACTATCTGTAGCTATATTCGGCTTCGTCAATTTTTTTTTAGTAGATGTACGACACTAAAACCTTTTTATCGGCAAAAGACAAGTTTTAGCCAAATTAAAAAATTCTTTTTACATTTATTTGCTTGAGAAACAAGAACTATTATCCATTTCTGCCTAAATTATGAATGTGATGGTATTCTTTATATATAAAAAAACGGTTAATTAAGCATACGTACTAAGTGATGCAGGAAAGTAGCTTTGCAATACTATTGAGTAGCTATTTAATATCTTAAGTTTTAATTAAATGAACTGCGGTTTTAAAGTGTGCAGAATTCAAACAAATTGCAACGCGCCCTAATAAATTTGTTGAAATAATACGTAGCCAGCAAGTAGCAGTTCAATCAGTATTTCTGTAGCACAAAGTTGAGAAAATAAGAAGCAGCCAAGCGATTCTTGAGTTACTCTATTTTCAGATCACTTGGGATTAAAATGTTGCAACAAAAAGAAACTCTTCCCTGTCGACACTTCCGTAGACGTCAGAACTCAATACTGATGGCTTAGAGCCAAATCAATAAATAGCTGCGCAACTAAAAATATTGTGTTCAAAACAGGACAGAAAGTACTTCTGGCCTTTGTGCATGTTTTCATATTGATTAGTGCCAAATTGATAATGAACAATAAGAGCACAAAAATGACGAGCGTTGCCGATGCGCACCATACTACATGTTCTGTTCTGGGGCTGCTATTCAATAAACAGCATTTCCCATGATTGAGGAAATAACCGTGGGAAATGTGGACCACCGGCTTCCATTTGTACAGATACAGCCATGCAAATATGCAACGATGCTTAGCTTAGCTCATTCATTGTGATAATTAAAATTTGAGTGCTCATGGTTGTTATGACAGAAGGAAGGACGAAACTTGAAATTTTCCATTTAAAAGCTGCAAACGCGTTCATCACTGCAAATCTTATGGATTTCTACTGGTTCGTACTTACAATTAATTCAGATTTTTTAGGAGAAAACACATCTGGATCTGGGTTTAACAAATATACTCTCACGTCTCTACAAGGTTACCAGTTATCAAGGGCAAATATGATTACTAACTTGCAGTGTCCTTGAAAAAAAAAACACTTAACTGCTTTCAAAGATGTTTTTCGTAGTTCTACAATTCTCTGTAGTACGCTGCAGGGACCATCAATTATTCGCTTTCTACGAGTAGGTGACTGATGACTGGCAACTGTTCTTCGTAAGAGAACTGGCGGCTGTAGCCTCATAAGGTTCTTCCCGCAAAAATTTACTGAACCCTGTGCAACGAAATTTGTTGCAAGACAAAAGGTTTGGTTTGTCTGACCACAACTTTTGAGAATTTTATTACCTTTCGGCATTTTGTAGTCACTTCGTACTGGAAAATCGTTGTGGGCTGCATAGTGTGGCACAACTGCAGCTACAGTAGTAATATCAAGTAGAACGGCTGCCAAATGCTGCATGACCCTTTTCCAAGGATACGAAGGATTTTTTTAGTTTTAGGTAGCGCACGCGTTAGCACTTAATTAAATTATGATCAAGTGTCTTTTGTGCGTAAAATTCTTGTCTGCATCATGGTTGCATATATTTTGTAAAACATTTTTGACTATGCAATATGTACAGAATATACAAGTATTGTGGTACGTAGATGCAGGTAACTGAATTAGTCACAAGGACTCGGCAATTTTAATATTTGTAAGTATGCGCACAGAAAACCGCTGAAATCTCAGTCTTGTACTTCGCACTAGCGATTTCGAAGTCTTACTACTTATCTTTTTGTTCTCAGTTTTAAATGTGTATACCTATCGTAATGCAAGTTTAGAAACCTTCGGCGTTTGACTGGACACGGTTATACAGTAACTCAACATCATTAATGCCATGGCGCAAGCGATACATGTGGACTGGGGATCGGTACAATTAATATCTGCCACAGTAACAAGAGGTTTTTGTCATCGTTATCAGACACAACTTGAAACATACTGTACCCGTACCAGTTGTAGCTTCCAGCTGTCACAGCCGTCGTGCATTCTGGACTACTTTCTTAGTAATTTCGTACCAGTGGTTTTTGATAATTTTACGTCACAAGGTTGACCTCGTGGCTATGCACTGATACCGAAACTCACAAAGGCTTATCACCGCAAGAGCGAAGATCCGTAAAGCATCGTTGTATCAATTTGAATATAAGCTTGTAATGCCGGCGCATAACAATGTGCCGTCAGCTGCTGGTTAGTTTTGGCATAATTTTTCATTGCCGTAATTAACTAGCAGAAACCAGTGGCCATTAAAATAAATTTTAAGGTTTTCAGACAGTGCTGCTTCAAGTCAGCAAAAAAGCGTAATTATTCTAGCTCTATTCTACCATACGTTTACGATGGCGCAAAATGCACTACGACGATTTCGACCTTTGCAAAAACACACCCGACGAAAAACAATCAGCCTGAACTGGAACGGAACTTCCTGTATTTATGGCACCGCACAACAGACGCCAACTACTTCGATTGCTGATTTAATTCCTATCATGACCAGAAATACAACGGCGGGTAGCAGGAGAAATAACCCCAACCTAATTCGTTCAACGGAATTAAGGGAAAAACGGCGGAAAGTGCAGAAAACTCTAAATATTGATACTATCAATCAGGATATTCGTAAAATGGAATATGCTGTTAAAGGTCCGCTAGTTGTACGTGCCGGAGAAATCGAAAAAGAAATAAGTGCGGTAAGCGACGTCTACGGTATACCATTGATTACACCGTAGAATATTAATAATATAGCGAAAGTTCTATTAGGTACCTTTAATTTTTCTTTTATGCGTAGCATTTCATATTGAAACTGTCAATGTATTTTTGCAAGAAAGTCAACATGTGTGATAAGCTTTAATAAGTATCACTTAGTAGTACTAACTAAGTACTAAAAGAACAAAAACTGATTTGCTTATAACAGGTTTATTACACATATAACTGTCATGAAATAATCCAGGACATAAAATAGATTTAAAAATTCCTTTTTAACTTTTAGGGTATTGCAAAGCCTTTTGAAACTGTAATACGAGCAAATATTGGCGACTGCCATGCCATGGGACAACCAAAGGTCACATATCCCCGACAGGTACGGCATCAGTCTGCACATATGCATGTACAGTATTTAAGATAAAGCGTAATAACTTCATCATGGGCACGCTACAATACTTATCGCACAGCCCCGTAAACTATTTTTATTGCTTTGTGATGTGCATGTATGTGATATACTGTAACTTTAGGTTATGGCCTTATGCACACACGAGTTATTATTCGATGATCCTACGATCCCTGACGATGCCAAAGACCATGCCCGCCGGATACTTGCCAGTTGTCAAGGCCAGAGTTTGGGTTCATATACGGAAAGTGCTGGCTTGAAAATCGTTCGTGAGGATATTGCAGCATTTATTTCCCGGCGCGATGGATTTTCCTGTGATCCCGATAATATTATTTTAACAGCCGGAGCTGGAGAGGGCATTAAGGTAGGCAGATATATATGTCGTGAATCTCTGTTGAGTAAAAATGTCAATTCGTTACAGAATACTCTAGAACTTCTAAAGAACACTACCGGAAAACGAGCTGGAGCAATGATACCTATCCCGCAGTATCCACTGTACACGGCGAGCATCTCTCAATATGGCCTCTATCCGGTACAAATATACGAACTTTATAATAACACTTTCTAGCAGTACAAAGCTAAAACACTACTGCGATGTCATGTTACGTACAGAACTGTACCTTTGCATAATGCATTGAAAAATCAAGCAAATCAAATCAGCTTTCCCAACAATCTAATTTTTTCTCGTTTCATGCTCTGTGGCGAATATTTGTACACAACAGCTGGCATATATACGCGTTTCTAACTGCAGATTAATTACTATATGGATGAGGATAACGATTGGGCTTTGGACATTCAGGAACTGCGCAGAGCCGTCGATGCGGCTCGAGCAAATTGCGACCCTAAAGCCATCTGTGTGATAAATCCCGGCAATCCAACTGGTCAAGTGATGACGCGACAGAACATCGAAGATACAATTAAATTTGCGTACGAAGAACAGCTGTGCATACTGGCCGACGAGGTGAATTCATTATAAATTCATATTTCCAATGGGTTAAATTATTATACTCTGCTTCTGCAATTTTAAATAAACAATTTATTATCCGAAGGTATACCAAGGAAATATCCACTCAAAAGATCATACGTTCCATTCCTTCCGTAAAGTTCTGTACGAACTGGGATTACCATACAGTGATCAAGTGGAGCTAATATCCTTTCACTCGGTGTCCAAAGGGTACATGGGCGAATGTGGACTGCGAGCCGGATATCTGGAAGCGGTCAATATAGACCCGGCTGTATTCCAACAACTGATGAAGACCTTCTTGTTTTGCAGCAACACTCCGGGCCAAGTAAGGACATATGATATTGCCTCAAGTCTTTCAAAATGTTTTTTAAGTAATTTTCAGTTTAGAAGTTTTTTAAGTGCTTGTCAAGTGAACATGTAACGCCTGTTTGGAGTGGTAAATTTGCCGGTATAGTATAATTGTAAACCAAATGTGTTTTTTAATCAGTACCATCCATAATTGCATTAATCTTTCGATTGAAATTAAGGTTAGCTTGGATTGTTTGGTTCGGCCTCCGCAGCCGGGAAATCCGTCGTTTTCGCTGTTTCAACAACAGACCGACGAAATAGCAACATCACTAGCGGAGCGAGCAACGCTAGTCAGTGATCTGTTAAACACCATTCCTGGAATGCAGTGCAATCCCGTTTATGGGTCAATGTTTGCGTTTCCTCGTCTACGCTTACCAGAAACTTTCTTAAACAAATCTAAGGTAAAAATTATACGCCTTTCAGCAATGTTCTGGTAATAACTACTACGCATTTAAAAATTGTTCATTCAGACTGTCGTTGTTGTTACCATTTCAGGCAGCTAATCAGCCCGCGGATTTTCGTTACGCCATGCAGTTATTAGAAAATACCGGTATCTGCGTTGTCCCGGGATCCGGATTTGGCCAGAAACCCGGCTCGTACCACTTTCGGTACAATCAAAAACATTTCAAGCTTAAAGCGAGTAATAATAATGACCGAATTGTATTTACATTGTAGAACAACTATTCTGCCGCCCAAAGAAATTCTTATCGAGATGCTTGGCCGGTTGAAAGACTTCCATCACAAGTTTCTAGAAAGAGAATCATGAGCGCATATTCGCAAAGCACTGGGCAAAGTGGATCTCTTAAAAAGCTAATTTATTTTTATCTTGATCTTTTGATGATCGAACTGGAAATCGTTGAGGCGGTTATAACACAGTCAATGGTTTATGACATTATTTAAGAAGTGTCTGGGAGTGCGCGAAAGCGAAAGTTTTCGTGCATGCACACGCAGTTGGTCCCATGTACCGGGCCACTTCCCTCGAATACGGTCTAAAATTACAACCACAAAATTGCAACACTCATAATTATAACAAATCCATACATTAACAGAAACTTGGCACCTCCGCCACCTGCACCATGTAGAAGACTAGAAGACTACTACGGTGACAGCGCCGTTAACGATAGACACCGTTACGCCCAAGGAGTTTTAAGTGCGCTGGGGGTAACGTCGACGAAGATGCAATGATGAACATCGTGATCCATTGCCTCTCCAACGTCCAGCTGGCGGTGTGGACAATCGGTGGTTCTGCAGGTTCACAGCCATATACCTAATATCTGCATGACATACCGTTGTATTGCACTGATCACTCTAATGTTGGACACGTACTTCCGCCCGGAAGTATGTCTCCCACTGACCCTCGAGATAAGCGATTGTTTCGTCATGGCGGAAATCCATTACGACCTTTTCATGCGTACCGATCAGGGTGCATCATTATGCAGGAATTTTTTATGTATATACGTAATCACTAATAATTAATGCCAATTCCCATGTGATTAATTGTAGCCGATGTGCAGGACAAGGACAGTTCGGGTACGAGTTTCATCCTCACTGAACAGCTCCTACCCAAAGACGCTGCTGTATTAAGTACCAGCACAAGGGATTTTAACTGCAAGTTTAACGCCACATAATTTTATATCTATATGTGTATACAGGTAATTTCATTAAATTACATATTTGTTTATTAATGTGGTTTTAATTACCATTCCTTTAATTTAATTTCAAAGTGGAAGACTTTGCATTGTCGTCACTCCGTGATAAGCCACACCCATTGCACCATGGCCAGCATGGTAAGTATTCTTCGCTGTAAGTATAATGTGATACGTTACGATAGAAATACCGTTCATTCTGAGCTTATAATACCAGCATTAAATTAAGAGCTTGGATGTGGTGGCGGTTTCCGGCCGATGGCAACTGCATCTTCCAGTCCTTCCTGCACGGATGCCCGCCCACGCTTACGGTATGCAAGGGACAATTAGCGAGCTTGCCGGTTGCATTACAAAGGGTTGACTGGATAAGTCTGGATTGGATTGCATGTACAGTAGATGTGTTGATGGGAAGAAAAATAACTCTGCTGCACATTCGCGATGGAAAAGAACTGCCGCAGCTCGGGTACCTGCAACTGGTGTTGGACGCTGCATTATGCAAAGGTCACGACAATCAGTTGTGTCAAAATTACTTTCTCACTGAAAGATGATGTACATCTATTAAAAATTGATACAAACCCGTAGTACATACTGCATGGAGAATTTTCGCTCCTGCATCTTGCCTTCCGTACAGCTATAACTGCGTCGAATGGGGGTGACCCGGAGACGAGCATGTCCCATCGGCTGGGCTAACAGAGCCTATTTAAACTCTGTTGTCTGAACCTTAGTCCTCCAACACATATATTTTAAAACTTTTATTCTCACTGCAAGTGGCATCATTTCAGGCGGCTGATCAGCCGATTCAGTTCGCAGATTTTCGTAACGCCATGCAGCTATTAAAAAATACCAGGATTTGCGTTGTCTTGTGTTTAAGATTTGGTCAGAAGCCGGGCTCTTATCACTTTCGGTATAATCAACAAAATTCAAAATTTTATGCGAATGTTAATGACTGAAATTGAATGGTATTTATTTTGTAGAATACGCTTTTTGCCCACTAAAGAAACTACGTATTATCGATATGTTTGGTCGTTCAAAGAACTTTCACTCGTATAATTTTCTAGAAACTAAAGAGAATCATGAGCGTATAATAGAACAGCACAAGGGCGGAACGGATCTTTTAAAAATTTAATTTATTTTTTACGCTGGTCTTTCACAGATCGAACTGGAAATCTCTTAAGTCGGTTATAACATATACATCCGTTTTTGATTTTCTTGTCCCTGGCTTGATGTTTGCGCGCTTTAGACCATCTAGATGGTCTTGTAATTACAAGATCTTGTAATTAGCGGAAGTGACGCACAAAATATTGTCATTTAAAATTTTAAATTATTATTTCTAATCCCGGCTTGAATACTGGGTATAACGGAAAACAAATTGACTATCGATTGGAAATACGGAGAGGCGTGGCTGGTGCGAATCATTAAAACACAATTAAAACCTTATTGAATTTAGATGCTTTTGACTCGCACTTACAGGCCTATAGACTGGCCAAATAGCCCCAACGACAGAAGTGAATGTGCTTACTGACAAGTAAAACAGATATACCAACTGTGCAAATGTCCTGGAACATGGCAGATTAAAGTCTTGTTTATGCTGCCGTTCAAAAGTGCTTCTGCCACCGGAAGTGAGCTGAGGTGCAGCCTGCACGATCGCGATATCTATCTTTTGCTGATTTTCAAACACAAACGCCTGACTGCATCCAAGAAGTTTACTGATGCCAATCAACAGGCCGAATGTTTTGCCAAATCACGGCGACGACGATTGTGGTATTTAGATTCCGGTGATGGTAAAAAGGCTCTCTTTCGTGTAATTATTTTGCTGATTTAGGAGGCCATGTATTTAGTGACCGCGGTACGATGACTGCGCGATAAACGACGATAACTTATTTGTGGAAAAATGATTCCGCTCACCGCAGCGGTAACGTAACCGCAATCGTGCTGTACAGATATATGGCGCAGCGCGCTTAATTGCTGCGTGGTTTTACGGTTGCTAGTGTCAGGACCCGGAATCCATATTCTGTTCCCTAAAATGATAATGCATTACTCTGTATTCTGGAATACGGTCATCCCTTTTTTTTGGCTAATTGGCATTTTACTGATTACACAAGGATCAGAAGCCCGCTTAAGAGGAGGCTACAGCTCAATAAGCCGGAGCAGTAATGCTAATTTTCGGAGGAGATATTCTCAAGGTATGCCAGCGCAACTGTTTATTTCGACTATCGTAAGCCATTGCGTAACATAATGATTTTAATTACCCAAGTGTAAAATAATAATTTGCAGTTAATAAATAATAAAAACAATGGTTGTTTTCTTTGTTTACTTGACACCAACTTATTAGAAAGCCGTTGCGCCGATGTTGTAGAAATGCAGGTATTTCACTGACATAAAAAGCCGTTATACAAGAAGACTTAATTAATGTTTTAATTAAATATGGGAAGTCGTGCACGTACACATTTTTGTATGCACATTGCACATATCTGTACATTGCCCAATGTGTTTAAGTAGTCTTTGCAAATCCTAATAACTCGTAAGCGGTGAAGTGTTTTTCTGCCTACTCTATAACATAAGTATTTGCACAAACACATAATATATATGTTATAAAAAAATTTGAATCGATATTTTTCGAGAGGGATTTTTATGGACGCTGTGGTTTGATATTATTATATTGATAAGTGACATGAGCGTTTTTAATCAATATACAGGTTATAGTTCCGATGCCTGCGTGGATAGATATGCTAGGTGTCCAGCCTGGATGCGCAGTGGTGACTGCACTGCAAACTCCGTCTTCATGTTCGTGAACTGCCGGAAATCCTGCGGTCTGTGCACGCAGCAAGGTAGAGTATTTCCTGTATACCGACAATTCGGAAAATTCTAAGCACAAAGGTGATAATATTGCATCTTAACAGCGGCAACAGCAATATTCGCACAAGAAAAACGACTGAAATCCACACTGCTATCGGGATATGATCCGTTGTCCAGGCCAATTGAGAATTTCACGGATAGCATTGACGTCAGCCTTTCTTTCAGTTTGCTGCACCTGCTGTCGGTGGTAAATTAAGTTTCCATTTTTAAGAATTATTAATTACAGTCACGTGTGCTTATTACCCGTTTCCTTAGGATGAAATTAAACAGTCTTTCACCGTTCAAGGACATCTTAAATTGGTGAGTGGAGTATAAGCAAACATACAAAAGGGAACCTGGCTCATAAAGGTCATATGTTGCCTAAAATACAGCAAGAATCTCAGGTCAATAAGAATATCCGGTACTTCTCAAAAACAATGTATGCGTACGCAAAGAATATTGCGCATGCAGAATAAGTAGCCACTTCAGTGCGTGCAAGTAACATTAATATTCCAGATTGCACTGATATTTTGCAAGCATCTCCTGTACAGGAAAGCAAATATGTATGAACCAAACAAGTACATAAAACAGATTTTCTGACTTGTAGAAATGGCGGGATTCTCGACTAACCTGGGATCCCTCATTATTTTCTGAAATCCCCTTGGTGTCCATGCCAGCCAGCAAGATCTGGCATCCAGGCATCACAGTGGTCAACACGTAGGTTAATTACATGATATGTTATTGTTATTCGATTGTGGTGGGTTTATATTCATTTTGGGATTAATTTGCGATAATATACCGAAAGATGTTGTTAGAAAACATGCAAAATTTGGTATTCACTTAACATGGTTTATGTTTGTAATTATAAACCGTTAGCTGCAGATTTCCTGCGGTTTTGTTGAAAACTTTTATTAATTTTAGAGCAATCGCGAGTGAGCAATTTCTTCTCCCGGGCAATCCTACACCGGTTATGATTCGCAACACCGGCACTATCGTATGGACACCGCGCGTGGAGATTACCGCATTATGTAACATGGACGTCAAAGACTTTCCTGCAGATGTCCACAACTGCTCGGTGATCTTTGGACCATGGTAGTGCTGCTTTAGACAAGCTTTATGTGGTCGAGCACGTTCGCATGGTTACAACTGCATATTTGCACAGCGTAATAACAGCAAGGTTTAATAAACCAATCGATCGGCCTTCCATGCTGCATATTACTTCCTTAAACTTTCATTAATTTGTATCGTAATTTAGGCTACAAGACAGTGCGTCCGTTAACATTTCGATCTGGGATCTGGATGATGATGGAGAAGATTACAACGGATTATTAACTGCAATGTCATTGCCTAATCAAAACTGGGGTCTTCTTAGTGCTGACTTGAAATTCGAAGAAGACTACTTTAACCCGTGCTGTTCAGAGCCGTGGCCAGTTATTCATGCCGAATTTGGTACGTGCCCAATAAATTAGAATTTTACTTTTTTATAACTGTGTCTTCTGTATTCTTGTAGTATTCCAGAGGCACATTCCAGCAGTACGAGTTACCGTGTTCACCGTATTGATATACGTCATGATAACACTGTTAGCGCCTTTTCTTCTACCCATTCGGTCTTTACTACGCTTTGTCTTTGCCAGTGGTGATTGCGGGATACTTTTATTTTTCCTCCTACACCTATCACGTCTCATACCCAATTCTTCATCAACAATCCCTTTGATCGGTAAGTTGTTTTGTCGACAAAATTTTGTTTTTGAGCTTGCTTCCCCCTGCATCCTACTTTTAACGGCAATTTTCCGATTTTTTTAACGGTGATTTTTTCGCTTTTAACGGCGAAAGAAATTTTTAATTTTTTATTTATTTGTAGTAGTAGAATTATTTGTTATTTATTTTACAATTTATTTTTTGCATGATTTATTTAAATTTTTAAATAGAATGTGCGCGTATGCAGGGTGCAAAACTGTATATGTAATTACATACGAGTGAGCACTATATACTACGGATAACAGCATAACACGTCTTGTTTTCTTTTAGTTCAACTAACTATTGCCCTAATCATGGAAAACATACTGATCCTTTTGATCTGTGTTATATTATACCATCTATCATCGCCCTTAAAAAGCAAGATGTCGCTAAGACTGCCGGCACACAGTATTAAATGGAATTTCCTGAAAGTACTCATAGCCCGAATTCCCAAAAAAGTCCCCTTATCACGAAAGAATTCCACATATAACCGGTTAAAAGAACCTAGACAGGATTTAGTGGACATGCTACTAGCGCAACCCGGTGATGATATTGAAGAAGATCAAGAAAGCGGAGAGTGCAGAGACAAGTTTGCTGAAAATGCTCACGATTCCGGCAACATTAATGGAATTATAAATATAGCGGAAACTGATGGAAATCGCTCAGAGTCGGTTACCTCGAATTCGAAGGAAAAAGTGGAATGTAATGTGGACGTTGTGAAAGTGTTTAATCGGCTCGCGTTCGTAATTTTTGCACTGATGTTTACGATTCAAACCTGTGTACTTTTTGCCTTGTAGTTATTTAGAATGGATTTTAATTTTTTAAGCAGTTAACCCAAAAGACAGGATTGACAAGGATCTGCGTCGGCTTTTGTTAGAAATGGCGTGACGCTGTTCTAACGGTTATAAGCGACAAGTTTAAAGATTGCTGTCTCTTGGTTTAATTGCTGTTGATGATTTAACAAGATTTTTAATCGCTCGATAAATTGGTTTAGAGCTATGACTGATTTACTTACTGTCCTTCATGATCAGTGGAAATTGTTAAATATCGCAGTTCTTATTCAACATATGCACAATATTATTTTCATGTTTTGGATAAATGTACAGTTTACCCGACCTTTGTGTGTATGTAGCAGCCATTTGGTTCGAGTAAATACACCGCGCGCACACCTTGCACTGCTCATATAATTATGATGAGTGTACTGTATATGTACTACATATTAAAGGCACACTCTTGTAGAACGTTTTATAGATTAGTATAAAACCGCTGTTGAACTAATTTTCCGTAAACAAGTTTTGTAATTAAATGGCAAACAGTGTTCGTTTTTCTACAACCGATTCTGTACAAGAGCAATAGTACGTGTCCAATTAGTAAAATCTATTTACAGATCTTTATGTAATAATCCCATCCAACGTAGGAATTAAAATTTTCTTCCGGTACTGTAAAGTGATTATCTTTACTGAGAAGACATTCTCCAGTATTCTGATGATTGGTCCCGGTGCGCAGATAATCCACGGAACGACAGTTGAACATCGTCTCCGTTAGGCAGGCTTTCAAGCACTCCATTACGTTGTTGACCCGCAGTTGTTTGTCATTGTAGTGCAGAATACCGGCATTCGGTGTCTTCTCGAAATGGCACTCTGTAATAACAAACAACAGCATTACAATAATATACCGTTTCCGATCAGTGTCATATTCGGTTATGAAACAGTTCATATAAAGGTCAAACACAGTCAGTCAAGGTTCTGCTGATTACGTACGTATTGTGCCATCCGGACCGCGCACAGGAATGCGGCCGTTTACGTATTCCTGCAGGATTTCCAGCTGCTCGTTGACGTGCTGTGACATGTTGTCCACTTTGCTCTGCAGCTCCCGAATAATCAAGCCAGTCTGGTTTTCGTACATAAATTTTTCGCGCCATATTAACACCTCTAACTGGAGGATCTGGTTTTTCAGCTTCTCCATTTCAGCACGATTAGCCAGCAGTTCACTTTTCAGCTTTTGATTCTCTCCGGTTTCATGCAGAACTTGTAGTTCCAATCTATAAATCAGTTAAAAAACCCATTATCTACAATCTTTTGAAATTTTTAAAAATTGTGCGAAAAAAGCATTATTGATTTAACCCGTTAAATTCGTATGTGACCATATTAACTGCATGCAAGCATAAAACAACAAAAAAATTATTATCAAACTACTGAGGTCATTCAAAATCAGATATAGATATATAACTGCAAAAATTATAAGCAACGCAGAATACATGTACAGTACTCGTACTCGTCGTACATGTACAGGGTTATACATGGAATAGAGTATTACCGCAACTCGCAAACATTATAGTATGCTAAAAACTCAGCAGTAACAAGGTCACATTTCTGCTTGGGATATGATAAAATTAGATGTAAAAGTAGTGCTTATCCCTAAAAGTTTCAAATTTAAAGTTCAAAAACATTCAATAAGTGTGGGGAAAAAATCGATGTAAACAGTGTAAAATACGCAATCAAAGGTCACACTTACCGATGTCTCATTTCTCGATCGACCTGGGACTGAGCTTTTAACTTATTAATAGCCTCATTAACTTCTTCTATCAGAGCCGAATTATTTCCACAGGAATCATCTCTGACCACCGCGGCATTCTTGACAACAAAGCTGTAGGTCTCACAGACATCTTGCGATTGTGCTGCCTGTTGATTAACGGCTGCAACATGAGGCATATCGTTAACCCTGGCTGCGACTTTTGTGCGTAACTCTAAAGAAGAGAAATATAGTTCTCCATATTATTTACATTCTATATTGTTATCCATCCTATTGGACGGACCTTTGGGTTCGTTGTTTATCCGGCTGCGCTGTTCTTTCATCTGGACTTGCAGCGGATACACTTGGATGTTGCTGCTTTGCCGGGTTGCATTGAGATTGGTAACTGATCCGGCAAAGGCATCCGTAAGATCCACAAATAACAGCGATAATCCGACCACACTGGCATAGAATGTCGGCCACGTAAACATTTTCAGGTAGCAGGGTTTTTTTCTATTGTTACGTATCCCGAGATCGATGGTAAATCCAAGGATAAATGCAGGTCGTGGCGGAAATGATAACGCCTACATTAGCCGGTATACAGTAAAGCCGCACTCTGACAATATGTTTCACTACATCGTAAATTCACACCGTGGAGTGCTGAAGTCCGTCACGCGCGTTGAAATGGTAAAACGTTAGAAAAATGTAATATGTGACTATTTTTTCACTTGCTGTAACGCAGTGAAATTTTATGCATGACCTTCCTCAGTATGATTAGGTTTCGCAGGTTGTGACGGACCAAGTGGTGGATGGCCGATTATGACACCGTTATATACTGCAGCGTTTGTGTGCGTTTTAGAGAGGTTTAGGCATATTTCTTGAATTAAATGATATCGTTTACGGTAACGGTTATCCTATTTCAGGCAGTCCACAGGTCATTCGCAAAACTCTTTACGTACGGTCCGCACAACCGACAAGCGGAACGTGTTAGTTCCTTGACAATTATGACGAATCTTGAAATTACAAACTGCCAGTTTCTAACTTTCTGTAAGGATTTGTTTTATGTTGTCCTTATTGAAAGAAAAGGTAAACGATCGTTAGTCATGAATCACCAAAATTTTTGGCATGGTTCGGAAAAACTTACGCACTGAACGATGGCGTATGATACCATGTACTACAAATAACGGACTTCGAAATTTTATGACTGTCGGTTTTAACGTGTTTGGACTCTCGAAAAAAAACCTGTCACAACTGCTTGGTTAAAGCGATCGCATCATTTATCGTTCATCATTCACCGATAGTTCTTAAGCAATTAAAACAATAAAAACTAAAACCGAGAAATTCGACTACATTGCCTTCAACAGCTTAACTTAATCCATAAATAAAAGAGATCCGCGTTAAAAAAAGTAAGATCACAATCATAACAGCAGCCTGAAAAAGAAAACACAAATGCAGGTAAACAAATTTAAACAATCAAGAAGAAGCATAGTGAAATCCTCCAATTCACACCAATTCCTGTTGGCCAAGTGCCAACCAACAGTCCACTGCTTTCTATCCTCATCCACCACATCCATGACTGGATCAATGCAGATAATATAAGGAACTCTTGAAACGAAATATATGGACGTCACCATGGACATCGCAGAAAGACTTAAGTATCAGTATCCGGCATTCCGTTCAACTCCTTATCATCGGTAATATCGGAAGACCAGAGGGTAAAATTATCACGCAATAACTGCATAATCAGCGCAGAATCTTTATATGACTCTTCCGTCAAATTGTCCAGCTCCCCAATCGCATCATCAAACGCCGTCTAGATTAATAAAAATGCGCATGGAAGATTTGCAAGCGCTGAATGAACAAACGAAACATCAAACCTTTGCCAAACGATAAGCTCGCTGCGGGCTGCCCAAAATTTCGTAGTAAAAGACGGAGAAGTTCAAAGCCACCCCAAGTCTAACAAAAAAACAATGATTTGTGAAGATACTTGACAAAGAACGAAAATCAAAGTGCACTCCAGAAGTTTACTATAAAACAAAACTGCTAAACGAAATCCTAAGTGAGCTACGATTTACTGCTACAGTTTTCCCATAAAAGTAATTCAACAAACAACAGAACAAATCAATGGCGCAACATTCACAAACACTTACCGCACCGGATGTGTGGGCGCCAATTCGCCCATTGCAATGTCGCTTGCGGCTTTATAAGCCTGTAGAGCGTTTTCGCAAACCTCTTTCTTTTCAGCCGAGACCTCCTTCTTTTCAGATGTCAGAAATTCCGCAAGGTATCGGTAATAATCCCCTTTCCTAGATTACCCACGAGAGCTTCTTTGGTTTAACGTTTAAAACCTCAGGGAAAGGTTACCATAGATATAACTTAACACGTACATTTTGTAGTAGAAAACCTTCGACTCTTTATCGACGGCCTGCGGAATAAGAAACTTGTCCAACAACGCCAGAATATCGTCACACAGACGCTTCGTTTCGTTCTCCACATCCCGACGAAGCTGCAATAAGTCAAACAAAAAACTCCATTTAACGATATCAAGTTGCGTCACAGTCTGAAGATCAAAGGACATCTTATCACCGCACAGTCTGTCTACGCTATGCTTGCGGCTAGCCCTGTCGATTCACCAGGGCATACAAAGTCTTAATAAACACCGCAGTCTCGATGGGAAACTCGATAAAACGGTCGAACCTTTCTCGTCTGCTCCAGTTTCAGAGGACTGGCCGTCGGTGAACCCTCTTTGATTTTGGCCTCTTCCTTGCTTTCCAAACTGTGCAAAATTCTCCACGATGCGCGGCGTGCACCGGTGACATTTTTATATGCCACCGACAATAAATTGCGCTCTTCTGGTGCCAGTTCGGAGTTGATGGGCGCGGCCGTTACCAGATCCTTGGTATAACTCACCATTTCGTCATAACGCTGCAAAGGAAGCATACGTCGGTAACAATTCAAAGCCATGAGGCATAACCGAGAGGCGAGACTGCAGATAATTTGTCATCGTATAACAATTCGTCATATATAAAAGTAATAAAAGTTATAAAACCATCACTTATAAACAATCTGCAAGTTACACGTCAAGGAAATATGGCTGTGTACCGGGATATAAGAGCAGAAAAACGGGCAAAAAAACACCTCAATACAATATACAATATTATGTACCAACACTAACCGAAAAAAATAATCAGTTGAGCTTGAACAAGTTCAAAATTATAATAGATTACAACTCACTTCTGCTTGCTCCGCTAATTTTGCGCCAAAAGCCAAGTCATCTCTGCTCACCGCGGTCATTTCTTTCCAGAGATGTGGAAAGGATTTCTAAATTTCCCTTGCACGTGGCTCTATAAAAAAATAACTGGTGCTGGTTACGGACGAATCTGGAGAATGGATGCACTTAATCACGACATTGTCACATTCGCTATCACCAATCATTGGCACTGCACAATACGACAGCAAATACTGTAACACAACCTATGCGGACTTTTAACTGTTTGCGCAGCCAAATTGATAAGACACCGATCAGAAATACAAAACAGCTTTAGAAATAAATCAGAAACATTACGAATATCAAATTATTTACGCTTTACAATGCATGCCATTTACGGTTTCTTCCTATCACAGACGCAGAATCAGAGACCATTCAGAGCAGATGTCGCATAATGCAACCAGCAACAGGCACAATGCGCAGAATGATTCTTTATCAGCAGTTTTAGGATTACGTCCAAGACGGGTAAATCAGATCAATTAAGTAACGAGTAGTCATAGGTGTCATATCGCCTTATCTATAATTTGCTCTCATTCCAGAGCGAACGTACCTTTAGGCTTTACGCCAGTTCTTCGTTCTCGTAGTCGTATCCCAGTCTCAACGCTTGGTACAAAGCACGTTCTGTCCTGCTGCTGCGAGTACTATCAGCGTAACTCAGTGGTGCCACTATGTGATTTACAATATGCGAGAACTGAAAATAAAAAAAAACAACACCAGGTTTAAGAAAAAACAGTAAAATTTAAACAAAACCTGTAGGCTGCGACTTGCGAGTAACAAACAACTTTAAACAGAATAAATTTAATAAAAATCGAATGTTTTTCAAATCTGGCAAGTGGCAGCTCAAGAGTTTAAAATATAAACATTATTAATGGTAAAGCCGTCCCCTACAGGGGCTGGCAGTACGCAGACTAGAACGCGTTCATCACAAGTGCGGGAACATTGCGATGATTGGTTGTTATGGCGTAACCTAACAACCAATAGAAATTGCGCAACTCACCGTAGTATTAACATATTAGTGACACCTAATTAGTAGCACCTAGACATAATTGACTATATGCTTTATTAAAACATTAGTGACACCTAATTAGTAGCACCTAGACATAATTGACTATATGCTGTATTAAAACATTAGTGTCACCTAATTAGTAGCACCTAGATATTATTGAGTATGCTATATTAAAATATTAGTGGCACCTAATTAGTAGCACCTAGACATAATTGACTATATACTGTATCAAAAACATGGTTTGCTGAATTTTGCTAAGTTATGCTGCTAATGCTTTAATACAGCATATAGTCGGTAATGTCTAGGTGCTACTAATTAGGTGCTACTAATGTTTTAATACAGTACGTTGAGTTGCGCAATTTCTATTGGTTGTAATCACAGCCAACCATCGCGATGTTCCCGCACTGGTGATGAACGCACGCAGACTACTGCTTTTATTTAGTAAGGGGCACTGTATTTTGGCTGGCAGCTGGGTTTTGTCACTCAGCTGGCAGCGCTGGCAGTCAACAACAATGATTTTATTTTCCAACTTTAAAAATTAATAATGTAAAAAATAAATCGGAACCCTTTTTTAATGCTTAATACAATTATAGTTTGTTTGTACGGCTGTACGGTCCGTGTGAGAACAACAAATCCCTGTTTCTGACTGTAACTGATTCACTTAGAATACGATTAAGGGTCTGCTTAATCCCAAATTGTCAGATTCCAGGATGATCCGAGCTATCCTTGTTTTCAACAACCACGGGAAACCCAGATTAATCAAGTTCTATGAGCATTATGTAAGTCTTCCAGGATGGACTAAGTATTTGGCTGTATTTTTCGTTTGAACGTTTAGGAATTTGATTGTCCAAGATGAGCTGGACGTTCTGGAACTCTTAAATTCCCCGTTTAACAACATAGAAGTGCTGGCAACTAGATCTGCTGCTGCTACCTTAAAATGTCTTTGTTAACGAAATACGAATAGCCGAATAGTTTTTAAGTTTCCGTCTCTAGCTTAATAAAACAGCTTTTGAAATCGTTCATAGTAGTGGAAGTTGTTGTAGCGCCGTCAGAGGAGAACAACGGGATTTTGGTTACCTTCGGTAGAGTTCCTCTTGAATCAACTGCTTAAAAGTTTACTGCGCACTGCAAAATTTTTTTTTGCTATATGAATACGGGTTAATATTTAATAATCAGTCGGTAATAATATTATAAATAGTGATTGTATTAAATGTGGTGAATACGTGCATTTGCAGAAAGAGGATGTGCAGCAGCAGATCGTGCGAGAGACATTCCAGCTGGTTGCCAAACGGGACGAGAATGTGTGCAACTTTTTGGAAGGTGGCAGGTTAGCCAGAACTGTCTTTGTGAAAATTGCACATCATTTTTCATAATAGTCTCTTATTTTAATGGAAATGGCTATTGTCACCACCTCTTAATTTATTCTTGTAATTTTTCCATCAGCGGCTCTTTTTTAATTTTATTCCTGCCAGTTAGGTTGGCAGTTCTTGACCAGCGATCGAGGCAGTCCTTTACACGAAACAGCGGTTCCTTCCGGTGGACGTTCGAGGCCATCGTGTGACGACATGGAAGCCTTAGCCCGCATGTACATGACGCGAGACAGTCACACTGATACCGCATGGTGCTTTTGTCAGAATGTACGTACTAAGTATTCTGCCCTTCGCGTTCGTTGGAACGGTCGTTCGCCCGTGGTCTTTGCCATGTGCGCTTTGTGGCGGATTTATAAACTAGAGTCTTGCGCTAGTTTATATTTATTTCTGGCAACTTTTTTCGATCGATCAATGGCGAAAGTCTGGTTGGTGGCTTAAGAAAACCACAGAAAACCAAAGAAAACCTAAGAAACTTAAGAAACCAAAATAATAAGTACATACTATAATTATGCAGATTTTATTCTATCAAGTATACTTACTATAAAGTACTGTAAAATACTACTACTAAGTTGGCTGAAAGGTCAACCCAGCAACAATGTTGAAAAAAATGACCGAGGAGTGGCAATAGCCAAAGGGGGTGTCTGTTTTATTTAAAAAAAGGGAGTGACAATAGTCAAAAGGGCGTGCAAGGGGGTGACAATAGCCAAAAGGGGGTGGGAGGGGGTGACAATAGTCGCACCCTATTTTAATTGTGTATCCTTTCAGTTTGATTGGCGGATCGGATTATCGATTAATATACCGACATTATGCCACTCTTTATTTTGTTTTTTGTGTGGATTCGTGCGAAAGCGAGCTAGGCATTTTGGATCTCATACAGGTACGAACGAGTTTTACAGTGACTTATAATAATTCCATTTTAATTTGTAGTTGTTTCGGTTCTGCTGGTTACGTAACGAAATGTTTGTTGCTTTGCATTTGTTTATGCTCAATGTGGTGCGTTAACGCGCATTATTTACTCTTGGTAAGTATCACGTACTATTAAAATTTCGGAGGATCGGTGCAGTTGGTTATTATTAGGCTTTTCGCTTTGATTATGTTGGAAACGTTTTAGAAAATTGTAAACTCTGGTGTCTGCAGGAATGTGTGCTGGATTGAAAACAAATCATGTGTGAACCTTGTTATGTACCGTACGTTGTTTGCGCACAGTTGGATTAGACAAGCCACAAATAATTCCGCACTTATCTTTATTAATTTTGAAGTGTATCTGTAGACGTACGGGCTACAGTGCATTTCTACAGCGTCTTCAGGCATTGTATAAGTTAAAAACGACCCTGTAACCTAATCGAAGCACTGCTTTCTAGGTTTTTGTGGAGACGCTAGATAAATGCTTTGAGAATGTCTGCGAATTAGACATGATTTTCCACGTGGATAAAGTGCATCATATTCTTGATGAGATTGTCATGGGTGGAATGGTGCTGGAAACGAGTATGTCAGAGATCGTCATGAGAATTGAAGAGCAAACAAAACTGGAAAAACAGGAAGCCGGTCTCTCCTCTGCTCCTGGAAGAGCCGTGAATGCCGTGAAAAATATTGATCTCACACAGATAAGGGATATCAAACTGCCCGATATACAGCTTCCTGCGTTTAAAAATTTTAAACTGTCTTGATTTTCATTCTCCAAACTGATGGCATTCCTTTAGCGGCATGAATTTGCTGGTAGTTTAATCCGTTGAAGCGTTTTGCGGTTGGTAATGTCCGTAAGATACCGTAGTATTCGGCAGTAGTCGACACTGCTCTTTTATTCTTTAAAACAGCTATAAAGTTAAGACGATTTGCTTGTTCGTAAGCTGGATGTATCGACATGGGCGATATGAATTAAAAAGTTCAAGAAAAACAATGTGCTGTGTAACCTGTGTTTTATTGGTTGATCAGGATATTTATAGTGTAACTGTGAGTGTGCATCCCTTCTGTCTGTAAATGTTGGGAAGTGACCGTGTGTTGTTGTTATTCCAACTTCTACTGTGGTAGGTAACCTGGAGAAACTATGCTCTCCAAAATCCAGACTATGTATAAAATTATTTAAAATCAGAGACACGACGATGACTACACGTAAATACACGCATGCTTGATTGGAGGCTAATTCGGTGTCTTCTAAATTTTGAAGCTTAGCAGACATCGAATTAGCCGACACATTCTAGGCAACGCGGAGATGAAATGGTCAATATGGATATTTGAAGTATTCATTTTCTCAAAACGCACTGAGAAAACTCAGTTCCGAATAAAGATCTGGAGCAATAGCCGCCGACGCTATCCGAATAATTGCTTTATTTTTTTCCAGCAAACGTAGAAGTATTATATCTAAAAACATAAATTATACTCGTACATTCGGAGAGGGCTGGAGAGGCGGATACCAAGATTTTTATAAAATTCTCGCGTATCTGCCACTTGCCGACTGTGCTTGTAGATTTGCCCCGTTTCAGCTTTTTATGTGTCTGTTTTTAGCTTAAATTGTGAAAGCAAAAGTTCAAAGCAGAACACGTAAAACTAATATTGTCATATAGTACTCGTATACTATATTATTCACCGCACTACCGTTGTGAGTCGAATGCCGGGGATGATTTTCCTAGACAGGTTTCATTTGACAAAGATTTTCAGATTTGACAACTGTAGAGAAGCATCATTCGCAAATTAATTTGTTTTAATTAGCTAGCGCTCGTCAACATTTTTTTTGCTCTGCACTATCAAGTATTCTTCTTGTAACCCTGAAGCCCTTCGCAAACAATGAATTGCTGGAAGAGTCTGGGATAAGTGACCGACTTATTCATTGTGTTTCGGTTCATTTGCGTTCATTTGAATTTTTTACGCTTCCGCGGCTACAGCGGAATCAAAGGGCAGGGACGACCCCAACAAATCGGCAGATTGCAAGACACCGTCATCGATCATGATAACTTCTGAAACTACCTGAACACCGACGATCCTAGAAATGCATATGGTCAACGATATGCCCCTTTTTACTAACGCGGTCGCACTCCCGAGCTCCCATCGTTTACGGAAACTTCAGTGATTTTTATCCCTTAATCGTTGCACAGCAGAACTTTACTCGTGGTAAAACCCACACATGTCTATACGAGTAAGTCCAGCATACGCATATCGTATAAATACATATATTGTATTATACTGTATATACTTACAGTGCTGTAGAATTTTTATTGTAGTTGTGGGTAATTTGACTGACCACACAATGAATTTCTATGTGGCCCTGCTACTGGCATGCGCATCCTGTTGACACATTATTACACCTGACTGTTGTACCTGCTGCAGTCTGATCATATCAGTTAGGATTGCTCGCTGGACAGTGACGTGTGGAGGAGTACGTACGAGGGATTCCACCGTACATCCACTGACTGTTCGCCTTCACCTGCAAGTACAACACCGGATATCAGCACCGATCAGTTCTGTGATTCGTTACATTTATGGCTTAGCGGTGTATCTGATGTTTTTACTTCTGAGTCTATTTAAGTCTGAGATTCTACTAATATCGGGAAGGGATTGGAATTCAGTCTTGGATTTCTGATCTGACGACTACTTGCTTTTAACTTTCCTTGTGTTGTGCATATGATTGTGTGTTAGCGGAGTAAAGCATCTTCTGTGATTATCGACGTTCGTAATTTATATCGGATTATAGCGTGGTAAACACGGTATGCTCGTACTTCGTTCGACCCGCATATGTGACGACCGGAAGTTAGGAGTATTCTTCAGCACAATCGCTTAGGGATTCCTGATCTTCGTGTTCCTGAACCTACCAGATTCCATACATTTCCTGTGATCCGCTGTAACAATTGAGACAAGAGTCGCGATACTCACTGAGCAAGGCAGGGATAGTGGTTACGACGATCCCGTCCGGAGAGTCGTTAGCTAATCGTGTACTTCTTTGTACCATTGGCAACCTCATAACACGACAACAGCAAGCGGATGACTCTGTTTGCCGGAAATGAATTTGACTATGATCATAAACACGTGCATCTCTATGCCATGATTTACCTTGACGAGTGCACCAGTGTGGAGATGTAACCTCAATTAATTCTTTAATTGTTGCGTCATAGGCCGTATAACAACAAATTAGTCATTAGTCTTGGGTGCCCTAGCAGCTGCATCACTGTTCACTACAATATCACCATCTTCAACATCATCCAGATTTCCCGACCCCTCCCTGCATGCACAGGTTCGTATCTCTGCTTGCTGTGGATGCGACAACAGATTTGCAAATTTATGTTCGCGTGCAATGACAAATGCCGCTTATGCTCTGGTTCAAGTCAAAACATAATTTTGATTAATTATATCTGTGGTAAGCGGGTTCGCAGAAAGCTATAATACCGGCAGATTTTGGAGCCCGTGCAGTGCGAAAGTCAGTGGTTGCCCTCTGACTTGAAGCTGTCAAGGGTGTTTAATTCAGCGATGAACTACGGTACATTACTCGTAAATATTGTAGTCGATACAAAGTTTGTATTACAAACTGTGAAATATAGATGCATCTATTGCATAAGTTTGCCATGTTCAGTAAACAGTTCAATATGCTTCTGATTTTTGAGAGATCGCTTAATGCTTGGAATACAGTGAATATATCTAGACGACTGCCCAAACGTACTTGTTGTCTTTAGTAATTATTTTGATGACTCTGGCTTTATGCATTTATTATGATGCCACCGGAAATGTCGATACTGTGTTCAAACTGTTCACAAACTGCCGCACAGCTGAACACACCAGTCGGCATCTTGGATCCGATTCATCAGTCCACGGAATTTTTTGTCTTAATGGTTATTTTGATGGTAATGGCAATAATTGGGAATTCCGTTATATTGATTCTTTTGGGACGATCGAGTAGATGCAAAAGATCTGTGTCCATCTTCATTTTATCATTGGCTGTGGGTATGTCGGTATTGCTTATAAGATATATATAATTATGTTATTTATGTAGAATGAAATATTATTTATGCAAATTTTGTCATATATATAAAGAAGTGCTATAGCGCTAGCTCGACAATACACAGTTTACCATAAGTACAGTATGTTCTAGAAGTATATATTTTTTTTATCTGCATACAGTTTTTATAAATTACAGGCGATATTTTCATCGCGATAGTGAGTATGTCAACGGAAATACTTTGGGAGGAAATTGGGCAATGGACGTATGGAAATGCTGCGTGTAAAGGCTTATCCTATGTGCAATGTCTGCTATTTGCCAGCACCGCATTTCTCCTGATGAGCATGAGTTATGACCGCTATAAAGCGATCTTGTACCCATTGAACTGGTCGCGTTCCATTGCGCGCAGCCGCCGAATGGTCGCCATTTCGTGGATTTTGGCGTTTGTCGTTGCGGTTCCTCACATCTTCGTTTTTGTTCTGGTACTGCAAATTTTTATGAAATTTAAAAATGTTATGAGAAAAATAAGGAAAATACCATGAGAAACTGGGTCGTAATCATTATAATACTCGTATGTTACTAAATAAGGCTAAAATTTATTTTGCGGTAAATGCATCCTGATCTAATCTGCATGTTTTGAAATACTCGTACTACGAAAATCTGCGTACGTGAGTAAATTTTAGCATTTTAATATTGCTAATAATAATTTTTCAGCATGGTGCTGTTAAGTACTTAATTACTCACTATTTTTGATTTCTTGCTGGTTGTGTTAAATTAAAAATCTGATATTTGTGCGGAAAGTTTAAATTCATTTGACAGAGACAAGATTAACGCACCGCAAGATTATGCACTATGTTGATTAAGTTACGTATTTTGCGATCTGTTTCCGAAAATCTGCGGCGTGGGCTTGGAATTATTGACAGGATTAACGTTTTTACATTTTTTTGCATCTGATTGACTTTCTGTCGTGGAGTATATGCACTGTATTGGCTGGCTATAAAACACAAACCGGTACGATGCACAGATGCATTTCCATGACCGGAAGTCTTTAAACTTCGAAGATTAACTTGTCACATGCAGCTGCAACAACACACATGCATGATTTGTCGTATATCCGGCGTAGGTGGACACCGGGACACTTCCGGATGGATCGCGCCGAATGGCATGCCGCTCGCAGGGCTACACCGCCGCATGGCAGCGGAAGCTTTATGTAACATGGCTTGCCATCTACGTCTTCGTAATCCCCTTGTGCTTCATGGGATTTTGTGGCCTTAAAATAGCGTTAGCGGTGTGGAAGAAGAGCCGAGAGCATGACCAGGCATCCGGCGTACTACGCCGTAATACCTACATGCAAACAAATATTTTATCGCATGCCAAAATGCGGACGATCCAGTTAACACTATGTATGCTGGCGTCATATTTAATCTGTTGGTCACCGTATTTCACGGTGACCTTACTGAACGTATGGACCGATTACCGTATGAAGGAGCACATACCTCGTGCGGTCAGTATTGCAGCACAGTGCGGTGCATGGTTTTCCAGCTGCATCAATCCCATCATCTACGGACTATTCCAGCTTAGCATGGACAGTCTGCGTAGTATGATGTGCAAGCAGAAGCCCAAGCAGTTGGATTACGATTCCCAGCACAATGCGCTGTTGAATGGACAATTACGAGCGGCATCAGCGCCGGCCAGCGCGACGCACATGCATCATGATGAAAATCTGCCGCTCTGCACGCGAACGGTTGCTTTGGGATCGGGATATCTGCACCCACCAACGGCAACTTCCCACAGGCCGCGAGCCCGCTCCGTGTTATGATTTCCCGTTTTAAGCGGCATAAAAATTCGATTAATGTAATCAGATTTACTGCAATTTTCTCGTTGGGTACAATATTATTAGTGTCGAACGAGCGTAGCAAACAGTGCCGAGAAGCGTTTAGCTAGTCTGACAAATAACAATTAAACATTAAATGCGTAATCATATTGGTGGCATTTCCGCTGGAAACCATGATCAAGAAGTGCCGGCAGTTCGACGCAGGCAGTTTGGAGAATGCTATGATACACATTTCTATTGCTAAAGGAAGTATTCTTGAAGTGTACACGTATCGGCGTACTCGTATGCATATTGTGAAACAGTAAATAAGTACCTGTAGATCGGGTTAGATCTGTCAGACTTTTTCTTTAATGACAGCACCTCCGCTTCCGATATACTTGTATTCATACGAGGCTACAGTTAACGTTGTAGAGCTGCCGCCATCTTCTGGTGTAACCGTGTAAGTTCTTCAAGTACTGTAACCAACGTAGAGGTCACGGTTGTTTTTCCATTGCTTAAAAATTTAACTGTAATGTATTTATTTAGTATGTCCGCGTTTGCATTTAACCCTTTATAATTTATTATGGCTGTCGCCCGATAAAGTTTATCAACATATTCTTATAATTTTATCATAGAAACCAACATTGGCAGTTGTGACGCGTGTTCATTATGCATCGCACAGTCCCGCTAAAACTGGTTGATACTTTAGCGAGAATTTTCTATACTTTACTATACGATGGTTGATACTTTAGCGAGAATTTTTCTACGCTATGTAGATTCTTCGTAATGGAAGCAATAATTACTACAATACTGTACTGTACTCGTACATGAGCGTACAAGCTTCACATATTTTTTTACTTTATTGACTCGTGAGTCGTTAGTAGAGTCATTACAACCGATTTTTTGTAATGATTTGTATTTTGTAGTACTCGTAGTGAAGAATAAAATGCTTATTAGGGACACCTCGGAACTCAGAAGTACCGCGCAACGCCAGCAAAGATGGCCAAAACCAAAAGCAATGCTACTCTCGTAATCCGTTCAGCAAACACTGCACATACTGATTTTATTACGCGGATTAAGTTACAGGTAACGAAACCAGATCAAAGTAATCGAAAGACCCGGAACGACCGTTTGAATTTAGAACCACATGTTGATATTTACGGTAAAATTGTTAGAGAATCGCAAAACGATAAACTCGAGCATCACCCACAGTCAACAGAAATAATCATGCACTAACTAACTGCAAGTAGGCACACAACCAATACACGCACAAATCTCCCACATAGGCGCAACCGGATTAAGCTGCTAAAATTTCCTAAATTCATAATATACTCTATCGGAATGATTTTTCTTGTTTCCTGCACCGACGACTAGGCCCGGAAGTCCTCAGAGCTAAACATTCCCTTAGCGCGACGAAGAATGGAGTCCTTGGTGGCATCATAAGGATGGTCTTTAGAAGGAATTTCCAGAACCGTGGGAATTGTCTGATGATAACTGTCCACAACGTAGCGGATCATTTCAGCAATATTCTGGCTTATCAAAATGATACCAATGTCGTCCCTCTTGCAGAAGGCTTTAAATGCGTCTTCAATCTCGCTAACAGCTGTGTTCTTGTTGACAACGAAGAAATTAGGCTGGCGCTGTTTATTCAGTTCTCCAATACCACCAAGGAGGAAGCCCACGCTAGTGTCTTCATCCCCAATTATCGCAATCAGTTTGCCTTTCGCAGCTTGGGTCATGATCGATGATTACACAATAACTAGGTAGATCTCTTTTGGTTAGTTTGTCACTCCACAGTCCACACTGACACAAACCGTCACAAACGAGATCAATTCTGAATCCTGCAAACACAGTAAGCTGCAAGCAAGTTATATCACAGCCCTTCAGCTTCAGCAGTAGCTATGACGATTTTACGATTCTAGCAAGATATTTTTCACACGGTGCAACACCGTATTGCGTGCAAAGCGACATAGAAATATATCATAAGCTAGATCGCCAGAAGATTAAACATTACTGTAATATTGCTGCTCAAAGTCAAAGAAGCAGACTATCTGACTATGTACCAGATTCAACTCAAAATGCAATACCTCTCGTCAAGTTATTCTCGCAGATGGCCAGCAGCCAAGATCCAAAATTCTTCTTTAATACTTCACGATTGGAAATTGCGATATTCCGAAATCGGGATAAATACGTAAGCGAAAGAGGAATACGAATCTGAATTAAAAGAATAATAAGAGACCCCGCAAACCACGAAAATCACATGACAAACTTTTTGCTATCCCAGACCGTGCTGATAGCGAAGTTAGCCCCGAAGTGTTACTCGATGCTACTAGCGTAACGAGCTTTGGAAAGTTGATTTTACCCTTATACAAGATTCTTAGATTTCTGAGAGATTTCAATCAAGTGAGCTTCGCCACGCCAATCCGCGTTTTGGCGATTTCCACAAATTTATAATAATGGAAGTTTATTGTCCTTTGCACGGAGCATTAGCCCCCTCTAGGCTACAGACAACAGTCGTGAAACGACATTGGAGTACAACAATGAAGATCGCAAAAACAAAACACAAAGCATTCTTCAGCAAAACACAAAAACATCAACCAAACGACTGATCAGATGCAGTAACATTAAGAGACATAGAGATGGAAATAAACATTATTTTTTCGGTTGCGATAAGTTGACGCTATATTACTGTGGAAAAAAGGGAGGGAGACGATCGCGCTGGGGTCGATGCATAAAACCAAAACCCACGTACAGCTAAATTAATTCAAATTTTCAAAAAGTATTCCAAAAGAAATCGTGGGAAAAAGGAAAGCAAGGACACTTACGCACGTAATCGCCTTTCTGTACTGTACTATTTCAACTAGTCGCAGCCGTTTATGCGTAACAGTACACACTCAATAAAGTACCCATTACCTACAAGGATAGCAAAGAAAAAGCGCAGATAAGCATTTATTTAGAGTAAAGATTGGCTTTTAAGATTTCAACCGACGGCAGCACATTCAATTTCACGGTTTCCAGGGCTTCCGAAAAGGCTTTTAATGTGACATAGGCTACTGGCTGCAAAGGAAGCTCGTTCCAGATGGAGGCGAGGGTGTTTATATAGGACAGGTGGTCAGTAGTCACTGTTATCCCACAAAAGGTCGTCGCGGCAGGTTTTATAGGACATGGATGTTTCATTAGACGCTCGGATGATCTTGTGTTTCCTGCAACAGACTCAAACGCAGAGACCGAAAACGTAAGAGGAGTTACGATTTGATCACCCATAGGAATCACCCGAAAGACCAATTTATACAAAACAACAGCGCTTTTTTTAAACGGCGAGTAATTAAATCATCCCATTTAAGCTCTTTTAGCCGTGCACCATAATTTAGAACATTGTTGCCGAGTCGCAAGGATTTAGTGAATCTTCTCTGGCAACGTTCTAAGAGATCAGCGGACTGTTTGAATAACGGGTGCGTGATGGAGCAACAGTAATCGATGACCGAGAGGACAAGAGACTCAAAAAGTCGTATGCGAGCACCGCAATCAGTATAACGGAAAATGTGATTAATGTAGCTGATTTTTCGGTTGCATTTTTTTGCTACATTTTCACTATTTAATTTAAAATTTAGTTTTCGGTCAACGAATATGCCCAAGTGTTTGACATGATCACAATTTGGAATCGTAACATTATCGATACTGTAATAATATGGGCAGACCGAGGATTTCTGTTTTGAGAAGTGAACGTGGGCAGACTTAGCAGCGTTTAGACTGAGCTTTTTGCTAGCAAGCCATTCATTGAGAGAAGTAAGATCTTCCTGCAACAGCTGACTGTCACCTGTTTCAGTAATGGGGCGAAAAATAACTACGTCATCTGCAACAAACGAGAGCGGCGCTACCGTTTTTTAATGCGCGGAGAATGAAATTTAAGACACAAATGAACAGTAGTGGCCCTAAAACTGAACCCTGCGGTACACCACTGTTAACGGGTAACGAATGAGCAAACTCATTTCCAACTGTCACACATTGTGTTCGATCTTTCAAGTAATCAGAGACCAAATGTACGATGTGACTGGGAAGATTCATTTCGATCAGCGCGTTTATGATGGATTCGTGGGAAAGCTTATCAAAAGCTTTTGAGCAGTCCAAGAATACTGCATCTACAGCAATGCCGCTTGTGTTGAAATCGTTCAAAGACTTGACAAAAAGAAATAGCTGTAGCTCAGTAGACCTTTTATGCCGGTAAGCAAACTGGTGATCCAGAAGTATTGAATTTTTGTTCAAATGTTCACGAATTAATTGATCAAGACAACGTTCAAAAATTTTTGAAACTGGGTTCAACATTGAAACTGGTCGATAGCTACCCGGCAATCTGTGATCTGCAGAGATTTTCGGTACTGCTGTTATAAACGAATGCTTCCACTTCACCGGAAACACACCTTCATTGATAGCGGCATTAAAAATTAATCTGAGCGGAGCAAGAATGCCTGGAGCAGCAATTTTCAGAAGTTTGTTAGTGATTTCGTACTTGCCACTTGAAGTTGTTACAGAAATTTTCGCAAGTTGTTCAAAAATCAAAAGCTCCGAGATTTCCCACCTTTCTTCGTTGCCGCAAATTAAATTTAAATCAGAGCCAGTACAGTGCGCGTTGCAGGTCGACTGAGACTCGCGGTACAGAGCGTTCAGTAGATTAGCTTTTTCGTTATCTGTAGCTGCCGTCGTGCCATCCGGCCTTTTGAGAGGTGGCATACCGATGCGGTCATTCATCGATTTCATATACCGCCAAAATTTGGATGGATTGTTTCTGTGTGCAGTGGAAATATCAGAAAGTCTGTGTTTTTCAAATTTTCTTAGCAGCACACTTAATTTCTTTGACAACTTTTTCCATTTAGTTTTCAAATTCGGTAGATTTATCTGTCGGTATTTACGAAAAGCAAGATCTCTTGAATTTATTACTTTTTTAATATTTCTAGGATATTTCACTGCACCAATCCGAATTTTCACGTCACTAAATTCAAAATATGCTTTTGCTGTTTCGAGAAAAACATTTTCAAATTTATCTGCTCTTTCATTAACGTTTAAATTGCAAAATAAACTTTCCCAGTTGACAACATTTAACGCGTCGATGAACTGACCAACATTATTGCTTTCGATTTTCCATCGCTTAACAGTACGAAATTTTCTGCGATATTTCTTTAGTTTCAGAGAAAATTCAAAACCGATATGATCGTTGGTAGAGGAGGGCGGGCTGATGGGAACTGCTGGTGAAAAAAGCGAGTTGGCACTGATGAGACACAAGTCAAGACAATTGTTCTTCCTGGTTGGAAAGTTGACTAGCTGTATCATCTCGAATTCTTTGATAGCGGACAGCAGCTCACGACTGGCTGGTTTTCTTGCGGTTTTATTAGACCAATTTATGTCAGGCCGATTGAAATCACCCATGATTATGCATTTTGCTAATAGACCAAGAGAAATTAGAACGCAGGTGTTTAATCAGGGCAGGCACAAGATGAATACTTTTATCAGGGGGCGCATAGAAAGCAATAAAAATACGATCAATAGCACGAGACTCAACGCACAAAATTTCAATGGAAGGAGTATTAAGCTCTGGCATGGGAAAAGCACAAAGAGATTTTCTGATAACAACAGCAACACCACCACGACCATCAGCTCTACCATTTCGAAAGACATTGTAGTTATCCAGGTCAGCAAAATCAGAACCTGTCATAAATGGTCTATCATATGTTTCAGTAAGAACGGTCACATCACTGTCCGAGCAAAACTAATTTCACTTCTTCACGTTTGTTCTTGACGCTTCTGACATTACAACATCGTATGCGGATGTTCTCAAGAAGAACAGGATGTTTCGGTTGTCGACTATTTACGGTCGGGTAGCCAATATCGTTACTGGACAAATTTTCATCGTTAAGCATTGTCGAACAATTATTTGGCACAGCCTGGTTGTTAATTAAAATTTCGTTAGCGTTTACCGGTTTTTTGGGAAATTTCGGTTGTAAAAGTATCGCGAATTTTGAAGACAGAGCAATAAAAGTGGTCATACGCCGTATGGTAGTTTGTCGGAGAATAAACACCGCTATCACTACAATTTGCGCAAATGAATCGAAAATCAGCATTCTCCGTGCAGTCGTTAGTGTGATGGGATTTAGCACAAAACGCACAGCGAGGGGATTTTTCACACTTTGTCGAAGTGTGACCGTAGGCACAACATCTAGTACATTGTGGTACGTAAACATGGTCCTCTATAGGACATCGGGACCACTGAATCATTAAGAACCGTTGGTCAGTCAGGATATTGCGAACATCCTGGCTGACCTCGAAAATTGCACACGTGGATACTTCCTCTCTTTGACTGGTCAACCGGGTGACAATTTTAAGCACTGAATTGGGTGGGATGTTTACTTTAACGCGTAATTCTTTCAAGAAATCGTCATTAGACAGTGTTTTTGGGACTCGGCGAACAATAACCCTTGACGTTTTGGGTTTAGTACTGACCACATCATAACCCAAAGCTTCTGAATGGCTTTCCAAGATTGACTTACCATTTGCGGCACTGTCGGCATTCTTAAAACGAAGTAGAACACGCTTACCACCAATGGGACGGATGTCGGTCACGTTCAGATCAGCGGCACCAGCAGGGAGAGCAGTGTTGAGAGCATTGGATAGTTTGGTGAGCTCACTTGTTGTTGTGCGGGATCTGGGAGGAGGTAGTGGCTCTGTCTTCTTCGGCTGGAGGATGACTGCCGGCACAGGTTCTTTCGTGATGGCGGCATAAGTTTTTCGCGGCTTGTCGTGGTGGTCATCGGTAAGGGTGCCGGTATCTTCAACACGGGCACTAGTAATTTTGGAAGTAAGTACTGTAAGTAAGTAAGTAATTTGGAAGTAAGTAAGTAATTTTGAATTTTGGAAGTAAGTACTGTAACATGATTTGGATTTTATCCATTTTCTGCGTGCATCTCGATATTCCTTAAAATTTCTGATTCTCGATGAGTAAGCACTAAGAAGTATCAAGTAAGCAGCAATCTTTGTGATACATGTGACATTTCTATTTTATGGTGAGTGAGTCAATGCAGCATTCTTTTGATCCTGATTCGGGCTGAAAATTACTGTTGCGTTAACGGATAACCGGCTCGGTTTGTTGTTGCAACTAGGAGTGTTCGTGACTTGGTCGTTTCTCTTCGCAGTCGCAAATCATCGGCAAATCACTAAACTTTGCAGGAGACGAGGACTACTGACTAATAACCCTGGGATTTCTGTTAGCAGGGTTTTCTGATGACTGCATAACTCGTAGTTCCATACTTCTATTGTGAAGACAGAAGAGGCAAACACATCGCCAACGGTGGCAGTGGCAGCCCCGAAGAGCATTGTCATACAAAAATGTACGGTTGGAATCCTGCTTCTCACTCGACTCCCTTGGATCGACCGTTACGAACCGGTAGTATCGGGAATCTGCCGCGTGTTTCCGATCTGTCAGCGATCAGTGGATCTCCGGATCGTCGAACATTCTCCCCCATTAAAACGGAACCGGGCACTTCGCTACTGCTGCAGTCCAGCTCAAGTTCTCCGCTGCGCAGTTTCGGTAGTTCCCCTCACGGTAGTTCCTTAGCCGCTCAGGTTGGCGCCAACCAGCTCAATCAAACCATCTCGGGACACTATGTCACGGCACGTTCTCCTGTATCTTTACTGGCTCCACGTTCGGATGACGATATGGATCACGGGTTTCCCATGCACATGGATAATGACTCCTTGGAGTTCCCATCGTTTTCCAACAAGGACCGCGTCGATCTCCAGCAAGCCAGTCTCCATTTGGAAGAATGCATCAAGAAAGATTTGGCCAAGGCGGATATTGCCGATCAACTGGTAGCCACCAATGCAGGTAAGAGAAACTCAGAGAATTATTTTTTTGCCAGTTTCGAATCTTATGTATTTTAATTGTGTTTTGTATACATACTAAGGAATTGATTTAGATTCATTATTCTCATGGCTACAACCAGACGCTGCTGCTTTAGAATCATATTAAGAAGCAAAATAATAAGTAAAGTACTTTGTATTACAGTTGTATTAATAATTAATGGTGTATTTTTTATCGTTGTGTCGCTTAACTTGTAGGTCTCCCACAAGTACCCAGCGCCAGTGGTTCTCACCCAGATGATTATGTCGCCAGCGATGTTCCTCATTTTCGAGTATCCCAGGAATTTCCCGTGCATGATGTGATAACGGCCGAAATCAACGCCAATACGAGCGGCTTTTCATCGTTGGGAACGTTTCCCGAATTACAGATGGCCTGGGTAGCATTGGACACGAAATTGTATGTTTGGCCGTGGAAAGATCCGGCGAAGACAACCTGCATTGAGTATCCGGAATTTGTCACGGCTGTGGGATTATTGCCGACTTGGTCTCCTGATTTAATGTATCTGGGAGCTCAATACTGTATCGTCGCGGCGACGCTAACGGAAATTTTATTCTCCAAAGTGACGTTGACTGGAGTGCAGCACGTCATCGAGACCAGACGATTTGTGTTGCGAGCTTCGACGAACGATCAACGGCTGTGTAAAATTCAGTGCACAAAACAAGGGCGAGTCTTTTTCGGCAATGTGGAGGGCCATGTGTCGGAATTGCAGAACATCAAGCAGACCATGTTTACGAAATGGCTGTGGTTTGGGCCGAGACTGGCCAATTGTACGCTGGCTGTGTATGAGCGCATTGCCTGCGCCGTTCCCGGATTCCATCTCTTGTTTAGGAAAGAGCCTGTGGTTCAGATGATTCTGGACGATACTCGTAAAGTATGTTATATTGTCAGCTAATGTATTTAGTTGTATTTATTGAGAATGTTCTTTTCCAGATTTTATATACGCTTCGAAAAGATAATAACGTGGACCTATACGATTTGGGAATCGATGGCACATCGGGAGTTCGTCACATTCATCTCAGTTTCCAGAATATTGTTAATCAAGCCTTGCCTCTGTTGAGAAATGTGGATCGGTTGCAGATAAAACAAATAATTTCCATTCACCCCGTGGACACATGGGAAAGTGCTCGCTACGCCTTCTTTCTTCTGACTTCCGCTGGTTTGCGATTGTACTTTGCCGTCAGTGCCAGTGGTCTGGGCGATCGGCCACGAGAATTTCTTTTGGGTCACATCCGATTTCCACCGGGACACAACCCATCGACTCCTGTTTCGCAAATCACCACGCATTTGAATCTGAGTAATTCGTACAGCCTGGACGGTACAGTTCTCATGATCGCTCCCGATGATCGAGAAGATCAGGACAATATCATCTCATGCAGTAATGATCTGCATATTTATGAGGAGAAATATCGAGAGAGTGTTAGCGTAATGGAAGTACCTTATCATATTGAACACTTATCGGAATTACCGCAGCATGCCGATGATTCACTGATATTACGGTTACGATCTCTTGCGCTAAACCAACTGACTTCTAGTAGAAAGCACATTATTGCCCTCACGGCGAAGAAGTGCTACATTCTGGAGAAGTCTTACCCCGTGGATATCATGGAAAAGATGCTCCGAACCCACAGCCCCATGTCAGCCCCGATGAGAGAATTCATCGAATCCATGCCGCCATTTCATAGTTGTTTCCTAGCTCTGCACCTCGCTTGTACGACCAACTCAACGGAAGTGCAGCGTTTGGCCACAAAAATTCTTCGGGTTTATGGTGGTGAGCCAGTATTTGAGAATCAGCTGCCATTGAACGGTAGAATGGTGCAACAACCTTCTCAAACTGCAACGAGTCCGATTATTTTTTCTGCCAAACATGACGCCTTTTTCTATCTCGTGGGTCGCATCTTGGGACCCTTATGGGGAATTAATCCATTTGTGTTCGGAGCCGAGTACAAAGGTTTGTAAATTCGCGTAATAGCCTGAATTGTTTAGCTTTATCTCAAAAGGGTAACTTCAGCTGAAATTTGTGCTGACATATAGGTAACCCACTTATGAGCCAAAAATTATGTTTTCTCTTGATTTGCTGTGTGGTTAGAAATGGTTGGTTGCAGGCTCCGTTGCATGGATTACAGGCATTCCAGCTTCTGACATTCCATTGTTCATCGAACAGTTGTCGCTGGTTAAACGTTACCTCGAAACCAACTGGAATGAATTATTCTACCCAGGTCGTGCTTCCACTCGTCACGGAATGCCATCCGAAGATGCCATTACTGCCATAAACGCAACCAAGGTCGAGATGACGTCCATCAAGTCATTAGCCGCAATTCTAGAAAGGACCATACAGATACTGAAGCTCTGGGAATTTCTTTTACAAGAAGGGTTATCGCAGATTCTGGATTATGTGAGCCGAGCGTTTTCAAAGGAAACACTGATGCAGGTCACGTTCCCTGACCTTTTGAATTCACCCACCGGAAGCAGCATCCTCCAGGGAATTATCAAAGCCATTCACCAACGCTACATCGACGAAGGTACGGACACCGAAAGCATACTGCGAATAAGCTCAACAATTCAAGAATTATGTCCCAAATTATTTGATGCCGACGACGCGGTGACCATGAAAGTGCTGACTCTGATCAACCAGGCTAAGGCCAGCGGTGACAACACGGAAGCGTTGAGTATTTTGGACAGTGCCCTGAATTCCATTCGCGGTAGTGCGACAATTATGGGACTGCAAGAAATTCTGGATCGGTTGAGGGAGTGCGAATTCTACGAAGCCATGGTCGAATTGTGCTGTCTGGCAGCTCTGCAGTCTGATCCCCAGAACTACGCCATTCGGTTTATTGTAAATAATGAGTCGCAGTCCGATACACTGGGGAAAATCGCTATGGAACGTCGACAAAAGTATTATTTTATTATTGCCAAAGTGTTGTCTGATTTGGATGTTCTGGCGTCCGGCTCGTCGGGGTCCAGTTCGGGTACTCAGCAGCGCAAGCCGGCGGAGATGCGCAGGAAACTGGAATACATTCTTGACTGGATTTACACGCAATCCAATGATGTACTGTTGCATTTCTCGGTGTTTGAGTGGTGCTTCAGTATGCAGTTAGATCAGTACGCCATGGCTAGTGGTTCGCCGTACTTGAAGGATTATCTCTTCCGAAAACTGGCATCCTTCCCGCCAGCTGATGTGGAGGGTATAGTGCGATTCTTAAAACTAGTAGCCGATTGTTGCGAGAGATCCGGTGATAAATGGACGGCTGCGAAGGCGTTGTTCCAGCTGGCTGTTCATGAAACTGCACGCATTCCAATAACTGAACGTGTTGATTACTTGTTGAAAATTGATTTTCTCTGCCAGCCGATGGAAATTCAGAATTCCTTACCAGATTTATCGGAATTTCTCATCACTGTTCGAACGCATCGCACGGTAAACTTAGAAAGTTATTACACTGTTAAACAGCTTCCATAGTTCTGAACTTAATTAGCTAAATACTTAATTAGCTATTTAAATACTTTATTTAAATACTTTTTTACTTTATTTAAATACTTAATTAGCTATTTTTATGTGCATTTCCCATACTCAGTTTTACGTTCCAGTTGGCGAGCGTTCAGAAGGACATCTATCTCCACGTGGATGGAAAGGACTTTGATGTTGCCGTCACGCCGGACGCGATGAATCGGGTGATGTATGAATTATTGGATGTGAATAAGGTATAGCACGATGCTGCTACTCCTTCCTTTGCTCCGTAATAACAGCTAATAGATACTGTTTTTAGTTATTCCAATTGGTAACCGAAATCAACATGCCACAATGGACGCTGGTCATTCTGGGTATTTGTGGTGAACCTCCTAACTCCAGATTGATTGTTCATACGTGGGGCAAATTTTTCCAAAATGGTATGGCTGGAATTTTGCTGCTTTTGTTTTAATTTGAATTGAATTTAAAATGTGGTATGAATATTTTGTTCTCAGCTATCGAGTTCGGCGAACGACGGCAAATATCTCGCGATGCATTGATTGCTCTTATCACAGAGGAAATAATTAGAGTCAGATCTCATTTGTCGAACTCAGATCAGTATTGTACTTTGGGTAAGTGTTTTGGATGTCGTTTATTGTGGTTGAATTCATGAACTCGTGAACTCATGAATAATTTTTTCTGTTTAATTTTATTAAAACCTAAATCATGTGTCGTGACTTACAGAGAGTGTGCTGGAAGGCTTCGAGAAAAAATATGCTTCAACGAGAAGATCTCTTGAGGATCCGGTTTTCGTATTTGACTGCATTCATCAAGGTCTCGGTCAGAGCATTATGGATATTATTGACGTCTACCACAAGCTGTTTGGGAGATACACAGCCGATGTGAGTATTCAAGATGTTGCGGAAAAAAACGGCATTATGGTACCAGAAGTCTGAATTTCATCGTGGTATCTTCCAGATCGTTATGTCGCCGCATTTGCTTCGGGTGCATATTTTCATTGTGAATAACGTGATGGGAAACACACTCAGTAGATCTCTTCCAAAAGATAAAAGGTACGAATTACGTTTTATTTCAGAGAAACAATTTGCCTTGTGGAAAAAAATGGAAAATGAATGACCTTATGTGTGCTTGTAGGAAGGTGATTCTGGGACATTATTCACGATGTTTGGATAGTTATCTGAAAGTCGCGATGCGCCTGCAACTGGCGGATGAGAATATCCTCATAGAACTTCAGCAGACTTGCAAGGCTGTAAGCGATTGGATGAATTGAGATTTTCTAATTCAGCTTTTGTGAAATTTACTGGTAGTTTTTTACATTTTTGTACCGTTTTACCTGTTCTTGAATCCTGACACTGGGAAAAACGGATTTTTTGACATGCTGTTTTGCAGCTTGCATTTGGAAAAACATAAAGCCATGGTTCAGATGTTATGAGTTATTGATCTTTATTCTTTATCGATGAAAGGTCGTAAACAGAAGCCGCTTCTCGACTTCGTGTTCCGTTGAAAAATTGTACAATATTAAAATCGATCATAAATGATAAAAGGTTAAATATTCGAAGACTGCGAATTCAGGCAATAAAACAAAAAAAAATTACGCACCCAGATCACTAGAAGACCAAGATTTCGAAGCTGCTATAAAAAATTGCCAAGCCGCTTAGAAGAAAGACTTTCTAAAGCAGAGAAAACACAGCAAATGGCCGTTTTAAAGAAAACAAATTTGAAAAATTAAGACACCATCCAGATTGATGCGCAGTCAATAGACATGCGACACCGACCTTGTGGAAGATGAATAAAAGCAGTTCAAAACAAATAAATACGCTGCCGCGAATAAAGCACTGATTAAACAAATCCACAAAACCCAAAGGTCAGATTTCTGAGAAGTTTCCACCGACTGTTTAGCTGCAAGAAGATGCAAATTTCGCTTCACGTGGCATATCGCGTTGTCCATAAACGGGCCACTTTATCATGTTCTTCGCGATTGTTGATGTACTGCTGCGCAATGCTGCCGACCAAAGGATCCGCTGCAATGCATTACACGCTAGTGGTGTTACATCGATAAATAATGATTTACAAGACAGCAAACTTCGAAAGTCGTCATTTTATTTAAAAAATACGTCATTTCAGCTGAAAAGCCATAAAATAACAGTGTTAGCTAAATATAAATACGTTCAGATATGCTACCAATAAATCCGATTTCAGTAGGTATAATTTTATAACATCTCACCTGGATTGCAATCGGTCAACAGAGAGCAAATCGATAATAACACTTTGGAGATGGTAAGAGCAGGGCTCCAGTTATCCTATACGAAATCTTATCCGGTAACCCAAGCAGGAATTCCAACAGAATCAAGCCTGTGATACTCACTTTCAAAATATCCAAACATATAGTACCTTGGCTGTTGATGTTGCAGTGGTAAATTCGCGTTTTGAAGACAACCTAAATGTGGTTGCACGCTTTCCAAAACCACGAAACTGTGGGACAGCGAAAAGAATAACCTACCTTGGGTGGTTTGAATGGATAGTCTGGAGAAAAATGAATATCCAAAAAGAAAATTCCACCTTCATATACGGATCCAGGAGGTCCCAGGATTGTCGAAACCCATTCATATAAGTTATCTCCCTTAGGGCCCGCACTGAAAAACAACATTCACTTCTTCAATACGGATATAAAACAGAATTCGGCTTCAGTTTCTGTACAACAGTACAAGTACTCTATATATGTCAAGTGATCAACTAACAATTCATCACTGAAATATCATTGAAAAATGCTCAATACAGAATTATTACTAACTGTAAAGTGAACTAAACTAGTAAATCAAAGTAGAGTATTTACCTAGCTTAACGCGTCATTTGGACAACGCACACAACATCAAAAACGGACTAACAATCACTAAATAATTATAAAAAGCCGCTGATGTATAAGATGCTTATTTAAATACAGTATGTTCTATAGTTTGATAAAACTTAACATAATCATAACTGCAAGCGCGGTCAATAGAATGTCGCCTCAAGCAAGCACTGGTGTTCCTTCAACACCAGTAATTATGAGCACCGCATTACAGATTTGTTTTCTTGCCTGCAATTTGGAGGAGGATCCAGTGTAATATCCGACAGTTCCTTCTGCAGCCTATGAACAAAAAAGCCAAATAAAAACACAGTAAACAAGAATGAGCCTACGCAATTAAAATTTAATAAAAATGTTTTTAAAAAGGGAAACCCTAGTCCCTATTACAACAAACTCCAGTGTCTAAAAATGTCTGCAACCAATTTCAGCAAGGCTGAATTATTATCATTCACTAATTATCAATGACTGGCTGACCATGAGACAGTAGGTAAATGATGAGTAACAATATTGTCAATTATAGAAGAATATGGAAGCTGAATGCCTACGTTAGGCAAACTTGCTTTTTTGCACTTTTCAGTGTTCAGTAAACGACACAGCCTTATCAGCCAGTGAAAGAGCAAAAACTTACCGTTTTGCGCTGTTAGAAAGCAATCTGTTCATCCTGCTGGACGCTTTGGAAGGCCTCTTTCCATTGGGGCTGCTGGTACTACTCTGAGCAGTATCGCTGCTGGAGCTGCCTGCTGCTGCTTCCTGATTATCAGTGTTTGACACATTATCAGGCTCGGGAGATTCTCTTTTTCGAGAGGATGTTCCATTCTGCTTCTTGTCCTTCTTCTCCTTGCTGGAACTGCCCGCAGTGCTACCATTGCATTTCGCACTTTCCATGATTACCACGTCGAAAACCAGCAGTTCCTGTCAAGGGATCACCCAAGATTCCTAATCTGTTTATAATCTCATCCTGAAAAATGGATTACGTGCGTGGTCGGTGGTCGTTAACAACAAAGAAATCCACGCCTTGTCAACATGAGAAGCACATTCACACAAAGCTAGCGATAGCAGCAATAATCGATACGGCTGGGACAAACAGTCACAAACTCTATTGGTGCCGTCGCAGCCGTGATGCGAGGATTTTATTGCTTTTCAGTTTTCAGGATGCAATCAGCAATCGCAGATCAAAGCCCATGTGCAGTGCAGTCACCCAACAACTTTTGCCTTTGCGTATCTGTATTGACTAGGGTAGAGTAAAGTGTAAACTACGGTGTTTTATACGTATAGTCTGTACTTCAGCGTACACTGCGCGTACAGCCGGTGCGTCGCAACCAAACTGGAATCGTGCTGGAAAGATGCTATGAATATAAATGAAAACTAATTCCTTATTTTACTATATTTACACAAAAAATAGAAATGTACCGTACATTTTTTAAAAAGTAAACGTAAAATCTATGCAAAAACACCGAACAAACTGAATGGCGTATTGTACCAGTAAAACTGAACACTTCCGATGCGGCGATGCCGTGTTCGTACCGCGTACGCAGCTCTGTTTGGCTTTGCTCTGATTTTGTTTTAACAATAAACTAGCACACGCCGTGACAAGCGGACAAGCCCAGAGGAAACTCCGCGAGTGCTGTTTATCCTTTATCTTTATCCTGTAAGATCCTTTATTGTACTTGAAATTTTTTTATTTTAGAATGGAAGAGCGGCTTTCCCTAAATCAAGGAGCTCTAACGTCGATTGTCGAAATAGGAAATTTATACTCCAAAATCTCCGATTCTCTGTCCGCATTGAACGAGGACGCAAGATTTTCCTATGCTAGATATTTCCAGGGATGGCTGTGTGGTAAAGTGCCGTCTACCATCTTCGACGTCCACGCTCGCAGACAGGTCTCCGGTGAACAACTGAATTCCCATAAGCAACTGGTTGTGGCTATGCTTCGCTTCGAACAATCCGGCGAAACCTCGGTTGAAATGCTCGCGTTGTTGAAGCGTGCGCTTCTGGCATTCCTGAAAGCTGGTCGGGCTAATCGCGAAGAAACCTCTTCGGAGCAGCGCTTAGACCGTATAGATCCGAACAGCTTGCTGCTGTTAATATGTGGCATGGAGGGAATCATCAAGAATTTGTTGGACTGCGTTTTATGTCGTAAATGGGAAAGCACTGTGAAATGTGATAAGACCAATCTGGAAGATGTTAAAAATCAGCATGCAGATGATACTGAAATGGATTTCCGGCGTATTTCACTGGAAGATGTCAGGAGATTTGCTCAACATGGACAGTGGCCAAAACCCCTTGGATCATTCATAGAAAAGCTGGATTGATTCAGTTTACGAGGAGCCAGGGATGGCCATGAAATTAGCGACTAGCGAGTTGTTAATCGGTAAGCGAAGTTCGGTATCACTTTTGACTGTAATTTTTCTTTCGTGTAAACTGTAAAGACCCAACTTGTAAAAAGCTGATTTATAGATTTTGCATTTTAGTCTTTTGTAATTAGAATTTTGTTATATATTGTTATTTTGTTTTGTACACTAGCTCAAGTTGCTGAAAATTCACACAATGCTAGTAGGTTCCGAATTTCTGATAATCGCGCATGACGTCCAGCGGTTTAACGTAGTCAATGGCCGGAATCTCAAGAAGATACGTAGTCCATTCTAGTTAGATTTTAGTGAACTGACTGACCATAAACTGACCATGGGTAAACAGTAATAAGATTAATATATTACACGTACAATCATACGAATGCGGATATGTATAAATGGCTGGACATTTTGAAATTCCGTACATAATTCAGATCAATTAAGTAATTATAATGTGAAAAAGTGGAAGTGTATTAAAGTTACTGTAATACTTCCTCTTTGAGGAAAATACTCTCCCTTTTCGTGCACTCATACTAACTATTATGTGAAAAATTTGTGAATCATAATTGTAAACTGATTTTGAAACTGTTGAGTAATATTGAGAAGAAGAGTTATAGAAATTTTTTGCTTTTGACAAGTGATGAGTTGAATATATCTCTTGCTGCCGCACGCGAACAAACGAGCGCACGATCCGTGGCGAGAATATTGGTGCCCTCTGGAATATTTTCTGAAATAATTACGTGGTAAGAAGCTGTGTAGGTGGAAAGAAACCAAAAGCTGATTTATTATAGGTGATAGTGCATTGCCTCCAAAAACGGCAGTATAATGCGATTTCTGTTAATTGCTCAAATAACATAGAGCGTCGTACGTAATTGTCTCTTCGGACTTGAAAGTACGGTAGTACCGGCTCAAATGATTCGACATTTGTCACCAGTACAAAAACTACCATCTTATAGCGGTTTGACCGGTAAAGATGCGGAAGTGGCAAAGAAGAAGTGCCGACTGAAAACCTCATGGTCAATGTCAATTGCTGTTCTTCGTGCGATGAGTGGGTAGTATTCACAATCTGTGCCACCAGTGCACTTTTCACGTAGGCAGGTCTTAATTCTCGTTCGGGTCTCGAAATAATTTACAGTAGAAAGAGGTCCGACAACCGTCTATCCCCAACGCGGGGAGATACCGTTTTCTGATCGCTGGAGTATCGTCCTCAAAATGGATGTTAACCTGACAATCGCTTGTTTTGGAGTGTTCATTATCGGTAAATTTACAAAGATCTCGATTTGACTGATTTGGCGGTGTAGCTCGGAAACGTGTAATGTGACCTTAATATGCGACGTGACACAGTGATTGTTCCGTAGGTGTGTACTCCCAGTCCCCATATGCTGGAGGTATGCCGAGTGGTTACGGTGGTGGTGCTGCACCACAGGCTTCCTACGGAGGAGGGTCGGGTTACGGGGGCGGTGGGGGAGGTTACGGAGGCGGGGGCGGCAGTAACTATGGGTATAATCAGGGAACGGGAGTGTATTTTAAGAAACCGGTCCCGATCGATGAAAAGCCGATCTTTTTCCGAACACCTTATTGGTTGCCGAATATGTACTACGGTCATTATGGGTAAGTCCGAATGTCCAACCGAGTGGTGGTTAATATTATCCTTTTACATTGATAATTGTTTACAACCTTTACATCTTTAAGATTGAGATAATTATTACGTCTCGCGAAACCGAATAAAATATTTTTCACGGTATTTTGTTTTATTTTGTCTTATCGAAACTCTTATGTGCCTTTAAATCAAACAAACATTCCAGATACTAAATTGACTAAATTACTGTTTACTAAATACTATTAGTGTACTACTGAATACTAGTATTTTTACTAAATTTACTGGCATTGGAAACACTGTTGCGTTTTCGGTTATTAAGTATTTAGAAACTACCTGATAAGCTGTGAATGTTTTACTCTGCATTCGGTCCAGTGAATATCGTCCAGTTCACACCTCATATATGACATAAAGGGTTTTTTAGCTACCCATGGACTGAGTGGTTCGACGGTGGTCCACGATACGTAATCCCTATTATGAACCGATTCCCACATGGTGGCGGTAGCACGCAAACATACGGTGCCGGCTACACATACAATACAAATGGCACTCTGACGGATAGCTACTCGGGAGGCACAGCATACGGCAGCACCGACACCAGCGGGACAACCACACAGGATCCGTTGAATGATGGTTTTTCGTACTATAGGGGTATTCCCATGTATCAGACCTACTATGAAAAGTATCTTCTACAGAAATCTCAACAATCAACCCCTGCACCGGCTTAACCACGCGTTGAATATTGTTACGTTTGATATGTTCGTCGTTTGTAATTTGTATGCATGCCTGGTACATGTTTTGTTGGTTATCGGCTTCATTTGTGAATACTGATTGAAGTTCAAAGACATAAAACTGGAAACCAAACTAGGTATGCAAATTTTGACATAGGTCAAAGCGTGCGCTACAGTACTTACTAACTACTATACCCGATCAGCGTCCAGTAGGATGGATTGTTTATCTCATATTATTACTACGGGTAGATACAGATATGTATTTTTTGATGCCGCGCTGAAAGTTGCCAAAATATGGAAGTGTTTTCAGATGAGGGGTTTGATTGTAAGCAAAAAGCACAAAATTTGTCCACTTCACCTTGCTACGTACGTAGCATGTACGTAATAATAATTCATTCACACCTTTCCCAGCGTAATTGTTCACGTTAATTTTCACATGGACTTCGTAGCCGCACGAACAATACCAGCTCAACAAACACTTGTTTTGTACAGGTACAGATACTGTACGTGCATTATATGGCACAATATGAAAAAGTCATATCTGCCATAATTTTGGAAAGAAACGATCTCTAGTTTACTGACAATAAGTATGCTTATTTCACGTGCCCGCTAGCAGTCGCAGGAAAAAATTTTCGTGATGTTATATTCCCTCAGGCAGGAAATATCTAACGCGTGAATTACATTCACAGGATGGTTTGGCACGGTGCATAGTTGGGCATGATCAAGATGTGGTCCTCCGGTACGTACTTTCGATCTGTAACGTGTTTTCAGAATGATTTGTAAGTCACAAAAGTCGTAAATCTTCCGGATGCTGAAGTCCCTGTCTGATCTCGCAGTCTGCTCTTTAATTGCGACATGGCTATTGACGGAGAAAAACTTGCTAAGTAAGGTCACTGAAAGTCCTGTTATTTAGTTGGTGTCCTGATATTTTGTCGAACAAATTTGAGTAACTTCATGAAATCTGTTAATGTGCTTGCAAAGACATCTGATAAACTGTTATAAGAAATGAACGTACGATATAGCTTTTCTACTTTACAGTTATCATGCTCCCTGCGTTGTACTGGGATTGGATCGGTTATGGTATATATTCCTGCTGTCCAGTGTAATAACGCCGTTCGTTTTGTCCATTCTGGTTCTGATCGTGCGTGTACTGGTGTGGATTAATGCCTATCGGAAACATTTAAGCACGTATCCAGAAAATCCTATTACATTCAAACGATGGTTTCAGCAGTATGAAAACGAAGTACAAGTACCGCTTTTTAATGTCATACGGGATGCCGCCGATAACCTGGTATCTATGCGATACAGGCTGGGACAGACCTTGGTAGGTGAACAAAAAATTACGAAAGTGTACAGTTACTTACTCTTGGCTTTTGTGCAGAGAAGGAAACATTTATGAGATATTGTGTTTATGATGTTGTGCATTTGTTTAATTAATGCATTGCGCTAATAAGTAATCAAGTAATCTTTTCTTGCAGACCATTTTAGCATTTTGCCTCAGCATGGCATCGCTGTTCATCTACTACAACCTCGTTTCTTAGTAAGTGAATATACAGAGTAGAAAAGACTTCGTGACGATATTTTTGCTTGCGGAGTTACATTTTTTCCCGTAAAAAGAAAATGTTTCGTTATGTTTAAGTGAATTATCTGTAGTTACATGAACGATGTGGAGCAATGCCAGCCGTGGGTTTATAATATTCCCCAACAAGTGGATTTCGCTTTTAATTGTTTCTTCTTGGTCTATTTCATCCTCCGAGTACGTCTAAGTTTTTATTTGTCGCACCTGTAGTTCCAGTATCTGTAGTATGCGGATGCCCAGATTATTCCTGCACATTACAGTTCTTGGCTGCTCAAGACAAGATGTCAGCTATCTGGAATCTCTACAGTATTGTAGACTATTTTACTGTGCCACCGGCATTTGTTGGCTTGGCCCTGGACCGCGATTGGATTGGTTAGTTATTCGATATAAAACTTATCAAACTGCAGGCTTAAAATAAACCTTTTTTAAATTGTATTTTCAGGCTTAAAATTTTTGCGTGTGGTTTATCTTCGCAAAATCGCTACCATCTTGGCTTCTCTGGATTTGATTACGTCAACCGTGAAGATAAAGCTGCTACAACTGGCTCTGACATGGCTTCTCGTTCTTTTGGCTGCCGGTGGATTTTTTCATTTGGTATGAATTCGCACGTTTGTGTTCCGGAAATATAATAATTATGATAAAATGTGTTTGTTTTTGTTTTATTAGCTGGAAAATTCTGGTGATCCATGGACGGATGACTATGACGGTCAACGGTTCAATTACTGGAATTTTGCCTACTTCGCTTTTGGTACGATGGCCACTATTGGGTCGCCGGATATTAACGTGAAGACCGTCCTGGGCAAATTGAGCAACGTGCTCCTCGTGTTAACCGTTCTCGTACGTATCATGGGTACAATAACCCTGTGTGACGGAAGCAAGAATCTTTTTCTAAAATAATACGTCCAGATAAACCTCGATGTACACATTTTTTTAATTTTTTGCTGACGATGCATTATGACTAAACAGATTTCGAGTTTAGGTCGCAAATCTTAAACTCACACGTAAATTAGTTTTATTTTTATTTTAGGCAGTCATCGGTATCGCTTTACCGGACATTGTCGATCTTATGGAAACACCCAGAAAATATAACGGGGACCACCGTAACAAACTGAACCAAAGGTCAGACTCCTTTGTACGAAAACTTCGCGATCCACTGTAGTTGTTTATGGCCTAAATTATTGCAACAACGCGTTCTTTTAAAATTATTGTAACACAATAATGAGAAGCCCCGCTAGTACATTAAGTCTGCAATAATTATGGATATTGAGCTTATTAATTGCGGTTGCAGTATAATAGCTGTGATTGTAATTTGTAATCATACAGGCACATTGTTGTTTGCGGGGATGTGACATTTGCATCAATAGTCAGCCTGTTTGACGAATTATTCCATCCGGATCGGAACGTTCGAAATTTGAAGATTGTTTGTCTTGGAGTGTGAGTATTGTGTCTAAATGACTATCAGCACTGGTAAGTAGTAACTGAAAAACCATTTTTTTCTTCCAGAGCGGAGCCTGATTTGCATTATGCACAGTTTCTGAAAACCAACTCCCTGAACATCTCATATTTCCAAGGATCGTATCTTGTGGCCCATGATCTGTACCGCGTACGCCTTCACGAAGCCGACGCTGCCATAGTCATGGCCAATAAAGCCAATGCTAACGCCGACATCGAAGACAACAACAACATCATGTGTGTGGTGTCGTTGAAAAATTTCAACCCTCAACTACGCATAATTGTGCAGCTTTTACAATATCGGAGCAAGGTATACAATCTGATTTTTTCTGCAGCATGTAAAATAATTTGTGTATAATACAGCGTATTGAATCAGGACAAAATACACCGTATTTTATGCATCGTTGCTGATGGCTAGCCTGCATATTTGTAGACTTATCTTACAAGCATACCAAACTGGAATCCACATATCGGTGACGACATCATCTGCTTACCGGAAATTAAACTTGGACTGTTTGCTCAGAGTTGCGCTGCACCTGGTTTTACCACTCTGATGGCTAATCTTTTTGCTTCCCGTTCCAATGATGTGGAAATGGACTGGGTAAGTTTAAACCATTTTTTGAAGCACTAATTGCGTTTTTCAGAACTATTTTAAATTATTGTCTTTGTAGCCGGATTGGTTAAAAAGTTACACCCAAGGGTACGGAAAAGCTTGGCTGACTACATTTTACGTACGCTTACAACTAACGACTATCTTTATTTTTGCAGAACTGGAATTGAGATGTACACTGAACGAATCAGCGATGCCTTTACTAATCAGACATATATTGACATTTTGGAGTAAGTGTACAATGTCTCCGTACGCTATTTCACTATCTTTAACATATTCACGACTTAATTATTTAAGGCGTTTCTAAATTTTCAGGACCTGTTACGTTAAATTAAACTTGATTCTCTTTGCAATTACGGAGCAACAAAATGCTGACGATGAGAGTTTATTTTCTCATGCCCTGATATTAAATCCAGCGTTAAACTACGTGGTTAAGCGCGGATCGTATGGATGCTTTTTCGCGGATTCTGCCAAAGATGTTCAACGGTAGGAACACTTTGTACAACTCTGGAACCGCACCTTCACAAACAAATTATATTGAACTGGCTTAATTTGAAATGGGTGTAACCCTTTTTTCCAGAATGTCAATATATTGTCGACAATGTCACGATGACATTACAGAGCCGGAGGCGATCAAAATGTGCAATTGTAGCACTTCAGGTAGAAATTATTTATTTACCGAGTGCGTGCGTTTTGTTAGTTACCGGTAAATGTAATGCTTCGTTTTGAATTTTCGTAGTCTGTCTCTTTAATCAGAAAATACATATATTTTTATGAAATATATTAAAAGATATGATAAATACCTATTTTTCTGTTGTTATCGAAAATTTATTTTTGTAAGGCGTGAGAAACACCGTTAAGATTTTTATGTAGGATTAACTATGCCGCTTTAATGACTGCTCATTTAATTACTTAATGCAAGTGCAGTGGATAACCCTGTTTGTAATATTTTTTGGTCAGAAAACCGCCGGTTTAATCGATCGGGGTCAAATGGATCTGTACGCCCCATGACACCCAAGCCCACTCCGCATTCTCCGTCCATTTTGGATCGTATGGTATCCTTAGCCGGTAACAGTTTGCATTCGACGCGATCCGATGCTTTCCTGTTGGAGAACACATCCAGCACCGGCTACGGAACCGGACCGGGCACCGTGAATAATGGGTTCGATGCCGATGACGACCCTGACAGCGCACTCACCCGTCTGGGGGATAGACCGGTGACGTTTACATCCTTCCAGAAAAAGATGGTGTACTTCATGCGATATTACGGCAGTCCGTACGTACCCGCTGGAAAGATTTTTTTTAACTGTGTTTTACTGATTTATGTTTTTTTAGCGCTAACTGGAATCGCAGCTCACTAGCCGAGCCGATTCGGGACGACGCCGGCAATATCCTCGATCTGTCTGGCGGTCCGAGATATGACTCAACTGGTCTGTTCTGGTGGTGCCCACCGAAAGTTTACGAAGAAGTTCTCGTTGTAAGTTGTGCTTAGTTTAACCGTTCAGGTTTTCTGTTCGCTTTTTTATTCGATAACTGCACGCTAGATGGTTCCAGAAGCGGTATGTTGCAGTTAAACTGATGACCTTTGAGAATATATCATGGTGTTTCTGCTACAGGATCGATATGAAGCGGCCAAGATGAATTTTAAAAACCACGTCGTTCTCGTCATATTTGCTAACGATTCGTCATCTGGTATTGGACTGAACAATTTCGTCATGCCCCTACGATCCAGCATTACAGCCTATGAAGACCTGAAGGACATTGTGATTTTGGGTGATCCCCAGTTTTTAAGTATGGAATGGCCATCTGTTTGCAATTTTCCAAAAATTACCATGGTCAAGGTATGTGCGCAGAGGCATTCGACATAATCGCAGGCTATAAATATTTGCGGCTCCTATCGTCATTAAAATGGTGTATGTTTTCAAAAAAATTAATCGTAGACGTTTTTGAAAATAATCCATGCTATGTTCCTTTGCACAATTCCATTGCCCAGTTAGCACACATCTGTCATGCGCTTGGGTGTACGTATTCCTTAAATTAGATTTGGGGTGTAAATGGTCATGAACTAAGTACGAGCATCAAATTTAAACTGCCGCGGTTGCAAATTATTTGGAATTTGCAGATTTTTGGACTGAGTCGAGCCGATCTGCGTGCTGTGAATATCCACACATGTAAACTGTGCGCTCTGCTTACCGCAACCTCCGATAATGGCGTCGACAGTGTACTTCTGGCGGACAAGGACGCTATCCTGACATCATTAACCATAAAGGCCATGAACTTTGGAAACCAGGAAAATAATTTTTTTAGCGATTCCGTTCCCGTTACTCGAAGCTGGCGGAATTCCGCATCCGTCAACCTTAGAAATGCTAATCGTAAGTGTCCGGTATCTGTAAGAGGGTTACTGTAACACTGATACTGACATTCTCTGTAGACCAGTTTTTTTTATTTTATAGCAATGTTGCAAAAGCAGTCGCTCACGGAAAGTATTCCTGTGGATAATGAGATTGTGCGCACAAGCGTTGTTAAAGGTTACGCCATTCCTCTCCTGACCGAGTTAGGTAAGAAGTATTTTCAAATTTTGAATCGGGTTGAATTCGGGTTGAATTCGGATACTACTCGTATAATCATTGTCAAAATATCTGCTAATTAACAGTTTTATTTGTTTTGTAGTAAACGACTCCAATGTTAATTTTGTGGAGCAAGATGATTTCGATATTAACGAATTCTTTATGGCGGAACCATTTGCATGCGGCAATGCTTTTGCACAGAGCGTGTTGCAGGCGTTACTGGTTTCGGTAAGTCGCAACTTAGCACTTAATGTTTCCACGATAAAGACTAGAAATCATGGTTCTTGCTGCAAAAATCAAAAACATGCTTCATGCGCACGGATGTATAGCATCGTTGAAAATTTGTGCTGTTTTTCTAGTCATACTTTAATCCGTTCACACTATCCGTTTTGCGTGCACTGATCTTCGGAGGAATAACGCCGGAATTCGAGCAGATTCTCGCTGAGGGTGCCGGGTTGATCGGTGGTCCGAATCTATCACAAAAACATCCACATCCGGAGCGCTGCCGTCTGATTCAGATCGACATCGGGGATGTGAGATTCGCTAGGCATTCGGTAAATACTGCAAATTACAGTATTCCTATATTATTCCTGGCTAGAATTTTTCAGTGCCCTTATTTTACGACACATGCTTTTATTTCGTAAAGTGTTGTTTCTTTAAAAACACAGCGCGTATAAATAAATAAATTTTGACATTGGGAATTCGCAATATATTTTGCAGAGATCGACATTCGGACAGTTATTTCTGGATGCCATTCGAAGGTACAACATTCTATGCTTTGGATTATACAGGAAAATCCAGCAACAAGGCAAAGAGTCTAGATCGCTGAGGAGATACGTGATCACAACGCCACCAAAAGATTTCTTGTTGCAGTCTGATGATAAAGTTTTTGTGATAGAACGACTAAGTTACATCCCGTCCTGGTAAACGGTGGCATGGGCAGATAATTAGTTGTTGTACCTTGTATAAATTTTATTTGCATAATTCATGAGCTGTTACTGCACATTATTTCGAAGAATCCATAAAGGAAACATCAGAAACTTGCGCACGGATGAGTGTTTTGGCAGTACGTATGCTTATAGGGTTTGTTCAAAAATTGATGCAGTTATAAATTCCCCAGTAATTATAATTTAATTCAGTTGATAAAATTTACTGTACAAGAGTTATCTTCGACTTCGCCTCAGATGCTCTTGTGGTGTTGTGGTGATTTGGCATACTGACTGACTGTTGACATTTAGCAAAAACGGATTTGCTAAATACATAAACGCATAAAGCACTTGTAACAACTGTAAAGCTGGAACTTACAAATTTGTGTTCAAAATCTATTCGTTACCTCATGCACAGTTTTCAACTTCATGCAAGGTGTGTTAGCATTGCAGCGCTAACAGGACTGACAACTTATATATATCACACAATACGTTTTTAGCAAAATAATCCAAAAAAACTTTTAATGCTAGAGGCAAATTAAATTCTCGGCTGAGTTTGTGCGCTTTGATGTCTGCACGCCTAGAATCCAAACGTGACCTCAGGCGGTATATCAGAATTGTCATTACATACCGAAATGAGCGTAACGCTTTACCGAGATATGGCACTGTTTTCTACGTTAGTCGCATTCTTCTAACACTCTAGAATGCAGAGTAGGGGTGCTAATCAATCCAAGATCTAACGGGAATTAAAACGGCAGTTTTGTGAACGGCAGAGACATGGATTCTGCACGGCATGGCTGGGTAGATTTTGGGAAGCCGGTGACGGATGCGGGAAATGTCGAGGTGGGCACGATTGACTTCTGTCAGAAAAACTCCTTTAGCTCATTTTTTGCGTTTCTTAGAAGGTCCAGACCAGTAAAAAAGCGCGCGATATGGAAACGCGCGGCCCTCGGGTACGTCTGTAATGCATAACGATGATTTACTTAATTTGCAGAAAGGAGATGCAAATATTTAAATATGCACGTAGCAGTTTAACGCTGGAATTATGTAGAAAATTATGAAACTAATCAGTGCTCGACTTTCTAGGGTAAAGGTGATGATGTTCCCGTACTGAGTATGGTGAGGACAAAATTTTTGCATACATACTGCTTTGAAAACCGTTGCTATTTGCGAAGATTATAAATCTTGTGCCATTGTTCTAAGCATGGTCTATGCATGGTTTATGCATGGTCTAAGCATGGTCTATGAATTACGCAGAAAAAACAGTTTATCCTCATTGAGCACGAGCACGATGTTCCCGGCTTGGCGAAGGAAGCCGTACTGCGGTGGTTCCCGCGGGTGCCACATGCCATCCTCTCCCTGGTGTCGGGCGTGGATAGTTTTCATTCGTGGAAAAGGGACGATTTCCGATCGGCACTGCAGTCCGGCATTGCAAAGGTAAATGAATATGAGTGGTTCGAAATTTCAGCTCGCTGCCGTTTTTGCTTGGTGGAAAGTTTTCTTCACCTCTACAAAACAAATACAGTGTGCCTAATAACAGAATACATTACAATTCCTTAATAAGCTTAACCCATGGAAAATAATTCATAGTTATGTAATTATTAATTATTACTGTAATTTTGGGTTGTTGCTTGATTTGCATAAAGACCAGATACGGTACCGCATCTATCTATTTATGGGCTCGTACGTATGCTACGAACCATACTATGACGGTTTTTTTATTCACATGCAGCTGATAAGCACAATGGAGCTGCTGCTGGTCGATGATGGTCTAAATTACGGCTTGACCCGTTTAATTGCTTCGGCCGTCAGTGCTGACGAAACATTCAACAGCTATGCCGCGGCCAATGTTATGCAACAACCACGCAAACCGCCAGCCTATTATCTGGGTATTGCGCCTGTGGAAAAAGTCGCCGATACAGTCAGGGAACAACTGGAACACCTGCAGAGGAATACTGTAAATGAAACCAAACAAAACCAGTGCTAAAAATAAATAATATTTTTAATTAGGTGCCCCTTAATAATCTGAAAGCTGAAATACTGCATCTTTAATCTCTGTATATCTGTGGATGTTATAATAATATGTTCCGTATTTAGGAAAACGAAGTCGACGCAACGCCACAAAAGACCGGGAAACCGAACGATAAATTCAACCTGAACCGGTTCCATTCGCACTTTGTTTTTGTCCATAAGCCCTACGCCCACACAGGATTCCTGCGAGTTGACTTGGAAAAACAGCTGCAAAATGAACTGGGAATGCGCGGCGGAATGGCTGACAGTCCTATCGGTACAGAGAACGATATTAGATCGTTCATACGTCTGCAACAAAAAACTAGTACTAACAAAAATTATGTTGCTGGGATGCAGATGCAGTCGACGAAGTTTCATCGGCATTTATCCCGCACATCGTCATATTCTTCCAAGGAGAAGTGGACGAAATTGACCGAATTCGTGCGTATGTGCGTTTACGCACACCGATTATTATGCTCAGTGGATGCGGCGGCATGGCGGATATTGTGGCCTTTGCTTATAAAAATGCGTAAAGATTAATCGCAGTATAAGGATGAAGATGCACGATGCAGTGCAAGATTTATGATTACAATTGTAGATCGGAACCCGATGAGCAGCGCCTACTGTCCCTTGTTGGCAATAATTTAGTCCGTGTATTCCCGGAGGCTTTCAAGGAAAACAAGGAGTTTCAGATGGACTGTGCACAGAAGATTCTGGAGATGGTACGGGGACCGGATGGTAACGGGGAGAACCATTTGATGTTTATCCAGGACTGCAGTCGGCTGGATAGCTTCGATAAGCTGGATACGCCGTTTGTTCAAGCCGCCATTATGAGCTCCTCAGAGCAAAGTATGCCTGGTCATATACCAACTGGTCATAACAACATAACAAAATACGAGTGCAAATAAACTTTGACAAAAACCTTGTATTATTTTTGAGGTAATAATATGTCTGTAATAAGTATCCTTGTAATTCTTGAGATGGGTACGTTTGCGGAAGTTCTTTTTGTCCATTTTTTGGGCAGGACTGCTTTTGATAATAACAAGCAAACACAATTTTTCTCCATTATTTTTAGATGCAAATGCTGACCAGCTCATACGAAACATGAAATTGTGCATGGCTTGCAACAAGCCGGACATTGCCCAAAGGTTTTTGGTTAGTATGCCACCATGGGCGACTATTCAACCAAAGGTTAGTCAACTACCAGTTTACATGGTCTAGACGTGATAAAATGCTTGTCGTTGTATTACATGCACACATTAAAAACTACTTATGAAATGACATCTTTTTTTAAAAATTTGTTGATTGGGTACAGCCTCCGTATACGGGATTCTTAACCGCATTAATTCTGCCGGGTCGAGAGATCTTCATCGACATGTTTATGCAGCAGAAATTCCCAGTCCGCTATTTCACTAGCCATGTCGATATGTTACTATGCTATCGCAAAGCGGTGGGCAAAGAATATTTTATTGCCAATGTCTGGGATGATATTCTGGGACACAATCAGCGTATGTATGCCTTTTTTACGATTATGTGTAGAATTACATTCGTTTTTTTTGCGGGTAACAGAGGATCCAATTCGGGAGGACTTTGTACTTCTTGAACTGAACTGGTTAATCGAAAATCTAACGGGCGTAAAAGATTTTTTCAATTGGTACGAATTATCGCGAGTGGCGCTGCTTCCCACGGATGATGATCCGTACGCCGCGATGCACGACGAGAAGGTACCAAAAAAAATGAACAGTTTCCGGTATCTGTTGCACGAGCATGTGACCTTTATAGGCTTTACAAGCTCTCGTGGTATACGCTTGTCTTCTCAACCGACCCAAGTTGGTCAAGACGTTGCTAAAATACAGCATGGACCCTGTTCCGTTGACGGTGTTTGTGGAGGCCATCAGCCGGGGTTTATACCGCAATGTTAACAATTTCGACCAGCGGGTTATGCTGAAACGACAAGCCGATGAGTACGGTAATATTGCCACGGATATTATGGATATGGGTATTCGTGATTCGCCGGAACGGGCTAAAGTCTTTTTTCAACGCACTCTACCTGATTTCAACGGCAAGACTACTCTGGAAATGGCTTTTGATGCGAGAAACAAGTGCGTGGTGTCTCATAAACAAAAAATTCGCACAGCTAGAAGTTATAATTAAAATCTAGATATTGTATATCGTGAATTTAGTGTAAATTTAATTTTTGACTGTTTTATATTTATAGAAAGTTTATCTCGCACAACCTTGTGCAAGACTGGCTTGACCAGTTTGCTCATGGATTTGTACGAGTAAAAGGGAGATGGCATGATTTGAAAATGATCCTGTCGGCTTATTTGATATTCCCTATGTACATCTGGTTGGGGTTTCCTAGAATTAGTTTTGCTGACAAAGACAAAAAAGTTGCGACACAACAAGGTAAAAATTCCCAAGGTATCATTTCCTACATGTTGAGGTTTGACTGTAATAATATTTACAACTCTCAGGTGCGGCGGCTGTGGAGTATGAACCCGCAACGCCAGAGGCCGCCGCAAGCATTTTGGCTCGTCTTCAACGCGGCGAGAAGAAAAGCACCGATCATGCCAAATACAAAGAAATTTATCCTCCAATTCACAAGATGATCTATGCCGTATGGAACTCACCGGTGGTCAAATTCTGGACATGGTTCTTAACGTATCTGTGCTTTCTGGTGTTACTTGGCACGGATATGATGTTACCGGCGTGCATGTATCTCGGAGTGGACATTGCGGTATTTGTTTGTACAGCGTTGATCTGGCTGGAATTATTAACAAGGTAGAACGTCTTACATCTTATAACAGCAGCATAGTTTTGGGATTAAGCATAACTGTTAATGAAGATCTTATTACAACAAAGTAAAACTTATTGTTTACAGAACATTAAATGATGTGCTGTGGAAACGCCGGGTTAATTTGTACATGCGAGCCGTGGACCTGATATTTCAAACCGTTTTCAATATCCTCTTCTTTCTCTACCGCATTGCTCCGTACAGGTGGGACCATCCATTTGCTGGCCGGGTGATCTTGGCATTCGGTAAATATGCATTTTCAGCGAAATCAGCAGCATCAATACATTTACCAAAGAAAACTCGGGAAACAAATGTATATGTGTATAATGTATGTATAGGTGTCATGTATTATTTTTACTCCATATGGAATACATTCTACGGCTACGATCAAGAACTGGGACCGCTGGTTCGAATTGTTCACATCATGTTCAAAAACGATTTACCAAAGTGGGCGATCATGTTGCTGCCGTTTTTCGTAAGTTCTGATGTCAAAACATTCGAATCACTGTTTAAAAGTTTGAATGATGCTGTCATTTAGGTTGCTACTGCTGTTGTTTGGCAAGCTGTTATTACTCCGGATTATCCGTTTACGGGTGACGATTGGCGGAAGGCGTTCTTCCGAGGATTATTCACACTTTTTGCGGGATTCCAAAACGAGCTTGAATAGTAAATGCATAGAACATTTCACCATTTCGGTTGTTCGACTTGTAAATGATTTGACAATGACTAGTAATGAACATAGCTATCGTAGATAAAACGGTAGTCAAAGAATTACTTTCTGTAGCGCCATTCCGGCATGCCACCCGGGCAAGGTAATTAATTACAACAATTTCACTCAACCGGCATCAGCTTATCCTCAAGATCGGTGTTGGCTGGGAGATTACAACGATCACACATGCGCCACCGTGACCTTTTGGGCATACGTTTTTGTTATCCACTACTATGTCCTATTGAAACTCGGAATGATGATCATTTTGACCGTATTTTACATGTATGTGCGGATAATTTATATAGCAAAATGGCTTGACATTTTGACTGAGCATCTACTGTAAGATGTGGGGAAAGAAAATTGGATTTGGTTTATTTTTTTGACAGTTTCCGATCTACCAGCGAAATGCCCAAGGCCAATCTGGTTTGGAGGTTCTATCGCTTTGATACGATACTCGATTATTACTGGAGATCATCGTTGCCGTTTCCTTTCAATATTTTGGGAAATCTGTACATTAGTTTGCTCTACTTCCTGACTAAAGCAGAGGATCGCAACAAGGTAAAGGTTACCACTTCTTGAGTAACAACCATTAATGATTAATGCATATTAACGAGTGCTGACTTCTTTAAAAACGCTCGCTGCTGTCATCGTCACCATGTGATATGACTCGAATTTTCTCGTCAGGTCTCAGATATGGAAATGAGCGCTACGCAGACGGATACTTTTATTTACTGGAAAAGCAAAGCTGGTGAATATTTTGCGCAAAAAGACAAAGAGGAACAATCTAAAGCGTTACCGGCTAAACAAGCTCAAATGTAGGCATTGATTTTTGTATTTGTTTAAATTTTTTGGGTACATCAACAGCCGTGAAAATTGGTGTAGGATCGGTGCAATAAAACACCAAGTGACCGGTATAATACAGAGATTCTCCGAAATGGACCGGAAGCTGCATGATGTTGGTGAGACCGCACGAGACGGAAAACTGCGTATGCACACTGCAAATGTTCTCCGGCAAGGTATAAATTTTTTTAACATACCAAAAATTTTTCAGTTTTAAAAAATATGATTTAATTAATATTGTTTTAACTTAAGTACCAGTTTCCTGCATTAGCTGCTAAACAAAATATAGTATATACTGACGTATTTACGTTTGCTATTACATCCATCCCACCCATATATTCTTGGTTTTTCCAGGGGGAACGATTGATCTTCCCCAGCTGCTGAATCCGAAACCCCATTTCCATTGTCGCGAAACGCCGTATCACGGTACCCTAGTGCGACGTACCCCTGTAGCAGACAACAAGGTCTTCTGGACAGTACGTAATGACACCGCTGCTAATAAATCTACAAAATAATTAATAATTCCGATGTTTTATAGACGCCATTTGATGCATACAGACCGGATGCTTATTCCAAACCGATAAACGAATTCACATCCGAAGAGCGAGAATTTGTCGATCCAGAACAGGACTTCGTTGGGCGTTCCAGCAGTCCTAAGCGGCGCGAATGGAACGGGATCGAGTATCATGACGATAATGTTATTTACCGGAAGTCATGGATTGTTGATGAGGATGGGCGTGAGCAACTCTACCGACTGGATGATCACAGTCTGCCCACGTACGTATGATGAATGCATGCAATGTGGTAAAGAAATAGGCTTGTTTACCAACGTTTGGAACACTGTATTATACGTAGCTTTTGTACATTCAGTTGATGTAAATTTACCACTTTTTGCTGTACACAAAATTAATAAAAATTTAAGATTTATTTCTTTTAATGGCAGATAGTTAAAATTGAAATTTTTTGTAGAAATCCTCAAGGTCGTACCGGTCTCCGAGGACGTGGTTCATTGTGCCGGTTTGGTCCCAACCACAAAATTATACTGGCAGTTACTAGTAACACCCAGGGAAAACTGCGCTTTATTCTGCAATCGTCGGCTAACGGTTCTTTTACGTTTCCCATGGTAAGAATTGCGCGGTATATATTCCGTAATCCCTTTTCATTGATTGGAGCAAAAATAAAATGTGATTATATTCGTTTTGTGGCACAGTACTTTCACTCAAAATTTTTCGTGTGTATATAGATCCCGTTGTGCCATTATGATTCCGAATACTCTGTGATCGCGGTACTGTTCGAAGCGATTCTGACAGATGGTGAGGGAAGCGAGGAGTCGGATTTCGATCCCGCTGCTTGCCGATCACTGACAAGCTTCCTGCAGGTTAGATATAGAGAAAGCTTATATAAAATATCGTTTTAGCCTATAGACACATTTAAGTAGAATAATCAATTGGTATTCTTGTTTTAGGCTGCACCGCAAATGGTACAGAAACAACTACAGAAGAATCCAGACTATAACGAGGGATTGCCCAGAATAAACACGGAAGAACTATACAGAGGTTACCAGGATATGCCATTAAACACTGACAATGCATGGACGGAATTACTGATTGTTCACATCGATATTCCATACGTCCCGTTAAATAAAAATTCGGTTAGTTCATACTGTGTTACAGCAGTTGTGTGTTCATGCTGTTTTACAGCAATTGTGTGGCGACTTTAAAATAATTCGGGTTATTTTGCGCAGATGTACCAGTGGAAAGCAAGTTCAACGGCTGACCTTATGCTACCCGATCTGGAAACAGCCATAATGAAGCGGGTTTCTTCTTTATTCCAATGAGTTTTATTTTATGCGCCTCAGTAACATTGTGTAAATTTAATCTTTATCCGAAACGAGAAACAACGATAATGAAACTGTACGTGGTCCGAAGTAAGCAAAATTTGAATGATATAAAAGCTTTATGCACCATGCAATGAAATTTTTTGTCTCTGTATATGGAAATCAAAAAATGAGCAGGCATTCAGATACAAGACATTTGCTCCGTATCCATCACAAAAGGTCTTTAATAATTTACTCTATACGTACTCGTATATGGAGGCAAATTTATTAAATATTATCGTCGACAAATCATTTAATTAATAGTTTAGTTACTGCAAGCCAGGGTGGAAGGACGGCGTTCGTAATTACCGCGACGCACTAAAGGGCAAGTGTTACCACACATTTTTTTAAGGTAATGTTCGAGTAGAAATACAGAAACTGATTTTTAATTTTACCCAGAACTTACTTGTATTATTCACCAGATGCAAGAGGGAACCATATTACTGCTTTCAGTGCTTTGTAAAGAATTAAAGTAGTTTTTGGGTTCAGCTACAAAGGACAACATATCAATGTTCTGTACAGATGGATGGAGAGCACTCCTGTAGTTATACATACTCATTATATACAAAGTTAAGCCTGCAAATACTACCATTACACTAAAGGTTACCTGTCGAAACATTGATACTACGATCCATCCAACGAAACATTATTAGCTAATACTAAGCAAATTAGTCAGGACCACTGCTTTTGCGCAACTAACAAGTGAGAATAATTTTACTAGTAAGCACTGCATAAATTTGTCATTTATATATTACTAGCCGGTTATTATCTATATACTGTGTTTTCCTTCTGCTCAAAATTGCATCATGGCCAAGACACCACGAATCTGCTCAACGTACTCATACATATACAAGAATCAGCGGTATGTAGGCCACTAGTCTTGCAGTCTATATGTGTGAAAAACTAGACACTACTCGTAGGAAAAGGTCTACGAGTACGTTTTGCGAACTCGCGCTCACAAATCATACAGTACCACATTCTGTTTACGGCAATTATAATTATCCAGTTAAACCAGTCACCAATGTACCTGTACATAGTACATACCAATCGGCACCCACAGAAGACTGTCATGCATGTATGACAAAAAAGCATATTCTTCGGATTGACGGAAAATAGTGAAATCAGTTTCTGTTATAGCTTAGAGCAAATTTTTTTGCAAACTTTGTTGTGCGCTTTGATTTCCTTAAGGCAGTATGAACACTTACAATGAATTAAATATAGCAGAGAAAATAATGTTACACCCTGAAAACTTTTTTTTCGTGCAGTGCATAGTGGGCACGTGGTACTCAGATTGTAGTACTGCGGTTTTGATTCAGACGCTGCTGATTAGGGATTGCGATGATGCAACTGTAATTCAGACTGGAAAATGGCACACTCCAGGAAAAGCGATGATAGGCGAACGGTCAACGGGGTAATTTGTTTATCCAGTATTAGCTTTTTGCTTGGCTTATATGGTGGTACACCGTATTGTACAAACTACATTCATGTTCGCAATAGTTCCGTGTTTCCTCCATGCAAATTGTTAGGGTGCATTCATGGTTAGGCTGCATATAGCGTGCGGATTTTAAGAACTTCTGTGCTAGAATTTTTTTGGTTGTTTTTATTTAGCCTGATAGCGAGAGGGACGGAAAAGTCAGAAGAAGTGATCTGCCTATGAATAATCTCAGGCCTGCAGGATCCGTCCTGGATAAGGTACGAACGAATTCGACAAATGTGTTAGGACTTCATCATTCTATAATGATCATCAAGTAGTTCGAATAACGAAACAATATTCCTGGTTCAAACTTTCTATCGTACGGCAATTTATCCTAATTCAACTAACTGGTAAGTTTGCTATATTTATAATGCACAGAATCAGCCGTACATGCGCATAAATGACGAAGTGGACATTCCGGGGGCAGTGAAGGAGATTCTAGCCGGAGACCAACCATGGATCCAGGGCACGCCGGATGCCATTATTACGTACATCACCGGTTTTGCGCATTTCGAACAATGGAAGCGCGACGATCTGCGGTCGGCCATGCAAGGAGGGTTCCTTAAGGTGCTTGCCCACTTAAATTCTACTTAAATGGACAATATGAACAAAATTTTTAAATATGGACAATATGGACAATATGGACAATGTCATCCCGTTATACATAGGTCATCAATACTCTGAATGTGGCCGTTTTTGACGACGGCCTCCAGTATGGTGTGTCGCGATTGCTCGGCGCTGCGGTTCGCGAGGAGGAAATGTACCGTCTCAAACCGGATAAACGTGGAAAACCGGCAATTGCAGCTCTTATCGGAGCGATTCCTTTAGTACGGTATGTGATCTTTCTGCAGTTCAGGGCTTCAAGCTGCTCACTGTTCCGTTAATTAAATTACAGCACATGGTATGTGCTAACCGTTCAATGTGTTGAAGCAATAACATCGCCAAATTTTCTAGTAATATCACTAACAAGTTAACAACTAACAAGTAACAGCCAAAATTTAAGTACAGGTCTTAGGACATTTTCATTTAGTCTTCAAATCAAGCTAAATATTATCTATCATACCCCAATTGGGGTATGATGGATAATATTTCGCTTGATATTTCGGTTGCAACCGGACAGATTTGCGCGTATACTATGTCGGTTTCCACAAAACTATGGTTTACTTTAGTCTGCACAGCATAGATGTACATACGCGTCCTTAAGCCAACTTTTTGAACCGGCTACTTTAAATCTGTGAATCGCTGTGCACAATGTAAAACAGAAACAAAGTAATGTTAGTAATTAAATCAGACCGCTCTAAATAATACTTTACAGTATAGTAAGAGTATTAGAGTACCTATTTGGTTTTATGTTTCAGATTGGATGAACAAGAAACGGCTGAATCACTGGTACGGGCAATCAGAACGAGAAACTGCAAATATCGCAAAACTGTTGCAGTATGAGGCAAAGTTGTCGAACACCCACAATTTCAATTAATTTTGATAGGGTCGAGACTTTTTTGCCCGTTCAGTATCCTCTGACATCCAGCTGGAGAATGTGCAAAGGTACGGGAGAAGTCAAAATCACTCAGCCTATCTGTATATCAGTCAGTCCTATCGCGAGGCTGGTCTACTTCGAGTGGCGGTGGAAAAACGAATCCAACAGGAACTTAGCGATCGTGCGTCGCAAGGTTAGTACCCACATATTTGTTTTGCATCAGTCTGCTTCTTTATTGTTGTGATTAGCCTTTTGTCCCATCCACATATCCATCCAACGTTTGGTTTTCAGTTGCCGAACGCATGGGTAACATCCGGAAAGAAGTCCCGTTGATAGCGGTGCTATTTCAAGGCGAAATTGAGGATTTAGATCGTGTGAAAGCATATTTAAACGGTGGTACTCCGGTGATTGTGTATGATGGGTGTGGCGGCTTGGGGGACATTATTGGATCGGCGGTCACCGACAGGTTTGTGCTTTTGTTCATATTGGCGGTATTGCCAATATGCTTTAATTAAGCCATCTGTTAATAAAACTTCCATTTGAACTTATAATTCAACTTTAGACAGTCATAACTGAGAGTATATAAAGTTATGGACAATTTAGTAATAAAACAGTACTTAAATCTTCTAGTAACGTTCTCGATATACATGTTGCAATAATTCTTCAAAAGGGCCAAAAATAATCAATTCTGACACAGTACTTATTACATACCATAGACAGTGGTGATTAGTAGTGACTGATAGAAATAGCTAATGTGAAATGGGATCTGCTTTTATGATCGATATTTGCTAAGAATCTCATTTTCGTTTGCAGCGATGAAATGGATGGGAATCGGCTTCGTAATACCATTGAAGTGAAGCTGCAGAAAGAGTTCCCTTTTTTGCGCCAAAACGAAACGGCACTGGCTGATGCCGCCGGCAGCGTTCTTGAGATTCTTGGCTTGTCGCGGTTGGAAGGCGGTGGCGGGATGCCATTGTTGTCGGTGGTCAATGGGCGATCTATTGACACGTATAATAACCTAAACAGCCAGATTATTCAAAGTGCCATCGTTGCGTCCAGTGGAAGTACGTTAAATTATGACTTAAGTTGACGAATGCAAAAAAGGAAAGTCTTCTACGTAAACTATTGTAGATGCGTCTCCGGAATTGTTTAATACCTTCCTTACACTGGCCATCAAGACTAATAAAATTGATGTTGCCCGGCATAGGTTACTGACCAAGCGGCCTTGGTCAAACATGGAAGTAAGTACAAACTTAAAGATCATAGGGTACTTCAGCAGCTCTACTCTTCTATATAGCGCAAGCATGTGTGAGAGAAGAAGTTAAAAATCTGGAAGATTTTCATAAACCATTTTCGAAAAGCTAATGTTGCGCACGTATGTAGACGTCATATGAATATCTACTGTAATAATTAAGTAGATAGCAGATAGTACCGCGATTAAAAACTACTGTAAACAAACACCTTATTCTGTCTGCTTAAATTTGATCACTTTAGCTGCCTCAGCAAGCTTTTGAAACAGCATTACTCCTTCCTGGACGTGAAGCTTTCGTGGACACCTTTCTAACACAAAAATTCCCAGTTCGGTCATATCTCAGTCATCTAAAACTGCTGAAATTATTCCGGGAGGCACGCGATCGCCAGTTTTTTCCTCAGCATGTCTGGGAAGGAATCTTACAGTTCAGTTTAGGTATGTCACGTTTGTTAAGCAACTGCTTTTTTATGAGGAGGATATTAACAAAAGAGCGTTCTTTCAGCGGAACCAATCAGCGAAAACTTTATTCTTACGGATTTGAATCGGTTAATAGAACGACTGTCTGGAGTTTACGATTACATTGACCCATACGAGTTGTCTGCAAATGCTTATAACGGCTCTGGTTCCACCTCTGCAGTTGTAGCTGAACGAAAGGTAACATCTAGATCTAATTAATTTTTCATTTTTTTGATAAAAAAAACCGGGTTATGGCGGAACTAGTAAATAATAAATTTCTAGATTATGTCACTTTGCAGCACGTATATAAAACTATTTTATTCGGACGCAAATTTACTCGAATGCGCAATTTGAATTTGTCACCTCGGATCCTATTTTCTGTATTTTCAGGCAATGAATGCGCTGCTTGTTTTTGCCGTGTTTTTTAATCGAGCAAAATTGGCTAAAATACTAGTGAAACATTCTCATGATCCATTACTCCAAGCTCTGTTTGCGGAATGCTTATTCCATGCCATGTATAGTCGAATACCCAATGTGGCGATCAGTGGCATGGTCAAGAACGTCGCCAACGATTTCGCGCAGATGTCCCTGGATATTTTTGACGCCGGTGTTACCTCTTCACCAACCCGTGGCCATGCTATTCTTACCCGTACCTTTCCTGATTATAACGGAAAAACACCACTAGAAATGGCATACGACACTAACAACAAGTGCGTACAATAAAGTTAGTAACCGCATGACGCATTTTGCCGCTACGAAATTCTTCCGTTTTGGTAGGAAATTTCTGGCCCATAACAACGTCCAGTCATGGCTGGATCAATACTACCATAATTTCATTAAAGTCAAAGGAAATTTTGACAATATAAAATTGTTTTTGTCTGGATTGTTTTTATTCCCCATGTACCTGTGGTTGACCTTTCCCAAAGTCAAGAAATCCCAGTCTTTACCTCCTGATGAAACCTTGAAAGGTTTGTAATAATTTTTCATACCAAGAGCTCTTAAATATTAAAAGTTTCCACAAGGCAGAACGGGTCAACGGGAGGCAGAATAGTTTTCGATTTTATAGACTCATTTCTGTGCTAGTAGAACTTTGATTCGAACTTGATTTTTCGAAATTTTTGACGAATACGCTTTTGAACTATGCAGAAAAAACTCTACGACCGAGAAATCCAGACGATGTAGAAAAGATGTTGAACAAAGTGAAAAAGATTCAAGCAGGCCGACAGAGTCCCGATCGCAGCTATTTTGGCCCACAGCGGCCATCGTTTGGTGAAATGGTTCACGAAGTTTGGAAAGCCCCAGTCGTGAAATTCTACACATGGCATATGTTCTACTGGTTTTTCATTATTATCATCTGCGTGGATATAATGCTTCCGCCGTGTCGGTACATTGGAGTGGACATCACGGTGTGGGTCTTCACCATTACGATGTGGTTGGAGTTGATTAGTCGGTAAAGATTTTACGCATTAATTACCAAGCCGTGGGTTTTTGACCTGAAGAGCATTGTTTTGTATCAGGACGATTTACGACGTGCAAATGCATCGGAAACTGGACTGGGTAGAGCGTTCATATGATCTTATTAGCCAGACATTGTTCAACATCCTCTTTTTTCTGTATCGAATTGATCCATATCGATACGATCATCCTTTTGCTGGACGCGTGATTTTAGCATTCGGTAAGTTGGGGCGGTGGCTGTTCAGATACGATGGTACCCGCACTGTTTTTACTATTGTAGCAGTAAAGTACTTACAATTTTATATAGCGTTTGCAAATTTATATATGCACTTATTTCCTGGTAATCAGCAACTCTGCTGAAGTATTTATTACCTACAGAAATTAATTAATAATAAGGAAATGTGTACAAGTAGTCAACTTTCCTACCGGAGTTTTTTGTAGGCATAATTTACTACTGCTACCGCGTATGGGGATTATTCTACTACATGGAGCGCACGATCGGTCCCTTGATTCGTGTTGTCAACAAAATGTATTCTTTTGATTTAACACGTTGGATTCTTCTCATGGCACCAATGACGGTATAAACAAACGGTCATAAGCGGCAGCTGTCGAATATTTAGCAAAATATTTTTACCTAGCCAGTTGTTTTTGCGGCAAGCAGCAGATACACGAAAAGCGCGCCAACCTATATAAACTAACAACTTTTAAAATTACTTTGTCCGCGCGAAAGATGGTACACCACTCTTATCTCCTTTTATCCTCTTTTAGTGGACACAGTAATTCTGGGCATTATTTCACGACTATGTTATTGCGATTGCAGATTGCTTCGACGGTGATCTGGATGGGAGTAATCAATCCGGATTGGCCGATGACAGGCGACGATTGGCGCCATGCGTTTTACCGGGGAATTTTCACATTCTTTGGGTCTTTCCACATGGAGCTAGAATATTCGTAAGACATGAGCTGTTCTTATTGGCCGAAAACGTAATACGACAGCGCTTTACGTACCAAATTTAATTTAATCTGACCGTTGCGCTATGCAATACAAAGTGCGCTCTGCACAATATCCAAATAACAACACCTGTCCATGCCGTTTAAGCGGTTAAATCCGACTATTTCTACTTTTACTCGTAGTCCCCCGTGCGAAGCACGTCGCGTAACACCGCAAAGCTATCAGACTGGTGGATATCCTTGGGTGCACGTGGACAAAAGGACAAGACAACCCGATGCCTACCCTACTGAACGCTGCTGGTCCGGCCAGTACGACGACTACACATGTCCAACAGTGTCTTTCTGGTCCTACTTCTTTGTCATCCAGTTCTACATTCTCCTCAAGCTGGGTCTCATGAATATGTTGACTGCCTTTTACGTGTATGTTGCGGTTCTTTAAATCTGCACAAACACCATGACACATTTCTGTGTGTATGAATGAATATCCTGTTACGCAGCACGCGCAACCTCGGTGAGGGCGCCAAAGCCGCAATGGTCTGGAAATACCACCGCTCACGAATTATTATGGACTATGCACGACGCACACCCATTCCCCCGCCCTTTTTCTCGCTGGGATACATATATTTAATTTTTAAAAGTTGTGGAAAGAAAGAGGTATCAGTTTCCATTGATTCGCAGAACGATTTCGGATTAATTTTATTCGAACGACTTTACGTTTATAGGAGAAGCATCTTCGCGGCGTAGAACTTCTGGACGGCGACAAAGACCCCGATATGATCGAATCCTATACATACTGGACAGGGGTAACGAAAGATTATTTTAGAATGAAGGAACAGCAAGAAGCCGCTCCTTCTCAAGCCCAGCAGCAGCTTGCCACGTACGTATAAAATGGCAACTTATGTCCCAACGCGATTTATAAAACTGAAATTTTCTTCCATGACCTTTCGCTGGAAGCTTTGGTTAATTGTTTTATTTTTCTGATACTAACAGGTTGACTGCAATTCAAGAGAGTTTAGGACTTCTAACTAAGAAGATCGTTTCGGCCGATCGGAAAGTCATGGATGTGGATGAATCTACGAAACAGGCGCAGATCACTGTGTACGACGCCGCAGCCGCTGCCAAACAAAACAGTAACTATTTCCCCCGATCTTTGGGCGTGTTCCAACTGAATACGGCCGTGTTAATTTAATTCCGCTTTTAGAAACGGTAAGCTTGGCCGAATTCGCTCAACAGTGGCCGCACAATTTATCGAGGGTGACACCGTATCCTGGAACATCAGTCGCGAGATTGTTTGTTACGGACGAGAAAGTTCCATGGACGGTACGAAAATCCCGTTACACTAATACTGACTGAACGATCTAACGTTATAACAGTTCTTTTGCGCTCCCCTACCTAGGCGCCTGTGGAACATTATCGACCTCCTACCTACAATAAGGCCAGTCGAGATTTTACGGCAAGTGAACGAAATTTGGTGGATCCAGAAAACGACTTCGCGTCCTCGGTAGCGGGTTCACGTGCGGGTAGCGTCGCCAATGTCAACTTGGTAGGCTACAAATGGAACTCTGTGGATGAAGGAAAGGATGGCAATATCGTCAGAACTTCTTGGATTACCAACGACGATAAACAACCAATTTCTTACGAAGTCGATGCGGTTGGAAATCCATTGTACGTTAATTAAGCATCAACACCGCTACTCAAAATGACGTTCTGTAGAAGTATGTACAGTTGAATCCACACGCGGCACGCCGTTTAGATCAGCATGAAAACGATACCGTTTTAAGCATCTAATAGGGCTGACCTTTTGAAGTCATCATCAAATTTCCAGGAATCCTTTCGGCCGAACTGGACTGAAAGGGCGTGGCGCTCTACAACGTTTTGGACCGAATCATAAGGTCATCATGGTTATCACTACTCGTGTGCCTGGAAAAGGTTTTCGATACATTATGCAACGTGCTCCTGGAAAAGTGCCATGTTTGCCTCAGGTAACCTAGCACAGGTGCTTGTAATAATTATCTCTGATTACATACTGCACATTTCGAATTCCAATGTCGAAAACTTCTGGTACTGCAGAGTTTCCTACAGCAATATGACTCGGAATATGCGGTTGGCTGTCTGCTGATTGACGCCTTTCTGTATGATACCGTGACACTGGCTGCCAGGGATCTCAATGTATCTACTGTGCGAAATATAGAAAACATGCGAAACGTAAGCTGAATCGTCTTGTTGCTTTGACTGTTATGATGTTTCTACATAGTACATACTTGTATTAAGATCATTGAGAGCGTCCTGAAATCCCGCTTGTCAGCTATCATCGACAATTTTGATCGCGTTCGTATCGCGGTGCGGGAACTTTACCGTGGTTACGTCGACAACGCACTGAACACCGATAACGCCTGGCTGGAGGCCGTGGTGTTCCACATTAACTTGCCGACTTTTGGCATTGACAAGTTCAAGGTAAGTGTGTCGTAGGAAGAAATTCAGACTTGTGGAAAGACTTCAATTTACTAATATAGGATTTTATTCGTTTCTGCAATCTGAATTTGCGCTTCCTTTCAGAACTATCGCTGGCGCGATTATAATGCCGCCGAAAATCCGCTGAATGAATTAGACGCAGCGGCCATTCGCCAGATTGCCGTCGAATGGGGATTATAAGCCACGATTCAGTAACAAAATGCATTGATGTCACCGATGTGGCCATGTATTACTATTATTTAGGCTTTTTAGGGACTTTAGTTTTAAGTACAACTGTACAGGTACACATGATAACCTGATGTTTAAATTTTAAATGCTGTTGTGGGATTATTCCCACAACTTATTTATAGAATTAATATAGCTGTTCATTATCCGCATTACTTGCATTAAACACATAATATCTCAATCTGACTCTGCTTGGCACAAATGAAAAGGAATGCGCACTGCACTTGTACATACTTGTATGATGCCACTAATAGAAAGGTAAAATTAATAGGTGTTCTGTGCGTTAGTCATGTCATAATAAAACATAAAAAATATTACAAGAAATTTATAAAATATCTGTCTGTCATTACAGTGCAAAGCGTAGAAAAGATGTTATTTTATTACTTTTAAGTACTTGGTACGTGTAGTCTTGTAAAGTACACACCTTTCAGCATTGTACCTGCGTCATACCAATAGCCAATAAGCGGCAGTCGAGAATTTTCGGTCACATCAATTTCTGCACTTACGAGTACGATGATGATTTTGCTAAAATTTCAACGAGATTTCAGGTTGCACCAATGTACGCCAAATAAATCAATTAAGGCTGAACACCAGTATATCACATAAATAAAAAATATCAGAATAAAAATATCACACTAGCCATTACGGTAGATATCTGTAGAGTATTTAAAGACGACAGGATATGGTGCAGTACGTACTCGTGCATTTGGTTTATCTACCGTCTGTACAGCTCGTAACAAGCTACTGCAATATAGTGTAAAGCACGCGAAATAATTTTGGCATTTCGAAAATGGTTAAACGGTTAAAGCCAAGAAAAACGCAGTTTTGAATCAACTAAAATGTCAAAAAGACCATTTAGATCAGTCAGTGGACAAAAAAATGGCGAAAATGACCACGCGGCTTGAACATCTTCGAACTCCCAAGAATTGCCAAAGCTATCCCGGTTTTGGAAAAATCATTTCCGTGTCCGAATTTTACAATTGCATTAAAAATCTTAATGCACTTTTACAGAATCACTGAATTAGTCGTCATTTTATCAGCTCGCGCTTGGTTAGCACCCCAGTTGTTCGAGCTTATTTCAAAGATGCAGTTATCCTTGACTTTCCGTTGCCCCATTGTCCAAGATGTGTTTGGGGCAGCGCGCAATGTGTGCCGTACGCGTCTCCAGCCGAATCCTTTGTGAAACGCCATCATGCGGCACTGGATAATAACAGCAGCACCAATTGGGGGCTGCGCTAATAATTTATTGTAAAATAACAAGCGAGCAATATTTATTCTACATGCTGGCCAAACATCCACTGATGGTCAACACATATGAGAACTAGCGAGCGCCCAGCATCCATTGTCTTGCCATTCGTACTTTTAGCCATTGGGCTAGCTACGGTTGCATCACGGGGTGGAGCTTCCGTTCCCTTCTATTCAGCGCTACCGTTGATGATTGGAGAGGCACTGTTGACCAATCGAACTGCGTAGCAATAATTTTTCCAGCTTGGCTGTTTTGCGCCCAATTATCAATGGGTGATTATCATCATATTCCGCTTGGACTAGACCATCATCGGCGCTGATGACTTATGAACAGTCGTGTCTGGTGAATGGATCCAGTTTAAAATAAGCATGCAACAGACTGCGGTGCTGAACTTTACTTATCTCTTTTTTTCTTCGCCGTCGCATCGGGATGCCGCTTCGACTGTTTGATAAGGATGCAGTGTAATGCTCGCTGCGCCCAGCATTATAGCCGTTGTTCTTACTAGACAAACATAGTAACAATAATAATTTTTTGTTCTATTTCCTTCTAGTTGTTTGACCACTACGTTTTAAGCAGTTAGTTGTGCGCGTTGACAAGTTAACCGGGATGTAATTCAAGTGTGTGTATGTATATCCTTATCCCTACTCGGTTCATGATCCCATGAGGTCCAGATATCAGCTGGGACCTTCTAATCTTATATCACCTGTGCTATGCGGGAGCGGTCAGGAATTATTCCGCGGACTATACCACTCCGTCGAGTTATCCACAGCGCTGTAATGATACGGCTAAAATACCACTTTCCCTTATACTGCATTCTTTTATTATACTTTTATTGTGATGGATGCCATGGTTTTCAAAGGGTAAGAATTTCTGAGAGCTGATAATATATTGGCTTTTTGAAGTCTTTAGTCTTTCGAAGTCTCTAGTACTCCCATTCGCGCCTGAGTTCTCATCATCCGCTGACAGTAAGGTCAAAGGTTATACCGCTACGAAGCTATCGATTCAATGCAGTTAGAAATTTGCGTTTTTATTGATCATTTTGTTAATACTAATTTTTAAAGAAAATCTTGATTTATTTCAGACAGTAATAACTTTCAAAGAAAAGCTAAAATCATGTTAAATCTTAATGCGTACAGTAGTTCGTTAAATTCGAAGTAATAGGAACATTAAAATGACCGCATATAAAATTAATTTACTATTATAGGATACAAGCTTTATGTTTCTTATGTGTACTGATAATTTGGCCATAAGATACCTCATACGCATGATACAGAATTGAAGACGCATTAGTTATTTGCAGCCAAATACGTAGGTGCCGCAAAAACCGTCACACTAGGGCGGGTATCTCTGCCAGGACTGGTGCACTGGTCAACGAGTGCCGCTCCATGATGATAAGATATTCCCTGACAGCCTAAATCGTTCGCACTTTATGTGGTTAATGTGAATTTTTTAGACTTTGGACCTTAGCTTGTTTACTGCTCGTAGGTTCAGCGCCGAAGCGATATCTTCAACCTTACCAGTAATGCAGATCCTAAATGTCGGACAATACACAGATTTGCGAGAGCAGTTGTTTATCCCCGGAAAGGTCACCATACGAGATCCGGAAGAGCAAACGAGTTGCTGGTAAATTTACTGTTAGTTTGACGGATTAAGTTTTTAAAAACTATTTATTATGAGATTTTGAGATTTATTTATACCTTTATGGCGCCTAAAAAGAGAACTGCATGGAACAGGGAGTTTAGTGATTCTGGTCAGTTTATCAAACGGTGAATTAAGTTGCTGTTAATAGTTATATTACTCGTAGGGTCGCAAAATTGGTAAGCTTATTTCGCCTCGAACGCGTAAAGTATTAAAACGATTTTTTAACTGGGCGTTCGTTTGTAACATCGTTTTAAGTTTTGGTTCTGCTAGTTCGTTATCAGCTTTTGTAAATGCAGTCATGTAATCCAGGCGAACTGAAAGTAAATACGTTGCATTAAAACCGCTCATTCGCTTATCTTTCTTCATTGTTTTTCTAAAAATCGCAACATATTTTTAAAGGTTTTAACAAAGAAAAAAATTCATTCGTAGACGGCGCTCACGGCAGCACAGTAGTGTACTCTGTATGTCGGTGCTGTTGTGAAAGGTTCTGCATTGTTTAAGTTGCACGTGTGTTTGTCGAATGGGTGCATCCCTTTAATCAAAAGTCACGTAACAGACGAATATATGTTGTTGTAATGAGAGCAGATTCGGCATTAAATATGTAGAAATTTCGATTCCAGGAACCAGATTTTCGGCAGGCCGTTAGTCAAATTGGCAGTACCGGCGCTTCCCCTGTTTGTGCTCAACCGTCCTATACGGCAGTCATATCGGATACTATAACACCCGGCACCTTCGTCCTGCGCGTTTCGGCTGTGGATCCAGCCGGCGGCGCCGTACAGTATTCGATCCAAGACTCCGCGTTTCAGCGCTTCACCATCAACGCCGGCACGGGTGACGTAACCGTTAGCACGGCACTGCAGAATCGCCTCAGCACAAGGTCAGCCGTGGAGTTTCGTGTGCGGGCAACCCAGACCAGTGGATCTCGTTTGGTAAATGAATACAAGAGAGAAAAAAGAATAACATAACAGGCCCTCATTTCTCATCAATCAGTCCCTATTGTCCTCGCATTTGTAACCACTTTCTTTGCATAACACAACCGTTGCTTTGTGATTACAGTATTGTGAAAGTACCGTCAGAGTAAACATTATTCCGTCTACAAGTTTTGGTGGTTCAAGGCTAAGCTTCACGCAGCCAGCGTACACCTTCAATCCCGCCTGCACACCCGGTTCCGTGGCCGGCAGCGTCCAAGTGTCCGGCAACACGGCCGGTGTGACCTACAGTCTTTCAGGAGCGGCTTCGGGTTTTGCCATTAATCCTGTGTCCGGAGCGATTACCATTACGGGGCAACCATCGGGAACAGCGTCGTTCATAGTTTCTGCTACTGGTCCCGGGGGATCAGGCACAGCGCAAGTGACGGTTATATGTGGAGGCGGTGGCTATGCAGCATACAGTGGTGGTCAGCCGGCTGCCGGTGGATATGCTTCGTATTCGGGAGGTCAGCCGGCCAGCTATGGTCCCGCACCAACTGGTCCCACTGGTTACGGAGGCGGCTCGACTGGAGGATATGTTAGTTCCGGTGGGAGTGGTTACGGTGGCGGCGGGAGTGTAACACCGTCCGGCGGCGGTTACGGTGGTGAGTGTCATAAACTCCGAAATATATGCGAATCTGACTTATGCCTTGTTCATGACCAGAGCATCGTAACATAGAATTCGATTTCTGTGTTTTAAGTTAAAATTCCCAGTATCGTTTACGATTATAGGTGGCGGATACAGCCCCGCTCCATCCAGTGGCGGTTATGGTGGATCGTCTGGTGGAAGTTATACTCCTCCATCAAGTGGTGGTTACGGCGGATCGTATTCCAATCCTCAACCCAGTTATTACCAACCTCCACCATCCCAGCCTCCATCGTACCGTCCCAGCCAGCCAACAGGATACGGTCAGCCGTCGCAGCCGAGTTACGGTCCCACTGCTTCCTATTCTCAACCGGTTCCTCAAGTTTACGGAGCATCCCCGCCATCGTCATACGGCGGATACAGCTCACCTCCGAGCAGCGGCGGGTATGGGCAGCCTCCATCCTCTCCTCCGTCTTATTATTCCCCTCCGCCTCCAAGCTATTCCGCGCCGCCACCGAGCTACTCAGCTCCCCCTCCAAGTTACTCGGCGCCCCCTCCAAGCTATGCCGCTCCACCTCCAAGCTACGCCGCACCGCCTTCCTATTCTGCGCCACAACCTAGTTACTATCAACCGCCACCCGCTCCATCGCCTGTGTCCTACTACCAGGCTCCCACTCCACAGGCCTACCAACCTCCGGCACCAACACCACAGGTCTATGTACCCCCGGCGCCCGTCTCTCAGCCGGTTTACCAACCTCCTGCGCCGACACCGCAAATTTACCAACCTCCACCATCGGCGCCTCAGCCTCAGACCTATCAGCCTCCAGCATCCCCTCCAGCGGTTGTGTTTCCTCCAGCGCAGCCAGTTGCTCCCGCGCCTCCTATCATTCAAACAATCCCGACTCCTCCGCCATGCGTCCCCCCGACGTTTTCGCAACCATCGTATTCATTCCAAGCGTCCAGCTGTAATGCCGGGTCATCGGTCGGAAGTGTCATGGCTTCCGGCCAGGGGCCTCTTACATACTCGATGCAAGGCAGCTCTGCGTTTTCTGTCTCACCGCAGACTGGACAAATTCTGCTGCTCGGCCCATTAACATCGAGCAGTCCGAGCCAAATGACAGTGTCTGTCAGCGGCGCCTGTGGAACAGCTACCGCCTCGGTAGTAGCCAGTGGTAACTGCGCCCCAACACCGCCACCCTGTACTCCACCGACTTTCTCTCAAAGCTTCTACAACATGTTCATATCGACATGTACACCCGGTACGAATGTCGGTAATGTGCAGGCGACAAGTACTTCAGGATCGGTCAGTTATTCGCTTCAAGGCAGCTCTGCCATGCAAATTAACCCGAACACTGGTCAGATACAGTTGAGCGGCCAGTTCAACGGTGGTAGCCAAACCGCCACGGTCTCGGCCACCGGAAGCTGTGGCAGCGCAACCGCTACTGTCACTGTAAACGCCAACTGCCAGCCGGCGACGCCAGCACCTCCGCCGCCCGCACCACCGGTCTTTGGACAGCCGTCGTATTCCTTCTCCACTACCAACTGCCAACCAGGAACCACCATTGGGACGATCCAAGCAAGTAGCCCAGCAGGTCCCAGTGGTATCACTTATTCATTGCAAGGTGCAGCACCGTTGTCTATTAATCCGACCACCGGAATGATTACCGCCGTGCAACAGCTGCCCTCGACAACGGCGCAGTTTACCGGACAAGCCATGAGCCAGTTCGGATCGGTGTCGGTGCCGATTACCTTAAGTATTTCATGTGCTTCGCAACAACAATCATCTGGTCAGTCCGGCTACGGAGCACCAGCACAACCGCAAATTAACAGTCCGGCGCCCGCGCAACAACAACAGTCCTGCAACCCACCGAATTTCAGCCAATCATCGTATACGTTTTTCATCTATACTTGTACGACCGGCGCTTCGGTCGGAGCGGTCACCGCATCCGGTGGTAATGTGCAATATTCGGTACAAGGAACAAACTTTTTCTCAATGGACGCACAGGGTGGACAATTGCGCACCAGTAATTCCTTGCCCAGCAGTGGTTACCAGTCGTTTACGGTGGCCGCTACCAATAACTGTGGAACCAGCACGGCCACCGCTACCGTCACGGCATATTGCCAAGCGCCTGCCGCACCGGCCACGCCACCGCCACCACCGCCCTGCAATCTCCAGTTTCAACCCAACCAGTATTCGTTTACCACATCTAGCTGTACTTCTGGAACAACTGTTGGTAGTGTGTCGGCTGGTGGCTGCCCGGGTCAGGTGACCTATACCGTGCAAGGGACCTCCATGTTTAACATCAACCAGCAGTCTGGGCAAGTGATGATTTCCGGTGCCGTGCCTCAGGGTGGCACGCAGTCTTTCTCGGTGCAGGCTAGTTCCGGTTCGTCATCGACTACAGCGTTTGTCACTGTTACACTCTCATGCGCCGCACCTGCGCCGCAACAGCAACAACAAATCCAACAAGGAATTTCTGGATATGGACGCCAAGTGCCAGGACCTTCTGCTATACCAGCTTCGGTACTAACGTAAAATAGTAATGTGTAATATGTATTGACGCTATACCATGCTGTAGACAATTAAAATAGAAAACTGTTGCAGTAAAATGAAACCCATTAAGCAGTGACATAACTCAAAGTCTCCGTATACGTAAACTTTTAGGACTCTCACATAGAAGAGAAATTACTTAATTTTTAATTGGTGATACTATCTAAAGAAGTATCTGCACACTAATTCTTAGCATTTACTTATCCAGCCAAACTGACGACAAAGTAAGTCACATAATTTTAAGAATTTCTTTTGTAATGCCTTCCATGTTTAATTTTAAACTTATCGTTTCAGATCGTCGCTAGTCCCCAGATTGCCCAGTCCATACCGGGATCGGCTTCCTTTCCACAATTCCCCGCACCTGGAGCCCAACCGCTCCAGCCGCCAATGCCGGGTCAACAACAACCAGTGCAGCCATCCGTACCCGGCACACCCCCGGCATTTTTCATTGGGCCAACACAGCAGTCGTTCTTCCAGCCACAAAATGTCCCAGCCACCCCCTCCGGCGGACAGCCAGTATTCCAGCAGAATTCTTTCATGTTCAATACGGCATCCTGTGCGCCCGGGACACCGGTGGGCAGTGTACAGGCGTCCACGAGCGGCGGATCAGTTACCTATTCCATTCAGGGATCACAACAATTCTCCATCAACTCGGCTACTGGTCAGATTCAAATTAATGGTGGGATAGCATCAGGGACACAGGGATTCACCGTCATTGCTAGCAATTCCATCGGCTCGACAACCGCACAAGTGTTAGTAACCGCCTCCTGTGCAGCACCGGTCCAGAGCCTTCCAAATCCGGTCGGACTGCCTGTCGCCAGTGCCCAGATTGGTCTACCGGCACCGGGGCAAGGTCCCGTGTTTGCCGCCTCTCCAGCGTATGGAGCTCCCCCTAGTTATGCGGCACCACAACCCACCTATTCGGCTCCACCAACATACGCTGCACCACCAACTTATGCAGCACCACCAACGTATTCCGCACCGCCAACTTACGCAGCGCCGCCGACGTATTCCGCTCCACCCAGCTATGCACCCCAGCCGAGCTATTCAGCACCGCCCTCTTATGGATATGGTGCGGTATCCGCTCCTCCGTCGTACAGTGCTCCGGCACAAGTACCGTCTTATTATGCGCCAGCGGTACAACTACCACCTTCAGCGGTATACGTTGCTGCGTCAGCACCCAGACCCGTACCGTCGAGCTATGTAAGTTGCGACAAAACAAATATCTGTGAATGAAAATATTCTAATCAAACTATTACATTAGTGGGATTTTATTAATTTGGTCTTTGCAGTCTGTTTCTTATGGTCAGCCGTCTCCACCTAGTACAGCCGGATACGGCGCACCGGGCCTTCCAGCCGCTCCAAGCAGCTCGTATGGCGGCGGTGGAATGGTGGCGTCGTACTCGGTTCCCATGCCTTCTGTTGCCTACGGCGGCCCTAATCCGGCAACCGGGTCTCGACAAAGTTACAGCGGTGGAACACCAGCGAGTTACGGTAGTACGCCAATCGGCAGCTCATACGGAGCGCCCAGTAGTGGTGGTTACGGCGGTACTCCACAACCCAGTGGAGGCGGTTACGGGGCTCCGCAGCCGAGCAGTGGTGGTTATGGTACTCCGCAGCCGAGTGGAGGTGGTTACGGTACCCCACAACCAAGTGGAGGAGGTTACGGAGGCGGAAGTTCAGGAGGCGGTGGATATGGTGGAGGGTCATCCGGTGGCGGATATGGAGGAGATGGAGGTTACGGCGGCGGTGGCTACGGCTATGGAGGTGGTGGAGGGCTGTCCTTTGCGCAACCGTCGTATTATTTCTACATTTCCAGCTGCACCCCGGGTGCATCTGTCGGCTTGGTGACCGCCACCACTTCGTCTGGCCAACCAACCTACTCGCTGCAAGGAATGTCTGGCGCGTATACCATCAATCCCCAGACTGGGCAAATCACATTATCGGCGCCGATTCAGACCGGTGTTCAGACATTCACGATAACCGCGTCCAGTGGGAGTGGTAACACCATGACGGCGGTTACGGTGGTGGCGACCTGTGGTGGTGCCGGCGGAGTGTCGTTCAGTCAGCCATCATACCAAGCGACCGTCCAGTGTAGTGCCGGTCCGAATGCCATTATTGGGCAGATTACGGTAGGTCTGCCGCTTGGGGATTGAATACTGTAGGGGAGACAAACAATGACGGTATTGTGATACGCAGGCAATGAGCTCGACCAATCGTCCTTTGGTTTATGCTTCCACATCGACGGACTTCTCCGTTGGTACGGACGGGACAGTGCGGACATCCAATGGTTTCTCTAGCTCCGGGATGCGGTCGTTCGTTATCACGGCAACAGATTCGACCGGCGCTACCGCGTCTGCGAGTGTCACGGTACGATTACCGACATACCAAATAATATTCTATTTGCAACATAATGCTGAGTATTATGGTTACCTTACATTGTAGCCACAATTTAAATTACAATTAAACCGTACAAACTACTAAGAAGCTATGGAATATTGTAGGTATCGATTGTTGGTGCCTGCTCCGGAGGATTTTCCAACGGAATTAATTGTGGTCAGCAGTTCTACACAGCCACCGTTTTTGAGTCTACGCCAGCAGGAACAACCGTTATTCGCTTAAACGGCAGCAGTCTGAGCGGTATACCGCTATCCTGGTCAATTGTGGACAATCCACTGGGGCGGTTTACCATTGACCCCAACACCGGTGTTCTTAGTGTGGCCGGCGTACTTACCAGGCGATTTTTCCGGTCAGCCATGGAGATACGAATTCGCGGCACTGACCAGTCCACAGGCGCGGTAAGATAATACGCTTACTAATAAGTTTTATTAATTCAGTAGGTGAAGGCGGGCCAAGTATGTTTAGGATCTTGACTAATTAATCGGCTTGTACTTCCAAGAAATGTAAAATGGATTTTCCTGTTTATAATATTTCTGTGCCGTACTGAGTGCTATTTTTGCAGCTTATGAATGATATATGACTTTTTACTGCAGTTAATAGTGTATTTATAACGCGATGTCAGCAACCTCGTCCTTGTACGGACATAATAATACTATGCGTAATTCATAAACCAAGAAGTGTTACAATTAGTGATTAATGTTTTTACAATCATATACGGATTTGTAGAAGAACCCGTTTTTGTTAAAATAAAATGTGCTATTCCTAATTTCAGTTTATTCTTTGACAGTTTTGTGAGACTACAGTGCGCATAAATGTGCTGCCGGACACGTTAATCACAATCGGCGGCGGCGGCGGCACACCTTCAACGAACAATCCACCAAGGTTTACGCAAAACACCTATTCGGTCAATTTACCCTGCAGTTCGACAACTGGTATCCTTGTTGGTACAGCAAACGTAAGCAACACAAACTAGACAAACTGTTTAGCAGTAGAATGGGAAAGTGTACGCTTGGTTAAACAACATTTTGACAGGCCTCGGATCCGGACGGTAATCCGATTACCTACTCCATGTCGTCATCGCAATTTACCATCGACAGCAGTGGCAATGTGCGCACCGCTGTACCGTTCATTGGACCCTCGTCATCGACATCGTTTGTCATTCTGGCCACGGACAACTTCGGATCCAGTGGCAGTGCCACGGTGTCCGTTGCCGTGGTGGGCACGTGTACGGCCACGGCGCCTGGCCCATCCCCCGGCGCTCCAGGGGTGGTGATTGGCAACCGCGCACCGATCTTCCCGCAATCAACCTACACTTTCACCATACCGTGTAGTCAAAACTCGGCCGCGTTAGTGGGCACAGTACCGGTAAGTTTCGAAAGGTCACTAAATTGCCGCGCTGTTATAAGACATTAAATATAAGTTGCTGTGAAAGTATGGATGTATGCTACAAATAATTATACGAATAGAACTGTAATGCTTCACTGGATATAAAATGAAACGCTTTTATTATTAAATTTTTATGAAACCCTTTTTGGATTAAAAAATTTAGTTCTTGCAGACGACGGTTGCAGCTTTTGGTAATTAGTTTAAACTCACACAAACGTCTGTAATATCTATGTCAATCGATTTTGCTTAACCAATATAATTAAAATAGTATTAAAGCTTAAGGTCGCTGCATTTAATTGGAATGATAAATATACATGGTTCAAAACAATATCAGAAGAAGATTATTTGCGAAGCGAAAACATTTGCAAAGTTGAAACAATTTAAATGCACAGGCATTCGATCCGGATGGCGATCCAGTCACTTACTCCGTATCGTCAACGATTTTCACAATGGACTCTGCCGGCAACATCCGCACAGCTATACCACTAACAAACGGTGGCACATCAACGAATTTTGTAATAGCCGCCACGGACAACAAAGGAGCATCAACAACCTCTTCGGTCACGGTAAGCCGACAATCATGTGTTTTCTTTCCTTTCACGGCATTATTTTCATATGACCTTCGCGTAGGTTTCCATCTCCACAACTTGCTCATCCACATCCGGTATCACCGGCAGTGTACTATCGGTCTCACAAGGTCCAACATGCGCCCAGAATCTGTACACCGCCACGGTCCAGGAGAGTACCGCGGTGGGGACGTTTGTTCTGCGTGTCGGTGCCACCAGTCCGACCGGTTCCAATATTGTCTGGTCCATACCGGATAATTCTCTCGGGCGATTCACTATCAACCCGACAACCGGAGACATATCCGTGGCTACTACGCTGGCTAGAAGATGGCGTGCGGCTCTGGAATTTCAAGTGCGCGGAACGGACACCTCCACGGGATTGGTAAGCCAGAATATTTAGACTTCCTTCTGTCCAGAGATGAAATCTAATTTCCTTCGTTTCAGTACTGTACCTCGACCGTCCGCATTAACATTGCCGCCAACACTACATCCGGCACCAGTACCAACAGTCCACAGTTTACCAGTCCAACGTACTTCCTGTCGACATGCGCGACGCCCACTGTTGGTTCTTTCGTTGGATTCATAATTGTACGTCCGACACTTCCTGCAAATGAAATAGTTTCTCTCTAATAGGCGCGTAAAACCGGAGATACTTCCATTTTATCGTCATTAATTATGACTACTGCCGAGGGAGTAATAAGAGCCATAGTTATGTTGCCTGTTTTCTATTGGTTTTTGGATTTTAATTAATATATCCGCGTAAACTTTTCAGTTCATAATACGTAGAAGCGTATGGGGCTAGATGATCCAGAAGGTGCGGTTTTCAGGCAACTTCCCCAACTGGATCAGCAATTACATATTCTATCACTCCGAACAACGAGTTCTCGATCAACCCGACAACTGGTCAAGTGACCACGGCTGTCAGTCTCGCTAGCGCGGCGACAGGTCTACGTCTGATAACTGTAACCGGCACTGACGCGACGGGCTTATCATCCACGGCTCAAGTGCAAATTAACGTTGTACCGTGTGCCGTTTCGACAATAACGGCCACCGCCAGTCCTGCCAACACCAGTCCTACTGCTGCCACGTGCCCTACAAGCGTTCCGGCCGGCACTTTTGTCAGTACTATCCAGCAGACGGGTGGCACCGGGCCGTACACATACAGCACAACAAACACAAACTACGCTGTCAGTACAGCGGGCATCTTAACCACAGCAGCAGTTATTACTGCCACTGGTACTGCACAGCTAGTCCCCGTGGTGGTCACGGACAGCACTGGCGCTACGGGCACCGTTACCGTAACAGTTACGATATGCGGTGCAACCAGCGCAACACCACGGGTGGTCAATCCCACTATCACGTTACCGTCGACAAATCCGGCTTGCACAGCAGGAACCGGCAATGTTGCGGCGAATACGCAGATTGGAACGGTGGTTTCCACGGGAGGTACCGCGCCGTATACTTACACACTGACCAATACAGACCCGTAAGTGAGACAGTTTCCTGATTTGATTATGTGTAAATGTCACTGCAAGCTGCCTCTAAATACTGTACATAATTTTAGGCGGTTTACCATTTCTACTGGTGGAACTATTACGGCTTCTCAAGCCTTAACAGCACCCGGCACATACACTACCAGTGTGACGGTAACGGACGCTAATGGACAGACATTCCAGCAAACCGAAACCCTAATCTTGTGCGCGGCTGTACCGTCAATAACAACCACTTCTATCTGTTTCCCCAACACAGCCACTACGACGACAATAGGTGCATCAGGCACACCGGCTTCCGTTACTGCCACGGGCGGATCGGGAACGTACACTTATACTACCAGCAGCAGGTACGCTGAATGATTACATCTTCATGATTTTTACATCTACATACACTACATTTCATTTACTGTTTACCTCTACTGTCAAAAAATAATTTATGTAAAACTGAGCATTTGCAGTCAATTCGCGGTGTCTTCCACGGGCGTGGTTACAACTGCTACAGCCCTCGCCCCCGGTACATACAGTGTGCCGATAACTGTGACCGACAGTGCCGGTGCCACGCAGACCCAGGTGATACCGGTGTTTGTCACGACCGCAGCGACCTGCCCAGCTGCCCTTGTGGCCACCAACCCCGGCACGGCCAATACCGTTACCCCTCTTTGCTCCCTGGGAGCAGCATCTGCGCCGGGTGATGCCGCTGGAACGGCCATTGCATGGTTTACTGGCGGCACCGCACCGATAACGTATTCACCTACAACACCCAACGGGTAAGTTATTGTCGCTAACGATCCGGCCTGTGATATCGATAATTAGTTTCCATCAGCGAAAGCAATCTGTTCCGACAACTGTTGTACTGTACGCGAAATTGCAAATAATGTTATATTTAGCGCATTAGTTAAGCAAACGCTGCCATTTGGTATACTATTTTAATTTTTTAAGTGCTGAAATAAGAATTCTCGTCGGTTATAAGTGCGTGTTCGAAAATCCGTTTGCTTTTCAGAAACTTCAACATAGACAGTACTTCCGGAGCAATAACGTTGAATACCATCCTGGGAACCGGTCTTTACACGTACTCGATAACGGCTACCGATGCGAGTGGACAGACTGCCACATCTAACGTTCAGATATCAATCTGTGGCGGTACCGCTGCTCCAGGCGGTGGCGGCGGCGGTGGTGGTGGTGGCGACATTGGTTAAAGAATGCCGCTGAGCGAAAATTTTTTTGATTTTTTTGTAACCTGACTGGAAAGTTGTAAGTTTGCGCTCGAAATGGCCGAAATTGTTCTGTTTCGTGAAAATGAGTTTTTCGTTATATGACGTGGTGTATAATAGTCCATAGATATCCTTCGTTTTCCCTTGGCTGTATACAGACCTTGCGATCTTGTACAGCTATCCGAACAGCACGTCGTGTATGGTTAGTCCACCCCAGATGCTGGTTGTCTGGACAGCTTAATCTTGAAAATGTTTCATTTTTGTTTTTATTTCCTCCTACATCGCTTTGTTCGATGCAAACACTGTACAGCTTTGTCTTTTTTACATTCTCTCAGATACTAAATTCCGAATCAATATGCTCCTGCACAATGGCCTTAGTAATAAGAGTATTTAAAATTAGAACAGGGTACGTAATCTCTGAGAAGCTGGAAGTGAAGTCGTTTCGCATTAACACCAATATGTACACTCATTGCGGTTGCACGTATGTTACGTTTATAACACAATACTAAGACATACGCGCATTATAGGTGGGCGGTATATTTATTCTTTGTAATTATATAATGTGTGGATGATAGTGGATCTTACAGAGAGTAAATCGTCAAATGCTGAAGCAATCGATGTCTAATACCATGATCAAGTTTGTTTACTTGATTCACCCTATTGAAATTCGCCCAAGTTAATATTACCAATTTATAAACGGTTGACGAAATTTGATCCGATATTGTATCGGGCAGCGTAAAAAGCGTGAACGCCGTGCTTACAGTCTGCGATTAGCTTCAGATAAACGAAAGGTGGAACACATCCTGCAAGCGGAAAAGCACAAGACACAGTCGTCACAGGATCTCCAGGCGCACGCATATGTCGAACATTTTCTATAAAATTTTATTGTGGCAAACGAGTACTGGGAGTAACAAATGCCTTCCACTGAAAAAATGGATGCTGGCTGATGGTTGGCTCATTTTTACCAAAGCCATTTTAAATGAAAATTGATGCGGAATAGTATATCACATTGAATAATTACAATTGCATGTATAACATAATTATGCAAAACGTCAGCCCACCATGCTGTCGTACAAGCTTGCAACGATGACGTTGAACTCGCTAAATTGACTAATTGGATTGGTAGAGTTACAGTACTCAAAGCTCGCGAGTGACTCTAACTAAATAAATTTTAAGAATTACGCACACGTTCTATACGTATATTGCGTAGTCAGTTGAAAGAATGTTGCTGTATGATTTTCTATTCTTAAAAAAACTCCCAACTGTGTAAATTACTGATCAGGCCAATCCGAACTACGCGATCAGCTTGCATTCGAATTCTGAATGGAAATCTAACAGTCAAAACTTGAACGAACAGGATGAGCATGATTAAGTAGAGGAATTAGTGCTCTACGAGAATTAAGGGATTACATCAACGTGGGCCCATGCAGCGATACTGGATGAACTGTCTAAAGGATATATGTTCAAACCTGACGATTTTAAGCCACTTGGCTTGAATTCTTAAGACTCTCGTATAGCAAGTACTTAAAAACACATTTGCCGGCTGCCATCCACTGTACATTCCTTGATCATAGCCATTTGGACGCTTTTCCCGCTCCCTTCCGCCCTGGTAGTTAATTTACCATCTTCTGGCTGCCGGTACACTAGTAGTGCATCGACGGCCACATGGTTTTGATTTATAAGATGTGTCCCTGTGTGACAGAATTTAACGCAATCCCGCTCTACGGCACAACAACACCGCAACTGTTGTGGGAATGTTACGGAGCGTAAAAGTTTTTGACGTCGGCAGGCCGGTCGTCGTGCCGGCTGTTCATTATAAAATGTGGTTGACCAAAAATTTCTCAGCTGTGCGAGTGCACTTGCAGTAGCGAGGTCGCACACAGTAGTGGTAAAAGAAGCCTGCAGCTGACACTGATGAGATTTAATTTACTTTATTAGGCGTATATTCCGATTAAAATACTACCCTCCTTTACGATTGGCTTGTAGCCGGCGCCGCGTGCACTGCGTGTTAGAGCGCGCGACGGCCCAGTGCAGTGATGGGTTTAGAGTTGACTTGATAAAAAATGGATCAACCATTAAGGAATGAGCATGACGTTCAGGACGCGCACGACGCGTATTGTGTGATGCACCCCATTGACTGCCCATTTACGAGGTCGTTCGCATTCTCCTTGCCGCCGTCACAACAACCTAGAAAAAAACAATAACAACCGTAAAGCATCCAATCGGCGTGTGTTTGCACCCGTGGTTCGTTAAATGCCGGTAAATGTTTTGTAAATATGAAGTATCCAAATTTGTATATTTCTAAACAATTTATGATTTCAAATTTGACAGTTTTTTATGGGTTATTTTAATATACAGGTAAAATCTTTACCTCTAACAGCAGGGCGATTAGACTATGGAGACGAGGTGATTACATATTAATACTTCATTGTGCTCGCAACAAACAAGTTTAACGCGAAAACATTTCTGCGCAGTTATTTGTGACTACCATTTCCCGTTAAAATATATTTTCTTATGCTTGTTTTATTCCCTACGTCTCTTCTCCATCTTACTGATTCTTTAATTTGCAGGACAACAACATTTCCGACACTGCAATTCTTCTGCATAAATATTCTCGCGGCGTTGAAATATTTACAAATGCGTGACAGGAAGAACACAATTTTTCCGCCGGCAATGGGATTTCATTTACCTGCACAGCTGTCACACAATCTATTAGTGTCCTGTTGACAGTTGCTCTTTCGTCGGCTCCTCAGCCGTGCATCACTGCCGGCACGCGCGGACCGACTGGCTCGTCCAAATAGGTCCATCCCCTTAATGCCGGAAGTCTATCTTCAATGCACAGCTATGATAAAAAACGGATATCCCGTTTGTGCAGTATCCATGACATGACCAAGTAATCGTACAGTTTGCCGATTTTTGCCGGCCTTCCTGTGTTTGTGAGTACATCGCTGCTCGGCTGCCGGCCCCGTATATAGTATATACACCGTGTACAAATGTATATATATGAAGCCCATAGTGTGTGGCCGGTAAATTGCCGCTCCATGGCTACACAATAGTAGAGGGGCCATTTTACGTGAGGATGCGTGAAAGAAGGGATAACAACGCCATTCCCCATGCCACATCCCGGTTTCCTTAAGAGCGCATTTTCCCGTCCACGCACTCCTTGGATGGTCACGCCATAATAAAAAACACCGATCCTTGCCCCTTTTCACTGTGTATCATTATGTTATCATCATGTAAATCCCGCTGTCCATCGGATGCGTATATGCCGGCTGGAGATGCAACACCACACAATCTCCTCTAATCAATGCTGATTGATTTGAGTAAATCATGCTAGACTGGGCTAATTCTAGCGAATTTCATGTTAACGCCACTTTGACTACAGCAGCCCATAATAACACATCCAGTCTATTGTCAAATGATGAGGACTACTATTTCCAGTCACCGGAACTAAGCTACGCGGTGCCCGTTGGGATTATTCTGGGATTATTTACCGTTTTAACTGTTGGCGGTAATCTGCTTGTACTCTTAGCGGTGGCCACCGACCGACATCTGCGCTCACAGCGCCATACATTACTCATTGTCAATCTGGCCATATTCGACATGACACTCGGCTCTATTGTTTTCCCCTTTTCCGCTACATTGGAGGTTCTTAATGATCAGTGGCTATTCGGGCGGGTTTTTTGTAGTGTGTGGGCGGCTATTGATGTTTTATGCTGTACCGGCTCAATCTGGTCATTAGGTAATAGTTGGTCAAGTTTGTGATCGTAACATAAAACCGGAAATATGCACGGAAAAACGATTAAGATGGTTAATCTTTACGTACCAGCAAAATTTTTTTTTATTTACTCACCTAAATTTAGTAATTATATAATTTGTCTTAATTATACACCCGGCAAAACTTTAATGCAAAACAACTTAAAAATACCTCCTAAAAAACTGTCCCTTTGTTGCAAGTAACTAGAATAACTGCATAATCTACAGTTGATCACTGATCCTACTTGTTGGTCCTCTTGCACATTTTGTTAATGTTAAAATAGCGGACAATATAATCAATACGAGATTTGCGGCTTGTGCACTATTGTGCATATTAGACATTTTAAAATGCGCTTGCAATTTCGTATCTTAAATTATGGAAAACTTTTCTAGCTTGATGCTTACCCTCGCCATTCCCCATAAAGGAAGTGGGGTACAAAATTTTTTAAGGGCAACTGATGTGGGCAAAACGCTCGGTTGTCATGGGAAATTTGTTGGGCGCTTAGTGCTCCGCGGCGAAATGGCCCATAAACAGCACGCAAAGTGCTTTATTCCACTGATTTGTGGCCATTATGTGTGTTCTTTGCAGTATCTATCGCACTGGACCGGCTCATCGGCGTTACACGACCACTCGCTTATGCCGGGTAAATTGTTGACTTTTGTTTGTCTAATAACGCCTACTTTGTTTGGTTTGCTGATTGTTTTTTAAGTGTCTGCTTGTTGAGACGCTGATTTAAGGAATCAAATAGGTTTGAAAGAGGCTTAATTTTCGGTATAGAAATAGCACCAATGAATTCAAAAAGTCAAGATAAACCTCTTGATGATGTCTTTGCGCGTGTGGTTGAGTAGATGACTGCTAGTGCCACATACAGATATTTGGATGTGCGTCCTCACAGTTCACTGCTCTTTCAGATCTTTATAAAATTTAATTAAAAAACTGTACAGTGAACATTGATTTTTATGATTTTTATAATTTGTTTGTTTATAACACAAATTTTTATTTTGCCATAGACAAGCAGCTTTTGTTGTAGAAGCGCATATGCTTTTGAGAATATGAATATCCATAATCGACAATTCACTTTGCGCATATATTTAGCATATCTTTCCACACACCATTAATATTCTTGGCAAATGACTCAGACGAAAGGCTTGCTGCTGAATCAAATTAAAGCCAATGTAATTCGCCGGTAAATTGCTACATTTTTGTATAATGACATTTTTGTCTGTCATATACGTATGTTGGCGTTGAGAATCGGTACAGTGTATTATTAAAAGAAAAACCCAGGGCGCGATAAATATCCGCCAATATACTTGTGCAGCAATATCGGTGACGTCTATTTTTAGGATTATGACCAAAGCCAAAATGCTGACGATGATTATAATTATCTGGATATTATCCCTGGTCATTTCGGTGGTGCCGTTCATGGGCTGGCAGACACCGGAAGAGAAGAATCCCTACAAATGTCACGTCCAGACTGACCCCAGCTATGTGATATTCAGCTGCTCCGTGTCCTATTACGTTCCACTGATAATTATATTAATTTTTTATTCGCGCATCTATAAAGCCGCCGCCCGGCATGTACAGTCCATGCGGACGGGTATTAAACGCGGATCAGGATCACTCAGTAATGACGGCACCGTAATGACATTACGAATTCATACTAAACGCTTTCAAAAATCTCACAATGCTACAACTACCCGCACCGGCTCGGGATCGGAGACCAACAATGCCAACGGGGAAACCGGAAGTGTTTCCGGCTCAACAACGGCCAAACTGGGTAAAAGCTTCGCGAAACAGCGAAAAGCCACCATCACGCTGAGCCTGATTATTCTGGGATTTATTTGCATGTGGCAAGGATTTTTCCTCATACTACCCATAAGTAAGTCCGCTACGCCCTGTAGATAATATGTCATAAAAAACGCGTAAAGACAATAATGTGAAGTACTTTGGGTTATCACGAAATCTCGGCTGGCATGCGGCACGGGAATTGTGTGTCGCCTCGACGAGATCAGTTCGCTTGTGGTTAGTTGGTTGTGAGTGTTGGCAAGAGTGAAATATGTGTCGCACTCGTCAGGATTTATTAAATTATCTGATCCTGAAAAGCCGGGATTTAGTTATGCACTATTTAACCAATACCCTAATGCATTAATAAAGATATACTACATAATTTTTTTTCATATTGTGAGAGTTGCATTAAATTTGGTAAATTGTACTTTTCATCTGGCAGATAATTTGTTTTCATTTATTTTGTGCATGTGCTTGTGCAGCTGTGGAAAATTATTTGGACTTTTGCATTTCCAGGCGCAGGCTCGGAATGCATGCACAACCGGCCATTAATTGTGTTATCTTAATGCGGATTTCGAAATAGCATCATTAAATTTACTTTTAGCTATTTATAGCTGGCGATTGATTTTAACTTGAAGGTGTGTCGGATCGAAAAAATGCAGTTTATTAAGAGATATGAGGTTTACTGGAAACTGGCGATACGTCATCAAAGTGGGTTAGGAAGATGGACTCGCGGGCACAGCCTAAGCCCGGCAAATTTGTGAGCTTACATTATTTGCCTATGAGTAATTAATAGGGCTTACACGCTGTTCGGAGATTACTGTGCAACATGCATTAGTACACAATCAAAGTGTTAGAGTTACACGGATCTGTGTTTTCTACACACTCCTTGATCCGACTGAAAATAGCGCCAGAGACAACTAAGCTGGCCGGCAAAGATGTTCAAAGAACGCCGGAAGTGCCTAAAGACACTGCACTGACCCGACCTCTTCCCATGGCAATCCAGTTGGCATTCCGCTGCAGCAGTGGCACGCTATGCGTAGAGCGAAATGAATTTTCCCTTCAACGCAAAAGAGAGAGGATAGACACTTTATATACGGCGTAGAATTGCCGGCATTGGCAGCCGTAGCGGGATGCTGCTGTTAAAGTGAGGCCGGGAGAGAGAGAGAGAATCAATTTTCTGTGCTCACTCACGAGATTTTGACAGATTTTTGGCTCAGTCGGGGTGCTTGTTGTACACACAACCATGTACACATAATTGATTACGGGAACTAGTGTTTTGAATGCCAGTAGGATGGGATCCAAATCGAGAAGGTTTGACATTGCCATTTAATCTCAACAACACTTTAATAACATTTAATTATCTTCCCATAACAGGCAACCACTTCATTAAGGAGTGGTTGCACATCGTGGTCACGACGCGTATGCATGTAGTCTGCAGACATAATGCAGACCCTGTGTTAAACGATGCTTAGAGGATATCACGTGAGTTTCCGTTTATTATTTCCGTCTGTCCATTATACAATCACCCTCAAAATAATAAGTGCGCATTTAAGGAAAATACCGTCGCACGTGGTATCGACTGGTAGCACTAAACTCACAAATAGTCATTAAACTTCCACCCGCAATTAAAGTTCAACATTATTCAGTACACGAACAAAAAATGATAATATTGCGGTTTGGTTGTGTTTCTTTCCCGACCTTTCTGCCGGACTGGTTTCAGAGTGTGTACAAATAAACATTCAAAGGAGCAAATTATTACGATTGCCTCTCGTACGGTGTATCAGCTGGCTATTCTCGAATATTCGGAAGCAGTTTCACTACGGTGTAATGTTTACCGGAAGCTGTTAAGGGTCACACTGCAATGCCAAGCCCTATTGCCGATTTGAGCGTAATGTCTTTTTATGGGCTATTTTATGTTGCAGTATCAATTATAGTCAAATCGGATTAAACTGTTATAGACTACGACGTCATATGTGGTAAAAAAGCGAAACTGATTTTTCAATCCAGCCAGTGCTTGTGCTCGTATAAATCCCGCTGTTGCCGGCATGAAAGAACTTAATGGATCGTACGGGCCAATTATCCATAAACTATTGTCACCCCATACTACGGCTATCAACACCTAAACGCACGTGCAATGAGCCGTCCAGTGTTTATTATTAATCAGATGGTAATACGCTCCAGCACACAATAGTACGCATTTTATCACCTTTTAGCATTGAGATCTGTTTATGCGTTAAGAGGGTGACAAAATCAGGAGAATATGTGTGACGAGAGTGAAATATGGAACATAGGACTTAAGCACATCCAGGCTATATGCGCATCGCAAGTCATGCATAAGGAAAAGATTATTCCGGCATTTCATAATTTAATGGAATCCACTATTAAGTGCGCTAGTTTTAGTGCTAATGCAACAAAAAATTGTACTTCCGTACATCAAACAATGCAAAATGCAGCTAAGTAATACCTAATGGTGTACTTTTTATTTGTCGAATGCCAGCCACTTTGCCATTTTGCAGTCGTAACCCGATCAGAAAACTTTGCTATCGATGTCATAGCAGTGATGATGAGCAGTGAGTTGGGTAATGCATTCTGATACGCGCGCCGAGCTAAACTCTGCGCGTCAGCCCAATTATGAGTGACTATATTAACACGAATACCACAATTTAAAAGTTAGATTTGATTTGGGAAGGCTTTTTCTCCGGAGATTTACGGCGTCCATGGGGACATAAAATAGCAGTTTAAAACTGTGAGCTGCTGTGCAGTGCCAGCATTGGCAGTTCTTCGCCACGGTTGTGCTGTATCTGTGCAGTTGCTAATCTGTATTGAATACTGCACTCAAATGCACAGTCCTCTGCATTGGTTACAATGCCCAGCTTCACTTTTTTCGGTCATCATTAGCACACACACAAACTGGGTCCTAAACAAAATAAATGAATGCATCATGAAAGATTCAGCCACAAATATTCATTATTTGCGCTGTGTTAAATACTGCTCTATCTAAAAGCTGTAACAGTTGACAGTTTAGGATTAGCAACTACTGTACGTATGTGAAACCGCACTACAATTAGGTGACCCCACGTTATTATTTACATATATCTTGCTAGCTTTTATTAATTTATTATTCTACTTCTTTGTGCTAGATCGTTGTCAAACTGTAAAACGATAAAAATGGCATTACAGCCTTTCATTCGGTATTGCACTTAATTGCACTAACGCTACTAACAATAAGCTCACGGTTTTGTTTTTTTTCCTGAAAATAATTCATGATTTGCAATTTTAATTCATGATTTGCATGTACCTAATCCACGCACTAAAGGTACTTAAATGATAACACAGTCTTGAAAGGTTTTAAACTTTTAACAATATTTCAAATCCCTCCAAAGATTGATTTTTCGAAATATATTCCTACAAATTCTCTAGCAATAGCGTAAATGATGCATGAACTAATGGGACATCTGTGGAAATTTCTGGTCCAATGAGGAGGAAATGAAAGAAACCCAGCAAAAGTAACAAGAAATTTCAGCATTCAACAAAACAGTCTATGGATAACAGAGCAGCAGCTGTACTCCTTTTACTTCGTTAGGTCGAATAAAAATAAGGAAGTGGACCCGCATGAATGTCATTTACAAGAGAGCGCAAACCTCAAAGTACTGATTTACGGATAATGTATAGCGGCATCTTTTGGGCTACTGCAACAAGATTCTGTACCGACTGCATGTGGAAGCGCAACTATCAAAACATTTAACACAACAAAAAATTTCATCAAAACTTTTTTGTGGTAAGACAATAGAAAAACATGATGTTGTGCAGTACGTGTATAGTACTACGAGTAGTACGTATCTATATTCAGAGCGTGCAGGACAGTACCGTACATGTATAACGATCGGCAGCTAACAATGTAGGGTTCCGAAGTTTACTTCCGAGGCCACCTTGCTATGCATACGTACATAATGTATAGCAAAAACAGTTGTCGTGTAATGGTATTAATTACGTGCTTGCTTTAAAAAAATATTGGCGCTGTTTATGCTAGGTTGTGCAATGGTGACAGTTTAGCATGAAACAAGAAAATGAGCAAACGTGTGGATACGTACGTGGGTCCACCCACGACCCATCATGCCGGACCGCTGCCGCTATTGGGCAAGACACACTGTACAGATACAGTACACCTTTGTTCTCTGCAAACGGAAATACGACCAGTTTCAGATCGACCTTATAGCTTTGTTTAAGTTTGCTTTTGATGATTTTGATTTTTAAGAAGTTATACATGCAAAATGCCTCTCTATAGCTGTAATTTGTATATCCGATAGGTTCAGTGGCAGAAGGCACTTTGAAATTAGAGTATCCACGTTGTACTCGTATGTGTACCTTTGGCGCGATACAGGTACGCATGCTCATAGTTGTAGTAGTTATTCAAAAAAATTGATAAAATCGGTGTCCAGAAGCGTGGGAACTGCATTTTGCTGAAACCCATACTGAAATTTTAACGTATATGTTTGCGCTTTTAATTCCGAGTTTACTTGCGCGGTATTACCTTTACAACTAATAAGTATCAGTGATGTATCACATACAAGCATAAAACTGAGTTCTAGAACAAATTTTTATTATAAAAAAACACTTCAATTTTTGTTTACTTTAATTTTTGCTTTATACGTCTAATTGTTCAGTTGATTTAACTAATACATAAAGATATGCTGGATATGGATCCGATTAAGTTATAAGAAATCGGTGTCATGCACCAATTGCAGTACAGAATCGCTTAAACACGTATCTTCTCCTTAATTATTTGCTTAGAGCTTTCATGGCAGTTTTGAATACAGTACATAAATTTATACCGCATGGATAATACTTGAATAGTGATTCTACTGTTTGCGTAGCTAGTTTTAACTTTTCGCGATGTATTACCATAATATAATTAAACCTAAGATAAGGCAAGCTTAGTCTAAAAAATGTCCATATTTTGTGTAGGTTTAATTTTTGTTTGTTTTATTAACCAGTGGTCAGAAGATAATTTCACCAGGTCTTAAGTATAGGAAACTTAAAGAGCGCTCGAAGAAGTGTTTACTGCCCAGTAATCGACCAAAGCGAAACGAAGGTCCTCTATGTTCAAGAAAATAGGAATTTTGTCGGTCACACATTGATAATTTAAATTTAAATAAAATGAGTCAGAACACACACAAAAATATTAAATAAAAAAGGAAAAAATAATTTTCAAATGTAAAAATCTATTTTCAAAACAGTTTTCAAACAAACTCAGCAAACAGTTTAATAGACTTGGTTTTCCGCTTTGCGTAAGCCTTTTAATGCAAGCCACCAGCGGTGCACTTCCCTAGTACAGAATCCTTAACATATGTCATGATTGTAAGTTTGTAACCACGTAGAATATTGTGGAAACGTACAATTGTACATAGGTACTTGCTTTCCATGTACAATATTACGACATGCAAAATTACTTACGTAAAATTAAAGGTCAGTGAATTACTTATTTAAAAGTCCGTAAAAATAGATATGTAAGCAGATAAGCAGTAAGATAAAATAGATAAGCAGATAAGTAGATAAGCAGTAAAGTACGTACGTACTTAAACGTGTTTGTTATGTGTTTTAATAATCTTTACAAAACAGTTGTTAAAATGTAATTCTCTTAAATCACCTGTCAACTTTGAAAAATTAATATAGATTTCTCCAATATGCCAAGCGCTACCTTGTGTCATATATGTACTGGTAATCGGTTATGCACTGCTAAAAAATGTATGCTTTCTTAGTCAATAAATTGAATCACCCTTGTTTTCTTGGCAGACCCTGAGCAAAATTACTACTGTAAACTGTGCACTTACAGGTTAACTAGCTTAAAAATCGCATTTTTATACTTTTCCGGCTGATATATTCTGTTAGGGGATGTATTCATCCGGCTCGTTGTATATATCATGAAGATGTATTTTTCCGGCTTTGGCCAACGTTTTATGCGCCACAAAATCAAAGCGTACCATGGCCAAGCAGATATTACGCGCTGTCAGGAAAATATCCTTAATTGGCGCGTACGTTATTATAAATACAAATTATAATATGTGCAACAGCAATACCATTGGTTATTTATATTCTTCATGATCCGATTACTAGTCTGCATGTACGAGTATACAATTTGTACTATTTGTATCGATGCATGCGCAGGATTGCGGGTTTTACAAAAGCAGATACCATGTCCTGTTAAGCGCGTTTAAGAAGGTCCTAAGTGCGCAGTTCCCCCAAAAAGGCGCGTACTCATTCTCCGCTAAATTATAAAGTTGCGCAAAATCCCAAAGTTTGTGCACACTTGGCTTCCGCTTTGTATGTTGGTTCTTTATCTTAGAAATAAATTGTTTTAAGCGCAAAATATTATATCCAGAATGAACTGTTTTGCTCAACATACTGTATATGACTGCAATACGTTCGCATGTGTTTGTTGCAATACGATGAATGATATTCTTTAATAATTCAGCAGCACACCAAATGGCATAAGTATAGCCGTATAGGTAGAAAACGCGGCGTTGTTAATCGCATATCCTATACTTGCAGGTAGATCGTAGTATTGGGTACATAACTACGAGTTACATATGCATTCGCTGCATGATTGCGCATGCAACTGCGATTCCTGTCTACAGACTCCTGTGACAGGAGTCCTGTGACTCGTGTCCTGTATTTATGGATTCTACTATACTCGTATGCGTGGAACCATAGCAGTATAAGCATACAAGAACAGTACGCATATCTATATTTTTTTACTGGCAGTGAGCGTATTTGTTTTGAAAGTCTGCTTTTAAGTACCTACTAATTACGATATCGTGATCGTGAAGTCTTCATATGTCGGAAGACAGATCGGCGGCAATCGATTTTATTGAATGTCCAATGTCGTTTAATCAATAAAGTAGTTGAGATCGGCACACAATTTATTATTGCACACTGTATAAGGAAAACTGAACGACGAAACTAGGAATTATGGCCAAGCAAATTTGCCTAATGAAGTTTAATCATGGACATGTTGGTTCATATTAGATTATCCAGTCCATGGGTAGCATTTGTGTTTTCTTTATACACATGCACTGTATAGTGTATACATATGCACCATCGTCCACATGATCGAGTATTGTCCCACTCCCTGGCGCGCTCTCCCTTATTTAAATGTATTTGGGGAGCGTTGCCCGATTGTTCTGGTCATAAGACACTTTACAGCATTAAACCTGCTGATAACATTAACATGGGTGTAATTAAGTTTTCTGCGCTTCGTGTAACCATTATCCCGTTGTGTGAGCGCGGCCGTATAAAAAGTCATGAAAGTGTCGTCGGCATCGAATAGGAGTACACAGATATAATTTTCATCCCCTGACAGGAAAAAGCCAACCAACGGATGTGGATATAAAGCGGTGTATATACGGTATGACAGGAATGTTTTGTTTGCAGGCGTTTTCTGCAAAAATTGCAACGTTCCGGTGACTCTATGGCGAATATTCTTTTGGCTCGGGTATTGCAACAGCTTGATGGTATGTGTAAATTCCCAGTTACTGAAACTATAATATTGTCTGGATATAGAAGTACGGGTCTTTAGTAAGTTCAGCGGCATGTATACTTACGTTATTTGCAATGCCGGAATTTTATATATTAATATATGCTATATTCCTCTCAGTAATTATTGTAATATCGATCTCTGTCATGTTTTAGCCGCACTTTTACTTTTGACTTTTTGATTTGTACAGCATTAATGCATCGATGCCTTTGCGCGTTACTTGAAATGATTTGATTTACGGCATACCATAGTACTCTTTTTCTGCTAAATATTAAGCGCAATTTTGCGCCGATTAGGGTTTAATATACCTACAGGAGGCTAGACATATGCTCACCTAGGCGTAAAAAATATTAACTTCGTTTAATTTGTTGTTTTTTCCGTTTATTTATAATAATAATTAGGAGATGACCCTTACCATTGATAAGTATCACCTACTGACTATTATTATAAATAATGAAGATTTAGTTAGTAAAACATATAAGTAAAATTACTTCAAGTGTACGGCTTAGTTGTCCGGAGTGTTAAAAGTCGATTTCGTTTTTTGATTTCCCAGCATTCAACATAACCTGTAATTTATTTGACGCTTCATCACATGGACAACGCATCCATTCAGCGTTGTATGCTGGTAAATTGGCAACTGACAACTAACAGCTGTGGTTGCGTGTGTAACTCTCGTACTGTTGGTACTGTATTACACGCATACAAACACAGCATCCGTGTAATCCATTCTTATACGCGCGCCGCGCACAAATAACGATGGCCCCTTGTCGAGAAGGGACAAGTTGTTATCTTTGATGAATATCAAGCCCCCATTGAAAAGCGCTCCCAGTCGTCCGGAAATGCCGAGTTTTCAGTTGGGGTTTTCAGCGCGTTAATCACAGTTTTCCTGTCAAGAAGCGCAACGGCATATCAAGCGTTAATCGCTACCCCTTCACAACAACAGTCCCGGCCTAACACTAGTAGCGCCGAGCGTCCAAAAAGCCGGCATCCGGAATGACTCCATATATCCTTGATAGTTTTTGATTATTCTTCGGCAATGCGCCTTAACCGTTGCCGGCATACAATACTCATCGCCAATATACAGCATAACCGGGACTCTTTTTCTCAACACCAATCGATTAGCGAGTTTTTGTCCAAAATGCAGTTTTGTTTCCCTTTGGCACGGCGTTAACGTTAAACATTAAGCCGTAGATATAAATCACAGGCTGACTTTGTCGCTAAACAGAGCTATTTAATCTCCAGTAAACGCTGCGTGCGCAACTCATATACGCATATTCACACACCATCATCTTGGTTTTTTCTTCTCCCGATAGAATCCCTTCATCTATGCTGCCGCATCCCCCGAATTCCGCCGCGCTTTTAAACGCATTCTATGCTGTGAAATATTTTCCGGCCGTGAGCATCAGCGTCGCAGTGTCCGTGACATGTCCAATTCATCACACGGCGCCGCATCCCGCAGCGGTAGCAGTGGCGCCAATAATCGCCGCCTGACCCGTTGTTGGGGATTTTTTAAACCCTTTCGCAGCTGCCTCTCCAGCCGGGAACGCACGGAGACTAGCACCACCGGAACGCCGGACAGTAGCGATGTATTAGCTATGACCCCGGTACATCTGCACTGCTCGGACAGCAACACACTGCGCAGTACGCCGGGTGAAAGCCGGAGCTTTCTGGGATTCCGTCTGAGCCGGAAGAGGTCAGATGCCGGCACGGTGGATTTAATGGAGAGCTTCCCCTTGGCGTCGCTGACGTTGGCCCGGCTAAAAAATCCCTCCTGCGGCAGCGACGCCCTGTATGGCTCACTGCAGGCGCTGCAGCGGGCGGCCATGGAGGACAGTCCCAGTCGCGCGGGGTTGATGCGCGCCTCCAGCAGTATTACCGGCAGCGTCGGCTCTAGTCAGGCTGATCAGCTGCTGCGATTGTCCAGGAGCTGTGCTACACAAACACCCCCCGTGTCAATACCGGTGTCTCCAGAGACCGGCTCGCCTTATCATTATGTTTTTGAACCATCCGCTCCAGATGATGCCGAACTGTGATAAATATGTATGTAACGCTGTTAGGGAAGAAAATGTGTATACAGTGTCTGACAGCGCTGATCCCCGGGTTTCCTTTGTTGTTTGGTTGCTTCGCTGAATTTTTTGGACTGCTTGTTGTTATCCGATGATTTGTTATTTATTTAATGATGGAAATTCTGTACGGAGATGTGTGAATGTTTTGTAAATATTTATACAGTCAACCATGTCGGAATGGGACAGTTGTAGCCGGCAGCCAGCCGATCCGTTTGGTTTGCATAATTGGTCAATGCGCAGAAGAATTCGATTTTTTCGCTATAATTCGATCTTTTCTATCACCGACTTAACGCCACCTGCTTCACAGTACTCTGTATATGGCGCTATGCTAAAAATTGATTTATTTAACTTGTGAGCGCACTTTATATACACACCGACGGTTTGAATAAAGAAAGAAAGAATTTCATGCATTCCGTACAAAAAATACAAAGAATACAAAGAACCTTATGCATATGTATTTTTATAGATTTCTGTAGAAGCGAAATATAGTTTCTAACCAAATTATAATTTCTATTACATTTTCATACATATTTGTTTATACGTAAATTTTGGTAATTCTCTTACTTTTTAAAAATATTTCTTTGTAATCACTGAAACGCTTTATAATGCATGAAAAATTGCAGTACTTAATTGTCACACAGCAATAGTATGGTTTTTCAGTTAATTTGTATACTTCTCGGTAGTACCGTAATTCATGTTTATATTTTGTTTCGTAAACATTTATCATAAACCGCACTGTTGTATTGCAATAGTAACTGCCAGTGTCAAAACGCACTGCAAATAAATAAACTCCAGATACTGAGCGATGGTGTTTATTTAAAATAATAAACCTCGTTACTAATTTATTGTGTGAAGAACGGTAGAAATCAATAAACTGAATAAAGGAGTGTAGATGATAAGCCAAAACGGTAATACCGCAACTTCTATATACGACTTCGCTGTGGCAATCCTCGTCGCCGAGCTGCTGGACAGTTCAAAAAACATTTATTTAATTTTCGCCGATATTGGAAAATACAGTAAGTCATTGATGAGGTGGCAAATGTTACAGAGCAGTTAGAGGTTAAACGAAGGAGCAAGCGACAATTAGCCAAGCAAGTCGTCAAGCGGGGATGATCCGCAGGATGCTATACAACTCCTGCGTTGGAGTGTGCCGTAGGTGTCAAAATAACACAGTAACGTTCGCAGCAAGTTCCGCTTTATTAAACCATGAATAATTAATGCGCAGGGATAACGTAATCATGATTCCCTCGATAATCAGTAGTATGATGTATCGGCGCAAACCGCGCTCAAATTCAATGTCTATTCTACAGAAACTCGTACAAAGCCTCGTATTATGATTCTTATTGCTTACTGCATATATTATGACTGAGTAATTATTGAAAACGCTGCCATAATGCATAAAATAAATGCATTATCATAATACTGGACAATTATGTGAGCCAAAGCAAAATCTGGATGCAGAACGCATACGGAAGCAAGTTTGGGTAACAAATAGCTAGTTTACTAATTTGCTTATTTTATCTTGCTCTAAAGTCGACTAAGGAAAAAGTCTTAAAAAGGGCATTAAATCTGAAATTAAGTAACACATGCACGAACAAAACAGTAAGTAAACGCTCTAAACGAAATTTAACAAAAACTGCAGTGATAAAGCGCCCAAAGATTACCGTAATCAACCATGCATTTCCTGCGGAGGGCACTTTCTTCCGGTCTTGTGGGGATCCTTTGATTTGCAGTCAGTGCTTCAGTTGTGTTATGCACTTCAAGTGTACCAGCTGCACAAAAAAGTAGGCCCATATACAGTTGTTCTCTATTAGCCTACTTATAGATATACTAATGATTTTACAAATTTGTATAAATATCAGATATCATACTGGAAAATGACCGCGATTGCTATAGTACACCAATATCTGCATCAACGAAAGCCAATCGAGAATACTTACATAAAATGTTTTGATAAACATATATCCTGCCATGTAAGTAGAAAGGTAAGACATAACGGCAATGATTGACCCTGGCAATCAGCGGGAAAAGCAAGCGATAGCGGGCCGGCACAATTTGTCACACTAATATTGCAATTTTTAGTTGAATGTATGCCCATTAATGTCGGCAAATTTTAGGAAAACCAGGGCTTTTAATGTACTTAACCGTGACAAACAAACAACACCATGTGAACAACGGAGCAAGCTTTTGTTACAAAATATGCGTTTCATATCGCGGTATGCATCGCTCGGGATAGCTTATCAGCGCTTCTTCTGCGTAGTGGCGTACCACAAGAATCACCTATTAAATCTTATCTTCCGAGTCCCGGTTGTCTAGCACATGCCGTCCTTGTCATCTGTCCCAGCATGGTAGATTAAAGATTTCATACCGCACTAAATTAAAAATGGAGCGGAATGATGAGATGGGCATAAAAACGACAACAATGATCTCAGCAGTCATCATTCTAAGATACCTACTTCCGATCGACGATCTGCGTCAAAACCTAGTACCAGGTGTCAATCATAATGCAGCATAACGTACCATAATTATAAAACTCACTTAAATACGTATGCGTTAGCACACTGACACTGTTCCATTCTACGTGCATCCATAAAATTAACGGCTTATTTAACTACTTAGTATAAAAGCTTCCAGTGTGTTGTACGTTAAACAGATAATTTGCGCTGGTAATTTGTACGTTATTGAATATACACAGTTGTTGCTGGAAGTTAATACTGGATTACAGTGAATATACTGAATTTATTTATTTATACGAACATTTACCGGCACGGCTAACAATTATCAAAGATGCTGCTCCTGGCCCGCGCTATATTGTTCACAACATTTCTGACAAGCAGTTGCTTGTTTGAGGCGGTCCACTGTGCTCCTTGTGGGCACAGTGATGGTCACTTGCTCCATGCCCTGACGAGCGATTCTGCTTTCGTGGACGCGGATCCCCATTGGGAGGAGTCACCGGAAACTGATTCGCGTCAAGGTATATTTGTACTTACTAATACTGGCTGAGTAGCCCTGGGCTGTTGACTCAAGCAGCAATTATTGTCATCATATTAAGTTTAAACCAAAACTGTTAGAAACCTAATGCATAAGAAGAAAGTATACTGTAATAGTGCAGCACCGCCCAATCCGTGAAACATTTCAAAGTAGCGTGTTTCTCTTGCATTCATAAATCGGGTAAGAGCAAAAGGCTGGTGGAGTTTCTAAAATTATATTTCACGTAATGTACTTACCGATTATGAATTGGTTGCGTACGAGTATATATAGAAGGATAAAGGACACAAAAGGTCACATTGTGACGTAGTATTCTAATTCAGTTCTATAGTAGTCCTAGGTTCATCAGCGGCGCCACATTGCTCTTCGCTTTCGCCCCAACATATTTTGCTATAGACCGTAAAAACTTTAGAATAGTCCACATAGAAATAATTTAGAGCCCAGTTTGATGATGAAAAAGTTGAACAACGCCAGTAGAGGAGAAACAAACAAAATTCTTGCTAGATTATGTATGAGGAAACTATTCAGATGTAGCAGATCCTGTCAGCCAAAAACCACAGACAGTCTACGGACAAATAAAATGGCCTTCCGTGGAGGAACTGAGGAACGAAATCTTAACTCCATCAAGGTTTCCGGCTCTACATCGATTCGGTTGATGCCAACATTTATCTTGGCACTTTATCCTGATTAACTTCTAATTATTATCAGCCACGGCCCAGAGTTGCAGTGTTTATATTTTTTTAAAAAAGCACTTTTGTTTGCGAAGCTATTAATCCATGACAATACTGTGTATTGTGCGTTAAAATAATTTTGTTAATAATTAAACTATCGGCAAGTCTGCAGCCATTTCATGGTTAAATTAAAATTCTTTAAGTATGGATTTCGAAATTCATAATGGCAAGTTCCATAAATAAACAAATTACTTTTTCCATCCTATGCGAAGAAAAGAGAACTGCTCTTTTTTACGTACCTCAACAAAAAGGTAAATATCTGCTCTGACACATGTAAATAACGACGATGCTCTAACAAGCCATTTCGATGTCCCGACCAACAAGTTGTTTGCTCACATACATCACCAAAGGTCTTTAATACTAGCACGATACCCGGCACGCAAAAAGGTGCACCAGAAACGTTTTGAACTGGAAGGCGGTAAAGAATAAAGCCATTCCAGTACGGTACAAACATGCAGGGTAGAGCTGAAGCCACAGGCTAAAACAATGCATATTCATGGAAACAAAAAAAACAACAAAATTACTGGAGAGAAATATCTTTCACGGAAAACAATTAGTAATTAATCCAATCCAAATCCTGGGAATGCAGCACGTTTGGGATTCAAGAGATCGGCGAGAAAATAAATGGTACCGGCCAGACCTGCAATAAAAGCCGAAGATTAATCCAAGGAGAAGCCACAGAGACACGTAACAAAAAGTAATGAACGGTTCCTAATGTAATCTTTCTAAAAATACTATCAACCAGTTTGACGAAGTGTTCGTAAAAACACAAAACAGCGGACATGTTTTAGTCTCCCCATCATAAAAACTGAACCAACACTAGAATAACGAAACAACACGAAATGCAGCACTTACCAAAAACAGGTACAAAAGAAACCTAAACGGCTTGAAGTTACAAAAAAATTTAACACACCAAAAAAGTTTTTCAAAATCGCCTCTATCTGCTGTTCGTTAATTGTTATCACCCGTTTAAATGGCACAACAGGCAGAACACAAAATATTATTTATTATGAAGTCAGCAACATTAGGGAATTACTTCATCGATAACGCTTCATGACATGTTTCGCACGCTATGACGCAACTAAATAGTACGCTAATCTGCCCCAAACGCACGTCATGAAACATCTTGTTTCCCCCCGGATATTACCCAGAGTGGCGCCGAGTGCGGCATAACTACGTTGTGGTATCAAAAGCTCCACGTAATTAATTTCGTGCGACATCATCGACTGACCTTCAAAAAGAGATAACGGGCGATCGGGCGTTCTACATCCGTGATCACCGTAATCCATGCAGAACCGGGCGAACTGTGCAAATAAAACCACTTATCACGCCAGTATAGCGCCAACCCGAACAAGCAGCACAAACCGACACCTGATAACGCACCTGGATAGCCCGATACAGATGCTTCACGTCTTTGGTAAGTTTGTACAATTCCAGAAAGGCATACCCGTTGCCGGCAGCGCCATGGCAAAGTCCATAGCCTTTCTGCAGTAAACCGCGTTCCCATACGCACTCTGCCGCATCCTGGGCAGCATCCAAATACTTTTGATCATCAAAAACCTAGAGTATAAATTCAAAACAGATAAAATCAGTCTAGCAGATTAAACAAAGGTGTAAATTAACTCAGAAAATACGAACAAGCTGTTTGTTACCACCCTGCCCATATTAATTTTTCGCAACAGTAAATTGCTCCGCAGTTTCTACATAGTGCGATACATTCTCCCACTCAGCTAACCTAGAAGCACCGGTTTAAGTACAATTTTTTATCTATTTTTTTCGGGCTTAGAAACAAAACAAACGCACAAATTATTTTCAATGAAACACGAAACGGAGAATAAAAATACCCAATTTGACGGGTATTTTCAAGACAAGACGTACTCTTACCTCTGATGCCCTGCAAAACAGTAGAACAAAACCAGGAGCTCCGTGGCACCACTGTACGAGCTTATCGGAGGTGTTTGATACTGACGACGGATAATTTCCCGAGGGAAACCGAAGAAGTAGGAGTTGATCCAGAGTCGGCTTAATCAGATTCTCGACGTACTCCTCAATCAAATCTTTTCTGGTCTGTTTAACAGAAAAGGGTCAAGTACAGATAAGAAATGATTTATCAAGCACGGAGTCAAACCCTGCCTGTAAAAGCATATACAGAATTCCCACGATTCCGTGCGCCGCTCCGAGGTAATGCTTATCATGCCACTTGTACATTAACGGAAATTTGCTCTTCTCCTCTAGTGCGAGTGCTTTACCGGAATGAATCAAGGCTTCCACAACCTGAAAAGACAAAATCATAAAATCTGCAAGCCGTAAATAATTCACGAAGGTGAAACAAAGATAGCTACCGAGTATCAAATGAGAAAGAAACGTAAGAGCGATGATATTCCGACAGTAGGACATAAATAATGGGGATTAAAAAACACATATGAGTGTGTACAGTGTACACATCTGACATCGCCAACATGTGGACAATTCTTACATAGAACATTTACGCACTAAAAATAAACAACTGATTGTAAATTAAACAAACTATCCGATATCGTGCAAAAACAGTTGCCTAAGATCTTGTAGCGACTAATACAGGCATGAAATGAAACCATTACAACCGGTAAAGCAGTCCACACATTCGAAAACTCTTATAATCTGTGCACCGCACACCAAAAAAATACTTATTACCAGATAAAATATAATCCAGATGTACTAGCATTATTTTCAAAATAACTGCGCGTCGTGCAAAACAGAAAACCTGGCAAAATATCTTACACTTTCAATGGCCGCGCTGGAGACCGCGTCGGAGTCATAGAGTGTTTTGACATAGAGCAGCGAGAACAAGTATCCCGCGCGTCCATACAGAACTTCATCGGGCATCTTGTCATCCACATCCGACACTTCTCGGCCGAATTTCAACAAACTATCAACGGTTGACAAGATTCGCTTACACGGTAATCAGAACACATGATCCACAGAACAGGTGGTGCACCTACTTCTTGACACAGTCCTCCGCTTTCTCCTTCATATTCAGCTGATTCAACAACACCGCGCCGACCGCCAGAATTCCCGCTTCACCGCAGATGAACGACGGCCGCTTCAGCTTCAACTTGGACAGATACGGCTCCACATGGGACAGGGCAATTTTTAGATATTTGTACTTTTGGAAGGGAGGAAAATTCTTGTACAGGTGCATGTACAGTAGCGCAATGCCTGCAATAATTGTGAAAAATAATTTAATCAACTATCACAGAAATCACAGAAAACAGCAAATACCAAAAGTTTAAAACCTCAACAAAAGACCGCGAAATTAGCAAAATAAAAGATGATTCTCTTAAAAACGAAAATTTATCATTTAATGCAGAGATGTTAAGGTTTCTAAAAATTCGATAGGAAACTGCGAAAGCGGACAAATATTATGGAAACGAAATTAGCAAGTTCGACACAAGCAGTCTACTGTAATACACTAATTTACACACACCTGCATGTCCTGTATACACGCTATGATCGTGTTCGCCAATGTCTTCGCTCCTTTTTTCAAGCTTTATACACAGACGAGAAATTTCCGTTTCCAGATCCTTCCGAAAATCCGATGTAAGCTGTTCAAACACCATAGAATCGTCGTACAATAGTTATAAAACCAAAGAGCGGTTCTTCCAAAAAACGCAATAACAGGTTACTAGAGTAGCATGTCGTCATGGCAGGACGTCCTACCTCTCCGTGTTCATTGAGGAATTTGGCTGCAGCGGTAGACGAATAATCATCACAGCCATTGGGAAAATGTCGATCGTCGCCCGACGACATTTCTTAAGATCGTCCGTCAGTGGAAGAAAGAAAAACAAGGTTTTCACAACATGCAACAGTGCACAAGCAGCAGCAGAAGCTAGCACAAGCCCGATTTTAATAGAACTACACTGCAGCACGCATGCGAGGGAAATGTTAAAATTCAAATGCCAGACTGGAATACCGATCTGGCTGATGCTAATCTCCAAAAAACCAGATCGCAAACCTCAACAAGACTGCTAAAATTTGTCAATTTGAAAGGAGGGAATGCTGCGAATCTTCTCATAAGTCATAAACTCATAACTCATAAGTTATGACTTTCCACTGTTTTGCCATGTAGCACTTACAACCGGGTGGGAAGGCAGTCACTCAGCAGTTGTGGACATAATAATTATAAAGAGTACTGTAAAATCATAGTTAGTAAGTGATTTTATGTACTGTACGAGTAAGTACATAAAACTTTCATATTTTAGATTTCATTTTTCGCTTTTCACATCGAGCAATCAAATATGAAACGTAAAAGTAAACATTCACTCGCGAGCCGCTAATTTAAACATGGAAAACACTCCTTTGTTCTCTTCCTTGATACAAGCTGCGCCGAGGACAGACAACTCCCTTCCCGCGGAAGCGCGGTACTGATTTTCGGACTTAAATCTCCCAAACGCGAGTTTTAGCACCTTGTACCGGTATGTAATTCCAACTTTCAAGTATCTTTTTCGACAATGCTTTGTACTTGGAACTAGCGTACTACACCGTATCTTTATACTCAATACGGTGATTTTGTTAAACCAGACATCTGGCTAAGCAGTAACAGTTATCGTGTCAGCTTTCCCTTAATATGTCGTTTCCGTTGAGAAGTACTGACCATAGTGTACTGATTTTTTAAGCGTACTCGTACAGTATTAATCGTGTCATACAAAAGAATTCATTGGCGGCTGGCCAAGGGCCGCTAAAAAATGGTTTTGCGATCAGTTTCCTGAGTTTTCGATTACTTAACTGACTTTAGTTCAAATACAGAAAAACTGGTGTAGAAAACTTCCTGTTATGAATACTTGTATGAAGGATACCAAGTTACCAACGATTTCCTAATAATGCATGACCGTCGTTTAAAAATTCAACTTCAACGTGCCGCATACTCGTATACGTATGAGCAGCCATAATCCTTCATTCATTATTGCAACGGAAACGGCTACGTCACAAGCATAAGGCAAGATTTACAAGAAGTGTCAATCACAAAATAACTCTATTCGAATTGTTCCAAATTGTCTCCAGGCCATTTACAGAGTATCTTTGTTTATTCAAAAGGAAAATTCTAACCATCACGCAAGATATTCCGGTGTTTCTGTGCAAAAAGGAACGCTAACAAAAAATACCGGTGCGCAATTCTACACCACGTGATATAATACATCTATACAGGAAATAACCTAAAATAGGCTAACGAAAATGTCTGCAAATCCAAACGTACACCTCTTTGGATCTATTCACTCAAGAGACGCTTGACCCCCTGGAAATACAATCAGTTATTACAAACACACGCAGTATAATTTAAAACATACTCGTATAAACCGATTATTATTTTGCCGAATCGAACCATGCAGAACCTTTCGAATTATCAGCTCACCTGTTCAATTAAACTCTCGTCATCGGTCTCCATTTTGAAGCTTGCTCCCTTCTTCACTCCCATTCCAGCAGAAAAAACATCATTCTCCAGCATTTCCACGTCAGAATCCAAATCGAGACTCTTGGAGCTGCCTTGAGATGCCATCGGGCGTCGATCAGTGTCAACGTTCAAAGTCTTCAAAGGGCTCAAAGCCGACCCAATTTCACTTTTCTTCTTCGTAGCAATCGGTTCAAGCACAGAATCTTCGTCTTCTGATATGAGATCCACCACATCAAATTTTGAATCATTCCGCGACATGCTGCCATCCAGTGACTTCAACCGCAGTTCCTTATCGACTAACCCACCAACCCGTTTTTCGCTTTTTGCTGGCTTGCTTTCTTCCACTTCCTCTTTAACGCCGAACTTCAGCTGCTTAAACTTTTTCGGTGTACCGGCTACTGGAACAGATTTGTACGACTGGCCTTTAAATGGTGACTTCTTTGGAGTGGCAGCTTTCTTCGGAGATCCCGCACTCTTAACATCGTCCTCATCACTGGAGAGTAAATGCAGAATTTTGGTTTTCGTTGGCTTTCTGGTGTTAAAGACAAACTTCCCAATGTCTTCCTCGGAATCCGAATCCAGTATAACAGCTTTGGTAACAGCTTTGGTCGTTTTTTTTGCTTGCACTTTTTCTTCTTCACTTCCACACAAAGACACTTCCGTGATCTTCGCATTTCTCACAGGCTTAATACTGCGTGGCTTGCCGAGCGGGATCGGTCTTGGGTTCTCTTCGTCGGATGACAAACAAATCACATCATCCTCAACTTTTGGTTTGACATCACGCGGCTCGGCTTTCTTTGGTTGCGATTCCTTCTTCACAGTATTCTCCGATTTTTTCACCGAAAGCTCTGTCTTAACTGATGGAATTGACAGCTCCTTTTTCACAGCTGGAACAGACGCTTTCTCTATGACCGTGTCCGGTTCTGAGTCGCTTTCAAATACACGGGGTCGCACAGGCTTCTTCTTCAATTTCTTCGCTCTCTCCGATTTTTCCGATTTGACAGAAGCATCTGACGAAGACAGTTCCGATGTATCGTACTCCGCATCCCAGTCCATTTTCGAGGTGGACGGCTTTGCTTTATTAGCACCGGATGGCTTCATGGAACCGGTAACAACTTGAGACAGAGCCGGGCGATAGGGAGTGAAATTAATCCGCTCTTCCTCTTTGGCCATTTCCTCAATCGCAGCTTTGGTATCGTCAATTGGATCACCCAAAGTTTCCATGATAGATTCCATAATCGTGTAATACGAATGATTTGGCAGCATGATACCTACAGAGAAATTCAAAATGACAAACCTTGTTCTTATAAATCAATGAAAAATATTTTGCTGCCTTACCGATAACTCGTCTGGCAATAAAAATTGCACGCACAATCTGCATCCGGCGGATCTGTGCGCTTGACGCGTTATCGAATACTCTCTCCAGCTGTTGCCAAATATTCAAAACACTTCCGCTGAAATGTAAAGAATAAAACCGTTTTTCATTGTTTTCATTGTCAATTTCTGACACTTTCCACTCTCGCAAGAAATACAAAGTTGAATACCCTACAGTAGCATTTCTAACAAATCGAACAGCGTATATCCAGATTCCAGAGATACCCAGCCAACAAGCGAAACAACAACGGAAAAAAACATAACACGTTTTTGACTTGACCCTACATTCAGCTATCACCTTACCTGAGGATAAAATCGCGGCGCTTACGCTGCCCCACAAGACACTCCATGCCGCGCTTGCAGTGACCGTATAAATATGCATGCTGACAACGCTCACTGGTTGCATTGTAATATTCAGTCCAAGTGCGCTCCGCCACTCCAATTTCAAGACGCGTTCCCTTCGTACGAACATCCTCTAATGGCCACTGCTGCACTTGATGACCGGTGTTAGGACGGTACAAGTTGAACATTACAATTTTTTTCGAAAATCCATAAGTAACAGAAGAGCCAATGGCCAGAAAGATGTAACTGCGTGGCGCATTTAACTGCAAAACGGGAAAAAATTTAAAGAATGCTCACGAAAATAAACACATTTTAAACGCATAAATCACACGCACTTTATTTAATAAACAAAGAAAACGTAGCCCCTAAAGAAAGGCATCACTTACTACTTCTGATGAATAAAAGCCGTTATTGGGACCAGGATTATCATCAAGCAACTTTTTGGCATCCTGGAAACTCATGCCGCGTTCGGTCTCCACGGTGTAGACAAAAGTGACACTCTTTTCTTTATCCTTGGCTTCGAAACATAATCGCTTCACCAATTTTGCACAGCGCGTTGGTGTACCTAAAAAAATTCCGCGAGCTTTAGCCAGGTTGCACTGACCAGAAGACAATAATTCCTGTACGTACCTAATTCCATAGTGCCGAGATCATATTTTCCCTCTTCTTTAGCCTACGAGCACATAAAACGAATAAAATACCCAAATAAAGCGCTTTAGCAACATACGTACATAACAGATAACACGAACGAAAAAAATACATTTTGTTTCCTATCTTACTAAAAATCCTTGTAATATTTTCAGCAATTAAGTAACGCACGTAAGAAACATTGAAATTGCTAAAAAAACCTGTATCTTCACAACAGTCCAACGCAAGTCAAAGACACTTCTGATAATCAAGCAAACCTTGTGAACGACAGCATCCAATGTGTCGACAAAATACTGGAACAAGGCCGACTGAAGCCAGATTTCCAACCCGAGGATGCGATTCATGAACTTGTCGATTTTAAAGGCTGGAAACAAGAATTACAAATCGTAAAATTATGACCGCAATTTTGTATTAAAACAAAATAATTATTAATTCGTGTGCTTACAGTTGACAACTTTATGGGTTCCATTCTTTGGATGATATTCCAGCAAGCCAACATCTCTCAATGCCTGCATGGACCACGATGTTTAAGGTAACAGCAAGGCAAAGTACATATATTTTTTAATACCTTCTGCATAACTTCCACAAAATTTCCTTCAAAGTTTTCTGGGAATTTCACCACATTGTACTTTTCCCGCGTGAATGTCTTCATCGTGTCCATTAGCGCGGATCTACCAAATTTGTTCGTAATGTTGAACTGTGACAGGTCCCTCGTTTCCGTCACACGACGATCTCCATGAGTTAACGCTCCCAAACGCTCCAATCGCGAGGCTACAACACTAGCAAACCGCTTCTCTCCGGCTACATTACTAATCAGGAAGACGTATTCCGGGGCGGATGTCTGATTTGAGCGGTGCGTTCGACCAAACTGCTGAATGGCACGATCGGCGCTCCAAGCCAATTCCAGCGTGATGTGCACACGTCGGCGCTGATTGGCAACCCGACGGTCAGCTTGGAGGGATATTCCGGAACTAGCCGCCTCACTGATGATCGCAACCTGTAAAGGAATTTTGTTACTGTGTGTTGTCCATAGCCGTACAATATTCATGAAACATAAATGTTCCCGTAATATTAACACAAAGCAATGAATATTACAGAATTTCCCATGTGCTGCACTGCAAAAATCTTACCACTTTGTGTCCACGCATGAAATGCTCCTTCTCAGCTATATTCAAAGATTCGACGTCCAAATCACACATTCGCTTGTCATAGTGGGCAATTCCATGTTCATTTTTCAGCATACGGCCTTTACGCCCGGTCATCTAAGTAAAATGGAAATTTATAATACTCGTTTGCCAAACAACTGAATACAGGAAACTATTACAGTAACTGTATGAATTTATGCTGGTTTTTTTAACTTTCACGTACATGTTTAATACCTCGTAATCGCATATCATTTATGCTAGTTTTTTCACTATAAAACAGATATGAAATTGCATTTCGCCGAAGCTTACTTCTGCAACTTTATCGGCACCTCCCAGTTGGTCAACTAATTCATCCAGCATATTCTTTGGCAACCGGTCAGCGAAAGTCTCGAACTCTTCAATCAGATCGCTTTTCTTCTTTTTCAGCAGTTTATTCACGTTTTGTCGATCCAAATTTGCCAATCCTAAACGGACGATTCAGAAAACAATAATCAAAATAAAAAAATTAAATAAGAGTATACACACTTTTTTAAATAAACGGAAACATACGAATACCTCTGTCTAATCCGGCCTCCTCCATGGCATCTCCGAGCTCTTCGGCAAGTTCATTCAGATCATCGCTCAGCTCTGCTTCACTATCATCATCATTATCAAAACGAAACCGACCCCCACGCCCGCCGGCACCGTCGCTCATTTTATCCGGGAACCTCTCCATCAAGCTCATGAATACAGCCCTGCACAGGCATATAAACGGCTCCAGATTTTTACAAGACCAGCAGGACTATTTTGACCATCACAAGCAGCAATTTACCGTGCAGTGGATATGAAGTCGGTCAGTTCTTCACCATCCTCCTCAAGAGCCAAGCGCATTTGATCTGTTTTATGTTCACCAGTAGACTGGAGGCCAATGACAGCACACTAAAAAAATGCAAATCACACCTGTTAAAAATTAACTACAAGTACAGTATAATTTAATTTAGTATACAAGTTTTGTGAACGAATCCCACTATAAGGAATGAATTTATAGCTGACTACCAGAATTAAATCATTAGAGTATAATACATATTAAAACAGGCAATCATTACCAAAAAATATTGGATTTAATTAAAAATTTACTGACCTTTCCTTCCTCAACAGCCTTATTTGCCGCAGCTACAGCTGCCTCGACTTTCGATGATAGGCACAAATACTTAAAAAAGCGCTGGTGTGTTCCCCAAAATTGAAGCCAACTGCAAAGAAAAATTGGAGCAAATGCAAAGAAATCAAAATCACTGACAACTCATGGCTCCATGGGCAAAAGTCATAACTAGTAAGAATTATCATAAACCTGAATTAGAGTACTACATAAAATAAAAACACAAAAATGTCGATCGTCATTAGCACACAACACAGGAACCAAATACATCGAAGGGAAACGATAAATATACCACTTACACTATGAAAGACTCCTTTTTCGAGTTCTTATGAGCTAAGACCATTGCCTGTTCGAACTGCTCTTCCACGTGAATCCACTAAAAAAACGCGCAGTTTTGTAATCTTTATTTAATCATCGATTGAGGGAGAGCTAGAAGGACTTACGAATTTACAGCACCGATCGTACAACTGAATAAAATCTTCCTTCAACTCCACTTCCTGTACCACAAACGAAACCCCTTCAAAACTTAGCTGGCGAGCAATGTACATTCCGCGGTGTTTCATTTCCATAGCCACCAATTCCATTGCTCCCACTCCACTGCAATTTTAAGCCAAGCTCAACTAACCAAAGCTTATTCAGCTTTCTACCTTTAATGGTTTAGTAAAGTGTGTATCGTATATATATTGTACGCGCGTCCATTATTCGTGTTCGGTAGTAAAATAAATCAGCGAAAATAATAACACACTGTTAAGCTTCAAACATTTTAAGCGTTCGCCAAATTCCTTTGAGTATATACGTACCGCTTGTCAATAGACGCCATAAATTTAGAGAAATCTTCGAAAGGCGTGCCTTCCCCCCATAATCCGAGTCGGACCATATAACCCATATTTCGGGGTTCCGAAGCGCCTAAACAGAACGTAAGATCCATTAAACTGAAGTACATCATTTTAAAACAACTTAAATACTATAGCAGATTTTTTTAAATTAACGAGCCCACAAAATCATATTTGAAAAAAACTATCAGCACTGGGTAAAGACTATTAGAACAATGGTGCAGGCTGCTATGAATATTAACCTGTAGCACTGGCGTAAACAATGCGGGCTCCTGGCAGTCGTTTCTGAAGTTCAGCAACATTGATTCCCGTTCTTGTGGGTTTAGCGTCCTTCGCAGGGCAGAGATTCTTAGCTCTGTGGCATTCGTCAAACACAATGACACCGTCGAATTTTGGTCCACACCACGCAATCAGCTGGTCCAGACGGGACTGATACTTCCCTTTTTTGTTGCCGGTCCGCGATATCAGGGCTGAGTAAGTAGCAAACATCACACCTTCACTGTATGGAAGAGAGTTGTAAGTTTGCTTTTCCAGTCGATAAACGGGGATATATTCTGCTCCGATGTCGCTCAGATCTCGTTCCGCATCCACTTTCAGATCTGTCGACACACTGAACCAAAGAGATTTTTTGTTCTTGCAGATATAGTTCTCCAGAATAATTCCAGCTATGGTGCGCCCTTTTCCAACTCCGGCGCCATCGCCTGCAACATTACAAACAAGTTACCTATAATTCCAACTTACCTATTTAGTTCCAAAACCCATGAACAACTCCCCTTTTGCCGATTATTCATAAGAAAGAAACCTCACATAAAACTGTATGCGTCCGCGGTACACAGCTCGACTATAATGCCACGAAGATCTGCACGTACCTATTAAAAATCCGGCACGGGTGCCATTATTCAGCAATGATTCGTGCTGCTGGCAGGAATAAACGACCGCTTCCAGCTGAAGAGCGGAGAGCTTTCCGCCCTCAATAATATTTTTGGGCAAATGCAATTCATACCTAAACAATAAACATACATGTATACAGTCATTCATTTGCAACCAATGAATTAATGTCAAAGCTGAATAAAGCTCTTTGAGCTTTGACTGAAGCTCTTTGAGTCGAAATTCGATCAATTTAACTGGCAGAAGAAATTATTTAAATTCAATTCAAATCTATTTTATCAGCGCAATGCATTTCACATTGCAGAAGCCTACCCAACTTCGCAAAATAAACTTAGGCTGTCTTACAACAAAAACCAAAACCTTGTCGAATAATAATTTCGTAGGTAAAAAGACCAGAGTTTAGCCTAGAGTTGAAATTCATGAGGCTTAGAGCCGTTTGTGAAAGGAAATTAAAATGAAAGGAAATGAAACATGAAATAAAAAAATTAAATAAAATTGAATATTTTTGCTTTTCTTATGGTTGCAAAATCATAGTGTGTTTAGCCTAACGGTTTAAGTTTTCGGCATTCTGAAGTTACCTGTGCATCAAAAGCACACGAAAAACGTGTTTTTCGCTTTAAAAGCTCCATTATTTTTAATGGTTACACAAAGAATTACACCAGTGTTCATATTTCTTTTCATGAAATATTGTGAATCACGCTAATTTCATTCACTGTTACTGCATTTCATGCGATTTCATAATTTCTTCGTTTCATGAAGTTTCACATTTCATTTCATTTCATTTTCACATTTCACGCGGGGGTCCGCATGATTATGAAAGGAAAAGGAAATGAAGAAGGAAATGTGAAATCATGAAAGCATGATTTCAACCCTAGTTTAGCACTTTAGCTTTAGCCTACTGTGGCAGAATTAAAACCACATTTTTGAAAAAGGATTCGTCAAAAAACGTAGCTGAGCAGTAAAAATCCCTGAGATAATATTTTTAAGACAAATTTTAATGACCTGCTAATTAACGGTGAATAATCGAACCATATCTGCTATTTTGCATGCTGCTAAATCTTACTTGATATCAGGGGGTGCCACACTGCGCAGTGAAGTCGTTTCGACAACGTGATCCGGATGTTTCATTCCGATTTTCAGCTTGGCTGGCATGTACTCCATGAAGGTCTCCCCCATAACCAGACCGTCCTCTTCATCACGATACTCCACCAGTCGCTCTTCATGGTCCTTCTTGGAAGGCCCTGCACCGTTAGCCCCGCCTGGACGATTGTTTAACGGTCTTCCGTCTGGGCCGTACTGGGAACGAAATATACTGTTATAAGAATCGACACACTCAGAAAGAAACTCTACAGCGGATCGAAAATCCATGTTGGCCAGTTAACTCTGCATAGTTAACAATCGCACTCTGAGCGTTCAAATCTACCAAAACAACTCTGCTGCAGTGCTGCTGCAGTTAAAACTCAGCCTTCCAGCAATCGGTGTGATTTTTAGCGACTAGATAAATGTTCTAACACAATTCCAAGATCGGAGATCGGACATGTATCAGTGGCAAAACCAAGAATCAAATAATTTCAATCGACCCATGCACTTCTGAATTTCGAATAACTTAAATCTCCCTAGCATAAGCTTCTAAAGTTTACTGCGTGCGTTTAAATGTAAGGATAAAGCGCTGTCTTTGCTTGGTAAAACACAAGCACAGACACACTTGACCAACCGTAGCAATATGGATGAGTGATGAGCCATCACTTAACCACCGTCAAGGCGGGAAGAGGTTATCGCCACAACAGCTGACAAAACCCGATGGTTCAGTTTTCAAATTGATAAACAGCTTGATGGTGAACTACATTGCTACAAGTTTATAAACAATTATCGCCGCAACTTAAACAATTGATTTTGATCAGAAGATCGAAAAAAGCGAGCCTCTAAAGCGTATACGAAACAAAATTTTTATATTAAATTTCCAAGCCAAATCTATTTCCGAGTTAGCAGAAGAATGTTCACCACTATCAACACAAGAATATTCATAACTCCGTTTAAATGCCGTGCAATGCCAATTTTTGCTACGTTTATTTAACCAGTTCATTTAAAAAAAAATATAAAAATTCCAAGTTGATCAAGCGACAGAATTTAAACGATTCCAATTTAAAATACAGAGCACCGAAAATCATGTATTTAACAGTTTAACTTCCCCAAAACATTTAAGAAGCAAGAAATAAAGATTTGCCGTTATGTCTACTTTCAAACGGCAAAGTCATTCACTACGTAACGGAGTTACTACTTTTACTCAAATTACTCGAAAACCTGGAAATTCGGTTTACTAAGTACAGATAACGATGTTAGACAGATCAAGTACCTGGCTGCTTGATGAAGCTCCCTCGTCGACGTTCCACGCAGTTCCCAGCGGAACAGGAGTCATTCCGATGCCTGGCACATACTGGCCTTCCTTCTTCACATTCTTCTTGCCCCTTCCAGGCTTTCGCGGCGGTTTGTTCTCCATCTTTCCAAATTACTCAAAAACCTGGAAATTCGGTTTACTACGTATAGATAATAGATTATTGCTTTATCAGTGATGGGTGAGTACTGAGTCCTCGATCTTCGACGCAGGCAAAACCCTGCTCGCCACTTTTTCCGTTTAAACACGCCGTAATTGGTACGGTAACATTGTAACGAGCACAACACAGCGCAACATTTTCAGTATAGTGTATGAGCGGAAAAACATTATTAATTTAACATTATTTTCTGAATTAGAATGCTCAAACTTTTTATCAACAATCTGGCGGCCCTGTCTGTAGCCTAACGACTAGGTCCACACTGCACAGACATCTGTTTAGCTTTTGCGCCGCTATACAAAAGCTTTATATGACAATATGACACTCACCAGATTAATATGCACAGATCTTCGTGTGAATCATATCTTACAAAAGCTAATAAAATAAAAAATCCGAAACTCCAGAAAAGCAAAAGGGTTCAGAATTACGAAAACCAAATCCGTTTTAAAACCCAGTGAAATTCAAAATGATACCAAATGAATCTCGTAAAAGAACTTTTGGCGGATAGGAAAGTCAGCAGCGCTGAGAAGACCCACAACATGTTTAAACATGCGTTGGTCTGCCGTTCAGCTCAAAACCGGAAGTTCAAGTCCCTGTTTTTTTGTTACGTCCAGCAGTTACAGCCGTGACTGTGAGGGTACTTTTAACTTTTAATATTTTACCTTTTGGCGAACTGAACTGATGATAATTTCAAACTCTTCCGTGGTCTTCCAGAGTACTCAGAGTTTCGTCATGGAAAAAATATCGAATAAATAGTATCTACGTACAGTACTAATTGATGAAAAGTTTAGAATTATCATGGCTAATACGAGTAAGAAGGTTGTGTTTAGAACTTCAAAGTTCAAACGAACAGTCCTTGCGGAAATTAAATCAACGATCTATGAGATTTCATAATAACATTACGAACACACTTCTTTTTATCGAAGCAAATTAACCAAATTGATGAATTTTAATATTATATTAGTAAATTTCTTCCTGATTTTACGGATATAAGCTGTCTCATAGTCAGTTAGGGTCAGTTTTATTCTACTTTTTGTGACCTTCTTATCAGCGATTTGTACTGTACATTCAGCTTTGCACCACAGAAAACTGGACTAGTACTCAATTAAAATAAGTACCAGAAATACCAAATTCAAGGAAATCTAAAGCTGTCCAAATTATGGGCTAATTAACTAGACAAAACATAAACCAGATCATCAAAGCGTAGTTGAAAAGTCGGCGGTGGACTTGTTATCACACATCGTTTAGTAGAGCGGGATCCCGTTGCGTCGGGGAAAACCCTCCTGGCCAGTCCCAGGCAGATCATACCGTGAGCAATGGCTTCGGAAAACAAGGATCCATACGACCAGCCCTGGAATAAAAGGCGTGGTTAAGGAACTTGAGAATTACGCCATCAGTAGTAGTGAGTGATTGTATTTGCATAATTTGTAAAATATGATGTCTATATAATATTATCATTAAATTAAGGTTAGATATGTAATGCTTACGTTTAATGCTTACACGGTAGAATAATCCGTTGCTGTATTGATAACTCATAACTGGGGGCGACATTCGCACACTGGTTACACGTACTACCGTACAGTATGTGCTGTAATTACGAGTACGGCATACTGATGCATGTTACAGCCAATAAGCAGAAAAATTTAAACACTCTTATTAAATGGTAAGTACTCACTCCTGGAATTCGGTAACCTAATGGTGGTTCCATTAGGTTGATCAGTCGGAGTTGGCTATTTCCGGCCCGCCCGGCAGTCACTCCGGCTTCAGATGCAGGAACTTCACCGCTGATTAATCCAATACCTTCTGTCAAGAAGGTTTCTGTCAGCGCACTCATATCGCCAAACAGCAGCGCCTTTATGAGCTCCAGCGCGTAGGGATTGAAGAAACTCTGCAATAAACCATCCGCATCGTATTGAGAATGTAATGTAGACACTTCAAAAGTAATACTAGTGTACTTCTATACTCTACACTTACAGATACTGCTAACAGTTCGGCAGTTCGGGATTTTCTAAAGTCTTTTATACAGTATCCTAAAAGGGATCATAATTTCTAACAATATCCGCTTGGCTTGTCGGCTGCAATGTTTTGACGTCCAACAGACTTACTGTACAGATCTACTTTTATGTACGTGCATCCGGAAGGCCAAAACCGCAAATTCCGCAAATTTTTATTCACCATACCAGCATAAAAAATGTACCTTGATCAAAATGGAATCCAGTGCGCTGAGCGGTAATGCGTAACCGCACACATATGGCTCCATCAACAGCACTTCCGTATTCGTTAATTTTTCCGGATCGTAGGTATCCAGTAACGGAATATTGATATCACGATCTGCAATAAAATACTCTTATTGTAATCTTCATATTTTATTCTTTGATATTTAGCTCAATTTTTCCTGCGTACGGAACTATGTACAAATATATATTTGCAGCTAAAAAATATCGTGCAAGAGTTCTGACAACGTACACAAAATGCAAATCATAGGAACTTCAAAGCCTTCCTTGATTGTCTTGCGAATAAATGGGAGAGGAGTTACAACCGACGCAGACCGGCTGCGCGCGTCAGAACGCTCAAAGGTCATGGCCATAATATTGAGGGAAGCCAGAATGGCGTCCTTATCATCCAGCACCGGGTCCTCTGAACTGCCCGATCGCGACGGAAGAATTACGCACATGGCGCACGTTTTAATGGACACTGCTCGTAGATCGGCTCGATCCAGTGGATCACCCTTTAAAATTTAATTTAAGGTGAGTAATTATATTAATTAAACAGGCATTTTGCCATTTGTACTTATATTTACATGACGTAAATAAATTCTATTTTCTGCGACATTTACGATACCTTAACAAGAGTAATTTTTGGCAGATTTCGGATTTTGTACCACTCTTTTTCTAGGTAATCTGGATCCCCCAGTAAGACAACTTCTTTGAGATTCTCGTGTTTGATCTTTGTGGAACGCAATGGCAAAATAAAATCCTGAAAGCCAATCGGCGGATCATTGGGTTTGGCTAAAACAAGCACTGCAACAAAAAAAGAGGTGTCCGTGTGACATCTAAATCACAATATTATTAACCGTATTTGTCGAAATTAATTTTCTCACCTAAAATGTGATCGGTGAAGCCTCGCTTTGCCGCCTTACTCCGACTCTGTTTTAAATGCCAATACTTTTGTACATGCTTAATTTTACAGTTTTACTTAGTTGATTTTGGATTTGCAGTTTTTACCAGCATAACCGATTTATACGGTTTGGCAGAGCAGGAATAGAATGCTTTGGTAACGTCCAGAACGGATTCGTCGCTTGATGTCGTTTTATGTGCACTAATCGTGTTCTCCGAAAACGTATGACTGGTCAGCGCCGGTTCGCTATGATTTTTTGCCGTCAACGTCAAGCCGAGAAACTCGTGCTCCGCATCTTCTTCGATTGCTTCGAGATGGTGAATACGTTCAAATGGATTGTCCACAATGGAAGATTTGTGCAGCGAAGCCCTGTGCAAAACGTTTATGTGATTAGCTTGTTAGCCAACAACGGCAGCCTTTTTATGATAATTTTAAAATTATCATAAAAGGCTGCCGTTGCAAACAACCATAACTAACAAATTTGTTGGTTATGTTTGTTAGTGATTTTACTTATCCGGCCCAGAGGCTAAAAAAAAGCATTTCACGTAATATGTGCTCTACACGCTTACGTTGAAGGATGCGACTGCATCACCCTTATCATAGCTTTTTCCCATCCTTTAGGAAGTGTTGTTCCGCTACGGCACCGGAAGTTTCCGTAGGTTGTAAAATTACGAAAACGTTCCAGTGGATTTCTTGCGGCTATCATAGCAGGCGTCGGCTGCCCTAAATTTAAAAAACTGCAATTTTAGCGGAATGCCTTGTTTTAAATTTTGTTGGTCGAAACTTTATAGGTTTTACTCACTACTTTCGCATCCACAGTGAGATATATGGTAGTTGGTCACATCCGAATGACACTGGCTGCAGATGTACCACGCTCTATAGAAACGTGAATTCTTTTATGTGAACGTACTTACTATTTAAATGGGAAATACTTGTGTCAGTAAAGTTACCTATAAGTTGATTAGTTATTGTTTGATTACTGACAAAGAGCGCCTTACTTGCTGACTTCTTCTGCTGATTTGGCAAGAAATATGCCAACGTGACCGGTTCGTACCACAATGGTCGGGTTCAACAAAACCGTTCCGGATGGCCTTTCCGTATCATGCTCCAGTATTCCAATCAGCAGTATGTTCAGTTTTAAATAGCATGTTCTAAATAATAATAGCATTCATCTAAAAACTTTGTTCGCATTTCCATTAATTTTGTGCTGACATAATTTATGCCCTTTACACAGACACTGTATAACACTAAAAACTTTATATATCTGTACAATCAGATTGCATATTTGAAGACAAAAAACCATGCAAATGCTTACTTTGCCGCATCGACAAATGATTTCCCGTCAAAATAATCACTCAAATGTTCCATGAACAGCGTTATTTGGCTTCCACGCGTATAATCCTTTATAGTCTCATTCTAAAAAGCCAACCAAGATATTCATCATGAAAAAATTCCTTAGCACTGGAAAGAACAGATCAACAGATTCCTTACCTCATAATCATGAGTTCGGCATGCCGGGTTGAACAAATTGCAGAGCATAGTCGAAGCTCCAGCAGCCAAGCAGCTCTGCGCAAGGAGACCCAATCCCAAGGTGCTAACGCAGATCACAGAATCTCCAGTGGTCTCACAAAAGCCGGGAATATTGCGCACATGTGTCTGTCGTTATTCAGAAAATTAATAGAAATATTTTCAAAACATCAGTTTAATTTTATTTAACAAGGATTACCGTGCTTCGGCTTTGTAGCAGCTGCACCAAGCACCGTGTTGCTGCGCACGCGTTCTTGACGGAAATAACCGACATCACGTTGCGGGAATCCTACAAAATAACGGAGGAAAATTATCACTGTATACCGTGAAAACTGGAAAATAAGGATAATTACTTCGGCTGTAGGGTTACTGGCATTTCTGTCAGCTAACAGCAAACAAGCCGCACAATCCTTGATTTTGACTTTAACTAGATCATCCGGCTGTAATAAGGAGCCTTGGATGTAAAACACCCTGGTCGTATTGCGCTTCAGCAGCGCTTCCATTTCCAAGTCCGGATCGACTCTAGAAAAGATTTTTATTAGCACTTTAACGAATTATTCGCACTAATTATGAAATAACCATCTTTCACCGTCCTTAAATACTGAAAGCTAACGTACCGACTAACAAAAACTATCTGCAAATCCGTGGTGTATCCTTGTGTGTTGAAGAATACACGGAGAAAATTCTCCATGGAATGGACAGACATCTGTCCGGCAACAACCACATGCCTAAAAAAATCGTCATTGCAGCACACCCACACGTATCTATACGTAATAGTTGGAGGTCATATGCAGCAATCATTCAACACACCGGCTGATTAAATTAACAATACTCGTTTATTACAAGGTTTTGTGGATTGACAGAGTTTAACCTACGGGCCCATTCCTCTACCATTTTTTCACACGAATGTGCCTTATGACTTTCTATTGCATCAATCCACTTCCAGAAATTATTTTTGAAATAGATTTTTAATGCTATAAATTTCCCCTTAGGACAACCACCGCTACTGCAACTAAAATCGACTGATACTGTGTGCGAATAATGTACATACCTGACGCCGCGGGAAATATGGTAGCTGGTGCTGTACCGTTTGTGACTACCCAGAAAACGGTACAACTCAGGAACTGATGCCGCAAATACCGTCTACAAAACGCAAGGTGCAGTCAACATGATTAACCAAACGACTTTTTTATAGGAAACTTACAAATGCAAAGAGGATAAAGATAACCGTAATAAACCTTCCCAGTCTTGTCACAGGTACGACGTCGCCGTAGCCAACTGTGCTCATCGAAACCACAGCAAAATAAACGTATTCCCAATACGAACGTAAGGCGGCGTTTGTATGCTCCAGGTGTGGATCGCCGTATGTTTCAACCTAGCGCAACAGCAACAAGAAACCTGACGGTTAGTATAGGTTTATACACTACGGGGGTATGTCCACATTAATACCACAAAACCGTTCTCCAAAATTTTAAAAACTATTAATCTGTAAGAAAAGCAATTCTACAACATTTTACATTCGTAATTACCATATGGATCAAGCCGGCACTGACGAATATGACGCCAGATAACCAACATAACAATTGTGCGAGACGGATATGGGCACTTCTCCTTAAAATACTGAAATACTGCAAAATGTCTGGTATGGATATCACATATAGAGCTCGCAGGAAACGAAGTCCTGTAAAATTAATGAAACGAGTCAAAATCAAATTATAATAGCGTTTGGTTGTGCAGTTCAAGGAAATTAATTTTAATCACTCGTAGAATTATTTAGTGTTTTAAAAATGTTACCTGTCCAGTGGTGATTGAGAAAAATCACTAGGAATGCCGGTGGAATAGTAAAATAATCCACAAGGCTGAACACTTCAAACATGAAGCGAAGTTTATTACTCGAGGCAACAAACTGGAATAAAAAAGCAATGAGGTAAGTCAAATGGTTTCTAAAAGGCATAAAGTTATCGTTAAAGCAAATAAAACAGCAATAATCTTGCAAGGAAACGATTATATCGCATACTGACACATACAGTACATACGCGATAGTCTTACTCGTATAAAATAATCCAACAACAAATAGACACTGCAAACAAACTCCAGTTGCCAGTCCAGGCGTGTTGTCCAGGGAGCACACTTTTCCCATATCATTACCATACTGTGCGAACTACAAACGAAGCAAAAAGATCCGTCAAAAAACATTAAACCGATGCGCTAAAAAACCAGCTATCAGTTTAAAAAGTTTAAGTTCTAGATTTTAATTACTTACTTCGTAACTTCCAGAAAATATAAGGCAAGTGAAACCATACTCACGATGAACATAATGACAACCTAAACGACCGCAAAGCCCATTAAAAGCAAAATAACTGATAAACGTACAGTAACATATTAAACTGAAACAGCTGGTTCTTATGTATTTACCGCAATCTTTCCGGTGACGCTTTGAGCGGACACAATTTCGCTTGCCGTTTTTTGAATAGTGGTTGACCAGTGCATTTCCGGTAACGGCGCTTCCAGTACCGGCTCGTGCATAATGAGATGACCTGATGGATCAATAACGGAAATTTTTGGATGGGATATAAAACTCCCATCTCGATTAATACTGAAAGTATCGGCATTCAGCATTGTCGATCCGCCGAGAAGGGTGGTCATAGAGCGGGACAGGGTTGGTTGTACGCGCATGTTAACCGGTTGGTAACCCAGAGGATGTCGTCCCTGCACCAACCGCCGAATACATCGCCATGTTCCCAGGCATAGTAACATAGTGGTTGGGAAGGCGACGCAGGACAGAAGGAACAACCACCACAAATTCTCCTCGCACGGTACATCCTCGTATCTGCTCACGTTGTAATACATGCGGTAATCATATAATATGTAAGTCGTCTTTACAGAGAGAAAAGAGTTTAGTTCCGTCGATCAAGCGAAATAAATTCGTCAAGTGTAACATATACGTAATAAAATAAGAGTACTTCCAACGAAGTTCAAGTAAAGACTTTGCATAAGACTAACTGAAATCTAAAAAATAAATTTTAACTTTTAGCAACCGTTTTATTTTAACTCTGAATAATGCACACAGTTAACAAATGTAAATCATATATGCACGAATCCATCGCGTATACTGTACGTACTTGAATATTGTGAAAACCTTGTTTGATTCGAGCGGATCGGACGACGCATTAATGGCATTCTCGCTATCAACAGGTGGCACGTGCGTCGAGCTGCTCATGGGAATATATAATTCAGTGTCAGAACATTAAGAAATTCCGCAATACAGGGATGATTACAGAATGAATATCTCGTTTAGCATAGCGTTCCATAAGTACAAATTGCACTGCGCATAAAACCTGGCAGCTAGAAGATTGCGATAAATATACTGCAATCTTATGGTCATTAAAGCTGTTGCGCTTGTTTACGACAGCGATAAGCGCAGCTTTATACGGCATCAGCGCAAAGACGAGAACATTTCGCACTGTTAGTGGAAGCCAGGTATCGTCGGTGCGCGGTACAAATGTGGTAATCAAGAGTCGGTGCACAGAGTGGACTAAAGCCGTAATAGCGCTGTTTAAATTTGCGAGCTTCGGTCAAGCGAATCAAGAACCGGAAAACGTTTTTGCCGCACAGTTTTTTTGGGTACTCTGTTGCGTTCAACATAAGTATAAGAACATAACGCCCCAGGGAGTGCATCTTTTATAATGAAAACAGAATTTAAAGTTCGAGCATGCAGGCTTAATACTTACCTTTGCTCGCGATGTGCATGTATTGTACAGTACATAGATTATATATAATACACTTCTGCACCTCTTTACGGTAGTTTTGTCGGCAACCTTATAACGATGTACTTGTATTGTACAGTTAGATATATTTCTACACCTGTTTACATCAATTTCGTCGGCAGATTAGGCGATTGTCATGATGTTTGATAGGTGCTTGAACGCAAAGTTACTGCACAATATGCATTTTATGTCTGCATGAATCGAGATTTGAGCAGTTTTTCGCTGCACAGCATAGCATCCGGTCGTAGCACGGCAGAAGTGTAAACAAAAAAGTCGTTCTGATGAATCGGCTAGTAGTCTAGTACTGATCAACCAGCTGATACCAAAAGTGATCAAAACACATGCAGAACTGTAACACAAAAAGCTGCGCTGGGATTTGCGTTGACGGTTTTAAAATTCGTGCTCGTACTTAATTACCAGTGTGTATGGCCGGCATGGGCGTGCTGCTACATGTTATACCCAAAAGACACCGATCACGCAATTACAGAACATCTTTCATTCGGCTCACAAATGCATGCATCTGTAGAGCTAATTGTTGGTGCACTATTTTAATTTGATTACTAATTTCTTCACTGCAAGCACATGAATAATCACTTCCGCAGAAGCAAATAAGAACACCCAAGACAACAAAATTAAACAACGATGCTATATGTGCAACGATGTTTAAAATTTGCAAGGTTAGGGGAAGTTTTGCCAGACAAATTAGGCAAATCTTGTATCTCAACTACAGTGTTCTCAACAAAAACGACAGATGATTCTGCGTTTTGTTCTGTGCATGGACTTGTGTGGCTTTTATTGTCAGCTTAACTGCTTATTCAAAGCTTCCAGCGCTTTGTCAACTTTTGTTCTCAATTAGCTTTTGTAGATTTATCACAATATTAACGTTGTCTCTTCGAAATTCACCATTAATGAAGTATGATTATTATAATAAGTAACTATGGTCACTGGCTTTCAAGGTTCAAGTACGTATTACTTGTTTCTGGTAAGCCGTTCTCAGTATCCATAACGACAATTAATACGGTACTTGGTACTTTCTTACAATATACTCTGTAGTTACATCAGTAATATCACATACAGCCCAAACCGACTCAGACAAACGCAGAAATTTGTATGAATAGTAGTAGTACTTACATCGCAAAATACTAGCACGTAGTTTGCAAAAGCGCAAAAAAAATTACCATTTTTTCTTGCCTCAGTCATACACGGTTCATATAATATTAGGCATAAAGTCCCGTAGGTGTCTGTAATATGTTGACCTTTACAGCTGATTCTGCACTAAAGTTTTGTACAGTATTTAAAAAAATCTTGCGGTGTGAAAATAATCTAAACATGTTATTCGCTATAATGGAAAATGATTAATCGTAACCAAAACAGAGACTGCACCTCTTTCAAGCTTTGGTCTCGTTTATTTTTGAAGGCGCAATGCAAATTTTTACGGAATTAGCATTGTTACTGAGCAGAAGCACACGCTTGATTTATGCTATAAATTTGATTACAAGCTGAATGCCATAAAATAAAAATGCTCTTAATGCTCTCCCGTTTATGTCGGGAACCGCTTTCTGGAAATGTCATCCTTTTGATATTTAAACTGTTGTATGGCTTTATTGGCTTGCAATTGAAGTCTTCTATCGCACAATCCATTGAAAATAATACTGATGTGCAAAATCTGACTTTGATATTTCCTGCGCTTCCAGCAAGCCACCCGTCGGAGTTAAAAACTGATTCAACAAACCAAAGTGGCATTCGGTAAGTACTATAAGAGCAATAATTTTTGAATGGTTATAAGGGACAAATTACCAATTACAATAAACCTTTTATATTAAGGTTTTTAGATGTACGGTTATTCAAAAAAGGTAACATTTTTACAAATTTATCATGACGATTACCCGTTCCAAATGTGTTTGCTCTGATTTGCAAAGCAGCAAAAATTTGATTACTTATTTTACTCTTTGTTTCCTTTGATGGCTTTCTACGTTTGGGAGTGAATACCGTGTTGCCATATATTGGGATAATTTTTCAGGCACTGGTATCAAATGGAAAGGTCATTTATGGATATCGTACAACCACAAAAACTGACTATTGGTTGGTAGGCACAATGGATAAATGAACTTCACTTTCTTTGTTTACGAAGTACCGTCGTGATGAAAAAATATCCGTTCAAATTGTCCAAATGCATTTGCATAATATCAAACATTTAATTAATGCTGGCCGTAGTGATTTGACTCATGACTGTTATCATGACAAAGAACGCCTAACTTTTAATTATACAATATTATTGCATTAATAAAAGTTCAAGTCGTGTCTTCAAGACATGTTTCCACCCTCAAAATAATTTTTCTGAATTTTTTTTTCAGAGGGGATGGTTGAGGCGTACAAAGGTATCACACAAAATTCCGATTTCGTCGGGTATCTGAAAAAGCCGGTAAGGTCGATAGCCAGCCGCTATCGTAAAAAACTCGTCGCTGCTAAATACGAACAAAAGGTTAAACTAATCCTGTTTTTTTAAAGGAAGTGATGGGTTTAGTGGTCTTCCTATCCATTGGTGTCATCTATGTCATTGTTATGCTGTTGGGATGTGTTTTCTATGTCAGTTACCGATGCTGCTGCCGTAAAGGAAGACTTAAGTACTATCCCGACGGACAGCGGAAAAAGCGGGGATCCCTCAGCTTAGGAATTTGGATGTGCGGCATTCTTACATTGTACGTAGGTTGTACAATACTGTACACATTTGAGAAGATATTCTCGCATCAGCACGTTATATAGTTTCCCGACCAGGATGACAAATTTTCAAATACGCGAAGAATCTACTGTTCTACAGAGGACAGTACAGCGTGTTTTCCAATTACAGTTGCGGTCTTGTTCTGGTGTACCTTTCCGGTAACGATCTAGCGTATGGACTGGATATTTCACAAGATATTATTGACGGGGTTATCGTTGACATGCGCAATATGATGAACGATACCAACATCCAAATTCAGTTCATTACAAAAGAAGGTTTCGATGTTGCGCATGGGAACGTGTCTAAAGACTTAAACGGTAATTTCTCAGCTTTATTTCACAACAGGACGAGTATCGAATTTACTTAAGTCCAGTTATTTGTTGCTTTTATTATGCAGCGATTGGTTCGATAATCTACGCCCCTTTTAAGGAAAACCTTAAAACTCTGGGAGTTGTCAGTGAACTACGCCAAATAGGATTATTTGAGCAATGTAAGTACAGTGTACGTATATCCGTACATGTACAGTTGTTAAATATCACAAGGGAGCATCCACAAATTACGTACGCAGAAAACCACGATTTTTTACCCCCTCCCTCCCCCTTCGTAGCGGTCCGTCACGTTTGCTTGACCCCTCCCCCCTGGTTCGTTCACTCGTAATACATGGAGCTGACCACCCCCTCTCCCATGGGTTCGTCGAGGCCGTCACAGCTTGTCACACTTTTTGGACCCCTCCCTCCCTGGTTCGCTGCGTACGTAATTTATGGACCCCCCCAACACCAATTTTCTAATACGTAATTTTGGGTTCTATTGGTCGAGCAGTGAATAATGCCATGTTGGGGCAAGTGATACTCGTACAACAAGCCGCCAGGGATCTGCAGGGTCAGAAGAACGCTATCAACAGCCAGCTGAACAAAATCTGGAGCGATCTCATAACAGCATGCAACGCACAGTCTAATCCACCCGCACCGGTATCATGTCAGACAGCGCCTGGTGCTTTAATCACCGAAATATTCGTGGATAACACGTTTATAGTAAGAAAACATCAGTGCCAACTTTCATACGTGTTACTTGTTTTGAAGTATTATTTGTTTGTATTAGTTCAGTAATTCGTTTATTATGTACATTTGCCAGTGTTATATATGATTTGAATTACTTCTTAATCGGATGCGATTAGTCAATTCATCGAACTTTCAATTATTTACCACATTGTGTATTCTTCGTATTCGCTTAATTGTAGCCGGTGACACTTCCGCTTCTGCAAACCGGACTGGAATCCGTGCAGCAAGCCAACCTTACTAAACGTATGCAAGATGCGTTTACCGAAATTGACACGATACCCCAGCTTGTCACTACGCAAACTGCGCAATCACGGCAAGGTATTTTCCCAGTTTTACCGACGTTTGGCCCATATAGGCACAAGTAGTACTTAACAATCTTGCAATTTGCACAATATGCATATGGGCGCAGATATTGAAACATCCATGACCAATTTGCACGACGATTTGGACGACTATTTGCAACCGATAGAGGGCATGACGAGCTCTATGATGCGGATCCTGGATGATGCTCGAGCCACCGCACACTCGTTCACAGACATTCCAAAAACATATGGACCATACATGTATGTACGAGTAAAACCGATAGAAGTAGCCATTCAGTTGGTACCAACAAAATGTGGCAGAGGTCGCTCCCAGGCTTCATGAACACTTGCCTACAGATCGACCGCAGGAAGCGTTATCGCCAGTTGGTTTTTGCTGATCACCCTGTTATACGTTACCGGAAGTATTTTGGGAGCTTGGAAGTTCGATCGCACGGTACTGCCTACTGACCGCAAGGGATGGGTGGTTCTGGCGGGAAATTTGTTGTTCGTGTAAGTACAACAACCTAAAAGCTGTATTACGTATCGTGATAAAATTTGATGAGTGCGCGCTAACAATTAAAATCGTGAATGGCAGGGCAGTGCATTTGATGTTGTATTTGGCCTGGCTGCTGATGTTGCTGACGGTCTTACTAATGGTTCTTGGAACTCAGATTGATGAAGTCTTATGTCCTATCCTGGAGAGCGAGAAAACTCAATTTGTACAACTCGATCAGGTATGCAGAATTAACGGATACAAAACTGACTACGGTAAATCGAAACTAACCGAATTGTCTCAAAACTAACATTCTGTATTGAGAGCATAAAATGACAACAAGTATGTATATATTATAGAATCGTACGTATATCTATAAACTACATAATATTTAGGATTTTAAATAAGATAAGAGTTTTTCAAGCAATCAAGGTTTACGAAAAAGTCTTTTGCTCTTTTAAATTAGCTCATCGAAAGTGATTGTTATGGCGGCAAACATACGAACTGAGTACCACCGACAGATATATACTCCTACTTCAAACGAACCATATAAGTAATACAATTGTCTAATAGCACATAAAATGTTAATTGTAAGAACAACTAATGAGCATACTATCATTCTTTCTGTATTCAGTATACTGGTATTGTACATAAGTGCCAAAACCAGTGTTACTCATAAAGTCATAATATTGCATTGCAGACATTGGAAAGTGTCAATCAGTCCTTAACCCCTGTCAACCTGGATCTTGGAGGAAAAACATTAAAAGTGGCGCCACTTTTGTCTAGCTGTAAGGACAACACCCCAATGTACACAGCCATGGACATGAAGGATCTGTTCGATGTTACGAGTCTACAAGATCGCACAAAAAAATTCGACATCGACAAGAAAATGTCTAACCTGCGGGTGGATTTAACGAAAATAAAGGTCTTCGATAGCGACACCGAAAAGGTCATCGAGGACGGCTTGCAGGCTACGGCTGAACTGCAGCAGCCGATGGACGAATACCTTAAAACAGATATTGGGGTAACGGAAGACTGTGAGAACATTTACGTAGTAATTTTACGCACAACTTAATTTCAAATATAAATACTAGATGTTTTTATTGCAGCCTGTTTCACAGATGCTCTAAGTCTTAGACTAAAACTAATTGACATTGTTAGACAGGATATCTGCTGAATCCCCAAAGTCCGACACTGACGGATTTTGCAAATCAATTGAGGAGCGAATACTACAGCACGCTGCCACAGGATGATGCTGCTAAATTTGAAGACGTAGTCAACCAATGTCGGACCTTGGCAGTATCTATCACTCAGACCCAAACTTCCCGGGTACATTCCATGAATTAAGTTTTTTTTTTTAATTTAATTTTTTCATTTGTATTTACAAAATAATGTAATTTTGTGTGTACAAATATAATTCTATACGTACTCGGATAACTGCTAAACTAATAATTTACTACGATCTGTTTAACTGCACTTTCTAAACTAAAAAACACAAAGGTTCGAATGCATTCAAAATTGTATGTTGATTGATTTTATAAATTTGCTGTTCAATTGAATACGGCATGCGCATGCGAAGACATTGGATTTTACAAAGTTAATGCGTATCCTAAACGTTGAACAATATGATCGTATCTTTACTGTAGGATATTTTGCGAAAAAAAATCGGGACTTTAAATGATACAACTCGAAGTTACATAGCACAAGGTAAATCAGCAAAAGCCGGTGGAAGAGGAGCTCAGGACTTTTTTGCAAAACCTGCCGAACAGGGAACGCCTAAGGTAGAGTACGCGCACAGTACTGTAGTATATGAAGCGCATTATTTCATTGCGTGCATTACCTGACATATTTTTAAGATATTGCGTAATTCTGCGAGACTTCGCTATCAGTGATTTTCTACCTGAACATCTAGTCACACTATCTCAGGTTCTGGTTTCGTTATAGTGTGAGTATTACAGTACAGATATGTGGCTCAGAATCTTTTCTGGTAGCTCTCCGCGCAGTATTGAATGCACTTGAGTAATTCGCACCGCCTATAACTGAAGTTTTCTTGATTTTCAGACCAGCGCCACCGCTTTGATTTTACAGGTACAAAGCTGTCCCTTGAATCTTTAATTTCGTGCTTTAGACGAGCAACTGAAGTTCGGTCTATTTTTAGTTATGTCAAAATTTTGGCCGTCGGATCAACAATTACATGCAACAATATATGCGATTCGTGATTTTTTCGGTGAGCAATTGATTATGCTCCTGCATAAAATTACGCTCATATATTATATACAAATTTTCTGCTCGAATGCACATCTGTCTTGATCTTGTACAGTCCTCGAGTACTGCGTAACAAATACTAGTGATATGCCAAATTTTTATGTCGCGCACAATACAATTTATCGTTAGCTCTTGTACAGTACTCTGTAGAAAAATACGTTTTTGTGCACAGGTGCAAAGTAATATCGGTCTTTGCAAGCCAGTTTACACCGCCTTTCATGCATTTGTTGGACTGCTTTGTGGATCAATTATCCAACCAATTGTGAGTACGAAAGATCGTATGAAAGACTATCTAATATGAAAGACTACCTAATATTAATATAAAATTTTTGAAAAGTAAGAAATATCTTTCAAGTTGAAACTGTTGTGCGCATTAACCGCAATGATTCTTAATTTTCCTTGTAAATATGCGAACTAACACATGTTAATGCTTGAAAATTTTTAGCTACGTGCGTGGGACTTCAGAAACAAAATTAAACATCATATGTGAATTATTTGTACAAAATACATATGGGCTAACAAAAACTGAAGTTAACGCTACATGCATGTAGTACGAATGCGCTTCATATTTGTACTTGCAGAATGGTGTGTGGTTCGCGATCGGACTTTGTTTGGCATTGCATATCCCGCTTTTATTCATGAATGTCCGTCTTGCACGGTTCTACCTTCGAGCAAAAGCACTAGACGTGCCTAAAGAGCCTAAGCTCCAGGTTCAACCTCCCATTGCGCTCTAGTTCCAGAATCCAGAAGTGCGGACTCTGATTGATCAATTAGTGAACACACTCGCCCACCGGCATCCGGCTACGGTTAAACCTAATGTTTGGTAAAACGTAATGTTTTGTTCGTACTGTACTCGTATTAACTGTATTACCCATGTAGACGGAACATTGGCAGTAACCGGTAAAACCGAAAGCACTATCCTTTGTTTACCGTACACCGGAGCCGTGCAACAAAAGAACACCAATATTGTTTTATTAGCAGTATAACGACTTTTCACAGGTCGAGCTCGAATTTCCAACACCAGCTGTTTGTATATATTCGTCTGCATTTCTAATGAACTTTGGTGTTTGCTTAAAGAATTGTTGTCGCTCATGTCTTGTAGCGACAAAAGAAAGAGATTAATATTTATGAGAACCGTATAAACTCCGTACGCAATGGTCATACATATTATTAAATTACCATGCATGATCGATACTTATTTCTACAAACCAAAATCTCTGTGTAGATGTGTTAGAGAAGACTAAACAGATATTTTTACCTTTTGCTATGCATACACGCACAGCTGGATGTGCTCAGCAGTTCTAATTTTTTGTGTATTCAGTACTTTATTCACTTTACGTACAAGCACTATTAATAATTAATATCATTTACTTAATTTACTATTAATAATTAATATCATTATTACTGACTCCTTGACTGATACGCGCTGATTCCGCAGACGTTGCTTTAATATCGTGTATAGTACTCATGGCTTTTGCACTGCGAGATGTAAGCAGTCACAATTTTGATATTCCCGGGAATGGACCATCGCCGGCTTACTCCTCTACCACGGCTGTGCATTTGCAGTTGATTGCACTTTTCGAGATTGTTACCGCATTTGTGACCCTGGCGCTGCAAATTTTAGGTGATTTAGATATTTGAGAATACTTTATTTTATAATAGAGGCTTTAGTTTGTGGGTGTATTTATGGAGTATGGTTAACTATTACGTACACATAACATAAACGCAAAGCTTGTTAATCGATGCATTAGTCCATTAATAAAAGTATGTACTACTACTGGGTATACGTAATTAATAATGTGAAGATATCAGGAACATTTTAATTTACAGTAGTCAAGGTGAGTCATGCCCACAGCTCTGCCGGGATGGATCAGTTCGGCGCGGGATTATGGGGAAATGTGTTGTTTTTTGTGAACGCTGCTTTCACCATTCGACAATCCAAACTTCTTCCCGGTTGGAGCTTCAGCAAGAAAAGCGTTCTATACGTCGGCTTTGTAATCTTCAACATGCTGTGTGCCGGTTTTGCAGCAGTTGTGGTCTTCCTTCTGGGAACACAGACCAGCTGTAAAGATCTCTCGTCATCGACTGCGAACGACTGTCTCCCGGGAAAAAACCAAAGTGATCACAACACTTCTGCATACGTTGCGGAATACCTTCAAGTTTTCTCTAATGCTTTAATTTTTAGTTTTTTATGCCAGCTGCTTTTGATTACCCTCAGTATGATGAATGTTTGCACCTACGGACACAAAAGGTCAACCTTTGCAGATATATGTTATAAACTAATTACTAGACTCAAAATTCGCAAGATTTATTTTGTTTCGAATCTTGGGTCTGACACTCGAGAACCGGAGCAGAAATTTTGTTCGCATTTGAACGAATAGAAAGTGAGTGATGCACTTTTCTGACGGAAATTAAAAACATTTTGGAAACGCACAGTCTTCGCTCACCAGTCATCTCATTTTGTCACGCACCATCGTTTTAGCTTTATGCACTGTCTTTGAAATAACCCGACCGGGGCGCTGAGAGAAGACGCCGCGTTACCGCCCAGGTAGCGCGGTGGGTTCGGTTAACCCGCTAGCCACACAGCCGTCATCCTTGGCAAATTTCCATCGTCAGCCATAAGCTTTGTTACGTTTGGACTTGAATAATTCGGATTACACTTTATCGAAAAAGGGAGCTTTTAAATCCATGTGCTTTCCTTCACATTGTTGCGTTTTCCACTTTTTCATTCTCTTTGAGGTACTGAGAGCATTCTTACAACTTGGTTGATTTTATCATGCAACGGTATGAGTTTTCGGATTTGTGCAATCGCTTGGATCCTGTAGGTTCTTTTGATAATTGACTGGTTCAATCTAGTAACTTGTCTGTTGCAAGTGAACCCTTCTCCCTTCTTCTCGAACTATTTGAAGTTCTGAGGATCATTTTGTCTTACGTTTTATTGTGGCCATGGCTGGAGAGCTCACGCGGGCTGGAGTGATAAAGGTAAGTAATGGTGGAATCGTGATAATTCAAAACATATTCGGATTCCAGTAATTACTTACCGAACTTGCGATTGCAAATTGTTTACATGTCTGGATAAATTGATGGAAATCGCCGTGTTTTGGGTGTTTTGACAGCCCACACCGCTGATTGACAATCATTGCAGATTGATGATGATTTCGCTGGGTATTCACTGGAATCCTTTCTAGTGCCGCAGCACTATTCCGAGGATTTGGAGCATGTACTGATTCCTCATGGTTTGCTGTGTGACAGGTGCGCATCTGTTGCATAATGTCGATAACGAAGTAAACACACCGACCGAGCACAGCTGGATATATGTAGACACTACGTATTGGAAATAGATAGAACTGTTTTGAACTTGAGCGTCGCAAATGAATATTTTAGTTTCACTAGATAAATATTTTTTTATTAAATAATGATAACTTTGCCTGATATCAGAGTTAAACTTTTGGCAGCTGCTTTGACGCACAATGTGTTCTGATGTAAGGGGATTGTGCACCTGAGTGACCGTTGTCCACTAATATTGTAAATATATGTTTTTAGAGTTGAGCGCATGGCATTGGACATTCTGTCCAGTTATCCACCGGGAGAGCCTGTTATCTGTGTGTGCATTCTAAAGAGTGCAGTGGGATTTTTCACCGCTTTAACCGGCGCTTTGCAGCGCGTAAATCTGCTGTGTCATCCCGGAGGTCGCAGCTCCAGTGAAATGTACTCGTTGACCTCGTGGGATGAAAACGGCATTGATCAGGCGCACCACAACGCTACCCGGCCACTTTTCTTTGAGTTTATTCGCGTTCAGAGCTATATGGACGACCATTCATCGGGATCTGTGGAGATTCAGGGGATCATGAATATGAAAGCATCCATTCAGGGAAAGGTATATAAAGGCTGTTTTTAAGTGACCGCTTTTTGTCCGAGCATTGCGGTATGTGAACTCCCTTCTTGAGAAGTCGTTACTCGGTTCTTTCGATACCTTCGGAAATTGACAATTGCGAAATTAGGCATTTTGGTGGATTAATTAAATTTCGTACCTTATCAAAACTATTGATCATCTGTACTAAATTTATTTACAAGTTGCTTTGTGGGATAATTTCTGCTATACAGATCGCCAGAGCAACGATTCGCTTCAAATTTCAAAAGAAAATTTTCCTTTATTATACAGTATACAGAAAGTATTATACGTCACACACTGAATATGCTCTGTGATTGTGCAGCCTGTGATCTGGTCAACGTTTACTTTTTCAGAATACATTAATTGTGGAAGATATGATTGATGTAAGTTCTTTAAAACTGATTTTTAAATGGTGAACGTGCGTTATTAGAAGCTGATAAATAGTGAAGGCACTATACTGTCATTTCAGACGGGAGCAACAATGCAGAAAGTTCTGGAGCAATTCGAAGCTTTTGATCCGAAATCATTGAAAGTGGCAACGTGAGCAAATGCTTATCCCTTAGATTGCTAGAATATCAGTGGTTTTTAGTACTTTATATTCGTCTTATTTTTGTTGTTATCGAGGTTATTTGACAATTTTTGCTTTCGTAACAGGCTCCTCCGCAAACGCTGTCCTCATGGAACGGGATATATGCCTGACTGTAAGCAGGGATAATTGAAGTATTAATTATTACTTGTTGTCGGTACTTGCACCTGTGACCACGCAATAGTAAAATTTATTTTTGCAATAACAAATTTATTTTTGCAGTTGTTGGTTTTGATATTCCCGACAAGTTCGTTGTGGGCTTCTCCATAGATTACAATCAACATTTTCGCGATGTTCCGGTAAGGCGATTTAATCTTGTAAACTTGGCCATGACACTGACATGGTCAAAATGAATGGCAGGTCATATTTGTTTCAAGTATATCTTTTTACCAAGTAAGTGCGTATGTATTTTTTTGCAGCATTTATGCGTCGTTAATGATAACGGCAAGCGCAAGTACGCATCCAAACAGAAGGTGTGATGATCTGGATCTTTGAACCCTACTCTAGATTCTGATGATGTGACGCAGTTCTCTGATATACAGATTTTATTAGAAATTCGACTTGGATGTCTCCTATAGGTTACAGTATTAGCAAAAGAAAATTTATTGACAATTTCTGCAGAGCTAATGGTTTACGATATGGGTTTACATCACATTGCAATTGTAGCGGTTAATCTTTGATTAATAAAAAATCGATAAAAAACGTTAACGTCTTTGGAAGAAGGTTTACGATTTTCCGGCACTTTTCGTGTCCGTTCGCCCAAATTGTCTAAACCAGTTCACCATCTGCACGAAGGAGTCACTCTCAGCTTCGATTTCAGCAATAGGATGATCTGAATCTGGATAGCGCAACACTTTCGTCGGTACACCACGCAGCTTTAGAGCCCTTCAAAAAGATAAGCACAAAGTCAACCAAAAAAAGCGGTTTGTGTTGTAGTAGCAAAACGTACCTGTATAATTCCATTCCTTGAGTTGGTGGAACGCGACGATCTTTCTCACCAATCAATATCAACGTCGGTGTGGTTACCTGAAGCAAAGTGTTTCGATGTTTCATCGTGCATTAACCAGCTGATATGCGCAAACTCCAATGACATGTATATAGTCATTAAACAGATATGTATCAGGACAAAATCAAACTACGTAATGAAAGCAAAACATTGCGACAAAATAAAGTCAAGGTACGAATACTCCAGCTACACCGTGCCTGGATATGCTGAAACCTCACAATGGTTTTTGACTTATTAGTTTCCAACTTTAGTGTTGTAAAACTTCGGTACAAGGTTTTAAGCGTAATTACCTTGTGAGCGTGTACAATAGGAGACCGAGCGATAAGCTGCGAATACATGGGAATAATTGGAGGATCGTCGTAACGATATTCCAGACCGCACTCCACATATCCCCAATCGGGAATTTCTGTACCGCCAAGTTTGCTGGCGAGGTTGATAACCGGATTACGTAATGCACAGGCTTTGAAAATATCGGGAAACTGGCCAATAAGGTGTGCGCCGATAAAACCACCATGTGAGCCGCCTTGATAAAACAGATCGGTATCGGTGTTGTTAAGACCTTTTTTGCCAAGTACCACGTCTAACGCCCGGAAGCAGTCCTCGATGTCATTCTGACCAATCTTGCCTAGCAGAGACCGCAGGTTTTTCTCACCAAACCCAGCGGATCCGCGATAATTCACTAGAGGCGAAAAACAATCCGATTAACACTGTTCTCGTCTAACATGCGTCCTATTATCTTGAACGCTGTTAAAAATAAAGCCCGTATTCTGCAATTAACAAACCAGCGATACAAAACGCTCTAAGCTGCCAGATGAGCGGGGCCAGCGGGCGCAGGGAATATACACTAATGAGAACTCTAACTATAACTAGCACTATACAAAAATAATTACAGGTTTGACGCAAAACCTTACCAAAAATAACAGCATATTCCAGACGAATTAGAGTACTGATGAAAACATCGAATCCCGGAATGGAACAACCGTGCGGACCACCATGAGGCCACAGTATCACCGGGGGACTGCGCCGCAAACTAGGGAACATCCAAACTGCCTCATATTCTATCCCCGAGCCCTAAATAAATATGGATAAGTGTCACCAAATTATCAACATTCTTGTTAGGCTCAAATACAACAGCATGATGATCCATCAATCAAAATAGTTCCTACCTGTTGTAACTAAAACAATATTTTAGCAATGGATGTTATGTTTCGGGTTTTCATACCACAATCTCAGTTCAGTTTTACACATGTACATCGAAAACATCCATTCATTTAAATTAAGTTCCTAGGCAAAAAATTTAACTACCGAATAATCAGCAAAAACTAGCACCCCCAGTTTCGTTACCAAACTGCAAGGATGAACAAGACCAGCGCAGAATACTGCAGAGGTACGATTTTTACCGGGTCTTTTATGATTTCCACATCCCATTCCATTAGCTGGACCTCTTTTTCTAATTCCTTATCCGTTCCGGCACCCTCATCGATCAACGCCCACTTGATTTCGATTTCTTTCCCGGCCGGAGGTAATTTAGCCACAAATAGTCGCGGACAAATGTTAGGTGATGAAGCGGACGCCACGATAATATCATCCCAAACGTCTAACACTTCCCAACGAGCCAAACGCATGCCTTCAAGCAACTGCGGCCCGGTAAGACACTGCACTGTTTTATTTTCTGTATTCACTACAATAATTTGCTGGGAACTTCTCCAAATGGTGTGCAATACAATCCGTTTGTTATCTCTCGACCAGCAACGTTTGGGCAGCGCATCCGTATATAATCCAGGGAAATCTGTCTGCTTGATAGTCCCAACAGGAACCGGCACTATCACAGTCGGAGTAGACTGTTGATTGTTCCAGTCAATCTGTAAAATATGACAGATAAAGATTCCAATATGCAAACACCACACAACCACTAACATCGACGTCAAAATACTAAAAAGCATTCAAAACTAAACTATAAAATACCATACCAAACTATTCATAACATGTTCATCACAATCATCTTACTGTCTTTAACGATAACGTACAAAAATTTTAACATCTAAAAATAAGAGACATTTGCGATCAAATGCGTCTGTAGTTGCGTACGCATTACAAATCATTTGTAATGCGCAGGCTGCATTTATACTGTTACTTCCCTTTATTTAGGCTGCATCAATTACGACGTTGCTTACCATCATCAGGCGCAGAGCGTGAAAATGTGGTCCACCCATTTCAGTTTCCAGGTAAACTAGCGCTGTTCCTGACAAATTGAAACGTGGAGATCGGACGGCTAAATCCGTAAACGTCAACGGCAGTGCCATCTTCGAATGACCCAGCTCCAAATAATACAGACGACTACGTCGGATGGGGCAATATACCAGCCCCAAGCGTTCCGGAAGATGATCGAATCCAACGAAAACTATACCGCTTCCGTCAGGTGTCCAGACGGCCTTTGAAAACACACCAAAAGGCTACAACTTTCATCATAACTTAAAAATCGTAGCTCATCAACCTTATTTGTAAGCCAAAATAGCTAAACATTAATCAAATCGACGCTACACTGCCACGAAATAATTTCTAAGATGTTAAAGACAGTGCAAATTTTCAAAAGTATTCTTTACTGCAAGTGCATTCAGACTGCATTTCGGTCTCACTGTAACACGATCATAAAATGAGTATTACTGTTTTAGAAAATTTATTTACCTGTCCAGGACTGATTCCATCAGGAATGTTGGCAAGGATACTCGCGTTGTTGTCATTCCAGTCCAAAATACAAAGCACTGGCTGCGATTTCTTCTGCATCTGTTCGCCCCAGTCTTCACGATAAACAAACTTTTCACCCTAAAAACATTTAATCTCAATCTAAAATATTCTGTAAGTGTATCATTTTATTCAAATTTTAAGCACAAAAAGATTCTGTCAACGATTACAGTCAACGATTAAACTTAAATGGCAGCAATACCAGATAAAATATAAGTAAACAAAAATTAAACACCACTGCAGAAGCACACGTTACTGCTTCGTTAATCGTACCAAAGATTTGTTGGCCAGTTCTGGATCTTCCGGAAATTTATTGGCCATAACCGAGAAGAAGGAATCCGACGGTGGGCGATACTTTTCCGCGACATACAAAATATGCGTGCTGGACTCCACTGGGCTCAGTTCGAAACAACCCAGCTCACCTGAGAAACCAAAAGTTTAAACCCGAAAAAAACCGTGCCCTTTCAAGGGGCACTTCTGTAAACGAAACAGCAAAACTAACTTTGCAGAACAAGATCAGGTAGAAAAAAGTCCATGCTAACAGCAGACATTATTAGGTAATTCATCAAGTAATTCACAAAATAGCTTACTGTCGGTGTAAATGTTTCCATGTCGTTTAGAAGCGGCTACATCATTCGTAGCGACTTTGCCAAGTGGCGAATAAATTTCCACGGATTCCTTGTCCTCCGCACCTTTTTTATCTTTCGGGGAAAACTTGGCAAATACGGCTTTCAACGATCCATCTTGCGAATACGCCACACGCAATCTAAGGTAATAATTTTTTTGCAGTCTCACTGAGAAATTATACAAATTTAATGTTAACATTTATAAATTGTCCACTTTACACAATACTTGTTTGTTTAAGTCGAGTCAAGCAAGCAGTCAAAGAGATTGCATAAAATAAATAAACGTTTATTTTTCATCAGTACCACGGGCATTACTTTTCACATTTCAAATGCTGAGACGATTTTGTTATTTAATAATTTAGCTAATCAAGATTCAGAATTGCCTTCCAGTGTCCACTGTATTCTATGAAAGCACAGTTGTACTTTTAACTACAAGCAATCAAAAGAAAAACTACTGCTTGCAGTTGTCACATAAATATGACTGTTTTTTATCGCGAGCTTAAGCTTTTATTGCCAGCCTAATTGTGTTATCAGTATTACTATTATGCTTACTGAGCCTTACTCGTTCGTATTATCGACGGGCATTCCAAACTGGTGACACTCCAACTTCCCGAAACCACTGCTGGCGGTAGCCAGATATGATTTATGGAAGCATGTCCTTTCCATGCGTACCAAATCTCGTTGCGTCCAGGTGGTATGAATGACGAACTGAGCATTTCCGTCGGAAGACCCGCTTTTGGAAGCAATGAAGGCAGATTTAACGAAGGGAATGCGCGCGACTGCTTGAAATTCCGTCGCAATTTCCGACATCCTAGAACAGCAATGTCGAATCATCACCTATCTAATCCAAACATTAAAATTACAAGGCAAATCGCTATAATTTTTTAAAGCCCAATTCACAATTGCTAATCCATTCACAAACCTGGCTGCCCGACGAACAAATGGGGAAGAACGGCTTAGAACGCCCTTCAGCGCAGACGCTCACGAAATCACAGCTGTGCTACGGACAGATACGGACTCCTTTTTGAGGTCCCGTATCTCACCATAAAATTCTTACATACATCGAGTTTCAGCTGTACGAAGTGCCGCAATGTGAAGATTTTCCAAAATAAAAAGAGTATGTATTAAAATAGAACAGTATGAGTTTAGTATGAATTCAATTCAGTTTTTCGAAAATTTCTGTCTTCCCCAAAACGATGATTTTTCAGTTTTTTGAGAATGTTTTCTTAAAGTAAGTACAGCACGGTGCGGCTGGCTCCGGCGCGCGTGCAACCAACAACCTGTGCGGTCGCCCATTATACAGACTGTTGCACTGGTGCGCACCTGTCTGGAGTGTTATGGGACGACGGACGAGCGGGAGAGTGGTGCGTCGTAATAAGTGTTTCCGTTTTTTCCCACCCTCAGTTGCACCATCACGCAGGTGAAATGCAGTTACAGGTTATCGTTCAGCCGTTGCATTCCAGGCTGATCGAGTTATGAATTATTGCGTATCTGCAATCGATCCAAACGCTCGCGTAACTAACGGCTTTTCCAAGCCACAGTGCCAAATCTTCAATGCCACTGTTGCCTTGTCATTTTCCCTTATTTTACCCATTTTCATTAGACTTGGTTTTGTTCTCTGGATGGTGATTGTGATAATTACGTCCCACGAACCCTCTTGCTCATAGTGTACACATTTTGCCGTTCCAAGTCCACTACACGACTGCACCAAGCGCACTAATAAATCATCAAGTGCCTTTTAAAGTTTGATTTATTGCTTTTATCTCGGAGTCTCCGATAAATTGCGCCATTTGTGGATTTCACGAGCCTTTTGATTTGCGCTGAGCGCCGCGGCTTGGCATACAGCTTAAGCACGTAAACCCCTTTGATACGTGCTCTCTGCAGGTAAATGGTTTACGCAAACCGATTACGGGATTAATATTGTGTTTTCGTCGCTCGTGACTCTGTTACCTTTTGTGCAGCTTCGATAAATTTATTGTCTCTGCTGCTATCCTTACAGTGAATGGAAGTGATGGTATTAAGTAACACTGCGGATTATGAACACTAGCGGAAAAACCTTATTTTGAAGATAATTTCTCGTTTGTCTGGCGATCCATCGATTGGAGATTCAAAAATCAGCTAGGTGAGTAATTTAGCATAATTCTGGGTTGGGTGCGATCCATAATGTTAAAAATCGATTGCTTGTCACATGCAGGCCATGACCATGATGAAACACGCTCAATCCCCGTGTTCTCCCAGTCTGGATGAAGTCCAGATCCGTCCCTCTCCGCAACGTCCCTTCGACGTTGCTGGATCGCCGTCGCGTGAGCCCCTCGTGCCGTGCGACATCTGCGGGAGGAAATTCAATCCGGCCAATTTGGAGCGTCACACGACCATCTGCGAAAGACTGGCGCAGAAGCCCAAACGCGAAGCCTTCCAGGCCATTGCTCAGCGCTTGGCCCATGTTGCTCAGGAGGACGCCATCCGGCCTGTGATCCGCGAGAATCTCGAGAAGCAGTCTGCGGATGAAGATGGTAGTGCTATGTCCAAAGGCCTGCCCGTCAATAAGAAACGCCAACCCCCGCGGGCGGAACGACCGGAAGTCAAAGCCAAGGAGATCCCTGCTGGGCATTCCAGATGTGAATACTGTGAGCGGACATTCCGGGAGAAGGCGTACGAGCGGCATGTGGATTTCTGTAAGCAGCAGTACGAGATCAAACTGCGGAAGCAGGCGTCCGGGGAGAATCCGCAGTCGGTGCTGCTCATGCGGCGGATGAAATACCGACCACCGCCGCCGAAATCGCATCGCAAAGCAGTCAGTGCCTTCTCCAGCCAACACGTGACGCGTGCCAATAAAGAGGGCACTGGCAAGATTGCCAGCAGTCAGTCGGCCATGGCCAAGCTCAATGCCACGCCGAATGTGAAGAAAGTTCCTACCAAGCCGAAGGGCTTTGTTACGCCCTCCGTCTACGCCCAAAAACCGCGGGAGAAGAAATTATACGATGATCTGGGCGTCGGAGACGCTGTGTTGTCGAAGACTAGTACGCCGGCAATGTTCAAGAGCACCGCATCGCCGGCGAGTTTTGGATGTGCTGAAACACTGATTCGCACGGCGTCGTTGCGGATGAAAAGTCAGAATAATGGGCAACTTAAAGATGCGTTCATCCGTGAGCGAAGCAATAATCCTGTGGCCTTGCCGAAGGAAACGGTTATAGATATGAATGCACGGAAGCCTGGTGCGAATAATTCGGTTTTCATCCAGATGGATGAACGAGCTTTCCATTCAGTGGAATCCTTGCGGAAGACCGATTTTCACAAATTACCCGCTACACCGTCGCCGCCTGCGAATCTCACTCACAAAGTCCAGTCGGTGGCTATGGGACATGACCGACCGTATCCGTTTAATGTGGCGTCGCAGCAGAAAGAGCGGATGATGCAGCTGCACAGATCGAATTCGGTTAAAGCCAAAAGTGCCTCGGTGGGTACGATCAATGTGGACTGGGATAGTTTTCTCAAACCAGCCGCTCTGCGGAATACGACTAATTCCCGGCCGGATAATTTGCGCTTTTTCCAGTGGGATGGCGACCGACTCCGCGCACCCACTGATCAGGATAATCTGACAAAAATTCCCGATGATCTGACGGAAAACTTTCGGAATTTCACGACGAATTCGCTGGATGGTCGCTTGCCATTGCTGTCGCCTTCACCGCTGATGGAACGCCGACATAATGCATACAAACTGCCGGTGTCGCACGAAGAAAGCGTGGAGGACGCTTATTTGACTTCGGAAAGTAACAGCCCGTTGTCGCCACCGGGCTCCATGGGTTCGATCAAAAGCAGCGCAATTGGATCCTTTGCTTCTGTCAAGAGTAGTGCCATCGGATCTCTATCGTCTTTTTCCAGTGGAATTCCGGCTAGTAATTATCCAACGATTACAACGAAACTGCCGTCCATTCCGCATTTCTGCCATAATTGTGGCAAACGATTTCCCATCGAAGAAGCAGCCTTTTGCTGTCATTGCGGTATGAAGCGTTTGGTCAACTTGACAGAGTAAATTTTGCTTGCCATTGGTGTTTTTCGTTCTAAGAATTGACTCGCACTTGGTAAACTGGCCTACCCAATTTGCGAGAGCTGTGGTTAATTTAATGCAATCTTTCTTGTATGTCAATAAATTATTGTTAGTTTGGTCCGATGACTGCGGAATAGGTATGGAACTATGTATGGGCTATGGAGTATAAACGTAACTGAATATCTCAAAATCGTAAATAGACATGATAATCAGACAAAAACGGCAGACCTTTACTGTACAATACTTGATATGATCACCGGATGGTGTGATGAAACTTCAATCAAAAAATTCAAAACATGATTTATTTTGCTGCTTACCTTGCATAAAACAACGCATAAGCAGCGTGATTAATACTGAATCTTGTCTGAATATTTTGCGCACACTGCTTTAATATTAGCACACAGATGAGCAAGAGACTAGGAGAAGCATCGTCTCGTGAAATTTTTATGCGAAAAACGGGAGAACACTTCTTTTCAGAACAGCTTATTTGGTTGTGGCCTTATACAGAGTACATGTATGAGCTGTATATCCATGAAATGTTACACCGGCCGAGGACTATAACAACAAATGAACCATTACAATACTTACCAGTCCAGTGCTGTCAACCACTTCGAATTCCATATGCAAAGGTTATTTTTTATACAATTTGATATCGCGGCCGTCGATAATAGATATTGATGAGAGCGATAAGAAACGTAGTAGATTATCAAATTCCGCCCAACGCTACCCTGGAAAAAAACAGGTTGCAGTGTTCAGTTTTCACATCCCTTTTCACATTTTGTTGAAGTTTTACGCGCCAATCGGTTTTTGCGGACCGGATCCGAACGGGAAATCGGGTCTCGTAACCCCGTTTTGCTCATCTACCGAGATGGGAACCGGGTCCGGGATTAAAGCGCTATAATAAGCGTTGACATATACGCGCTTCACATTTCTCTACATTTTCAAAAGAATAAATCGAATGATCTCTCAACGATATGGCTCACATACATATAAACAGATTGCCGTGCATCCGCTTTCTGAGTTAGATGAATAGTACTCACAAGTCAGTTGGCGACAAAGTTTGTGACTTTGAATTTTTTTACGTTGCCCGTGTATGGGCAAATACGCGCCACGGCCACGGTAAACTTCAGTAGACCAATATCGCTACTAGTTCCTCTGTAAGTTTCACTCATTCGAATCTTCGTATTCATTAGCTACAAGGTATCATAAGAGTTTAGGAATTTTTAAAAATTATTTTAGTTTCTGGTCTTCGGCTACAAAGAAGTTTTGCAGATTATGGGAACGACCCGGTACGTGGTATCAAGTTTGGATGTATGGCATTCACGACAACTATCGCTTTCTCGTACTCGCTGGACGCCGCGTTTCCATAAAATATGTAAAGGTGTTCACGTTTTATGCCATTAACTACAGCCAAATTTTTTATACAATTTTGCATGCATTTGTGATCCTACAGCATTCATATGTAACATTTCGGGTAAGTACTTGTTGCAGATGTGTCCAAGAGCGTCTCTCGAATCCTTTGCTAAAAGAAAGGAAATCTGAGGCTGTGATGCAGCTAGGTGGACTCGTTCGATTTCGCATTGAATTCCGGGATGGGCGGGATTTGTGGATCCGGGATGTAGGTGTTTATTCCATGGTGACATGGTCAATAGTGAACTCTGTCTTTGACGTATGTAAGTTGTTTACTTGCCGTCCAATCCTGTACAAAATTTATTTATAATTTTGTATAGACGCACTGGTCAGAATTTGTTTGAATTTTTGGAGTTCTTAACAGCGCGGTCTTGGCTGGCGATGTTCTGTATCATGCGCTGCATGATGCAGCACCATGTCGTATCTCAGCATGACTTAAACGAAAACCGTAATCGACTAAAATCAATTGCGAAAGCATAAATTATTAGATTATACATGACGCAGATTAGCAGTGGGAAAAGAATAACAGTGTTTTTTGAATAGCAAATCAAGAAAGCAAACGGAAGTTAACGCAATTTCACAAGTGTCATTTTGTATTTGTCACTTTTATTGTGTTAAGAGGTCAACGCAAAAAGAGGTACGTCCGCTCTTAACGACAAACAGGTTCAAGTCTCTCCTAGAGCAAGAAACATTCGGTGAAATATTTTTTCAGGATGTAGTGCAAAGTAAAACGGATTCTGCAGATGCAGGGCGCCGGGCCGCCGAACCAACTCTCAGGATGCGCATACATTGACCAGTCTTTTTTGATTAAGCAAATTGTTGTCAACAAGGGTGCCAGAGTAAACATGGAAGCTGGCAGGCTAAAAGCCTTGGCTACTTGAATAAATATATTCAAATTCTCATTTGATTGTCGCGGGTGGCGTCGGTGCTCCTTACCGATAAGATTCTGATCCGCGGCCGACGTAAGAGTCCACGTTTGTCAAGCGTATCCAATGACGCGAATGTGCCGGGCGTAACCGTTGGAGTATATACTGCGTAATGCATATGTAGCCATATATCGATAAGACCAGCCCACGGGAAGGATATATATCCGGTTTGCGCCTTCTCTGGAATTGATACAGTACTTCGACAATGTTGCAACAGTTTGCCGCCGCGGCTATCCCGTACATGATACTGTTGACATAAAAGTCCAGCTGCGTTGCGCTTCGTTGTCATTTACGGTTCTGGTGTTCTCGCGATTCCTAGAGTTGAGTGCCGACTGTTCCGAAGCGGCCGAATTCTTTTATTACCCCATATCACATCAGCCTTCCATTAATAATACGAGTATAATCCCTGTGAACAGCTAACAGTAAGGTTATCATCGATTCACCATCCCGACGAGGTAAAGCGAACTATGCATGCCGGTCATTTTTAGTTTCATTGCTGCATTTACCGGTATTATATTTTACGAACGGAAAAACATCTTTTATGATCATAAAATTATAACTTCTTTACATTTTTTTTAATTTGTGCTGTGATAGCTGTAAATTGGCGTGTATACATACTGTATATTGAAAGCATTTACAAAAATAATCTCCCATATATTTTATTTTGCGTAATTTTTGTTTCCTTTTCCGGTTATTGAATTAAAGCGAATCCAGACCGTAGTTTGTTAACAATTCATAACCGTATACGTCCTGCAGTTGCTTGCAATAGATACAGCGGCATTTTTTTCTGTATCCCAAAAGTACTGCTAATTTGTTGGTAATGATAGCGTGCATCGGTGAATGGGTGAGGTCACAGCATCACAAGTGCAGCCTGCAGGTGTCACACCATCCCGCGGTGATGTTTTGTATCCTCGTGAATCCGCAGGGTAATTCGGTAGCCAGTCTATCCATGACTTATTCTATGACCTTTGATTTACTGCGTCAGTCGCACACATAAGAAAAATATCCAAGCGACGGAAATCATTAGTAAACTTGCCTACGGATACTCAACTTACAATGCAAAAAAAATCTTCATTGGTCTAATACATCCGTCGTCCCTTTATTAGAGATTAATTGAGTATTCTTTAAGTGACTTTGTTGTAGGCCAGTTTAACTGATTGCAAAAACTGCAGTTTACGTCAGCAGTATCAATTATTTTAACTGAAAAATAATTATCAATCTGTTCGTTTATCCGATACGCGGAGGTAATTAATAAACAAGCGCATGATCGTGATCATGACGAATGCAGCGCAGGAAATCGAAATCTGCATCCGTATAGAAAATTAACGAGGAAAACCGAACGAATGGAAACTTGACAACCTTGACGATAAGGTGTGACAGCCATTCCTAAATTAAATATTAATACGTCGTTAATTAACGGCAGATTGACAAGTCCGTATCTTCCATTTAAAGACAGTTATCATTGCTTGGTATATATATCTATATTTATTTTTGCGCATTACAGCAGTACTACTCTGTATGTTGTTTAGTTTACATCAGTGCATCATTTGAATATATTGTGCATACTCGTTTAATTTTAAATCAGCTCCTTGGAAAATCCCAAGAAGCTTATCCGCTCCCCAGTAATACACGTCAGACGATAAACCGGTGGAAAGCGGTCTCCATTTGACTTTGACAGACAAACATCTGGCCAGCCTCGCGTAAACTTGTAATTAACGGCTTAAATTCTTCCCATTATGTTTTTGACACATACGATCAACCGATCATTTTTGTTGCGTTTATTTGACACACTAAAAATGGTTGAAATGGTTTATTTGACACACTAAATGAAAAACTTGCTCATGGTTGCTTGGTTGTAGATCTCCTGTTCTACATAGGCAGCCATGGTTTCCGTCAGAGCGCCCAGCGTCGTCACCATACTGACCATCCTCGCTGCACTGATCGCCACCGTGATGACCTTACCCATGCTGGCTGCTGCGTCGAGCTCCAGCATTTTTCCCGATGACAGTTTTCTAGTCGATGCATCGCTGTATCGTCCCGCACGGCTGCTGCCGCCCTTTGGCACGTTGACCCAGAAGCGGAAAGCCTCCGTGCCCTTTTACGCTTTTGGCGGGAAACGTGATGGCTCACCGGGAAACTACTATGTGCAAAAGCCTGAAATTCGCGGACGAAGCTACTTCGCTTGGGGCGGCAAACGCAGCTCCGATCCGGCCATGGACACTATCGTACCGATGCCCGTCAATGAACATCATCTGGCCGATACGTAACGGGTGCGAGCGGAAGTACATAATTACCGCCTTCGCCAAATCTATTATCAGTAAGCACAATTATCAACGACCTCTAACTGCAGCATTTTAACTGTGTGTTCGGCGAACACTACGCGAAAACATAATTTCGTATTTTTGATATCCAGTAATAATTATTATTATGTCAATAGCTGCGAAGCTTTTATTTTATATCATCTACTAATATTAACGAAAATGTGCAACAACGTATTCGAATCAGACTAAACTACATCAGCGAGTTTGTGCGATTCTTGAAGTGCTAACTTTATTATTTTCCAGTTGCTTAACATGGCAAAATTATTTGTATAGATATGTTTTCCGCGTAAGAATTCACGATGGTATGCGATGTACTCATATTAAATTAAAGAGTCTTTGGTTTAATAGGAATCGGACGGATTGGCTTCAAAACAACTTACCACAAAATTAAAGGACCGGCTTTATTTTTTTCGACATTAAATGAAATTTCTCATTGCTTGATGCCAATTCAATGTCTTTTTAATATCTGCATCCAGTATTAAATAAACATGGAAGCACTGCAAATTGTATATTTGTTGCAGAAATTTATGACTTCGGAATGTTGAGTCTCGCATAATAATTCGCTTTATAGTCTGTACACGAGGTCGTCTGTCTGTCTGTATGCTGCATCGCCAACATAATTTGCCATCTTAACTTGAGACGCTGCCGTTAATTGTCATTTCTTTTTTTTAATAGCAATGTCGCCGACATTCACCTTATTGTTCTAAGGTCATGCTAAATACTCAGTCTTACATAATACTATATTTCTAATCTAGCACTGTTGCAAAAGGATTTCATAAGAAATCCGGATGAGGCGAAAATGATGCGCTGTATACGTGACAGCAATAAATAAATTATGACGAATACCATGCAAAATTCTGACAACATTCTGACATTTTCCAACTCAATTATAAAAATCTGCCATGGCAAACACAACTGAAGGAATTTAGTAGCAATACTATAGCTATACTCGGTAAACTGCAATAATTCCAGTCCAACTATGACATAATATTAGTGCACAATAGGATCCTTAAAATTAGTGCGGGTTATATTCCTGGCACTGGATAACACAGATAATATCTGTCGGGAAGAGTAGGTTATAAATTTTCAAATTTACGAGAGTTTATTTAAAAACCATAGTCGTAGAAATCTGGCACGCTCCGCTTTCCCCGTGCTCCCCAGAAGCCAGCGGGTGGTGCTCTCTTTTCCGCTGAAATGATGGGCATAATGTCGCGCACCCCTATTTCATCCACAGCGCCCGGCTCCAGCAGCAACAGCTTCGACCCATCACGCTTATCTGCCGTGCCGTCCTAGAAGCACATTAATTACCGATAAATTGTCACATCCAAATTTTCATGATCAAGTGCATTAGCCCAGTGCACTCATGGCGACCCAACTTTTGATAGATTTGTTGCGGATATTAATCGATGCCGTCCTTTGAGGGCGCATTGATTTTTGGCGAAAGAATTCGCATATCAAGCACGCAGTTTTCTCTGTTCACAAAAGTACACGCGTTGGTATAAAAATTTTTTAAAAATATAAATGGTGTCGCTTCTACGTAGATTAAATAAAATATAAACTGGCGACGAATTTACTAAAAATATGCATCTTATAATTATGGCTATAGTACAATATGTACGTGCTGGGGTGTTCTGCTTATAACCAGTTACGTAAAAATTTATAAGAATGTCACAGTTTAATCATGTAACGCTGGTGTAAGATATCGTAATCGATTAAGCAGCCAGACGAGTGGGATAAGTAACAGATTGGGATTCTGATACCGTCTGTCATTAACTGGAGTTCTCATTAATTATGGATGTTAAGTAAATAAAAAGAAGTATTCAAACCGGACTTGAAACAATCGATATGCTTCCGCATAAGGAAAGGGCGCTCTATTTAGGGCTACGGAAAAAGCTTATGAACAGATGTTCGTAGCATGGGAACCTACGTCATCCTACAGGCAGATCGTTTATCGTATCGGCTGAAATATCAAACGGAATATTTTTGGAACACTAAATGCACATGTTGATTTTGGAAAACCTATTACGACTATGACAATCGGAAAGTGTATAAATATAAATATCTCATTCAGTCATTGGAGATAATTAGAAGTCATGTACGCGTCTTCGACTAAAGAGATTCTCACCAACAGGATCCTTTGCATACGCCACATGGCCATTGGTGCAGCACGAAGGTTTACCGCAGAGTCCTGCGCAGGTAGAGCATCGCTGGATACAATGATCACGCTTAACACAGCAATAGATAGCCACAGCATTATTGCGAATAAGAATAGTTTACAGCGTAATGCTACAAGCACAGTATGTAAAAAAATGATTATTAGACAAACACGGTAGTCGTCGTATGCACGCTTGCTGCTGCTGATACTAAAGGTCACCACTACCTAGCTGTCGACGCAAAGATGTTGGCCCGAATTAATGAAATGGACTTTGACTGACGAACTAAACGGTGCTTCACCGCGATATTTATTGAATTTCTTACTGATTTAAACCGCCGTCTTCTCTAAGAAAACCATTAATTGATTAGCGATATGCCGGTATTCTTCCTGCGTACAGTATTTGCTTGCCGGCGTCTTCCTTTTTTGTCACTGGTGCGCGCATCGAGTAAACTTGCGTCAATACGTAAATTAAGGTGCACATCCGAAAGTTTTGGATTACGGATGGTATACGACGATTTCAAAAGAATGTTTGATTGTGAATTATTTACTTTAGCCGCCAACGTCGATAATTCGGGCGGCAGATGGACGAGATTTGTAAAGGTCACTTGGATGGGAAGGTACAAATAATATCACCGCCAGAGGACGGGAAAGCAAACACGATGCGAGTTGGCGAATTGTTGTTTCTTACGTACGTAGCATAGCGGAAATTGCATTTAGGCTTGCGGATATACCGGCACATGAGAAAAATTCCAAATTGTTTAAATAATAACGTGATATTAACGGGAAATATGTAAAATGATCCAGTGCGCCTTTGTAATGAACTACCGGACTAATTTCGTGGTACGCATGCTGTTTTTCGGCTTTTACATTTTACCGGCTAATTTCCACTTGGCTATTGACTGCTGCTATGGCAAAAATCGAAAGCGATTTTCTCGCTGCGAGTTGTCGTTGGAGGTTTTTTATCTTGCTGAAGAAAATAACGAGGATTCTATTGATTTAAGGCTAATCGCACATACGTTTTGTGGGAACAAGTGGTACAAACATCTGTTCATTTCATCTTATTAAGTGATATAAGCATGCTGCTGTTCACTGGTTCTCTGGGCATACTGCAGAAGGAGAAAAAATTCTACGTACTCTATCCGCAAAAGATTAAAAATTCAATTAATTATCCATCGTAAATAAGCGTTCTGCTTCATAAATTCTAGGATAGAGTGCTTTAAATCGATGACGTATACAATACGTGGTTTGTGATGTACCGTATCTAGTTTTTATTAAATTAAAGCGCGTAATCCGGAAGCACCATCCCACCGAGCTGGATCCTTCACTGTTATCACTTCAACAGAAATAGTGCTTCGCCTCTGCAAAATACGAGTACTGTAGATCAAGGAATATCAGTCTTATAATTGTTAAGACGGAGTGCAAATGCTGTACTTACAATTACATACTTGTACAATACTACACCAGTTACATAAACCACGGTTTAAATAGATGGAGAGCTGTAACTTCACAAAAATGTTAGTACTAAGTACAATGTGCTGAGAATGGAATGTGTGATCTGGTAATTAAACGCCTGGTTCGGTTTTAAGAGAAAACAGTCATTTACTGTATACGAAAACAAAATAGCTTACAAGTTATCGTTAGCTACAGTCTACAGATACATAAGTATCCCTGTAAAACTGCACCAGTTCATATTAACAACACAACCGTCAGATTACATTATTTTCCCATAACTTTCGTACCACCTACAGACTGCAATTCTAGTTACTATTAATTTAATAATTTCTTCCAACTATGTAATCGCAAAACATCGGTGTTTACCGGTTAGCACACTTAAAAAACACCGCGTATCAGCTCGAACAGTGAGTGCCCTTGAGATTGCCATTGCATTGTCCATCGCAGTAATGCCTCATATTTCGCAAAAGATGCAGCATACAGTTTTACGGTACACTGCTGTTCTGTGATTTGTTAATTGTGATTCTTTCTCAACGATTTTCGTTTAAGTCATTGTGCTGGATAATAGAGAATATCACCAACTACCTCTATAACTTTACATAACTACAACAATATTCTCTACATATACGTATTCTCTATTCGATATTCTCTACCGTACAACGGATGGTAGAGAATATGACCAACCAAAATTGTACTACCAAGGATTTTGAGAAAATAAAAATTCAAACAACTTTTTACAAAACTGTATAACATTGATTTATGTAGAATTACGAAGTCACTTACATAAGTCATAGTCACATTTTTTATCGATCACGGAATACACATCTACCTCATCGAACTTTGTCCGTTCCCAGATAAACATAAACTAAGCACAATCTGCAATTTTTTATGCAGTACGAAGAGCAAAAAGCATTACAAAACATTTTACAATCGCGATCAACCCATTGTCCCTATTCCTAATGGTTGCTGGTAGTTCATTCCCACACCGGCACCCTGCATCTGCGGATTGTAAGCCTGGTAGGCTGGTGTCATCATGGATGCCGCTCCCAGCTGGTTCGGATAGGTCATCTGGTTCTGCGGGTAGCTGCCAAAGGTGGGCAGCGCTTGTCCGAAACCCGGAAGAGCGCCAGTCGATCCCATTCCCGGATACTGCATCTGACCGCTGGTAAGACCCGGCATGAATTGGCGGGCATCCGCCTGCAGGGGCTGTTGCATGGCCTGTGCTTGCTGGAGACTGCGTTGCTGTTGCTGCTGCAGCTGAGGCCCGACCAACGGAGGAATCAGCTGGCTACCGGCTTGCTCGGGGTTCATGTATTTCGGCGCTAAGATGTTCCCAAACGCTACATAAAGGGTAACTTGTTTCTAACACCGCAAAGATATTACTTGTACGATTTGTTTATTAGTCTAACGCATGTGCATGTGTTTAGGACTAAATATTAGGAAAGTTTTATAAAAGTACTTACATGAAGTATATTCCTCAAATTTTATTTGTAAAATATGGCAATATGTACACAACAATTATGTACCCATTATAATATGGCAGTGCAAAATGCAAAATTCTGTGTTTGACGAATCAGATATACGCTCACCTCCAGAAACCAGGAACTGCACCGGATCAATCGACGTTCGCTGTTGATTGACGGGGATCGCGGCGATTGGTTGGTTGCTTCCCACCTACAATACAATCAATTACCTAACGTTGTATGCACGAGTCGGCCCTAATCAGATAGCAGTCGAACAGAATACTTAATTTGAAAATTTTTGATATTGTTATTAATTAGGAAATTATCTCAAAAGCTCATTGATTTTCATCAGTTAATCAATGTTCCGCTAATTTATTACACCGAGTGGTTTATGCAGTTTCAGAGTTGCGAATTTAAGGTCAAAGTGATAGTTATTTAAGTACATACCGGTTGCACAGCGGTGATCGGTTGCGTGGCCATGGCGACCGGTCGGGCAAACTGCTGCTGTTGCTGCTTCTGGACCACTTCGCGTTCCAGACGTTGCTGTTCTTCTTTCTGGACTTCTTCTCTAAACTTCTTCTCAGCGTTAAATTCCTCACGAATCTGCTGCTTCCGTTCTTGCGAGAGATTGCCAAACGTACCGTTAGTGGCGCTGTCTGACTGACTAGCTACCAACGGAAGTGCAATAACAAGTAAAGGAAAAATTGCTAAGAAATTCATGATGACGAAAGTATGGAGCAATAACCTATACGCTAATTTAGAAAGCAATGTGGAACCGGCCAGCGGTTCTTACAAATGGATAAAACGGATTAATGTAGTGTCCAGCACAATTTCGAAAAACATCCAAATGGTCGGGTAAAAATTTTGTGCCAGAGGTATTTATAGAAAACTAAACTAGACTTTTACCGTGAGTTTATCTTCGAAGGTCACACGAAAGTTTTAACAAAAGATTCACCCACGCCTACAAATAGTGGCCATGAAAAAAGTTCACCGATGGCTCTGCACGATCCTGTGTAGCAAGCCGGTACTGTGCTCTAAATTGGTTCTGGTCTGCGAAACTGCAGTTCCGGGATGTCCGGGACTGTCTGTGTAGCAACTGCATTGAAGTAATACCACAGCTCAGTGAAGTAATATTGTACTCGTACGGTTTGTTGCTGCAGTAGGCTCAAAAATGGGGGAACAAACAATGATCACGTAGTAACATCCCGCTGATCTGATTGACCTACTCAAGTTATTCATATAGCTATAAATTATTTTATGAATCGGTAAGTTACCGGTACAAAAACATTCTCTTGTACAATACACGCAAGTGACGGTGACGGCAACAACTGCTCTGCATGTACCGACAATAGGTATTGCTGGTGATAACGCCAAAATAAAACGTTTCCCGCTACCCCAAACACCAACAACAATGGGAAACTACAAATTTTTGTATAAATTATGTATATTTTGTTGATTTTGTATATTTTAATTCTAACCACTGCCTAATTATTTGCTCACAATTATTCAGTCAATATTCCACTGCTTTTGATGGTTCAACAGTGCAACTGTCCACTCTCAGGTCTTTGTCAGTATATACAGATATTAATTTCCTAGTTGAAGCAGTGCGCGCTAGTTTTAACCGATAGAAAACTATGTAATATGTACGGCACTAACAAATTTAACAGTTTTATTATACGACACGGCATGCGCATCACACACCATCGTAACATAAAATTATAATTTCTACTCGCTAGAGTAAAGTGTTTCTCACACTAATTTACCATAAAGAAATTAAAACCGGCAACCAGCAATCGCTATTAATGACTTTGTGACCACATAAACAATAAGGAAGCCGTTTTAGTTAAAGCTGAATTCGCTGTACTGGTATGTATAATAATAATGAATAACCTGTCTGATTTCGACCTGGTCTATCATCGGCTACTCTATAGGGACATCTGAAAAGAGTATTTTAATTGTCAACAAAAAATGAATGCGGCCCGAAAAATCCACGCACCGTTCAACAGGAATGTCGAACAAAGCAATGTTAATTATCAGCTTCGCATGGGCTCCAGTAACCTACCAGGGATGGGAATCGAAAAAGGGCATTTGGCACAATCGAAGTTTGAATATCGTCAACTACATCTGGGAGATTCATTTTACTTTACAGTTTACACAGTGACTTCTTCACCTTTCTACAGGTGTTCTTCTTGTCTTCTTGTATTAACTTCTGTAAAGCTTCATTAGCGTCAAACGGAAATCCGAACGCTGTAATTTACCGAAATTTCAATAACAAGAAAATGCACAGCACAGCTATTATTATGGTACAATCATATCATTATGAGAACGTCGTTAGCAGTTAACGCCAGTTTAAATTAATAACAACAAGTTCGAACATGCAGCAGCACAGTTAAAATAGAAACCGATGTGTACGCACATCTCCGGGATAAATGTGAAAAGCATCAAAGAACACCGCGAAAACGTTGTACAAAAACACATTCGTTCCAAACCACCACGCATGGCTTACCGTTATTCGAAAAAAATATATTCCATTTTCACCAAATGTTAAAATGCGTTTTAGACTATGTAGGGAACAAATTGAAACAAGATCAAATTGACTGCTGGGTGACCAGCCCAAACACTTTGACTGCAGTGGAAACCCCACCTTTTCAGGGAAGCTGATTTCCCAGCTCCATCACCGACGGGAAAACAAGCACCTTCTCATAGAAATGCAGTAGGTCATCCATGAAGTATTTCCGCATGGTATCCTCCCGAAGAAATAACATGCTGGGAAAACCCTTGAACTGGACGCCGTAACCGGCCACGTTATTCACGCGGTCATCCCCTAACATGATCTCCTCCACAACTAAATCGGCTAGCGGTGTCGACTCCAGCAGTTGATAGGCTGCTGGCAGTATCTCCACGGCACGGTACGCCGAACTGACACCGCCAGTCTGGAAAGATGCAGGAGCAGACGATTCTTGTGATTCGAGAGAAGTCTTCAGTTGATGGTTGCTAACTTGGATATTCTGAGAATCTTCTTCTGAGATCGTTTCGCGAAGCAAGACGCGTTGCTCGTCAGAGGCGTCTGCAAACGATACAAAAAATAAGCATAATTTCCAAAAACTAAAAGTTGATGAGCGGTCTCATCTAGTGCTAATTTGCAACAACAACATAAGAAATTAATATACGAGTATAATTGATGGTCCTAGGGGAAAGTAAATATCCTGCGTAGCGTTTTCAAACCTTAGGGCAACCGAAGGTGTACTATATATTTATCTCTTTCTCCGAGCGGGAAACGGCCGACCTTAAGCTGACTCACTCACAACTTTACAAGATTTACACAACTCCAGCCAGGCAACAGCAGTTTCGAAATCTCAACAAAGTGAAAGGTGAATAAGATAGCTTTAAACATGCCTTATGCTAGGGCCACACTTCAAGTGCGATGCAAATTTCATCGAACTTTTTTCCTTCGCACAGTTCGAAGCTTTTCTTCGCACCAAAAAGTGCGAGAGGTGGGAACCGAAGAAAAAGTTCGAACAAAATTTGCTTAAAACGTGAGCACTCACACTTCATCGAACTTTTAAAAGAAATTGAGATTAGCTACGCCTTGAGCAGGCCATGAGTGCAAAATTTACGGGATTCAGGTCGAGAGCTACAACATTTTGCAGTCAATTTATAACCACAATCTTGAATATTATTAGGATAATAAGATAATCCGTAATAATATTCTCACTCCGAACTGGATTCTTCTCCTGAAAAATGCGTCCGAACATTTTCCCAAAAACGGTTGTTGTTGACCATACTGCTGTCTAGCGTTTTGATCTCGCGCCATTTCGCCAAAAAATCCTCACGAAAATTTCGTGTGCGAGACATTAATATTAATCGGAGCATAAATGGAGAGTTTGCCATACTTATAAAAGATCTCCGTCAACACGATCCTCAGCGGCATTTCAATTGCTTCCGCATGTCCCGCTCGACTTCAACAAATTAAAACATGGACTGGCTCGCTTTTAGTGCACCCGGATGAAACCGTACTATGGTTTGGCAAAGGATGACCTTTATTGTTGATGCTACGTAATAACCAATCGCACAAATACATGTAATATGCTTTTTGTCCGTTTTAGAAATAATCACAATCACATCCGGCTGCTCGGTATTGGTCAATTCCTTCGCACTTGTGCGAAGGAGGAAGAATATCCCCTCCCACCAAAAACGGTGCGAAGACGCTCTTCGCACTCGTTTTAAGAAAAAAGTGCGAAAGGCGCTCATACTTTTTGTTCGATGCGAAAGATCCCTTAGAACATTTTGCGCTCACACTTATTAGCACTTTTCGTCTTCGCACTGTGCGAAGGCCTTCGCACTTGAAGTGTGGCCCTAGCATTAGTTATAGCTAGTAATGAAAACCGCAAAAGTATGTGTATCCTTGGAACGACAGGTACTCACTCAAGCGGATGCTTCAACTAATAATGTAAGTACTATTAATTTTTATACTTAACGCCTTCACTAACATTGTAAAATAAAAAATACGAACTCACGTAATAATTTTAGATACAATAATTTTAGTTACATTCATTCCGTACTTTGTACCTTTATGCATTTTTTGCAAACTGTAAACCGCCGGGTACAAAATCATCAGAATCTACACGCGCCGGTTGAAATCAGTTGATAGGGATCTCACAAACATCCACTTCTACAGACTTCTGTTATCAAAGAAATACAAATTTCGAAAACTTTTCGTAATAACTATACTGCACGTGTGCACGACAACTATCGCAGTAAAATATTTTCATGGCAAAACAAGCCCTCAGCCAGTGCCACACTAGTCGACCAATTCAGTAACAACGATCAGAATTCAGAAGCATTCAAGCAAGCCACTGAAGGCAGCTGCCATAACTTCGATATCCACGATATGCCCGTATTATACCTTCGTCACAAACTAACGCAGTTCAGACCATTTAGCCGTTAAAAATAAAGTATGCGTAGTCGCAACTTCTGCAGTGCTGCCTTCTCGTGCTTTATCAATGCCGTGACGCTTCAAAAGATAACAATCATTTTAAACTGGCAAACAGAATGCAGTATTAAATATGAAACAAGCGAGCTTAGCTCATCAAACCGGGCCATTAACATAACGGACACCGATGCAGCAATCGTGACAATCTGCTTCGCCTTTTCTCTACTCGTTCTCCTTTTCTGTAAAATATTTACTGAAGAAAATTTTTATTTGTTCAATCGTATCCCATATTATATTAATTTCAATGTTTGTTTGGCACCAGTCCGGTTCAGTTACTTCGAATGCAAGTTGCAACCCAGGCATAAACTAGTTAAACTAACCGGTAAGAAATTACTAACCGGTAAGAAATTACAGAATACCATATGGGCAACCGGCAAGGCCAAAAAAAGGACAAAACAAGCCACAAAAAAATGCTCTATGTCGTCGTCTGTTCGTCACAGTGAGTTGTTGAACCGCAACCGACCATGTGAGAACTCACTGAGAGAAAAGACATGGTATTTTACACAGGATAGTGGCCATAGTTCTATAAGTACAGTGATAGCCATCAAAGATGATTACGTAATGGTACCGATTTTTACAGAGTTCATATACATTTAGAGCATTTACCGGTACGAAATTTAACAAATCACCGAGAAACCTAAACTAAACTGCAACATCTTCAGCGTAAGCTTAACTTCTAAACTTAGAACTTACCCCTAATAAGGGAATTTTCCGGGATCGTTACCACCATGCCCATTTCCGCATCTGCATCCAACTGCGTCGGTGCTGCAATGTCGACAGTGACTTGTTCATCACGCGGAAATGTTTCTATTATAGTCTCTCTATTAGTCTCGAGCGCAGTTACATCCCCGTCTCCTCCGTCTTTCCGGAACGCCGGGACATTCGTATCCTCCTTTGGTATGTTTTCGTCGACTGCCCGATGCTCACCATTGCTGTTAACTGAAGGCACTTCCGGTTCAGTTCTTATCACTTCCATTTCGGCATTTGTCATGCAAACATCCAACCGTGTTGCATCCCCGTCCTTTCCATCTTTCCGGAACGCCGGCACATTCGTATCCTCCTTTGGTATGCTTTCGTAGACTATCTCGCAATTAGCATTACCGTAAACTGAAGGAACTTCCGGTACAGTTCCTATCAACTCCATTTCGGCATCTGTCGTACGAACATCTACCTGCGTCGAGGCTGTACAGATCACACTGACCGGCTGAGCACGTGGAAATGCCTCTGAATTAGTCTCGTCCACAGTTTCCAGCGCTACTGCATCCTGTTCTTTCCGAAACGCGGACTCATTTGTTTCTTCCTCCGGTAGGCATTCGTCGACAGTCTGATGCTGAGAATCACCGTTAACTGATGGCGCTTCCGGTGTCATTCTTATCACGACCATTTCTACATCCCCATCATTCATACCCTTATCCAACTGATTGTGAGCCGCTGAAGCAACAGCGACCACTTCTTCACACGAGGCTGTAGGTGATTTAGTTATCTCTTCAGCAGCGTTGCCGATCATTGTCATGATGTCAGCATCCGCGGTTTCGTACACCGGAGGCGTAGTACTCTGCTCCTCTGTGGGAATATCGTCCGTTGTGTGCCCATGAAACTGATTCTTAGAATCCTCCTTTGCCGAGGAAACTTCCGGTGTCAATTCCGCTGTTACCATCTCCACGTCGCCAGGAGAAGTATCGACAGGTAAATGCACCGTTGCTACATCAGTGACGGGCTCATCGAGTGGACTACCAACGGCTACGCTGTCACAGATCGCCATACTTTCCTCAATCAGCGGGACAACCTTTTTCTTTTTCTTCTTCCTTAACGGTTTGTCCACAAACTGACCTTCAAGTTGACGCCCCAAATCACCTGTAACTGGGGGAATTTCCGGTGTCATCTCCGTAACCACAGGATGAACCTCGGGCTGTATCGGCGCCGCACCGACGACACTGACACTGACCAGTTTCTCGTCAGCGACTTTTTCAAATACTGTCGTTTCAAGAGCTTCGCAAGTCAGTGTAACCCCTGAACTTCCGGGAGATGACGGCGCTATCGTTTTCTTTTTCCTCTTCGTCGGTTTTTGGGTTCGTGTTTCCGTTGGTGCAGTATCTTTTGGGCCTAAGATATCGTAGTAGACCGCCCATTCAGAAGCCTCATTCCAGTCATCAGAGATTTTGAATGTGACCCACTTTCCGCTGTATGCCACACGACTCATTTCTTCGCCCTTGGGATTGTCAGGAATATCAACATTCTTCTCTACAGCTTGCGTTCCACGCCGCTTTTTTCCGCCATCTGAACTAAAGGACGTATTTGGAGAACTGGGTGTGTGCGAAATTCTACTGCCGTTCACAGGAGAATAAGATGAAGTTGAAGGAGAATAGCAAACACGAGATTTCCTGGAACGCTTTCCGAACAAGAGAACAGAATCACTGGGAGAAAGCGGTGGTGGCGGTGAGGTGGGTGTCTCAGGCTTTCTGCCGCGCTTTCTGCGTTCGAAGCTGGATGATCTGGTAGGAGAGCGGAATGACGGCGATGGACTCAATGACGAAAGGCTACTGCCGAAGAGATCCCGGTTGATTTCGCGTGATGATGCAGGTAATAATGGGGCTACAACAATGCACGTTAGTTTTGAAATTTTATGTCCTCAACAGACTCTACTTTCAATCTGTGTTTGTAACAACTAAAATTCATCAAACTGCAAGCTAATTTCCACCTAATATTTCAATTTCCACACAAAGTAAATAAATCTAACTCATTCGAAGGAACCAATGCCAGAAGGATCGTGAGTTCCGGTGAACATTCCCCAAAAAATTATTCAGCTAAATGACATAAAAATTACCTAAAAAAGTAAGTCTTGCAAACAGTTTCTATCAAAACTGCAGAAAGTAATTTGCTACTTTTTATTAAGCAGTTACTGCAGTCATACAAAGAATTCACACCTTAAAATTATGGAAATCTAGACCTCGTTTGTATTAATTTACATAGCTGCAAGTAATATTTACTGCATTAAACGTTTAAAGTAAACATATCACGTACCATTATCGCAGCGGTCACGAGTCTTATGACTGTCGCCTTTGGGCCTGCTATCACCCTCCTCCTCACTAGAGATCGCATCAAGAAGGGCTCTTTTACGAGGCTTCGAACTGATTCTGAGGTCCTCGTTTTTCCCAAACCCACCCGCCACCTCAACGGCTTCACGTTTAGGCGGTTTAGCCGTTTTAACCCCGCACTCTGCAGCCGGTGCACCAGCTCGCTTCCTACAGAATTCTTCCCTGATCGGATTTGCTCGCGGCGCTAACGGTATGTTCCAAGCAGGATTGTCCTTCTCCAGACTTTCCGTCTTTATTTTTTTTCTCTTTTTCCCTTCGACCACCTCCTTAAATTTCTCAATATTACTGACGAGCCGATCCTTCCCAGGTTGAGGACGACTTCCTAAATCCTTTTTTTTCTTGTAAGATTCCCCAGACTGTTCTTCAACTTCCTTATCTGATTCCGAAGCGGACGAATCATCCGACAGTCTGGTTCGTGTTGCTAAATTCCTGCTTTTGTTTGATTTTCGTGTTTTGGAGCCCTCCTTATCTTTAGAAGCGCGGCTGAGCTTTTCTCCTTTGCCCTCCTTATCTTCAGAAGCGCGACTGAGCCTTTCTCCTTTGCCTTTCTTACTCCAATACAACTGAATCTTTAAGTCGCACTGGAGGTGGTCTTCCGGCTCCCAGCTATCATACATTGGATCATCATATGCTCTCCAACGAATCAAATAATCTTTTTTTGTGGGATCTTGCGCATTTATTCGATGCTCCATTATTTCTAAAACCTACAAATTTTGACTTTTAAACATAACCCCCAATCTGTCAAAGTAATGTTTTCATGCGATTCAGATTTAAGAAAAACAAAAATTCAGAAATCTATAAAAAATCAGTCAGAATCTAGCCGCCAGAAATCTAGAGAAACCTTATAAGGTACTGTACAAAACAACACTTGGTTAAAAAAATACAATACGTCATATATACAATATACATTATATTGTACATACAATGTACACAATTTACAAGCATACAATATACATTACGAAACTTTAATAAATGTGACTTTCGCTTCATTGAAGAAAAAAGGCCAACGACTAAGAATTAAAGAGTTATAGCTCTTCTATTGATAGAATTGTTAATTATTCATCGTTAGTTTCAGTTATCAGGATGAATGAATGCTTTTCCTCACACACGTAAAACGCTACCGAAGATAAGATTTCCCCCAGGCAAAATGACATCAGTCGTAAATATCTGGTTCAAATTCTTCAGATTTACAACTGCCACTTACCTGTTCGCAAATGAACAAACAATATTTGAATTATCTAATTCCGGCCAAAAATTTGCTGTGCTTACTTTTTAATAAATAAAGGCTTCATAATGGAAATTATAGAAAAGCAAAAATGCCTAGAAAGCAAAACTGCCAGAAACAAATACCAAGAAAAAAATACATAACTGCGAAAATATTCGCAACGAGTACCATAGATTTACAATGTACAGCACATACTTCATATTCTCTATCCGAATCTTCAGATTCCGTAGTCAGTCTGCTATCCGCGTCGTCCATGGCAGCAGGCTCTTCCTCCAGTGGCGGCGGTTCATAGTCTCTGCCACCGAACCTGGATTTCTTCACTTTGGCCATTTTATTTCCTAAAAAACCTAATCATTAGCCATCAATTTTTTATCTCCACAGAAGACACAGCATACTGCGCCAGGTAAACAAAAATAAGCATACCAATCAAAGCTAATTCCTACACTTAAAACTGTCACTATAGCAGAGGTCACAGAAATTATGGACGAAATTATATGGAAATGCGAACGATAGGGAAAAATCTGCGACAGCGAAAGCGAAAGAAAAACGAACTGATTAGTTCTTTCCGCCCCACCGTTAGTTAACACGGTACTCTACAGCAGTATACGGCTGCGCATGCAATTCGAAACGGACGGAATAGGCACCGTAAATGCAAAAACTGTTGTGAAACGATCGAACGATTAATTCAGTCGCCCGCCAGTCAAAGTAACGCGGGACCAGTGCGACCAGAACCCGGAAAAAAATAATGATCACCAAACAAGGTGCGGCACGAAATTATCTTAGCAAGTAAATACCATTCAAACATTCTGTTTCTATTATAATCCCAATAAATTTTTTAGGCGTTTCGATTGACTCTACACAGCTAATTACCGAAAATAATCATCTATCGAGTATCAGAAAAAGTTTTCTGCGAAAAATAGGGATGTTCTTCCTCTTGCTCTCCGAAACAACCAGAACAATATTCCGCTGAAAATAAACGTCAGTGTGTTCTTGCGTTACTGTGTAATATTTTCGGATATTATAAAATTAATTATTGTCAATTAGCAACAAATGTCCCAAATGCTCACCAGTCAGTGACCACTGTTAACACTTACAGACACATACACTTACAGCATTTGAAAACTAAATAAAATAGAAGTATACGAAGTACGACAAAATAAATAATTACTTATTTATACACTGCCCTTCAACATCAAGCTAACAATAAGTAAGTGCTTCTTACTGTTAGCTACGCAATATCATTGACCCCAAAAGTCCAAACCAACCGGTAAGACTTACCTCCAGATAGCAAGTCGATGCAGATAACTGAGACAAGAATCATAACACCACAATACTGATAACAGCCCTAACCGCCCAAACCAATACGCGTATATTTTTTATCACAAAGAATAAACTTTCAGTAGAGTCAAAAAACTTACAAATGCACCTTATAAACGGCAGCAGCTACTTGTACTAAAATTATTAAAGTTAATTAAAATTTAAACGGTAAAACCGTTAAGAAATTCAATACAAACAAATCAGGAAAATGAGAGAAACTTTCGAACTGCAGTTCACAGATACGATAAACTGGAGAACCAAATAAAAATTTTTCCTGATGGAAACTTCAACTATAACTACCGTGTAATCAAATTCTTCACGTGATAAAGAACAAATGCAATAATTTACATGTTACTTCTTATCAGGCCTACAATACATACCTCTGGCTCTGCTCTAGAACTTTTCCAGGACGTCAACGAGGAGCCAGCTTCGTCCAGGCACACTGGTTCAGCCTGTCACCGACTGCATTAAACACAATAAAATGATAAAACTCAATTTTAAATTTTTGAACACCGCTTCAAATAAGCTATGAACTTGCTAACGATGTAATTAAAAAAATTAAAACACCACACCTATCCCCAAGGGTAAGAGAGGCAGCAAACTGTCAGAATTCGAATGTCGAATTTTTATTTGTGAACAAATAAAATGTATGCCAGTAAGTAATCTATGGTAACTTGTGTAGAGTAGAGTAGAGACGTGCTCTGTGACTCGTGAGCAAACTCACAATATGACACCAAAGAGCGTGTCGGGCCGAACTTGTTGTTGCTAATGAAACACGAGTTACACAACGCCCTTCTGTACGCTTCAGCTCACTAGTGAGCAGGGACTGTTGACAACCACAAACAAGTGGCGGCTGCAAGGGCGGCCCGCCATTTAAATGCAATGAAGACCTTTAACAAATAAAGTATGGTACGAAGTACAGTACTTACAGAGTACTTCGTTTAATACTTACTTTTTCTTACTTTTTTCTACAAAGTACAACATCATCATTACTTAATTTACGTTTATAACACTTTATTTACGTATACCATGCCGTTCGGCGAAATTCCGCTAGAATTTTCGAATGCCTTCTTACAACGTGTTGATAATGCGGTCACTTGGAATGCTTACTATTTAGTATTTACTATACAGATATGCAGCATCTTTTTCGCTATCGTGAAGTGTTTCCCCCTTCGTTGTTCTTGTGTTTTGTCAGATTTATACAGAACTGCAGCATGACGGACATCTGAAAGTGAATGCGGCTAATACAGGTAAGCACTAATGGTAAGCATATAAAAAGCGCAGTCCTAAAAAATTCAAGTGGTCATGCACAGATCACATCAGAGCGCCACAATACCAAAAAAGCATAGAAGTGCAAAACGTACTCGTAGACAGACATAGTAGTAGAACAGTAGAACTGCATTTTGGTAGTTGACATTGATATAAGTTAAAGGTCATTCTATAATTTTCTAGCTATGCCTGGTATTGTACGTACTACTAACGATAAAAAACCAAAAATTTACTAAAGCCTAGGTGGTAAAAGGTTTGATGGTACACGCAGTACAGTAATTTGTATATAAAATGCCGTTAGACAGACAGATCTATACATAATACAGTAAACTCATTTACGACGCTTTTGAATGAGCGGCTCGCAGGCTAAGAAATTGCTCCGGTAATGTTGTTTTAATACAGTACAGTACGTTTCTCCAGCCATTCGGCACAGAAAATCGCCATGGCAATTGCGGCTCATGTTACCATAACGTGAAAGTCCACTGTGTTCAACTGTTTATGTCCATTGTCCAGTACACATATGCATGTGCTGGAGATACAAAACACTTAGCGTGGCGCGGCTCGTAGCCGCATTGCGAAGAAAATGGACGGTTTAATTACATAGGTATTTAAAATTGCAAAAAAATGATGTTATAGAATTTGTTTACTGGGGAGTTGGCTTGAGTGCGTGGCTGTTGGCCCGTTTTAGCGAGCTGGTCTGCGGCAGTCACCTCGCGTAGCGCTTACATGTATTAGTCTGGCTAGCAGATCCAAGTCGCGACTGCCACTTGATCTCCAAAACTTGCAGCCTCCGTTTTTCTACGTTTCCCTAATGAAACATTCCAGTCAATGTTTCAGAACAGAGAATAAAATTTCAGAATTTTTTTGATATCTTTAGAGTAGCTTTTTATAAGGAACCAAGGAAGTTATGTTCGTTTCGGTTTCTCATAGACATAGCATGGGTCCGTGCGATGGGGGCGTTGCTTGCACCCTATGCTTTGTCTACGAGAAACCAAAACAAGCATAACTTTCTTGGTTTGCCATAAATAATTACTAATCAGAGATCAAAAAGCTTATAAATTTTTTCTCTTTCTTCTGAGATATAGGTTAACAAGTTTTATGGAAGGGTAAACGCAAAAATAGCGCTTGAAACTCTGGATCAACTGGCCATGGAATTCAGTGCATTCTTTCACCGTTCACATAACCTGCTCCTCCCATGCATCTGCACCCTGTCTGTTCTCAGTTACAGCAATTCTAGCTCTCCTAAGTTACAAAAGTTAACATTTCTGTCTCTCCTGAGTTTACAAAAGTTAGTTTTCTCTCTACTCTCAGTTAATTTCTGTTCTGACAAGATGAAGGAGTTATGCGGCACTGTGCAGTATGGCTGTGGCACGAAAGGCGGAGCCGAAGCAATTATCCACGGGGTCCGCTCGTACCTGGAAGCTACACACGACGGAGAGCGAGTACTGGTAAAGCTGGATTTTAAAAACGCATTAGTACTACTCGAAACGCACTTTACATGCGTTCTGTAAGATACAGAGCCGGGAGTTCTATAAAAGTGTATCTACCAATGGTACAGCGCTGAATCTTATAGAGCGTTACAGAGCAACGAGACCATGGTTTCTAAAAGCGCCCAGTTACCGTAATTGAATTGGTCAACAATTTATTTATTTCTCACAAAAATTTTGTGGCCGTTTCCTTTCTCTTTTTCTGGCGATTTTAAGCTCTGTTAAGTTAAGAAATCAAACGACTGCTGAAAAAGCGAAAGGCAATTGCACGTAAAGTACGCCGAGGTATTCCTCGCGCTGACGGCTATGGCGAAGTTGCCTGTTGCCACCGATACAAATTCAAACATGCACAGTCGGAGGCAGCTAAAATCAGTGAACAAAGCAGAACTGGAATATGTTGATTTGATAGAAACAATTAAACTCCCGTTAATTACACCCTCAAAACTTGAAAATTAAAAACAGGACTTTAGACGTACAGCGGACTGTGCATCCACATCAAAAAATAAATTTGACCTAGCAAGAAATGCGAGTTCTGTATCGTAACGGAGCCAGGAGAGTTCCTTTTAAATACAGAACACTTTAACTCGTTCGTCCAATCAGCGGTAAGGGGGTGTGATCGAAACGTTACAGAACTTCCGGCTCTGTATCGTACAGAACGCATTTAAAGTGCCTTTCGAGTCTAGCTATTTAACCTTTTGAGACGGGACGCGTTATTGGAAGCCGTAAGACAGCATTTTCCCAGTTATTACGGCTATTTCTGGCAATCTTATCGTTACGCGAGCCATTTGGTTTGTGGGGAAGAAGTCTTGTCGTCCGCCCGGGGGGTGCAGCAGGGCGATCCAAGTGGCCCCTTCGGCTACAGCCTCACATCGCTACCGCTCTTCGATGGACTGGATTGCGATCTGTTTCTGGGCTTTCTTGATGATGTTACTCTGGCCGGTACCATGGAGAAAGTGATCGCCGCGATAAAAATATTGAAGAAAAAAGGGAAGAAGATGGGCCTTGAATTGAATTTCAACAAATGCGAGTTCTACCTCATCAATTCAGCTGCGAATGCGGGTAAGCCTTTGTTGGAAATATGGCCAACAATGATCCAGTTGAATCCAGATAATCTTTTCCTGTTGGGCGCACCTTTTCAACCAGCCGGTTGTGCGAAATTCCTGAAGGAAAAGAAAGATCACCTATGCAAGTTTGTTCAGCGGCTCACGAAGCTACCTGCACATTACAGTCTTTTTCTTTTAAAAAATTGCTTTAGCATCCCCAAGGTTTTATATGGCCTACGCACTGCCCGATGCTATGAATTTCCAGAGCTGTTGAAAGATTATGACAAACAACTGTGGAATGGTGTGGAACAGCTGACCAACGTAAGCATAACAGAAGCCCAATGGATGCAGATGGCTTTACCAGTTCGGCGTGGTGGATTGGGAACGCGGCGCATAGAGTCACTAGCTATTTGTGCCTTTTGGCATCGGTGTACGCTGTGCAGCCTCTCGTTTCCAAATTTTACGCGCCAGCTGGTGAACATATGACGCAATCGGCTGTAGAAAACTGGCTTCAGGTGACACACTGCTCGCTACCAGAAGATTGTGTGCGGAAGTTTCAGTACGTGTGGGATGTACCGATGATTGACAGGGATGTATCAAAACTGATGTTATCAACGGTTGGTAATGAGCGCGCAAGAGCCGTATTGTTGGCTGCATTTAGCAGAGATTCTGGGGCCTGGCTGAATGCATTACCGGCGCCTTGTCTTGGAACGTTTTTACGAGATGAAGAAGTCAGAGTAGGAGTGGCATTACGTTTTGGATTGCCCGTAGTGACAGCTCATAACTGCGTGGCATGCGGCAAATTAGTGGAGACGAATGGCCATCACGGGCTTTCCTGCAATAAATCAACGAAAGGGCGATGGGCCAGACATAGAGAAATGAACAGTATCGCCAAAAACTGTTGCGAGAGTGCAGGATTCCCATGTCAACTGGAACCGACAGGCCTATCACCAAGTGCGGCGATTCGACCTGACGGCATGACCCTTATTCCAGTCCGTCAAGGAAAGTCTGTTGTATGGGATGTCACAAGTTGGTGTACAGTAGCCGATTCCCATGTTCACGGAAGTTCGAAGAAGGCAGGAAGTGTGGCTCACCTGGCAGAAAATGAGAAGCGACGGAAGTACTCTCCACTGGAAAGTAGACACCTTTTCTATCCCTTAGTTGTTGAAACGTTCGGTGTCTTTGGCCTAGCTTTAAGTGAATTTGTACATTTTATGGGCCGTAAAACTCGTGAATTAACTGGAGAAGCGCGTTCTACTGCTTTTATGAAGCAACGTTTTAGTTTGGCTGTCATTAAGGGAAATGCTACTGCTGTGTTAAGTACGTTGCCTTTTAACCCGCGGGCGGATAGAGATTTTGGTTGTTTTTTTAATGTTTAAATTTTAACTGTAAAGTAGTGTGCCCGCGCTTGCACTTTTGTTGTTATGGCGGCTATTGCCCAATAAACACACATTTCTGTCTTTCTTAAGTTACAAAATTACAAGTTACAATATCACGCGACGTGGATCCATAGCTTAAAGCAATATTACATATAATTATGTAATATTGCTTTAGAAAATATGCAGCGCTATTTTCTTCGCAAAAACGTGCACGTCCGCGTGCCGTTGTACGGGACGACATGCAGTCCGTGGCGAAACATTAATGGGAAGCCACTCTGAATTCGGGCAACTTTTCGGGCCGCTGATGCATGGCGCGCGTAAATTCCCTTGTACAGTATTTGTCGTATATAATACCATGTGCATGCATTTTATGTGCCATCTTAATACATACAGTATCTTCAGCGTCCACACTCGATTTCAGTACTTTGGTAACATTGCGAGCGATTATATATTCAGCCTTTAGGAGATTTCTAACTGGGAAACACTCTTCATCATTTTTATCATCATTAACGATATCTACAGTATTACAATGATCAGAGTGATATACTGCTCGACCTTTTAGCAGGCTATAAAATAATGACCACCATATTCTTCCAGTGTGATATGAATAAAGCAACGGACGGAGTTATTTTTAATGTATCACAGTGCTGTGTTACTGGTCAATTTGACTATTTCAAATGCATCCTGCTGCGCATACAGGTTTCTGAACCCGCCTGGTTATTACCGGCATATAAAGCTCCCGGATCCGGAAGCCGCGGAGAAACCAAGAAATTTATTTGCAGTTTCGGCGCCAGATTAAGGTGTGGATAGCACGTACATACGTGTACGGTGTACAGGCTGCATTATTGCCTACATTTACAATACGTGCGCTACATGTGCTAATATTCCGTTGACTACGGGATGCACGTCGTGGATAAACAACGCTCAGTGTTTCCTTGTTCAATCATGGATCGCCGCAAAATATTAGGGAATTATGAGCCAATACTAATAAGCTTAAGGCGCACACACATGCACCCAGTGGATTGTATCGGACTTCCTTTTGCTTGCAACATCCCTTTACCGCCACACAGCGTACCTTTGTAAGGCCGATTTATTAGTAATCAATCGATAATTCTTTCACGCAACGGAACAGCAAAATACCTGTGCAGTGCAACGACTGACAGCTTCCACCTGATGCACCGCGCTCCCGTCCGCGTTCACCGTCGTCGTAATAGATTGTGTGTGTATCTCTCTGTATGCCGCAATGTTGATGGAGAATCGCTGGAGCAAGAAAAAGTTGTACCTACAGACGGCTATACAGTTGGCGCGTCCGTCGGTAAACGATCGATTCACTAACACTCTTTACTTATGATTCCGCCGCACTCCAGATATCCAAGCAGGAAAGCATTATTGACTAAGCATAAGTACCCCATGATTACGTGTTACCGTGTTAGCCAACGTTGAGTCATACCTCCCGTGTTCCGCATATTCACGATAAATTATGAAGAATCACAGCTTTTTTCCCGAGCAAATGGCTGCGGTCTCGTCTGCGTGAAGTGTCATTTCCTTCCCATGATTCCATCAACATATTCGACAAAATTACAAACCATTTCTCGACCGTCAAGGTTGTTTATTTTTCTGTTCTGTTGCCAGTTTGATGATATTCTAAAACTAGATGTAATTGTAGATGTAATCGACAGTGAGATGTAATTGTGGAGGATTCTAATTGTCATGCTATACAAGCCTCATGAAAAATGCTTGATTCGCCGCGTTGTGGGTAATGCGAAAATACCATGGGCGGTTTGTATTCGAGCGAGCGCGGAGCCTGTGCATGTTTGTTCAGCCACAAAATCACCCCCGCTTCGGAGAATGCCGATGTGATTATTATTGATAACGGGAAAATTCGCACCGACAATCCCGTATCCAACGGTCGGAACGCTGTCCTGCATCCGGCCATCAACAACCCGGCCGGTCACATCCCGATTGCGCCGTTAGCCTATGTTAATGCAGCCTCCGTAGGATCGGATATTTTTGAGAAATTCACCAAATACACATGCCCCATGTGCCTTGTCGTCATTGGCCTGGATGATGCGGGTAAAACGTCCTTTGCCCAGACCGTTATGCACCGTCATCCGCCGCGCGGCCGTAATCCCATTCGGGAAAGCCGTGCGGAGAATGTCATGGAAGATCCGAAGCCGACGCTGGGCTTTTCCAAGGAGCGGCTGTGTTTCCGCAAGCACGATGTGGTCCTGCATGATCTGGGTGGCCGCGCGACAATCCGCGGCATTTGGCGGAATTATTTTGCTGAAGCGCACGGCATTGTGCTGGTGGTGGATGCGTCGATGCACGTTACCAGCCCCAAATGGGATGAGCTCAATCAAGTGTTGAGTTCCTTAACGGAAACCGAATTGGTCGGTCTGCAGGGCAAACCAACTGTGATCCTATTAAACAAACAGGTAAATTTCAATGGCTTCCGGATTATCGGTTGCACTCAGAAACAGTTGGCTTTTCATATTAGCAAACTACGAATGTATCTACAGACCACAGTTGTGTATAGGACATTATTACTGTATTAAGAAATACGATTATTTTAAATCTAATTACCGCATTTTTAAATTATGTATATAGATAATGGTTTAATAGATATTAATAGTAACTTGCAGTATTATTTTAGTCTGCAAAACATAAGGAGGTTTGCAATTTTTTCGATCCATTTCCCGAAATTTTGTTGAATCATGATCACAATTGCAAGCTGAAATTCAAGTGCTTACTGTATTCAAGGCGATTACGCGCGAATAGCTCAAGTGTTGCATCCAATATAATTTTGCAAAGAAGTCATGACAAGATTTTTTACGGTATTTACCATATTTCTATACGTCTCGAACACCATTCTGCATCACCGAGCTGTTACTTAATTATGAAGGGGAATAACATTTGTATGACATATCAAATGCGATTGCATAAGCTTCGCAGTTCGCATTGTATAGTTCATCATGTTTCCATCCAAGAACTGTTTTCCGTTTTCTATAACATGCAGCTAATGCAAATTCTCTCGACTGCCTGGCGCGAGTTATATTATGCAGTGCCACATGCTGTAACATTTAATCCCTATCTTACTCGAAGAAATTAAATTTCGCACGTAATCACCGTGGGGGAATTGTGTCGATATGAGTTTTGCTTGGTATATTGAATATACGGATATTGAATCTCGGATTCTACCAAGCTTTTGCGTTGGATCAGGAACAATTCCGCCGTTGTGTATTATTAATTATCGGCATACTGTACTACAAATTGTATTGACTTCCTACGTACGCGCGCGCAGAACTGACGCAGTGTTTTGCCAGATTCTGTGGACTTCCGCTCTAACCGCATGGCATTTCACTCCTGCGCACAATCGTTGATACGTTTTCACATTCTCATTTTCAGAACTACTGCTTTATAAAACGCCGTACGAGAAACCTTTGTTTAAAATAATTAATCCGAACAGTCACGGTATGTGTGCAAAGAATAATTATTATCGCTACTACACTTTAATTTAATTAGCACAGGCGAAGAATAAATTAGAAGAAGGCATATGTGAAGATTAATTTGGAAAATAAATGACAAAATTTTAAAAAATAACGGACTAAAATTTCGAACCGTGACTGGGAAATGCATAACGAGCGTAACCGCATTTACAATTTTACACACTTGTGTCAACATTCAACAAGTAATGCCGAAAAAAGGTGAATTGTTTTTATAACGGCTTACGACTAAACAGTAAAAACTACGCAATCCATGTCGTATCGCCTGAAGTCAATCGGGAGGCTGCTCAAATATTATAACAGCTTTAAAGATTTTAAAATATTTGTAAAACGAGATTAATTATCAAAAAATACTCGGATAGAGCTGGCTTAACGCTAACAGACACTGCCCTGTGTTTTAGCGAACACTACAATTCCCAGTATTATGAGTACTACTGACCACAGTGACTAGTGACTACGTATTGGGCTGTGACCCAACCTTTCCCTATATACTGGAGTTTTTAACAAACGCATTAATACTTACTGTCGCGCGCAGCCATTGAACATGCTTATTGATTTTGAAATTATTATCGTTACAGCCGTATGCGTAAGTATGTACTGTACATGCGTGTCTCCGTATGCTTTAATTTAGTTTCGCCTAATAATTATTGATTCTCTTATGTTTGATACTTGTAAGTGGGCAAGTGGAACCGAAAAAAAGTAACATCCTTCTTTAATCCTTGCAGGATGTAAAACCCAATATTAATGAAAGTGAGCTGCAAGCACGCGTTGACATTAAAGAGTTTCTTGAGAAATACTCCATTCCCTACAAAGTCTTCCCCGTCTGTATCCGCGAAAAAGAACTAATTCGATCAGCACCCATGAAACGACAGCTGTGCTGGAAAAATCTCGAAGAATCTCTAATGTGGATTGTTCGGCGCATTGAGGACAGTTACCCGTCACTGCATATGAAAGTCCAACTGGATTCCCGGCATCAAATTGAACAGGAGGAAGAGGAGCGCCAGGAAAGGATGTTGCGTTTTAAAGCGGCGCGTGAAGCCGCGGAGAATGACGCAGCGGATGATGATGATAATATTGTACCGGAAACCTTTATTCCCTTAGCCGAACACCTACAGCGTATTGAAAAAGAGACAATCGCTGTGAAAAACGATGTGAACACAGCGCTTAATGATAGCAGCACCGTCCGTGTTAATGTGCCAAATGGCATAAATCATACGGCGTCCACCGTGCAGCAGCCGGCACCCAGCAAGTCGACCTTGTCAATATCCAAATCCGAGCCCAACCTGAAAATGATAGCCGAGGATGCTGCATCGGAAGATGTTGTTATCGATCCCGTCGTCAACACTACTACCACACCGACCAGTAAGCAGACCGACACGAAATGGCCATCGGTCATCAATCTGAAAGCCCTTCACAACGATGATGTCCCCGATGTTCCGCCAGATAATGGTGATATTATCATATCGGATACGGAAGACGTCGTGCAAATCTACAAACCTAAACTTTCGCGACCACCGTTGTACAAGAGGATGGCGGATAATATAACCAGAAAACGTCTCAGCTTGCCCAATGGGATACTGTAGATACAACGAAATGTCCGTATAATGTACAGACAGACTGATAATTTTTCAAAACGGTTGGTTCATTTTTCATGTGATTTACAGTAGTACCTGACTGAAGACAGTTGTTTTCTGCAGTTCCTAACTGCCTGATATTGTTCACATCAAAGATTTGTGCACACTTTTTCAGAATCTATTTACCTATTTTTAAGCACTTTAATTATTGAGATTGAAAGTCTATAAATTATAATATCTGTAGCGGCACCGTGGCAGGCTGCCAGGAAAAGTAAAAAGTAAACGTTTTATGGAGCGAAACTTTCAGCAAATGACAGCCGGGAAGCGCATCCCCCTCACGTTGTGAATAGTGAATACCAAAAGTTCAAAACTACTACGTACGTATTAAAATAATAACATTCTTAATAACAATAAGTGCAGTAATAACATTCACAATGCTTGTATATATACATACTCGAAGTATATATAGATATATATGATATATCTATACAGGGGAGCTTCGCTCACTTAATATGTGTTAATTAATGTTACTTAATATGTGCTAATTAAAATTACATTTTGATGGTAAATTAAAATTACATTTTAATTAAAAATCATGCTGTTTTGAGTTTTCCCTACGAGAAGGCATGGGACCAAAGATTGCACCGGCAGTCCTGTACTTGTATCAGTTTTTTGTGTTCAGCACTTCCACGATCTCACGCCCAATCCGCCAATCAGAGCAACTTGTCACGCCTTTGTTAAGCAGATCCAGGTACCGAGCGGCGAGCACGTCACCACTGACCACGTGCAGCCAGTTTTTTTCAGCGCCAGGGATGAGTTCCGAAGATTTCTTTGTGTGCATTGAGTGGCGTTTTTTAAGCCTTGTTACCACAAATCAGTGTAATCTCGTGCGTTGATTGATCCAGCCCGCATTCACTGCACTGCTTTTTGCTTCTACCTTGTCAGTTGTCAGTTGAAGAATACGATAAAAGCTCCAGCTCGTATTGCAGTAGTGTTTCAAACTTCCAGGTTCGTCTTTTCTTTTACTTCAGTCTTTTCGTTTTTGACATTAATTTCCACTCTGGAAACTAGCACCTGCCTAAAAAACACTGAAATTTTTGGGTGTCCTACAGTAAAGCGTCTTTTACAGTGACCTTTGGTCTTGTTGTTAGTGTCAATTGGTTTTTTTGCTGGGACTTGGGAGGAACCATGGAAGGGTTGGAGGCCCTTATCCCTGTTATTAACAAGCTCCAAGATGTTTTCAGCAAAGCCGGCATTACCAACCTAGAGGCTATTAACCTCCCGCAAATCATAGTGGTTGGAGCACAGGTACAAAGTACAACTACGGCACCTTTGTTCTAAAAATTTTAAAAATGTTTCAATTATTGCATTACTCTCGTCCGATTTTGGATTTTCTTAAATTGTGGATATTTTCTTACTGATTTTGATTAACTTTAAGAATGTTTGTAAAATTTAAAGGACGAAATTAATTGTTAGCCATTTAGTCATCGTTAGTCGTTTAGTCGTCTAAATTAATGATCGTTAGAATCGGTTAGATGTCAAACAGAAAAAAACAACGGCTACCAGGTACCTTTGTTTCATTGCAGAGCGCCGGAAAAAGCTCTGTATTGGAAAGCTTGGTTGGTCGCGATTTCCTGCCGCGCGGACAAGGATTGGTTACCCGACTGCCCCTTGTATTGCAGCTCATCCACTGGGATGACGACAGCAAAAGTCGCTACGGTATGGATGTTTCTGATTTTTCAGTTCTTTAAAGAATAAGATTATGATGCGAGAAAATTTATAAGTTTACGTGCAGAAAACTGAGAAAATTATGCCATCTGTACAAAGTTTTGTAAATAGGTGATTTGTAATTTGTATCATACGCGTACTCGTATAACCAGGTTCACTTGCGGAGGCAAGTGCATAATTTTTGCGACCTTTTCCTGCTTCTGCAACAATGCTCGTATGAAACCGTATTTTTCCATAATATTTCAAGCTTTTTTCTTTTATAAATCAGTAGTTTTCATTTGGCAGATGCCTGATACTTGTATTTTTGTTAGGTGAACTATTAAAGAATATCCCAGGCAGCAGCGGCAAGAAGGAATTTGGTTTGTTTCTTCACGATGAGAACAAATTGTACACTAGCTTCGATGACGTTCGGAAGGAAATCAACGATGAAACCGACCGGGTTATGGGGAAAAACAAAGTAAGAATGCCGTTTCACCGGTATAGGTGCATTCATTTCGCTACGAATAACCGTCTTTAGGGCATTGGAAGCAAACCCATAAACTTGAGAATATTTTCGGAGTCGGTTGTTAATCTGACACTGGTCGATCTGCCTGGGCTGACAAAGGTGAGCCTTGCTCTTAGACTAACTTTCATCTGGCTGACGAGTTTTTGACAATTAAGCTTCTAAAATACTGTAACACTTAATCCTGAATTAGCACTGAAAAACATGGAAAAAATAAGTAATCGACGCGGTGCGTTGTTTTCAGAATCCCGTTGGCGATCAGCCTCGCGACATAGAAGATCAGATCACTAAACTGATTATGACCTACATCAAGAACCCCAATTCTCTTATTTTGGCGGTAACACCAGCCAATGTGGACATGGCCACGTCGGAAGCGCTGAAGCTGGCAAAAGCGGTCGATCCGGAAGGTACCTTACAATAATGCTTTGATTCATTCATTTTATTTATCAATTTTTTTTAACGAAGTAAACAGTGGTCTCGATTAGTGTTTTACTATGTAGTTGTACATTCGTATTGCTGCATGCTAGCATCTGTATTTTTAGTTTGGTCGTACAATAAAATTTAAGTGTTCCGAGTATCTACTCTGTACGTATTCCAGGAAAGCGCACACTTGCGGTAATCACCAAACTGGATTTGATGGATAAAGGAACCGATGCACGGGACGTTCTGAGCGGCGGTGTTATCCCGGTTAAACTGGGAATCATTGGTGTGGTCAATCGTTCGCAGCAGGATATCAACACTAACAAAGTATGTACTGTATTACATAACAAGAGTGGCATGGAAGAAATGTTCAAAATATAGAGTACTGTACTTCTACTAAACATATCGGTTGTTGTCTTGCACAATTGACGGGCCGTAATGATTCCGACCTTTCACAATTAATTCGTGATTTTCAGTGTATTTTCTTCAGAACTTCCTATATTACGTGTATTGTACTGTACTACATTTCAGGCAATTTTAAATGCGCTCAAGGACGAAAAGACATTCCTGATGAAACATTATTCGGAACTTGCGCATCAGCATGGCACGATTTTCCTGAGCCGAACTCTTAACAACGTAAGCGAAACAAATAATACTTGATTCCTTGTTCAGAAAACTATTTTATATCTACAGCATGTACTGTATGTAGATATTTATATTTATAGAAGTATACATAGTACTCATTGTACCTACTACTGCATTTCCTTCCTGCTACCCATGACTACAATACTTCTTGCGATCTGTAATATTCCGCGTCTGACATACCGGTGTTGCTCTCTTCGTAGTTGTTAATGTCACACATTCGGGATCGTTTACCGGATCTCAAGGAGCAAATCAGCAAATTGACTCTAGCACATAAGAACATAATGGAGGATTTGGGACAGCCTGTCACCGACAAGGAAGGCCATCTTATACGTTTGATAACGGAATTCGTTAAAGCGTACAGCTCCACAGTGGATGGCACCAGTGTCGAAGTGGACGCCAACAAGTTGAAAGGCGGAGCCATGATCAGTGTCGAAATATTCCAGAATATTTTTCAAGAGCATTTATTTGCTGTTGAAGCCCTGGATGGTTTGGAACTAAAGAATATAGTTTTGACGCTTCGTGGAGCAGCGGTGAGAAGAAGTTTCAATACGTTAATTCACGATGGAAAGCTTGAATACTGACAGTAAGATGCATGTCTGCGCCGCTGTAGGGATTGTATCCTCCGCTGACGGTGCCTGACATGGCGTTTCGCACACTGGCCAAAGACCAGATTGGCCACATGCTGCAACCGTGCCTCGAATGTGTTGACCTTGTTTACGAAGAAATGCAGCGCATTATTCAGCGTTGCGGGAAAGAGATCCAGGTGATTTGTAATGACTTACATAAGTAACTTTCATGTGAAACATTCAAGTAATTTGTGAACTGTTCATTTAACTTGTTTTAGCGAGAATTCCAAAAATATCCCAAATTTTGTGACAGCGTGCTTCGTGTTGTAAACGAGTTCATCAAGCAGCAGGCCGAATCAACCCGGGCAATGGTCAAATACCTGGTGGATGTATGTACCGGAAATCGAAGTCGTTTCTCATTATCATAAGTGAAATAGCACTTCATAGTTCATACCTTATTTCAGATCGAAGTGTCTTATATCAATACTAAACATCCGGACTTCTGTGACGAAATGGAAAGTTTACTGGAGGAACGCTCGGCAGCTCGAGCAGAGAAAAATCACGACAAATCCAGTACAGGTATTTTAGTGATGATTTTAATATTGCCTGAAAGTGCTAATTTCAGTCACTTTAAAATTGGATGATTTGTAACGACAGTGTGTGCTGTTCTTTATAACTGCAACCGTAGCCATAGTCTGCCCTACCTTACCTTAAACTTTTAAACCCCAACTGTCCAGGTTGTATGATCTGCGGTGATGCTTTGCTATAAATACTCTTACTCTCGTAGATTCAAGCAACACCCAACGCAATGGAGCCAAAAAGGCACCACTACCAGTGCAACCACCTGGTTACTTCAGTCCCCTGGTGCCTCCTTCTCGTGGGAAAAACGGCCGAAACAAGTCTAGTCGATCAATTTTCGGTTTGGGAGATGGAACAGAGCGGGAAGCCAACTTTTTGACCGAGGTATATTTGTGTAATGATTTTTTCATGTAGGCGAAATGACGCTTCGGTAAATTGTTAGTTTAGTTTAATAGAAATTCGATGTCAGATTTCGTGGTTTCGATACTGCAGATTGAAGAGTTTGATCCCGGAAACATTCCGCCGCGCGAAATGGAAGATGTCGAACTGATGAAAACACTGGTGACAAAGTACTTCGCCATTGTCCAGAAAACCATATTCGATATTGTGCCAAAAGCCATTGTGCATTCGCTTATCGAAACCACGAAGGTATTTGTTTCATTTAACAAATTTTAAGCTGATTCGAAAAACTTCAAGTATGAACTACGACCGAACTGGGCCGCCATTTGCTTCTACAGTCATCATGAATCATGGGAAAGCCGACGAAATTCACTTGCGCCCACGGCAAGACAAGTTACTATAATATAGTAGTACTATTGTTAGCGTACAGCGCACAGCTGATATTCGGCATCAGTGACATCAATAGGAAATCGGGAATGATATTATTACAGGACGAGCTGAGCCGAATTCTTCTGGCCAAGTTGTACGCACCCGGAATTGCCGATAAATTTGAAGTTCTGAATGAAGCAAAGCACATCACGGAGCAGCGCAACAATACCATGGCAATGTTGGAAGCACTGCAGCAAGCTAGCAAAATTATTAGCGAAGTTCGGGATTTGTCAGCACACCGGAATTTGAAATAGTGTGTTTTTCCCGGTTACGTTGGAGTGTGAGGTTTGCAGCATCGAGTACGGATAACTGACACAGTAGAATGGTTGATAATCCTTTGAGAATACTTTACCGAAGTGAATCATTCTGATTGAATGGGAAAATGTCAGAGTATCGTATGCTCGGTGCATTTTAATTATGATAATCTGGAATAATAGTACAGTTTTCATGCGTATTCTAGTTTCTTTTTTTAGTGAAAATAAATTGTCTACATGTATGCCGTGTCTACACGATCCCCGCTTGAATGTCTTGTCTGTGGATCTTTTGCCTTGGACGGCTACTCCAGAGCGTGGCGATCATAGTTTTGTTTTTAATGTTTATATTGTGCTTGCATATTAGAGGTATGATTATAAATCAGATGCGTGGTTTTGATGGTTGGTGGCTTTTGCCGAATGCCGATTAAATTTTGCGGTTTGAAGTTGCTTCGGTAGAACTGTAGAAGTACGAATATACCGCAAGTTTTAATATCAAACAAACAAACAATAACCCAGAAGTAGCATTACCTGTTTGGTTTAATCCATTTGCGGACTGCTCTGTTATCGATTACGTGAATTTAAAAATCGCAGCAACTACTCAGCCAACACTGCACAGAATGGAAAGAGTCAACTGCTTAAAACTGTTAATTTTAACTTTTAAGCAACTTTGAACATAATATTCAAACGTTTTGTGTGCATTACATGTTCTCCCATGCCGAATCTAAAAACTGTAATTCGAATTTCGAAGGAAGTGTAAAAAAGAAAAGGAGTTGCAAACGTTACTGCAAACCATTTTATGATGTGCTTAATGCAGAATACGATTACATAGTAAATGCTTACACAGTAAACTACAAACTTTCATAATTGTGCACTTCTTTTTGTAACTTGTGCATTAGCTTTTTTAACTTGTAAGCAGTACTGTTCGAGGAAAGTGCTAACGTTAAGAAATAATTCAAATAAATGTACACTGTATGATGCAAAGGATTTTCGATTTGCATTCGAGTATTATTTTGCATATTTTTTTTGCAATGGCTGATTTAATTAGACCTAGGTAGTAACGCTGCTCCAGTACGTATAACTACTCTATGTTTCCCAGCTGCATAACATCACATGCGATAAAAACAGCACGAGTATAAGTACAACTTAAGTTTTAAGGTTCAGTAAAAAATTAATAGTTCCATGTGAAGCCGAATGCTTTGATAGTTGTAATATTGTATTGTACTGTTGAATATGATAAGCTATAGAAAATATTTTACAAGTACTAAGATCATATTGATCAACCGCTGTTATCTTTGTCTTACACATATTTTCCGCCATTAACCTTTCAAATGCAAGTGTGTTTTGTAGAAAATAATTGAAAACACCGATTTCCTGCGCTAAACAGTAGGTGGAAGAGAAATCTGGCCAAAGTGCGCAGTACGAGGTGGTTAATTTAATTGTAATGACAATCTCCAGTAACCGCATAAAAGGCCCCACAAATCGCCATGTAATCGCTTCGGGACAACCGCGTAAGCAAACTTGTGAATGAAAGGCAGAAAAAACTGCCGAGTGTCGCGGCGGCATGCATGTTGCAGTACATTGCGTACAGTACGTTGCAGCCCGCTGCCGACAGTACCCGTTACGGAAGAGGCGGATCGACGGTATTTACATGGACCATTAGCGAAACGTGGACGGAATAAATCCTGGATCACGGCCGGCCTCGGCGTTTCACCGTACAACAGCCACCCGCACAGTTCTCCCCCTTCTGATCCATTGAAAAGTTTAAACAGTAGCCAAGTGAAAATATCCCGTGCAAATAACCCATCCTCAGCTTACCAGTCATTTTCCTAACCATGCGTGCGCGCACCCGCCAAATGTACGAGCGCATAACCGTTTGTTGACTGAGCCGGCATTTGAATTTTTGCCTGCCACATTCCCACACGACCACGCCCACTTCTTCCTTATTCTGTGGTTTGGAAAAAGTTTTTCAGACTCTTTTCCGAGATCTATCACCGCCGCAGCTGTTGCTATAAACATAAACAATTTGCTCTAAAGCAATTTTCCGCCGGCGGAATTGCTTGTGCTGTAGAATACATACATATCGTATATGCTACAGTGGATGTGTGCGCGCGCCTATACATCCATGAACGTTCTGCTGACATTAACAAAACACGCATTCGTCTTCTTAAATATCTGATCTTTCGTCACTACAGCTGCGCGAAGTATGGCCTTGCACTTCATGGCAGATGATTAATAGTTTATAAACAAATTTTAACAACTGTCTCGCTGCTCTCTTGCTGCACAATTGGAAGCCGACTGTAATTCTGGGTCTGTATAATCAAGAGTTTGAAAGATGATTAATTTATCAAAGTTGGCCTTTTAATATTGACAATGCCGGGAAGAATCTTCCGGTTGTGTGGACGAAAAAACCCCCTCATTATCCACAGTGTGTGTTGTATCGGACGCGCGGGAATAAGTTCCACGGAAGGAGGACGCTTCTGTTAAAAGCCTGAACATTGTCTGTGGTCATGAACACAATATTCATCGTGATATTTGCTTATTTATTCCCGGTGTCTTCTCCACTTTTTACCATTACGCGCGTACCTGTGCAGCCCGATCGACCAGCTTTTAGCGACGTTCCGCGTGATATCCGGTAAACTTTATGGAGAACCGGATTTCCAACTTCTCGCACGATGTTTTGGTATCAAATAACCAGGCCGTTCCTACTAGTGCGAATCATTCCCTGCTCGTCCAAGTGCCGATCGCCGTAATCTTAGCCATCTTTATTTTGATCGCTATCACCGGAAATATTTTAGTTTGCATTGCCATCTGCACGGATCGAAACCTAAGACATATAGGAAATACGTTTGTTGCATCTCTTGCCATTGCTGATTTACTGGTTGGAATAATTGGTAAAACATACAGGATATTAATTATGTATATACTGTATAGAGTAGTACTGTACATAATGTAATTTTTCTGACCTCTGTGTTGCTGTTCTGAATCTCTCAATTCGCTTACGCACAGTATTTGAAAATTAAGAAGATGTTGATGCGTTAATCGTAATAGTAAGACCATTTTTTCCCCTTGTGATCATACATTTAAAATGACAAAGGAAACCAAATATTATGTTACAACCACATGCCACAGATAATAATTTTTCTACGTAATTTAAACCTCACAACAATATATGCTGTAATGATACTTTCCCTAATCTTTTGTGAGGCGTGCAGGTCGCTGCAGGCACCGAATTCTGTTAGACACTTCCACGCTGATTTCCAATAATTCTACCGCAAATATAACTGTCCACAAACAGCTGATGACACAAATCCGGTGCATATTTCCTGAAGGTGAACTGTGAAATTGTATAGCTATACCATACATATGCGTATAATAGATTCTGTACGTGTTCAAATGGTTAACTTACTTTTGGGAATTTTACCTAAATTACTATACTTCTACCAATAAGAAGCGAGAAATTTAACCAGATTTATTTTTTCTTGAGTATCAGTTTAACTAAAATAAATGCGATTAGTGTCTGCTGTATACTGCTGTATATTAAAATATTATCTCTCTTTTCAGAAACTGTAACACACAGCTTCTATTTTTAAAAGCTAGAGATGCAAAGTTGCATGACCGTCGCGCGCGAAGAAAATATACTTCTATGTACTCCGTATAATACGAAAATCATTGGTTGCGTGTGGCTCGTTTTTTGGTCAATACAAACCCTGTTTAAGTAGTGAAGTGGAAAACTTTTCAACAGCAAAAGGCATTGATTAAAAGTTTCAGTTGTATCTCCCACTGCCGCCAAGTTGCGGTATTGGCACTTGAACCTACTCAAATCATATTCATCCTTTTGTGCTTTATGCTTAGCTGGCTGTATGAACAACACAACCTTTTGTCAACTGCCAGAGTGTTTTCTCTTTCATTAGGCGGGGATGGCTGGAATAATGCCGGTATAAAAGAGCTACATTGTAGCGGCAAGAGATTCTTTTCCCAATGCTTTTTTCCCACAGCATGTACTGTCAACAGCGTACAAGTGCACTAAAACATTGTACAGATAATTTTCTAAGTTGCTGTGCGTAATAAAAGCCGAACGAGCCAACGAGTGACACACAGTCAGCCGCGGCTCGGCCCAGAAAATTTGATTTATAGACATGTCAGATTACAATATTACGTTAAGAACATCGTGCTTTTCAAGAACATCAATTTACGGGATAACTAAAGTTCATTAAAGTAGAAAAGATGACCATCACATCGAATTATTGCTTTCTAACCGGTTTGTAATGAATCCGGCTATCCAGCTCTGACGAATGGGAGCAAAGAAAAGGAATTACACGGGGTTAAACACGTTCGGTAAATGATAAGCCGACTACGTACTGCCGCTATTCCTTTTAAAACGTTATTGCGGTATCGATTTCTCACAAACGTTGATCGCGGATGTTTTGAAATTGTGACGCAGTAGAAGTACATTTTTCTGTTTATTTTAACAATGCACTGGAACTGCAAAAAAACTTGGAAAAACTTATAAAAAATTCAGGCTCGCGATTAAACTCGAGATACTATATACAAATGTTTAATTCTTTTTTACGCGCTGAATGGTCATCCTTCCACACTTTTTTATGTGTCTGCTGCTCTACAAATTTATACTCTCTAAATATACGGGAATCAGCTAACAGAATCGAAATTTTTTACATTTCATTTTCAAACCACACACACACACTCCCAATTAATAAAAACTTAATGTTGTTGCTGTCCTTAAGAAAAATCAATAGGTAAAAATTCATTGAGGTTAAAGACATGCCTTTGCAGATCAGTACACAAACTTGCCTTGCAAGTAGCTTATAAAAATTATAAGAAATAATGTAATCTGGAGTTTTGGTAAATTTTACTGGCATCGATTCGCGTTGCAATCTAAGCTTCTGCTGTAAGAGTACTTTTCTTAACTTTCCAGGTGCCATAAAATTTTAAATACTGTAGTATTCGTTTTGGAAATAAACATGAACGAACATTTGATCAAACAACGGGCGCGAAGAAAATCATATCAGATTTAAATATTTCCATAGATAGATAAATTCCTCTTCCGCATTTGCTGTTATAAGAGGATTGCGGTTTAATCGGAAATAAATTCTCTGATGATGGGCTTATATGCGCCTAACCTACGTTTTTTCACAGTAATGCCTATGGCGCTCTTCAACGATCTGCTTGGATACTGGAGTTTACCGCAATTCTTGTGTGGAATCTGGGTCTCCTTTGACATAATGGGATCGACTGCCTCGGTAATTAAACCTCTCCTTAACCCGTACGGAAATAGGATCTCGGCTAGTGTTTTCATAAGACGGGGATGATACGGTATCACCTCACCAGAGGATTACATTAACCTTGTTATATAATATGAAATCAATTTGTGCCGGTTGGCCCGGTTCTGGAGAGCCATGCTACGAGTACATACAAATTACCTGCGTGCTAACTGTCAACCAGATCTAGAAACAAAGATTTTACATTAGAAGCAAAAATTTGAAAGAAAAACTTGATTAGTCTACAAAATAAAGTTTTAAATTTTTGGTTTGTCCCGAGTAAAACAGTTTGTAAAAAATACGTTAGCTAAACGTTAGTTAAAGGCCAAAATTCGAACACTGTTCGAATTTTGGCCTTTAACTAACGTTTAACTAACGTATTTTTTACAAACTGTTTTACTCGGGTGTACGTTTATTTTTATAAAGGATTGCCACTAACTGGTAAGTGTCATTTCCTTGTTTCGCAGGTAATTATTATTTCAGACCCCTTACATTTTGTTTTACAGCAGTCTAGTCCGGGCTGTTGTACAAATATTTCTTTTTGCAATTTTAACCCGAAGTGTGTTTGCTTACTCGGCTTGACGTCAACAAAAACCTTCTAAGAAACACTCCGTGCATGTAGACACTGCAGCAATGTTGCAGCCTTTCCAACACAATCAATTAGCCATTACTAAAGCATTCCATTGATAATCATGTAAACTTCAAAGTAATAATGCCGCGAACTTTTAAGTGTTGAACATACACAAATGAAAACACGGTATAAGCACGCAAAGCTGTATGAAAATATTTATCAATTTATTATACAGTACATAAAGCGTTTAGCACATAATACGTATTCTTATCTGCCAGAACAATGAAATCATCCTGTGTATTGTGCAATAAGCATACAGATACATATAATATACGTAGCCCATTATGTGATGCTGATTTTCAATTCTCATATTTTTTGGCATTTGCTGGCTTGAGAACGGCATAATTTATTAAAAAATTTGCGGTTAACAAAATATAAACAGAAACGTTTTCCTACAAAAACGTATGCAAAAATGAATGCACCTATGTACAGTATTTAGATTAAATAAACAGCGGTTTGTGACAAGTTGCCCCGTACTCCATCATAAAAGGGAAAAAACTCCAGATCCGGCATGCGTGTGATGGAGCAGGCGTATAAAGTTTGACAGACGGAATACCTACTTGTAACTGTACTATTCAGGCTGGAGATTCATTTTCCACTTTTTCGAGTCTGACGATTTTTCATTTAAAGTGTCCACTTAATATTGATCAGTATAATTATTCGTTTTGGCGGTTTGATTCTGCTCATATTGAGATCTAATTGACGTCCTGCGGAGACCCGGCGTCAGGAATGTGACCTGACAAATGCGGTTCTCATCAGTCGCTGACAAGACCAAACTGTGGATGCTGGTTAATACACTTTCAAGGGCCCCATATATAGTGTTGCGCCCTCGCTGGCACTCACAGGCAGCTGTTTGACCGCTGGGAATCATTATCGAATGTGGATCCATAACACCTACAAATGTCATACGCTATTTTCCATTTGCACAGCCAAATTAACAGCCTTGCCTTACCAGTCATGAATTTATTCATAAGTAAACCGTCAAAGGAAAAATTACGCTATAGAAGTGCACTGAATATGTATGCAAAGGAATGATCCGGATTCGTGATTAAAAAAGCCCGACTGCATTTATACTAATCAAAATTAAAATACAGTAAAAGTTTTGCAGTACAATTTTTGTAAACATTTACTGTATATAATTTAGGCAAGCAAGTACCTACAAAAATACTATTTTATATAAAAAAGTCTTTCTAGACGTATACGTAAGCCGAAGATTAAGCTAAAAGGATTGTTTATATATGCCGGTCGCTTGTTGCAAGGAAATCTATAGCTTTGTTGAACGCCGATAGCCTGATATCTGAATTTTCTATTAAGTATGAGATTTTTATTCTTCGCTGGAGTATTCGTACTTTCAAGCGTTATTAATATGACGAAGTGGCATTTACTGTAGCGCTTCCTCCTACCCGTAACTTTGTTGTTATTAACGCCTGGTATTTCTGGTGTTTTCTGCAGATACTGAACCTGTGCGCTATCAGTTTGGATCGTTATATCCACATAAAAGATCCACTCCACTACAGCGCCACCGTAACGCCGCGGGTCGTCATTCCCTCTGTGATTCTGATCTGGTTTCTTTCGACATTAATATCCTTTGTCCCGCTGAATCTGGGATGGCATAAACCATTGCAACAAGCCGACACGGCGCTGAGCGCGTCGGATATGCGCTCCAATGTAACGGAAATTCTCATCTACATGCAGTCACTGGCGGCCAGTAATAACGACAGCCGCGTTGACAACGGTATCGTGCAGCCGTTGGCGGTCGTTGACGGCAGTGATGCCTTCTTCCAGTGCAATCTGGAGATCAACCCCATGTACGCGCTGACCAGTTCCATTATCAGTTTTTATTTTCCTGTCTGATTATGCTCTTCATCTATCTGCGGCTGTATTTTGAAGCGCGCCGACACGTGAAGAGTGTCAAAGAGATGGCACATATTGTGTATTACAACAACTGCAATACCACGGCATCCAACAATCAGCTGCAGGCCACCACGGCCGGACTATCCAGTCGGAATAATCGCGGGAGTAATGGCTCCCGACAGCGCACCATATCCGATGCTGTGGCTAATGCTCAAAATCGTATGATCTCCGAACATAAAGCAGCGGTAACACTGGGCATCATCGTTAGTGTTTTCCTGATTTGTTTGGCCCCGTTTTTCGCCATAAACATCATACACGCCAACTGTCAGTGTATTCCGATGATGACCTTCAAAGCCCTAACCTGGTTAGGATACTGTAAGTCCACATATATGAGTACTGTTTTATTTAATGTGTAATTAGTTTTAATTAATGTAATTATTCGTATTAATTTTTCAATTGCTAGTTACATAATGCTGTATGCAGATCCAGTCAATTTTTTAACTAAATTTTGACATGCCGCTGTTTTTAAAAATCATGCCGACATTGAACCACGAACGGTTACCGAAAATTATCAAGAGATTTAACTCATTAATATATTAGTTTAGGATATTGACGTATGAACAGGCGTTCGAGGAAATCAGCACAGTGTCATGCGCCCTGTTTTTACAATTTTGTTTTGGGGAGCATATATATTTTCGGAAATCAAAGCCGAAATCGTGACAACTCAGCTCACGAATCTACTGACAAAAGCAGTGTCTGTTTGCAAAAGCGAGGTAACTGGACTATTGTACGATTTGGGATTTTGCCTTTCGATCTTGTTAACATGTAATGGATGAAATCCGAACAACGACTACCGAATTATCGATTACACAAATATATATAAACGATCTGAAACAGGATATGTTGACTAGCATTTTTTCTCAGCTGCGGTTTCGAAAACAAGCGAAAATCTGAAAACCATTGCAAGGCACAAGCGATTGTGCGAAAGCTGTTATACTTTTCAACCGGATCAGCCTCCACGATAAACGACTTTTCTTGCTTGGTTAGCGTGACAATATTACTGGTGATTATGTATTTTTTATTGCAAATCCAGTGCTACAGAGGTATTTCTATTATCCTAGTGAACGTTATAATGACTTTAAATCTATCAATACGGGAAGCATTATGAGCCGGTAACCGGGTTGCGTACGATTAAAGATTACCACGGATCTCGTTTTATCACCCGAATTTAACTGAACATTCGGCAAACGCCGGAAAATAATCAGAGTGTTTACAAAATCATGGGCAGGAAAGCAGACGATAGCGGTGTGTAGATTACGTAGCAAACAGAGCTGCCGCCGACAATCCCTCGTCCCACCGGAAAGCGCATAAAGCGCGATATGGATTTCGCGGCGGCATGCCTCATCGGATGAATGCGTTCTCTGGGCGCGAATTAGCGATGGGTTTTTGATTTACTTTTGGATCAGGGACTTTTCGCAAATCCCATGACCGTATAGGCTTTACAGATACAGCCGGTTTATGTCACATTATTCACCGGTATCCCGAAAGGTTAACCATACGTACTACTATTCCCCAGAGCAGAACAATTTAGATATACGTATAACTCAGTACTCAAAATTTTAACAAAATGTCTAATACGTACCGCGCAAGCTGCCTAGGCCTGTGTCAGTTAGATAAAATCATAATAAAATATCGCAAATTTAATAAAAATTAAAGGGATAAATCAAAACAACCAGTAAATTTAATAGTCATTGATACTCTTATGCTTTAGCGGCTGAGATCGCGTCGCATTAATTTGTAAGTAGTTTATATTATTTATGTTGTATCACTTGTGTATGGTAATTATAGAAAGCACACATGAACTGTGTGTTTTAGGTAATTCTGCTTTTAATCCCATTATTTATTCAATTTTCAACCAAGACTTTCGCAAAGCGTTCCGGAAACTGCTGCAGTTCCACAAATGTTGTACGAGTCCAATGGATTCAACGTCGAGGGATCAGGCATTTTCGTACGCGAGTGGTAACTCAGCACCGGTTACGCCGACCGTCCGATCGCGCATGAACCGTGACCAACAAGACTTATAACTGCTGCTGTAAATGTTTATATTTATTTGCACTCTGTAGCATTGTCACTGATAAAACAGTTTACTTGTGTTTGTTGTTCTGTTTAAGAAGTATTGCTTGTCTTTCGTTGTTAATACGTCTTCGCCATTCTAATTTCAAAGTGAACACCTGCTCTGTACTCCAACATTGTGCTAATCGTTGATATGATTAATATCGCTAGCGTTTACAAACCATTCATGGAATACGATAGAATAATTGAGCATTCAGTTGAACGTGCAATACATGCTGCAGAGGGAGCAAAATTTTTAACAGAACAGAGCAGAACATCTGCGAATAGAACACCTTGCTCGGTCCAGATTTTCACGATGCATACAGATACTTCTATGCATAAGCACACGAAAATAACATCGTAATTTAATCTTTCTTTATTACAATAATAACAAAGTCACAGCAAAGCTGCCAAGAAAAACAACATCTTAATTATATCATTTATATGACGGAGCTATACATCGAGTTGCAACTGCAGTGTTGTTCCGCTTTTACTACGGGCCGGAACCGCCTACGATTTAAACGGGTCCCGTCTGACAGGTGAGCTTGCCACGGGACGGGCAACGAGCCGGAACTCGGGCCGCATTACTAGGTCCATGACGGACGGGCCGGTAGCCGAATTTTTAAAGCAGGCCAACACTGGTTGCTAATGGTAAGCAACAGCGTGCCATTGTCCGTTTCTGCGGAAAGACTGGACACCGTGCCCTTGATGCGATATAAATGTGCTGTAATGAAAGCGGGCCGGTATTGCCGAATAAAGCAGGCCACAGCGTAAGCAACATGCATGTCCGTTTCTGCGGAAAGACTGGACACCGTGCCCTTGATGCGATATAAATGTGCTGTAACAAGTATCGTACGTTCTCTTGCGTCATCTAGTACTGCGTATACGAGTGCAGATTTAATACGTACATTCCGGTCATTCCCTGCACTCCCTACATACATTCAGTTTCATTAATTAGCTGCGAAAGTATTAGAAGTATGATTGCTCACCGTCACTGCTCCGCCAGCTACGAGCCTACGGTACATCAGTTACGCATCCATAGAGCTAATGGCTACTGCAGGCTCAGTTTTACACGACAGAATTAGTCTTGAAGAGTCTCGCAGATTCTCCACAAATTTTCTCGGAGTAACTCAATTATCTGTTTCAAGTGACCTTTATAAAGTTAGACTAAACATTCTGCGAACATTGAACACGGCTTTACATTGTCAGTATGGATCCTAAGTCGTTCATCCTCTCTGCTTATTTGCCAATGGAAGACAAGAACTTCGGCGCAATGTGGGATTCCATACGAGATGGCCTGAAGAAGAAGTACGGTGTGACGAGCGGTACTGCTCGTTACAGTGATCAAGTCGGTGGGAAGGTAACCAGCATCAGCAGCGATGCAGTAGTTTTGTTTTTCCTTCTTTTACACTGAAAGGATTTTAAAAATATGAAAAAATATGTATACGGGAACTTAACTTGGTCTTCGTCTTATGTTGTAGCCCACGTTCTACGTTGTCCACGGAGGAGAAGAAGTGGCATCATTCGATGGTCGTGCGCCAGATATCATTGAGAAAACTTTCGACGAAATTTTGCAAACGAAAGGCCTGGTGCCTGCCCAAGACCTGCCCAAGACCGACTTCAACACCACCGACAAGCCCCAGAAGCAAGAGCATGTAAGTTTCTGTATCCTTTTTCCGCTTGAATTATGTTTTTTAGTAATTCATCGGAATTGTTTCCTGGTTTATGAACGACCAAAATCGTTAGCACGTAAATATATTAGTTGATTTATTACTTCTGAAAACTTTATGTATCGGTGACCTTTATATTTGTTAATTTCTTTGCAACTTTGCTCGTTTCAAGATTTCTTTGCATTAATCTTTCTTCCGGCTTTATTAATGGCAGAAATAATTTAATGTTATTGATAAGTTTCATTGTGTTGGGATTGTTTAGTTGAATTTTAAATCGCTGTTTTGTATTTATTTGTATTTAAAATATCCGTTTCATTTTTTTGAGTCGATTTTTATTAATCGATAGTTACATTTTGGTAATTGATGTTTACATATTTTGTAATTATTTTATTCATACAAATTTATGGATAGTTTACGTATTCATTCGATAATGTTAACGGATTGATTTCGAATTCAGTAGCAGTTTGTAGAAAATATTTGTTTCTTGTTTTTCACATTTGCAGCTTAGTCTTTTGTTTGAACTCGAAGCCTACGATTATTCGTAATTTTTCACAGAAGAAGAAGCAGGAATTCCGAGACGGCAAGGAAGTGCACACCAAGAACTCCGAAGTGAAGGGTTGCGACGCCGTGGGCGAGAAGACCGGGGATGCCAAGAATGCCTTTGCGAAGAAGTAAACACTCGCACTGGGTTCTTTCTTCCTGTTTTGTTTTATTTCAAGCCATTTAATGTTCGCTGTGTAAGATGACTTGATGCTGATACTCTGGTTAGTCTGGTAGATGACGTTTGGTAGATTTTTCCTTCGCCGTATAGCCCGCTTTATGTTTTGGTCTCAGTTCTTGTGGAATTCCAGATCATTTCTAATTTTTCATAATATTATTCTGGATGTTTATTGAATAGATGGCAGTTTCATGTCTGGTGGAATTTACGCTAACAATGACACTTGAAAGTTACAAGTTCACAGGACGAAATACAATTCAAAATCGCTCTCATTTTGTTAAGAACGCTGTAGTTGAGTGAGGCAAAATTTCATTGTATAATATAGATAAGAATATGTACGTACATTTTCATAAATATAACGAAGAATACAATATAAATATGGGTAAAATATTAGTTAATTTAAATATTGCATCAACAGTTAATTCTACACATGCAACATGTACAGGATTTGTGGGCGAAATTGAAAATGTACTGCTTGTGATTTCGTGATTGATGTCTAATGTGTACATGTACAAAATGTAGCACGGTAAGTACGAATGTAAGTACGAATGTAAGATCTAAAAGTACGAATGTTAGATCTAAAATTGTACTGACCAGGGCACATAGGCCTCCTCCAAATTCAAAAAATTTTCATGTTTGTAAAAAGGTAGTACACTTTTACAAGAAACAGCTGCGGCTTCGCCTCCTATGCAGTGATCATATGCAGTAAACTGTAATGCGCTGCAGTAAAAGTTATTCATAATTCTTACGTTAACTTTTTACGGCAGCACCGTGGACTTTTGCAGCTGTCGAGTAATGATGTAAAATATGCTCACGTGCGGCGGCTCGTGCCATTGCTGCCTGATCAGTACACATTTTCAAAAATTTGTTATGAAGTAGAGCACGTATCTGTTTATTAGTAAAAAAAGTTTTTCACACAACTTATTGTTCACAACACAAACCGATGAAAAATGTTCGAAAATGTGTGCTCAGGCAGCGTGTGTACGTGTACTATGTGCCTTGGTCAGTATGAACATAAATCTGAAAACCGTTAACATAAATTGCCGCGCAGCTTTTTGTGCTACACAATAGGTTTTGAATTTTGATCAAGATGCTTACATTAGTATTAGCAAAGTCATTACAATGAGCTTAGCTGGCTGCTCACGTGATCAGTATTAGCCGATTCATTAGAACGACATTTAATTTATTGTTTACACTAGCCGTGCTACGACTGTATCCTATGCTAACCATAAGTAGCGAAAAACTGGTCAAATCTACAATCATGCAGACATAAAATGCGCCTTCTGCAGCAAAGTTACGTTCAAGCATCTATCAAGCATTAAGACAATCGTTCAATCTGCGACGAAATTGATGTACAATAAGCAGGTGTAGGAGTACGTATACATAGTATATCTATATATCTATCTATAGATATAATATCATAATATCATATAAATATAACGTCATGTCTACGCGCGAGATGCTCTCGCGCGTAGCCAAAACTGCCAAAACTCATAGCGCGAGATGCTCTCGCGCGTAGCCATTTCGTAAATATAACTGTACAGTACAAGCTGACCATGGATGAATATCTATATACTGGTTTACGACTATTAGCAATGACTTTGTATTTTATGTTTCCCTATGCATTGTGTCTTTAACTGTGTCGCATCATTTTGTGATTTTGAAGAAAAGGTTAAGTAAATTTTGAACGAAAATGATTTGCATTTCGCCAAAAGAACTGCTTTCCGTCTTTTTAATATGGGGCTCCGTTTATGGGGGCTAATGTTTATGCGGATGTTTTTTTGTGTTTACTACCACTTTAATAAATGCAGTGCCATTTTGTTACCTATGCAGTAGCACAACTCACTATACTGTACCCGAAATGAAGAAAAAAGTTTGTACAAGCTGTCTCTTGTAACAGTAACAGTTTTTGCTGTTATTCGGTAGTTAAATTTTTTTTTGTCTAGGAAACAAATTTAAATGAAATTTTTTCGTTGCACATGTGTCAGACTGACCTGAGATTGTTGCATGAAAACCCGAAATCCGAACATCCATTGCTAACAAAGTGATTTAGTTATAACAGTATCTGTATATTAAAGTAAAAATAGAAAATATTTTGCTTGATGGACGAACATGCTGCTGTGTTTAAGCATAACGTGCACAGTTTTGCTCAGCCTGACTGAAAATTCATGTTTCCTGTAGATCTTAAGAGGATGTTTTTAATCTGGTGACAATTGGCCATATTAGTTTTAGGGCTCGGGGATCGAATATGAGGCAGTGCGGATGTTCTCTACTCAGTAGTTTGCGGCGCAATCCCCCGGTGATACTACCGCCTTATGGTGGTCCGCATAGTTGTTCCGTTCCGGGATTCGATGTTTCATCAGTACACTGATTCGCCTTGGAGTATGCTGTTATTTTTTGTAAACTTTTGCGCTAAACCTGTATCTATTCTTTTTACCATGATTTTTAAAATTTAGTATGTCGCCAGATCATAATTTGAGTTCACGTTTGCACAATTATCTTGCGCCCGCACATCTGGCAGTACTTGCACATGGCGTTTGGTATCGTCGGTTTGATTAATTGTAGAATCCAGGCTTCATTATAAGCGCTCAAGAGAATAAGGGAATACGCTATATGAAAACAGTTATGAATCGGACTTTTGCTTTTAGGCAAAACTGGTCAGAATGACATCGAAGACGGCGTTCGGGCGTTGCAGTTGATGGTTTTATCGGTGCACAACTACTCGGTTATTGGCCAGTTTCCCCATATTTTTTTAAAGCCTGTGCGTTAAGCAATCCGGTGATCAACCTTAACTTGCCAGTAAACTTGGCGGCACAAGGATTCCTGACTGGAGATATGTGGAATGCGGACTGGAATACGGTTACGACGATCCTCCTATTATTCCCTGCGTGTATTCGCAGCTAGTCGCTCGATCACCTGTTGACATGTAATTACGATTTACGAACATGCTAACAAGGTATTCGTGTATAAGCTTAACACCGATTACTGTGCTGAAAAATCTTACTCTTCCACGCCTGTAAATGTCAGTCGGTAGGCAACTCTTATCTCAACTGTAACAGCTAAATTTGGCGAAAAGGACGAACTGAATCAGGAACACGTTAACTTGTGGGAATGGTCAGGAACACTCAACTACACTTCCGGTCGTGGTGGTTCTGAGTCGAAAAACTAGGACGATTGTTCACGACCACACCTGTATTATAGATGCAACAATCCGGGAACGATCATGTACATCAGAAGGAACAAGTAAGGTCAATTTTCTAACAATTCAAATTTTGTCCACATATTTTGAAGCTTTAAAACTGCGTGGCATAATGACGAAAGTATTGCCCTATCCCGATTCACATCATCCTGGTGCTGAAATCAAAGCAGTGACTCTTTCGTGCAACTGGTGAATTGGTTTGGACAATTTGGGCGAGCGTGCCGGAAAACTTGCGTCTGCCGTGAATGGTGATCACTGACGACGCATAAATGCTGCAAAAAACATATAAGTACCCTTGCACGATTTGATAAAGGACAATTAATAATAATGGTATAACGTTAATTTTGACCGTGCCACCGTCAGGGCCAAGTTACAAGATTAAATCATATTACCGGAACATCGCGAAAATGTTGATTGTAATCTATGGAGAAGCCCACAGGGCCACATAGAACTGGTTGGGACTTGGGAATATCAAAACCAACTATAAAAACAAATTTGGTACTATACAGAGTACAGTGTACAGTATAATGGGTGCTATACCGATACAGAGTATGGCATAAGCAACTTGGCATAAGTAACGACTAACTACTCGTACGAACAAGTAAGTAATTCAACTGTCAACGTACAGTCAGGCATATATCCCGTTCCATGAGGACAGCGTTTGCGAAGAAGTTTTACGAAAACAAAAATTGTCAAATAATGTCAACAATAACAAAATACGATGAATTACATACTAAAAAGTAAAACTTGGAAATTCTAGCAAATTAAGGGATAATTATAAGTATTTGCTCACGTTGCCACTTCAACGATCTCAGACCAAAAGTTTTAAATTGCTCCAGAACTTTTTACATTGTTGCTCCCGCCTGAAATGACAATACAGTGTCGTTACTGGTTGTTAGCGCTTAATAGCGGACGTTTGCAAAAGAAAACGTTGAACAGATCGTAGACTGTATAACCACAGATAGAGAATAAACCGTTGTGTATAATAAGGAAAATCTTTCTATTGGGAATTTAAAGTGAATCGTTACTCTAGCGATATCGCTATTCTGACCCAAAGTGCCCAATTTCGCAATTGTTAATTTCCGCAAGGCATTAAAAAAACCGTGAACCACTCCTCAAGAAAGGAAATCACTTATCACAATAGTAGGGCAAAAAGCGATTACTTAAAAAACGGCCCCATCAAAAACCAACTGGCGATTCGCTTAACGCCAGTCGGTTTCTGCTGATTGTGACATCCCTGCGGTCGATCTGTAAAAAAAGTAGTCTTATATCAACGAGCGACTTGTCACAAGCAGTGAACAAAATCGTCATAAAAAATTACACATGCCTGCCTCAGCTCTCCGACGTTTTGGACGGAAACGTACTGCAATAAGGACACCTAGAAGCATTGCAAGATATAGTCCATTATTATTTCTACATCTGCTTCTCCGCGAATCTACCTAGCTAGGTAGATTCGCGGAGACTGCAGCTGGGTATGAGCCGTTGAAATACTGAATACGACATTTTGTTTCGTGTTCATGGGCGGTGCCGAATAGCCAGTGCCCTGTTACTCTGTTAGAGAATCTTTCTTTGGTCATAGTATTTAGTATTAGCAAAGTCATTATGTTGTATATATACTGTAATATAATCTATAGAATAACAGACCTTCGTTGGTGCTATGCGTTGGTTCAACAGGGCGACCTGTACTAGTTAAGTTGATGCATCAGTTGATTCAATATTGAGACAGAACCAAAGTATTGTACTATGCAACAATAGAGAATGCGACAAGCCAAAGACAGTCTACAGTACAGTCTTGGATAAGCAAACATCTCACGAAATCAGTCAATCTTCTGTATAAAAGCAAGCTTGTCGCGAAAACTCGACATATATTAAACCAGTATAAGTTGTTATATAACTGCAAACGTTTCTACAGAACGTGAAAAAATTCTGACACAAACCTGAAGCTTGTCAGGTGATAATTCCATTTATTACCAGCCATTGATGACCTTATCCTTATGCAACACTGTTGAAAAGTAAAGAAATTTTCGATAGCGCGTAGTTCGGCTGCAATTTCAGTTTTGCTCTGTTTTCACATAATGGTACTGGTTTATGGGACACCGCTTTTTTTCCGTTATTTCGGTCTGGAAGCTCGATTTTCCAATTACGGCAATACAGTAATCGTTAAGAGAGACAATGGTGAATGGTGGCTGGGATACGTTCAAGATATTGATGGAGATCTGTTTTATATAAATTTCGACAGTAGCACCGCCGGCCCATCATGGATCCATGCTCGTCATATCTGGCCGCACGAATATTTTAAAGGTGGAAGCTCGGTTTATATGGGCCAACGCGTGCAAGTAGCAGTGCGTAACGAACCGGGTGGGCCATTTATATTTCGGGCAGGCCGAATTGCTTATGTGCCACTGCAAAAATACTCTATATGCTGGAATGTAAATTTGGATGAGCATCTATCCGGCGATCATTTGTCTAATTGTAAGTGCAAATTCGTTTACGAGTCCCAGATTGTCATGGAGTTACCGCTCGCGGAAGAGCTATGCTTTTATCGAAATAATGCAACGTTCGTGTACAAGAAATACGTCATACCTTTTAAGCAAGCTTATCTGATAAGAAATCTGGATGCCGTGTCTGGTTGTATTTTTCCTGCGCCCCGTCCTCCAAGCAAAATTGTGCGGTGGAGCGTTTTTGCCTCTCGATTTTTTGTGGAGTTTGGTACGGATTTTGTCAGTTTTGTTGTTGCTGAAGGACGTGACACAATCGGGGGCCAGGAAATTATTGATAGCGAGGATTACCTTAAGCGTAAAAGCCTTCTAGCCGCTTGTGAAAGCCTTCTAGCCGTTCAACCTCCGCCTGGGGCCCAAAGGTCAACTCAGCTTAACTACAACTGCCACGGTAACGAACGTGTTTGTAATAAATGGTACTCGAAATCTGCACAGCCTGTAGAAATAAACACTACTTACTTACACTACATTGCGATTGTTTTATTATTGTCGTTTACTGTTTACGCCTTCTCCAAGCTGGAGCATGGCAGACAAAGGCTACAACAAGCAAAATGTCGCAGATTTCTTTACATTCGCTTTACATGCATTGTAAAGCTTAAGCGATTGTGAGTACTGCCGTTTGTTTTCTTCAAATTTTCGTGTGGAAAAAGCGCCGTAAATACAAAAACCATTTTTAACACAGTTTAGAGAGTACACAGTACACACAGTACGTACATTTGTTACGGAGAATACAGTTGACACGACGCAATAATACAATATACGAGTATTCTCATTGTATGAATACGAGTATATGTTGTACAGTTTTTGTTTTCTCATTGTATGAATACGAGTATAATTATGTTGTACAGTTTTTGTGCTTAGTTATTGCAACACTCCCTGGCCATAATTTGACATCCACCTTGCTTTGACCACACGTCCACAACTAAAAACCGCAGAAGAGGCGTGATTGGCGGAGTGATCCCGCTCATTCTTATTACTGATAAGCGGAAGCAGCAGATTTTATTTGTAACCTCATACGAAAAAGTTAACAAATCAATAAATGGGATGTCCATAAAAAACTATCATAACAGATAAGCATAGAACTTTGGGAACGTACCGACGATCCCGCCCGGGTGCTGTCGCGCATAAAATTATGTAGCGCAATGCATGCTAATTGTAAGACAACGTATTCGGATGCCTCCGGTGTGGGTGTGTATTCCATTGACTTGAGCCAGCGAGCTACCAAAATGCCAAAAGCATTTCGGACAGCTTTATCGCGCTCGCGAAGTTCTTTCAGATCTCGATTCCACAGTATTTCGCGTTCGTGAACGGCTTGAATAAAATACAGAATTCCTGGTCCGTATTACGACGCAATTTTCAGGAGGCTGACGGGCGCACGTTTTTGGCCATTTTATTAAGCGGCTTCACCGTTTACGAAAAATCAATTCTACCAGCTGATCTGATCACCAACTCTTTTTTATTACATCATAAATTCATGATATCAAGTCGTTAGCATTAATTAATCAAGTATCATTAACTCCACGCAACACTATACACATATAATTAATTATATTATGATTATGGTGATTCTAGCAAAACTGCCCAATGGCCAGTTTGCTACGATTGTTGTAAAGGAAGGAAAGCCCTTCCCTCCTACAACATCGATCTAAAAACAAATTTTTCTAAATACAACATTTTTCTTACAACTGTTTGTCGCTTTCGAGAATTACAGCAAATAATGTTACAGCAAAGATGACTCGCGCACATACTTTTTTTTTGATTGTTGTAAGATTTCTTCACTGTAATCCGAATTACGATTGAAGTATGGACCTAGCATTAGGCTATGCTAATGGGCGGCATTTTGCTTGTTGTCACAACTCACAAGCTATTTTTGTAGAACTGAGCGTGTGTAATTGTACTTAAAAATGTATGAAAAACAAGTAAAAGTATATGGATGAGGTATTGTGGCAGCCGCACATGCGCGGTTGCCGCTGCAGTAAGCTTGGTGTAGTACAGTACTGGTACTAATGTACAATGGATCGCGTGGCGTGGCTTATCATTAAGTGTTTCGTCACTGGTTTTTTACAACGTTAATACTAAAAACAGTTCAGCTCATTTCTAAATTTTCAAGTATTCTGAAAAGAGGAAGGTGTGTTTAACACGATGAAACAAGAAATAGGAAGAAAATCGGTACTGGAGCAAAATAATCCCAGCCTGGCAACTGGAAGGTATGTCGCCCATTCACTTTACATACACAGGTGGCCACTTGTAGGTTTTCACGGTAGCAAGGTGGATAGGGTGTACACCATACACCTATAACCATACACCTTTAACCATACACCTTGACGGTAGGTTAACTACGAGTAGATACTGCAGAAGGTTAACTACGTTCAGCTGGTTGTTTTGTCAAATACAGTATTTAATGTTCACTTACTCTTCCTATAGGTATATTTTAGCGTAGTCTTTGTAAATAGAACCAAAAAACTACCTCAGAGTATGTCACATGCCACAATTTGCCGAACGCCGCCTAAAGGTCACTCTGCTGATGGCGTTATCACGTATTACTAGAAACTTTTGCTCATACAGATCGGTTGCATAAGGACAGTCTGTATTCGATGTCGCGTTTAGTAATACTTTATTTTCGGAGCTCGCTAATAATATTTCAGCCATAATCTAGTTTTAATAACAAGAAACTGTTGTAGACACCAATATGGAGGGCTTCCCAATTAACGATCTTCCTCAGCCCATTTTGGTTGCAGTTCTTCTTCATTTCCATGCGCGTGTCCAAGGAAGGATGCACAGGCAGGTCAACGATTTTTGAACGTTCAGACTCTGTACGAAATTTCATTAAAACGTACAATAAGCATGCTGATTCATTAAATGCTGCAACTAAATAAGTCCGGTGGTGTTTTAATGATTTGTTTAATTTGACGAAATATTGCACAGCACTTTTACTACAGGTGCAAAAGATGACAGTAGTAGTGATCAGCATTATTTAATCAATAGTGGTCAGTAGAAGTATTGTTACTGACGTCACATAACATTCTGAGACATATTCGGGTTTCGAGATAACTACTTCTACTGTACCCAACCAGGGTCCGGTCACTGGCTCCAGGCTCCGAAAAATTTCATTTTTTGCAGGAAGACAGAGTAGCCCTTGGGCGCACTTAAAAAATTTTTTCATTGACCATGGTCATGTGGGCGTGGCTAAACTTAATTCCAGTGCATTAGTACGAGTACATATACAGCACAATGTATTGGGAATACCGTAATAGTGTAGCATACAATGTCACAGGTTTGCAAGAGATACGTGCTATTAAAAGTCCGATCCTTTCTAATTCTTCTACAAAATTACTGCTGTTAATAATCGAGAAGAATTTAACAGAAATTGTGAAACTAGTGAGTAGTAATAACGCGTATTGTATTAATGCCAAGGACCAACAGACATGTGCGATACTCTATCGCGGGGCGAATTCCCGTCTCGTACAAACTAGTACTGTACTATATAATTCTTCTCGGTGATTTTTAGAAGAATTAAGAAGGATCTGACTACTGATTACATGTTTTGGTCAAAAGTCAAAATCCTCTGACATTGTCCGGTACGGTATTCCCAATACATAGTGCTGTATCTGTATGTACAATATAAATCAGTGGATGAGTGGAATTAAGTTTAGCCACGCCCACTTAAACATGGCCGATGAAAATATTTTTTCAAGTATACCCAAAGGATACACTGTTTTCCTGCAAAAAAAGAAATTTTTCGGAGCCGGGAGCCGGTGACCGGGCCCTCGTAAGTGTAGTTTACCCAGTACTGCTGTTTCACGACGCGTTATGTTTTCTTACGTTTTTTTTTCAGAGTGTGCATGTTGTGGCACTTAATGCTGCCGGATCATCTCGTCACCACCAACGTCTTAGTTGATATCAGCGTAAAAATCGATGACAGGGATGTTACACAGAACCAACTCCTTGCTTTTAAATATATGAACTCCCTTTACAATGACGAGTTTAATCTCACGATGGTTTTGGATCAAATGATCACCAGTCGCACGAAAACGCTTACCCTTGTCGATCTTACGGTTAGCGGCAAAACGGAATTTGAAAACCGCGCGTACATCACAACGAAAGTTCTGCTTGCCAAAAGAATCAGAGTCCCTGTAATCATTATCAGAAACTGCCGGAATCGGTACGGGGAGTTAATAAAGAATACAGCAACAACTGAAAATTACGAATGCCAAAATTTCTCAAAACTGGTGGACGTTTGTGATAAGCTGCTGATAGTAAATCATGAATTTACCGCTGGTACTTTTTTCCGTGAACAAGCATTGTGCTTGGAAGAGCCACAAGTAATTCCAGAGACTGATCGACCTTTTGTGCGGCCTTATTGCCACGACAGAGGAAGTCGGGTGGTTAAAATCGACCGTCTCCTTCTACGCTCCACGGAAACAATAGAGCAACACGTCCGACTTCTCTTATTGGCAGCTAATAACAGTTATCCGCTTGTAAACAAGTTCATCTATGACAAAATGACATGTATACACAAGCGTTGGCTACAAACCCTGGCTTACCCGGAAGAATGGGTCGCAGTCCGAAACTTTCTTAACCTGTGAGTAAAATAATGATATTAGGTAAGTGCACCGCTTTAGCTGGCACTATTAGACCGAAGCGAGCCAGCAACTGAGTTCTGTACAAAAACATTTAGGTTATTGTTATACTCGTGTTGATTAAAATTGGAAGTATATTTCGTATTAAGAGTTAACATACTGTGCTGCGCCCGTATTTTTGCCACATTTGTGACTTTGCCACTACATTTTTCGATCTTACCACAGATTTGTTGTGGTATATGTGAAAAAATTTGGTAACGCTTTTACGCCGTACTTTTTTGGTACGTGACATTCGCTGGTTGAAAATGGAGGAGCTCGTCATTGCTACAAATGTACAACAAATCGTAGTCACCTGGCGATAGTATATCGAGGGTACTATCATACTCCCAGCGACGCTAAAATTTGCTGACGAGCTCGAGCGGGCATATTTCCAGTGCAAGTTTCAGGTTGCCCGGAAAAACAGTAAAGGGTGGCAACATTACGGAGATGGAGTTCGTTTCCCAGATGACCCACACTTTACTAATTTGGATAGATTCGGTTCGTTTCGAATCACAAATACTCGAAGTCCTACTTTAGTTAACGATTGCGAGACCGACGGGAATATTACTGCATGACCGACCGAAAGCGCCGTATTCTTGTACTTACTAGAAACAGCATCGGCTACGCCTCCGCGTTTCTTGTGGTCCACGGCCGCTTTATTTCATTTCGAATAAATATTTATTAGTATAGGTCATATCCATATTTCGTCAAAACACAACACCGGAATAACACATATTTTATGTAAAAACCGTTATATATAAAAATCAGTTCATGGTTCTTTCAACCTCGCAAGCATCACTTTGGCTGTACAGATAATTTTTATTCTATCTCTCTACAGTTCATGTTAACACTTTACACTTGCTAACGACTTTAAAAAGATTGAAATGAAAGTTTAGCCGTTTGGACGGTGATTAAATTTGATCATAATCATCGTTCATTTTTTATCCAAGTTAATAGTTTCTAGTTAGAACATACTAAATTATTGATTTTCTGCTCTGTGCATCCACATTTCGAAAATTTTTTAAGGTGACCTTTTTATCTTTTTACCGGCACCTTTACCGGCATGTGCGAGAGGGAAGGGGTGGGGAGCTGACCTTTTTTAAATTAATTGCATGTGACACGGTTTGTAGCCGTGCTTAATCGAATGGCGTTTACAGTGTTTTCTATTTCTCTCTAGTTTTTCTAATCCAGAGGTTACCGGGTTGTTGCATTATAGATCTTGTTACTTGATAGGGCTTACTGTATGTTTTCTGTAATACTCTAATTACGATTAATTAATACAATAAATACTATGATATTATTATGATACTATAACTTTTTATTCTTTATTAATATTTATTCTAGTCTTAATATTAGATTTTTATTAATATTTTTCTTTGTTGTGTGACCGGCGAACAGATTAGTGCGTGACCGACGGATAGACGAAATTCCAGTTTCCTTGAACACAGAGCACCTTCGCTTCGCTTCTGTCGATAATTGACTACCAGAATTTCAATGATGCTACTTGCGGAACAATAAATAAATTGTAATAATCAGTACGTGATATACGAGCAGTGTTTACTGCAGTATCATTATTTTGTGTGCTAACAGGTTCAGTGGATTTCACTTGGATGGAACTCCGCACCGATGGGATGCAATGGATCTCCGGGAGTTAGACATAACCGCATTGAGCAAAATTACTTTAGCGGCGATAGACGAAATTTTTAAAGATGCAGACAATGACTGAATTGCAAGGATTACGAATAGCTGTTTCTGCCTCTTTATTAACACAAGCCAGTCACAGTGCAAATTTTTTTATTAAAACAATTTTCTGCCTTGCATCCCCTAGCTGCAGTATTTGAGTACGAGTATTAATCGTTGTCGCGACTCGCTTACAGTACTGTACTTACTACCCTAATTAGTAGTTACTAGTACATTATACTTCAGCTGTTGCTTTTTCTGTTGTTACTCGTACTGTAAAGTGCTTTTGTACTTCCTTTTCTACGTAAACCACAAAATTGTGGAAAACTGAAAGAACAGCGCGGCTACTGTATCGCTGTATCGACTCATTTTGCTGTGTCGAAGTGGTGAGCCAGTCAAAGGCCCCCATTTTTTTCGCCATCGAACGGTGAAAATATATTTTCCGATCATAATCGTTTGCAATGTAAATTTGCCCAACCCTTCTTTCCATTTTGTATAACTCGTTTGGTAATATAAAGCGAGTGCAAAAATTAAAACTTATAACTGCAGGTAAGTACAGAACTTTATAAGTTGTATGAACGAAGGCGAAGCGTAAAATTCTGTTATATTCTATATACGGCAGTAGGTACCAAAGTTCACAGTAGACGATAATATTCTCTGGAAAAATTTCTCTTTCCCTTAAACTGATTGCAGAGATATAAGGCCTGAATGTGAAATTTTTCCCCCAAAGCGGACAAATTTTCTCATTAGCTTCCGACTTGCTTGTTTGTTTCCGGATCAGTCACCAATCAGTCGAAACACGCGCAGTTAGTGCGTAGAGACCTTATAATTTATTTTTAGAACTTTTTCTCCCTTCCTGTTTTTTTGTCATTTTGCGATCTTTCAAACTGCAGACTAAGCTCGAAAGAACGGCTTAATAATTTTAAATCCCAGTTTGACCACGAACACCGCTGCCGCCTTTTATATCCCAGTTTAACAATCAGATACGAACCGAGTCATAGTAACCTTTTTTACTATTATAGCCGGCGTCCCCTGCGGCGCGGCCCTCTGATACGTTATAATATAACAAACTAAAGGAATGATTACGAATTTTCTAAATGTACCTTGTCATTTAATGATGAAGCATTTTACCTTATTGTTAGCTTGAATCAGCGCTGTGATGGATTTGTACTGCCAGTATTGTGAAAAACAAAATGAGGTTCACAGAGAGCGTAACCTAAAATTACGGTTGCACTGAAAGATTTTACTGAAAGCAAAAACTACATGCCCCGAATTATTTCAAATTTTTTTTCAAATAAGTCTTCCATCTTGCACAACAACAACTGGCGGTTCCGTAGGCTTATACGTTGTCGTCCGGGGCCGCTTTTCCTTCCAGTACTGAAACAGTGTCTTGAGTCCAGGTAAATCTTCCAAACCTTTACCGGAAACGGCCATTGCATTTCCCGATAGCGGCGCATTCTGATCTTTATCCAAAAAAATCGTCCGGTGGTGTTTTTTGGCATCGAACCGGTGATAATTTAGGTACAATAGCATCATTACGGAAAAAACCAAAATGCCAAAGATATACCGCCCCATATCGTGATGCAACAAGCGGAGCGACGTAGTCAGAATCAACGCCAATAAGAAAATGGCTATTGAGATCCGGAAGCATGCCGGTAAGGTCAACCTATCTATGCAACAAGAACATTTACATTCGACCAAACTCCCTGCGTCCAAGAAATCTTTCCACGGAATTTGTATGAGATTCTTGAACGCTACAATGAACAGATAATAGTAAAGCATGTGAGTCACGTACGTAGATTTTCAGAAGCGAAAACAACCGATTTCAACGCTTCTGTACGGCGTAGACGTCCAGGCCAATGACGAGTGCCATTAATTTTTGGTTTCTTACTTGACAGTCAGTTGTTTGAAGGCTGAGGTGATTAATATTTGTTTGACAAACAAAAATTAATTTTGTTCAGCAATCGAATTTTAACATTCGTTGCATCATATGTCTGGCAGTTTCAAGAGCAGCCAAAAAATTAATTCAAACAATTTCCAACATAAAATGAATTTTGTCCTTTTTGCAAACATATCCACATATAACCACAGGTCCACAAATACACTTATCCACAAGTATCTGCTTTTTATTTTCGGTAACAATTCTATAAGATAACCAACGATTCGTTCCAGAAAAAGATTTCACAGTTGTAACAAGTCCGCACACTAAACTCCAATTAATCCCAAGCCGCAGACGGTTTAAAATAGTACCGAAAAAATCCTGACTTCGATATTAAAGACATTATACGCTTTCATCGCTATGTTGTGCAAGAAAAGGCACCGGAAGAAGACTTTGCACCAAAGATTACAAGTACTCGTATTTGCATGGAATCTTTCGTGACCAAAAAGGACAATGGTATTTCCCCTTACACTACCATTGCTATCACAGATAAAACCCAGAAAATTCCCTGCCACATTCATTCCTTTCCGACGCGCGACTACGCAAAACATGGCTTAGTTATTGTGTGGCATTTATCCTCCCAGTATTTATACTGCTCCGTTGGTGGCATGTAGCGGACAGCAAGTAGGTCCTTCTTCGGACAGCCGATCTTTTTATTCTTGTCAATTATATAATCATATTCATATGATTCATGGTTCAGTCGTGGGACTTTGGCTGCGTCGGCCACGATGCCGGTGAAGAAAACATCCTCCAGTGGCATTTGCTTCATAGTTTTGGCTTTGTCCACCAAAGTTTTGAGAATCTTTTGCGGGATAGCGTACATCATACTTGTCATGTACTGCAAAAATAAAATTCAAGTTATGCAGATTGTACAAAAGAGGAAAAATACACCAGAAGATGGCTGCTATGTCGGATGTTGTACAGCGACACGAAAACCATTTCTTCTCCAGGGACACGAATACATAACTCAGCACAAGCCATGAACAATGTTTCAAACAAAATAATAATTCTCACTCGCTAAACAAGCCTAGCCACTTGTGTGCAGTTACAAAATAAATCTATCCTTTTATACATCGTTTAACATCACATCACTGCAAAAAATTTTCTGACGCTTTAATTAGCCTAAAACGTAAGAATTTGCACCAGAAGTACCTGTCTCAAACCCTGAATTGAACCCTAACCTAATTCGATAACTGAAAAATCCCTTTGAGCAACTCAGTAAACTCCACGAAGGATAGCAGAATCTAGCAAAATAGTTTGTAAACAAGCCGGAGCTGTTATTGTACGTGGTACAATGTGGTTATCAAATAACTATTATGCAAGAAAAAATAAAGAACGAAAATTCTTTCAAAAGAAACAATTCTCGATTAGAATCTAAATTGTGAAACTGAATTATCACAACGTGCACTTCAATAAGCAAGTTCAGTCTGATTTACCTCGGGATACGTATCGTCGATCCAGTCATCCCTGGACACATAGAAGAAACTCTGCGGATCCCGGAACACCACACTACCTCCGTAAACGCGATGTCCCATAATAGAATCACCCTTCTGCTCCTTAATCCACTTGGTGAAATCCGGCAGATTCACCCACACATGATCTTCCCCCTTGAGCGTGTACTCCGCATTGGGGCACTCGCGCAGACTCCACTCGAACGTCATCGTGGCCTTCTGCGTGGACGTCCGACTGTTGTCAATAAAATGGCCAAACTGTAGAATATCCTTAAACTGTCGCGCTTCATCGTCGACATGCGCTTGGATCTTTTTACACTCCGCCTGCGTCCCCGGGGTCTCATTCTGCAGCCCCAAAACGAAGATCAAACGGAACCCACAATCCGTGGTGGCCAGACTGCCCCACGTCTCGCGCATGGCTTTCCTGCGTTCAATTTGTTTGGCCCAGGTGAAAATGAAGATGACGAAGGTGAATTTGGAGGGTTTAGCCACCTGCTCGAAGGAGGTGCACGAGGGGGGCTCGTGATCGATTTTATTACTGAGCACGGTCAGTGAGGGGGGCGTGGGAATGGGCGCCGACAGATCCACCAAAATGCGGCCGTACTCGTCCGTAGTGTCAGGGAATTCATCGGACGGGGGTAGTTCGTTGTTGGTCTGACCACTGCCGTCCCGCAGCACCACACGTGTCGGGCCTGAAGAGCTGAAATTTCCCATGAAAAAACCAGCGATGAAGATCAGCGCTAATATCAGGGGGATCAGCAGTTTGGTGGGGATGGGTGCCATCTCGGTGATGGTGGTAAATTAAAATGGGATAAATATTAAAGGGATTTAAAAATCAACACAGAAAAATATAGGCCTGTTCCACTGCGATGACAGCTGGATCCAGCGTGAGTGGAAACAAAAACGTGGCACCAATAATTTCGGTCAGTGTTACGAGATGCGTGCTCTGCAAAAAAATTGGTTTGACATGCCACCACGTACAGTAACGTATCCTTGGGCTATTCATCGTAATGCATGCGCGTATCGTTTATTTTATGCTTACGCAGTTAGCAGTCTTCTTTTTTACCAAAACCGGTGAAAAGCGACAGAAGAAATAATAATTCCGTATACTTTATTTTAATACGTAGCTCGGAAAATAAAATTCTGCAATGAAATGGCAAAGTGTTTGCCGAATCCAGGCATAACTAGTGATAACACGTCAACGGGTATACGAGTATTTACGTACGTACTTCTACAATCTACAGTACACAATTATGTTTTATTTTACTTATTTGGAATTTTTAATTTTAAGTAGATTCAATTCGCTTGGGCATATTTCTTTGGTAAAAAGTTATTTAAGAATCACAAACCACGAAACTGTTCGGGACTGAAAAAGGAGCTTACAACATGTGTCATACCGGCAAGACAGCACTGGTCACAAGCAATTTTAAAAGTGCCGACGCACAGCCAAGCTGGAGCGCTTTTTTCGTCTTCACGCTGCCTGATAAGAGCACCGGTGAATATGCTTCAATTACATGGCGCATTTTCGAATAATTAGCAATCCTGAAGTGGTTTTCCTGCTGACCGTTACTTTGGCATACAACACAACCGCATGTTTGGGAGAAGAAAACGTAAACGCCAGCGCTCCTCGCGGGTTCCGACAATCGCATAGCATAACTGTTTTGTAGCGTACATGGCATATTATTGAGAAATCTGTATTGTTACACCGTAGTGATTGTTTATAGCTAGCAAAGATTTGGAAAAAATGTATGGACACCTCGTCATCCATTTTTTCCTGATTATCGTTTTTATTCGAGGTCACTACGCACAGGACACAAATTATTCATCGTCGCATGCGCCATTTTCCGGTACAGGCGAAACCTCGACGCCGGTTAACGCCGGTGACCAAACCGGAAAGGTCATCGGTGCGGTGGACAAGTTAGCCGGGGAAGCGTTGCCCTTGATTGTCCCATCGAAACCAGGAGAAGCGACGCTAACCGAGCGGGTGTTCAATGGTTCCCAGGTATATGATACGCTCAAGAATCTGATGCCGCCCCACAATGGTACGCACATGAAGGGTATGGAACGTATGACCTACGAGCTTAAACTCAAAATGAGCTACGCTCGCGGAGAGGGATCGAGTTCCGAAGAAAGCGCGGAGCTTCGACGCAAAACGGCAACAAAACCCGTGCTGGCGGTGGTGGCTACTGCAGATAACAATGGTAATTCCAGCAGTTCGCCGTACTTTTTCAAGATTAACAGTGGCTCGTCTCTCCAGGGTCATTTGTATGTAATTTTCACAGGGATGACGGTTTTGATAACTCTGTACATTAAGTAACACAATCAATGTTTTCAACTGCTGCCCAGAATAAAGACGTAATCACAATATTGACATTTTTTTCTGTTTTCTGATGCGGAGTAATGAGTGGTGTATGCGTATAAAAATTACAAACTCCAAGTTTCAAAATGTGCGACTGTGTGAATAAAACGAGAAAAACAAAGGATGAATAGCGCGGTACGTTGTAGAAATTTTCGGCATTACGGAAAAAATTATTTGGACTTTCCCATCTTCACAAGCATAAAATAGCTTCGGCAGTAAACATGGTAGCTATGCGAAAAAATCTGAACACAAATTAATAACAGGCACTTCCTTAAGTTCCTTTGATGCCAAAATTGCCACACAGGTAATAAAACGCAGAGAGAACAAACAACTAAACACTTTATTACGGAAATCCAGCTACAATTAAACGGCGACCCGGCCAAACATTATACCGAGCCCGAACAAAAAAGTACAACAATGAAAAAAGAAAAAGGTCCATCATTACAACATCAAGTCCACACCGTTTCAGTAACCAGTTAGTAAGCAATCAAGTCAATTATCCTCTGTACACATTCTAATTTCTATTCCCGAGTTAGAACTGAAGTAATTATTGCACCCACAAGCGTCGATTCATTCGCTCGCAAACCTTTTCGCAACAGGTGATAAAAAAATAATCAAGAAAAAAGAACGTAATCTTCCCAACGTGTTAGGTACAAATACAAAAATCGCTCTCTTTGGAATATAACCGAGATGTCTATGTAAAACGGTCAATCGTTCCGGATTTAGCATGAGTCTGTACTGTCCTGTTCCATATTTTCTGGTGGACTTGATTTTCAATCAAATTCAACGGACTTTCTTGTAGGCATGTTCTCGAGATGCATCTCCACGGCAAATCGGGCAAGTACGATTACTCTAAAAACCAGAACCAAAACAGTTTTAATGCGTTCCTAAATTCAGCTAAAAATGCAAATAGCTGTTTTCCCTTCACAGTCATCTTAAGATCTTTAAACTGGCTTGTGAATAGCAAAATGATTTTTATTAGCCTTTTCCAGCATTCCGGAATTCAGCTATATATTTCGAACTAGGCTGGTTAATCTTACTACGAGTACAGTACTCACCTTGAGCCATTTGTCTATGCATTTGGCATGGAATTCATGACTGCAGGGCAACACACGAATATTCTGCTTCATTTCAAACTCGGATATGCATATCACGCACGATCCTGATTGGTGAATACCGCTCTTCGATTCCACACCAAACCGGTAATTTGCGATTTCTTCAATTTCTGTTCAAGTACCAAACGCCTGAATCAGAACTGATACGCATACAGTCTATAACACATAACTCAACCGGAACTAGGTAAATATTCCCACGCTGTGAGCACAATCACAACAGCGTTGTCGGCAAAAATATATCCACACATACCATTTTTCGATAATCCTTTTGGCTTTCCTTCACTGAGACGTTCCGAGAAATTAATATAATTATCGAAATTTTCGCTTTCATGAGAATTCGGTGGCAATATATCCATGGTTTGCAGAAACTGTCCATTTGAAATAGGATGATGCACGAAACGCCTGTTCAGCCAAATACACATCTTATCAACAACAAATTAATAAGAAGTTACATTTAACCTGAAGAGCTACAATTTTTATGTTACAGCAGCAAATAAACGACCAATTTCGATTGACCTTTGCTCAAATACTATTAAAAAAGACTGAAAACAATGTCGAAGCAAATTATCCAAAAACTGACGAAACAATCCCAAAATAAAGGGAAAACTTACATAATATCATAAGGCGGATAACCAAACTGTAGAACACCAGGATTAGAATGACCGGATACGTTCATAATCTGCGTCAAAGGTGAGCTGGGGATGGCATTCTCCGGCATCCGACGCCGAGCCGTCCATCCCGACCCACCCATTCCCATCTCCCGTGGATGGGAGGCTGACGTCGACGACGACGTCTGATACAGCCCATCATGTTGACGAGCCGCCGCTGTGGCGTTTGAATACTGTCCAGAGGCACCGCTATTGAGCATCGGCATGGGATGAGGCGCATGCGAGGCAGCCTGCCGTGTTGACTGACTGGATTCCATGGAAGACATCAAATGGTAGGGATGGCTGCGGTAACTACTCAGAGATCGCGGCAACAAATTGGAAAGACTTTCTTGCTGGATGAATCCATTCTACAACATCATGAAATCAAAATTTCATTCCTTTGCTGTGTTGATTACGCCAATACGATTTAGTGCTAATAAAAAATATCACATGTTTAAACAAGATCTCGTTCATTTGCGCAAAAAGTTGCATTTAAGGGCAATTAAAAATGAAACTTAACCGGTATACCATACATAAAATTTTAGGAAAAAATCTGCCAACAATAACGATATCATTTTAGCAAAACCCGTTCGCCTAAAACTCGTACCGGTGGTGAATTGCGCTGTTGCAATGGCTGCTGCATCTGCTGCGCCATATTAGTCCCAGCAGTTCTCTGCTGTGCCATTTGAGGCGGATAGCACATGGCAAAACGATTGGGATGACCGAGCGCGGTATTCGGATTGCATCCACGCTGCATCGGAGGGCAGACATTGCAGCACATATGGGGCATCTGTGCCATTCCCTGACTCATGTGCTGCTGCAGAGGATTTAAGCCCGCTGCGTGACAAAAGGCTGCCGTATAGGACGGTGGAAAACTTAAGGCTGCGGCCGGCGCCGCCGACGACACCACGTGTCCACTATAATATCCGCTATGGGGCGCTTCCGACCGCGTAGTGGCCAGTCGTTTGCGACCATTACGGCGAAGGCGTTGAGCGGTGGTCCCGGAAGTGCCGTCACTGGACGACGATGAGCTACTGAGCCGGCTGGGGGCGCGGCTGGAGGACATCATAGAGGAAGAATACAGATGTGGTCCAGTCATGGTACTGTCCAGCGCACGCGGCGGGGACAGGTCCAGGAAGGCTGGATGGCGGGCAACATTGGGGTCAATGATGTCCATGTACCGGCGTCGTTTACGAGATGGGCCCTAAAAATATACTGGCTTTAGACAACAGAATTTTCCTGTGCTGTTCTTTTTTATTTTGGTTGCTCACTTTGTTGATCTTCTTCCAATAACAGTGCACTTATCACAATCATTTTCACTACTAAACAGGTTGGTTCCAAACACAAATTAACCAAATTTAATGGTTGTGAGCTTATGGTAATGCCTGTTTTAATTAGTCTCCGTTTTTCATTCGTCTGTCAACAACGCATAAAAGTGCGATGTATTAATGTGCTATCACGCTCACAAGTAGAGCGAAAATGTAGCACCAAAAGAAAGAATATCAAATTCCTGGCGGAGAACATTCCGTCACAAAGGCCAAGGAAAATGAAAGCGCAGCAAACATGTGCGAATGATTAACGAAGGAAACTCATTATATCCATTAGCCCGTTTGCGACGCAGTACGATATTCATTATTTCAATTTTCACAAAGCCCTTCCAGCTACTTCTTAGATTATACACCCGTCCCGCGCCATTATATCGTTCATCTCTTCCCGGTTCACTGACGAGACAAGGGCCTCGCGATCTAAACCGCAGGCCTTTGTCTCGTCAAGAATATTCCGGAAGATTAATCATTTTAACCGAATACACAGGTTCACCGAGGCTTTCTGTCTCTCCATCTCCCTGTCCACTTGTTTCATACGTCTCCCTTTCCTAATCCGTGCCAATTTGGTCTTGCTGCTGCTCTCCTCTGTCCGCACGCAGTATTATCAAGAAAAGGCTCGGAAGAAAATTCTTTCACATGTCGCGTTTAACGAGCAAAACGGGACAGAACAAGTGGTTGAGCGACAGACATGTCAGACCATGGGCAGAAATTATGCCCGTCCTGACTTCCAGATTATCATCACAATGCTGTGACAAGCGACCTTATGGAAATTATACAGTCGAAATAGGTGCAAGAGGAAATGCGATCGTGCTTATTTGAAGCAAGCGTCAAGAGAAATAAGTGCACAATTTTAAAAGCACTTCAAACTTCCTTAAATACTGAAAACGATTATAACTTACGATCAAATTTTTGCAGCTAAACGTAGTCAGATAAGAAAGTACAATTAAGTATATGACGTCAAACTCCTTCAGAAGGTTGCATGAATCTACGTTAATTTTTTTAGACCTAGAATTTACGTTAATATAGAACTAGTTCAGGTAGAAGAGGGTTTCACATATTATTATAATTTCGTTTCGGTTTAATTAAAATAGCACAGCAATATTTAGTCCAAGAGCAGATCAGCCAAGCATTTGCGATGTTGAGTGACAAGCTCAACGTTGATCAAACGAACCTTTGAATATGCGGAGCTTTGCAAATAGCCCTGATGCTTGCCAAAGGGATTATTTGGAAAAAATGCGCCACGGCACAATAAATCACCGCTCTGGGCCAACCCTTTCTAAAACAGCATTCTATGACCTTCCTATAACCCTCCAACAATTCAACGGTACAGTACTAGCAGGTTATTTATTCGGACAATTATTCCAAACCTAGCACACAGGTAGCGAGTCATTAATTTCCATTAGAAAATTTACAGCGTTTTTCATCGACATCTTCACAGGTCATTAATAAAAAACAAGTAGAATGGCTGAACTGCGTAAGTCATAAACCTACCCTGGAATCTAGAAATCCCCGTATAAGATGTAAGGAGTCAGAACCCCAAAATAGTTGACAGTGCTAAAAGCCTTATATATCGCAATTCGCAACACAGGTAACCCATTTCAAAAATCAAAATTTACACGCTGGTCTGCCACCTATTACGAACATTTTTTAAGACAGCACCAAAGAAATTACGATTTTCTAAAACATATCAAATTTGTAATATTAAAAACCATAAAGCAAAACTTTATATACGCTTTACACCAAATTACATAAAGAGGGATTGCCCGGCTAGCTCGTTGGACCGGCACGCTCACTCGAAGACTGCCATTGCGAGTCTTCACACGCCGGTCAGTTACTTGGCAGCGCCACGCATTTCATCGCAGCAGCAGCTGCACAGTAGTCTACACTCTACAGCACGAGGAAATGGAAGGAACGTCCGTATTACGGCTAAACTAAACCAACTAGAACGTCGTGTCCAGTACACGAACAATCTATACCAGATGGAGCTTTAACTTGCTGCTCGTTGCTATTACTGGCCTACATAACTCATGCATCCGCCGCCGTCGGTCGCACTAGTCATCACATAACGCAAATATAAGCTCAATATTCATAATAAATTTTTCCGCCCCAAAGAGACTGTACAAGGCGTGATGAAATCGCCAATGCGTCACCGCTGGTGTATTCTGGTCCTGCGTTACTCACCTTTTCATCGAGGATCTCATCGGAGCCCAAGTCGGAAGAGATGAGACGAATGTGCGCTGCGTGGGAGCGCGAACCGCTGATGGTGCCGGCGCCGCTCAGCGTATGGGGATTATTCGATGGAGTATGGGAATGACTAAGGCTGGAAGAAGACGAGGATAACGAGGCATACATTGGTGAGGTTTCACCGTTTGGTCCCGGGCGTGCATCTATAAAGCAAACTGTTGTTAGCGTAAAATTAGATACCTAACATTTTTATCTTTAGTCCAGGCATTTAAACGAACATTCAATATAATTTCCATAAGAACACTTTAACAGCCATTAATAATTCTACGAATAGCATGATTTCTATGGATCCGAAGATTAAGTAATAAACTCGAAACAATTAAGCTAACTGAAACAAAAAATAAATATTAACTCGAGACGGAACAAATTTTCGAGTTGCAAACAAAAAAGCAAATCCCCACAAATTCAGAACGTATAACGAGCAAAGCCTAAATCTTTTTGAGAATACAGTGAACATAACAGCAGCTCTACAGGTACGAAAATGCACAAGGGTTACAAACATTTTGATTACATGGCCATGGCAGAACCTGAAGCATGCTTTCATCTGACAGCTTTTAAAACATGCCAACAATGTTGACTCAGGTGTAAACCAACTCCAAAAACGTTTTTTCACATAACACCAATTCCAAATCGGCCTACTAAACACCCCCGTCACTGTTTTTGCTTGCTGGCTCTGCTGCAACAGATGTGTGGTTACGACAGCCATAGTGAACTTCCGAAAAATTCTATCAGCACAATTCAGAAAAATCTGGACTACTTGTCAGGATCTAACTTTTCCAACGAGGTGAAAAATCCATAAATTTAGCCTGCATATTTTCAAATGCATCGAGCTATCAATAATTCTATTACTCACGTACTGAAAATAAATTCTTTCTGCCCGTAAAGCAGTCGCACAATGACATACAAGTACATAAAATATTAATAAATGCATACGCAAGAGAAAACTGTTCATATGACATCAACAGGTACAGGCACTTTCTCATTCATATCCGCCATTTCGTATAAAATACGGATATGAATATGGAAACACCATTGCATCTGCATGCTAAATTAATCCAGTGCTGCGTAATGTCAACTCTAACCTAAAATTACCAAACGTATGAGCGCATCTGATGTGAGTCAAAAACTGTACAAGATTTAACAATTCCCGTCAAAGATGATTCAAAAGGCAGAATCCAAAGAAATGAAAATCTTTTCATGCCATTTTTTATCAAATATATACGCAACTAACGGAAAGCCAAACACTGGGTTAAAATATACAAAAATTACTTTAATTCTCTGCAGCATAACTCGAAAATCCAAGTATACCGATCCCGTTAATCTTCGCTTATGGTTAGTCAAAAGGTGGAGTTACCTATTGCATGCATCATATGCCAACTGGCAACAGGTATAGCATTCACAGAATGATACATGATAAAAATTCCGTTATCACAGTGCACGGCTAAAAGACTGGTCCTGCCCGTAATCCGTAATGCTGGACCCGGAAATCCCGAGCCAACAATAAAAAGCAACCCGCCCAGATCGCTATATTCCGCCCAGCATTTTCATAAAAATAATAATACACCAAATGCACAATCCGCCAGTCATCGCGCCCATATGCCGTTCACGTTCCAATCAAGCACAGCAAAATCCATCATTTCATTTGCTTACTGCATATAAAATGCAAATATACAGGGCCGTTCAATGCTCAAACACTGGGAACATATATATCGCGGTTCTGATGATCAAAAGCCCGGCGAGTACAAGCAGGAAGTTGAATTTGGACACGATCCTTGTAAATGCCGGCAGCAAATACATAAGCCTGGACCAGCCAGAGTACACAGCCGAATATCTCGATTTTATGGCGGCACTTTTCTGCCCAAGAGTACCAACGCGACTAGCAGAAAGGTAGTAAAGACAAATCTCTTAATGGCCAGGGCATATAATTACCAGCCAACGAAATTATGTATCCCCACAGCTAAGCAATTTTCTCCGGGGCCCTGTCTTCTTGCAGGCCAGTTCAAAGCAAATGCATCTGGGAACGCTTAACACCCACCTATTAATCCATACCAGCAGCACAATTCTTTTTTCCCTTTCTTCAACCGAAAGGAAAATCGAAGAAAGAAATGCACAGACCGAGGAGAGTGTACCGAGTACGCTCACGACTAAACCGCCTCTCGCGCTATATGCACTGGTCACCCCACCTTATCCTGTCTGTGGACAGTGTGGCACATACTGACATACGCATTTCCACTATTTCAGAAATAATGCAACGCCGGTAGCATATATTACAGAAGGAAACGAGATGGGGGCTCACCAATATTCAAATCTTTCAAGACTGGTCTCGACACGCAACAATGCTTTCTAATCTCCTTTCATGCTGGCACGGAACACATCATCTTCTTGAGTGCATTTTGACTGTGCTCAAATACGGTGCATTTGGATTCGGACGGCTCGCAGTAAAATTCGCTGGAAGGCCAGGGGATATTTTCCTCTTTGGCCAATCAATCAGACTAATGCACGTACATAATTATTGCATCCACAATGTTGCTACTAGAGAACTAATTTTTTTGCTATCTGTTTAGTCCCAATACTGGAAATAACAAAATAATAATTGTTTAAAACCTTAAAACTGGGTAGAATATTTTGGGAAGCTGTCTAATTGCCTCTGAAATACTAATCCGCATAGATCAATCATCCTTGCGTATGCGTCTTCATTACGTTCACTTTCAATCAGTTCTATTTTTTCATAATACCGGTGTAACCGGTTCAGTACTATCTTCCGGCATTTTTCGCTTTCCGTTCACAAATCCCCTGTCAAAGAACTCTTATTATGGAATTCACGAGAGGACAATGAACAGTATTGACCATGCGTATATTTTTACCTTTACCGGACCAAATAAATTAAGTACTATGTTGTGTACTGTGCACATCGATATTTCTCAAGCGAATTTCAAACATCAACTTTCTGCTGTAAAGACCGAGCACGCCAGATTTCTTATCGCGTTTCACCATGTCTGTCTTTCTCTTTACGCTTTTCCCCTCTCGGCACTACACTTTCGTTTTAACAATAGCGCCCTCTCATTCGGCAATCCCAGCAGCCACGGATATATTGACCGGTACCGTGTTTGGATGGACATAAACACGAATGACCCAGACTCGAATAGAAGCCACTTTACTACCACCGGCTGAAATTCAGCGATCCAATGCATACGACACGGCATGGAATACAGACTGCAGCCTGCATAATGCCATCACAGATCGATTTTCCCTCCACAACACCACACAGAGTCACAGACAAGGAAGTTCAGAGAGAGAGGGGGATAGACAGCGACTAGAACAACAACAGCACTTGGTAACGCCCTTTCTTCCCAAGCATCAGGTGTTGCTAATGCAGCCTACACATCTACACACATTCCACCACGCCGTACCAAACACGCTCCAAGACAATAAATAAACAGCCGAAAAGAAAAGCAGCCACGCTACCGAAGCATAGAGAATACACTGGCTCAAGCCAAGCACAACCTCGTGCAAACAAAAGCCTGCTGCTAATAATACCGATTCTCAGATGGCTCTCGAATAAAAAAACCTAATTACACCATGACAATTGTTCGAATTTAAACGACACACCGTCCAAATTACTGTAAAAACGTCGGGGTCACTTCACATATACGGTGGTACTCCGCGCCCCAAAAAATGCTAGACAAAAATCGATGAACGATTTCGAATACTAAATTCATCTAGATTCAATGCCCGACCGTTTCTCACTTGAAGGAAAACGATATATATATATATAAATTCCCAATAAATCAATTGTTACGAAATCGCAATCAGTATTTACTGAATACCCTTGCGTTATCGTCCCAATAGTCAATAAAATTGAAATTTCAACTGATCTGGCCATACACTGCGAATTCCACGAAAACAATAAACGTTCATATACAGTAGTATCTAATAATTTGTCGATACGAACAAGCAGCACGATGAATTTGATAAAAGTATTATCGATTTCCGTCACTAATAATCAAACCATCGCTTGCAGGACGCATCTGCTGGTATACTTCGTACCTGAATTCAGCACTGTTATACAACGCATTGAAGTTGACTGAACGCACGCAACGAAATTATGTTTCGACCAGTTTTGTATATATACTACCGAGTATATAGTACTGAACTTTTCAAAAATCAAGTAGATCGCACGTATAGGTTTGAACAAAACCAGCAACATCAAGTCCGAACACTATGCAATATAACCTAGCCCCAAACAATCTACAGTATTTTAACAAAAAATTTTATGGAATCTGTAGGCCAAATAAAATTTTTTCCCCACAGAAAGGAAAAAGGGCTGTATGGCGCAGCACTTACCCGCGTTGTTTGAGTAGTTCCTACCATCCTGAAAAGCAGCATTTCTTCCCCGTGACGTCACCCCGTCCTGTTGTTGTCGTGCCGAGTGGGTCAGTGGCAGTGTACTACGCGTGTGATGTCGTAATGACATTCCCAGCGGGAGCGACGAGGGAAACGCCGACAGTGTGTCGCTGGAGGATGATGCAGCCGTCGAGGTGGATGGATTTCCAATACTCTGACTGCTGCCAGTATCCCGGCTTAGTGATTCATCGCCTGCCGACGACGAGGGAACTTTGGCCGCCTCGCAACGATGTGCCGTTGCTAGGGAGGCATATTTGGGTGATACGGTACGGGATGGGAGTTTTGGTGAGCTACTAGATGACCGCTGGCGATCACGGCGATTAACAGGCATGATGATTTGGTTTCTGCGGTGTTCACCGGGATAGCTATCAAACGGACAGCGCTTTAAATCCGCCTTCCTTCCTCTAGCTGTACACCTGCCAGCGGAAGACTGCGTTAAGTAACCACTTCAACTACTTGAGAAAAGTTTCCACCATCAGCTACACCGGATATGGTTAAACTGCGAAAATTAATCACTAGTAATGGAAATTACGAATGCGCAACCGCTTAGAAAGTACATTTTTCAATGGATATCCTTTAAAAGCGTGCTTCATATCCCTTCCTTCAGTGAGGACACAAAATTATTACCATGAAGACTTGAAGCGATAAATTCATTCAAATCACCACACACCATTTTTAAACTAACCCACCCTTACCGCGAAGAATTCTTACCAGACACACACAGTCAATACAGGTATAAGATAGTTCTACAGGTGATGATGTTTTGATGCAATTTTTGAAAAGATTCTTTACAACAACCTAATAAAGACATGAAACCACAAACATCAATCTTTAAAACAGCTACGCTTTCTAATAACATTTCAAGATTACAGTTATTACAGCCAAATTATTAAGAAAATTTAAAATGTTAAATAGGATCACCACCAATCAGCATCACTACCACACGTATGAAACAGGTTCAAGCAAGGATACTGCGACAAAATTCATGCAACAAAACAGATAAACATGACTCTCGTGCCTATCGGCTATCTGCATTATCATTCATCAACAGAATTTACAGCGCGATAATCGCAAAATACACGGGGGTGTTTTAATAAAATTCTCGCACCTTTTGCGGGAGAACGCTCCTCCCGATCGTCCCAATATCAGCAGCGATTCTTCACACACACAACTCCGCACACAATCCAAGATTTGCCCGCAGGTGACAAAAATCCAAATTTTCTGCACAGGTCCTCGCAACGGGACTACAGATGAACGAACAGGTACGCGAACACACAAGTGAGCTGCAGATCACACACCGACGAAGCAACAGACCAAGCAACTCTGCTGCAGAGAATCGAGTTGTGGTCGCGAGCGAGCGCGTGTGGCCCAGCTCCGTCTTTGCGATCTCCGTCGTCCGATATACCCCCACGCCGCGCGTCCTCCAGTCAGTGCAACTGGCCTGCTTCTCTCTCGATCAACCACCTCTCAAATGGACCATACAACACCGGCAAGCGATTGTCTATCCAATCACACCTGACCTCTCCCAAAACTGAACTTCCGCTGCTGAAAATAACAGTGTGGATGAGTTGACGGAAGTGGGAAGAATTAACAAAATACGAAAATATTTTTCGAGATAATTTTTTCACAGTCACCACTCCTATTGCAGCTTACGGAATTTTTTCAGAAAATTACTAGCACGCTTACTTCGCACAGGGAAAACTGCCAAAAGTGCTTTAAAAATGACAGTCAAACTTTTCACCACATAGACTGGCTCTCAAGCACGAAACCTTCTATTCGACATTCCATGCGAGTCTAGGCCATGTGAAATCTACTTGCCAATACACAATTCGACTTTAGCCACACTAGTGTCACAGCCAACTGAATTGCTTTGCCTGCTTTGGCATCGCTCGCGCTGTGTAGGCAATTGCAGCTAGCTAGGCCGTAAATTTCCAGTTCTATGCCGTACCAGATGTGTGCATGCATAGTACGCTAACGAGAGTGCTGTTTTCCGATAACACGTTCACAGTCGCAACACGAAGCCTTTGCAAAGTACGGGTACACGGTTGGTTGCCAGTCAGTAAGCAGCCAGCAGCTGCTGTGCAATTTTGATTACACTGGCTTTGGGCTTCGGCCAGCGCCTGACTATTTCTTCGGCCACCACCACACGCTCGCGAACGATCAATTTGCAGTAGCGGAAAGGAAAGCCTAAATCGAGTGTAGCCAGCCACATTATACATATACACACCAGCGGTAACGCGGCGCTCTCTCGAGTTTTCGCATCGAAAATCAACCAACAGGCACGCAAATCTACAATACCCCATGCCTTAATTGCTAGTTGGGTATTTTTCCAATCATTTGCGCCGGCCTTCCCTTAAAAACGTTTATGCATTAGAACGTAGCACCACCAAAATTCGCACTGATTCTCTATTAAAGTGAACTCGGCTCGCCTAATCTTAAAGAAATAAATACGGAGACTTTGAAAACTTCAGCGCAAAGTTAGTAGTTAGCAGCATGGTGCCAGAAACGCCCAAATCGATCGATGGGTGCAAATCGATAGGAATGCAGCAGCGCACCCATATATCGGAAATGTTACAAACATGTCCGAACACCAAGCAAATATAACCAGAATTATGTGCACACAAGTTTGCAATATCGCTAAAGGGACAAATAAAATATGTAAGTTAATTAAAATCGTTAGAAAACACAGAAAGCTTCGTCAGTTTCCATGCCGAAATCCTCACACATTATTAATCGTTATCCAGTTTTTCGGTTTCCACATTTGCTTGTATCTGTGAACTTTTATTGGGGAAAAGCTATTATTCAGCTTCCCTTTTTATATTAAATTAGTTTAAATAATCTTGTATGTTTTTATCGCTTATCAAAAGCCTGATGCTGCCAATTTCTAATCATCTTTAGATGACTAACTAACTGAGTGTGAGAAAAAATCTTTTGTCAAAAACGCACAGCTCATCGTCCTAAAAAGCCGGTTACATGTACCTGCTTGCCTGTTTTGCTAAATTTACTTTTACTTAACATTTTTCGGCACTAAAAGTTTTAATGCGGAACTATGCTAAAGTTCGGTTAAAACTTCTAAGCTAATAGTTTAGTAAAAAGAAAGTGCACGTAATGTGCAATTTGCGTCACAACGATCCAAGCCTACTATCTATGCAGGGGAATTTGCTCTAGTGACCTGCATAATTATGCGGTGGCTGACCGCTCCTCGACCGATCGATAATACGACCAGTCGGCCACGCATCCCTTGCAAGCGGCACTCTCTGGACAATTCCTCTCCACATCGATCCGTATGCACATTCAAGCTACAGTCAGCAATATTTGTATTCCGCCTTATCATGCAGTTGCACCGCGATGCAATGTACAAATATCCTATAAATATACTGGGCGAAATTTCGACCTTGGCAGATAAGAGGGATACGGAAATGTGCTGTCTGCAGTCAGTTTGCAGAACATTCAGCACTTTCTGTAAGTCAAGCTATAGTAATTCCTCTGAACAACCTGTGCTTCGCATTTCCCCCAAATAATTTACGTCAAAAAATTTATTCTCCACAGTAGGAGTTTGCCAAAAATCCAGAAACCAACGACAAGGATTATTACTGTAATCAACCTCGTAAACACAATACCGCGCTTCCTGACAAGTAGCCCTATATACAGTAGTATACAAGAAATTTACCGAATGTCACAGCCACTTCTGTAAAAAGCAGACTAGCGAGAAATAAGATAATTATTCGGAATTGAACTACTTACCGTAATACAATCAAGCGAAATATGCGAGATATTAATGATAATTCAATTAGATGGAGTACTTCGAATTCGTATTAATAGCAAAAAGTTTTATAGCAAAGAAAAAGATAGCAAATCCATCCAAAGACCCACAAGGCACAGTGACGGTGGCACTTGTACTCACGTCTTCCCTAAATTATAATTTTCATGGCTGGCCATAGATTTCGAAGAATAGCAATCTGGGCTTTCTTTGCCGCGCATTTCGAAAACGTTGCTAGTCTAAGGAGTCTAGATATTCGCAAACAATTTTCATCGCCAAATACTTCGTCCCATCTGCCAGTATATGCAGTGGGCAGTGCGCACTACGCAAACATCAAAAGTATCCCAGTGTGGCAGTGTCTACATATTTTTTCACCCTTTCACTTCGTCTGGAGACGTGTCACCCTCAGCAATGGCTAATAAAATCAAGAAACTGCTCGACTCCACAACTATTTTAAAAATTTTGAGCTTCTCTTCTTCTCCTTCGTTATGAGCATCGTTACATACCTGATCCGCAAATGAGAATGAGTGAGAACAGAGAATCCCTAAACCCACAATGTAGCAATCAGTATATCCCCGGAAGAAAATAACGTCGTGATTGTAGATTGTAGTCCACCACCTGAACTTGGACACTTCCAAAATCTGCACTCACGTGAAAATACAGTATAAAGCAGCATGAATATAAACAGCCATTGCATGGAGAGTGGAGACCCACCGAGGTTGGAACTGGTACGCTCGCTATGTTTACCAGTCGGCTGTCCCGTTTATGTACTCGTACAGCCATGTATTCGTTTAGCAAGCGTTGCGTAACAGGGTCGTCTACAGAAAGATTACTATTGGCCCGAACAAAGTTTTGGGCGTTCCCGCAGTGACGTTTATATGCTTCCCGCCCTGTGAGCCCAGCCAGAGATATTCTTATATGCGAACCGAAATTGCTTTATGACAACGAGGTTGTACCGTAATTCGGAAAAAGCTTTTCTCGGGAATTGAAGAATTTTTCAATGGTCAATAATTTTAGAAGACTTTCAAACTCATGAAGTGAAATAACAAAAAGACGAATTGCAGAAATAATTATAGGGTGGTTATGGAGTGGTTGACGAATTGGGTGGTTATTCTGTAGATCATCTGTAAATGTAAATCAATTTGGAACTACTGTACTTACCGCTTACGATCGTTCATACTGTACTTTATTGTTCATACTGTACTTGTATATTATTTTATCAATGTGGCTTTCAGCCACAATCCATAAGTAAAACTAACTAGGCGATTCGAGTCGCTTTCGCTTGACCTTTCGCCTATTTCATTTTAGGTAGATTGTAAAATGGTTTCTTGTTTTTATGAGAGTGCGACAGGAAGTACGTACTGTAGATGGGCAAGAATTACGAAAGCAGAAAATATGTTTTAACGGTACGTCAGCCTGCGGCCCGGCGCAGCTGCACGTTGAAACGTTCTGGCAGATGTGCGGACAACAGTAAGTACTAGTAACATAGTCGTGCTATGTGGAGTGTGATTGTGCGAACAGCAGGACAACAGTACTCGTATGTATATCAGCTGTTCATGGTCAGAAGTCAGATATTTTAAAGGTTATGCGCAAGGTCCACAACAGTCATTCTTTTCTGTTTTGCAAGCTTGTTTTTAAAATGGTATAGCATAAGTTGCCGTTCAGTTTCGCAATATATTAAGATAGTGAAGTTTTTAGTTTCATAATTTTCCAGAAAATAGCAGAATTCTGTATTAAAGCGATTCAGTTAAAAATGCTTCGTAATTAAGTGGAAATAGTAAGTATGATAACTGTACAATAATACTTTTTAATTATTGTTACAGTAATGCATAATTGTTATTGTACTGCGCTTAAATATAGTATCATTTTATGCAAAATGTAACCAAGTTTCCGTAGCATTTTATTGTTGTTATCGTCAGATGCATCGCCCTGGAGTGCATTATATATATTTGTGCAGCAGTGTGCATAAGTATTATGTACTACATATCGGAACTATTGTGGTGAAAGCATGAAATATCCCGAAGCAGTTGCAACATTGCACATTGCATGCCCTTAGGTTACACCAGTCTTGCTTGAAATTTTTGTGAGATGTGTTTCATTGATTTACTGATATTTTGCCCTGTGCTGTGAAGGTTTTGGGTTGTAATAGGTTGACACATCTCTCATCGTTATTTTTTCGTGTTTGCGGCCTTTTCAAACTACAGCCGCAGCTCGAGCTCCTTTGTATTAAGTTAAAGCCTGAACGGGTGCCATACGTTTATGTAAATTTAGTTCGTATCTCATGGTAGTAATGGATCTGCCATACATATAGATTACGAAAGTCCGCATCAATCTCAACAAAGATGTCTCGTCAGAGACCGGGTTATGGAGGCGACACTGATGCGGGGGATAACTATCACCATCGCGCAGGTCCGAATTCGGGGGCGGCCAGTGCCGGTCAAATGAACGGTCAGATGAACGTCCCCGCATCCGCTTCTCCATCCGGTCAGGGACAATTTAGTGGATTCCAGGATTTTGCCGACACCGATAATTCTGCCGGTACTCCCTTTGGGGGAAACTTCATGAATGAACAAATGGGCAAAGCAGCAGGGAATTTCTCTGGAAATAATTTCGACAGTGGCTTCATGGGTGCTGCAGCGGCCGGTGGAGGTGCAGGTGCAGCAGGTCAGGGCGGATATTCGCCCAAGGCACCGCCGCCCCAAGACAGTTGGGGCGGCGGGCCGGCATGGGGGCAGGGTGACCAGTATAATATCCCACCGGATCACTACCAGAACTTCGTTACGCAGCTGACCACACGGTTTTTGGAAACGACGACATCCATGACCACCGCAGCTATGAACACCACCACCAACAGTACCGGGATCACCAACAGCACGCTGAATTATGCGGATGTCGAGTAAGCAGGTCATAAATCATCACATTGAGACGAATTTTTTGTGAAATTTTCCGAGCCAGCGTTTTATCTGTAAACGACTAGTACAACTTGTAAAAATATTGTTGAAAATACGTAGTTTCATAGTAATTAGTTAAACACTGAATCAAATTACGGAGTACTACGTTATGGAACTACTGAAAACATAAATCGTAGATTCCACGAGTTTCCATAACTTCAAATATAAAGCGTTTGTTGGTGTTTCTACGCATAAAATGATAAAATCTAGAATTGTATGTTATCTCATCAATTTGTACTAAGCGCGGTCATTGCCATTTTTAGTCACAGTAGGAATAATTTGTTGTGCTATGCAGACTTCCTGCTCCATGTTATCAAGTTGGTCGGCCAAGCATGATCAAACTGTATGTCACATGCGGCTTCATCATACCGGTGCTGGCTTTCCTTTACGTCCTGCTAAGTTGGATTAGTCGAGTTATTCGTAAGAAAATCTTACAACGGAAAGAATACGAAAGCCTGGAAGATGAAGATGTTGAATTCACGGACAACACACAAAAAAATCAGAACATGGATAAGATTAAAATGTTGGTCTACGAACGTCAAAACCGGTCAAAATTATCCATATGGATTGCTGATGCTTCTTCTCCACAAACAAAACCCGGTCAATCAATGGTAGGCACAATATCATGTGTATTACTATTCTCTAAGCTGAAATTCGTTAAGATCTTCGCATATTAATAAGTAACTAGTGATGTGACATTCCTGGCAGTTAATTATAAACTTTTTGTTTCATAGATGAGCATCGCATTGGTTTGCGCGGCGATATCGCTGATCATTTACCTCTCCAAGGTTTCTAAGTATGCTGCTGCTACAAGTATTTTTGTTGTTATTCGATGCTTGAATTTTTGTTATTCCAGAGAATTGCCCAGTCTCGAGTGGTGTGGAACATTGCCGAATGGTTTTCAAATTATCGACTTGATTGCAAACTTGTTCCTTCTGTTCTATTTTATAGTTCGGGTAAATAATTTATAGTTTTGTTTTTCAAAGTTTTAGTTTTATTGAATTAATTTTTACATCGGAATCATGTGTCCGAATGTCGAATGATTTAATATTACATATACATCATAGGTCGGATGCATCGAATGTAAAGATCGGTAAATATTCGCCAGTTTATGTGATTTCTTGTGTTTTTTAGATTATCGGAAACGAAAAGAAGTTCAAAATTTTAATAGACATTTATTCAATAGGTATGGCCAATTGTTTAGCAGCGTAGTCGGATGTGAGACAATAGACGATCGTTCGCGTAATGATATATGTTAATGTAGAACAACTGGTTTGGCTATATCCTGTACCACAAAAAACTTGAAACATTATCTTGCAGTCGACTATTTCACCATCCCTGCTGTCATTATTGGAGCATGTCTGGACCGCTATTTCACCGGTACCGATGACATTCTCGCTATTTATAACAGTCACAAAATCGACAACTTTAATTTAAATTGATCAATGGTTTTGCAGGTTTTAATTTTGGCCGTGCCTACAACTTTCTATGGCTCGTTGACGTACTGACAAACAGAGGTACGTCTAAATCCAAAACGAACAAACAATCTGTATATCGTACACGTCACTGCACTTTGAGTTAAATACTGAGTTAAATATTAAATAGATCCCGATTTAATGAAATGTTGCAATTTATGGCATGTTCTTTATCGTCCTTTGTGCAGAATGTTAAGCAAGTGCACATTCTCGTATCTGTACATAATACAATTATTTGTGATCGTACTTTCATAATGTTTGTAGGTGTATTCCGGACGGTCAACGCTATCAAGTTAACGTATTTGGTGACGCTGGTGGTTGTGACCTTATTAATTGCTGCGGGTTTCCTGCATTTGGTGGGTTATAGTCGGCTTCGTTCGAGAAAAACAATTTGATTCGCAACGCTATCGCTAAATGTTTCAGGTGGAAAATCAAGGAGATTTTTATCCTCTGGTTCCCAAAGGTTCATTTGATGGTCAGCAGGTGTCGTTTTGGCGGTGCTTCCTGTATCTGTACGGCAAAGTTACTCTCATTGACCTCAGCGGTATTCGAGTACAAACCAAGTTGGGCAAGCTTATCATCTATGCCTTCCAGTTGATTGCATTGGTAAATCACAGTGGCACAACTCCCAGAAAATACCTGTGTCGTTTGAACAGCAATTTGTAGTAAAGTTAAAAGGAACGATAAGTAACAGTTTGATCCCATATTTCAACAAAAAATGTTTTCTTGCATGATAATTTAATAATGATAATTTAATGCAACGGTTTTGGTGCAGCGTTGGATAAACATGGCTCTTTTCAGGGTATTATCGGTCGTGCGATTCCACAAATTGTGGCGCTCCTAAAAATCACTCCCGAGTACGACAAAGACTACATTGCACCGGAAAGATTTTTGTAAGACTGACGTGAAAGCGTGCCTGTTACTTTTCGCATCCTCTTGTACCTATGTAATCAGGGATCATCGTAGTTTTTCCTGCTCGCAGATTTGCTCGTAAAGTCTGGAAAAACTTATTTTCAACTATATTTTGAGTTTTCCTATCTTAAAACGCTCAAAATTTTCCAAAAAATTTACATCAAATTTGTAAATTTATTTTCTAGGCATATCATCATTTCCGGTCATGTGACCAGCCCATCCGTGGGTGCGTTTCTACGAGAATTCTATCATCCAGATCGTGACATCAGCGAACATTTCAAAATCGTCATTTTGGGAGAGTATGTCGACGAAACATATGACGTTCAACGCCAGTTATACATTTTATGTTATGTTCAGTAAACCACCGGACGAATCCATGGAACGTCTGATGAAACAGTTCTTCAATCGGGCGGACTACCGCCGTGGCTCAATTCTCAGTGCATTGGATATCAATCGAGTCAAATTGTTCGAGGCCGCTGCGACATTATTGGTGGCGGACAAAGCTGCCGCAGAATCGGACGCTGAGGATGCCGTTAATATAATGAGAGTTGTATCGATCAAGAACTTTAAAGACAATGCCCGTGTCATTGTGCAAATCTTACAGTACCATAACAAGGTATGTACGCTAAAACTTCGATTTGTGTCTAAATTTGAATTTTAAATTTTAACTATTTTAAACAAACATTATCATTTTTTTCTCGGCAATCTTATAGCTTTGTTACAGGCATATCTACAAAATATTCCTTCTTGGAATGTACAACAAGGCGATTTGGTCATTTGCATTGGTAAGGCGCCTGCCTTTTCAGGCTTTTCTTCATTTTTTTCTATTTCTTCATTTTCTACGTCGTGATTTTGGCAATTTATTGTTGACATTTCCTTGTGGGCTGGCTTAAGCTTATCGGATTTCGCACGCAAACGTACCGCTCCAACTGTATTGATCGTGAATGATTTACAAAATTACAGCTGAGCTCCGTCTCGGACTTCTCGCGCAGAGCTGCTACGCTCCCGGCTTTTCCACCCTGATGGCAAATTTTTTCACAACACGAGCATTCAGTGAAAGAAAAAAGGTGCTGTTTAATAATGCCGCAAGGTTTTTTAAATTTTGTGGTCTCGTTGATATGATATGACCTGGTTTCGTACGTACACCTTAATTGATACTGACCTTTACGAATTGCCTACAGTATCAAGACGCATGGATGATCGACTATGCGCGGGGCACATCATTGGAAATGTATGCGCGCAGACTGAGTGACGCCTTCGCTGGAATGTCATTTACCCAAGCTAGCGAGTATGTTTTTTATTCCTGGACTGATCATCATTGAACTCAATATAGGTTATATAGCAGATAAAGTTTGAATAGAAAATTAGTATCATTCCGATTCACAGATGACATGTAATCATTCAAAAACAGCTAGAAAATTTACCGATGCATTTTAAACTTTAAGCCCAAGCTCAAATAAAAATGCTAACAATATATATAGGTAAAATTCGCTGCAAATAATTATGTCAGTATTTTGGAATACCCGGTTTCTCCGCGAGTCACAACAATCACTAAATCTCTTTCGCGTTTTCCTAGATTCTGTTACCTCCGATTGAAGATCGTTTTGGTGGCTGTGAAGACCGATCCCTATGATCTAGCTAGCATGCCGCAAGTCAATCCATCAGAATGCACAATCCAGATCGGAAGCATTGGATACTTTATTGCCGATTCTACCGAAGAAGTGGAGCGAGCCATTTACTATTGCGCCACATGTCACCGTGATGTGGATGACCCCAATCAAATAAAAAAGTGTGCTTGCCGGGGTACGACGCGATCATGATTTATTCAGAAAGGAATTCAAATTCATATTAAATTTATTCAATATGCTAGCGGAAAGCGAGGAACAGGGCAAAGCAAACGATTTGTACAATCTGGTATCGGCACGTGTGGAGGCCCAGCAAGCCGTAGGTGTCAAGCGACGGGATGATGTACTGGAAGGAAAAATCTGGTCGTACATCAGGCGATACCCAACATCGTACGTAGTGTTGCCATTTAATGGCTTTCAGTTTTTCTGTAAATCTGTGTTTTTTCATGCTAGTAAATCTCTGTGTTTCTACAACACAGTTACCGGTATCCTCAATATACGGCACACGCAAAAAATGTGTAAAACAATGTGATATGGTGTAATTTAATTAAAATCTTTAGACCACCGCGTTCTGTTAAAAACGATGGCGCAAAGGAGCCGCAACTGGAAGGCATGGACACGGGTGATTCTTTAATGGAACGCCTAAACGAGCAGCCTGCGATGTACGACAGCACCGGCATGTTCCATTGGTGTTCAGGTATATAATACGATTTGTTAAAGTTAAAATAAAAGCGCATTTAATTTCTGATCATTGTGTTTCCGTTGCAGGACGACCTCTGGAATCCGTTTTGATGGTTTGTGTGACTTTTCATGAAATTAATTTTTATTCCACGTTCAGTATTGCACCTGTGCGCTGTATGTATGCATAATTAATCGTAAAGTTATCAGATTTGTGTGTAATAGAGTCATTCACACATTAAATTAAGTAAACACATCGCCTACTCTTTGCATTCTGTAGACGCGACAACAAGCGGCTAAGGCGGAATTCAGCGGGCACATCGTTATTTGCATTTTATCGCAACCGGGATCTCAGATCGTTGGTTTGCACAGTTTTATTCTACCTTTACGATCCAGTGTTGTGAAACCACGGGAGCTTCGCGATGTTGTCATTTTGAGTGACCACAGTTTTATGAAGAAGGTGCTTCGGCTTTTCTACTGTCATTATCCTCGTCCATTTAGCAGAGCCGGTGAATTTTTATTGTAGGAATGGACATATCTTCTGAACTTGCCTCGAATACATGTCGTTAGAGTAAGTTACGTTAAATTTTTTTGGTAATATAATTACTAGATCAATTCTTTTGCAGGGCACCGCTTTAAATCGGGCTGACCTGCGTTCGGTCACACTCAACACTTGTAAAATGTGCGTGATTATCGGCGCACCGAGTTCCGGTGCTCAAATGCAGAATGTCGACAATGCGCTCATCGATAAAGCGGTAATTCTGGCTACTCTCAATGTGCGCGCTATGAGATTTTCCGAAGAAGAGGCCGTAGAAATGTTTCAGTCAAATCGTAAGTACTAACACTGAACAGCTTCTGTTTTTTGAAGAAACATGGGCGACAAGAAAATATCATAATATCTGGCTTTTCTGATTTACAGCCGCGAGCGAAGTCGGCTCCATTTCCGAAACCGAAAGCATGTACCAACAAAGAATTTCACTGAAGACGCGAGCCCGGCAAACTGGTTATGAAGTGCCGCTCATAACGGATATTCGTGAGTACAGAGTAATCTACTGCCGCAACAAATACGACTAATATTATTATGTCAGACTGATATGCCAACTAACAGATTAATAATGCTTTTGGGCTCGTTCGACATAATATACGGTATGTCGGTCGGTCTTTGGGAAGGAGAAAGGGTCTAGGGAAGTCGGTCCGTAGGTACACAAAATTCTTAAAAAGGTCGCAACGACTGGTCTGTAGTTACCGGTCTGTGGTCTTTACTCTGTAGTCCCTGTTCCAAGTTCCAACACGAGCCGCGTCGCGTGTAAATGAATGCCTCTTTTTTAGTGCTTGTTTTAGCAGATGAGCTGCTGTAACGTTTTCTTTAACGGTAGATTATTAAACTAGAATTTAAAATATACGCTACGTAATTAATTAGACCACTGTAAACTATACGAGCTGGAGCTTGTAAACTGTAAACGAAACTCATACTCGTTTTTTAAATCTGGTAAACGCTACTTCACTTAAACTTCCAAATTTCAGTGCCACCTGTTTTTCCACTATCTTTTTGACTTTTTTTGTTTTGTTTTTGCATTACAAATCTGCCTGATTCCGTCATTCCATTACCCGTGGCCGTAACTGTACCTTTTTACTAGTGCGGGATACCAATGCGCAGTTTCTGGATCAGGATGACGATGACCTTCCAGGAACGGAGTTTTACATGACACAGCCTTATGCCTGCGGACGGTGCTTTTCTGGCACTGTGCTGGATTTATTGATGATAACGTCATTTTTTAACCCGGTTATCGTCAACGTCTTCCGCACCATGATTTTCGGTGGGGCATCGCTGGAACTGGAAAAGATTCTTGCCGAGGGAGCCGGTAAATTTTCGTTGCAAATGTCATGTTTGTGTCCATACGGTGTGCATAACTTTTATAATCGTTTTATCTATAGGTATGATCGGCGGTGCCAATATTTCCAAACCCGCAATGGTGAAAAATCAAGTTATAGTAAACCAGTTTTCAATTTCTTCCGGACCGTTATCGGTGCATGCGGTAAGAACACATTATACAACAGCATCAGGGACATCGCCCATAAATACAAATTAGCAGCTTAATTCATGAATTGGTTTTTTATCCTAGGAGTCGACGTATGGCGGTTTATTTATCGATGCACTGGTAACATTCGGCCGATTATGCCTGGGTGTCTACCGGAAGATGGACCCAACAGATGACAGCTCGAGAGCAGCGAAGCGTTTTGTTATTTGCAATCCACCGGAAGATTTCATTCTCGATCCCACCGATATGATCTACAGTTTGGATCGTCCGGATTTTAATGACCAACCAATAAGAGATCCCTCTCTTGGGCTAGCGGCTTTCTTAAGCTCAAAAGAGTAATCACTTCGAGGTTTTCAACTGCTACTGTGTAAGCACTAACCCGTTTCCAAACTTGTTCTGTGTTCTTTTCGTCCGCATCGTCATATAATACAGCAAAATAATCAACACGGTAATAAAGGCAAAAGCTATTCAACAGCGAAAAAGTGTGCTACGATTTCGAACTGCCCTCTAACATAATAAAAACAACACGAATATTCCAAGACGGGTTCAATTTCGTCTGCGCATTTGCGGGGAACATTTAAAGAGAATACTGAGAAAAAGTTTTGCCGAAATAGTACATTATCACAATTGCGTAACTTAAAATGCAACAACCGTTACGGCACACTAGTGCTACTCATAATCCATCAGATCATCCACTCCATTCCCGTTCTGACTCCCATGTCGATTCCACGGCGATGAGTGCGCCGATCGCAGCGGACTATTCCGATGGTGTGATGGACTATTCCGATGTGATCGCCAATGCGAGCTGGCCGATGAGGAGAAGCGCGGCTGCACGGGCGCCGACGCCGGTGGTTCGTCTTCATCGTCAAATCCACTGAACGACACTTCCCGCTCATACGTGTCCACCTCATCTAGCGAAAGATGCGTACCGTCTTCCACAAACGAACCGAACCGCGACGGACTGCTCAATCGCTTTACCAATGACCATGACTTACACTCGGGACTATTGGCATACTCCCGCAGCTTCTTCAATTCTTTGGCTGTCTCCCGTCGTCCCACCTCTTCGAACTCATCGGGTGACAGCAGTTTGCGCGGTCGAGGCGGGAAGAGTTTATTAATAATTTTAAATCGCCGGAAATTATACCCACTATGGATGATCATATCAAACGCGGCGGCAGCGCAAATCAACGCGATACCGATCGGCTCAATCGTCACGCTGAAGTACATAATCAGCGCGCCCACAATCTGCAGCGTCCACTGCAGAATATCCATCGTCTTCGGATTGCGAATCCCGCCGAAGCGATAAATCAGCATGAAGGTGATGGTCGAGACGATGATAATATACGCCACGACATAATTGCGATGATCGTAAATGGTCTCCCGAAAATTCTTCCACAAAGTCTGGAGAAAATAAATCACCACCGCCCAACCGCCGACCAGAAACGAGATCCCCGCCGCTTTCCGCGGAATCATTCGGCTGATTAAAACACCGCCAGCAACAATGAACCTACCAGCGCAATACTGATCCCGGAGGAATAATGGAAAAATGTATTACGACTCATTCGTCGCGCAAAGAACAGCAGACAAGCGCCCGTCAGAAAAGCGAGGAAACGATACGGATCCACGGGGACAATCTTCAAGGTGAGTACGTACGGTTTATTGGTATCCACGCCCAGACAGGTCGATGTAAATGGGTTCAGACGGATGCTGCGATCCCGCCAGGGCAGCAGCGTGAACCAGCGTGATGCGGATTTGTACTGTTTTTCCACTTCTTCGGAGGACGCTCCACGGTACAGATGGAAGGCTTCATCTTCGATGTCCAGCTTGAAGTAGGCGCTGTAGAATAACGACTGCATGGTGCGTCGTGTGCCCGGCCAGCAGAAGATTCTCAGGGTGCGCATCGGCGCGGCGATTACCGGAAAGGGGGAGTTTTGCATGGACATCCATTGGACATTGCCGTTGTTGGACGACCACGGCGAACCCTTGCTGGATGAAGTGGTAAGCTTTTCTGCGTTCGGAGAATGATACCCTGCGCAGAGAAATATGAGGTTTCCAAAGACTGTGCGGATATCAAGAAATTTTGCAAGGCTGCTGAAGAGATTTTCTGTCGCCTGTGTAACCGTTGTTCGTAAATCGCTTACCTGAAACCAATGCGAAGAACGCCACTATCACATAACTGTTCCGTAAAGAACCGTAAAGTAAGTTAGGAATTTCCATTATGTTGACGCCTGAGCGAAAATTATTCACTGCCGATGAGTGTGCAACGACTTTAGCTGAGAACTTTCATTAATCTTGGTAGAGTTAAGCGCTGGAGTACTTTATTTGCAAAAATCTTTTTAAAATGTTTTTAATACCGAAAAAAGCTTACCTGCTTTACCACCACAAAAATTTGCAAACTCAATGACAACTGTGAAGTGTGAACTGACAAAACGAGAAAATTTACTAAGTCCTAATCTACCCTTCTCTGATGTCATCGATATAAGTTGCCGCTCTTAGGGCGGGTGGCAGTAATCCATAAGCAAATGCGCGGGCGTTCATAGAAACACACGCGCGCAGTGCGTGGGTCGGGTCCATTTCGGTTTTTTTGGAAATCGGGTCAAGGTTTTGGGTTTTTGAGCACTGACTTCGTTTTCTGTTTTACTATAATTTTAATAATAAGCTAACTGTCACGGTTTCTCCTGCGTCTGATTTCGATTCAATTTTTGCTTTAATGATTTTCCACCTTCAGGTGTTCAGGCACACGGATCGAGGGTGGATCGCTTGTTGGCGGATGGCTCATATTAAATCTTCCTCGGTTTAGTTTACTAAATTAAAATGGTAAAAGTAGCGTTTTTAAACATAAAAGTATATGATACTTATTTAAGTGTACCCTCAATTACAACTAATAACAACTAATAATTAGTATGCGCTTTTCCAACGATACTATCCGCCTCCGCACTAATAGGAATTTTCACATTACACTGATTAGTAGATTACAGTCATGATATTCATAAATTTTAGGATGACTATTAGGTATTAAGTAGACGTGTTTGTACAGTACAAGTTGTACACCTTATAGAGGTGCTTAATTAAAGGCATTGTTTATTTAGTCGATAAGTCTTAAAACGTAAAACGTTTCTTTGCAGTAGAATTCTGACGTGCATGCATGCGCAAAGACAGCTCGTATCTGTATAATTTTATCGCACTGTTTTTTTTTGTTAACGTTGTACTTATAGCAGCTTATTACTATCTGCAATGCACCTGCATTTATTATCTCGTACCGCAGTATCTCGTGCAACTTTGCAAGTACGCGATTATTGGTATTAAACCTGTATTCTGATATGCTTCCATTAACAGAATATAAATATTAGAGATGTGCCGGCGTTAATCTATGCCAAGACAATGTGATACGGTACGACACATGATACTGTCGGGTATGAGATGATTCATTTCCAAGCGCAAATCAGTCCAACAGTGCCAAGGTAAGCCAAATTTGGCACAAAACTGAAAAAAAATGTTTGCAGGCTATTTAAGATTCACCAAGCCTCGTGGTCGTGGTCTAGGTGAATTTTCTAGATTGGAAAAAAGAATCGCAACCCAGTCTAGCATCACGTACATTCTGCTGCACACCACGAGTTTTCTGTTACCTGTAGCAGCATCCCCAAAACCCACTTCGCAATGGCTCCAGTAGCGGATACCTCCGCCACCGAATACAAAGGGTCATCGATGAACGATGCCAACAAGAACGCTTATGCGAAAACACCCATCGGTTACCACCATAAGGACTACATGTAAGTGTCGCACGGGAGCTCTCTAAGTTGCTGCTCCATAAACGTACAAAAACTAAATGGTAATGTTGTAATGTTTGGTGGTCGTACCGGCTTTAAATTGTGTCGCATTGCAGCAAGCCATACAAAGGTACAAACACTCACTTTCCATTCTACCTTGTGCAGCCGGATGTTGATGCTTGGGTTGCTCGCCGGGAAGATGTCGCTATTTCCGGTTTCCCGAAATCAGGTATTGGGGACATTGAAAGTTCAGTGAACAAGCAATTAGTAGTATTACACCATTATTATGGAGCTACGATCAACCCATAATCGTAATGGGATATTGCTTTAATTTTTATTTGCATGATAAACTACAGATTAGATTAGGGTTTTTAAAAATTATCAGTTTCAGGGTACAGTATACATTCATACTGCTACTACTGCGTTTAGAAATTATTTAATTAACTTCTAAGGTGTTATCTGTAGTATAAACATGTAGTACCGTAGCGCTGCACAATTTAAAGTGCAATTTTAGAAAAATTATCCATAAATTTAATTAAGGCAATATATGCCCGTTTCCGCAGTGTGGTTGCCGATGCAATAGAATTGGCGCCAATAAATATTAATAATTGCGCTTAATTAAACGGTCCTCAGTATTGTAAAAGGATCTTGACGTACAGCTGTTATACGGTCTGTGATTCCGTATAGGGTCTTCCCGGTTATCGGCAATCGTCGGAATGATTCAGCATGATGCCGATCCCGCGTTTATGGAAGCGGGTGCACATTTGGATCGAAAGATCCCTTTTTTCGAATTCTGCACTCCCCTCAACGAAAAGGGACCACGGTCCATTGATGATCTGCTCAAGCTTGAAGGCGGACGAACATACTTTACCCATTTAGGATACGATGCATCTCCACCCAGCTTGCTGCCTAACGGAGCCAAAGTACGTATACTGCGTGCTTTTGGGAAACAGCATCTTTCACTTTCAGAAAATTATCCGCAGTTTGACTCACTTGTTTACATGCAACTATAATTTGCAGATTGTTTACCACATCAGAAATCCGAAAGACGTAATGGTGACCTTGTACTACCATTTTATTTCACGCATCCTTTCCAAATATACCGGTGACCTTGGTGATATCGTTGACGCCTTCGTCACGGACAAAATCGTGTATGGTCCGTATTTCGACCATTTGGCCAGCTACTGGAAGATGCGAGACCACCCCAATGTCCTTATTGTGTCCTTCGAAGAAATTACCGAGGTTAGTAGTTAAGCGTAATCCAACTATGGATTTTCTGTTGGTTTGTGGATAGTTCTGTATACACCGTCTTAGTGGCCGCATAAACTAACAAATGCGTCATCGATCTCGTAATCCACTGCTGTTTCTTGTAATGCGCATATCGGCATATGGCATATTAATCTTATGGCTACCATTTAATGCGAGACAGCACGTACGACTGCTATTTACCTACAAATAAAGTAGCTTTGAATTGCGTAAACTGTAAAAGCTCTGTCGAACGTGCTTACACACCCGGATGTTTGTGCTATGCTTTTCTGTATACATATGCAGTATGATGTCTACGGGTTTTGCGACAGAACAAACATTACGCTCCTGGATGTGGGTGCGTGACCTTTACGATGAACGTCCAGCTTTTAATCTCTTTAGAGCTGAGCAATTTATTCGAGATACGCTTGTGACATTTCACTTATTGCTTTGCAGAATTTCCATGATACAGCCAAACGGATCGGCAAGTTCATGGGAAAAGATTTAACAGAAGAACAGTTAAAGGCCATGGAGCGAGTGTGCTCTTTTGATGCGATGAAAGCTAACCCACTCACTAATCGCTACGACAAACACATTGCCGGTATCTACGATCACAACATTTCCCCGTTTCTTCGTTCCGGTAAATCAACGCTTACGGGAAAACATTACAGCCCGATTACACAGAATAATTTATTTTGTCTTTATATTAATTTAAATAACTACAGGGGTACCAGGCGCGTGGCGAGAGCATTTGACACCGGAAATGAATCAAAAAGTGAACACATGGATGGCTAAGAATCTTGCCCGGGAAGACCTCAAAGGTTTAGCCGAAAGATTTCCTTCTACATTTACATTTAACTGAAAAAACAGCAAAAACAAACAAGTTCTTCATACATATGCAGAAGTTTTCTTATCCTTGTGCCTGATTTTGGGAGCAACTAAAGGCTGTTTAAAGACTGCGCCCGGCGCAGTTAGTTATACGTATGTTTGTCCAATTACAATTTTTAAATTTGCGGTTAGACCACTCTTACACGGCGCTACACGGTCAGATGGCTACCTGCATAAAATAAGTAAACATAAAAAAATCAAATGATTGCGTCTGGAGGTTTTCCACAGTTTCAGGTCAAAGTAAAATATAAATTAGGTTTAGTTTGTTGTGCTTAAAATCCAAACAGCTTTGACCTGGCTGTATATTTGTGGATGATGTGTGTTGCTAAGTGGGGCATCCTTTACTTGCAAAAAATCTAGAATTGCAGGAACAGTAAGGTGAATTAGGGAGCGATCAACGCAACAAAAATTTCTCATTGCTTCAGTTTCAAACGAACAATGCTCTACGACGTATTGCGATGAGTAAGACATGAATAGAGCTCTACGTCCCTTGCCGCAGGTGGTACGACAGCTCATACGCCGCAAAAACTCGAACATCGCACCAAGAAAGAGCACTTCCTGCGCCCCATAACGACTGACTAAAGAGGTGCTGTTTGCAATACAATTGAGGCAATTAGCAGGAACAGTATTTAGTGTTACATTACATCTCCGGATTACCACCGTGAATGACCTGGAAGATTATGGATGAACGCACATCCGTAACCATAACCTTTTCGGCACATTCTGTTAACCTTTATAACAATTCAATAATCGATGGCAACGTACAACGTTAAACGCTTAATGCAGTATTATTCCACAGGTATATAAACAGCAACATTCGAAAATGTACATCCACAATCTGCCATTCGGGACCATTATCGAAGATTGTTTTCCATTTACATCAGACAGTTTATCTACAGTTTCTGAATTGTCAACACGATCTCATGTTGTGATGTCGAAGATTTAATTATTCTGTACTAACATAAATTTGAAACCTCATTATTTTAAAAGTAACGTAGACGACGCATTTCATATTATTGGTCTTAAATTTTTGCCGGCTACCATGAATTGTAATTCGCAACAGCGACAGTTCCTGACGGTTGTGATTGAGGTAATGGTAATCCTCCTATTCACTTCCCTTATCGAAGGCTCCAGATTACGGGTCTATCCTGGAATTCGACCAGAGCATTCGGAAACGATGGGTTTAGGTACGGAATTACAAAAAAAGACCGCCCGCCCGACATTCATACGTTCATTTCCTTTCGTTTGAGAATATTTTATACGTAGGTGTACATAAAAATGTTGTCTTGCAATCCAAAATGCCGGGGTATATATAATATGCTGTAACTGTGTAAATTTATGATTTTTAAAGCCAGATTATGGACGGTCAAGATGTATACCCAATCAAAAAGCCCAATCGTAAACGTAAATTAATCTACAATTATTAATTAAGCAATAAAATACGCTTTAGTTATGTATCTTATAATTCAGCAAAATTTGTTTTGTCAGTATCATGACGAGCAGTATTGTCAGAGAAATATCATACGTTTTACAATTATACACTTTAGATTCATCGACAGATGGCAAAACTGATACGACTTTGGGAAGAAATCCTTCCTTCCTTCGCATCAAGTGGTTCATCCATGATTGCAACAATCATGCGGAATGCCGGCACAATCTCCGTCAGCTGTATACCATGAATCTCCACAAGCTTCCCGATCGCGAGAAGCTAATGGGACGCCGATCCTTGCTACAAAATCACGCAAAATGGCTGACCAAAACAGCCAATGCCTAAAATTTTGCGCTTTCTTTTTCCCGACAGGATTAAGCGGGGCAGACAGGCAGTATAATGTTGTCGCTACTTTCTTTATTTATACAGACATAACAATTATTTATTGTTGAAGATGTAATGAAATTTTCGAACAACTCTGTTGCTATTGTGCCGGTTTTTTAGTTAAAAAAGCAATCAGGAAATTGGTTCTCTACAACCGTACATTTTTACATAAGTTTCCAGCCAAGAATAGATCATATACGTATAATCGACATCGTCAGCGAGATAATGCGAGAAAAATTTTGTAAAACTTTCCGAAATGTGCATAAAAACAATTGTTGAATTTTTTATGATTTCATTTGAAACCATCTGCACAGAATGGGCCGGATGGCTATTGCACATTATACGAGTAAATACAACTACGCGTACAAGTAAACATCAACTTCATAAGGCCAAAAGGTTAACCCCACAATCATGGCCGCTTCAGTCTGGGCAGGAGCAGCTATCAATGCGCCCAGGAGGGCATCCAAGCAGGGGCGACAGACGGGTTACTACACCCCTGCTTCCGCATTTTTCGGTTTGACAGTAAGTCAGTAATCAAATGGCGACATTACGGTGTTGTATAATTTATCTCGACAACAACTGTGACTCTAGCGTTTACAGAATTATACCCGCAATGCGCGCGTACGGCCGGCATAAACTAACACGTATTAAAGTGATACGATTGTATAATGCACAATGAATATGCACAATATATGTATATGCACAATGAATGTATGAATACATATGTATAATGAATCACTGTATTTTGAGTTATCCCATTTATGACGTTATATATGGAAAAGATTTGCATTGGTGAGGTTACGCATCCAATCCTAGCATGCCTATACTTGCTTCACATGAATTTTTTAGGCTGTAAAATTACGTAAGCCCTTTTAACTGCACTTGCAGTCTCGCATACATCTCCGCTGTATAGCGGATTTTAGTGAACTGAAACTGCATCACTTGTACAATTTTATCAGTCGGATTCATATATTATATCACGCGAATATCGTAGTACAATAAAAATAAAGTTTTATGTTATCAACCATATAGAACGCCATGTAGCTGAGGCAAATGCATATGTACTGTACAGTGGACATCAAAAACCAGGTGCGTGTACATCAAAAACCAGCGTGTACAAACAAAAACCAGTGTACATCAAAAACCAGGTGAGATGACCATGACCAAGAGCGTACCCTCCAGGTATTGTACTATAGTGCTATGACCGAATCCTGTTTTGTTTTCGCACCCAACCGAATGCAGGATTGTATACTCATTCCGGCTAGCACGCAGAATGCCGTGCCAACTTGACGATGCTGCGCAAACGGTAAAACCCACCAAAGTGCAAAGTGCACATTGCCAGAGTTTTCAGTAAAGTAAGTACCCATGGGTGCACAGAGTATTATGGATCTTGCATAAAACATGATACATATAAATACTGCATATTACGCTAATGACTAAAATGAATGCGGTTTTTACGACTTTTAGGCGCACCCCGGTTGAGCTTGCGGCAAGGGCATAAATCCCATGTAAAAAGGATATAATTATAATTATACAACTATGCTCATGCAACTATTATACTGCGCATGCGGATTATAGTTGCATGCAAGCTAGACATACGAGTAATTGAGAAAATGTCACGTTTTGCGGATTTTTGACCAGCGTTAAACGAAAGGTCAAGTGGAGCCAGAAAATAACTGCTAAAGATGTAGCGCAACATGGCCTCTCGTGCCAGATACATTTGAACAAAACTGTAAGCGAATTGTCAGAAGTCTGAAACGTCGGAATTATTCGGTTATCGTAACTGCGACGGTTGAAACTAATTGGAAGTAGCATTATTTGAAACCGCGCGCTTTATTGTCCCGGTCATAGTTCACATCATTTTCGTTAATCCTGAACAAAATAGAATCGTTCTATCTTATTTATGTAAGATATTCATGACATCTTGGAGTAAAAATGTAATAAGCTTATTTTGAACCGATGGAGTCATAACGCGAAATCTTGTGGCTCGTCAGTATTGCTGTTTCCCTTCGTCTGGTAACGGCACCGGAGCTCCCTCCGCCGTCATAATGGCGGGAATTGAGTCTACACCTCCGCCAGCTGCCCGACGCAGCTTCCACCCTCCTTTTCTCCAATCGTGCCACAACAATATCACCGTAAACACCAAAGCGATGCCAGCGAATAATGTTATCAATACGAAGAAATTCATCCATCGTATATCTGTAGTGTTTGATGTGTTGTCCAGAATAAATCCACTGATGAGCAACAGCAGCCCACTGGCCAGCAGTTCACTGGCGATCGCCACACCAATAGCTACACCGGCTAAGGCGGGAACAGTTATCAGCACCGGTATGTTGCTCCAGAAACACGCGATATCCATGGAAAACGATACAGCCAGAAAACTCAGACCCACAATCATCGCCGCATCAGCCGGGATGGGAGCAATTATTAATAAGCCCACGAGAAGAAGCAGTGACCCCAGGCTGGTTATTACGTCCCGGTTTCCGTGTTTATCGATTAGCCAACCAATAAGGGGTGCTATCAGACTGATGTCCGGTATTATTCCGACGACAACGGCGGCTTTGGCTTCCGAGTAATCGTACATTTCCTAGAGGACAGTGGAGGAGGTGTTTAAAATTAACTGCTTGATGAAATGTTTTGCTTCATCGATTAAACTTATGCTGTTAAGAGTTCTTCGAATTTACTGTCGGTAATTTTACTAACTTTCTTTTTTACTGCATAGTCAGCGGACAAATTATTAATACATAGTTTTGCAGTACTATCTTATGTAGCATTTCTGCAGTATTATATTCAAAAGAACACCGGGTGATCCTACGCAACAAATAATGATGATATACTGCCACACTTGCTGAAGTTAAGAGATTTTTAACTCTTTATTCTGTAATAACAACTTACGATAAAAAACTTTGTACCATCAGCTAAAACCGAATTAAACGCTCCATAGTAGAAAAAAATGACCGTGCACATCAGCCAGCAGCTGGTACCGAGATGCCCCAGTGTGGACACGTTAAACTGCACGGACGCTGCGGTATCGTGGATCACTTTCTCATCCAAGCGGGTGCTGGTGTGCGACTTGTACACCCATCCTGCCAGAATATAGCAGAGAGTGCCTACTTGGTCGATGCCCCACAAAATCCACAAGGTATTCTGCAGCCCCAGATTTTCCAGTAAAGTGCCCACGGATGCAAAAGATATTATGGAACCTAAATTGTGTAGTAAAAGAATTACTGTTAGAATTGTGCATACGATACAGTACGCTGTAATGAATAATGCATAGCACAGTTAGGTTTAACTGGCAACTGCATAATTATATTGTGAATTCCAAAGCCGCAATACTTATTCCCTGTTGCGGTTCGGGGCTATTTCTACAATGATTTCTTGGTGTTGAATGTTGACCAACCTAATCTTCCAAAAAAGAAGAAGATACTGAACGCGAGGGCCAGCTCTTTTCCACTAAACCAGTGTGACTTGACTTCACCGGTCACCACGAAATTTCCATAGATTCCAATACTGCCCAGTAGTCTACCACAAACAACAAAATCTGCAATTAAATATTGGAAAAAGCTTATTACAAATAAAAATTTACATGACAGCTGGGTTTTGTCTTGGGATATGCGAAAAATATAAGAAAACGATCGTACAGTGAACCGCAAAATTAAGTTGTTCAAGTATCATAAGCAATTTCGCTTTTACAATAATATGATCCAAATCCGATCTTACAATTATTAACTGTGTGATAATAAAGCAGTAATTTTAAAACAGTTCTGCACATGTATCTACTATATACGATAGGCGTCGATAGCATAAAAATACTGCTCAAAACTTTACCTGCCAATAAGCATGACGGCAAAGGCGGACCCGCTAGACGAGCAGTAAGCTCCCAGTGTAAATAATGTCCTAAAAGAAATTACAATAATTATGTAAAGAAAAATTATAATGTATAATAAACTTAGTTTCATAAACTGTAGAATCTGCCCAAAGAAATGCATGTTCAAAATTTTTTGGGAAAATATAGAATATATGGTTGTACGTTATCCTGTACGTACGATCCTAAAAAGAGCAATATTGCTGTGAGATAGCTGGTCATCCAAATTCCGAATCTTGCTACGAAGAATCCAGTTAGTACACTGATTACCGCTCCTATCCAGAACCCACTAACATATATGCCATTAAACTGAGATGCTGTGAAATTTTGACAAGATGGATCTTTGCCGCTAGTACAATCCTGAACGGTTCCTTGCAACCGGCCATTCAATCCACTGAGACTGTCTTGGAATACGATTCCACACAGCATCGAAATGCTGTTATGAGTCAAGTAAGTCCATCGTTCCCGTCCTGCACCGGCAGGCATGGTAACCACAGGAATGTGTGGCGATTACAAGACCGACCGATTTCCTAGTTCCAGGGTGGACACATATGTAACAGAAATTAGTTTTAACAGTTAAGCATTCGCCGGCCGCCATAAAGCGTTAAAAAAGGTAAAAATAGTGCTGATCAGCAAATTAAAACTGCGAAAGGCTAAATTATTAATTACAATATACGGTAATCACAATATAGTATACGGTACTGCGGTAATTATTAATTCGTATTAAGTAAAATATATATGCTTAATGCTTGAAGAACGCAACTAAACACAAATAACTCTTTTCTATCGGCCAAATAACTTAATTACAAATCTCATAATTATACTCGTCATGGTCTGAAAGTGATTTTCAAGAATCTCACCATAATAACGCTGTTATGTAATATAACGTAGACCTTTGTTGATACACTCGGCCGGCGACGTTTAGTTTTTCTTGTGCCACTTCGGTCTTATGCTGCAGCTGGAGTGTACCTGATGCTTGTGGCGTCCACACTCGCCGCTCTGTTCATTTACTGAACTATAGTGTTGTACAGCGGTCCGATCCTTGACAAACAAATTCTAACTTATAAGCTAACAAAAAGATCTCGATTCTGCTGGTTGGCACTACAGGCAAGTGAAAACTGCAAACGAAATTTATTTCGAATGTCTGCGCTTGTTTTATATCCGTCGAAATGCTTGGTGATTGTTGAGTAAATTCTAAATACTTATAAGTTAGTGAATACTTGATCAAACTCAACCACCTGAAATCCTTCCGTTACTAAATCTAAATATTTTAAAACTAGCGATGCAATCCAAATAACTGCTACTGACATCCTCGTATATCATGCTCCATATAGTGCATAGAAACTCGCAATCATATATATGTATCATTCAGTTTCTGTTTTCCGATCCTTGACAAACTGAAATTCTCCGAACAAACAAATTCTAACTATAGCTAACAAAAGATCTCGAACCAGTTCTGGGCGCCCCGGGTAGAACTCCGGTGGCACTACAGGCAAGTGAAAACTGCAAACGAAATTTATTTCGAATGTCTGCGCTTGTTTTATAAGAGTAACATCCGTCGAAATGCCGCACCCGATTGGCGATTGCTGAGTAAATTCTAAATACTTATAAGTTAGTGAATACTTACAGATTGAATCAAACTCAACCACCTGAAATCCTTCCGTTACTAAATCTAAATATTTTTAAAACTAGCGATGCAATCCAAATAACTGCTGCTGACTGCTGGGGCATTGTCGGAGTCATCCATACTCGTATATCATGCTCCATATAGTGCATAGAAACTCGCAATCATATATATGTATCATTCAGTTTCTGTTTTCCCAACATATTTTCATAATTACAGATATTAAAATATTGTACTTGCGCTTCGGTTATTTTGCAGTTCACAAAATAATTATATGATTTCGAACGCGAGCCGTGCAACTTCCGGTGGGGTATCAGAACGCGGAAACAAATCTAAGCTATTCTATACATATATACGAAATATACCGGTAATTCGTTTCTACCGGCTCTGCAGCACTAGGCATAATAAGATTTTAGAATCTTACAGACAGTGCAATGTGCACTCTGTTTAACGGTTTCTAACCCAAAAGTCGGGAAAATTACTTTTCTGTATGAATTTTATTTTCGTACAAAAGACCGCATCGAAACCGTTCTGCGTGTCAATCACGTAACTTCACAACGTGGGGGTTAACTCAATATGGACTCACGCATTGAAAACTGTGCTGACTCGGCTGTTCATTACATGGCAGAATTAGTTTTCAGTTTTTTTCCTGTAAAACTCTGCAAATTAAAAGTTTTAAACGCCACATTCTCCGACAGAACTTCCTTCTCAAACAATTTTAAGGACCCGTTTCTACCAAGTTCACTAGCGCGAGTTTTACTTCGTGCTTGTGATCCATTGCGATTCTAGTCGTATTTACGATACGAAGACTGTTGTCAGCCTTGAAGGATAGTCTAGCGGAAGAAATTCATAGGAAAGCTAACCCCAGAGTTTGGGAACAGTATTGTAAGTCATCAGTAAGCAAAAAGAGAGAGTCTTTATACTCTTTCGGATTTAGTTGGCTTATCCTTGTGGCTTTATCGTGTTAACTTCGCACTGCGCTTTCCTTTACTGTTTTTTGTTGGTGGTATTTGGCCAAGGCTTTTAAGGACTTATCGCTTACACGAAATCTGAAAACGTGTACGAATCTGTACTCAGTGTACTGATCATAATTTGTTGATTGGTTATTGTTAGCGCTGTTTCGAAATCTGAAAATATTTTCGAAAGAATATCCCTCTCGTCGTGGGTTTAACAGTAATGTTGAGCGATGTGTACGTATATCTGAAGCCTGGTTTCTGTGCAGAGAACACAATGGAATCCACAGGCGAGCCCAAAGACCCACTGGCCTTGGAGGCCATTACGGAGCGCCGCATGGTGGCCGCGTTCCTGCACTATTTGAAAGACAAATCCCAGAAACCAGGCATTACCAGTGCTGCCAAGGAGAGCATGGAAGGTTAGTTTCGGATGTAGTGATACAGTCGCTTATATTGGCGTTCATAATTGAGATCTTTTTCATTCGTTTGCCTTGATGGCACACTCTTCGCTTGCGAATCTCAAATGTGCAGCTGTTAACGTAAGTATTTTCTGCTCTGGTAAACCACAGTGTCCATTTCAAAATAAGATGTTTTATTATGTTATTTTATGTACTATCTTTTATGATGTATTTATTTTATTCCTTTTGCATGTGTATAACTATAGTGTATCTATTAACTAAGCATACCTTTTTGCACTTCGTAGTTGCTCGTCAGTGCTTGTCCCAAGCTTTTGATCTGACGGAGGAACGATTGGAAGTGTTGAAGACGAATGTCTCTTTGATGGATATCTTCGCTTCTCATCCCGACGCAGTGCCGGCTGATCCCAAAACAGTGTTGGAATACGAACTGAAACGCACGCCGACTGCATCCGCCGAGGATAAGAGCAGAGCGGAAGAGTTTAAAAATAAAGGTAAACAGTAGTGTTGTTGTGGGGCGAGAAGGAACACACAGCAGGTTCGAATGTTATCGTTGTGTAGGTAATGACTTTATGAAGAACGGCCAGGTCGACGAGGCGCTACAGGCTTATACAGAAGCGGTCATTTTGGATCCCACAAATCCGATTCTGTACTGTAACAGGTATTTGAAATTTTGTTTAAATCATGCATTTGAAAAAGTATTCGGTTTTACTTTGCTATTTATGCGCTGCATTTCGTTCATTTTTTTTTATTGCCGTACATACAGTATTATGTGTTAATTGTTAGTCGGATATGTTAATTTTACTCAGCTGTGGCATTTCAATCGTGCACAATCATCTTAATAAATTTCTTTTATCACGGTTACAGAGCCGCAGCTTTTAGCAAAAAGAATCAGCATGATTTGGCTGCTAAGGATTGCGAAATTGCCATTGCATTTGACGGCAACTATGCAAAGGCATACGGACGCTATGGGTATGACACTATGACCGTATTGAGGCAACGTTATTATTTTACCAGTGTTTACTGTTAGCTAATAAGGTAGATGTTTTTTAGTCTGTTAGATTTTGTTTTTATAGTTTGGCCTTGCATGGGTTGGGACTGCTGAAGGAAGCCAAGGATGCTCTGGATAAGGCTGTCAGTTTGGATCCCGAAAATCAGCTGTACAAGAATAATCTGAAACTGGTCGAAGATGCCATTAACGCAGCTAGCGGAGCCAACGCTGTAAGTTACAACAACTATCTTGTAGCTCTTCTTTCTTCGTATTTGATAGTTGTGGGGATTTACTCGATTTGATCATCTGCCACACTATTAGTTTGCTTGTACATCTTTCATTGACAGTTTGGTTAAATTTGCATTTGCGTTTGTAGGGAATGCCTGGCGGCATGCCGGGAGGTTTCCCTAATATACCAGGGATGCCGGGAATGCCAGGTGGAATGGGTGGAGGTGGAATATTTGACATGCTGCAGAATCAGGAATTTCAACAAACGGTAGCTACTACTGTAGTTTCGATATTTTATGAATGATCTCACTAATTAATTTGCATGTCTTTGCTTACAGATGATGCAAATGATGCAAAACCCACAAGTCCAACAAATGTACGATAGACAAAAACTAGTTTGCATCAGTTTTGTTGTTGTTGAAAAAAAATGAAATAGAACCCTCCACTTTCTGAGATAGATCTTCGGTGCTCAGCAAACACCGAGGTGTTATATTTTAAAGCTTTATAAATATTGTGCATATTGAACCTGCGTGGTTAACGGGAGCAATATTGGCACAGCTTTATGAAAGACGTAGTGAAACTTCTTGTATTTTGGTACTGAAATTTGGTTTTTTCTAGGGTGGGTCAGTTCTCCAACATGTTCATGAACCAGATGGCGGGTGCAGGCGGCGCGCCTGGCGGAGCAGCACCTCCAGGAATGCCACCCGGTATGCCGGACATGGCGGAACTTCTCCGTGGAGGGATGCCGGGGATGGGCAATATGACGCCGGAGCAAATCGCGGAACAAATGCGCGGACTCTTCGGCGGACAACAGCCACCGGATAGCCAGCCGGGTTCGCAGCCTAAACCCGAAGATAAAGATAAAAATGACAAAGGTCCGGGCAGCGGTGCTGGCGGAAATCCCAGTTATTTCTCTTAAGTAAGGATTAGTTCGTTTTGTTACCAGAAACAAGTGGCATGGCGTATACACATTTTTTGTCTTAACTTTCCAATATTGGCCAAGGGTTGTAGACGGAATTAAGTGGTTTTTGTGCATTGAATCGAATAAACAGCAATCACGGGTCAGGATAGCGCCCTGAGTATCATCACACGGGAACGGAACTCGTAAATTGTGATTTGTCTAATGGAAGATCGTTGAAGTGCTGCGCAGATCGTGTAAGAGCGTTGGTCTGCAAATCCCCGGGGAATGGCGGGAACATTTTGTTAATATGAAATCATCAGTCGACTGGCTACGCTGGTGGCTCTGTGAATTTGCCGGGCATTGTCGTGGCGCGAGTTAATTATCCCAAAGCCCCTGATCAGATTTTAGCAAAACATGGGAATTTTCTGGGCGACACGTCTTTATCTGCTTTGTTGCTATTTACGTTCGTGAGTGACAGGGTTTCATTTGGTTTGCCAACCGACGCTTAATTCATTAGTTTTGAAAGGAAATGCACCCGTTTCCGTTAAGCCCGACAAGCTCGTCATTAGAAATGCCGCACATAAGATTGTTTACAGTTCCTTTAATTTATTTATGACGCCGTTACTCCCTTCGTTACATCACAGAAATTACAGTTGATTTAGCAACCTCATTGCCAGTCAACTTTATTAAAAAATCCCTTTGTTTATGAACCAATTATTTCGCATCTTCCTCGACATCACATCGCATTACACAAAATAAATCAGTTGTTAAGGTGTCCAGTTTATTGTTAGTGTTTTACGAGTGCATAATTAACTGCCGCTTTTTGCTTTCAGTTTTCCGCAATATCCGAAGACAGTTTTATTTCTCCATAGAAGTGTATGTACTCATATAAGAGTCATATTCCAGCAAACAGACTTCTTTATGAAATTTGATAGAGAACTCTACACTGATTCAATACTACCATGGTTGCGTACTGGTGCCGTGGTAGTGCGATCCAGTAGCGGCTTCTTGACAGGCCAGAAGATTTTCTCTAGCTCATCGATATCTTCCTGGGTCAAGACTTGCGTTTGGCCGTCAGTGGAGCATGCCGACATCAAGTGCGCTCTTCCATTACTATCTAAATCATGTAATCTTAACATTTCTTCCGCTTCATTTCGTTCCTTACATAAGCTTAAGATGTAAAGGAATAGCTGCTTATAATCCGCACGAAAAACAGGGTTCCACGAGTAGATTATAGGATTCATGGTAGAATTAAAATATCCCAACCTGGAAAAACATAAACGGATTTGCGTGGTGAATGTGTACTTGCTTTGCATGCCAAGGATTTCTGTACCATTGGATTAAAAATCAGTAACGTGAACTTTTTCCTGTAATACCTGTCACCACCCTATTAATCTGTTCCTGAACGAAAGAAAACTACTACAAAAATAATTTGATAACTAACAAAACCCTTGTAATGCGATTATGAATAAAAATATGAACCACCACAGTTACGTTCACCCTTTATGCCACGATTTTTAAAAAAGGTGAAAAAGTTGGCGAACACAAGTAACATAATAACTGAAAATAGGGCAGTATATAGTCCATATGTAAATTTCGTGAATTGCGCTAGTTGAATGACTTTTAATGCCCACTAATAAATCATCGGTTATACCGTACCATGTAATCATCGAATGTATAGGCTGGGGTATGAGCAATGTTGTGGTAAAAGCATTAATCCAGTAGCAGATGAAAAACGGCAACCAGCAGAAGAATAGTACACCAAACAGTATTCCCAATGTTTTTGTCGCCTTCAGATCCTTTAGCGAAGGGCCCGATGCAGCGGATGTCCGAAGTGATACCGCATCATCGCCGTCACTCAGTTCAATATGCGATGCCGGTCGCCGGCTATGTTCACCCGTCACCTTAATCTTCTCCCAGACAATACTGAATATACGGATGTAACAAAATAACATAATGCCAAACGGAAGATATAGTGATATCGTCGCGGATATCACGGCGTAAACGGGATTAGTGCTGAGAAAACACTGCAGACTGTCAGCCGAAAACTCCGCATTATCCGTTGCTTTCGATGACAAACCGGTGAAGATGGGAAAAAACGAGAGAAGAGCACTGTTAAGCCAAATCAGTAGGATAATGATGATGACCTTGCGGAGATTGATACGGTGCGGATAGTCGAATGGATCGGTAACGGCCACATAACGATCCCAGGCGATGGCGCATAAATGCTGCAGGCTGGCTGTTAACATACAGACATAATGCATAATATATCTGTACATCAACAATCGATGATTATCTATTTTAAAATACACATGTAAGAAGTAAGTAAATAATCTTCCATGGACGATCACGCCACTCCGCAATCGCAGCTTACCAGTGCAGCACATTACATCCCAGCTCATCCAGAATCGGCAGAATGTACTCCCATATTGCCAATTACCAAGAACGTCATATGTTAGGGCAAAGGGCATCACTAAGACCTGCAACATGAAATAAATTATTTTATTAGTGCAGCTGTATGCCGACCCTGACACGCAGTGTATGCATTAATGTCTTATGGGCTTCCCTTTCAGTGTATGCTGAATAAAGCTGGTCTATTTCCCCGGAAATCATTGATGGCCATATTAAATATTTCTTTCCATAACTTCGTGATTTAGGGATCAGGCAAAGGCTTCCACAGCCACTATGCTTTGATTACATACTAATTTAGCTACGTTTCTGCTTCGTATTCTTTTAAGCAATCCAATACCTTAGTTAGGCATAAGGTATATAGCTTATTACACAGATATCGCTTAATACGTTGGATTTGGAATACATGGATATACAGGAAACACGTCTTCTAATCCAAAAAATTTCGGCAACATTATTTTTTGGTTTTTTTTTACTTTTTAAGAAGGATTCATGAACGTCATGCGTTATATTAAGCACTAACAGTGCGCATCTAATTTGCGCAGTCAGAGGCCTACATTTTGTCAGACCCTGTGTGCCTTCAGCACGGTAAAAGCTGTTCTCGTCGTGAGATTAAAATATCGCCATAATATTTTGATGATTTAGACATTCCGGCTGAACGTTGTCGCCGTGCAAAAAGCCATCCTCTTGATGATCTATGTTTACAGTCTCTTTATATGCCGGCTGTATAGTTAAGTAAGACATATTCAGATGGAATGGCGGAGGCCTGCCAATTATCCTGACTTGCGGACTTATTCATAAGATTTGCTTATGTACACTCCAGTTTACTTAACGGTCCAAAGCAGCACGTGAACCCAAAGTGGTTACGAGAGGAAGCGGGTGAATAAAGGGAAAAAACATCTCCTGCCGCTGCCCGGACCATGCAGTGCGCCACAGCGGTTCTTCATATAACAAGTGCAATCCATATTCGGATATATTGATCCCTCTTCAAATGCATTTCTTCTTCTTATGACCCAATACATTCGTCGATTTAGTCCGTTACCTACTGTGAGAAGCGATTTCCATTAAATTTTAATTTTGATATTACGGTTATATATCCGCTAATAGAAGCCCGGCTGCAAAAATTTGCTTTGGTATACAAAAAATGCTACAATATTTAATTCACTCTTACTGTAATATACTCCTTTCATAAACGCGCAAATGGTCTTACATAATACACAACATTAGTACATGATGCATTCCCCGCACGCAATTTTTGAAACCGCAGAGTGTTGCCGACATTTGTGAGCAGTTAAAATTGCCGATTAATAATTGCTTGTGACATTCATGTCATACATTTCAATGCTTTTCCGGTAGAGCTCATCAAAAGTTTTCTTGCAACCTTCTCAAAGAAAAACTGTGCAGCTTGTAGCCAGAATCACACACTCATCTCTTCTGATCGACGCTATGTATGTATTCTATATTTTCCAGTTAACTTTTCACTAGGCTGATTTTTATATACTTTTTCCACTCGTTCTTGAGTGTTTTCAACATACTCAAGTAAAGCTGTGAAGCAACAAAAGCTCTTGTCACATTTGTAGAAGTATATCATTTAATGAGCGCTAATTACCGTACTAATTCAGTATACCTTGAAAGCTGCAAGAAATGAGCTTGAATAATGTTCTATGTACTGAAGTACTCTGTAGCTGCAATACTGAAGATGCCACCCTGGAAGATTTTTTATATATGCTTGTATTTTTCCTGGCAAACTTGTTAGTTTCTATCGAATGCAGCCGGTTAATAAAAGTCTGTTGTAACGAATATGCGGCATCAACAAAATTTCTATACCACAAGCGTCGAATTAAGCTAAACAACTTTTACAAAGACATCAAGTATAGACTTGGTCAACCACGTGACTTAAATGCCAAGTACGCTATATATTTACTGTTTTATTTTTATACTTCCGCATGGGTTACGTTTGTTGCATATATTTGCATATGTAAATTTAATGTCCAAAATTGATTGAAGCACATGTAAGAGACTATATTTTCTTTTAATTTATGATGCTGCATTTATGAAAGTACTTTGTATCTGCATATGTACGCAGTACGATTACGGTTTCACTTACCGTGACAGTTAAATCCGCACATGCTAGTGACACTAATAACCAGTGCGTCGGACTTTTTCTCTCCTGAATAATGGTTACCGCCGTAATCACAGTGGCATTGCCGAACAATGCTAGAAATATTATAATAAAATATATAGTGCCCAGTATTATTTGAAGCACCGGATAGGAAGCGATAGTAATTTCCTCATCCAAATGTTCCGGAATGGCGGTACTTGTTAAAGTTATACTGGGTAAAGAATAAATGTCCGACGAATTGTTCTTCATTTCCTTGGACGAAACAACTCAGACAGCCATGAGTTAACAAGCTGGCAAATGGTGTATAAATTGAGTAGTACTTGACAGAAATTCTCAGATTCCAAATCGGAAGATTCAGTGATTGATTTTAATTGCACCGCTTGCCGATACATGATGCACAAGCTGTATAGTGCGTACGATGACTACTCAACGCCAGCGATCCCTGAAATTGAAAACCGGCAATGATTTCTGGAGAGTTGTGGTTAAACGATAATATGCAGTAGTGTACCGTTGACGGCATTTTTGCCAGCATATCTCCCGTCGTATGTATCGATGGGTGACGCCCACCTTTGGCTGTTATTGTTGGAACTCGATTTCGGGTTTTGATGTAAATTATTAATAACCTTCCGTTTGGATAAGGGGTATTTGTTCGATAAACAGCTGAACATACTCATAAAATTTCTAATTCTGCACTTGCTAACAGTGGGGCCTTTTGAGAGGCTTTTCAGTTGTTTGTATAATAAAAAACATAACTAACCTGAACATATAAAAATGTTTTTAAACATGAAATCCCAGCAGAATCTAACAATGTGGCTTAATCGTCGTGATGGGCAGACGCGCATTAGCGAAGAAATCGTAGTACGGTAGTTCTAGCTGTAATAGTGCCTTGGCTTCCGGTAGAAGACCAGCCGGTGCTTTTTGTGACAGATAGACATGTTAAAGAACAATGAAAGACAGTTGTTCGCCTAATGCACTGACAATTATGAACAATTTAAACTTTACTATTATCAAAGTTAATTGCACTTTAGCAGAAACTTCATTGAAAAGATACCCAACTTGTCATAGTAATTTTCGAAAAGGTTTCGCGTTAATTGAGCTTTTAATGGTGTCAGCGCAAACATTAAAAAATATTCCAAGCAATCGCTACCAAGGTACTCACAAGTTTTCTTCTTGATGTTTGATATTACCTGTGCGAGGAAAATATAAGATGAATAAAACACGATTAAATTATTTGTTCTAATTGTACTGCTATCGAGCTTTCTAAAGTTGAAACACAAATCTGTGGGTAATGGTACATACGTGCACACCGTTGGTTTTTAAATATTTATATATGTAAATTGATTAGTACAGTACTAACAGCCATACTGTAGCCATTTGTAATCCACTGCCTTAATTAATTAGATCATAATTATGATAAAAGCGCTATAACATGTAGCACAACAAAATGAGTAAATCCGTTCCCCTAGAGTAGAAGGTCACTGAATTTTAGCAGTCTAGCAAGGCAATTTCATATGTACGGAATATTATTCCAGAGTAAGCGGTCATTTCCTTGCAAAGGTTTGTAAGCTTTTGATAACTTTGTGGAGGACTTCGTCACAAATGTCTTGCGGATCCCGCATGCCACATATCTATAATAAAAGTTCTTATCAGTAAAGTGTCAGCATTCAGTTCTAGTAGAAAGCAAACCAGAGCCTGAGTTACGCATTAAACCAAATAATATTACAACGAAATTTATCAGTAGGCGATTCTCGGGTAAAGTGTCTTATAAAGACGCAATAATGGTTAACATTTGCAGTTGAATCTGCTAAATCTACAGTACAGTATCCGCTCATTGTCTGCATTCAGAGACTGCTTACAGGCGTTTTTTTGTCATACAGAGCCTTTCCGTTCTTTTTAATCTTACTCTGAGTAGTTTGCCGGTCGTATCTAAATGCTCCAACAAAGGTTCAGTTAAGCGCTCAAAAATCTTTATCCGCTCCAGTGCCACATTAAAGTTGTCATCCCACCGCGAACCACATAATTTCCTCCGGGCAGTTCGTTCAATGGCGCACTGAACAGGAATGTCCAGGAGTATGGCTAAGTGAACACTTCCACCCAACTGCCAATTTACGAAACCGAGTCTTACCACATTTAAGATAGATCTGCTAAGTAGCTCCATTATTTTGGGAGTCGGTATTCGTGAATAACCACGTTAATAATTTGGTGCTAATTATTCATAGATATTACTACGTTGTAAGCTGTTGTCACTAACGTGATCCATGCTGCTGAACGGCAGCAATATGTCCGTGCCTCGAATTATAAGCAGAAGTAAATAAAAAATTATTCTGACACATTCTAGCGTTTGTAAATAAATTTTTTATTTTTAAAAACTTTTCTAAATATGGTGAACGTTATACTGCGCTATGGAGCAAGAAATACGAGCTGTGCAGTGATGCCGTTGTACATATAGTTATGTAAATACATTTACAGTATTGGCGTAGGCGCAAAAGTCGCCTCACAAGTAACTTGTATATCATTATCTGTGTTTTTTAAGTGCTTGTATTGGTATAATATAGGTACTTCTACAATATTTCAGCAATCCACAGTTCCTACCTGTTTCTCGAACCACACATATTGGTCAGTACTTATTGGGAAGCCTTGCAACAAATATTCGCGATTTTTGGAAGCTCGGGCGGTCATTTCGTGTTTTATAATATCCGTTACCACATCCTGTAAAGTCACAGTTAGATGAATATGTACAAATGTTTTTTAAAAAGTTACAGAATTACTGTACATGGTATCGTATAATTTAAATTTGGTCATAAATTTATGAATCTTAACGTTAATCATTCCGTTTCATCTTATTTTATTCCCGTATTCTGATAGTATTTTGCAACGCTTAATTTTTTGAAATTTTTAGGCTCGGAGTATTACCGGTATCTTCCTATTATCCTTACCAATACTTCCTGTACGGTATATTCTAATCAATTTCATGGTTTATGTTAGTTAATTTCTCCCGTTTTACAATATTATTACCTCTTTCACGGCGAACACAGTTACCCATAAAAAATCCTCGACTTTTAAAAATGGAACGAAACTACTGGTGCGTTGTTGTATCTCCATCTCAAAGCATCTCACCTACTTTTGGCGCTAATTCTGGAGCGGTGGCATATCCCATAATGCTTGGATGTTCTATTTTGTGTTCGCGTAATATTTGCCCGACACTGATATACGAATAATCTTTTAGCTGTCTTAATCTGTTACCTAACATTCGCTTTCCGCTTCCAGGGAGTCCTGCAATAATAATATAAAAAGACAGCCTCGCTACTAATAATTTTATATCGCGATTTGTCTTGGCTCATGAAGGAAATTAAACGTTCGTGTGACGGTCCCTTAAATCCTTCTATATTTGTTCAAATAACCTTGCACCATTTAAATTACTACAGAGCGCGGCCAAAGATTCTACTAACAGAACCAGTACCTAAGAGTATAATCGTTGGAAGATGAGAAAAATTTGGCTTAAATTTCTTATGCATCTTGTTTTGTGGGATGACAACGGAGGCGGTAGTGGACATCGTCACAGCTGAACAGATAATCACAGCTACAGCTTATAATCAGTGCGGCAGTCATTAAAAAATGTGGTTTTCAACAAATAAAGCTACCCGTAATACATAAAAACGTAATTAAATGTAAATTTTGGAATAACACAGCTGACAATGACATGATGAAGCAACTAGCAAGTATCAGCAAATTTGCAATTATTGCAGGAGCTCTACGTCAGTAATGGTTATACGAAAATTTTTATTAGCTTGGGTTAACAATTACGCAGTTATAAAATATAAGAACTTGTTAAGAATGAAACACTGCAGTGCATACACTCCGTAGGACCGTAGGTACAAAATTAGCAGTTTTCTATGGCTTCTGCTTACTCGTATCATCGTGCGTTGAGCAAGGCCAAGGTGAATGATGTTTTAAAATGATCATGACATTAATTTGTGTTCATTTTTTGTGGACAACCATGGAAACCAGTGCGTACGTACTGTAGACGAATTTTCAATATACGGACGGATTTCAGATCGGCTACGGCTTTTATTAGAAACAGAAAATACTTACAGTAACGATAAGTACCCTACTAATCAAACAAAATCAGAGGGAAAGGTTAACGTACTGCTGTACACTGCATTATGACAGTGTACTGCGCGCAAAACAAAAATGGCGAAAGGAAAAGTTTTTGTAAAAATACATACTCCGTATAAAGATACTGGACACTACACAAGCAACAAAAAAATGTTAAGTATGTCGAATCATACACAAATTCTGGAGTGAAAAACGTTTATTCCCTTAAATACAACTGCAAACAGCAAAACACACTGTACGATTAAAGAGTACATAATATAAAAACATATTATTATCTGGACAATATATTGTACATGTACACGACAATATACGTATCACCGATCATATTTCATAGTTGCGAAACTTCCGCACTGTATCAGATCCTCGTTCGCTGTTCCAGATCACTCTAGGCAAGTACGGCTCAGTGGCCGCCGCTGTACCGGTGGGAGATGGATTAGCGTTTCCCTCGCCGGAACTAGTCGCGCCGGAACTCGCAGGCGGCGCATCGATCATGGGCTCCTTCTTTGTACGAACGTACCAGTGCATCGACTGCAAAAATTAAATGGATTGCGCACGTTCCGTACAGTGCAGGACATAATATTTTACCCACATTAATTCGCCATTTCGTTTACATTAATCATTGTATGACGACAATCATAGTCGATTTAACATGTACGGGATATTGCGAACTTTTCCCGGGAAGTGCAGACCCTTTAACTTCACTATGCAAATCACAGAGTGTGGGAAAAACTAACTTGTTTCCATACGTGATTGGCATATGAAAATAATCAATAACGCATAAATTTTAATCAATACAGGACTTATATGCCAGTGTACCAGCCTTTACTGTACATTTTAATTCTTGCAATGTTACAGTGAAGCCGTTTTTCAAAAAAATAATACTTAGTTATACAGGTCTTACCGGTTTCAAACTCTCCCGTCGTGCAACCCACTCATCGTATCTGATGGGAAAAACCGTTAAGTGATTAAATTTTCATATCGAAATTGTTCTCATGCTCATTTATGCAGATCATACAGTTTTCAGCAAAGTCAAATCAGTTTTCAGCAACACACAGCTGATATCGGTTGTCGTTTTTTCGTTGTTATCGTTAGAAAAAAATATATTACAGTGAAACTCCTCTTAACATTCACCTTCATATAACATTCACCCCTTTACTGCATACATGAGGCTGGGAACCAAACCATCCGGTAGACTTTAACACAAGGGCAGTTCTCTATATAACATTCACCCCTTTACAGCCATAACATACACCTTTTATGGAACCGGTAACAGTTTTACCAGCTTATTCAACCCCAGCATAACATACAGTTGGCTAGGCTGGTAAAAAAAAACATTTCGGAGACTCTAAAACAAAGTTCCGGCTTCTATTTGTAATCCGTTCTGTACCGGATCTTCCAACTACAGGCATACATAAGGGCAGCAAAACCAACATTCAGACCGAATATATCCACACTCTGCTATTTTGTTAATTTTTTGGTTCAAGTAAAACCCTCGGCGGCTACGCCCCTGAGCCCTTGAAGGCAGTGCCCCTGGGGGTAGTGCTCCTGTATAACATACACCTCTCTGTAACATTCAGAAAGCCTGGAACGGAGGGTGTATGTTATAGAGAAGTTCCACTGTACCGGTCTTGCAGCACCCCATTCTAACATTGTAAAATAATTATGATGCTCGTATAGACCCGTACTTGTGAAATTGCGAATAATGTACAGAGTAGCTCAATGGTGACTTACGACACTTGGATGCCGCTTCGGCGCCACAAATCGTAATCACTGCGTTGTTTTTCATCCGACAGGATGTCTTTGGCACGCTGCAGATTCTGCATAACAATGTCCAGATTTTCACAAATTTACAGTTAATGCCTGTAATAAGATTTCAAGTCGCAAAAGCTGACCTGAAACCGTTCCGCTGCTGAGGAATCGCCAATGTTCTTGTCCGGATGACACTCTACCGCTTTGATGCGGTATTCCGTTAGAATTTGCTCCGGCTGCAAAACGAACCGCGATTAAAAATATAGAGTGCACTCTTACCTTTAATTCCTTATTCTAAATCGCGTAATCATTTTGAGATACTGATGAGTGATGCCACATGCTATAATGCATCGCGCTATCGAGTACCAGTTAATCAGCGTTAGTGAGAATGCGGTCGGAAAAATAGCAAGGGCTAGCTTAACTTACGGTAGATAATTCGTCACATCCTAAAATGCTGTAAAGATCATCGTTCGGATCAGGTTGGTAACTGAATATGGCGTCCATAACAAACGAAAATAATCACATAAACTGCTGATTTCCTTTGATAGTGTCTTATTAAGAAAAGAATTTCTAACATAAAACTGCACAAATGATTGCAAGAAAACCGAAATTTCCAAGTGGTACGACTTAGTTGACCACTGGATTCACGGAAATCAATAAGTAAACCATGATTCCTATAACTGCTGCATCACATGAAACAGCTGACGTTTGTAATACCACTAATTCAAAACCTCCAGACCATTATCTGTCCCCGTGTCTGGTACATACCATCTCCATCAAATGTTTACCACTCAGCTACAAAAGTTGTTATAGGTATATCATTTCATCGTAATCAAGTGTTGGATAGGGGTGTCAAAAGTCAATATCGATTCACTCCTGAATTAAATCGATGTAATCTATGGTGCAGCTTAAGCTGTTCCGGCTCGGTAGGCATTGTGACAGCAGTGTAACAAGCTTTTACCCAAACACCAGATCGCATTATTATTACGGATCCCTGCTCCCAGCCATAAATTAAGTTAAACATTCGATCCAACCAAATTACCGAAAACGTCACTTGTTCCATGGTGCGCACCAGCACAAATATGAATATATCAACGTATATACTTCTACAGATACTGTATTATTTGTAAAAGGAAACGCACTAGAAGGACTTTAAAAATTAAGACAGTTGTACAATATAGTGCGCATTCAGAGATCCAATAATATTTTATATTCTGCAGCTGCCGAGGAATGTTTTCAACATAAATAAGTACTTTGCACTTGCATAACACGCTTCCTTTACCTTACATTCAATTGTCTGATGATCTTCACAAAGAACGCTGGTATCTTCTACCTGAACTGACTGCGATCGCAAACTGTTCTTTCAAACATTTATTAGTTCTCTTTGAAATTAAATTAAGCAGAGACGTCATAACGCACTACATCTAACAGATTTAAATACTGCACACGTGTAAAAATCTAACACAGCTGTCTCAATCACTACTATTATAATCTGGACGTGTCCCACCGGATTTGCGCAACAATCGGACATTCTTGACAATCATCTTCTGACTCAGGGCTTTGCACATATCGTACACCGTCAACGCTGCAACCGTTACGGCTGTCAGCGCTTCCATCTCCACACCGGTCTTCCAACTGGCTTCCACTGTGGCCTCCAATCGCAGTTCAGAGGTTTCCGGCAGGTAACTGTGCTCCAGACGAACCACATCCAGCGAAATGGGATGGCACAGCGGGATCAGATCACTGGTTTTCTTAGCTGCGGTAATGCCGGCTATTTTGGCCACGGTGATGACGTCGCCTTTTTTCATGTCGTTGTTGTGGACTTTTTGGAAGATTTCCGGTCCGAGATAGATGGTAGCTTCAGCAACAGCGCGGCGATGAGTTACAGACTTGTCTCGAATCGATACCATGTTGGCTTTACCGGATGCGGGATCGACATGGCTGAATTCACCGGGAACTTTCGAGGAAAGCAGGGATGAGATGTATGAAAACCGCGACACCAAACATTTTGCGGAGATACTGGCTTGCAAAACATATTTTCCGATCCTTCAAAAAATAGGATGCAGTTAGTGTACGTGCGAAATAATCGCAAAAACAAAACTTTCTTGCATAATCAATCATTCCAATGAAACTATACGATACCTTCTATGAAAAATAAAAAAATGTAATTTCTCTAAGAACAAGTGTCTACAATAATTCAAAGACTATAAAACCGCGTAGACACAGTAATGATATTGCGCATAAAAGCATTCACTCCGTTACGCACGATGTTGTCATGTAATGGTGCAGCGTGTTCCATTTCGTCGAAAGTATAATTAAAATAAAAGAGCTGTGGTGAGAAGTAGGCGCGAAAAACTTTGGATAAAATAAAGAGCGGACACTTCTATTTTGTCGTCTAAATAAAACAAACAATGCCAGCTGTACAAGACCGTGCAGCAACCGGCAGATCTGTTCTGCTAACCAGTTTTTCTCTTTCAGCATTGATTTCGCATAACCAGCATAGAATAACAACAGCTGCAAAAACCGTGGCTATGAAACAGGAAAATTAAACTTCCACAAAATTAAAATCACATGTCTACGCGTCACGCATTTACTGAATGCATCTTGGCAAGTAATTCAAACTTCTCTCGTTAAGGTATCGATGAAATTTGGGAACATTTACGGTAACATAATCCATCCGAAGCATTCAAGATTTAAAACTCTTTATCACTAGTTATTCTTTTTACAACGCTTCTTTTGCCACTAGCATGATGGAAATATCTGTTCATTATAGTATTACTAGTATCTTACTATATTACTAGTACTATCTTACTATATTACTAGTATTACTAGTACTAGTAAAACAGAAATGCTTACCGGAAAATTCACCCACCAATGAGAATCATAGGACGCCCAGGCTGTTTCGCAATGTTAAGCATCCCTGCAACAGATGTTATTGTTAAGATATTTATGTGATGCTTTAGATCAATTCTCAAGGCTAAAACCAGACACTAGTAACACTACTACTTAAAAAAACTGGGTAAGTTATTTCGTTTAAACTGCAGAACGGTAAACGGTAAAAATTACTAACCGGCATGTTGTTTCTTTTTTCTTTTAACAGCCGCACCGATCACTTCTTTCAGTTCATCATTACTAGCGCCAGAACGCAAAACATCTCGCAATGAAACCTCAGCATTTCCGAACAAGCACACCTACGAAAAATTTCGCGCTGCGTGAACGAGAAAGTAAATCTTTTCAGTAAGCCCACAAGCATCTGCACCATAAGCTAAAGATAACCGAATAAACAAAACTGGCACTTTTCCAGCATAATGCATACGTATTCACGTTGAAATTTCTTTCAGGCAGACAAATATGCGTAATAACAAATTATCATATCTTATAGTAATATTCAATTAACAAATGTGGCCGTAGAAGCTATCAAGCAGTCTTTATCGAACAAATGAATGTTTAGCGCTAAATAAACAATCAGCGACCAAGAGAGATAACGTACTTTGAGGTTTCCGTCCGCTGTGAGACGCAGACGATTGCAAGTTCCACAAAAATTTGCGGTCATGGAAGTTATGAAGCCGAACTGCCCAACGTATCCAGGTATTTTGTATGCCTAAAGTAACGTAAACGCATACTTACAAGTGAAACGCAGCATGCAATATGTACAAGAAAGTAGAAGTGATAGATTTTTCTTTTTCTCTATCTACGCATTTACCATTAAATACCCAACAGTGCACCCTCCCATCGCAAATGATAACCATTCAAACTTTCTCACCTTTGAAGTGTCGTTCGGTTTATCTGTTAATCTGACAATTTCCGGAAACCTTCTCTTGACAATATCCAGCATTTCGGCATAAGGCACAATTTTTTTATCGTTCCATTTATTTCCGTCGAACGGCATGTATTCAATAAAACGCACATCCACAGCCTATCAAATGAGCGATGCATTTTCAGCAAGAGTATGTCGCACACACTCCTGATATGTCTACCTTATTTCTTGTCCATTCCACAAAATCTGCTATTTCGTCCTCGTTCACTCCTCTCGTAACCACGCAGTTCACCTGAAAATCGTAATTTTAGTCACTTATTTAAAATCGCTCCTACGTGGACCGTTCCGGAATAAATTTAAGCGATTCGAAAAATAACTCTGTCCAGGACAGATACGGCAAATACAGCCAACTGATTGTACTGCCAAGTGCAGACGTCGATACTATGCGTAGAAGTACTGAAAAAAGCAAACAAACCTTCAGGGGCCGATATCCATGGTCAATAGCCGTATCGATACTTTCAATGACTTTTTCCCATCCGCGTCGGCGTGTTATGAGTTCGAACTTGGCAGGAACAAGGGTGTCCAGACTAACATTGATTGTGCGCAGTCCAGCTTTGTGGAGCGCTGGAAGTTTCTTAGCCAATAAGATCCCATTGGTCGTTATGTTCACTTCCTCCACTTCATCAAAAGCATTAAGTCCCTCTACAACAACAACATTACTGTGTCACTACCGTAGTACTCCCAAGTCAGTACTGCTCGTAACCAGAACGAGACACGTTGGTGACCACAAGCCCATGTTGCTTCATAACAAACAAAAACTAAAAGCAACTGTTGATAGCTACCACAAGTGCGAAAAAAACGCAAAACTGTTCTATTTTGCCAATCTGAAGTTGAAAATTTAAATCCTTACCACATATGTTAACGATATCCGTTCGCAGCAGCGGCTCTCCGCCGGTCAGCCGAATCTTCTTCACCCCACCGGACACGAATACCGATGCCAATCGTAGAATCTCGGTTGTAGTTAATAGGTTGTCCTTTTTGGTTAAAGGAACGCCTTCGGCAGGCATGCAATACTGACCTGAAAAAAACAACAGCAACACACTTAACTAACGGATTTACTAAACACTTAACTAATGGTTACCATTTATGATTTAACTAAAAATAAGCAACAATTACTAGATAATAATTCTCATGTATTTTATGTTGCGCAACTGCTGTGTTATCATTCAATTTTTGTTTATATATGGAAGTAGAAAGCACTTAAACCTCCCGAATACCAACTCACATCGAAGATTGCATCGCTCGGTGAGGCTGATGCGGAGGTAGGTATGTTGTCGTCCGAATGTGTCCCGGAGAAATTCAGCATCCCCAGGGGTATTCCTTATATTATTAACTGCCTAATATCATCAGAGCCGTCATTAAATTTTTGTATGTTATCGCAATGGTGAAGGCGGCAGAACAATAATAATTTTCAGAAGCAATATCAAAACGATACAACTGGATAATCTGCTATCATTTGCGCGCAATACGTATGCCAGACAATAGCTACAAGTCGAGATAAAATTATGTCTAATTACGGATTAGGCCGGTAGATTCAGTTTTCGAAATGCATATGTACGGTACCTGTCTTTCTGCCACTTGACTGATTTCGGGATCGTACTCAGGAGAATCCCATAACGGCGACACGGCGGCCGATGCAAATCGCCGAACTTGAACGGGTTGTCGCAGAACGCAAGAAATTAGAGCCCGTAAACCGGACGACTTCATAATTATTCACCAAGCAGCTTAAAACTGCATCCAGTAAAGGTTATCTAGAAGAAGCCGTGCCGTAATTATTGCGTCTGATTGCGTACCGCTTTATGAAATCGACAAACAAGCACGAGTAAGCGGATGAATTATGCACGACAAAAAACGAACCAATATGCACACCTTACGCTGCAGATTCTACTTGAGTCGACTGCAACAAGAAATATGATGATAAGCTGCGTTATGCATGGAAGTCTTGGCTATCCGGTATTTGCGTATGCATTTGGCGACATTCAAGAACGGCGAAGAACCTGTTCCGAACTAAACCGTCAAAATGGGTGACATGTGTACGCAAGCGCCGCCGATGTGCTTGTGCACAATGCGAATGCATATGCTGTACAATCTTTAAACGGCAAAGTTCCGCAGACGCGATTAGAGAACAGCAGCGTTCACAATTATTAACGTTAGGAAAGCTACATTATGAGAAATTTGCTCCGAGATATGACATTCAGTTAGTTGAGTACGCAAGTACGACCACGATTCGCATTAGGTACTCAGAAAACTAATCTAATGTAAACAACAGCTGATCGATTTTGCTTGGCCAAGAGAAATGCGCACACTGCGCGACCGGTATTTGCGCGAGCTCCCCTAAGGATGCAGCAATCCGATCGCATACTCGCTACGCCACCGTCCACTGCCGCTCGTCACGCCACCAAAAAAATGGCAAACCGCCTTCTCAGGTGGTTGCCGGTAAAACAACATCAACCGAATTTTCTTGAACTGAAGATCCTTTGATTTCCTACCTAGTTTTTAAAGTTTGTCTTTGTCGGCGGGTATTTTGAAAGATATTTTCTCACTTATTCTTCTTATTTGTAATTCATTTTAGTACTGATTCTGTAAAAACAATATTTTACTTAAATTCATTGGTTTTATTCGCAAGTGTTGTGCTTCTTATTTCCTGTAGAAGTGGTGCATATCCTTCGACGCTGCAGAGATACAGCGATACTAATTTTATAAAGACTTTCGTCACTTTCCTGTGATTACTGATTGGTAATTGGACATGGCTTCCCGAACTTTCCGGGAAGTTTTCAGACATGCTCACAAAGAAACGTTTAATTGGTTTCCTGGTCATATGAAAAAAGGTTAGTGATAACTCGCAGTCGCAAATGAGAACCACGTACTGGAGAAAGGGATCTGCAGGTATGCGCCTGATGCAGCAGAGACTTCGCTCCATCGATGGTATCATTGAACTGCACGACGCTCGCGCTCCGCTGTCCGGCCGTAATGATCTCTTCCGGCAAAATCTGTCCCTGGTACGACCGCATCTGCTGCTTCTAAACAAGAAGGACCTGGCTGATTTAACGAGGCAGGAACAGGTTGTGCGGCGGTTAAAAGAACAGGGAGTCAGCGAAGTGTTTTATACGGACTGCCTTCGCGATCAGGATGAAACCGTCAAACAGGTACGTTTCTTGTTTTCGCGCATGTCAAGATTTTGTTTTTAACAAAATTGCAACTTGATTATTATTCGACAGTATAGATCATGCCGAAAATGGTGGATATGATAAAAACCGGGCAGCGGTATCTAACCCCGAATGTAAGTCAATCCGCATACTGCGACATAATTATACGCTCATATTAAGAAGCTGAATATTATATAGTATGAACTCATATTTTTAGAATTAATCATAGTTTGTAGTTGCAGTGCCACTTCAATCGGTAATAGTCGTCAAAATAACGAAAACTGCAAACGTGGGCACGTTGCTTCTACAGTTAAAATTTAAACTTTGCAAAAGTTTGTAGTTGCTGCTTGCTGGTTATCTGTGGCTTATAGCTGTGGATTGCGGTTCTCACGAAAAATGTTTCCAGATGTCCGCGTACTGAGATCTGTTTGTTGTAGATGAAGGCTTCCAGTTATACCCTAATGATCATCGGTGTTCCTAATGTTGGCAAATCTTCGTTTATCAATGCCGTACGGCGAGTTTTCACGAAAAGAGGTACTTGCTTAATTAATATTGAAGTGTCTTCAGTTTTACACTGGATGATAATTATTAGTGTGCGCGTATCAGCGCATGGTACACTATTTTGCGAATTAGAAAATTAAATCCTTCATTTTGTATTTCATGGTACACACTTTCAGTTATTTAATCAAATCGATTTAATATTTGTTAAAGATTTCTAAATTTGTAGTATTTCTTCCTTTTCCTTAACATACTGTATGCAGTGGTTTGTCACCTCGAAATCTGCAGTACTTTACGCATTTTCACCTTTGGGGCTTTTACATTTCCAGCATTTCGGTTTATTGTTGCAGCAAAAGCAGCACATGTTGGCGCAATGCCCGGAATAACACGCGCCGTACAAAACGTTATAACCGTCTCCGAGAAACCTAGAATTGATGTTATCGATACGCCCGGAATCGCGCATCCGTCAATAAAGAGTCCCGATGATGCTATGAAATTGGCACTTTGCCATATCATGGATGATGTGTTAGTTGGAGAAGAACTTATAGTCGATTATATGTTATTTTGGTTCAATCGGCGAGGTGATTTTAGGTGAGAAAAATACCTACTGTAGATTTTGCTCCGCAATTCTCAGATATCAAACTTTGGAGTTTTTTGGATTTCCGTTTTTCATCATAATTACCGAGTTGTTATTGTTAAGGTATGTTGAACATTTGGGTTTGACGGAACCAGTGGACGATGTGAGAATTTTATTGGTACAATATGCTGTTCAGCACGACTTGTTCTTGTCAGTGAAAAGCGTCGAAGGTAACAGTTTGATTTATGGTTTGAGTTCTTGTTAACTTCGTAATTTTTAGTTATCATCTTTGGTATATCTGTATTTATATTAGCTTTTTGAAATACTCTGTGGCTTGGGGTTGTGGTAATTTCGATTGAACCCTGTTCCGTTGTTGTACCTGCAGTTGCCTGTGTTAGCCATGTTGACGTTCTGTTTTGTACCCATGAATTCCCTTTTTTTAAAAATTCGATATTGATTTTGTTAAAAAATTTGCTTCAGGTTAGCATCCTCGACATCAAACAACGCTCTTTCCTATCTGTGTTGATGTTTGTTGTTTGTAGGGTCCATCGGATATCGCAAGATCCCGAATTTCCTTTTGGCTGCTCAAAGAATACTAAAGATCTTCCGTAGCGGTGAAATGGGTAAAATCATGCTGGATGATGATAAATTAGATCTTTATCGTTCCTGATACTCTATGAAACCACCATGCCCTTTTTTGTGATATATAATGGTTTGTGCCTCTCTTGACATAGGGTTTTGTTTTTACTTGTACATTTCTTATTGTTAAGCCGCTTTACGTTATGGTGAACGCGTGCTTTTAAATGAGTGCTGTAAGGATTGCCAGGAATATGATGAATGCCGGTGTGCTGTCTGAAAAAAAGAAGGATTCGATGACTTATAATTCGTAGTATGTCGGCTCAAATTGAATGATTTACGTAAAGAAGATGATTAAGCGTGCTGCATGTATTTAGAATAATATTTCTGAACAAACTGTCTAATTTCAGTGATAACCGCAAAAAGGGATGGAATCACCCTAATTAGAGATTAGATATCAGTGTTGTACTTACAATCTATGATCATATCAGAAATGTTATGGTGCTGTGATCCGCGATTTGATCAGTGGAAGGTTAATTACCAATTTTCGGCGTCCAGCACTGTACCCTGCGATTGTTATGCCATTGCATTTCGTGGTGTCTCCAGCTGCATACCGCGTGCAGCTACGTTTATATATGTATATATAAAAATCGCTGAGCAGTTCTGGAATGGTTAAACCGTGCGTTACATTTGATGATATCAGGAATCTCGTGCAAGAAATTTACGGCTTAACTGTCACAAGCGCTAAGCAGCTGGATGGCTACGATGACGCAAATTTCTTCATCCAAGTGGGACAGGGATCGGACAACGCGAATATACCAGCCCCTGCGCCCGATGGATACGTCCTGAAGATCAGTCATGGGAAATTTACTTCCCATTCTGAACAGCTAAAAGTTCAAAATGAGTTGATGCACTGCCTTAGCGGACAATTAGGACCTGTCCAGGTTCCGATACCACAAGCCACTAAGGAATCGAAAACACTGGGATATGTTGACTTGCCGATGCGTGATGCCGGTACAACTGGCGGTACTCCTGTTACCTGTAAGCGTCACGGAAAATTATTTGTTTTCGATATTGCATCAAATTCGTGTAAATCCATTCAGGTGTTCTATATAGATAAAAATATTATGTGACGTGTAAATGCATATCGGAATGCAAAGTTGCTGTATATATCTTTGACAAATTCTTTTCGCGGTGAATAGACAAAAAATTTTATTTTGTATTTTTTTGCATCACTGCGTAACCGTCTTTGGACATTTCAGCAAAGCATATTATCCGTTTATATTCCTTCATTCCTGGCTCCATGATGTCGTCTGTCAAGTGCGAACCTAGCGCCGAAACTCTTATGGACATTGGAGTTTTAGCCGCTCGCCTGGTGCAGACGTTTTCGGTAAAATACTTAAATTAATCCAAAACTAAATTAGTTGATATCAGTCAACCAGCGAAATATTTCTTGCAATGCGTAAATTAAAAGTGAAATTTTACTCTCGAATTCTGTATAGGGATGCGACGGAGATGCCAGATTTGCCGGTGTACTGAGCACCGCCTCGTCCATGCTGTGGTCGCTGGAGGGCATCTGTGCCGGGTATTTGGAGCCTCTCCTGCAAGCAGTGGACAATCCTTTGAAGCTGGAAATATTTCGAGATATTATTGGGAAATTTCGACGGCAAATGTCGGAATCGTCACCGTTTTTAGAACGAGGTATGCGTTCTTCAGTAGTCTCTACGGTAGTGCTCTTGTACAAATGAAATTTATTTAATAAGATCAAATGAATCCGGCTTAAAATTTGATGCAGTTTAACTTGCTCCGAGCGATCTCTTTCTGCACAAATCGGACAACTACTAAAGAGCACCGGGTGCGATAAGTCTATTCGCCATTCATGTCCGTTATCATCGTTGTTCCTTATCTGCTGTCCTCGATCAGCACGCGCTTAGTTAATTATTTTTTACATCTGTGCTAAGTCATATTTTTGTAGTCATATGGGGACAAAACAAAACTGCAATAAAATTGGTTATAGTTAAATAATACATTCTGCAGGGATCATTCATGGAGACATTAACGAAGGAAACGTTCTGCTGAACCGTGCAGCAGGTGAGTTTTCCCGCCCAAAGCCGCTCTCTATTGCATAATAAATATGCAGATACGTTGTGAATATGTTCGGATACATATAGATATAGTTTAATTTTTATTGTTCTATTCCCTTTTCGACTACTGTAACGCAGCATTGTGAGGCTGAATCGCTGACCTTTGTGGTGAATTTGTTTTGCATTTTCGATAGCCTTGAATTTTGTTGTCTTCTTAATCAGATGGGGAAGACTGGATGCTGAATGGTCTTATTGATTTTGGTGATTTACACCAAAGCTGTCGGATCTTCGAACTGATTCTGGCCATGATGTACATGATGCTGGAGTGCTTTGACAAGGGCACACTCGATCCGATTGAAGCGGGCGGATATGTTTTGGCGGGATATCTGTCCATGCACGTGATAAGTCCAGCGGAAATCAGAATGTTGAAAATCGGCATCGAAGCCCGCTGTGTACAGTCGCTCGTTATTGGATTGTACACGTACAAGTTTGAGCAACCAGGAAATATGTATGTTCTCACCACGCAAACCAAAGGCTGGGCGGTTCTGGAGAAACTGTACGGTATGTCGGAAAGACATCTTTTTGGGCTCTGGGATAAAATTTTGTTGAAGGCGTTGGGGAGAGAGTTTTTCCACACTTCTTCGGGAACTAACCTGACCATTTCAAATCTTGCTAACTGACACTGTCGTTAGTATGAATTACAAAATTATTTAGTGGCATATTAGAAATTAATTCAAACGAGCTTACCGACGCTGATGCTGGCATTTTTGTTCCTCAGTGTTTTGATTTGATTTTTAGCATTTTTGTGATCTCATGATCAAGCGACGAATATCGTTTATCTGGCAACGAATAAACAAACGAAAAATCAAATTTTGCAATAATATCTACGTATCGTGCTGGCACCACTAAATTATTACTGTAAGTGCGAGTTTAATTGTTGGAAAATCCGCCTCAAAGGTCAGGTAATGGTCACCGGAACAACTGGCCAACAAGCCAAACGCGCGGCCTTCTTCCTGACAATTAAAATTTATAAATATAAATGATTTACTTGTCATTAGTGTACGAGCAGTATCAACTTCCCATGCTAACTTCCCTTCCCTCATATATCTAGAATTCGTAGATCAAACTGCCAAGTCGGGGCAGAATGCGCCCGAGAATCCGATTTTATAATATCCGATACGAGGTGAACTACATCAAAGGTAGTTCATTCTGTATAGCTGGATAGCTGCCGATGTTGTAAATGATTTTTATTATGATTTTAAGTATCAAGTTTATTCGAGCTCTACGAGAAAACCGAGATCTCAGAACTGCCGGTTTTTAAACAAGATTATGGTTCTGGACATAGAAGTACAACAGATACTATACCTCTCGCAGGATTCAAGTGATTCAACACCGGTCGCCGGGTATCCTAGGCAAAAATGGTACGCGTCGCAAAATAACAATTCACGGAAAACAAAATAGGAATTCACTGTTTCACGCACTTTTCTTATGCTTTACATCCTCCCGATGTCAAATGTCAATACAAAACATGACGACGCAAAAGTAATACAAGCTGTAATTAACAATTTGTCTCGATACAGTCATTTAGTTTTTAGAATTTCATCCAACAAAAATACTCCTTGAAGACGATTTTTAGGACAAAATTCTGTCGAAACATTATTTCCGAATTAGTTGTTGACTATCAACAGGTTCGTAAACGTGAACGTTATACCAATATTGTACTTATTATTTATTAGTAAAGTATATTTCGTACGGAACATATGTAAGTTTACAAAGAGTAATACGGCACATTTATGGCTGCAGCCGGTCATCGTTTTAAAGGTCAAGAATCGTTCTATGTGCTGCTGCATGAACAACGAGGCGGTCAGAAAATGTTTACTAATCAAGTTTTCCTACTGCAAAAGCCGGGGATTGCTCTCAGCTTATGCACAGAACTCAAATAAATCCATGGTGAAGGATGAATCTTCGATTTTAAAGAGCTTGTAAGTGCTCTTTGTGTTCTGGAGACATCCATAGGCGATTCTTCCCTACCCTCGATGTCACTCTGCTAATTTCCAGGGCACTGATTACATGCCGGCTGTGTCCGTAAACGTGCACAATACTTTAATCACAAATCAATGACAGTGGCATATTGTATCATTCGCGGGAACTTGACACTGTAACAGATTCTGTGGTAGGACAATTGTGGTGTTAAACAGTTATAATACAAATGTATTAATTTCTCTACCACAAAATCTGTATGACTGTATAGAATAATTTATTCCGTGCAGCTTTAAATTATGACGTATTTTCAAAACAAACTCGGTTGATATTTTTCAGCAGTACTAACCGTAAGTCGCATAACTTCGGACGCAACGCTGCAACCTTCGAGTAAGTATGCTGTACTGCCTAGTGTGTATACTCGTACTTATACTTTATGGTGACGCAGTGTGAGTCTGTGACAGTACCTAACAACAAAATTTTCACGTTAACGTTCTTGCTTGTGTGAATGTTTTTGTTTTTGCGTTTAATTCGGATTTCGCCGAAATCGAGTTGTTCTAAGGTTAATCATACGAAACTTCGCCAAATGCTACCCAAGAGAGTTAAAATTTCCGGAAGGAACGTGCAAAACCGTAATAATTGCTTCCAGTGTGCACTACAAATCGTACCAGGAAGAGAAAAAATCACTTACCAGTTAGCTTAAATTGATTAAGGTACGTACGCTGATGTTTTCCCTGGAATTGCTGGAGTACACTGGATGGATGGCTGATAAGGCCGCACATCCATTTGCTAATAAAACTGTGGGTTTTGGGTCATACTGGTGAACGTAAAGTACGAGCATAAAGCACTCACGCCGACCAGTCGCTTTGCAATTTGCGATTAAGAACAAATACCCTAAAGGATTCAGTACATAGTGTTCTCATGCTTTAATAGCGTTTTTACGTCAAGCAGTATAATCAAGAGTTGATCTTCTGCATTGTAGCTTTCTGCAAACAGGACTTTGCAAATATTAAACATTTCAAATAAATGTGTCAACATGTGCAGCACCTCCCAAATGGTTCAAACCCGGTCGACAGATTCAGCTTCCCAGATCTAGATCGAAGCCGCAACTCATTGCAGATTACTGCAGTTTTTGGCATAACACTATCATCAGGTGCTTCTATTGTACATAAATGCACATATGGATACACACAGTACACTGCAATAATTTCCATTGCAATTTTATGATATCAACTTAAAATTTTATAATTTTAATGCCTATTTTTTGCGTTATTTTAATATGTACTTGCCTATACTTGAGAAAAAAGTATACTCGTAGATATGATGCATACAGATTGCACCTACATCGATATCTTTTGCTTTTTGATTTTCATATTTACTTACTTACTACCAGTAGCATCGCTACAAGAACTTACGGTTAGAAGCTGGCGCGTCAGTTATCTACGATGTTGTGACCCTAGTACTACAGTAGCGCAGGCGAAAGTGCCGATAATAATAACAATAATGACCATGACACTTTCGACCCGCGGAACATCCCGCTAGTACACTGAACACACAATAAATCACTCATTATAAGGCATCAACGGCATCTGATTTGAACTTCCGGTGGATGTCTGCCGTTCCTCACAGGAATGACGTAGCAGTTACTGATAATTTCAGCTCCGGATCCCTTGTTGCCGTTATGTTGCATTACTTAGACGCACTGCTTCTTCGCGATAACCATTCCCTTGACTCTAAAGGATGCATACTCTACTCCGTATCGCAAAAACGGTGTCAGCTATTTGGGAGCAGTCGCACGTGAACAAGAGTAGTCTAAGCCCTTCCGTCTATTAAAAAAGCGCTGCATTTCTACTGTGTCCCACAGGTTTCCTTGATACGTACAATGTTAGCGTTACACTCGCATTCACCGGCAGGCGCTTATCCTGGGATGCATTTTAAATCCTTTAGCATTTATATCAGTTTTCTAAGGTTTCAGAAAATTGTTTAGACGTTGTCGCAGCCTTTTTTCTGTACCAATGGGCTAACATTACGATCAACAGTACTGGCACGTAGTAAACGCACTATGAGTAGAGTCAGTAGACCTAGACTGTACATCAAGTTGCCATTTGTACTACATGCCGCTTACGCTGTCTATTGATTGCTTATTCTTGTGCAGTGCGGTTAGTGCTACTTGGCACTTTTGCATTGACTTAAGACTTAAGTCAATGCATTTCTTAAGACTTATTAAGTATTGTTAAAAGATTTTATTAATCGTTCAATACCGCTAGTTACGCTTGTACAGAAAAGCTTTTTGTTTTCGTCGGTCTGTTTAATACTTAAAATGGCAACTCAGTTTATATTAAACTGTTTATTTTTGTCCCACCATATCTTTGCACTGTATACTTAGTAGTTATAGGGCCCTTATAGGTGAATATTTTTTGTTTAGACAACTAAACTTTTGTGTGCATTTGACCAGGAGAGCACAAAAGCCGAGAAGTACAAATTTTGCCGCATCGGTCTGCAGAAAACGATTTAATCCGGTGTAGTTGTTTGTATTGGGGCGTTCTAGCTAATGACAGTGTTTATGGCTTTATGCCTGTCATTTGACTATAATTTTGTCTTCCAGTTTGATTTTGCTACTACTTCCGCATCAAGTGTATCGTTGTCGAGTGTCCAGTAGAGCTCACTCGGCAGTTTTCCTTGGCGTGCTTCCCGGTCCCCGCATCAAGTTATGCAGGTTGTTGATAACCGGATCCCGACTATCCAGAATCGCCTTTAATTAGATCGTTTCAACACATTATATGTATTTGAAAAGTCGGACCCACTAAGCGGCCCCTTAGTCGGCAAATGCCGCCTGATGAAAATTGAGGATTTCTGCGCTTGGAACTGCATGATGGATCCAGAAACGAAGGCTATGCCGCATGGGGCGGCCAACTACACGGATCCTGACCGGTGAGAAATAAAATTTACTGGATCTGCCCCAAAAAATTGAGCCTGGCTTATGTTTTTACTTTTTCTTAGATTTGGTCAGGTTTTTCTTAGATTTGGTCAGGTAGCAAGTAAAAGGCATCTGATAACGGTATAATAATTTTAAATACTTTTCATCAATCGATTCCATAGTTTTATTATGCCCTACTGAAAATGTATATAATTATAATTAGAAAATATGCTATTACGAAAGTAGTTTTATATGTAAGTACATTTGCGTAGTCAATAAAAAATCGATATCGAATAGCCTGGTTGATCATAATGCGCAGGCAATATTTACGCTCTTGTATTGTTGTTGGCAGCGGTAACCATGATTCCTGCGGACAAACTAGAATATGGTGGATTTTTTTGTTCTCCTCCCTGCTGTGTCCGGTTGTGTTGGCCATCGTTGTTGGTTTGATTAAACTGATCTGGATATTTCAAAGGATTAGAATACGCAATCAGCAGCGCTACTACTTGACCACACAACGCAATGAGCATGCTTCGACAACAAATAACTGGCAATCATGGACTGCTCAATATGGGCATTTCTGTGCTCGGATCATTTCTGCCCAATCCTACCCCGGAAAAGTTTTGGTAACTTACTATCTATACGGAAAACACAAAGTTGAAACGGGTAACATCGGTTCAGCCCGCTTATTCCCGTACGTCAGTGATAAAAATATTTTTTATTTGCAAAATATAAATGCTGATTTGCAAACATTCAAAAGAACCAGTTTTTCAAATATAGCGGTTGATTTTTGCAAAATACCTTATGCGCTGGTAAATTAGTAATGTTATTTTTCCTAGCAGCTAGAATCGTCATCATGTGGGAGGATGCGCTTTGGGGTTGGAGATTGAAATAAATTTTGTTCAAATTTATTTACTTTTTCTAAAATATTATATTTATAGTGTCAGTATCACCGGCTCATAATTTATAATATTACTCAACTAGATAAAACACTGAATTTACAGTAACGCAACATTACAGCGCGCCGCGTTCACGCGCACTGCTAAGAAACCGGCCGTTTCGGGCGGTGCTTTAATAGGAAATCGGATAGATAGAAGTCAGCGTGAATGGGGCCTAATTTACGTATCATGAAGACAAAATTATACTTATACGGTAATTATTATTTTCATTTTTTGTATGTTTTAGATGGTTTTGGAGTTTGTGGTTGGGATGATTTCCCTCTGCATTTATCTTTACAACGTTTCTTGGTAAGCGTTGAATGGCCGAATACCTTCAACCGTGTTCATGCAGAGTAATCCATTAACCTAAAGGTCAATACCTCATAATTGCGCACTCATTCGCCGAAGATTTATAGAATTTAAGAGGCACGGAATCTATCATCTTAAGACTAGATGCAGTGTTTGACTCAGATGTGTTAAAAATCACTCATTTTGCAGGAAAATCAATAACGTTGAAAATTGCTCTCGCGGACCTTTCAGTGTTGATTGGTATATTGATTTCACATGCAATATTATTCTAATGGTTACCTTTGGGTTGCGGGTAAGCAGTGCAGTAAGGGCGACATTTTCATCAAAATGAGAAAAGTGGAAATCGAATACCTGAATTGTTTACATTGGGAAAATGATCCCGCCGGCTTCATCCGGTTTTACCATAGCATCTTAATCATTAGAGTATACTTGACCCTTAAATACAAAGGTTATCAACACAAAGGTGTTTACTGAACTTAATCCGTAATTACGTATAAAATGAAACAATTAAACGAATTTATTTAAAATTTTATAAAATGTTTTAAATAAAATTTATCTGTATTATTTTTTGTGTGCTTAGCTCTGCGGAAGCGCCAGGCCATTTGTGTATCTTTTGGATCTCAACGCAATTGCCAATTACTGTACAGTTCCTCCGGCATTTTTATCACTGATTACGCACCGGCACTGGATAGGTACGGGCAAAAATGATTATTCATCTACGAAGCAGCGATTCAGAATTTTATTCACTAAATTACCTGTTTATGAACATGATTTAAGTTGTAAAACTGTTTAGGATTTCGATGCGCGCGTGCATACCACATTATGTCCGTGTCCGAAATCCTGCAGACATTTGGATTATTGACAACCCGTCCCATGATCCGACTCGCCCAGAGCCTGTGCCTGATAACAACAATTTTACTAGCATGCAGTGGCGTATTCCATTTGGTACGATCTTACTGTATTTTACTAGGCTATACAACTGCACAGCTGTGCTAACATGTGCACAGTTTTTTCATCTTTCCGCTAATTTTTGTTTGCTGCAGTTGGAAAACAGTGGAGACTTTTGGCTTAACCAGCCACGCATCCACAACTTGTCCTACTTTGAATCCGTATACTTTTCCTTTGTCACTCTATCGACAGTGGGATACGGTGATATTAATCCCGAGACAACATTAGGACGATTGTTTTGTTGTGTATTTGTTATGACTTCATTGGTAAGGTGGATTTGTTAATTCAGGTTTCGTAAATATTTTTTGGTAAAATATGAAATATTTTGCTAAAGTATTTTTTGCCTTTTCTGACATAGTAACTCCTTGCCATAATTGCGATAATATATCATCCAACTTCCGTGGTACAAAGTATATATATTGCGTTATAGGCCCTGTTTGCTTCGACAATACCGGAAGTCTATCTGCTTTATTGCAATCGTAAGCGTTTTGGAGGAAATTACCGACCAGAGAACGGAATTGGACATGTCGTAGTTACCGGGCGCATCGACGCATCATTCATGTCCCGTTTTTTGAGTGATTTTTGTCGTGAGGATCGAAGAAGGGATGATGTTCGCGTGGTTTTCGTTGGACAGTAAGAAATAATAGTGATCATGACGTATTTTTACACTGTGATGTGATGAGTTTTAATTCAGCGTTATACAAAAGATGTATGTAACAATCAAGCGGAGTACTGTGACAAGTGACATATTTATCGATAATCCATATATTGTACGGATAGTTATGTGCATGTGTATAATGTATGGGAGTGTGTTTTGTAATTTAACTTGTTGTGTCTAGACAAATGTTCCATTACAGAACCCGTTAAATTTTTATGTGCACCGTCTGATCAATGTTTGCAGTGTACCGGATGTCGAAATGGAGTCGGTGCTGAAACATTACGGATCAACCGTAGTTTATTTGGAAGGATCGCTCATGCAGATCCAAGATCTCCGCCGAGCGCAACTGCACCATGCAATGGCCTGTTTCGTCATCACCGACAAAAGTTCACCGTCTCCCGTAAAAGAAGACCTGGCCACGGTTATGCTGGTGACCTCGATAAAGAATTTCCACCCGCATACGAGATGCATAGTCCAGCTGTTGCAGAACCAGGCCAAGGTGAGCGAATACATTTTCAGTTCTTTACAACAGAATACCGACACAGCAGAGAATTAGAGTAACGTTACTATAAATCTCTATGCGGACACAGTCAGATTCAGTATTAAGTATATGCACTCGCCAAATTATTTGTAACCGGATTACAGCTAATTGTAAACAAAGGAAACATTCGTGCTAATTGCCTTCAACAGGGAAGGTTAAGGTTAGCTGGCCATGGATTTCCCAGAGTTGCACACATATCGAAGTATCAAGACAATGCAATGTCATCTGTTCGAACATGATACAACCATATAGTTAATTGTAAACAAATCTAATAAGTGCTATCGTAAAATATTAGATCACAAGGCATATAATAATTCTTATGACCTTTGGGATTATAAGCAATACCTAATAAAATTATTTCACGCTTTTTAGCCTTTACTCCTGAATATTCCTGGGTTTGCCTTGAAGAGAGGTGACACGATCGTGTGCTTTCAAGAAATCGAGTACGGATTAATTGCTCAATCGTGTATTGCTCCTGGGGCGTCGACCTTATTGGCTAATCTTATACAATCCCCATCGCGCAACATCATCCTGGCACCGCGACGCGAAATCATTCAGGACTTTGTCTACGGCAGCCAATTGGAGCTATTTGTCAGTCCCTTTGGCGCGTATTTCCTGGGCATGAAATACACGGAAGCAGCGGAGTAAATTATTAGTCCTCTCACAATCAGTTTTTCCCACAATGATTACTATAATCGTATTTATTAAAGTGGCTCAAAAATGCTTTCAGGCAGTGCTTTACCAAACTGCACCTGCTGCTCATTGGACTTTTCCGACCGGAAAGAGATAATCGCAAGCAAGGCTTGCTACTCTGTCCGGTTATGTTAGTGATTACGGAGGATCGGGTGGGGATTTTTGTTGCAAAAAGTTCCAGTGATGTGAGCCGGTAATTTTTTTATACATTCTTTTACGCATTATAACGCTACCTATGTACCTGCTTATACAGCAGTCAGTAAAACAGCAAACATAATATGTACTACCGTTTATTTCAAATGTCTCAAACCTCTAACAAAATACTTGCTTAAAGTACTAAAAACAAAATTATTAACGAAAACGCTCATAAATATCTCAGTATGTATACCATTAAATTTGCTTAATACTTAAAACAGAGTGCGTCACTACTGCTCGGTATGCCACCGCCATGAAACGGATCCTCAAAAAATTACTCACTGCAAATGTTCAAAAGGTACTTATGTCGAGCAGTTTCATAATACTGTACTAACGCACGGGTTGCGTGAAAACAGATCTAGAACAATATTGATAAACATGCACTTCCGGCATTGAAATTAGATGACATGTTGCATTCTGTTTCCGTATAGCTGACAGTCGGCCGGTATATCCAGCAATCCGAAATCCGTTTGAGCGTTTGTTGAAAATTACCGGCGTCGACTTGAATGTTGTCCATCATCACGAATTAGCCAGACCACCACGAGGATTTGAAGCCAAAATACTGGGACATCTTCGTCACGGAGCTTCGGTTTTACAAAGGTTACACTTTGATGCTACGCTGCCCATAATATTTGCGTAGCCTAAATAACTAATTACAAAACAGACGGGAAGAAAATGGGATTCTGGAGGATCCAGCCATCAAGCGAAACCAGCGGCAATTCGATATTTCCAAAGCCTTTCACTGGTGCCCCACCCAAACTTTCCGATCCGTCTTCCTGGTAAGCAAAAACCCTGCGCTACCAATGCAAGAGCAGCCCAAATACATGGCCTATTACTCCTAATTGTCTATACTTACTTAAATTTTTCGTTAACTGGCCTGAATAAAATATTTAGGCTATTTTGGGTGTGTCGCAATTAAGAATCGATTTAATTGTAGACGAGATCCGATGCGGTTGAAGCCGGTTTCCACGACCACATTCTCGTCCTCGTAATGTGCAGTGCCTACGATTCGCCCATCGGATTGCGAGATTTAGTCATGCCGCTACGTTCCAGCAAGATACCGTATACAGACTTAAAGGAGATTGTTTTCCTGGGTGATCCGGTGTTTCTGGAGAAGGAATGGCGAATGCTGCACAATTTCCCCAGAATCCGTATTGTTCCCGGTGATGCGCTGGGCCGCGCAGATCTGCGAGCGGCCAATGTTCACAGTTGTTCATCGTGTGTAATATTATCCGCCGGGATGGGCACATCAGCCGATAAAACCCTCGATGACCGAGCGGCCATCCTCGCCACGCTGAATATTAAGGCCATGGTCTTCGAAAATGATGAACCCTTGATCGACCGCTCACGGAGAATAAGCGGACATCAAATTCCCGTTATCACAGAAATCCGTAAGCAATGCTTTTTCCTTGTAGATCATTGTATATGCGCACACAATTGGAAAAGAATAAAGTACTGTACTCATCTAGTGTTTTCAGTAGCACATGTTGGTAACATCGAAGCCACACAGCAGTATTTTTTTGTGCAGAGCATGATTCAAACATTCGGCTGTTGGATCAATATGCATGGACGGAACACGACGAAGATTGTGACGATGTCTTTTTAAGCGAACCTTATATGTGTGGCTCGGCGGTGACCTTGAGTTCGCTGGATTCAATGCTTGTTGCGGTAAATTCCGTTCGAAAACGAATTTCATTATTCTAATAAAAACAACCAAAGGTCACATAACTCTACAATGTAACAATAGAACAAAATAGCAATAGCGCGTAATAACATTGTAACATTAAACAAAAGCAAAAACAGTAACAAGTTTACGAAATAAAAATAACGTCAATTTTGCAGACGTATTACAATCCGCTGGCGGTACCGCTAATCCGCTACTTGCTATGGGGCTTCCAGAGTCCTTTTTTTGAAAGCGTCTTGTCAGAGGGATTGGGTTTGATTCCTGGCGATAACTCGTCCGATAATCCCGCCAATCAGTCTGGAAATAGCGTGGGTATTCGACTTGTTGCTCTGGATGATGAAATATTTGCGGGAAACCAAATGCATGTAGGTTTTATAACGGATGCCGAATATCTCAATAAAACTAGCCTTCCCATATATTCAATTATTACTTATAAGGTTATTAAAATACCTTGCTAATATTTTCACATGTTTTGTTGCAGTTTTCGACATACGGAGCCTTGTTCGTCTGCGCCGTCCGAATTGGAGTTATTTGCCTAGGCTTGGCAAGATTGATGTATCCGAATGACACAGATTCCCAGAAAACAAGTAAACGATGCGTGCTGACCAATCCCCCCAAAGAGTATCCGCTGCGACCGGATGACTTGGTTTATTTGTTGAGCCAGTAATGTGATGCAGTTAAATTTTGTGGGTTTGTATTCGAATGACAGTTCCTGATGTTTGTGCCACTAAACCGATGATCTCAGAATTTTTACTGAAAAGCGACGTTATTTTATGTGCACACACAGAATTTTATTTTGTTTAAAAAATTTAGTAGCAAATGACAATGCGATCTGGGGTTTTTAAAGCAGTCAGGTTGAGCTTTTATCGTCATTTGCTCGGCTTGGTCCGCTAGAAAACAATTCATCCCCGAGCCGACAAAATGAGCTCCATGAAAGTTCAAAATCATAACTGCCATACGGCATCCAGTAGGACAAATGTAATTCCTATACATTTAATCAACACCCTCATTACATTTAGCTGTAATCAATATCGCATTTAGAAATCAACAAATTCAAATACTGCCTCGGTAAAGAATGCGCATTAATTGCATTAAGATCTGCAAAACACACAAACAAAAACAAACTCACTGGCCACCGACTGCTGCCTACACCGACTGAATGCGGGGTATGTCATCAGAAAGAATCAACGGTTGAGCAGGGTTATTATCACCTCCTGATCTTGGCGCAAAAAAATTCCTTAACTGCTCCAGATAATGGTCGTCCGATGTGTGAGGATTATCAACAGCATCAGCAGCATCGCTACTAAAGGTTACAATATCTCGGTGGTCATCCTCGCCGGCAATGGGCAGTTCATTATACATCCATGGATGTGTGTTCTCGCCCGGCTGAAAATGGGAATTTGTGGTCATTTCCAGATTCATCGACAGACCTCCCGAACGAGCATCAGCGGGAAATCGTGAGTGGGCCATTTGGTTGGAACGCCGTCGCGGCGGATATTCGTAGGCCGTCGGCATCTCAATGGTCGGAGTGGAGTAAACTGATTGGTTATTCGCTTGTGGGGGTGGTTGAGGGGGCTTAATGCCGTACGCCACACGACAACATTGCAGCCAGTCGATGTCGGAATCTGGCGTCTTCCACGGATTCACTTTACGACTCAAGCCGGTCATGACGTAACCCGTGGCACAGAAGACAAGAAAATGCCGCGACGACGCATCATAAAATTCCTGTCAATAAACTTCCACTTTAATAAGTAATCTTTTAATTTGTTGCAAAATCAGTAAGAAAAAAAATTAGAAGTACCCCGTATTGGTCGTGCGTCGGCTGATAATAGCAGGCGGTGTAGTCGATATAATAACCTTTCGGTGTCTTGCAGCACTTATATGGATTCAGAAGATCCCCATTATCACCAGATCCCGGAGGTCCAGGTGCACGAGAGATAACACACTCAAATTCGTCGCAATAAAAGCCTATCCAGTAAAAAAATATAATTGTACTTGCCTTAAAATTGGCTCATCGTTATGATATTACGTTTTGAGGGGCGCCTGAAAAATCCTTTCGCATTCTAAACATTAAATACTGACTGTATTGTACACTGTTTTAAGACGTACCGGTTATAAAGGTGTTAACGGTCAACTCATGCTGAAGAGCAGTGTAACAAAAAAACTGGATAGTAAAATTCCGCACATGACACCTGCAAAGGGCTAAAAATATAGTATTTTTGCGATAAAAGACTGCGCGATCCAGAGATTGTCGCAGTATATTTAATGATTTACCCTGGATAATATGGATAGATGCCTTTGGACGGCGGTTTGTAAGGGAACATGAATTTGCACCAAATATACCACAAATGCTACAGATCACAAAATCCACACGTATACCAATTTGTTTCAATAAGAAGAAAAATTGCAGCAAATAAAACGCGCTCACCGAAAAATCATCACCATCACCCCTACAATTGTCAAATAAAGGTGTATTACTTGAAAGTTTTAGGTCCGTGACATGAGCAAGGTTGACAGGAACTGCTTACTTACATCACAGCTGTTCATTTCAAGCACCGGAAAAGGAAATTGTGTCAATGATATTACACCATTATGTATTGTATATTGCTACTGTATCAGGTGGCTCAAGCCTTTAATGTACAATATAGTGGCAAGTCAGATGACAACACAGTAAAATTTAAGCATAGTAGGACCGGCGTACCATTTTCATATATACAATATTTCGACCGTATTAAAGAAAAATGAAAGAAAATATTAATACAAATTTCACGTACCTATTACTGCATCACCGTCAAAGCATTCCAGAGTCCACTTCCGGTTCGGATGATTGTAGTTATTCCCACCATGACCCTCCCAGCTCTCTATGATCGTGTCACCCTGTAATGCAGTCGCTACACAGATTTTCAACGTTTACGTAAATATTTCAGCAATCGACATGACAATATCATTGCATAAGGTACTTTTATCGGATCACAATAATTATTATTTTTGTGGACCAAAGAGTTAAATTTAACTTTAAAGTAAAATGAATGAATCCGTGCATACCGTTCCATAAAGGACGTACATCCTGTAGTGGCCGGCTATACTTGCGCTGGCCGAATGAAAGCGATAAGCACATCCACAAACAAAAAGCAGACTGCATAAAGACGTCCAGGGTCGCATCTTCCGCATCGCATACAACTTCCGCACTTCCCGAAGGTCAAATACAAGTATCACATAATATTCATTTACACATCGAGTACGAACGACGGCTGACTGTCTGCAGGCCTTTGCTATGTAAGCTGACCACGGCACATTCACGAACGCGGAAGTTATTAATTAAATAATTAATACTTCAAATTCTTCAATGCAGTGCTCGTATTAAAAGATACCGAATAAAAAATATAGAGTGCTGAAACTATTTGCATCTGGTGGAACTATACCGGATCCGGAATGAGCGTAGGAGTCAGCTAACCAATAACTGTGAGATTCATTGCAAGACAATTCGTAATATTAATATTACATCGTAATATTTAACTTCCACAGTATGCCATGAAACGGCGCGTACGTCGTGCAGTCCAATTATTTGTATCGAATTGACCTACCACGATCTGTTTCATTCATGACCACAAATACAGTTGCTGAAGGAAAACCAGATGAGCATTGTCTACAGAGCTCGTTCTTTACTCTTGTTGGAGCGGCACACCTAGCTACAAGGGCGAACACAAAAACGGCATCGTCATATGTGTTTACCGAAAGAAAACGGAATTTTTTAAGGTCAACCGTCAGCGGGTGCTAGATATCGTCAGTAGTTTCTGCCCTCTGGCCAGACGCTGGCTGCGTTTGATTTAATACTAACGAACGCGAATTCCGACTTTTTTTTATCGTGAATATTTAGTGAACGTGCATTCATAAAACTTCTAGAACTGGGTTTCGAGACACGCGTCGTACGGTATGGTAAAATAGGGTATTTACCTTGATTAATTATTTCTCGACTGTTTCAGTAAACAGGTACAGAGTATTTACTTATGTGTTTAATTAAGCCGAAGCTCATCATTATGTATGAGCATTTTATTTAGCTGGGGAGTGTTCGGTTCGCTTAAGGGTAGCTGTTTTCTTACAAGAATGATTTTTATCAGCATCGTTTCGGCTGTTTCCGTTACGATTAGCATGACGATTTGGCAATACATAAATCGCTAAATCTTAAAGGTAGAACTTGTTTATTAGCTTTTCGTTTCCCAGCAGTTAATTGGTGAACTTCTGCAGCGACGCACTTAATTAAATAGCTTTCGACAGATAACCGCTCCGTGTACCGTACGAGTGTCTTACCACTGTATTGTATATCGTATATACAGAGCTGAAAAAGTTTTTATACGCGTTTTTTCTTTTAATAAATTTTGGCTAACAAGATGCACGCTTTGTCTTTGCAAACCATTTTGGACAAAAATTAAGTATTATATCACCCTAAAAGAATAAAAGCGTTATAAAGAATTTAGAGACATGTACTGTGCCAGACCTGAAGTTGACAATGAACGCACATATGCATAGCACAAATTTTTGAATCTATGAAATTCGCTTATATTTCCTCACACTGACCGCGCCTTTGCACTTCAGCGTAGTGACCATTTCGTCTTTCATGAATTCCCGTTCAATGATGGAATCAGTGTTGGTCTTCGCATCTTTTTGTGTTTGTATCAATTTGTTGCCCTCTAATTTCATGGTGGTCTGCAGTGCTCTGCCGTCCATCGTTTGCTCTGTGAATTCCTGATTGAGTTTGAATTTCAGTTCGTGACTTTTCACCGCGGTCACGGTTTTCATGGTGTACTCGTCACCCCCGGTTTTAATGATTTCCACGGTGGCAGATTCCACAGTCGTCGCCAGTTTTCTGTAAACAAAACTCACATTGGCTGCTTTCAAATAGTCGTCGAAGTTTTGGCTGGATGTCAGTTGAAATTTGCCGGTTATATCGGTAGCAGCCATGTTCTAATCGGGAGCGAAAAGTTGAAAGTTTTACAACAACTTTGTTTTGGACGGTTCAGTTTCTCAAGATTCTACAAGCTCTGTTTTTTATACAAATTTATTACGTTCACCGTATAGCACATTTATTTTGCTTGTCTTCTCTTTTTTGTTTCCGTAACCCATCTTAAATTACTTATTGTGCCGTTGCTAAGAAGATCATAATGGTATCGCCTCAAAGAGACATCTAACTTTTTTTAAAGCCATAATAAATTATTGATTTATTTATCTTATATTTATCTTTATTTATCTTGTATTAATTTATAGACCATTTTAGTTTAAAAACACCGAAAGTATGTCAGTAGGAAGGAATTCGAAGGCTAGGAAGTTATTGGTACAATAGGAAGTTTTGCATTGAATAGTAAAACTTTATTCTTTTTATTATGTGTATACGTACCTGCATTGCATGTTTAATTTAACAGCAGGTAATCTGCCCATTCACACTCAGTGAAAGTACTAGTAGTGAAAATCAACCTGGGTATACCGGTAATATACACAATCAGCAAAGTACGAGTAATACCGCTTAATTAATGCAGCAAAGGTGCTTGCGCGGCTTGACTGCTACTGTAGTTTATCCAGTGTGCAGCCAAGAAAAGCCATTAGGGTGTGTCGGTGCGGGATGTGCATAGAGATGATAAAAAAGTATGACTTTGATTGTGGATGAAGCATAGCCGTTTTGCATTAGTGTTTGGTATACTTCTATAGATATTTGGCCGGGCTGCATCAGTGGTGGTTCACCTATTAGCAAGTTCTGCCCTCCCGCCCATCCTCGGTTGAGTGGAGGGGGTTGTTTCACCAATTGGTGAAACAACCTGGCACCGCCGATCTTGCAAGGTCGGCGGTGCCGGGTGCGTCGGTGACCGGTGTTCTGGTGCTGTTGTCTTCTCCCATTGTCCAGATAGAGCCAAACCTTAATCGGCACGTGTTGATACCGGTACCGGTGGTTGTTGTTGTCGGAGACTGCTTTAAGTAAGTATTAATTGAAACGGCAACGATAATATTATAGACAGTTTTGTTTTAGCTCGTACTTTTTACATTTTCTATAGGAATGCGGTGCAGCTGACGATGCCGTGTGCGTTGGTTTGACGTTCACACACGCTTAATTTTTTTGCACCCTTACAAAAATCTACAGTACGCGTTGGCGTTCATTTGGTCAGTAAGAGTAAGTACCAATGACAACAACGCCTGTCAGGGTGACCGGTCATACACGATTCGCAGCATAGAATAATGCTAACTTTACTATTAGCCAGAGCCCAGAGGGTACCACCATGAAAAGTGACAAATTAGTGAGTAAAGCATGGAAGCAACGCCTGTCAGGGTGACCGGTCATACACGATTCGCAGCATAGAATAATGCTAACTTTACTATTAGCCAGAGCCCAGAGGGTACCACCATGAAAAGTGACAAATTAGTGAGTAAAGCATGGAAGCACAGTACTACAGTGCTATATATATTGGTAGAACAGTAGAAGTAACAGCAGAACCACGGTAGAAGTCAAAACATTAATCCTAAATTAAGAAATATCAAAATTAATACATTTCAAGGTAGCATTTGCCGGTTAGAAAAGTTTTTGACCACGGTTCACGAGCTGCACATTCGCTTCGCTTCATTCAAACAGATGCTCAACCTTGTTAATGAAGTGTAGCATCTTTGGAATAATTAAGTACAACACCTTCGTCTTTCAAGTGTCAATATCTCGTTAACTCACAGTTTTCGTGTCTGCAGTTTTTTGTCTCCGATCAGTGGTTCATTACATATGAACCATCAAAAAAGTACACTTCACTATGCGACACGTGTGTAACGCAGTGTTACGCTGTCTTAAAATTAATTATAATTTTCCTCGAGCAACTGGACAGTGACTGGATGCAGTTGCGTTATGAATTCACACCCTAAGGGTCATTGCCTTAAACCGGTATTTTTTACACTGCGGAACCACGTGAAAAACTAGGTTTGTTACAAAAAAAGTTCGGAAGTGCTTGAATTGTCTCTGGTGCAAAGTAGCATAATCCGGTAAGATGGACCATCTAAAGATTCAAGAATTTTGGGATCTCCGGCGACGGTATCTGTTTGTTTACGGCTTGGTCGTTGGTAAGGTACGATTTGTACAAACAGCATTCCTGTATGTACCGACAGTACAGTTACGTATCTGTATAGTTTTACTCGCAAAGTCCACACAGGTAGCCATACGAGTATAGAAATATAGGTGACAAAACAATTATACGAGTGGGCATTTGTATGAACATTCGTAATTATTGCACATCTATCTATCAGTTGCAATTTTGCATTGGTACTCTTTTGATATTGTCACTGACGTTTAACATCGACATACCCAATCTTTGTCATCTTATTATTTTGTAGCGGCGGACTGGCTTCAAGGATCCCATGTTTACGCTCTGTATGAATCCTATGGAATCAGTTCGCGAGATATTGCTTTACTATTCGTTATGGGATTTGGGTCCAGTTTGCTCCTGGGGACCGTTGTAGCATCTTTCGGAGACAAACTGTAAGAACAAAGAATTAACTTGTTACCCTTCATTGTCTTCTCGCCTGAGTCAGAGGTGCTTCACACGCTTGCTCTTGCCAGAGTATTGCGCCAATAGTATATATGCTGTATTACTATTTTCGCTAAAATAATAACTAATTACGGATAACCGTGCTGCATTCACCAGGGTAGAACTTCTTACCATAAGATTATTTGTAACCGCAGATTACAGCAGGTGAAATTTGGTACTGCACTTAAAATGAACATCAGCTAACTAAATTAGTGTCATACTGAGTGTTAAAAAGTTATCCTAGCTGTGTATTTATAATAGAGCGTAGATAATGGTTTATTAAATGTAGCGCTAGTGTAGCATATCTCTGCCAGGTGCCCTTACCGTTCGAACATCAATAAGAGTAGCAAAAAATGTGTTAAACTGTCTGGTAAATTTTTCTAAATTAGAAAAAAGTAGAATTCAAGCATAGTACATACATTTACTAAGATCCGTCTGCTAATAGTGATGGTTTTTTAGCGGACGGCGGAATGTATGCATTGCATATGGAGTGATTTACGGGCTTTCGTGTCTGACGAAACATTCGCCAAATTTATGGATCTTAATGGGAGGACGGCTGTTGGCCGGTATTGCCACTTCCATTATGTGCACATCTTTTGAGGCTTGGCTTGTGTGCGAATGCAACAAGGTTAACCTAAGCGTGTTTATATAACAAAATGCACTGTTGCACTCAACAGTTTTAAAACAGCAAATAAATCATTGATAATTTTACAGAAGGGTCTGTCGATAGCCCAGTTGGGAGACATACTATCAGGAGCTACGAAACTTAATGGAATTATTGCCATTCTGTCCGGTGTAGTCGCGCAGTTCGCGGTCAATACTTCCGGCAAATTAGTGTACGGAGAGAATACGACAAATAAATTTGCATTGCGTATACCGAAAACTGTGTTTTTGGGTTAGATCACCTTTTGATGTGGCTGCCGGTATTTTAACAGTAACATCGATTCTTGTGTACTATTTGTGGACGGAGAATTACGGAGACCAGAATGCTCCACATCTGCAACCTTTCGCTTCCGGCGTCAAAACATTACTAGCAGGTAATGCGTGTAAGACTTTGCATTCTGCCAAAAAAATTTTATAAGAAATTTTGCAAGTTTTCCAAATCAGCTGCATAAATCATTACACAATAATTATGACAGCTACGGTTTTGCTACTTAGATGTAACCGCTAAAGATAAACTGTTTTTGCTTCCTCTTTATAGAGAATTGCAGTTATCTGAATTACATAATCAAAGGTATTATTTTATATTCATATTTATGGTTGTTTCAATTGAATGATTTGAATCTGATTCACACTATAGAGCGATGGAAAACCGGCTAAAAAAACTGAATATGTTACAGTTAATCTACTTACTCGGAGTAAGGTTTTAAACTTCTCGTATTATTTGCGATTGTGTTCAGCATTGTTATGGATTAACGTTCCAGTTTTTATAATTCTACGGTATAACAAAGAGTAACTAGATGGTGAACATTGCTATTTGCAGACACCAATGTCTTACTTGTGGGGCTCATTCAATCATTATTCGAAGGCTCTATGTACATTTTCGTTTTGTTATGGACGCCGGCATTAGAGGTCAAAAGCAAAGACCACATAGAAAAAGCGGGAGAGCCGAAAAACATTCTTCTTCCTCATGGATACATCTTCTCAGCCTTCATGATAGCCGTGGCACTGGGGTCCTTTTTGTTCAGCTGTTTAAGTAGGCGATTATCGTTAGAAAGGATCCTGATGGGTCTTCTAATAATATCCACGCTAACATTTGTACCGGCATTAGCGATTCCCGAGGTAAGATCGTATTCCACTACGAAATTATGGTGAACTTTGTAACCCTGCCGTTTTCTTTTTCAGGATGCCTGGGCTGTTTTCGCTGGATTTGTGATATTCGAATTCTGTGTTGGAGTATTTTGGCCGTGTATGGGTGCACTGCGTGGCCGCTATGTGCCGGAAGACTGTCGCTCCACATTAATGAATTATTTTCGAATTCCCGTTAATCTAGTCGTAGTCGTTGTCTTGGTTCAGGTATGCAATTAAGTTCATATTTCGCACCCGGTTGGCACTGCTAATTTTGCTGGCATTTATCTGTATTTGTACAGCTTCAATATACGTATGCTGATAGCTGGGTAACAATAATTTCAAAATTTTGATTTTAGGATGCCAGCCTCTGGATTAACTTCTTATGTTGCTTAATTTTCTTAGCCGCATGCGCGGTATTACCAACAAGATTTAAGCCGACCAAAGTATCTGACAAAGACGAGGAGAACGATGCCGGGAATGAAGTATCCCTCCTTTCAGCAACAGTTCCTAATTATAGCATCCGTACTTAATTTTTAATACTTTTAATTCCGCCCTACCCACTGTGTTTAGTTTTGGTCATTAACTGATAGTTGGATTACGTTTGAGGAGACAGGTTCACAAACATCCGGTTCGCAAGTTATGGCTGTTAGAAAATTCCAAAAAGTTTAAATGCATTCAGCCGATGATTCAGGTGTACCAAAAGTCTCATTATGGACTGATTTCTTTCAGATTTTGCACGTAAATGCACATAACCACGAAGAACGTTTTTACACCGATCCACTGTTCTAGCATGATTTTCAAATTTAAAAATGAATTTCAACAATTTTAAAATTCATTTTAAAATTTGAAAAAAATCCTGGAAGTCTGGATCGGTGTAAAAACGATCTTCATGGCCATGTGCATTTACGTGCAAAATTTGAAGGAGATTGGTCCATAATGAGACTTTTGGTACACCTGAATGCATTTAAACTTTTGGGAATTTTTTTACAGCCATAACTCCCGAACCGGATGTTGCGCGCATAAACGGTTTTCACACCAGTGTATACAAATTATCTGGCTACAAAATCACATAAACCGAAACAAAAATGTGTTTGGGAGTGCGCGAAAGTGAGTTTCCGTGCATGTACATGAATTAGGTACCATGTACGGGGCCACTTCCCTTAATGGCGTAAAAAGTTGGCAAATCATGTTATAGTATAAATATATTTTCTGACAATTAGTTTTGTCCGTTTGAAAGCACTAGTCGTCCAACAGTCGACAGCGCGAATCCAGAAAAGAGCTATATTCTAGTCATACTGCAACCATTCCGATCGCCCGCGGTTTTATCCCACTGCACTGCACATCCGAGGCTTTGAAATTTTTGAAATACAGACTGATGAAATGGGGAACTAGGCGCGTCGCCATAACATAAACTTTGCACAATATCACTTCATAAAAATATAAAAATCTGCTTCAAGACACGTTTTACATGGAATATTTTCATAAAATTCTTGGTTGAAACGTACAGACAAGCGTTGATCGGTAAAGACCATCAAGAGATTTACTCAAACGCCACTTATAATCTGACAGCCGTCTTTGACACCGTTATTCACTATCTTTGGGTACGTCTCGGGATACTCCATCCGCGGTTTCAGCATCTTCAGTCTTTACTGGCGCTTTCTGGACGCAGATCTTCGTAGCCTTTATCGTTTTCGCTTCCAGACCGTACAGCACATACAAATCATCAACCTTTCCAAAGGTTTGGCAAAAGAATGGCTTCACCAGGTCAGCTGAGCATCTCCAACACCTCCAAAAATAAACCGTGATCGAAATGTTTTTCTATGAGAAACCACAGGGTCAGGGACAGGAAAATCGACAAAATAATGCCGGAGCAAACGCAGCATAAGACACGATAAGCTCACGAACGATTTCCGATCAGCTTTTTGGAGAAAGATTTGATCAACGTTTCCCAAAATGGGCCAACTGTAACACGATTAACAGACTGGTGCGGCAAAGGAGAACTAAGTATTATAATTTTCAAAAACAGGAAAATTCACCTTCGAAATTTCAAATCATCACAAAACAACCGAAGAATGTTGTTCATGTGCAGCGCACGACAACCACGAATAAGCGACTCGCTTTCAGTACGCCTACGGTTGGTATTTCTCCGTGCGGGACATTATGAATTATGAAAGCAGCTAAACCATAAACATAGTATTGTACAAGTGTATACTGGTAGATTAAACAGCTATTCAAAGCAGCCTTTATAAAACAAATTATCAATCATCCACAACTGTATAGAACATCTGTAATCTACATTCTACAATCATTAATTTATAGAAATACACCTATAATAAATTATATTTCATCAGACAGAAAGACAAACTAGAGCGCGGTTATGTCTACTCACCAGTCAGCTACCCCATCCCTAACTACTCTAGCGTATGTTTGTCAACTTTGTCCAAATGTACCTCGTAACAAACGGTAGTCTGCAAACTACAGAGAAGAAAATATGAATTTAATGGATTCGATACCGCTTAAAATTATCGATTTTGAAAAAACATAAAGTTCTTACAGATAAATCACTAATATGCCAATAACTATTGTAACATATGCTATCTATGCTCCCTTGTTGGAAACTTGTCAGTGTGCTGCTCAACAGTATCCAAAAGATTTTGATACAATACAAAGCTTAACGGCCAACATGCAGTGTACTCGTGCAAACAGGTCACCTTCATGAAATTAAGTGCTTACTGAATGCTTACTAAATTTTTCCACCATGGAAATATGACAAATGCAGTAACACTCTCAACGGAGGGATTTCACGTTCTTCATATCCGTGCTCTTTTAAAGCTTCCTCGAACTGCCAGTCTACATGTGGTTCTTCTTCAACGATCGTCCCTGCTATGTAGCGCCGGCTGGCAAACGGTGTCTGGAAAAAATGACTGGTGTTAGGGTGTTAACTAATCCTTATGCACACTATCGCATGTCCCTTGTCCAGTAACGCAATTAGCAAAGACAGCAAGTCTGCAAAAAAGCAACACAATCGCATGCGCTTACACATAACCCTTGAACGTATATTAACAACGACCAGAGATATAAGCTACCGCCGAGGCGTTCCGCATTTAATTGTCGAAAGTTAACAAACTCGTAGTCATTCTTAAAGGCAGTTAAAGCAACATAAATTCGTACTGTAAGTAAAATGCAAAAACCCGCAAATTTAAGCATTACGAGTATCGGTAGAAAATCGTTATGCTCTGGCGGTGAAATTAATTCAAAATCAGAATAAATTCTTTCACCATAAAATCGTTAAAAAAAAGCAAACGAATGCAAGTAACAATGTAACATCAATCTCAATGAAAATAAAAAAATTATGTCATACAGACGAAAACTTGTACCGAGCAAATTCCAACCGGAAAAATGGGCTTTTACAGTACAAACATTTCTACACATGTAACAGAACACGCATTTATATTATTTATATAAAACGTACCGTTTCGGGATCGTCGTATTGTATGCCAAATGTTCGAAGATCGGGTGCTAATTTGCTTGTTTCCTTGAACGAACTTCCACTTTCCTTATAATCTCCACGTGCAAACTGCACAAAAATATATAATTTCCCACGCAGATTGAAACTAGCGTTATCAAGCACCTGCCTTGTGTTATCAGCGAATGTTCTTCACAAGAGGCTTTCAAACATTAAGGAAAATCTCGCAAAATGCCCCCCAATACGCGAGGAAAAGCTACGGTTCCGAAGATGATAATCAGCATAAAAACGATGATAATGGCGCTGAAAAGGAGGTTTGTAATAATTTATGCATGCATTTAAAACTTACATAATTGTACTTGCGTCCATGTCTGCGCTGTCCGAAATGGGGAGATCAAGATGGTTGGGAACCTAAGAGGGATTCCATTAGGAAAAGCCAGCTTTTCAAGCACACCTGCCATCTTCCAACAACTGGATTCGACAACTGGAAACTTCCTGCGATGTATGATAAGATGATAAGCTTGGAAGCACACCGCCAAGGCCTAAGAAACCTAAGAAACCTAAGAAATCCTGATGATAAGCTTGGAAGATAAGCTAATAAGATGATAAGCTTGGAAGCACACCGCCAAGGCCTTGGCGGTGTGCTTCCAAGCTTATCATCTTATCATACATCGCAGGAAGTTTCCAGTTGTCGAATCCAGTTGTTGGAAGATGGCAGGTGTGCTTGAAAAGCTGGCTTTTCCTAATGGAATCCCTCGAACATTTTGTTTCATGGTTTCATCCCAGAAATTTTCTGTTATGAAACGCAGAGGCCTTGGCCCAAGGCCTCTGCGTTTCATAACAGAAAATTTCTGGGATGAAACCATGAAACAAAATGTTCGATTCCTACTTCATTGTGAAAGGCCATAATATTATAACCCCGCATAAAGGATAAATGACCGGTAAAGCGCTGACCCAAACTGATCAAATCTTGATAAACGATCATTCACGTCTGAAACCATCACATGTCGCCGATGTCGGAATAACGGAAAGGAGAAAAACACTGTTGTGAGCAGTGAGCCTGAAGAACGCTTCGGCTCTTTTCGCGCGGCTCACTGCACATTTCTTTCGCCTTTCCGCTCGTACTAGTGCTAATAAGGCTTAAAAATACAGTTAACTAAATTCAGACCATTGCTTAGTCAAATTTTGTAACGAACACTTCGACGTCCAGTTTGCCAGCCTTACGGTAAAAATCGTCCAGAAGTGGTCTTTTAAGACCCGAAGTCACCGAATCACAGGCATGGCTGCTTCACACATAATTTTTTATTACCAAGGTAAGCAGGCGAGGAACAGGATTAATGATTCGAAATTTGTGAATCGAAAGGAAAATTTAAAATCAAGATAGCATGGATATACAGAGAGGTACAGTACATACTTGTACTTATACTAGTTAAAAAGTAATAGATAATAATCTAATAATAAGTAAGTAATCTATCTATCTATCTTTAAAAATATCTTTATTATCAACTTGTACAAGCCAATGCCATTTACATTCAAACTTTAAATACCCAGTAATCAGAACAAGAAAAATAACTCTTCTAACTCTCGAGAACACCCGACCGTCCCCAGGACAGAAGCCGCGTTTCCGCGCTGAATTTCAACGCTTATACGTTGCCACAAATACTGAACAGCGCGCGCTTCTCCTGTTTGTTCTTTGATACGCCGGCCGACTTCATTGATGAACTGGCGGGTACTTTCGCCACAACTTCCCATAGTTTCGAGTGCCACTGGCTGGAAAAAATGCCGATCAGTGAGTTCGGAATAGAGGTTTCGCTTCCGCACTTCCGCGTCTTCGGCAGCCGATCCCGCTGCTTCTGAACAGCCAGCTATATACGAAGTAGCGAATGTGTCACAAACTGTCACATCCCATATCAGAGGGAGGCCATTCTCCATGGGTAGAGTGATAAGCCGTCTGGCCGCTTCCCGTCCCGTCTGCACAGTCCGGGAGGCTCCAAGATTGTCGGCACCTTTGCTGAACCCAGGCTACGCTGAATCACGCTATTCAAACTCGCATGCCTCCTGAACCTTCCTTGGCTTTTGACGCACGACAATCCATGTAAGCCGCGTGTATCAACCATTTCACCACACCGACATTTATGCTCCTTACAAATAGGCGCCCCCATCCGCAAAGCAACAGCGATCCGCAGACCGGCATCGTCCAGCAGTGTGCCAAGGCTGGCGACCGGCAATGCAAACAACCAGGCACTGGCATCCCTAGCAGAGGCCGCCAACAGACGAGCAGAGGCAATAACGTCAGCGCTATCTTTTAAAGCTTCCAGTTTCCCAACAGTCAACATGTCCGACCACAAGCGTTGGTTGCTCCGGTCTTCCATCGCAGGTGCACTCTTTCCTGTACGTTCTTCCCAGCACAGCTCAACATCAGACCGCTCGTCGGGGCAATCTTCGGGCACAATAGTACGTACTAGCTCGTCGGTAGAATACAGCGAGGAGAGGTAGGCCGGGGTAGCGATTTCTTCGGCTTTAGGCAAACCCAAGCCGCCTGCTTTGACCGGCAGAGAAGCTTGCACGTACGTGCAGTCGTCCATCACAACATTCGTAATCTCTTCAGCTTTTGACCTAATCCTTCGTCAAACTCCCTGAGCTTCTCCGCATATTTGTAGCAAGCGGCCGCTCTTAGAGTGTACATAAGTCGCGGCAATGACAGACTGTTTCTTAGGAGAAATAACGCTTGCTGCGCCGGCAAGACGCTTAATGAGTCTGTCAGTTTTTTGATTTGGCCAATTTTACCGTCCAAGCAGTGGCCGATGGACCAGTCCGTAAGGGGAGCACCGAGCAATTCCAACGTCTCTGGGGTGACCCTTTGAATACCAGGTGCGACTGCGGCAAACCGGTCGTATATGTCTTGTTGTTCCGCTTCAGACCCGCCATAAACATAGAGCTCACACTTTGCGAAGTTGAGTTCTAGACCGATCTTAGGCGCATCAATACTAACTCTGATGAAATCTTCCAGGACCACTTCTGGGTCTCCTCCTGCTGTCCCGTCATCGAGAAACCAGGCATTGAGATCGGACTGGAAACTTTTTGCAAGCTTGTACGAGGCAAGGCAAAACAGTAACGGGCCAAGGGGATCGCCTTGCTGCACCCCATGGGCGGATGGCATCGTAGTTTCGCCGCAGAACAAGGTAGAAGAATTCCTATAACACTGGGAAATAAAATGGAAGTATTGCGGTAATTTGTCAGCTGTTTCTTTCAAAACGACATCGCGACGAATGGTGTTGAATGCATTACGAAAATCGAGCTTCAACACCACGGTAGGGCTGGCTGGGTGGGCTCGAAGAAATTTCCGCGTGGCATGTACAGCTGCTTCTGCTCCTCCCGGTGTTCCGTAGCCCAACTGCACTGGGCGAAAAATGCCGCCCAGTTCCGTCTGTACGCGTCTGCTAATCAATTTCCCACACAGGCGTCTTATGGTGCAGCCAACCGCTATGGGCCGTATCCCGCCCGCTTTCTTGTTGAAAGGTATCAGCGTGGCGCCAAAAAGCACTGTGCGGACGCTATCGGGAATCGGGTTGAAGACAACGTGGTTCACTAGCTTTGTAAGCGCCGCTAAAAACACTTCTCCGCATTCGCCAGGTACTTTTACTAACTCTTTTAAGTGCTGTGCTCGCAGTCCGTCTTTTACTTCAATCTATCTTTTACTTCTTGACTGGTGGTGGGTGGTTGATAACCACATTGTTGCACGAGCGCGAGCTCCAGTTCCACTTGGAAATGGTATTGGACTTGTGGAATAGGAAAAGTAGGACTTAAGTCACGTAACGCTCTTTGTGGCGTGAGGGCGTCAGACAAACTTTTATGCTCTTTATTACAAATTAGTCTGTACATTTCGCTGCGCTCGATGCAAATGCTTAATATTAGTAAGTATCCAGCTTTACTTTTCTTTCATATCTGACAAATAACTTGGCATCCGTACGGCCTGGGAGTTTAAATAAAATAATTTTTACGTACCGACTTCGTAGTACCATGGCGTACTGTTATAGACGTTCGCTTCTACAGGACATAATATTCCTCCCAACACGGACAACCCAATGGAAGTGGTTTTTCGGCTTCAGCTTGCCCGTTTTTGGGCCGCAGGCCTTTTCGCAGATGATGTTCCAATTCCATTGGGAAACAGAAGGCTGGCAGTGAAAGTTAACCACGGAAGAGAGGAGGAAGCCCACTTCGCAGTTGAAGAGATGAATCGTCTCTAGTACGTACGTTACGCGAAGACGGCGCAGTCAACTGCGTAAGCTGCGCATGCCACCCTGGGCGGCTGGAAAAACATCCGCCGGAAGCCAGGAAGGAATATTTTGTACCTTGACTTCGTTAGCATTTAGCAAACCGATCACTTTAACCAGTGCCACAGACTGCCACTATATCTGCAATAGACAGTTCGCTGTTTTGAACTACTTTGTAGTACTCGTATGAAAGGCAGCCGTCAGCGCACCAATCACTCATGTTCTCAAATTTCCTAAAAAGTAAAAATTATGTTCTGATATAAACTTCTTTCGTCGTTCTTGTTTCTCAAGCCCAATAATTTCATAATGAAAAACATTAATTTCCTTTTAAAAGTTGCAAGGAAGAAACAAATAACGCAGTACTGTATAGACGAACCACGTGCTGTTTTCAGGTTCTGCATCTGTTTCAGAAGATTGTAAACAGATTTTGGTTTATGTAAGATTGGTACAGGCGCTTTTCATGAAAATAGTTATGAGCTTACAATTAAATAAGAAAAAAATGCATTTTAATAAGTTTTTTTATTTATCAATATGTACAAGGCGAGCGTCGCTCAACAAATAATATGATCAAATGATATGATCAATACTTCTAATATTGTTAGCTAATAGCTACTGAGTACTGTACTTACCGTTTTTACTTTAACCTGTTGCAGCCTCCCACCGTATATGTATGCAGCTTTAGGAGCGGTAATGCCGGCACATATACCTGGTCAGGGTCCGCAGGGCGGTGGTGTTAATCAGTTACTACCTTGGAATTTCCCACCGCCCCCGGGCGGTTGGCAAATCCCAAATTTCCATCTGCAGGGCCAACCGCCTGCGCAACCGCCTGCTGGACCTGGCGGAAATAACGTAAGTATTGTACTGTAGAGTGTCGAGTGTACACTTCCATATATATACACTGTTACAAGCTGACTAACCATAAGTCCATAACTGATAACTAGGGATGGCAAAAACTTGACGAAGTCGACTTTTCAAGTTAAAAACTTGAGTTATTGCGAAAAACTTGGGGGAAAAGTCAAGTTAAATACTTCGAACTTATCCTTTCAAACCAAGTTACTCAAGTTGACTTTGAAAGTGAAACCGAGTCCCCAAGTTCTATTTCAAGTCGACTTGAAAAACTTTTACAGTAATTAGAAAATATTCAAAGCGGTTTAAAGAAATGGACCAATGTACTACTGCTTAGTACTGTTTCCCCCACGACTGTATTATCATTTTTCCCTACTACGCGCACCTCTCCCGGCAATTACGTTGATATCTGTTCAGTCTATCATGCTGGTGCGTGCACCAGGGTAAAAAAATATGACCGGCTGTCAGTTATCCAGAAAACAGTAGTGTTAGCAGGTAAGGTAAAGAAAAATTTAAGTCGACTAAGTCGACTTTATGTCGACTCCAAGTTAATAACTTGGTTTGGACTTTCAAGCTAAGTATTGCAAGCAGCCTTGGGTTTTTAAGTATTTTAAAAAAATTACTTGTCGAAAAAACCGAGTCGGAAGTCAAGTCAAGTAGAAAACTCAAGTTTTTGCCATCCCCACTGATAACTCCCTAAGAATAGAATCTTCAAGTTCTGAAATTTTGTTGCGCAATGTCGGCAATGATGATGAACTGCACTCTAATCTGCACTCTCACGACGTTCAAGTTAGCTCAAATTACGTTCGTTCAAGCAGGTTGATTTACAATTGTTAATTTTAACTTATTTTAAATATTTGTTTACTGCTGAATTTTTTTCGTTTTCTGGTTATTTCAAGTTTGGATATATAGATATCTTATATTTATATTTGTATACCATAACTGTTATTTTCGGTTCACTGTCAGATACCTCCTGCACAACATCATGACGAGCCGGAAACTGTGCTGGACAAGCTCTTTGGGGTTTTGGTAAGTTACCAGTCTTTGCGTAGTCGCAGTTTGCAATTAGATTATCCGAGTTTTGAGCAATCAACTCCATTTCCTCGAAGGCTCCAGGCCATGGCTGTGATCCCTATAAGCTTCGCGAATCCTTACCACTAATTGTCGTTGTCCGTAATTATGTTCAGACGGTTCAGTACCGGCTACTGATTGACGTTCACATCGATGGAAAAGTCCGCACTGATCCCACTTTTCCCTCTGGTTTCATGGGTACGTGCATTTTTTGTTTTCCGAGTTCTTTACGGCTAGATCTTTTCATTCCTTTCCGCTAATGGCGGACTTCGCGCGTACGAACTTGTCGAATTTGCGTGTTTGTCGAATATTTATATAAAAATATCATTATTATCTGTAAAGTATGTTTGATTGATCGATTGATTAATTTATTTTCGAGTGGTCAAGCCGAGTAGTTGTATAATGTGTATGCGTATGTTTGTAAGCATACGTGTTTGCTCTGTACATTGTAATAGCTCTTCAATGTTTGTCCCAAGCTTTTGATCTGACGGGGGAACGATTGGAAGTGTTGAAGACGAAGACGAAAGTTTCTTCAGTGGATATCTCCACTTCTCATCCCGATGCAGTGCCGGCTGAGCCCAAGCCGGTACTGGAATACGAACTGAAACGCACGCCTACTGCATCGGCAGAGGATAAGTACAGAGAGGAAGAGTTCAAAAATAAAGGTAAACAGTACTGTTGTTGTGGGGGGAGAACGAACACACAGCAGGTTCGAATGTTATCGTTGTTTAGGTAATAAATTTATGAAGAACGGCCAAGTTGACGAGGCGCTACAGGCTTATACAGAAGCTGTCACTTTGGATCCCACAAATCCGATTCTGTACTGCAACAGGTATTTGAAATTTTGTTCAAATCATGCATTTGAAAAGGTATTCGGTTTTACTTTGGTATTTATGCACTGCAATCCGTTCAATTTTTTTATTGTCGTACATATTATATACTAATTGTTAGTCGGATATGGTTGACTTAACTGTTTTATCTCAGTTGTGTACAATCATCTTATCGTTAATATATTTCTTTTATCACGCTACAGAGCCGCCGCTTCTAGCAAAAAGAATCAACATGATTTGGCTGCTAAGGACTGCGAAGTTGGCATTGCATTTGACGGCAACTTTGCAAAGGCATACGGACGCTACGGGTATGATTGTATTGAGGCAATAGTACTATTTTACATGCTTTTACTGTTAACTTGATGAGATAGATGTTTTTATTAGGTTGTAAGATTGTGTTTTTATAGTTTGGCCTTGAACGGCTCGGGACTGCTGAAGGAAGCCAAGGATGTTCTGGATAAGGCTGTCAGTGGGGATCCCGAAGACCAGCTGTACAAGAACAGTCTGAAATTGGTCGAAAATGCCATCAACGCAGCTGGCGGAGCCCACGCTGTAAGTTACAATTGGCTTGTATCTCTGCTTTCTCCATATCTCATAGTTTTGGTGATTTTTTCGATTTGGTCACCTGCGACACATTAATCTTTCATTGACAGTTTGGTTAACTTTATTGCATTTGCGTTTGTAGGGACTGTCTGGCGGCATGCCGGGAGCGGCGAGAGGTTTCCCTAACATACCAGGGATGCCGGGAATGCCAGGTGGAATGGGTGGTGGTGGAATATTTGACATGCTGCAGAATCAGGAATTTCAACAAACGGTAGCTGCTATTGTAGTTTCGATGTTTTATGAATAATTTCAGTAATTAATTTGCATATGTTTGCTTGCAGATGATGCAAAACCCACAAGTCCAACAAATGTACGATAGACAAAAGCTAGTTGGCATTAGTTTTGTTATTGTGGAAAACAATGAACTAGAACCTTCCAGTTTCTGAGACAGTTCTCCGGTGCTTAACTAACACCATATATTAGTCTTATAAGTATTGTGCTAACTGAGCGTGGTTGACGGGAGCAGTATTATTAGCACAGCTTTATGACAGACCTAGTGAAACTTCTTGTATTATGGTACTGAAATTTGGTTTTTTCCAGGGTGGGTCAGTTCTCCAACATGTTCATGAATCAGATGGCGGGTGCAGGCGGCGCGCCTGGCGGGGCAGCACCTCCAGGAATGCCACCCGGTATGCCGGACATGGCGGAACTTCTCCGTGGAGGGATGCCGGGGATGGGCAATATGACGCCAGAGCAGATTGCGGAGCAAATGCGCGGAATCTTCGGCGGACAACAGCCACCGGATAGCCAGCCGGGTTCGCAGCCTAAACCAGAAGATAAAGATAAAAATGACAAAGGTCCGGGTAGCGGTGCTGGCGGAAATCCCAGTTATTTCTCTTAAGCGAGGATTGGTTCGTTCTGTTACCGGAAAAATAAGTGGCATGGCGTATACACATTTTTTGTCTTAAGTCTCTAGTATTGGCCCAGGGTTGTAGACGGAATTAAATGGTTCTTGAACTGAATCGAATAAACAGCAATCACGGAGTCGGTATAGCGCACTGAGTGTCATCACACGGGAACGGAACTCGTAAATTGTGCTTTGTCAGACGGAAGATCGTTGAAGTGTTGCGCAGATCGTGTAAAAGGGTTGGTCTGCAAATCCCAGGGAACGGCGGGAACATTTTGTCAATGCGAAATCATCAGTCGACTCGATACGCTGGTAGCTCTGAATTTGTCGGGCATTGTCGTTGCGCGAGTTAATTATCCCAAAACCCCTGATCAGATTTTAGCAAAACATGGGAATTTTCTGGGCGACACATCTTTGTCTGCTTTGCTGCCGTTTCTGAGAGGGTTTTATCTGTTTTGTCTTTTTTGCCATCCACTGCTAGGAACGGACACTGGACAGCATGATCGCTCCAAAAAATGTTAGTTATGTAAATATATAGAAATGTGTAACTTCGTTTATTCTTAAGCAGAAATTTTATCCATAAGCTTGAAAAATGAATAATAATGTATATTTTTTGTAATTAGAATGTTTTTTTGTTTTTATGCCGAAGCGTTGTTATGATCGCAAGAATTAATTTCAATAAACTCGTCTATGGAGAATCTACTCTAGCGCTGGGTACAGTACTACCCCCAGTACTGGGTACAGTACTACCCACTTTCTCATACGACTTACGAGTAACGGGGCTATGTTAGCTGCGGAGAGTCATATTACTTTGACTCAGTTTGACATCAAAATAAATAACTCCATTTCTACTGCCGGAAAGTGCTATTTTTTATGTACTTATTGTTAATTTTCAAGCCTGGATACAATTTTTGCTTAAGAAAAAGTTCAATTCGTGATTCTCGCCCGGATAGCAGACTGGCAGTGTGTCATTTTGACGTCACTAACAACAGGGATTTTACGGCGCGCCAACAGGAGAACTATGCATTCGCTCTGTTTCTGTTCGTGTGCTGTAATACGGGCGGTGGTGTAATACCGTGGCCATAGCACTGCCACTTAATTTAGGGAAACTGTAAATATTTTTATAACACATTAGTCGCCTCGTTTGCAGAGGATAGTTTTCTGTGAATTTTCATGCATCTGCCGAATTAACAAACAGCATAGCTCGCGAACGCGCGCTGTTTAAAAGGTGCCGGGATAAGCACTTGTTGTTATGGGCCTACGGTGACTTCCCGGCGTAGCTTTGGCGTACGGCTCCAACCGCCACAGGGCGCCATCCTGGCGAGAATCGTCAATTCACAAAGTTGGAAATTTGTGAAGGACTGCGCTTTTGGCAGACACCAGTCACATAATCACAAGGCCAACCGCCTTTGATGTTGTTTGGATGGTGCCGTTCAAGTACTGTACATCTGCTCTGATAACAATGATAACAAGTACGTATTAGCGCATTAGCGCTGCAACTTGTATGTGTACAAATCACGCATACATACATACAATTAAGACGTTTTCGCAATTGCCATTGGCTGGCCCGGCCTACTTTTGCCTACTTGTGTAGATGTATGCGTGGTTTGTACATATACAAGTAAGAAACGCCAATGCACTGCGTTTTTTCATACTGCAAATTTAAGAAACTTCAAACATTGATCTAAAAATAAGTTTATTCGAGTTTTAAAAGGTCTGCAACAGTTAATTAAGCGAATTATTTCTACCAGAACTAAAGGGGCGAGGACAGCCGTAAACCGTTGGTCTTCGGTGGCGCATCTTACTGTGCGACAGCACGGTTGACAATGGCTTGCCCATATGGACATGACGAAGGGAACCTGCTGGAATACGAGGGGAAAGTGGAAGAACGAGCTACCACCAATGGCAGTACGGAAGATGACCAGAATCAAAAACCCACTGACGATGTGGATCGCGTTGTGTTGCATACTCCCTGTCACGGTGTCAACCTGCTCTTCAAAGACATGTCACTGAAACCCGAAATCTTGAAGGGGATCTTCGATGCGGGCTTTGAGCATCCGTCCCGTAAGTTGTGACCTGCTGATCATCTTATCTGCGTGCAGGATCATCATAAGGAAACGTCATTGTAAAGCATATGTAGGTAGAGATGGTTGTTTGTTTTGGATAGAAGTTCAAGCAAAATGTATTCCCAAAGCGATGTCGGGTGTGGATATTTTGTGTCAGGCTAATCCACGCATGGGCAAAACAGGTACGTAACAGGATGCGTGCGCATCATTTTTTAGCTTCGTTAGAGATGTTTGGTTGTCATCATATTACGAAGGTTGCGATTTACGTACTAGTACTATATAGTATTACTTCACAACGGTTGCGTTTTTTTTTGTCTGATATGGTTTTGTGTACGAGTAACTTTGGACTGCTGTAACTTTAGACATCGTCAAATAGTATAACACATCGTCACATCACCTGATGTACCTTTACTATTTCCTGCGTGTGTTGCAATAACTGGTTTTAAATACGGTTTTTTGTCTTGCAGCGGTGTTCGTTATTTCCACCTTACAAATGATCGACTCACAAACCCTCGCTCAGCCGACCGTCCTGGCGCTGGCACCTACGCGAGAATTGGCCTCGCAGATCGAAGCCGACTACCGCCGCCTCAGCCAGTATTTTAGTGGAATCCGAATCAGCCTCTTCTGCGACGGCAATCCTTTGTTGGCAGACATGCGGAAACTGCGCTCCGGCCCTATTCACATCGTCGTGGGCACCGCAGGTCGCCTGAAGACTTTGATCCGTGAGCGCGTGCTGAATCTGTCGCACATCAAACACTTTATTGTGGACGAATGCGACAAGATGCTGGGCCAACTGGACATACAGTCGGATGTGCACGAGATTTTCCTGGAAACACCGTTCGAAAAGCAAGTTATGATGTTCGGTCCCACCTTCCAGACCGCGGTTTTGCAGGATTGCCGAAAGTATTTGTCGAAGGTGCGCAAAACTCAGCAGAGACAGTGTAACAGAGAGAGGAAGAGATACTTCGTATTGATAAGGTATATAATGATTTTGTCTGTACGGCTGGACCAGAAGGAATTCTTGCGTTTGTACTCTGTAAACACTAAGCACTGAATCTAAACAAGGAATTGCTTTGTGTTTAAAAATGGAATGTGATATTCGAGGACTGCCAGCGTCAAGTTCAGTTACAAGTATTTTGTGTTGTGATCGCAGGAAGCATTCGAAATGTTAGTGGTGGAACCTGTTCATCTCGGTACAGTGGAAATTCAGAATCAAGAATCAGTAGACGCTCTGGACCGCGTTGTGCTGCATACTCCTTATCACCTCTCTGGCTTTGAAGGTATGTTATAATAAATTTGTTATAATATAATAAACAATATTTATATTTATATATCTATCAAGGAACTAGATCTATAATATAACTACAAAAAAAGATGAGGCATCGAGATCGGAAAAACCAGAACCTAATAAAAAAAACTGTAAACGCCATTAGATTCAGCATGTTCAGAAACTGTGTCACATGATTTTTTTTTCTTAAAAAAATTATTTAAACCCGTCCCACCGATGCCGGTTTCGGCAAAGCTTTCAAGGTGACCTTGAGAATAATAGCAGTGCCAGTTGCTTAGAACATTTGGTAAAGTGTTAAGTATGTAATACAATAAATTTGTAGTTATTTTATTTGCAAACATGCTGAATTTTAATCGCCTGTTGCTGCTCAAATGTTCAATGTTCAAATGCCTAAAAAATCCGATTCCCGAACCATGATTGAATTAACCCAGGTTTCGAAGGAAACAAAAGCCAGTGAACACGACTGCTAAGGCAGTGAGTGACTCAGCTACCGCCAATGTCCAGTGAACAAAACGAAATCACTAGCTGAGTGATGACCGAGCAATAAATCGCTATCCTAGGTGAACAAATTTGCTAGATGAGTAAGTGACTGAGCTACCACCACTGTCCGGTGAACAAAATCGCTAGGTGAGTGAGTGACCGAGCTACCACCACTGTTCACTGAACTAAACTAGATGAGTAAGTTACCGAGCTACCACCACTGTCCGGTGAACAAACTAGATGAGTAAGTGACTGAGCTACCACCACTGTCCAGTGAACAAAACTAGGTGAGTAAGTGACTGAGCTACCACCACTGTCCAGTGAACAAAATCGCGAGGTGAGTGAGTGACCGAGCTACCACCACTGTCCAGTGAACAAAACTAGATGAGTAAGTGACCGAGCTACCACCACTGTCCGGTGAACAAAACTAGGTGAGTAAGTGACTGAGCTACCACCACTGTCCAGTGAACAAAATCGCGAGGTGAGTGAGTGACCGAGCTACCACCACTGTCCACTGAACAAAATCGCTAGGTGACACCGTGAGTGAGTGACCGAGCTACCACCACTGTCCAGTGAACAAAACTAGATGAGTGAGTGACCGAGCTACCACTGTCCAGCGAACAAAGTTGGTAACTGAGTGAGGGACCGAGGACCGAGCTAGACTCTTTGCCTAAGAAGTTCTACAATAACTGCTAAGGAAGTTAGTGAATTTACTAACGAATTACTGCAAATGGAATGATTTGTTCAAAGCGGCCGTGGATCACAAGAAACGCGGAGGCGAAGCCGCAGCGGTTTCTTGTATATATATATACGGGCATTGTTCACAAATTCTACTCGAATTTGGCTTTATTTGCATGGAGTACATGCAGTGCTGCGTTGTCCAGAAATTACAATTAGATACCAGTGTCTAGTGTTATTCTTTCCTTGTAATTTATTGCATATTGTACAGAGGTGAAAGTTAATTTATTTGATCAAAAGTATGGCCAATTTTTGAACATTTCCCTCTTTTTTAAGGCCGCGAACTCCTCATTATGTGTGCTGGTGGAGAAGATACGGGCATTAAACTGTGCACGGTGGAATGTTTCCGTCCATTTAAATCGGAATGGGGATATTTGATGTCGCTACCAGTGGCACTTAGTAAAGCGGGAATCGTGGGCTGCGATAAACTCGTTTATTTATGCGGGGGTGAATTTGCCAACGGCGCCGCTTCTGATGGAGTGTTGTGCTATGATGCTATGAATAACCAGTGGCTAACGAAAGCACATATGTTGTCGGGTCGACATTCCTTTGGCACAGCTACGTTGATCGATTACGTTTTTGTCGCTGGCGGTAGGAATGGAGCATCGGTTCTGAAAACGGTGGAGCGATATGACGCGGTATCTGATACGTGGGAATTTGTAGCCAGCCTACCTGCTCCGCTCACCGGTTGCTCCATGTTAGCCGTAAAAGGCAGATTGTATTTGTTCGGAGGAATGTCAGTGTTCGGCGGAGCATTATCGGATAAAGTGTATCAGTACGACATCGACGCTGATAAGTGGAGTTCAGTGAAATCAATGCCCTTGTGTCGAAGTGGAGCGGTAGCGTGTGTCGGCCCGGACGGTTTGATTTATGTTGTGGGTCAGTTAAAATGTACTTACTTCAGGGTTCGATTATTAAATGTTTTTACTTGCTTTGTTGTCCTGGCTGTTAAAGGCGGAATATCGCGCGATATGGAGGTTTTGTGTCGCGTGGATGCCTACGATCCCTTTGCCGATAAGTGGCTACCAAAAGGTAAGTTTGCGGCTGCAAATCATTAGTAATGATTGTGATGTGACTGCAGCATTCTGTGATGTAACGGAGCTTCTAAGAATACTGAATGTGACGTTTCTCCTAGATTCCATGCGGGTTCCCCGCTACTTGCCCGGGATTGGGGTTTTTGAAGGTCGAATGTATGTTTTCGGTGGAGAAAAATCTCTGAATTGTCATGACAGCAGTATTGAAGCATATGATTTCGTGGCGGATGAGTGGTCGCTTCTGAATACCATGTTGCCGAGCGCTCGTAGCGGGCAAAGTTGTGTCGCGGTTGCGGTTAATAGCGGTAAGCCATAAAATTTTTAATGCAGTATCGGTCGCGCTGGCGCGCAGCCAGTATTGTTTGAAAAACGGAATTATGCGGGACAATAATTAGTATTTAGAAGTCTGAAAACAGCAATAGGACTTCGGAGTGTGAAGATAATTTGAATATTTAAAAATGGACAAATGCTAAAATACAAATTTTATTAGCCCCACTGCACGGGGCCAGCTTTTTTAAATACGTTCCGAAGTCCACATCGTTATAATATTATTCTTACGTAACGCCCCTTTAATCATGTCGGTACGGATGACGCTTCACTTTGTTCGCTGGTTGAGAATTGTTTGTCTTTTTGCAGTGTTTGTGCGGTCATCATTTCGGATGGATCTTGTACATGGTCGTATTGGTTGTAACAGTACCACATTTTTTAACGCGGGGAGATGAATTGGTTGCGTTTGCTACCAGATGGGATGTTTCATCTGCGGCATGTTACTGATACGGTGTACCTTTGCCTAAAAAATTTCTCGCAGTATTGTCTAATGGAATTCTTTCGTTTAAGTGTTTTATTGCAAGCGATCTGTATGCTGTTGTGATTAATCACCAAATTATACACTTGGATAAGAATACGAAGGGGTACAAACTAACTAGCAAAACTCTGTTGGGCAATTTTACATTTCTGTGCTGTAAACTGAAACATCATGAGGATAGTGGAAAGTGGAATGTCTTACTTTACTTATGTATGTCTTATGGAGTGATTTACGGGCTTTCGTGCCTGACGAAACATTCGCCAAATTTATGGATCTTAATGGGAGGACGGCTGTTGGCCGGTATTGCCACTTCCATTATGTGCACATCTTTTGAGGCTTGGCTTGTGTGCGAATGCAACAAGGTTAACCTAAGCGTGTTTATATAACAAAATGCACTGTTGCACTCAACAGTTTTAAAACAGCAAATAAATCATTGATAATTTTACAGAAGGGTCTGTCGATCGCCCAGTTGGGAGACATACTATCAGGAGCTACGAAACTTAATGGAATTATTGCCATTCTGTCCGGTGTAGTCGCGCAGTTCGCGGTCAGTACTTCCGGGAAATTAGTGTACGGAGTGATTTTCACGACAAATTTGCATAACATATTCCGAAAACTGTTTTTGGGTTATTGGGTTAGATCACCTTTTGATGTGGCTGCCGGTATTTTAGCAATTACATAAATTCTTGTGTACTATTTGTCGACGGAGAAATACGGAGACCAAAACGCTCCAAATCTGCAATCTTTCGCTTCCGGCATCAAAACAAAAACATTACTAGCAGGTAATGCATATAAGGCTGCGTTCTGCTTGAAATTTGTTATAATAAATTTAGTAGGTTTTTCCATATCAGGTATCAGCTGCCGAAATCATGACGCATTTAACATGACAGCTGCGATTTCACCACTAACCATAAGATTCACTCGCTAAAGATAACAGTAATTGTTTTTGCTTACACTTTATCGAGATGCAGTTACTTTAGCTACATAAAAGTGATAACAATTAGTTATTATTCATTCTGTTATTTATATTAGCTGCATTATTTTTAGCTGCAATGGAATCGGGTACAGATTGAGGAACAAACAACTCAAAAATTTAAGATGTGAGAAATTTTATCTACCGTTTTATTTTATCTACCTCCTTAACGTTTTTGATTTCTGATGTTGTCTGCGTGCCTGTTTCTATTAAAGCAGTTCTTGTGATTCTACAATTTTAACTGCATCTTGAGAATTTCTTTTTGCAGAAAATTGCAGTGTTTTACTAGGGGAGATCATGCAGTTATTATTCGAAGGTTTTATGCACATTTTCGTTTTATTATGGACGCCGGCATTAGAGGTAGAAAAAGAAAAAGCGGGAAAACCAAAAAGCATTTTCCTTCCTCATGGATATATACCTCTTCTCGGTTTTCATGATAGCCGTGGCACTGGGTCCTTTTTGTTCAGCTGTTTAAGTAGGCGATTATCGTTAGAAAGGATCCTGATGGGTCTACTAATAATATCCACGTTACATTTGTACCGGCATTAGCGATTCCCGAGGAGAGATCGTATTTCCACTACGAAATCATAGTAAACTTTGTAACCCTAACGTACGTTTTCTTGGTCAGAATACATGGGTTGTTTTCGCTTGACTTGTGATATTCGAATTCTGTGTTGGAGTATTTTGGCCGTGTATGGGTGCACTGCGTGGCCGCTATGTGCCGGAAGACTGTCGCTCCACATTGATGAATTATTTTGAATTCCCGTTAATCGGTTATTTTTAATTTCAACCTTGTACAAGCAAATGCCATTTACAATTTAAAACTCAAATACCGAACAGCTAGAACAAATAAAACAGCTCTTCTAGCTCTTCAGCTTCCTATCCCTCCCGTTAATCTAGTCGTAGTCGTTGTCTTGGTTCAGGTACATGATTACTTGCATAGCCGGGTGGCATTCCTATTTTACCGCCATTTTTCTTTACTCGTCCAGTGTCCATTATATTCTGCGTAACAATAATTTTAAAATTTTGGTTTTAGGATGCCAGCCTCTGGATTAACTTCTTATGCTGTTTAATTTTCTTAGCCGCATGCGCGGTATTACCCACAAGATTTAAGCCAATCAAAGTATCTAACATAGACGAGGAGATGGATGCCGGGAATGACGTATCCCTTCTTTCAGCCAAAGAACCACTATAACATACCTTACTGAATAATAAGTACTTTTAATCCAGCCCTACCCACTGTGTTTGTGAAACTGTCTCCGCAAACGTTAATCCAACGTTCAATTAGTTACCAAAATTAATAAGAAATTCCGTTGATTATGGCTTAATAACCAGCTGGCGAAAAAAATTCAGTTGCCCCACATGAGGGCAAATTAAGTATTCTCTATTACTAGTACAATTTTTGAGTTTTTATCATTGCATCCTTTGAGCAAACAACACTGAGCTATCTAATTCATCTGCTGTTTCTTTATGTTGAGCTAAGTTTCTGAAGATTCAAAATTGTAACTGACCATTATTTACGGGGTAGTTGATTCGATAAACCGGCAAGCAGTTGCTCAAGTCATAAATTAAACTCGTACCGGATCCGCTGAGATGTAAAATACCAGTGCATGCGTACTGCTGATCGGTCCTCGGATCAAAAAGTGTAAAAGTACGCTAGGGAATATAATATACGGCACTCCTGATTTCTTTTCTCCAACCGAGAAAACCCATTGGCAGCCGTATTATTTCTTATGAAAGCCAGAGTACTTTATTCACGATTCCTTTTCCACAGGCCATTACGGGCTCCTTAGCGTGACAATTAGAAAGATCCCGGGCATCGAATAAAGTGTGGCCATGTCGCGTTTTAATACCAGCTCAACAAATGGTGCTTGCATATGTATCTTCAAACGTGCGGCACATATATACACAACGTCATCCTGCCACGATACAATTCCTGTCTTAATCCCCAACGTTCCAGCCTATTTCTTTTGTGGGGTTTTACATCGATGTACTTTGACACTTTGCATAAAACATTGGAAATGCGAGAACATATTAACATCGTGAGGGTGCTGTACGACGGCGGTCGTTGTCGACCGCGCAAATGGAAAAACACATGCATATTTCTTGTATTATGCTGCCAGTAATATTAATGGTCTGTTTGCTTTGTGCTCATATTGTTGCATGCTGCGCAATATCCGTTCGCCTTTTGCAGATGCAGATGCAATGGTTTCCGGCATGGATATTTCGACGACAGCCACAGGATCAACTTTTGTCACGAAATGTAACCTTTATGCATCGTAATATTTCAGTGAAAATACCACTGGCGGATGTTTCATCAAATGAAGTTCTGGATTAAAGTCGCACAAATGTACACAATAATTTTTATTGGTTGAATGATTTTACAACATCTTAATCGCATGGGCTATGATTTTGGCATTCTGCACTTTTGCTTTACAACTTTATGAACATTACTACGCTTGAATTTAGAATGCATACTCCCAGTTTTTATAGGCAGGTGGCAAGCGATCATGAAAACGCTTTCGTGTTCCAAATGTGTTTTTACGATATGTTTAAAACAGTTTTTTACCGTTAGCCAAGCAAATTTTGCATAATAAGCATTACAGTTATAAATTCGATCAGTTAATCTGTGCTCGAATATTTCTGATGACATGCGATACACGGATTAGAACCGCATGCAGCAATGAAGTGGTGCAAAGCATGGAAAAAGAAAACATGGTCTTGGCAAACAAGGATTTGCTAATTATATGGTTCAAGTGAAGCTCCATGGATTTCTTTCATTATCAATTTCCACCTAATTTGTCCACAGAGCACAAAATATTTAACGGGTTTTATTATGAAATAGTTTAATTATGATTAATGCAGCAGCGAAAACGTAGCTGCTGCATTTCTTTATAATGTAGCTATAGCTATTTTCGTACGATTTTATCACACAATGCCGAGATTCTAATTGTATACTAATTCTCCATTAGATGGCTAGGTGGTGTAACCACCACTGGTAAAATTTTATTTTGTTATTTAGTATTTAGTAGTAGTTTTAATAGTAGTTAAGTTTTTAGTACAACATTTCTTGCAGCTGACGTTAGTGGACAAATCTTTCAGTTACAAGCTAGTTCTAACTACTCTGTATAATGCCGGATTTAAATAAGAATTTCTCCGCACTATCTGTGCATATTTTAAAGGTAACATAATAGCTTAATTACAAGGATTTGCACCAGATGACGGAAGCTGTTACCCCTACCGTGTATATGCATTTCCATCATGCCGGGAAGGACGGATTACCTTAACAAGAAAATTTACAGTTTAGAAAATGAGCGCTTGGGATTAAGCTGTCAATCAACTGGCCTTGGGCAAGAAAAGCTTAATACAAGGGAAAAAGAGGGAGGTTGGGAAAGGCAAATGTGCGTCGTCTACGAACACACGTCCTTCCGGGATTGGTTATTATGATGTCCAACCAGTGCGTGCACTGGCACTTATAATGTCTAAGAGTCCTGCCAAGAATCTCGTTTTTTCTGTTCATCTTTAAACTGCCTTGATATATAAACCATAAAGCATATGTTCATGTAACGATTCTGACCGAGACACCGTTTTCCTGACCTGAAGAAATGTCATCCTCGGAAGAAGTATGGACCAAAGGAAATTTCACCAACCGTACATCGTTTGTGGGAATAACACCGCAGCGTTTCCCTCTTGATTACCGCATTGTTGCAACCACAGTGCACGCTATCATATTTATTATCGGTGTCTTTGGGAATATTGCTGTCGTGGTGGTGGTAAGGAAAACTCGTGCACTGCACACGCCGACTTATTGCTACTTGGTACGTTATCTGATTGCTATTTATACATAATATTATGTAAAACTGTATTATGTGTAGTTCTATTCTTGTGTAAATATTTTAAGCAATAATTTTTAGCAGAAGAATTCCAAAGAAAATATTTTTGAAAGCTGGGCGTATATATGGGTAATTACCATGTGCAAATTACCAGTGCAATAGATGCCGAAATGAATATAATAGCAAAAATATAAATTGAGTGCACTTCCGGACCGGTAACAGAAATATTGTACTCAATATAGGCACGAATACATACGATATTCCAGTGGCTGTTCAGTTAAACTTGAGATATACGTTCGGATATTAATATTGTGTCAGCTATTCATTGGAGCAGAACTGATTCAAATTACATTATGAAATAGCATTCAAAATTGAACCGTTGGACGTAGTATAAAGTTCACCAAATCCGGACTGTTATCCCGCATAATCGAATAAGCGTTTTCAGGACATATGGACGTAATCCAGCGTGCATAGGAGAACGTTAAATAAATGGACGTTTCACCAAAATTACGCAATAACGGTGCTGCACTTTCATTATACTAAATACGATTTGTCCATGAAAAGTCACATTTGCATTCATAATTATACGATATCTTCATTCATCACCGACTATACAGCTCAAGATTTCAGACCGATCAGAGGTTTTTACGCATACCATTTGAAATTACTTCAACCGAACCCAATTATACTTTCATTTCGACCGTAAATTGAACGATACAATTATGTTTCATCAATATTCATAATATACGCGTAATACTGATTCGATGTTGCAGTAGGCGTACCCGACACGCATCGGTGTGTATCTATGACTTGTGAACCTCGTTAAGAAGCACAAAAAGAATTTTTAAATACAGCCTGAAATTCAAGGCAAGCAACCAGAAAAGGGTAGGGATGGTCAGATTACTAATTAGAAAAGAGTTAAGAAAAAAGAAAGAAATGGATAAACTATACGTTAATATTAAAGGAAGAAGCTTGTAATGATAGACTGGTACAAAGGGAATATTTGAATGGAATCCAAGATAGTCTCGCAGTTACGTCCAAGCTAAGGAACAAAATGCGTTCATTTGTCGATACCTAAAAATATCGAAAATATTAGAACCGGGATCCGTTTAGTCTCCTAAGAATGTTGAATGGTGCATAGAGATGAATTAAACCACGTTTGCAGCAGTGCTGACGAATACAAAATTTAATACTGGCAAAACCATAGCGCGTTTGAAAGAGATACATCAATCAATTTTTTTAAAATTTGTTATTTAGTTACATCAAAGAATACCCCCAGTGTAGTCATCACTGCAATCGCCTCTAATCACTTTTAAACTAAACAACATAAAATTATTTGCAATCGAACGCTGTAGGTAAAATCGTTTGCTAGAGGCCGTAGTATATAGTATCTACATAATTATTACCGGTGAAACCGGGCGACACGACGGTATTAACAGATTTAGCATTCGCTTACCCAAACTTTATTAGACGGTTAAAAAGTGATTTCTACTGCATCTAAGGCGCTTGGATACTGCAACTGTGATACCGAAGTATGCACAGAGCCGAAGATATTATAGATATACTCGTAATTGTACTTCTACCTACGTGGCTGCATGCGTGCGGAATCGGTAAAATTTTATCATCCACATCCTTGATGTATTCACAGGTATCTCTAGCTGTTGCCGATCTTCTCGTGCTCTGTTCGGCGATTCCGGAAGCCATTGTGTCCTATCATTTGTACGCCAGGCAATGGATCTTGGGACACGCCGGATGTTCTTTGTTGATTTTTGGAAATTTTCTCGGCATAAACGCCAGCAGCACTAGGTATGGTGTTTTGACCCGGATCCGGAAACATTCAATGATCTCGTTAGCCGATACAACTAGTAATCCTACGAAAATTGAACACCCATTGCACTTACCGCCTTTCTTGTATATATTTATAGTTTCTTACGATAATTAAAATTATTAGTTATGATGATGCCCGTATGATACTAAAGTCACTTATTAAATATTGTACCTTACGAACAAGAAATTTTGCTTTTCCAGATAAAAGATGACCAATAACACTGCTTTCTTTTTGGTCTAATTACTTATTGGTGTGTTCTGCAGCATTTTGTGCTTTACCATCGAACGGTACATCGGGATTTGCAAACCGCTCTTAGCGCAGAAAGTCTGCTCAGTTGGAAGAGCTCAAAAGATTATCATCGGCACATGGGTGTTCGCTGTGATATACTGTTCACCGTGGTTGGGATTAACGAAAACGACACTGGTCCCCGTGAGAGGCCGTCCACCCATTGAGCGCTGTGAATTCCGCCTACAACGTGATCCATATTTTTATTTTTTTGTGGCGGATTTATTGTTATTTTACGTCCTTCCGCTGCTGGTATCCGTCGCACTGTACGCTAAAATCGGCATCACTTTACGTCGCAGCCAGTTACCAATGTCCAATGCGTCAACACCGCAGAGCTCCAGTGGTAACATTAAGGCGTTGCATGCCGGTAACGGTCCACCGGAAATGCTGCGCAAGCACAGTTGTCGGGGCCAACTGGTGGATCAAGACAAACAAATCGTCCAGGTATGTACACGACTATAAAGTGCCAGAAGGATTCGGCTTTTGATATTCTGCACGGGCATTAGTGACATCACGTTTACGCGTGCACCCCTGTCCGCAAAATGACTGGAAGAAAACCCTGTCATAAAGGAACACCATATAATGGAATCGCTTAAATGGCAAGATATGGATCGCGTTGCATATACTATATCAAATTAATATTGTATCATTGGTGCTGCAGCTGCGTAGAAATAATGATGTCATGCAGTTAATTAGCGTCAGCTATCATTGACTCAGATTGTTACTAAATCTAATGATTACTTTAGCAATAATAAATTTAAACAATTAAGAGTACGTCCTTCTTCTACATGTACCTATATATATACATTTTGATATAAAGCTTCTGATATATTGCGTGTTTTATTTTAAATAGGACCATGTAGGTAATATGAATTACCACGCCCTTCATCCATAATATTTTCTGTGTGTACAGAGAGTAGCTCGCATGTTTTCCCATAAATCGTAAATCTTGTAACGTTGCCTCCGTAAAGGGATTTAACTGATGCACACAATAGCCTATAGAATAAAATACCTTCGCACTTTAATTGTGCACGAGTTAAACTATGATCCCCTTCAGCTTTAACTTACGCGTCTTTTGAATCCTTAGGTTGTAAGGATGCTATCGGTTGTCGTGGGTTTATTTGCCATTTTGTGGCTTCCTTATCGAGGATTATTGGTGTACAACTCTTTAGTGGAGAAGCCGTGGCTGAACCTATGGTATCTGCTGTTTGCCAAGAGCGCCATATTTGTCAATTCAGCGATCAATCCCATAATGTACAACGCCATGAGCAAGAGATTCCGTAAAGCATTTGTTTACCACATTTTCTTTTGTCGCAACTGGAGGAGAAAGCTTGGGAACACATGTAAGCAAACAAAAAGCGTTTTCGGTTGGCTTGTAACCTTGTGTCCATCTCGATATGCGTTAAACGATTAAGAAATTTTCACGCAATATAGAAATCAAATCAAATACCATGGAGAATTTTCCTTTTTGTTTTACCAAAATAGCGTTGCTTCGCATATTTTACCATTAGGGAATTTAACGCGCATCATTCAAATATACATGTAAGCGCTAGTTATCAGGGAAAATTCGATCGTAATACTTATTTTGGTGCCTGGCTAAACTGTCTTTGAACTGTTCATTTCGCAGTTTATTGTTCTCTAACTAATTTTACGCTTTGAGTAATATGTGTTATTTATAAATGCTAATATAAGCACGTGTCTGACAATCAGCTCAGTATGTTATGGAAGTTGCACAACGACCTGAACACAACAGAGACCTATAAGTAACTAAAATTTTCTGAACCGTTAACATTATAAAATACTACTTTAGAGTAGCACGTGTCTCTTATTAATTAAAGCATTATTTATCAGCACTTAATCCAGCTGAGATTACATGGACAAGATCATCCGTGCCGGCTCTGACGATCACCACGGCGTCGACTTATGCCGCCTCTCCGCGCGGATCGATGTATCCCAATATACAGCGTTGTGCATCCGCCGTGTCGCTGGATTCCACATCCATAGCCATGGCGCCGAAGCGTATAAAGCACTGCAACGGCGAAGGACTTAGTCTTCTAAGTACCAGACGATCCAGCTCGGATCGGAATTTATTCGCGTCCAGTGCATACTCGTCGATGGCTAGTTCTAATGCGCATATTGAAATGCAAGTCTCCGAAAGAGATTCGCGACCGTCGTCGGTGCAGCTTCTCACGCCGAACGTTTATACACCATCGAACTTGTTTAACTCTGTCTGAAGTGGAAAAATTTGTTGGAAAGATTCATAATTAATGAATGATATGTGAATGCGCCGGTAAAGTTGACTGGTGAAAAGGTCACCACTGTGCGCATTATGCAATGCAGATAAACATGGTTTTGCAACCCGAGCCGCTCGATCTCACGACCAAGGAGGAGCACCAAAATAATGGACGTTTTTATAAATAGTAACTTCGGTTAAGCAGCAGAATAGTTTATTAAGGAGTATTTAAAGAGATTTTGAGGAACAGGTCGGTTTGATGCACGCACAAAACAAAAATGTTTTAATTTGAAACACGATTACCGTTCCCGCGTTGCATATACTATAACTGCGCGCCAACTTAATAATAATATGCAAACCATATAGTTTGCCATCACGAGATGTCAGTATTGCGTACTCAAGTGCGCCGCAGGCTACTACCGCAAACTGAATGGACTCGAAGAAATAATTATTACATAACACAACAGCAACTGCAGATTTAAACGAGTTGGAATACATGGGATGTTACATGCTATGGTACGACTACTGGCACAGTAAAAACTGGTCAATGCTTGGTAATTTGTGTTTTCCACGAATTAGAAATGTAATTAGATTTCCTTATCATCCCGACAATCCTTCCTGATCTTCCGTGCAATTAGGTGATCCCGCGATCGAACCAGAAAAGCTGAGCGACTTGCGTAATACTTTATCCCCGACTTTGAACTGCACAATTTTTGCCGAACTCCGCCGTTTGATCTCCTTATTCAATTTTCCCGGTAAGGGCGAAATCCGTCTCACTAACGACGAGGAAAACTGCTGCGAAATCCGGTCCGGTGAAATGCTGCACGCCTCGACGGTCAGAGTGTTTTCGGTGCGCCGAGGCGTAGTCTCCTCGCCACTGTCCGCTTTACTATCACTTTCACCGGCAGCCGCACACGTGGGCGCCACCGTATACGGCCACACCTGCTTCACCATTTTATGCGCCCAGTATAGCTTACAGTATTCCTCAGCGGTGTCAGCTTCTAGCATTTCATCCACGGAAGGCAGAGTAATCTTCCCATCCAGAAAAGCTTTGTAAAAGCGAATTTGCATTTCGGTGCCGGTCACTAGATACGGCACCACATTATGCAAGCCAACAAAGGCCAAGGTGTGCAGCCGGCTGTGGATCAGCTGCCGGTACAGCGGACTAACTCGTCCGGGTGACACTTCCGTTTGGCATTCGGGTGTTAAAAAGGGAAAGTCATAGTCGAACCCGGTAGCCAGGATGACCGCGTCAATACGCTCGTTCTTTCCATTGGGCAACACCACAGACTCTTCCTTAAAGGTCACAATGGAGTGTGTCTGTAAGATTTCGGTGAACATCTCCGGTACATCAAATTGCTGCGTTGTGGATGTTGAACAGCAAAAGCTTTTGACTGATTCAAGCAGACAACTGAGCACTTTTCCGGGCATGGTGTCGGTGAGAAATTTATCGAAGTCAAACGAGAATCCACCGGGAGAATAATAGTGTTCATCTTGCGCTTGGGGCACAGGAACAAAGATTACCTAGGAATGTACGAAAAAATTTTGTAAATGCAAGCAACAGAGAATGTATTGTCCGCTAGTACTCTTTGCGCAATGGCGAGAAATATTCATCTAGTGATAAATGGAAAATTATTAACTCACCTTCTTCGTAACCGACAGAAGTTCACAAACAATTTCATTGGCTATGGACGTATGCCCCATTACAACAACCCGAAGGTTTTTGTACGTTTCCGGTCCGGAATATTCGCTACTGTGTGTAACAATTCCTTGGAAGGCATCGATGTTATGCAGTGAAGGCTGATAAGGCTTCGTGTCGTGACTAAATTGCAACATGGAAACCAAGCGGGTTTGATGGGTAAGTAAAAGTCAGCATAACAAAAGTTTGAATATAAGTATACTCAGTATACTGTCATTACCATACTTAATATGCAAGTGTATAGTTATTATGCAGTAAAATAAAATGTGATTAATGTTTCAAAGATGACCGCCGTAATTTATATTAAGTATTATTTTTACCCAGTGCACAAGAGTACAATATCGGCAATGATTTCTTCTGATATTTCCGTTTCCAAATCCACGACAGTAACCATGAACTGCGGTTTATGTGGATGGTTTTCATTGTTCAGTGGATTCAGGCTTAAAATCTGATGCCGAAACTGTAAACCGTATCAAGCTTACGGTCAGCATTTTACTGAACTCATACAATAATTTCCTTTGGGTCAAAACCTTGAAAACTATTACCTTGAAATACTGCATCAAATCATAGTGGGCAGCGTAATCATTTAGGTATCCCGACATATTTTCGCGGGAAACAATGGTTGTAATCGCCAAAGGACCGAACGACTCTGCAAACGGTGTTGAGTCAGTCGAAGGGTGATTTCTGCCGACCAAAAAGTATTACTTTTCAGTGTTCGTGGTCTTCAGAACTGGGGACCTTTAATTGTCGATTAGTGGCAATGCAGAAGAGCTTTCTAATGAAAGTATTCATACTTGAGGATTGGTTTTAGCGAATGTGTGCTTGGAGCTGATATATAATTCCAGATTCCGCCAAGCGTCGAAGCGGCTTCGTATGCGACCACATCATAATTGGGATCCGCGGAAAAATGGCGCAGTGCGCATAAGCATGATGCACCGGCACCAATAACGACAACTTTCCTGACTGCTGGAAGCGTAGGCATTGTAACGGCGACTGCGGAATACCATAAGATTTTTAATGTTCTATTGTGAATATCCAAACAAACTCATCCAGTATATACGAGTTTACCGCGTTCGTACCGTACATCAAGCCAGATTCTACAAATAAAAGAAAACAACAACAACGAAAAAATAGTAGTCGCAATCTTAAATGCAAAACTACAAGTACTTCACGAAAAATAATTATTATAAAATATTAAGGATAAATTTCGCGTGTTTTTCTGCGAAACAAATTTATTGACACTGGTTGTAAATGTGCTGACAATCTTTGACACTCACAACTGTCAGTTGTTGCCTATTACCATTTCATTGAGTGTGCTCTATTCGGCTTTTAGCCTGCAAGCAAACCATTAAAGGTCTATCTTACTTTAATTTTCCCTATTCTGTCTTCATTTAATACATCTAGTAAATTTGACAATTGTGCTGAAGAAAAGTCCGAGTCAACAGTACAACAACTGCATGGCTTTTCGAGCGATATCCAATTAGATTCACTTTGTGCGGTCCGACTGACAGCGCTTTATCGTACCGTTTGAATTTAAGGAGATACTTAACTGCAAGCAAAGTAATATAGAAGTATACAGAAACACATTGTCCACAAATGCAACACGCATACCTTCTACAGGTATAAACACACATCGAAAAGAGAGTTGGTCCTTTAAACTAAATACTAGCGGTGCTTGCTCAAACCTTTGGTGTGCCGGGAAATACGATCGAGATAATTATAGAAAAGTTTTCGTATACGGAAGATGTTCCTTTTGCAAAGCTACAAACAGATCTCTTTGTCAGAGAATATGTTGTGAAGATCCAAGCAAAAACAGATTTTCAGCGCTGCTAGCGCATAAAAAAGTCCATGAAAATTACACGTATAAACAAACGCTGTAATCACTAATTTAATAATTATTAACTGACGCAGCCCATAATTAAGATACTACATCATTTTAAAAATAACACTTATCGAAATATGTAAACACATGTCATAGTGTATGTAATAGGACCACCAGCACAGGCAGGAACAGTGGCACTTACTAAACTAAAAATTTTATGAACGTATGCATTGCAGAATGTACGCATTAATGATAATTAAAATTCAAAACCTTTTACAGTTAACTTTTATAAAAGACTATGTACATGTCTACATCGCAGTGATTACATTAACTGGTTTTTTTTAATGAAGTAACAAAAGCCACCGGATACGGTTTTCGAAAAGTCCTTTTGCTAGCGAAAAACCGAATTGTGCGGCTGTGCCGATGCGCGCTAGATTTACTCGCTTCAGATGCCATCCGCAATCATGTTTGTTTGTGAAGAAAATTCTCCAGTCACGCCGCCATAATGAGCTACCTGCGGATTGTTACGTACGGAGAACTTTTCCTTGTGACGGGTTCACGCTTACTGCTTTGTTATTTTCAGCGTGAAACGAATTGTAATTTGGATCCCGTTCAAGTTTTAGTACTTACTGGATATTTTGTTCGAACGGCTACAGAAATTTTAACGAGTCTATTCTCGCGGCATTGCAGATCCATATATGACGTACTGCGCTAAATTTGGTCAAATGAAGCTAAGTTAACAGCGTAGATTTATGTGTTTTCCTCTTGATGGTGTACTGTACCTATTTATGAGAACACAGTTCATTATAGTACAGACGTTGCAATCCTGTAAGAAAACTTCTGTAATTTACGAATGCGTAAATCACGAAAAAGGCATGATTGCTTTATAGCCGGGATTTAACAACTACAGGTTGTTATAAGATGGTTTTAAAACTGCGTGACCCTGACGATATCTTATATGCTCTGGGTGATCCTGGGAAATTTCAAGTTATCCAGATAATACTTTTAGCCTGGCAGTTTTTACCAACTGGCGTCAACGATCTGATGCCAATATTTTATAACTTCCAGCCGATTGGGATTCGGTTAACAAATGATTCGGCTTACAACACATCAGAAGTGCTCAATATCACTGCAGCGTGCCAGCTCAACCGCAATGAATTCGACTATGTATATCCAGCGAACCAGTGGTCAATTATTGGAGATGTATGACGTAGTTTTGCGTACCCAGTAATTTCATTTGAAATACTAGAACTGTTATTGTCAGCTATAGCATTTGATGCTTATTAAGCCATTAAAGCGAATGACCTTCCCTAATTATATAATAAGCTGCTTCATTTCATTAGAAAATTATTTTCAGTGATACTGTAATGTAATTATAGCATTACATAAGCCGATAAGCGTAACAATATGTATCAGATTTCATACACATTTGACTACTGCAAAGCATGAAGTCAGTCACTACTAATTTCATAAATTTGAATATTTAGATGGATCTCGTTTGTGACAGAAAGTGGTTGGCTGATTTTGCATCAACAATTTATTTCCTTGGTGAGTAACGAAATACTTCACAGGCTGTGAAAACGACTCAGTTAGTATCAATCCTGTTCTGGTTGGTGTGGCGTTATTGCATTGAAAATACTGTAGTCCCTGTATGCTGCTGCTTATGCAACTGTTATGTTCGTATTGGTAGTGTCACTGATTTAGCAATTGTATTTAAAGGTCAAGTGCTCGGAAGTCCGGTTGTGGGATTTTGTTCCGATCGGTACGGCAGACGACCAACACTGATTTGGTTTAATGCCGTGTTTACCGTCCTTAACATTGGGCTAATATTTTCTCGAGATATTGTATCGTTTATCGTAATTGGGTTTTTTGTGGGAGTCGCTAGACAGGTGAGGGAATCGGTGTGAATGTGGTCCAGCAAAACTGACATTTTACGGTTTTATCACCCTCGTGCGTGGTGTTTAACATTTCAGGCTTTTGGGACCGCCTTTGTTGTAATTGCCATAGAGTGGATTCAGCCAAAGCGTCGCGCACTATGGTGGTCAATTGCTCAGTTCCCGTTATCTCTTGCGGTTCCAGTTTTAGCGTTGGCTGCATATCTCCTGCCCAACTGGCATTACCTGCAGATATTTGTGGCTTTGTCCAACTTTACAGCGGTGACCTTTTATTGGTAAGCTTTGCATAATGCCCGAAACTGTAGCTACTTTAACTTAGCTTTTAGACATCTCACATTATTAACTGTTAATAAACGGAAATACCACTCATAAGTACCTCTGGCTGCATGGAACCAACTTACTGGACAAACAAAGGTCACAAAAAGTACTAAGTGTGCTTTGTCATTCAGGTTCGCTCCAGAATCGCTTAAATGGTTGATGCTCAATAATCGGGTGGAAGAAACTAAAAAATTTGCCAACAAATTGCCGATTTTAATAAGATGAAGCTGCCAGCTGAACTGTTTCCTGGCTTGGAAAAGATGGCTGGAGATATTCAAGCACGGCGTCAAAATTCAAAACCTCCATCAGCCATCGACTGCTTCCGTACAACATATGTGCGAACGTTTACGCTGATGAGTTGCTACCTATGGTACAACAATTAAAACGGGCATAAATCTATTTAAAGATATTATTCGTATGCTCGTGGCCCAATTTCCATATTACCGCATAGATGTATTTTGTACAGAAGTTGTATCTATTTGTATGTCGAATGCTTACAGGTTTGCCGTCTGCTGCACCTATTTTACTTTGTCATTCCTCTTAACAAAAATGACCGGTGATATCTATATAAATTTAACAATCAGCGGTTGTCTGGAATTGATTCCCAGAATCTTCAGCGTGGCCGTGGCAATGAAGTAAGTAATTATTTAAAAATCATATTAGAACTGAAAAGAGTCGTAATGTATTTCAGTGCTACTTGTACACTCTGTAATACGTATACGTAGTTCTTTACTTAATAATACGTATACGTAGTTCTTTACTTAATTTTGAGTAAATTGTAAAGCCGTTATGTTACCATCTTATCAGGACAAAGAAACTGCCTGCCGTTATTGTATTTTGGGTCTTTAACTATCTACTTTAGTAAAAAGCAGGCGCAAATTTTTACCAGTCATTTTTGTCGGACAGGGTGACGAATCGAGCCTCTTTGACGGGATATTACACTGTTGCTGGTAAACTACCGGAACCTTTCGTTTTACATTTTATGTCTTGCTTTCTTCATTTAATATGTATTGCGCCCGGTAGAATGTCTTCAATATGGATACAAACATACTTAGCTAAATGGTGCACCTGTTTAGGTATTTTAGCGATAGCCGCGGGGTCACTCACCGGTGCCAGTCTTGGTCCCACGAAAACTGGATTGGCCCTGGTTGGTCGTATGGCGATTTCTGGCTGCTTCCCGGTAATCGGCGTGCTGTGTAACGAACTCCTGCCCACCGCCGCTCGCAACAGTGGAATCGCTTGGTGCTCCGTCTTTATGCGCATCGGAGGAATGGTACGGATTTATGCAGTAAAATATTCGTGCTGCAATTTACAGTGATTAAAAGGAATATTTTTTATTTTTACAGGTGGCTCCTCAGTTGGTTTTGTTGGTAAAATTGCTGAAAATTTAATGGCTTTTAAATCAAGTAATTTGTGAAACAATTTAATGATTTCACAGACATCAGCTTTAGCCTTCAAAGGCGTACCATACTTAATCGTGGGTATTGTTTCCATAATTGCTGCCGGCATTACCGTTATTTTACCGGAAACTTCCGATATGAAACTCTTGACCACCGTAGAAGAGATGGAGAAATTTGGGGCACAGGAACTGTTTGCGTTTTACCGGCGAAAAAGTGTTGCCGTTTTGACCTTTCTTAAGACAGCGCGGCCATCTGTTGTATTACACCGGGCCTCCATGGCGATTCCGCGATTATCCATGGCCGTGCCCAAATCTGAGCATTCAGTGGCTGCCCGAGATCATCCCATGTCGGTTATCCGAAAAACGTCCAGGGTGTCGGACACTCTGCATGCCTCTACCAGTGAACATGGAGGCAGAACTAATCCAGCCTTTCTACTGGAAAGCCGCAGTGATGCCAATCTTGTTGGAGAAGATTAATCGGACAGTACTACAGATACTCTGTGGTTTACATTTCAGTTTACGTTGTGCAAGTACTGGAGAGATTATGTAATATTTCCTGCTGGTTTGCTTCCCACCAATATTAATTATTAAACAAAAACTGGTTTGCATCTTAAAAGCAGTTTTAAGAAAACGATAAAGGTTAGTTCATAGTTTTGACATTTAGAATCAATCACTGCCCAGCAGAATCTGCGGATGCTATCCGGTTATACATTACAAATTTATTGTTATTTCACTCAGAGATTCACCGTAGTCTTCCCTAACTATAAGTGCAGAGGAGTGATAGGATTATCGGATCTCACAGTCAAGAAAGAACACAGCAAAAATGAAAGCGCATAAAATGAAAGCAGCTGCATAGCCCAGATTAATACGAATCAAAAATGCAACAAAAGTTTACAACAACAGCTGACGCTTTTCAACACATCGTCTCCTTACTGAACTTTGGCAGTCAAACCAAGTCTCATCACCAGCGAGTGATCTGACATGGAACTGTACTGTACTAGGTAAAATATTTTGCGTTTGGAAAGCCGTAAAATAAGCATTTGTGAAGTGTGCAGTTTCCATATCCTTCCTTAGTCTTCTCATCCGTGCCGTCCTGGTCAGCACCTCTCACCATGCGCTCGACGATACCGATGGCATGCATGAATTCAGGGCGCACAAAGTCAACTTACTAAATTTCGTTACATCCAAATCGTTCAAATTTTCCGCCGTCCAGTCGTGACCGCCAAACTGGGTAACTGCACGCGGATCACAACTTTGATAGTCATTAAGGACCTAAATCAACAAGAAAAGGAAAAAGGTAGACTTCCACGGTGCCTGCACTGGTATTCATAAGCTCCAAATCGCGAACGGCAAATGATATGAGCGACAAGGAAAGGAAGTTTCTTACCATTGCGACTTCGTCAAGCACGTAATCGTTTTTTGCAGAGACCGATTCGGCGATCCATTGCGAAATTCGCTTCACATCCAGCTCCGATGTTAACTCCAGATTACGCTCAAAAATACCCCACAAATCGGCTTCTAAATGGGGTGAATCAAGCCTGATTACTGCCTTGCCAACGGATGCAGCAACCTTCCCATCAGAGATCCAACAATGCCTCCATATCACCACGCTGCAAAACTTCGCAACATTGGAATAATCCGCCGCCAGACCAGAAAGATAATGTCTCACCGGCTCTTCCAGAAATATTTTCGATTTAAAGTAAGTCAACGTCTTAATGCGCGAGTCTCGCAGCAACCTTGCAACCAGCGGAAATATGTCCCGGGTAACTGCGTCCATATCACTTATAACTATTCTTTCCGTGGTTTTGCTCAAGGATTTTAAGAAACAACCGGCGATCGCATACAGAGAAGACCAATTGTAATCCGGAAAAGGCGAGAAATTTTCTTCTTCCCAGGATACTCGCACATCCTTGAGGTTATCACCTGAAGTCAATAACGAATTCCACAAGGCGCATACGCGACGACACCGGATCCGATCTATGGTGCGAAGGCATTTGAAAACCTCATTCAAAATACCCAATGGAAGTTTCACTTCCGGTTTAACGCTAAATCGTTTGGTAACTTTTTTTGCAGACGTTCTGGCCAGTCGGAGCCGTTTTCCAAAACGTTCTCTCACTTCAGCGTTGTTTTCTGCGCGTTGCTTGCTTTTCTTAAATATTTCCTCCTAGAGCACATGAAAGCAAAATGTTCTAAGCAGCACTTCATTTAATTACGTACTGCGTAAAAAAGTTGTTCTAAGTTCTGCGTTAAAATTTTATTGTAAATTTACAATGAACATCGATCACGAGTCTGGCCAACACAGACCACAAGACTCAAGAGCGCATATTTTATTTTATATAGTATAATACTTGTATATATGCAAAACCAAAATAAAATAATATTACAATAAAGTAAAAGCTAAAAGCTCTGTTTACGCCACGGCACCGGGTTATGTTTGCAACCGTGTTTAAATTTTACGAATAAGGTCGAATGAAAACATGGTCCAGATATTAGAAATTAGCTTTTTATAATTTACTGTGTAATTTACCCTCATTTTACTTACCAGTTGTGCAGGTTTTATAGCAGCCTGTTCCGAGCGCTGAAGATAGATGAGCGTTTCGCTGAGAACACTGATCACACACACCTTAAGTCGCCGTTCTACTTCTCGCTGGAACTCGTCACACAACAAGGACGATATCGACGTCCAGTAACTACTGGGCAACGAGCAAGATCTCGTCACGTACTCATTCTGTTTAATAAGTCTCTTTTCCATATCCTTCGCGGTGGGCGGCACACGAATCTGTGAATCGAGAACGATTTCTTTGGTGGTAAGGCCATCCAGATCGATCTCCACAAACCCGTACACTGCAACGTCAAAATCCAAGTCACCACTAACAGGCAAAAGCTTTGCTGGGTACCATGTCCACGGACGATTCGGACGAGCTCGCAGGAGAACTTGCACGTCAGCCAAATCACCACCCAGCTCTTTATTCCAGTTTTCTTCGGATAGAAATGCTTCGGAACAGTCGAAGATTTTTCCATATTGCACTAGCTCGGACCGGTGTCCGGCGCAGCCAAAATCAATTATCAAACCGTTCTCCACTGCGTTTATCACCACACCATACTGAAGCTGCCCGCTGACCATGACGTCCACACCGTTCCATCCATGCACAGAATGATTTTTATATCCATACACATACATTTTTAACGTAATTGGTAACAGTAGATCAGCAGAGGTATAAAATTTAATTACAGTATCGTATTGTCATTACGGTATTAGGATGTGTAAAGATAGATAGATACCTTTTAGTTTTTATGTTTGTAAAACTAAACGTTCAAAGCGTTACTCTACAAGTACTGTACATAGATTATAAACGAATAGAACGCATTAACCGACCTCTCATAGTGGGCAGTCTGAGGTGTCGGAAGCCAGCAATCAGCTGTAACCGACTAGCGCCAGTAAACGGTAGAGGTACTAGTACTTACCTTGCAATCGGGAATCTGGATGAAACCTCCCAAATGCAGGACGAATAGTATAATGTCAGTTGTAGTTCCTTTTTAAAAATTTTTAAATTGTTAAAGGCCGTTTTAAGCTTTAGCCTCATTTTAGGAATCTGCACTACTGCTACACAGTTTTCAAGTGCGTAATTCCGTTGTAATTGGTTGGATTCTAGTGTGGTAGCGACGAATTTATTATGGCCTTTCACGACGAAGTAGAAATCGAAGACTTCGTGTTTGATCCCGAAACGGAGACCTACACATACCCTTGCCCTTGTGGGGACCGATTTACAATAACGAAGGTATACGCTTAGCGCTTTAAAGCCGAAGTGTATCATAATACCGTGCTGAGCGTAGAATGCAGCACAAACAGTAATAGAATGTTAGTAATTTTATAATCAGTTTATTATTGGCGAACCCAGCTGCTTCTGGAGCTAGCGCGTGAAGACGTGGATACTCGATTTTCGCCGTGGTTAGCTTTTTGAATTCAGATGTAAAGGTTTTGACTTCTTAGTACTGTGATTACGAAAATCCAGTAAAACAGAAACGATACTTTGTGGTTCTTGAGTTTTGATTGGGTTTTGTTTTGATTACAGGAAGAGCTGGAGAAAGGCGAAGATGTAGCACGCTGTCCGAGCTGCTCTCTGATAGTCAAAGTTATCTATAACCTTGTAAGTAAAGTTTTGCCTTACGATTACAGGGTACGAGTAGCCCACGGAAAAATAGAATCACACCTGAATCAGGTTTATGTAGCTCTGATTCGTATAATTTACGATTAATATAATCGTAATTTGCACTGCTGCGGCGTAGCGTTATTACCGTTACTCTATAGTACTATAATTATACGAGAGAGTACGGTATGTCTATAGAGTACGGTATGTATAAACTACCTGCATTTACAAAAAAATGTCTTACAAAAAAACTGTCTGGAATTTATCGATTACGTAATATGTGTATAATGCGAAATTGCGAATGGGCCGGAATGGCAGAGCAGGAGAAATTTTTATTGGATTTATCATCCTTTACGATTAATAAAATTAATTACATGCCATACAGTACCTGAACCATAGGCATAAAGTACAGTACATGGTATATTTATATAGATATCTGTATCTATATTGTATACTTGTATTAATACAGTGGTTGCAGTAATTACTAATTCGCCAGTAATTACTAATTAAACGGTTAAAGTTGCCGACATCTTATTAATAAGATAGGCAATATATATTGCCTGACTTATGAAGATTTGTTTGGTGGTGTTTTAAGCAAGCGACCCAAGTTTGGGTCTGACAAGTGAGCAGGAGCTTGGTGTATAATTAAGCTTCCTTTTAGAATAATTAATTAAAATTGATTTGTTTGAAACCTGTTCTCCAAGTACCGTTGTTCGTGGCTGCCATTAATGAATCCGTGTAACTTAACAGTAAACAAACAAAACGCTTAACTTGAACTTAATGAATGAAATTTCTTCACGAAGAAATAACAGGAGCATATTCGCTAACCATGTATCTATATTTTTGGTTAATGGTTATCGCTGACAGTATACTGAACACTTAAAGATTAAATTTTATGCTGAAACAGCTACTATACTGTACATGTGGCAAATCTGGCGATCCTACGGTTTTTATTCGTGAACTGTTACAGCTTATAAATGAATCTGGTTTGTATCTTTTATAACTGCATTGTCTGTCTTCCTGTAAATTTGCTGAGTTTTGATATGATTTCTCTTTGAATAAACAAAAATCCTTTGCACTAGTACCATGATATCATTCTGTAATACGTCTATATACGTAAATAAATGTTGATGTGAATACAAATTTGTATAGAATATAGATATAATATTCGGAGCTGCGATTGCCGGAATAATGACTGGGGAGTCATCAATGCAGTTATTACTTGTTTTCTTGAGTATTGTATCGTAGTAATTTAGGTTTAAGATTTCAGTAAATTTGAAATAAGTTTATGTTATCATGGGATGATCAATCTTTTAGGAGGATTTCCTCCATGGAGAAGCAGTACAGAGTCAGAAATCCGGTCCACCCAAGCAAACCATGATCAGCCACTGATGCGGCATCGTACCACGATGGGCACGACCTGATTGTTGAAACCTCGAGTATTAAAGAATTGTTTTCTCTCCGATGCTGTATATGATCTTCAAGTTCGCGTAGCTTTCTTTGTGAGATAGTCGAAACGTTCCCCAATAATTCCTGTACCGAATTATTAGTCTGAGAAGTCCTATGGATTTCACTTTGTTGCCGTACGAGTGCCTTGTGTGATTTCGAGCTGTTTTTTTATGGTTGACATCGATTTTGGAAATTGTATTAGCAGTGATGTTCCGCTTTGCAAACTGGATTTGGAATTCGTTGCACGAAATCACAAAGCTGACAAAACTCGAATATCTGTGACAAAATTGTAATAATATATTTTAATTTAGTTACATGATATGTGTATTGTGTACACTTTGGAGGAAAAACAGTTACGTCAAACCTATCTGTACCTTCGAGAGAACATGACGAAAGGTTTGAAAAGATGAAAGTGTACATTTGGTGTTGTAGCACGTTCTTTCTGCTTATTATTAATTTATTTCTACCGGCAACGTTTTGTTGTGAGTGGACTGTGCCCTTTTCGTCGTAAAGTGCAACTACGACTGATTCTACGAGTGCACTTCGTCAGAGTGTCACTGCATCATAACACCGCAAGAAATTATAGTTGTGAACGGACAAAACAAAAACAAGGGACCGAAGAACGTTGTTCACCTTAAGCAACCGAAGTCAAAATTTTCCGTGTTGTTGTACCTGGAAATGGCTGGTGCCACTGTAGTTGTAATTTATGAATGTCCAGCTCCTGTCGTAAATAGCTGCCGGTGTTTCTTGATTCATTGAGTAAAAGACCACAGTGGTCTTGATTTTTTGTTTTTCATGTCTAGAAAACAGTCTTAATGAACATTTCGGGAAACCGATCTGTTATTGTTGCTCTCAATGAAATTTTCCATCAATGAGTTTTCCGTTAATTATTGTTGTTGACGTCTTTACACTTTATTGACACCGCAAGCCGCAATTCGTGACCAGGCAGCATTTTTTAGGTTTTCGCGCTTGTTCGACTGCAGCGCCGCAATTTGGGCGGCGTTTGGACGCTGAACAGCGCGCTGCGTCATTAAATAATTTCACTCTACCGTTTTTGAGCATTACCCAATCAGTTGTAACCGATGGCGATGATTCATCCCGTCTGTACATGCTGTGCCGCACCATGGCCGCACATGACTGCAGTCGTGAAATCCTGTCCCAGTCAATCGTCAGATTAATCGTATCGTATGGTTTGTCTTCTTTTCGTGCATATTCCATTTTCCTTCTGTATTAGTTCTTTATGGCGTAATTTCTTTCTGTTAGTGACTTAGTCAAAAGTATAACAAATTTTCTATATATACAACCCAGTTTCAATCAAACTTTCTGAAAAAAGTTCTTGTCGTTCTTAGAGTTTTGTAAAATTACATGGTGTTACTGACTTGCTGCAACTGCAGTATTAATTTCTACCTGTCACAGTGTTGCTGTATACGTCGTTTTCTCGCAGTTGATCTTCGCCCTTGTGCACAACTGTAGATATTCTAATGCGCACTGAAGTATTGCATAATTATCTCTTGGTGTAGTTCCCCAAAACGGATGAACCTGTCCAAATCTTATCACGCATATTTCGCCATGAATCTTACCACTACCATGCTTCCTGCCGAGTTCTGCATGCAGACAGTATTGCGTTGACGCCGTTGAGACATTGCAACGGTATATTGCGCATTGTGTTGTCAAGTGCACACAGCTGTTCCGATTGTCGGTTTGAATAGTGTTTTGCTTTGCAGCGGGTATAGGAAGTGTGCATTCCTCATCTGGATACTTAACTTATTTAATTTATACAAGAGGTCGACTTGACGCTGACGATCAACAAGCTACTATTTATCTTTCCACTGCCTGATTCCCCGCCATGTCATCGAACAGCCTGAATGTATCTAACCCTGGCCATGACGGCGCTGAGCAAACAGTGCACAGCGGAAGTAGTACGGCAGGAGCCGTGATGTTCACCGACAGCCTGCACAGCTCCGATCTCTTGGCCAGTGCCCCACACGGACCCCGCTCACGTGCCAACACCTGGCCGGTGAATATTGTTGAGCGGTGCGCCGATGACCAGGATGTGGATCGGCTGCCTCCCTTGCCGGAAGAAAGCAACAGTGGTTCATCGAATGAGAACCTCTCGGGTTCGGGTCTGGCGCTGGCCGTGCCGTCCGGAGGTGCCGCGGCGCTGGCCCTCGCTAAGAATAAAAAGAACAGTGCCCGGCGCAATCCCTGGGGGAATATGTCCTATGCGGATTTGATTGAGAAAGCCATTGACAGTGTGCAGGATAAGCGTTTGACCCTGTCGCAGATCTACGACTGGCTGGTGCAGAATGTTCCCTATTTCAAGGAGAAAGCGGATTCTAATAGCTCGGCTGGATGGAAGGTAAGCGTGTTAGTTGTTTAGCCTTCTAGAGCTATAGCGCGCAGTTTTGGGGTAGTTGTTAATTTGCCGCTGTACGCACGTGAGCATTCTGACTCGGTTTACTTCGGTACGTGGAAAAATCATTACACATTATTATCACGACGGCAGCCGTTCGATCAGGCAACACATCGAGCGACGCGCCAGGCATGATGGGTGAAAATTGTGAACGGCGTTACTGTACGTAATGCCTTCCGAGCCTGAAGGCAAACGGGGTTTTCATTGCCACATATGTGTGGGCATATCATCCGGTAATAAGCATTGTTCATAATTGTGCAAGTTCCCATCAATAAGTTCCGAGAAGTACTCAGCGTTTTTTCGCTGTTCAACTGGCAGTACACTTTAATTCGTGCACTTCCAGCTTGCGGTCGTGTTAGGTACATAAAAAATGTTCCATACCTTTCTCGTTTACTTTGTGCTTCCTAAAAATACTTGAACGCGCCAAATGAACAGCACGTTTCTAACGTTATATTTTCGGCCGTGATGCGAGATTTGGTTGACAGTGATTGCATAACCATTTCAGCTGGTTTCGCGGCAGTGCATCTAACACGTTCAACCGCTGAACAGGCATGTCGTTAATAACTCCATGGAGTAATAAAAAACCCGCTGTCACAGCATTCTTTTGTAATATGAGGGAAAGAATTTTTATCATACACACGAGATAAAGCGGGCCATCCAATGTGCGACGGCATGGAATAGGGACAGTTAGCTGTGCCAGTACTCGTTTTCCGGCTTCACGTGCAAGAATAATAATGCCATTGACATTGTACAGATTTTGGTCATTTTTCAAAAAATAAAATCGCAAAAAGTGCCTTGTAGCCAGAATATTTCAGTGCGTTATTGTACTTCAAATGTATGTGATTATATGTCTTTTGCTTTTCGAATGCTCTAGTCGGCACTGTTGATTTCCTATCTATTGCACATAGGGCTTCTTGTTTTGTGTGTGTGGGCTGTGCTGTAAGATTTCTTCAGAGAGTAATCTGGCCTCAACCAGCGCACGACCATATGGTTAAAACTATTCCGTGTAATTTTCACTCGTGCGGTAAACATGTTGAAGAACCTGCGCGCTAGGAGGGGAAAAAATCTCGATGAAATCAGGTTGCAGGCAGCGTTTAGGTCTGTTAACCTGTTCGTATATCGCATGTTACAGGTAGATACCCATTAGTCAACAATTTCTGAGGGTGGATCTAGAGAAAGGGAGAGAAGGAAGGATGTTCCAAGGAGCACACGGTGGGAGAAATCCCTATAGCTCAGTGTCTTTTTGTCCTTAATTGCACACAGTGATTCCCGTATCCTGACATTGTGCGCAATCAATAAATATGGCCGGGTGTATGCGTATATGTGTATGAGAGGGTATGTGAGATTTCTTAATGAGCGGAATTCGTTGAAATGTTCGAGAAATGGATCAGCGGATAGGGAGCGAGTACATAATGCTCGATGATTGTAAATGCCAGGGTTGCGGTAGATGTACCGGAAGCCATTGCAAAGCTCGCGGTGTTGAAATAATAACGTCATTACTTGGGTGGGCATGTGTGTCTCCAATTAATACCGTAATTTACCGTATTAAAATGTTACAAGCAATACAAGCTAAGTAGACCCTCGAAGATATAAGGAAATGACTGAAATTTCGTAAATGAAACCTATCCAACGAAAAGCCTTATGCTGCAGAAATTTTCTTCCAAGACAGCCAATAAACGATGTCGAGGCAATTTGCAGAAGTGGACTAGTTTCTTAGAAAAGATTTTATAGGTGAACAGTAGCCGTGTTATGCGGTTAGCGATAGGGATGCTGAGTCATTCGCTGGTACCTCGGTTAAAACGTTTTACTGGCATGGCGTACTAGCATGTGGCAAGTCGAGGACCATTTGTTGACCCATTTACTAATGCGTTATGATATGCTTGAACATGGTTAAAGTGCATTTGCACTAACGCTGTGAGGATTGCGGAATAAGAACGTGCACTGCGTTGTCACATTGCGTTTGTAAACGCCAACAGTAATAATGCGTTGAAAAGGCACTTTTACCTGCTACCTAGATTTGGTTGGCGGAATGAATTGATATTGTACGGTAACGATGAGTGATTATGTAAAATGACAGATACAAGTATATTAGTTCTGAGGTTTTAAGCTTGCATAAATGTTTACACACCGAATGCCGGTATATGCGATACCATTAAGCTCATGCAATTTGCTAAAAGGTGCTTTTAATTAATTAGTGCTATCTTTATAGTAAACAAGTTCTCTATTCTAATGTCCTCGAGAAATGAAAAAATGGGTAAATATGGTTAACCAGTAAATGTATCTTTAAGAGAAGGAGGTCCAATACACTCTTATGAAATCAAATTTTATAGGCTGCCTTGATGTGATTACTGTGACTGTTAAACACGCATTTCCGGTTAGGTATTTCCTTTCGATTTGTATGGACTTGGAAATATCCGGTTTTTCTTTTTTATAATCTAATGCACGATATCGCAGTAAACACGGCCAGGACACAATGTGTGGGTTATGTTGAAAGATCGTATGGAGCTAAATATATTATTTGTAATTACACTAAGTGCCTGGGAAATACGTTCCGAACTCCAAACTATATTGATGTTTCTGTTACTTGGATGAAATGAAAATCTGAAGTGAATATCGGATGCCGTTATGCGTAGAGGTACAATACTGTGCTTGTAGATTGAACAGAATGACCTGCGTGCCAGAACGCTGTGCGTATATGGTACCGATCGGCGACCCATTGCGTTATTTGCGCTGAAGATAGTTACAATGTGCTTTCGCTGTTCAACGGTTGATCCCCTTTCTTCCCCTCGTATGACGTCAAATGCATTTGTCACTATTCCTCCCGGTGTGTAATTCCCGATAATTAGGGATTTCAGTATGGTACAGTGAACGGGTTGAGAGCCGAAGCCTATGAATGCGAAACCGATTTTGTCAGTTGTCACTAGCTTGCTGTGCAGTATGCGGCACTAAAAAATACGCCGTACCTAAACACAATATCGTAAATACTTTGCAAATTGCATAAAACATAGCAACAAGTAAGAATATTAAGAAGGCGGTAATTTGCAGCTCAAAATACAGCACTTGTTTAGGTAGTGTTCATTTGATGTTCATGTATACATAAGAAGCTTTTTTCAGAATTCTGTGCGACACAATTTGTCCCTCCATAATCGCTTCATGCGCGTTCAGAATGAAACTGGTACCGGCAAGAGTTCCTGGTGGATGGTTAATCAGAGCGCTAAATTCGACAAACCATCGCGCCGTCGGGCGGCAACACTGGAAACCAAAGAATATGAAAAGCGGAAAGGTCGATTGAAGAAGCAGCATATTATGCGCGATCGTGAGCTGGTAGGCGGAGAATATGATCGTAACATCAGTCCAATTAGCCCAGCTGTAGCTCCCCATAGCCCGTTGTATCAGCATCTTGCCGTATCCGATTTTCGATCTCGTGCCAGCTCAAACGCCAGCAGTTACATCTGCCTGTCTCCTAAATCTCCCGGTGGCAACGGTGTAGACCCCGATCGCTGCTCCTCACCGGCACAATCTCCCCATGCATGGTCGACATCCGGCTACGACAGTACCGGCTCAATCAATGGCCGTCTCGGCACGGAATTTGGCTTTTCATATGAGAGCGATTTTGCCAATCAATTAGCTAAAAATGTTAACCTAACGGAGAACCGGCCCGCATTGGCCCACTCATCCTTTGATCACGGAAGCAAATTGCAGCAGGCAGCAGCAGCCGGCTTCTGCGCTGCCGGCAACGCTAGCACGACGGCCAACACGAGTGGAGCACCGATTGGCAATTATCATCCCATGGCGGGTATTAGTAACGGGTTTTTAACGTCATACACCGGCCATCAAACCGATCCACGCAATGCAGCGTTCTATGGACAGAAATTTGCCAGCATTCCTGAAGAGCCACGGTTAGGCGTTATGCCACAGAATGGCTTGTACGATGGACGGAAGGCCAACACGACGTCGAGCCTCGTGTTGGGCGCCGGAAGTGTAAGCGGAGGAGGCTATACTGCATTTAGTCAGCCGCAGGCCAGTTGGGCGCCGGCACTGCCACACGATTTGGAGTCGTTTCCAGATCCAATGCACACCTTCGATTTTGACTGGGAGGAACTGCTGCGCCACGAAGTAGCCATGGATCATCTGCATTTCAATGTACACGGACATACTGGAACGACACATGCACACAACGGGCACAGTCATCACAACATGATTGCCACCGGCACCCAGTCCAACGGGCTGGGACACGGAAAGCCCTATGTTAATGGCGAAATGAAATGACACGTTGGGAAATATTAATTTGCTGCTGTATGGATACGCTAAAGTTTAGTGTTTAGTTTTGTTTTGAAATTGTTAGTATTTAACACGTACTCGTTTGGGACAGAGAACAGATATAATTTTCTTTTGTTAAAGTCGTTTTTGTTAGATGGTGTAATTGTGTACTGTGAGGAAATCTTCACGACGGTGCGATTTGATTCATTACGTCCAAAAGCGGTGCTGTATTATTTTTTGGCTCTTGGCTCATTTCAGAAGAGATCGTATACATTATGTATTTGATTTTTAGATTTTTCAAGATGTTTATTATTTTCATGGAATTTGGTCTCATGAATCTAATTTATCCCCTGTTGTTCCATATCATTGATAGTCTAAGAGAGATAAATATAGTGAAAATGATTCTACTTTCGTTTATAAACAAAGACGACTGGCAGAAAGGCTGTCAAATGTTTAAGGCATGAACTTGAAAATCTGGAAACTGCGAAAACACAACTAAAGGATCGGTGTACTTCTTATGCATCGATGATCAATCTATCGCCGCTCACTGCAGCTGGAATTATATAAGCCACAATTTACAGTGACACACTTTTAAAATTCATTGTTGTGCTTAGGCAGGAGAATTACATAATTACTTACTGAAGGTGCAATTAGCACTGCAGCATGCGCCCTGGGTCTAAACGGGACTCTGCGGAATATGAACTGAAAGATAATGAAAGATTTTCGAAAGAACGAGCCGAATAAAGCAGGCGCACAGTACGCGGGCTGTGTTTCCTAGCAGGGAGTGCCAGGGACAAGATACACCCACATATGCTTTTTTAAAATGTACATGTTTTTCGGATCTGGTTTCATCTGTCTTGCATTGTCCATATTGTGCATGACCTTAAGAGTAACGTGGACGGTATAACCGGTGCACAATTAGTCGCGAAATTCACAAGCCGCTTCCGTGCAATATAAAACATCACATTGTATTTTGGCATTATCATAAAATCAATACTAAATTCAACATTAGGCAACTCCAGCCATCTGATTTGTGCGTGTTAATTGTAAAAGAGTCTGTGATCGGTTTTTAGGAATTTTCTATCGGACACCGGTATACCTCCTGTCACTTGCAACTTGTTGTGGCTTCTTACACTTTCTATGTCATGTTCAGTTCATAATTTCGCACTTGCGCTTTTTAATCAGTCCTTGCATCGCTTTTGTTGCGCAATTTAGTTGGCACATTGTTATTACGAATCATTCATTTAACGTCAGATTTTTTCATGGAATTTAATCTAAGTGGTTATCGTTTGATTGAAAAGGAAAATACTTAAGGCATAATTTATCGATATTTAACGGGAATTTTTTGTCTTATGTAACACAACATTGACACAATTATAGTAGCAGCTGCAGATATGTAGTTACTAGCTACTTTTACACAATGCCGAACACTAACAGTATCCTTTCTCAGCGCTAAATCTCGAACCGTATGACTAGTTTTCTGATTGCCGACTTGTAGCGGTTTTCAGTCGAGGCTATTTTGGATGGAACACAATACCCTCGCGAAATTCGATATTTAATACGAAACATCGCGGACAAAGTATGACGCAATTCTGCACTGACAACACAACCATGCCGCCATTTGGCGCAAACGGGCTGTAATTGTCTGATTCAATGCGGAAACGGACATGCACCGGATAAGCCAGGTACGTCTGTATACCTTTATGGCTGTTGTCCATATTGCGCCCTTAAAGGCATTTACGATAATGCCGAGTCCACCGTACCGTTCTTACATGCCGGCAGCCGGCAAAAGTAAGTAAACACTTTTTTTCCTGGATGCGCACTTTGCAGCGGATATAACGCAAATAAACCGTACACCGCTACAAACTGCCACACACTGTACTCGTACGAATTTGCTGATTAATCATCAACGAAAAGCGTAAAAAACAGATCATTTCCATGCAGCTCCGATGTAAACAATTCGTAGAAAAAGTGTTGGGGCACATGCACCGGGACACTTAATCAACACGCTTCCGGATAGGTATAACCTGTGCGAACCTTCAAAACATGAAATAATTTCATAATGGCCAAGTGACAAAATCAATGTCGTATATGTGTACAGTATATTGTAGATAAATTGCACCGGCGTACGTCTATCGTAAACTATTGTAAACATGTCCGCCCTGGGTCAACCTGGAGAAGGCCGGCAAAAGTGTAGTAAAAACAAATCGTGTTCAGGGAAATCTCGGGGTATACATGTGTTTTTCATGTGAACACCGAGAAGTTATTGTTCAAATTTCTGCTAGGTATTATTTAACAGCTAAGCAGACTGTGGTGACAATATTACCGCAAACGTCTGAGATGACAAATCCGTTCGTATTGCTCAAATATGTACTTGTTGTTGATTGCAAAGTATTCTTGGTAAATCTGCTTTACAGTATTTACACAAAACTGTTAGAAAAAAATTTTGTTATATTTATAATATCTCGGACTATTGACCATGCGCGGTCACACACACATCGGTATCCTTTATTTCCTAGTAGAATTGTTAAAACAAATGTATGTAACGTGCAAACTATTTCTTAGCCTGTTAGCCATAGGTAAGTATTGTATAAAATGGGATTTTGGCTTATATTTATAGTTTATACATATGTACCTTTGTATACCGACGTTCACATGCTTTCGTGTTATTAACCAAGTGTTTTAAGTTTTTGCTATTTTACACAATGCATGTTTGCGGTAAAAGTAAAAGCGAACAAGCTAGTATTGATGGAGCCGGGCAGCATTTCTTAATTTTATTTTCTATACTCAAGTTGTTTTACAACTGTGCAACAAATTATTGCAGGTATGGGTTAATTGTAACCCCTGCTAAAACACTCCAAATTAAGGGTTTCAAACTTTTAAGTCTCCGAATAAAATTGATCAGTTCACGCATTATCGGTGTATAAGTTTCACACCATCCCGAAAAATGCTACATACAGTAAAGCCAGGTAGTTCAGCGGCATTTTACTCGCAACCAACTAACCTGGTAAGAGTTTTCGCGGCTGATGATGCGAAAATTCGCATAAAACCTTCGGGGATATTTTTTCGATCCATTACAGTGCCATCGATAGAAGTACAGCTATACTGCAAAAGTTGTCTTTATTATACAGCTGTATCGCGTACATACAGTAATTTCTACTAAATTATTTTAAGATCTGCGTTAGCGGTAAAAGACATTCTGGAAGACAAAAAATGCGTACACAGTGCACAGCAAACTATAGCATCTATATATAAATTTAAGAGCGAAAAGTGGGGTTTAGGCGGATATTTAGTGTCACTCCATCCGAGACAAACTTCATACCAAATAAATGCAAAGTGTTGCTAATTTCTGGAACAAAGCAAAAAGCAAAATACCTGTAATTTTACTCATAGGCGCATGCATGTACCAGATGTACGTACCAGATGTAAGCTGCATTACAGAATCGTGCGTCACTAAAAAAAATATAAGTGGAAATACATATTGTGGAAGTTCGGAATGCTGGAATATTTCCATGGCTTCCCGCTTCGAGATTTCGGAATTAAAGCGTGGAACTGCCTGGCGTTTTCACGGCAGATTTCCATTATGACCTTAGAACAAATACTTACTACAGTTACAGATATCCAATACATTACTAGTAATTAATTTAATTCGCATCAACGTTGGTACTTATCATTCAGCTCGGTATTCAGTGAAATTTTAGTGGGACCTGTGTAGGAATGCCGATATCTTATCGACGATAAGTACCGGTTGCTTATATAGAACATAATAGTTTTCGGCTTTTCGCTATAAAATACGAGTAGAAGCTACAGAAATGGTCTCCTATATTTATGCCTGCGCATATTTACAATAATATAAAAATACATTGCAGTTAAGGCATCTTTTAGACCGAAAACCTAAAAGGCAACATCATAATAATTTTGAGCGGAAAACTTTTCAACGTAGTTTCGAACCAGTGACCGGCTGTACGTGTTGACAGTGTCCATAACAATTAATAAAAAATATATTAATGCTCGAGTGTACGGTACAGTGTATGTACATCTCTGCACTTCTATTTTATCTGCTCCTAGTTGTGGAACTTGACTTACCTTTAGCTACCAGGGAATGATTGTAGAACTTATACAATATGTAAGCATCACAGTTTTTACAGGTGAACTGTAATCAAATGGCTTCGCGTATTCCGGTAAGCGTAGTGGTTATTGGAGCTGGAGCTTCGGGGTTGGCCGCAGCCGCTGCACTCCATTCTGCTGGTTTTCATGTTACAGTTCTAGAAGCGCAGAATCGCACGGGAGGCCGCATTCATTGCGAACTTTTCCCCGAGACTGGTACGAGTGGCATCGTACATTCCGGTTCTTATACTGCTTGACAAACATGATCGCTTAGAATATGCTTCTTATCCGTAGCGAAGAACGGGCACTCTGAATTCATCGAATACGGTGCACAATGGATTCACGGCGAAAAACATGCTGTGTACGAACTGGCGAAGACGAGCGGATTTGTTTTAGAGAAGAGGGCTGGATGTCTCGTGGACGAAGATGAGGCAACGGGAGAGTTCTTCACGAGCACTGGAAAAATGGTAAAATTTGGTGTTAAACACTGCTTACGATGCACAGTTACTACAAGCATTTTTGGCCAAACTGCAGCAGATTTTTTATAGTGTTGTTGTTCTGCTGTTTGTGCTTTCCTTTCACTTTTTAAATATAAGCGCAGTGGGATTGTGAATGTTTTGTAATGAATAATCGTTGTCATATTGAATTATTAATAGTTTTTACCTGCTTTTTGTTTCTTCAGATTTCAGGCGAGGAAAAAGATGTTGTGGAGAATTGTTTATTATTTCTCAATGAAGTTCTCGTCGGCATTGAACGGCGCGAAGGTTTCCCCATGGACATCGTGGATTGTGGCAGTGTGGGGCAGATTTTGAGACAAAAATTTGAATCCTTTTTGGAACATAATCGTCAACATTCCGAGCTCTGCGAAGCTGTTTACCACTGGTTGATCAGGTGAAGGACGTTATTCTGTAAAAACTTTATGGCTTTTACGGATGAACATTCCGCGCAATAATCCTACGCTTACAAAATTTGCATTGCGCTGTGATCATTTTTGATATTTTTTCTATGGCTTATTTTGACTGCTGAGACCGTTCGTATTATTATGGAGATCTTGTTTTCCAGAAATTTTTTAAATTAATATATTTGCTTAATTTTTATTCTGTTTTTGTGTCGAAAGCAAATGGTAAGGCAATATATTTTGTTTTGATTTTTGTAGATATCAAGAGATTGATAACGGATGTGTGAATCTAAACGAACTTTCCCTGCGCGCATTCTGTGATTATGGTTTGGATGGCGACAATACGACCCGATTAAATGTGCCATTGCGAGCCTTGTTGGACCAAATTTCCAAAGACCTTCCAAAAGACTGCATTTATTTGCAGCATCCCGTTAAAACGGTTACTGTTACCCAGACAGTCGAAAATGTCAAGGAGGAGGCAGTGCTGATAGGACCATCCAGAGGCGCCGAAGTGGAACTGAGCAGCCGCGAACTCCTGGCATCACCGGTCGCACCGGAATCGGATACGGCACCGCGCTCTGTTGACGGACCCACTGAACTCCATGGCGCACCGGTAACCGTAGTATGCGAGAATGGGAAGACGTTTCCAGCCGATCATGTTATCGTAACCTGCTCGCTTGGTGTCTTAAAGAAGAACATAAATTCTCTTTTCGATCCAGCGTTACCCGAGAGAAAACGCCGGGTCATTGAAGCAGCTGGCTACGGAGTGATCGGCAAAATCCTCCTTCGGTTTACCGATCCGTTTTGGGATACGTTGGAGCCGGTACCGTCCGATGGATTTCAGTTGCTGTGGACTTGTGAAGCAAATGATAATGTGAGTTGTACTATGTCCTTATACCTCTAATTCTGACGTTCTGCTGACTTCAACATACGGTGCGACTTACGAGCATAATACTTTTTACTTCTGGTAATTAGTGGAATACAAAAGCCATATTCAACAAATACGCGATACACTGCCGTACAAGGGCGGTTTAGTGTGTTTGGGGTTAAAACTAGGTTAAAACGTCTGTGCTAAGTTGCTAACCGCCTAAGACCGAGGTATGTCTTATTGTTAGAACTTTCTCTTTTACTTTGGTTTCGAAGCGGATACGCTTCCCGTTTGTATAAGTTCGTTGGATTTTGGCATTTCCTGGAGTTTGAAATTATCGTCGGAGATGCAATTTTTTCGCTTCGCGTTGATTCGTAGGCCTACCAGTTAGCTGTGCCCCATTGAGATTACCATTGTAGATCGTACTCTGTCGTTGAGTAGGATTGATATTTACTACTTGTATGATATTTATTATTGATGTCTCATCATGCTGGTTTCTCCGTCACAAATATGATAAAAATTCTCCCTCGCTAAGCTACAGACCTACCTCAGCAATGTTACTTGCTTGACCTTTTAACGATATTTGTAAATATTTAACAGCGCAGGAATGCCTTGAATCCAGATTTGTTTATTTTCTAGGATTTACCGGGATGGTGCCGTCATGCTCTTGGGTTCGATGTTGTTCGCACAGCCGCCAATACGCTTGTGTTATGGATTGCTCCTCCTGGTGCATTGGCGATGGAAAAAGCATCGGACGAGGAACTGAGTGCTGATTGTCACAAACTACTCCGGAAGTTCACAGGATGTTCGACTGTTCCCGAACCAGAAAAGCTAATGCGGTAAATGCGAATTCTGTATATACTTACAATACATTTCTCCGGTACTCGTAATTATAGCTGAGCCTGCTGCATTTTTTCCTAGAGAAAAATGGGGATCGAATCCATACACGCTGGGGACATATTCGTTTATATCTGCGAAAAGTGCAGTAGAGGGATTTACGGCGGAAGATCTAGCTGAGCCGGTATTTTTCCGAAAAAGAAGCTTACTGGGCAATGAAGAAGTTCCATCGGTTTTATTCGCTGGGGAAGCTACGTTTCCGTTATTCTGGTCCACTGTCCACGGGGCAATATTGTCTGGATGGCGTGAAGCTGAGCGGCTGGTGAAATTTTATGGCAATTTGTTAACCTAAATCGATAAACTTACCTGCTTGAGTACGGTTGATAACTGGATGAGCAACATATGGAGCAAAATTGCTTCGAACCTGACGATGTGATATTTAAACCCAGTGACCTGTGTGCTTTCTTGATTGTCTGCACGTATGGTGACTGGTTGAATTTTTTTTGTAAGCGTCACTTTTGGTAACTCTGTCATCGGGCATTAGATACATTGGGCAATGGAAAAGGATTCTATGTCCGGTTGTCCAAAGAAATTCGCGTAAACAAAAAAAAACCACTGCGACTGGAGAATCACGCAGTTTATGCTGTTTTTGTTGTAGTGTTTTTTCGTACCCGAACAATGAAATTACGGTTTATTGAATCGCGCCTCGTAATTATAAAACGTAGTATAAAAGGTTGCCCGCATATATAAAAGGATCCAAAGTAATAGTAATACTCGTATAAGTTACATAATGTAGGTAATTTTGTATTTTGCGTCAGTATGATTACAGATAACAGCTTTTTCGGAAGGCGGGAAGCGTACTGTAATACGTAGCAGTCATATCACAAGCTTATTCTGTCAGGAGAAGAATTAGACCGAATCCAATCCAAATACTGGGAGACTTTCGTGTATTGTCCTCCAATACCGAGACCACATCCGTCTCCAAATGACGTAATCCCGGCTAGATAGTAGGTTTGCGCGGTGCGATCAAAACAGAATAATGGTCCTCCCGAATCTCCTTGACAGGAATCCTCACCGACAACATCCCCTACGAAGAAAGTAGTTATTAAATGTTGGTCGCTATAGCCGCTTCTCATTCAGTTGTCAGAACCAACCGGCACAGATGAACTTTGTCAAATCAGTGGAAACGCCTTCCTCCGTGGTGCTCATTGCGCAGCTGCCGTCGCCTGTTTGATTCATCACTTGGACTCGAACCCATTTCAAGGGGACCGGAAAGCGGTTTGCTAAAACGAACAGTAAAATCACCTGACAATACGATCCATGCAAAAGTCTCGATGAATTGTTTGATGAAAGAAAAGTCTCGTATTTCTTTTCAGTATGATCACAAATAATAGCAAATAAAAACAACAGTTCATGCCAATGCACAATAACGACCAATAGAAGTACCAATAGAAGTGATCAAACGTAAGGCTAAGAGCAATTAAGCAAATTAAATAAAATTTCAGAAAACTGTGAAAATTGGCGGTTGTAGTTGCTGTAATCTGTACTGTAGGCTTTAAATACTGTGAACTACTGTATCCAAAGAATAATTAATGCATGCTTACAGCCGCCTCCCTCCGATTCGTCGCCCATTCCACTGACCACACAGAATTCATTGACACCCGGTACTTTGTTCCTCAGACACAAAGGGCATGCGCATTGTTTATTATCCAAATCAATATCTCTGTCCAGAATCAACAATCCAATATCGTTGTTTCCCACTTGCTGACTGTAATCCCGGTGCGTGATAACTCGTGACACTTTAAAGTTTTCCGCGCATCCTGTCTTATCGGAATTGGGATTGAACTGGTTAAACTGGCGGTTCATAGCGCCAACTTGCACGGTATAGCTTTCCTTGGAAAGTTGCTGTTTTCGCTCACTAATACGCAAAAAACATATCTATAAATGTATGAATTTTACGCACTTAAATTTCTTAATTTAATCGAAGCATTGTCACAAAAAAATTTACGTAATGAAGGGATCCAGAGTGCAGTGCGCAGCTGTCAAAATGGTCCGGGAACCGATGATTGTCCCTCCGCAAGTGGCTATTCCGCCGCTTAGCAGGATAGTTATTTTGGCCTTCAAGTGCAAATCAAACCTTTGCGATTTTGAAACATACTGATGCCATGATTTTAAACGAATAATAGTAAATTTTATTTCACCTGCCAACAGATTTGGTTCTGCACGGCATCAAATCCACCAACAACGGTCGGGACCACTTTCAATTTTTTATCGGATAGTCCCAGAGTCAGCGATCGCTCCCAGAGCGAGCGTTTCTTGCGTCGCGGAACAATGGTATCTTCGTTTAACTGATTATGGTTGGCCATGAAATCCACGACAAATCGATTGGCATTTTCAGCCATACCTTAAAACATTCGGCTGTAGAAAATTTATAGTGCTTGGTTTCACTTAGAACTTTAGTTAACGATGTCTACCGGCTCGGAGATACATATTAATGTATGTAGCGGTTGTTGTGGTGCATATTTGGTTGCACTCGCAAAGTTACCGGAAACGATGGCCGATTTGGAAGCCGGGTTAATATTCTTATTGCCATTCGCTGGAGAAAATCCCAAATGATTCTGCGTATCCAAGAAGGTATTTAAACCTCCTGCTCCGGGAACACCGCACTGCTTCAAAGCTTTCGTGCTAGCCGATCCAAATGGCAGACGTACATTCGCTGCCACATTGGTGAATTCGTTGTTAAATTTTCCGAGGGATTTAACATTTACAGCTGCAAAGCTACGCTCCTCCGCGGAATCGCCGGTAAAACCCGCATTCTCTACAAAGAAAAATAATTTCTTTTGCACGCTGCACTTGCCGATGCAAACCACGGATCAAAATATTCAGACATCTCCACAAATATGCCTTTTTTCCGCTGTGTGATAATGCTGGACTAAGACCGTAATTTTACCTAAATTGGCTTGGGCGCTGACGCTCTGATCGCGGGAAAATGGTCGAAAAACTATGGTAATTACGAGCGCTGATGCAAAGAAAATGGCCCTCATGTTGTAAAGGCCGGGTAAACTTTTAATTCCACAATGAATACGAGTATATCAGGAGAAATGATTTCTGCAGTTGTTCGAAAGAAACAACGAAAAAGTTTCGAAATCGGCCATGAGCGTGTTGCAGAAGGTGAGGGACAACGGACTCGATCGTTGCCGGAAGTAAAACAGTCACCAACATAATGTCCAGTTAGTTAACAGTGCTGGTTTACAATATAGAATATGAAATATTTGTACTGACTGTACATGACTGTTCCAAGAAAGAATTAATCGTTCTTGTTGTTGTTCTTTACAAGATCTCGTAATTGAAAATTCATAACAATTTTAGTTTTGTTATGATCCTAACATTCGATTTGTTTTGAAGCTGCAAGATGATCAGTATAAGTCAGTATCTGTAAGTCAGTACTCCAACTGCTGAAACAAACGCAAATTTGTGCGGCTGCCTTTATGCTAAAGTGCCGCGGGTTTGAGCAAATCTTAATCACGAGACCTTAATAACCATAATAAAAAAATGCGCGAAGCGAATGAGTTACAGAGTAAGGTGTTGTTCGTGATAATCACCATAATTATGCATTAAAACGCGACCAGCTAAAAGTTAATTACAGTACCTATGCACAGCTTGTTTTGACTGTGACTCGTCTGTGAGTATGGAGTAAAGCTTATCTTGCAATTGTACGAGTACTGTATGTACTCTGAATACTCATCCAGCTCATCCAGCTAAAACAGGGGCATGGGCTAGTTGTGCGCACGGGAATCCACATGGGTGTTAGCTGTATGCTGCACGGGAAGTTGGTACAGGTGTTGTCTGCGTGCATGGCTTTTAGATTTGATGATTTTATTTATGTTTCTATATGTATTTCGAGATTTAAGCGTAACGCCACTTTATATAAACGGTACAGGTTTTTATAAACGGTTTAGTTAATCTAGAAACAGTTACAGATATTTTTGTTTTGCTACTCGATGTCAGCGTTGGTTAACGAGGCTTCCCTTTCCCATATGCATAATATATTGCGGTACAGAAAAAAATGTTGCAGAAATTCTTACTTCTTCGATTCCACTTACATTTACGTAGTGGTTTTCAAGTACATGCAAGTATTTCAGCATAAATTGACTAGCATTAGCAACTTTGTACGTCTACTAGTACTGTACTATATACAAAGCTCCACAGAAACTGTATTTTTGAAAATAAAAAGACAGGCTTCCCATAGTAATTAATAAACTAATTCTTCACAAAATTCGCGAGATAAAAATTTGAAATAAATAAATTAGCCATGCACGCAGCCAATGCCCATGCAGATATATCGGGTGCCCGCAGCCCGCACCCGTGCAGATGCGAAAACTTGAAAAGGTCACCCGTGCACACAGCCAACGCCCGTGTGTAGCACTGTGACTTGTACCTGTGCACAGTTTTTTTTATTCACTAGATTATTCTTTATGTTATTTATACTTATTAGAATGTAGATGTTTTCTCTGTATTGGTTTTGGGCCTATTGGTTAGCTTTGATATAGAGTATCATTTATTCCGCTTCATAATTCTTACAGCTACAGATACAACGAGATGTTACTGCTTTCTACTGCTTTCAAATTAGAGAAAAATTTTAATTTCTATATCGCCTCATAAGCTGTTAAGCAATACAATAATTAAGTTGGACCAAAAGCTTACTATAGCAAAAGTAAGTTTGGGAAAAGTCTTGTAAAATATTTTCACTCATTTCAAGAAGTTGTGGTTGGCAAGAAGGTCATCGCCAAATACTCCGACAATCCTCAATACGGTACGCGGATCCGCTTTTCCCGAAACGCCGCTTTTGGGAATTTTTCTAGCATCGGATAGTTAAACCCCAGTTTTTGATTAAACTCATCGTTTTCTTGTCCCAAATAATACATTCTGGAAGCAATAGTGAAACAGAGGAAAATCAACGCGGTCCGCGTTTAACAGGGTCTCGAACGCAGAACGAATTGTGGAATTCTGGCGGAACTTCCGGTGCCAGTGCCGCAGTGCGCAGCAATTGAATGATCATTCACCGCTGGATTCGCAAAGCGCTCTAAAACGATGGATTTATAATGGGCAATTTCAGTACCTGGAACCGGGCCCAGCAGCCGTCACTTCTTCGCCGAACAATCGCTGCAACAGTTTGTGGATACCCGGGATAGCCATTGCTTCCTGCAGACGCTAACGTTAAATTCGAAAATTGCGAGCATATTCCATAGTATCGTCCATACCTGGCGATAACATCGTACTTACCCACACGGCTTCTGTAATATTTGTGATTGCTGCAGATTTGCTGATAACAAAAGAATGATAAAGTGTATTATTATGTGCTGATGTGATGCGCGCGTGATTTGGTGTATTACCAACGTTCGTCTACTAATGGTAAGTAATCATATAAATTATATGAATAACCCACAAAAGGATCGGGATTGAATTACAACTGTAAAGATCCAATTTTTTGAAGCTTCTTTTAAGGTTGCAAGACAGGATAAGTATGTGTGTGACTGGTACCTCAGGTGGTTGGTTCCGGAAGTAATTGTTCGGCGATTCAGTTCACTGCTCGCACAGTGCAATCTCGACAGCAGCAGCGCTCCCTACACAACAAATTTGCGTTGTCCTGCTTTCGCAGAGCTTGACTCAAGCTAAAAACGAACTTTTGCATCTCACCAAGTGGAGATGCAGTCACGCTGCACACATCGCAAATTAATCCTGCAGCCGCGGTCCACGAAAGACCACATCGATATAATCGGATTCTTGTTTTCTGGATTATTGTTGATATTCCACAATGTCATCTGTAAGTATGAAGAGCCAGATATCGGAAAGCAGTTCGTAATTTCCTCATTGCAGAAAGACGCCAAAGCCAAAACCAAGGCCGACCCGAAGGCCAAGGAGGCCCCGAAGGTAGACAAGAAGGCCGCCGCGGCTCCTGCCCCCGTTGCGGCGAAACCAGCCCCTGCCGCAGCCAAATCCGCTGCGGCCCCCGCAAAAGCCGCAGCTGCGCCCACACCGACGGTGGTGAAGCCAGCCAAACCCGCAGCGGAAGAGAAGAAACCGTTGGCGGAGAAAAAGGACGCCAACGTTGCACCAGCGGCGCCTAAGCCCGATGTGGAGAAGAAACCCAAGGAGAAGAAGCCCAAGCCGAAGAAGGATGCCTCGAAGGCCAAGAAAAAGGGACCGGGACGAGTGGCGTCGAAGAAGGGCAAGAAGAAGAAGCACTTGTACCGATTTGTGATCGACTGCAGCCATCCTGTGGAGGACGGAATTATGGAGCCATCAGATTTCGTACGTCGTGGGTTCTTCGTGGTTTCTCTTGAGTTTGACGCGGTTATACTGTAAGTGTTTCACAGATGAATGAATTTTTTTATGTAGGAACAATTCTTGAAGGAGCGCATTAAGGTGGCTGGAAAGACCGGAAATTTGGGCAAAGCGATCACGGTTGAAAGGCTACAGCAGAAGAACCATATCGTGGTTAACGCTGATACGGCTTTCTCTAAGAGGTAAGCGTTATCATTATTAACTATTTGCTGTTACGATTAACTAGTCGAGAGAAGTATGGGACACATTTTAGGATGTTTCTGTTGGCGCCAGAATTTTGTGATTGCGCATCGATTTCTAATCCTACACGTTTAATTATGCACTTTTCGTATGTCATACGCCTGATTTTTGTCGGTTGTGATGAAGTTTTTGCCTTTTTTCAATTTATTGAAATGATTAGATCTGGTGGTAGTATTAGTAATGAAGAAACCGAGGTAAGAAATGATTATTTGTTGTTAGTAATCTCGGATTGTCTGTATCAGATTTTTACTTCACTGTTAATATTTGCGCTTTTTTAAAATTATGGTTATTTACATTGCGACATTTAAGTGTGAAGCATTTATTTACAGTAGTTGTTTATTATTTTGACTTCAGTGTGTAACGTGGATATCTCGCTACTGTAACACACGGTTCTTCTAATCGCTTATTTTACTTGTTGCAGATATCTGAAATATTTGACGAAGAAGTACTTGAAGAAGAACAATTTGCGGGATTGGTTACGAGTAGTCGCATCCGGAGCGGACAAGTATGAACTGAGATACTTCCAGATTAGCAATGATAACGCCGATGAGGAGGAGGATAAGGAGTAGTAACTTTGTACTGAGTGTTGTGCGAATTTAGAATTTACGGGAAAATGTGCGAAAAAATGTTCAATAAAATACTGGAAAAGACGCCGCGGTCCTTTTCATATCGGTCGTTTCCTTAAAAAAACTGCAATTACATACAAGTAGACAAATTTACAATGCTTCGGGACGCATTTCAGTCTAATTAAATGGTGCGGGTTATTTTCCGTTGAAAAACAGATGCACGTTTGTGGAGGGAATCGTCTTTTCCCTTTTAAGATACGCCTCTGGTTGCTCCCGCATTTCTGTTTTCGCATTTTATTTGCAAGCCATAAATTTACAAATCGTCAACCGCAGGAACAGCTTGGAAAATTTTTGTTAACCGTTTATACGAGTACTGGTGTGAAATTTGCGCTGGCAGATATAAACTGTCGTGAATCTGGCTGTAATCGCCCACACTTTCAGTTTTCAATCCAAGATGTGGGAGAGCACTAACCTTACAGTTGTTAGCTGGTGTGAACCGTGGACACCCTGCTAACAAATTGTAAGATTAGCGCTCTCCCACATTTTGGAACAGTGTTCACCTTGCATCACAATAAGTTTATTACGACATATTATATTATTATGCCTACCATTTCCTACTACGTACAGCACTTCTTGGTACTAGAATGGTATTGGCACCACCATTAATTTTGTGTTTCGAAAGATCATTGTACTGGTCATTTAGGTTCGTAAAGAAAAGAACGCTGTACTCAGTGTACTGATAATTTAAATTTGAATTATTATGTGTATTTTTTTTTTATGTCGTCTTGCGTCCGAACGTTGGGCGCTTACTCTTCACATCACAAAGTTTAACACAACTGAAAATTTGGATTTCTTGAACAATTTTCCATGATCGGAGTTTGTTTAATATCCGGTAAAAGATGCCGCTTCTGCGCTCGAGTAGTACGAGTGGAACTGCTGCTGTATGTACTTGTACGAAAAAACATTGCTGCTCGTATTAAACAGTCCTGACATTTATCCAGCAATGCAGAATGGAATATTTGTCGTATAAATAATCCATGTCGGAGATTGGAATTTTCGATTCACACTTACATGCAGACAGACACACTACAACTGCACCTCGCCGTTTTTCGCGCTCTCGCAGCAACCCGACCGGAAACCGGCAATCGATAATCTGCAGACTGCGGAACTGCCGAGTCGACGGCGCGTCATAGACTTGTAGAAATCCAATGTGGTACGCACCCACTGCCACTGGTGTGTAAACCGGCCAGTCAGCAAGTTTTCTGCTGCAATACTTGATAGAGTATTTTATCGCAATCGCTAATATTTATCGGATACACTCTTTAGCTCGTAGCGCGACAACCCTAACTCTTTTTAACCAAAAATTGTGCGCCATATGCATGTTGCAAATCCTGACCTATAGTGCATATTCTAGTGTGAATTCCTGCTTATAATATCCCTTTTTGTTTGTGTTGCATCTTGCTTCTTGTATTGTAAACCGATCATTCCATGGGGCCCAAATCGAAATCCAAGGGAGAGAAATGCGCAGGCTGCGGAACGAAAATCGATGGAAAAGAGGTACGGCTGATACTACTTAAATATTACAACTGTTTCCGGTTGCATTAGTCTGCTGTTTGTTTTTTGTAGCCTGTTGTGGAGGCGATGAACAAGAAATATCATAAGAACTGCTTCGTCTGCGTCAACTGTCAGAAGCCGGTGGAGAAAGATTTCCACCCGGTCAACGGAGCGCCCTGGTGTGCGGAGTGTTTTCGGGAAAAGCATGCGCCGCGCTGTGCCGACTGCGGTGAACCCATATCGGAGACGATCGTTAAGACTGACGATGGGAGGACATTTCACGAGGCCTGCTCCAAGAAGCTCAGTCAAGGCACCTGCGATGGATGCAAATCAATGATTGCCTATGAGGAGGTATGTTTTATCATTATGATTTACCCTTATCAAATTTGGCTTGTAAATCAAAATTGTTTAACCGATGCCAACAAACAGCCGGCATTGTGCCGACTGATACGCGTTCATAAATTTATTATGCATCATGTTTATTGCTGTTTATGTAAATACTGGGCTTTATGATACACTCGGCATGCCTTCTGCATTCCAAAAATTTCAGATAAAGTGATCGGAGCTTTAACGATTTATTTATTATTTTATTCAAATACATGCACGAAGAAAAAACTTTAATTATCAGTGTGCGATGGATGTATTTTCTGTTTGCGCTCTTTGCAGACTTCATTGCAATTCACGTACTCTGTAATTAACATAACTTACAAAAGAAAATCAGTAATAAATATTAAGACGCGTTTGCGCAGCACTATTTATAGAAATTTCTGAAGTGCTAATTATAATACTGCGCATGTGGTTTATTTTAAAAATCTCCGAAAATTAAGAAAAATCATTAGCCGGGATTTAGAAAACATCTCAGTAATGATGCTCAACAGTCGCTAAGTATTCAGCGTACCATTAATTATACTAAAGTTGACTTTTTCTGTTTTTTAACAGCCAATTGTTGAGGCTCTGGGCCAGCGATTCCATCGCGACTGCTTTCGCTGTGCGAGCTGTGGCGGCGCAGTGCCGGAGAAGTTCCATGCGGAGAACGGACGACCGTGGTGCGATAACTGCTACAACGAGAACTTGGAGCGCAAATCGCCGGTATGTGATGGATGCAGCAAACCGATCACCAAAGGCACACGCCTGGAACTGGCCGGTCGCTCGTACCATGAAGACTGCTTCAGCACGGCCGGATGGAGCTCGTGTGACGGTTGCGGCAAAACGGTGCTCTTCACTGAGGTACGTAGTAGTAACACTAAGAAGACTGTAAGCATGCCAACAGATTTTTTACAATTTCCAGCCAGAATGTGTCAAATTACCACCGTCAGGCGTTCATCGTTCTAATTTTCAACTGACAGCTGCGGTGGGATGGTAGTACATGATGTAAATGGGTTTTGAAAATTCTTAGACAAGTTTATTTTCCATAGGTGCCAGATATTGCAGCTGCAAATACATTAACTAGCATTTTGGGTGTTGAGTACCACCATAACAATATTTTCGGTATGTTAACAAATGCACAATATAGTCGTGATGCACAGGTTAATGTTTGTGTGATGCGTCTTTTGCCGGTAAATTGTGTGCGGCATATGAAGCATGTCCAAGTCCACTTGCTCGCATAATTTTTTGCTTTTGTGACAACAGAAACTCTTCAGGTTAGGGCGTACTCAAATTGTGGCGGATTCGCTCGACGTGAAGAAATGACAGTTGTTGCACATTGTCGAATTACTGCTGTTATCCACTCGAGCCTTCAACATTTAGCCCACAATGCCATAGCCAGAATACATAAATTTGTCGATTATACCGCGTTGTCTGGTTTTTTTCCTAGCCTTATCTTATTGCAGTGGAGACGATTTCGTTTTTCTCATATAGAAAAATTGTATTTAGATCAAATTTTACTTAATCTTAATCACACGTTCTATATACAATTATACCTATCAGCTATAAAAACTTACAAACACATGTATACGAATTTTTCGGCAGCTGTAAATGTGCCTTATGCGCCCCAAAACCGGCACAGGTATTACAATTTTTGAATAATACATAGTGTTTCGTGCCGCATGCTTCGGCGGCCGTAAACATGTAGTGTAATAGATATTGTCGCACCCTTTTTATTTGCTGAAACAAAATTTTATCTTCGTTTGACTTGCGGTGTAATTAATACGGCTGCGTACGAACTACAGTGGTAATCAATCACCGAATGTTTGTCTAATTGTAGCCGTGCGTCAGAGTGACAGCGCTGAATCGTTACTGGCATTTGGGTTGTCTAAATTGTAACGAATGCAACACCAACATCCAGAGTCCGTTTTACTGGCGCAAAGAACAAGCCTGCTGTGATGCCTGCTACCTGGGCCACATTGCACCGAAATGCCAGGGCTGTGCACAACCGATTCCCAATCAACAGGTTAAAGCGCTAAACGCCTTCTGGCATCCGGAATGCTTCGTCTGCGCCGTAAGTTATGTAGCTATTATGTATGTTTGTGTGTGCTTGGATAGATTTCCGTTTGAAAATTTTGTGCGATAATAACAATAATTGACAAGTGGTTCGACAGGTTTGCCATGAAATGCTGCATCGCATGGGCCGTGAATATTTCAATGTCCAGGGCCAGCCGTATTGCAAGCACGACGTGGAGGCGGCGGGGATACCGGTTGTCAATTGAAACTAATATAAACTTATGATGTAACGCTTTTCTTTCTGTGTACTTAAATATAGAGGCTATGACGGTTATATAAATTATATTTTGTAGTCAGCTGCTAAAATTAGAGACAACTGTATTTCTGTTGTACGTTAAAGTAAATAAGCGAGATATCGGCATCATGTATACTGCCATGTTTATTCGCTTATCCAGCTGAAATCTGTATATACAATACTTACATATTATAAGCGGATATACGTTTTTCGATGGCATATGTCATATTGTTTGCATTTACGTTTGCATTTGCATTTACAGACATATACCACTTTTTTTATAGAATTTGGCTGGTTGTATCGGTATATGGATAATATGAATAGTTTTGTTGCAGCGATTGAAATGCCTTTCTGACTATATCGCATTAAAACTATTGTCACTAGAATATTAAATTGTATCGTAAAACTGCACCTCTGTATCGGATAGTTGTGCCCAGAAACAACACAAACGATTCCAATAAAAGTCATTGTTTATGTAAATGAAGTCATTCTGCTTCGCATATAGACACTAAATTTTACAGCTTACGTTTGCGCGCCACAAAAAAGTCTGGCACCGAATGCCGGCATCAAAGCAAATGTACCAAAGATACTGCAAGCCGCCGTACCTCTGATAAAATTACTATCTTGGTATTGTGTTTACAGTACTTTTCACTGTAATTATATATTTTATTGCCGATGATCCGGAGGTGTATAAAATCAATAAATTACTTATGTCAAAGGCATCTGTAAGCGCAATTGCACATTATTGTATAAGTCATGCAAGACAAGTGTTTCGCTGTATATAATTATTTGTAGTTCTCGCTCAGCGATTGCGGTTAACGCTGTGTCATAGGTATTGTACAGTATCTTGCCTAATGGTCTGACTGAGCCATGGAGACGAAAACAAACCATTACAATTTTCCTACTAACTGGTCTGGATTTTGTAATTATTTTTGTACAAAATTAACAGCAGTCTTTGCAAGAAATTAACGAAAGATGGTTTCACACAAAATTATTCATTAATGAGTAAATATTACTGAAATCGACACGTCCATTTTCGAACTGCGATTGCGAGTTACCTTAATATTCAAGTCCATGAAACACTCTACACTGTGCAATACAGTTAACAGTAGTTTGATATCTGTACTGATAATCCTAACACGGATTTTATAAGTGGTTACTGCTCACCAGTACAACTTTAAATCATGTTCGGTTATAAGCAGTTTAAAAAATAATGAGCCGATTCCATCTGATTGTGAGCATCGGCAACATTTTTCGGTGACAGCCGGCAGTGTATTGATGCATAGATTCTATTGGCATTCTACGCACTGCGCACCATTCAATCGACAGAGTGCTTATGGAATAATTTGTATTTTATGTGCTGAATTCATGTTGTCCATAAGTCACACAAGCGCTAGCCGTAAAGCATGCCTTCCGGTGCTTTACGTAAGTCTACAGACCATACAACAACGCTAGCTCCAGCTCGAAAACTGGCTTCTAGAGCACTCATCAGTCTATAAACGTTATTTTCGAAAGCGGGTTGTACCACCGACTACTCGTAGAAGTCCTTTCAAAAATTATTCTGAAGAACCGCTGTTTAGATTACGGTTTAACCGACATTTTCCTGCGTTCCTATAATCAGCGAAAATGGCGTCGAACTATCCATGCAGCGGATGCAGCCAACCCATTTTCCGCGATCAGGTATGTTGCCAACTTGCCATACGCGATTGAATAATTAATGTCGCTAATCTCACAAATTTCGAAGCTTTTGCTAATGTACCTTAAAAGTTACGGCAGTCATTTAATTGTTAGCTGCTTGCATGTCACTTGCGGTTTTTACATTATGGGGAGCTACTGTATTGTAAAATGTCTAATGCATGTCGAATGGTTTTATGGAAACCAGATACTGTAACTGACTACATGTACATATTTCAAACAAATTACGGATTTTGTTGTACACTCATTAGCATTAGCAGAAAATGTATCTGTAGAAGCCGTTCACCAAAATACACGCGCAGCAGCATAAGATACTGGAACAAGTTTGAGACTAGTTGTAGTTCTATTATCTATTTTGTGCTGCAGTTTGAAATTAGATCATGGTTAGTAGTAAACTATAGTTCTGTTCACATTTTTTTAACGTTTCGCCGTGCCCGATAAAACAGTTATTACAGCTGATAATGGCACAGCCGAAAGATAAATCGCCAGTGGAATGTAATGTGTGATGGATCAGTTTACTCTGCGAATTTATGAAATTTAACTTTAAAAGCGATCGATAAATGGAGCTCGTGAACGGAATCCGAACGTCCAGCATATTGAATGGCAATAATAAATTAGATTAAGTGATGTTTTCTTTACCTTCTACTTCCGTACTGCAATACCAACCGCAATTTGCTGACATACCGCTCCCTGCCTTTTTCTTGTCAGTAAAGAGGTGGCGGATTTTACAAAGCTTTGTCTTACAATTAGTTATTTACTCCATATGTAACGATATTTACTCCATAAGTAACGATATTTCTGCATTAGTCCGTACTGATAATTCCATACACGCAGCTTTACTTTGGTTTGGCAAAGTTTGTTTACTACAAAGTTTTTGCTTTATCCCTATTTAGGCAATCACACTAGCTGAATTAGCAGTTATGTGAAAACATGCACTCTTACCACTCTTTCATAATGCAATAATCTATATAGCGAAGTAACAAGAGCTTTTGCTGACCTTCTGATTGTGAACCTACCCAGTATGTAGCTATAGAGTATTTTTCGTATGGGAAGCCAATGTTTCTAAACTGCCTTGTTAGCGAATGGCGCACTGGGTTAATTTTTTCACCGTTATATATAGCCTGTAATTTGCATAGTAAAATAAAAACAGGCACTTAAGCTTTCTTCGAGGTGCACGAATCCAATTTTTAATAGGTCGCACTACACCGCAACCCAGACAGTTACTGTAGGAAGCACAATTATTGCATACGCGTACTGATTCGCAACATGTGTTTATTGAAAGATTGCTTATTGTTAATTCCAGCATTATAATTGCGGTTTTGTTTTTTGTATGCAGGAACATTTGGGAATTCCGGAAGTAAACCGGTTTTACCATCCGCAATGCCTGCACTGTACCGGCTGCCACGACCGTCTGAACGGTCCGTTTAGTCTGTGGGAAAATCAGCATCCATTGTGCGATCGCTGTCTGGCCGAGCGTTCACCGCGTTGCGAAGCCTGTCAGTATCCCGTGGCCGATGTCAAAGTCAAGACCAAATTTGGTTATCTTCACCCAGACTGCTTTACATGCACGGTACATATTTTTCTTTATTATCATTTATTGTTTTGTATTATGCGAAAATACACTTGAACGCTTAAACTGTTGGAAGAGTACATAATTACCGCTGAAATTACATATGCACTTAGTTATTTATGCCGTATTGATTCGTTTTCCTTTTGCAGAACTGCAAGTTTCCGTTTGTTCAAGATCAGGAACGCAGCTATTTTACTGTGGATGGTCGTCCTTACTGTCACCAGTGCGCGATTGAGGAAACGCGCCGCCCTGCACAGGGCGTCGGTGCAACGGAGACCATGGTGCGCGAAGGCTGAATTAAATGGGCTTTTACGCTAAATGTGGCGTAATTACATATATCCGTCGCGTTACATCAACGTCGTTTCATTTGGCTTAATGACGGAAGGAATTTTAATTAGTATAATTACCACTGTAACTCGAAGTAACGCATTTTCTGAAGCAGCTACGAATTTCACGTCATTTGTATACATACTGAAATGCTTTGAGATCACAAAAATTAATGATAAGCAGATATTTGGTTGCATACGAGTGCATTTATGATTTTCATGCATGGTGCTTTAATTTTTGGCTCGCGGTGTTATATATATGCGATGTTGCGTCCGGTTTGGGCTTTCGAATTGCACTTTAATTTGATGCGGCTATATTCCATAAAGCACAGATTTAAAGGAGATTAAGTACTTGTACGGGATTGATTGGTCAGCAAAGAAAGTACCGGCTTTTCTGTTGGATTTGTACGATGCCTTAAATACCGCTGATATTAAAATTCATATGAATATGTTGCTTATGGCACGTTGCTCAATAGTTGGCCACTGTTTCAGGAAAAGACAAATCCATGTTGATTGGTAAAATTCTGGTCCCTTAAATCCATAGCCCTGCGGGAGGGAGAAAATCGGTTCGAAATGTTCTATAACCAATATAATTATGTATTGTAGACCCATGGCAGTAATTATGGCATTAGTAAAATCACATGGCATTAGTAGGGTGACTACTAGGTTCACTGAAAAGCAATATATATCTTTTCACTATGGTACAACATAAATCGACCGTCAGCTGAACTTGATCAGCCAGCGGCCATCAACAGAGCTGCTGTCGGGCAGTAATAAAAGAGCTGCTACAAAGAGATGTACTGTATATGATAAAATACGGTCGTAATCATCCATAGATCCCCTAGAAAAATTATTTCAAGACACCGCTCTTGTACAAAAATAGTTATATTGATCCGTTTGTAGTTATAACAAATAACTACTATCCGGTTATTGTTAAGCGCTAAAGAAAAGTTCGATTACGTTTCGAAGGCTTAAATTAATTTTATTGGGAAACAAACGATATGCTTTTACGGGTTATACAAGGAAGATAAAAGTTAATTAACCACTTTGAAAGATTGATTTTGTGCATTCAGTCTATCCAGAGAGCATACAAAATCCACAAACACGTGTGGTCGCGTTGCCCTAATCGGCATTTGCACGTATATAGATAGTAGATACCGGCATTTGGGATGGTGCAGTGCTAATCGAGTAGATATTACAATATATAGATATACAATGGATTATGGAGGAGGTGATTAATAACAGCATAAGAACGTTTTCTTTATCCAAAATCACATGGTAAACTTAAATGTCAAACATGACATGTTTCTCGCACGTTTTGGTAAACACATTGTCTCCTTTCAACGTAAAAAAGATTAGGATACCGGAGGATCCTGCTACATTGGCAAAAGGGAGTTGTGCTTACGTAAAAGTATCAGGAATCGTTTAAGCGGCCCAGCACAGATTAACGCCGTCAAAGGTGTTTTCTCCATGTACGTATGAGTGCATCGTTAAAACATGATACTGTCGATAACTTGCTGGAAACCAAACCGTCCCAGTGGGAATCGGGACTGCTGTAAGCCTGTAACCGATATAAGAAAAGTATTAGTTAATGTTGTGTCCCCTTGAACGTGTACTTGCTACTTACTTCTTGTATGTCCCGAATGACGCAAAAACATTACGGGAGAAACAAGCCAACAAAATATATACGCATCACCCTTCTTGTGTCGGTTACAGTCGGTATGCCAAGCGGTCAAACGATGCCAGCAACCTATAATCCGTAGAACACACGAACTGCGCACAGGAATAGAGGATCATCATATACATATTAGAATAGAATTCGGTAACACTGAGCAGCATTTGTACGTACGTACTGTACAGCTGTACCGGAAGCTGGAATGAAAACCAAGAAGATTAGAGAGGGTCCCGAGTGTTTTGTGTTTTGAGAACGGATTTGAATAAATCATGTTCGAACGCACATCTTATTTTCAACGCATTTCTGTATAAAAATATTAATCGACTCTCTGCTTTGGCAAAATAAGACTTTATAATCGCATGGGCCAGCACCGAGTTTGCTTGTCATACGAATTTTTGTGAATTACATAGGTTAAAACCATAAAACATTATCATTGTAAATCTAACAACGGGCGTGAATGAGCCGGATAAGACAATCATATGCTGAGCGTCAAAGTGTTTTTTATTGTACGAGTAATTCATGATGCGATCGGTTTTTCCGGTGCTGTTGAAAAATGTTTGGACAGTTTGCTACTGCAGCCTGCTCGTGGTACTTATGTGGCCCATGATGTGTACCGGTGAAAGAGCGAGAAATAATGATGATGATATCGGCGGGAAATGGACGCCTCTGGACTGGACAACCGGAAACAGTTTCGATGAGGTACTAATTAAAGAATATTTAAAGATAACCTTCTACTGTAAAATTTAAAATTAAAAAATTTAAAACTGGCTAATTTAAAACTTAGAAATACAAATTTTAATATAATGTGACCGCCAGGGAGAACAGTTAACTACGCTTATAGGCTATAGCTAATTGCGTTGGTAATAATTATTATGTAGCTGATTTTGTTTTTTATGGGGATAATCGCGCTCTTAAATAAATGTTTTTGTTTTTTATCTTCAGCATATTTACCGTAATTGCAGATGGCATGCCAAACTGAAAACTCATGTAGGAGTGCAATAATAGTGAATCACAGTCAATGTTGTGTTAGGTTGTAAATAACCTTCGTAGGGTAAAACTAACATACTCGTAAATCAATTTCGAATGTATACCGCACACTGCATTCACTCGGAATTTTCTAAATGATAAATATAGGAACATATTTTTTCTGCAAGCCGCATAAAATGAACTTTGAATTACAAAATCTGTCTGTAAATTTTCCGTTTAACCTTTACAGAACTTTTTCAATAAAAATGTTCGTAATTCGAGACTACTACAGCACACAGAAGTAATCAATTCATCGAGCAAAGTACGAACCCTACTCGGGTAGAGTAACAACAAGAATTATGTATTTCTATATGTATAGGCTGTAGCTAAATGCAAGAAGACAGAGTATGTAAGTTGAATCTATTTTTTTCAAAGACCTATTCTCAACAGATGAAATATGCACTAATATGCGTTTCGGTACATGCAGGCAATAAACTCCATTTGTTATTTCTAATTCGTTCGAATACAGTTTTTTTGGCAAAAACTCTTAACTGATATTTAGTTAAACAAAAGGTCGCTTGCGTAGTCGGTATATACTGGAGCCATTAAAATGATTGCAGTCGCCACTCGCTAGCAAATACTCACTTGATTTAAAGGATACATTTTTTCCTGTGAAATTTGTATACATGCGCAATGCAATTACCGGCACACAAGAACGACAAGGTGAAGGCCACTTCCGATTGAAAACTCTATTACTGCAAAAATAATTTGTCTATCAAAAGGACACGCAAGCGTCATCTTGTAAAATTATACTGTCGCTGCTGACTCGGATGTCGCAGTAATAGCAGTATCGTATGCAACCATAATTGTCCGATACATATCTCACGTTGCTGTACGGAAATAAAATACTTTTATAAGCCTGTTCTGACCACCCTGCTGTTGTGATATATATGTACAGATACTACAGCAGAACACTATCTTTTATCTGGAGTAAAATTGAGATTCCTTGGCGTTTTACTGCATATAATATCGAATAAGCTTTACAAAATATAACACATCGAAGAAATTACGTAAGGCCTTCACTGGCTAACTATTTGTATCAACAAATTTCTGTACCATTAATATTACTTATTGTGTCGTTTTACTGGATAGTGTGTGCAGTAGCAATTCCTATTATCTTTACATATGTACGTCGTTTAATTTATTAACTATAATAGCTCAGCAGATCATTTGTGATTTGTGAGGTGTTCTGTAAGGTCAGCTAGCACCGTTGATACCGATATCGCTAAGTTATCTACTATAAAAAAGTAACTGAAAATACTGAAATGCATTCAAACCGTATCGGACACACCTGCACTTTTAATAAAACCAAAAAGTCCAATCACGCTAATTTTTTACGGGAGATCACATTGGTGAATGATCTTATTACATATATTTCCTTCGAAGTAATCTGCAGCAATAGCGCGTGTCGAGCTTTTTAGAGTATAATAACGATAATGCACTAAGGAGCGTCCAGCGTTCTGCGTCCATATAAACCAGTTCAGTTTAAATGCAGTTCGACCAGTGCCGTGAGTTATGCTTAAACGCTTATTCAGAGTTTGACGTCTTAGAGCACACTAGGAACCATTAGTCGAGATTAACGTTTGTCCTACAAACAGTTTTGTTACTCTGGTACTACAATTAATAATAATGCCTTTTAAAGCCATCCGGCCCAATTATTACACCTGTGCATGAATGGGTTAATCACTTATTCGTTACAAATCGCCCCCAACAAATTGAGAAACTTAGAAACATATACAATGTGCTCAACGAAAAGGCGCCCTGTGAAACGTTTTCTTTTTTTTGAAGATTATCCGCGTCGATAATCGTGTCAAATTATAAAAAGTCACTAACAATGCAATTTGCAGTCGCCGGTCCATCAGACAAACGCCCTGTGGAAAATTGGCTCGCTTCCTGAATTATACACACCACCAGCGGAAGTAGTGCCGGCGTATTTCCAGGTGGCGCGCCGTTCCCAGATCAATCCGCAATCCATGCAGGCCTTTGCTCCGCTGATGCAGCGGGTAAGGAATGCCATTGCGAACAAACGCCTGCGGCCGCATCCGCGCGGTGCACTCCCGTGGATTTATAGCGATAAAGCCTATTTAGCCGATTTATCTTTTAAACCCGACCCGACTGCCACTGCCACAGACCCCGTCGTCAAGGAGCTAGTCACCAATAAAAGTACCAAATTGTGCTACATGAATCCCGTTTCCTGTTTTGGGAGGTTTGGAAGAAAAGTTACTGGATAATAATGAAATATTAAACTGGTGGAATAGGTTTATACATACGGTATAGTGTATACCATGACTTTATTATTCTCTATGACTGAAAGGTGACTGCGCTGATCAACAAAAATGCTACCTCGCACATGATTTGTTCTACTAAATTCCATAACTGGAAAATTAATATATAGTTTACTTACCTACATATGTTATACAGTACTCAGTAAACTAAATAAAAACAATATATAATATTAATTCATTATTCTGCTATACACATATCGCGTAACTAGACACTGCCGCAACTCAGCACCCTGCTCCCGATGACCCTACAATTCCCTGGACTATGTGAATCCATAACAATACTCTTTGCGTAAGAGCGACAGGATAAACCATAAATCATTCCGCACATTTTTACACTTCCACACTATAAATTGTAAACAACATTTTGGATCGATCTGTCGACCGCGTTAGTTATGCGAACTTCAGTTGCGTAATTAATGTACCATTTGCGCACTCTGACCATAGAAACTATCACCCCAATACATAATTAAAGTACTTGGCTTATATCGTAATTAATTCATGGTTCACGCAATGTCCCGGTTTACGTGCAACAGCGCTATATTTTCAAAAGATTACTTTTGCCATCGCAACTCGGATAGCTCGCTTTTACTGTGCGGTTGAGATTTTATGTTTAAGTGCAATAACAGTAGCAGTAGCAACTGCAATTTTGCCCTGCGCAAGCACATTATATGCACACCCATCACTGCGCTAATTAACCATAAACGCGACCCTAATAGCCGATCAGATACCTAAAGCATGGAACTATTCAACATAAACAAACCCAGCGTGGCCGGCGACGCAGCGCTTCCAGCCAGGGACGACGCGTGGCGAAAGTATCAAAGTTTAATGTCTGTGCATGTGTCAAGAAACACTATACCCGATTAGATCTGCATCGCTTAACGACAGCATACACACATACACTGCGAGGTTTAAACACAAGTCAAAAATGTCGTGAAGACCATGAGTAATATATATACATTCGTATCAGAAATTGTCGTCAGTTATGCATTAACCCGATGAACAGCTGATTGTTGGACAAAGGTCAAGGCGCCGGTCAGTCTTGTCCTGACGTGGCATATGGCAATTAGGAGATGGACTGTAGATCAAACAGTAGCTGATCCAGTTCATCTGATGAATCACTACTGGAGCCGGTATATTGCGTAAGGTCCTCAGGACTGGCTGCCGGTGAAGAATCCGATAAGGTCGCCGGTGAGCAGGCACTGTCCACTGCGTAGATTGGACGCATGTCGTCGCTTAGAGTAGTCGAAATCTTTTCACCGTTGCGCGTTTTCTGGTGGTTATCCAACGTCTGCAGAACGCGCTGGAGAACTTTGATGTATTTGATGGATCTGACAAGAATTTCTTTCTTTTTCAACTTTTTGTTAAGAGGATATACAGGTAGTAATTTTCCCAGACTCTCCTGAAAAAATATTCATTAAGCGTATAAGCGGTAGACCTGATGAGTATAAGCATGCGAAAGCTTTGATGTCGAATACTTGTGCATATAAAGATAAAGTAGAACAACACGGCCTAGTTTACACTTATAATCCATACTTATTTCGTCGTATAAAATTATTCTAACAAGTAAGAAGATTTAAAGACGCTACATATATTTAGTTCAAGTATTAGTAATTTATAGCTGTTTATTAAGTATAAAAGTATACAGCAAACTGACAAACCTTCGCACAATACTTTGTATATACCAAACGTCAGAAACTTTTGCAATCAAATTAGTTTTGCAATTGGATGACTTTAGCTTTTCTAGCATAAATCTATGATGCTTTGAGGTGTTCGAGTAATAATGACATGTAGTAAACTGTAACAGCCGCTTAACGAAACACGTATTTTGCAATTTAGCACAGAACACTTACGTAGGCGGTGTTGACGTTACGATGCCGCCATCTTTCCCTTTCATTTGAATTCCGTCGCTTTTTTATCGGGGTGGTCGGCGATGCGGCCGTCTGCGACGATTCCAGTTCATCTGAGGGTTCTGAATCGATCACAACTTCCGAAATAACAAATAACGCGTCATCATCGATATACGCATCGGAATCTTTGTTTTCCATAATACAGTACAGAAACGCCAACAATTTATAAAAAAGGAAACCTTTGGATAAGCAAAGTTGATTTTACTGTAGATCGAGCCAGCCGCGGGCAAATGATTGTCGAAAATGTCTACTACAGAGCACAACTTGATAGACTGATAGCAAATTAAATCACTCTGCTGTATTTCCACTGTAATTTGTAAATAAACTTTGGCGTCATCCGCTAATAAGTAAAAGCTCGTGGGTGTTAATGCAACTGCATCTATACACATATTATTATTGCACTTACCACAAAATGGTGTGTTTATACAATTGTATGTATATCCCAGACACTGGGTGTGGTTTCGCTCATTAATTGGTTCACAGTGCAACGATCATGTTCAAATCGCCGCTGTCCAGACTCAGCTGTACGCCTTACTGGCACATAAATTTATTGCCAACATGATGCAAAATCCGGATATTGCAAAACTAATTAAGTAATCATCTCTCTCTGATAAGTGTACAGCAAAAGCCAAAGAAACTTGCAGAGATAAGGAAAGGTCACCCTAACTGTCTGCCAATATAAATTTTTTAAATTGCTAAATGGCTCACCAGTGACGATCACGTTATTTACCTGCACTAATTGATACAATATAAATATTTAGCTGGGTTTTACTGAAAAATCAGAACATCAATGTGATCTAATAATTTATTAATTTTGGCGCAGAAATATAATACGCGTATCATAGTTTAATGTGACCGTGTGTTCTACTAAGCATGACTGTCGGAGCACCGTGAACAATCTTAAACTATTATGTGATATTCGGGTTTTTAGCTCGCATGGGCTCCACGAGGTTGATCTCGTCCAGGTCCTCCATGTCGATTACAACCGGCACCGACATAGTACGATCCCGCCAACTCAAGGGTGCAACCAGTAAAGTAATCAGTTCGCTGGACTTTTTGCCGGCCGGAATTAGAACCTTTTGATCCTTTGGCAAAATTATCCGCAGTGTACTCACGGATGTCTTAACGAAGTAGGCTGCATAGCCGGCACTGAGAAATTTGCTCACAACAGTGTGCAAGGACATCAGCGACGTGAAGTCAATCTTTGCTAAATCAGCGCCGGAAAAAATAACAGTCTGCTTAGGCTGCTGCAGTAAATTGGTAGACGGCGATATTATATTATCTTCTTTGGTGTCTCTAGCAAGATGTTTTGGAGAGTCGATGTCACCGTTTTTGTCTTGTTCTTCCCTTTGCACACTCAACTTCTGGAGTAGCGGTTCTAAATTACAGATAGATTAAGTTTCTATACAAAGTTCTAATGCGTACTGCATTATCAAATGTTTGATTAAATTTGCTTTGAAAAATGACAGTCGTACAAGCATAATTATTATCTGCACTGACCTAAAAAATGACAGGCAGACAACAGCTCAAATACGAATGTTTTATAATGTTCAAAAATTCATTCAGCAACATATTTTTAGAACTATAAGGTTAGACCCGAATTTTTGTGTACCTAACGCTCCTTGTCGTTTGATATGGCACCCATCCGGCACGCGATTGATAAGGTACCTTTTAAAAGGTTCTGTAGCCGGGAAGAAAATTCTTCCATCCGGCCTCACTTGTATATTGATAACTTTCCTGGTAAGACTTGGCTGTTCGCGGTCCATATAAATTCGTGTTCGACACTGTAAGCGTAACCGTGGTTTTGTTAGCATGTACATGACCACTGCGAAGGAGAAAGAGATCCCAGCTAAAAAACCGTAGTCGACGCCAAAGAAGACACTAAAAGTTATTGTTCCAAAAAGCGGGATGAGTTCGATTCGGTTGCTTTGCCACAGTTCTTTTATGATTTTGACATCGATAAGCATAACCACCGACACAAGGATCACTGCACCCAAAGCCGCTTTCGGAACGTAACAGAAGGCCTGGGCCATCGTAAGTTGAGCAACAATGACAAAGAATCCGGTGACAAAACAACCAAAAGGCGTCCGTACCTATGGAAAATGCTCATAAAAAGCCTTATACATTACCAAAAAAATGTTAATACAAGATTTGTCGAAGAACGTTTTCTGTAATTACGAAAACATTGCGCACAATTTTAAGTAATATTCTTTACATTTGTACCGGTAGAATATGCAAGAGAAATAACGTGATCAAATACGGTAGTGCTACACTATTACTACGTACATAATGTGCAGATAAATTACCGGGTAAACAGGAAAAATTTAACTTTCGACATCGTACGGCACGATTTTAAAGCCGTAAATTGTGTTATGCGAAGATAAAATCTGGTATTTTATCACTTACACCGCTTTGAGCATTTAAGGAAGATTTGGTAAAGCTTCCGGCTACAGGGTACGCCGATACGAAGGAAGAAAGGAAGTTTGCCACGCCAATGGCCATTAGTTCCTGCGTTGCATCCACTGCATACCCAAATTTATTGCCAAATGCTTTGGCAATGGCAATAGTTTCCATTGCGCTAATCAGGGCAACAAATGGTAATCCGGACAGCATGTCTTCGATGTTTTCGGCTGTGGTTTGGTTATTCCATGAAAATTTTGGCGGCGCTAAAGGTGGCAGCGCTGTATTAACATCGGCAGTTAAAGATAGTACCGGATACCCATAGCGTTGTAAAAGGAATGCCACTAGGGTGGCAATGATTACTACGACACCGTAGCGAGCTGCCAAAAAGAATGACCTTTATGCAACTGAAAATCTGATCTTTAACATAGCGTTTCGTTTTAACATAAAGTTTCTTAGATTAATGTAAAAACGGCTTTAAACATTTATACGGTTAAAGGTGGTGTATCTGATCATGATTGAATACGATTTTTGTAGTAGTCTTCTTGCCTGCCACAATAATCCTCCATGTTTCCCGGACGAAGCTTCCAGCATGAGATTTCCTAGGTATCTTGATCATTCGGAAAATGACCAATCCACTTATGCAACATGTTCCCATTAATAAATCCCACCCCCTAAAGTGATATTGTAATTGTAACACAATTAAGCCGCTGGCTGCCGACAAATACGTTCAACAGTATATGACGATAAGGAGCATGGACCGGACCTTAAGTTATGAATGTTCATGACATAATGCGTCCCTTGCTGCATGACTGTGTCCGTCGTGTGTCCGCCCGGGATGCCCAGTAGATTTTTAATCTGACTAAACATGATCACAAACGCTGAGGCTGTTGTAAATCCGCTGAGAACCGGGTGGGACACGAGATTAAAAAGAAAACCTGCAAGAGTGATATTATCAAATGTACTGCAGCTCACAACGTACGCAAAAGTGTACAATAACATTACTACAAACTTACAAAAAATTATAACGATACCTGTACAAGATTTTGCAAGACATTATTAAATATATGCAAACAATTTGACAGGAAAAGGACTAAGAAGAGAATCTGCTTAAATAGAAGAGTGTCTTTGTGCGAAACCTTTGCTATAGAATATCTAGGCTAAATTAATTATGTAGGTATATATTTTGTTGACCTTTTATGATAAAGCACTTAAGGATAATTTTTAAACTTTGACCACGAGTCGATCAAAACACACGTGCCCTGATCGTTTCACAATGAAATACGGCCTGGATGATATACGAGCATACCTAGGCGGAAGACGCCCATGGCGATCTGGAACACACCGACAAGAAACGCCAATAATACTGCGTACCGCGTACGCTCGTACATATCTGCTTTTCCGGGAATGCATTCGGAGGTGAGCAGCGATATTACAGCCGTTACTCCCAGTGTAAGGTCTTTGGACGTCCCAAACAGACCGTAAGCGAAACAAGCCATGAACGACGAGTATAATCCATACTAAATTAATTACACAATAATGTGCAGTGCGGTGTACAAGCACATTACAACACTTACAAAATTCAACAATTTTTAAGCAAAGCACAGTGATCACACCGATTCTTTCGTTATTTTGATATCGAAGCCAGTTTATGACCTCATGGAACGTTCACAAAAATTTTGGACCTTGTTGTACTTTGAATGCTGTTCAAGCAGTATATGTGGTTTGATCCAGAAATTTTGACAGTTATTTAAATAGTAAAAGCCATCGGAAGTTGCTGTATAGTTGTTACTGTTGCGTTTTCAATAATTTTACAAATTAAGCAAATACTGAATCATTTTAACAGAGTAATTTGCGTACGATAAAAATGCTTATAATTCGCTGACCAGCGAAAGGGCACAATCGCTTCAGAAGCGCACGAATTTGGTTGTCTTTTTATGGCGTTAAATAGGTAAGTAAGTACATATTTTTTAAGTGCCTACCTCAGGCGGTAGATCGGCAATCTGAGCATACGCCAAAGCTTGTGGCACTGTAAAATATAACAACACAGTAATAAATCCATCTGTGCCCTTGCTTGGGCCTACGTAGGTATTTCCTTAGTATACATCAATAACAAATTAAACAAACAATTACGTAGTAGCTTACGGAATTGCGTTGGTTTTACGTGTTTATGACAACTTATGCCCATAAGTAAACTAATTGAAGTTATTGAACTGATAATTAACAAAAACCGAGCATATGAACAGTTTCATTAGCAAAAATTTGAAACACATCCTGGGAGTACCTAACATTTCCTAATACGAGTATGCTCACCTACAGATTTATAGTGAGCTCGAGATTCAGAAAATTTGAGGACGGCTTGTACAGTTTTATTAACTGCATATGTACCTGTCGTCATCCCGACGGTTAAACCGGCGATTAAATCTCCTTTTAGATCCTGCAAGGAGTATTTAGGCAGCCATAGTGTAATGGGCAGACGGCGTCTCCAGCTTTCTATGGAGCAGAACCGGCGCAGTTTCCTCTTCCAGTCTCTGCACGATTGACCCCTTGCTGACTGCGCTCCATCCCCTACATAACAAGTGCAGTTTTCTTCACTACGAACTTCCCATCGGCTGCCGCCGCCGGTGTCGTTATCCAGGTTTATTGGTGGGGCACTTTCAGGTCTTCCAAAACCATTTAGAAGTACGGAAGTGGACATTTTCTGTACGATGAAAAACTATGATAAAACCTGCGAAAATCAAATAAAACATAAGAAACTAGAAGGCACTACGCTGGGATCGACTTTGCGCAGTACATCTAGCTGTACTAATAATAATGTTAATTATTAACGAAGTTGTAAACTGGTCTCTTCAATCTTCATGTATTCGATTTTACTGCAACTGTTTTAGTAAAAAAATGGAAATTGCAAAAGAAGCGCATATTTTCAGTAATCATCATCTCGGTATAGTACAAGAACTGACCATGATAAACTCACCTAACGCTGAGCAGTGCCACTGAATGAAACCAAAATATTTTCCTTTAAACCACAGCATAGAAAATAAGAAAAACTTGCTGACACATTTGGCACAACAATTATTAAATTGTAATAGTGATATAAAATGATTTAGCCTGGTCGGCTGGGAAATTTGAACCAAAACAGTACTCGTATAAGTACCAAACTGGAGTTCAAAAAGCAAGTTGTAACTTCTGCTTTCTTTTCATCCTGGGCATATGCTTATATTTAATGAAACAATGACAAAGCATTACAAATTCCGAGATTTATTGCAACCAAATTCCTAACCGAAGTTGAATATTTTCTTCCTCTGTGCAAACTTGCAGTGCTTAACATACATATGATGAAAATCAGAGCTTTTCTACCGAAAATATGTCTTGAAACCGGTTGGTCAGCAAGTTATAGAACCTTACTGAATGTAATGTTGCACATACTAGGTAGTATTTGAGTACTGTTGTATATCGAAATAATAATATTGAAGTACGGCACAACTGCAGTAGAAGTAGACATACATGTGGAAGTCGCTAATAATCGTAATATCCATCTGGCATCTGCCTTCAGGACATGACTTCGCATTGGTTTTAACAGTTTCGCTTGATTTCAGTCATTAATTATATTCCACCTGATGTGAAAAATTGCACTAAAAATGCGCCCAGGTTATTCGTGATAACAGTTAAGTATTCCTAATATTTGTGTACCGTCAGTAACTGCAGCAACATTATGCACACTTTTTTCTCACGATTGAAAAGAACACATATTCTATAGATTGATTCTGTTTTAGCTTACAATCGCTACTTACAGAAAATTCCCTGCAAGCATAAAGGTGCGTTTTTCTTTATTTCGGGCTTCTAGCGAAACTTATCCCCGTCGAAAAGCAACATCCAGCAAGAGAAACAGTTCGAATAACAAAAAATCGTGTTTCAACAATAACAAATAAAACGTTTGAACAGAACTTCAGAATCGCTCAGTCTGGTTATTCAAAATTCCGGGTACAACCAAACCCAACTAAAACGGAATTCGGATTGTCACAATAAAATCAACATACGCAGAAATGGAAAAATCAAACAAACAATGCAGTATTCGGGCATTCACAAGATGCGGGATACGTATAGGCGGCCTGAATTGAAGGTAACGCATCACGTGGATTGAAAGTACTGAACTGCAGCGAGGTCTAAGGTCAATCACATGGGAACATGGGTGAACAGATACGATACTGATTCCCCGTTGTGCGTGCGACGGATCGATTCGGCGAACATTGAGGACACATCGATTACCTGCAAAACGATACTTCTTATTAAAACAAAACCTTGTAAGTTACAGGTAACCCCATAACAGTAGTGTAGTAATGGGCCGGCAGTCTTACCCAAGATTTTAAAAAAATACTTGAAAAGAAAACAAAATTCCGAAATATACGCGTGCATTATATGTACAACCATCAAACAAAGTACAAGTGTTCCCAAATGAATTCAGAATTCAGTTTTGTTTTTCAGAATTTGCAACTTGCGCAACACACCAAAATCTCGAAAAAGAAATTTTAAAATTATATTGACAACAGAGATCTAGTTGTACTACTCTGTATAGCGAGAACAATCAGGTTTCTGTAAATGCTATTCCTGCTCGGCTGCTCCAAACAGAATCACATTAACATTATACAGTACTGTGGAGTTTTAAAACTCCATTATAATACCTGAATTTTGCTGCATTCACGCATTCGCTGAATTTGGGGAATAGTGTTCGTCACGACCACCGCTTCGAAACTAGACCGCTTCACCCGTTCCAGGGCCGGGCCCGAGAATATTCCGTGTGTGGCAATGGCATAAACCTTCTTAGCGTTAGCTTCCACTAACCTGCGCCAACATATATAGTGTCACGTACAAAGAAAGTCAAATAAATTCCATTTTGACCGAGCATTAACTTACTTCTCTGCCGCCAAACATACCGTACCGCAAGTATCTAGCGGAACAAAAACAACCGATAAGGATAACATAATAAGATAGCAGATAATCTACCCACACACCGGCCATGTCGTCCACCAAAATGGCCACTCTGTCCTTCACATCACCCACAAGAACCATAGAAGACACTTCGTTAGCCCGCTTGCGTTCCTTGTGAATCAGGGCGAAATCGACATTTAATCGATCAGCGATAGCCGTCACCCTGTGGACATTATACCCTAATTTCGTCATTCAGTTACTCCAACCAAATGATCATGCGGTTTCAAATCCATACGAATTTCATGGACATTTATTTACCGCTAATACTTGATACCTAACTACTGTGCATCTGGCATTCTGGATATCTTCATCTGACCTGAGCACTATATATATGCAAAAAAGCTAGCCAGCACACCACTTCGAAATTATGGCTAAAAGTTGGATGCGTATTCCACTTCAGGCAAACATCAGACGGGAACCAGACACATGATAGATTTTGTTATAAACATTAACTGCACCTTTTTGCGCCTCCGGCATCAGGAGAAACAATAATACTGGCACGCCAATCTGCGATGTTATCCTGGATCCATTTAATTATTGCTGGTTCAGCAAATAAATTATCCACGGGTATATCAAAAAATCCCTGTAAAAAATCCAAACTTTCTAAATGTAAATAATAATAATTTGACGATGTTCGTGGTCTCACTGAATTAGCAGCGTACACGAAACAAGGATTTATTTTAAAATTCAAAGCCAAATCAAAGGCAATCCAACCAACACCGATGCCCACTCCAAGATTTTCCACTTTTCACTCACCTGAATTTGCGAGGCATGAAGATCCATTGTAATTATGTGATCCGCACCAGCTACGGACAGCATATTGGCGACTAATTTGGCAGAAATTGGAGCGCGTGACTGAAAAATTTAAATTCTGACAACCAATTTACAATGTCCAAGTTGATCTAAAATATTTTTCAAAGCAGACAAGATGCAGAAAAAAATAAGAAGCACGTACTTTGTCCTTCTTGTCCTGCCTGGCGTACGGGAAGGAAGGAATGACTGCTGTTACCCGATATGCTGATGCTATCTTGCAGGCATTGATCATAATCAAGAGCTCCATAAGGTGATCATTGATCTCGCCTGATCCGGTCTGGATAATGTACACATCTTCGCCGCGAACGGACTCACCAATTTCCACACTACAATTGCAACAATTCATCATCAAGAAAATGAAATCGTTGCTCACAAAAATTAATCCAATTATTATCCAGGGAAGCATTAGTGGCTGGGGCTCAAGTCCACCAAAGTACCAAACAAAATTTGGCGGGTACGGTTTATCCAAAATTTCTTACGATGTCTCCTGGTTGCTGAATTTCTTGAGCGATGCTTTGGATAGATCAATGCCCAGGCGCTCGGCGATCTTCCGAGCCAGATCTGGATGGGATGATCCACAAAATAACTTAATATTCGGCATTTTCGTGGAGTTAGAACCTCTGGGAGCTGATTTTGAACTAGTTTCAAGCAGTGCGTCGCTCATAACTAGAAGCACAGACGTGCATGGCCAAAAGATAACAACAAAACCGCCTATATTTCGAAGAAGCTGAAACATAGGCTCAGGCAGCCAAGTTGCAACAACTCGCTTCGCCTTTTGATGAGCACAGGGCGCTTAATTGGCTACAGGGAATTCGTCCCCTTCTGCAGAATTTTGTTTCGCTATCCTCAAAATGTGCGAGTAAGTGTATTTAAAAAAGGTTTTCTAACGATAAATCATTTCTGTTTTTTCATACTTTTTCTAAAAACAGTTGCTTAATATGTTTTTAAAATTCATTTAGGAAGTCTATTAAGTAATTATACTTATTTATACTTACTAGTACTAGTTAGCAGCTTCGCACTAGCAACATTGTCACACAGGTGGTAGAAGTGTCTAGGGCGCCTTTCAATCCTTATTTTTAGTTGTTATAACCTTTAACTGGCGGATCTCTTTCAACAATGCCAGCGTCCATATACTACAGTTAATAAAAAACTTGTTTTTGCTTTTCTACTAGTAAGTACGGTCGTTGGTTGGTGTGCACTTGTTAACGTTCATACAATTTAGGCGTCCATTCACTTTTTTAGCAAACCCGAATTATAGAAACGAGTGAGTCTGTTAGGCGACCATACTGACAAGTGCACAAATTACAAATTAAACACACACATTTGCTATCTTAATGTATGAGCAACCGCATCCGAACACGACGACACTTCTCAAAATGTAAAGTGACAATAGTTATACATAATTATAACAGTTTTATGCAGAACGTAATCACTCTTACAATCAAAAACTGTAATTAATGCAACGTAAAACGCATTTTACATTGAACAGAAATATACACTCAAATGAGTCAAATCATCCCATTTGATTTGTAGATCAAAATTTCCGAAGCGCTGCTATCCTTAAATTCCTGATAATTCCCAATCCCGGCAGATAAGGCCACGCACGCGGATACCATAGATGATATGTCACAAACCAAACTCCTTCAGCGACCAGCGCTGCGGACAATTTCTGCGGCAAACTTTGATAGTAAAAAACGGTCATAACAAGCATCACATCCCAGATGATACAAAGGAGAGTCAATGCGATAAACACCGCCTGAATAACACCATTCAGCGTAAAATACCGATCCCTGACGAACATGGCATTCGTGCTAGATTGTTCCGGTGACACCAACACATCCATCGGCGATCTTTTCAACGCATAGTCCAGTTCTTCCCAGCGAGAAAAGCACATCAATTCCTCCATAATGACCAGAGTGAGGAATATCAACGAGAACGCATCATCAGATACATCGAACGACATCCAGCGGTGGCCGTGTCCGACACAGCTCTTTTGATTTCCGTAATCTTCATTAGAGCAAAACGCGGAGAATGTCTGGAATTTATCGAAGGATCTCAAAACTAACTTGTGAACAATGAAAATAATCAACAAGCGCGAGATGTTCCGCAGGATTTTCTTCACTTTCCCTCCACAATATATGTATGACGTCAGCAGAACAAATGGTAAGAGGAGCAGAATGGTCCAATACGGTGCAAACTGCACAAGCCACACCGATACGGCATTTCCCGGACGAGCCAAGTACAGACTTTTCTGAGGGCGAAAGAGGTCCCCCAACGACGAACCAAGGAACACGATAAATAAATACAGCGGTGCTTTGAACCGCGGTTGGAATAACACGTATCTTCGGCATAAATGCACAACAAAGGTCACAAAAAATCCAAATATCGTCAACGGTTCCTCCACGTGTTTCTTAAGAGGGGGTGCGCGCGCTGTTGGTGGACTATCCACGGGCTGCGTGATACGCTGCGTTTGTGACCGGGCAGAACGACGTTCTCGGAGACGGTTGTGCTCTTTCTGAAATGTAGACGATACGTCAAACTGTGCAATGCCCTCAGAAGCGCGACGATATGGTTGCGACGGCCGACTGGACATCGTTACAAACTACAGAATGTTAAAGTGATGCTGAAATTAGCAGTACCTAGTGGACACGTATGAAATACTACGGAAAAGTTCTACAAATTCAAAACCTATCACTAACACTGTACTATTAAAATCCACTGAGAAAGCTAAGGCTCAAGAGGAAAACACCAGCCGTAGGCCCGTAGTATCTAGTACTCTATAGCATGGTTCAGCACAAATCCGATCTTAAAATAGCACAACCCATGCTCATCCAAGTTAGTTTTACATGGTCAGTGTGCGATCATCTTCTATTTCATATTCGTACCGAATCATACGCAACCTACAGTACCCAACGCTAGCGGTACCGGTAACCACCAAAATGTTAAGATCTCTTAACGGCATAAAATGCATATCTAATTCAGGATATTCATGCCCCCAAAATCGCGAACTGTCAGCAAACACGATTTAGTAACAGTTATTCGATTTAGTAACTTTTGGGGTGTCTATTGTCTAGCCCTTCTCCTACTCTAAAATTCTCACAATAATAAATGACTATCTTTGCTGTTACTTTGTGGAACTGGTACCGGCATGTGATTACAAACTTCGACCAAGGCCGAAGGCGGAATGTGTGCCATACTACATAGTAAAGTTCTAAAAATTTCCAATCATAAAAACCGAAAGATTATAAATACTGCAGCATGAATAACTAGCCACCCCAGCTACAAAATCTGCCAAGGGTAAGTTCAAGGTGCTCGAAGACGGACATCGGTAGTTTTAAAGGAACGCACCTTAAAGTGACAGTGGACTTAGATGTCCAATTTTCTAATCTGAATTTCGCATTCCGCAATATCCGCCAGTGCAGCCTGAATGCGGGACAGCAAATCGTGACCATTTTTGACAGTGCTCATCAAATTTCTAACGGCGTCTTTGCTCTGTCCATCGGTGCGTTTGATCGCATTAATCTGCAATTTAAAAGCTGCCATCATGTAAAATGCGTGTATGTAATGCAAAAAACCAAAAATCCGCACAGCCAGTGTAAACCCTGCACTGTACTTGTGTAATCTTGTCGACACAACAATTTTCTTAATATCGATAATAAAAAAACGAGCGATGTGCTTTATAAAGGTGCAAAGTGAGCAATGCGGTATTATTTGAATTCTTTGGAATTTAATCTCATTTTCTCATAGAAGATGTAATGCTGCAACCTGCAGTTCCAGATTCGCATCATCTGCAGGCAGCTGATCAATCAGATAATCCACATCCCTGGCGGATCGGGTAATTAATGTCGCGAACAAAGCTGGGAAATCTACAAAGTGAAAAATTCAAGGATACAAAATCATAAGTCAACCTTCTGACCAGGAAAATTCCGCCTATAAAGTAATCGCATATTCAAAGTTTTTCTGCTTCAGACTGCTCTAAAAATGTTGACATCGCATCAACAGAAAATAACCGTTAATGATTACCTTCAGGTGGTATTTCTCCAGTTTCGGTTTTGGCGTACGGGGAGAGCAGTTTGTCGAATCCCGGCAGCGATGAAGGGGGTGCAGTCTGCTGGAGAATTCCAATTGCATTACACATCTGCTCCGCCAACTAATAAAATGATGAAAACAATTAACAAGTGTCAGCAAGAACTCCGAAACATCGTACTCACCACGACAAATAGAGTGCGAAATGTTTTTAAACGAAATATTTTTTGTTCAACAACAGTCTAATCTGTTAACAGAGCGAACTGTTTAGCTGAAAGCCTAAAACGATGACTTTCTGCGTCAAGTTTGGATTCTTTCAAAAAGAGCTAAACGGTTTAAAAAAAACAAAAACCTTATCAGGTATCTCGAAAAAAACTTTTGTAATACAATGCGCAATCGTGCATCTAGATTAGCTGTATTTAACGGCCATAGATCCAAAAAATTTCGTTCTATGAACGGATTGGCATACCTGGTTAATATGGTCCTGAAGCTGGGTAATTCTGTCACACATTTTAACGCGCGTTGATTGTGAGGAAAGGACTTCAACGAAGGGCTTTTTGTAACATCAAACGATTCAGAAACCGAAGCAAAAACGATGATAGTCACAAAATGTCACAATGAAATACAAGAGAAGCGACTGCTGGATGCAGTACGAGTATCAAACCGAGGAAACAGTCACGAAGAAATGGATTTTTAGCGGATTTCAACACATCATCATGTTCCTACACTCTAGAGATATTATATGTGTAATAAGGTTTATTAAGTGCTACCAGAGACTTACAACAATTAATGTCAATAACATTACTTACTTTTAATTATAGATACTATCAGGGGCTCCACGAGACCCCTGACGACCTGGGGACATTTTTTTAAAGTAAATCTGACCTCGGGATAATTTTCAGCGCATTTTTCTGATATAGAAACCATTTTTGAAAATTTGTTTCGGAAGAAAAAATTTCTGACTGCCGGTGCCCCATGCGCCCCTCAAATACCTCGGGCGGTTGGAATGGCGCCACGAAAAACTTTTCTATTTTGGGGTTTCGAACACTTTTCTAGGTAAATCGATATCGCTGATTCTGAATATATTATCAGACAGATATTTCAGCTCGAAAAAAAATAATTTTTTTCGATAAAAACAACATTTTGCAAAATCTTTCCAAAAATTTTAAAACTTAGAATACTTCCTTCCTATAACAAACACAATTTTTCTGACAACATATTCAGAATCAGCGATATCGATTTACCTAGGAAAAGTGTTCGAAACCCCAAAATAAAAATTTTTTTCGTGGCGTCATTGCAACCGCCCATGGTATTTGCGGCACCGGCAGTCAGAAATTTTTTCTTCCGAAAAAAATTTTGAAAAATGGTTTCTATATCAGAAAAATGCGCTGAAAATTATCCCGAGGTCAGATTTACTCTAAAAAAATGTCCCGAGGTCGTCAGGGGTCTCGTGGAGCCTCTGGATACTATCATACTATGTATGTAGTACTATGTACAATGTAACCACAGAGAAAATTAATTTGGGAAACGCTCCTCCACACAAATTTTTCAATTTTTCTGTTTAATAACGTGCAATGACATCAGATTTGACTGACCACAGCGGGCGGTTGATACTCACACTACTTATGGTTAGTGCATTTAAAATCAGATACTGTATGGTATGTGTGGTGTTTGTTAAATTTAACGTACCCAACCCCGAAACAACTTTCTTGTAGTTATAAAGATTTAAAGTTTTATTTAACTCAAAATATAAAGGTATGCTATTATTTTTCAAATACGCATAAAGGTGGGCTGCGCAGACTCGTGAATTTCTTTGCAACATTTGCAATCAGTTCAATTTTCGAAAGAACCAGAAAAATCGATAACCGGTCACCAGCCGGTGAAAAGCCCGGGCTGGCTGGTTAGCACAGTATTGGCAGCCTATATCATTGGTAAGAAAATGTTTTCCGTAAGCGAGACAGTCGAGCAGTTTTGCATTCGTACGTGGTTTGATTGCATCTTTTGACTAGAACTCATAGCTTTTCGTTTATGATCTGTGCTGATGTCACCTCACAGGCTCACAGTATTATTTGGATTCTCATATCGATTATGTGTGTTTCTCTACAATTATGGAATTGAAGAAAAAACATGGCGCCGTTGATTACGATTCCGGAACCAGCGCGCGGTGTAAAGTGTGTGGTGGCCGATCAACTGGAGTTCACTACGGCGTGATCAGCTGTGAAGGGTGCAAGGTAAGAAATGCGCAGCGTCGTCCATGAATGGAAGGAAGCTACTGTAGTTACCGTACGTTGCTTTTCTGTCTTTAGCAAATTTGTGTTACCTAAACTGAGTAATGCTTTTACGGTTTTGTTATCCGGAATATAAAGTTATTACCGTTTGTGCTTTGTAACATTTACTTGAGTTACATTATTGCAGGCTACAGAACGCAGCTAACGTACTTTAATATCAGTATGCAGTGTGGACCTGTGTGGTTCTGAATTTTCTTATAATACGACGCAACGTCTCACGTTTCGTTACAGTTTTGAGTTTGAATTATTTTCATTTATAGGCTTTTAGGCAGTTTTAGCACTTGTTGACTGTTAAGTAATATGTATGGAAAATGCAGTACCGTATTAAATAAACCGGTTACCTATTTTTCAGATTTTAGTGCGTACCATTAGGTATTTGTGATTTGTGTCAGATTCAGTAATGACGTGGTGGCTCATACCTTGTAGCCTGTGGCTGTTCAACAAGGATTTTGGACAGAGCTTGAGAATGTGTTTTAGATAAACGCGAAAGCCGTAAGTAGATAAACATTGTTTCACCTTTTTTAGTCTCTTTGCTGGAAGAAAGGACCCTTTTATTTTGTTGACAACACCTTTGAGTGCGAGTTTATTTAATACGCAGTTAGTTTGTTTTTGAATTTTCTCACTTTCAAGGACGGATACAGAGTGATTACTGACCGATACCCTACGTAACGAATAAGGACGTCGTCAGAAATATATGCTGTTGTAATTGAAATTACAGAATATGCGTATTATATTTTATTGTAGCGATTGCGTTGTTACTACTCTAGCGATAACAGTAATACGGGATGCGTAAACCAAAAATCGCCATTTGCATGGTATAAACGTACGCTCTACGGGCTAAAAGTTTTGAGCCTAAACTACTTGTGTTGATTTATGGAAAAAATTATAAAATTAACAACAAAGTTTAATTCAAGTTAAAATTACAAGATTGCATAGTAATTATTAAATTCTATGTAAGCCTGTAAGTACAATACCAGTACTGACCACGGAAGCACGTAAAACTGTAAAATTGTAAAATATTGTAATTTTATTGTAATGTAATTGGATTCTAATTGTGTACCGTACTCTTGATATCCTACTGTACAATACAGTAGTAGGCACTACGCAGTTTATTAACGATAAAACAGGTGTACAGACGGTGTACTTGTACTTGAATAGTACTCGTTTTCGTATTTCATAATTATGAGAACTACAATTCTGCACTCTGGTGTTATGCTTATTGCATCGGTACTAATATCTGCGATATTTTAAATGCTGCATTGTATGTATGAAATTCTAGACTTGTTAAATTTGGGTAAAGACTGGAAATGCGATTTTCGTAGGCATTCTACAAAAGAGGGATTATAAATGGAATTAAGTACAAGTGTTACTTTGGATCAACATGTCCCGTCACTGCCGGAACAAGAGGCCGCAGGTGGTTACTACAGAAATCTCTGTAATTTTCTTTCGTCTCTCGAGTATCAAATTTAAATTTTATGCTGCGATACAAAGCTGCCGAAGAACTCCTTCACTCCATAATGTTTATGAAAATTTGTGATTTTTGAAGATTTTTTGCGAGGTGAAATAATACCCTACGTAGTCCTTGCTGATTATGTTGCGAGATGGGAGCATGGCATTTCAGCGATATGTCTTAAAAAGAAAAATTTCTTCGCTGTCAGGGAATTTTTATTACTTGGTAAATATGCGGTAGGAGCAGTAAAATGATTTGAAGTTTTAAACATATTGTCGTGTAGTCTTACATTCCCATTCTTCCTTTATTCTCGTTATTTGAACTTGTTGGTTTTGATGATTCGGTACATATTTTTTAGATGCAAAGCCTGCCGTTTTCGACGCTGCCAGGAAGAAGGAATGGATGTTAGAGGTAAGATGCAAAGAATTCACATAGATCTAAGCAAGTAAAGAAGCATCATATTTAGGTGCATAATTTTAAGAGTTTTGTGTTTTGTAATTAGCGGTAAAAGGCAGCCGATCATGGCGCTCAAAGGACGAGAAGTCCGAGACTTCTCCCGCTATGGCAGACGACAATAATCCCGACAAAGACTATGCTCCTGATCAAGACGACTCGATGTCATGGAGTACTGGTAAGATTCATGGGCTGACCACTGAGAGTTTTTTGTGGATTTATTATGCACTGCGAGAGCAGTCAGTTAGCAGCCACAGTTCCTGTAAAGCGTTGGTTGTGTCAAACGGCGAGTACGTTATTAGGCTGTTTGTGAGTGGTTAGCTTGGAAAGGACGTAGATATTTTCACATTGCGGCGATTTCTGATAACGTCTGCAAGTCAATTGCTTGGTCCAGACTCCAGAACGATGCACGCAAAGCCTTCGATAATTACGAATGTTTACGCTAAAGTGGGAGGAAAATTCTAGCATATAATGGGGATGCTTTCAGGTTTTTCGCTTTATTGGCGAAAGTATGAAGCCTGATGTGTAGTCAGTGTAGATGCTATGCTGATAATGAGTTGTCGCTTGACGTCAGTGGTATATCCTTTGCAACATTTCTGGGAAATTATCTAGTGCGTTTTCTAGTTAGTGGTTGCTTTGCAGATTCGGACACCTACGCCAGGGGCAATCTTACATCGGTGTTTCGATTAGGAAGCTTTTCCGGAAGCTGTGTTGTGCCACTGTCACGTCCGAAACCTGAATCTCAAGATTACAGTAGCGCTTTAGCGCTTCGACAGCAGTCTGAAAGTTATCCACGCGTTAAAGGTGGATAATGTAACAGAAAATGAAGCCTTTTATCGAGTTCCAAAGTCTTTGAATGTTTGTAAAGGACCTGGACCTGTCAGTACATTCTTGCTGACAAAAGTAGCTACTTAATTTAATTTACTGCGTATTTAGCAGTTCGAAAATTTAAATAACTTCGTTTACATAGATGAAAATTTTAAATAGTAGTAGTCATCTGATAAGATAAGCTGACAATACAAAAAGCAGCAGTTACTAGGAGTAGGTACTTAATTTGTTTTCAAAAGGGCAAGTGGATACTGAATTCTGTGCATAAAGATGATTCTACTGGTAGCAGGTAATTATTGGTTCTGAATATTTCTGACCGCATTTCCTTTTTTAGTGATCATGACACCTCTGAAGGAATTTTCCTCAGAGCCGGGCCGCACATCCTTTTCGACCAGAAGTTTTGACGGGTCGGCAGATAGTGGGTCATCTGTTGACAGTGGTGGGGCTCATAGGTCAACCGAGCTTGTACCAGTTAATCCACGAGCATCATTCGGTTTACTTGACAAGGATAGCGAAGATTTCCCAGCCATTACAGTGAATTTATTTTCGAGCTGGATGTTGTCCGGATTGTTTCCAGTTGTGTCCCCCGATTGGCTGGAAACTTCGGACCGTTCCACTATGCCGAAATTTCTGGGTAATTACGTCCGAGCCATGTTTAACCGGAACCTTTTTCTTGTGGAAACGATAAATAAGGTGCAGCACGCCATCGACTGTGTTATCTCAAAACTGGCGAATAAGTTCGAAAGTTACCAGAGCCATCCATCATTCTTGCAAAAAGATGCGGTGAGCCAGCGTTGGGTTTTTATTTGGTCGATTCAGTCAGTTCGACGTTTTGATTTTTTTGCAGTCATTAGAGACCGAAAGACGCGTGTTACGGGCTTTACAACATGATATAGGCAATAATTCGCTATGTTTTAAACTATTTCTACAAACCCTTCCGGGATTCGCTGAACTGGATCCGCAGTTGCTGCAGAAGTTAATCCCACAACGATATCTTAATTTTTGGGTTGTAAGTAAGAAAATTCCTTCTGTTTGCTTGTTTGGTACATGCAGCTTTTGTAAAAGCTTTTGTTGTGTGTTTTAGTTTTTCCATTCATCGTTTTATTACAACAATGCAGATCGTGAAGTATACATACTGGCTGATATTGAACTGGATCAACGAGCTTACCTTGTTGACAAAGTCTGTGAGAAAGAATATGCGGATTACGTGTACAGATGTGTACTCGACATTCGACAGTTACAACTGGATGATGTTATGCGATATCTTCTGCTGGTTGTATCCATTCTTCATCCGAGTGCGTAGGCTTTAGTTTTGTGTGGCCAAATATACATTTGTTTATATTTTTTTACGATTAGTTACGGTAATTTACGTGTACAGAGAGTGCATAATTCCTTTTGTTTCAGTTGATCCTCGATTTCCGGCGGACGACAGAGCCGCTTTGGAAGCTCTGCATGCTCATTACCTAGACGCACTAATGCATTATGTTTCTGGTCTTTCGCAAGGAAGACAAATGGTTACTGCCCTCCAGCAGTTTTTCACCCGTATTCCCACGATGAATCAGGTCTCTGAGCTGTATGTTACACAGCTTGATTTTGGTTCTTTGCCGCTCTGCATGGCCAGTGGACAAACATTCACGGAACTGTTTAACAGTATACTACGGAAGAGGGATCAGAGCGCGCTAGTTAATAGGTTTCATGCCGACAGACAAGTATACTGAATTGCAATTACTACCAGTATTTTTCGTTGTTTGTGGAACGGACATTTGTGGAATTACATGTTTATATTTCTGAATAGAGAGTTTACTCAGAACAGAATTGCATACTGTATCCTCGTTTTATAGGGTGAAATTTGATCTGTGTTTTATTAAAAGACTTTGTGCTCGGCAGATATAGAAATGTCATGGAAATCGTTATCACCTAACAGTAAAGTCTGAAATAAATGTATTTCAGAAAATGTGGCCTTTGAAATTCTAGTGCACTCTGGCCGGTTAGTTATAATTTATAGAATCATTATTGCCTGTTCGGTTGGTGTGCGATACGTCAATTTCATGAACAATGACGTTTCTTCCAGTTCTCGGTCAGCGGCTTGCAAATACGGTATTTATATCGTATGAGCAGATCTGAGATCTTGTTTGAATCCAGCGGATTCTACTACCGAGTAGTATGGTAGCGATTATGAGTGGATGGAAAAGAAAATAAGTAGTAGAATTACATTTTTAAATTTACTTAAAGTGATAGGAATAGGGAAAATACGGCAAAACCACACAACTGGTAATACTACGGTGGCTACTACCCTGTAGTCTCTGTGGTAAAACCGTAAAAGGACGTATGTATTAATTCTATTCGATATTTTATAATCTATCCACCCAGAAATTCAGCGAAATTTTGAAAGCAGGATTCAAGCAGCCAGGTATCGTAGATCGAGATTTTCATTCCAAACCATCTGGAATGACGTACGAGATCTGTCGATCCTTAATCGAAATCATACGATTGCACAAAATCGGCTATCAAATTATCGATTGTCGGCGGTTCTTCGAAGGTACCGGCACACCAAAGTATGTATCTGTACAAGTAAAATACACTAGTATAGAAGGTCGTAACCGCCCTTAGTGCAAGCGAGCGAGCGTGTAAGACTTTTTTGTGCAAAAACTTCTTTGAATAAAACACCAACAACAGTAAACATGCGGGGGTCTGTCTTACTGTTCCCAGCTGCATCATATGCTGGGACATATCGGTAAGCTTTTACGTCAGACGTCCTATACTATGTCGGTCCTGGCACCGACTGTCAGGATAAGACGACCGTATTTGTTTGTACATCCTTTTATTGGGTATAAATAGGGTATAGAAGGGTACATCCTTTTATTGGGTAATGAAGTCTGCTGTAAATTTGTAATAAGAACCCACAGCAAAACCCGATAAATGATCTCATACAATTCTGGCAACCCGCAAACTTGTCTGTTTGTTATAGACAAAAAGCGATTATTAAACAGATGTCTGTCTGTGCAGAAGTAGCGTTAACTATTTTTCAAATTAAACATGTTCAGGCTACCGGGTCACACCGGGTCATAGCCGGCTTAGTGAGGTCAGCCCACTGATACGACATCGACGTCCACGGACACGACCAACAGTACTGACAGGTAACTTAGCGGCGACGGGACTTATAACATTGAGATTTTGTTTCTGAGTGCGGTCGGCCGAATGGAATGTTTTGGAGAATAGCAAAGCCGGTTTTTGCACGCAGGAAAGAGTAGGCAGTCGAGAGCGGGTTGGCAGTCTGACATAACGCGCTTAGCTCCAAAGGGGTAGTGGGCAGTCGGAGCACAGAGAAAAATCGTTAAGCACAGCTGGCTTAGCGCAAACCGGCCTTAGGATAGCAGCCAGAAGCATCATGGTCACAGGGAGTGCTGACCGGCATGTTTTAGGATTTTGAGCCAGCTCTTCAACTTGACGGCCGCAACCAGCCAATAAACAGTGCTACACCTGGCGCGTAAGGGATGGTCCCGAAAGAGCAAAAAGAGTCGCGAAGCGAAAAAATGAAACGAGAATAAAACATATCCTTATTTCAAATACAATATAGAAGAAACACTATTCCACTCAGTGGGATGCATTTCTGCTGAGACTGCAAGAGATAAGGAGAGTAGTTGGCCTTCACTTCGCGGAAAGCAGGCTTAAAGCTAAATGTAAATGTATGATTCAAGTAACAAAAAGTGGTAAATCAAGTAACAGCGAAAAAACAAGGGTAAGTGGTGGCGGAAAATGATATAGTAATTATGGTAATAACCGATAAGGTACTACTTACGACGGAAAACGATAAAGTAACTGGCAGTTAAACAACGAATAAATGAATGCAAAGCCAACTTTTCCAAAACCCATTCGAGTCCATGATTTTGGGATGTCAGAGCCACTGCAGTTAAACAACAGTGGCTCTTGATTTTCTTGCGCATACTGGCATGCGGAAGATTTGAAACAACGAAATTCGGTTCCGGTGATGAATAAAAGCAGGAGCAGATACGCGAGAATTTGTTTGAAAATGGCGGTTTGCATTTGACAAAGCATATAGTGAATATTTGACACTCAATTTTTTGCGCTTAGCGGCGGGGCTATCTGGCTGCGGTGATCTTTTCGTGCCCTATTCGGTGGCACAGTGGCTTCGCAACCCGTAATCAATCGCCGATAGTGTCGGTTACCCACCCTTAGCCAGCAGGCTGTAGACTTAGGTAACTATCCTGGTTAGCATACCAAGGGTCTCCCGGGTAGGCCTTTTTCTTTTCAACCTTGTCCGTGGGAATGGGAACGACGACTTGCCGTCACTTCAGGTAACGGATGCTTTGAACGATATCCGTATCGCAGTGCCAAATCTGGCATTCTACCGTTAAGCAAGGATAGTCGGAGCCGTCCAAGGGGTTGCATTTATTCCTTTCCTCATTCCGGCTGTTGAACCGTAATTTCCGCGCATAAGGGCTCGTCATTGGTGGCAAATTTTTAGGGCCCTCGTTTTCATGAGATGCCTCTTTGCCACATGTTCTGCACGATGCTGGTATCTTGTTTTCCAGATGGGTGCGGGTATTCCATGGACCGGCAGGTAGGCCTGTTTAAATCTAAGCGCGGAATTTCAAAGCCATGTGGTACAGGGATCCCATACTCCATAAACTCCATGTGGAGGACTCTTGCCTGTCTTCCCGCCTGATGGCTTCTTCCTTTTAGGGTGTTGGGGAGCAGAGATAGCCGTGTGATCTGCTTCAATTTCTTTTTTCTCCATTGCCTCTGGGGTTTTGGTATCGGATAGGCTGGGGCACCCCATAGGTGCAGCTGGTACGGTTTGCGGCCATTCTTTCTGTTTTCGGTTTTGTCTGTGTGGAGGTTTCAGCTCCATGTAAATTATTGCGGTTGTTGGCGTCGGCCATTTGTAGATCTCATGTGTCAATGCTCAGACGATTTTTGTCTACTCCGGTCGAGTTTAGGAAAACAACTTCTCGAATCACTGATCTACCAGTTATTAAAGGCATTTGTCTGCAGTTATTTGTAGCTGGTCTGCTTCAACTCGAATCTTCATGCGGGACTTGAGAGCCGTCTCTCAATGTCGTATCACAGTTACCCAGGTTTTGCACTTTACGACGGGCGGCTTTTTGCTGCTGTGAGCTGCGACCACGTTTTCTTGAGTGAGATACTTATGTTGTACAGCTCCAGCAACCACCATAGGCCTTTCAACGGAGTGTAGCTTTTGCTAGAGTTTAGTTCTGGCTCGAGGAACCTGGCAGGAATCTGCATCCTGCGGCTCGATACTAAAACGATACGGGTATTCCAAAAATTGTTGACGAATCGCTCTAAGTTTTGTCTGGTCGAATCTTTAGATACTCACTGACGCGAATTTACTGGTGGTTCAGTGGTGCCTCAATATCTTTAAGTTGGTTAACCGATCCTGCCGAAAAGCGGTGAAAGCAAGCTCAAATGGCCGGTAAAAGATCTGTTAAAATGACCAAAAAAATTTTACGAAGGGCTTGTCAAGGCTGGACCCAGATTAAGGATCGACTGCCGATCCACACTTCAATTCTGCAGAACAATTTGGTATGATGCCATTCTGGCGACTCGGCGGTAAGGACGGAGTCGATTTCGCTCAGCAACTCCAGATAAACTTAATCGGAGTCAATTGAACGATTGACTTTGCAATCGCTTGATTCTACGTTGCATAATTTGGACGTTGCATTATTGGATACTACGTTGCAATATTTACCTTTAATCTTTAGTGACGGTATACTGTGATTGTGATAAATGGCTTTAAGTAAGTTTCATATCGGCAGCCACAAATTTGTTTGAAGCCCGCCTCCAAAGGCGCAATAAATCGGAAACCTGCTTGAACTGTTGCAACTGTCGAGCTGCGGGTTCTAGTGGTGGTCAACCACCGATCAAGATTAAACCGCCAATTCAGGTTCTTGTATACCTTGTTATAGCGACATCGGGTTTGCTTGTGAACGTGATGCGTTTGGTCACATTCTTGTTGCAGCTGGCAACGATTCGGACGTCGCCAGATGCATCAAAAATGTTGCACCTGTCTTTCATTTGAATAACAGAACAAATAAAAATTGCTTTATTTCCTGGTCCGTGTCACGCAAGTACTATCAGTTTTTTCGGAGTCTCGACCCATCAGTGAGTAGCAGTCTCGAGATGGCGACGGCACAGCCGTAGAAGTTTCAGCAGCAGGTAGATTGGCCTCGATTGGGCCGGCTGGATTCTAAAATACAGCCGAGGTTTATGCCTGCTTGGTCTTTCTGCATTTTGGGAACCAAGCAAGTGCCTACTGAAAGCTTGCCGGAAAAAAACATTTTAAAAGTTGAACCTTCTCCCTTTTACAATTCTCAACGCCGTTTTGATATATCAAAAGTTCTTCAGTTTTGTTAAACGTTGTTCCCGTGATTTATTTTTCCGTCGTGAAACTAAGTTCCGGACCGAAAACGAACTTTCCGGGCAGGTCCAAATTTACGCCCCCCATACAATAGAACGGTGGCTTCGTCTATATTGACCAGGTGGTTCTAAGCGTGACGGTTAACGGCTCACCCAACACACCACCTAAACCCGTCAAAATTCTTGACTGGGTCAAAATACGGTTTCACTCTACATAAGTACGGCGGGTTCGCTTATAATGCCCAAATGGTTTTCCGTGTGACGGTTCTTCCAAGACACGGCACCTAGACCGGTCAAATTTCCGGACCGGTCCAATTTACGCCCCCGCCATACATTAGTACGGCGGTTCGTCAATAATGCCCGGTGGTTCTCTGCGTGACGGTTTTCCAAAACACGCCACCTGGACCAGTCAAAGTTTCCGGACCAGGTCAAAATTTACGGCCCCTCCATACTTTAGTACGGCGGGTTCGTCAATAATGCCCGGGTTCTCCGTGACGGTTCTTCTAAAATACGCCACCTGGGCCGGTCAAAATTTCCGGACCGGGTCAAGAGGCTACGGCCCTCCATACTAGTACGGCGGGTTCGTCAAAAATGCCCGGGTGGTTCTCCGTGTGACGGTTCTTCCAAAACACTCCACCTGGGCCGGTAAGTACTGATAAATTTTGTAGTACCTTCTCAATTGTTTCAGCGAAGAAGATTATGTGGATTTTGTAGTGGAGATCTCCGTCCGCCTTCGAGCTTTGCAATTGAATATTATTGAAAAATTCCTTTTATTTGTCGTTCTGCTGTTTGACCCTGGTAAGGCCATTGAAAACTTTCATTGCGTAAACTGGTAGTTAATTTGCATCCACTGGACCATCGTAGAAACGGCTTCGGTAGAGGATAAAACATTCTTGGCGATTATTCACAAGCACTATATGGATGTGTTGATGTACATCACTGCTCACCGTATCGGAGACAAGAACATAATGTCCAAGATCGAGCAATTGTGGCCGGCGTTAAGGCTGTTTCAAGAAGTTATCAAACGTTATATACTAAAGGTGGATTCCAGTGAAATGCCGATGAAATTGAAGAATGGGAAACGATTTTGTGATACGATGCCATCAGGGGAGCAGCTACGCGAATGGTGTGATCTCGAATTAAGAAGCCCGTTATCAACTTGATTACTGGATATAATTCTTTTTGTATAATTTTATGGTTTTACAATTTTATCAATCTTGAAGCTCTGAGGAGGATGAGTATTAAAATAGATTTAATTAGCTTATTTTAGTGCGATAACAACACGGATGCTTTGCAGTTTGACTTTGCGCTTCTACTGGACTGTACGAAGCTGAAAGCACGCACAGTACTGTACTTAAAAAGTAATTTCAAATTTGGATTTTGGAGACCGTTCCCAGGCCAAAAATTTCGCTGATTTCGAATCTTTCTTTGGCTTTCATCTAAATCCGTTGTACAATAGTCTCAATCCGTTGTACAATAGTCTTTACGAATTACAGTTATTATTATCTGGCCTCTGACTTTAGGAAATAAGTAAGGAAGTAACGGGTAGTGCTTGTACTCCTAACTCATTCATTTATAAGTATTACAGACAGAATTACAGTACTGTATTATTTAGAAATAGCAGTAATTGCAGTATTAATTTTGCAAAATTCTGCGTGCATAAAATTCATATGAAATACGACGGTTCTGATAGCTAGCTAGAGAGTAGAATACAATCTACGGCTTACAATCAGTATGTGCGTCGCCGCCGCCATGCCGCTACCGGTCTTTAAGACTCTAAAATTAATGACGTACAAAATTAATAAAATCACACAAGGGGGAATTAAGTACAATAGTGTTTCTACTGTACATCCCAACACGGAAATACCCACATCCTTTTGAGTTGTCGGTATCCCGCACAGTAGTGAATAATTTTGCCACACGGAATTGTGGTTGAATTAATACGTTCACAAGCATACGACTACGAGTGATACGACTATGGAAGGTGCGCCTGGTGCGGTAATAAAGTAAGTACAGTAAATTAAATATGAGAGACAGCTACCTAGAAAGTGGAAAGTAGAAACCGGGTGCCGCTATCTCGCTTACGAGTACACGTCATTACTATCTAGTTTTCCACCAATCGTAAGCGGTGGTGTGTCCGTCTGGGTTTTGTACGGAAAGCAATAATTTTGGACCATTTTTGGTGTTCTATACCGTAGAATATAGATTACAGTAAATGTGAACGGTTTTTACATACAAAAAAGACAACATATTTATACGATTAATTAGTTAAAGCATGGCATCAACCCTTAGCTTTTGAAGCTGAGAGGCGAATCGCATCGGTTCTTTACTTTGTGGCTTGTGCAACGTGAGCTGACGAGGTGAAATGCCAAGAACTACGAGGCGCAACATCGCGAATATCTAGTATTTATATTATTCTACTGTATATACTATATACAATATGAATTTATATCTGCAGAATAGTAAATACCTATATTTTCTGCATAATGTAGTAAATGAAATACGTACTGTCGATTTTGGACGGTGCCTCTGAAGTATCAAGCGAGTGAGAGGAAACTGTCAACAATCGAAAATGACACCAAAATTTTGAATTGGACATCAAACTGGTTTGGATTTAGACGGTTTTAAAGGTATTTTCCAAAGATATGGATAGCTGTGCAGCCAGTTTAAGTAACAGTATAATATTCTGAGCTCGTAGCAGACTGGGTGTCTGGGACTCTGGGTAGTTTTTTTTTGTTATTTTTACTACCTAATCACTAATGCAACAGAATAATATTGCAGAATGCTCGTAGTACAGAGTATTTTTGTAGCAAGAATTACGGTTCAATTACCTGATAGAGTTCTGTGTTTGGAAGATTGTTTTTCTTTATGAGTATTCATTTTAAGTTTTGGATTCGTAGTGGATTGCACTGTTAGTGCAGTGTAACAGCTAACGTTTCCTGGCAAAAAGTCTTGAGCAGCTTGTGAATTATGGTAACTTTTATCGAAATGACACTTATAAATGTACAGTACAGTAATATTCGATATTGACGCGTTGTTATCTTTCATGAAGTTTAATATATCCGAAAGAAGATTTTGATCTTGCGAACGGTTTTACATACAAAAAGACAACATATTTATACGATTAATTAGTTAAAGCATGGCATCAACCCTTAGCTTTTGAAGCTGAGAGGCGAATCGCATCGGTTCTTTACTTTGTGGCTTGTGCAACGTGAGCTGACGAGGTGAAATGCCAAGAACTACGAGGCGCAACATCGCGAATATCTAGTATTTATATTATTCTACTGTATATACTATATACAATATGAATTTATATCTGCAGAATAGTAAATACCTATATTTTCTGCATAATGTAGTAAATGAAATACGTACTGTCGATTTTGGACGGTGCCTCTGAAGTATCAAGCGAGTGAGAGGAAACTGTCAACAATCGAAAATGACACCAAAATTTTGAATTGGACATCAAACTGGTTTGGATTTAGACGGTTTTAAAGGTATTTTCCAAAGATATGGATAGCTGTGCAGCCAGTTTAAGTAACAGTATAATATTCTGAGCTCGTAGCAGACTGGGTGTCTGGGACTCTGGGTAGTTTTTTTTTGTTATTTTTACTACCTAATCACTAATGCAACAGAATAATATTGCAGAATGCTCGTAGTACAGAGTATTTTTGTAGCAAGAATTACGGTTCAATTACCTGATAGAGTTCTGTGTTTGGAAGATTGTTTTTCTTTATGAGTATTCATTTTAAGTTTTGGATTCGTAGTGGATTGCACTGTTAGTGCAGTGTAACAGCTAACGTTTCCTGGCAAAAAGTCTTGAGCAGCTTGTGAATTATGGTAACTTTTATCGAAATGACACTTATAAATGTACAGTACAGTAATATTCGATATTGACGCGTTGTTATCTTTCATGAAGTTTAATATATCCGAAAGAAGATTTTGATCTTGCGATGTTCGTTACAATTTTGTGAAGCTTACCGTAAGTCTAGTCTGCAAGGAGTGCAGTTTGTAATCAGTGTAATGATAATTAATGTGATGAACCTTATTAATTCTTGACAGAAATACTAAGTGCTTTAGCAGTGTAAGAAAATAATAACATATGGCTCCAAATTATATTTTATATTAAATTATATTATTATATTAATCTGTTTTATTTTTTCTGCTGCCCTTAGGATTTCATTACCCGTATCCTGTGTAGGCGTCGCAGAGCTTGCAAAAACGAAATGAGCCCATACCCGAAAAAGGTGTCCGCTTATAAATCCGATCTCATTGCCCACAGTCAGATCGCCAGTGGACACGAGCCGGACGAACGGCCACGCGAATCGGCAGTTTCGCCTGATCGCTTGCAGAATACTGGTAAGTTACTGTGAGCTGGACGAGTTCATACTACATACTGAAAATATCAAAAACGTAATCAGACATTGCCCGCTTTCACCTTGATCAGCAGTGTTATTGCCACTGAAAGTACGTAGATTCGAGGGTCGTTTTTAAACGATACAGATTTGTAATCGCAAATTAAATTTCTGAGCTGTGCTGAAGGCATTTGTTGCAGTTTTGAGATTTGCTCCCTCCCAAGGATCTTCCTTCTGCTCGGGCTCCGGAAGTAGTGTATCTTCTGTTATCATTGGAAACCGTAATAGTAAGTTGGTCGTAATAATAATATGGTTACGAATTACGATTAATCAGTCACAGTTTTTACCTTTTTTTACCCTTGCGGTCGACAGTCGTACGATAGTATAAGTTGTATAACGGTACTAAAATATCGGATTATCCGCGGTCCTGTCTGCTTGTATTTGACCGGTCAAAATTTGCAGGGAAATCAGTTATTTGTTCAAGTATTTCTCCAGTCAGGCGCAATAGCTCGCACATTTGTGAGTCAGACACAAATTCGGAGGAGGATGGCGAGGGCTTACCTGTGCATAAAGTTCTACGTCGTTCAGGTAATTTCTGGTATTCGGGATTTATCATTGATCTTTATAGAAGAGCGTTTATATTGTTTTTCAGACTCGACTGAACTGCCACACAGAACGGAATATGATGCCAGACGGGCACCTCTGGAGCAGCACTCGCAAAAGTCTGCTACGATTGATCTCCCTCCCTTTTTAAGCGCGTACTGGGATCTTACAAACCGACGAAAGAGCGCACTAGAAGGCGCTGTAAAAGCTGTGACAGCAGCAGTGGATGCAGCTTACGGCGATGAAATCGAGCTGTGGTCAAAATTCATGGTATCTGCCATAGAAGACGGCCAGGTTCCGGTAAGGTTCTACTTACAATTAAGAATCTTACAAAATCTTTCCCCGCACGGCTTTATGCTATTTTTTTCGAAAGAAATTTTACGGTTATAAAAAAGGAAATAGCAGTGTATACCGGATCACTTGCATTTCTTCACGAATGCATGTATTTCCGATTCGAAGAAATTTTTTACCGCGATATGGCCGGTACAGTAAGTGCAGGATTGCACGGATGATGCTGTTGATGCTGTTTATTTTCAGCTCCAACCACAGGCCACGCCTGAGCGAATGCTGGAGATTGCGGCGGAGTGTGTTCGACATGGCATGGTCCGTTTAGCGACTTTTGCATCCATGCTTCCTGGATTTGGCGATTTTAGCGTGGAAGATAAAAAGATTCTTGTATCCGAAAAATACCTCATTCATTGGCTGGTAAATTAATATGATTTGCATTTGCGCTACGAGTAGTACTAGGTAGTCCTTTTGTGAACATTAGTTAGCCCCACTTGAAATAAGTACACACAATCATTTGGGTTATATGCATTCTGTAAATAGGTTCACCATTCCCGGTTTATATATAAAGGAGAGTTTTATTATTTGGTGGGGCCTGAAAATGTCCACAGCAGTCGGTACTGGCTCATCTCCGTTGGCCAGTTGGAACAGGATTACGTGGAATATGTTATCAGCTTTGCGGCATCCTTAAACAGCCTTGGATTGACGCTCGTAGAAACGTACCTGATATTGGCTGTGGCGCTGTTTCGGCCAGGCAAGTGCACTGGTAGTTTATGCTCGCAGTATTTTCAGAATTAGCCAGAAAGAGCATAAGTAAATTGAGTTGGATAATTTTCAAGTATTGGGTTTGGTTACATATTTAAGCAGACTGCTTACTTTCTGCTTCGTTTGTCGTAGTTTGTGAATGTGGGTTTTTGTAGACACATCCGGTGCTGCTAATAAGGATCTCTTGGAGCGAACTCACACTTATTATTTGGATACTTTATTTTTTCTATTTGGCGAAAGATTGAACAGTGTAGAGCGAGCATTGACTTTCCGAAAGCTGGACTCCCTAATGAGGCAGTTTCCTGTAGTGCAGAAACTATCTGTAGATTACGTTAGCACCCTGGACCTCACGCAGTTTCCCATACGGTCTTCATCGGTGACGTTTCGGGAAGTCGTCCTGGCAGCCCGCCGTCATCTTCGGTAGAGCACGGAAAACAACAGGCGTGTTTCTGCAGATTTCTTGCTCTTTCGCTAGGGTCACATCCAACACGCACAAACGTCTTTTACCGGATTTTGGTTCGTGCAGATCTTGTGACTGCTCACATCACTATGAAACTCGTGTTGTTACAGCTGTGCTAACAATTCGTTTAAATATTTCTGTATAAAATTAAAGTGTTATTTCTGTGTTTTTAAATGTTACTAGTGTAGTGGTGTCCATGAACTACGTACATCCGGTTCCGTTTTGTTTTACAGTATTTGAAATTTTCACGAGTATGAATTTATTTTGTGGATGGGCGCTAGATACAGGGGTGCCGCGCCAAGTTCGGACAGCTTCTCTTAAAAATCACTATGGGTCACCCACCAACAAATTACTAGTTATTTAATTTTTTTATTATTAGCATATGTGTTATGCACCTTTTTCACTATGGATCGCAAGGCCGAGGGCGTGGCTTGTTTTACAGCGAGATTTAAAATGAAGCAGACCTGAATAAAAATGCGGTTCGACCCAAGGACCGTCCATGTCTCCCTCCCGTTTAAAATTTCGTAAGAAATTCTACTCGTACTGAAGCTACAACCCAAAAAGGTTTACGCTGGGCTATTTGCCATTCAAAGCCCTTGCTAAATTCGTCTGACTCCATTCTATTTCAATGATGGCGGCGTGACCTCTGCAATATTACTGGAGGCACTGTCAGAATGGTGGACGGTGCCCTTTGAGAGCTCGCACAGGAATCAGAGTAGGTCGGATGTGTCAAGCATGCAACACAAACTTGTTGGCCAACCACTGAGCAACACTTTAAGCTCTTGTTATTGCTCAAAAGGCCCGCGACATCCCGCTTCAACACATTTTCGCACTAACGCAAAATTTATTTGGCCACTGCTTTGTCGGTTTTTTCTTCGATCGTTCTGTCAGCTCTATCTTACTGCATGCTTCGTAGATAACAAGTACTCGTAGAATACAAAAATCCTCTACTTTAATGCATGTCTTATTCTTCGAAAACATCATCTCGAAGTTATGTGTCTCTGCGCGCTAGGCAACCACATTCTTCCGGAAGCACTGTTTAACATACAAGTCTATGGGAGGTGCTCCTTCTGTCTGGGTCACCTCGAGCACCAATCACGAGAAAGTTTTTGCTGACCCGTACCACATACCTTTAAGGATACTCAACAGTTTAAAAAAATGTCCATAAAAAAATGTCACTTGAGGAATTTTCTGGTTATAATCCCTCTGGATATGACCCCTACCCCATCTTCCTCTTAACCGGTTGGCTGCTTATTACCCCATCTTGCATTTCAAATTTCAGCATATTCGGATCCGCAATAAAAAGTTGCACTAATATAGTGCAAAATAAAAAGTAAAACCAAGTACAGAAATATTTTTTAATTTAATTTGCGCAACTGTCCGAACTTGGCGCGGCACCCCTGTATATCCGGGTTTTTGATACCAGGAGAGCATGTGCATTGTGTAACGGTTGCGGGATGTAATTGTGTGTTAACGATGGAAAAGTAGAAACTGTAGAATTAAAGCTTTTGGCTTCTGGAAGATCAGCACTAGAAGATTGTTTGCGTTTGTATATTTTAATTTCCAACATTAAATGGCATGATAAAAAAACTTCGTTAACACGTAAAAACGGTTAGAAAGCTGATACAAATTACAAAGAGACGCGTAAATGGCTACAGTAGTAAATGCTGATCACTGAAGTCGACCTTTCCGATCGCTGCTCTCGAAGTCGGAAACGTTTACTGTTTATACGAGTATGATATAAAGTGGATAGTGGACATGCATCCCAGCATTGAAGTAATTTTCTTCCAAACCGATTTCCTTCCGGGCTTTCTGTACTCGCGATTAAGCAGAACGTATTCGTCGTTTGTGCATCGCGCTTTGAAAGTTTAAAAAATAGTGAGCCGATTCCTTGCAACTGTGTCCTAAAGGATAGAGGGACGAAAGCGCTGTGGCCGACCCCACACTTCCGGTAAGTAATTTGACACATGGACAGTGGACACTACTAAAAAAAACAGAGAGCGAAACGGAAAATCAGTTTGAAAGAAAAATGATGCAATGGTGAGCCATTTGCAATCGTTGCAGGTATGTCATCCACTACTTACCATAGTAAACCACGTTAACGTCATCATGAGTACAGCCTGTACAGGACAGGTGCCGTAATCACCATTCGGCATTCATCAGCATCTCAGGACGCCGACCGAATGTCGGTGGTACAGTGTGGACCACCCCAGTCACCTGAGTGCCCGCATCCGGCTGCAGCAATAGGTACGATTTTCGAAGGCTACAGCCGGCACGCCACGATGCAAACAAAGTCTGTTCTGAATTCACGTCAGATGCGACTGCTTATAAATACAGTACAATACATTTCGTACAGCTTTCAAAAAATCTCCTTAGGGACACAATCCGGGAAACTTGTGTCAGCGTGTTTGCAGTATTTTGCAGGTTTACAGTTATTTTAAAATATTATTATTTAATACGTTCACCATTCATACTGGCATGATATTGCTGCATAAGTAAAATTGCACTGTTTAATTTTAGTTCCGTGTTTAACTGCTGATCTCATTGTCAGGCAGCGATCTGCTGTCAATGAAATACAGTGATGACGAATTCTGACTTGGAATCCAAATCAATGTAATGAATGATTCCTGCATTGTAGCAGCCCGCAACATGCTTTGAAGGGTTCCTTGAACTTACTGTCAAATTTAATCCTTTCTTTGGACTGCCTGCTATGACGCCTTGCGAAGACTGCAAATTCTCACGACGGTGGGGTTTTTGGCGAAGTAGCTGTTGGTTGGCCGAGATTACAGGAGGATAATTTAACCAGTGGAAACTGCTGTTATTAGTGAACAGTGTTTGTGATTGTTATCGTCTTTCTGACGCTCTTTCCATGGAATTAACGAGAACGGAATTTTCTCGATGGCCATGTAGAATCTGCGAACGTCAGTCTACAGGTGTGCACTACGGCGTCGTTAGCTGTGAAGGATGCAAGGTACATTGCTAAAATAGTAAACTTATGACTTATGTACTTATAACTTACACCATGTGATTAACAGTGATTGCGAAATTTTTGATGGATGATTACAGGCATTTTACAAGCGGAGTGTGGAGAAGTCGGTGAACTACAAGTGCGATTTCGGAGACAAATGCGATGTTGCTCATAACAGTCGTGAACGATGCAAGGCCTGCCGATTCCGCAAATGCCAGTCTGTTGGGATGAGTTTTCACGGTCAGTCTTAGTACCTGAAAAAATGTGAAAGTACAGTAAATGTGGGAGATGATTGTGAGGTTTTGTGGTGCGTTAAATCTTCCCAGCAGCTCAGCGTGTACGTCTTTGCCAGTTGCTTCATAAAAGTACACTTCGAGTGGCGCCTTTATGACTGTTCTCTATGCTGTTGTATGCAAAAAAATATTCAAAATGTTTCATAAGCATCCTAGAATTTTATGAGGCTAATGGATGTAAAATGTAAAATATATTGGATATTTTAATTATATTGGATGTAAAATTGTAATTACCTATGTTAATTTTAGCGGTGAAAATGGGGCGAATATCGAAAGCGGAGCGAGACAAATTCCACGTTGAGCTGGCCAAATCCGCTAAACACAGTATTCCTGCATGCGTCATGGACGAACAGGAAGAGCATCCGTCCGGACATCAAACGAACCCGAATACAGGTGTGTTATGAAATTACACTAACATTCTTTATTTCTTTTGGTCACTACTGATTCACTCGACACGTGCGCAGTAGTTAGGATCAGTTACTGTTACTGTAAGGCACATGTCATTGTCTTTTATTAAAAAACCTCATTACTTGCTTCCGTGGGTGATTACTGTGACGTTAGGTCACTAATACTTGTACTTCACTTCATCCCATAACATCAAAGTGGTACGTAACGCACCCACCGTTAAATATAACGAAGTAGAGTTACTCACTTGGTTGCTCTTTACCGTCTAGGTCGCTTTGAGATCTACTGTAAAAACTTGCTTTGAGATCTTGCTTTGCTAACTTGCTTTGAGATCTACTGTAAAAAGATTTCTTTTGCAAACAGCGTTATTGACGAATGGTTGTTTTTTTATTTAGCGCGGCAATTTATCCCTTCTCTGGCGGTTGCTGAAACTCCCCTTGGCCGTAAGCGTGTTTGTTATCTGTCAAGTTTTCGTGCCTAAAACAAATCTAGAACTGAAACTTTTGTTTCATGAAATAATTTGAATAGCTTTAATGATGGAAAGTGGCTGTGCGCTGGTACTAGTAAAGTGATGTTTGATCGACTTTGCAGGTGGTAAATTTGGTGTCATTCGATCCCTGTCTGATGTTCGAGAACAAATCACGGAGCCAGAAAAGTCATCCGAAATCAAACCTGACGATCAATCAGACCTGTGCCATCGGACGATTCAAGCAGTCAGACCCTACAAGACATTTTCTAGTTTGGTCCCGGATGATAGAAGCACCATTGCTGGTAAGGTGAAGATTTGTTGTGCGTTATTTCGCTTTACTGCTCAGAATTGTAACTGAGAATCTTTTACTTGAAATATACCGTAGTTTATCAATTAGTGATTTCTTATAGGCTTCGAATGGAGTCTTTTTTCCGGAAAACACTTTTTTCCATAATCTTTTTGAAAGGGCAACTTGAAGTATCAATGGGATCTTTATTTCTGGGTGTGCTCGGGTTTCTGGTCTAAATCGGGAGGGGATAACTGATTGTTAGATTACTGTACGTGTGTAAAATACGTTTTAAAGTATTTCTGTTGGTTCATAAATCAAAACGCAGTTCAAAGGAACTATTTTAAAAAGAGTTCGTTTTGTGCAGTGTGTCGCGTGCCTGATTGTCGCATTCATTGTGCAGCAATGCTTTAAGGTTGATTATTTTTGATTTCTCAGACGTCATGGACATTATGAATAAAAAGAACCTTTCAGCGCCGTTTCGTCCAGTTCGGTATGGTCCGGTGCATAAACTGCCAACATTTGTCGCGGAGTATTGGGATTTAATGAAGGAGCGCAGTATGTTTCTTCAGAAAACCGCGGGCGCTGTTTTGCATGCTGTAGAAGTTGTGTATGGAGACGAAATTAAGCTGTGGACCGAGTTTATGACTGAAGCTTTAAGCTGTGGCCGAATTCCGGTGCGTGAAGCGTTCGTTATTTTGGCAGATGTCCGGTTTTATCAGGAGGTATAAGTGACTGTCTTCTTAGGTTCAGCCGCAAACCACGAAGCAGCGGATGCTGGAAATAATCCAACAAACTTTGAAAGATAGCATAGTGAAAACGGGAAATTTTATATCGATGCTGCCAGGATTCAGTGAACTCGACGTAACCGATCAGAAAATTATAATTATCGAAAAGTATCTCATTATCTGGCTGGTTCGTGCTTTTCCACTCATTTCTTTTTTTCTGCTGATTTTATGATTAATTCATTTCCATTGCAGGTGCATCATGCCCGCTATATCCGAAACGGAGAAATGTATTACGTTGTGGGCCCGGAAAAGATCCATTACTGTCGGTATTGGCTGGATCGTCTCTTTGCTGAACCGGAATATTTTCGTACAGTGTTTTCCTTTGCTGCTGCGGTGAACGATATTGGTCTGACTTTGACTGAAACTTATCTACTTGGTGCCATCGCTGTTTTCCGTCCAGGTACAGAAAAGCTCGGAGTTTCTATCAGAATTGTTGAATGTTGGAATCATATCGTTGATACAAAACTAAATTTGGTGAACAATTCGAAAGTTTTTTATTTCAGACACCACGAATGCTCGCAACAAAGAGGCTATGGCCTTTAGCCATGCTTTTTATGTGGATGTAGTGTTTTATTTGGTGGGGAAGCGTTTGTCCGGTGGAGAGCGAACCACTGCTTTCAGCAAATTGGAAAGGCTCATTGACACATTCCCGGTTATCCATAAACTGGCAGTGAACTATGTCAATGCATGGGAGCTGACCAATTATCCTATCAAAACCTCAACCGGTATATCCTTCCGTGTGCTGCTAAACAGAGAATAATTTCTATTTTGCCCGTCCGGTCATTCTGATTTCTTGCTCAAAAGTGGGAGCTATCCTCATCAAGGGAACTTTCTAATTATACTGAAAGCGAACTTGATAAGGATGTATTTTATTTGGAGACCTATTATGATCTGGGATGGATCTGTGACTGTGACCTGCGCTCCTGATTCTAAGATGAGCTGATATGAGATGAATCTGATAAATTTATGTAGTCAACACTCAGTACGTTATTATTTATTGTTTGAACTGTTTAATTTTTTAACGAATGCACTGCACCTTCTTTAATATCTTCTTATCGTTCGTGTTTCTTGCCATTGAGTGACTATTATGAAATTAACCGGGATTGGTTTTCCCAGATTATTTTTTTTGTTACGACTTTCTGGCTTCGTGATTTTTTTGCATGTTTTGTAGAGCGCACAAATGGATGCTTTTTAGCTATTTGCAGGGTCTGTCCTAAAATTTCGACTTTTGTTGTTTAAAGTTTAGTTTCAGATTAGTTATTACAGGTATAAATGCATACTGCATAGATTTATTGAATTTTTGCAGATAGCATTGGTATTAAAATGGCTGTAAAATTGGGGTACTTGCTTACTTACGTTACAACAAACGAAACCCTCATACAAGTAGAGCAGTGTATGTTAGTATTTGCAGTACTAGTTGGTTACTTTTAAATTTCGGTATTTATTATTACAATTTTTACTATTTAGGTCGTTATTTTTTTAACGCAAGTGCAAACATTTCTGGAAAGGGAAACTGAATTAAGCGAAGTAGATTATAAAATTTTAAATCGTCTAAGAAGACCAGTCGAAAACCACATAAATCCTCCAAAACCGTATAAAAACTCGTGATTGCTTATTGTGCTTTTAGATTGTTTCGACTTTTCATCGTGATTTAAAGTAATTGTGTAGACAGTCGAACGTTTTGCGGCTTTTGCCCTTGTCGACAGACTGCCGATTAATTAAAAAGCCAATTTCGAAGTCTCTTTTTATTGCGAAACAACAAGTTACTGTACTCAGTGTACTGTACTCGCATGCCCTGAGTCCGTTGGATTTTTAATTCGAGATCTAACAGGAGTGAACAGCACTGTGTGTACATTTCCGGCACTGCTCAACCGAAATCCACATCAATAATAAGTACAGACAAAACGAATTCAGGACCATAGTAGTCATATTCGCCGAAGCAATACACGCATATTAAAGTCAAAAAGAGCACATGGATCGACAGTTACGCTTATTAGTAAAAGAAATCAACAGGATTAATACTGTGCCAGCGTTTGTACGATTCCACACACAAATCGACAAGAAAAGAATGGCGCAGAAGGCAACAAAGGTATACGTACACTAACAATTTAACATCAATACAACTACCTCATAATTCATTGGCTATTTTGATGGAAGAATTACCAAATGGACAAAACTGCACAGAAAAACAAACCAAATGCCATCGTACTGGAATCCATAAGGCCTGATTAGCGGGTTTCAAAGGGAAGGGAGTGAGGGCAGTTGCTCACTTTTTGCCTTTCGCTGCGGCTTTACCTTTACCTGCTGCTTTCGCCGCTGGTTTGGCCGCCTTTTTGGCGGATGCAGCCTTTGGTTTCTTAGCAGCTGCTGCAACGAATAGAAAAATTTAGAATACAGTGTTACTTAATAGAATTACCGATTTACTATGAGAAAAAAACTACTCCCAAACTAGGCGGTAAACTGAACTGGTTATTACATAAGACTGATAAGAGAATGATATCGATCCGCGCACGACTCGTCCACAGGCTGAAAGCAATAAAACGTCGAATGATTACTCACCCTTTGCGCCACTTCTCGGCTTGACAGCAACTTTCTTTGTGACTCCCTGCTTTTGGGCGAAGCTTTCTTGGTCGTGGCCCGTTTGGTCTGCCTGGTCGCTCCCTTGGCTTTCGTGGCCGAAGCCTTCTTGGCGGCGGGTTTCCGTTTGGCTGCTGCTTTCTTTCCCTTGGCTGGAGTGGCACCACCGCCCGCATTCTGCACGCTAGTTGCGGTATCCATTATTGTTAACGGTTAAAAATTTGAAAAGTCGAAAGAAAACGAAACTCCCGAAGTCACGACAAAACAAAACTGACCGACGAACAAGCTGCAACGGTCGATGAAGACTAACGATAAAATCTTTGTGTACACTGTACACACGCTCAAATTCAAACTTGGGATTGAAGCGAATATTCAATGCTGGAGCGAGAACTGGTGTGCAAACTGGTAAAGCGATGGCGATTCACAAGTTTATCATGGGATTTATTGATAGCAGTTTCCTTAAATGCCATTGGCTGCAGCTGCTAACGCCGTCCCATTCTCAGGGCGGGGTATCGTTTTATCCAATGCCGGAAGTCAACAGGCCGCCAATTCGCTAAAGAATCCATCAGAACCGCTATCGATATATATCGTGGTGCCGTGCGGAAAAGTCCGGAAACGGCGCTAACCGATGATATATTCGGGTTTAGCCTTTGGCGTGGACGAATGGTGATTATGATTCAGTTTTGAATTTTGAGGTCATCATCAGATTTCGGCATTTCGTTAGTTCGTTCTTCGTAGTGATGGTTGCACAATTTGCACATTACGAAATATTAACACCGTCATTATTTGGCAAATGGCGGTAGTTTGCCTTGCACGTGAAATCGGCAGTGATAAACGCAATAAATACGCTTTGAATGATTGATTTCTTGATTTTGAATTTATTTAATTGCAGTAAAACAATAGAATTTTAATTAGTATATTTTTGCACTGTATGAATTAATTAAGGCGGCCGAATTAGCCGGAATTAGCGGATTAGCCGATTATTCTGTCCGAGCAGGTGCACTATAACTAGTAACTGGTGTCGTACTAACGTGTACAATTTCTTCGTACATACTACATACTTTGTAGCAACAAACCGCCAAATTGTAAACCAAAAATGATCATAGACTTGATATCTGTAATTCCGGCTAATTCACTATATTAAAATAGTATTTTTGCAACTATATGTGGACACTGGACACACTGACGGCTAGGTAAGATTCACATAATCATAATCATAAAACATAACACATAAAACATAAACATAAAACATAATTCATAAAACATAACAGTGTATGTTTAGCATACATAATTAAGACGTGTTTCTGTACAGGTGTATTATGAGGTATTAAACCTGCTCTATTAAACCATAGTATTGCATCGAAGTTACCGTGGTAGCTTGCTGGTACAAGTATTAATCAATAAAACTACCGTTCTTCTATTTTGAGTAACTATCAACTGCATACACGCAAGATGTAAGCGATGTTAATGTGGTACTAAAAATCTATATACAAAATGCCCAGAATTGCGTTGGAAGAGCCAAATGTTTTTTTGCGGTACTTAAAAGATTTTCATCGTGCTGCAGCCCAGTCCCCCAGTAATTTCACCAACTATAATTCTGCCACTATTTATCTGGAGTCATTATCAACTGCAGATCAGATACGCATGGTAAAATGAATTGGTTCTTGTAAGAAAGAATTTAAAGGTCATCTTTGTTGATGCTCACTTGCTCAACGTTTCAAGAAGCTGCAAACCAAATCCAGGACGCCCGGGACTTCGTAGTAGAACTTGTCTGAACTCGTAAAATGCTTCAGCTGCATCTGTGACATATTCCTGAAGTTTAACATAATTTGTCACCTCGCACAGCGTTATCAAAAAACACAATCAGTAGAATCTCACTAGCGCTGTATTGCCTGTTTTATGGTCAAGGTGCAACATTTTTATCGTGCACACAACAACACGTTAACAAAAGTCAAAACCGCATGCTAGTAGAAGAAAAATCTTAATTTTATTTTAAGTACAGTACTTAATTACGGAAAATAAACCGGAGATGGGGATTTATGAGTAGATTTTATGAGCAACGTTATATTTATGAGTTATGTTTATGCTTATGCTTATGAATTATGTTTTATGTTTATGTTTTATGTGTTATGTTTTATGATTATGATTATGTGAATCTTACCTAGCCCACACTGACACACAGACTGTAGAATGCCCACAGACTTGTCGGATCAAAACTTGCCAAAGTTAACATCTGCGCGCAAAAAAAGAAACACCTTTACACCTACAAACATAGTTACATAAGTATAAGCATTTACTCGCACCAGTACTTGAAAAAAATAGAAGTTTTGATTTCCCAGTCCCGTATTTACTTCGGAGTGAGTTCGGACTTCGGAGTACAAATTAACTTCGTTACAAATTGCTGAAAAGGCCTGTTTATACTTCACTTCAGTCACTTTTTTTTCTACGTCCGTCAAAATTGTATTTCATGGACGTCCACCAGAATGGCCTTAACGTTTTTTAGTGCCCTTTCGTAAACATAAAATTAATAATAATAAGACACAAAAGGCAGTATAAGACGCAGTAATGATTGTAAGTACTTGTTGGCCGAGGCCGACCGCCCAGGCGTCTGGAAGCGCAGGTTTGTTGTGCATATGCACTTTTCCCTCTGTGCTACCCTACTGAGCCTACTCTACCGTCCCTACGTAGTCTGTAGGCCGGTACTGTAATTTGTCTGTAAACTACTGTAAACTAAGTACTAAACAGTCTAAACTGTAAACATTCGCAGTTTCTGAATTGCACTTGTTTTCAACGTTTCTCTTGTAGTATCTTTCAAGTATCTATCTATTTATGTAGTGAATAGATATTCTGATAATGTACGTAATTCAAATCATGTTTCCTGATATGGGGATTCCTGAATCCCTGGAATTCCTCAGATTCTCAATGTGATCCATGATTTACTTTTACTCAGCAGTTTTGTTACCGTTACGTTGACGGAGTCTCTAACTAAATTTAAGCCATTAATTTTCGAGACATGTCTATATCTTCGACCGTGAACGAACTTGCTGGAGCAGTTGCGGAAAACTTGGCAATTGGAGATGGAGATATTCGTTCTGGCTCAGGAACTGCAGAATCGGCGCTGGGATCAAAATCAGCAGGGGAAACCGAACTTCCTACTTGCGTGCTTGTGTTGGGTATGGCAGGTTCCGGAAAAACGACGTTTGTTCAGGTACTTAAAAATGATTGCGATTGCGACGCGATGTGGTGCAGTTTGTGAAAAATAAATCACAACATTTTGAGCGCAATCAGCTGCGACTTGCGAGACAGTCTCTGCGTTGGAATCGGAGCTGGTTGTAGCAGTGTTGGCATCTTTCCATTCAGGCGTGTGGCCGCTTGTCAGGCTCAGCACCGAGTCCGAGTTAATAATACGTAACAACAATTTAACATCAGAAGTTTCGTGTTTTTTTTCTAGAAATTAACCGATATCCTGAACCAGACTGGCTCACCTCCGTATTTGGTGAATTTGGATCCGGCAGTTCGCAATGTTCCATATCCGGTTAATATCGGTAAAAAACACCCTTTAATTTGAAATTGCTGTTATGTTGTTCGCCAATTTTTACTTCTTTGTTTTTTGTATAGATATTCGAGATACAGTAAAATACAAGGCTGTGATGGAAAGGTAAGAAAGATTTCTTTATACCTCGAACGCACTTAAGTAATTTTGTTTTATTCTGCTCAAGATTTTGGAAATAGTTTTGTAGAGCTAGTGATTACTGGAGTAATGACTATTGTTGCGGCTTTCTTTAGGTTCGGCTTGGGCCCTAATGGTGCGATTATGACTTCGTTGAATCTCTTCACAACAAAATTCTCCAGCGTTTTGGACTTGCTGGAAAAACGAAAACATCAAGCGCGGTATATGGTTTTTGATACACCGGGTCAGATTGAAGTCTTCACATGGTCTGCATCTGGGACAATAATCACGGAGGCTCTTGTGAGTGTTTATCACGGTTTCGTATTTTTTCTCACCCTTTCTTGGCATGTTCGCTTTTAACGCGTGGGTTATCCGATTGTAAGCTGCTGAAGTCCTAATGCACATAGGTAATTATACATCAATAATATTAAAATAAAGTTACTTTTCGAATTGGCTAATCAGCTAATGTTCATTGTTAAATGGTTTCGCTAAAAGTAATTTAAATATCTTTGCATAAGTGGAAAATTTTATGGACTTTTACGCTTTCTGATTTACATTGTAGGCCGATGTATTTCCGACAGTTGTCATTTATGTGATGGATTTGTCGACCAGTACAAGCCCCATAACTTTCATGTCCAACATGTTGTACGCCTGCAGTATTCTCTACAAGAGCAAACTTCCTTTTTTGATTGCCTTGAACAAAACTGATCTCGTGGATCCCAGCTGTGCCCTTAACTGGATGACGGATTTCGAAGCGTTTGATTTGGCCATTGAGCAGGAGCCCACGTATGCTGCCAATCTGTCGCGATCCTTAGGTCTAATTTTGGACGAATTTTATAACGCAATAAAGGTACGTTTTTCTTAAATGTTTAATTGTCTCCAATCGCATTTTATATAGAGTGGCATTTATTCGAACAATACATTCCCAAATCTTCGTTTGACTTATTTTATTGTTAGCGTTCTTGTTTTCTTTTATAGCCACGCCTTATTATCTGTTTAGTGGCGCTATTACAAATCTAATTTCGTCCTCAATGATACCTATAGTAAATCATCAAGGCCTTCGTAACAAAAATCAAGTTTGGTTGAATTATTTAATTGTAATATCGATTGAAAGAATAGTGGAATCGTATTCGGGTGTGATTAGAGGCCACTGAGGTAAAAAAAAATGACGCATGCTTTTTAAAATTAGGCTGTGCCTGTTTCCGCTGCCACTGGTCAAGGTTTTTTGGAGCTTGTTCAAGCACTGGATGCTGCAAAGCAGGTGTATATGACGTGAGTCGTTTTAGCAACATTCTCACCGGTTAATATTTTGTGTTAACTTATAACAGAGGCGATAAATCTGTAATTTATGTTAAGGGTATGGGTATCAACGTTAAGTTGATCGTATCTGTAGCCTTGTAAACTACTTAATTTATTTGCAGAGAATACAAGCCAGAACTGCAGAAGATGAAAGAAGAGCAGGTGCGTAACGCTTCAGCTTTTTCCTTCAGTTTTGCAAATTGCGAAAGCTACATGTGATTGTTTTGATCATCTAACAGCTGCAGCGTAAGGGGAAGAAACACGAGGATCGATTTGAAAAGTTAAAACGGGAAGTGGAAGGAATCTCCGCCGGCTCGCCTAGTGGTGAATTTTTAAAACTCAAGTATGTTGTTGAGATTTATTGAGAAAACATTGTAATATTTCTAGGTGATTCCGCTTCCAGCCAAGGATCCAATAAGGTTACAATAGGTCCGTTCAGTGAAATGGAATCTGAATCCGAAGCCATCCGTAAGTGTGCTGGAGTAACATTTCATTTCTCCGATTTTTGTTTACTCTTGGTACGTTTTCGGACTACTGCATTGCCAATTTCGCTTATATCTTTCAGGACAAAATAATGAGCAAGACGACGTTGCGTTCGAAAAGTTTCTAGAGACAATCAAAAAGAACAAGGAAACCATACAAACCGCGGCTCGAAAGCGTGCTGAAAATGCCGGTCAGTGATTTGATTGGACTGTGTTGTCGTTAGAATCGTCTCATGGGAACGCTCGATGTTTGATGGTACCAGTTCAGATGCAGTTTGCACTAAAGATGCAGCATGATTTATTTCTGTCTCTTTTCTTTACATGAAACATTCGAGATAAAATTATATGGCCGTATACATGATTTTATTCTGAATTCTTCATGTCATTTTTACCGGTTTTTGTTCAACTTTACTGAAGGAAAATGTAATAAATGTTTCTGACTGCGGCAGACTGCCTGTTAGCACCATTGCGGATAGGCCGTTTATTGCTGGCAGTGTCATATCACAGCTTCGAAAATTATATAAAATGTTTGAAATGTTCTTGCAGGAGCACTTGAGAAAATTAACGTCAACATCAAATCGCAGTACGTACTAAGTGGACTTTGATCAACTACTGAATTATTCGTATTGTTGCATGAGCTAATGGATAACAAATTCAGCGTTTAGTCACAGTAACACTAAAATCATATAATTATACTTCTATGGCTCGTATTGGCTATCAAATCATTAATAAGAGTCACGAAACGGAAATTCCACGGAATCTTTGCACCTGCAACGCAAAACCTTGTACATACAGCAGACATACTAAATCAGAATGACATTATTTCATATCTGCAAATTATGTAAATGCGCACCAGTCAAAAGGATAATATCGTAAATGTCGGTCCAGTCCGCCCAATTTGGCAACGTTCTCGGGGGAAATTTCAAAATCAAAAATCTCAAAATTCGCTTTGATACGATTAGTGGTTTTGCTTTTGGGAATAACGATTCTGCCCATCTGAATCAAATATCGCAACAGAACCTGCAAACCATTCGCATTTTCAGAAAATTTTCCCGTGGCACTGATAACATGAGACGAACCTGAGCAGGCGTTTTCCCGCATAATTTGGCGATTTCGACGACCACAGGATCTTCCAGCAAAACAGGATCGTTCGGGTTGACACTGAAAAGACGAGTCGGCGCGCCCAGTGGTCCATACGCGGTTAGTGTTATTCCATGCTGCTTGCAAAAGTCGAACAGCGGTTTTTGCATAAAATACGCATGGCATTCCACCTGCATTCACAACCCATAACCCCGATTTTTTCAAAACCGTTAAAATTTTGTTCCTATGGAATTCATACGAACTTGTAAGTTTGCTGGCTTGATTCTGGCTGACTGGACGATCCTTTCTATCTGACGTTTATTAAAATTGGACAGCCCGATTGATTTCGCTAATCCTTGATCGACTGCTTTTTCTAATTCCTGTCATAAGACAAAGCAAGAAAATTACAAAATCTTGATTTCCGAAAACGCAGTACAAAACCCGATTCATAACGTGATAATAAGCGTAAGCAGGAATAAAACCTTATTATAGATCCGTTATCCTAATAACTCTTACATAAAATAGTTTCACAACTTTACTTTCTAAAGGGAACTTTTAAGAACATACGTACTCGGACTCCGAAGCATGCGATACCTATACTTCTACGACTAACGTCTATACGAGCATAAAAGTACCTTCCAAGTATCCATGTGATCCGTCTGGTCATACCAGACGTTGTTGTCGGCATCCGTCGGAAATAAATTGCTTTCATCTGCGAATAACAAACTCAACATCGAAACTGTTCATAAACCTTTACTTACACCGGTTGCACGGCTATCCGTAATCATAATAACTAATGCGATTACTGCAAGTACGAGTACTTATTACTGGATTACACTACCTGTATATTTAAAACCGCAAGGATTGTGAACTAAATACAGGTCAACATAATCCACTTGAAGGTTAGCCAGGGACTTTTTCAGCGAAGGAATAACGTGCTCCGGTTTGTGGAATGTGCTCCATAGCTGCAAATGAACGGAATGGATAGGCTATACCATTGATATCAGTGAACCTCAGAAACCGAAAAGCGTGAGACATTATTTTGGAGCGTACACTGCACATGCACGGTACAACACAACCATATTTTTCTAAGAAGGAGTTATAATCAGCCTTCCGATGTTCTTGTACTCTGCATTTGCGTACCTTCGTCACAATGAAGAGATCTTCACGTTTAACTAATCCTTTTTGGATCTTTTCTTGCACAACTTCTCCGATATCTTGCTCGTTTCCGTACGAATACGCTGTATCAATGTGTCGGTATCCGACATCCAGGGCGTAACTCACAGCTTCCTTTACATTGTCACTCTTCGACTGAAAAAAGCCATTTTTCGGATCTAACATACGGGGAATTTCAAAACACAGGCTGCACGTGGAACAGATTCATTTACGGATTTAAACACCGCTGGATAACTGGATAATTGCATTATTGCCCGCACATCATCGACATGCGATTTTATACGAGTACAGTACAGTATTGTATGTACTTACTTGATACGTTCCGAGGCCTAAAACTGGCATGCGCTGGCCGCTATTCAGGAGAATTCTCGGTACGATCTGAGCAGACATTTTCTGGTTTCAGCAGGTGCAAAACTTAAAGATGATCAGGCCGAGAGCTGCCAAGAGTACGCGTGTGAAATTCTGCAGAGCAGAAGCTGAAATGTTTCGGAAGATATCACCGTCGCCGGCGCCGCGCCTCTGCAAAATAATAATTACTCTACGCAATAATATGCATTTTAAATTTTTAACCAACAAACACTGGTATGGCAGAACATAATAATCATTCTACACGGATACATTGTACAATAGCGTTTTTTATATACATATGTACGTAACTGAGTGCCTGTGAAAGTGGTGTACTTACCAGCATAAAATCACCAAGATTTTAATAAGACTAATTTATTTGAAAGTTTGAAACTGCTTCCACTGCAACACACCACACAGTCGGCTTCATGCCTGCTCGAACTTACCATTGATAATTTGGTAGAGCGTAATGCTGTACTTGTAAGTAAGTACCACAGCCCAATATCTATATTACTACTGATCTGATACTGTATGCACTATCTGATAGCGGTATCAATTATTAGCAGCTATCAAAGGCCATCACCATCAGCGGTGAACTGATTGGTTTTGTCATAGAGACTGTGGTTTTGTGTTGAAGTCGTTTGAGAACTGAGACTACTTATGTTTTCCACTTTTCCAATCTAAAAATGCGTGCGCATTCTACAAAAACCGCGAACTTCTGACGTTTTTACTCTGCAACAATGATAACACCAATCAAGTCGGCAGATTTTGTAATTCATTTTCACAATCAAAGAGGGATTCGTTTCCACAAGAACAACCAGATTTAATTCCAGGAAAAACTGTTGAAGGAATAAACAAAAATCACTGAAAAGCTGTTTGAAAACAGAAATATGCACCTGTATCGTTTTCCACAACGCGCAACATAAGATGCACAAAACAGTAAAACAGCGCAAAAACACAAAGCACAGAAGATTCCAAAATTATTTAAATTTTTCAAGGAAAAACGGACGATGTTATCATTGTTATGCTCTGTAAAACTGTTTCAACGTTACATGGATGATGGACACGCCAAAATGCCCGAATACTCGTGAACAATTCGGATAAAGGAACACTCTAGATTGCCAGAAAAGGGATCCGGTTAATTGTACGTAGGATATCAACAAATAACAAAAAACAAATTCTTTTTCTGTCGCGACAGATTACACCTCCTCCAGATTGAAACCCCAAAATGAAAACAGCAGAGATTTGTTCCATGAAAACAACCAGAGTGTCACTCGTCTTGGGACATTTGTTCGAACTGCTGTCCTTCCGGTGACAAAACCTTCCATTGGTTTTTATTGGATGGCTTCCTGCAGTCAAGCAATAGCGTTCCATTTTAGAACAAAACATACAGGAAATTCACATCAACATCCAATTAAATTGCCGATGATGACCGGTTTTATGATATAAATTGAAAATGGAGCTACATTCAAATTTTTTAGCCAGACATAAGCACGATTAACCAGGAAAGTGGCAGTAACTGTTTATACTCGTATCAATAATGTTCACTGCGCTTACCCGTATTTTTTGTAGAATTCGTTGACCGCCCCCCGAGACTGTGAGACTGCTTTTCCAGTTTCCCACGTACAGTCTTTCAAATCGTATCCATACCACTTGATCAAGTAGTAGTTTTTGCTGTCATTTCCCACCAACGCACCCAGTACAGCATCCACGGCATACATGCCCTGGGGAACGTCTTCCTCATCGCCTTCTCCCTCGCTGCTCTCAGCCTTGGACTTCGCCGGCTCTTTATGATAAAACAGTTGTCTTACCGGTCAGCAAATGCTTAAGCAAAGTTTCTAACTGAATACCTTTCTTGGTCGAAGAACTCTTTGCCTTCTTCGGCTGTGGCTCGGCGGCTGCCGGCTTCGCAGTCTCTTGGGCTTTACGAGATCGCCCTCTTGGCTCTTCTTTCATCGGTATTTCCTCTTCTACAACGACACGCCAGTTAAGGGGATTTTGCTTTAGAATAGCTCATACTTAAAACAAAGTCAAACTGCAACTATTGTGCATGTGCCCTATCGGTACGTTTCGCATCTACCTGACTCCGATAGCCTCCTCGAGGGTTTGGAAGCCGCGCTGCGCTTTGGAGTCGCGTCACTAGTCGAGAGTTTTGAGCTACTCGATGCAGCAGACTTGTCGTTTACTGGAAAAATACAAAGTATATCGCTATAACTTCAAGAACATTTCAAGAGTAAGTTAAAATTTCATAAATCTTATTACAATTTATTCTTAAAGTTATTACGATCTTATTCCAAAGATGCCTTTCAAAGCAAAGAATATTCCTATTTTCGATAAGCGAAAAAAGGCAGAGAAAAACCCTATGAACAGATGATACAGATCCAACTATTCTTTTAGAGTACCAGTTAGTAAACAATATGCCAACATTAACGTCAGAAAACAACAAAAGTCCAGCGAATGTACCGGCAGATCTTGCGGGAGTTTTTTTGGTGGCCAACTTCACAGAAACGGGATTACGCAGTGATGCTGATCCTCTTGTAGGAGCTCCCGCAGATATAGATCGGCTACGATCTCCATCAGATGCAGAACGGGAATGTCGACCGCCCAGTGGTAGTTCCTCATCTATAAAACAACAACCCAATCAACCAGCGAATGTTTTAGAAGGGATTATACAGCAACAACTAAAATACACTACAAAGAAATTTATTACAAAAAAATTCGATTATGTACTGTAAATTCTACTGCTGCTGACAGAGTCTTAAAACAATTTTTTCCTTACCATCGGATTCGGAAAGCTTCAACGGTGGAGGAAGTTTTTCCAGAGCGATTGTCGTTTTGCCGGATTTACCTACGAACAAATAAGTATTAAGTAACCCAGCTTTGAGAAAACATTACACCAAAACATCAGCGTCCTTGAATGTCACCCTTTCGCAAAAAATTCAAGAGTACGGTGTATACAGCTGTCCTGTTCGTACTTATTGCATGCTGTATCACAAACAGCCACATACTGTTCGGCCCAACGTACGCCACTTACTGTATGCCAGGAGGCGCTTTTGAAAAGCAGTTGCGCATTGGGCAGCCTGCAGGTTTGGTGTTTTTTCGATTTGTTCAAATTCATACAATCCGTGCGTACCATAGCTTAAAAAATGCAGAAAAAAAAGTTAAGTTTGAAAACGAAAAGTCTATAAGCAAAAAGTTTTGAAAGAAACGTTTGATTTGCGATTTAAGAGAATTTCGTTCAGCATGGAGGTCTACGAGGCGGTTTGCCATAGACCGCTATGCTGAACGAAATTCTCTTAAATCGCAAATCAAACGTTTCTTTCAAAACTTTTTGCTTATAGACTTTTCGTTTTCAAACTTAACTTTTTTTTCTGCATTTTTTAAGCTATGGTACGCACGGATTGTATGAATTTGAACAAATCGAAAAAACACCAAACCTGCAGGGGTTGCCCAATGCGCAGCTGTTTTGGTAATTCCACAAACTGCTTTTCAAAAGCGCCTCCTGGCATACAGTAAGTGGCGTACGCCCAACCCTAAATTCCAGGACAACAAAAGAACCGCAGTTTTTAGCGCCGACATTTCATTAAATATCTGAAAGGTCTCAGAAGTAAGATCAATTGTATAAGGCTTCTTGCACTGTCTACAGCTTTACATCCCTCCGCAGAGGTAGCCAAATAAACTCCCCAAACAACATAATCTGCTTTAAATAAAAAGCTACAAAATTTTTCCAGACTAAACCTAATAAATTTTTTTAAAAATGTTTGTAACGACAATGGCGAACTTATGCGACAAAATGCATAAAATACTTAAGAGATTCAACGCGAATACCGTATTATGGTATCCATGATTAAAACGGCTGAAAGAAAAACGACCGAGATTATCCATTTTACGTTGTTAAACAGTAAATCTAAAAAGTCTGATAAGGTTACGGTATGTCCCAGTATTATTTTTACTAATAATTAATATTATCAGAAATCAATAAAACGTTTTTTTGGTCACATCTGATACCAACACGTATATTTTCCGGAATAATATATAATTTTCGCGCTCTACCTGTACTCGTATGCATTAAGAAACAGAAAGCCCTACAAAGTACGCAACCAGGCACCATACAGCGCCACCGCTCTATGACGTATCAAATACCTAGTCACAACACGTTCACAAAGACTGCGTGGTGCGTACTGAAAAAACAAAATTAGCAACATAATCTTATTTGTCCTATTATGAACCTTTATTGGAACGTCCCTTGCGACCATTCTGGTTGCTAATACTGGAACTAACGGAGTCCCGAGGTCCCGCTTCGTCATCGTCCCATTCACCCGTCCCGTTGATACCCTTGATCTTCTTCTTGGCTGCACTCTTCTCCTCCACACCCGACGGGATGGACTTCATATTAGGCCGTTTCGGGGGAGCCAGTGCCTGCTTCTGCTCATCGCAGAGTCGGTGGAAAGTCATCAGTTGGTCGTGGCAATTCGTCAGGTTCTCTCTGGGTTCCCATGTGTTATCTTTTTGGTCGTAGTGCAGCCAGTGGACCCAGTACTGGATCACCCCGTCGGCCATGCGAATTCCCTCAATACTGTCCACCATAATCTCCTCTTCGCCGCTGTTATCCATATCGTCGAGGGATGCCGCCAAGGATGCATTCATCTGCTGCTCGGCTGCCGCTGCTGCTGCGCGGGAATTGTTTTTGCGAGGCATTTTCCTGTCAAATACAAAGGAATATTTGTAGATCGGAGAAAAATGGCGAATATCAATAATATCCGAAAGCAAGATAGAAAACGGATAGGACTGATTTAAGTAGGTAAACCGCAAGCAGAAAGGGCCAAAGGCCCAAGGCAGCAAAATTTGCGTCTAGGTCCTCTATGATCTACTCGTATCATAAATGATAAATTTGCGCGTATTATTATTGCATGTCGGATCACAGAATACGGAATATCTGAATTCCGAAGCCAAGCATACCTGACACAGGATCAGATGAACGAAATACTTGTGGTTACAAAATATTTAAATTTTCCACTGTTTAGCACAAAAAATACTAATCTGATTTTCTGAACCCTGAAACGTCTGCTCTGCAAAAATATTTAATTGGCGATCGAATTAGCGGGATCCAGGGAAGACTGATTGTAAATGAAATTACCAATCACATCGGGCCCCGGCATTCAAGGGCATTTGTCCAAGCGGTGTTCTTGTACTACTTGTCAGTGCTGCTGTATTCTATTCACTATTCAGTGCCTTGAATGTGACTGATGAGTCGCTAATCAGTTACGGACCGCGGACCGGCCTGGTGTCACTTTCGCCGCCAGCACGCGGGAAAATTTCCAAGTGTGGCCACTGGGCGCTGGCCCCTTCTTGTACTTCTAACATGGTGCCGGTGGCACTGGCCGCTATTTCTTTGTGCATTATGTTGGCAAGCTGACAGTGAGAAGTTAAGACCGGAAGTGTGGGTCCGTGGGACTAGGTGCCAGGTGGGACTGTGGGAGTATGGTGTTAAAGAAAGTACCTACAGAGTAACTAATAATAACTCTGTAGTAACTAATAATAAGTGACAAAGTGTAACTTTTTATTGTTAAAACGGTTAAATGTTAGCACGGTATTTGTCGTGTTTTGTTATTTGTCTTACGAGTAAACACTTTCCCCTAATCCTAATTAGTAAAAAGTAATTACCTAATAAGAAATCCGTATCAGGCGAGCAACTTCCGGTTCAATTAATTAACGACCCTAGTGCCCTATCTAGAGATGGGCAAACTAAAAAAACCACACCAAAACTTTGTTAAAATTTGTAGTCAGTTAAACTTTGGCATCCCCTATTAAGTACATAACGTTTTAGTGGCTAGCCTTGACCCGGTAAGAAGGTTTTACCGGTTAATCATACTTTGGTTAGCCGAGACAAAAAATAATTTCGCATTAGTCGTTTGAACATCAATGCGAGGATCTTCAGAATTCTTTTGATTTATTGTCGGAGTTAATCTGGAGTTTTCCCACTTAGGGCAGTTAATGTGGTTTCTTTTTCCAGCTATTGTTTAAGTACGTAATCAAAGAGCACAAAAAGTAATCAATTTTGAAAAGAAATTATTTTACTTTTCCGAAATTGATGCTGATAATTTCCTAACAAGACCGGAGTTTAACAATACGATTTGTGCCGTTGTCATGAATAGTACTTACTTTATACCGGTCGCTGTTAAATAGTGCGTGAGGCCGGTGAGGGCATTAACTTTGTGCTTGGTGGGAACATTCCAAGTTCCCAACCTGGTTGCGATTGTTATCTGCCGCTTGCGAGCTGCATGGCTCTCTGGCCCTGCCTAACAGTTAAAGTACCCTGGATGATGGATCCAGTCATGAAGACCGAACTCGGGTGGCGCGTACGATACGAATAGAAAGGTGGTGCGACTGGTGCCACTGCCCACTATCAACGGTTGGATTTTCCCGCGTACTTCTATGGATGATTTGATGACTGCCACAAGCCGCCGGGGATCATGGTCATGGCTATGATTTCTGCTTGGGAGGGGAACCAGGCAGGAAAGCTTAAAGTCACCAACGAGGAGGCTATGATGACGGCATTCAAAATTAACAAATAGATGTTTTTTTGCTAGACTCTCAGGGCTATTATGCAATCTGAAGTGGAATCCTTTATCTTAAAGGGAATGTAACTTCAATGTACAGTATGCGCGTGCAATTACAAAGGTGATACCAAAAGTAAGCTTCCCTATTTTGCCTCCCGGCCATTTGAAGTAGAACACAAGTGAAGTATTTTTTATTAGATAGGCCATTATGTACACTATCCGGAGAAAAAGAATCAAAAGTTTCGTCGAGAAGCAAAAACTAAAAAGAATCAAAACATTAAAACTGAAAAGAATCAAAACTAAAAAGCATCAAAATATCAAAACTGAAAAGAATCAAAACTGAAAACGGAATGGCTTGTGCCGCTTTTGAAGGGCTTGCGCCGCGCGCGGTCCTTTTTTAAGCGTCGTTCTTTTTTTCTCACTTCCGCCGCGGCATTGTTTTTGTCCGTATTTTTAAAGTGTCAACTGCAAATAGTGTCCTTAATATTATAATGATAGCAAAACATTTTGAAAAGCTCAGAAATCTAAGAAAAGGGTTTTCTTTCGCAAGGCCCTAATTTCTTCCTTTACCGGTCTTCCCGCTTTTGTGAATGCATGATTCGTTGCATACATAAAAACCACCTTTTATGCCAAATCATGTCCACCGTAAACACCGAAGAACTTCTAAATACACCAAAGACAGGAAAATATTTTCAAGATTTTTTCACTTTATGAAGGTCCGTATAGTTCACAGCTTTCGGTTTTGGGTACCTAGTCACCAACAGTCCTGTTTTTGTAAGAAAGCGGTATGACTAGAGTATTTTGTTTAATAATTTATGTTACAAGAGGGAAGAATTCTGAACTTAACAATATTTTGCGCTTCGCACAAAGTGAGCAGAAAGAATGAGGAAAGTGGCAAAGACCTTTTGGGAAAGCGACGAGGTGGGGGCGCCGGAAATCGTCTCTGAACTTTTTTGCAGTTCTTCTCAAAATCAGTTTGGCAGTAGTTATTCTAAGTTATTATTTCTCTCAGTTCCTCCCTGAAGAACGTGTGTAACAATATGGTATTTGGGTAACTTTAGTGGAATGCGTCTAAAGCGGGAGATACAAAATGGGGAAACAAACTTTTGGTATCATCACCTTTGTATAAACATTTTAGAACAAGAAAAATGCACACTGCGCGCAGATGCAGAAAAAAACCAATTTCAAGAAAGTTATAAGCGGAAGTCCGCAGGCCGTTTGAACGTTGAGGTAATGCGGACTGCCGCCATCACGGTGCTGAACAAGCGTAACACTGAAGCATTGCAGAATTATTTGATAAATAATTTATGAAGTATTGTAATGGGACGAAGCAGCGTTACAATGCTGCCGGCCGCAAAGAGGTCACTATTCTGCGACCAGGTTCGGCACCTATTACGTACAGTACCTTACAAAATATCTGTTTCATTCAATCCATAGTGACGAACCAGAAAAAAGACTTAACAGTTTATTTTACGTAATCGAGAGCGCTTTCGGAAATCGACACAACATTTGGTCCAGCGCGGTCAGTGGACGCGTAATACCCAACCACCATTATTGCGCTCCACTACAGTACAGAGTACACCGCGTACTGCCGTGCCGACATATCGGTTTCTCGTTGCCTTGCGATCTGCCGGAAGACCGCTATTCACCAACTCCACCTTAAACTGATGCTTACCGTTAGTTCGCCTGTGTTATTACCGAATACATATTGGTTTATGCATATATATTATACGATCTGTACTCACCGATTCCGTGATACTTGATAATTAAACGCCTGCCTTATCACCTAACCGCAGCGTTGTTGCGACAGAATACACGGTACGAGGGCCAGCAGCCTTACTCAACGATGGCAGATTGTTGAACTATAAAATAAGCATTTGTAGTGCAGATTATTTCACCTGAAATTTGGAGTAACGGAGTTGAAGCATTGCGTGTTGCGATACCTGTTCACATATTGTTTACGAGGATATTAGTTACCATTTCCATAGATGGTCCATTTCACCTGAGCTGACGGTAGTTGCGGTGGCAGTTTCTGTCATGAGCTTTTTTTCATTCAAAACAAAACCCCCAACCCCGGATGTATCCGGGAGTAAGGGCCGGATCGATCGCGGACGTCCATCCCACGAAAACATTCCCAGCGACCAAACCACGGACGACGATGAGGAATCATCGCAAAGGTCACTGATCCCGCCTGGTGTATCGCTCATTAATCCCAATCTGCACCCAGAGAAGGCACAGAATTTCCTCGGTTTAAAACTACCTCAGTCATTTGCCGTACGCTTTCTGGGCCTACATCCGGCCAGCGGGATTTGGGGTATTCAGCACACGCGCAAAGCGGTGGATAATTTAGTGTCACTGGCCAAAACCACGGATCCCGAAGATTTGTCTCTACTGGACTTGGAGATATCGGAACCTGGTGTATATTTACGACAATTATCCCCTGTTCGTGCCACTGAGACCTCCAAGGAAATCGACCTGGGAAAGAAGCCTATCGAGCGCATATCGTATGGCGTGCAAGATGTGTTATTCCCGCGAATATTTGCTATGATTTCCATTAAAGAGAAGTCCGTGATTGACGACCGCCCTTTTGACTGTTACGTGTTTCTTTGTGAGAACCGTATCCAGTCCAGGAAGATGGCGTACTGTTTGGCCAAAGCTTTTAAAGAGTATGGGGAAAATATTAAAGCGGCGAATTACATGCAGACACTGGAAGCGGATGTTAAAAAACAAGGACGCAGTATGGGAATCTCGGCACGGGCAGCGAAAAGCGAAACAAGCACCAGTGTGGAATCGGATGCGTAAATCGTTGTAAACGTCTGTAGCCGGTTACGCAATGGTTGAAGGGAGAAAACGACAGGAAAGTGTTGAAGTCGCAATCAGGAAGAACATGTGTATAATCAAAAAGATGACGAATCACAGGCGCTGCAAATCGATGATAAATAAAGGTTCACGGTCGCCATTGTGTAAGGTTAATGATGGACTTTGCACTACTAAGTATGTAAAGTTTACCTTTACAAGCTTATCCGCTAAACAGCATTTCAAGCGTGGATAATCAGCAATGTTTTACCGGCGGTACTCTGTATATGTCTGTGGGCATTATTTGTTTTTTGACGGTTATGCTGCGCATACGCATAATTATAATTTCCTGCCTGTAAATCGAGACTGTCTGCGCGTGCATTTGTTTATTTAAACTCGAACAATGACGTGTAAAATCATTAAAACTGTCGTACACGTAAACTATTTGGAAAAAGAGTACGGTAACTCAGAATTATAGCGCAGCACAACGTAACCGGCAACTGCAATTCAAAACTTTCGAATATTGCTCCGCTTTATGGATTGGGAAACCACAGCACATACTGTACATGCGAGTACTTCCAGAACTATCTGTAAAAGCTAAAGCTATCTTCCAAAGCTAGTAGGACGAAATCTCAGATTTAAGACCGACACAAAAGTTCGATATAACCGAGCCTCCAAAAATGCAGTACCACGGTAAATTTAATGTTCTGCGTTAACATTAAATTTGTTCTCAAAATTACATAAATCTAAACCAAAATGAGGCTTTTCATGAAGCTGATGAGCGTTTTTCGGGCCGACAAACTCGAGAAATCAAAAAATGCCTTTCTGCGTTTATTATATTTCCTTTATCATTTTAAAGGTCATGGTTTTTCGTGCGTTACCGTACAGTACGACTCAATATACATTTCAAAGCGCGTATACGTTATATATACCCGAGCAAGAGTAGTAAGAAAACATATGAACAAATGACTATCAGCCCATACAAAAATGCATTTAGTACGAGTAATTCCTCGTACGCCTTTTAGTAATTTTAAAATTTTGTCATGATTATCCAAATGAATATTTTTGAAGTTAGACAAACGCTGAATGTTTTCCACGGGTAAGATAACTGTTGCTTTCGGTTTGCGTTAACAGTTATGTGATAATCTTTATAGAAAAATTCTTTGAATTTGTTGTCAAAATTTAAAACCTATTATTAAAACAAGCTAAGTCTGTTGTTTGGAGTTAATTGTATTTGAAATTCCCAAGTGATTTCGCTTCTTACCACTTGTTTCCCAATATTAATGGTTTATGACACTGCTAGTTACGTCCATCGTCTTTCCAGATCAAAAATTATCGACGTTACTACGAGCGGGTTGTGAACAAATAAAGATTTTCTAATCTTTCAAGAACGACCGTGGGTCGAAATACTGCTTACTCCAGAAACTGTTGACCTCTAGTCTAATGCATGTATTTTAATGGTATTACATTATGTCGTTTCCATAATTTTCTTAGTATTTTGTATTTGGACAAACATAATTGTAAACAAAAATCGTGCAGTTGTCCGGGGATAATATGGCACAATAAAGTCCGTAGAATAAAGTGAGTGACAATCCACTAATTAAGTTAACGTCGTACCAAAAAAATTCCAGTATAAAGCTCGCAGTATAAACAATGAATTCTTAGCGCGCTGGTTGGGGCGTAGTTTATCGTAGTTCGACTGCTAAAAAGGCGTTTTTATTCGGCTACTGGAAAAAGCTATGCCCACTGGTCAAGATAAGGCCTGTGTATGGATTTTGCTTCTATCTTAACTACTTCTGTGCGCGAGTTGTTGCACAAAACAGTAATAACTTTGAGCGTATTTACATGAACCTATTAATTTATATATTACGATCCACAGTCGTGCAATGAATCGCTTAGTGCTTAATAATGCATACTTCTATGGACAATTTTATGTGCATATTGAAATCCCTTGGAAAAGTATCTGAAAGCATATTTTTGCGAAACATTCTGGCGACGCAAAAAACCTGTTTGAAAAGAGCAAAAGTTATATCATGCAGGATGTCCTGATCAGCTGAGTCATGGTAAGAAATACTACCGTACCGTAGTAGTTAGCGGCTCGGGTGTAAGATGTGGTGAACGCAGGTTCTACTAACATGGATTCCGGTGGACATAATTTTTAGTAGTAAAACCTAGAAACATCCTATTTATTAAATACTGCTGGGGAACTGCCAAGTTGTTTATTTGTTCGATACGGTTGACAGATTCTTGAAATGCAGTTAAACCAGTATCGTCCTGCTGCGCGGTGTTCCTTAGGGTATTAATCGACACAGGATTTCTTTCACGTATATATTGAGATCATGAATTTTGCGTTATACTAATTTACGCTTTTGCATTTGCATCATATTCAATTACAGCTGTTGTAGAGGTTTTACGTTTGAACAAACTACACTCCGCATTCTGTTTATTGTTAGCGTCGTAAAGGTCGCGCCCGTTCCGGTTTACCGAAAATGATGTACTCAACAAAGATTGCAGTCTGTATTTTGATAGCAATGACCGTTATCGTTAAAGCTGGTAAGTTTTGTTAGGCGCTACCACGTTTAGCATCGTGACCTTTACACATTCATGTATGTCGTTGCAGAAGGTCACCGTTGGGGTGGCAGACGCCCAATGGGCTGGGGTGGCAGGAGGCCGTGGGGAATGGGGATCGGAGGCTTCGGCTTGGGTTATGGATTAGGTTGGCTGTCGCCATGCGCATGCAGTTAACGTAGATCGCCAACCGTATCCTTGATAATTTAGTGCTACTGTTAAAATTTAATTAATACAAAAATTTTTCTAGCAAAACTTGCAATTGTGCTGCAGCACAAATTACGAAGAAAACTTCTATGCATAATGCTAGCTTACGAATTACGAATTAAATAATTATGAATTAAGCTTGGCTACTCGTAGCCGTATATGTAGGTACAGTATTCAGTGTGAAATCGACTTCTTTGATATAAGGCGACTCGCATGCGCAGATGGCTTGTCCAGATCTAATTTTCGGAATACTCATTGTCAGAACTAATTTTACGTGTACAACAACTTAATTATATTACACACACGTTGTTATGCTGTTAAAACTATAATGGTAATATGGTTAAGCAGCTGCAGTTTAATTTTACTATTACAAATAGGAAAGCGGCTTTTTCAACAGGTTTCGGATATCCATTTGGCTACTCCTACGGTTTTGGTTGGCCGTTTCTGGGATATGGAGGTAAGATACGAGTAATTTGTTTTTAATAGATTAAGGTGAATCGAGCGGAGGGGCCTGAACGCTGATCTGATTTCACGTGCTTTCACGAGGAACATGCGATACACAAGTATTCGTAATTGTGGGCACACTGTACACCTCGCACGGATTTTGTGACCTTTGTTGCACGATCTAACAGCATCCGCAACTTTGACAGGTTATGGTTTAGGCGGGTTGTATGGGGGATATGGATATGGAGGATATCCATACATGGGCGGTAATGGAGGATATTATGGCCCTCGAAATAACTGGAATAATAATGTCAATAATAATAACAATCCCCAACCACAAGCCACCACCACAGTCCCCTCCACTTCGGCACCAAAATAATTCTAGGGTAGAGTATGCGCGCATCGCTAACATTCTGGACATTCTGCCTGGATGATATCAGACTATCAGCTATCTGTCCAAGGAGCAGAAGAGTCGGCTTTAATTATAGGCTGAACACATACATCAGGGTTTATTTTCCATATGTATAACAATATTTTTCCGCTGGCGAAAAGAACTGGCGAAAGAAATTTAATTTTTTAAGAGTCGCTAACGTTATCGCTTTTTTGGCACGTGACCATAGTAAACGAACTGGATTTTATCCCATCATTGTTCAGTCATGTTCTGCACTTGCCAGTTTTGCTTCGGTACGTGGGCGTAGTAAAACACTATTTGAAATACTCGTACTGCGATAGTTATTCGTCAACGTTGCCGAGACTGGAAATACTACGAGACATATCTGATACTTTCCGCAAGGTAATAACAAGTCAATAATTTATTATGGACACAAAATCGCAATGGAAGGGACCACGAAACAGAATTGTCGCAGTAGTTCTGCTGTCAAAAATTCTACAAAAATATGATCAACAAAAAATTACGGCGCCTACTTTGCATGTCAACATTTTTTCCATCAAGGTGCATTAAAGATGGTGGTCAGACAAATCATATATCCACTGCCGGTTTTGACCACAATGCGGTAATGCTTTGATCATGAAGTAGCCGAGGCAAAACGGCCATTTACCTTGGCCACCTTGGCGTGCATCCGATGGAATTCGTCAACCGGCTGGTAAGGTATGGCCGGTTCCGCTGCAACCGCGTTTTCATAATCTTTCAGCCGCATCGCACGTTTTTCAAATTCTCGTTCTAAATCGGATCGCTGATTTTTCTTTTCTTCTTCGAGCTGCTTTCTTGTCACCTGTCCGCGCATTTTCTCCATGGCTTTTTGAAGTTCACTTTTTTGGCCCAAGACATTTATGCCCCTAAATGGTAACACAGTACAGAATGACCCATCTTTAGCAATATTCATAAACCAATAAATTATTTTTCGGACCGCTATCAGCTTAATTTTGTTGGACCGCTATCAGCTGTCAAAAATCTGACAGCAATTTCATTTAAATAATTTCAAGGTCGTAGATGAAGACAAGTTAAAATACAAAGTTTAAATGTAAATGGCACTGGCTTGTACAAGTTGATAATAAAGAGTAGAACACTCTTGAGTACCTCTCCATAGTCGACTACAAAAATTCCATGAGAATCTATCAATCCTGATCATTAATTTAGAATTGGTGAATTAAATTATAATAACAACTTCACAAATGGCACATTTTTTTGATTACTCACATGAACTTTGTACAAATTTTGAATTATTTACAATCATACATACTGCATCTGCGTACGAAGAGACGACTTAAGACATGATTTTAACAAAATATTTGTATGGAATATGTAAAGTTCAGTTAAACATTTATACAGTATTATTATAATTTTTCTAAGAAAGTGGTTAAAATGAACTTGAAATGCCCAGTATTAGGATGTATATTTAGCTATATAAAGTAATGGCGATCTTAGATACGGGTACTAATAATAAAAATAAATGATAGAACAACGTGCACTTACACAGAATTTATTGCGTTGTTTCTTCCTTACCATTAGATTAAGCGATGCAGAAGTCTTGACGCACAATATTAATTAGATAAAACTTACATTTTATTGTTAAATGCAAGTTCCCTATGTAACTCGCGCATATCCGGATTATCTCTTCCGGGGGGAAGGGGTTTGCGTGGAGTAATCAGCAAGCCAGTCGGGTCGAGATCATAGTGCACTGAATCCCTTGCAACTGTCCTGATATCCGGGTAGCTATCCTCTACAACCATTTCATCTGCAACAAGTTTAGAATTAGAAATAAAACAAAAGTTTGATAAAAGAGAGAGAATAACTTTTAAATTTGTAACAGCTATGAGGATTTGCAACATTACACACGATACAGTCGTGTATGAGAAGGGTTTTGTTTAATATAAGTGCTACAGTGAAATACCTACGTAGCCGAATACCCTCTTCCCTTTTGAAGTATTTGTGCCAAAATAAAGATCTTCAGACCGTACTCAGATTACAATATCTTTGCACATTTCGAGTACGCAAAATGACTTAATCATTTTAGCAAACTGCATAGGGCGTACGATTCGATCATTTTTTATAAAACTTCCGGCACCGGCATAATGCTGAGAACCGCATGCGCCAGTGCACAGCAAAAACAAAAGCCGACACGTAATGAGTACAATATAATCACATGCATGCAACCAAAATATTACCGAGCAAGCGGATTATTATACTTACAACAACCCGGCATATAGTTGTGCAGCCTATTAATACAGCTTGGTAAAGTTTCGGGCCCATCCTTTAAAATACTTGCACGCAATACTACTGAATACTGTTGTAAGCAAATTAAAAACAAATATAGATAGATGCAGCAAATATAGAACCACTACGAGTATACGTGCTGTAAAAATTAATGCTAAGCGTAAGATGGGCACAGACGGAAAATAAATTATTAAAATTAATACTTAGTAATCTTGCCTATAATAATTTGTAATTTGCCTGATGCCCCAGTTTCAAGAGTATTACGTACTTATAAGGCGCATATAATTTTGATTTACAATTAGCACAACACATCTCTAAGGAAGATCTATGCAGAACACTAATAAAAACATAAAACATGCCATAATTACTAATATCTACCCAGTTATTACTCCACTTACAATGTTATCACGGTATCTTTTACAGCTCACCTGATCGATTACAATGATACCATTGCCAATTATCGTAAAATGTTGCCGGTTTCTGTATAACCACAATATCACTAGCCGTAGCTCTGAGTTTATGTTTCTTAAAAGCTGCATGCCGCTTGTAATGCCGGTCAGCGTTGTTGCCGCTTTTGCAGGCTGACTCGGCAGCATCATCAACAAACTTAGATTTGCAGCGCGGAAAATGTACGGCGGATGTGGATAATGAATTGATGTTGCCCATCGGATAAGTTTAAACAGTATTCAGCCAATCTCAATTCCGAGCCACGGTCAAGTTCTCCTTACACCTCAGTCTCAAGGATCACTTGGCCAGAGAGGAAGCAAAAAATTGCTATATCAATTCACATCCAACACAGTAACACTAAACGTCTACATAGGGGATCCTTTGTGTATACAATCAATAATCAACTCTAACATTGAAGTTTAGTCAGATAACATTTGCTCTGTGCGACAAATCACTGTGCTGGGTTCAAGGTAGCTTTTAATTTTAAACAATCTGTGTAAATTGCTATGAGCACAGTGCTGCACTGGGTGATAGCTGCCATTCAGTCTAAAACGTAAAAGTAGCGAGTGAAAGCCGGGGATTAGTCGGATGTAAATCACCGGTGTGTAGAATGAGTGCTTACGTGATCTGCTTAGCATCTCATTAATTAACTTTCGCTACGGCCCAAGGAAACAAACTTGCCACCCGCACGCAACCTGACATAATTGCACGCTGCAGACTATAAAACTACTAAAGCGTTTAGGCTCACTTGCTTACACTTAATTATAAATATTGTACGTACGCACAGCCATGAAAAAAGCATTCTTCCAATTAGAATACCGACAAAGTGCTTTTGAATTTGCGCATGCTCATATAACCTTATTACATGTGTCAGATTTCAGATTCTCATTACCAAGTATGGTTAACTTTAATATCGGCAGATATTTTTCGAAAAATTTGTTGTTAATCTGATAGTAGAAGAAATAAATAAAAAAAACGTTTGAACCAGTTTATTTTAATGCAGGTTCTCATTTAGGCGCGCTTCGCGCATCCAAGTTTTAACAATATTATTCAGCACAGGAAGGTTGGTTGGTAGGCTCTACGATTGAACGACATAATTTGGGCGAGTTGCTGTCGATGGCAGTAACGGCAGCATCCCTGTACAATATTTAATGCCTATATATATATTAATGCCTATATTTAATGCCTATATAACATTATACAGATACTTTCGGTAGCCTAATTGAATATCTGCAATTACGCATACCCTCTGTTAGAGTTAAAAAAATGCTAACTTAACAGTTGTGGGCGATGCATATATTCTAATACTGTTTTCTATATAATACATTTAATATCTGTACAATCATAATGAAGTTAAAAACTAATGCAACATAAATTATATTTACACACCTGCAGGCTTGGCAATGGCCTTACAATTTTTTCCGTATCTTCAATTATACATCCTTGGTGCCAAACCAGATTTGGATGTTAATTTTAAATCATCTTGCAATACTCTTGCATCAATCAAGCATATCGAGCACAGTAAACTCATCTGCTGCCCCACATAAATCCACAAGTACTGAAAATAAATCAATGAGATTGAAATATGCCGGCAACCGTGAGCGTAAGATAACCAAACGTTGACTAATCATATAAATTTACAAAGAAAAACAGTGAAACAATTAATTCGATTGCTTTTGAATGTACGAGAACGTTAAAACATTTACGGAGTTAAGCGGCAAAATGGAGTAAGAAAACTCAGACGGATGATTACCGCATCAATGATTACCGCAATGATTACCGCATCTTCGAAGGGCAGTTAGACAATGAGGTACAGTAAGAATGGAAGTACCGATAATACTTTAACAAATTACACATTCCGCAACTTCCCGAGCACGCTCGGACTGATCTTTAGCAGGTCTTGATTTCCTCTTTAAACTTCTTAACGCATTTAGACGTCAGTCTGCGACAGTGAGCCAAAGGAGTTAGTAGCACTTGAGTTAACACTCTATTTTGCTAATAACTATTATTATCAGCTGCAGCGACCGCTGTTGTTGACTTTAGTTTGTTAACCGCAAAAATTTCGCTGTTCTACCTTACTAGCACACCGTTTTAAACCTGTTTATCTAGTGCCTACGATCTGTAATTTCCGGTCAAGTGCGAGAATTTATGGTCAAATTCGCTAATTCGGTTCTGTACGAATGATTGTACATATGTATGCATGTATACACGTAGCATAACCTCGGTTGTAGGCCACATCGCCAAAAATCCAAATTTACTTCAAAACAACATGTAGTTTGTGCTGACAAGCTTTTAATTTTAACTACGAATAATTAAAAATACTAACTTCACCTTGGTGTGATGGTGAACGATCCTTTTCCTCGCTTTCTTCGGATGGTTGCTCAGGATGTGACGTATCCACAGGTTCGGCATCTTGTGTTTTGCTGAGCTTGGACGACAATGTTTTCTTTAGTTCGGTTTGTATGGAACGCAGAAGCTCTTTCTGTGTAGGTTCCACTTTATTAAACTGAGGCTCGACTGCACTTTCTGAATTTGTTGATACTAAAAAGTGTAATAATTTAGCGAGATCTCTTGATGACTTGCGTAATGCTTATTCGTTTATATATAGAAGCATGCTTAATGGGAGCCGAAGGAAGCAGGCCAACAGAATCGATTGACCTTGAAACTGACCACGTACAATCCAAACGATCACACATCGAAGTTTGAACGAAAACAGGATATTTGTGCACAACAGTTTGCAAAAATCTGAACCGCGTGAGTAGGACTAAATTAGGCAATCATTCGTTATAATTACCAATTATCGTTAATTATTGATTATCATTTAAAAAATACGCAACCACCCAAAAAACCTTTTCTTAAAAGTTAAACCTCAGTCAGAAATAAACGTTAGTCCTAACAGTGTGATTGGGATACCAAAGCCTAAATGCACGTAAACGTTAACTGATTACGAGTTCATTTGAAAGTGTGACCGCGGGGTTCCATTAAGATAAGGAAATGGCTATAGGTGCCCCCTTTCACCCCCGTTATCTATAGGCACCCCCTTTTGCATCCACTAGGCTAAAGGCACCCCTTTTCGATTAATTAATCCCTGCACCCCGTCGCGTGCGAAGCTATAGGCAACCCCCAATTATCCGTTGCTTTGTTTTTAGCTTGAATTTTCTTGGCCTTAGAGAATTTTCAGAAAGTCGTTGCACTACCGGCTCTGAATCTTTCAACTTGTAATAATGTGACTTCTGCAGCAAGAACGGCTCTGTAATAATAATGTCTGACAGTTCTGTAATACGTAGCCCATCCGAAGAAAATCCACGATCTTGCAGAACTACCGCCTAAGCGATTCGTAAAGGCGGCTACCCGTCTCAGCGAAATTTTGGTTCACTTTATCAACTCGCTATAAACAAACCTGGAACAAAAAGAACTGTCAAAAACTCTTCGTCAGTCCTCTGGGAAAAAAACTAAAAATGGGTGCCTGTAGTCCGCAGAAAAAAACGGGGTGCGAGAATTATCTAATAAAAAGGGGTGCCTATAGAAAAATAGGGTGCAAAAGGGGTGTCTATAGCAAACTGGGGTGAAAGGGGTGCCTATAGTTCACCCTTAAAATAATTGTAGCTTGCAATTAATAATATTGTATTTATGATAGCTAAATTTGCATGGCGCAGGCCGAAATTAAGGCGTCAACAGAAATTTAAACCGGCTAGCGCTTACATTAATTATTTATAAGCAGCAACAGATTGTGAGTAATTCGACTTACCTTCCATTTCAAAGCCTTCTGATTTTCAGAAAAGAGCAATTTAAACCAAACTTTCCCGGCGACAGCCGTTAAGCTATTGGTGAATAGCGCAAAGTGAGGTGACGGTGAGAAGTTATCCAATGCGCTACGAAATGGTTGTTTATTAGTAATGGTGCGATCGGATCTTGGGTTAGTAATCAGAAGAGCCAAGGCAAAATTCCATTCAGCTAACGTTTTTTGCAAAAGTTTCCAGAGTCCAATATACAATGTGGTTAATGGAAGCAGGATAGATAAAAGTGGAAGACAGAATTAATTAGGCTGTTGTACAGTCCATTTCGACAAAACCTGATTTCAAAATGTCAGTTATAAAACGATATCGTATGCCCGCAAAGGTTTCGAAATTAAAACATTTGATATAGCACGATATAAAGAAATAGTACACATACGATACACTGATAAATGACTAAAATCGCTAATCGCTCTGTGACAGTTAGTCAGCTTATTATTCTTTGGCTGATGTAAACTGATAAAAAGGAAGTTGATGATAAGGGACAATTCCCATGGTAAGCACTAAGCACATATACAAGCCCGTCCGGAGTTAGAGCACGATAAAGAACAGCTAACGCATAATAAGCGCGATATTAGCGCTTAGTCGATAGCCACTGCACTACAGTTGGCGCAACTCATTAATTTACATTGTTCGCTGTTCTCTATCGTGCTCTAACTCCGGACCGGCTTGTATTGCGACGTCTTCATTACACACAATACACAACAAGTGCGTTCTGCAGTATATCTCGTGTGCACCAACCTAAATTCCATATATGCACAGGTATTTGCGGGAACACGTTGGTTTCTAAGTCTATAATTTTTCGGACTGCCAAATCAGGTAATCCTTATCATCAAAAATGCGGTTGTAGTTGGGCTATTGTGGGGCGTCGTGTAGTAAAGGCCGATATGCAGTGATAAGCATTTATTTACACTGTGCTGTTGGTGTTACTCAAATTTGTCCACATTCCATGCACACCTTATAACTATTGCACGTTTGATTGTGGATATTTGGGTAGAATTAGCTGCATAAAACCGACGCTGAACTTTTAATCTCTTGTACTTAGTAATGTTTGCGTAATAAACTTACCGACAGGAATTTTGTGTTGTCGTAAAGTTTATGCTCGTTCGCAAGTTTCCAATTTCGGGGACTTGCTAGTTGCTACAGGTGCTGCATGCGATGTATACTTTCAAGATGTCTTGACACCCCAAACTCTTTGCTTAAGGTCATAAGTACTCTGTATATGTTTTTACTGTGACGTGTGCAATAACAATTAAAATGCAGAAACTCAAAATGTGTAATAATGTTTGGACTAAGGATCGATTGTCGCTGTAATAATGAAAAAACTTAAGGTGGAACAGCTGTGGCGCAAAGGTCATTCATTTGGCCCTCATTAATGTCCGTTTAACAAAGACTACTGCAGTCATCCTAATTTCCTTGTTTCCAGAAGAGAGTTTAAGGAATACAGTTGAGTAAGAAAATCTGTTGTACAAGACATCGTTTAAGTCTGAATGCAATGATATCGATAAATCCAATTTTGGTTGTATGAGCCCTTCAAATGCTTCAGTACGTGTTCGAATAGTTTTATGGAAAGCAGTGACTGCAATTAATATTATGCAATTATACTGCAGATCACTGTTGCGATTGTGATAACATTTTCTATCCCCTCGCCAAAACTTTTTTTGCGCAGTAATGCTGTACAAGTATGCGCTATCATATATAATCAGGTTGTCATTATTATTTCTTACTAATTAACAGAATAAATTATTAATAAAAATTATTATTCTCATCATTCTCCCACGACAGGGGACTGTAAACTGTTCGGTCTTCGGTGTTCAGCCCAGTACACGTAAATACTGGAATGAGCGGCAGTTTCTTTGTGAAGGAGTACGCTGCACTTGTAAGTAAACATCAGTCCGACCAGCCTATTTAAGGCGGTTACGTACACGCTACACAGTAGCGGTTTACGGTACACTTGTTTTTTTGTCACGGTAGTGAAGTACTATAGCGGACAAATTCGAATTTTGCTTTTCGAGGTAGTTTTAGGTACTTCGTAGTTCCGCATATTTATGAATAGCTGTTGAAGTAAGAAATTAAAGAGCAAGGCTTCCAGTCGATAATCGACTTTGTTATTGTCGCTTCGCTTCGCTCGGATTGTTTGGAAAATGCACAAGTCTAACTGTGAGCGCGACTCACAATCCAAACGTGCGGACGATAAGGATCAGAGCAGCGAGGCCCTCAAGATCGATTTCGGATTTACACCACCCTTTGAAGTACCTCTAGAGCCCTTGGTCGAAATTTTTAATTCGTTAGCAGTCCACGGGGCATTTCCACGGGGCTGTGGAAAGATTACGGTTTCCTCGGCAGTGGTGCGAAAATGGGTTTCGAACCGTCGGAGCGACTGCACAGTGGAGCGAAAATGCCCATGTTAGGTTTGGGCACTTGGCAGGTGAATTTGCTGCTCTGGTCATGACATCTTCTATGACGCTGTACATTCGAGTACTGTGAATTCATCCTGCAATCGTTGTACCTAGTCGAAACCAAATGAAGTTCGTGAAGCCGTCGAGTACGCCATCGATATCGGCTATCGACACATCGACACCGCTTGCACATACGGAAACGAGAGGGAAATTGGCGATGCCTTGAAGAAGAAGATTGGCGAGGGAGTGATTAAACGTGAAGATGTTTTTGTTGTTACCAAGGTAGGTTTTCGGGTAACGATCGAGACAAATCTCAAAAATGTTTGCTCGAATAGCTTTTCTCAGATTTGAGAACTTTGTACTGTAATAGTGTAAGGCGTCTACTTAAATCTTTCCATTTGCAAAATATTAACTTTAAATCCGTAATTTTGAAGTATTAGGTAAACTAGTTGATTTCTTGGAGCTTCGCGAGCATCATTAATTTTGTAGAGTTGCTGTGTGTGGTCTGGGTTATTTTTACGTTATGGCGTTTAATCAGTTTTTGCTGTTTGATTTTTTCAAAACTGTACTGGTTATGATATTAGTTTGGTTTATTTTTGTGTGTTATTGAAATTGCTGGATGCACACTTGCACAGATGTCTACTTCTGCTCTGTATATTGTTGAGAATGTTGATCTAAATAATTTTACACTGATTGAATTACAGCCAAAATAATTACAGTCAAAAGCACTATTTACAGTAAATGCAGTCAAAACACTACTTTTAAAACATTAAATAATTATGGTCAAAACAATGTTTTGTTTCGTTTTATATTAACCCTGTTAAATTGTATTTTATTATTGCAGTTGTGGAGCACATATCATAAACCTGAAAATGTTCTGAAAGGGTTGAAACTTTCTCTGGAAAAACTGCAGCTAGATTATGTGGACCTGTATCTGATTCACTGTCCGGTGGGAGTCAAATTTGTTGGTATGGTACAAATGACAACTGCAAATCTTTGTATGAGCGGGAATTAAAAGCTCATCGGGTGTTGTGCAGATGATAACACGTTCTTCCCAAAGGACGATAATGGGAACACTTTAGTGGAAAAGATGGATCACTTGGCAGTCTGGAAGGTGATACATGTAAAATCAGCGCTAGCATGCTGCAGTGCTTGCAGTTCACACGAATTGTTGATTGTATTTTGTCCTGACGTGATATGACATAAATTTGTAGCGGTTTCTGCTTTTCTTTATCGGCGCTCATCGTAGGAAAATTATTGAATGCTTTTAAATTTCAAGGAACTGGAAAAGGCGGTCGACCAAGGTCTGGTCAAAGCTATCGGATTATCCAATTTCAGTAAAAGACAAATTCAGAATATTCTGGACAACTGCCGAATTAAACCAGCAAATCTACAAGTGAGTTGCATCCCGGTTTGCTCCGATGGAAATGTGCAGTTGTTCAACCTTATTTAATTCGTTCGGAAGATGCAGCGATATGGAAGGAGTTCTTACTACTTGTTAAACGCGTTTTCGTGCTTTTTTTCAGGTGGAATGTCATGCGTATCTGATGCAAAACCCTTTGTACGCGTATTGCTACAAAAACGGAATCACTTTTACAGCCTATGGTAATGTTGTGACTGACAGTGACCGGAGATTTTAAAATCTGGTACATGTTTTGCAACTAACCGTAAGCTTCGATCAATTTATCTGTACATCCAGTCATTTTCCGATTAACTGGCATCGCTTTTTATTGATGATTTGGCACCAAAAGTTTTGTGTCATTAAATTTTTGTCCAGGGCCACTTGGTTCACCCGATCGCGTCACTAAACGTCCCGGGGATCCTGTTTTACTGGAAGAGCCAAAGCTGAAAGAAATCGCGGACAAGCACAAGAAAACACCGGCACAAGTATTTAAGCTTCTGCTATCGCATATGACTTTTTTTCAATTTGATTCCTCATTATCTGTGCAGATTCTGAATCGCTACCTTATCGAGCGAGGCCGGATCACCATCCCCAAAAGTGTTAACCGCGAGCGGATAAAGGAAAATTTCGATATCTTGAATTTTAAACTGACAGATGAGGATTTGAAGCATCTGGATAGCCTCAACAAGGACATTCGCTACTTTCAGTTTGACTTGTAAGTACCGGTACAATTCCTTAATTGTGACTTGCTGTTCATTTTACTCATGTCGAGTTGTTTATAGTGTCCGTGATTCGGAGGATTATCCTTTTGCTGATCCTTACTGAATGTTTGTTTGATGCTTCGATGACGTTACTCTCGGTTACGGTATTGCTGACGTCTCGTACTCGTTATTTTGATTGGATTGTTTTGTGTTTCAGAATCATTCGATTTCTTTAGTATTCTTAAAGCATCCACTCATTACACTTGTACTTATAGTAAAGAGATTAGAAAATGCTTGAGCTGCATTGATAGTTTCGTTTTTTATGTCGTAAACCTGTACTAGTAACCAATAAACAGCACGCATGGCTGGAATAGTAATTATGTTCTTGAATTGTACAATTTACGACTACAATTGAACTGGTATCTCCATTAATTAATATTAATAATTAATATAATTATTGTAGGTTAGGTACGTACTTAAGTACAGTTATTAAAATAATGCATTACTCTTGCCGTCGCTGCATGGGGACAAATTCTTGTGAGCTGAAAATATTACATTGAAGCTCTCGGTATCCAAGTTAGACACAACTTTCCTGCCTGTTGTATGCAAGCTGTTCCTTTCCTTGGTTCAGCTATAACTTGAAAGTTTCTGTTGGGAAACATGTCCGTTAGACCGGTTTCGCTTTTGCGAATAAGCGCACTTTGATGTGCGAGGTACGGTACTAATACGTGTGTAAGCTGGGCGTATAAAATCAAACAGCTGAGGTTCGAGTTTCGAACAGTTTGTACTGTATCGTCTGTATACGACTATTCGATTTAGTATACAGTACTCGAGTCACTTACGTTGTTAGTAGTACCGTAGTTTAGAATGTGAGTTCCTGGCGCGTCACGCAGCCATCCTGGAAATCTTATCAATACCTTGCAAGCTGCCACCAGGCGCAGGTTTTGACAATGCAGCACTTTTCGCCGGCGTTATTGATTGTGCCACTACGTTATCGATTTTGCTAGGCTGACTTTTTCTGCTCGTGAGGCGGCAAGCGAAGTGATTCGACATTTTTATATCTGCGGTTGCGGCGATTGCACGGCTGAAGGTATCGTGCTAATTGGATTTTTTTAGCATTAGCAAAGCCGCAACACGCTTTTTTTTAGAAATTCCAAAATGGTTAACTTCGAGCCTTCCATTACCCTGAACAATGGGCAGAAAATGCCCATGATTGGACTTGGTACTTGGCAGGTAAGAACTTCCATGCTGTAAAAATCTGCTCCAGATTTTTTGCGCGAGCGTAGGCGTTTTTGATTGTGCGCTTTAATTAACTCAATCTGAAATATCGTGTGCGCAGATACATATACAATACTATATGTGAGTGTAATGCCGGTGTTTTATTTAAGTCGTCCGCGTTACGTATTCTTGGGCGAAATGTTTTCAGTGCTAAAAATGAAAATACTTTCTTATGTTTTTTTAACGTCGGTAATTGTTGAAAGTTTGAAAATGTTGTTTGTGCAGTATTAATTCATTGCAGTCCAAACCGAATGAAGTGAAGCAAGCGGTAGAATACGCTCTGGACATCGGCTACCGTCACATCGATACGGCTTTCGTGTATGGCAACGAAAAAGAAATCGGCGAGGCATTGAAAAACAAGATCAAAGAAGGCGTTGTTAAACGGGAAGATGTTTTTATCGTGACAAAAGTAAGTACTGCACAATTAAAGTAGTTTTGTAGAGATCTTTACGGATAGATCCATGAAAATCAAAGTGTTACACAAACCTGCAGCTGGTTTGCTTATATTGCTAATTTCACGTTCGTTAGCTATGGAGCACTTATCATCGTCCGGAGAAAGTGGAAGAAGCCATTAAGAAATCCTTGGCCAATTTGCAGCTCGACTACATTGATTTGTATTTGATTCATAATCCGGCGGGTGCTAAATTTGTCGGTAAGTTGCAATAATTCATATTTTGCGTCCACTTGAATGACTTCAGATTATATTCTATCTTTTAATCAGCAATGAATACCGTTTATCGGCATGGAAATTGCAGTGTTGCAGAATTAATTAAATCGATGCAACAACTTTTTCAGATGAGCAAACTCTTTTTCCCCGAGATGCGGATGGAAAGGCAATATATGAGCGCACGGATCATGCTTTAATCTGGAAGGTAACCACAGCAGAAATCTAACATTAATATCTCCCTACCAACCAGCTCACTGTCAGATTTCTGCAAAAACTTAGTTACGTATCTGTGCAGCATAATTAAAATTAAAAGCAATATTTGCTGAGTTTATGACTTGGCGCGCTTTAACTTTTCTTAATTTCTGTTAGTGTATTACCGGCAAACTGATTACAAGTGCCAAATTTTAATTTGCTTTGTTGACACACAGTTATTCAAGCATAAGAACTGGAAAAATTCAACGATTAGCGCAGCGCTAATCGTTGAATTTTTCCAGTTCTTATGCTTGAATATGCTTATATTATTTCATAAAGAAAATTTATTATATTTGTGCAGGAAATGGAAAAAGCAGTTGATCAGGGATTGATTAGGGCGATTGGGCTTTCCAATTTTAACAAGCGACAAATTCAGAACGTGATTGACAATGCGCGAATCAAACCGGCCAATCTGCAGGTTGGAATATGCACCTTTTAATATTCTCACTTGTCGGATCAGACGTAATAATTATGACTAATACAATTTATGCGGTATTGCATAATGGAAGATTGCTTTCAATAGGTGGAATGCCATGCGTACTTCATGCAAAAGCCGTTGTACGAATACTGCAAACAGAACGGAATTACGCTTACGTCTTATGGTAAAAACCGGCTTAATTGTCAATAGGGACACCTTCCTGGATGTCCTTGTTGACAACAGCGCATCATTATGGAATTAATAACGAAAAACGTTTTTGTTAATTCTGTTAGGCCCCCTTGGTTCACCTACACGAATGACGATTAATCCCGATGATCCCGTTTTGCTGGAAGATCCACTTTTGCAAGAAATATCGAAAAAGTATAACAAAACACCCGCACAGGTAAATTCATGCGCCGCTTATTCTGATAAGAAAACAAATAAATGCAGTTATGTTGTTTCACGTTACAGATTTTGAATCGTTTTTTGATTGAACGAGGACGAATCACCATTCCCAAAAGCGTTAACAAAGACCGGATAAAGGAAAATTTCAATCTTTTTGACTTCAAATTTGAAGACGGCGATTTGGCGAAAATGGATTCACTGGATAAAAACCATCGTTACTTTAAGTTTGAATTGTACGTTCATTACATTTACCTTTTGCTTTGTGTTACGCAAAATAATGTTTATGTATTCCGTACAAGTTAGCATTAGTTTTGCTTTCTTTGTACATGATCTCTTTTTTGAATTGCAGCGTGGGGGATTCCGAAGATTTTCCTTTTCACGATCCGTATTAATCCGTTGGTGGCCGCTGGCGCAGGTTTTCATTTGCACACCTGCACGTTTGAGGAATCGGCCGTTACTTCGCGAAGCGAAGAATTATCAAGTCTGGAAGTTTTTTATGTGTTCTAAGATGGAGGCAATAACTAAGCAGTATGGAAATATAACGATGTTGATTAAAGTCGATATTTGTGGAAAGGCAGCTCCTGTTTTGTCCACTCATGAATAATTTTTGCACGAAGCTTTACTAATGAACACTACTATCGGTGCCTGAATGGTTAAAGATGGTTTAGTCCCCGTTCTTGAATTTATGCGATTCATAAACCAATAAGTCTCTGTGAGCGTCGAAACGGATCGCAGAGTCGTACCGCACAAAATATGTAAATTTATTAAGATTTTGCTTCATTACGGCTACGGTAGAAATATGTACAGGTACGCCGTACCGTACACCTAATTAAAAGTAAACTATATACTGTTTTTGTTATGAGACTGCTAGTCAGTGTTTTAAGTTTCTATAAGCGATTGTTATATGAACAGAGGAACAAAGTCATTCCAGTTAAAAATATTGCAGAATAGTAAATAGCCTAAATTGCAGAACTGATGATCATTTTGAATTGGCCGTACAATGCCGGTGGCGATTGAATTTAAATGTACACATTTGCCGTACGTACTCATACGACCGTTGTAGCTATACAATTTTCGTTCATGCATATGGCCGCTTTGATCCTCGTCGCATTGACAAATCCAAAAGCGAATTAAATCGCTTCCGATGTAGTTTTTCGGCAGTGGACATTGTTGACGGTGATAGTGTACTTATCACCTGATTGGTTGTCACTTCCGGTATAATGCTTTTACCGGTTCGATCCGATTGCAGTGTTTCCCCGGTATTCACCAGCGGCATTTGGGAGGTGGTAAACGTTTCTGTGAAAAATGTTGTCGTTGATGGCAGTGTAGTGGTCAACAACTCTGGCGTATTGAATCCGACTATCGATGTTATTGTGATGCGCTCAGTGGGTGCAATGGTTGTCTCTGCTATCACGTTATCGACGGACGCGGCGAATGTCTCCCCCGGGCGGTTTTCCAGGGCAGCTGTGACCCCTTCCGTCGTGGTAGTCAGAAGCTGGTTTTCCGGTTTCGTATGGGTATCCCAACCGGAAATGACGTCAACAATACCCAAGTTGACCGGCTTATGCGTTACCGGCAACGTGGTCATTTTAATACTGACGGGAATCAGTGAGGGAGTTTCTGTGGTTTCCAGCGAGCCTGTTGTCGTGGTCGTACTACTTGGTAACGTCGTTATTGTGGTTCGTCGTTCCGTTGATGCTCTTGTTATTTCCGTTGTCGGCGTCAGTGTCGTTGTAGTTAAATATGTGGAAAAAACGTCGTTATATGTCGGCTTTTTTGCTAGCTTTTGAAGCTTTTTCAGAAAATATGATCGCGGTGGTGGTGGGGCTTTAGCGTATACGGGACGAAAGAGCGGATTGGAATAGTCACCCAATTCCGTGACCGGAAGTAGCACAAAGGGCGTAGTCGTGTGAGTTGTGCGCCTCGCCGCAGTGGTGGATGGAGTTGTGCTGGTATCGCGAAGGAAAGCGATGCTTTCTTTGAAAAAGAATGGAAGGGATATCCATTGGCCGTTTTTGTGAAAGAGGTCTACTGTTAAATCTTCATTGGATGCCGGTTCCTTAAAAATAGAGTACGGTGCATAGATGCTGTTGTCTTCGATATCTTCATCGAAACTTCGAGATTCGAGGTCGTGACCAAGGTGGAAGCCAACATGCGAACTGCTCCACTCATCCGAGCGTGCATCTAAGGAGGAAAGGAAACCGATGGGAAATAAACACTGATACAGGAACGTAACGGGATAATTTTATTAAATTAAAAACACCGGCTGGGGACTCGATTATAAGTTGCTGTTTATTAGATCAGGTGACGACCGCCTTCGAAAGTTTGGCCGTCTTGTTAGAATAAACTGCACAGCGCACACAACTTCATGAATTACGTTTAAGCTGCTTCCGTAACGTCCTGACATTTCGAGCAAACTTTATTGTGTGTGAGGAATTAGATTCTAACAATGCTTTGCAAGATTTTCAGTACTGCTCCATAAATACGCCAAGGTCAAAGTCGATGTACTGCACTTCCGGTGGAACTCTGATCATTCTACAGATGATTTTGTGTACGAGTACAGGTAATGATAAACTACACTAGACTCTCTTGGTACTTACTATGAATATTACAACAATGAAGTTGGTATTGAATTAGAAGGTTACGAAATTTGTAAACAGAACGAATTCTATAAAATTTATTAGGTCTGTGTATTTGTAATTCTATTCTAGATCTGAGGACATTTTACGTGGAGAAGAGCTCTATCGCACGGGTAAAAAAGCTTGCATTAAAATAGTTATCACAGGTTCCACTCTGTGATGGAAACGAATCCTCGGACTCAGGGAATATTACGAATAGTGTATTATGTGTTAGTATTATGTGGGTGTTGAATGAAAAAATATGGCTTACCAGTTTTACGTATCGGAGGCTTGGTTGTGGTGGTCGGAGGTGTTCCAAAATTCTTTATTAAAGTACCTTCAAGAGCGCGGGCATAGTTTGGCATGAAACCAAAAGGAGTGTAAGATAAATAGTCCGTCGAATGGCTGTGTACCTGCGCAAAGCTTACATTTAATAACTCTTTCCATCCATTTTAGAGTTTTTTTGGGATAAAAAATGCACTAACCTGTAATAGCCTCATTGCCGTACAAAAAGATGTTAAAACTAACAACATTTTTAATGTTTTAACGTCTTTAAGATTTAAGGAAACAAGTTAGCAGCAGCTCAAAAACATATAACGATAACGATACACTCAGTACTTGTGAATAAGCGCCATGGTGATGGACACCAGCTGCATAAAACTTTTAAAAGGCGATAACAGATTTCTGAGCTTTTCAAACGAAGTATCCATGCGGAAAGGAATGACCGGCAAATAAAAGTAAAGGCTACTCACGAGCAAAATTACTAGTTGAGCTACCGGTGGCTGTAGGGCAATTTTCCAATCAACTGGACAATGGTTTGCTGCACCTGACCATGTGTGTATATATTTCTTTCGCGCGCGCGACACTCCGAATAGCAGGTCTATGTTTGATATGGGTACGTATATAATATATACCGCTGCTATACGTATACCGCACATTCAAGTCATGCGTGTGCCAAAACTGACTGTTTCACTGATCGCAAAGTCGGTATCATTCTATTATATTTATTGTAAATTATGAATTTATGACACTAATAAACTGTCACAGACTTGGTGAAACGTTTTTTTGCCACGGTCAGCGTAGTGAAAGGTCATCGCTGAAAGCGGAACTGCATCACATCGATGCGTTAACAATAACAAATACATATACGCTGTCGGGAAACATTTCTTTGTTTAAAATTTCAGATTTCAGATATTCTTTACAAAAACTAGGATAGCATTGGAAATCAACATACAGTAATTATATAAATATTTGTTAGGGCAGGAAAAAAAATGCTGGGTGGTGTTTTGATATATAGTCAGCTAAACGTCGCTGGACTGCAAACAAATGCTTTCTAACAATAACCCTTCGATATCACTTCTTGAATTCGTATGAGCATGATTTTGTAGTTGAAGTTTTTCAAGAGAAGATAGATGTGCCTGAGTGAATAGTTTATTGTGCGTGAAAAGATAATGATGGCTTCTTGCTGTGCAACAAGACAAAACGCGCCGATCAAGGTATTTGACCACTCTACCATAAAATAAACAGAAAAATACCCGGCGCAAAATGGAAACTTGGACCTGTGGTCATTCACCTAATATACAGTGAATTAATAAGCTCAAAATTTGCATTTTGCGAGTAAGGCTTGTTGGTGGTTAATGGACTAACATAGGATATTAATTTAAAAAATTTTCATTTTCGGTAAACCACTTCGACAGTTTAGCATTTCTGATAAAATGCATACATAAAGTAATTGGGCAAATGCATCGTATATTATATGCAAAAAAATTTTAAATTCTTAATTCGATGCACTCATTGCAGCATATGAAACCCAGGAAATTTTTAAAAAGTGCTAATACCATAAGTATTTACTTTTTACGGTTCAGTTAGTTCGCACCTCGATATACTACAAGATAAATACGGTACTTCAATAATTCATAATTGTGGTAATGGAGGCATGAATTATGACCAGATAACCGCACACATGAGATGATGAGACGGTACGGTATTGCGAGTTGTCAGTTCTGTAAGTGCTATCTTTTGATTGTTTAGTTAACCGCACATTATCAAACACAGCGACCGAGTTATTATTCAATAAAACTAGATTTGTCATGAAAAAAAACCTTCTCCCTGTCAGGTGTACACATTTGCATGTTTACCCTCTGCTCTACGCAGCGCTTATGTAAAAGTAGTTTTGCATTCATAATAGTTTTTACAAAGTATACATCTCTGATATTGGATTTGCAGCAAACCGGCGGCTGCCGCAGAATTGAACAATCTGGTATCTTTTTCTGTCGTAACAATCGGCGTGGATTCTGTATTTCCCAAAAACGATCAACACGCTAAAGAGGTGTAAAGTGTAAACCAGAGCTCTTTTGGGTTGCAGCACTACAACCCAGCAGTATACTAGTAAACCCTTATTTATGATACGGCGCGATAACAGCATAAAATAACAGAATGCGTTGTTGTAAAATTTATCATTCGATTTTATGTAAACACGATAAAAACTGCTCCAACGTAAAACAAGAAACAATGGCTTTGTAATCGCAGGGTATCTTCAGCTATATGGCTGCATAGCTGGTATTATTGTTTAATTTTACATGCGCTATAACGATACGAGTTACAACGTGGAGTATACACGATACCAGTTTAGTCTACCTGCAGCCGCTTTAATAAAATAGGCTAATGTCAATGTACATCTAAACCACAGCGTTATGTAAGCGTTTCTCACAACATGTTGCTGGACAAGATGTACTGGAATTGTTATTTGCATAATTTTGATTAAGATGTTCATCTCGCTAGCTGATTAAAGGAAGCGCGGCAGTCGTGCCATATATTATCTACCAACGTGCCGGCGTACGTTATGTTTTGGCTGCTCGAACGCGGCATATGTAATACCTACAAGCGGTTGCGCAGTCGACTTTTTAGATTATAGTTGCATTTTAATTTGGCACCACGGAATGGACGACCCTGGTAAAGTAGGATTTACTTTCCCATGGGTAAGCCGAACAAAGCTGCTTTATGGAACCCTCAAATACTGGGAACATTTGACCGCCAGCGATCGCCCACCGTTTCCGTCGCATTCCTGCACTGCTGTCGAGGGACGACTGTTTGATAATCAGCTGGAAGAATGGTCAGAAGATCAAAGATGGACCGATTTCGTCTCACTATCCGTTCAAGCAAGTATTACTGGCTATGCACTCATTAATTTAGCCAGCGCAGCTTCGTATACTGTATACTGCAATGTCTACAATATTTTTAAAAATTGCAGTGTTATCTTCAAATTTTCTTAATCTCTAATGTCCCAGTGGGGAACAACAGTTTTTACAGCGGTTTCAGATGTGGTGAATTCTTACTTGGTTCGCTAATTGATTTGACGATTTGATTTTTCTTACTTCATTCGGTTAAATTGATTTGGTGCAATGTTCGTTCATAAGATTTTTTTGCTTACAATATGAATAGCGCGGTAATAAAACACGCTACAAAAACCTGACGTAGCCAATACGTGAATACGTACGCTCTGTAAATAAACAAGTATCGGATTTAGGAGAACATGGATGATGTACAAAAAGGACAACAGGAAGCTATTTGGGAATTAATTTCCACAGAAAGGCGTTACATTGAACGGTTGGAAATTCTTCGAGACTTTTGGCGACCGGCACTAGAAGAGGTCTATCGTCGCCATGATTTTGTCATAACGGTAACTAAAACATACACCTTTTTAAAGCGTATTTAGCATACCTGCTTACCATTAGGTAGACTACTGTTTTTCGAATTCACTTGAGTACGTGACTTACAGTCAGTCTAGCAATTTTTTACTTCTTAAATTCTCTTTTTTAATTTTATATGTTAACTGCTTCGAAAACGATTATCGTTGCTATTAATCTTAATCTACAGTAACGATATAATCATGGGCGGGAACTACGAAAAATTTTATAGCGCATGATTCAAAAGCGGAAATCAAACGTGCACTCCTTAGATTTTTGTTATCGCTGTTGCCTATATTTCCCAGTTTGTTTCATATGTGTTGTCGATTTTACAAAATATAATACAGCATTACAATTGTAGTATTGTACTCGATTACTCGTATATGTTATCACTCAAGTCAGACTTCGTTATAAACTGATAGCAATATGCACTTTGACTGCTGCTGCAAGTATCTGTACTGCGAATACCAATACTTCGAAGTATCTATATTCATGGTTAATTGGTTATGAACTTGTGATAACTTCTTAGCCGGCTGATTTGGATAAAATTTTTGGATGCCTATCGGATGTGTACACAGCACAGAAGCGATTATGGCACGAGTGTTTCAGCGCCATTTTGGCACAAACCAAAAGCACCGGATTGCCGCTAAATCCTGGACTGTTAAAAAATGGATTTCTTAATGTAAGTGGAAAAAAATGAAAGCCGGTGTCAGTACGTACAGCAAAGCTACAATATAGTACCTGATTATTTTGTAGCTGAAATTTCCAGTCATGTAAAAAGACGTTGTCCTTTTACATGACTGGAAATTTCAGCAACAAAAGTTTGTGCAAGGCGGAGAATTTTTATTCATTACACGACCATGCATAATAATGATATTAAGTTTTTGCGCAGATGAAAACCTACTTTACTCCATACGTGAAATACTGCTCGGAATTCCACCAAGCAGACAACCACTTGAAAAAGCTCATCCAAGCAAATGAATACCTGGGAATAGTTTTGGAGGTACTTACATAATAAGGATATATTTACTCCTACAACCACAGCTGCACGTGTTATGAACTGCAGTTGCGTGATATTAATTGTTAATTTCACTATGCAAGTATCGGTTTTGATTTTTAAATAGTGGTGCAAAGAACAACCGCAAAGCGAGCGACAGCCTTTGAACAACTGGCTGTTTGTACCGGTGAATCGCATAACAAAATATTCCCTGCTTTTGTCGGCGATATTGAAAAAGACGGCAGACGAACATCATCGGCAGATCTTACGGAAACTCATCTCCAAAATCGATCAGTTTGTCAAAGCTATCAACCGTGAAACATGGGAAATTCAGGAGAAAGAAAAACTGGATGCAGTGTCTGAGCGAATTATCATGTATGATATTTTCGTATCACCCAGCGAAGAAATATCTGAGGTATAAAATTCAGCATTACAGTCGGCAATTTTTAATTTGCGATAATATAGCACGATATTTTCAACTTTTTTTCACTACAGGTGCTGAAAAAATACGTTTCAACAAATTTTCTGAATAAATTCCAACAATCAGCCACTTCGCGCCGCTTGTTTCTGCGCGAACTGAAGAATATTCGTGTGGAGAATCTGGATGATACCGGCAAATGGATTGGCACGCACTTGATTCTATTCTCGGATATTATGCTGGTGTGCCGACAGATCAGAATCAATGGCGTTCGCCGCCTGAAGATTACACGACCAGTGATACAATTAAGTCAACTGCAGATGCATCCCTTACGAAAGCCGGGTTCATATTTAATGGTCATCACAGATCCGGCACTGGATATCGCTTATGATGGATTTGTCGTGTCACCAACTGGCAAAGCAGATGTCGTGATCAATTTCATCGAAGACACCACAAAGGCTAAAGTGAGAAAAATCTGCATAATTATTTCACATTACGCAATTCAAAATAGATATCAAAAGTTATAATTTATGACTGCTGATAATGTGATAAACATTTTTTTATCGGTCAACGTATAAAGTCAATCAGTTGCAGTACGTGGCTTACTGTGCAAACACGTATTTGTACCCCATTAACCATAGTACACATGTTAACTACAGCGCTTCATACCATGCAATAAATCATAATATGAGCAGCTAAATCAGTACGATAATTCTACGAACACAAGTACCTGTGTAAAGCTTAAAAACTGTTGCAGAAAGCGGTGATCGAAGGAGCTACAGTGCTGTTAGACACCGTTTCCGATCGGATAATTGCCGGTGCAACACAGGAATTTCCCAATGATGACGACGTGGAAGAGGAGGATCCCCCAGAAATCGGGCAACGGCTGGCGTCGAAAGCAGAAACGCCGGATGAGAAAGGTCAACAAATCGGCGACCCGACCCCGGTGCAGCTGCCAAATGGTTATTCTAACCCGATTTTACCGCATGATAGTGATCTTTCTGTAATAAATGCGCCGGAAACCCCTCCCGATGACGATCAAGCGAAAATCGGCGACGTCGAAACTATGGAAAGTAATACCGACACAGTCGAGCCTAAAACCGATCGACCATCAGTCAACCCCAAATTAATTAAAGTCCGATCAATAACCATCGACGGCAGCCTCCTGGATTCTCCCACTGAAACCACGCCCAATCTGTCTCCCCGCACACCGATTTTCACTCCAAAATTTCAGTCCCAGGAAGACGTTTCGCTGCTTTCCATCCCGAATTCGCCAGCAATCAATCGCTTCTCATCCAACCGAAATTCACAAGACCTTAACAACCAACCGAAGACCAGTTTTTTCGATATGTTCCGCATGAAAAAGCGACACTCCGATATTCCCGTGCAAAGTAAACCGAACGATCCGCCTACAGTGTTACCGCCCGGGCTGGCCAGAAACGATACCATGAAGTTGGCCAGGACAGCGGCAATCCGAGAAAAGAAAAAAGCCTACAGGAAAAGCAAGTCGAAAACGGTTGAACTCAATAAATCTCCTAGAGGATCGGCGGTTTTCTACGATGCACAACGTCGCCGCTCCTTACCCCAGGTGGAACCTCTGCTTCCCGGAAAGAGTGATTCCAGTTCGGAGAGTTCAACAAATGTTTCGCGAAACGAAAGCATAAACAAACAAAGTATGGGATAAATTTTGAATTAATAATAGGTTCAGTATTAAAAAATCATTCAGTGTTAATAAAAATTCATTTAGTATTAAAATTTTGTTTTAAAAAATTACTTTACTCGTTCCATCGAAAACATTTTTAAGTGGTACATTTTTTAGCACAGTAAATGTTTCTAAACTTATTGTCCAGTGTTATAAAAGTTTCTTATTAAAAGATTCATTTATTTATAAAATTATGCTTTAAAAAAATTCATTTACTCGTTCCCATTATTTTTGTCAAACGTTAGAAAAGCAATTACTAATTTTCGTAGATGTCAATGCAGATGAGTTGCCCAATAAAGCCACGTCAAAAAATTTGGATATTCCCGAACGACCTTTATCCCAGAACAGCTCCAGTGGAGTGGAAACGCTCAGTCGGCCTGAAACACCCACCCAGGACGCTATCGACACTCCCGATGCTTTCTCCTCCCCGCTACCGTCCCCGTCAACCAGCGTAATCGAAACCGATGGGTCCACAGTATTTCTAACCGATGCAACACTCGCCGAATCCAGCTCGGACAAAGCTGAAAGTACAGACACCGCCATCGAATATACCCTGCAAATTCCCACAATACGCCTACACTTACCGATATCGGAATCGGCGGATTACGTGGACGAGATAGACGATACCGATGATACCGAACAAGTAGTAGATATTCATGATAACGATGAATTACAGTTCGCTAATTTCATCCTGGATAAGGAAAGAATGAATTTGTCCGATGAAGAATGGGAGGTCACACGCGTCTGACCGGTATGTGCGGAGGATTTTGGACTCTGACACCTGTACTGAGCAAAATGTGATACATTTTATAAACACAATTTATGCATAATAAACAGCGTGGCAATTGCTATACCCAATGGAATTTACTGCTATCAGTAATTTCGTAATTCATGCACGTTTTGTAATTATCGTGTTCACTTTACATTTTTGGCGCCCAATCAAAAGGCAATAAAAGAAACAACAATAGTACGACATTAGCCATCCGGCTGGAAACCAGTCAGATTGTGCGACGTATTACAATTACCAATCAATTCGCTCAACTTCATGCACACAAAACCCCAAAAAAGCATAAATAAATAAAAGTTTAATGAATTAACCACAAACTTACACGAAACATTCCGCCTCATTATTTCCACTTGATATCGGTTTTGTCTGAGATGCAGTGCTTAGTGGTTGCATTTCGTAAACGGCAGTATGGGCACAAATCTTCAACGGAAAATTTCATCTCCTTTGAATCAACATGTCCGCGAAACCGAGTTCCACAACGACAGCACTAAAACAATCATACAAGATGCATACTATTTCTCTTGGGTAAGTTTTATCGTTGCAAGCGGCCAGTAATAATACTTTGAAATAGGCATTTGATGATCCTGGTGTGCGTTTGGTACTGACGCGCTTAAAACGTTATGCCAAGCGAAATTTAACACACACCCTGGTAAAGCAGGAGTACAGCTTTCAAGTCACTCAATTTACAGCCTATCTGCGCATGTAACGCTTGTGCTCGCGGAAAATAGTTTGTTACTCTACTGTCTAAATGATGCCCGTTTCTTGTTAGCAACTCAACTTATATCGCCACTCTCACCTTTTTGACAAATGGATAATTTTCCACTTTTTCTTTATATCTTTTTGTACTCTTCAAATCATCCATCAACCACAATCTCCCAGTGCCATCACTGCACACCGTAATCAAACAATTCCCGCTCGGGCTAAAGGCGCAATCCTTGATCATCGCATCGGCATGCGACAACAGATCAAACAGTCCTTCATTCCGGTCGGCGTCCCACACCGACACATGTCCATCAGTCGAGCCACATGCAAACCACCGCGACTCCAGACTGGACCAGTCACAGCAAGTAAAACACGCCGGTCTGTCGATTAACGGCGACAATCTTTCCGGATTATCCCGATATTCACCCGTGCTGACGTCATAAACGTAGACGCGGGAATTCATGGCACTGGTCAGCAGTTTGCGGCCATCCCGACACCACGACAAATCTGTCACTATAACGCTATCATCGTGCAGGGTCAGCGTCGGCTTGTTCACGCGCAGATCAAAGATTTTAACCGGGTCGTCCAGAGAAACAGCCGCCAGACGCAGTTTATCGGGGCAAAACGCAACCGAGGTGATACTGCCCGAGAAAAATGAGGAGAACGATGCAACAGGATTTCCGGTACGAAGATCCCAAAGAGTAAGGTCATGATTGAAATCCGACCCGGTGGCGATCGTCTGGTTGTCGGAAGAGATATCGCAGCACAGCAGGCTAAAATCAGCCTCACGTGTCCATACTGAACGGCCCGAAGGAACATCCCAAACGTACAAAAACGAATCCATGCCCGTGCCAATCAACCTAACAGCATTTGCAATTAAACTGAATCCAAGTGAAACAGATCGTGATTTTGCAGTGGCTGTCTCCCATCTTAATTTTTTATGAATAGCAGGAAAATCAGAAGCATTTTAGTTACAAAAATATACGTTGGTTACTTTAATATATAAAAGCGGTTTGCAAAAATTGTGCATCTGCAGCGGACAGAATGATGAAATAAGAATATTTTAATTCGCCTCTGTGCAAGCAAAAGGTAGGCTCTTACTGAGTAAGACCGGAAGTAAAGCAAGTTTGGGATATCGGGCCAGCTTTTGCTCCAATGACGCATTCCAACTGTCGATCCCAAATTTTCCAGACCTTTACCCCTGGTTCATCCGAAGTTGTTAAAATACGGTCATCGCTTCCGAAGAACTTGACAGATTCGACGGCGCCATTTCCAAGATGAACTCGTTTGATGAGAGCCTACAAGACAAGTGTCGCTCAATTAAAGAAGGTTTTGCAATATATGAAAGCGCTAACACGCAGTCGTTTCAGTGGTAACGTACTCTGTAGTACGTTCAATGAATGCCTATTTCAAACAATTAACGTAAGAATGGCAAAACGTAAGTAAAGCCCATATACAGAGTATGTATATATCCCGCACTCGAAAGAAACGTCGAAAGTCGAAATGCTAGCATGCTTCGAGCAGCAATACGGAAATAACCTTTCGCAGATCAGTGGAAAATACAATGTTTGTCTCAGTTTTCGACTGGTAAATACCATCAGAGGCATGGTGCCCAGAAGTGCTGTTCATTTCTCACAAATATAATGAATGCAGTTACAAATACTGCCGGGGTTTTCAACGATTGTAATGGACAGAAATCTGTAGAACCTTAACTGAAATGTGACCGATCATTTTGAAAACTGTAAAAAAATACTTTCACTGTACAAAAAAACGCTTACAATATATATACCGAAACACCAGAATTCTACCACGGTAGGTGCATTTGTATTAAGCGGTACGAAGATTTGCCGGTATGCCGGCTGCAAAAGACTCAACTAATCTGACCTCTAAAAACCGAATATGTTTCTCAGAGAAAAGAGATACTAAGCAACTGAATACTGTTTAAATATTCGAATTTATAGCACATGTATCCTACAACTAAATATCGAATATTCACAAAATTTTTTGGATGATCAACAACAAATCTTACCAAAACTGTACAAAACAATCGGACGTATTCTTTATGCAGTAGTGATATGATCATCTGATGTTCCGTTCCTGAGATTATAACATTACGAACAGACGAACAGCGAAACTGTAAAGATGCCAAACATCTGTTTAGGATTAACATGCAGTCGAATCGATTGATTTCGAATACGTATAAAGGAGCACATCCGAAACGAAGCAGCCGAGCAGATAGAAATTTAGTCAAGAATTGCTTCTAATCAAACACCACTTTATCCATCTCCAATTTCTCCACCTTTCCTTGGATAAATTCTCGTAAATGCACAACTCCTTGATAAAACTTCAATTTGTCTTCTAATCGCGGCCATTTGGATCCTCTCGGACTGGACGATGGCATTACATACAGGAGAATATCACTGCCTGTTCGTCCCTTCAACACCTGCTCCTGTCTACCCAAACGGAATGTCTTCGTACCCGAGAACGCTTCGTAGATCCCCACTCCATTGAACACCACAATCTTCGGCTCATACTCAACCATCTTCCTGCGCACTTCGGCGGCGCCCTCGCGCAGTTCGGCTTTGGACAACTCGGAACTGCTACTGGACGGGCGTGAGACGATATTCGTCAGGCCAATTCCGAACTCGGTGATGCGCGCATCGTCGTGAAATGTCAAGGGTTCCGGAACCAGTCCGGACAAATGCAGACACTTCCAGAAATGATTTCCCGGGCCGGCGTAGTGATGTCCATGGCTGGCGGAGTTTCTGCCTGGATTGAAGCCGACAATGATGATGTCCAGTTCGTAACGGAGAAAATCGGATAATCGAATGTCCTTCAGCGTGCTCATGGTCTGAGCCAGCTTGGATGGAGAGTGAGATTCTGAACCGGCGGCAGTTTTTCTGCGTTTCTTTGGCTTCTCATCTTCGATCTCTTCATGATCGGCGCTAACTGGGATGGATGGTTTCGGTGCATGGAATGCCAGATGCGAAAAATCAAATCGCTTCGCTTTGTCCGGTGCGTCTGTTTCGGACATTGATAGCTGTTGTACTGCCCAGTGCAGAGAAAAATCAAAACCTGAGTTCGAGAAGACGAAGAACTTCACCCGACGACAGTATAAGAACGGTTCGGACAAAGGACAAAGAGTTTGAACTAAAGAAAGAAATCCAAACTGACGTTTTTTGCCATGAATCGTGAGGAATAAAACTTATAAAAGAACGTACGCGTAGTGCGCGTACCCAGTAAACATTTCCTTCGTATAAGCGACCCCACTCAGCCGGCAGTCTTCTGATCTCAATCAGCTGTTTGGGACCTACGACAGAGCAGAGACTTGCTTTTGCTGTCTTTGAGTGTTTGGGGTTTTTACTTTTAGACGCATTAGAATTTCATTGGCATTTTGTTTGAATTACCATTATCAATAAACAGAATTGTTCGTGCCAGAAGGTGCGAATTGGTGTGCGGGTGTTTTATCAGCCAAATGAAATACAGCAAGCACTGGAAAGTGACTGCCTCTGTATCTCGCCACGGTTATGCGACCATAGTCAATCCAGGACTGAAATTTGATTCGAATCCCTTGAAATTTGTTCCTCCTCATGTGCCTTCCCGGGAAGCTGATGTTCAAAAGTTTGAAGACTTTCTAAAAAATAAGCAGCGTCTAGTAGTTCTCACTGGCGCTGGGATCTCGACGGAATCTGGGATTCCAGGTAAGATGTCACATCTTAGATGTGCAGCAAACGCAGCAGTGTGACTTTTACTGCGAACTGCAAGGTTGCGTCCCTAACAGCTGGGCAAGGCCGCCAAGCTATATAAGATTGTTCCAGCGACTGTTCATGGCTGTTTCGCAGATTATCGCAGCGAAGGAGTGGGACTGTATGCCACATCGTCCAGTCGTCCCATTCAGTACCAGGATTTCATCAACAGCGAGAAGTTTCGTCAGCGTTACTGGGCTCGTAATTATGTTGGATGGCCCAACTTCTCGCAAGTCCAGCCTAATTTTACGCATAAATTCCTAGCCAAATTGGAGCAGCGCTCGACGGCTCCCGCGCTGCACTGGCTGGTGACGCAAAATGTGGATGGACTGCATCTGAAAGCGGGTGCGCGCCGCGTCACAGAACTGCATGGCAGTGCGTTTCAAGTGGGATGTTTGAGCTGCCAGCGGATGGTTACGCGCATTGCGTTTCAAGACGAACTTCGACAGCGGAATCCTGATTTTCATCATCCCCATGCATCGGTTAGCGCCGCGGAATTGCGGCCGGACGCGGATGTCGAATTGACTGATGAGAAAATCGCCGGCTTCACCGTTGTTTCCTGTGCAGAGTGCGGAGGGATTATGAAACCGAATATTGTGTATTTTGGGGAGAATGTGCCCAAACGGAGGGTAGACTTGGTGTTCGAAAAAGTCACAGAATGCGATGGATTGCTGGTGTTGGGATCATCTCTACAGGTACTGTAAAGGAGGTGTGGCTAACTGCAGAGTGGAGCGCTATGACTTTTTCCCTTTTTAGGTTTTGTTATGTTTTTCAGCGTCCAATTTTGCGTTTTGTAACTCATTGCACATACTACATAGCGTACTGTTCGCATCTTTTTGCTTTTTGAAAGATTTTCCTTTTTGGACTGCCTAGACAATAGACAGTAAAAGCGACCATACCATTGAGTGATAAAACTAGCTACGGTTTCGTTCAGTTTTTAATGTTTTGTCGATTGAATTAATTTCCTACAGGCGTGACGTTTGAATTTGCTTTAATCTCTTTTTTACAAGACAAACCTCGGCCTCCGGCCGGTTTGCATTAACGTCGAATTTGTAAAAATCTTAAATGAGAATTAATTAGTTTGTACGTTGAATTAACTTGTTGCAGGCTTGAAGTATGAATGTGCTTTAATCTTGTTTTATAAAATACCTTGAAAGCGTAGGTGGCTCTTTTATGTCTCTTTGGGAGCTGTTATTAGTTTTGTTAATAGGCAGTATTACGGCACTGCACCTGTAAAATGTAACATCTAGAGCTGAGTAGAGAAGTAAGGCAAGTGTAAAGTGTCGCCATAGACTACCTGCACAGTGTGCAGTGCACACTACAGTCTGTACGTAATCTATAGTTTTCTACTTTTCACTTGTGCTCGTATTTTGTAACATTATTATAAGGTACGAAATTTACTACGAAAGTTTTGTTTTAGGTGTTTTCTGGATATCGCTTTGCCCTTCGAGCAGCAGAACTTGGTAAACCAATTTGTATTGTAAATATTGGACCTACACGAGCTGATCATTTAGCATCTGAGAGGATCGATCGAATTCGCTGTACTGATTTATTATCCAGAAGTGCAAGCAATCTGTAGATTAAGTACCCACTGAGCTGCTCTGGTGTCATTAATACGGTGAAACTTTCTATCACGTCAGCCGAATGAGTCGATGATACTGTGCATGATTACATGCACGCTGATTGTGGAATGCAGTACAGTATATAAATATTCTGCTTCATTTGGAACAACGCTTAACAATAAGGCTTCTGTATCAAAGAACTTCTGCCAGATGCCGCGTGACGCAATATTTTTCCGCAGTCAAAAAACGCATACTTCACACAACGTACAACTACATTGTCAAAACCAATCAAAGGATAAGTACCCATATTCATACCATGTTTTGCGTGGTATGTTTTCACCTTTATTTTTCGTAATCACCAACAGATTTGCTGCGTTCTTCTTTCATAAAGACAAAAGTCTCAAGCAATGTGCTCAATTGGATACAGTAATCTTGGCAGGATCATTAAGTTTGGCAAAAATCGCATCCATTACACTCAATAAAATGAATAAAACTAACAAACTGAAATAACTTACATATCATACCCCGAAGAGCAGTCACAAAACATGAAAGCAGTAATAAAGGAATTTCATAGCGTCCGTCAATCGAGTTCAGGAATCATCATGAAAAGGTAATCACTTCAAGGTTCTAAAGATCCGTCTAAAAATAAACCCAAAGCGAAATTAGCAACAGCAAGTAATAAGATAAGTCAATACAGTATATTTAGCATCAAGGCACGTCTCATCATCTTTAGAGCGCGTGTGACCTCAATTAAAAAGTAATTCTGCATACGGCTTGAGCAATAACATCGTAAAGAATGTTAATGCAAAGAGTCATACGAATTCTTGCCAGATTATAAAATCACCAAACTGCAATCTGCACATATTATAACTTTTCAATTTTCAAAATTTAGCAGACCCTTGATATTTTTCATTCCCGTGTCAAGGCACCCCCAAATCAGTAAATTCTACACTTTCACTGAATTAACCAACAATCAGCATGTCCATATGGGCATGCTAGCATGCAAGATTAATAAAGTGACAAACCTCTTCATAGTCAGGTTCAGCAATCACTGCACCGGCCGTCTGAGTTCCTTCTGACACCTGCGTTATGGCAAAACTCGTTCCATCTTGTAATGCATCCCTCGGACTCTTTGGCCTATCCGTGAAGAAATGCTCCGGCACCGTGGACATTTCCACCAATTCTACCAGTTTCACTCTGGTCGCACTGACCGACGTCCCGGAACTTAACGCCGACCCGCTCCGTATCCGTACATCATCTTCATCGCCATCCATCCTAATCATAACCCCCTCAATCGCTATCGTGTCCAGCGCGATATCTCCCGCCGAGCCGGCATCACGAATTACTATCGGCTTATTGAATGAGTTCCGAATGCGTAGTTTCGTATGACCGAGAGGTGACGCGCTCTCGGAGGTGGGGTGCGAGGAAATACCGATCGACGACGACGTATCCGTTCCACCGGTAGCACTGGCCACAATATCCGGCTGGAGAGCATTGGGATGTCTTGTTAGACTGCCAGTTTTAACGAAAGTCTTCACCGGGACTGTATTGGGCAATGTAGAGCGGCTCAAGCTGTTTCTTTTGGCAATAGGTTGATTCGGCATGTGGAGTAATGGTGGATGCAAGCGTGATGATAGTCGCATTGGGATGTCCGCAAGTTTAAATTTCAGGGAGTCAATCTGCGGGCGGAACACCTTTTCGGCCATAAATTCTTGAAAGCGCTTGGCGTAAAACGTCGGATGGCAAACGGAAATGGTATTCTACCAAGAAAATATGTCTCATGTCAATCCTGTGAAAGTTAGCGCAAACTTTCTCCAACTTACTCCATCGTGAAAGATCGACTTAAAAGCATGTTCAAGCTTCTTGCGTAACTTCCAGTACTGGAGAATATCAATGATACCCATGAATATCAAAAGCCGTTCGCCTTTTGGTGTTTTTCCTAATATACTTCCGCCTCTGAAAAAAAACAGCGGTTTAGAGAATCTTTTAATGGGGTAAAGCGTAGGCTGGTTTCTTAGCTATATTGGTGCAATGAAGTACTAGCAAACAGTAAGATAAGTATAGGCAAATACTACATGTTACACAAGTTAACTGTTAACTTCCATAAAGCACTATGTCAATCACCAATCACAAATAATCAAAAAAGTTAACAGTAACTGTTATTACTAAAACATTTTGTTGTTTTGTTTTGTAACACTAATTTTGTTGCATGTACAGTAACAGTAATTTTTTTGTGGTTTGAATTTTGGCTTTGTTTGTCTGTGTTTTTGCTAGCAACCTCGCATCAATACTGCATATAAACCAAGTACTGTACCTAAATGTATACAGCTGTAAGCATAGGTAAAGCACTGTCGCAACTGGTATTAAGAGTTGAGACGGTAAGAAATTTATCTGCTAAAATGACCCTATATTTGCTCTTGATATCATCGCATGATGAAGGGAATACTTTTTTGCGCATTCTCTCTTTGCTCTGCGTAAACGGCAATGTCAACAAACGTCCCCAGGCCGTGATTTGTCGGCGATTCATGAATCAATAGTTTCGATTGCATCATTAAACATCCAAAATGATCAGATGCATATAAATCAAGAAAGCCATTTCCCCATCTGGTCATGCTTCTGCCATTAGGTTTAGTGATACGGTCTAGTCCCATCAGAAAAGCAACCGTTTGAATAAATAATACTGGATAAAGCTACCGAAACCTCCACCGGAATGCTAACATGTTTACGGTGCTCACCGACCGAAACAACACTCCCTATCCTACCGTTAATTCCACCAAATTACCCATTGGTCATACTCATTATAAGATTTTCCACTACTTCAGATACGAAATAAACTTACTAGTCCGCATCGATTTTTCCGGTTTGCGACACGAACAGTAATTAAGAATCCAGATAAACAATCAGCTTTAGTGCACTTACACAAGGTCTGGATCAATATTAGCCTGCATCAACGCTTTCGTCCATTCATCTTCTACACCGGTCCCATCACTAATCGTCGACGGCTGCCGGGTAACTGTGGCCTTCAAAAGACCCTCATCGGGACTCTGATCATTAATATTGGCACGCTGAAAGGCGGCCAATCGGGCCCGATTAATAGACCGCGTCCTTCCTAATCTCTTATCCAATATCTGGTCATCTTGTACAGGCGGTGAGCCATCTCCAGCTGCCGACTGTAAATTCTCGTTGAGCTTCTGTGCCTCCTGGATATCCTTATCGAGATTGTGAATTCCAAGCAGCAAAGAGTAGTCCATAATCTTAAAGCTCTGCAGCACCAGTGTATCACGCTTGAACAAACTCATCAATTGCAAATACGTCTCATTGCCCAGGAAAATTCCTTCCGGGTATAATTCAGCGAAATCCAGGTCTTTCAGCGTTGGGACGGTCTTGGTTTTCTCCTTGTCGGAGGCAAAACGCTTATACGATGAGCCCTTGAGATCGAATTTATGATGGTACTTAATCCTTCGCGGAAGGATGTTGTCCATGACGAGCATTCGTACATTCTTGCCCAGTGCTTTGTAGCAGTAGAGTCCAAAAAATTTTGGTAATAATGTACGGGGATTTTGAACAATGTTCATATAATACTGCGGTAGCAATTTGAGCAAAAATTCCGCTTCGCTATGCTCAACCGTCTTGAGAATAAACATTTCGTCTTCTGACAAGTAAAACAGAGATCCGCTTGCGCCGGGGTTGGAAATTTCAATCAAAGGTTCTGTACACAACGACATCTGCAAGCAAAAAGCACAATCTGAATTTTTATCAGTATTTAGCGAGTCCCCTGCAATATCGTAAAAAATACTGTTTACACCAGCTAAAAACTAGATCTAAATATGAGACTAAATCCTAAATAAATGTTTTGCTAAATCCGAGCAGTGAAAGTGTATCGCACAGACAACAGCTATGTACTTTCACCACAACTGTATGAGATCTAAAATGAGATAATTATATGGTTTGAGATCTAAAATTTAGAATGGACGTAAGTTTTTAACTTTTCTGCTTCATTCAAAAATTTTCATATATAAACGCATAAATTTTCACTTGGACTTTCATCTAGTTTCTTGTCTGATTAACTTCAGGCATCCATTCAGAATTTATTCTGACAGCTTGCTACCGAATAAAACGTGAAAATATGGCAGACACAGCAATTCTATATTGTCCAAACAAAGTTAATTCCACATGTGCGTGGGCAGAAGCCTCGTACAATATGTGCTGATTGATTCTTAGAAAATGAACGCTTATTATCAACGCCAAGTAAAACGCAACTAGATGTCCCCGCACGCATGACATTTAACGTTTGACAATCGCTACCGATAACTACTTATCAGAAAATTAATATTATCATCACTCATCTGCGAAACGCAGCAGCAATGCTCATCGAAATGTTTAATTAAAGATTTCCGTCTTACGGCAGCTGCCACCTTTCCCACAACTGATTAAAAAGAGTCCCGTAAAAAACCGTGATACAAAAAATGAATCATTAACCTGACGTCAATAAAAAAAGTTAAAAAAGCAGTCTGTCAATAACTCATCGCTTCAGTCACAAGATGGCAACAGAAAAATCGCGAAATATGCCATACCATGTAATCTTCCGGCGTGATTTCGAATGTCTCGCGAAAATGCCGAAAGGCAATAGGAGCGTAGGTTTTGAAGTGGAAATCCGACAGATTATGTGCAGGAGTAAATTTGGTTCCCTCACGGGGATGAAAGACAATCTCAGTATTTTCAAAATCCGTAAACAATACATCTCGCTCGGGTTCGCTGGCCAATTTGCTGACGGAATGCCTGATGCCTTCTTGGATACTTTGCATCAACTCATTCGCCGGGACCTAAGTAAATACATGCTAATAAATGCTAAACCAATACATTACCAGGAGATAGTCTTCAAAAACTGCGTAAGATAAAAGCCAGAGTCCCACGGGAATTTAGATTTAGAGACAAAATAAACATAGATACCTTTTTGTACGTGATGTTTCCGGCTTCATCTACTCTCCTGTGTCCAATTTTCTTTTTATCTTGAATACTTAAACGAGGATAACTAGGCAGATCTCCATCTGAATTCCTTCGTTCGTCCATTTTTGGTACATCCATCAATGTATGTCCGTTCAAGGGATGATCAGCGTGGGAAAGATCGGAGCTTTTCGCATTGAGCAGCTGAGGCTCTGACATTGACAGCGGACCAGACATCGACAGCAACATCGATTCACGGTAGGCGCGACTCTGTTTATCCATTAGTAGAATGTTGCCGCAAGCATAATCTTCGTAAAAACGAAGTGTTTCTATTAGTATATTTCGTCAGTTCTTCTTGCGCATGATTATCACTGCCGTAGACGCCGTAATTTTTGTGGGTAGCAAACGAGCATCGATAAGTTATTTCGTAAGTGACGGTAAGTCGTATGTGCAGGGAGACTGCAGCAATGCAGTAGCAACTTTTTCAAACTTGCAGCGAATGAACCGCAGAATGCACTTGCTAGAGTAACTTGATAATCACAAACCGGATTTATTGAGTCAGACACCAAAAAGTAGAACGGAAGCGAGACTGAGTACAATACTTAACTAAATAACAGTTTTCTGAGCAATTGGTTGTCTTCCGCTCCGTTTAAGACCTTCAGGTGCAATTTTCTGCAAGTTATTCTATGAAATCATAGTTATACATTATTATGCTTTACCAAGCAAATACAAGAAAAAGAAAAAAAGGAGTAAAAAACTGTTAACATAAACCAGCAGGCTGCCGGCCTGACGTTAGTGTCCCGCTTTACAGCCGCTGACTCGTAATCCAGCCCCCCTTCACATAATTCATCAAGGAAATCCCCAGCCAGCTGAACCAACCGAACAGCGGTAAATAAACAAACGGAAAAATTTTTCTTTTTCGAATTTTTTGATTCAGTAATTTATTTCTTGCTTCTCAACTGCAAGTCTCCGGATTCCTCGAGCTTTCTTTGTGCGCTTTTCTAATCTTATTTCGCCAATATGCGTTTTACGGGATTTTATCGTCAGCGTGATGCGGGACCCAGCAGCGGTACCACATCCAATCCTACACCGCCGGGCTCGACGCCGAAGTACACCAGCGCCTCCACTCCGCCACCACCTCCTCCCCGTGCCTCGACAGCATCTGCGCCCAAAGGCGGCATTCCCGGCGTAGCCCTGTTGGCCGGTGGAGTAGCCATCGCCGGTGCCGGTGCTTATTATTATTTCTATTACAGCAAGACCGGGCAGAAGCAGCTGTCAGCCATTAAGGGCGAGGTAGACAAAGCCAAGAGCGAAGTCAAGGACAAAGTAGAGGACGCGAAGGATGCCGTCAAGGGGAAGGTGGATGATGCCAAAGATAAGGTGAAAGGCAAGCTGGATGATGCTAAGGATAAGGTTAAAGAAAAGGCTGATGATGTTAAGAAGGCGATGAAGTAGGTTTTCTTGCGCGATTTGATTTGATTTTGGGCCGCAGTGATTTTTCCACACTTCGCACTGGTGCATGGATCGATGGAACTGTAATTTTATTCGTTTCTTGTTTCTTTTAAAGAAGATAGCGCGTTTCCGGATGTTTTTAGTTTTACTTTAGATTGGTGTTGGTTGAAGTGTTATACGATCGCTCTCATTGATAATGGTTGAAGAAGAATCGTATAAAACATGAAAATTAAGCAGATTGTGCGTTTATTTCGTGCGTTTGCTCGGTACTCTGTGGTACGTCATTCCGCTCAGGTACGACTGATAAAATCATACAAAAAAGTTTTGGATATCAAACAGAAATGCAGTAGAATAGCAGCGCTGGCGAAATTTCCGTACTTACCATGGGAAAATCATTAACCAAACATTTTTTTGTGTACAAGAACAGCGATTAGGCTGTCGCGGCTTTTGACTTTAATCCAGTAACAAATTTTAAACACGCTGACGAAGTTAAATTTTCCCCGTTAATAACAGATCAAATTACTTCGAAATGCAGTTGTTGTCTCGAAAATTGAGACTCGTGTACGTTTTCGCGACCGGCAAATTGTACCAGTCTACATAAAATGCGAAAACATTTTCACGCTGTGAAATATCAGTAGATGACGAAAGTCCTGCGATAGTACAGATGTGTGATACATCATGGTGTTATGTTTTTTGCGTTGTGGCGGTGCCGAATATCTTAGATGTTAGAACTTCTACAGTCTTCTACAGAATACTCTAGTATTTAGTATTTACGGTGCCGCGGTTAAATGACATTTTTGTCACATTTGTAGCGGTAGAAGTGATGCTCATAAAATTTTTAACAACAAGCTGCTGTACGATATGTTATGGTCTATGGTCAAACATGGCGCTGCAGCTTCGACTTCACGTTACGATTAGCAAACAAACTGCGTTTGATAACCTGGTATAGCGCTATATTATTGTTAATTGCATATGATTTTGGCCAGCGCAGCCGTAGCCGCAAAGATTCTTCTGAAGCTGCCTGGATGGATTCTCCGATCCGATGCTCGCGGAAGAATTTTGTACCACGTTTTAAGTGCGCAAGAAAAAACACGACAATCTGACCAGATCTATGTTGTGTAAGTGTATCTGGTATCATGATTTTGGAATTCCGTGGCCGGACATGATTCCGATGATTCGAAGCGGTTTTATTCTACGCGGCGCGATTATGTTTGGAGGTGCGTCTTCAGCGTAACCCATACTAATTTCAAATAATTAATGTTTTTCGAAGTTTTTCGAAGTTTTCATTCAGTTTGTATTTTAATTTGATGTTTTTGCATCGTACACGCAAATTAAGTTAACTTACTTAATTGTTTTGTATGGAGATGTCCATCCTTCGACAGTAGTTAATTAGTAATTAACCAATTTGGCACATGCCACATAGATGTATCATAATTACAGATCTATAGATATGTAAAAATTATATACTATCACATTATATTATATAATCATAATCGTGTAGAGATTAAAACAAACCCAATAAAAATCTCCATTAATTTGTTTGAGATCTGTCTGTCATATTGTGGCTACGTTGATGCGTGCATGGTTTTTCTGGAACAGTTACCATTTCGAACGTTGTCGGCTTTAAGAGGCATCATAGCAATATCATAACTTCCAGGAAGCTCGGGCTTTGTATGATTTTATTTGTGGCTTCTAGTGACTTTGTACAGATTTGATGGGTCTTGAAATTTGATGAAAGACTATTCATGAATTGGCAGCTTACAAGTCAGGTTCGATGGACTGACCTTTGCTTGCCGCTAATTGTACAGATAAATGCGTTCAGTACCATATATACTTAGTGTTCTTGTATGGTTTCTGTAAAGTTTTTCCTTTTTGTCTTTTTTAGTTAAACATTCCGCAGTTGCGAGAACCGCCATGTGCAAATCTTAAGACCGGCTTGTGAAAATGGCTTCGACCGATAGAGATGCGGAAAATTTGGGGAAGCAGTTTGATGACATATTATTGCGGATCTATGGGAATGGACGATATCAGAAGTTCGTTGTGGCGCTTGTCCTGTTACCGGCAATAGCGGCCCAGTCATTCCTCGTTTCTGGCTTTGTATGTGCGACGTCGGAGATTTTTGCAGTGCATGGATGTGAACTAATTAACTAAACCTTATCCTCCGCTAAGGAAAATATATTTCTGATATTTTTACATATTGATTCGGTTTTTACAGGTATTCGTCATCGCTGCCCCTCCGCACTGGTGCAAATTGCCGTTCGAGAGAAATGCAAATCATAGCCACGATACTCATTTAATGAATGCGACGGACGTTGATTTCAAGGCGCTGTTGCCCCGAAATCCGGAAGATAACTCTACAGAAAAATGTCAGAAATATAATGTTGATTACACGGAGTTACTGACTGAATGGAAAACGCTAGATTCACTGGCGGCCCACTTCGACAACGCCACCAGCAACGGCATCCTGAATACGACTGCTTGCGACAGCTGGGTTTATGATCACTCAGTGTATCACGATACGATTGTTACAGACTGGGATTTGGTTTGCCATCAGGACTTTTTACCGACTTTGGCGTATATTCTATCGGCTTTCGGGACAGTGGTATGTCGCAATCGAAGGGCTAACAATTGTTTTGAATAAAGCAGATTGCTTCTTGCGGTCGGCAAGCATTGATCTATATTTGCAGTACCTAAAAATTTACAACTTTTACTTTAAAGAAGTTTTTGTAACTTTTTTGGGTTATGCACGGTAGTCATTAATTTTTGTCGGAAAGAATTATGTTTTCTGAAGTAATCTTATTAACAACAATTGTAAGGGGTATCCTGCAACGTTAGAATTTTTCGTACTTATGCGCATTATTTAACAAGTTAAAATTTTGCATGCATGTTGCAGATTGGAACGCCGATTGGAGGTTACCTATCCGATTTAATCGGCCGGAAGAAAACATACCTTCTGTTTTTGGCCAACCAAGTAATCTTTTCAGCCGCTAGCGCCGGATCGCCCTACGCTTTTTACGGCTTTTACATTTTTGTCATTCTCAATATCATCCAAGCTTTATCCGTCAACAACACCTACTTAACACCGTCCACGTTGGGAATGGAAATCATTACACCGGGTTTTCGCGCCACGTACATGGTTTTGGTGTCGGTGGCGTACACAGTCGGTGGGGTTGCCAGTACCGGCATTGCCTATTTATTCCGCTCTTGGCGGACATATGTCCTGGTCAGCAACCTTCCATTTCTGGCTTACGCTGTATACTGGTGGATCATGCCGGAAAGTCCTCGTTGGTTGTTATCACGGGATAGATACGATGACCTCGAAGCATTTCTGAAGAGAGCGGCGAAAATGAACCATGTCGATTACAACGAATCTCTGAAATGCCAGTTTAAGCAACTCTGTGATCAGGCGAAGAGCGCAAGGATAAAGGAGCCCGGTGTCACAGCGCATCAACGCGAATATTCCTATCTGGATCTGTTCCGTACACCGCAAATACGCAAACAAACTCTACTGATGATCATACTGAACACCGTGTGCCAAATCTGCTACAATGGGCTGTCGTATTATGCCCCATCTCTGGGATCGAATCCCTATTTGAGTTCCTTCCTAGCCAGCATTGTTGAACTGCCGGCGGCCTTATTCACGGAAATCATATGTGATCGGATTGGACGGCGCCCGACGATTGTCCTGTGTTTCGTACTGGGTGGCGCTTCGTGTTTAGCAACATTGGGGTTACCGACGGAGCACGCCATATATGCTGCTGTGTTGACCTTGTTCTTATTCGCAAAACTATTTGTGTCCAGTGCATATATTGTGCAGGAACTCATTCAGAACGAAATACTGCCCACGGTTGTTCGCGGCAAAGGTGTAGCGTTGTCGAATTTTATTGCGTCGATTGCGACCAATATCGGACCGGTTATTGTGTATTTGGGATACAAGGACTCCTCACTGACTTTAGTGGTATTTGGTGGAATCATGATCTTTGCCAGTATTTGTGCTATGTTTCTCCCGGAAACGCTGAATCTGTAAGTGGTCATAAATTCATCGGCACACTGGTTATAAACGGTTGTGTCTTAGATTTAAAAGGAGTTTTTTGAAACAGGTATACAGATGCGTTCTATCTGAAATTTACAATTATGATTGTATGTTAATAGGGCGCTTCCGGAAACGCTAGCCGAATGTGAGGAAAATGGAAAAATTAGTTCATGGAAGGATTTTCCGTTTTGGAACCATATAAAAGGGAAACTCTAAAATTTTTAATTTTTTCTGGCTGCTTTTTCTTTTATAGTCTAGTAATGGCGTAATTTTCAGACACATGTTGCTCAACAGAATGCAAATTACTTTGTATTACCCAAGTACAACATGACTGTAATATGAGGCTATGAGCGTCTCACTGTAAATACAATAAGTATGAGGGCGTCTCATACTCTCGGCTATGGCAATGAGCACATCCCAAGTTTAAAATTATTATTTGTATATAAATTTATGTGTTTTGTCGCATAGGTACAGACGCTTACTAGGTCTGGCAATACACCTGTGACGCACTTTGGAACAGAAGTTATGCATATGACATAATATTATGTTTACTGCGGAACGCGGATATATAAATCCGAAAACCTTTAGCAAACAGCAATAATTGCTAATATTGGTTTCCAGAACATTAGTTCAGAAGAGTTAAAAAGTAATACGTCGTTAAGGGTAGCATGCTAAGGAGAACCGTATGCGGCGAGACTTTCCAGTGGCTTCCGGCATTGCACAAATCTCCATCGTTGCATATATATACGTCTCCCGGTCCATATAAAAAGTTTCTAGGCGATTTTGGATTCGTTTGTATTTGAGAGCCTGTGAATCTAGTTGTCACGTAGTTCATGTTTGGTCTGCTTTCCGGCGCAGCCACAGTCAAATTCGGTCGGCCCTCATAAATTTGAGGATTGTAACAAGCTCGCAGGGTCTCTGGAATAAGAAAGCGCATAGAACTAAAAATTATTACGAGTAAATAAAGTGTGAGCACCGTGGCTCGTATGCGCTTTACGTATGCCGTAATATTATTGGGACACGATCATGAATGTTCCTGTCGATCGTTAACTGATTAAGCACACAGTAATACTTACTTTCTTGTGTTTATAATAATTATAGATGTAAGTAATCTCTTTAAATTCAAAAGCCGATCTTTCGTAAAGAATTGCCATACAATTAACTTTAGTCTGTAACGCGACAGGAATAAACTGAGAATATAGACACAGGATACATTCCGACTGGATTATCTGTAGCATTTATTCAGAACTTCCGTAAGGAGGTTGCTTAACGTTTCTAATTAACGATAGTGAACTTGCTCTAGAACTTGACGCTAACTACAAAGTACTAACAACATACTGGTTTCCACCGCGGGCTTTACTGATGCATTTGTTGGGGCAGGCAGCCTGGGCGAAATCACTCCGACATACTTCATGCAGGCTTCGCAGTATGTAATTGTTGTAGCTTGGACATCGTCGGTATCTGGACAACTGACATTAGCAGAAAAGATGCTGAAATTAGGCGCTATTCCTCGGCACACGTAACATCTTACAGCTCCGATATACTGGGATGAGCCTGGAATTAGAATCAGAAACTATTATGCAGAAATCCTTGCAGTTTCGAAAGTAGATTACAGCCCGTTACATTGTTTGGGAAGGTATGAAAGTGTTATAATGATGACTGCTGCAAACTTCGTATATATGGCGAAGGGTCCCATTTCGTGACTACATGTGCATAGGCGTGCGTGTACGAAAAATGTATTATTTATTATAATGTATGCAAAAACCCTTCAGAAAGATTATTTGTTACAATTAAATAAACTGTGAACGCTGCTCATGCAATGAGCGGATTAAGTTCTCACAACGCAAAAAAAAATCGAAAACAGAAAAACAGTCGATTGTCACGAGAAGTGCTATCGCTGGCTGCAAAAGGTTGCCTCAGGGAACAAAACCTATCACCTAAATACTGCGAGCAATTTTTAGCACGCATACCTGACTTACCGCAGAAAAATTCGTTAGCACGCTTTTGTAGACTTTTTCAATTTGCATATAACTGTGTAATTCTATACATGCGTACTGCAAATGCTGTAGCAATGCACTTAATAAATAAATGTTTATGTGGTCGTGAGTATATACTCGAACATCCGCTGCAGCGAAGTCATTTGAGCACTGATTGGTAGATTTATAATCGTTCATCTTCCAATTCATTCATCCTGCAATCTAGGAGTAATACTTTGTGATGTCATATTTCAATCTGTTTCAACAGCTTTTCAGCTATAGTGCCTGAGCAATAATCATTTCCAGGTCCAGTGTTTCCGGTAGAAATACTAATACCAGCGGAATTCGGATATGCGGGGCCATTCGTAGAAAACTGATAATTCACTTTGAATTCACACAAAAAATAAAAATATAGCGCAAAGCCGCAAACCATGCATCTCAATGCCTTAAATGCCTTTCTTTCAATGCCAAGCATAAATTACATACTTGAAGTATACTTATTGCAAATTTGTGATACTGTTCACATTTCGACAGACTAGCGCTTCTTGACCTTTCTCTGACCTGTGCCATTAAAGGTACATTATGCATAATTGTTAAGTCGAAAAAGCTCCATCTGTATGGACTTCAACTTTTATGCATTCTTCATAACAGCAGGAAAGGAAATTCATTGCTAATAATTTAGAAGGTGTACTTTTACTCCAGGATAATTATTATGGTTTTGTCGACCTTAAATGAGCCATGAGCACAGTTTTTGAGTATATATACGTTCTACTATTCATCGTGTACTACATGATCCAACTGGAGTCCGTATCTGTATTAGGTATTTTTATGGTTTCTCATTGAATTTAAAATAGGAAACCAGATTTGCTCTGACAGGATATTGCTGGATTGGAATTTACTGGTTGATTCATTTTGTTCTAACAGTACGATTCTTTTTTCAATGATTTCAGTTGTAACTGTCTGAACCGATTAGGTTTGGAGTGTTATGTATGCGAGAACCAAGAAGACAATTACGAGAAATGCATATCCACGGTCCAGCTGTGCGACCCAGAAATCCATGATGTTTGCAGCACAAATGTTCGCTGGGGAGGTTTGTAGAGGAATAAGAATTGCGAAATTTGATGCTATACTCGTATTTCTAGTAATAAAAACAACTAAACACGCCTGAAATTCTGAATCGGTTTTACCGTTTACGAATTTAGTGACATTTTACTGGATGCCAGCCGGCAAGAGAATTCACTATCTGAGCAAAGCTTGCGATAATATGAAGAACTGCATGCAACGGAAGAGGGCACTGGAAGAACGATGCTATCGGGATTGGTGGGCAGACTGGATCTGCGAAGACTGCTGCACTGGCGATCGATGCAATTACTACGTCGTGGTATGTTTTGGCTTGTTTGGGTTATATGTCAAAGCACGTATTACTGTTTTGTGCATACTAAAATCTGGTAAAAAATTTATGCTGACAATCAAGGTCATGCAAAATCCACTTGTGCTCATTTGTAGCTCAGTGCCGATCGTACCAGGAATAACCGGCGCATGATTATTGCAACCACCATTGTCACTGCTGTTGTCCGCCAAATCTTTTCCAGATTGTGAATCAGTTTTGCTACACGAAGGATTAAGGTTAGTCTACCCACACAAGCTCGATCGAAATCTACAGGTCGGGTACCTATCTTTCAATACAGATATAGTATCCGTATTAAACAAGTAGAACAATCTTGATACTATTTTGTGTGCAATCACAGACTGAGTGAGTATTCCACTTTCTGGATTTCTTAATAATTTATTGCGCAGCACCTTATTCTATGCTACAGTTGTAAGCCTCTTGTTATTAATCGCCACCTTGACAGCGCCAGACTGCCAGGTACAAAGTATTTTTGCTGGAAGCTTACCGAAAGTAAAAGTGGAATAAGCCTCCAGGGTGTCCGCCGATAGTGCTTGTCCTTTATACCGGTTTTACGCGCTATAATATATTGTCATACCGCTATGTACAGATACTATCACCGCCTATAGACTGATAGAGTGAACCTGGATTAATGATCACCTAAAGTGTTGTTACCAGCTCTCAGTGTTTCCGGATTTTATTAATTTCGTTAACTGATAAAGGGAGCTGCTAAAGCTTGATCGGTCGTTTGCTTTCTCGTTGCGAGACGTATGTGCAATTAGTACACCGCAATGCCGCATAGATACTTACCAGTAGTTACAGAACCACCTTTTTTATTGCTGATAATTTTGGTTTGTTTTCGACTCTCAAGAAGTCAATAAGATTCAAAATTAGTACCCTGGATAAGCTAAAGTTTGCCTAATCTCAACTTTTTTTTCTGCTTTTTGCAGTTCTTATACACTAACTGCCATCGCACAATTTATAACCATGGCCCGATCTTCACCCATTAAGTTAAATTTGAAAAACCTGCCTTTGTTACCGAGCAATGTCCACATCCCTAAATATACTCGGAATCCTGAAGGCTCACCGACAATCGTTCATATCAGCGTCGGCGGCTTCCATCGAGCCCATCAAGCTATGTATTTGGATAGACTCTTGGAAACTGGTCAGTCGGATAAATGGAGATTGGTCGGAGTGGGACTGCTACCCTTCGACATTCCCGCTCGCGACGCCATGCGCGCTCAAGACTGCTTATACACTTTAGTGGAACGCGATGCGTCCGGTGATAAAGCCCACGTTATTGCAGCGATTTCCGGTTATCTTTACGCGCCGGATGAGTCCGAAGCTGTTATACAAACCATGGCGGATCCATCCTGCCGCATTGTTACTTTGACGATCACGGAAGGTGGTTATTTTATTCATCAAGGCACGGGACAGTTTAATGCTGTTGATCCTCTCATCCAGCATGATTTGCAGCATCTAGATGCGCCACGATCGTCATTTGGTTATATTCTGGCGGCTCTCCGTCGTCGGAAGAAGCAGGGACAACCACCGTTTACGATTCTGTCGTGTGACAATATTCAGCATAATGGCGATGTCGCGAAGAATATGATTATTGCTTTCGCCAAATTAGCCGACGCCGAAGTAGGGAAATGGCTGGAAAAGGAGGGTGCGTTCCCCAACTGTATGGTGGACCGTATTACGCCGGCCACGACCGATGTGCACCGGAAGTTAGTGCGAGAAGAATTCGGGATTGATGATCTGTGGCCGGTTACGTGCGAGTCATTTACACAATGGGTTATTGAAGATCATTTTCCGCTGGGCAGGCCGGCGTGGGAAAAAGCTGGCGCACAAATGACAACGGATGTTCTGCCGTACGAAAAGATGAAATTACGGACTGTCAATTGTGGTCACCAAGCTTTATGCTACATTGGAATGCTGTTAGGATACAGATATTCGCCGGTAAAAAGCAGGCAGTAGTAATAACCGGAATTATTTCGGTAGCTATTTCAGATGGATCAATTATTGATGGATATCGAAATACTGAACTCAAAAACACAGAGAATAATCGTATGTGTAATTTAGTGTAAATGCTCTTCTGAAGTAAAGTTTACGCATACTCGTACCGATATGTTACGTAAAAGCCGGCCGCAAAATTGCGTGTATGTACAATAATTGTTGTCGCTGGGTACAATTATGTTTGCATTTGTGAATTAATTCTCAGTTTTCGGTTTGCGTTGTAGGAAGCAATGGCTCACCCGGACATCCACAAACTTTTGCAGCGTTTGTTCGACGAGGAAGTAACGCAGCTGCTGGACCCGGTTCCCGATATTGACATTACCCAATACAAATCCATCGTTTTAGAGCGCTTTGCGAATCCAGCAGTGAATGATCAACTATTGCGCATTGGTACAGAAGGTTCCGCCAGAATTCCGAAATTCGTTCTACCGTGCGTTCGAGATGCTATAAAGCGCGGGTCCCAGCTGACTTTCCTTTGTTTTACTATTGCATCCTGGATATATTATTTGGGCCAAGAAAACGATGAGACTAATGAAAAACTAGGGTTTAACGATCCGATGCTAGAAAAACTGCAGAAAGCGGCGACATCCGGCAAAGCGGATCCCCGTGCTGTACTGAGGATTGCCGAAGTATTTGGCGATGACCTTCATGTCAACCACAATTTCTTAAAATTAGTGGAGAATATTTTGCAAGACTTTTACCAGAGCGGTGCTAAACAAACACTACAAAAGTGGGTGGGCCGTTAGTTAAAGTGGTTTATTTGTTCCACATGTTGGCCAATAATTTATGCTCAACCCTAGTGCCTTATGACTAAGGCGTTATACACCTGCGCTGCTGCGCATAACTTTGCTTCCGTTAATGACTGCAACAATAATCATCAAATAAATGTTTTGTGTTTTCTTAAAAATTAATAAATTCAAGCGAACTACTATTACAACACATTTCGTTAAATAAAAGCACTGTACTTGTAGTTCGTAGATCACTATATATGCCGCAATTATTCGTAACGGTCTATAATCTGCTTGATGTTGCGACTTTGACCTGGCTGTGACAGAGATGTTCGTATACAGATACTTCAGTACTTCTAGTCATCGTTCCTTACCTTTTTATTCTGATGTATTTCGGGCTTGCCAGCCTGGTGACATCATATTTAATTACTTATTCTCATCGCTATCTGCCTGACTTCAACTTGTAAGGCAAAATTGTTTTGCATCAGACGTATTTAAAACGGCTCATTAGTTAGATTTAAAAACGGCAGAATTTAACGAAGCAAATAAGAAATACTTTATTATGTACAGTATAGACTATAGAGTATTTGTACAAGTACAGAGGTGCATTAATACAGCCATTATTATTACCATTGGCACTGACTGAATAATTTCCTGAAAGCGGTACCCGCTGCCATACTGTTGCAAGCAACTATCGCCCAGGCGCTCAAGAGCAAGTGATTATACTTGTTGATTTTTTCGGTTCAAACATTTTTTAAAAATTCGACTTCTTGTGCTGCACAAATGACAACATAACAATTTTGAAAGCCGATCCTGCAGCGGTGTGTTCCTTTGCTCTATGGTATTTCATATCTTCCTGATCTAATTTCACTAGAGCAATGGCTACAGCGCTGAACTGCGCTCCCGCATCATCGTCCAAAGAGAGATCCGATGGACCATCAGACAACATTTTGTCCAAGTATCGTGGATGTTTGATGGGGGCTTTGGCTGGAGATTGTATTGGATACATATTTGAAGTTCCGAGATCTCCACCCAAGTTTGTGGAAGTTTCGAAAATCGAGAAAGCCGTTCGTGATCAGCACGACAAAAAAGGTAAGCTGGATATTACGCTTCCAGCCATCCCTTCCGAAGGAATTTCTATCTTGTGTAGGTTTGATACGTAATCGTAATCGTATCTTTCAATTTTTATTCAGATCGTCTTCAGTACACGGACGATACTGCCATGTGTCATGCGCTCGCCGAATCGTTGGTTCGATGTGGTCGTTTAGATGTGCGCGATGTTGCGGAATCGTGAGTAGAATTATTCTATACTTTTTGTAATCTGTGCTGGGACTTTTTAAATCTGTATGACTGTGTATGACAGCTGGCAATTATTGTGCAGATTCACGAATAAATTTTATGCCGAGAAGAAAAAGCAGCGAATGTATGCCCGAGTGAAAGCTGTATTCGCTGCCTGGAAAAAAAGCAACTACGTCGGTGATTTGTTTGGTCCTTCGAAGGCGCAATTTGATGGGATGGGCTCAATGGGAAACGGTGGTGGAATGCGCATTGCCGGCGTTCCTTTATTCTGTGGGGATCGCCTGGAAGATATCATTGAGGTGCGACTAATTTTCATTCTTTTTGCGACAATTTTTCATTTTTTTTAGGTGCGACTAGTTTGTGTATTTTATCTGATTTACTATTTTTTACTCTGCAAGAGTCAGGCTACTGGCTACATGTTTTCGGTTAATGTACTTACCACTTTACGAATTATTTTCCAATGAGAACAGCCAGTAATAAGGACAAGTATTATTTGTGTAAGCTTCGAATAAGGTTTTTCTACTTCGCCGTATGCTTGTTATATGACAATTTCGTAATATGAATTGATTCTTTTTCGCATAGATTAACATAAATTGAAACCTTTTTGGTAGTTACCTTTTACTGTGCTTTAAGAAAAGCGGAAATTTCAATTTTTTTAATTAAATATTATTCTGACCGTATTTTGTTAAGGAAGCTTCGATCGTGATAAAAGAAATCGTCCGCAGGTCTTTATGATATCTACTCTGCAAGTACAGTAATAAAATAATTGGCATTTTGTAGATTGCGAAAGTTAGCACACAACTCACGCATTACAATGTCCTTGGGTATAATGGTGCCATTCTCCAAGCCTATGCCGTTTTTTTGGCTCTACATTCCGAAACTCCCGACGCCGGCGCTTTCATCGATAAACTGATCAAATTTTCCCGTGATCATTTGGAAAAGAGGTTGGTTTTTCCATTTATTCTGGCTGCTGTGTGCTTTATGGCTGGCGTGTTCTTATTATATTTAGTGAGCAAGAAAAGCCGTATACCAAGCAGCTTCTAACGGCGAAAACCCTCCTGAGTAGCGATACCGCTGTTCAAAAAGATGCTATCGAAAAGTTGGGACACTCGGTAAAAGCGCTGGACGCTATTCCCATGGCAATTTTTTGCGCTGCACGGGCGCTGCGACCTATTCCGGGCATCGAAGTAAGAAAACTTCTTCTGTTAAAATTCTAAATAGTAATTTTAATAATTTGTGGTCGTTCCTTTTGAATACTTTTTTAATTACAGTAGATTTAATTGATCGTTACTGGTTTATGTCTTCTTATAATATATGATATATTGCCGTCAAATTTCGCGTTTTGTGAGATTTTGATTTTTCAGAATCCCGATCCATTTGAGCGCGCCATTATCTACGCGATATCGATGGGAGGTGACACCGACACGATAGCCACCATGGCAGGAGCGATTTCTGGGGCATGGTTTGGCATCGAGCATGTTCCCGCTGATTGGCAAAGATTCTGCGAAGCTGCAGACAAAACTATGACCCTAGCCGATAGCTTGTATAAGCATGCTTACGGGTCGAAAAAGCCTGATATTCCGCTCCACTTCGAAGTGTCCCCTGCAAAGAAGCAGAAAGTGGAAGGAAATACCTGAGCAGCAAATACATCTCGATGATTATAATTTTGATTTATGTATGTAATTTCAGATTCTGTGATATCATAGTCTGCTACCTTTTCTACTGATTTGAGAAAGTGTCGCTAACGTTGTACCGGTGATGTTTTGTATAGAAGTATTGTTGCATTATACAATATGGTGTTTGAGCCACTGTTACTGATAATAAGTGATGGATGCTTGGTTATATTGTGTTCGATTATTTCTTTCGCAAAAGTGAAATTTTGAATACCGGAGTTCATCAAATTTTTTCAATCAATCATCAAATTTTTAATTAAATTGCTTGAATTGTTGTCAATATCTTAAGTCGCACGAATATTTTATGGAGAAAGCTGCGCACACCACGTTTTACCACCAAAGCCTCCGCACACCACCTTCCACCACCGCCAGGCTGCGCACACCACTGTTCGCACCCCGTTTTGTCTCGGACCACCATTTTTGCGCCACCATCATATATATTAAAAATATCGGCAGTCTCGGGGCACCACCTTATACTCGCAGTTTCGAAAACATATGGTGCTCGGTCTTATATACAAATACAGAGTACGACTAATATGAGCTATAGCTATGTTGTATTTTTTGGCGTGTACAGGAGGTAGTACTTTACTTAAAATACGTTGTATCTAAATTACAATGTTTTGGTTTTTTCAATATAGCGCAAGGCAAATCTTTACTATACAGCACAGTTTGTAAAACCGAAAAATTCGCTAACTACTCGTATAACGGAAGCGGAGCCAAACGAGTGGCATCAGAAAAGAGCAGCCAGAAGGCCCAGACCGCGAGACGAAAGAGCTGGCTTTTTTCCGCCCGTAATAACAATCAATTAATTTTTATAAAATAGTGGTGTGCAGAGATTGTGGTGGTGTGCACTCTGCCCTTGGTGGTGTCAGGAGATTTCAGTGGTTTTCGTAAAAAAATTAAAAAATTATAAAAAGTGGTGTGCGGAGCCTGGCGGTGGTGTTTCGTGGTGTGCGGAGACTTTGGTGGTGAAACGTGGTGTGCGGAGCCTTCCCCATATTTTATTTCCTACGAACGTAACGTCCAACCTGGAGGCCTGCCAACACATTTTCGTGAATCAGCTGATTCCTACTCATAACAGTAATTTTTTAGGAATTTTATCAGCTTCGTGGTTCTCTACTCTCTTGTCAGTTTTTTTAATGGCCTTTTCCTTAAAACTATGTTGCCTACAGAAAAGCTTTTCTGGTCGTTTTTTGCTTGCGTCTTATACTGGAATCCTTCCAGCCAACCTCTATTTTGAAGGTGATCAGTTTTCAGTACGACAAGGTGCTGAAATCTTTGGATTCTCTGTAGTAGTACTTAGTAGTAGTAGTAATGGAAGCTGCCATCCCCGAAAGCGAGCCTACGGGAGTCGAGGCGGAGGACCCGATGGTTGCAGCTCCAGTCGTCAGTGATATCCCACAAACACCAAAGAAGAAGGTAGTTTTCAGAATGATCTGGTCAACTATTAATCTAATGCCACCCACCCCTTCTTTCTGCAGAAACGAAAACGTTCTCGCCAGAAACTGGAACAGCAGAAACCAGAATGCGCAGTAAATACTCTGACTGAATCTGCACTGCCCGCAGGAGGCAAAGCTGCCCGGATCCGATCGCAAAACCGCAGACTGCCGCACGATTGGGCGCATTTGAAGCCCATCGGCTCCGTGATCGGAGTGACGCCGTTTATCCCCTTCAAAACTCCCTTCAACAGACTGCGCTCGTATCCGCGCCATCTCCGCTCGGAAGCCTTCACCACAAAGCGTCTACTGACGGAGATGGAAAAAATGAATCTGCAGTTGGGCCTGGTCGTGGATTTGACGGATTCCGACCGCTACTACCAGCCTGCACGATTAATTGAATCGAAAATCAAACATGTTAAAATACGCGTTCCGGGCAAAGGAGTGCCGTCGCTGGACACTTATCGGCGATTTTGCATGGTGGTGGAAAAATTCCTGCGGCAAGCGAATGGCGCGCTAATCGGTGTGCACTGCACGCATGGGATTAATCGGACGGGATGGTTTGTGTGTCGGTTCCTGATGGAACGCTACGGGATGGACGCGGATACAGCCATGCTGATGTTCGATCAGGCGCGCGGCCATTCGATGTATCGCGACTACATTATCGAAGATCTCAAAAACTATCAGACAAAATTACGTCCTTCTTTGGCATCGTCTGCCAGGTGCCATCAGGGAGACAATGCTGTGAAGTAAGATTTTTTGAGATACTGATTCTGAAATTTTGACTACATGATGTTGTCCGCTGGCGGTTGCGGATCTAAATTCTTTTGGTGCTGATTTTTCGTGATGTTATAGGAGTAGTAGTATTCCTGATTATTGGTTGCACAATGTACAGAGTGCCTTTTTCATTGGTTTTGTAATTTATGTAGAACCTAGTATCTGTGACTCTTTCTTTTACTGTTACTGACTGACTGACGGTTGGGAGAGCAGAAAAATGATTAAACCTGTCTTCTGTTGTAATAGTTGTCGCATTATTTGGTTAATATTTATCTTAATCATTTAATTATTATTTGATTGGCACTAATTTATCGATTAAGTAACTGTTTCGGGCTCATGCTTGTGGTAGAATTTGTATTAGTACTGTAGCGTTAATACATTTGCTTTACCTACGATGTGGACGTTTGGACGATCCAAATAAGTTCACATGTTTTCGACTGGAATTTTGCTTCTTCTAGGAATTTGTAAAAGGCTTAATTGCGCAGGTCGTAAATAAACCGACTCGTAATTAACAATTGGGAATTTAATGTGACGTTGTGCATGAAAAATTGGATGGCATCATGGCGACGCGGTAAAGTTATTAATTAAGTATTTATTCTTTAAGGTTATAAAACTGCACTCGAAATTGACTACCCATCATCAAATTGAGTGTAAACCGTAAACCGTATACGGAGGAAAGCAGGTTGTTTTCCGGATGGCCACTGTAACGCTGTTTCTCGTTACTAATTTGTAGTGCCATTGTGTTGTTATTCCAGTAGTGAATGGGTTTCAAGTGGCAACCAGGGAACTGTTTGCATACAGGAACACTTGCAGCGGCATATATTGCCGGGTTATATGGCAGCAGCACCTCCAGCCAAATTCCGTTTTCTCTCCCGTCCGCCGCTGATTAATTTGCATTCAGCACATATAACTGCTCCCATCCATATATGTGTATGGATGGATATGTACATAATCGTCGCGAGAGAGAACCGCTCCATCAAGCGACTCTTGTTGCTGCCGCTCAACGGCCGAATGTGCACTGTGCAGCCGTTTGAGAAAAATCGACTTTTGACTCCTATTAAATATTTCCCCTTTCGTCCATATATCCGCCGCACTGTGTTTATACAGGATGCTGCGAAAGAACACCAAACTACCCTATCCCAGAGTGGAACGTAACATTAATCCGCACTACTGTGCGTTGTACCGCACACATGTGTGTACGGCTGTGCGCACTCTCAATGCGAGCATGATCGGCAAATTGGCTGTTGGCTGCTGAAAGACGTGATCTATTTACGTTGGCATATGTATCTCTCTCCCTTCGCTCTTATAACTGAATTTTTTCTACTTTAGTTTTTTTCCTCTTCTCTCTCGCGCTGTCTTCCTCCCATATTCACGGTCCTTCCTTCTCATTACGCTGATATACCAGAAAAATCGGGACGTGCTCCACTAACGACGTGGAACATTGCGGATTATTTTTTTTTCCGCTGAACCACATTTCCCGGTTAGATTTTATAGTTTTCCTGGTTGCTCCATGCTCATACATGTTTTTACACTTCGGATGTTCTTCATTCGAGTGTAAAGAGAATCGCTGTCTCAATTACCGTCGTTAGGATTCCGCTGGTTTGGGTTTCATATAATCGTCTTTGGGTTTTCCTGTCAATCTTTATGAAGTTCAGATGCCTGATGCGGAAGATGAACCGGCAGAAACAAAACGTTTTATTTTAAAATGAGACGGCTTGCTGTGCGAGCATTTTAGGCATGCCGTAGCAGCCTAACAGGAAGTGTGTGATGTTGCCGGTGTGTTCGTGGTATCTCCAGGATGAAAGAAAAGATATTTATGAAGCGCAGTTCTGTTCTGTTGGTGGCGTTGTATTGGTCAGCTGTATGTCGCGTTTTTGCACTTCCGGATAGTTTAACTGTGGGTAAGTGCATCGTGCGGATTCAGTTCACCGTACGTTACTGAAATGCTTTTCCGCGTCATTCTATTTTAAAATAGTTTTGTGAAGCGTTTACAAAAATCTGTGATCGACTGATTAAGTTATGAAATTGGACTAGCCATGTAATAATAGTTTAGCCTGTTTTATATGATAATTATGTGAGCTTGTGAATTGACAGATTATATTGACATGCTATGCGGAAGTCGCACCGCGACAACCGCACTAGATGACCAAACCTACTCAGTCGGTAGAGTGGGAATATGCTCTGGACTCCGTAAGTGGTGCTACTGCCTACTTCCGCTAGGTACGAGCGGATTGCTGTGCCTAACGAAAGTTACCGAAACACTCAGGAACTTCCCAAATGTTTAATCACCAAACCGAACGAACGAACAAACAGAACAGAACAGAACGAAGTATGAACTTCCTTCTAACCTAGAGTCACACGACCTTTCAGCTAGAAACAAGCTCACAGATTTAGTTGAAGTTAGAAACTTCAGACTGATCCATTTGACCAGAATCGTGGATGCAATTAGCGATCAAATGCGTTAGATAAGAACAGCAAATTGTACGTAACAGACAACACGTACGTCATAACGCGTACGTACGTAATACGCGCAATCTATGCATAGCGCGTTAATATAGTGGGCTCCTTAGTATAGGGATCGGTTTTATGGCAGTACTGTATATTGTGGTCTGATCTGTGTTACGAATTTTGACTCGCGGAGATTCGAGTTCATGTAGAAAAAATTTTGAAGCAAAATTTGCACCGTTAAATATGAACTTTATGGTTTTAGGAAGGTATCTGTGACGCTGTTTACCCGGGCGTAATTAAATCTATCATACTCGCTGTAAATTTTGTTGTTGTGTTTGGTACGGTAACGGGTGTACTTTACTAAATTAACAAAGTGCATGAGTATCGCACAACACTTGCTTGCTTGGGTTAAAGTTGCACTTCGTGTGCTCTGGGCAGTCAAAGCATCATGTGCGTCTTCCTGTAAAGGATCAGATTGAATTCCTGATCTTTCTGTTTGATCGGATGCATTTATTGTGTACAAATTTCATCAAATCCCCAGATAAAGTTTCACAAGCGCACTAATATTTTGCATAGCTGCGACAGAAGGGAAGTTTCGAATTGCTGTGTGGTGGCCTGTCTGGCGTAGTACAGCATTGGATCGATTTTTTCTGCGACTAATCAAGTGGCCGCATAGCCTTTAATTTGTTATTTCGTTAACTCGGGACGTGGTTCAGAGTGCTGTTATATAACGGCATCAGCCAGAGTTCAAAGCTGTTATCCATTTGTTTATATTCATTTAGTATTTTGTTTTGAAATCGTTTTCGGTCTACGTTTGTTTTATCCGAACCGAAGCGGGTATTATGCGTTAGTCCACCCATGAAAAACGTATGGATAAACAGGCTCGCATCTACATCTTTGTACAACGTTTTGAATTCTCATACCAAATGTTAAAGCAATACAACTAAACTGAACTATAATTACACAAGTATTTCTACTCTGAAACAACATCTTATTCACCGGCAAATATTTGTCCCGCGTGCGTACGTTGAAGCATTGTAGTGATTTACAAAAGTGGAAACACATTTTTTTTTCATGTTCAGTGTTGAATATTACGGTTAAAACCGCTGTAGTTGGCAGTGGCCAAGTAACTACAGAGTACATCGATAATTTGATGTGCAGTCTTGCATAAAAGTGTACATTGATGTTTAATTTGCTGCGAATTCTAAAACGCTTTGGCTCTAACCAAAAGAAGTTAGCACATACACATAATATTTTACAATAACAATCTAACCACAAATTTTCCCTGTTGATATGAAGCAGTATTTCAATTTCCTCGAAGATTTCCATCAACGTATCGTATGTATACATGGAAGTTATTGTCACATGTTTTTTCATTAAAAGTGCTATTTGTTGAATGATTTCCGATCTTGTCGTGCCGTGGAATATCCAAGTGCCGAAAATGACAAGGACATGGTAACGCTGAAGATGACAGTTCTTTGATTAATAATCTTAATCAACATTCGCCCTGGTGACATTTTCGTGCGTTGGAACGGCTCACTTGCAGACTTAAATTCATATAGATGGTCTGCGTGATCTCCTGGAGAAGTAAAATGCTCTCCTCATTTTTGCAGTGGGACTTTTTAATGATCCCTTGTCGGACTTAAAGTACGTCTTCGATTACGCCATCAGCAGCGTAAATGAAGACAGTGATCTGCGGATATCCGGGACGAGATTAGATGGGAAAAAGCATGATATTCCACCCTTCGACAGTTTCCGGGCTTCCAAGCAGGGTATGTTAACAGCCGGCATGCACTGTACTGATAACATAATTTAATTCTTTCTTGATTACCACGGTTTGTTCAGAGTGGATCTTTTTTCTGCAGTATGCCGGATCCTTCATGAACAAGTGCTGGCCGTAATGGGCCCGCAGAATCCTTTCTCCAGTGATAATGTGCAATCCATTGCCGAGTCGCTGTCCATTCCGCACATTGAGGCGCGCTGGGATTATCGGATCTGGTCGCCTAATGAATCTTTCTCTACAAACGTCTATCCCGATTATCGGGTACTCAGTCGGGCTTTCAGCGATATTGTCAAGCTGTGGCAGTGGCCTTCCTTCACCATTTTATACGAAACCAATGAAGGTTAGTTTGCCGGGCTCAACATTTTGTCAGCTGATAAACGCTGATCGTTTTGTCTGTGACGCGCCATGTCACGGGCAATTATTGCGGCTTCTCGCTGTGCGCTGGCAAATCGCTTTTTCCACTTTGTTGCAACGGAAATGACGTCTTTTTATTCCAAATTGTAGCAAACGCGTTTTTTGTTTAAAACAAGGATCGCTGCGAATAGCGATAAAACTGTTAATTAAAATAAAAGGAATTTGCGCAATCAAGAACGCTTATACGCGTTCGAAGAGTAGTATATTTTAAGAAGGTATTTATTATCATATAATGTATTTTTAAGAAGGTGTATATATATTTATTAGAAAACCTCAAGGTAACTGGGAAAATAATAAAACAATTTATTCCTGACAAGTAAATAACTGAACTATTTTAACAGGTATAATAAAGCTACAGGAATTGCTTCGTGGAGCAACCAAGATGAAAGTTTCCCTGAGATTATTAAAAGGTCCCGATTACCATGATGTGCTGAAGGACGTGCGTGCGAGCGGTGAATCACGAATAATTCTGGATTGTCACGTCAGTAAAGTACCGGACATTTTACATCAAGCTCAACAGCTCAAGTTGACCTCCCCGTATTACCAGTACCTTCTGACAACCCTGGTAATTCCTGTTGGCAGTATTGCAAACGTTGTTGGTGATTCTCATATATTTACGTGTCCGTTCAGGATTTGCACACAATTGACTTGTCCACATTTGTCCACGATCATCCCAACATCACCGCCTTCCGTTTGGTAAATCCCAGAGCGAAAAATGTTCAAACGGCCGTGCGGGGCTGGACCGCGCACAGGATTACACCGGGATCCGTTGGCACGGTGCCCAGCAATTTGGTTGTAACAGTAAGTTTCAAAGTGCTGCAATTTTACGGCTTTACTCACCTAATTATAAAAGATAAATTACCGAAAATAAAATTTCTCAAGCTTATGTACTGCTTTGCAATATTTTTTATTGACGTCATGTGTTAATATGCCTTTCGCTGTCGTAATTGCCGGCTTTCGCAATAGACTGATCAAGCCCTGTTCTACGATTCCATGCTACTATTGGCCAAAGCCTTAACCCGTCCGGAAGTGGCTGATCTCGCCACGGTGCCCGTTAACTGCGACAACGAACAGGCCTGGTCCCGTGGTCGCGATTTCGTGAATGCCCTGGCAGCGACACAAGTCAAAGGGCTATCGGGAATGATCAAATTCAACGAAAATCGCAGCCGCACTGATTTTAAGCTGGACATTGTGCAACTATTGTCGAGAGGCTACCAGGAAGTACGTTATTTTGGTTCCCATGTCACATCATTCTGTTGAATGCTACCATTTAATAAATATGTGGAGGCGGCTTGGATATTGGAATAGGTGTAGTTTTGAAACTGGAAATGCTGAAAAATATCTAATTACAGAGTAGTTGCTGAATGTGGTTTTGGTTAATCAGTTTGTCTTCTCGAAATTAGGTAGGGCGTTGGAATCCGCGCGATGGTGCGGTTATTACATGGAATTATACGGATCATTATGCTCAGATCTCATCATCCATGAGGAATAAAACTTTAAGAGCAATAACCATAAGGGAAGACCCGTATGTGATGTGGAAAAGTGACCACGAGACGAGAGTCGGCACGGATAAATACGAAGTACGAAATGTTGAATCATATACGTATTATTTTATGTTGCTTAACAGTAACAGTACAACAATGTTTTTGAATGGTGTAATTCTGCACCGCTCAAAAACACGCCATTTATAAATTAAATTCGTGTATGTGGACAGTATGTTTCTTGTTTCAACTGTGCTATAACGATGAAATGCGTTCTCTTGTTCCTGACTCGATGGATGATGGTTAATCGGATAGAAACAAAAACCGGAGTAGTGCACTTTATCACATTGTTTAGTGTTATTCAGCATACCGTTATTCACACACAGCATTACTAGTATTATATTTAAGTTAACGAGGCTGCCAATAAAGTCAAATATTTTGAAGGACACAGTCGTTCAATGCGTTAATGTACGCTTATTAATTTTATCGGTTTATGTTGGTAATGTTAGCATTATGAGCTATACTACGTGCTCACTGCGGACTTTTGCATTGCATCCAGAATATTGTTGTTATCTTATAGCATGAGTGGCAATTGATGTTGACAGGTGACAGCATATGTTATCGTATCCTTGACGATCTTCGTGTTAGCCCGCTTTTCGCCTTACGAATGGTACAATCCACATCCGTGCAACGAGGAAGGAGACGTTGTGGAGAATCAGTTCACCATATGTAATTCACTGTGGTTTACCATCGGATCGTTAATGCAGCAAGGATCCGATATTGCTCCGAGGGCTGTTTCTACTAGAGTAGCGGCCGGATGTTGGTGGTTTTTTACGCTGGTTAGTGCCAACCATTTTGCTGCTTATTTACTCACCCGTATTCCGGCGCTGCGTCTACACATTTTTTGCCTATTTGAGCAAATATGAGAATTCACATTAACTGTTTATATTACAAACTGTATTTTAATCGTAGCTGTTATTGTTCCATAATGTTGTTCCTGAATACTGGTTGTGTATACTTCGCAATATTTCGTTGTAGGGATGACCTTTGGGCTTTTATGCAGTCTATTACTTACCATTTTGCCACTACTGTTATTCAGCACGATTTATAATAAACTATGTTTTGCAGATTATGATTAGCAGCTACACAGCCAATTTGGCTGCTTTCCTAACAGTGGAACGCATGAAGTTGCCCATTGAGAGCGCGGATGATTTGTCAAAGCAGAATCTCATCCGTTATGGCTGCTACCACGGTGGAGCGACGTATAACTTTTTCAAAGACTCAAAACTTCCCGTATACAAGCGCATGTGGGATGCCATGAGCGCCGATCCGTCCAACTTTGTTAAGAAAGGCGCAGCTGGTGTGGCAAGAGTGAAAAACGATAAATACGCCTATTTGATGGAATCACCATCCCTGGAATACGAAATGTCCAAGGACTGTGATTTAACGCAAATTGGCAATTTGCTGGACTCCAAAGGATTTGGTATTGCCACACCGCAAAGTGAGCAGATATTTATGTAATGTTGTGATGAATTAGAGTTTGTTGCATTGATTATGCTTCGTTGTTTTTGCTAGACTCACCATACCGGGACGAAATTTCCAAAGCAATATTAAAACTGCAAGAAAACAGTGTGCTGCATAAATTGAAAGAAAACTGGTGGAAGAAGAACAATTCGTCCTCGTGTGACAGCATCTCCAAACCACAGGATCAAGCCAGCGAACTGGGATTAGCCAATGTCGGTGGCGTGTTTGTCATTTTGATAGCTGGGCTTATTTTGTCATTTGCCGTGGCCATCTTGGAGTTCGTTTGGAAAGCCAGAAAAACATCGATGCATTATCGCGTAAGAAGTTTACTCACAATCATATTGGTGTTGTTCGTTTGATTTTAGTTTTTCAGTTGTCTTTGATTTTATAAAATTTTGGACGGTGTGGCATAATCTGTGGTTAAAGTTTGCGGTTGCTTGTTTACAGGACCCTATCGGAACGGAGATGAGCCGGGCTTTATGTTTTGCGGTGCGATTGCACGGGTCATCCAAAAAGCCGGTGGTGAGACCTTCGCATGAAACACTGGAAAATCCAAATAACTACGATCTGTCACGGTCAACCTCGGTGCCGCTCAGTAAAGGAAAATACTTAATGTGATGCATTTTTTCTTTAACTCTTCCGCTTATTACGGTAGCTGTAGCTGACCACAGAAAACATGGTGAACTACTTAAACAAAATATGGAACTACAGTACTGCGATAAAGAGAGCCCTGGACGGCATATGAATGCTTTAATTAAGGTTTTCCATTAACTACTGTGTTATTTTGGTTGTGTGGCTTCGTTACGCTACTAACACAAAAACAGGTGTCTATGAAGGGATGGAAACCCGATTTACTGGTGCTGAGTTGTCTTTATCTGAAACGTATGCGTCTGGAGGACATCAAAATTGATGAAAAGCAAAACACAGAAAACAAACAAATATGTATCCAAAAGAGCAAATTAAAATTTTGACAAGTCCTCAAAAAAATTGTGAGAAAACGTTAATACGAAATTGTGAATCATCATTGTGAATGCGATCAGAACAGCCGGTTAACCGAGAACAGTTTCTTCGTTCTTATCGTTATTTCTGAAGCCGATCATCATATCCTAATAAGGGACGTAGCTATGGTAGACGGGATATATTATACGCGTACTGATTATCGGGAAACAGGCGCTCCATTTTTATCGCGCTGTAATTATCATTAATGGTGAGCAAGTAAAGCAGGGGATCTGATCCTTCCTTTCTCTGGTTTTGCCCGTATCTGGCCGTATAAAAATAGGAAACCCCCAAACACAGAGTAATGCAGATGGTGAAGAATACAGCAGCGCAAAGCTGTGTGCGGCTTGCAGATGCTAAAGAATAAAACGACAATTAGGCGCATAAATTTCGTATGTTATGTACTGTACATCAGGGGTACAGACTGGGTACTTGATAGTATAGTTAATCCACACCCTTTTAATGTTTAAATTTATGACATCGTGATTTCCAACATGATCTGAATTTACTCCTGTTTAAATTTTACATAATTAGGCATTACCGCGACATATTAACACAGAAATATTTTATGTGGAAGACGAAAGACTGGAGCACGGTATAAAGGAGTACTATTTATATTTTATTTTATATTTATATCTACTATAAAAATTTACTACTATAAAGGAGTACACGGTATAAAGGATATTTATCTCTTATATACCTTGACTAGAGTATCATATCTTATGGTTAGGTCCGTCTAAAACCGCCATTACGGGTAGGGTTTTACAACACTGCTCGAGAAACGTCAAAGGCGTTATACGAACGTACAAAATTATATCTATATGCAACTGAGGAGACTGTTTTAAGTTAAATTTGTGTTTCCTTATTGGTTATAGTCTCTCATCATGCAACAGAAAGCTCCATAATTATGATACGTTTTATAAGAGTTTTATCTGAGCATTCGCTTACCTTTATAGTAAATACCGGTAGAAGTATCCCAGTTAACATCATCTTCGTCCAAATGTGGTTTTGCATGCCTGTCCATATTTGCCGGTCAGTATCCGAATCCTTTTCTATTATCGAAGCACGTCAAAATGTAAGAAAAACGATATTGTTTAAAATCAAACACCCGGGATTTTATTTTCTGGACTGCTGTAGAGGGGCATACTTTACAATCAGAAAATAGGCAATCAGCAACTTCAAATAATGCGACCGCCAATGATTTCGTAACAATTTTAATTCCTTCGCTGATCTTCCAAACATCATCTTCACATCACAAGGAAGACGACCCGACAAGTAAAATTTGATTTTTATGTGTACCTATGTGCTTTATCTGAAAATAGCAATGGAAGGTATAAAAATAGGTGGAAAAGCGGAGTGTCTGGTTTGACTGATGTGCATGACATGCATCATTTGACTAACAAAACCAACGCTTGCGATAATAACAATAAAAGCGGCTAGTTAACCGGTTATGTATGGCACAATAGTTATTACGGTATATTATTCTTACTGTTCAACATCAGTGATAGAGTGCAATCCCGGTGTCAAAATCCTTGTATCGCCAGTGTCCATAAAACAAAACACAAGGTGGAATGCTGCTGTGCAATTACCGTATATATTTGTAGCAGTATATTTTGATGCTATTTTACAGTATTCACGGTACGTAAAACGTAGATATAATGTACTTGAATTAAAATGGTGATACGTACGTAAATGACCGCAATATTATCATACATTGCCGTTAACGTTTATTAAACTTTTCTGTCAGGAAAATTTCCATCTGATAGAGTTCTCACCACAAAAACATCTGTTAAAAATTTTGACAAATACAAAAATAAAATACAGTAAAATAGATACTCTTTCAGTACACGAATGCGTGCAAAAATAAATTTACTGGATGAAAGTCATCTCCAAAAAATTGCGATCAATGAAGCCAATATCAGTATATGGCTGTGTATTTGTTAATCTGCGATTTCCTCAATGGACGAATTCAACCAATGAGCAATAAAGACATTCTCGGGGTTATCCTCCAGCATAAACTGCCGGATATCCCGATTGCGATCGAAGGGAATGGAGCTGAGATCCAAGGCGAGGTAATAACTGCTATCCATGTTGGCCACACTGATAATCCGGCCCATTACCTGCCGGAGACGCGGAAATAGCTGGCTAAGGTCAGATGGTGACAGGCGTCGGCGGACTGACGAAAGCAGGGCATCCAAGTAATGAGCGTGGATAAAGGACATTTTCAGTTTATTCTCAACGGATATGGTGCCTACAATTGCGTCTGTCAATTACCATCCGCTCCTGTGCTTTCCTACAAAATAATTATATGGCGCACGGTCACCTTACCGGCACGGAGAATAATTGCTGATAGAAACAAGTAGCGTTCCGTCATAGTCAGGTGCAGTTTGTTGAATTCAGATGCGGCTAATTCAATGAAATTGATCCAGTCCTGATTGACTAATTGTTTCATCCAGTATTTGTTAAAATGGAATCCATGTGGGCCCACACACCAGTAGTAATCCTCTTTTTGCATGTACGCCGCATGGTTAATCTGTCAGAAAAGCTATTGACATGCAAAGTGGCGCGTGGTATATTTTGTTCACCGACAAAAGCTTTAGATTTCATCATGAGCAAACCATAGTATACTTTTACAATGTAAAATCAAAGTACACCTGTCCGCTTTTACCTTTTTCAAGCTGCATAAGTGAATTACAATGTAAACTGTTTTAGTTTTTTACCAGAAAGAAATCAAAAGAGCGTTCAAGGACGATTTGCGTTCGGTGTTTATGGCTCAGTTTCGTGAAACCGGGGAGGCTTTTGGTGAAATCATCGGCACGCACTGCATCCCCCTGAAACTCATGCTTCAGCGCATGTATCATCATGGGCAGGGTAGTTTCCGGTTGATTCTAATAAGTAGCGAAAAAAGGAATAATGAAGTGGAATATAAGATATATATCATATAGATGCCACGGTGTTTAGGAAAAGTAATTATATATATACGATAAAAAAGTTGCGATGGTTCCCCCTGTACACACTATACACAGGAACATCATTTTTAATTATTTTAATATACCGTAATATGAAATATTACGGTATATTAAAATACGCCAGCCATTCTGTTAATACTCGCTTTGCCGCAGTATCGACTGTCTATGTATATATAGATTTACCGGAACTTCGCACAGAATCAAGGTTCTCCGGGCGTACTCCGTCCAAAGATCGATTTGATCCATATAAGAGCGACAAAATGCATTGGTTACTGATCGGATGGTGGTATCGATGTTCAGGCTCTCTTCGGAGCCGTGCAGAAAATCGGCTTGAAAGTCAGCGCGGTATGGCGCTGTTTGTATCTCGTCAAGGTTGATTTTGATTCGGAAACCAGGAAATTTATCGTAAAGTTGTATTTTATGGAGGCTTTCTGGGCCGATGTCTTTACAGAACAGAAGTGACCGGTCATATGCAATGGCTGACCTTTGTTCAGATTTTTCGCTTGTGTCCGATTGAATAAAACGAAATATGTCGACTCGCGGAAGCAGATCTAAAAAAATTAAATCCAAGTTCGGAAATTTAAAGGCGCTCATGCATTCATGCAGTATACAAAATAACCTTTAACAACTGCACTCGGCTTCGATACAGCGTAATCAAAAGCAGTTGTAGCTGAATTCCAGTTTCGCGATTTTTCTCTGCCGGAAAACTTCGATGTGCATTTTGCAGATCCTGTCACACAATGTAACAACATTACTCGCATTAGACATGCAATCTTGCAAAGGTGTGTGCTACAGTGGCTAAGGTAAGTTTACTTTTGCTATACAATCGCTGCCGCGCTAACAATGCGATTTTCCACGTACCGACGATGGCATTAGGACTGTTGAAATTGACCATTCCTTCTTGCAAACATTTCCTGTAGCGACAGGCTCGACATCTTCCTCGCGCCACCGAACCAACAGGACAAGCATTTCCAAAATAGCACACATATTTCGTGCTTTTAACAGACTCTCGTTTAAAAAATGCCTAGGAGAAAATGTTGCATTGAATAGCAGTGTTTCGGGGAATACTGTACTTAGCCTTGTACTGTATACGCCAGTAACGCCACAATAAGTACCGCTCAAATTTAATTAATGAAAATACAAGCACAGAAGGAAACGAAAGTCGCGTAAAGTTCGAACGTTCGAACCAGACCGGACATGCATTTCTCAAAATATGAGGTATACTGCTGCTTGCTCAAAATATGAGGCATACTTATAAACCCCGTATAATTTCCACAAGACTCGTACAGTCTGTAAGGCGTAAAAGTTACTGTAATCTTTTACAGAAGCTTTGATGTTATCCAAAAATTTGGCCCGCGCCAGCTGCATAATTTATCGTTAGCAGATACACTTGGTACAATGCGTTTACAAATTACAAGCAGAAAATATGGTTTTGTAAGAAATCTAAGTCAAAAGTATGGGTAAATCTTGATAAATTTAACGGATAAAATGTAATGTACTCTGTATGTATAATAATTACGTTAATTACGATTTTCGAGTATAAGTACTTAAAGCACTTATTTGGAGTATGCTTGTCTTACCATTTGAACTACGAGTAGGTATACAATAGCACCACCTTACCTTACACCCCTCGCAGCTGATCACACCATAATGAATCCCTGTGGATTTCGCACCGCAAATCCGACATTTTGGTAAAACTTTTGCGCCATCGTCGTTCGGGAACATTTTGATTTAGCTATTCACCAAGAGAGAAAAAGGTAAAGCAGTCGGCTTTTTTGGTATTATCGCATTTATCCGCCAAACTTTTTAGATTGTTCGGTAAATGGTAACGTTTTAATTGTACAGAGTGCAGTGCTTTGACACTACAACAGAGTTCAAAATTGAAACCAAAAGTAGAAAAGCGTCTGGTAAACAGAAAATATTAAATTACTATATAAAAGAAAATCTATACAAGCGCAAGAAAAGTCGGGCTGCTGTACAACATAAACTGTTACATCTGTATAATTTTTTAGTCCGGGCTTTGCGTTGCTACTTGTATGCTACACAACTAAGGACCCATCAATAGAAGTTACGCCATGGCCGAACCCACAATGCGGCGATTCGCTGCCGCGCAAATTAGATCTGCGCTTGGGTGAGGGCGGTGCCAAAAATGCATACTCGTAAGAGCCTTACGCGTATGTATGTAACTCCACCCCCTAGCATGCATACATACACGAAACTGATCGAACTGCCAGTGGATCTCGAAATTTCAAACGCTCGTCTTTCGTTTATTTCTCAACAGAACTTCAATCGATCATCAAAGATAGAGTTTTTTTTTTTCACATACACTATCATAGGGAAGTTATGGCGGAGTTCTCTTAGCATAGGATGCAAGCAACGCCTCCTCACACGGGCCTATGCTTTGTTTACGAGAAACCAAAACAGCCATAACTTTCTTGATTTGCCATAGATTTCCACTTGCTATATACCAAAAAGTTTGAAAATTAATTCTCTATCTTTTGATATATCGATTGGGAAGTTCTGTTGAGAGGCAAACGAAAGAAGCGTGCTGCAAGTTTTGGGGATTGACTGGCAGTCAGGTCGGCTACTTATGTGTTTATGAGCGAGCTGGTCACATCTACACGCGTGCCGCACACCAGCTCGTTTTAAGCCATACGCACAAACCAATTTCGACGGCCGGAAGTCTTACTTATATAGACGGGTGCTAACTTATGTGACATACAAGTTGCAACGCAAAGCCCCTAGTGATTTATAATGTACATATATGTACATACTATATTGGACAAATCCAAATTGTTTAAAGGCTATCGTAGTCCGTTACAATCAGCTGTCACATACAGAATTTTTGCGGTCTCACAGTGCGAACAAAAATCGATAATTTTGCTATGCTTGTCTTACCTGTAAATTGATTTTTCGGATAAAAAGATCAAGTTTAATCGAAAACACGCTTTTGGAGCGGTGTTGCTATATTAGTGATCCGCTACCGCACGTGCTGCACAAAGCGCACCGCACTCTGACTACGTCAATGTTTTTCTTTCATTTTCATCGCTTGCATTCATTCGTTCGGTGCAGTTTGCTGAAAAGAAGTGAGCTTGGTGCTTGCAGATCTAGAGCTTCTATTCTATGCTCTTTTTTATTAATTATTACTACGTTCTCGCGCTCTTGATTGTAGCACACTTTTCATTTGTTTAGCATATAATAAATAAAGAACACTCGGCCTCGACATGTCGCTTTCTCGCCTTACGGTAGGAGACTCGCTGAATCTTGGATCCAGTCTTCCAGAAAACTCAGAGAAAACTCGCTTTCAAGCGGAGCTGGAATTTGTCCAGTGCCTGGCTAATCCAAATTATTTGAATTTTCTCGCTCAACGTGGATATCTTCGAGATAAAAGTTTCATCAATTACCTTAATTATCTGCAGTACTGGAAGAAACCGGAATATTTAGCCTTCATAAAGTATCCGAATTGCCTGTTTATGCTCGATCTTCTCCAGCACGAGTCTTTCCGCAAAGAGCTGACGAATCCACAGTGTGCTAGGTATATCGATGATCAGATGGTACTCTTTTGGCAGCATTATACGCGGCAAAGGAATAGTATGCTCCAAGGTACGAATGCCACGGAACAAGCGAAAGCTTCGGAGACGTAATACGCTCATTTGGCTTGAATACTCTGGATCTCCAGCACAGCTGATGCAGTGAAGTTGGTTCATCCAACTTTTTTACGCAAGATGGGCAAATACTGTATGATGATGTGCACCGTGGTTTGTTGTTGACTTATTGGTTACAGTTGGAATCATTAAATTTATAGTTTGTTTCACTTGTAGTGTGGCTGCTTGAATTTACTTGTTAATATTTATACAATCAGTGAATATAGCAGTCTCTTTGCGCCTCTCTCCTTTTCGTTGGATAAATTAAAGTCTCAAACATTTGGATTTTTTGATACCTAATTATGTAAAGCTAATTAATGCTAATTATGTAAAGCAAACAGATGAGGTCGATTTTTCTCGTATATTTTCATGTAGAAATTTTTTCAATAACGATATTAAAATAGCGCGTTACAGTTGTATTAGTATTTCTATACGCCCTGGGCACATTACGTTTAACTTTATACCGCAATATATTCTTTTCTTTGCACAACGTCACAATGTCATACTAAACTTTTCAAACGTAGGCGCTGAAAACAAAGCACGTGTATAGATATTTAAAACCGGACAAAGTCACAACGTAGCCGGAATGAGAGCGGCAAAAATTTAAAGGCTTAACTTAAAACCATAGAAGTAGATCAAAATGCAAACGTGGAAGCATTAAAAATTCACCTGCCGATAAAAACTATGTATGCCAAATTTACAATCACTATTCAATTCAGCCTTCTAATCATCGGATTCTGACTCAGATGAGGAATCACTGGAATCAGAGCTGGAATCGGAGCTGGATTCTGGAAAACAGAGTGATAAAATAACTGGTAAAAGTCTGGATTTCTAGATCTGTCCAGCCTCTTCAAAAAATTCGTATAAAATTAATGCTGTATTTTTATTAAATATTATCGAAACTGTGAAATAGTGAATGAATTAAATAATTACTGTTACACCACCGTTTGCTTACCCGTTGAGGATGAATCTTTATGCATTTCTCGCTTTCGCACTTCCTGGAGCACAGCGGCAACGAATTTAACAGCATCGCGTCCTCCAACTTTCATCAAATTTTTAGCCATCATCTTGGTTTCCTGCTCTTTTTCGGAATCGGAACTCGAATCACTCGTCTCGTCGTCTTCTTCCTCAGAACCGGAAGTACTGGAATCGTCGTCCTTTTTCGTCTTCTTGCTCTTGGGACTGGATGCTTCTCCACTGGTCTCTTCCTTTTCAGAAGCAGACTCCGAGGAAGAATCAGATTCTTTAGCTGATTTCTTTTTCTTTTGAGCCTTCTCACCCTTGGCGCTCTTTTCCTGTTGCGTGGCTTTATCTTCGCTGGTTGCCTGTTTCGCGTCCGCTTCCACACCGGAATCCTCCACAAGCGGTTGATCCTGGGGATTATCGTTCAACTTTCCAGGGGTATATGTTGTTTTGTCCTTTTCGGCCTTTACAATCAGGCTGCTAATCACGACATCCTTTATTTCCGGAATGGCTTCTACAGCTGCCATTTTCAAAGAATTCGGCTGACGGCGAATTTAGCGAAGTAAAGCAGAGCGGCAAATCAAAAGGTCAGAAAAAATCAGCTCGAGATCAAAGGGAGTATCAGTAAATATGGAAAAGTGAGAAGGGTCAACTAGTGCACAATTCAAAACTACGGAGCGCTCCGCCAGTAAAAATTCATTGGTTTCTTACTTTGATGGGTTAAAATACCTACGTACCGTACGGTACTTCGCCTGTTGTGTCGGACTGTCGGTTCGGCCAACAACATCATTCCGTCTGATCTGCAGACAAGCGGTGTTTTCAGCGGACCTCTGGCCAATCAGACAGGACCTGACTGGTAAGTAAAAAAGCGTACAGTACAGTACCTTCGGTAGGGTTCATTCAGGTCTTCAGGATACGCCGGCCACCGGACATCACAGCACTGACCAGTATGTACGTACAACAGCAGCCACACCAGTATGTACGTACAACAAAGTTTGCAATGCTAACAGCACCCGCAGTAGTGAACCGTACGATATGGGTGTCTTTAGGGCTCACTACGCTAGCTGCAGTCTGGCATTAATTTCTGATATGGAAAGGAAAACTGGGGATATCCCTCGAATTATAAGTAACTATTGAATAATAATTTGAATTCATAATTTTGGTTTCGCTGTGAGATGCAGCGCTTTTGGTACGTTTACTTGTGATTTGGTATAGTATACCACGATGGAAAGTACTCCAGAACCAGAGGAAATTGGCGGACAGGGTCCTTTCGAAACCCATTGTGTCATCGAGCTGTCCAGTCGCTGTATGCACACTATTGTGATAAAACATTTTGTTGTGCTTCCAGCTTCCATCTTCAGTCCACGGGATCTGTCGGTACTTTTTACTACTGCACGTTATATTTTCAGGTACGGAAGATCTTGTTAACTGGATTATATGGCGAATTCGTGCACCTAAAAGGAATCAGGGAGCTGAGCTGTTAGTGCGCGCAGTGCGCGATGTCGACACAAACAAGGTAATCTGTAGGACTGTGCTGCCGTTTTATTTTATCCTGATTAGTGATTACTGTAAGTATTGGAATTATGATCGTGTATGTACACTGTAGTATGCATTTCTGCACATTTGTGCTCCCACGTACCGCGTACTGGAACTCGCGGAGTGGCTGGAAGTGATGAAACCCGATGCGAAAGATGGGACTATGAAGGAATTCAGCATTGCATCCCTGTCGTCGTTTGTGCCTGAGGGTAGGTGCATGAATAATTTCCATGACGTTCACAATGTCAGTGTGCATTGTCACGATATATCATTATTATGCATTTGTCACATTTCGATATCCACTTTATATTGCTTTAGTTATTGTTGATTTGGTTCAGGTGTATTAATTTAATTTTTTATTTATTTTGCCTTTTATAGATGAAGATCCTGGGAATTTATTTACGTATTCTGAAAAAGCCCGATTCGTTAATTTCGAGATCAATGAGCTGCGCGCCAAAGCCGAAGAAATGGAGAAGTTTTTTGAGTCGGATAAACTGCGCTTTAGTGAAGGACAGAGTATCAGTAAGAAAATGGCCAGACAGTTTTCTGATTTTGTGCCTTGCTTAGCAAGGCACAAAATAGCAGTATTTGCTCTGCGTTAACAATAAGGAGTGTGTGCTTTTAGTTACAAAAATGCAGAGAAAAGATGTGATATTGAAGATCTTCCCTTTGCACGAGAAAGAACTAAGGAAGCGGCTTTTTGCCGGATGGGTTGGGAAGAAATTGTCTCGAAAGCAGCCGCTTGGTGAGTTAAAATTTCCCCCGGTTTTTCATTTATTTAATGTTCAGTATGGCTTATTGTGGTGCCGGTGTTACGTTTCGTGTTAGATACAACCGTACGAAATTCTAAAGTCGGAAATTATTTTTTTCGGACTTTCGCTTTTGATATAATTTCGGTTTTTTTTAGATGCCGTTTTTTCGGTTTTTTTTTAGATGCCGTTCGCGATTACTTTGGCGAGCATATAGCCATCTACTTTGCATTTTTGGGATTTTACACAGAAATGCTGATACCGGCGACGATATTGGGATTGACGATGTTTACCATTCAGTTGTTCAGTCAGGCAACATTGACGACCGTTGCGGCGTTCGCCATATTTAATCTTTTATGGGCAACCTTCTTTTTTGAACGCTGGAAGCGCTTTTGCAATCGCTTGTGCTACAAATGGGGTGTACTGTTTAAAACCAATGAGCAACTTGAAATTCCCCGTTCACAGTTCAAAGGTACAAAGACGTTGTAAGGAAAAATGCAAAATTTTACCTAGCGATTGTCTTGTTTTTGTGTGGTTTACAGGCTCAATGGGAAAAAATCCCGTTACCGGTCTTCCTGAACCCGTTTATCCCGAGATGACACGTTATATTTGGATCGCTTTTATATCCACACCAATTGTTGTTCTGTGCCTTTTCTTGTCGCTGTTCATGTTGGGAAGTTATTTGGATGCCCAAACCAGTTTGAATGATCAGTACATAAAACGTCCGACATTCTTCCTGTTCTTTGGACGTTTTGCACCAAGTGCGATCTACACAGTGTGCGTCAATATTTTCAAGGGTTCATACAGGTAAATTTGTAAATTACTTATATTACCGTTTTTTTATGTTTGCAGCTTTTTGACAATGTAAAGGTTGCGCGCTTATGTGTGTAATTACTTTTGTTGTCAAATGTTGGGAAGATTTACCACAGGTTGTGGCCTGTGATTTTTGTGAATGCAGATATGTCGCGACATGGTTAACCGATAAAGAGAATCACCGCCTGCAAACATCCTATGAATTTCATTTGATATGGAAGTTGCTGTTATTCAACTTCGTGAACTCCTTTTCCTCTTTGTTCTTCATCGCGTTTTGGTTGCAAGATTTAGATCTACTGCGCAGTCATCTTGGGACACAGCTTATTACCAATCAAATCATCGATCAGTTTTCTGAAACGATTTTCCCTTTCATGAAAGTGCGCTATCAGAAGTGGCAGCTGCAACGTGAATTGCGAAAAGAGAACAAAAAACGGGAAATTCGTGGCGAAAACGAGGATGCGAATTTTACGGTCTTTCGCGATCAGGCGATTATCGAAAATGATCAGCCAATTTACAAGGTTTGTTATCGTTACTTGAAGCAGCGAAATTGATAACGCCTTGGAATTCTTGTGTGCTTTTGCTTTCACTTGTCTTATTCTAGGGTACTTTCGATGATTATCTGGAACTTTTCCTCCAGGTTGGAATTATTTATTCTGCCATGTGATGTAGATCGTAACCTCTTGTGTTGCTGAATCGATATATTTAAATTGCTTATTGTCTGGTGTAATATGAATATAGCTTAAGCAATTGCCGAAACGTGTAACAATAGTTCAGTCAATTTTGTGATACTTAAACAGCTGTATTAACCAAAGGGATTGTGATTTTGTAGTTCGGCTATGCGTTCATGTTCTCATCGGCTTTTCCGGTTGCCCCATTGTTCGCATTGTTAAACAACGTGGTTGAAATTCGCGGAGATGGATTCAAATTGTGCAACATTATGCAGCGGCCATTTGCACGACCGGGCAATTCCATCGGACCCTGGCAGCTAGCGTTTGAATTGATGGGATTCGCGGCGGTGGTCACGAATCTCGCTCTGGTCTATTTGAACCCGATTGTAACCGACTATGCCAAGCATACCGGTCATGATCAGATGATCCTGATTTTTGTCGTCATTGAGGTAAATGCAACATTCATGTCATCAGGTGTCATTAGGTTTCTCTCGCTTAAAATTCCTGTATCCCACAACAGAATTAAGCAGTAGTATTAACCCTGCGCAAAGTAAGCATTTTTGTTGCAGCATATTCTGATTTTTGCCAAATTGGGAATGTCTGTGATTTTGCCTACCGTGCCACGGGAGGTGCAGCTGGAGATTGCCCGGAGCGAATATGAAATGAAGACGGCACTGAAAGAACGAGTAAGCCGTATTCTAAATTTTTTAAAGTATAGTAACATAGTGTAGTATGTACTGTACTTATTTAACGATAAGTAAGGCGCCATCCATAAATTACGTCACGCAAGTAGGGGGAGGGGGGAGGTCCTGAAAGCGTTACTGTTTGTTACGAGGGGGGAGGGGGGCTTTAAAAATTTGTTACGATGATGACGTCAACATGCTATATCGATGGAGGGGTTCTCATTTTGTTACGTAACGCTCAGGGGAGGGGATCTCAGTTTGTTAGCATTGGTGACACAGGGGGAGGGGGGTATCAAAATGTCCAATTTTTTTGCGTGACGTAATTTATGGATGGCGCCTAATATGGTTACTTTGCGTCGCGATGTTTGTGTGACACCGTGATACAGTATGTGTACAATACAAATACAGTACAATGTAGATATATTGATAACACTACATGTCACGTCATGCCGGTTATGTTACCTTGCAGCGAGCTGGAGAATCACGGCGGGCTTTGACGTCTAAAAAGTTCGCTGGATCGGAATTAAGTTATTCTGGTTACCGTCAACCGCAGGGTGAATTCAACAAGTGATCAGCATAAGTGTAAAATAATTGAAGATTTCCGCCAAATTTTGGTTTAGTTCATATGGTATTTTTGTTTTGTAGTCGTACGAATGTCCTTGAAGAGAGGTGTTAACTGTTAACTTCGTTGCTGCTCATAAATTTTTTTGCGTATTGTAAAATTGAACAAAATAATTTATGTTAGCTTCGCTCTGTTTTGTAAATTGTGTAACGAGTTATCCGGTTCGCATTTCGTATTTTGGTATTGATTAATCCTCAAATGTTTTCTGCTGCTTGTTGGATTAGAATTAAAGGGATTTAGTGTTCGGCCACCAGCGCGATGGATAAAACGCAACGTTTCTGACATATGTGAGGGTTATGAAGTATGAACTTATAAGAAATACGAAGTACTAATACACCTTATTATTCGTTCAATATCTGATACAAAATTCATAAGTAATAAATTTTAAGCAGGTACAATTAAAGTGCATATTGCACAATATTTTGAAATGTAGTGCTGATGTATGCTACGGTTATAACTTGCAACTACCGGTAATACCATGCTAGCGAACACAGTACCCAGACAGACAACCACTAAAACTGTCGTCTAAAAGCAAATTAACAATGTCTGGACTCAACGGCATACATGACAAATAAGGAATCCAAAGCAAGCAAAAATTATTTATTAAGAAGCGCAAAGATCTGGCAAAAGCGATAGTACTGAATCCATGCAGCAACGGCAAAAACCTCGAAATAACAGGAAAATGCTGCACCATGCTGACAAAAATTAGGTGTTTGCATAGAATTAGACACTGCATCAAGGTAACGGTAGCCCCAAAACAAAGCACACTATATCGGAAAACCAAAAACAGAAAGATGTGAAACAATCACTGATTACGAAAAACTTCGACACTTCAATTAAAAACCTAGTACAGTTGTACCTATGACGATGGCAGACAAATTCTTTAAGCAAAATCGTTCTTTAGAAGAAAAGTCGCTTTCAATCGATCCCCAGGGATTTCCTTGCCAAGCGCTGAGCCGTTCGCTTGAATTCCTCGCGGTTTTCCCGATAGATTTTGGCCGCATCGACATTGGCTGGTGATTCGTCATTGGGTTCGGCCAACATGCTCATAACCGATAGCAAAATCTTCTCGATACTCTGCACAGGACTCCATCGCTCAGCGCTGGTCTCGTATCCCATCGGGTCGTCGCCGGGCGGATGGAGAATGGAGATACATACCCGTCCATCTGGATAAATATTAGGATGAAACATATCACATGTGAAGACCATCTTGGGGGGATTCAGCGGGTAGTCGGACGGAAATGTCAGTCGGGTCGGAAAAATGCCCCCTTCGAAGCACGTCCCTTCGGGTCCAGGAATCAGGGCTTCCCACTCGAAATAGTTATCATCGCTCACGGGTCCCGCCATAATTCCTACAAAGTCGCAATTCGATCAGGTTATTGCATAAATTAAAAAATTATGAGCTACGGATTCGCTGTCCGTGCCCTTGTCAAATTCGTTGTAATCGACATCGGCAGTTCCCTATATATTCTCCGGGACGCGATGCGCAGGCAGCACAGTCACAGTGCTCTTACCTTCTGGCGGATTGGATAAAAGCTGTTTATACTCGGCCATTAAACGTTTCAACGCTGGGCCTGCCATCTTTATAACTATAGAAAGACAGTTAAAAATCGGTGAAATACTCCAGAAAATAAATTATGTAGAGGCAGAAATGCAAAAATATTTCCGCAGTATTTTATACAACGAATAAGCAGTTTCTGGTTTCTAGAAAATCTGGTAAACGTCGGTCATCGACTGCGATGTCGGTTCGATCGCGGGATTTTGCTGCTCAGGTAAGTAGTAAGCAGGCTGCCGGTTGAAACCGGTTGACTCACTTTTTTGCTTAAGGTGAGCATGTAGCCGAACCGTACCCGAACCGCATTAATGGAGCGACGCTTAAACCGACCGCTGCATTCTGTGGAATGTGGATTAGCGCTACCGCTTTGGGGCAAGGTTATAAATAAAATCAGCAAAGGCTTCTTACCAAAATGAAAATCGATTTTTTTCTTGATCGGAAAGTCCACAGCGCCTAGAAAACTAGTACTTATTTTAAACTACCTGTTTCTATAAAACGTTGAAATATGAATGCATGATTTACACTTTAGACAAAATTTTATGAGCATAATAATAGTGTATTTTAAAGTTTAAAGCATATCTAGAGGATTTTTCGTGAGCTTCCGCCAGTTCTTCGAAGTGACCAGTTCGTTTTTTTATTGAGAGATGAAAACCGATTGGAGTTCTGCTTTTGTAATTTGTAATTAACAAAATAATAATGAACTTAACAAAAGAGTCTACGTAGGTAATGTATTTTACAGATGGTTTGTCTTAGATTTATTCATCCACAGGCTCACTGCTACAAGCCTACCACTAATTCAAACTTTTAGCTTGAAAAAGAACAAGCCTACCACTAATTCAAACTTTTAGCTTGAAAGAGAATAATTCAAAAAACAGCGACATAATACTAAAAATTATTGCTGTTTTCTTTGTTACTAAGTAGCTGCACGCGTGCACAGAACAAAATCTACCACACTTTACGCCGTATTTACTGGCACAATAATAAGTACAGATACTGTACTTGCAAAGGACTATGAAATATTTATTGACCTGACTTTCCGGCATGCCACGCTTCATGACCTTCAAATGTGCGAACCATACGAAATTGCGTTCTCAGATCCTGACGTGAGTTATTTTAATATTGATATGTTCTTATTAAACACTCATTAAGAAGAGTACAACTTCTGAATCAATATGATGCATTCGTTGCACGCTTCATACGTTTTCTCTTGCGTACTCTTGACGATGTTTTTTTGCACGGCGGTATTCAAAGTAAGGAATTCTATCGGTTGCATTTTTGCGTTTCGAAAACTTGGACTCCACAAATATTACCGCCAAAATTTTTGGCTACTTACTGAACAGGATAGCGGAATGATTATTTGTGGGAAACCAACCTGCCAGAAGGGCTTTATTAGCTTATGGGCTAGTTTCGGAAATCACTTACGTTCTCGTTAACGATATGCATCGCTGAAATAACGATATGTCTCTCAGTTGTAGTTATTCACACGGTACAAAAAGTCCTGCATGAATGTTATCCCGATCATAATTATGATTGCAGGCTTTCGATAGTGTGCTGCCGGCTGCCGAAATAGACAGCTCCGGCGTCGCAGTCCAACCGAAAACCTATTCGACGAACAATACCGTTTGTGGCTTCATCGAAGCAGTCCGGTCTGCTGCGGGATGCGGATGCCACGTCCGGTGTGCTGACATGTGGCAAAACAAAGAACAATCTGTGGATGGAATTTTGCCTTTTTTGAGATTACTGCCGGCATCTGTGTGTGGTGCGGTCTTTTTAATAACTGCCGGTATTGTTGCTTATGATTATTTGCGGTTTTACGCCCAAAACAACGCACATCGTCGCCATGGAGCAGAGTACTATGACCTTTCAAGAGAAGATGATCACGAATCCGCATTTGTGAAGGGTATTTTAAAAACGAAGCGGATCGATCACTTAGCAGAAGCACCAACCGAAACGCAGGAAAGCATTAATTACGGTATGTTGCGATATTTCCTTGTGGCTTGCATAAGAATATAAAATTTTGATGGAAGGGCATTAATTGCATTGCAGTTTTTCTTTTTTTTGAACCACATGCATTTGGACTTTTAACTGAAGGCATCATTCTGTGGTAAAGTTGCTCGGATGATTGAATATTAATGTTGTTATTGTTTTACGCGCAGGATCAAAAGCTCGTGTATCGTTCGCTACCCAACCGACTACAATTATACCATCATTGAGAAAGGCCGTTTCTGAAGATCTCACCAACCGGCAGAACAACTCTCACAATTTCCGCCGGCAATCGCAACGCATACGACCAAGATCCAGAAAGCAAAATAAGGGAAACCACGAAGACTGATTTGATGCTACTCATGCTAATGTTGTTCTTTTTTGTCATAAGTGTAATGGCGCTTTGCAAACAAAATTCCAGTGAAATAATTAGGGTGCTAATTACTTAAATGAACGGCGATTGTATATTTGTGTATATTTACGACCAGTTTAAGATTTTAATGAGTTGAAGTAACTTTTACCGCTTAAATAATAAACTTTCACAGTTAATCACAATTCACATACAAACATCGCGTTTTTATTTTGTATACTACTCTAGTATACAATAATATACATATCTATATACATATACTATGCAATAATGGAATGTGGTTGTATTTGTACATTATACACATGTTCAGGTATGCATCGTTAGCCACCGTGCGTCTATTTTGTTTTTGTCAGTTGAAAATTTGTTGAACCGCAAATTAGACCTGAATAGGCAAACTACGTACAGTACTACTGCGACAACTTACTACTTACTTTTTACTTTTACCAGCTGCACGATCGTATGAACAAACCGACATCGAGACAATGTGCATTAATGATACCGATACCGGTGGATGTGCCTCCGGCAAAGAAGAGCTGTTTTAACCGATTCTTCTTCAACAACAAGCCGAAATGCGCGCAACAGTAAACCGGCGTAAAAAGCTTTACTACGTATGTACCCGTCGCTTGCATTTTGAAACGTGAAAATTCACTGTCCAGTTCATGAAATCGCATATCACGGGTTTTTGTTCTACCAGTATTAACATAACATAACGAATACCTCGTTACTGTAATACTTTTGATTCGTCTTTCCGTTCCGGAAATAGTATTATTCGGAGTTTCTGACACCAGTATTAAATATTTCTAATACCATGCATACTATAATTCCCCCTGATCCCAGAAAAACCAAAATTGTTATAGGGATTGTTGCTGCTTTCTACGTTATTATTGCTACTTTCTTCATTGTTGGAACCTGGTATCAGGATTATCTCCAAAAATTAGCTGCGGAAGCCGATTTAAGAGAGAAGGTTCTAAATACAATGCAGTTACAAATGCATCAACTAGAGCAACAGGTTCGGTATGTTAAAATTGTGAACACCATATGTATTACGTGTAGATAGTAGATACCATACGATTAATAAGTTATCATACAGAATGTTACTGTAATTATAATTATATAGAAATAATAATACTAATCGTGACAAATAATTCCAAAGAATATACTGTACAGTTTATTTTCATTTTTAATCTGCTAAATATTTTACATTCTCCGTTAATTTAGTGGATATAAACAAAGCACTCTAGACTATCAAGTCACATAACTTTTGCCATACTTGTATTGACTTTTAGGTCAAAAGCATCTGAAATAATATCCGTTGCGCTCAATCCGTCCCTTGTGATCGCCATACCGGCGGTAAAAAAACAATTCACCGATCTCCATCTCACCCTGAATTCTGAACTCGAACATCTGGTCAAGACAAGATCGTCTGCCGACACCGAAAGCAAAGCGCAGTATCTGCACCGAGATTCCTCTTTGCTGAACAATAGCATGTATGCCACAAATACTACTTTATATATATAGAAGTATGCATTAATTATTCCAAATTTATCAGTTCTTATCACGGTAGGGTTTCGTCTTCGTTCGTCAAAGTGGGCAATGTGCTCTCTTTTTGTGTACATACTTCCAACATAATTATATTTACTTCTAACATAATTATATTAAGGTTCTGTAGATGGACTGGTTACGTTGGATAATAATTTTCTTAACGTTCGGTACCACAACTGACTCTGATAATTATATAAAGTGATATCAGTGCAGTAAAATAATTAAGTACAGTAACAAAAAGTAAAAAGTGAGTAAACAGTAACCCGCCGCATTAATGCACCTAAACTTCGTAATGTTCCTGGGAAGTTTGTACGTATGTTTATGTGGTAAAGGTAATTCAAAGCTTTGCTTACAGCCTTCTGCTGAAGTCGACAAATGAACTTCAACATCCCTTTAATCGCGCGACACTGATTTTGGCGAAACACCATGCCAAAAGTACGCAAAAGAGACTTTTCGAACACCAGGTAAAATATTTCGGCGAGGCTACAAACAATGCAAGTGCAAATTTCGAAAGACATGTCCAGTAACAGTCCAGCTAAACCGTTTTATAAGATTCAATTTATCAAAATAGTGCAGCCGCTACATGGTCTATAATTACTGTTCAATATGTTATATAGCACCCGGCTAACTGCGCCAGCCGGAAACAACTCTTGTGCGACATTAACCAGAAGTGCGGATTCGGCTGTCAGATGCACCATGTCGTGGGTTGCCTGATTGCCGCGATAGCCCTCAACAGAACTCTGATATTATATTCTTCTCCATGGAATTATTCGAAAAAGGGATGGGGTGCGTACTTCGAACCAGTAACAAACTGCACGAAATCGCCGGAGTGGAAGGACAACCAAATTCCTGTTTTCACTAATGTGCAGTCGTCGCATAGTTTCGACATCGTGAAATACCCGTTAGTACTATCTCCCGACGCATTACCGGATTGGCTCCCATTTGGATATCCTAAATATTTAGCGGCAGACATTCCTCTTTTTCATGGAGATCCTGGTTTGTGGTGGATCGCACAGAATCTGAAATATCTGTGGCGGCTGCGTCAGAATGTCTCGGATATACTCAGCAATCAAGGCATTTTAATGCGCTTGCAACGTCCTTACGTCGGGTAAAAATAAAATATTTTTTAGCAAGTTTTTTTATAGATCCGCAAGCAGTATTCATTGACTAACTTACTACGTACATACAAATTTCGATTCATCTAGTTAATAATCCGGCTAGGTTTATTGTATTCATACGAAATGGACTTTCTTAAAATGAGACCGTTATTCGTAGGAACTAATTTCTCGTATTTTGCTTGTGACTAAAAAGAGCATCAAGGGTACGAGATAGAAATGCTAAATAAATATTGAATCTTTTTTTAATGTTCGCAGAATTCACATTCGAAGAACAGATAAGATTCTCACTGAAACAAAGGCCTTCGCCATTTTCCAATATATGGAAAAGGTTGAGGCTTATTTTAATCGAAAGAATTTCAACACGGAAAATGCAACCGGTCAACGTCGGCGGATATTTGTGGCAACGGACGACCTTTCAGTTATAAGGGAAATCCGAGCAAAGTATGTACTAGAGAGAGCTTACTTACCTATATCACAACTTCATTATTAGTTACCTACTGATCATAATGGTAATCCGGGTAGGTACAATTACTCATATGAAATTTACGGAAGCGATAACGCATTCCTTTCCAAACAAAACGGAATGGACCCCGACGATACGCCTCTTATGAGCATTATTTCCGACATCAGCTTTCTTGCACACAGTGACCATCTCGTATGCACCTTGTCGTCTAATGTAAGCATTATATATATAAGTACAATTATTAACGCTTTATAAACCAGCGGCATAGTCATTAAATTTAATTATTGCAGGTTTGTCGGATGGCTTACGCTTTAATGCAAGTGAAAGAGGACAAATCAGGGGATTTCGATTCTTTGGATGACCAATATTGGCTGCCTGGTGCAGGCCAGAGACCTTTTAAAGCTTTATACAACCATCAGAGAGGAAATGCTCATGAAATGGAGGACATGGAAAAAGGTGACCGGTTGATCGCAGTTGAAAATCTGTGGAATGGATTATCCCGAGCGCGCAACGAGCGAACCGGTCACACTGGACTGATTCCGTCGTATAAAATTGCTCCGGTACCTCTTCCAGTCGATATTTCGTTTCCCGAATAATCGAATGGTCCCCCGCAGAATTTTATTGAATCCAAGACAATCTTCTGTGATAAACAACGTGTGAAGTTTTTTATGCATACCATACCAGTACAAGTTATAAAGCCATTTTATTGCTTTTGTTATACTAATCACTGGTTATATTTGTTCTGTCTGTAATCAAGTTTTAACCAAATGATTTTTTGGTGTTTCCCGGTTATCCGCTCACATAATGTGATAAGAAAAAGCAGAATTATACGAACATAAATTTTATATTTTGTTTAAGGTTCACGATATTAAGTACGGTAGTAACTGAAGCCGCAGCGATGTTTCGCGTTACTCATGCAAGAGAAGCCTTAACAACTCTTGGCGAAATTGTCATCCGACACGAAGCTGTATCGTGTTAATAACGATTCCCGCGAAGTGTGCAATTGTATGTTTGTATTGAGTAATCATAACAATAACTGCAAGTCCGTACTCACTCACTCCCTGCTTAGTTAACACTTGACAGTTACTCTTATAATTTCATTGCTAAAGTTCAAACTGAGACCGCTCAAGCTGATCCGTTCAGTTTTTTCCGTTAATTTAAAATTATCACAAAGCCTTAACATCAGCCGCACAGTTATGACACACAATAATTCTTTGTACTTACAGTGAATTATCGCTGCAGTCTTTAAATAAAGCATAAAACCGCGAATACTAAAGTCAAACAGAACTTCTACTTGGAGCGGTTTGACCAACTTCGTTCAAGGATAGTACATAATTACAGTTTCACAACCATCAGCCGGTTTATTCACAATTATCCAGGAAGTCTTTGAGGGAATCCCTACTTATAGGAATGGTAAGGTATTCCTTTCCATCCGCTCCACGCTCGCTTCTTAAAACTTGATGATCATAATATTCGATCAGCTGTTTCCTTAAAATCGGTTCACGGCTCACCAGAAACTCCGCGCGACAGATTTTATACAGCTCATTGTAAGGCATCCCAATATCTGCAACAACAAAATAGCAAATTTAGATAAAAACATAAAAACCAGCAAGCAGATGTATCATTCTGGAACTGAATTAAGTGTTCTCACAGCCTTCAAATCGCAAGTAACTGACATTAGAAACCGCGAAACTTTTACAACATATTTAACCGCAAAGGACCAGAATGAAATATTCACATATAAAACACACCACTGATCGTAGATACAATAAGTAAGTAGCCTTTCCATTAACAATAAGTCACCGTCACGCAAAAAAAATGTTTTAAGTACCGATAACTGTACAAGTTATCATTTACGGTGCAACTCACTTTGATCGGTGGATGCGTTTTCGTCCCCATGATTTAATTGATATTTGACAATTTCTTGGTAGATACGCTTGGCATTTACTGTAAGACTTTCGAAGACATGGCGCAGAGATTCCAGTACCAAAGAAGAAGTCTGTACAGCACTCGTGCCGCCGAGGTCGGGCACCGGAAATTCATCGTAACTAGCAAATGTACTGCAGTGAAAAAACAGCCAATTGAACACTTCCAGATCAGTCTGGCTCCACACTGAAATTGCGAACCACAATTACTGCAACGCCAACGGAAAAAATGTGATCAAAGCAATAAAAACTCACACAGTGGAAGGTTTGGGTGATCCATGGAGGCAACAAAGTGGATCTTGGGGCTGACCGCTAACGCTCTCAACGCCTGCTGTGATGAAGAATTTCTCAAAGATGGCCCATCAATGTTGTGCAAAAGGATATTGAAATGTTCATATTCTGTAATCACATAACAATAAGCTTTCATACTTTGAAACGAAAATTGTCATTGTCGTGACGAACTTTCTTCGATGTGCTGGACCATCCCTCCCACAACATCCATGAGCATTTTCGGGCAGCTTGAACCAATTATTTTCGTATAAAATGCTTCGAAAATCTGCAAAAAGGTGTAATTATTGGCTGTACAACGAAAAACGACGCTATAACGACAGATTTAGGAAAACGCCGGCTCAACTCACCGCTTTCAAGTTGCATTCGGGCTTGAAGCCATCGATCACCATAACCGGTTCAGAGGATAATTCTTTCATACGAAACGAATCAAGTAACAATTTTTTGGATCCAACTCCATGTAGCAGAATACTGAATCCTTTTCTAGAAAAACAATCATACACTGTTACCAAACCACTTTGTAAATTGAATAAAGCATCGATAATTTCGACGAAGCAGCAACCTGCGCAACTGCTATAATATTTAACATCTACGAAAAAAGTGAATTTTTAAATAATGAAAACATATCAAAGTATATTTTTGGATGGCATCAGTTTAAAAAAATTATGAGCGTTTTACCTCTGCAAAAAATGCCATGTAGCAAACTGCTTTTCACAGTTTTCCCTCAGCAACTTCTTATTGTCGATCCAGGGATCCACAACAGTGTCCATAATTTCTCGAACATCTGCCGGCTTCATCGGCTGAAACGCATTCGTTTTCGGAGTCTCATCGTCTTCATCTGAATCGGGCTCTTGGATCGTATCCTTTTTGACGCGTTTGAATTTTTTAGCATGAGTATCATCCGATGTAGTGTCGGTTTCGGTGTCCTTCTGTCTGGGCGGAGAAACCTATGTGGAAGTGCAAGCTTGAAGCAATACATCAATTTCAGAAAATTTCAATGCACTGCACTGCAAGAAAATTTTAAATACAGTAGTCCGTGCTGCGTTCGGAATATGTGGCACAATTATTACGACATCAACGAAAGAACAGCAATTCATAAAACTCTGCTTCCAGAGACTAGCTACGCTACACGCTCCAACTGATATGCCATATTTCTATTTTAAATCGAGCAAACTCGTTCATAGCCGTACGTCGAATTTCAAGGACTTGCGAACTTCATGGAAAGGCATAACATTGATGAGAGACTCTTCCAGACCGACGTCTTTATGCTCAGCGGATGTAACCAACGTAGGCGACTGTCCGCGCTTTTTGCTTTGAAAATGTTCCGGTGTATGTACCACATTTCCGGTGATCACGACAGTGTCCTGTGATCCTTCCTCGGACATGGTCTGTTCATTTTCATCGTCTTCGCTGGCACTTGAAAGGTCATCCATGCTGTCATTTTCTGCTTCCATTTGTGCCAAAATCTAGAGTAGCGAAATTAAGACCATTTAGCAAGTGCATGTAAACGACGTACGACTTTATACACGTAAAAACCCTATTAGCAGACCTGTACATCAGCAATAAGATAAAGAGCCGGCCCACCATTGCTGTTTGTATTTACCATCGTTATCAGCAGCAGCGTGTAATTCGAGTGAACAACTCTTTATTTGTTAAGATAATATTTCCTCGATTTAAATACCGCAAAAGGCTAATGCCTATTTCATTCGAATAAACGGCTAAAAAACCACGCTATGCTTACATCGTTTCCGGTAAGTTTGCGGGCCATGGTAAGATACCGTAATATCCACTGAATCGAGCAGAAGCTGCAAAAATAAACAACTACTTCTATAGGTCCAAATGGGAAAACCAATACAAAAGAGAAAAATGGGGAAAACAATAAAAAACACATACTGGTGTAACTGCGAAATACTTAGCTGAAAGTAGTTCTACTAACATAACCAAAGGGACAAGGGGACAAGCTTTATATAAGTACGTAATTTGTAGGGTTTTGCTGACGTTTCTATTTGTATTCCTTTCCTCTTAAAACTGTAGCTAACATGCTTTCGGCTCGTAAAAAGTACCAGGGGCGTCATAGAGGGGGTGTCAACCGGCAATTTTTCGGAGTTTGACTCCCCCTGTTTTTCAAAACCGATTGCCCCCCGTCAAAATTTAGAAGAGAATAGACAGAGTAATATTGAAGAGAGCAGACAGAGTATGTTTTTCAAAACCGATTGCCCCCCGTCAAATTTTGCCCCCCTGTCAAAATTTGACACCCCCCTTTTGCCGAACCTGTGACGCCCCTGATTAAAGTACTAACTAGTAATTAGATAGGAGTACCACAGCATGGTGCATGGTGTTAACCGTTAACAGTAAAACTGTAAAAAATTAAGAAAACAAACGGAAAGGTATAATGCAAAACCCGAAAAAGAAATGTAAAAAAGCTTTGGTATAAACGATATGATATTATGTAGTAAACTGAAAATGTTCCTATGCTCACAAATCACAACAAATTACACTACCCGTAGATACTGACTGTGAATATACTGAAAGTACTGCAATTATTGACAACCTGTTTACTGTTTACAGCGAAATCTTGCATTACGTGCATTAATATGCGATAAGTAAGCACTGAGTGCTATAAGGTACTGTAATTAATTTGACTGGTTTATATTTAGATTAAACGAAGAAGGATCACAAAACATGATATGCTTCGCTTAATTTAAACAGTTTTTCTAGGGTAAACCGTAAAAGCTTTTCTTTATGACTCGTCCTAGCAATTGATCATCACAAACCTGAGGTCCACGGAACAAATAAGTAAATAATTCAGCAATATGATTTCGCAATATCAAAACCTAATAAATTAAACTCCTATGTAATGTGAAATAAAAAAACTACATAAAAACACTCACGCAGTGCGTACTTAGTTGAAATGAATGTGCAAAGAACTCTGGAGGTTTTGGCACAGAGAAATGCTTTGTTGTCGTCTGCAAAATTTTCATATGCAATACCCAGTAGTATAAGTGCGTATGCAAAGCCAGGCTCCGCTTTTAAACCAGCGCACTGCTAGGCCGTCCATTACAGGTACATCTGAAAAGCGATTTTTTTTGCTTTTGACTTTTGAGGTTTAAATTTTGTATTAGGTCCGTTTAGCATTTTAGCTGTTAGATTTCAGTGCATTATAGTAAGTAATTATTTTCTTTCTAATTTTGAGTAAGAAGTTCCTCGTATTTTGAAAAAATGTAGACTGAAAAGTTTTCAGGACGAAGTATTTGTTTCTCTGTGCTGCATGCCCTGCATCCATGAATCAGTCAAAATGAAGATACGGCAGTTGCTTCGCACTGGCTGGAGGCATCATCTACATCGTTCATCTTTATCTTCCCACCATATATTTTATGTTACTCTTGGCACTTTTTGCATTGGCGTATTTTATTGCGAGTATCTGATTTATTTTGCCAGCATCTGGTGGTGCAGCTGGCCAGCGTTACAATGCTTGGATGGTCAAGGAGGAGAAGAAGCGCCACTTCGCGCCATGATATTGGCGGACACCCATGTTCTGGGTCCGTGGGCGCACTGGCTCGATAAAGCCCGAAGGTGATCAGCGAGGACGTGCAAACGCTTGCCTGATGTACCATCTTTAAGCCGAGGTGTTTTTGCAGGGAGTGGCAGATGTGGCGATCGTTCCAGACAGCGCTGTATTTGCTGCAACCTGCTGTGGTTTTCATATTGGGTTAGGTTTGTGACTTTTTCCATACGAGATTGAACAATTAAAAAATAAAATGTGCCTTTCAAAACTTTGAACACTTGGACCCATTAATCAGCACTAGTAATCACTGTGAGCGTATATCTTTGTAAATTATTGTTACCAAATTCGCAATTTCCCTTTTTTATGGGATCTCTCGTTATGCTTTAATAAACATTATTCAACAAAATTTTTTTGCTGTCAAATATAAATTTATTATTTCATTTATTCGTTTTGTCGACTACGTCATTTCGAAATGAAGCTTGAGTTTCCTGAACATTGTATAATAGAAACATATACAGAGTACTATTGTTTCTGTCGTAAAGTGTTACAGTAATATCTTTTATCTACATTGCAGGTGATTTGTTTGACAAAGCTGATGTTACATCGCTGCAACAGTTTGAGGAAGATTTGCGAAGGTTTCGCGTAATTTTTTCCGTTCCATCTCATATTCCTTTAATATGTGCGGCGGGAAATCACGATATCGGCTTTCACTACAAGTGAGCATGTTCTGATGATGTTCAGTCACTTCACTGTTGCAGCTTGCTGCCGCATCTCTGAAATTTGTTTGACATAGGATTTCGGATAAAGGCCGATCGAGATTTGAGAGACGGTTTGTTCCAAAAAGCGTTTATCGGTATTCACTCAGCGGAATGGATTTTGTTATACTAAACAGTATGGCATTTGAAAACGATGGTTGTACCATGTGCAGAGAAGCTCAGAAACTGCTGTCCGATCTATCTCGATCCCTGAATAAGGCAGAAGTTCGGCCTGTAGTGTTACAGGTACATACACTAATTGATGTAAAGTTACCCGAAAAATGGATCGTTCTTTTAAACTGACTTTTTAGCTTTGATATGCCGAGCTATACATAGCGATTATTTTTTGATATCGTTATTTTCGTTTTTCATATTTTTTATTGCTTTGGATTTAGCATTTTCCCTTGTATCGTGAATCGGACGCTGAATGCTCGCAAGACGATGCGGCCCCGTCTTCCGAAAAGAATATCTCGTTCCGACCAAAATGGGATTGCCTTAGCAGAGAAGCTTCCCAAGAGGTTGGTGTAACTGTGTTTTAGTACTTGTACGTTCTTTGGAATTTGAACTCGAGGTTTTTGTTTAGTTGTTGGAAAAATTGTCTCCTCGCGCGCTATTTAGCGGTCACACACACCACGGCTGCTACCAGGAGCATTTTCTGCAGGACGGCGAGCCGGCTCCTGAATGGACGGTTGCGTCATTCAACTGGCGCAATAAAATAAATCCGTCCTTTTTAATGGTTTGTTTTCCCCGCAGTGCGTTTTGTTGTAATGCCTGTGACTTTTGCATCTAATTTTAATAAACATTGCAGGTTTCGGTCTGCAAATCGGAACTGAAGGTCGGCCGATGCCATTTACCCAACGAGCACACTGTGTTCTTTTTATATGGATTGTTAATTTCTTTGATTGTTTTGGGTGGTCTCATCATAACATTTCGTTTTAAAGCAAGCTCAAAATTAAAAAAATAAAGAGTGATTATTATTTATTATCGGATGCACGGAATAAAGTCTAATTCGCTTCTGAGTGATGTTTTGAAGTCGGATAATTGTGATAGAAAACTATCCTGTATTTATTCAGCAACGGCAATGGCCTTCGCGGTAAAACTCAAAAAACCTTCTATCCAGTGAAACAATAACGTGACAACGTTCCATACCCCAAAAATTCAAACTCAAGAAATTCAAACACATGGTATAAAATCACTAGCTAGTAACTAGTGAAAAGAACTGTCGTCAGTGTGTCAAGACACCGGACACTAACTGGCCACAAAGACATCCATTCGCAAAACCAAAATACACGATCATCCGCAAAACAGAAGGAAAACAGAAAACAATTACTGTAATGACACAGGTTTAAGGAACGCTCCAGGTGCCGGGTAGTGCACACGAGTCGTCAGTATTCGCACAAATTCGGTTCTGTGGCTTTTGCCACAGTCAGCGGAAAGGTGAGCCTCGTTCCATTCAAATTATGAATTCTGGAACATTTAGGTTCCACAAGTTTCCATTCATACCATACAGCTGCCGTTCCTACATGACGGCTAAACTCCAAATGAATGGGATCGTTCTTGTTGATAAAGACCGGCTGAATCAGCGGAAAGTACACGGTATTCCACGACTGCAGTCCTGGAGTCCGTCTCCCAATTCCAGTGCAAAAAGTGATGTTTCGAAATAGCACAGCTTCAAAGCTACCGGCAAATCCGTGCAGAAGACCGTCGGTCAGCGCTACATACTCCAATCGACAACTTTGTGAACCCGCAACTGCAATTGTATCAAATTCTTAGAAAAGAGAATTGGGCTTTAATTGAACAATGAATATGCGGATACTATCCGACATGAACTTAAAAACGATTTATTCGAAGTAAATAAAGCCCGGTACAGTAATAGGCTAATAGGCTCACCTAAAGCGTCCGGACCGTGGTGAAACGAGAAAACCCGAGCTTCCGAAGCAAATCCCAAAAAGTCAAACTGGTTCGGGTAAAATGCTTGCATATGCTCCAGCAGCCGGCTGGAGCTGTTAAGCACTTCTCCGTACAGTCGGGTCGAGGAAATTGGCATAAGGTAGCTGGAATATGTCGATGGAATTGATATTCCATCCGGCTGCAGAAACTTCTGCGGTACGGCTAAACATTCCGGACAGCATTCATCGTCAGCAAAGCAGCCGAGCATTTCATGAGCGATGATATCAAGCTTTTCCGGGCATCGCCAGTACCGCATATCACTCTGCACAATCACCACATCGACGTCTTTCCACGAACATCCTTTCTTCGCCGTCGCAAGTGTAATTGCGTTGACGTTTTTGTCGACGGCATATATCCGTACCTGCAAAGTCCAAAGAAGCTCGCGATCAAAGCAATATTTTACCGGAACTTCAAAATCCTGCTTAAGAGGACCAAAAACATGTACAATATGCGTATCGCCGGAGTTGCATTTGCTTGCTATTTCCTAATTTGTATAGTACTGTAGTTATCCAGTAATACGTAAAACCTACTTTTGCGGAAAGGGCGGCCGCTGCAGCAATGGCGCGGTCGACAATTGCGCCACCTCCGCATCCTAGAACCGCTACCACGAACTCGTGCGGAACTGCTTTGACGTCTGCGCTCCACCTCTTTGTGCGTAAAAACTTCATAGCTTCGCCAATAGCAGCCTCATAAAGTTCGTATTTTCTGACATCAGTTTCGAATCCGTGGTATTGCTCCGGCAAAAGATTATCGTGCAATGGTTGCATGGTGCCATACAAGCGCTCAGAACGGCGACAGCGGCGCGTGGGCACACAGCAAGCATAACGATCGCGTAAAGTTTCCACAAACCGCTTGATCAGGTTTTCCTTCAGTTCATTAGGATGCAATCGCAATAAAACCGCACAGCGATTCAGGGTGATAAGTTTTTTCAGGAATAAGTCATGCAATTCTTTCATGTGCAGCACATTCCGTCCGTTCTCGCCGGGAACAAATGCCGCACTGGTCACTACAACGCAGTCTACCGGCTCGCTGACCCAGTGATCCAGACGTTCGTTGTAAGCTGACAGATCACGCGGCAACGCCAGGGCAGCGTATATTCTAGGGTGATATCTGGTGCTTATCATCAACTGATGAAAATATCGAAGAGCAGCTTCCGGTGAGAGCACTCTTTCGTTCCGACAAACTTCCTCAGCTACATTGCACAAGATACAAAATAAACGAAGTTAGCGTTGTGTACGATCTTCCACAACAGTAATAACGCTACAGTTAAGTAATTATTAACGCTGATAAATTTGATAAACGTATCAGTAGTTCGCTAGCGTAAAAGTGTATCAGTACAACAAAATCATTAGTATACGACAATATCCAACAACAACTCAATGCTCCAGACTCCGGTAAATGGCGTAAACCAGAACACGTACTAGACTTTTCCACACTGCCGTCGAGATTCACTTCCACCCAAACGTTCCCTCTCTCCGAGTTACAAACTATGTCGGCGTTTTCCGTCACCTAATGGCAAACAATTTTTCCAGCACCACAGCAGGGACACATAATCGCAAAGGAAAAAACTCAAACATCTGATAGCCTGACACGCAACATTCCATTCTCCCATCAGGCGCAGTTAAGTCCAGTTACTAACCTGAAACTCCTTTTCCGGTTGGTACGGTAACATCACACAAACTCGATTATCAGGGTCCGTGGACAATAATTCAGCATCTCCGGGCGTCATTACTCTGTCTTCGGATGGATACACGCACTCCATATTGAGCGGCAAATGCGATCCGCCATTCTGACCGCAACTACAAGCTGGCAACCGCGCCAAATGCAGATAGCGCATGGAACCACACATGCGCGGCTTTTCTCTCTCCCGCTCCACATTCACTGTCGGTACCATACAGAAACTCAGTCCCAAAGATTTGTAGCAACACAGAGTATCCAGAAATTTTCTCTGTGACAAGTTAAAATCAGCCTTTGAAAGCCCATCCGGTGCATCGATAACCAGGCCGATGGCTAACCTGGATTCACATGCTGATTGCTCCATTGGTGTAACTCTGCTGATTGTGAGTCTACTTTACGTGTAAAACAGCCTTCACAAGCTTTTAAGCCACTGCTAGTAAATATATCAAAAACAGTATCAAAAAAGCTATGTAACAATTAAAGAATGACATATAAACGTAAAACGGGATAAAATTAGCACACAAAGGACGCAATGTACCGTACATCTGCGCTGTGAAAACAGGAAACGTAACACAAAATAAGCACTCGACCACAAAGCTATGTTTTGGCTTACGCCGCAACCCGGCGGTCGTACACGCTTTGTCGAAAATGGTCGGGCTGAGGGTACGGATAAAGTCCCCTTTTAACGTGCACTACGTACTCTAAAGGCAATATTATGCGCATCTCGGGGCGAACGCACCAGGAGACAGCGCTACGTTCTGTATAGGCTCGAATCGCAACTATCTTCCGCGGTGACGCGGAGATGCGCGCCTTCCATTTGTACGTTCCATGAGTTCTGGGTGCAGGACATATTTTTCACGAATTTTCGGTTTGGAACTTTTAGATCAGAGTTTAGTTGGAAAAATAATGGCTGTGGTTACGCGATGTTCGTAATCTTTTTCGAAACCCCGATTTAGTTCGTCCACGGCCCTCCGATAGATCAAATTTCTGTGCTGCGGAGCTGTTTGCAGTTTGGTTCACACTTAAGTGAAGTCCTAATACAGTCGGTAGCATTTAGGCATTTCAGTCTTTATGACTTTTGAATTTAATCCGCAATGACGACAGGACCGTTTGATCCGAACGAATTAGAATTCCTGGCAGAAGATCTACGAGTAACCATCATACCGCAGAAACGCCACGGTATAATTTCTCTGCTGTGCGCGGATATCGGTCCTTTTGAGCCGTCGATTCCTATCGAAGTTCCATTGTGGGTCGCCGTGTATTTTCGCAAACGTCGCGAGTGTCGCCTGGTAGTTCCCGATTGGTTGTCCGTGGATTTTCTTATGCAGAAGAAAGAACAGGAGTATAACTCCGGAGTGTTTACAGAAATGCCCGAGTGTTATGTGGAATTATCGCAGATTGCATTGGAGTACTTTGTGGACGATGTGGCAAACAGTCTGGAGATTCGTCGTCTGATCAAAGATATTATGGATTTGCGTTTGGCCAAAATACGCGCCTCTTTGGCCAAGCACATCCAGGGCTCCAACGCGCACGCTCAGCTGTTCCATTTGACGGAAATGGAACTGAGTTCTATGAGGAATCTGCTGACCAGAGGAGTGGACCAACTGGATATGCTACGGAATTCAGCTGCGGCTGGTGCGACCGCGGATTTCAGTCCAGCTGGTCTTCCGGGGACGTTTGGCACGCCTGGACTGGCTGGCACGACAATTACGCCCATTACGATGAGTGCATCACGTACCGGAGCAAGTACATCAAGTTTCCGAACTCCGGCGCAAAGATGAAGAAAAGTTTTCAGATTAACTTCGTTTTCGCCAGTCGGTGCGGTGTGAATGTTGATTGTGTATTAACAATAAATTAATAATTATCTGCTTTCTAGTACGATTGCAGCTTTTCTAGATCGAACTTTGTGTGGGCAATTCATTGACAGGTTGTTTCTTCTTTCAAGAATTTATTCTTTGATCCACTCAGTAAAATCAAGTTTCTGTACGTGCATTTGATTGAAACGTAAAAACACTCGGAACAAAGCCCCTCATTCACCAACAACTACACTGCTCCGTCAAAATAAGTTAACTGGTTCAGATTTCTATTTGATGCAAATGTGGCACAACCAACTAAGTTGGAAACAAAATCCTTGGTTCTATAAAATCCGGGGAGACGTAATTAGCAACCAAACGATATTGCTGCCAAAGAAAGACTAGGGCAGAAAAAAAACTAATGAAAAGACTGAAAAGGCCTAGAGAAGTAGGACTTATGAAGCAGTCGAATGCGCTTTCTGTTCCTCGACTACATCTTTTTCCAGATACACGTATGGTTCCTTTATCGGCATTCCATAAACATCGTGCAGCTTGTATAGCGCCAGATAACTGCAACAACAATCCAAAAACTTCATCATCTCACCCAGCATTACGGTTAAACATACTCCTAACAAAACGACACGAGATACGGCTTCGGGCTCGCTTACCAAGCTTCCTGAGTCGCTCCCAAAGCGCAGATTTTGTTTGTAGTACATTTCGCGTGAAACGGGCAACTGAAAATCTACACTGATTACACAATAGCAATTTCGATCACATGTTTAAAAAAATTATAATATCAGCACACCTCAACTTCAACAGATGCCGATGGAAGCCTCTTTCCGGTTTAAAATTCTCTAAATCCGGGCAGATAAAGGAGTTTCCTTTTTAATCTCCATTTTTGCTGTACGGGCACGGTGTGCCAACTGGATAAACGTTTCCAACTTGCCGAAAGCAACTTGCGGGAGACCTGGAAAAGGATGCGAATATTAGTCACATTCGTGAAGATCACAGAACGAATTACTACAGTCTACAAATACCAAAACGCTCGCACCTGGTAATTTTCGCCCGACTGCCTGCTTTCTGGCTTGCGCGGCCAACCAACGAAAACAAGCTTCCGTAATTCCGATGTAGCTGCCAGAACACAGTAAAGGAGGCAGGCGTGCTTCATTTTTTCCATCGTATCCCATAAATCGTAGCACCTGACGATTAATCTCGTAATAGTCGCGCGACAATGTAAATCCATTTTGGTCAAACTGAAAACAATCGTCATCCACAAGAAGCTGTTCATTGTGTGGAATGCCATGAAACTCTGCTCCTGCAAGTGCAAGGGGCAAGTCGTCAAAACGATCCTTTCTACAGAGATGATTACAATAAAAATCAAGTACGGAAGCCAAAATAAATTAAACGCACACGAAAAGTACACCGGTAATAGTAATCTAAACTCTAGAGAAACCAACTTGATTCATTGGCGTGAATCGTTTCAATCTCGGGAATGATGCCAGGATACACAAATGTTTGGTAGAACGCCTTTTCCACACCATTGTGAATGGAGAAGGCACTGACGGCAATCTCCACTGGCCGGTTCATTGGTCGATTCGATCCTTTCTTTATGCCTTGCGCGAAAATCACCGGCGTGCAGGACATGACAAACACATGATAATTGCGAATTTCTGCAAAATGCACGCACAAGTTGAATTTCACCACACAATTAAAATCTCCAGCAAGAAAGAAAAACAAGAACAGAAAAGATCAAGCGCTATCAAACTTACGAAACAACGACAATTACAATTTTCGGAAATTGTAAATATAAACAATTAGGATAACTTATTATTTGAACTTAATACAACAGTGCAAATCCAGCGATTATTATACATTTTAATTATTATATATCATGATGAATCCCAACTGAAAGATGCGAATAATCAGGTAATACCATTTAAATCACGATATGCTTCGAGGACATTCTGGAGGAGTTCGCTGTCTTTGGTTAGCACTTCCAGCAGTTCGTTGTCCTCCTCCACGTTCACGTGTTCCGCTGTGACTACCATTTCCGTGGTGAATCCAGTGTCGTCGCCCACCAGGAATACTTTCTTAACCATGGCGGGTGCATTTTCCACGTAGATGTCTTCGTCGTCGTAATAATCGCCAAAATCATCATCGTATCCATCATCGGGATACGCGCGCTTATTATTAGCGCGAAAATTTTCGATATTGGCAATCGGATCATAAACTGGTGGCGGCGGCGGCGCCTGTACATTTCCACCATCCACAGCGCTGCAAAAAATAAGAGCATTCTGGAGAAAAACGGAAAACAGAATTCTCTTAGGCACATGTTCGGTCCTTGAGCAAAAAAGAATCATAAAAGCATTACAAGAATCTGGCGAGGGCAAAACTAGTAACCGTTTACACTAAATTACACTTTACAGTGTAAACTCTACACTGTGCAGCTTACAACTTGCACTGTTCAACTGGTATCAACTTCATACTTGTTAGCTGAAGCGGTGGCCTTCTGTGCTTTCGCCTTTTCTTTGTAGTAGTTCTTCCCAAAATTGTCGAGAGCCTAGAGAAAAGCAACAATAAAGATGTTACTGAAATTATTGCCTTTCTGTTTCGTAGGTAACACTCACGTTCCATTCCGCCTGGAATTTCGAGAAGCCAGCTCTGGGATCTATGTGGTTCAGTCGACTCTGCTCCAAGACAAACAAAGCGTATCCGTTTGGTTTTGCCTTCGGTGGCATTTGAACGATAAAAAGGCGATAAGGAAAACAGTAACTGGTAACGAAGAATATCCGAAATTTATGAAGACAAAGGGATTGCAAGGAGAATTCGATTTTCAGGTAAATAAAATACGGGCATAAATCGAAATCCACAAGGGTCAGTGCATAAAAAACCAGGAGAACAGTTCACGGCGCGCGACGGACCTGCATTGGCGCATTACGCACAAACCTGCTGGTGCCCGCCCGTTGGACGACAACAGATACCAGGTTACAGGTATAACACAACCGCGTCGGTGTTTGTTTGCAACTTTGCACGGCTTTCGCGAAATTTTGAAATATGAATACTTCTATGTACTGTACGTATAAAATCTGAAATTTTTGCCACGTTTGCCAACGATTTTACTCTTAAACACAACGATATTACTATAATTCCCGCATGGCACACCTTTCAAAGGAAGTGGAACATACTAGTAGTTCAACATATTCTCGTTTAGCACTAATCACCCCGGAAACTTTTGCTTCAGGTAATATTAATGCACAGTGGCACAGTAACAAATTCCTGTTAAATATGAACATTTAATGCACTCGTATGGTTCTCGAAGGTCATCATACATGTATGATAAATCTTGACAGTGTAAGTTAACAATTCTAAACAGATTCCTTATCGCGAGCCCGAATCCGCACTGGAATGCGCAGCAGAGTACCCGGGAAATTGTAGAAACGATATTTGATCTCTTCTTTTTGCTGTTGTTTCCTGGTATATGCGTCCGTTGCTCCAGACTTGGCATCAAGGGTCACGGCATCAGAATCTACATAAGAATTCTGGACAGTGCTAGTAATAAGTGATTCCAATGTGGATGTTTCCGGCAAGCTATCCGTTGAAATCGCAGAGTTATCCTCGGTAGACGTCACAATTTCCGCGGGCTCAGACGACGCGGTATCAGTTTCCGCAGCATCATCATCGTCTGTTGTGAAGGAAATGCTCTGTGTATCGTTGTTGACGAGTGTCCGGTTTGCTGCAGCTGCGTCCGTGCCCAGACGCGGCACACTCTCCGTTGCCCGTTCCGTTGTTGTTGACGTAACTGTTGTTGTAGTAATAGGTTCGGTAACGGGGTAAACATGGGAAAGTGGATCGTTAACTTGTTCGAGAATGTGGGAGAAGTCGGTTATATTGTGCTCGTGGTTGGTTGTGGTGGAGCTTATGGTTGTCGCCGAAAGGTTACTAGGGTCTTCCGATGTTATTGCTAACTATATTAGAAATCGTCACACAGTAAATATTTTAATTTGTGCGGTTAAGTTTTATTGTCGCAATTACGCACTTCGGGGGTACTTGATTCCTCTGCCAGAACTGACGTAAACGCTAAACTGTCAGACTCTGGTCTCTCGCATTGCTGTCTTCTGACGCTCCTGTCGTCACTCGGTTCGGCGCAGCTGCCGACAATGCTGCAAAACTTACGATTTAATGTAAAAATTTAAATGTAAGCTTATATTTAATGCGACTAATAAATAACCTGTGGCATTGCTACACCATTATTCAGCTTCTTACGCATCAAAGATTTCTCCAACGGGACAAAGCCACACTTCCGCAGCCCACTGAAAATAACCGTTCTTTTTATGGCAAGTGTACCGTGGCTCTATTCGTACTCGTAGTAATTACTTTCATACTTCATAACTCTCACGATGTCCTTATGCATTTAGCACTAACAAATTGCAAGTCCTAATGGGCTAACAACTTTACTGTTAATTATTTTATACATAGATCTAGCTCTAGTTCACAAGACCGGCAAAAATCGGCTGATATGCAATATTCCACGTTGTATTAGCTGGTATTTACATTTTGACATTTGACGTACGCTCTGCATCCTTCATGCATCGCGCCGGGATACCAGAACATGCCATCTGGATATGGGCCGGTGCGATTAACGCACAGACCAACTGAAAATGTGAAAGAGTCGAAAACCTTGACGAAGAAGAGAATTAAAAAGAGGTTTTAAATCATGGATCAATTTACTCGTACCGCAATTTTCGCCAACGGGCACTCCTTCCGTGTAAGTTAATGACGTGGATAGAGTAAAGTTTCCAGTTCGGACATTCTCCGCCAGACAGTCTGTTACTGATTAATTGAACGGCACTTGTGTAAATTAAATGCGCACTATATATATATATATATATATACATATATATGTACGTTAATAAAATACAGTAACTATCGTTAAAAATATTACACAGTTATTTGAATATCGTAGCATAATAACCATCATAGGTATCTTTGCGCTGCGTTTAATAATAAAAAAATACTGTACAAACTGCTGCTTACCTTGGGCTACGACAAAAGATTTTACTGGAAAAAACAAATAAATTACAACAAAAAGGCTGTAAATCGAGTAGGACTGTGGACATCTTTTATCCGGATAGTGAAACAAAGAGAGCATTGCCATGATAAGGTATTTTGAGTTATTTTTATCATATGGTTAAGTCGCACAAGAATCCTCACAACAGAAATTCATCGAATAATATAACCGTTCAAAAGTACATATATTTCTTATGTCTCTGCGGCTCATTTGGGAAAAACATATACTTTATGAGTGATATGACTACAGACTTCATAAGGACAAATGATCAACGAAGCTGTCAATTAAATGCTAAAATTAGGCGAAAGGAAACTAAAATTTCGTAAAAATAAGATCCCGAAAATGTATCTGCACTGCATGTACGAATGTTGTTTATAAAATGTTTTAAAACAACAAGCGAAGACATCAATGGCTTGCATGGAGGCGCGGAAAGGGCCTCCATGCAAGCAGTGCCTAAACACAAATTAACAGTGACGACTTGTTATAGCGCGGTAGATTAAATCTTGCCACAGCAATTAATAGTTTTAAGGTCAAAGATTAATCAAAATGCCGTATGGAGTTGGATTGCTCTTTACTTGTTAGTCCGAAGTTTCCAACTGTGAGCGGAGAAGCGGCTCACGTACAGCGATAAAGTCTTTGAAAGGATTTCAACGTATTGCGCCGTGGTGCAGTGGTACTGCCTACGCGGATCTAACGACGTAGCCGGGGTTCGATTCCCCCATCGGCGCCTTTTTCAGCCGTTTCTCGGTTTCCCTCGGATTGCGCCCTGCTTAGACAACGTTTATCGCAAATGTATAGTGTATAATACTGATGCGGCAACTGAAGCAGTAAACCCCTTGCAAAATGGAATACTATGCGTGTTATGTATCATAAAAATACAACTTCATTTTGTTTGTAATCAAAAGGTGTGATAATTGAACATTTTGAATAACTTTTCAAGTCGTGAGTACTGTAATTTTCATACCACTAGACGTATACAGACGAATACTGTACTGTGGTACATAATTACATTTAATGGTGATCAACACGTATTGAACAAAGGACTGCATGAGTATCAGTTAACAAAAATTAACATTTCCGTTCAGCTAACTGGAAGGCAAAGTACACATCTTCCTTCTCAACATACCATATCGCAAAATGTACTGTGGTAGTAATCGAAATAGTGTTGAGTGGCTGTGCTTGATCCTGACTGGCAGTAATTGTATAAATTGTGAATTGACTTGTGCGAATAATTACATAGTAATAACGCGAAAGTAAAAAGTTTAGAAAGTTACACAGTTCTTTGCCGAAATGTGACTTCTCCAGAGATCAGGCTTTAATAATTTGTAGTATTGTGAGTTAAATTTTAGATAACGAGATATGATCTTTACCGAGAAATTGGTGCGAAATAAAACATTATAAGTTCAGCTGAACTGGCATAATTATGTAAATATGCCTATATCATAGACGAATGCAATACTGATGGCATTTTAACTTTACAGTTCAGATTATAATTATATGAATACTGATTATCTGTGCCAGGACCCAGAACAGGACCCAGAACAGTAGAAGTATTTGAGCTGCTACTTAACAATAAGTACTAGTACGAGTACAATACAAAGTAAAAATTCATGTAAGGCGCCATCCATAAATTACGTCACGCAAAAAAATTGGACATTTTGATACCCCCCTCCCCCTGTGTCACCAATGCTAACAAACTGAGATCCCCTCCCCTGAGCGTTACGTAACAAAATGAGAACCCCTCCATCGATATAGCATGTTGACGTCATCATCGTAACAAATTTTTAAAGCCCCCCTCCCCCCTCGTAACAAACAGTAACGCTTTCAGGACCTCCCCCTCCCCTACTTGCGTGACGTAATTTATGGATGGCGCCTAACTCAACACGTTAGTCATCATCACGTTAGTCTTCATTGCAAGTTATGTACCGTATGTACAAGCTTGTCCGGTAATTTCTGCCGGTTCAAAACAGCGAAACACACAAATTTGCGTGTTACGCCAAACGTAGTGTAGTGGCAATCGCTATAGCGCAAACTTCGCGCTAAATATGTGCTATCTGTACCTTTACGACAGAAATTACCGGACAAGCTTGTACAAGTAGACAGTCCGTGTTTCGATTAATTTATGTCAAGTGTATCATAATAATTACAGATACTACTAAACATACGTACGGCATCATTAATATTATTATAAGTCTGTGAGCTACCGCAAAGCAACACATCCTTGGAATTACTTATTTTGTAATAGTCATCGGCCATTATTCATCCGTGCTGGGCTTGTAATTTCTACTTGTCCTTGAAATTTACAATAAGCGGCCTTGGGTTAAAAGCAAGAGTTTGTTGAAAGGTCATGAGATGCAGGCTATATCTTAGCTGTCACCAAATTCCTAATGTGAAGTTTGAATACAGAAGTGTGCAGATACAATCAAATTCCCATGTTGTACCCTGTAGGCAACAAAAAAAATGGTATAATTATCAAAAGACGGAAATTAAGGAATGTGTAGTTTACATTTAAATAATACTATAAAGCTATTACCGTATACACGCCCACTTTGCTTTCGCTTATCTGTAAGTAATTTTTAACCCACGTTGCATCAGCTCATTTAGCTTCAGGTCATAAGTGACTCAGACATTTGGCAATTGCCAGTTTTTCCAAAAAATTAATATCACTGCCAATATACGAGTATACAGCTTCTGTAAATCCATAATGATTCATTAACTTTGCAGAATTTGAGGCAATACATAATGGAGTTGACCCAGACGACAGCAAAATACGGATTCGCTATACGAACACGCCAAAAGCAATATTACTGCAAGGCTGATGTCCGAGTTTTACGTTCTAACCGCAAAAACGTATAGCACTGGCTAATACACATACGAGGTATTATTGATAAACACCGTCTGAATAATAGTGGTTATAAGAACATACCGTCTGTCTACATCTGGTTTCGAAAAAGTACATATTAATATTGTGCCCGTAAACGCGCTCGAGTACATACATATAAGGGACAGAATTTACTGTATCGGTACAGACTACCACAGTGTGATTCTTAAATTTTTTTTGTAAAGCCATTCCACACCAAGCTGCTCGACGCAACCGCGTAAATTTATTTTACTGTTGCTATCGTAAACGGGCTCCTGTCCTGTCGGCAAAAGGACACACCTACAATGCCAGTTAATGAAAAGATTTATTTCTTGACAGGATGTGCGGTTGTGAGTGGGGTGTGCGTCGCAGCTAACCGCTTAGTCCATGCTAATGACCATACATCTTTACTTCCGCACGCGAAGGATATTTTGGGACCTTGGCAAAAGGCGGTGGCTTTAGGTTCCGGTGTGGCGGCAGCAGGCTATTTGACGTACATAACGGTATGTTAAGGATTGCAAAGTAGACAAATAGTTAATAATTGTAAAACGTTCGGATTTTATACAAAATAATATCATTTAATAAAAATTAAGTTCCGCATTTTCCGGCATAGTTACATTATGCTACAATTAATTTTGCATGATCATAAGTACGATGCTTATAAGGTTATCCCGTGGAAATCGGTTAAGTTTGTAGAATAATTGTTTGCCAAAGTGACTAAATACGGCGACAGCTTGTTGTAATCCGGAAAATACTCGCAATTCAATCAAATCCGGCAAAAAAAACTGTATGCATCCAGTATGTGTCAGCGTGCACTCTATTAACAAGCGGTAGTTCAATTACTTCAATATTATAATTATAGTAGTTACTGAAATAGCTGATAGTAGCGGCTATACAATAATTGCAAGATACAGCTAACTCTATCGTTGTTTTTTAGGCCTCTCATTTCTGGGAAGGATACCAAAAACTAAAGCAACACTAAGGACTTTGTGATTAATTCAGATTAAATTATTATGTTGGATTTTGTCAATAATTTTGAGTGGTAGAACTAGATTTTTCCTAATGATTACGTAACATAACCAGAGTCTACTGTAAGTCAAGCCTAACTGCAGTGACTGGATGATGGCATTTCAAACATACATAGTCGTGCTTTGTACAAATATTTACTGCAATTAAAGGTCATTTCCTGGAGAACCGAGCCCGCGATAAACAAGGAAAGCTCCGAAGTTCATACTTTTAGCATACTATAATTATAAATAATGATATCTGTAGAGTATCTAGCTAGCAACTTTGTCCTGTATCCTGAGGAATAGGAATCTGTACACTATACCTCCAGCCTGTACCTATACGCGTAATGTGGACGAGTGGTTCCTTGTACAAATGGTTCCTTGTCTCAAAACAAACCAAAAAAATTAACTCTTCATGAAGACGCTTAAAACTTCAGTTTTCAGTCGGTCACTTCGAAGAAGATACTAGTATATTTACTATCAAGCGCATCAAACAACGTGCATGCATGCGCGTGCATAGTTGAATACAAAGGTAAACTGATTGCAAGTCTGTGTAACCCTCACATTAATGTATATGGGGTAAAAGTTTAATAAACCGATATCGATATTAACGAAGTCGGGTGCATTGTTGTGTGATCACTTTGGCATTCGGCTATACAGTACTCTCATCCAAATCAGTTCGGACTTCAGAGCAATGGTTTCCCAGCTTTAAATTTTGCCGGATGCGCGGCCGCTGGAAAGCCATTAAGCATATCCGGCTTATTCGGCACAACTGGGTTCCCGGCGGCTTTCCTTAAATTTACACTGGGCTTGTGACCTTTGTCCAGCTGTTGAGCTCTGGCTTCCACAGCACTTTTGAGATCATTCCGGTTGACAACAGCAGCCACAGCATCGCAAACGTTTATGCTGGACTTGGCACCATCGCTGCCGGTCTGTGACGGGCGTTCCATCAGATGGGCATGAGAGTGTGAGTGCGCATGCGAGACGTTCGACTTTGCTGCGGCGCTCTTACTGTTGCTTTTCTCATCAGCGTCCGCATCTTGGTTGACGTTTTTTACACGATTGACTAGGAAATTATTTCCGCTTGCTGGATTAACTGAGCCACAGGCCTGTTTGTCTTGACCAATGGCTGTTTCGTGGTGCAAGGCGGACGCAGCTAGTTTACCGGGTGGACGCACCTCGTAAGGGTTGCTATCGGTTAACTGGTGGCCCGACGTGTGTGCGTGTTCACCATCAAAGTGCCAGGGTGCGCGAGCGTCATCGCATCGACAGTGGCCGTGGTGTGCCGGTAGCTAAAATAATTATTGTTAGCGTTTATTACTAATTTAATTTTAAATATTTTAAATAATTAAAACCTTATTCAAATTAAGTTACCTCGGTTATACCGTAGCTGCTGCTCAACTTTAATGTTGCTTTAATGCAAATAAGAAGGATCTAATGGGAAGGACAATTCGAAAACATGTGCATTCGAAAACGTCTAATTGAAAAATGCTTCCAAAGCTACCTATAATTATGTAAGTAAATCCATATCAGTGGCACGTTTCCTGTACCTGCGTGACTAAATTTGGATGCACCAAGTAAGCCATGCGTAGCTTGTTATCCATCTTCGTAGTACACACCGTGGAGCGATCGTGGTCCGGTGCCGCTGTCGTGTCGTCGCCGGATCTCGAGCGTGACACAGATCCACTTCCGCTACCCGGATTGACTTTAAAGTACGTAAAGGTATTGGCGCTAATCTCCGACCGTGCCAGCGTGGACAACTGGTCAGCATTAAGACCATGACGCTTACTGCCGGAAGTGCGACTGCAATAAAGAAGGAACATACTAAACAAATAAGTCATGTTGATTTTTTGCAGCAAACCATAGCCTGCATTTGCCAACTTCGCAAATTTTATGTTTTTTTTCAATAAAAAAAGTACTCTGTAGAAATTGAATTTGCAGTAGTGACCTTTCAGTATTATCTGTTTACCTCCAGCGGAGAAGAAAGATGAGAGTCACCGCAATAAGAATTAGCGCAACCGCTGACGAGCCACATGCCACCGCCACCACCTGTCCATCCGTCTGGCAAGTGGCTCCAATGTACCATCCATTGCACTGACAGGTTTTCCCGGTTGAGGTCATCAAGCACACTCCGTGTTGATTGCAATACGCTTCTTCGCACGGTTCACACGAGCGTCCGGCCAGTACCGGATCTCCCGCAAAGCGATCGCCATACCCGGGTTTGCACGTGCAGGAATACGATCCAGGAGTATTACTGCACACTGCAGAGGCGTTGCAGTCATTCAGGTCCGTGGATAAGCATTCATCGATATCCTGCACTCCGGGCACCGCGTTCAGAAAGTTGCTGACAAATAGCCGGCTTTTACCCAGACGTCGTTCATTCTTGCGCAGGCCTTCTAGCATCACTTCCTGCAGATGTCGACTCAACTGAGTGCCATCCACATTGACCCGGTTTTTCAACAGTAATACTGTGGAATTCGCCAAAAGGTCATCGGAAAAGGGCGCGAAAGAATTCAAACGGCTGGACACGAATGCCGTGTTGAGGTCCGTCTCGCTAAGCAGACTATCGATCTGAAATAAATAATATGATTAATCACTTGAATATTTTTATGTATTAAGAAAGTTCGCTTGAAACTGTTTTCTTTACAAAGTTGTAGAAGCACTCACCCCTAATGCTACTTCCCGAGCAAGAGTCAGGTATGGATAAGATTTGTTGTCGGCAAATTGAGGACCAAATGTCAGCTGACGATCATAGAATCGGTTCATCCTTATGTAAACATAATAGCTAAGCACACCTGCACAAAAGCGCACATGTAACAGAATCAATGAATTTAACTCGAAACGACAAATACAGTATGACATTTTCTGGTAAAAGTTTCGAAAAAAACCAAAAATTGTTATGTGTGCTACTATGCAAAAACACTTTTTAGTTTTTACATATAAAATAGGCGTATTAAAAAGCATTTCACCAATTATGAACCTCCTGTTTCACCTTTGTTTATTTGCTATACAAAAACAAAGTGCAAAAACTGATGCAAAAACACAACGCACAATTATTTATGTACCTTACTTTGGCAAGGATCCCGAACGTGCTTGCGCGCTGTGCCGCTGCGACACACACAGGTACTGACACCGTCATCTTTTCGGCACACTTCATACGCTTCCTGATTGCATGTACTATCATCCCCAATGCTACAGGTTTCCAGTTTGATTCCCTCTTCGGTTGGCGGAGCGTTCAGATTGCGGTCTCCCGGATACGCCGACGGAGGGACGGCCGGTGCTGCGGCGCTGGGCGGCGGCAGCGGTCGCCGGAAGGGTGGATTAATTCTGTCGTCGCCATCGACCGCTCCGGTGTACGGATTGGGTGCGGACAATACACTGCCGCGCATACGCTGATCACCGGGATCGCCGGGCGGACGATTTCGAGAGGTGTCCGGTTTTCGGGGTTGTTCGGAGCGAAACACCGAAGGGAAGGGACGTTGCTGCCGAACCGCGGAGTCGTTTGTATTAGCTGGCAGGTTAGGATTGCGAGTAACCGCTGGAACCGGTAAAGGAGATGCGAATGGTGGTATGGTTGTAATCTGACAAACAATCAAAGAAATAGTAATATTAAATAGAATTATTTTAGCTTTTCGCCTGTAGGCTATAAGTAATCAAAAATAAGTACTACATATGTGTGTGTGTGTGTTGTAACGATACACGTATATACATGTAGTATGTAGAAATTATACACTTGGACCTTGGTAGAAGTATGAAAAATTAATTAGGTTAGTATCTAAATTTTTATAATCTAACCTAAGTATGCAATGCATATTGTTATTTTGCATGTTGGATTTTTATTAGCTTTTTTTAGTTTTTCTATAAATATCCAGCATAGCGGCATTCGATTAAATCGACTACAGTACTAGGAGGGATGGCACTTGCTTACCGGATGTTGTAGAGACGTCGCGGTGAACGGCCGAAACGGACTCGGGATGGCATCGGAAGCAGCGCTGCTACTGGCGTCCGTTGTCGTATAATTCAGCGGTGTATACACTTCCGATGTCGGATTGGTGGAGGCCGCTGGGAACGGCCCGTCGAACATGGGTGGGCCGTCTGGTGTAAACGGACCATCCGTAGCATAAGGTACCGGCTGAAAATCGGGTGCCACCGGCCCGATATCATCCAGTCGCGATAACCAACCATCTGGCTCATCCAAGAAGAAAGAATTCGGCCGTCCAGTGGGCATAATTTGCCGTTTGGTGATTGTAGACTGGGAAGCGGTCGACGCGGCGGAACTACCGCCGTCGGTGGTCAGCATAAGCGCACCCGGAATAGGAGTGTTGGCTTGGAGCGGCAGTGTGACCGGCCAGGTGTTCATTGTCGTATCGAAAGGCGTATCAGTGCGCAGTTGCCGCGCGGATACTCCGGTCACGGGACGCGGAAGTGATTTCGGTGATGAGGATTTGAGCAAGTAACTGTCCAAGAGGAAGGCGTTGCGCGGATGCGGTTGACTGCTGCCCAGGTTGATGCTGTTCTCTCTCATCACCAGCACTTGTTCCAGCAAGTGTTGTGTGCTTTGTTTTAAGGAACTGTTGGTGTCGGAAGCAGCGACCGTTGTGCTTACCGGCAATGGTGTGGTTACTGTTCGGTTAAATGGGTCTCTTGTGGACGTAGGCGGATGACCACTGAGATTGTGAAAGGTGGAGCGCGGAAGAATTTGAGCATGTGCGCTGTTTAATATCACGGCGAAGGTTACTGAAAAAACCGAAACATTACCAGTGCCGCCAATCTAGTGCATTAATTAATTAATTTACTTAAATATTAAATTTACTGCACTGGTTTGAATGCTACTTTAAAACTACATGCACAAAGTGGTGCGAGTATACTACACAAATAAAAACAGTTGCAACATCAGTTGCAAATAAAAACAGTTGCATTTGTTTTAGGTAAGCGAACGTACAAATTAATTATTATTATAGTCTAATAATATACACTAGAGTATTACTTAAAAACACACATGGCAGGTTATATTTGAAGTTTGAACAATGTTTTGACATTTTAATCCTATGCTATCTTTCAGTGGCTGCGATCACGAAAATTGGTGTACGACTTTTTCCGCCGGTATAGCTGTATGTATTCCAATAAGAAAGCCATATAAAAAGGAACCGTCGCGGCCGTTCTAGATGCGCCGCTGATTTATAACGACTTATAATGAATATATAATATGTACATACAATAAAAAGTACAATTTCATTGCGTACACATATTTGCGAATGGCTATGACATCGATAACAAAATCTCAACCGATGGTCACGATGCGTAATATTCAACCTATAACGTCTTGCAAAAACAGGCCAGAGAACGGGGTCATCACCAGCTGATGATTCTGTGCCGGTTAAACCGGAACTGAGTGGGTGAGTTTTAACAATTTTAGCACACCTCCGGAAGCTCCTTGAAGAACTATGTGTGCAATTTTAACTTCCTTCGTATTACCTTATTGCAGGAAAAATAATATTAAAAACCAGATGATTTTCTTGTGGATTGAGTGGCAAAAATGCTCTGCCATCAGACTACATGGGAGGGAAATGGACAGTTAGCTTTCGCGAGTAAAAGTGAACGGTAGAATCTAGTAAAGGTAGATTACTTAATTACATGCTCACCGTTACTGCGTGCGACACTACCGTATCACATCAGGGTCAGTCAGTTGTTTTTTCACAATCACTGCGTTCTGCTCTAATGCGCACAGAGGGTAGCGGCTATAATAATTTCTAAGTGCTGTTGTAAATGGGACATTAGTAATATCCGAGGTATATAATTAAAACAATGCTTTCAACGTTATTCTAAATGCTTGCAAGTGTTGGAAATAATTAAATTCGGCACAAAAACAAATTGATTTGAATAAAAGAGAAATGTAACATCGTGCAAACTTCATCATACTTTTTTTTCGCAATTGCGTCACATTAAAGATGTTTGTTGTCTTATGGAACTTACTCAGTAAATCTATCCACAGAATCCACAACCAGAAAAGTTTGATTTAAACAGTTAATGCAAACTGCAATTCTACAATCAAACGAACATTCCGTACAACGGTTCTAATAGAAAATCGGTGATAATAACAGTCATACCAGTAACTTTCTTTACTCTACATTAATTAAACTCCCATCCCAGTGCCTCTGCAAGCCTAAACTAAAATAATTTATTATAATTGTTTTTGAGTGGCTTTTACTTGACATAACTCTCGTATGAAACAATCAAACAGCCAATATTAATTATGGGAATTCTAGCGGCAGACGTCACGAATATATACAGTGTACGTATATATAGAGAGAAAAATATATAATCTTACAGAAAATACAGGTTATCTGATGAAGCCATCCGCTATCCGTAGTTATACTCTTAGGAACACATTTGCGTTTCGGAACGTCTGGACAGAGTGCGTTATCGGTAACACCACTTGACGTAATTAATATCAGGAGATCCCGGCATACAGAATCACAGTTTTCACAGTGTTTTATTCCCAAACGACGCGTGTACCGGTAGGCCATGGAATCAACGCAGCCGGATAGATATGGTAATGGCATTTTCGTGCCCTTAAGCTGTCCCATTGTTGTAGCGAAAATTATACATGTCTGATCTACATGATTTCACTAATATAAAAATAATTAATGGACGTTGACATGAAAAATTACTCGTTTATTACATAATATTTAAATTATAGCAACTGCAACAAAACACGCTAATGCGGCTGTGTGGCCGAACAGTTTAATTACACATCTTACGTGACATCAAGCTGCACAAAAGTGAATAGTGCTCCTGACTTTTCGAAATCTGTGATGCTGATCATGAAGAAATTTTCGCCCTTGAATACATTGCAAGTTTGCAACTGGGTTACAACGTCTGCTCTGCTGCGAAAAAGCACAACATCGCTGGTCGAATCACAGATGCTGTATATACAGTATGACTTACAGTGCCTTTTAGATGCATCGTGGTAATAAAATGTGCGTCACCTTTGCCCGTCACCGCATTGAAACTGGTATACACAGTATATGCAGGCAGTGCTCAAGTTGACACCCAACCGGCTTGTAATGCAGAAGCTAATTAAATTTAGCAATAAAATACTATAATTTCGAAATTGCATTTAATTGTAGATCTGATAACTCGTCAACCGAGGGCTTTTTTACCAGTACAATTATCGAATTTGCTCTTCCATTGTCTCTAAGAGGCGCTTAATAGAAGGAGAAATGCAGCGTTTTGAAATGTGCAACGTGCAGGTTTGCATTATGGCAGTTTACACCAATATGACAATATGATTTAACAATACTTCCATTGCTGCTGACCATGAGTCGGCTGGGTTTAATCAATGCTGTTGTTACTGTAATCTTTAGAATATGAAAGTGTCAATGCTGTCACCACACTGGCTGCTTGTTGACCGCTGGCCGATTACTGCATTTATCTCAACGATCAAGAACACCGTCTTTTAATTATTCATTTTTTCTTACGGGATAGTGCTGGAGTATTCAGTATTGTAAAGATGAAGAGAGTGTTGTGTACATGCGGGCTTTTTTATTTTTAATTTGTCATATCACTGCAATGCAGCTGCATAGTGCATATAGGTGGTAAGCGAGTGGAATTCAAATTCCCTTCCACCTCAAAACTCCTGCAAAATGTATTTAATTTTTGCCAGTTTTTTGTTGGGATAATTAATGGCACTAATACCTCTGCACTACAGAATTTTACATAAACATCAGCAACAGCTGGCGCTTACACTAACACTGTTAGTCTGTTACTGCCTGTCAGTACAAAGTATTGTTTGTGGTACACAAAATGTGCGTCTTGGAAATGTCTTGAGTACGTACTGTTTTCATGTTATACTATTTGAATAATACCGGTAACCCGGAGGAGTGAAATTTTACACTTCTTTTGTATTTTTCGCAGGCATATATATGCCAATACTTCTGCAGTAATCGGATAGAAAAGTCATGAGCAGAGCTGCTGTCAGGACCTGTAATTCGGCTACCGGTAAGCTTTCATGGTGTTGAAACGAATTCGTTATACCACTTTGGCCTATAGTATGATCAACAAGTTGATTCTATTCAGCAGAAACGGCTTGCTCGGCGCACGCCGACAGGCGAGAACAATACTAGATAGATATCAATAGAAGTATACTTCGTACGATACTGAAGTTTTACGTACAATATCTTTGATTTTTATAATGGGTTTTTTCTCCGTTAGAGATCAAAATTATACACATTTACTGTTCACTTCTAGCTACTGCTAACTAATGTACGAGTAGTTCGATCATGAGATGTAGAGCATAAGGCTGGTAATTGTCGCTGCCATCCCTAACTGGTCAGTGCAAGACAGATAGGGAAGAACAGGAGCAGGAAATTAATTCGAAAAATGGTAGGAGGATGCGCATTAAATGTTAGTATACATGTATGTTTCATTTGGAAACCCAGTTATCAATATATGGACAAGCCGGCTTTATTATTACAGTACCTGATGATGAATAATGATTTATCATGGACGTAAATTCCACCAAGACGAACTTCGTATCTCGAAGTACTTGTCGTCGATTCCTACAATGGATGATGCGGGAACTAGATGAATTTTTCTTCGAGTTAGTTCTATAAATCTGGAAGTCAACCTGGTTGAGTCAAGCTGATACAGATGATTCGTTTCATCTCGACATTGCATTGTTACATTTCTGTAAACCAGTAGGTCTAAAAATTTTGTCTGGGCAGGTATGAAACTTTAAAAGTGATCAAACTGTACAATCTGCGAATTGGATTGATTAACCGCAGCATACAGGTAACTTATATATTTATATTTTAAATTCCGTTCACGTACTGTATCGTATCTGTACTTAAATGTAGGATAAGTTTACCAGGTAATCCCACAATCAAGTTTAGTCATAGTATCGCATAATAAGCATTATAAGAATGCAGCAACTTGTGAGCTGTACGCTTTGTTCACAAGAAAAACTAAACCATTTTTCATTTTTACAGATCTGTGTTTTGGTGTCCATGATCGGGTAAGTGTTTTTTGACAGTATTCGTGGAGTACAGCTCTAAGTTAAAATGTTATTGAGAAAATTTTTATAAACCCAATTGCAGATAACTTTTTGAGAACGTTTACACTTTATACAGCAAACTACAAGAAAATGATTATCATCAATATATCATACACTAGCTTTCTATGCAGATACTTATTTATATACTCCAAGGGATACCAAGCCTTTTACAATGGAGAAAGTACAACGGTTGCCAAAGTTAAAGGATTAATCAAGAAAAATTTATCAAACATTGCCTACGTTTGGGATACCACAGGTGCTTTATTGTTAACAATTAAAAACCGCGGGCCAAATTTTCGGTAGTTGTAGTAAAGTTTTTCGTACGACACCTAACCCATACTGTTGTTTTATTTATAAGACAGTATGTATTCCAAAAAGCTTTTCTCAAATTAACATAAAGTAGATATAGTATACAAAACAGGAACATACAAATATACGAATTAACCGAGGAACATTATATATAGTAGTATAAAGCCGTGACTGTTGCACTACAAAATGCTGATTATTGATCACACAAACGTAATGGATGTTACCGTAAATAAAAGTTTAGGCTGACAGTGTAACAGTCAGATACCACAAAACAATTTTATTTTTCCCAAGACTAAAAGATCTTCTCAATCCAGACGTCTGTCACAAAAATTAGTACAAATAATAAATACAACGCCAGTGCCGCATGAAAAATTTCCTTCTAGTCTGCATTAAAATGGCAATGCAGCTTGCACAGCGTACTGCTAAAAACATAATTAAGTTAAATGTCATAGACTGTCACATTGCAGTACAGTATATGACTTTATTTTTCTTTTCCTGGTTTCTTTAGATTTGGTGATACCGGCATTGGTAAGTTTCTTACTGGAATATTTTTAATTTTTTGTTGAATCTTAAAATGGTAACTGCGACAGGAAAATGACGCTACCTTTGTGGCTACCAACATTGTGGAAACTGCAATGCAAAGGGCCGGCCGATGTGCGGACAAGGTGTGTTAATGCAAAAAGTTTGGTTTAAACATAAAATTTTATTTTTATAGGTCCCTAGTATAACAAACTCATTGTTTATTCTTAGAGCGAATGGAATAATCGTATGCGAGCAACCAGATGCAGAGCGGACGCGGACTGCATGCAACTTCTCAAAAACACAAGCCAGCTTCCGACTTCCTTTAATGGCTTCCTGACAGGAAAATGTATTGTGGAGGATTTATCGTGCGAGATAGATGGATGGTGTCCAGCAGAAATAGACAAACCACCAGAGTAACTTGCGAAGACGGCAAATAACATTACAATAACTACTGGCTACTTTGTAACTTTGTTATCATTTTCCTATTGCGGTTCGAAGTCTTGTACAAATTTGTACTACTGTAATTCATGTGAATATGGATAACATGTCTAGATCTACAGTAGTGTGTCATGCAGTTTTGTTATGTAAGTCTTATGCTATAGTATCCATATACTTTGCTACTGTAACGTGAGACTTTTTCAGACCCCCTTTGTTTCTGGATGCAGGCAAATTTACTATATTAGTAAAAAATTATGTGTCATTTCCGGATGTTGACGTCAAGAGAAGAAATATATTGGAAAGTATATCAGAGGACGATCTCCGAAATTGTCGTTATGATCGGCATACGGATCCTTATTGTCCAGTATTCTTGCTGAAAGACATTGTACGATTGGCCCAGGAAAATTTCACGGAAATAGCAAGAACGGTAATTGTGGTAAAAGTCAGCAATAAATTATGTTTGTGGTGTTTCTTCAGGCGCATCGTGAAACAAATTTGTAAGACTATATTAAAGTCGAGATACAATAATTATAGTGAAATAATATAGTTTAAAAAACTACGGCTGAATTTCTACGAAAAGAAACAATTTTTACAGTCCCTATATACCGTGTCTTCCTGTAATAAGAATTAAGGCCCACCATCTTTCAAAGGGCGCCATTCTCGGCTTTCACATTAACTGGGAGTGCAACCTTGATTACCATGAACGACACTGCTTGCCAAAGTACGAGGTATGAATTTTTTTTTATTTCCGGGATCATTTGCACTGCATAAATCTAATACAGATCTAATTCCGAGGAAGACTGATAAATTGTCAGATATGCCACATGAACGAAATTGAACTTACTTCCTGGTATTACTTTCTTTAATGATATGGGGTACTCTTACTTGCTGTGACAAGATAGTTCAGGTTTGTCTATATGTTTTGTTACACGGCTTGCGTTCCTTTTCGATAACTGCCGAATGACGCATTAGTTCCGACGGATGGATTCTGCTGAAAAAGTGGCTGAAGGGTGGAGCTTCCGGCACGCACACTACTGGACGTCTCCTAGTGGTGAACCATACCGAATGCTGCAAAAATATTACGGCATCCGCATCAATTACAAAGTGCAGGCGCGGGCAGGGAAATTTGATGTTGTCACTTGTGCCATGAACGTTGGATCGGCCGTCGGTCTGTTCGGCATTGTAAGTTTCACATACTGGCATACTGCAATTATACGGCTTGCTGTCAGATTACGCTTACTATTGGTACTGCAATAGTACCGCTTACTATTGGTACTATTGGTACTGCAAGGTGCTAAAGTTTTTGAAATAAGCCTATATCTATAAACGTTTACCTTGTCGCATTTCTGAGCTATGCAGTTGTAGTTGTTCAAGTGCTGTTTCAACTATCTTCAAAGTGTCAATCCTGTCATAAAACTACAAGTATACAAAACGAATAGACAAACCAGCCAGCACAGTCTATAACATTGCCCTGGTTAACTGGTAAGGTTTTGTACAATACAAATTATTGTATGATATTCATTTTGTCATCCCCATTTCTAGATGATCTATAGAATTTTTATCTACGGTACTTTTATACTGTAACAAACCAAATAAGCAAAGAAAGTGCCTTTCATTGGACTTGCTTTAGGCAACGATATTGTGCGATTTCATCACGATGCATGTGTCCAAAAATCCCCTGTTTCGGTCACGTAAAGTGGAAAAGATCAGAATGGATCGAGCGGCAACAAAGAACAAGTTGCCACTGCCGGAAAACGGAACCGCGCAGGCTGTAAGTACCGGTGCGATTTATCCTCGTACCCAGCATTTTTACACGAGCAACAGTAAAATTTTTAGGCATGCTCCGGCAAAGATATTTAGGCTATCGTCGTACAGTGAGGAGAAAATCTATTACGCCGTACCTATTACTATGCGATTTATTTACTTTTAAGTTATGCTGCTGTGACAAACCGATAAAAAAGGAGCATCTGCGCACAATGCACTTAGCGATTATTAACCGTTACGAGACGCTTGGAAAATTATAATACGTTGTGTAATATATAGGTTGAACGCATGCGCACAGAGAAAATCTTTCCCATCACTCCTGACGCGGTCGACTTTCTCTTGAAGAAGTGCCGAAACGATCCACGAATTAACTCCAGAGAAATTTTACAGTCAACGACGACACCGAGTAATGTCTAAATGATTACCAAAGATACTGTGGTTATAACATGAATTACGCGATGAGCGATTTCTTTGTAACCAAACGATGTTGTTCCGCTCGACATAATTTTTTACGATGTCTTGCGGCATTGTACATTGCACTTATAAAGAAATGAAGAAGCGTTCTTCTTACACTTGTTTGGTTTATGACAAATTAAAGTACATTTACACTGTACAGTCTCGAATTTCGTTTTCTCTGCAGACGCAGGAATGAGAATATTTTACGCCTTTTTATGCCGTCACGTGTAAACGGGTGAAGTTTTCGCTTGGATTAGCAAGCAAGGTTGTTGGAAAGAAGAGGCTTGGAACAATAATTTGTAATGACGTTTAAGCAAAATTTCCAAGAAAAATTTGTCCATTACAGGACTAGACAAGACAACTTTATTCCCCCAGATTTCTTCTGGCAGGGGCACACCATGCGTTGTGCCGTATGCTCGAGCATAAACAATTATGTGATTTTGCAACAGACACTGAAGATGTCAAGGAAATAATATTAAACATAACAAGTTAGAGATGCAAATAACCTCATGTAAAATCAAACAAAAATGAATTATGATGACATGTACAAAGTTTGTGGTGGTTTTTGTATCAAAGTTTACTCTTACATGTCGGGAAACTGAAAAACAAGTTGCCACTGCCGGAAAAGGTGGAGTGGTCATGCATAAATTAACCTAAATACACTTCAAGGGTGTTACGGCTACTAATCCCGAAGAAGTAAAATCTCCATAACTGATTTAAAATCTCGATATGGAAAATGTGATGTCCTATGTCTTCATTTGTGCAGAACAATGTTAAAATATGTATGCGCGATAATTGCTACAACTGCGGTTACTTTAAAATGTCTTTTCCAATATATTATCAGCCATGAAATGCATAAGCGACTAGATAGTCAGTGTATCATAATTACGTTAATTGTGTGAACTGCGATGCTATTAACAAGGTTTTTATAAAGAAACTTCTATGATTTAGCGTTTTTTTGCAGCTTATGAAGCTGCCGGCCTTTCAATTTCCGCCTAGAGGAAATCCGCTTTTGGTATTTTTAGGAAGGCAGCATACCGGTTCTGCACGGTGCACGAAAGTGTCTTTTGCGGTAAATTCACAGATCTAGGTGAAAATCTCAATCAAATGTTGATTTCGGTCACACGTCTTGTTATGTATGAGCCTACGAGGGGTCGATCTCGCGGCATTAAACAAACATCTAGCCGTAAAATTCAGCGCTTATTGTGATGCAGTGCAGTTCATTAAGGTTAGATTATTATGAGCACTGTAAAAGATTAAAACTAAACCAATTCTTGCAAGTTGTGCTCTCTATATGAAATTCGTAATCAGTTTAGTCGATTCTGGGAAGCCAGATATGGATAAAAATACTTGCCTTTCTTTTATCAAGCGAAAAGCGAAAAAAGAATGTCGGGATTTTTTTATGGAGTAAGTAGAAAGCTGAAACTTGGTGCTATTGTCTGTATTTCGCGTGTGCTTTAATATAAATAATATTATATGGACGCGCTATAATGCATGCATTAAGTTAACCTCCTTACCGCGGTTTTTAATGTTATAGGTACGAAACACCAAAAGTTGTCAAGGTTTACGATCTTAAACTTGGACTGATTAACAGAGGTCTGCAGTTGGCGGTGCTTGGATATATCATTGGGTAACTGTCGGCGAGAATTCCATTTGTTCATAACAGTTTACTACTACTACAGTTATTCCAACCGAAGGAGAACATATGTATATAAGAACCGGTAATCAGTGTTTTTCAGGCGTAAATTACAATTATGTTTTACAGGAGCATTTTCATTATAAATAAGGGCTATCAAGCGAGTGAAAAAGGCGAGCACAATACGGTGGCCAAGGTGAAAGGAATGATCAAAACAAACACTCCGCGGCAAAGTGCATCCAACAAGATATGGGATGCAGCCGGTAATCAATAGTGTTCATGCATATTATACGATAGAGCGTTATACGACCGTCCACACATTTCTATCCTGAGTACCCAAGCATCTTCAAAAAGTACCATTCCATATTTATTTCCTGTATCCGGCTTTGCTAACCCGGTATATTTTGGAGAGTATTGTTCATGATTTCGACCAGTACAATAGTACGGGTAACTCAACTTGAAAGATGCCGGCAACACGGGTGCTTTTCCGCTTAGAGCGCGCCGGTATACAGATCTGCGATGCCTGCCGCAGAATCATAATGAAGAATTTCTGTAATGCGAGTGCGAGCGAATTTACAAAGCTCAGATTTTTTTTCTCAAACTTCTACGTATTCGAACACATAAAGTCGGTTTTCCGTAGAAGTCCAGATAATTAAATACCGAATACTGACGACATTCGTTATGATGCTTTGCAGATCTTGTGATACCGGCGGTGGTAAGTGTGCAAATCTTCTTTGTTTCCACTTCGAATAATTCTTGCAGATATTTAAACCATCTCGTTTCTTTAGACACCTAGACATTTTTTTAGTGTAAATGTAACCGCTTGAAGGTTAGAAGCCTTCCAGCGGTTTAAAAGTTTTCAAGTGTCGGATAAAGATTATATCACAGTAATAGCTGTACATAACTGCATAACTGGTCTAAATCACACCGGTAATTGTCTTAATTGAAATATGATGTGGTCGATAGGAAAATAACGCCTTGTTCATTGCAACAAACGTTATCCAGACGCCTAATCAGCGGAATGGACGCTGTCCAGAGGTATGGGCAACTGAATTGCAAAACTAGAATCGGCGCCATAAATTGCACAATAAAATTGCGATCTGATTTTGCATAACTGTGTCTTCCATTATCCGACTCCCGCTTCCACAACACACTATTTATGTCGGTATATATATCCTCTGTGATCTGCCAATATTATCATTGCCACCAGCCCCTGATGGCCTGATCTGATTTTCGGAGTTAAAAAAATTAAATTGTGTACAGTATCTTGATGAAAGGTACTCAAATATCATTAACGGAAAGGCAGATACTATGAAATGACTACTTACCGGCTGCACTCCAAATCTTCGATTTCGATATCAGACATTTATATCGCTTAATTGCAGAGAGTAACTCACCATCAGAGCTGCATGTTTTCACTCATAGGATATTTATTTAAAGAGTGCCCGCTGTTCAGCTGATTCGCATTGTCCTGCCGGGGAGCCGCTGCTCCTAGGAAACGGATTTCGAACTGGACGATGCATTCAGGGAACGGGAACGTGCGAAATCGAGGGGTGGTGTCCAGCTGAACAGGACAAAGCACCGGAGTAGGTAACGTTCATTTGACAATTGCCGCGTTATGTTGGCAGATATTTCTGTATCTGCCTTATATATAGTAATAACCGATTTCGGCATTCGCATATGGTACTGTACCGCCACTACTTCACAGAATATACATACCTGGAAAGTTATGCATAATATGATAAAGGAATATAATAGCGCTACAGAAAAATACAGTATTAAATTTTTTAATACATTGACACTTTGTGTTTGTTGTCTTTTAGTCCACCCATGTTCATGGAAGTGGCCAATTTCACCATTCTTGTCAAAAATTATGTTGTGTTTCCTAAAGCCGACGTTCGCCGCAGAAACATTTTAGAAAGCCATAGCAAAGAAGACTTGGCTTCGTGCCGGTACCACGAGAAAAACGATCCGTACTGTCCGATTTTTGGCGTGCAATATATTGTGGAAAAAGCCGGCGCAAATTTTGTAGACGTTGCAAGCACGGTAAGTCAACAATACAAAGGCAAAAATCCTTACACTTATCCACATGCATTGCACCAAAACTGATTGTATCAAAGCGGTTTTCAGGTTGTGATAAGAACTTAAAATTACGCTCTAGCTGATAACCAAAACAATAAAAAGAGAGTTTGTCTACCAAAACTTACCAGTTAGGTACAAGTATGTACAGTACCTGTAACTAATGCTATCCTCTGTAGCCATAGATTTTGAAAGCTATTGAAAGTAGGTATGATCTATTTATGTTATTAGTAAGTAAATATAAAGTAAATAATTACGTACGGGATTAACCGGTTGAGTACGTACTGCAGGGCGGAATAATTGCATTTATTATCAAATGGGAATGCAATCTTGATCGGGATGTGCAACACTGTAAACCCCAGTACGAATTCCGAAGAATGGATTCCAAAGATGAGAAAATTGCCAAAGGTTGGAGTTTTCGCAATGCCGACTACTGGAATGACCCCCAGGATGGGACACGCAAAAGGAGTTTATACAAGTTTTACGGAATACGATTTGTATTCATGGTATACAGCGAAGCTGGGAAATTCGATGCTGAAACATTTGCCTTAAATGTCGGTTCCGCTGTGGGCTTACTTGGACTGGTAAGTGAATAATTATTCACAAAGAAGTCCATCATACGTACTCGGTCAGTCGCAAAAGCACCCATCTCACGGTCAGCACAATTATACCTGTACAATATTTATGACTACAGGCAGTGTATAAAACCATTTCCAACTGCGGATGCGAGCAATATTATTGAAACTTTTTCTGTTTTAGACGACAATCGTATGTGATTTTGTAACACTATTTTTCATGCGGAAAAAAATGAAGACATTACGGGAAAAGAAGATTGACCGCATTCGTGATGCAGGACGTATACCACCACAAGCTGGCTTGAATCCAGACGTAAGTGCAGCATATTTAAGTACTATTCCTAAAATGAGTAAAATCGAAAAAAGTTGACAGAAATAAAAATTAGCATCAGTCCCAGTTAGGAAACGATTTACTGTAAATAAATTCCCAAAACGTTTACGCAATGCCGTTTGTGTGCAGCCTAAATACACACAATTTTGCAGGATTTACTAAAGGAAGCTTACCCAGATATTGCGGACACCGCGCTAGCTTCCTCAGATGATGAGTTAACTGAGGATGGTCACCTACCCAACCACGAACCTGGTGAATTAGAAAAACTATCCCCGAAACATGAGCAAAAGGTGCTTGAAACAAGTCTTTAGAAGTTTTAATACACCCCCTGATGTTTTCCTTGCTTGTGATCTCTGCCTATCCAAAGAATCTTGTCTTAGTTAATCTTATATGACGAAAAAAACTACTGTATTTAAACATACTGGCAAACATACCGGAACCAACTTCCTCAAAGATTATCTGTAATTTATACGCCTTTCTTTTAATGATTGCGGTCAACATCACAAACCAATAAAATTTCTGTGTTTGAAACATGCGTTAATCACAAAGAACAAAATTTTACATAAATCACAATAAGTTAGACACAAACAATCCACTCACCGCGCCACACTTCTTTCACGATGCAGTCGTCGGAGCAACGACTGAAATAAATCAAAACTAGTAAAACTAACACCCACCGCAATCGGCCCCTTCACCCAGTTTAGAGTTAAGCCTTTAAAAAGCCCATTCTTGATGCCTTCTTCCCGTGCGATCTTCACCAGCGCTTCAAACGTTCCCAACTTGGGGAATTGCCGATCGACGGCAGTCTGCATGCGCCTGCGCACAATATCAAAGGGATACGAGGAGGTCTGCCCCACTGCGCCTGCGCACGCCCCAAATAGCATCTTTTCGTAAGCCGCTGCCGGACGCTCGTAACGCTCCTGATGCTTGCGTTTGAGCGTCTCAAACGTAAAGAAACTGGCACCGGCGTATGGTATAACACCCAAAAGTGTGGGAGTAAATCCCCGATAAAGTGCTATCCAGCCTTCTTCTTTGAGCAAATTTTTGAAGACGGAGAAGATGGTAGCGTAACGGGCTTTCTCCGTTACCGCCATACGGGCACGGGCTAAATCAAGGGGATACGTCAAGGAGGAGGCCGTTACTCCGGCTAAGGATCCGGCTACGAAACGTTTTCCGGGAGAATATATTCTGCAATAAAAAAATAACACTTCCAAGTGAATTCAGTCAGACAGCATTTCCTTGAGGGTAGCTCTTTTGTCATCACTGTTGTATCCGAAAGTATGTAAACGGTATGTGTGTATTCTGTTTAAATTGCGGAGGAATTTACTATTTACTGTTTAAAATCAGTGCAACCCACAGTCTATCTGGAAAAGCGTTCCAAAAGTTTCTTTTGCGTCTGTGATACGTACTTAAACCTTGTACGAGGTATACTCGAAGCCCGATGAAACATGTTTACTCGTTTCGCTACCAGTAGCAAGTTCAAATTCAAAGCAAAGTAAGCCACTGTACAAATATTAAATGTTGCAATTACACAAATCCAATTTAATATGCCATACAAGAAAACTGCGTATTGTTTCCCGTTTTCACGACAAGTCAACGAAGAAATGTATTAACAACTGAAGTAATAACATAATGCCATTTACCTACCTAATATCATCCACCTTGAGCACATGCTTCCACTGCTCATGCGAAGCAAACTGGATAGCGGCATAGGGGATAACACGAACCATGGTTGCTGAATTGCCTCTCCACAGACTGAGGAAGCCTTCATGCTTGAAGCGCTCTTTTAAATATCTGGCCCCTTCTTTCATAGAAAACCGACTCGCTGATGCTGCAAATCGCAAATTAAACCAATTGTAAACCATTTCCAACTGTTAAGGAACTATAACATGCAATCTACACTGTCGTTAGACCGAAGACACGGAAATTAATCATGACAAACTATTACTCTGAAAATTGATTTTCGTTCTGTCCAACGGAGCAATACTGGTTTTGGCGAGCGCCCCCGCCGTAGCGCCCGCAATGAGGGATGTCCAGATGCGAGTGGAGTTGTCCAGCGGCGGCTGCAATGGATGCAATACGTTAAGTGGTGCATGATGCTACCATGCAGTTCTGATGCAAGCCTAAGCAAGTCTTCTTACGGGCTTCGCTAAATTCTCGTTAAGAGCAGTCAGCGATGCGTCTTGTGGAAGAACCTGCGTCGGTCCTTGGTTCTTCGTTTTGGTGGACATGACACGGTCTGTTGTGCTGACGCCTGGGACACAAAAAGGATTGCATTGGCTGCATGAATGGTGGAATCATCGGGGTTTCAGCAAGATGTATGGTCATCCAGGCACGAATTGTAAATGAAATCCAGTTGATATAGAAAGATAATTTTAACGCGTCAAGGTATACAGTCAACATCAAGCAGAACCCGCAACAAGCAAAGTAACCCACAATATGCACAATAACGCTATTGCTTAGACGAATACCCTAAATGATAAAGCGTCAAAATTTAAAGGAACGTGCTACAGCCAACAGGCCTACATAAATTCAAACTTTCCAAAAGAGCAAAACAAAAAAACAGCCGTCAGAGCGCCTCAAATCTCTCACAACCAGCACGTCAGACTGATCAGAAAATTCAAAAGTGTTGCGAAATGCAAAGACGTTTGTGTTTTCCCATGTCAGCAACCGCTCACGGGGACCAGTTCATATCTGTGGATGAGTTCTGCAGTGACGTCGATTTACACTCTGGCAGCGGCCTAAAACAGTTTTGCGAAGTTCTGTAAAATTTAAAAATTGCATATCTATTGTCTAATAACTCTCGTTTTCCTTTCATATTTAGTGAATTTGTGGACTGCATGTTTTATTAATATTTTATAACCTGGTTACTTCGAAAAAGCAGTTATTGATTTGGGAGCGTCAGTCTCGTTATTTCTCGTTTCCGTGCTTTGAAATTGTTTCACGACATGGATCCAGCTGGTAGCGGACCGAACAGTCCTTCTGTATTGGCGTAAGATCTTATTCCCCTCGCTTTGGTTTATATACGTATTTGCGTCTTCCCGAGCATTCGTTTTATACAGGCTAAAAAAGTGGCGCAGCATATATCCCGTGTATATCAACAGCCGAAAAACTACGGCTGAAGGTCGACGCATTCGAAAAGATAAGGTACGCCGTACGCATCGTCAGTGTTTATATTTTGTGAATGTTTGTCCCCAGTGTTGTAGTTAGTTCTATTCGTACTTGCCCTTTGTGCTGTGATCCATTCAATATAGTGTTCAAAGTATTGTTCTAACGGCATTAATTCCCAGCATAAGCTTATTGTTTACGGCTCAGCGTATAATTTCTTACAATTTTCTGTTTGTTTTTACTAGTGTGTGGATAATCCGACATGCCAGGAAATAAAGGATATTTTAGATAATATTGGCCTGCGGAACATGATTGAGCCTGTAGGTTATTCTGAAATTTCTGTCTATCTAAAAGTACTTAAATTAACTATTGCCAGCCTGGGGTTTTTAAGTTAAAGCTGTAAAAATGCTCTGGATTTTTCAGAGAAAAATGTATGCTCGCGATGCTAGCCGTGATTTAGGCTACCAGGGGCGCGTGAAAGTGGAATTGTTGACAGAACAGCAGGAACCAGTCAATCCTAAATTTCCAAATAGTGAGTTAACTGACGGTGTGACTAGTGACAGCTGTTGACTGTTAAGGCGTGTTCACTAGTTACCGCTACCATCGCTTATTAGTATCCTCCTATTCCTGTCCTTTTTCTACTGTTCGTTGAGCGAGTGCCTGCTGGAATTCATTTTTTTACTTTGATATTGAACTAACTGAAATATCCTAAGTATTAATATACGCCTGCAGCACCTTTTTTATAATGAAACTACTATGCAATAGGAAGCTGTTATTTGTTGCATGTATTCGAAATTTTATTTCAAAATTGCATTACATGGTAATAGCAATAAACAAGGAAATTATATTCACAACATGGACTTGTTACACTGACTTTACATTACATAATAAAATTGTTTGTGAAAGTCGATTGACTTGTACTGTAACAAATTGTACTCTAGTGGAAGTTGAACTGGTAATGTACGATTTTTATAAAATTTTGTCTTGGTATGGTGTTGTTTACGGTTTATACTGTGGCTCTCTGGGTATGGTTTTTACTTTGTAGTTCTGTGGGATTTATGCATGCCTTATGTGATTAGGTAGACGTTAATTGCCCCAAAAATTATTGTATGTGGTTATTGATTTCTCCAGAAAACAAAATTAAGATTGCACTGGATATAACCGAATTCTGTTTCAGAACTGGCGGTATTGCATTACCTTGGCGAAACCATACCTAAACTGAAAAGTCGGAGTTCTGGAAATCAACAGAGTTCATCTGCAGCGGGATCGTCCTCACAAGGCGGTGGGACAAGCAAGGGCAAATCGAAGGGAAAAGGTGGTAAAAGAAAATAATCTGCCTTAAAGTAAACTTTCCCGGCACGGACTTCGGAGGTATCGATATTTCTTAACATTGCCGACTCGGAAAACAAAAGACCTGTGCATGCGCAGAAATACTTTGACCTTTCTTTTTGTTGCTCTGGATGCACTCTGTATGTCTACATTTCAAAACGAAATTTGTGCTTATAATAATATCTGCAAAGCTCTCAGATTTTATGATGCTGTCTGCGATGAGTTATGTTTTTTACTCAAAAACAGTTGGGTTAACAAATTAAAATTAATAATGGTGTATGTTTGTATGGGAGCAGGTTTCCGCACATTTTCATACGAAACATAAAAATTTTGATTTAAATTAATTTTAAGTTACAAGTTAGTACAATCCTCTCCGGTTTCTTTAAGCTTATTATGACAAAGGTAGTTCAGAACTTGATGCGCTGACTGTTGCGTGCTGCTAGAGGCTTTGTTTCACATTTTACATTGGCTGCACAACTGGACCTTGACCCATAAACACCGTATGCAGATAGCGTACTGTAGAGTAGCTGAATTAGGTTTGCTAACTGGTTTTCCTGTGTTTGTTGGTATCTTCTTGCTGCTTACCGCTGATGTACCTGGTCGTGTACCTGTCTGACTATAATCTCTTCGCAAACGGTTGACGGTATTATGTGGTGATTTGGCGGAGAGCTGTGGCTTCCGTCCGAGTGTACGGCACCGCGGTATTAACGTAAGCTGTGTGCACCGGATATCGTTGAATAGGTTTCGCCATTGCCAGTATATTCAATATCATCCATGAAAACAGATCGCTGGTGGCAATCGTGTTCTGTTCATCATTTTTTCCTTCCAAGCCAACAGTCTATTGTTCCGTGGGTGTCTTCTTCAGCTGACCCGAAAATGGTAAGTCATACCTTACTTTCGAAATGGTGTGACTCTTTCTGCAGGATTAAATTTAAGCATAAATTGTAAAATTTAATCTGTGTACCGCACTGCATATGAAAGGAATTAGAATGCAGATACCTAAACTGGGAAAAGTAATTCGTAATTGTTTTGTCGCGGAAATCGTGTTTGTAGCTGTACTCGTACTACTCGGCTCAAAAATCGTGCGTCTAGAAACGCGAATTACTTGTTGTGTGCATGTTGAATATATGTACATCTTTGTTTCATCAAATGCACTTCGCTTTTAGATTTTGCAATTTGAAAAGCATATATCAAAACGATTTTTTCTCGGTTTTAGGCACAATTCTTTAATCAGAAAGAGATCGATGGTAAGGTGCACAACAAACGATAATTCTATAATTATGTTGCGATTTGATTGTTAATACTAGCACATGTTCGACCATTTCTAAAACCAGACCTTTGATTTTAGAATTCAAGGAATGCTTCAACTTGTACGCCAAAAGTGGCTACATAACATCTGTTGGCGAGTTATCGTTGATAATGCGCTCCCTTGGCTTGGCCCCTACATTGACGGAATTGCCGTTATATTTCAAAGGAAAAGGTTTGTTGCTGAATTATGTGTACTAATTTTGTATAACATATTATGAGAACTCATTTGTGAAATTTGTTATTAATAGGAAGCAATATTTCCTTTCCATCGTTTTTGGACATTATGCACACCCACAAAGAATCTGAACGGGCATCATCGGATATTTTGAAAGCCTTTCAAGCCATGGATCGAAAGGGAAATGGAGAAATACCGGCCAAAGATCTTCGGCATTTCCTTATGAGCACGGGCGAAAAGATGTCAAGGCGAGATGGTTGGTTGCAGACTTGCAGTATACGCTTATTACGATGCACAGGAACACTGGTTACTTCAATTTAATAATTTGGAAGTGTGAGCGCAATTTTTTCGTTAATGCAAAATATTTCACGATGGTGTTCAGTGGAGCTTTATGTGTTTCGTTTTGTTTTTAGTGGATGCCGTATTTAAAGAGGGAAATATTGCTCAAAATGGAAAAGTTAATTATTACGATTTCGTGAAATTTTTCGTTGAACCAGTGCCGGACTACTAAGCCAAAATTGATAATGGATCTGTGTTTTTTAACAGGTTATATCTGTAACAACTTAGTTAGTGATACGACTACCATTTGTCGCATTTTTGGTGTTGTTTTTTTCTACATTGTATTTTTCTCTTCGTGCATATTTTTGATTTGTCTACATATTTCCATAACATTATTATTACGATAATCTAGTCTATACTTCTCCTAAAAGCGCAAACATTGCCCGCTCTCTGGATTAGTATTCACTATTCAGTACATTCACTCATCATGGACTAATAAAATAATTAAATCTATTTGAAAAAGTACTTACATTCAAAAACGCATAGAAGACCATTGTCACAACAAGCAGACCGGGTTTATCACGGATAAAATTATGACTGATTTGGTTTGCAGTTTTGGAAGCCTACTTAAACTTCACAGTAGGTTCACTTTTTGAATTCGAATACGATTAAGAGATCAAGAAATGATATTTCAGTTACGCTCTTTTTTTGGTGCACCCACAGTTATTCCTCACCCATGGTCGTCAGTCAAGCCATGTTACCGCTGACGTAGTACGTGTTGTTTCCAGTCAGGCTCAGCCGGTTCAGTGCGAATAGCCGGCATCCCGTCCGTTCTGGTTGATATGCTTGTAAGTGGTTTGATTGGGATAATATCCCGATGGGAAGCTTGGTTGATGGAGCATGCCGGTGCCGGCTACCGCTCCATCTTCCGTTCCGTCGTAATCATCAACCAGATCCGTGTATTTTGAATAATTTACCGTGCAATCGTCATTAGGGATTAACGACTGCAAACAGTCCAAAGACATTCAAAATGGTGTTAGAATGACGTTTAAGCCCAGCCGTAAATTACTACAGTAAGTAAATCGTATAAATATATAAATTACATAAAAATATTGAAAACCACAAGGAATTCCCGGCTGGTGTGACCTTTATTGGCTACAAATTTATTGCTTACCTGTCGCTCTTCGCCTCCTGGGGGATTGCGTAACTTAAACAACAGTGGAGCATAAAGCAGACAAACTATTCCGATTCCGTACATCATTGCCGGGAAGCCAGCATTTTTCACTATCGAACCACTCAGAGCAGGACCTGACCAGAGAACCTCCAATCAGCACAGTCAAACTTCCTTACAGTTTTTCGAAATAATAGATTTATGTATTAATGTATAATGTAACACCAAAGGACACGTTCTTACAAAAGGTATCTACGATTCTACAGTAGATTGATGCAGCTCCGAATTAAATCTGGCGCACTCACCAATAGCAAAACCCAAGCAAAATGCAACATCAGTAATGGCGTATACATTGCCGTATACGGCTGTATGCCGTATGTCAACAAGATATCCCATAATGGGCATCATCGAGGAGTCCACCATGCCGATAGCAAACCCGATACCGGCATTGGGTACAATTAAATGATTCACTGTCCTGGCGGAAGGAATCTGTGTAATAATATAAAATCCAAGCACTGAATAATTGTAAGATGGCATACTTAGTAGAATTCAGGTTTTACGACATAGCAGCTCAAAGGTCACTTTTAAAATCATTCGATAGTTGGCGAATATATGGTGCCTTACCGCTAATAGGCAAAACCCAACAACAATCATTCCAACCATAGCAGCCAACCACCGCCCCATCCGGTGTCCGAGAGGACCAAAGAGATTCGTGCCCAACAGATAGGAAATACTGGCTGGTAGAAACGCCGTTCCGGTCTGCCATGTTGGAGCCCGCATCGTCTCCCGCATCCAAATAGGTAACGACGGCTCCAGCATAGCAATGCCCATATTGGCAAATGTAATGGAGCCCGCCGCAATGAGAATGTAGGGATCTTTCAGGAGTGTTTTGAAGGATGTCGGATCTTCCTTTGCCGGAATAATGGCCGGTTTGAGCACAACAAGTTGCAAAACTGTAAACGATAATTAGCACAGCTAACAGTTCAATGGCTCTGCACTAGGCGCAGTATTCACTTACGACCATCAAATAGCGCCAGGAAAGCTAGAATCAGAAACGGCGCGCTTTTTCCAACAAAATCATACAGGACACCACCGTACGGCGGTCCAATTAGCACGCCCATCGCCAAACCACCCAGTGCGACGGCCATGGCATTGCCACGCTCACGGTCTTCCGGAAAGCGCTCGGCAATCATGCCCATTCCTGCCATTTAATGAGATTTAAAAAATGCAGAATAGAGTAGCAAAAGAAAAAACACAATGGTATGTAACGCGGATAACAACGTCGAAAGGCTGCATCTCATACCCGAAACACTGGAACACGCAGACCCAATTCCTTGTATGGACCGCGCCATGAAAAGTACTGCATAACTTCCCCCAAAAGCAAAAACTGCAAAAAAACAATATTACATTTTTGGAAAAATGCATGAGGAAATATTTTAATGTGTGCGTGCGCGGTGGCTTACATTATGCCGTAGAAATAAAAAAATCGATGCAGATAAACTAAAGTTAGATAAAACCAAATTGCGCAAAACGCCCAACCAAAAATTACAGCATAATAAAATCTTAATTTTGGCCCGGATAAAGTTTATACTAAAATTTGGTGAACATAGAGAAGATGTTGCTGATTCAGTGATCTTTCTTAAACAATTAATTTTATAATTGACCGAAACCATAAATTTTCTTTTCTGTAAAACACAAACTAATGTATTGGCAATTTATACAGGTGCCCCACCAACTGGAGCAATGTGACTATGCTGTATACAGTAATAAGGAAATACAGACGAGATGATCTGTCAGGATTCAAATGCCGATGGTATCATCTCACTATTAATGATCATCCCACGCATGCCAAGACTGAGTTACACACAGAAATGGGTTCGTACTATTAACATAAAAGAATCAAGCATATTCTGAACCCATTGAATAAATATTCCGTCAATACTTCCACAGCAAACACGTGCAAATTGACGCAGAGTCAAAACATGAACGCACCCATTTGATACATTTTCGGCAGCACACGGAAAGGTCAAGCCTTTCCGTGCTAAGTGTTCAGTCACTTCAGTGTGCAATATATTTACTCCTCATAAAAATAACGCCTAAACAGACTTTATTATATCGTGTACTTACTTATAGTGGATACGAACATGACGACAAAGCCGGTGAACATAGGAATACTGTATCCGATCCTGTACGGTGCACATAAAAAAATTTTGTTTCAAACGTGTGTATATACGTGCGGCGCGAAAATACGAGCTAATTGACCTGTTAGTGAGAAGTCCCACAAATGGATTAGCAATCAGCTGCATAATGGCTTTGGAAGCAAACATAACACCCACTCGCACATTGACTTCCACCAGTTCCTCATGCTGCAGCTCAGCATCTTCCGGCGACAGAGTGGTAGCATTTGTTGTGCCCGGTGTTGTGGCGGCTGTGGATTTTGTTTTAAGGCGCCTGCGAGTGGAAGGTAGCAGAGTTGTGGTCAGGAAATCTTCGTCCTCGTCACCATTCGACAGTTCACTTTCCGCCCAAATGGGCACCGTCGTCAGGGTGGTCCGTTCTGGTCCCAGAGTGGTTCTACCACGACTAAAATTTCCGGCTGCGTGCCGAGGATTATCCAGTTGGTATAGATACTCTGGTATAATGGGCACTACAAAAATGTGATGGCGCTACTAATCAAAATTTTTGGCTACTTTCTTATATTAACCCCTTATTTTTCTTAACTGATCATGAACTGCTGACACTTGGGCCTACAGTGTGTAATACTCTGTGCACATGCATTTCACCTAATCTGGCGCTTCGCCAAGTACGTTGCTAAAAAATGCCAAAAATACTGATATCCATGTCAATACGAATTACTTGCCAATAAATTTTTTTACGTTAAGTTTTCCCGCTTTTTCTGATTAATTTTGGGTTTTTTCCGAACTCTTCTAACGTCATGGGATTGTTCATTATAATTAAGTGATAACTGACGGGATACTTAAGGTCAGTATTGCGTAACGTTACTCGGGAAAGCCGATGAGCTGTGCTAAAGATACGACATATGAATTTATACTAAAAACCATAATTATTAATTGCGCAAAGCTGCACTTTTTCCGGTACTGCGCGCTTCAGTGACATTACGAGTAAATCTACGTATAATAATAATGCGATGGCTCTTTGTCGCCAGTGTACTTGAACCAGGCAATTATGAATGAATTGCGTATAAATGAAAATGGTGCTTGAAACTTACCAACCGTCGTCAATAGCATATTGTCCAATAGTAATGCCACAAACACAATAAACAGGATAAACTTCCGGTTTTCACCCACGAGTGCCGCTAATTTTTCTAGTAGTTCCCTCCACTGCATGATTCATACGGTAATACTAGTCCGGAAATCGGAAACGGCGATATCTTGATTCGATGTAATGGCGTTGAGGCACCTAACCCACAGCAAGGCTTTTCCATTACCCATTTAATTGCTTAAAATGTTTAAATAGTACTCGACGTCGCAGATGGTAATGTCACGGAGTTCAGAAAACTTGCATTTATATCGGGAAATGCAAAGAACTGAAGAGCGCACAAAAAGGAATTAAATCAAACAAGGTATTCCAAATACTACAGATGATTTGCTAAGAATAGGTCGGCTGTCTCGATTGCACTGAACTGGTAAGAGATGTCAATTCCATCTGGCTCGTTATAGCAATCCTGGATCACTTAATTCGCACTTTTAAAGAGCAGAAACAATTCTTCCTTTAAAAATACGCACGGAAGCGAAGTGGCTAAGGCCATATATTGCCGGTTTTTTATTGATCCTTTTCATCGGCATGTATTACTAAGCGCTATCATAAATCAACCTTGCCTTTTTAAAACAAGACATGAAACACCACAAAACTAAAGATTGCGCGCATTAATGGCCTAAGTCTTAGTTTTAGTCTTTAGTTTTAGAAATTATGTTAGCATTTAACTTTCTGTATTTATCGGTCGGATAACGATGATTAAATCGGTGTCCCGGTGACAACTTTTGTGCGGCGATAGATCACATGCTCATACTTTCTTATAACGGAAAAATGATCAGACCAGTACGACTGCGAAAAAGTGCCTTGCAGTAAAGCAAAACACGCCGTTTACATAAAACAATACATCTGTTCCAAAATTCCTGCTGGTAGTTAGCTACTGGCATCGTTGCTGCACTAATATAATATGAATGATAAAGATTAGTTAGGTATATGAATTTGTACTTTAAAACTATAATTACTAGTGATTGCGCATAGATGCACTTATTCCGGTCATGCTGTGCGTTTCAGCGATATAACGAGTAAATGTACCGGTACGGTATAATATACGATGGATACTGCATTATTTAAACTTTGCCGTATTAATCCAGTTTTCTAAAAAAGACTTGTTAATTACATTTCTGAAATTGCCATTTGCCAGTTCATGACCAGGCCACAATTTACAAAGTAAATCAGCGAAATTATTCATGTTTTTAGCTTGACAAATTCATACGATACAGAAATCATATTACTCGAGTATAAGCAATATCATCTACTCCTGTTACTGAGAGGAAAACATATGCATAGTGAAATACTTTAACAATTGATTGAATTACCCGTTAAATACTTTAAAAGTGATTGAATTCCCCGTGATCAGAGTACAGATGTGCCAGAAACCACGGTGCGCCTTCTAAAGGCAGGAAAGTAGAGGTAATTAGGCTAGTAAAACGGAAACCATTCTCTGACTTTTTACCTTATGCATACAACTGATAAAGTAATAAGCAATAATTTATTTTCATGCTTGTACTCCGTATTCATTTTAAATTTGGATACGGAAGAGAAGTGGACTGCCTTGCCTGGAGGATTAATATGATTCGTTGGTTTGGCAACCTTAATGTTATACTCTTTGAAACTTTTCTTACACTAAAGGCACTCTTGCTGTATTCGGGACAGATTTCTCTTCCTAGCTCCTTTCGGCATATGCCGCGCGCTGGAAGCGCACCGTTTTTCAGCGTTGGATTTCCTGTTACAGTTTGATTGCGGGGGTTTTGTATTTCCAGAGATCGATATTTGCCGGCAAAGCGAAGTTTATCTATGTATGTGGGGAGTGCATTGTCCGTCTCTCTCTGGACAAACGATCCATTTACACTCTTTATAACAAGGTAGCACCTAGGTAAGCTAGCTATTTTAATGTATCCTCAATGCATCTTATGCATATTTGTTCTGTCACTACGTAATAGAATGATAAAACGATCTCTATTTCCCTCGTCTCGTAAAGTCAGTTTTACACAAGCGGGAAGCCCAGCCGTACCGGCGCGCACCACCGGTATAGACCCGGTACAATCCCGCAAATGATGCTGTTAAGTGTTGACCGATCGAAAAGCACCGAATGATGTTGTAAACTGTTATTGGCACGAAGTGTTGTTTTCGGTATATTTACACAGATAGCTCCAACGTGCCTTCTTAACATAGTTAATAATTGCGCAGAGCGATCCATATATTCGATCTTGTAAAAAAACGACTTTGCTACAGTATAATTCATTATGTAGTTAAAGAAGTTGAGAAACCGAGCAATTACAAAAGTACATATCATTTCGTCACCTAACATAATAATGCAATGTGATTCGCGAAGCTATTATTGGCTGTTCAAGCTAATAAATAGTCTGTTGAAAATTGCCCTGCGCAAGGAACTGTATTATACGCGCCGGATTAATTTGCAGCAGCAGTAATAATGAAGCACTACATGCGCGCTTACGGATTTACGCAAATAGACGGGTATAACAGAAGCGTAAATTACTGGGCCGAAATTCGTAATTAAAACACGTAAATTTGCCTTGGAAATCCAATCGGGGATTCACGAAACAGACATATCCAAAGTCAAACTATAGGGAGCAACCAAGATCGTACTACATATGACACGAAACTTATTGCAGTTATTATAATTATGTGTGGCCGTGTATATGAAGCAGTTAGCAAAATTAAGTATTTCTGTAATAAGCCTCGTCTAATCTTTTTAGAACCTTTACAACTTTCTGATTATGTATATTGCACATTCATAACCACTACTGTTGCTGAAAGCTTCGAAAATTAAAACCAATATATACTTGGTGCCGGGAAATATTTTCATCATACGATATTTGCATTTGTAACCAATTTCCTTACCGGTATCGGAATGACAGCTTTTTTCTTGCTCAAATCAAAATCCGGATCGATTGCAACCAATATTGCTAGTTGCTTAGATCATATAAGTATCAAATTCACATAGTTCCCGCAAAGAACATCCCAAGCATGTACCAATTGAGTAAAAATCGCAAAGGATTATTCTGTTTTGCACAGACAAAACAGTGGCACAAATATTGGGATTAAGCGAATCCAGAATGCAAACAAGGAATGCGCGCACAGGCATATATATACGTCGGCTGCAATAGTACGCAGTACGCACACGTTTAGCCAACTGGGAAATCGTCTCCGAATGGAATTGCAACTAAGACGAGAGCCCTGCGTTGATCCTTTGCTAAACGTTATTCACTCATCACTTGGTGGGAAGGATAATTTTGATGTCTTTTACACCTTGCCGTGTTACCCAAATGGAAACAAAGCAGTATTTCTAATAAACCGTTTGTGCACGATATAAGTATCGGCATTGGTGTCCTTTAACATACACGTACCGACATCAACACTGCTTACAGGTCGTTTCCTTCGGACGTCAGCTGTAAAAAGAAATTGTTGCACAGATCCATCATATATATATAAACCCTAAAGAAAGTGTAAATTATCCCTCAATTGCATGGCATTGCGTGTGAGAGCTGTAGTGGAAGTGGCTAACGTATTATCAAATCATGGACCGACCGTCAACGCCAACGTCGATGGCGATACACACGTATATATACACGTTCTATAAGAGCCAAGGCGCCATTTCCGCGTGGATACAGGCAGGATCATTAGGAAAAAAGCCCAGGAGAAGAATGATCGACCTTTAAGATGTAACAACCCGTTTCGTGATGGCAACTCGGCGATCGAGTACGTTTAGCAGACAATAAGCAGTGCCACTTCCTGTGAAACGGTTGCAAAGGGAAGTTAAGGTACAGTTGACATTCAGCCGTATTGTATGCACCCCATATCAACGATCCAGAGTGCCGGTCGTTTTTTGTTGGATGACTGGTAGTCGCGTACACCACACTGACGGTGCGCTGTAGTCGGTGAAGTATTTATATTTATAACCAACACCATTACGGTCACGATAATAACAGGAATGTCGGGTCGCGCAGAAATTTATTGGTAGGTCCTTTCCCAGTAAACTGCGAAATATGTATTACGAAGTGGTTATAATTTTCGCAGCCGCACACGCCTACAGTAATAAGGAAGCGCCTCAAATGTGCTGGGATATGCGCTTAAACGGTGCTTCATCTGGAATACCAAGTTGGCCTGCAGTGCAATGCACTATACCGCGGAACCGTTGTAGTGGAACATGTACAAAGATGGGAGTGGCGCCTACGGTCAAACGCCTAACTTTTACCTGTAATTTTAACTGGACATAATGATGTAGTTTATTTTGCAAACCACATGGAGTCCAAGAAATTAATGTAGTTGGTAGTATTCATGTGGTTTATCCAACAAATTATATCATGAAAATCTCTCGATGTAATCCAGAATACAAGTACATGGATATACGGAATGTGATGCTGGAAACACTAACAATAAGATTGACACCGGCAGCCGGCAGGCATCGTCGCAGCACGCAGTGGTACCGGTCGGCTGATAGTGATCAAGAGGTCTGCTTCAATGGATACATAGGAAACCATTAGGACTTTGCAGGCGTCGTGCACGCATTTGTCTGATAACTTCCGGCCTGCCTGACGTTTTCACTCCTGTTCGTTTCCGCTAACAAACGAATAAGGAATAACATTGAATTATACTGTCGATGGAGAATTCTTAGCGCCTTCCTAAGCGAGATCGTGTAGTTACCTGATCCAATGCATTGTGAATAATTTTGCAGTTTTATTCAAAACGTTTCTGATATTTACTACTCTAGATATTCGGTGCTGCCAAAAGTGCAGCCGATTACTCATGGCATGCAGAAATGCTAACTTCTATAAAATTGTTGAGTGCATTTATGTGCTACATATGCTGTATATAATAAATTTAGGTAGATGCTGCTAGCTGCAAATATTTTGGCTGCTAACATCTAAAAATTTATTTCCGTTTACAAAGTTTATTCACATTTTCAAAATTTCAGGAAACTATTCCAGCATTTGAACTACAACACAATAGCTTTCCAGAGCGTACACTTCCATGTAGCAACGGAAAACTCGAGCGCTTATTGAATTATGTTACACATTCCCATCTAAACAAAGCCAACATTAAATTTCGTCTGTCGGCTGCCGCAGCACCAAGCCGGTAAGCCGTAAAATTTTCCAGATTTACAGATTTACTAAACATAAATGCAAAAACGCAAAGCACACTGTTTTAAAATGTACACACACTGTTTTAAAATGTACATCAACCAAACTTTGCAGCAAACTGCCAATGCTTCTTTCTTGCTCACTGCATGCGACTCCACCAGGAAGACTAACGTGCATCCGCTAAGGTGTTCACAGTGTTTAAAACCTGCTCTTTGTGCATTCCTGAAAGGTCCACAGAATTTTCCTGCCCGTAGTCTGAAAAATTCGAAAATATATAATCCTATACTGCAGCGCTGAAAATCGAAGATCATGCACGCAAAAGCCACACATCTATCTAGAAACTCACAAAAAGTGGAAGAAACTGAGGTTCAACCGATCACATTAAGTTCCTTCACACTTTACAGGTAGTATTTCGGTTTCATTTGACAAAAAAAGCAAAGAAAATGCGCAAAGCTGATTCGAAAATTCGTAAGAACGTGTACTTGCATGCTGCACCGTTTGGATTTTTTGAGGCTGTATAAATCACAGGAAACGTCTCTACACAGTTGTATGTTATGTTGTAAAACAAGATAATAAAGCGCCAAATCTACCAGAAAATACACCTTTTCTGTATTTATTCAAAACAAAAAAATCTTAAAAAGACTTAAAAGATCACAAACACTAAAAAGTAAAACCCTAAAGCTGTTCAACGAAAACGTAACCTAAACCAGTGAACGAAACCCGTTAAATCCAGATCTAGCTAAATGCTATGGGGCTTACAAGTCAATCACTTTCTCACATAACATTAAAGTATTAAACTGAAAATAAGCAAAAATTTGTACAAAACAGGCGCTTTTTTAAATCAAAAAAGACTGAAGAAAATGCACATTTTGATTAGCAAGGATAACTGCATCCGAAGATCAAGGTCAATGATGTGCAAAATTGCAGAAAAAAACTCTGCTTTATAAAACAGTCGGCTGTCCGAAATTTTTGATTAAATATGAAGGCAGTTGGTAGGTATATATGCAAGGCTACAAGCCTCCCATAAACAAGCACCAAATTACCGATGGGTTTACATTACCAATGAATAATGGGCACGGTCTGCGATAATAATGTTTGTCACTCACCGTAACGCGCATGTACTTTCGGAGTTATTCCACTGCATTCGCGAACCAAAATGGGCAGTTTAGGATTCTGCTGCTTTAAAGGGATATAGAATTGCTCTAAAAAATCTCTGCAAGGCAACAAGAACGTTACGAAGAAAAAAAATTATAAAAAAAATTTAATTACTGCTGCACCACTAATGTGATTCTGGCATAAAAGACCACTACGAGTATCAGACACAATTCCAGCAACAAACTATTAACCTGACACCCTTGCTCGATTCTCCTTTCTGGCAAAGAATTATCCTAAGTTCTTTCAGCGAAGCACTAAAAGCACGAACTCCAGCCATTCTACAGAAAATAAAATGGGGTGAGTCTAGAGACTCCAAATATTAATGTCCCAAGTGCAAGCAGCAAGGCCCAGCTAAAAGTCGCTGGCCCAAGCAGCAGCAAGCAGCTGCAAGCTAACCTACGCTTACATGCACGTACCTACCTGCAATCCTGGATTTCACGATCAGCAGTAACTTCACGATAACCTCGTTTGTGGACTTCAAACCAGTGACTAAAGTTTTAAAATTTTCAATACTATGATTTTTAATTTTTTTATTTCAAAGCAAAACCCGAAAAACAGTTAAGTAAGCACAAAAACTGTGCTGAGTGATTCGGTTTTGAAGTCGGTCCAAACAACACACTGGCACCACAGGGCGGCACGGTTAAGCGCAGCTTCTTCGTCTTTCTTCCATCATCTTTCCTCCTTGTCAAACTTTGTTGTTATTTCTTTCGACTTTCGAGATAAAAGGCGCTAGTTGATACTATTAAGACACTTTAAAACTTTTCTATTTTGCTGCCAGATCAAGCAGTAGGTGTAGTATCAAGTGGCAGTTATGGACGACATCGCTCCGAGCGTAACACCACGAAGATGCAGAATGTCCGAAATGGCTCGCTTTTCGGAAGTGTTGAGATTGTTTAAATCCCGTGCTGCGTTCTTATCCCACCTACGGACATTGTTTTTCGAGGAACGTGGAGGTAGCGGACGTTACCGTTATCTCGCCGTTGCCGTTTTTCTCCTTATAGCTGATATCGGTCTTGGCGGACTGCTCGTATCGTTCGTGCTTGGCAAAGACCAGCAGATCTGTCACAATGTTTCAGTTCGCTGCTTGGCGATTCTCAGAGTATGTCACCGTATGTGTTATCGATACACTGTTTATAGATTAAAACATCCTGTTTTTCGTTTGTTTTAGAATAGCACGTTTAGCCTTAGTGGCGTGCTGGATTGGCTGATGGGCAATCCGGTTGGACTAAAACTCAACAAAGAACTCGCGGTATGTTTTTTTCTTGCATATTTTGCGAGCTGTTTTGGCGTTTGCTTTCGAATGTTTGTCATATACAGTTTGTGTTCTAGGCCACTCTTGGAACGTTTTTCAAACACCATATTTCCTTGTGGCAGAGTACGTTTGTTTAAAGTAAAATACATCGTGAAAAATACTTTGGTATTATAGTTTAAATTTACTAATATTTGCTAAATTTACTAATATTTGCTTATAATTCCAATCAGTTTATGTTTAATCTTTATTTTTTGTAAAGAGATAGTAAATGCTTTTCTTCTTCACAGTGTATATTAACGCACTGACTTCGATCTGGGAGGACTGTGGCTATTTCGTGTGCTCTGCGGGTCTGATGGGTGTGTCTGTTCAAATGGCATTGCTGACGGATATTATTGCGCTGTTCACGATTCACATTCATTGCTTTTACATCTACATGGGGCGGTATGGAAACTTTGTTTATACGGCATTTACGTAGTTCATTTAATTTCTCTCATTTTCTTGTTTCGCTAAACAGGTAGTAGTTGTAAAAACAAAAAATTGCATTTTCCAGTTTAATTTTCAAATGGCGCGAGTACTCTTGAAACCTTGACTTTATCATTTCAAAAGTTGTGCCGTTTTAGGTTGTACAACATGCAGCTGCGAGGGTTGCTGGCATTGGGCCGCTTATTTCGCGGGAAGAAATGGAATCCTTTGCGTGAAAGGGTGGATCATATTCCACGCTCAGTTGATCAGTTATTTGTGGGATCCATGTTACTGACCATCATGCTCTTCCTTTTGCCGACAGTTTTAACATTTTATGTGGTATTCGCAACCGTAAGTAAAGAACGGCAAATGTATTTTGTACGCTATTGCAGTGTCACTTCTGCTTTGCTCAGTTTGGCGCTTGACGTGTACGAATTTTTGTCGGAAAGATTTTAGCATCGTCTGTTTTGATGCTTGCAGCTTCATGTTGCCGTGAAAGTGCTGCAGATTCCTGTCATACTGGTCAGCAGATGGTTGGAATTTTGTTTCCGATTTGGTTAGTAATGTCGTCCTACTTTATAGAATTTGTTCATCCATTCGGATACATTTTGTTTGAATTACTTGTTACGAGTAGCATATCGAACCGGCTGCACGTTCGAACGTTTTAAATAAGCGGTTCACATCTTATCGTGGTAACTGTTTGGTTGAACACGGATTTCACTGATGTGATTTGTTTGCTACAGTTGGCAACTTGGCATAACGGTTTGTTGTAACTGTATTTAAAATTGTAAAAGTTGTAGTCTTGTAAAGTAGTTGTTTTGTAAAAGTTTGTTGTTGTTTTTAGTTGTAGTTGTATTTAAAATCGTTGGGTTGGTTGTAGGTCAATGTTTCGTACATGAGGATTCGGGTGCAGTGCCTGGAACCCCGAAAACCGATGCTCCAGATACAGTTGAAATAGTAACGAATAAAATCTTGCAGACAGTTTGGAAATTTCTCGTCGGAGAGATTTTTTGACGTTGGAATGGGCTCCCCCAGAATGAAAACAATTTGAAATATGGAAGTGGAAGTAAGTGGAATATTTATATTTTTGTTGAGCAACATTACCGATAGAGAAGTATGCGTACACACATGGCCGCGTCGTCTACAATGAATACAGTACCCCTACGATACTGATGGAGTGATGGTGATTTAATGGCGCAGCATCTGCTTTGTAATACTGTGCGAATACCTCACAATCAGAACAGAATAAAACAATCCAGCTGTCGAAAGTAAGTTAGTAAGTACTTCCAGTATCATCCGATACATCATGCGTTCCGTCACGTAGTAACAAAGTGGGTAGACTGGACAATTACCGTTAATTTTTCTTCTTTGTTACCTTTACCTTGAAACCTTTTTGTTCATGTATGGGCTGAAATAAGTCATAGACTTTTGAGATTTTCGTTTGGTATGTTAGCATTTCCTTGAGAGTTCGATTTACTGTTTTCTGTGTACCATAAATTTTTGAACTTACACTTTATGGTTGCGTTTGTTCGCAGGGAAGGAATCTGATTGTTTTATCCGTTCCGTGTATTAAAGAATCGCTATGGACGAGCGCATACCAGATACAACTAAGACTGGAAAATCGGAAAGCTCTGCTAACAAGAACCCCACGAACCCCACAGCCTATAACCCCATTCTGGAAGCCGAGATAGACTACTTTTATAAAACGATGTTTCCTGAAGAGGAGAACCGTGAAGATATTCTGGACCTAAACGAGATTTTCCACGTGCGTACGCATTTTAGCTTCTCTGATTGTAAGGTTTAGTTTTAACTTCGTTTGGAAATTTTAGTAGCCACGAGTGGCAATAATATTTTATGTAAGACGTATATTCATAGTACTGTACTGTAAAAACTTGTGATAGCTCTTCCTTTGTTTGAGGAACTTGCAACTTGCAGGATAACTCGCATGTCAGTCAGCCTCGAAGTCCTCAACGCTAAATATATCCTATTGAGTAGTTCGATCCTGTTTTGCGTGCTTCGATTTTATTGTGCTGCGCCTACATAAGAGAATTAATTGATACAGGCTTGTGCAGTAGCTACCCAAGCAAGTACTAGTAGTACTTTTTAAGTTCAGAATGTTAAGCTTGTTTATGAAAGTTTAGGCGGTATCAAGGCGCAAAGTTACGCCGGTTTCCTGTCGACCTTTACGAATGCTGGAGTAATAATTTCAACTACTGTGCTATACTTTGCGGTAAATGAATAAGCAGGAACACATGCCATCGCCGCGTTTTGTCTTTCGCTAATTTTTTATTCGTTGCTTTCCTTAGGATCTACATGAGATGCATGGTGAGACGAATTTGCCTAACGAATCCAGTGCTGCATCACGGTCGGCGCAGATGGAAAAGCTGTCGGAAAGTAGTTTGTCGTGTGTGTTTTTGACCGTTCACCGAATGTTCGAGTCGTACGAAATGCAGCTATGGGACATTGTTCCCGTAATTACTGTGAAAGAATCTATCGAAGATGTAGTTGGGGTAAGCATAATTCGCGAAACTGGTAGCCAGTCTTCAGTGTTGACGATCGATTATATAATGACGAGATCGACTTTGAATTTCCTACCGTAGGTATCTCCCGATGACATGCGAATCTATATGAAGCCGGATATTGTTCTCGAGAATCAGAAATCGCTCAGAGATTATGGGATTACTCCGGACACAGCAACTGCATCAGAACCCGCAAAATTGTTCGTGGGTTTCCGGGTTGATTTGGAAGAGCTTTCAGAAGGCATGACTTCTGCCGTAACATTGCTGTTTCAACGTTTCATGCCTTGGCTAGCTTGGTTATTGCTGCGTTTGCAGATGAAGGCCCAGAGGACGAAGAAGAGGAAGACGACGAACTGGAGTTGTCCCCTGGGTTGGAATATTTCGAGACGCTGTCTGATATTGATTTCACAGAAGATATTGAAAGACAACGCGATTTTGATGATCGAATTGTAGAAGTGGAGTATGGGCCTGAATATAAATTAACCAAACCAGTGAACATGTGTCAAGAGGGACAGTTAACCATTCCCAGAGCCCCGGGAGAGAAACCAGCGGCTTCATTAACCGAAAACCACCAGGATAGTGACGATAGCGAAGAGGATAGCTTTGTGCCATTTACTCTGAAGAAGCCCAGTTAAAAACGGTGGATAATATTTATTTATTGCGGCTGACGGAAATGTTCCGTATATTGCTGACGTTGTATTTCATTCGGAAGTCCGGAGCGACAGTGTGATAGAACGTGTTACCGAATGTCAAGTACTCAATGTTAGGAGTCGTGATATTCGTGGCAGTGGCCGGCTGGCAGTATTGCACTGTGGATTAGCAATTTTGTAATGTTTGGTACAGTAACTCGTAAATTTGGAGTTGCAGTTAGAATGTTTAACTTACTCGATTTGAGCGAAAGCGGACCAATAGTGAAAACCAACTTAACAAAACAAGAAAGAAAATCGATTTTTTGTTGCGAAGCGGTCTGGTATCCTTAAACAAAATCAACTCAAACATATTATTTATACGCTTGTAATGTACGGTACAATTGTGCCGGTTTCGGATCTAGTACAACCAAAAACCACCCTACTTCCTTCTGGCGCCATCGGTCGACTGCTACGACGGCACCCAGCCGTTGGTACAGTTCCGGTGTTGCCCGCTTCCTGATAATATTAATATCGGTGATGCCGTAAGACTGCGTGCTGCCGTTGTATCCGCTTCTCATGCTCTCCCAGAAACGCTGGCGACCATGCCATAGCACAGCAATCTTTGTATGGCTGGACGAAAGCGTGGTGAAGGGTGACCACTAATTCGCTGGGATCGATGAGACCGGGCTTGATGCGCTTAATCTTGTGGGTACCAATGTTGATGTTGCCCTTTAATCCTTTTTGGGACTGCTTGTCGCACTTTAAGTGTTGACTTCGACTCCAAGGTATATCGCATACAGTGTAGAGTAGTGTTTATGGTTAGGTGTTGGTCGTTGATGGCTACCGGTGAATTAGTTAGCCCCCGTTTTTTTTCGCTTCATGATCAAGCCGCATATGAACTTCCAACACATTTTGTCTGCTGGATGCTAATCCAAGGGCATTTGGTAACACTTGTTTTTGGATTTAAGTTACCGGCATAGCTAAATCGAAAGTAACATTTTCTTGTACTTTTCAAACCAAAATGAGCATCGGCCGAAAATCACAAGGCACAAAGCCACAGAACAACAAGATCAGCAGCACTCCAAATCGCATCCGTAACAAAGTTGAGGCACCTTCGTACCTCCAGGTACGCATTAGAAGTGGAGTGGTGATCCAAGTAAAATGCGTGTTGACCACAAGCATCGAGGACGGGATCGCATCAGATCGCGGTGGCCGGACGGTATGACCTTGATTCCCATGCGTGACGGTAAGGGAGTAGTGTGAGTACATGCTCGGACGCTTGCTGTCTTTGTCTTACATCCACGCTAGCGTATTTCAAACCCGTAAAGCGGCCCAGTTCGCTGGAAGCAGTAAGTGTCGGAAGCATGTTTCCGTCGAGGAAATGAGACTAATTTGGTAGTCGAGACGCTCGGAGCATTTGGCACGGCTTCTGCCGAAATGACTCGTTTCATCGGCCGAAAAACCGGGAAGCTACCGGGGAGCCTCGATCAGTGGCGTTTTTGAGACAGTGTTTAAGTTTAGCGGTAGCTAGAGGAAATGCAGCAGCCGTTCTTGGGACACTGAATACTCGTCCTAAGATGACGTATGACAATTTTGGCTGTTTTTTAATGTTTAAATTTGAATGGTTTTATTTGTGTCCATCAGCGCGGGCTTATTTGTATGTGACTGGCTATAGCTGAACAAAATACATCTTCTTATCTTGTTATCCCTTGTAAGCCCTTGTTATACCTGGCTATCAGCTTTACCGGTTTCAATTTTCGGAAATGTACTGGAAGGCGCACACTTGCGCACTGCCGTGGCGCGGCGATTATAATTAGGAGCTCCAGTCTGTGAAAAGCATGTTTGTCGGTGCGGTGCAGGTATCGTAGTCCGTAGACAGTCTTGGACACCATGGATTGGTACGCAAGTTAGCGAAAGGATGACACCGTGTCCACGCTGTCTTGAACGAAGCCACCAAGCGGGCGCTGAGTTCGACAAAAGTGCCATCCTCGCTCGAGCCGATGGGTTTAGACAGAGGCGATGGAAAGCGGCCCGATGGTGTGACAGCTTTCCCTTGGAAAAATGGAAAGCCGCTAGTGTGGGATGTAACCGTGGCGGACACATTTGCCCAAACGTACATCGCCCAGACGTTCAGAGTGCCGGGTAGCGAAGCGGAATTACGGGAAAACCGGAAGTTAGGAAAGTATAGCGGGCTGGCAGACCGTTACAGGACTCAAAGCCTTTAATAAGTATCATGGTACGAGTACAAACTATGCACCAGACCAAAACGGCATTTACAAAAGAAACATTTCCTCCATGCTATCCTGATCGGGGATCGTACCCATTACACGAATCGCGTTTCCCCGTTGTATTTGCATAGATATTCGCTGTTTAAAAAACTCTATCGCCCGCTTTTGGCCAGTTGAAGTCGTTATACCGTTTCCAACCGTTTCCGCTAGCTTTTTAGTACCGTCTCCATAAGGTCCGTAAATTTCGAAGGCAGCAGCAACGAAATCGTATCTTGTTTGCATCCAAGCTTATTTCGCTGGTTTCTTCCTTTCAGCGAGTTCGGCTGCTGCGCCGGCGTTCACGGAAAGGCGGTCGATATACGAGCCGCCAGCGTGTCCACGCAGGTAACGCCTATGGCCAGCGGTTTTCCGCGCGCCCACGGTATTAGTGTGATCACGTCCGGCCTTTTCTTATCCTTCACAGACAGACCTTTTGGTTCCGTTCTAGAAGGGAAACCGGCTGACTTCAATCCTCGGGCAAATTCCGCGCTGATTCCGTCATGTCGTGGTAGTCTTCCGGCAGACCGCTTACAGCGAAGTCCATGCCGGCCTAACTCGTCGAAAGTTACATCGTTTAACCGCCGGCGTTCGAAAGTACGGGTACATTCGGACCATTGACGAAGAAATTCTTCAAAGAGCTGTCGAGAAAGATTATCGACAGTAGAGCTGTACAGGCAACCCCCGCTGAGGAGAGTTTTTACGCCGAAGAATTGGTATTCGGCGAGGAAATGCAGTTTCTGTTCTCGGTACGTTTAGCGACATGATAGAGAAGGAAGATGTATGCTCTGCCTTTCATTTAGCTGAATGGAAATGATGTTATGATTTTGTTCTTGTTAGCTGGTACTCTTGTATTACATTTGCCAGTCTTGTTATCTACTACTTGTTCTAGTTATTGGATAATTCTGCTGAAAGTGTGAATGGCATCTGCTTGTACAAGTTGGAAACAAATTTACTCAAAGCTACGTACTTTTGAGACGGCCCTGCTGCCTCCATATTGGCTGAGAAACCAAAGAAAAAGGTAGGAGCTTTGATATTTGTTGCCTTCTTAATGTGCTTTTTGGTAATTGGCTTTCGATATAAAAGATAGATCAGGGCTGTATTCAGGCATGTTTCGATTGGTTACAGGCTTGACGAAAAGTTCGTCGAAGACCAATGCTATATTTTCTGATTAGGATTGCTTTGCGTTTTACAGAATTAGTGTGCGTTTTGTATTCTCGGTCAGCCACAGAGCGTACCTAATTAAAACTTTCGTTTTCGGAATATATTATACGTGTAACGTGTATTTTTAAAATTAGACTGACATTATAAGAGATTGGTTGGTATTAATACAGTGCTAGGCTGCTTGCTAAAGCCTGGATTTAAAGATACTGCAGGAGTGCAGGTGTAAGTCTTGCCTTTTTTGTGTCGAAAATCACTTTATGAGTTCATTAACTAACGATTGTCTGTTTTTAGGAAACATGAATGGATTACAGCATCGCGCGCGTAGTCCAACTACGCGATTCAAGCGTAGACTTATTTCATCCGCCGCATCAAATGACGCACCGGAACCCGAAGAGGCAGTTGGCCCTGTGATGACATCATCGGTGCGATCATTTTATGAGCCGAAGGCGTTTCCATCCCCGCCGTTCCCAGCAGTCAGGACCAGTTTTTACGGCCGGATTGCCTTGATGAACACTGAGGGCTTCGTTCACATTCGTACGGACTTCCTGCAGAAGCAATTCGCGTCTCACGTCAACAAGTGGCAGTCTGCATTCTCCAGCTATCCGACCTTGAGCTTTAGTCAGCGCATTGTGTCTTTTGGCGCCCCCTGTTTGGTCAACTATCCAGCGGACGGAAAGTGGTACCGTGCCACATATTTGGGTGTGTGCGGACGTGAGAAACTGGTTTTCTATGAAGATTTCGGGTCTGTTGAAGCGTTGTCAAATGAGAACAGTATCAAAGTGGTCGATCCGGACCTCACAACGGGTTATGAAATTCCGACTACAGTGTATTCCTGTTTGCTGGTCAATCCGAAGAACGAGGCGGAATACTTGGTTTTGGCGGACAATCATCTGGAGTACCTGAGGTCTGTTTTCAACGGTGGCCCCGTGGACGGCGAAGTTGTGGCCTACCGTCATATGGAGGTGGCTCCGGGTCTTTGGCGGCCCTGTCTGGCGGTGCTTCTGTTTTCAGAAGACAACCCGGAAGAAGGTATGTACGTTTAGATGTTTTCCTGTTGATTCACTAGCGAAGGCAGTATTATGCAGTAATGTGTTTTCGCCTCGTTTATCGCTGCATGGTATTACTCATGTACTTCCGAGCTCCTCACCAAACCAGATTAATATATAACTTACGATCTTCGATGCAGCGAACTATTAAGGATTGCTAAAGAAGGACAGTCGAAATTTGTCACATATTAGCGGCGGTAGACAGCAGTGGAGTACTGCAATGAAAAGTAATAGGCGCAAAAACAGCTGCTCTGACAGTGACCTTTCATAGGCTTTTACTAGTCGTAGGCAACAGGTCACTGAGCCAGAGGTCGATGTCATATTGGTGCAGTGGTGCTGCTAACTGCTAATGCCCGATCTCACGGTTATTGGTATTTCTAGCCAGGTCAGAAATTAATAAATTAAATATCGTGGGTTGGAATTAAATACTTAAACATTTGCGCGGATATCGCTCCAAACATCTTATAGTAATAAATGTAGAGGAGTGAAATTAGCATTTGCGCGGTTATCGCTTTAAGCATGATACAATAATAATATAGGTTTCCGTCTTCAGATGTAGCCACTAGTCTTCTTCAATTGGATTCCGAAATTGAAATGCGACAGTTCTACCAGGAGAAAGTGACTTTGTACTCCAGTATCGGGATGCGATCGTGCACCGCCTTGCAGTTCCCCGAAGCGCATCTCTTACCCGCTGGTCAGCGATGTACCTTGCAGCTGCAGTATGTTTACTCTAACCGCGTCATCGTTTCCTATCCGGCGGGTATCGACGTTGAATCCTGGGAATCTCGTTGGAGGAAGATGTTTTATGGCGATGCGGATATTGTGGAATCGTTGGAAAAGAATTGGACACGGGAAATTGCCACGCCGACACCGGCGACACTCATTATGGAAAAGAATTCGTATATTGTGGTTCACGAGGGTAAATGCAGGCGAGCCGAAGTTTGCTGTATCCTTGCGTTGGATGTTGACTATCTATCTCCCACGCGCGTAGAAATCGTGTTGATCGATTCGGGTGTTCGTATGGAAATCGGGGTGGAGGATTTAATGCAGTTGCCCAGCGTAATTCCAGTGCAGATTGCCAGACGAGCGTTTGAAGCGGAATATACGTTGGACGAGGAAGACGAAATCTCCAAGGAGAGAGAATCAGGAAAGAAATGCATCCCGGTTTGTGGACTTCCTCGTGCTCTTGCGGTTTCGAAAAAGTATATGGTTGGCAGTGTTGCGCTGAAAACAGCTCCCTTGAAGAACAATACGGTGGCCATTACTGACGAATACGATCTGGTTGACCAGATGGGGACGATTATTGAAGCGGAATGCGTTGGATACGGACACTCTGGACGTCCAGTTTTGCGATTTTTTAAGGAACGATAAGTCTGCTCATGTAGTTGTTTTGATAAGAGCAATGGCGACGGAAACATTTTTCTTGACTGAATAACTACTGGATCGACCATTTTTTGCGTTTAAGGTTTTCATTTGTTAACTAGCGTCTAGTAACTAACTTACTGACGGAGTGTACAGCGTTACGAGTTTTAGTATACTAACCTTTATATTACTGAATTCTGTTCCTGGTTTTCGAGTTGCTGTTTTGTTTTGCGATGCTGAATGGATATTAACTTACCTCGATAACCTGTAGCTAGTTATGGTGCTATTAAAGTTTTGTTCGCGTTCATTCACTCTTTTTGTTGATTATTTCTATCGCATTTATGCATGGGCAGCTTTTATAATTATCGTATACTTATCTGTCTACATATATCTTGTATGATAAAATTTGCATTCTCTTGCTTTTGTCTTAAGAAGAGCTGCTATTTGGAGCAAGTCGTTCGATGTTTATTTGGGTCGTCTTGAAAATGTACTGGAACTGCTTATCCGAGGAGAAACTCTCCTGGACCGAAGTCCGAATTAGTCTTCGTACTTCGTAGTGTACCTCGAAGCGAATTTATATGTATCTGTATGTGGCGAAAAAAGACTTATTATAATTTGTTTTCGACGTCAGTAACTACCCACCCAGTAGGACTGCTGAAATTTGTATACATACTGCTCTCCGCACTTATTTGTGAAAGTCACTACCATTAACTAAATAACTGTTATCCACGCTGGCAAAATACAATTTTTTTTCTACAATGCTGCATTATTCGCAGTTTCGCATTGCGCAACGACGGCGTTCACAGTATGCAAAAAATTATCTTCATTTGCATAAATACGAGGTCAAGGCAGTGCGTTAGAGATATGACAACGATAGAGGGCATCAAGAACAAAAAATGCGAGTATGCTGAACAAAATAAAACTTCACGTATCCTGACGCCAGTTCGTTATTCAACACGTCAACTGGTTATGCTTAAACAGAAAAAGGAGACGTAAAATTCGTTATGGAGTTCTGCTTTAGAATGGGTTTGGGTCTGCTGGAGGGATCCATTAACCAATTTCTCAGATGCTCCTGCATTTTCTGTCGAGTTTTTGGATTGCCCACGTTGACAGTTGGGATAACCTCTTTCGGTCGTAAAAATTTCACAAACCACTCCAGTTCACGGTACGACGAATGCTCCGAATAAGGCAATCCGTAGAGAGATACCGGACCCATCTTCTTGGGTTTAATATCTTTCAGGGAAAGCAGTTTTTTGTTATACTCCCATCCGGTTGGCAAAAGAGCCAGGACTTCATTATAATTTCGGTGCTTCATCAAATGTTCTTCCAGCGAAGCCAGGTTGAGCGATCGCATCGGTAACACATGCACCTGAGCAGACTGCCAGTCATTGGTCAACATGGCGTTTAAATTTTCCCATTCGAAACATTTTAACAACTGCAGTTTATAATTCATCACAGCCACTTTGCATCCGAGACACTCTGCAATGCGCATGAAAATTTTTTCTTTGCCCACTGAATATGTTCCGCAGATGATCAGCGTTTTCGGGTTCCTTTTAACATACTGTTGGGCCAGCTCGGCAGCGAATTCCACCGCAGCATCCTGAGATACAAAATCGTAATATGGGTCGAGATATGTGGTGTCGAGATACAACTTAGAGATATTTCTGAGATTTTGCAGGAAAGGATTTTTTCCAATAACTGACGGATCGGCACGAAAGTCGCCGGTATGCAAATACACTGTTCCGTTCTGCATACGAAACAGGAATAATACGGAACCAGGACAGTGATTGGCTTCCAGCAGCGTTACTTCGATCCCATCCACCGTAACAGGGACATCCATCGGCACAGCATTGATCTGCAGCATTAAAAATAAATACATGTATCCATTCAGCGAAAGGCATGCGTATGCACGCAGAATTAAAGAATGAATTTAGAAAGAAATCTGCATTTTCAGAATCTATTGTACAGACCGAAAAAGTAACCTGACCTGCTTCAATCTATTAATACCATATTTAAGTATTAATAACATATTTAAAATGCAACTATTAATAACAATATTTAAGCAATGTAACAGCCAGCAGAGACTTTCATAATCTACAGTCTATCTATGTACATCTTTTCCTCTGGGAAAATTTTGTATTGCACTAATTTTAAAACTTATTCCGTTCGGAAGATTTTATCATGCGAACCCATTGAGCGTCCACTCCCAGTCGAGAAGCAACCAAGCGGGCAGTGATAGCACTGCAATAAATTGGCCGACAAAATCTCTTCGTCAATCCGATGTAATGATCCGAATGGAAATGGCTCAAAAAATATCCAAAAACATTAGGAATTTCGCCAAAATTAAATGCATCAACTGAAAAATTTGTCCCGGGAAGCAGTTTATAGAAAGGACATTTCCGTTTGGCTAATCCCGAAGACCGAGGAAAAGGAAAACTTCGGGAGCGGAAATTCAGTTTTGAGTCCACTTCGGAAGATGCGCTAGATGTGGCTGTCTGCGTCGTTTGGCCGGTAGGGCTTCCCGTAACAATGTCAGTAAATACACTTTCAGGAACACTGGAAATAAGATCATCGCCAGACAGATAACCGTCATTGTCTGTTAGCAAATCATCGCCACGGACGGGATCAATTTCTTCTTTGAACGATCCTGAAGAGGAAACCGCCAACGGAAACGTTTCTGATAAAGAGACAGTCGCGACAAAAGATGCTTTGCCAGAACCGTCTGTTTCCCTCGAAATCGTAGATTCCATTTTAGCGTGCGACTGCCTGACCGCGTCCCCATTCGAGACTTTTGCTGAACCGAAAAAATCCTTGATGCTTTTTTGTACAGCATTATGAGATGCTTTCTGTCTCTTGGGAATGCCTGGTGCGGAGTATTTCCGTTTAGCTGCCGGTGCTCTCAACGGCTCAGCTGGTTTTCGTGTTTTCGCTGTTTCGATAAAAACGCATTGGATATCATCATCGTCTTCTACCGTAGGCTTATTTCCTCTGTCTAAAAATCAAACAACACGAAAAATCACAAACTGCCGCAGTAAAACAAAATGCAAATTCGTTTCCAGGTTGCGTACAGCTGTCACTGTCAAAAAGGAAGTAATAAATGCAAGCACCACGTTGAAAGGGGTAAATATTAAACCGATAAAATCATAAACGGTCAAAATCATAAATAGTTTAAAATGGCAAAAGTCCGGTTCGGAACTTCTGAGTACAAACATATGGTTAGGTCCAATTCGTAACATGTTCCCATTTCCCAACAACTATGCCTGCTTTAGGGAACGCTAATAATCAGAACTAATAACACAACCAAAGTCAACGAATTTTCAACTTACTTTTTAACATATCCGTTGTTTCGAGGAGTAGAGCTGGATTGCTACGACTGCCAGTGCCAATTGCAGTTGCAGCTTGCAGGTAGTTTCCTGCCCACCTATTCCAGACTCTTGCTCACTTTTGGCTCATAAATTATTAGATTTCATTAGTATCAGAAAAAAAACGACTTCTTTAATTAGTCAGCAGGACAACAAAGTTACCAAGATATCGAACTTATTGATATATCATTAAAAATTTTCCATTTCAAACATGCTTTACTCAACATGGCTCAAGCCAGTAAAATTGAACTGCGGAAATTTCCGCCAACTCTGCTTCTTGGTATCTTGTCGCAGTATACCAAGGCTGCCAGTGTTTACATTTTTCGGGACTTTTGTCTGTTGTCTTTCTTTCTGTGCGACTTCGCAAACAGCGGAACGGAGCGTGACTAATAAGGTAAGTACTACACACATACTGGTTTTTTTCGGAAGCTGTTAAAGTTTCTCACGTTGTTCTTAAGATGGAGTCAGTAAAACGTACCAGAGATTTGTATGCTCGGAAATTTTATTTCGGAATTAACAATAAGCGAAAGCTTCATGAATTGGATCGGGAACCGTCAACTTCTGCGCCTATCGCGTTTGAGAAGCCACAGTCGCAAACGCTTTCTAAATCCTTAGATTCGGAAGGTACGTTACCGTCGGTTATGATTTGAAAGTCATTATAATGGTTATATGGACATCTTTCGAGAACCTGTAAGCAGCGGATGGCTACCATATATTGTAGATTAATCTGTATTCTGTAACCAGTGAGCCTATCTGTATAAACCAGTCTTCGTAGGCAAGAGATTTTCGAAGCCACTTACGGAATCCGAAACTCCATTGGTCAGATTTATGCCGGATTATCTCAATGTGGAGATCGAAGAAACAATTTCTGCGTTGGCGGAAACTTGCTTGCAAGGAAACAACGGATTTTCGAGCAAGCACTCAACATCTTCGTTGAATGCGCACATGCACTGCTACACCTGGCCGTGCGCGGCAGTTATGGCCCAATTTATTTGGCACCACCGGAACGTTATTTCCGGTTGTACGATCTTGGAGATCAGTGCAGGAACTGGCTTACCAAGCATAATCGCCGCTAAGCTTGGCTGTCGGGTAATTGTGTCGGAGTGCGATATCCAACCTTGGTCGTCCTCCGTGGAGTCCGCAGCCGTGGCATGTTGCCGACGAAATTGCGAGCGGAATGGCGTTAGCGTCAAAACGGTAAACCTCAACTGGGGCCAAGTGAATTCCGCGATGCTATGTTTACCGCCCCTCGATTATGTTTTCCTTTCGGATGTTTTATTTTTTGAGAAGGATTTTGATCGAGTTTTCATGACAGTTCGCTTCTTTTTAGAAAGGTTTAAATGTGCTTGTTATTGTTCGTACCAGTTGCGGGATGAAGACTGGAATCTTAGACTGAAATCTTTGTGCCAGCGATTTTCGTTAAAATTGATAATTGTGCCGTTGAGCAGTTTTGATGCCGATAAATGTGATATTGCTCGTAGTGGTCTTCCAGGAACTGTTCACAGTGATATTTTTCTGTTCAAGTTTGAGTTATTGTAATACGTAGCAAAATTAATAAAAATCAAAATTTATTGAAGGGGCCGATGCCGCTCACCAGTTCAGCACTTGCTGTTTTGCTAAATATTGGTAATTAATTAGAGTAATGAATGTCTTGCAAAAACAGAAATGAATTTGATCTGATTCGATAAGTAACAAGCATAACACTGACTTGTAAAGGTTCAAAAGGAGAAAATTAAACAAATCCGAACAGCGAAAAAAATAATAAGTGCGGTATTTACAGACACCAGTCATTGTTCTATCACATCATTCGCACTGCGGTATTTCTGGTCACCTTGTATTTTCGCTGCAGCATAACTGAGTGTATTCGCAGTCATCCGAAGGTGATAAAACTTTTCCAGTGCAGTAATCCATGGCAGATTCCTCCTGGATGCAAACGCCTAACAACGTCGTTATCCCGTCTGGATTGGTGGCCACACAAGGTCGGAAGTAATTCAGTTTTCGATTATTCGGTGTTTTTAAAAATGGACTCTGCGTCTTAGCCGGTTCTGGTGTGGTAGTCGCCGTCGTAGTCGTTGTGGTGGTGGTGGTTGTCGGGGGCGGTGTTAACGGAGCTATCACTTCCGGAAAGTACGAACAACACGACTGCATAAATGTACAGCTGCGGGAGGGCGCAACAAGCCGACCGGCGCACAGTGTACTCACTTGGCTTTCGTCTACGCATAGACCAACCTCAAAGTTGTTCACAATGGGGATACACTGCTGAAAAATTGATGCAGCAGTAAACTGGAGTAGCGGACGCGTAGTGGGTCGTCGTGTAGTTGTGGTTGGTGGCGTCATCCGGAAGAAACCAAAGCCGGCACGCCCGTTGAGTTCATTCGATTGGTCAGCGAATGATGCCATGGGATCCGTACAACAAGTCTGTGCCGCACCACAGTCTTTACTTTTCGATATAAATTTTCCACCGCATACAGATGGGACGATGGAGTCAGGAACACAACGGCCGGACTGCAGTGGATGTTGCGGTGTTGTACAGTCCAGAGAATTGGTGAGGGAAATGCCGTCGGGTGCAAATTCGGATGGTGCCAGTGTGGTCGGTGCCACTTGGGCCAATGGAGGAGCCGCGTCTAAACAACACGATTGGAACTCATAGCAGTCTTGGCTGGCAGTGCTAAACTTCCCGCTGCAAAATTGCGATTGGAATTGATTGTCTATACAAATTCCTAACACGGAGGGCATCTGTGGATTTCTGCATGGAATGAAAGAATTCGCGGGCGACATTGTCGTCGTGACGGCAGGTCGGAAGAAAGGTAGCATGCGACTGAAGGGGGTCGTAGCGCGAACCGGTAGATCGGTACAACACGACTGACCACTGCGGCATTGCGATGATTGGGATAATGCTTTTCCTATGCACAGTGTCGGAATCATGGCGTTGGCGACACAAATTCCTGGTTGCAGATCACCGTCTGAACAAGTGCTGCTGCCGGTTTCGGCAAAAACCGGGAATGCAGGAACAGACCCGGGAAATCTTGTACGCGGGTTTCCCTGACCGGCTGAACCGAATCTAAATCGGACGTTGGGTGATTGCTGCGGTATCGATGCTTGTAAAGCAAAACTGTCTTGATCGCTGTCCGGCGCTGTAGCTGCTCCATTTTCTATGCAGCAGGACTGCGTTGCAAATGAACAACTGGCGGATTTCGTAATGAACTGGTCTACGCATAACTGTCCCAGAATGTTATCCGGCACACAGATACCTAATTTGGAGTCACGAAATGACACGCACGGTGTGAACTTCATTGGGACAGATTGATCTGCAACATGGACACTGGTCATAAGAACTAGAAACAAAAGCAGATAGAAAGCATTTGTAAAGCGATTCCGCTTTATCGCTATTCGTACCATTTTTATTATTTCAAAGCTACATAAGCGCAGATCTCAGCACTTTATCTGATATACCGTAGGAGGTTTCGCTGCTGCGACAAGAAGCGCAGCATGTTATCTTCTGTCGGATGAATCCGTGCGAATAATTATCGCCCACAGCTAAGCTTATTACAAGAGTAAAATTAAAATATAGCCAAGTGGCCATTATTTATTGTCTACATCTCTACGTGAATGTTCTCGTAATGTGGTTCCTTGTCAACGCGCCCCCGCTTAATTTTTTACTCGGCTAACTCTGAATTGCTGACAAGCCAATCATCTTATGCAAAATTTTCCAGTGTGTTTGTTAACTTTCAGTTTTCAGTCACAACTCCAGGGTTCGAGGCTGGTTACAATCTGGGAATTGTTTTCTGTCATTTTGTTATACGGATGCCGTATGGCAGTATTTACTACTTCACTGACCTCAAGCCTTTACTAACCTGTAGAAGGGGGACTTTGTGACGCAGATACTTTTCTCCGCATGCTTCCTCGTAACCGATTAGTCACTGGTCTGGCCGTAGAAGTTGTTGTAGGGGTGGGGACACTAGTAACGGTCGTTGGCAAATTATTGTCCTCTAAATCCTGGTCGGATAGAGTATTAGAGATACTGGATGAATTACTTCCGTCAATGCAGCACGACTGAGCTTTAGCACAGTCCACCGATCGTTCCACAATTTTATTCGTACATAGCGTTGTCACAGATCTGTCATTTACACAGATACCAAACTGCGTGAATCCGCTCGATGACCGGCAAGATTTGAAAGAATCTGACTGGTCACTGGGTACAAGTTGATCAGTTGCATCAGTGTTTAAAGACGTTGCAAAAGAAGGAATTTTTCGATGGGATGACGGCGCTGACTCCACACTAGTTGTTGTATTTTCGGTATCATTGTCCAGACAACACGACTGACTTTTACCACAGATAACTGACCGAACAACAACTTTTCGCACACATAACTCGGTGACCTTAGAATCACTCACGCAGACACCAAACCGCAGACTGCCTGGTTTGGCTGCACAGGGTCGAAATTTCTCTTTGGCACCGTTTTTATTTAATGTCGGATCAATGAATGCTAGCGCTGGGCCTCGCAGTTTTGGATTGGTTTGGGAAGTCTGAGATGCCTGAGCGGAGGAACCTCTCACATCAACAGGGTTAGTCCCGGCTCCGGCGGCTGACGTACTTGGGGTCACGGGATGCCCGTCTATGTACGCAAGAGGGTTCTCGTAAACAGGGTCAAATGTTGGTTGGGCGACTGCTGGAACGTTTTGGTGGAACTCGTTCTGATATAATGTCCACAGTCCGACATACGGACCAACTCCTTCCGCCGAATAAATGGGCTGATTAGGGAGATCTGTAATTACAATGAATTCAGGTCAACACGGCTCGTATTCTTCTCTCTTTTGTGAGCATGACATGCGCGGATAGCACCCTCGTGGTTCAAGGTCAAGAGTATCAGAGCAGTGTTTTTCAGGGTCAAGATAAATTAATTGTTATTAATTGCTTGCTGATCGTGTGCAATCTCTTTTTTTAACTTGCGGATTAACGGGCATATGAAAACGACCAAAAAGATCGGAAATCGAAACAGCGGCATACAGATAAGCTGAATCAAAAACCATTACAATCAAAACCAAAAATTCTAACACCCATTCGTGATTCAGTGAAGCAATTTGTAGAAATTTTTCCAGATAAATCTCAGAACTCTCTACATCGCACGTCAAGGCATCTTTGGCAGTTGGCAGGAGCAACATACGAGACAACACGACTTGGGTTTTGCATGACAGTGCTCGAGCAGGTTAAGAGTCATAATAAAGGCACGTCGCATACCTAGTTGCTCAACTAAGTTCCCGCGCACCGGCAGTACTCAAGTAGTCCCTGTGAAGTATTGTATAAGTAATACTTTAATAGTTAATTAATACTACATAATTAATGATGTGAACAGCAACTGCGCAGCAGGTAGAATGACAGAAAGTACAACAGAAAGAAGTAAGAAGTAAAACAGTAGTTGCTAGGAAAGCAACGTACACGACAACTCGTCCCCACGTATCGAAAGTGATACGGAATTAAGTATCGGAACTGTAATTTACACGTACATTGAATTTGCAAGGAATGTAAAAATTAATAGGAAGTAATTATAGTAGCGTACGCGAACTGTACCATTATGAAAGTAGCTATTAGAATTAATCCGTATAAGTAAAAGTATTGCACTGCACTGTAAGGTGCATATAGGAGTACGATCCCGGATCCAGGCAACCGAACTGGAACGGCAACAGACATGCGAGTTGAAATTCATCGCATCATCCAAGTGCAGGAAATACGGTGTAAACCATACGAACCGTAGTAGCAAGGTTATCCAACTTCAAAGTGTAAGGCGCCATACGAAGGATTTAATCATTGCGTAGTCGGCTCGAATAACGGTGTAACATTGTACGATACTGTGTATTGTACTCCAGGAAAGGACGTACTGTACATTCGTACATAACGCGTTCAGGTTGTTCTGCGGAATGCGGAAGGAGGTAAGCAAGGATACGTACTGTACGGAATTACTGGATTGCAGAGCAAACGCTGCATAGAACAATGGTGAACGCAGGCCATGACAACAACCAACAGCAACTGAATGGAAATTCCCGAAAATGACGTGTAGTGCGAAACAGCGCTCTGCAAGGTCATCAGGGCGTTACGAAGAATTCGCTCCATCCAGATCATCCAGAAGGAAGATTGGCATTACGTTGAGCAGTTTGGCAATGCACGTTCAGGCAACTACACGGAACGAATATCCGTTGGTAGCGCTATGGTACTGGCAGGGCGGTACCAGCCGTAAATAATATCCACCAGCATCGTGGGGAAAAGGGTGGCAGGGCATCCGCTGCCGAAAAGGTGTGGGACGGTGGCAGTCTGCCAGGCGAGTGCATGCGGAATCGGCATCGGATCCCTCCCATGGCAGATTATGACCGTAGAGTGTAGTCGTAGGAGAAATTAGTAAGCATGAATTCGAATTCTTCACGCCAATGTGAAGTATTGTATAAGTAATACTTTAATAGTTAATTAATACTACATAATTAATGATGTGAACAGCAACTGCGCAGCAGGTAGAATGACAGAAAGTACAACAGAAAGAAGTAAGAAGTAAAACAGTAGTTGCTAGGAAAGCAACGTACACGACAGTCCCGTCGACAATGCTGCCAATCAGCATACGACTTCCGTTGTATAGATCCGTAGGGTAATAATTACTGTGTACTCAATGCACAGTAAAAGCTTTGACTTTTAGTGTTCGAAACTATTCTAAATTTTCAGTGCTATTAATGTCGACAAAATATTTACGTATAATTTAAATTCTGCACCCTGAAAACTTTTTGGCAGCAGTATTTTCAAATAATACCGTTTGATTTTTGCTCTAACAGATGAGCTGCGAGCAGGTATACATATCGAACATTTTAAAACATACTTTTCTTGATCTGATTGTTCATATTTTCAAATGCGCTAATTAAGTTTTTAATGCAAGATAAGTCTTGACCGGCAAACGTCAACTTACATTGCATATGCCCTGTAATCCTTTCAGGAACATACATGTACGAGGGTATAGTGAGGTCGTAGGGCGGACGCGGTGGGAGCGCCGGTCGACTTGGGCGATTGTATGTCCCACCGCCATTATATCCATACCGATTACTGTAACCATACTGGGAGCTTAAATTCTGGGCAGCAACAGCGAAGAATGTACTCGATAATAATAATCCAAGAATCCCGGAAATCTGTTGAGATATTATGCAGATCATCCTACGCCGCTGTAACTGTATCGGTGTACCAAGCCAACCTCCTGGCCCTGAGGCATTTTATGGGAATTTATTTCGGTATCAAAATTAGCGTTGTAATTTATATTTAAATTAATGATCTTCGCAAACGAACTGTTTCTGTCAGACAACGCAGAGTGCGGGTGAACTTATGACAAATATAATGTAATTTAACAGATTACAGAGCTACGACTGTCGATCAGGTCAGTACAGTTTTCAAAGCGGCAAAAATTGTGACGAAAAATGATTTGGCCATCATATTGTTGCAGGTGACTGCCCTTCACTTTCAAGTTAGCACAGTACAACTAAAAAGTATTGGGCATGGACAACTAAAGAATGGCGCTGTAGTTAATTACTCACACGAGGTCAGAAGCGATATTGCCACTTATTGGTACACATATTTGCTTGTCAGTATAAAGTGCCGGTCAAATCATTCAACACATATTAGTGTGGTTCCGCTATTTTCTGCCGAAACGTTAGAGAATCTTCTTCGGCAATTGAGCAATTACGTCCGTCTAAGGTAACCATGGTTGCGTGCTCACAAAAGCCGGCGCTGCCGAAGAGCTAATGATGGAGTCGCATCCTGACAATTTCTGTTACCAAAAGAATTGATGGTCAAGCCCTTGGCATTAATTAGTTCACGTTGAAAAGATTTCAGTCGTTGTACAATATGTTATGCGTTACACAACACAACATTTTTGTAATATCGTAATCAAAACAAAGCGTGACTAAAATTTACTGGCCCACTTAGGAAATGGCCAGTACCACCACAACAATTAATGTCCATCAAAAAATCCCATTACTACAGTATTTCCACAGGTCGCTTTATCAAAAGACGTTCGCACTTACAATCAGCTCAAAATGTTTGCCGCAAATAATGAATATACGACAATAAGAGCTCTGGTTAAAAATTGTTCTCTTCATGGACGAAAGCGCAATCAGTTTTCGCTCACAAACCCAGAAGCTGATATGATTAATACCGTCATTTTTGCAGTTCCTGACGGTCATACTGGTGATTATGTACGAATCAGTACGATTATTGTTCTGAAGCATGAAGCGTGAGAATACTGCGGTATATCCAGAAATGCTCAGTACAAGAACAAATCCTTCTTCATATTGTGTTTTTCTCTTAAGGCTGAATTTGAGGTCATAATAATATTATTTGTTATACTCTCTCAAATTCTTGTGAGAGTGATACTACAGGTATAGTGTGAGAATCATTGAGATACACATATAGTAAGTTCTTGACTGTATCACGCGAAATAAATTGAATTTTATTGATTTCTCATATCACAGAAAATCATAACTAACGGCGCTGTAGCGCATACTTAACAGTATCTGCCGACTTCTACATCCAAACCTAAATATCTATACATAATTAAGTATGTACTTGCAACAAAATCAAAAGTATGGACAGGACTGGACAAAAGATCTACAGGAAGTATTTATGCCAATAAAGAACACCCAAGTTTACCAGGATAAGTTTATTTTTTTATTTATTCACTAGAAACCGAAAAGCAGCACGACGCTGTTGGATTACAAAACTGGGACTTTTTAATCCCCATTCCATCACACTGCGTCGGTACGACGGCATTACTGACACAGACGCCTAAATACTGCCGACCCGAAGCTAAGGCCACCGCGCACAGCTCCCCACGCGCTTGTCCCACACGATTGGTCATTGTCGGTAAAGGCCTCGGGCGCAACGGTTTGAATGGCTTCGGTGTCGGCTGCACTTCCGTAAAGAACGGAAAGCCCCCAGTCTGCTGACCTCGTGCCTCAGTATCATCTGCACCTAGCTGGGTCTGTGCAGTGTCCATTAAATTGAATGGAGGAACGGTAGACACCGCATCTGGATTGGGCATCTTCTTATTCTGCGACTGCATGATGGCCAGCATATTGGCCAACAGTGTTTGTTGATCAACAGGTTGTAGACTGTCGCTGTTGCTGTTTTTCTTCGGGCTGTAGGTCACACTCTCGTCACCGGTCACGCTAGGAGATCCGGCACCGTTAGTTAAATTGGCTGGTGACACAAACGGCACTACAGCAAAGTCGGCTAAATAGGCCGGAACAACGATCTTATGCATTATACGGGTGACGTTGCTCCCTACAGGAACTTGTGCTGCGCTGCCCATGCGATTCAAACCTAATCGCACCAGGTTGGCAAAATCCTTGTTTAGAAAGGTTGATGCATTACTGACTGCATTTCCATCGCTGTTTGGTAAAAGTTCGCGCCGCTCCACATCGGCAAGACGACCGCCCGTTAAATCGTTCAGGATTTCCACCGGCCGCGGGCCAACTGGGTTGGGCAATGCAATAACGCCCCGTTGAGCCGATAATGGGGGCCATGAAAGTGCCAGTTGAAAGAGATCTTCTGTGACTTGCGGATTCTCGCTGATATTCCTCGCAACAGGGACGCTTGCAACGGCTAGTTTCGGGGAGGAATCCACTAATAACCCCGTAGAGCTGTTTTGCTGAGATGTGGTGTCCGCTGTTATAGAAGTATTATTACTCTTAAGCGACGAAGAGTCCGTTGTATTGGGTGTGACAGCTGATGCGTTTCCTGGCCGAGAATTAGCGGCTAATTTCGCCAACGCGGGCATCAAAAGCGACGCTATACTTGCGGCACCACCGACTTGTCCAGCGCTCGTAGGCGATGCGCTACTCGCGTTGGCAGCTACAATCTTCATTAATGTCTGCACCAGTTCCTCTGCAAGAGATTCTGCTAAGGCACGGTTGGCTTTTGCAGATTTAGTACGTTTTTGGTTCTTATCCACGAATTCGCGAGTTGCTCGTGCCTCTGCCGCTTGGTCGGCCGGCGCTGCTCCCGCCGGAGGAGGTGTCCATTTGCCGGCTACATACTCTTGAAAATGATCATAGAAAGGATCCGAATCCGGTTCATTGTAGCCACCCTGAATAATAATCTCAAATTATCGTTACTAATTTGTTTTGTTAAGGCGGCTTATATTACATTTTTCAAACCTTAATCTGGGAAAGCGTGACGTTACCCTTTTACTTATTATTGTAATATCGGTAAAGTACTGTATTTTTTGCATTAAAAAAAAGTAAAAGAACTATTAAATTAATGCACGAGTAACAGCACCGTTAATTCGAAAACTGACTCCAGCAGGCTGCCGCAGCAAGTAGTATTACCGAATCATAAAAATTGTTGAATGTGAAATCGCCCCATGATCGAACATAATCGCTTGTTCCGCTGGCAGCAAAAATTGGCTGCTGTGGTAAATCTGCAATCAGTGTTTAAGTAAAGTCCAGTGAATACCCATTTACCCCAACAAAATGATCCAACTGCATGGTATACCAGTAAGGCAGTAACGCGTTATCAGAGAGTTTGTGTTGACCTTTCATACATATAACATTTATCCGGAACTGTGTGGAAGTGTAAGCACACTCGCACCGCGAACATTGTGAAAACATTATGAAAATCAGTTTAGACCGATAAAAACCATTTTGACATTTATGTTGAAAGAAGATAAGCACCAGAAGGGTAGTTTACTATCTTCAACAACAAAACAGCGTGGCCAAAACGTTAAGGTTACTGTACTACCGCTTACATAATGGGTATCCAGCTAGCCGTTGAGGGATTACGAACCAGGAAGGGTAATTCTGCGGCGGAGAACTCAATTGTGCTTTGGAGAGAGACGTAAATAAAATGATCACATTCAAAACATTCCGCAATACGTTGCTTAGGTCATTTCGTATTAAATTGTGAAAAATCATTTTCACACGTAGGCCGGTGTTATAATCTCATCATGCCGACAGTGATTCACGCCTGAAGAATAAGCCAAGACGAGCGATCGCTAAAAGCGACAAAAGCGTGGACGAATGTTCTTAATTTTCCAAGTCTTGTCAGCATCCGCACAACATGGACTGACACCTTCTTTTCAGCCACCACAAAAGCTTACCGATAGTAGCGCCAAACAAACAAGAAACCATATTTTCATTATTATTATACCGGCGTCGTGAAAAAATGTACCAGTCTATGCTCCGGATTTCGCATTTACACAAAGGAACGAACGAAATCGAATAATCACTTTGTACATTGAGATCTCTCGAAATAGTCAGTCAATCGTCACAGTAAGGGATGGATTTACTTAGTCAGCCTTCGTTATAAAATTATAAGTAACGTTTCTGGTATTACATGCGATTACATCCGAAACCTCTGTAGGTGAAGCATTTTCGTGTTAGCTTTTATGAAGAAGCTGTTGACCTTAATTGAACATCAGAACAGTAATTGTCCTTAGCACTCAAGCTGACTTATTAGCAAATGTAAAGGTGTTTTTCGGCTCGTTACTACCACTACATGCTTTTGATTGACGTTTTAAAAACTTATAAAAACTGTTATGAGTAATTAAAAAATATTTCTGTCAACCTAAAAAGCGTGAACTCTCCTTATATCGCAAGAGAATGCTAAGTCAAACGCTCACAGTTTGCACAAAGCCAGCAAATGATATTTCGTGTTATGTACTCGACATGAAAATTTCCACACACCACATATTCCTGGGCCATGTTCCACAGGGATGCTAGCATAATAACAAATAAAATTCCATCGCTACACAACTTACAAGGAAAAGCAAATTAACCGCGTTAACATCTTTTTCACACAGTCCATTCTATGCACAATATTCTAAAGGTATGTACTTCTACTTGTAATGCTAGTACAATCATGATATCAGTGTAACAGTTTTTCAATCACGCTTTTAATTCTGTCATCGTCCACAAGACCGATAAACTGTTCCACAATTTTTCCGTTTTTCATAGCAATGACGGTCGGTACGCTTCTAACCTACAATAAAATCATTCCGTGTTTACTGTACTTCCAAGAACTGTAGCGCGATGATACACGCAAGTAGCAAACCCAGTCAACATACATTGTATTTGCAGGCAATGTCGTCTAATGCGTCAATATCGACTTTGGCCATGTTCACTTTTCCTTTTCCTTCTGCAACGTGAGCTTCCAAACGAGGGCCCAGTAGTTTGCACGGTCTACACCATCTAAGTATAATTAAACAAACCATTAGTTAACTATACCAACAAATTCTACAAAATATCACAAAACGTAAATTCAAAATTACAACTGCTAGGATCTCCCGTTGGGCTAGCATGAACCAAATTTGTTCGCTTTTCACGTGAGCAATTTCGATACTAGTATTAAAATCCAGCCGCGAGACTTACGTGGCATGAAAATCCACAATTACAGGAGTTTCACTTTGCAGGACTCTTTTATTAAAGTCTTCTTCGTCCTGAATGTTAAAAATTGATGAAGCAGGACTTTCGGCCTTTTTCTCATCCGCTTTGGCAAAATTATACTGGGCTGTATGAAAAGACTTGGAACTGAGTGGATGAAGAACAGGGACAGGAATCCGAGAAAGCGTAGTCCCACTAGGCGCTATTACTGAATGTGCTTTCCCGTCTACAAAATGTTCAGTGATTGTTCAGCATAATATAAATCTCATAGCACTAAGTACGTATCATATCGTTGACGCTAGCTGAATTCAGTATGAATTGCAAAGATATTCCTAAGCTACTTCCGTTTCCGCAGATCCTGCAAACAGATACCAGAAGTGTGCAGTTAAGACCGTCATGGGTTATCGTGGCCACAATATCGTGCAACCGTAATTATACGAAATTACGAGTATCCTACTCTAGGTAACCGTCTAGGTTCCTAACGAAATCCCACGGTTTCTGTTCCTGATGACTGCCTTACTTGGCTGGAGCGCGCTCAGCCGCACAAGTTGTCGGAACCGCATCAACGATCGCATCGTGGAATAATAACAATCCCTGGAAAGAGATTCCCACGATCAAAATTATATTCGTTAACTATTAGGGAGAGGAATAATTGATTTCACGCTATTCGTCTAAAAAAGACTACTTAATTATTTATCCTAATATGAAATCATAAATGTGAAGAAAGCTGAAAGAAGAGTTAGGAGACTTCAAACTCCAACCGGAAAAGAATCAACAGAACACACGTAACCGCCCTCCTTCTTTTGCAAGGTCGGTCCCTTATTTTTGTACTACTTACAGTTAGTTACTTAATTTTATCCGAACTTTTGCATAAATTATTTTTTACGATTAATAAAACTTTTAATTACTGTTCTTTTGCTGAAACTTGAAAGCCTCAGTTCTGAAAACTTTGCCTACGAATTTTTGGAGTTTTGAAAATGAGCCAGCCTGCAGATCCAAGAAATGCTGTGCCTGCGAGAATACCTCTGACATCGCGGACCGAATACCACAGGATCAACTTCTTACTGCAGGTAACTGGTAACGTGAACTGCTTACATCAATTGTTTGTGAAATGAGAATCTGTAACAGTTTCCGATTTTGAAATTTTCATCCATCGGTGCGAAGGCTTTCCGTTTGCATGCGCGTCTGCATTGAGTGAATTGAGCTGCGTTCTCTGTCCGCATGCTTCGATTTAATAATTTGACTTATGTAGGCTTCCGCGATGATGGAAGGCGTAACAGGTGCGCAAAACTCTTCTCCAGTATCTCGAACCACGGAAGCGAAGAGCCAGCATACTATCGGCGAGGAATCTTCGACATCGAAAATACTACGGAATAACAAAGCTCTGGATTTGCCTCGATTGAATGCAGGCCGCTCTTTCTTGCAGCAAGCAAAGCAAGTTGCAAGGAAAGCTGTTTTACGATTGTAAGATTACTTTACCATTGTACATTTGTGTGCCACTAACGAATATTGCATTCCCAGATCTGCAGATACAAAACGCACAATTTGTCGTCGCTGCTGGGCTCTTCTCGTGGCTGGATCATCGTGCAGCGTCCGATTTCGTCGAGGAAAAAGTAGGATTTTGTACATGACGACCACTTGCAAAGCCTGTGGATATTCATTCCGTTTACGAATGAAAAAACCACCTGCTAAAGTTACGAATTCTGATTTGTAAGTAACGTTTTGAATCGAAAATATACTAAATCGTGATAGTTAGTTCTTTAATTGGTTTTGTTATCGCTGAATACACCGCGTTTCCCCATAACATAAATAGTGCAACAATAACATGTTAGTAAATTGTATCACTTGTACGAGTCTGCACTCTGTACTTAATAGCTCGGTTTTAAGACTTGCAGGACACTGTGAAAGCTTGTACCCCGTTAATGCGGGATCTAAAAAATTAATTGGTAAACAATAGTACCAATGAACTCTTGCTATAATTGACAACGGTTCATGGATGGTGTACAGATTGTTAAACACAAAATACCGCTGTGGTGGTTAGAGTACTGTTGTTCCTTCATGCTGCAGTTCTGTTAAATTTCGATCTGTTCAATAAACGTAGGAAATTAATCCATTGTTGTTTCTTCGTGAAGTCTCGGTCTTTCCGCTTAAGAATTAATGATCGTTTGGAACCTAGGAATTCGTCGGAAGGAGCGCTTCCGAAATTCATTGGCCGGCCAAAAAACTCGATCAATCCGGACAGCGCATGGAAGACCGGTGAATAAGGAGGAATTTGGTTGAGCACTTTAACCAGTGCTAATCGCATGGCTTGCTTGAAGAAGTTTGTGGATCGCAGGCAGTCCATGGTGCGACGGTGATAACGAGGTACAAAAACCGGAAGCGGTTTGGATAGTTCAATGGGAAAATTATGCTCCGGATCGGGATTGTCAAATCCGAAATCCGGCAGTTCACGGGATGGAATATTTTGGAATTTTCTTACGGGTGGAACGGTGGTTACAAGATCGCTTAGTGGTGCCGTCGCCGTAATATTATTCGGCTGGCGTAGTTGATGCGAGGTGAAAGGAGTCGTCGTTGCAAATTTTATTGATGGATCCCATGTTGGAGTTGCCGTGGTTTTGGGAGAGGCTGTGTGTTAGTTGAAGTTATAATTAGTCTGATAAATATTTTATCGAATCGGAAAGGTATTCAAAATGAATGCCTTGTTATTAATGTGGTAAAAGTTTACGCCATAAAAGGTCCAATTGCTATGCTATTTTTCATATTTTTAATATCATAATTATAATAATGTTGGGGTGTTAGTATGATTATATGTCCAGTGCAGGGTAGAAATTTGTAAGTAAGATGGTTTAAGAATAAGTACAGGATGTTGATGGTTGTTCATTGTAATATGGATTGCGGAAACCATCAATGTTGATTTCATATTCTCATTGGGGAAGGATCCCTTACGTGGGAAATGCCCAAAAAATTTGCATACATGGGTCGCTTACCAGTGGTCAAAACAGGCTTTTTGGTTCCCGGCAGATCTGTTAATCCAAAAACTGGAGAAACCGGTTTCAGTGTTGTACGTTGTCCCTCACTGAAACCTGAAAAAATTTCGATGTCTTGACAGTTTTTCTTTACTTTTCTCCTTGACGTGTGGTACTGGAAGCTTTTTGACTTACCCACGTGTGAGGCAATGAAGATGAGCAAATAGCCAGTTAATGCCTTCATGATACGGGTCAATCACAGACTACTGACCACATGAATAAATTTGAGACGATTAGTGCTAAGAACGGTAAATCCTCTGAACGTGCATGTCACAAATAGCCGTGGTCAATAATTTAGGACATATTATTTGTATCACGACTATCAACCAACATTCGTAACTGCTATTGTTATTAATAAATTATGAAAGCGCGTGGATTACGCATTTTTTTATTTTTTTGTACTGTGTGATGAATAATTTCAGCACAAGCCGGAAATCAACAGCAAAATAATTTTTCCATGCGCTGCCGGTTGCAAAATTGTCTGTATGTTTGTTTGCTAATGTTATGCGAAAACAGTATAAGACATATTTGCTGAAGAAGAAACCCTTTTGTTAACGTCCATTCGACGCACGCGCGTGTAGGCACTGCCTAGCTTTCCCACCATCTATTGTGACTGTGAGACATGCTTAATAAGGTCAACAGAATACCGGCGAACAAAGCAAGGGTGCGCACGAACGTGAATAAAGTTTATGCTCGTAATCACATTTATTTGCACACTGAGAACAATTAAGACGTTATCTTCCAGCAAGAACTCCACTATAACTCCCGAGCGTCGGCGCGTACGGTGTGTATAGCGGCGACGGATTCGGTGACGACAAAACCGCTCCCAAAGAGCTCGGTGCATAACCAAAAAAATTCCCTACTCCCCCGGCCACCAGGTTCTGGAAAGGGAATAACGACGTGGTCACGACCGGTGCTTGTTGGTAACCGGCCGCTAGAAGTGGGTTAACGTAGGCTGCCGCCGCTGCTGCCGCCGGTCCGGATGTTCCCAGATAATCGCCCACATTAAAGCCGTACTGGTAGCCCAACCCACCCAGATCAAATGGATACCCGGAACCGAAACCGCCCGGTAATAAATTGCGCAGTAACAGTCCAGCCACGACTTGTTGTTGGGCAGTTGTCAAGTTGCCCAGTCCGCCAACGGTCACCGTGATATTGTTGCCGTTGATGGTAATATTACCATTTAACAAGCTGGCCAAGCTGGTTGGAATCCGAATGTTGTTGACCAATGCCGCGTCAGTACCCGCTACAGCAAACGGTGTATTACTTACTTATTATTGCTGCGCGATTGCCAAACACAGAAACACGACAATTTACCTGAAGAAGTTGCAAGGATCCATAGAACAGCCAAGAGAAGAGTGGAGATCGGATTAAGTTTTTCCATTACGTAATTCGGTGCCAGCAGAAAGTGATGGAAGTGTTTTGAAATTAGATATTTGTTGACTTTCAGACACCCGCCTTTCTTTTACTTGAAACATGTAGATGTACCGAACATGAGAGTGCTTATGAGGGCTGCAGTCGAATCGGAATTATATAACGAACTATAACTGCTTTATGTTGATGGAAGGATTAAATTAGGGCGATGTATTTCGGCACTTTATAATTGCTTTTCGCATTAGTTCCGCATACAGGATGTCCGATAACTCTTAATTTTGCGTCTGCAAGGTTGAGTTAGTTTATTGTGTTAAGGATGTTAATGATATCAATTCTGCGGCATCGGTTACGCTTAATTCGAGATAAAACTTCATTGTTCCAGTACTTCTATTTAAAGTTTTTTCACACGATAATTAAAACCTCTGCTTTGTTTTGTTCCTTTTCGCAATCAAATGCGCTCCGTGCTCGAAGTTTGTACTCGAAAACTATATTCGTTTACAAATTAAGCAGCCGAACTACATAGTACTGTAACTTGCAGTTTACGCACAGATACAGATACTAAACTTTAAATAACTAAAACTTAACTAAAACTTTTATTATCGTTCTGTTATCTGTAAAGGTTATGTTAAATTGCTTATTCGGTTATGAAATGCTGTATCAGCATCTAAAACTTTATAAATCTGAAACTATAAGATTACCACAATAACTTATCAAAGCGGCTCGCAGCCACTTTGATAAACTGAAATACTGAAAAACTAGCTCTGGTTCTGTGCAAAGCTACCGCTTTTCTGTACGTACTTTAACTAGAAATTGAAATAAGCATCTTCACCCCTAAAATTCGGGACGCACAGCCAAATAACTTCCACGTCCTGACTGCCGGGGCGCCTGACCTTAAATTACACTCTAACCGAAAACACAAAGTGCGAATTAGCACTGATGTTTCAGTTTTCTGGACGTGCTGATGAACAAGCCGATGGGCGACAAGCAATACCCACAAACAATTGCAATTAATTTTAGTAAAGTATAACTGAAGGACGCCTGAACTCGCGGTTGTACTGTATACTTCGAAGAAGTGGGGTTATTTATATTTTTCGACTGATTGTAAGCTTCAGTGAAGAGTCTGATCATGCGGTCAAGATAAATTTTATTGTTCACGATACAATTTATTACAACAAGTATTGTACATAGTTATACTGTACATTTATCAGCAGTTTACGTATTTGAAAGCAAAACTTACTGGAGAACCAGTGCTGCAGCTGAACAGCTATGACAACGAGGTCAACCTGGTTGTGCGTGGTGGAATGCATAAAGAATTTCGCAGCCGTACTCGGCAATTAGTGCCGAAGCACAAATAAAACACGAATCCCATTGCAAAATTCATATTTACCAGAAGATTTCTGAACGGGTCATACACATGCAGAAAACTGTTGGTGATATGGAATAGACATATTGGCGCTTGGCTGAAGGCTACCAGCAGCGACATGACGAAATCCAAGGATTGAGTCACAAGAAAGAAAAAAGAGCTGAAAATCAGAATTTTGGTGGCACCCGTGCGGGATGTTGTCCGAAAAAGCGTCCGGTGACCGCTGTGATTTTTTATATTTGGATGCGAGGATTTTCGCGGTGCTCCTGCAGCATCCGTTGGATTAGCGGCTTTCCTGATGCGCGCTATGATCATATAGTTAAAGGTCGCGATGCTGCAGTATGCGAATAATCTATCCACCACCTGGAATTGTGAAATATGTTTTATATATGCAGTACATGTTCCGTTCCAGTGAAAACTGATCTTTTATAATTGCATAGTTAAAATGTTTCTTCTATAAATGCCATCGGCCGTTAATCTTTAATGCAGATACAAGTACTGTAACTTAAAAATCTTAATTTCAAAAATTATAAATTGCAAATGACCGTAAACATAAAACATAAAACATAATAACATAAAACAGGCGACTTACCTCCCACCACATTTCCACGTGCCGCCATTGGCGAAAGGCTATTGGGAATTCTGGAACTCTTTGGCCGGCTTGAAGGTTACTGTTGCTGAATATCCAATAATATACCACGGGAATGTACAGAGCATTCACAGCAGATGCCACACAAATTATTCCCAAGAGGCGAAAACTGCGGCGTCGTTTACGCGTGTAATGTTGCACCGGAAGTTCAATTGCCAGAAAACGATCAATGCAGAATGCCAGTAGAATCCTAAACGAATATAAATCCGTAAAGATGATACATTGCAGGTATTCCTTTGAGAACTGCCTGCGCTGTTAATACTTACGCCCAGTATTTTCAACTGACTGACTGCTGTAGCCTTATGGTCACATAAACTATTTTTTAGAAATTTGTTTAGAAATATTGATATATTTACCACTGGGAAGAAAAGAAAAGCACAGATTCCAGATACAACCAAACTCCGGCAGTAGCTTGATAAAATCCGCCATACAAGTCTGTTGACCCAGCTTCAGAGGATCCCCATACTCTGGAACCCAGATAAACTGCCAATCTATTCCATCTGCACACAAAATAAGAAAGCGAGCTGTTAATCGTGTGCACATCAAAATTAAAAAACCGCGAAATGGTCAACTTTTAATTACAACATGCCCCTAGGCGTAAGAAAACTATACGACTGAAAAAGCTCACTGGATTTTCGTGTACTCGTAAATATATATAATTTACAATTAGTTGAATTACGGCATTTTTATAAAATATGCGAGTGCTGCTTGCAGCAATTTAGCAATTGAAGTTCTTTGTTATAATTGTGTGTCTCTCCATATATTCCACAATTTTTTATTTTATTATTTTTTGTCTCAATGTGCATTACTGCCATCTCCGTATAACGACTCCTAATTGTAAAAATATTATCAAAGTTCCCCACTCCAAGACCAAAAGCACATTATTGCTCTTAAACGATATATTGATTTAAAAAGCATTTAAGTACTATTATAACACTTTGCCAGCTTTATAAAGCTGTCAAACGGCAATATATAAATAATTATTACCAACTGAGCAGCAGCCTTGTGCTGCCACCGTTTATGTTATTTGCACACGACTTTATTTTGCAAAAGCCGTCAGTAATTTCACAAAAAGTGTATTCGCAATTTTGCGTGGTACTTTTATTGCTACCATGTTTTAAATACGTTTTATAGCAATACCCACTTGCATTGCTGCCCACATTCTACTGTCTACTCTAGTTATTGTTTATGCTCTAACGGTCTTCAGGTGTTTTTAGAAATAAGCCCAGTTGTTTTGCAAGATACGTATACAGTTTTTGTTAACACAATGCGTTAACAAAAATCTGTACGTATCCTTGAAGTACTGTACTACTCTATATTCAGAACAGCGCTGGATTCCATACAGATAGATTATAGATAGTTTTTTATGGAATCGATCAAGAAACGGGTGTTCTAGGTTACTTACAGGAACCATAAATCTGTGATGAACAAGCCTAACAGAAATGTCCGTTTAGGCCCTTTATGATCACCGTATAAGGTCACGATTCCGAGCACATTGCCGAGAGTTCCAACAACCAAAAACACTGGGAAGGAGATTCTGGTTATCCATATCCAGTCCTTATACGTCGATGTGAACATCAGATCTCGCGGTCGTCCACACCTGTCGCGTTTTTCATCTTCCAGTATCAGGCTGATGTTCTTCGGAATTACTAGGGTGTCGTTGTTAAAAATCTGATTAAGGTCGTCAGAAACGAACATGCCCGAAATAAATTATGGCATAAACCTCTAACATAAATAGGTGATTAATCAGACTACATAGAACATTTCTCATACAGTTTTGCGGCTCATCTAGCAATGCCTTTTCGCAAGTAAACATATACATTTCAAGAAAAATAATTACACTCCCGCCATAATCAGTGTGCTACTTATTTTGCAATAGTGCGGATGGGATTTTAATCTTCATAAATGACCAGCAGTTGTAACTGATGCACGGCAGTTAATAAGCTCAAGTTACGCTACGCAGTGCAAGCGTATTGCACTACTGTCATATACATCCTTTCCAAGTCACTTATCTCCGGCGCTCTTTATATAACTCTAACTGCATCTCTACGGACATGATGGTAATTACCCACATCTTTTACACTTGGATCTGTTTCCTCGTAAAAGAGATTTTCGTATCAGTGTGCCTTCGCACTTAATGTACGGAGATAGAGTTTGTTCAAACGTCTTAATTCAGTTTGTTGCGTAAGTGAAAGCAGACAACTGATAGACACGTCCAGATTCCTGCCCGCACCAGTCATCCCAGGTTAAACTGCATTTCCGGCACAGCTAATGGAGGGTTGTGAGAAAAATCCAGCACTTGTCACTCATTTACATGGCAAAAATATGTCTTCCACAAACAGCTAATCACTGCTTTTCACTGTTTATTGACAATTTAGCCAGCTAAAACAAGCTAGCCGAGCGTGAGCACAACCCAATACTACCACTCCTTATTTCAACGAAATATAAACGAAAAGGACAATACAAACGTCATCCACGTACGTAATTCTGTATAATACAACGAAAAGCAAACCATTTTAAAACCAATCAAAAAAATTCAAACCATACAACAAGCAAGTATACACAAATGCAAAAAATAAACTGAGATTTACAATGAGTAAAAAAACCTTTGAGATCAACCCTGTCCGTCCAACATCTCGGTATCCCGATCAAGAGCATCCATATCTATTGCCGCCAGATTAATGGTGTTCAGGTTACCGGGAGTCAGACCAAAATCAATAGCCGCCATTAAATCGGCGTCATCTTCCAAGTTGTCTTCCATGCGCTCCAATTCCAGCGCCGTTATCTCGTTTTCTGCCGGGTTAACTGTTGAACCACTGGGTTCTGTTTCGGGTTCCATCTGGTCAAGTTTCGAAGACGAAGCATGTACGGGTTCTCCCACTGGATTCTTTTCCGTTTCTGGTTCTTCCGGTAATCCGGTAGATAAATTAATAGTAACGACCGGTCTTTGCGGGGGTTTAGGAGCACGAAACTGCACTTGTTGGATGAATTTAGCGGATTTCTCTACTAAATCTTGCGGAGGAACAACCTAGAAATCGAACAGTTCTGCTTAACACGACAAGCAAGGAAAAAATACCTACGTCACTATAGAGAAACTCAAGAAAGCGAAACAGTATACAGTTTTCTAAATTCGCCAGAAACCAAGATCAGGTTTCAGAAAACAAGTCCTTATGGAAAACATGCTTCTACGGAAAGTACATTTGTACGTAAAATCTATCCCGAAACCTAAACAAAGTGGCACGAAAGCTAAACAGTGTGGCACTATATTTCTAGTAATCTTTAGAAATAATATACGTTAGAATTTTCAAAAGACCGGTAACAAAGACTTCATTAAGGTCACAGGCAAAATTTTCTTACCGGGCAATGAGTCTTGTGCACTCCCTCAATTATACGCAGATAGGCGTGGGACAACATGGAATTGGCCAGATTTACGTGACTGGCTTTAAGGTTCTCTTTACGGGCGGCTTGCCAAACTTTCAAAACCTCTTTGAGGAAAGTAATTTTCACATCTTCCGAGCATGATTCCGTTTCATAATCATCAATGCGGTTCATGACCGAATGCAGCGAAGATTTCAGCGCATATTCCGACAAATAATGGTAATCATCGATACGTAAATACCGCCTAAAAAGATAAAATAAGATTACTCTTCCATTATGTGAAAAATTTATACCAGCTATGAATGCAACCTTACTGTCTACTAATCTGTCTAATTCTCTCAACACCAGCGACACCAAACAAGTTCACAAATGTAACTTATTACCAAGCAAAGCGTAATGCGAAAAACTAATGAGGTCGCCTGCTAAAAATACAGCAAGAGGTCATAGCGAATTTACTTGTTAAGTGCATCTGGCGGCTTGGCTAACTGTTGAAAAATCTGCAATAACTGGAGATTTTCGCGAAGTTCTGTTAGCACGTCGATCATTAGCAAAACCGAGCGGTACATATGCGAAGGAAAGCTCAATGGCCTCTGGATCTCCTCAGATTTTATATGCCAAACACCACGGAAAAAGGCATTTGGTTTACGGTTTTGAAACAATCCGGCCGAAGGCAAATGTGGACAATCTTGCCAGGAGATCGCTGAACCCATCAACAGATCTTTGGTTTTCGACAAATCCTACAACAAAATTCAAGATTGTCAACCGTATAAAATATCGCACATGCTATAAAAATGCGGCCAACCTTTAAAGGTGGATAATCATAATACAATCTGGCCAGGCGGTAAAGGGACTTGTAATGCTCCGGGTATCGCGTCAAACATAAATGTAATCCCGCGACACATTTCTGGATTAGTTCGAGTTTCCATTTTTCCAAGTCTTCCTTGATCTCAATATCCGTCCATTGCAGTCGCTCCAGTATGGACGCATTTACGGATCGCTTTATCACAAACATTTCCCTGTCACAAACAGATCAGTATAATCGGCTGACTACCGCTGCCATACGATTCTTGTAATTATTATAAAATCTGTACGTTTTGGTAAATATCAAATCGTCGATCATTCTGCTGGAATACCAAACACGTATCGCACAAACGTATCCATATGGGCATCAATTCATATTTCGTCCACACATTTTTAGCGATCTTACTCTTCCGTTTCTCGGTCGGCTTCCCTTCTTCCCATTTCTTTACTAGCAGCCAGTGAACTCTTGGAAATCACCGTCAGATAAAACTCTACCGCCTGCAGTCCTTCCGCCGTGACATGACTGGCACGATTTCGACTGGACATATATTTCAGTGATGATGCGATCACGCGGTAATACATTTCCAGTGCTTCCACAGACAAACGCGGAGCTTTATAATAGGCAATTTTGGCAGGATAAGAAGCTTTGTCCAAATGAAGACAACGACCGGCTGCTACATATTGTGACAAATATTTCCATGGTTTGTTCTTTTCCAGTTTTTCATACGTTTTGCCCAACATATACTGGCTCAGCCAGCCCTCATGCCGTTCTTCGCAATCTTCAGCATTCAAACAGACTTTTTGAGCCAGATTCAGGAGACTATGGCGATGGAGTCTTAATTCCTTTTTTATTTCTGGTTTCAAGCGGAACTGAGCACTCTGCAAATAAATCAAGTCAAACTTTAATAAATCATGCTACCAAAATACGGAACAATACAACCGTTAGTTAGAAAAATGCATCGACTTCGAATTTCCAAGAACATGAAGTTAAACAGTTTCTTTAAAAAGAGGACCTCGAAACAGAACACTCACCTGTACGAGCTGCCGACTGAGGTATGTGTGCAGTGGATATACCACGTTCAAGCATTCAATCCATAAGTGCTCTGAACTGCGTTTCATTTTCAAAGCGATCCCAAAACATGCAACTGCTTCCATGGCTTCTTCAAAAATTTTAGGATCCGGTTTTAGTTCAAACTACCCAAAAAAACCGCATGTGTATAATACGTAATAATACACTGAATTAGATAAAGCACCCGAAATGCTTGACTAGCAAAGGCAAAAGCCGAAGACTTTTACCGAGCGAAGCTTTTTGTCCACCTCGGCGGCTTTATTGAGCGCCAAGCCCGCCCATGAATCAAAACGATCCGGATTGACACACAAATCCGAAAGATAAAGCCTCAGTGCGCGTGTATTTTCTCCGCTCTTATGGTAAAAATCCGCTAACAGATAGAAAAGATTTTTGCAAATAATCGCTTCCGATGTTGAGCCGTCAAAGGAGGATTTCCCGCTTGGTACGTCGGGTTGTTCACTGATGGAATCGAATTCATGGATAAAATCCTGTAATTCTTCCCGAGATACTGAGTACGGTATAGTAGCAATCAGCGGTCGGATCTTGGTCAGTGCATTCACCGTCTCCTGGGAAATGCAGTCACTGCGAAAACCGTCATGTTCAGGAAGTTCCACCGGCTCATAAAACTGGTACAAAGAAACCGCGTGGGCAAGCGTAAGGTCCACCTGAACAAGCAAAACAAAATATTGCATATTTTGTATCACAACTGCACTGAAAAACAGTGACAAAAACTTATGCACATATATTCGTAGTAGCGAACTGGAAAGTAAAGTGGAAAATTTTAAAGCCAATAAATACGTGCAGTCATAAAACATTGTACTTAAGTAATTACACATCCCAGTGTCCCAATTTCGAAAAACTTACTTTGTTGGCGTTGTGAAACTGTACATAGCGATCCGTGTTCTTAGTCAAGCCATACAGACAAGAGAAGCACTGATCCAAATCATATTCAATATCGGCCGTGGGGATGGCATGATCCTCGGTTTCTTCATTACGGCGCTTAGCAAATTCCTTGCAAAGCCGCTCCACAGCCACATGGAGCAACTGACCATTCCCCACCGTACACCAATTATGCCTGCAAAAATGCACATCAAAATCAAGCAAAAGGAGAAAATGCAGTCGTAATAACTGCGTACCCTCCAAGGTATTCGTGCAGCTCTTCCAGAAAATGAACGGACGCATCGCCAGGTGAGCCGGATAGCTTTATCTCACCACTGTAAACGGCAAACTGCGTTTGGAAAGGTGGCCAAGCAAGCAATCAAAAAACCTCGTCTTACGCAAGCAATATTTTATAAAGAACGCAAAAAGGCGACAAGGTGGTCGGACGCCGAGTGTTTCCATCAGCCGTATGTACCAATATTATGCACAGTTCCATCATCGATTTGGCCCATGCGGACAACAAATCTCGCGGTAAAGATGTGAACTGCAGTGAGGACTTCGGATCCTTGTCCATCCTGTTATAAAACCACGCTCCGTAAAAGTGGAGACACTCGTTCAAAATAAGCAATTACTTTGCTATATCATCGCAAATTTCCAACAGAGTTTGCTTTAAAAGCTTTCGCTTTTCCAGTTCCTTCTCGTCCACAGGTGGTATAATCTGATCCAAAAGATTCTGGATGAAAAATGCAGCAAAATTCAAGTACAGGTCCATTTTTTTCAATATCAGGGCAGATGATAATGCAAATTTTGCGTGGAACGAAGCGATAACTGGACCATCGGCTGATCGCTGCGAAAACACAAAACGGTTTGCAATTATCCAATACAAAATAAGTGTTCAGCAGTCAGCGAACATGGTTAGCTTAAATCGATATCTTACATCGTGTTCATTGCGGTTCTCCACCAAATCGGCAGCAATTTTAACCACATCTTCGTAGTTTTCTTCACGAAAAGCTTTTCCATTTCCGAAAGACGATCCCCAGTTTCGTTACCAGTCAATAAACGCGCAACGATACCTAAAGCAGTCACTAACTAATACAAGCAGTTGCGCAAAGTTTTTGACAAATGAAAACTAACATGGCTGGCAATAAATACAACACACATTCTTAATGACTATACGCACAAAAACGCTTTCAAACAAATTCCTTTATAATAACCGGCCCTTACCTTTACTGAGTGTATTCTGATTCTTCAAGTTTGGCAGGACAATTTCTGTCGTCTCGTCGAGACGCTTGTTAAGTTCTTCCAGATAAACCTTCATATCCTCCAGTTCATTTCGCAGTGCATGCCATTTAAACAGCAGAAATAATATTCGCAAGTGCATCGTCTGGTCCTCCTCAGCGGAAAGTTCATTTGAGAAAGGCCAAACCGTAACGTAAGCCAAATCTTTCTCAAAGTTGCGCGGCCTGGAAACATATGCCGGTTTTGACAAATATACAGTACTTACACAAAAACAGATCTGTGACAAAATTAGCAAACTTTACTGGTTTAAAATGTGTAGCCCGTTTAATTTCAAGTAAAAGTGTGTCGTCATTAGGAGTCGAAGATAGTGATACAGGTAGTGCTTACAATTCCCCAATAATCCCAAAATTCATCCAGTGGTCCACCATTATTTCCAAGGCACACAAAGCAAACAGAACGGCATGTCTTGTACGTGATTCCATTACCGGGGTATATTTCGCAAAGGAAGGAAAAAAGCTCGTCGCTGGCAATGACATAATACAGGTCGACATACGTACTAACAAGCGAATCCGGCCTGAAATTAAGGTCATTTTGGTGTCAATCGCTCAGATTTGCATGTGAACAATGTTACCGCGTAGCGTCCAATTTTATTTGGTTGTGTTTTTCGGTTATAATTCATTGATAACTTACCATTTGCATTCCACATTGTTCGCGAGGAATTGAAGGCAACTGCGAATGACTCCGTTGATAAACTTATCTTTGGCGCTTTGTAATAAACCAATCACAGTTTCCACTTCAGCGGCAGAACTGGCAAAGAGCAGCTTTACTCGCGATGGGATTTTGTTCGGTGACACAATACCAGATGAAGATTCACTCCCATTACCGACGATTTTATCAGCCAGCTCATCGCCAAATACTAGTAAAAGGTGTTTATTGACGAAATGACGAATGTAAGCCTCATCATTTCTCGTATGCGATTTTGTCTACAAACAAACGCAATACTAATCATTCTGACTCAAGCATGAAAGTATCACTTGTATCGGTATTCCCACTTATGGACAAACATAAATTTCCAAACTGCACCTCACCCTCGGAGACCGTCGTTTATCCGCAAATTCAAAAAATACAGGATCGACTTTGCGATGTTTTGAGCGTTGAATAGAACGTGCACCGGTGTCTACCGTCGCGGTTTCCTCACAAACCACGATCATTTCTGCGGTGGAATTATTCGTTTCTTCGTCTCCTGCCATTGGATAAATGCCTTCCGGTACTAAACGGTCTTCCGAAACAACGATAACGCTATTCCACAGCTAAATTATCAGACGAAGAAACAAGTAAGTTTTAATATGTGACTTCGAGTTTCATTAATTCGTCTTCCGCAGCGGCAGCTACTGCATGAATGTACGGTACTATTACTATGTGCAAAATTAACGTAACTGCGAAGCCGGAATATAATTTAAAATGGTCTAACCATAAGTTATGCGTATTAAACCTCGTTATAAGTACGTACTCCTACCCTATTGGAGTTTAGATGGGCGTAGAACGCGATTACAGCTTCAATATAGCCCAAAAATGTCCAGTTCGTTAATTTTGGAAATTCCACTCTTTGGAGCTCCAATGAGGCAGCACTGTCCCCGACCAATCCAGGTCTATACCACCGCTTTTTGATGTCATCCGCTTCACTCAAAAATTTCTGACTGTCAAATTTTAAAGGCTTTCCCACAAAATCCGAAACCCTTCTAAATCTGTCCCTCCATTCCTCCTTAAAATAATCATGCTCCTCAAAAATCCGGTGCACATAAGCTAAAGCCCGTTTATTCGCTGGCTCCAAACGTAATGCCGTATGACAATATTCCAAACAAACAGGCAGAAAATTTAAAGCATACATCAGCGTAATCAGGGCGTCCAGCGACGGCCAGTGATTGTTTCTCACCGTCAACGCCTCCTGAAAGAAATTGGCAGCCATCGGAAAGTTATCCATCTTCACCGCTAACCGTCCCATATCGTACAGCATGACCACGTCGGTGCGGTCTAATTCTGCCGCCGCCATGAGAAATTCCAAGGCCTTGTCGTAATTTAATTGGCGCTGAAACAAGCTGGAAATATTTTTTAGTATTGCAAATCTCAACGCCTTCATGCGATTATCCATAATGGTGGTATCCTCGCTATCCACTTCACCATCCGGAATTTGTTGCAGGATCAGGGCAAATCTTTCCTTCAGCTTATCGACTTTCCTCGATAATTCAGCGCTATTGTGGACCGCCAAAGGGATCGTGCGCAAAACACCGAGAGCATGAATATAGCGTTCCAGTAACCGTTCTTCCCGTGCTTCTACCGTCAATGGCATTTCACTGTCGGAATCAGACTCCGGAAAATCCGAGGAAGGAATTTCAGGAGCCTCATCGTCCGAGCTTATATGCATCTCATCATTCATCTCAACATCCGGCGGATCATCCAGGCCTTCCAATACGCGATGATCTATCTCCATTTCGGCATCTACTTCCATTTCTTCCCCCTCATTTGCGCAATTTCCCTAAAATAAATATATGCCTTCTCAAAAAAATCTCATTAAGAAATACCCAAAAAATCCAGCAAAACATGCCCGCAATAATTCGAACGCGAACGAGTCGAAATATGACATGCCGTAAGATTCTTTAAGAAATTTGTATTCAGACCTGACTGGTGAGATCACATCCATCTTTAAGAAAAATCAACAAATTATGCTTATTCGCGATAACAACGTCCGCTTGGTCGAAAATAAAGGGTACAATAGGTTCTATGATGCTCCATTTTAACAGTCCCAGAGTGTTAGAAGAGTGCATGAGCAGAAAAAAATCAGTTTCCACTTGCAGCTTGCTTACATCCCATGGCCGAGAATTTTCAGCCATCCTTTCTCGGTTGACTTCGTCGTTACGTATGCCATCATCGACTTTCTTCCGATTTCGTTCCGTCTCCGTATCAAGCTGATCCAGCACAACATCAGCGGAAGCATCGTCGGACTGAAAATCTTCCGCAACGCCGTTGTTGATAACTTTGCTGACCACGACATCGGATTCGATGTGCAGTTCGTTGAGCTCGTTCATCTGTGCCGTGTGGACGGCGTCCACATTCGTGTTTTCCTTCTCGTCTTCGTCATCGTCCTCAATGCAGGGTCGTCGCTGAACATTTTCACTGCCATTATTCGCGTTTTCCGCCGGTGCTGAAGAATCATCATCCGAAATAAGCTGATTAATACTGAACGAGCTCATTTCAGGGATTTCTTACTGACATGTGAGCCACTGAGCATGCTGACTAAATCAAGAACAGCTAGACACTAGAAATCTACCAGACACCATAACATAGCACCTGCTGGATCTGCTTGCGTGCATTCGGTGATTAATAAGACAGAAAACTAAAAATAAAGAGGCAAAAGCCGTCAAGGGAACATTATAAAACTCTAGAAACGAACAAAAAAGTCTAATGAATCATGAATCAGAAATTATTAATTGTGAAAAATACAACTCTCTGGTTTTGTAACTTTTGTTTCTGTTTGTTTGTTACTTATTTTTGCCATTCCAATACACGCAGCGTACAGTACGTACTTCTGCGCGTATGCGTGGCGTATCTACCGCCGTATTAACTCATGCGGCACGCGCTATGCTTAACCTACGCACGCCTTTTCGTAGTATCAGCACACGCAGTAAAAATACCGAGCGGAACTTTGGTTTTCAAGGCTGCAGGCTTTAGTTCTGAATTGAAGTCAAACTGAGTCTTTTGTATTTTTTCCAGAAATCCTAGCGAAAACATTTTGGAACCATGTGGTTGATTCGAAAGCTTTGAATTAGCGAGAAGCCTTCATTTGATACAAAAATTTGTTTTTGACGTGAATTTTCGATGATGCACAGGACTGTTAATTCGGCCATGACTTGTGCACTTACCTGCTGTTGTCGACAACACTGATTATGCCACTAGCAGGGATCAGACATGCAGCGTGTTTAATTGCATCGACCTTGCACTTCAGTTGGGATTAGGTTTCCATCTTTCAAAATCATTATTTCAGGAATTATTGTGCTTTATATGCTGCCTGCTTCTGGAGCCAACATGCCATCTCTGGAAGAGGAGTTTGAGGAGATAGATAAGGCCAGTTCGTGGCATAAACTGTTCCAAGTAAGTTGTTTCGTCAAACTTTCCTGGAAGCGCGGATGCCTGGCGTGTACGATAAATCGAGTGGCAATGCCGCTTCGTGATTACGATTACACTGGGCTCGCTTGCAGTGTGAGCGTTTTTATCGGGACAGGCATTGTATTCACTGTTCTTTAAAATGCAATCGATTTTCTTTCGGGGAATCGCCTAACTGGTGTATTTTTGGAACTTTTCAGCTGTTTACAAGAATCTTATTATCGTTTAGCGCGAAATATTCATGCCGCCACTGCGCAGCTTGCATCGTTTATTGCGCTTGTGGGATGACTTGTTTTAAAAGGCCTCGATTAATTGGAAATTTAAATAAGCATTCCTGTTTTAGGCATTACGGAACAAAAGTGGCAAACATACTCCAGAATTCAGTATAAACGAATCGAAGAAACCGGAAAGTTTAAACCGCAACCGCTTCAAAGATGTACTGCCTTGTATGTTGTGATTCTTTTCTGTCTGGAATCGCAGTATCGTCTTACTGAATGAGATTGATTACATGAGCGTTTTTGATCTTTGAAGATGATCGCACAAGGGTTCTGCTGCGACCTTGTCAGAAAGGATCGGATTACATAAATGCCAGCTATGTTAAAGTCCCTTCAGCGCGCCGGTCTTACATATGCGCTCAGGTACAGATGCATTTTGTCGTCATTGTCGGGATTGGATTATCCATTAAAAGGCCTTTAAAAATGCCTTGTACTTGAGGCTCGTTCCGTGAAATGTTTATTCTTCCCATGGATATGTAGCGACTCATTTAGTTGACCAAAATTACCTAACATGGCAATAATTGTTGCTGGCATGGGCAGTTCTTGTTGGATACATCATGCAGTCATGTTTTGAGGGTTTGCTTGATACTTCGGTGTATCCATTTGAAGTGGGTGAAATATCTGACGAAATGACGTTTTATAGGGTCCACTTCCGGCCACCAGTGTCCACTTTTGGGAAATGGTTTGGCACGAGAACGTCTCCGTAGTTGTGATGCTAAATAACTTGATTGAGAAAGGCATGGTAAGAATTTAAACGATCCTGTCTATAGTTTCTTTTTGTATTTCATAAAAGTTTTTATTGTCGCTTTCAACTTGTTGAGTGCACTGGGATAATTTTTGATTACTGTTTGTAGCCGACCTGTGCAACGTATTGGCCAGAGACAGAAGGAAGCTCGATAAGTTTTCCAGATGACTATGGCTGCCACACGTTTACTTTAACGCTGACAAAAGAAATCACCAATCCCGTATTTATCACCCGTACAGTCAATGTACGGTATCGATCTACGGATGGCTCTACCTCGAAAGAACGAGTTCTGCAGCAGTTTCACTTTATTCATTGGCCGGATTTCGGTGTGCCCCAGTGTCCCGATGAATTTCTTGACTTCCTGACGGCAGTTAGACAGTCAGGCTGCTTCGACGTAGATGTGAACAAGGAGGAAGCCAATCCTGTTGTTGTGCACTGCACAGCTGGTATTGGCCGAACAGGAACGTTCGTTCTCGTGGATGTTTGCTTGGCCCTGGTCAGTGAGGCTTGCATGTAGCACTTACAGTAATTTTAGTTCACCTGTAATTATAGTTTTTATAGCATTTCTGTTTTTATTTATGTATTTTTTGCAAGCACTTGCAGTGAACTTCTGGTTAGATTGTGAAAAGTTTATCACCCCTCTACAAGTTTTGCACATGATTTTATTGCGGAGATACTGCTTACTTTGATTGCATCTTCAAATTGTGAAAAATGTGTTATCAAAAACCTTCGTAGCTTAATTATTACATAGAATCAGACTTTTGCGACTCGAGTACAGTAATGTTTTTGTGAATTACGCATTCATATTACGCGCTATTACGTTTGTTTGTCGCTGTCGGTTTTGAAATAGTTCTTGCATCAGCATGCGCAAATGCCTCATGGTAATGCTAATATATGCTCGTCCTATTGCAGTTATCACTATATCGGGTCGTGGATATTCCTTCTCAGTTAGTGGAGCTACGTAACATGCGTATGGGAATGGTGCAGACGCCAGAACAACTACGCTTTTGTTATCAAGCAATAATGCGTGGGAAACAGCGCGCCTTATTGGATACACCATCGCCAGCCGTGGCGACATCCAAACAACGCCCCGACAAATTAGAGTTGGTAAGACTAAGATCAGAAGTATCGGTAAACATCGGCTTCTGTTAACATTACCGCTATTGGTTTGGAAGTTGGTGATGTAATAAATGGCCCTTCAGCAATAATTGCAAGTGCATTCTACGAGTTTGTGTTGATATGAAGTTTCAAAAGCGTGGATTAGCATTGTATTTTATTGGTGTCCCTTTTTAGAAGCCAGTGGCTCCTCCTCAGATGTCACCTTCTTGCTCAGATTCTCAGCTTCCCGCTTCGCCAAAATCGCCGCGCCGTGAACTGCTCCGCCAGGATGGTCGTACTCCGTCACTCGATCAGCTGGAGAAGCAGAAGGAACAGAACCGGAAACGCAAATATGAGGGCATGAACGGTGATGTCCCGTTGGTGGACGAAGAATCTCAACTGTTAGACGGAGCTCTGGGCGGTACAGCAAGCCCGGCCATTGTTATTAACGGTATTAACCCGGGATTCGCTGAACAGCAGAAAAGGTAGAATTTTCACTGCATAAGGACTTATCTGTATAGTGCCTTATTACTGTACTCAGTGTACTGTATTGTAAGAATTTTCGAATTACGTTTCGGTGTGCTTTATTGTGACATGTCTTCCCCTACGTTTCATACTTGTAGTTTTTATTTATGATGTTTGAGAGTTCTTGTGGATATTCTTCAGACTATCGTGATTGAAAGGATTTGTCTGTACGAGAGATTTGTCTATAATATTAAAAGAGTGGCACAATAACACGCAGTTGTTTTATGCTTTTTAAGGGATGCCGAAATCCGTCACAGACGGATACAACATAATGAGCAGCTGAAGGAAAAAATTAAAATCATACAGCAACACCAACAACACCCTCCCAACGGATTGTCAGCATGGAAAGCCTGGATGATTAAACTGGCAATTGCCGGCTGTGGTCTAGCGGCTGTATGGGTTTTATATCGCACTCGTGTCAGCTCGTAATTCTTTATACAGTTTGACTCGTTTGCAGTTGCCCAATGCAGTTGGCACTCTGTTTTTGTTAGACATTTGTACCGAAGAGTCACAGATTTCAGCACGGTTGTTTACACGAGCGGGTTGGCTTCGTTATACATAGTTGATTGTATTTTCTTAACTGGAAAAGTCGGCTTTTTATTCTTATTTTTGCGCCATGTATGTACAAGTAGGCTAGAAGAGGGACAAGTGGAAATAAAAACTGATTTTTGAGATGATAGAAGCGCTGTGGAATTCAGGACGTAGGCCACCTTTTATCATTACTTAACCGCAAACAACCACGACTTTGAGCCGTGAGCCCGACAACGCGGTACAATGCGTGGAGTTGCGAATCACTGATCCTGACTGATGAGTGATTTCAGTTTTGATTCATTAGTATTTACTGCAATAAGAAACTGTTTGGATTACTCAAGTCAGTCAAGTTTACTTGACTATGAAATCAACAACCAATAATCTGTTTTAATGAAACGGATCGAATTTCTGCATTACAATACAGAGGTACTTGTACCTGGCTTTAAATTTGTATTTTTACAAGCCTCTGTACCTGGCTTTAAATCTGTCAGCCGCAAAAGTTTTATAAGGAACACTAGAAGAGTGGCTGTATATATCTGCAAAGGGTCATTGTAGTACCACTGAAAAATGGTTCAACTGCCACACAATCAACTTAGAAACTATGAAACAAAAACTATAAATTCACTAGCAAAAAATTGTCCTTCGTGTAACAAAAAGTCTGTTGCCAGAAAAAAAAATTTTTCTTTAAAAAACATCAAAACTTTTCTTTGATAACTCAAATGTTTGATACCGGAATCTGGTTCTGGGAACAAAAACCAACAGAGACCGCAACGAATAAAGTCCTCCCACAGCTGCAGTTAGGTCATAGTTGTTCTGGAAATGCATATCACAGAATCCGGCATCGTTTACTGGCCGGTGTCGGGCTCTTCTTTTTGGCACTGCCGATCGCCCGGCAAGCTGCTTGGAATACTTCCTGCACACCGTCGCCGGTTTTGGCGGAGTTTTCATAATAGCCATATGCACCAATCTTTTCCGCAAGGTTCTTGGCTTCGCTCCCTTTAACCGGCTCCTGCGAATGTCCACGATTTATAGTTTACAGAATTAAATTCCTTGTTACGTTCCATATGCACTCGACATCTTCGCGCAATTACTTCGTAATTTTTCTGCTAACGTTCATACTTGGAAAACGGTGAGTCTTATAACTCAAACAACGAATATCGATAATACCGACAATAGCGTGTATTATCAAATTTTCACGGCAGTCATGGGCAAAAATTTCAGAGAGAACGTTTAAAACATCGGATTAGCTGAATCATACAGATCCAAACTATACAAAGAACTCAGACAATTTATATGGATAATCTGTTGCTTCGCTTCCACTTTCTAAACGTCATACCTGGCGTTGTTTCTGTAGCTGCTCTAAAACGGTTCTATCATTTCTTAAGTCCTTTTTGTTGCCAACTAAGACAAGAGGAGTTTTTGGGCAAAAATGTCGCACCTAGGAGTAAGTACATATAAACAAATTCGGTATGTATTGTCAGCGGAAATGACGTCTTGCACTATGTAAGTAAGTATATGATTTTGACGTATGTATAGCATCTACATTATGTCCTTTAAAATTTAGCTCACCTCTGGCACCCACACATTTCTGACATTATCCAGGCTGCTGGGGTTATCCACGGAAAAACAAATCAGGATGACATCAGTGTTTGGATAACTCAGAGGCCGAAGGCGATCAAATTCCTCTTGACCGGCTGTGTCCCACAACACTAGCTCAACCTATCGTAAGCCGAAATAAACGACCATTCCGTAAAACAAATTCCTTGCTATCACCCTATATTTGTACGTGTGTATAACAATACAATAATATTTTATATGACGTATGGCCCATTACGTTTGTAGTCATAATTACATAAAATATACGCAGATTTGCCGCAGGCATTTTTGTTATTTGCCTAAATCAAATAGCGTTTCCACAAGGACTATAGGTTTTCACTAAAAATCCAAGAAAATAAAAACTGGTTAAATATGCATGTGTTATTATGCCCTCAGGATATGTTCTAGAGCTTCATGAATAATACATGTACAACCATTAATAATTCCGGTGCATGAAAAAAATAATTCGCCATAAAGTAATTTATTACTATGGAATTTATTACGCTATGGAGTAGATAATTATATTACGATAATAATCAGTCGTCTTCCGAAATCTGACTTGCTCAATGGCAGGCCAGACACCGGAATTTATCATTGAACCACTTTCCCAAATCAATTTTTATCTTGTTTCGTAAACACAGTTTTTGTGAATAACGATTTTTACAATATCCAGCACAAAATAAATTATTTCAAAGATGCATTAATTTTAGCCATATGAAAGTAAAACGGATACCGAAAGCAAGGTACATATATAAGGTCTTTTGTATACCTTGGCGAAAGTGCAGGCCGATCTGTGAAGGGATCGACGATCCTACCGATTCGGCGTGCCATGAAGCGCTCAAATAAGTTAACTTTTTTTTCTGAAAATAAGTTTTTTGAAAAGATTTTCGCTGTTATGCAATTGTTTGCCTGAAGGCAGCTGTCACAATGCGATACCTGGCGCAGAAGTCACTTCGAACCAGTGTTACACTAACCAGTAGGGTGACAAATCGTTCACTGTTGTACTGAATGTAGCAGTTTTATGTAACGACGTCAGACTCTTTTAAATAATTTTGTTTCATGTAATATTTTTTTATTTTATTAAACTTGATGTAAACTCATTTAATAAAATATTTTAATTTAAGTACATCAACCATTTTTTATTTTTTTTTAATTAACGCATCCTGCTATCCTGCTGAATTGTTTGGTAAGCTTTTTATTCATTCACTAAACATACTATAATAATAACTAACCAGAAATAAATTTAGCGCTACGTTCCGGTTTGTGAATCCTTTTAATTAGTCAGATATCTAATCTTCACCAATGTTTTGCACAAAATATTTTTTCAGATTATTGCTGCATCTGTAATATAGCAGTAACAAAAAATTCTGCACGGAACATATGTTATATTACAGCAGTTAGTATTAATAAAATTTGTCACAATTAGGCTGTGTGGCCAATCAATATCGAAGAAAATTTCAAGCACATATACTTACCATATTTCCGTCCACTTCAAAATTTGCGGTCATACTCTCAAATACTGTTGGCACGTATTCCTCGAAGAATTTATTTTCAGCAAAACGATACAGCAGACATGTCTTTCCACAGCTGTAGGTCAAACATATCCATTACTGCGTTGTATTAATATTTCTCCTCGCAAAAACATTACCACGGGTAATTACCAAATACTTACGCGCCATCTCCCACAACAATTAGTTTCTTCCTGTTACCGGTGCGGTCTTCCATATCGATTGGCATATTGGGAAAAAAACTTGTCGGATCAGTCCAATGAAGCCAAATTAGAACATTCGTCGGACATCTGATCTCCAATGCGTTAAGTGCACGTCATAATTCAATTTCCACTTTATGGAGCTGTGTGCATGTGTAAAATGGTCGATTTGGTAGCGCGCGCACACTGCGTTAAGACGCTGTAATAAAACAGATTACGTAGATTTTGATATATTCCACGCCGTTCCGATCAGTCAGCAGCCACCAGCCAGCAACACTCGGTTGCACTCATTTAGCCTCTGCATAAAAGCTGATAGTGTATCAACAATTTTCTATAATGTTAGGTGACTTTTCAACTTCTCCGTGTCGGCAACGGCACATAATGTATAAACCAAGTGTTAATATTAACCATTCGGATTTTGATGGGAGTTGGTCGTATAGTCATATATTCGCCGGGCCACCACCGAACTGATATCTTTCTTGCCGTGGTGTATATTTATCGCCGTATATACGCAGCAACAATTATGCTACAGCAAATGTATTACGGAAACTAATGTTGCCCGTCGAACGGTTCAACAGTACTACATTCTGACATGGCTAAACACATTTGGCACCCCATTTCAATCACAATTCACCACTAGAAACACATGCACCAGTAATGTCAACACGAAAAATTCCTTTGCGCGCTCACTGTACTAGACTGTGAGTTTATTAACACACAGAGATGCTGCGCGAGTTGAAATGTTTGTTGCTGATCAGCTATTATGAAATCCCGCAAATCCGCGTCGTTGCCGAATTCGAGCAAGTTGTTTGTGTTGTTTGCAGTTTTTTACCAATATTTAATAATGCCGTAAATTTTTACACGCGTTATGGTGAACGCCATGTTTACTACAATTAATTCTGCGTGTCCGAAAGTATAGTAGATCTTAACTACTTTACTTTACAATAATTATTGTCCTACGCGTTAATTTGATCTACCAAAGCATAGTCCTGGCCTTAACCAACCCGCTAGATCCTCGTTTACCTAAAGTGGATAGGGTGCATGAATGAAAAATACGTATTTATTTTGAATGCCTTTAAAACTGCCATTAAAAATTGAAATTTTCGCTGTATTACGGCAGTTATAATCAAACAAAGGATCACACTCTTTTGACATTATTATATATAGCTGTAGATTAGTGACATGTATCACACTGCATACTTTTGCAAAATCTGTAACCTCCAGGAAGCCGGGTACGGAATCCACATTAGGCAGTGGCAGGCATCTTGATTTAGTGAAAAATAAAATATGTGAAATTCATATGCAAAATTGAGTTGCGATTCCTGTTAAAGATGGTGATATGGTGTAATTTTAGGAATTCCGTAACTTTGTTTCAACGTAGAATTACAGCATGTGCAGAACTATGCAGATACGTGCTGATTTGTTGACTTACAATTTTACCGTTGATTTCGCACTGCACTCTGAATTCGTTTACGCCTGTCCACTTAGCACTTTCCAATTTTTTTCACCGGCAGTTTTCTACCGTGTCTATTCACGACTCTATTGCCGAAACTCATACTGGTATGCCTGCGTTTATATTATACATACAATTCACAATTAATGTCAGAGCTAGAAACGAATACTTTTAAGATTACACTGTCATCCATATTAACGCTAGAATGGTAACATCGAAGCAGATAGATACAGTTTTTTACTTACATGCGCTGGTACAGCCGGTACGACATCTAGACATCTGAGTACTTAAAATAACAATTAACCTTCATCATTCTGCGGGATGTCTGATTGTCTATATTTTGTATCGGCATGTCTATCTTCTTTTGCAGTCACTCGCGATGGCGACTAGCACATGTCCATCTTATTCGTCAAAATCAACGCGAAACGTCATTTTATGGTATATATTGCATCATTAACGTGTGTCTTTTTGTTTTCCCAAGGACGCCATCATATTTGCTATTAAATTTCATTTTGGACAAAATCGCCATAACTCTGAACAATGCAACTGTGATTAACCGATCATATTACCTTACCTCGTTGTACACTTAGGTACGTTGCATCGTTATGCTGATCATGTTTGTGACATATGTTCAGTTCTATGCCGCACCCTTGCCGTCGCTAGTTGTCAGCTGCAACGATTACCTATGCATTTGTTGCGCTTTAGAAATGATGCGCTGGAGCTGCAGGAAGATTTCTAATTTTAGCTGCATTTAATTGTCGCATGTTTCTTTAGTTTCTGATAATTGTGTATTTGTGTTGATAAATAATTTGTTGCCGATTATTTTTGAAATCAGATGTAGTCTTTAATTAGCGTAATATTACGACATCCGACGGTTAACACAACAAATTAGCAATTACTTAATTTGGATTTAGTTTTGTACATATGCATGCCCATGTCATCGCAGCTGGCTCGCCAGTTACCGGCCCCACCGTCTCCACAGATTTTCTTCCGACAAGCACCGGCACGTCGCTCTGCAGGCGGCCTGGCACAGCTGGATGACCATGGTACTCACCCTGCGGATGATTGTAATAATTTTGAGTCGGAATCTTTGTCGGGACCGCCTGATTCATCCTATACTCATCCCACTTCTGTGATGGATCACTACTGCCGAGACTCTCCGTCTTCCGCGTCGGACAGTACGCGCCGCTCCATTCTGTCCACACAGGATGAACCGTTTACTCCCATTAGGAATTTAGCCATTTTAAACTATCAAAAACGCAGCATCTTCAGTCATGTCTTAGCCGGACATTCCGAATCCGATAAAGGCTATGAGCCATCGGGCAAATGGCAGTGGTTTAGAGGGGTCTGGAAAGGTCACGAACGATTATGCCTGGCGTCGACATTCCTGGCCATCATTCTGATAATTATTGGCGGGATTATTGGCTTGTATTTTGCTTGTGAGTGAAGAAGAGATGCTTTACTATAAATATCTTCTGTATAAGAATCAATAAAAGTCAAGATTCTTTAATTTACATGATTTAATTCAGTTTTCTGAATATTGTGTACATACTGGAAAAGTATGTAATACAGAAAACCCAATATCCAGGAACTGGAATTTCAAGCAAAACTTTAATTCATCACACTTTGCGATTATTAATGTCTTTTAGTTCGTGCGTCAACAGTACATTCTGTGCCCGCAAACGCTAATCAAGAAATCCAGCATGCTCCACGAATTGGCGTGCGGGTAGGAGATGTGACCGTGGGGATTGCACCGGATTCGCCGTCATTTGGAAACGATTTGCTATCACTGCCCGATCCGTATGATGGCAATAAACAAAAAAGTGCTGGCTTCGATGTACCTCTTGGGGTGGAAGTGGATTGTAATGAATTGTACACATTTCGTTGCGGTATTAATCAGTGTCTGCCGATTCCCGTGTGGTGCGATGGGAAAGTGGACTGCGATGACCGGTCTGGTAAATGCTATAAAATACAACAATTTGACCAGCAATTTACAGTGCAGCGAATGCCAGCGATAACGTTTCATACGATAACATAATTATGCTTATAAAATAAAGTTGTAAGTTTATAAAATACCGTTCGGATTAATTATAAACTTATAAGTTATTGTTCCTTTTATTTTCTCGACACACGCTGCACGACCTATAAAAGTTTGCTGTTGTCGTGCATTGCTGTAATTATTAATCAAATTATTTTCCAAAATTAATCGTCGCAGACTTATGTAACACTTGTATATGTAGTGTGTTTTAATTTCCATTTTGCAGATGAGCTTGAGGAATGCGCCATGAACTGTCCGCCGAGATTTTTCGCTTGTTTAAACCACAGTTCCATTCGCTTTGATAAAACCCACGACTGGTGTATACCGGAAACACTGGTCTGCAATGGGATTCCGGATTGTGACGATCTGTCGGATGAGTACTTCTGCCGGTGTAATGCCGAACAAATTCGCTGTACGGATGGGATATGTAAGAATCGCACGGAGATCTGTCGCGGGACGGATACCTGCACATCCGACACGTCGGAACCACTGCACTGCAACTGCTTAGACGATCTGGTGTCGCACAAATTCTGCGACGGATTCCCAGATTGCGCCGACAATCTCGATGAAATTGAATGCTCGGCTAACTGCGATGCCAATGACCAGTACGCGTGTTGGCGATCTGGTTACGGATGCCTACACAAGTGTGTTACGCTAATTATAATTTAAAACATATGCACATGACCGATATCTATATTTTCACAATCAAAATGCATTGCGAGTCGGTATACGCCTGTCGGGGTCACCTGGTGCAGACTGCTTTATGCAATCAATTAGTGGTTTTCATTCATAAGTTTGTAATCTTACTGCTATACCGATCTATAGATTTAATTAATGTTCAGTTTTTATAATATAACCGCATAATTCAACACTTTCATTATTAACTTATTAATCACTAAAATATGTAAACAGATAAGTTTTTGCAAAAAATACAAATAGAGGAGTGTTGTTAATGTATTGTAAGTTCCTATCTGCTAGTTATTTGAACCTGTGCCCCTAGCAGAATTATTATGAAAACCAATAATTTTACACTGCCTAATGCTTTTATCGGCTGCTAATTTAATCATTATGGCTAAAATGTACAAAGTGAAAAATTTTTTCGTAGAACGTCGGTTTGTGACGGCATAAGAGACTGCGCGAATGGAGAAGACGAAGAGGAATGTATGCGCTTACTGGGAGACGGCGACTCTATTCCCGACACTGTGGACTACGTTGGATTGACCCGGCCGGCTGGAATTGTGTTGGTGCGTCGCTGGGGCACAGAATTCCACCCGGTATGCCTGGCACCCACGTTTGACTTCCAGACGGAATACGAAATTCCTACTACACTGTGTAACCATCTGGGATATGCCCGATTATTATATGCCGAGCCGCTGACTTTACCCAAGACACCGCAAAATACACAGGCCAAATTCTTTTCTTTGACGTCCCGCTTAGTTGGCAGCGATCCCACCCGTTTCTTTGTCCCGGTGAAGAACTGCCAGTCCGGTAATGTCCTGCGCGTGCACTGCACGGAGATGATGTGTGAACCGCGACTATATCGCAACAAGGGCGTGGTGGTGACGGAAAACGGAGAGCTGATTATTAAACGGCAAGAACAATTTTTCCCCTTTGTGGCCCAGATTTACAAGCGTGTATGGAGCAGTTGGGTGTTACGATGTGGTGCAGTGATTGTGCATCCTTTGTGGCTGATCACTTCTTCCGGCTGCATAGACAAGTACGTACCACTAACGCAATGTTGACCTTAATTATTGTAACATCAAAATTTGTTAGCATTAATAACTCTAAGTAATGAATACATAAATTATGTTACTGTACTTCCTTTTTAAATATTTATATGTGCGTGCAAGGGAAAACTCTTCAGTATTTCAGTATTTCATTACGTAAACGTTTTGGGCAAATACCTCGTCCAGGGAGTTTTAATTTCCATATGCTGCTCACTAACAGCGTCGTTAATTTTCCATAAAATTTCTTTTTTATATTGACGTATTGCGTAATAGTTTTGCCGATACATACTGACTCGATATGATGCTGTACAGGAACGGTTATTTCAAAGTGTTGGCCGGACCTTATTGGCAAGGGACCAATCCAAAGTTGATGCAGAGCCGTGACATCACAATGATCGCCATGCCACCGGAAACGTCAACATCAAGCGGTCGCAACGAAATACTGTTGGCCCGCTTGGATCGTCGGCTAGAGTGTCATGATTACCTGCGGCCTCTGTGTCTTCCGGATCCGAATGTGCAGCCAGCTGTCCATGCACGACTGCAGCCAACACTGCCAACCGCTGCCGGGGTCAACGTTAGTGGGAGCACAGTCGACTTGGCGCATTGTGTGACACTGGGGTGGAACGTTACCTCCAACAGAGGTTTGTTGCTCCCATCTCGGCTAACAATCGCAATTAACGGTTTTGTTTGTTTCTGCAGTCTGAACTACTATATGAGTACTGCGCGTAATAATACCAGTGGTATGCAACTAAACAGCGATACAGGATACTCTGTACAAAGTACTGGTTCGTGTTAGCTGTGCTAGAAGTATAGGTAAATGTTATAAGGTTACAGAAATTTTAAGTTCCAGCACTACATACATTACTTTTTTGTAAAAAATAATGTCCCAAAGTAATTCACTTATTATAATTTGTTCCCATATAGAAAAAACTCACTGTTCATAATCTCGCTATCTTTGCTACCTACATGCGGATATAACCACAAAAAACTTACTGCATGCATATCTACAGATATTCGCTGTATCAAAAACATAAACCTTATGCTTTGAATAAAATAAGACTGATAATTAAAAAAAATTGCAGCGGCAAACATTCCCTACCCCTCCGAGTTGCACGTTGGACGGGAAATGCAAATCGTATCACCGGAAGATTGCAGCCGCACTTTGTGGACACGGATTCAGGAGCCGTTGGACTCGTTAATTTGTGTGCGGGTGTCCAACCGTGAAAGCTCCAATATGTTGTCGGATCCTGGAGGCGTACTGGTGTGTGCTTCACCCGACGGCTCCAAATGGGATCTTAAAGGCGTTCTAGCTGGCTATAAAACGCGAGTAACTGGCAATTTCGTCAGGATGTATGCTTTGTATTCTCGAGTAGATCAGCATCTTGGGTGGATATTGCGGGAATTCACCAATTCTGATAGCGTATCGCCATAAATTTATAGCCAGAAAAATTGACGTTTTTTTACATCGATGACCTCTCTCACCAATGTGTACTTAGCTTACATGTGAGCAACGTGCTCAGATTATGTATTCGTAAAATAAAAATTATATTTCGTTAGTGATATTTTCTGTAAAATTTTTCATTTTTCAGTGACTAATTGCACATTGCACACAATATTGATAGGTGTGCGAAACTACGAATAATACGATATATAGATACAGAAGCTGTCATATCATGGCCTTAGTTCTATGTGTGATAGAGGGAATTATGGAACAGAATTACTGCCGTGAATATAAGTACATTGACATTTTGACGTGACATCTCATTATTGTGCTTACAGATTTAATTCTCGCATCGAGATGTATGGCTTCAGACATTTTCCAAACCTTCTCGTACTGGATAGGTTGCAATTGTTGACCCTGAATACAATACATAAATTTATGAATTATGAAAACAAATTATTATTTTATGAGCGCACAGGTACGCGGCAGTTTAACTCGTGCAAATTTTATGTAGCTTCAGCTTTATGATTACCGATTGCGAATGGAAAGGCAACTTTGCTTGCACCGCTTTTAAGTCAATAACAGCAGTTTAAAGATAAATTTTGGAAGTGAATTTGTTAGTTATTGTATGCAACAGTCAATCCAAATAAAACGCTGTACATTGTACCATGCGTTCTCTATCATAGCTAAACCGGCCTTTGTTTGTATTTATCTTATCACGACGGTTACAAGTTAGTGTTGTTCGTAGACTAAGATTCTCCGACATTGCAGCGCAACAGGTGAACACACTAAATACGCCAACAAGTGCCTCTGTTAACGTTATAAAATTTAAATTTACAGGTAGTACAGAATATTCATAAGAAAAACACAGTTAGAAAGGTTTTTTTATGATCGCACCGCAATGGTGTATCAGGATGGCATTTAATTGGTAAACCGAACACATAATATTATTATAATTGCTCATATGGTCAGCTGGAATTATTTTTCCATATCAGTCGAGATGCCCTTGACCAGTTGTTGCAAGAATTTATTTGCTTGATCCCGGAATCTTCTTCCCGTTGGCAAACGTCGATGTTGCCGCTACTCTGATTGTAAATTAGGACGTATTTGTACGCACAGAAAAATCCAGCATAATGGAGTAAATCTCAAAATTTTGTATTACAGCAACATTGTAAAAGTACGCAAAGGGCTTTTTGTTTTTTACAGTTGTAAAGAACCCATAGTCAAATGCCTTTATCCCACGTTGAGATAATCAGTCTGCTTACGAGGTTAGCGGAAGAGGAATGCCTTGTGATAATGCCGAATTCAAGCAAAACAAAATCTATAAAAGAGTCTCCTCCCCTACAAGCTTCGCGTACGTATGTATGTAGCTATACTAGCTGGTTTGTTCAGAATAAATTCTGTTCAAGCGATTGATAAAAAAATTACATTAGTACTTCTTGGAGTTATCTGATATTCTTTAAATGATTAGTAGACAGACACATTACGTACAGTCAGTGGGCAGCAGTGTCATTTGATAATTGCACTCACTTCCATAGTAATCTATTGGAACAGAAATCAAAAACACTTCTACAAGTTACGATATGTCATTGTTATAAATAATAGCCTGGCTACTTAAAATACCGGTGCTCGTGCAAAGTACGCGGCCACATGTTTTATGCATAATTCTTTTCAGATTCAACCAAGTCAGATATCACCAAAAGTTTTCGGGAGAGTTTACAGAGACGAGGGGCTCAACGACGGAAAACAAAAGAAATACAATGGACTCTGGAGTATTTCCTGCGTAACCTTGACATGGAAGACAAAAAGTTGCGAATGGACCAGCTTATCGTGCTGTTCGACGAATTTGACGAAGTTTTCGATTTTGGAGACGACGAATTAATGCAACTCGATCTGAAGCAATGGATTCAAGACTCGCTAGATCCCGAAAAAGAGGAGAATATTATTATACGAGAGGCTGTAATAACAAGAATACGCCACATCTTTCCTGAACTTGTCTGCGTAAAGGTTACCGAACTATAAGTCAGCAGGTCAATAATTATTCATCTGTGCTTGCTGAAGATTAACGTTTTATTTATTAAAAACTGGTGTTGTTTAAAAAACATTAATTAAATTATAAGTCATTTTTGAGTTTTAGTTGCAGTTGTTTTTATGATTACGCAAACGCTATCTGCGATCTCAAAATCAATTTTAATAATTTTGGCATTGGCAGTTTGTGTCTAAGGCACCAGCGACCGCTTAAACGGTAGTAAGGATTAGATTCAACTTCATAACATACAAATAAAAAAAAACGAAAAATCATACACAACAGGTACAACAACGCATACATATTACGGAATCGGGTCAAAATTACAAGGGTAGTGTGTGTACTACACTAACGCTCACAGACAACAATACTTCCATAGGAATCAATAGTGTAAACCATTGCAAAAAAACTCCTTCAGAAATTCTCACGCATAAAATACATTATACACAACCATCCTTTATCCGGCCCAGAGCCACTCTCCAGCTGCTCCAGTCCACCGGGAGAAACGAGCACCACTTGCCAGAGGTCAATCGCACTCTGGGACAAAACAGGGAACCGTCTGCCAACAGCCAACATCCCGGTACGGCATCCATATTCCCCTCCATCGAAAGACAAAACAAACAGTCCCCAAAATACTGCACCGATCATTTTCGTGCTTTACAACATCTGCTCCGATTCCGGCCAGAACATGGACGCACCGACATTCTGCCCGGCTATCGTGTTAATCCCCGCCAAATAGCCGCCAGTGGGATTGCCAGCCACGCTGGTTGGATGGGCTGACAGGTCCCCGAAGAACATGTCAAACATCGAATCGGCATTCGTGCCAAGGAAACTCTCATCCATCGCACTATGACCAGCCGTCACGTCATGGAATGATGGGGTATCCGCTTGCATTTCTTCATGACGGAACGGCGACACACTGAGAGCGGAGCGGTCTCCCATGTGGCCCATATCCATACCAGCGGAATTGCCCAGAAAGCCCCCATTCCCGGCCAGCCAGCTATCCAGCAGGGCCGAAATATCGTCATCATTCATCGACTGATTGCCGGCGAGATGATTATTATGGCCACTATTACTCGTATCATTAAATGCATTATTATAATACATCGCGGCATCTGTTGAATAGTCCATGGAGGGATTCATGGGGACCTGAGATACGTCGTGATGATCATGTGCCATAGACTGCTGCTGCTGCTGATTATTCAGATATTCCAGCAGCGCCAGCTGCTGCTGGATGGCATTGAGATCGGCGGTGTCGGCGCTGTTGTTGTGCTGTGACACCGGAGAGCCATGGTTAGCTGGACTGATACTGCTAATAGGAGGCAATGGAAATGTGTTGCTGGGCGGGCTAGGCTGGTCCGAATACAAAAAGGATGTGCTACTGGGATTGGAAAGGCGACGATCATAATAATTATTGCTGGCTGACACCATGGGATTCTTTGCGGACTGCGGCGGTTTGGGCGAATGCTGGAGAATGACACTCTTGGGCAAAGCGTCCTGTGCAGCACTAGGAGGGAGTTCTACAAATAAAATTGTTGTTACAGAAGTGAATAATATGTTATTTCGGTAAACAAACTTAATGACTGCGAACTATGATGATTTTTAGTAAAGCCTATACAGCAGTTTAATAAAAACAAACAAAAAGTAGCCGTTGCGATCAATGTGTTTCCATGAAATATTACATGAACTTGACTGCATTTGCTAATAATTAAAGAAATTGTATAAGTAATTTTCTAGTAAGACACAATATAAAAACGCTAATGCAGATGCAGTATCAGTATGCTTCTAAGCTTTTGGATAGATCATAGAAGTGCATTTACCTTTTCAATACAGTAATATTAATACGAAAACATTTTTTAAACCACTAAAATGTTCTTCGAGCACAATTTTAGCAAAACTTTTTTCTACTTTGCATTGCAAAAGCTCTTGATTCTGCCTTAACCTAACCCCCGCTCACTTGAATCACTTGGAAGTAATTATCTCGAAAAAGCAGTAGCAGCAGTTTTAATGTCAACAGATGTCGAGTTCTCCGGTCGACACAAAGTTCTTGCACATGAGCGTATAATTTCAGATGCGCCTGTCTTCCTTAACTGATCTATTGCGTAAGAGTTCAAATTAAACAAACCGAATATAAAACTGTACTTGTGAACAAAACTGCAGCCACTTATCCATTGATGCCGCTAAGCCAGCACATTTTAATTCAGCTATTACTAATCCCGCATAATGCACGTCTTCCATCCGATTTTTTCCACCACGTGCACCCGGCAGAAGCGGTCAACGTCACCTTTGTCGCATACCGAAATAGTTTCAAAAATGCCTGCGGTATTCTTAAAGAAAAAACAAAATGACTCATATGCCATTTATACCAACAGAGAAAAAATTACCGCGTCACATCGTTAACGATTCATCTTATGTCGAAAACATCTCAAATTAGCCTGGTTATTAATGCAGGCCGAGGCATATTGACAGTGCAGCGTCCAGCAGCCGTTATGCGGAAGCACGTAAAATTTCTCATTTTCGACTCCGCAGTTACGAAGTAATACCTCGGCATATGAAATCCTCAATCAACACGCACACCACATGCCAACAAGAGAGTATAATTCAACAACACTATTAACAGTGGTGTTAAAAAACGTAACCGCAAAATGCACCGTGGGAACAGACAATATCACCACCCTTGCCAGGCACCACAGCAGTCACTAGGGCAGTGCAAAAGAAGCATTTACTAGTGACAGTGTGTCCGTTGATCGGCTTAGAAAAGTAATCATATTCATAGCGATCTTGCAACTTCAAACTTAATCTGATTAACCTGTAATGTCTTTCTTCGTTACAAAGTTACTTCGTTTCGTTCTTTTTCGTTTCCAGCACGTACCGTAAAACAAATCACTAACGAAATCCAATTAAATCTGAACGCAACAGCGTTATTCTTACCTCCATTTCGAATGAGTATCTCCAGGACGTCATCAATGGCTTCGCTTTTGATACAATCCGTCGTCGAAGGCGGAAACGAGCAATGCGGAGCAAAACAATTTCCGGCACTTTCGACCTTAGTCGCTGATGGGTTATTACCGAGCATCAAATGTCTTTTCCCATCATCCTCCTCCACATTGGCCCCATTCTGTGCCATACTCTCATCCGTCATGACACTGTCCACACACATACCACTATTCTCTTCATCGTATGCCGCACCACCCAACGCGTAACCATTTTGCATCGGAAAGCGGTCACCCGAGCAATTTGACGTCGCAACCGGCGAGTTCTCCAGCACCTTCTTTTCCTGCTTCTGCTGCATCTGCATTAACAGCTTCTGCTGCAAATGTTGCTGCAGTTTTTGCATCGACGTCGGCTCAAGCTCGCCAGTCGTGGAAGTCGACTGTACGGGGGGCGGCGGAGCGGGCACCGGGGCGGGCTGCTGCGGGACGGGTTGAGCATTCTGTTGCGCTTTCTGGCTGTCGATCACCGCATTAAGATTGAATCCATTTATCAGATTCAACGTGGAATTCAGTCCATTCATTGTGATAATGTAAGGCATGGCATTTTGCTGGACTTGTAGCGGTGTCGACTGAAACGTCAATCCCGACATCTGACTACTGTGGGTCGGCTGCGACGTGGCCAAAAAGATGGTCGGCAAAGTATTGAGGACGGTAGGCTGCGCGCGGGCCTGCTGTGGAACGGGCATAGGTTGGTCCACATCCATCGGAACAGTCGACGGAATCGCACTGATCTGGAGATTCTGAATTTGCGGGACTAGTGGCGCCGACACGGTGGTCGGCTTCAGCACACCATTGGGAAGCTGCAGCGCCAAGGTTTGCAAGGCGATTGCGGTGGCCTGCTGCTGCTGAACGGGATCGAGTTGGAGGAAAGAGACTTGTTGACCCGGTCGCAAGGATGTCAAGGACGGGAGTTCAAAAGGTTTCGTTGCGGATGCTTCCGTCACCGTCCTCTCCGTTGGCTCCTCCGTCTTAATTTCCGGTGGTGACTCGGCATTACTGTTCGGCGGCGTCAGATTGCCGTTAATCTGATCATCCGGATTAGCGTTCAGGTAATTTTTTAATCTCTCGAGCAGTTGCGGTTTAGCACCAGACACCGGAAGACTGCGCTTCTTCAGCTCTGCTTTCAGATCGCTCACTTTCAGATCATCGAGTTTAAATGGTTTCTTCGGCTTTTCTTCCACTGATTTTTCAGGTTTCACTTCCTCCAGAGAGGGTGCCGGAGTCGGTGGTTGTAGAATGTCGGGATTCGGCGTAACGGTTCGAATAACTAAGTTACTGGACGGAGGCGGCACCGGGATGGGATTCTGTATTGGGAACGCAACCGTCACATGTTGCGCCTGACTAGGCCGACTGGTTTCCACATTACGGAGAATAGCATGGTGCATCACCGGTTGCGGCTCATTTTCAATTTTAATCGCTTGTTGTTGCGGTTGAGTGGTCAACACTTGAGATACGCTGTTATTATTTGTGACCACCGCTTCTTTATGATCCACAGTGCCCCGTTTTTGCTGTGCCTCCAGTTCCCACTGCAAAAACAGCTGTTGTTGTTTTAATAGCAGACGATAGGCTGTTTCGCTCTCCGTCGCGGAAGTATTTGCTTTGGCTGATTCATCGGCAACAGCTGGTTTTGATGTATTCTTATTCTGCACTGGCGGGCCTTTGTATTCGTGGAATTTAATCGTTCTGGTCTTTTGCGGTACTGGCGGTTTAGCTCGGCATTTCTTACTGCTGTTCCGGCGCTGCTGACTGCTGTTTGTGGCAGTAGGTAACGAGGCAACGGAAGCAATTCCAGGAGACGACGCAACATTGGTCCCTGGATGACCTTGACTACACACGAGCGCAGCAGCGGATGTATCACCCTCGGCGCTGGAGCGTCTACGCTGCGCTAACAGCGACGATGAGGTGGGTTGTTGTATGAGATTACTGGCGGCAACAAATGACTGCTGAGGCGATGGACAGGAGGAAGACGGCACCACGACGCTAGCGGGCGATGGCGCTTTGGACAGCGATTCAAGGGAGCCTGGTGTCGATGGGATGCCATTGACAGACGTGGGCGATGTCACTTGTAGATCTGTAAATACATCAGTCTAACTTAACAACATTTCACATCGAGTCTAGAGGGCATATCAAAGGCATATTCATTAATAAAAATATGCGAGCCAGATGATTACAGCAGACAATCATCGTTTTGTAAGGTCAAATTAATAAAAGCACATTTCAAGAAAAGCTTGTTTCCTAGTTGATCAGCGTGTTTCCGGTAACCAGAAATCTGACAAACATGGTAACACTAGGGCAAAATCCACTTTCCATTTAAGTTAAGTTAACCGGCAGTTTTGGTTTAAACCCTTAAAATGGGACAAATGAAAAAAGCGTAAAATAAGCAGAATAGCAATAACTCAGCAGTAAACTTTTGGTCATTCAAAACAAAAACCTAAACCTTGAAATTTAAACTTTTATTGGTAGTTGCAATGCGTCTTGGCATGTCTCTCTAAAGAAATCGAATGGTGCACAGTGCATAAGCGCATAAGCGTGGTTTTTAAATTCTGCCCCAGAATTTTGTATAAAATTATTTTTACATAATTACAATCTGTCAGTATTGCCCGGTCATCGCCTGAAGTGTAATGCGATTATACCCCGCTGTCGAGAACGCCAGGAGCGCTCACGTGGGCTATTCCGAAGACCCTCAAGATATCCTGCCCAAAAATCGGAGAAAATTCTTCGCATACCTTCGGCAGTTATGAACACTCAAAAACAGGCAACGGTCGTCACCTGTGAATGGCTGCATTCTTTAAACTTCGCTCCTGGAAGAGGCTTGTGTGCAGATTATAGTTTCCCATTTCAATATGTAACCTAGGCTGCAGCCTATCTAAGCGACGCTTTCCTATATGGAATCAGGACAGCTTTGCAGTGAAAACTGGCACAGTAAATTAACTCTCTTGTTGTGATCGGGAACCAGCAGCATTATGTTCGCTCCCACGGACGAACATACCAAATAACTTTTCTTATAAATATTTTTTATTTACCTTAGCACCAATTAAAAAAGTGTTGGGCAAACTTGAACGCATTATAACCCTAAAGGCCCAAATAATTCTTTTCGAATTCTGGCGCAGCTGTTCCTAGCTGAGTGAAGCTGATTCAGTTCGCTGTAATATACTCTGCATTGACTCAGGAATGTCAGAACTCACACCAAATACCGTTTTTTACATTTATGATGTCGTTATTGAAAAAATCGTAAAATAACTCAACTATGACCGATTAGGTGCACCAGTTTAAAAATTATCCATTACGTGATACTGTCGGCCATTATTACGTGCCTTTCAGGTTAGCGAGTGTGCTGGTCGGACTGCTGGCCGAACTACTGCCGTCCTCCTCATCCAGATCACGATTGGGGCCAGTTGGTCGACCAGTTTCCCCTTCGCAGGTCTTTCGGAAACTAATACTCCCGTCTGTAACGAAATAAGCACGCGCCATTATATACACACACATCGGATAATCCTTGATAAAACTATTTTTATCCGATCTCAGCACTTAAAAAAGTCTCTAAGCACAATCTGGGTATCCTTTAACGTGTACATGCATGGTTACATAACCAAATAATCAGCAAAAACTACACAGTTTAAAATCAGAGTCAGCCAACAGAAAACAGGATTCCACCGTACACGCTTGATTAAAAAATCAACACTGGCTCGTTTTCAAACTTCACTACCACGAAGTCCAAGTCAATACTCTTAAGAGTGCGACTGAAACGGAGATGCAACAGTTGCTTCTTCGTGTTACTAACGCCGTAATGGGAAAAATATCCTGAACCATTCCAAAAAATCTCTAATGATTTTCTCATCAATTGGCACCATGGGAAAAACAGCGCATTTGCTCTTCTATTACGGGTGCAAATGCCGTCAATCTTTCCGTAGAATATTCTTCATTTTTCTTACATAACCAAGAAAATGAATGGCTACACACGTACATACCAATGACGGGATTCGTAGCGGTTTCGCTATCATTGCTGGATAGCCTGAGAATGTTCTCTTGTACCAGCTCGAGCGGACCAGGTCGGTGAGCTATCTTGTCGTTTAGGTAATCCGCCAACTTGGCTCTCTTCAGCTTTCTTTGACGATCATGAAGTGATGGGGCTATTCTCGTATCTAGAACATAACCGAGACACATTACAGAATCCTAACGTTATACATATATATTTTTCTCAAAGTTCGTTGTAAGCCCCAACAGCACGTTGCACCAAGTGGTTACGAAATAGAGAGAAAAAACAGGCCCCAGACACCGTGTGTATATACACATAGACGAATTTCGCCGGTCTCATCCTTTTGATCATGGTTTATATATATTTCTCTTGTGTTATAAAGTACATCGAACAGACGTAAATTTCTTCACGCTCCACAACGAGAGAGAGTACCTTCAAGAATGTGCTGCTGTACTAGCGCTTCGCGATCGGGGCGTCGCTGAATTTTTGTCTTCAAGATATCACCAGTCTGTCAAAGAAATACACACAAAATCATTAATATATGTCCAAGTGTCCAACCACACAATGCAGTATAAAAAGCTATCAATAGCTGCGTGAGAATCCATAGACAACTGCAAAACAACAGTAACACATACCCTAGCGCGTTCCAGGTGTCGTCGTTGCTCGAAAAATGCCGATGGCGTTTTTGGTGCTGTAAAAATAAATACAACATTTTTGCCAATCGTCATATAGATTTCCACCAATTAACAAATCCTCCCACAATTGCGTGGCCAAACTCTTTTCTTGCCATGGACCAGAAACTAACCATGTCATACCACATAACCTGAGAAATTATATCACAAGTCAAAACGCTTTGGCCAGAATACTGAGAATACGCTTACGCACACTTCACGACTTACTAAATGATTCTTTTGCGCATAATCTTGTAATCAATTATCATGCGTACGTGCTAACTGTCGCTGGCCGTTTAAACCTGTCATTAATAGAGAACGACTAACAACCGGTGTCCTCTATCATTACTATATGACTCACAAAAAATAACTGTATTTCAATGCGGAAAAAAAGCGAAAACAAATTGGTCATTTAACGACCATTATGAACTAAATGCCGTAACAGGTCTGAAAACATATTCTGGGGATCAAAAGGACACGTACCACAAAGGGAAGTTTAAGGGTAAATCATAATAATTACTGTACTTTTCCCGATATCAGCATAAAAATACGTACAAATGTAACGCTTTTACTGAAAATCGAGTTTTCCACAGCTCAAAGTTACCCCATCTTTCACTTCTGCTAACTATTTATCATTTTAATACTGTACACGTATACCGAAACAGTCTCTTAAATTCTAAAAACACACCGTAAGATCCGCTGACAGATGGCAACAAAGGCTCTGCTAGTAACGACATAATAACACTCCACAATCCAGTTCGATCTACAGGTAGCGCAATCATTCAGATGCTGCACTATACGCATAACAGGACTATTCAGCATAGCTCATGCAAATCCCAAAAAGCAAAGTGAGCATTTCATGTTTTGGAAGCTGCAAAAACGTTCATTCAGTGTCGCGAATTCAAAACATACGGCTCGCTTATGGTAGAGGCGGGCCTTGTGTGCTCGGTTTCGTATTCGTAGCGGATCAACATAATACAGCGTCACACTTTTTCCAAGGCATGCAAAAATGACTAACCTTCTCATGACGCAAGAAAACCCAAAATATGTACCAAAATACTGTTTTGATTTTATAAATAAGTACGCTACTCATTTCTTTGTTTTTCTTGTGGAAGAAGTATGAGTTGTAATGACTAGTGTAATAGGTCTCACTATTAGTATTCAATACTCATTTTGGGTCCCCCACTGTTGCTGCATCACTAAAAAAAATATAAAATAAAAGTTTATTACCTGCACAATGAGATACACAAGCATCGGTAGGAAACATCGGAAGTACACAGAATAAATACCCCAATTCTTGCATAAGATAACAGTATTCCCAATAAATACATCCAACAATAATAATAATAACATCGTATAATGTTAGCCGGTACTCTACATCACATAATTAAAATGTACAAAAAACGCATTATTTCACATCTAACGAAATGGTGTCCTCTGTTAGATGACAGAAAGCACCAACTGAAATATGATCATTAATCAGCAGTTATTCGGGCGAAGTAGTCAGTATGAAAATGATCAGACAGTTTAACTTTCACAACCACGATGTCTAAAAGCTCCACTGAAAGCACGCACTCCAACTGAAGACCCTGCATATAATACTGGAACAGGTTTTTTGCAACTTCCGATGCAGAGATTTCAACCGCGATGTAAGACCTCTCAAAATATATGATCGACGATTTCGTCTAACAGTGTATCAGCACCCAAATGTACAGTTAATATTACCAACTGGAAACATTGCAAACGGCGTTATATTTAAAAAACGGCCAAACTTCAGCCAAGCACAACTGTTTCAATTATTCGAGAAAAGACCTGGGTAACTGTTAAGCTGATGGTGAGTTAAAGATCATTTTTCGACACATGGCAAATCGATTAAAATAATGGCCGTCACAAAACTGTGAATCAAATGCACAATTATTTTCATATCGAAATTGGTAGTAATTTAAAGATCGAACTAGTAGGATACTGTTATGCCGAAACGACGGTCTCCGCTGATCAGTGACACCTGGTAAGTTTAATAGTACTCTTATTAATAGCTCCATAGCTTGAAAATAAGTACTAGTACTGTACTACCCGTGTCGGGTATGCGCATAAATTTGCTGAAACACATTCACTTTCATCGTTTCGTTCGGTTTCAAAGATCTTCCAATGAAACAGACATTTTTCACGACAGGTTTTCTATCTGAGTCGGTATGACCGATCTCTCTTATAAATCAACAACATACGCTCGAAGCGACCACAAGCGAAATGAACAGACACCATACTGATTACTAATTGCTTCATAAATACGCTTTTGTTGTCCTCAGTGTATGTGTGACATTCTAAATCGGCATACTTAATAATTTGCGCTTAAGAAATTACTTGATGGCTCATGCTATGCTCGATACTATAGCGCTTGACACTTTTGCCGCCAAGTTCGCTGCTGATATATTCAATTCAAAACAGACATGCTTCATAACGATCTCAATAACATATTCTTTTGAAAAGGGCTTCCCGGCTCAGAACACTGGCACGCTAGTAACCAGCACACAACGTAAGCCGCTCTTGTTGCCGCCTGAACTGTTCAGGCGGAAGTGATTTATGCCTGCTCCGGTTTCGGCAAAATGGGCGCTAAAGAAAATCAAATTTCTGCTACGTACCAGCCTCGGTTGTAACTAAACCGATTTTTGCCACAACTGGAAAGGCGTAATTATAATTTACAACACCCACGACATAAAATATTGCAAGTGAAATTTCCGCTGAAGCAGTATTACTTAAGCACCAGTGTATTATGACTACCCAAATGTGCGTTTTGCCGTGATAACTTTTCAAGCTGTACTTCTAACAATAAAGCACGATCAGTGCGGAATATGAAGACAATCATCTGCAAAGCCGAATATCAAAACACATGAGGACAAAAATTCAGAAAAAGCATACTGACAATCGAATACAAGTATACACTCCCTGGTCTTCCCATATATCAGCCAAACTGCAAATATAAAGGAATTCTAAAGAAATAAATCGTTAGGGTTTTAGAAGTTTCGTCACTGTTGTTGCTGTATGGAACAGCTAATTAGTAATTACTGGTGTACATACAATGGATGAATTGTGAATTTACATCTTATATAAATATTACAGGCATTAAAAGCAGTTGGGGTAATATGAAGCATGTAACGTCTCTACAAATCACAATTTCAGATAATATTATAATCCCAATACAAAGTAATTTTAGAAAACTCTGCTCTGTTTTATCAATTATGTAAATTAAGTCCCACGATTAACCGATCAAACAAAAAATGTACAAAATATCTCACAAAATCAGAAAATGAAAACTATCCCATGGTTCCATTCAAAAACCCTCAAGAGACTGATTGAAAACAACACTGGCCCAAAGCACTCAAAAATGACAACAACTCGATCATCTGTGGAGGATATTTTAAGAAACCAAAGCAGCTAGGTTGAGCTGGCTAGCTGGCATCACCGAGCGCGTGTGCCAAACGAAGCGGAATCACTTCGTAGACTATTTCACCGAACATTTTTTTTCCGAAGCAATTTTTTAGCGCAGGAAGCAGGGAGGCATGATTTTACGGGAGTGAAAGAACCATTCACCACAGAAAGCTCTAAAACAGCTCAACGCAGAACGTACGCGAAAAAGTGAGAGATAATAATTCCATTATTTTATAATCATAGAATTTCGTAGTTATGAAAGTTTTAACAAACAATAATCAGATAAGATGCAAAATGCTCCTCCTTCGTATGTATTTTTCCAGCTACTACTGATGCGCCAATCAATCTGTTAAGTACCATTTTGACCTACTTCGGCAACATAAGGAAAAAATCGATACTGTTCTTTAACTTACAGGTATAAAGTTTAATTACTATTTAAACGAGTCACTACCAATGCCTAGGCACGGTCCAACGTCAGTTAAACAGTTCAGTTGACTCCGGTCATCCAAACGTTTTATTTTAGGAAATTATGCTGCCTGTAACACATCCAGTGCCATAACTCACAGAGCGTACTGAATACCAAAAAATACTATTAAATAGTCAACACATAAAAAGAAAGAGAAACACGACAAATAAAATGCACTAACTAACAATCGGCACTGTTCATACATTACAAGAAATCTGTAAAAACTATTTACATAATCAAATTTACAAAACTTTCAGTTTGCAAACTGTATTTAACGATGATAAGATGGACATTTACAACTAGAGCCAGTCAGGCTTTGACAGCATCTCTGTTGATTTATGACGAAATTTCTCAGATAAAAACATGTAAAAGATTTTGTCGGAAAAGGATCTTCCGTTTCACCAGTACAGCACAAGCCCCGGCAATTAGTATCTTTTTGGCAGCCTCCATCATTTTGAGTCAAAGAACGCTTAATAATTTCCAGCGTAAAAAGCACAGCTGGATGTAAAGGCAATATTTGCTAAATGCAACCAAGGCAGCCAGCACCAACCACGCTACTGATGACTCGCTGTATGAAAAAAGCACTTACGTGGCATGATTCCTTGGTCAACAAGCTGATTAACGGGCCGTCGGAGCATGAGTTTCACCTTCAAAGCTGCAACCAGAAACAAGTGCCAATTAGGCCTATATACAGCGAAAAATTATGGGAAAATTGTTGCAAGCGAATCCTACACATTTTGTTTTTGTCGCGCTGCTTCTGTAGTGAACTCTCATCGACGGACGCCTGTGGAGAACCCTGTGGCTCTCGCGGACTACTCTGATCACTTGGTCCTGCATCACACTGCTCCAGTGTTGCCGTGCCATCGTCCATGTGCAAATCACCAGGAAAATGAGAACAATCCGATGACGATGAAGCCGATGGCATCTCTTCGTCCATTCTTGCTTTTCCAGATTTTCACTTTCTTCCCATTGACGAGACTGATTTCGATAAGACCAATCCGAGTCGATACAGGTCGTATTCCATAAGATTTACCAATAATTAATAAATTACGCATCCATTCACCAAGACCAAGGACGATCTTCGCTTACGACAAGCAATCCGTTGAAGCACAAGCAACACACTGATCGAATAAGCAGACAGTTCAGAACCCATGTCGCATGTGACTGCAAAATGAGAACGATGCGAGATTCCTAGAGATATTAAATGATACTCAAGGTCAGATAATTTCCAAATGGGTGGACACAGAATGAAAACGGTGTTTATGACCACAAATATAATAAACAATAACAATAATTAATAAACGTGAAGAAATGGATTACAGTATATTGTGTTTGTTGAATATTCCCAAATAAATCTAACGAAGCAGGTCCGTTGTCTGGTTGTCATCTTCGTCAAATTCCATACTACTGTACATACGTCGCTCTATGGTGCGCTACCAGGCCAGAGGATGAATGAGGCGAATAAATTCGAATGAATGAATGAACGAGTACGTAGCTGTTCACACAGACAGCCGATACCGCCCGCTATTGCCGCCTTAGTTTCATTCTACAAGTTCCCATTTGTCGGACTGAATAACCGCACCCTTCCTTTGGGAAATGGCTTGTTTCCGAACAATAAAATTAATTTTGGGGACAGAGCATTAATAAACTCATTGTGACTCATTTGTGTTTTACTTGTTAGAACTTTATATCAGTTTATATTATTAAGATAAGTAACCGAGTAAGGTATTCCTACTCATGTAAATGCAGAATTGCGCGCTCAAGTACTGTACAGGTATCTTCATTACATTACAACATTTTGGCCTTTTGCAGTTTCTCACAATTTTACACAACGCATATCGAGGCATTTTCCGAAGAACACCGGATGTTGTGCTCGCATATACCGCTCCCAATTTGATAACAGATCATGTGGCTGCGCACGACAGAGAATGTACAGTATAATAATTATTGTAACTGGATTTATTCTGAATTGGCTTTCATGCTCGCATATCATATTAGGAGTACCCGAACTATGAAAATTAATAAATTTTACGGTACTTATAAGAAGTATCGTGTTGCACAACAAGTCAACAACCGTAGCAATTCAAATTTATTATAAAACTCTTTCAACATAAATGACACAAATATATACATAAGCATTCCTAAATAAAGACGCTATATACATTTTAGAACGCTGGAATTACTACCCTAGCTATAGCTGGCACCGCAACTTATGGTTAGATCGAATATACAACACTTGTACAAGCCTTCTAATTGAATATAATTATACTTTCGACATTTTTAATTACAGTAAGCTGTCGAAAACTTTCATCTTTTTTTTTCTGTAACACAAATCTTTGGAAAATCGAGTAGATCGTAAAAAAACTGTAGCAAAGGCGAATTACATACGCTGGCACACACAGGCGTGTATTAACGTAGTTTCACCTGTTGCTTACACGGCCAGCAGCCCTGTTTGTGTCTGAAGATAAACGTAACTAACATTTGGATCGAGTTCATTTCAAAGTATTTATCACAAAGTTGTCAAACAAAACCAAAACAGTTCTTGTTTTGTCGCCTGCATGAGACCAGAGTTCAAGGATTTGATAAACATGGTAATGCAAGTTTGGTTTAGAACTTTCCGCTGCTTAGAAAGGCACGACAAACGGGAACTGGAAGCCGGAGGATGCTCGATCGTTCGATGCTTGCTAATTTGCAAATCCCGTGGTGCACTGTATAACAAGAACTAACAATAAGAGTCGTTCTGAAATTCTAAAACTTCTGCATTAGTAGTTGAATTAAATTAGTAGTTGAATAAAATTATTATTTATTAAAATTGTAGCTTCGCTTGTGTGCTGATAACGGAAAGGTAACAGTCAGCTTAGTGTTGTTGTATTGTAATTTGTTTTCTAACTTGTGCGGTTGTCACATTTACGCTTGTGGGGAAATCATAGGCAGTGATATCAACCGGCTCAAGAACAAGTGAGAGAAGTATCTCCATACATCTCTATATCATACAAAATCTCTAACTGTTTGATCATGAAGTATTGATTGAAATCGACACCTGTGACCTTTTCAACTAATGATGCTACGGTAGGCATTGCTATACTGGTAACAAGCTTGAATTTCGAGTTGCTAACAGTGACCACTACATAATTTTATTGACACAGTACTCGGAGCATACGCCATAATTTTGGCTTATTACAACATTATCCACGGCGAAGGAAGTATCCCAGCTGCCTTCGGCTCCTCCAGAATCAGTAGTCAGTGTTAAGGATTACATGTTTAACAGGTAGAACACTGGTTCGGGGACCACGGCAAATAATCTCACGTTTCAAAGTGATACTGTTATACGCCACTTCATAAATTTTATAAACTTCTGTGGCGCAAACGAACCCGGAAGTCTTGTGTAACTTGCGCGAATGTCTTGACACACTTATGTACAGGATAAGGTGGTTAAATCACATAATTATTGTGCAGTAAACGGTCGAATTAGCACCGCTGGTCTGTATGTTTTGTATAATTCTGAGTACTGGGACATAATACCATTACAACTGATACGTACGCAAAATATGCTGCATATGAAAACGACGAATTTTAAGTTTTTCTTACGTTGTAGCGTAGAAGTCAAAGCGAACGGACAAACAATCAGGCCAAGAACGCCGAATTACATGAGACGTGTGTCGCCCTATATCATACCATAGACAAGTATGTGGTATCACAAAATTGTAAAATTTTTAATAACTTAAACAGCAAGGCCAAACGTCTGCATCGAAAATTTTGGTGCACGGCCAGTTTAACATTTTCGCTAATGTGAGAGTTGTACCACCATGGATTACTTTAAATCTTACACCTTTTTAATATATGTCGCTGCATTATTAAACGCAGGTATGTACAATATTATAAATTTTGTTGTTCATTTCAATGAAATTTTGCCGTTTTTAAGGTTATCCACAATTTCTACAAACTTTTATGTTATTTAAGTACCACCATACCTTGTCGGAAATTGCATGATTTAATTTTTCTGCGTTTTTATCGTGACTCTGCTTTACCTGATCATAGGTTTTGCACCTTAATTCAATTTATGAAGAAATTACTAGTAATTCTAGTACGTAAATTTTTTATGTCAGTTCTGGAGCGCGATTAGAAATTTAATTAAGTTTAAGCCATGCTTGTTTTTATTTGCTGGGGTTTTTGCGAGCGCACTAGCGTGACATAAATTTGCCCGGCACTGACACTAAAACTGTTTGCGGTAATATAAACGGATCTCCTTATTTTTCTACGCCAAAAACGATTTGTTTCCAGATATTGCAACTTTAAGCTAAGCTTTACAGTTAGCAGTTGACTCCAACATATCTTTGTTTTGAAGAGGGACTATTAGCGCAGTACAATAACAATGGCGGTGCCTATGGGAATAATGATGCATCGGTAAACTATGGACAAAATGGTGGCAATTCTTACACTATGGGCGGAGGGTCAATAGGAGGTGGAAGCATCGGAGGCGGTTATGTTGGCGGTGGGAGCATCGCAATGCCTAATTTGATATACCCACCGACACCCATCGGCTACCAGCAGGAGCAAGGTCATAATTTTAATATACAGATGTCGTAGCAAACGACACAACCAAATTATTTTTGTTTTCTACATGCACAGTACGAACTACGACCATAAGTACTTAATTTTACATTTGTGATAGGATTTCAATTCATCATTTAATTCGCTTTTCATAACTTTCATAACGTACGTGCGATTTATTTTTACCGTGTATACCGCAGGAGTCTTTTCATAAAATTATTTTCCTGAAGGTTATGGCTATGGAAATCTATTTTTATTATCGGGATTGCTTGGTGGCTTTGACAAAGCCCAAGCCTTTATGTCCAAATTATACTCGGCGAATATGCCAAAAGATGCTGGCCGTCCAGATGATTATGGAGACAATAACGGTTATGGAGACAATAACGGCTATGGCAACAACGGGTACGGTACTAACGGTGGCTACGGTAATGATGGGAATGTATACGGGAACACTGCTTATGGACGCAATATGAACGCTGGTGGAGATCATGTCGAAGATCCCAGACAGATCATGGCCGGATTCCGTGGTCCCAGTATGAACGTTGGCTACAGGCAAGCGCCACCAGTTCCGGCAGCCCCTGATGCTCCTCAGAAGAGGCGGTGACCTTAAATAAACTCTTTCGTTTTCTGGACTTTTGTTGTTTGTTGATCCTAGAATTGGAGTTTTGACTCAAAGCACCAAAGAAAGTATTTTTTGTACGAGGACACTAGAATAAATTATTTCTGTGACCGAATTAAACAAAATTAAAAATAGCCGAATATGAATACGACTTATACAAGCTTAGGGGTTTGTGTCATTTGCCGTCAATAAATAAATATAAAAAAATGTGGGAAGTTACATATCTACCGGCCATACATAAACTGAAACACAACAATACATAATGGGTAATCACTGCACAAATGTGCCCACTTGGAACTGGATTTCCTTTTCGATGCGCCCGGCCCAGCATTATCCTGATGATTAGTCAGAAATCCGTTTATAACTCAATATTCAGACAACAAAACTGATATAGATTGATATATTGATATATATTGATATAGATCAGTATAGGCTTGCAGTCCGTATGAGGATACGGATTGACAATCTGCAGTCTAGTGACGTTATCTCTTTTTGTGTTTCTGGGTGTCATTTATGAAAACGTGAAAGTATGGGAATATGTGAAATGGGAAAATGTGACAGAAAGTTACATTTTTGATTTTTGAGGTGCATTACAGATTTTGGAAGCACTGGCACTAATACGCCAGAAACTCGCTTCAGTAATAGTGCCGTACAGGTATTAGCTTTTGTTGCTCGATATGTCACGCAGTTACGGTTGAGGAGCCAAGCACCGGCAAGATCAGACAGAAGTACCGGAAATGATGCCATTCTCAGTCCTGTGGTTCAACACCACTGATAAGTGATAATCACCACCGTATATGATTAATGCTACTTCAGTTCTTATCAAAAACGGAACCCGGTCATACAATCCACATTTTTTCCAGTCCCTTAATTGGCTATGGGCCCTTAATTTAACCTTTAATCCGACCTGCATTGCATTTGGCTGTAAGGTAACCGTCGAATTTGACTCAAAAAGACGTATTTTGTTCTTACAAAATTAACTTTAATAGGCATTCACTGTTTCTAAAGGTTTTGAATATTTATATTTTTTGTTTGGTGTTTGGGGTTTCGTTAGTCGAGATAGGTATCTTACATGACAGCCATGCCGGAGGCACAAACATTACTAATAAGTATGCTCAACCTTAGTTATTATCCCAAAGTAAACACAGAAAAAGTAATAACTACGCTCTGAAAACAGGTATTTTCGATTTTTATTTTATGTTCATGTACCGTTTAAAATATCAGCGACTGCATTTGATTGGTAATAACCCAGGAAAATAAGTTGTCTAGTAAATGTTTTATGTTTTGATTGTGTAATCCCCAGGGTTTCTGTCTATGTCCGAGAGCCAGATTCTCTATAAACGTGTTGTGTACCGACAGATGCAATATAAGCAAAAAAAATAGTCAAGCATTTGATTGCCTGTGCAGGTTGTACCGTATTAACAAGGGCTGCTTTCAATCCTTATGGTCACACACTGTAATATGTGTCAGTTCTGCATTTCTGCATAAGTAAAGTTTAATTTACTGGCGTCTGCAACACTTTCTCGTAAATAAATTTATTCAAACAATTCGAATTGTAGTACAGTGTAAATTATTAAAAATGTTGTTTTCTTTCGAAATTTTAGCCTGCCTTATTGTCAGTGTAATTGGTGCAGTTCAGAAACCTTTGCCATTATTTTACGGCGCGGAAGTACCTGATTACAATATTGCTGTTATCAACGATATGCTGGAATCCATACCCAAAGTACGTCGCCCGGGAGAGGGATACGCCCTGTATGACTGGGATAACACGTGCATGTTTGGTGATATTTCAGAAACCTCTGTTTACTATCAAGTTCAGGATCTCAACTTCCGCGTTGTGCCCGAAGAATTTGAAGAGGTTTATTCCTTAGGATATAAGGATGCCAACGGTGATAAATGCTTTCCTCAGGGCATCAATACTGTTGTGGGAAAGACGACCAAAGGACAGCCATTAGCATTGCAAACGTTATTACAAGAAGCATCCCGAAATTACGCTCGCCTATTCCATGCTTATATCGGACCCCATTTCCAATTAAAATCTACAACCAAACCACCACGTTTTGATAAGGTTAGTATTGGTGGTTACAGACCGTTACAGCCAGGCATGAGCTTAGTGGATATCCGCCAGACAAAAGAGTATAATGATTTTGCCGCCACTTTCGGCAAGCTGATCTTCACGCTGGAAGGTGAAGGTGGTGCTGATGAATTTTTACCGTGTGCCGTCAAGTTAGGCATGACCACACTTCCGCAGTTATTAGTCGGGATGACCGAAAGTGAAATCAAGAGTTTTATCCATGCCAGTATCCGGTACAACTTGAATGCGGCCATCAGCAAAGTGACCTTCACGTCCACTATTGGAATCCAGGGTGAACTACCGACGGGAGTTCGCATCTTCAACGGCCAGGAAGCATTAATGCGAACGTTTCAGGCGCGTAATGTTAGTGTCTACGTGATATCGGCATCACCGCAACAATTTGTCGATGTCGCAGCAGATTTTTTCTCGCTGACATACAGCGTTCCAAAGGACAATATCTTCGGTGTGCGATTTCGTCTGCAGAATGGCAAGTTCACCGGTCAGCTGGTTGGCGGTGATTATCCGGTGACATGGGGACCGGGAAAAGCGCAAGTGACAAAAAATATCGTCAGTCGCCGGCACAACGGGCGTGCACCGCTGTGGGTTAGCGGAGATTCCCAAGGTGATTGTGCATTCTTATCCCTGGTCGAGGATGGCATAGCGCATGTTAACAATCGATTAGCCGATTCGTCTAGCTGCATTCAGAAATTTTATGACAAATCATGCCAGTATTATAACAAAAAAGAGCCAAAGACCAACAATCGGTACCTGATGCAAGGTCAAGACAAAGAAATCGGATCGTGGATCAATTCCGGATACTCAACTAAGGACGGTGTCACGTATTCGTCGGGTACAAAGGTTACATGCAATGCTTACAAGGTTATATAATTCGCAAATAAACGAAATGTGTACAACATATACGAATTGTTTTGCAGGTACAAAGATACCAGATCGTGCACTTAATTTAATAATTTAAAACAGATAAATTTTACCGATGTGTAATTACGTTAAAAACATTGTACTCGTCTTCTGATTAGTCCTGTATAAACCCAAGCACGCTCGAGTTTAACATAATGCGCTGGAGAACAACATAAATAAAAAAATTTCAGTACGTATTCCTGTATTGTTTGTTAGCATAGTTCCACAAATACAAATCAGATTATAGTAAAAAGAAAATCAGGGCGTTTCGTAGACTGCCAGTATACATTTATGGAAATGCTGGCCTTGCCGTTCACAGACCGCCGGCACGCGACTTGTGGCGGCTTGCTGATGGATGGATTCAAACAAATATCTTCCGGCTCGACATCAGCGTTTTTAATAGTTGCATTATTTCCAGTCTTACTCACACTCAACAATACATCTGTACGTTTACTCATAGTACTGATGGGGGTACTTCCTTCTACATCGTGTATACTTCCGCTTTTGATTAAATTTTTTATATTTCTTTTAGTCTTTTGGTAGTGCTTTGTTCCCGAAAGACGCCGGTTTGTATTCTTGTTGAAGTTAATTTTTGCATTTTTCAGCCAGCGGAGATTTTCTGTCGTTCGCCCATTGCCACCGGCATGGTTTTCTTCCTAATTTTTTTTCTGCTTTTTTTGTGCTCCATGTTGATGTTAATCACAGGAGGCTGAAGGGCTTGTTCCCAACGGTCTTCAGTCCCGACAAATTTTTCTCGTATTTTTGTGCATTTTGATCATGCAGAACACGTACACATCAGCCATTAATTAAACATTAATTTAAAGACTTCTATCTGAATCGTTATTCCATGCATACAATATGATGGTAATTAAGTGCATTTGTACAATGCTGTGGCTTTTCGTAATTCTAAAACCGCTACAGGTGCAGCGCGCAGACCTTTAATTTTGCGTTCAGTTATTAATCTTGCATTTAAGTCATATACCAATTCATACGTATACCCACATGCTTGTACTCTGTACATTGTACGAAGGGCCACCCAAGCAGTTTCACCTCCGCATCTGCTGCTGTGTAATTGTTTTCGACAACTTTCGATCCGCCTGCTCATCCCGTTGCTCCCCACTGTTTCTATCTGATTATGTATTCAGAGCACAAAGAATTATCTTTATTGATTTTCCGTTACTTGTCGCCTCAGTGCATCCGAATTTTCGCCAATTTGCTACGATAAAAATTCATACAGTAAGTTAATTCTCATTAGGCAAACGGCAATCAAAGCCCGCGCCTCTGACCACACGCCTGTCGGCAAGAGTAATAATAAAAGCCCACTGACATACAGATGATGACGAGCGTTGGCGGCCCAATGGAGCAAGAACGGAAAAAAGGTTAAAAACGGAAAGAATTGACAGATATGGCAGCGGCCAGCATGTAGTCCTATTTCCGTTAGGAAAGATTGAATAGAGATGGTGGTTGAAAATGCTATCAAATGTTGCTTCCGCTTGTTCTACTTCATTGTCAGAAAGTTTTCTGCCGCTAGCGGCCGGAAGCGTCGCCGGGAATCTATAATAAACAGAGTGGAATCTGTGATTTATACAGCCGTTTCGCCATATTGTGCTTATTCTTGGTCGTATATAAAGAACTGTCTTGTATAACTGGAATTCGAAGTATGTAAAAGATAGTCCGTCCTGGACACGTATGTGAAACTGGAAGTCCTGTACCCTCATTGTCAGGTAAACCTAATTTACATAGACAGAATACAGATTATTATAGAATCTACGGCAAAATGTCCATTTTATATGATAAATATGTGTTTCCGTATTTTAAATGTAGGTATTGAATCGAATGATGTATTGTACGGTGCATGTGCTAGTGTTCGTGTATTCTGCGCATATGGTAAATTAAATCTATAAAAGCATTACTTTTGTAACTTGGCATCGCCGCTACAATCGTCGGCTTGGTTAAGCGCTTTGCATGGTTCCTAGTGTAATTTCCATAAGCGATTGTATAATTAACGCGTCACTGCCTGCCAAGATTTATCAACTTATGGTTAGTGATCCACCGTACTCGTACTCAAATACAAAGTAGCTGCAGATCGTACTTTCCGTTAAACAATCTTTTAACTTTTAGACACCCACAGTCTTGTATATGCATTAATTATAAATCTGCGTACTTGTTTTGCAAAACCTTCTGGTCCTAGACAGCACAAACACAAACAGAACAGCGACCGAAGTAAAAAAATAGAATTTTGAAATATTAATATGTAATACTAAATTCTTTCTGCTTGAAAGTTCTTTTTAAGTACATTATTATAAACATTTTATTTTACAACTATAAAATGTACGAGTAAATGCAAATTTTGTATGGGGTAGGCTTGCAACTGCTGATGTATTTTTGGTGCGAGATATATTTTTAGGTAATTTTTTGGTACCACTGAACGGAAAATATGAATTTTTACCAGAACGATTTGTTCTTACTACGCGCGCGTGAGTATGGAAGAACAAAATGCGAGACTATCTGTAATATGCTATGCAGATTCTCATCAAAGGGAAACGGTGTGGGTAACCTTATGTTTTTTAATGATATACAAGATTTGACCCGAATAGTACTTGTACCTTGCAATAATTATTGTAATATTGTACGTATTCCATATTGCTACGGTTTCATGCATGGGTTTCTACTGGCGGAAATAGGCCATTATAGTGGTAATACCGTACCTTGACAGGTTTCTAGTTGTACGGTTTTCGGTTTTAAATTAAAGAGGAGCATGCAGGGAGTGAGCAAGATGATTTATCACTGATTGTGGAAAGACACTTTATATTCAGTGGATCACTGCTCTCCGTAGAAATAATCAATAGCTGTTGTGACAATTGACGAATGATTTCGAAAATTGCAGGTTACTTTACAATGACGCAATATAAAATTTAAGGGCTTTAAGAGGGAACATTCGGACAACTGGTTGGAAGGCGCAGTATGAGCGAATGTATTGCATTCCGAATTTTGCTGCAACGCTATACAAATCTTGAGAAACATTTTCATGCTTGCCGCACTATGTGTCACTATGTGCAGGAGACCTTTTCAAACTTTACCGATTGCATGTATTGTACAAGCGTTCGTACTTCGTAGATCACACGCTTCGTTTGATAATAGCGTGCGTGCGATTTGTTTCCTCGTGCACGTAAATAAATCATCACATAAAGCGTTTGATTTATTTCCGTACTTATTTTGTACGTGCAAAGGTGAAGCACATCGCACCTACATAATATATCATTCCGGTATGGCTTACCATTAGGTGACGAGCAGTATGTACAATCCGATGCACTATTTTAGCAACAGATTTATAAATTTTTTTGTGCTTTTATTTGTTTAAGTCTGATCATTTGTGACATTTAGTTATGTCGAAATAAAGCAAATTAATAAATTTTATTGTGTCGGCGACCAGGACAATAATGTTTGCAGGTCCGGCGCACCAATCGTTGGCGATGGCGCACAGCGGAATATCCAGTCCTTCGCATTTGAAGGTCGAGCGACCTGGGCACATATCCCGCATCCGACGGTACAGTGTGCAAGTGATTCGGATGGTCAGACCATTGTTTGGACAAACCACCGGTAAATTAATATTTAGCCATAGCACAGCTTTTTTTAAATAACTTAATCCTTTGCTGTAAAAGCTGCTTTGTTTTCCTCTAATTGTGAAAAAGTTACCTCACAGGTTGAGGTACGGTCCGGTATGCCAGGACCCGCTGTACAGTATGCAGTTAGACCTGGACTTTTATATGCTTATAACTAATCTCTATGTGTATATGTGTCATACGCCTCTGGAAATATTTGAGTCTTCCGTAGTCGAACAGCGATCATTACACAATAATGGGACACAACTTAAATCTTTCGATTTACTAGTTAAAATTTTCGGCTTTTAATATTTTTGGTTTGATTGTAAACTTTCCTGTTTCTAAAGAATTTAATCACGCAATAGTTGAATTTTGTAAAAATATCAAAAGCAAATATTTTTTAGCATAAACAATATTTTTATTCAGTATTATTCAGTACTTTTAACTACACACGTATAAGAACTTGAAAACGACATGATGTGCATGCAGTACCTCTTTGTATGAGAAAAATAAGCCACTTTATGCGAAAAGTGAGCATTATTGGGGGATCGGTTGACAATACGTGAGATAAAAGCAGATTTAAAGGAAAATACACGCATGACCTTTTCGGTCACTATCTACTAACGAGCTTGCATTTGTGGTCCGAACGTGGCAATAAGACACCTTATAATACCAAAATCAGCCTTAGACATAAACACGCATCATATAGGCTGCGTTTTAGAGTACTTCCGGATGTGTTTTCCATACAATTTAGATTGATTATCCCAGGAGGTCTCCACTTACGGGATTGCTATCGACAGCGCCTTAACGGATATGTCTAAACACTTCCTGTGACCATTTCAAAGGCTCCGTTTATACTGTAGCGGCTTATATGTCTACCGCGTGAAACTGCCTGTTGTTGTTTGCGCTAGGCGCTAAGTATGCTATTCGCGGGCTAAATGCAGGATACACAAATGCCTGTTCTCATTCAGCATGAGAACCTATCCCTTAGATCTTATATGCTGATCCCATTTTAGTGTGAGTGCAGCTATGAGGCTTTCTTTGTAGCAAGAAAAAACATTTTGTCCTGAGCCCTGGGCTTAAATGCAGTTCACGGATTACGACAGTCCAGGTTTCCGGCTGCTAAACATCACTTTCTGATCAATGAGTGTGCAGGACAGATTTAATCTTTTTTCGCACAATATGTTTTACGGTTTCGTAATATATAAGATCCGGAATAGTTATACTGTTTGTGTCATTCTCTAATCCCGAAGTGGAAATTTTCCCATTATTCAACGATCACCATGACCATAATTCGTGATTTATTTGATTTTTGACCAACAATTAATCCGCGTGCATGTCTTATGTTTACCTGTGTATATGCTCTTGTCACTCATCGTGGGGCGCTTGAAAAATGAGCCAAGAATTTTTGGGGTGGGATTATCCTACCAGTTCGCCGGATAGTCACGAACCTCGCGGACACCGGCAATCGCGATTCAGCATTCCCTTTGGCTCGCGAAACAACAGTACAGATGGCGCCGTTAAACCACGATCCCTTAGCATCATCAGCCGACTGAAATGGCTTTTTCACGCACTTGGTGAGGTTGCCGGGTTGTTTGGTGTTACCCGGTTATGGCAGCCGTATGCATACCAAGCACATACTGCATATAGATATATCATATACCTCGTGTATATAATATTATTACAGTACTGGTAAATGTAGGGCTGCTCCAGAGAACGGCAGCAACGGCCAAGTCGTCTATATTCCTTGTGGTCTTCGTTTGGCTTCCTAAAGAAGCCAAACGTGGATTACGAGAAATTAAAATGACGTGCAGGGATGATGAAGAACTATTACGCAAACATTTTATTGCATAATTTCTTGCCTTAATGATCAATACTAGCTGACCAATGACCATGTAGCCACAAATTAACCATAACTGTATAACAACGTTTTTACATAATTTTTCTTGCAATTTTACTTCAAAATTATGTCTCTTACACTAATTTCAAGTAGGTTTTGATACGTACGAATTTCAACTTTGTGCGACATTGATCACCCGAACTGATCTTTTAAAAAATGTAAGAAAATTTTAGGCTGTAGCCTGTGGAATTACACTGCCCTGTACTGGTTGTGAATTGTGCCTGCGTAAGAAAGCCCGTGTATATCTCGAAGTATGAAGCCGAGGAAATCTGATTCCGCCCGCTAATTGATGTTTTCAGTTCCCTTGCATATTTACTCGTACAATAAGTTGTAGTTAAAATACCTCCCGTTGCAAACAAATTCAGTAATAGGGAAACTACGATCGTCAACCGTCACTGCAATATGTGCATCTTACTAACAATTCCGTACAGCATAGCGCCTCCATCAATCATCACGCGCAAAAAGTGCCAGTATTAGCAAGGAAAAATGACAGGATCGTGTCAGTTTTCTACACATGTCAATACGTGATGAAAGTTTAATTATTCGCAGCTGTGATCATTATTAAAGATTCAGTTATTTTTAATTAGGACTATTGCCACCGTCTCTGCATGTAGTTGACGCAAGTGATAGATTCATCAAATTCTTGCTCTTATTTTTGCAAGCAGTCGCGTGCGTTGTAATCAAAAGTGCGCTTGTATATGGATATTAATATAGATAGTAAAAACCGTTGCAGTGGGCTCGGTTATTCGATATAATTTTGGCGGATTTGTTTTTCTTTCGGTGAAAAATGGTTTTTGGTTCTAATTCAGATGGAGACTTGGAAGACTGGGAGCAGTGCCGCAATCTGTCCAGACCAGGAAGTCTGGATGCACTGTGTTTGACAACGCGGTTCACCCGGAAGGAAATCCAAGCGATCTACAATGGCTTCAAACAGGACTGCCCCAACGGCACCGTCAGCAAAGAAAGATTTAAGGAATTATATTCGCAGTTTTTCCCACTTGGAGGTAAATTGATAACTGATTTTCAAACGCAAACTGTAGATGTTAGTCGTGTTAAATCCACATGCATGTTGGTCTAATAATTATTAACGTTAAATTCACCGATTGTAAGGGATTTAATTGACCTTTATCAAAATTTTAATCGTACAGAGGGCAATATTCCTATCTGTATGCCTTAACGTACGCAACGTTTATCCCAGTCATGCATACAAAAGGAAAACAAATTACTTATGCTGCATGCATATCGTTAAATAGGAATATATGGCAGTTATTGCTAATGTTAATATTTAGAAATATTTTGACAGTTCTGTTTCTTGTCCGTTATTATTAGTGCTATTTTTTTGTCGGTAATTTAGAAACTAAATAAAACACTAGCAAATTGCTTTAAATTTTTCGTTAACCAGGAAAATGATTTATTTTAGAGCAAACATTTAACACAAATACATGTGCACGAGCAGTGGCGTTACATTGTCAGTTGATTATGTTATTACAGCTTTGATCCACAACAACAATTCAGCAATTTCTTATTCTTCCAGTCTAGTAACATAATAATCTTTTAAAAGTGAGGGCACTTTTTTAGTATAGCATTCATTTTCGTAACACAGTCAATGTTAATAACGGAGCGTTTGCCGGATTGTGTATAATCAAACGTCAGTCAGAATACCGTATATTATCGATTAGGTAAATGTTGCCTTTTAGCGCCATTATTAGGCTCTTTATTCACTGAATTGCTATCGACCTTAATCAAAACCAAGCAAGAGTAACTAGAAATCAATACCCGTACTTTTAAAAACGCAATAGCGTTGTGCTGGTTCCTTGTGCGTGAGGAAATCCAACTTCTAATAAAGAATGCAGCACTGTTTACACTTATACAGATGCGCGAACATATTCGGGGCATATCTACGATTCACTAGACAAAAATTCCGATGGAAATGTCACATTTGATCAATTTATTGTGACCATGTCTGTGATGTCCAGAGGCACAATAGATGAAAAAATCCGCTGGATATTTAATCTTTATGACCTTAATGGCGACGGGTCAATATCTCCCGAAGAAATGCATATCATCGTTTCCTCCATTTATGATATGCTTGGGAAAAGGACATATCCTCCTGCTGATGAGGAATACATCCAAGAACATGCCGATCGTATCTTCCGGGTAAATGCTTGATACGCTAACGAGCAAATTAATTTTAAACTTTATTGATTACTGCCATTATGAAGACCGGTGAGCACCAGTAATAACTCTAATTAAATTCTTCTCGGCTTCCCTGAGAGAACGGAAGTTTTTCAAAATTCCGCAAAACGAAAAAAGGCATAAAACAATATTTAAACATCCAAAAACTATGATCATTGCCGAAGAGAAGGGGAAATGTTTAGGATTCAGTGCACGCTCCGTGGCGTTTGTTGTCCACAGGTCAGCAAAAGCCGACAGCTCCAGTCCGACGGTAGTTAGTGCGGTGAAGAAACTTCCCGACAAGATATACATATAAATTCTGGAAAGTGACTGGGCTTCTTTCGCTTGACGAGCAATCTTCCGGACAGTATCAATTTGCCGGCACAGCCATCCAAAATATATTCCCGCGATACCAGCTGTTAGGAGAGAGAGTATTGTCAGGTAGCCAAATATATGACCCGATAACGGATTTGGAATATCATTGTAATCGTGTGATTGCTCTGACATCGCTGGATCCTCCTCAAAGTCTTTAAATTCTGCAGTTTCGAAGACAATCTTACAATTCTTTTAAAATTCACCCGATACTTTTCGTTATGCTAGCAGCACAACGATAAACACAAATTTCTCTGCTTACCTAACAATATTACTGCGGAAATCAGCTCAACAATAGACATGGTAAACTGTAGTCCACCGATAACCATGAAAACTCGGTGAACGGTCGTATAATGCAATATCAATTCGCTTTTCTCGTCCAAATCTCCCAAAGTTACGATAAGTTCCTGTGACATGCTGGACGCATATGTTGCTGGATCCAGAAAGACAAAATACTCAAACTACCAGTACCGTAAAATTCCTTACAACTGTATGTGACCTAACGAAACAATTTAAATTTGCATTGTGGTGCAACATAATCCATACATGCTAAAATGGGGATTTTCTTGCAGATCTCCTACATTTTTAACGTTTTACAAGGTTGATTATCGCTGTTTTGCTTTTCCCATGCAGTTTGCATTGGAATGTGATCGTAATCACAAAATTAATGTAGATACAAATCGTTAAATTGACGTGATTTTATTGCAATTGCTGTTGCGCACTCATAATTTGGACTTCAGTACCGGCTGCACCAATAGTTTGTCCGACACGCCTAGCTACAGTATATACTCGTATTTTGCAGTATGCTTGCGTTAAGTAAATAAAGGGTTAACACGTAATAAAATTGTAAAATTAATACAAAGTAACCTTGTACAGCCCTGCCAAGCCAAGTTCGGACAGTTGCATAAAATAAATTCAAAAAACATTTTTTACGTCACTATGTTTTTCTTTTAGCACTTTTCTAGTGCAACTTTTTATTGCGGATCTAACGATTCCAAAACTAAAACCTTCTGACATGTCACTGAGCAGATAGGCGGTGATTAAGTGGGCGGGGCAGCGGTCCTTTTTAGGGTGATTATAAGTGCCCCTCTGGAAACTCCACGAAGCTGAATTTTTAAGAGAACGTTTTTGGAAACTGTTCAACTATCCGAAGGGTGTTCGTTGCGGTTCAACAACTCAGCCCTGCGCGATCGATCCTCGACGTGACCTCAAAACAAAGTTCGTCTCCCATAGACTTGTATGTTATAACACACCTGCCGTAGAACGCGGTTGCATAGCACATAGATGTGGAAGATTTGAAGTTGACTGTTTTGATGGGTGAAACATAGATCAAGTTACATGATTTTGGTGAATGGACAGATATCTACCATACAGGCGGGGAGATGCAAGTGCCGGACAAATAGTAGAAAGATCCGACAAAGCGGTGACCAAAAAACGTTATGATAGATATTAAAACTCGTCAGTACGGAACGTATCGGGTTTTTTGTGGGAACGGAAATCCTAAAGTATACGCACAGTCATCTGTAAACAAGATTTATCAAGAATGGACACCTCCCACGGTTGTACGGCGACCGGCCGAAAGGGGTCACTCTAATTTTCGATTGTGCCCATAGAAAGGCTGCAAAGGTCACGCCGTCTTGGTAGTAATCGGGCTGTGTTAGATACCATCCGCAAGAGAAATGGTTGGCAAACACCATAGTATTAACTAGCCAGGACTTGAGAAGCTTTGGAATTTCAAAACGAATTATGAATTGGGAGGTGCATCCCACAACAGACGTGTCGAGTCGCATTTCGAAGCTGGTCGGTTATGGTTTCGATCTTGCTGTAATTCGAGAAAAGCTTTCAGCGTAAAAATCCTAAGTGCAAAAGTTGCGGAACACATACGCTGACCGTACAAAAATGCAATACGGTTTTAATTCTTGACTGGTGACTTATGATAATTTTTTGGGAAAAGTGTCCGAACTTGGCTTGGCAGGGCTGTATTTATATATGAAACAAAGGATATGACGAACTATGACCGCAATCATGCTCAAGCACGTTATTTGCTTTTCACATATACGCGTACCTAAATTCTAATCAGTAAAGACTGAATTCGCTTTTCATTCAAAGTTTCTCATTATGTTTGAACTTTCAGAAAATGGATTTAAATGGAGATGGAGTTATAACATTTCAAGAGTTCCAGGAAGTGTGCCGAAACGTAAGCCACAATAACTAACATTGTTCAGTACGAGTAGCGATTGTTCATCGGTTTTCACAATATTTTTTGTACAGGATCGGGAGATAGCCAAAGCGATGGATCTTTTCGACACAGTTTTATGATACGGTGGATGGCACACAGCCGGTGTCACTGTCCATCTCTTCCAGCGGACTGTCAAAATTTACAGAACGGATGTGATAATACTGAACTACTCGTAATGGCTGCTATGAAGACAAAATTTCGCTGTGTACAAGTATTTTATTAATACTGATAATCCTGCCCGTATATTGATAATACAGTTAAAACCGTAATTCTTTGTTACTGTTACCATTTTGTAATTTTCTATGCTGTTAGCCAACAGCAAGTGACGGTAAAATACGGGGAACCGCGTTTGTGCCGCAAATGCATAACAAAAAAAACTGAGCAAAAGCCAGCGCACTTTGAAATAGCAACGTACGGTTTCTGAATTCTAATACATGCATTAAAGTCGAAAATAACACGAACATCAACATGACTTACATGAGTATGAACGAACGAACTATATCGTTCTTTACTATGCCGCACGTAAATTTATAAAAGGTCCAACTGTTGTTTAGACAAAACACTAAAAGCAATTAACTCGCAAAATTATCCTCTAGAATTTGAAACAGATCCGTGAAAAGAGTTCCACTAAGTTTCAATAAGTAACGGAAGCAACTATAGGTTCCGGAAAATATCGTTTATACTTATTAACGAAGGCTGGCACATCAAACTTCCTTTGGCAGCCCGCATAGTTCATGTATCGTATCTTCCCGAAGATTTCGCGCTCTTTCCAACCCATATCGTGGACCCCACAAATCGACCACATACAGCCGACATAGCCGTTGCAATCCCTTCCATCTAGATTGTACTTATCGTTGAGACAAATTGCTATCCTCAACGCTTCCGCCGGATCTGCTGTCCACTCCAAGATCTTCTTAGCCCAGTACATGCGCAGAAAACCATGCAGTTTCCCATCGCGATTCATCTGCACTTGTGCGGCATTCCAAAGGTCATCGTGGGTTCGAGCTTCTTCCAACTGCTGCTGGCTGTACACGATGGGTCGTGGATCAATGGCATGCTTCTCCAGGGACAGCTTCGCCCATTGTTTGGCACCGTTCAAATTGTCGTAATTTTTATTATAAAAGCAAAAATTGTCGGACAACTCTCGCCTGATGATCGCTTCTTCAAAGAAAACTTCGAAGCCTGGTTTCAAACGGGCCTAACAAAAAAGAAGCGGAGTACAGTAAGGGTAGCAGCTAGACCAAAATCCAAAGAATTCAAAATCCCATACCGTTTTGCAAATACGTCATAATCGCATTTTTTAAAGAAATAAGGTTCGATACCTTGTCTCGAATATAACGTTCACCTTCAAGTATAGCTCGAGCGACAGCTACTTGTCCAAAATGAAACCACGGTGACATATCGCTCAACGCTGCCACATTGGGATCATTTCTCTGCGCATAATTCTTCAACCGTTGCGTCAAGAATCCAAATAACATAATTAACCCATTCTCCGTGCCCGGTTTGGCCCACTGCACACTATCCACCGTCCGATCGACTTCTAAACTGGCTTCAGCCGCTTGCCAGTCGACCACAGGGATTTCCAGTTTTACTTTAAACGGATGCTTGACAACGGGCGGAAAGGGTGTATGGAATTGTTCCATCCGTTTGTGCAGTTTTCCCCGAATCGTTCGGGCAGCAGCTTCTTCCTTATCGGAGGCCACCCAGCAGGGAACGATATTGTGAGCGTCCACTTGGACGAAGGATGCTGCGCCGATGCGCTGCTTGACATCTTCCACCCAGCCCAAAGGCCCGCGCAGAGGATTAAAATCACAGACGAAAAAGGGAATGTTGCGCTCCCTCAAGAAAGTGGGAAGGACGTCCTTGGCATATCCAATCAGCAGATGAAATCCAATGTCCAATGCAGAGCACTCCTGTTGTACTTCTTGCAATCCCCCCAACAGGAATTTGTAAGCGCGGATCGTGGCGTCCGCGAATTTCGGAGTAAGGCAGAATACAATGTGAAGCGGTACTTGTTCCTGGAGGGCGATGCGCTGGGCGTATATCAACGCCCAATTGTCTGCCGAAATTCAGCATATGTTTATGAAAAAATTAGGCAACTCATCATTTATGCATACGGTTAAATCTTAAAGCTATGTAAAATTAAAACTAATAAAATCAACTGAAGTAATTAAGCATACAAACAGATCACAGAATTCAATCCAGATAAAAAATAAAGTTTCCCAGAATCTACTCGAAGCAACATAAACGGAATGGTGTCTAATGTTTTGACTTCCCAACATTATTTTTTAAAGCAAAAAGCAACAAAGTTCAGAAAAATTCAGTTACTTGGGCCGTAAATATAAAACCCGTAAATTTTAACAGCATTTACGAAAAGTCCGCAACTCGCACTTTGTCACACTATTTACACACCTGCGTTGCATACCTTGAACTCTGCAATCACGGGACATCCAGTAGGCCACCGCGTGGCCAGCCTGTCGACTGGGAAGCGTCACAGCGGCCGAAATACTACGGACGCGATCCTCTTGGAAAGGGAAGATCTGCGCAGAACCCCAGTCGACGCGAGACTGCCGGATTTCTTCCAGGAACTGGCGCTGTTCCGCAGAACGCTCGCCGGCGCCTTGCGGAGCTGGATTCAGCGACGGAGCATGTGCACCGGAAGCAACAGGTGGCACGGATGCTATAGTACCAGAGGATTGGCTAGAACCTAAAGGGAGAGCACCAAGCCATGAACTTGACGTTAAAATTCTCCCTAAATAATTTACAACACAAGCGATTAATGGTCATTCCGAATAGACTGGCAATATTCACATTCGCCATTTAATAATCGTATTTTTCGTTTGACCACGAGATATCGCAAGCCAGCTCACCTGGAATTGCGGTTCGCGGTCGTTTGGATCGTGGTGGCATGTTCAGCAACTTTCTGTGGGTATAAGAACTATAAGAACAACAAAAAAGTACCCCGAATTTCACCAGGTTTCGAACTTTCGCCGAGGTCCACACAGCTGAATCCCTGCAATTCTACAAAGAATTATGCAAAAGAACGATCATTTGACACTTGAAGCACTTTTATGTGACACACTCACACCCACAAGTCTTGATTAGAGAATGAGAATCACAATTATTACCGCTTATTACTTAACTGTTTGCGAAAACAGGCTTCGGTGCGCTAATCTACCGAACAAGTCGCACAAACCCATTTTTTAAGCTACGGCACACTACCAGTTTAGTAGTGGTCGAGCTCGAAAAAAGTTTATGGTACAGTAAGTACCTTCAATCGTTGAGCTTTTCAAAATGTTCTGTTCTGCAAAATGTCACCGTAGTATCAACCATACTTAATGATGATACTTTACGTACACTACTATAATTTATTATAGAGTTGTCACTTTGAAAGTATCGACAAAAGGAAGACACTACTACCAGGGCGGAAGTTCTAAAAAAGGCTTTAAAAGGGACTGCTCTGGAATTGATGTGCTTCAGGCCATTTCTTTTTTCATTCATCCTTTTCCTCATCGAGCCCTTTGATTCTTTTTTCCAGATCAGTTTACAGAATAGCTAATCCAACAAAAACTATTTGTGTTTCACTTTTGTGTTACTTCAAATGTTCAGGGACGAATTAACGAATACAAGTACGAGTACTCGTACTGCTGGTGACTTGCATTGGTATCTGTAATTGTACTCGTATAATACATTTTGACCGATGACCGTTGGATGGCATTGCATAAGCCATAAGGCCATATACGGGGTAGAAGCGCTTTTATTAGTGACAAAGTTGAGCCACAGCCCAATAATAATAATTACTGTGGTTGAGCAATAGTTTTTGTATCTAAAAATCTACAGTTAATTTTTGCTTTCATCTGCATGTTCAAAGACGCACAGAACGAAATAATCTACAAACTGAGTACAAAGTTCAAAGAAATGTTCGTGTTGACAGTGATTAACGATCATTGACGATTGACAATAAACTCGTAATCCAGATCGTTTTGCAGAGAAATTTTGTACAAATTAACTACTCGAGTATAGGGCAGATTCAATAATTACCCAGTTGTGAGAACTAAATTTAAGGCGCTCTGATAATTTAAAGCGTTCTTCGGTGTGATTTTAAATTATTTATTGCTAACAACAGGTTTGCTATTCTAGCAGCAAATTTCTACAGGTCTGCATATATGTACATGTTGATGTGGCTGCACACGATAAATAGCCAAAAGATGCGCGTATAGGTCACGCACTTTGCTTGTTAATTTAACACTGCTTGTAATAACTACAAAGTAATACTTAACTGGGTGATTGATAATTTACAACAGAACTGCTGGAGCGTCGCTAGTTTCGATATGGTCGGTGTTTTTTAAGTGTCCAGACGGCGACAGCAATATTATTGGTTCCGACATCGTCGTTTTTTTACGGTCTGCGATTATTTGATTAGAAAAGGTCTTGGACTGACAGCGGAGACACCGCGCACATAAATGTGTCGTCAAGATTTGCATCATTTAGTTTTAGAAGCCCATATAAAAGTATCTACAATCTACCTATGGTTTCCTGTAGACCTAGCTAATTGCAGTTATCTCGAAAACGGGTTTAATGTTTCTCTGATGTTCCTGAACTACGATAATACATGACCGATCCTTCCGGTGTATGTCTTGGGAGGTACTGATCTAATCCGAATAAGGCAAAGGCGTCATTAATATTCGAGTGCCAAGGCTGCATCACTGCACAACATTTCAAAATTCACCTTTTATATAGGAAAAACCTAAAGGTCAATTCTTAACTTCGGGTACCTCAGTTTTACTTAAATTTTGTATGGAAGGCCAAAACCCACGCTAGCACGAAGAGTGATAGCACGAAATTACGAACTTTATAATGACACTATGCAAACTCCAAACTAGGCAACAGGCAGTAACATGGACAATGATGTCGACATCGGGCGGCACAAAGGTGTCACAATTTTAGTAATATCATAAACTTGTTAAATTGCATAATGTATAACATTAAAAGGTATAACATAATATATAATAATAAAAAATATGGCACTAACTTGTAAGTTGCGCGTACTGTACATATTATAATTTACGTAAGGCAATATTACACGTATTCTAATTTACGTAAGGCAGTATTACATTTACTAAATAACCTCTGGATATAAAATCATTTTTTGGTATGCGTATGCGTATTACACGTACATCATCGTACAATATCGTAAATTCATTTGAGTTGTTAGTGCAATCACCGTATTAAACGCACATTGTCCACTGCACACAAATCAAATCCAGCTGTATTGACATTTAACTCAAGACAAACAATCGGACTGCAAAGTCCAAATGGTTTATACATTGTGGGTGGTATTGAACCAACAGAATTTACCCCACAGTACTAATAAAATTAATAACTGTATCTAATAAATGCCATGCTTTCAAATTTTGGTCTTATTTCGCACAGATCGCATTTAAAATAAGCCTGACAGACCCAATATTAACGCTTTGCTGTGTACTCAGGCCATAAAAAATATTCTACACAATGTTCCATGGTATTTTAAACATTGTTCGAATCATCTCTTTCCTAGACTTCATACTTGTTTATACAGTCGCTCCTCACTAATTTTACATATTCCTTTCTCGCTCGTATCTCTCTCTTCGAAGACCAGCCATGGCAGATTATGCTTTATAGGTATACTGTAGCTTACGTTAATATTGCGTACACAGTACAGTCATGCCATGGTACAGTGAGTACACGGTCTATTTGGATTAGCGTAAAATTAGTGGACACAAACATTATAAGGAAAGGTTACGGATTTTTTCTTCGAGTACGTTCAAATTTCAAAACGTTATGGGCACGGCAACACCTTATTAGACGCATCTGTTTTCTGCACTTGGACTTTTGTTAGTAGCCGCTGGGCAGTGATTGATCTTAAATTGTGATACCAATAAATGAAAGTGGTTGAAAATAACGCTTCATACAATAATGTAAAGTAATCATTTGCGCAGTTGCGTTTGCGGAACGGGCAGTACGTTTGGGGAACTTATATTGATTTCATAGCAATGACTGTCTACGTACGATACTCATAGCAGTACTGCATACTTTATATAAAATTTTCTGAACGCTTTGTTAGCCATGTCGCTATTGCACGATCCGCACAATTGATCATCATAAATAGCGAAAAAAGAATAATAATACCATACTTTCATGTTTCTGCACTAAGCACATCACACATGTGAAACCAGTTATAGCGCATGAAATATTTGTCACTATTTGTAGCGCACCGGCCTTCCCGGAGGTTTCACTTAAACCTTTCGCTTTTGTAATCAATGGGAAAGTGGAACTGGGCAGGCGAGTCAAGCTGAAAGGTGACCAGTGGCCGAAGAGAGTTAGGCCGAAGAAAGCCAGCACAGGGCAGGCACATTTTACTTATCTTTGACCGTTGCATTACAAGTGCGCAGTGTTTCAGCCAAAAGATCGCTCCAAGGCATATGAAACAAGAAACAGGATAGAGAGATGTGTGTGTGCCACTGCAGGGCCGGTTTTCATGTTTCGAAGGCGAATCGCTTCGCTGAGTGGCTTGCCTTTCTTTCTGTTTGTTCTAATCTGAAGAAGCAGTCTACACACATTTTGATTCAGCCCACAAAACGGAGCCATTAGGTCTAGAAAATTGCATTTTCTCTCGACTATAGCCGCAGCAGTTTTGAAGGATAATCGGCACTCTCGCTGCGTGGTTGTCCCGTGAGCAGCCGTGCAATATTAATTGGTGTAAATACATATCGCGATCTGTAGAAATGTAATATTCGCCATAACTTGTGGTATGGCCACGGACTACGGTTTCAAATCGCGGATAGCGTTGTTTGGATTATCGCGTGACGCACTTTGATACACCACGATTGTATTCCGTAACCAAGAAGCGTGACACCATATTCGCCAAAATCATTTACAGAACCTGCTGAACCAATCGTGCTTGTCAAACGGCGATAACTATTGGATCACCCTTGCTCTGTTACAAGTGTAATCAGTTTATCAGTGCGAAATTGCGAATGTAGTGCGCTGTGGCGTTTTAAGTGGAAAATTCGGTTACATGGGCATAAATCTATCCATTCCGTGTGTGTGATTATTGTCGTTTTTATTTCTGGCTCGAGTTTATTTGAATGTACACGATCATAACACTCAACGCGGATATATCGGAGTTTTCGTGTCCCGAAACTGTTCTTCACCATGCCGATTCCGGTAAGTCTATTTAAGTGAAATACGATCAGGCAGGAAACCACTTATGCCGTCTTGCTGTTAAATTTACTTCTGCGCGATGCCGTGTCACGACGAACAGGAGATCGGAAAATACACAGACGCTTTTAATTTTGTGCTAACCCGATTTTAGACACCAATGCCTCGTCGCCAAAACCCAGGCCTGTACACAATGCCTAGGCTGCCGATTAATACAGAGGAAATATTATAACATAATTCGTATCCGCTTGGTACGGCGCTCGGACTACAGACGCAAAATGGCCAAGAGCATACTGTGGGCATGGACATCACGCGTATTGTGGAAAACCCGCTGGATATTAATAATAGAGATTTTAGTATTATGGGAGACATTATTTATCAATGGAGTTTATGCGGGTGAATCGTGTCCCAGAGAATGTTCCTGTCTTGGACCGTTTGTAGATTGTACATATCGCAGTTTAACTGATATTCCCCGTGATCTTCCGGTGTGGACAGAAGTATTGTAAGTACTGATCGATATCGAAAACGCATCAAGTGCGTAACCGGTAAATTCATTGGTCATCTCACTTTGTGTAAAATAAAACTTATCTGCTTTGCTTTGGTTTGCTTTAGTACTTAAGTACTTCATTTCCTCGGCAATAGTGAATAGCAGTAGCAGTAAATTTGTACATGCATACTCTGTATAATTATGATAAATTAAAATTTTCCTGCTTTCTGTATGCTCATTGTAGTTTGTACTTTGTACAATAATACGATATCTTTTGACTGAGTACTTACTATTGACAGAACATTTTTGATTACTAATTTAAAATTTAAATTTGGTATCACTAGTCTGTTGTGGGTGACAATAAACTGTTAAAACAACTTATTCTAATGTTAAACAAGATTAATTTGAAGCAACAAAACAGTTAATGGAATCATAGTAATTATTAAGAAAATACTTACTGTAGGTTTTTAGTAAATAAAAAATCGAATTAATGTGTGGTGAAAACATTTACTGGATTTTGAAAATATTCTGTTTTATTGGGTTTACTTACTATTGGGTTTACTTACTATTGGATAGAATTTGGTTTACTTCTTGTGCTTGCTGCAGTTCAATATTTTTTTGCAGTAAACATATTTTAACCGGATTCTGTTATTTGCAAAACCTTGTCAGAAATCGAGTCTTTCTAAACATTTTCACAATGTATGACTAATGCTCCTGATCGCATCTGTAATTATGAATAAGACTACAAGTATGAGCAGTGTTCTGACAAAATTAATGGATACGTATCTTCAACCTTGATGCACAGATACCGAGTAAAAATTCACAAAATTTTGAACGTCTGAAGAATAATATGCCCGGAATGTATTGTAACGTGTTGAGCGATACGTAAATCTCGCCTTGGATTCTTGCATTCCGTTGGAGCGGTCAGAAAGAACGCCACAGAATCATACAAGAGTGGCGATCTTTTGAAAGGAAATGCAGTCTTTTCTCGGCTTTGATGTTGGCTTTACTTTTATTCTAGTGGGGAATTTCTATATTTGTTCTGTGGCAAGCTCTGAAAGAAAATGCATTATGTAGCCCAGCGACACAATCACACCTTTTTAATACCGCACATTGCCTTGCATTAATGTGAGCCGGGTAACGTAATCTTTCTCGAATCTTTTGGTGAAAACTAATCCATCAGTTTGCTCAAATATCCCTGGCACCTGTGGTCTTTGTCAGTCTGCACTAGTCTCGCATTTATTGATAACACTTTCCTTTAATACGGTTTTGCACAGTCTTTGGAGAGCAGTGCATTGTTTCCTGCGGTCCTGTGGACAATAGCAATCCAAGTGTTCCCAGGTTGCAAAGCGTGCATGCTTTGCCTTTGCTATTCTGCAGCGGCATTTCCTTGCACATTTATTGCATTGTATTGAGGCGGTCGTTAGTTAAAAGTGCATTTCGTTTACACTAAAGGAAATTACTAAAACCATATGGTCATTATAGTCCCTTTTCCCAAAATTATATTTAACCGTTCGCTTAGGAATTAGGCTGTATGTTGTATGAACCGCCATGCGTGATGAAGCGGTCTTCTTTTGAGCAGGAATAGTTCTATTAGCGAAACATTGGGGATCTGATTTAATTAAATTAGTACAACGTTATTGCGCTTTCGCCAGGTGCAAACCGTATTTCCCTCTATGATGTGCGCCTGTCTTATAAAAAACATGCAATGTCATACAATAATCTGAAAGAACGCACCTTAAATTTGCGTTTAATGGAAGACTGACTGAAAGGTTTATGTAACGAGCCGTCGTAATGTTATACATATTAAGTTATGCAGCACGGCACCATCATGTTAAAAAAATTCTGCTTGTAGGCATTTGCAGCACAATTTTATCACCAATGTGAGAAACGGATCTTTGAAGAATCTCATTAACCTTGATGAAATTGATCTGGGTAACAATTTGTTAACCAACATGAGCAGTCTCCTCCTGGAACTTCCCTCCAGTATTCGAAAAGTGTAAGAATTGCTGTTTACAATCGGAAAGCCGGTTGTACCGGCACAAAAATATCGTACTTAGTATTTGATGGTTTATATTGCGCTAACAAGAAGGTTTACTCAATGGTTTTCTTTTACTCTGTACTTACGAATATCGCCACTGCAGTATTAGGATTTAACAATATAATAATTTTCAGGAACATAAATAACAACAAGATGCTGGACGCCGTAATTCCTGTGGAAATGCCGCAGTTAACACAACTGAATCTCAGATCGAACAACATCTTTCAACTGCGAAGTTTGCGAGCAGCACTTAATCTGGATGCACTTGATTTATCCGACAACCAACTGAAGAATTTGAACCCAACACTGTCAGATAATACCACCATCTGGCCCACATCTCTTACCAAATTGAAACTAAACCACAACCGGATAACTACTATAACCAAGGAGATGTTCAAATCGCTATCAGCTATTCAGTCATTGTGCGTACAACATCGATTAATTGACCAATTTAATTTTTATTGCTCATGTAAAATGTGACTGCAGTAAACATTGTGGCCACTGGCAAGTGTAACAGCTGCACTGGCTGTAAAACAGGAAAAACGCTATCCACAGTTTTTTTAACAATTTCTACCCGAAAGTTCTGTCGTAAATAAACGTACTGCTTACAGGGAGCTGAATGATAACGACATCTCCGATATTGATGGACTTGCTTTCCATGGCCTTACCAGCTTGACAACATTAAATCTGGAAAACAACGACATAAAATCTCTGAATGATGGGGCATTCTGGGGATTATCATCGCTTAAAACATTGTAAGTTTTATAGTAAAATTAACAAGAATATCTGTCAAAGTGCGCCTGTATATTGCATGTGAATGGGAACAACTTTACGCACTATTTTAAATACCAAATACTTACGTCAAGGTTGCTTACGTGTAATTATGATTACTGTCAAGCTCCGAATAAGTTGCGCATTTTCATTTTAATCATGTTAGCGATGGCATATACCTCTTTCCATTCTGTGGTAAATTTTAAACCGCCTGAATTGTTTTTCATTACAGATATTTACAAAACAACAAAATCTCATCCATCCGCAAGGGGTGGTTGTATGGATTGGATGCGTTACAAATTTTAAACATCTCACGGAACGCCATCTCACGCATAGACGACAGCGCGTGGGAATTTTCACGAGATATCACACAACTGTAAGGATCATGTGAAACCACCCATTACGCGCTTTTCCAGTTCAGAAATGTCATCAAATGTATATAATTTTATGCAAACAGAGATCTGTCCTCCAACGCATTAGCCATTATAAACAAGACAACCTTTACTCCTGCCGGAAATCTGATGTTTCTCAACCTCAGCGCCAACGCCATCGTCCACATTTCCGAAGAATCCATGAAACAGCTGCGCCGCTTGATTACTTTGTACGTTGCCATTTCGGGTGTTGAAAACATATGAACTTTGCTTTTAGAGTTGTCTGTTATTTGCCATTTTTCTTCGTGTTTTCAGAGACTTATCCGATAACCAGGTCGGCCCGACGTTGGAGTCACCAACCTCCGTATTCGGCTGGCTGAAGTCTCTTCAGATGCTGTATCTACGTCGAACCGGTGCTGTGATGGTGTGTGAAACACTTTTGGACTCTTTGGTTATTTATTTACTTAATAATTGCTATCTTTTTGTATTATTACGTTTAATATTTGCGATCAAGCTTACAACACCGTATAGAACGCATTGCTTTTTCGCGCGCAGAAGTTGCGTTTTGCTTCTGTAGTTGTTGCGCGATATTTAATTTGGCTGATTGATAGTCTGATATCAATTTTTTTGCGACACTTGTCATTTTGGTACAGAGCATTTTAGATATGGCGCATTTAACTTGGTTGTGGATCAAAATTTCCGTACTTTACAGTTATCTGGGCATGCATTCGGTGGGCTGAAGCAACTTCAAGAGTTAGATTTATCGGGTAATGAGATATCCAGCGCGGAACCCGACGCCTTCCGTGGCTTATCATCCCTTCATAACCTTAAACTGAACACCTCTTCCTTTATCTGTGATTGTGACATTTCCGGCTTCCTGCATCTGGTGCAAACGCGTTCCTATCCGGACGCTCATTTCTCATGTTTCTTTCCACCGGAACTGCGCGGCAAAGAACTGCGATCTCTTACTCCAGGCCAATTAAAATGCTATGACAAACCACGCCCAAAAATCGAGAGCGATCCCGAAAGCCGGGTCGTGGTGGTGGGATCGAATATCACCATTCAGTGTTCCGCATCTTTTCCCACCGACTCAGCGGCAATTATTCGCTGGAAAAAGGACGACACACCAGTTGCCAACGCCATTACCACCACTACCGCCCGTCTCAATGGGTCTGTCATGGTGTACGTGTCGAAATTAACCATCCCGCAGACGGAGCGGAGTAACTCCGGAAATTATCAATGTATCGCCACCAATAACTTCGGGACGGTGTATTCATCCAAGGCCAAAGTGGCGGTCCACGTTTTCCCGGTGTTTGTTAAACATCCACAAGATATAACGGTGCGCGCTGGTGCGACCGCCCGTCTGGAGTGTTCTGCTACCGGCACGCCTCGACCGCAAGTACGCTGGAAGAAGAACGGCGGAACAACCGATTTCCCGGCAGCCCGCCAACGCCGACTGCGCTACGAGACCGGTAGCGATGTGATGCATATCGTTAACGTGTCCCGCGAGGACACCGGCGTATATTCCTGTATCGCCAGCAACGCTGCCGGGTCAGTAATGGCCAATGCCACCCTGGCCATCAGTGATGGCATCGGTGTGAACCTTGTCACGGATAGTGCCAATACCAAGTTGCTCAATGTGGGCGAGTCGGCGCTGTTTGAGTGTGATCAGACGTTGCGAGGAGAACGTTTTGCCTGGCTGAAGAACGGTGTGATGTTGCTGCTGACGCAGCGGCATCATCTGCTGCGGGATGGACGACTACTGGTGATATCAGAGCTAATGGACGGGGATTCGGGGATTTATCAGTGTGAGGCGGATGGTGCGGAGGGTTATGATATGGGCCCGGTGTATACACTGCGTGTCAAACGGAAACCGAGTGCCTGGTGGGATATGGATGATAACACCAAACAGAACTGGATTATTGCGGTTACCGTTATCGCGTCTATTCTTATCACCTCGTTGGCCTTCTTGGTTTATATCTACTGCACCCGCAGGAAACGCCGTGGAGTATCAAGTGCAGCAACAGGTGCGTTCGTTGCTCCGATCTTTTCTTATGTACACATGTACAGTTGTAAACATATTGTACTCGTACCGTACGGCGTACCCTACTTGCCGGTAAGCGGTACAATATTGGAATCTATAAAAATTATTTTTAATACGCAGAATTATTGTAGCATTTGTGAATATGCAAAATGGTTACCTTCAAATCGGTCAGCAGCATCATTTTCGTGTCTGATTGCTGCATGCATATGCAATGTTTACCCGTACGATATTAACAGCAAGAGTAGCGAAATTCGGAGAAGCCGCTATTTTTTATAATTCATGATAAACAGTCCGAGGCTGTGTCGGCGTATGCGTCGCACCGCCAATGACGATGTGAGGGCTCATAATTAAGCGTTATTCACGCGTGATTCTCATGATGGGTTCCGCATAGAGCTTTTTTTCCCGCTGGAGGGAGACATTAATATTGATCGAAGGCATTAAATCAGATATTATGTACCTACTATTTCTACGCGAAGACTTTGTCAGATTGTTAGCCATCATTGATTAACAATCCTGACTTACGCCGGATCGAATCATTAATTTTGATTGTGTCATTAAGTATCACGCAGAGCTTTTGTGCAATTATGCTCACCCAGAAACGCTTGATGTAAACATAGGTCTCGCTTGTCCTAATGCATTACCATATTTGCCGAATACCGGCCACCGCAGCTACAAATCATTTGCAGATACGCTTAACGTCGTCAGATCAAAGCAACCATAAGACGACTGTGTAATGTGACAAAAAATACCATGAAGTGGGACACTCGGTTGTTATACGTATATAATTTGTAAGAATACACACTTTTCACGAAAACATTTTTAGTGCTGTTGCGTGCTAAGTTTTACTTAACAAATAATTAATAAGTTTGTTTAATTTTTGAAACCTTATTCATTTTATTATCTTAGGGTAGTAGAATACTTTATGTGACCCACCATTAGATACGAGTATCGTGTAGGGAATTTGCTAAACATTATATCATCCCCTAATAAATTTGCTAAATATTATATCATCCACTAATAAACGTTTTCTGCATTCGCGCTGCGTATCTCCAAGTAAAGAAATGGCTACTTGCTGCCCAAATTCTACGAGTACGAGGACAAAGAATTCAGCAGGTTTAATTTGAAAATATTGAATGTTATGCATTTGTGCTTTGAAGGTACGGTATTTGAATAGCTTATAAGCTAAATAAGTGTTTCCAAAATCTGTCTGGAAAAGTGATACTTGTCCTGCCTTGTTGTTTGAAACATGAGCATTAGCCATGATCGTGACAATGTGTACGCTTGGTCAGTGCAGACACCGTAGAATGACCATTAGCCATGTTATGGAAACTAGTCAGAATCGTACAGAATTAATGAGTTTCCCTCTGTGACACTGTGCGTTCGTTTTACAGAAGAAACAATGCTGCCCGACGAATGCAATCCCATTAACGGTCTGCATCCTTCTGACAGCAGTTTAGATTCACCCGTGACCGATTACACCGAATACACCACGGTGGACAGTGTCGACGAAGCCTTCCCAACTGACCGCAGTAAGTTTTGTGTCTCTCTGACCATGAGGCCAAGCAGTGGGCGTGACCGCTCACATCGCACATAATCTAAATTGTCTTTTCCCGTGATGTTTCTCCAGGTGGAAGGAATCGAATCTATTCTCACCGTGCGTATCCGTCAATGGATGCCTATAATGATGAATCTTATGTGGAATCTCCGTCTTTCGCCTCCTATGCAACGCTCAAACCGGCTAAAAGCAATAAAACTTATCACGCTTCGCCGCATCGTTCTTGCAGTACGATCCCGCGAAGGATACCGTGATTTAATGTACTTTGACACTTTTTGTTTTGTACAAAACGTCGCAAAATCCTTGAACGTCTGAATCTTTGCTTGCTTTGTTGAAAAGAATTTTGTACATGTTTTTGTTGCAGATTGTAAGTCTACCTCAGAAAAGTGGAATATCTAGTCAAAATGTTTTAATATTTTGTTCTCACGTGTGTAAACATTTAATGAACTTGTTTCGGTCGGAAATTTGAGTAAAGCCAACACAAAAATAAAAACCTTGACATACTTCTAGTCTTCTACTTATGCATTGAATGTTTTGCAATGTCAATGAAATTTTCGTCAGAAGATTAGGACCACGTTCACAGGACTTGCCTAAATTTTTGAAGCCAGGCTATTTGTACGGTGGGCAGTTTGTACAACTGTGCATAATTTTATCAATCCTTGAAAATCACAACAACAGTGAGTAAGGTGCTCTCCGGCAAAGCCACAGCATAAGCCCAGAATTCCTGATTTATCTGCAAAGCACGCTATGCTTCCTACGAAAAAAAGGTGAAACTTAAAAGAAATTAAAAAAGCTGCGAACCCATACAAATACTTAACGCATAAAATCATCCTTTCTGCAAGTGCGAAGGCTAACAACACAAAATTAAACATCGTATATACACACACCAACAAAAAATAACGCAAAACTCGTTGGGTCGGTCTCCTCAGGCTACCACAATCAAATGGTAAAGCAAAGAAAACACCGTGAGAGCGCGCACGCGCACACTTAAATAACGAAACCGGTGTATGTGTTCTCTATACAGCAAAGGGATTCGTCGAGGATTGTCCATTCTGACCGAGATTCACCCAGTTAACACTATCGGTGTTGAAGGGGTCCGGGGCCGTCGAATTCGCGGACCAATCAATTGTGGTCGACGAGGACAGGCCCCCGTTCGTCTGACCATTCATGTAATGCTGATAACCGTTGACGTAGTGCGCCGCCGGCGGATGTACGGTGCGCGCAAAAGGCGCCCGTTCAGCAAAACGCTGACGTGCTTCCCTGGCGGATTCCGGTTTCTTGTCCACCGGAAACGGCGTGGAGAGACTCTTTGGCAGGGCATGGGAAGCGTTATTGACATAATTGGATCCGGCCGAGGCACTGTAGCCGTCAGGGGCACCGGAGGAACTCATCATGCTCAGATCAAACGACATCTGCTGGCACAATCGCGATATCTCATCCGTGAATTCTTCCGGTTCTTCGGATAGCACTTCATCGCTGTCCTGTATAGGAGTGCCGTCCTCCCATGTTGGCACTGAAAATTGAAACAGGCGCATTGTTTATTACAGAGGAGCTGAACCCTGTCTGCTTACTACGGTTCAAATCTAAACCATACCAAGAATTAACAATAAAAACCACACTATTAAGCGAGCTTTCAAAAATCAGTGTAATTAAGTAATAACGCAGGTTATTAACACTAGGGAGAAGCAACACCAAGGATATTAACAAGCAATAATTCGGAAAGGTTAGAAGCCAATGATGCTCTAGAACGGATGTTATTCAATTCTGTAAAGCATATAAGCCAACTACAAATCGATTTTCATGCAATAAAACCAATAAAACGAAAGAGCATGGCCCCAATTGTGGGACGCTAAACCATGAATCGCTAATAAAAGAGGATCTCGTGCTCCTCCATCGCTTTTGCAGCCAAGCTAGACACACATCCCCCATTTCAGGTGCAGCGTATGAAAATTTAAAAAGACCACAAACTCCATGAGGACTGAATTATGCAGAGATATCCAGCAAAAGGAACAATCTTACCACAAAAACACGGATTTAATTTAAAGAAAAAAGTCTAAACCAAAGCACTGTACGTACCATTACTATTGGCCCCAGTACCGGAGTTACGGAAATCCGTTGCTCCTCGCGCACTCCGACTCGATCCATCCATGGATAACTGCGGTCTCCACTTCCCAGCGGACCCGATTTCTGCTGGCCCATCGTGGGTCTGTAGGGATAAATTCCTCTTGAAGGGGGTCGCTGAATTCAACGTAGAAAGCGTCCGCAGCGACTGCTGCCTCTCCAGCATCTGCGGTGTGGCATGGGGCCGCTCCCGTTCAAACGGATTGACTACCGTCTTCACGGGTGGTGGGGGCGATACCGTTTTGAATTCCTGAGGGTTTTTCATCCGCTCCGCAATAGAAGAGGAGCGGGTCGATGATTGGCGGGCAAAGGTTGCGTTGGGAGTGTGGTTGGTCAACGGCAGACTGGAGATGCTGCGCGGCGGAGTCTGAATCATCGCCGCCGTAGTGGATGTGGAATGGTGGCGACTGACTGTATCAGGCTGCGAAGGCGGCGGTGCTGCCGCTTGGGCAATTTCACGGTCACGTTTTTGCTTCCGTTCCAAGCAGATTTGAAACGCACAACCAACCGCGTGGGAAAGACGTTCGCCCTATTGCATAACACGCAAAAGATGGTTACGCTGATTGAGAAAAAAGAAAACATGAACGCTGTTACCGATTCGCGGACAGCAATGAATCCATGGCACAACCATCGACGGGTGGCTAAAAAGTATTCAGCATTAATCGTGCATGGACAATCTGATTGCTGACATACAGCAAGTACGCAACCATAACACTATCATACCTCCATCTCGGCAGATATAGGAAAAACCACGATCATGATTGCGGTCAGGTGCGCAAAAGGACACTTTCTCGATTGTCTGATCCACAATTAATTGCTAAAAGAACGTCATACGATTTATTTTTAAAACCAACGAGGAACCGAAAAATCATACACATTAATTTAAGGCTTCAACTCAGAAAGACTGAATGACCCATTCACATAATTTTCAAGGATATATAAAATTTTGCAAAACATCTACAATCAATCTAGTAAACTTGATCGCAAATAACAACACATGCCGACAAATGTTTCAGAAATTTTAAAGAATTCTGGCGCAGACTTAACGGCATTAAAAACAGTTTCAATAGTCGGATCCAGGTATGTTTATTTTATTTCAGAAAACCGTTAAATCACGGTAATCAAGCCAATTCATCAGTACCGCATAAAATTAATGGAAAAAAAACAGCATCCAGCATCGTGCGGTAAATCCTTTAAAGAAAAGGCAATTTCTCGTAATTATCAAATCATTTTAGTCACTTCGAACATTTAAAAACCAAACTGTTCGCTTAGGAACAATCAGTAGATCATACAAAGACGGGTACTAATATTTAAATTAGCCTGTGTTCATTTTACATGCAGCTCTTATATATAATTACTTTGCTATAAAATTAAATTTCTTCTAAGAATCTGCAACCGGAAAAAGATAATCAACTGATAGAGTTTCCGCATAATTACCGAGCTCGTTGCATCCACAACCCGCAAGCCATCACCACTAATGTGCAACACCGCCCGTTGCGTTTTCCGGCCCGAATTCTGCGCAAATTAAGTTACGTTATCCCAGCTCCATGCCGCACAAACAAACAGCGTAAACACCGTGTCCTTACCCGCAGCTGTTTGAGCGCTTCCTCACATATTTGCATTCCACGGGATTCAAACACCTCAATACATCCCAAGTACTGCAATATCACAGAGAAACACTTGAACACGCAATTTGACAAACATCCGCCGTACGTCGGATGCAAACATTTTAAAAAGTACCGGTACTGCCATATTCAGCCGACTTCTAATCACCTGTGTTTTATTAAGACACGTCAATGCTTCTTATTGCATCCTTGCAGAGTAAAAGTACGTCATTGATTTCAAGTCTGGCTACCAGAAAACGATAATACTCATAGTCATACCGTACAGGATTGCCGAGCGGAAAGAGCAATCGATCGATAGACTTGTGTGCAATGCCTATATAGCCTGCGCAAATTTTCAACTTGGTAGAAAATAACTTGATGAATTTGTTCACCCACCCAGGAATCACTGGGCTGAATAACAAGGTCAAGCCAGAAACTCTACACGCACTCTCTCTCAAACTTTCCGCCCGAAAGTCCCCTCTTCACAATGCATAAACATCGCGATAACAAAACCATTTTATGCGTCAGTGGATTAAAAGTTCTTTATCAGTATCATCGCAGTGGGCGCAAAAAAAAAACAGTATAAACAATGTAAAATGCGTATCTACAGCTTTTACTTACATTATCCGTGTATAAGACTTCTAGAATTCTATTATGTAAGTTTGTAAGAAAGTTTATCGAAATGCAAGAATCTTGTTCTAACCAATCTTTTGGTATTCACGAACCGCAAGAACAATATAATAACCAGCCTTCTCAATTTTTGAGAAAAACATTTAAACGTAAGTATTCATGAATTTTCAAGTAGCATAATGAGACCTTCCTACATCAACCCAGCTTCTACAGGTAATTACGTAGCGAAATATTAAATTGTAGTACTATCATAGCAGGTACTACAATTTTAATACTACACTTCTTTTTCGGTTAACATTTTATCAAAGCTAGTAAGAAATCTTACTAACTTGTAAATTAGATCTCGATCAAATACATAAGCAGCCATTACCCAACCCAGAACGCATGCAGTGCAGCATTTATTCTCACATACTTCTACAAAAAACATTTTTAACTCGAACGGACCTAGTTCCACCATTAAAATCTAATCGAAATAAAAAGCCGGCCTTGAATCACACAACAAACACAATCGCTATCCACAACCATTTTATTAAATTACTGCCTCTGCGACAAGCTATTAAAACCAATTTCAAATAAAAAAGGTCTGCTCTAATGACCGACTGTTTGCAAAACACGCAAATGTCAACAAAAAAGATCACAGTCAGGATAAACACAGGACGCCAGCGTCTCTTCTTACGTAAGAGCCTTGCCCTGAGCCAAACGTTAGTGACACTGTCTTTTCTTGATACACAGTCTCGAAAAGTCATTTTAGTGATTAAAAATTTTTATGATAATCAATTTACTGACATGTAAAATTCAAAATAATGTTCAACGATGACAGAGTCTAATTACTCGCTGGCAGTCACTACGTACTCTTGGTTTTTGTCCCAACTTAGCTTATAAGCCTGCTTTATACTGTAGTTTAAGCCACACTTTGTAGCACAACATTCCTTACCTTGACTTGGAATGAGCAGTTTCCAGCACGAACTGCTACCTCATCATTACTCCATTGTGGAGGCTGAGCACTTTCGCCTGATGAGGCCGATGATGGAGCTTTCTTGGAACGGCGAAAGGACTGCCGAATACTTCGCCTGATGCGATCCATTGATCTGCCTGAAATACCATCAATGTCTGAGCGTCTGCACCAAGATATCAAATTATCCCGAGATCTTCGGATGGATGAAGACGCTTGATTATGTCAAAATCCAAACAACTTAACATAAACACAGAGAAAACCAGCACAGACATTCTTCAGTATAGCAAGTACACAAATAAACACGATCGGTTTTGTTGATACCTGCGCAATAAGTGTGTTTACGGTTTATGAGTGCGAAAACTGCAAGCTGAGAAAAACGCTTCCTCTGTACTACGGTAGCGAATCTGGGAAGTGCAGGCCAGCACATAATACAGTAGTATGAGACGGGATTGAGAAGAGCACGCGGTACTGTGGTACGGTATTGTACATCCGTTCATTGACTAAAACAGATTTTGTAAGTTGATAAAACAGCTCACATTACGTAAAAAAATTAATTTCTACCTGGAATTTCCTAAGTTAATATTAAGATGGAATGAATACTTACACAAAGACTGAATATCCCTACAAAATTAATCATATCGCGGTAATAAAGCTGATACTGATGAAAAACACGGTTACACGAGCGATGTAAGTACAATATATCTATACTTATCTATATGTTAACCTATCTATATCTAGAAGTATCTATATGTTAAGCTGCAGATTCCTGTAGCAGATATTTTTCGTTGGCAGTATAACTTTTCCAGCACAACTTTTAATTGTATAATGCAAGTTTGTTTCATTAATTTCTTTGGTAATGTTGACGTGCATACATTATGATTATGACGACAGTAAATTACAGCCCTTAAAAGCCCTTTAGTGAGTATCTGTATTATATTTAAGCTTGTACAAAGTACAAACCTGGAAGGTTTGAATGCTGGTTAACTGTTGGCTTGTGAACCAAACTGTTTAGCACATGCTGACCGCAAATTATTGGAAGTCGCTAAAATTTTAAGTCAGCGAAGTCACACGGTTAATTATGTACGTGAATATTGCGTTACAAAGTGAAAGGAATTAATGCGGAACAGTTGTACAAAAGCACTAATGCGGTACAGTACCGTATTAATGTGCATATGTATTTTGCAATAATCGTTGTACAATATCTGTAAGTACTACACTTAATATTACTAAAATGTAAATTTCTTAATTGGGCAAGGTTATTGAAAGCGTTCCTAATTAACGATTACCTTCTAACAAATTACTAAACGTAAAGAACGTTCATTGATGCGGTAAAAAAAGACGTTTTACTTATAACTCGTGCTCGCCCATGACATCCCGCTAGCAGCATGGCAGCGGTGTACACTGGTACAATTAGTAAGACGTATCAATTTTTATGCATGCCCGTTTATTAAAACCATTTATTTTCTTACTCCTCCAGTTATGTTTGCTAAAAAAGTGTTAACTTACGCATTCGATCCATTTTTATAACGTTCTGCTGTCGCAAAATAGTCCAATCAAAAATTGTAATTCCCAGAACAGATGTGGCTTTTGAGTTTAATATTGCAAAAAATTTACTGCAGTAGCATACAAAAAATCACAAAATTAATGGCAAAATCCTTTGGCCAAAAGACCGAATTCGTTCACACAATTCAGATCGTTAATTCTAAGTACAGCAGTTAAATTAAACATCAACAATTTGTGAGATCAAAAAATGGAATGTTAGAGAGAAAAATGATGAAACCAGGAAAACTCTAAGGCACATCAAATATGCAAAAACACAAAAATCAGCAGAACGCGAGGGCAGCTACACCCGCGTCTGGGTTTTCGCAATCAAGAATTCCGAACTCGAACTACACCGTTCTCACTGTTATCACCAGGTAGGTACACACCATGTGCGCATTCCGAAACACAATCACATAATCAGAAGTGAGCAAACTGCCACCGTCAGCATATTCGTCACCGTTAGCATCAACCTTCCGGCGCTAGACACCACTTTGCGGCTCACCGGTCCCACCGTATCGTCCGCACTGTGATCAATGTAGCCGCTTTGTCGCACACCTTTACCAGAACCGGAAGCCGGTGCAATCAGCGTGTTGTTGGATTTCGGCAACATCTGCAGCTTTTCATCATCGTTCTCCGCAAGATGGTCTTCAGTTGTTGTGGGCAGGAACGTCGACGATTCCATGGACGATGCAGGGCTGGACGTTGCGGAAGTGGTGGTTGTTGCTTCTGTGGAGGTTGTTGTGCTCATCGACGTGCTGGGAGTAGTTGTGGTGGTGGTGGGGGCAGATGTTGCAGTCGTAGTCGATTCCGTCGACGTCGTGGCTGTGGTCTCACTTGTCTCTTCGCCGGATGACCACCGATGGGATGGTCTTGTTGGGTGGGCATGATGATCCTTCCGTTCCGCTCGATTCACGGTATTGACCACGATGACAGTATCGGTGGTGGTCTCCCAGGTTATAAATTCTGCAGTACTTGTACTGATAACGTTAGGATTATCTGTCACGTAATCCATGTCATCGGCACTCTCCGTAATTTGTTCATCCTACGAACACGAATGCATCAAGATAATGTACTCCACAAGGTTCCACATATTGCCTTATGTTTAAATTAACAGAGAATTCAATTCTAAAATTGGCTCAATGTCATGATTTTGGTTCGCAAAATTATTTTATTGAGAAATTTAGCAAACTACCAGAAAGATTCACTTTCAGTTTGAACAGTTAAAAGGTGCAGATTTTAGATCTGGCAAATGTTACCGAAATAGACTAGCGTCGGTCAGAACAATTTTAATTGCCACCTTTTTTAAAACATATTTTCACTAATTATTGTGAAACAGAATACGAAATATCTAGGTCACTCTTACCTCGCTGTGCTTATTTGGCAACGCGTTCTCGGAGTTCGAAGCGAACTCCCCGGTTTCTTCATGAAGGTCATCGTCCGATGTGTTTTCGTCGACGTATCCATCGTGACCAAAATCTTCGCCGGCTGCAGATGTGCTGGACGTTTCGGTCGTTGTCGTCTCTTCCAGTTCTGCGCCAGAATCGGCTTCCTTGTTCATCTCCGGATCCGCTTCTTCAGAATCATCATCGCCTGCAGCATGATGTGCGACTAGGGCGTCTGTTTCCCTGTCATCGCCCTGTTCAGCACCGCTTACATCAGATTCCACGGCGCCGGCTGGATGCTCGCGATCGCTCGCTTCCTCTTCCTCGGCGTCGTCGTAGTACGTTGCCGTATCGTTGCCACTCACACCTGATTCGTCGACCGTAGTTCCTTCCAGATCCGGCGTTTCAGTATGTAAATCAAAATCTTCCGTGACAGCTTGTTGTTCAGGTTTCAGGTTTTGCACGTCCACTAGATACCGCGTGACCATTTCCGGGTGGAACATATCATAGCATTGAAACACAGCAATGTCTTCGTAAGTGGCATTGTGAATTCCCAAGTCAAAGCCGTTAATCAAATGATAGCGCTGTTGCTTCCTCAGCTTCACTGTGTCGTGAAAAAGAGGCACCTCGGAGTTATCCGCAATATTATAACGAACCCACATCATTTTCGTTTTCCCGGGTGTCACCATGTTGTAGCTATCACACCCAAGTACGAGCTGCTGACCACCGTCGACGCTAATCTTTCGAATACCCTTTAAGTCGAGCACGCTTCCCGTGGCTTCTTGTGGAACAGGACTGCAGGAGACAAGGCTGAAAATTGAAAAAACCAGAAAAACGCACGGCAGTCTGCATCCCGATAACAGAAATGTGACAGATTTTGCCATCATAGCACCTCGAGGCACGAAGCAATCAAAGAAACCAGCTAATGGAAGCACAGAATTCCTGTACGCGCTCACGTTTTACCGATCAGGAAACAATTATATTAATTTATTAACAATATGGTTCATTAGGCAGAACTAAACACAGGATCAGGAAGGAAAAATTCAACGACTTAACTTTAATTCAAGTCATTCGGCAGCACATGCCTTTAAGAACTGTACAAGCAAGACTCGCTCAACACAAGTTACAGTAAAGTTGGAAGCGATAACCGCTTGGAACTGCCAGATCCTGTCATCCAGATAAAACGATACGAAGTACAATCGAAAGCGCCGTACTACCGCGCTTGATGACTATCAGTTCCCGTTCAGCTAAGTAATATAAGCCGAGTAGTCAAAACTAACTTGCCGGTGGACAGGCGGTGGTCCGGTGCTGATCATCGTACGTACAGTACAGCACATACGAACAAAATAATTATAGCATTTGTACATGACATTGTGTAATAAGATAAGAGGAAGGCTCCGCACACCACGTTTCACCACCAAAGTCTCCGCACACCACGAAACAGCACCGCCAGGCTCCGCACACCACTTTTTATTATTTTTTAATTTTTTTACAAAAACCACCGAAATCTCCGGACACCACCAAGTGCAGAATGCACACCACCACAGTCTCTGCACACCAATATTTAAAACAAAATTAATTAATTATTTTTACGGGCGGAAAAAAGACAGCTCTTTCGTCTCACGGTCTGGCTTCTCTTTTTTGATACCACTCGTTTGCCTCCGCTTCCGTTATAGTAGCAAATTTTTCGGTTTTACAAACTTGCCGAACGCAAGTTGTTTTTGTTTGCGGATGGTTGCTTGCCGCAACCACACGTTTTCTGCTGTGCTTACCTACTTTTTGCTGTGCTTACTTAAGAACTTTCTGTGCTTACTTACTGTGTAGTACTTGATTTACGGATGCTGTATAGTAAAGATTTGCCTTGCGCTATATTGAAACCCAAAACACTGTAATTTAGATTACTTAAAATACGCTGCTCGGTCGTATATACGACTAATATGAGCCATGTTGTATTTTTCGTGTGTGTACAGTAGATAGTACGTACTTTACTTAAAATACGTTGTACGTAAGTACTACCTGCTGTACACAATACGAAAAATACAACATAGCTCATATTAGTCAAACATACGACCGAGCACTGTATGTTCCCGAAACTACGAGTATAGATATAAGGTGGTGTCCCGAGACTGACGATCTTTTTACATATATATGGTGGTGCGCAAAAATGGTGGCCCGAGACAAAATGTGGTGCGAACAGTGGTGTGCGCAGCCTGGTGGTGGTGAAAGGTGGTGTGCGGAGACATTGGTGGTAAAACGTGGTGTGCGCAGCTTTCTCCATAAGATACTTAATTGTATTGTTACTGTATTGATCTACAAGACTACAACTAGCCGTGATGGAATCAAAGTAGAAGTATACCATATCAATCGTAAGCCACATAAAAGTTATAGTAAATACACATCTACACTCTGCATACTTAATAATAACAAGAGAATGCGTAGCTGGAAGTTCCAGCATGGAACTCATGTAAGTCATTAGATTACGTAGTTTACCTCTTCATCTGTAGATATATGTGCAATATGTTTATAGATATTATTTTAGATCCATACACAGTATTCCATACACAGTATCCTATAATAATACTAAATTACCATATAAAGTATTGTTATTTTGTGCTAGTGCAAACTGTGCAATACCAGCGACAGCGTCAGATGACGTGCGTACGATCATCGGTCCACCGAAGTACGAGTGGAACGGTATAAAAACACTTGTACTGACCGGTGAAGTTTTTACTGCAAATACTTACATACAGTTAAATGGAGGGGAATTCTCATAAACGGAGGGTACTAGATGCTTCGAAACAGATGGATTTTAATCGCTCTGAATAAGTGAACCGCTCTTTTATTTTGAATTCAATTTCTTAGGTTGTCATAATGTCTGCTAAACTGATTATTTGTTTTGGTACGGTTCTGATATGTTTTTACTTTCTCCAAATTTGCTCAGGCGGAGATGCCGGTGGTGGCCCAGGATCTCGGAAGAAGTCCACAAATCCGCGTAAGAAATACCGAGTACAAAGTATCTGTAATTACGCAGTGCAGAGTTTTCACTAACAATAAATTGGAAGGGCACGAAATGATTCATTCAAAGTCCACGAATAATTAATAATGTTTGACCTTTTTACATTAAAACTGTTCTTCTTTTTCAAGTTCCAGCATTTTAAAGATCAATTTGCAAGCCCCAGATGAACCAGGAAAAATAGTGATTACATCAGTTTCATGCCGTTCACTCAACTTGTTGCTGGTTGTTCACTACAGTTGTAAAATCTGGATTGTGCCCGCAGCCCAACTGCAAAATGGGAGTTAATTGCGCTTATTCCTACGATTGCTGCAACTTAGGAGGCTCGGCATTTTGCGTCCCACGACCTTGTCCCAGTACTCGTTACTGCAAGAACGACCAAGAATGTCCAGGGGAAGAAGAAAAATGCTGTGCCACGGAATCTGGTCGCGCTGTCTGCACTCATGCCGTTTTTGTTGTTTAAGTTCGAAGTGTAGCAGTGCAGTACATAATCACACTACACAGTTGTAGTTATAACTGTTAATTTGGTCTATTGCAAACTACATATAATATATAATATCATGTTTATGCGAACGAATAGCAGTCAACAAATTAAGATTTACCCCTTTTGTCTACAGTTTTAAAGCTTGCACTTAAAAAGCTGACGCATTTCGGCATTCTGCTGTTTCTATGTTCCAGTGATGGCCATGGTCAATTCTAAGTCATAATTAATTTCAAAGAATTGCCCATTATAGTGCACTATTCGGCCTGTTAAATTCCAATTTTATATACAGTGTGCAGTAGAAGACGTCGTTGTACAATACACTTGTACTTATGGTTAATGTTAACATAATAAGCCTTGCCCGACATTGTTTTTCTTAAATAATAAGCCGTGTCCGGCATCAACAACCAAATAACAGGTTTTTTTGTATGGCATACAAAACTATGGTTGCTCGGATTATTGTAACAATGAATACAAAATGCAGGGTTAGAGTTTAGAATTATTAGCTCTTACCAGGCCAGAGCTACGGTATGTATACATACCGTAATATCAAAGAACGATTTAAACAAAATGTAATGTAAAGCGCTGTACAAACACGAATGCCTCCGTGTCATAATAAGAAAAGCTGTCAAAACTGCTGGCACGACTTCTTTTGTATTGTGCACAAGCATTCCGCAAAAGTGACAGCGAAACCTTCAGCCAGCGTTAACGATGTTCCATGTTTCATACTCAGGATCGTGTTCATCCAGGTTTAATCGGTCCACAATATCGTACTGCAAAAACAATAGATTTATAAGAATTTCAATCATAACCAACTGACAATAATTATAACACGATTTCGTGATAAAAAAATCGCAAATCGTAGTTCAGAATACATTCAAAAGACTGGAACGAGCACTCGTACTGCGTAACTATGACTGATATAATATACAAATGATCATTATTTTTATAATTCGTATAATTATAAATATTTATACGAGACAGCGCGAGTTTACTGGTTAGTTCCCATACCGTATCTTCACTGGCAATTTCGGAAGGCGTAAGGCTGCCACCGCGTCCGTAATGGCAGTATGCAGTAGCCAGTTCCCGAGCAATGAGATCTTCCTCTTGAACAGACTGCCGCGCAGTCATGGTGTGGGCATTCATGGATGCGGAGCGTGACCGAGGACCACTCCCCGCAGAATGGTAAGATTCTCGCATACTGCCGGCAGTCGGGAAATTTGCTTCGTGGCTAGACAACACGGGAGGAACATTTCCACCAACTGGAAAAGTGCCAGATCTGTTAACCATTGGCCGATCAAACGAATTAACGGCATAAGCATATTCTTGGGATCCGCGAGATAACACACGCGGGCGCATACGACGGTCGTGCTGGAAATGAGGCGGAAAATCTCCCCCGAACATGGCCAGTCCGGCATCGGGCGGCATATCCCGAGGAGGTTGACCGCGGAAACCGAGGTGGGGTGGGCCAAATCCTGGATCCCGGTACCGGTCAGCTGTTGGTACCGGGGGTGCCCGAGGACCGGAAAAGGGCATCCTCGCGTATTCTTCTCTTAATAAAATATCGCGATCTGTTACCTCCATGGAGCGGTCATAATCGATATTCCGACGGAATCGTAACGATGCATGATTTGCCATCACACAGTGGCTACAATAATATTATTGTATCTGCAAAAACATATGAGTAAGTATTAATCATTGTAAGCTGCATAACATGCAAAATTTATTGGTACATATAACGGACCACGGCTTCCATCGTTCTCCATTGCTAACTGCAAAACTGCTTATATTTGGATGAAATATTAGTACACCGCTAAATATTGCACATACCGTGACATACGAAAAGTTAAATTACTTGCAGACATACGGTAAATCTTTACGCCACCCTTTTAAACAATAAAACTAAAAAATACTTTACCTCATTAACCGACATACCTGCTGATCAACTGCGTTAATTTAGCCCATACATGTAGGCTGTAAATAAGAGTTGAACAAAATTATGATTTTAAATTTTTACGACACGATTCATGAACAATAAAGATGTACATGTATGGTAAACTGGTAATCCTCCGTCGTACGGTAATTGCGGGAGTCGAACATTCACAATTTCACAAATCCGACGTTATCGAGCTTTGTAATTAAAGCTCCCGAACTGGTCACAAGTGCAGCAGGTATCGAAAACTCTGAATTTTATTCTAATAGTAACTTATCAGAGCTGAATTTACAATCCACATCCGAACAAATAGTCTAGGTATAAATTTAGCACTGACGGAAAAGTTTATGTTTGACTTTACAATTAGTAAAGGCGACCGACGACGAGAAAATGTAAAATCGAATAACAACAGGGGTGCGGTATGTAGCGCGTAACAAACTTTCGGAACGATAAGAGTAAAGCTTAAGTGCATCACGCGCGAACTTCTACTACATTGAAATCGAATTGGGTCACATGGTAAACCATGTGCGTTTATGTTTTTCACGAATAGTGTAGAAAACTATTGTGGCGAAAACAACCGCTGTCAATTGCCGAAAACGGCAGTTTTGTACGGGTAGGTTGTGGGCAACTTTATTCCTGCTGTAATTACGTAACGAAGTGCTTACAATTAATTTTTTTACTAGAAGTAATGTTTATCCCAGTTCGACTTTTCTGTCACAAAATAGCTAGACCATCATCAAGCATGTTGACAGAGATAGCTAATTCCCATAATACTAAAACATAAATACTGGACTTTATTGGTCAAATCAATGCCACAATAATTACTTAACTGGAGGATCGCGATACCCTATATTTAAAACAAACCCTTTCATTTAAAAAAAGGAATACAGTTAGAATAAGAAACGATAATAAATTGAGGATGATGAAACTGAATAAATCTTCGAACACACCGGTATTATAGTAATATTTTAGAAATGGATGAGCAATGGATTCCATGGACCGGAAGTGCGGCAAAGGTTACCTTGTCAATCCGTCGCAGTCATCAGCGACGTCGGCGTTCGCTAAACAACCGCACCGCGCGGCATTCACGTGTTATAGTGATATATTCAAACGTCAAAGCCAAGACTTCGCACTACAGATCGCTTTGGCGCTGGCAGCCGGGCAGACTGACTGACGGAGACATACACAACAACCGTATCTGTATGTACGCTCGAGTCGGCTCGACAAAGCGATGTGGAATATCCCCAGATTTTTCGATGTGCTGTTACCTATAACGCTAGGAATACTTGGTGGCATATATATCTGGAAGCCAGCAGTAGAGAAAGCTGCAAAAGAAGTTCAACAGGATCGTCGAGATAAACCGCAATCATCCTCTCAGAACACGTTATCCAGTGAGTTGAAAGAACCAAATCCGACACCAATTGTTCCGCAGTAGTTGATGATGTCGTCGTCCGCGCAAGATCGCCCTAATCCGCCTTCCGGAGCTGGTTCGGGATCCGGAGCCACGTCAGGCTCCGGTGCTTATTCAGGATCCCAGGGCAAATCATCCAGTCAAGCTGCGATACACGGACAACATCAGAATGTTGGCAGTGCTTCAAGTGGGAGTGCCAGCGGCAGCAGCAATGGAAGTTCCGGATCCGGAGCGAAAATCCCCAAAACACCAAATCTGGGTGCAGCAGCCAGTGCAGCGGGAAATGCGTCGCGTGGTGGCGGAGTCCCGTGGTTGGCACTGGCAGGCGCGGCCGCTGCGGCAGGAGCTGGATACTTTTATTACAAGAACTACTACTCCAAGACGACCGCGAAGCCTTTTGACGATGGGAGAGTGAAAGGTGTCGATAAATTCGACACGAAGTATGTTGAGGAGAAGTACAAGGAGCATGGCCATAATCCTGATCCTAATATCATGGCGAATGCTAAAGCACAGGAGAGTCGGCAGCGAATTGATACGAAGCAGAATCCAAATGAGGTACTGCGCGGAAAATGAGTGATGTTGAATGTTGATTGTGTACAGCGTGGATTGTGCGCCTTGTCGCTTATGGCAGAATACTGTAATTTGGTTTTTGCTGTGTGTGTCAGTGTGATTGGATGTTTTAATCGGGTCAATAATTTTTAACTCCACATTTTGGCATTTCGAGTTCATGTTTGAAGTTGTTAACTTTTACCTGCAGTGCGGTAAAACAGCGACACGTTTTGGAATCGTTTTGCTTTTTCTGTCCGGTATATTTATATTTAAGTGTATGTATTAGTATACTTTTATCAATTGTCATGTCATTGTAAAGCATAAATTGCTAACATTGCTGTGCAGATTATGCACGAGTGCGTGTACAAAGGAAGATTACTGAAAATGAATTTCGTATTCACGAGAACAGAAGATATCACAAGATGTGCGCATTGTACGTCTTTAAGAAACTACGAACTTTTGTACCAAACGCTTTTCGCCGATAGCGAATTAGGTGCTTAATGAAAACTGTAAATAATGTGTAATGTAAATAATAAAACAATAAGTATTATTGTCTTATTGTTAATGCAAATATCCAAGAATCGGTCGCGCTAGCGCACGACCAGTTGCGTTTTTGGTATGAAATTATGATCAAGAAATCAGGACTGTAGAAATATCTATATGTCGTATTTTTTGTGGAAATATTTCGTGTATTTGAGAATGTAGAACGCTAACATAAATAATAAAATTATTTGACCCCGCTAGTCAATTTCGAGTTTAACTTTACTCATGTTTCAAAATTACTCATGAATACTCGTACACTTTATTTAATTACAGTATGTACTGTATGTGCTCACTACGCCGTGACTACGGGTAGACTTTAACCACCTATCAAATTTTCAACCTGATATCGTTTGCACATTTTATATTTTTTTAACAAGACTAAAAGAAGTGTCGTACGAATTCATCCTAATTACCGCATTGTCACTTCTTTTAAAAACCAGTAAGTAACTGCATCAGTATTTGTAAAACAGTTGTAGTAATGAAATAACATCAAACAACAGAATCCCAAATCGCGAATTTATTTACATGGTTAAGCAACTCAAAGTAGCACTAACCACTGTAACCAGTACAAAGAAATACTAACAAAACACTGAGCCATTTGGACACGGCATTCGAATATGTTGACTATGAGCAGCGGATATGAGAGGTTACGTATTAAAGGACAAATTGTACTACACCATCACTAATAAACTTCCTTCAACTCAAGAAATTCACAACCAGAACGTCAATCCATAGCCTCAAGTTTCATAATTATCATAAAACAGAACCATTAATAAGCCAGTCACGCGGGCATAAATGCATCATGTACAGCAGCGAACAGAGTATGCATGCAACCGACGGAGAATTTCGCACACTGGGCGAAAAGTTCACAAATGTTTTTTCAAACTGCACCGTGAGTTTCACCAATACAAAAAATGAAAGCCCTGAGTTATAGTTGCAATTGGATGCTCTCGTAGTCATCAAAATCCACTACAATTCTAAAGGGATATAACGAATCCCGGTCGTTGTACTCGGAATTGAGAATTTGCCGGAACATTTGAGAGGCATTATGAGAACCATTCTCCGTCTCATTCAACAGCTCCGCCGACAGCACAAACTCCCGCCATCCGACCGCTTCCGGGATCTCCAGAAAATCACTGGCCTCGGAAATATCAACATGATCTACTTCGCCATCACCGCGCTGTCCATAGAACGAGACATTCACATATCCGTCATTGAAGGACTGTGTCGGGAAGCGCACTTGTAGACTTCGGACTTGCAGGCCTAGATAAACAACCCAAATTAAATGAGGTTGAAGGACAGGATGACACTAATCATCCTGATTAACAAATGACGGTATAATTTTAGATGGCACCGATGAAAAGCCTAAATTTCAACGGACTAGGGAAGCCGATGCCCGATCAGGCGGTCTGTGCGTGTTCACGAACGGAAATTCTACAATCGATCAGGCAGCTGAACCTGACGTCTGCCAATGTGTTTCGTAACCAGCTATAAAGATTGTCGATGTTCACGTTAAGAGATCCGAAGGGAGAATTTTGCTGTAACACAGCATCGAAACTTTCATAACTGACTACGTACATAGTACTTACAAAACTTTTACTCTTCCAAAAACAAGTTAAAAAATTTTGACCATGTCGATATTACATTTTACAATAAATATTATTCAGTTGTCACTACATTTGAAGTGCACGCCTTGCTACAACAGCCTGTAAGCAAAGTAAGCTGCAATAGGAATTATACTTATGGTTAGCTTACAAAGTTATACAGAATGCAGTCAAAGCATTGCATTCTGCGTGTTTTCACTTTTTAAGTGTGCATTCTGTGTATACCGTGGTAAATCAAAACACCCGGTAAGATTATGGTAAAAAATACGCCAGAGCTCTCTGTAAAACACCGAATATGTTTCGTATTTTTAACAGAATAGCAGTCACCGCATACGGAAGTCGAAGTACTAATTTTATCACTGGAACCTGCCCGATCGCAAATGGGCGAAACCGTCGCTCATGTTCAATATCACTCGATCACGTTTCTTCTGCCTGATATGCCGGCTGAACAAGTTCTTCATGTCACACGCGCATGCAAAAACCGGCAACCCCAGCAAATTTCTACGTCCAACCGAACAGTCTCACAAATAATACCATCTACTATCCACGTGTTGCAGAGTGAACTTTCGTGTTGCCGCTACACCGATTCGGAATTCGTAGCGAAAAGCCGGTATACAACAATAGGCATATCGTGTGCACACTGCACAGTATAAACGCGAAATGATAACGCGGACAGAACTTTAACCGGAAATGCTTAATATAGGCATTACTGTACGAGCGTAAACTGCATTGGCAGCAGTAAAGGAAAATTCCGAACGGTCAACTAACGTTAATAACTTACCAACTCGAGTCAGATCAAATCGCCAGTCAATTCGGGCTGTGGCATTATCGGAAAACTGACTTTTCCCAATGTAAGCAAGATTCCAGTCATCCACGAAGTAACGCTGGGTATTGTATTCGGCATAACAAAGCTTGTCATACCCTGCAATGTTAACAACAGACGAAAAAGTTAGCAATTGTACAGCAATGCAGAAAACGGAACAAATACTTCAACCAGTTAGAAGTTAAAATAATAACAAGAATTATATTACTAGTGGTCTTACTACATCCCTGTTTCCTAACACGTATTAAGCGCGCAACTTAAGTCACTTGAAACTGTCACAGGTGTTTTCAGAACACACTGAATTTCATGCCAATAGGCATTTTTAAAATAACTAATTATCAATAATTGCTCAGGCCATTAAATTTATCCGTGCACGAGGACGAAATGCTCTAATCTAAAACAATCAGCCCCTTTCGTATGTCGAAAACAATTTCTCATCCCGTTTAACGGAGCAGAAAATGGATTGCACCACTGCAGTTTTTTATTTTTATTTTATTAGATCCAGAGCCTTTACGGAAAAATTTCGATTATGCGATCATTCCAACATTCTACGCACTTCTCAGGAAGTGTTGCAAGCTACGCAGGCTAATAAGCGCCATTTCGTAAGAAGTCACGCAGTTAACACACATTCATAATATTATGACGCGCAACTGGAGTGGCTTACCTTGCACAATTTTGTCTTCTCCGTAAAAATCGCATCGCAGATACTGATCCTTCGCTGCACTGTACAGTATTTCCATGTGACGCGATTCATATTCTGTTTGACTTGGTTGGAACACGTATCCCGTGAGATTTGGATAGTTCTTTCCCCGACGGGAAGGAAATGGTGGCCCATACGCTGCATACAGAAACACATGACTTCAAAGTATGTATGTTATTTAATAATTTAAGCTAATAAGAAGAGCAGGAAAAAACTCGAATTTGTTTATAAAGCCAAACTTTGACCGACACGAAAGCACGTTTTGAATGCCACTAGTGACTAGTCCCACTACTCACTACTCACAATCTTAATGGCATCTTTACTGTATGCAACAAAGATAACGCAAATTATCAAACAGCTACAAAATTTTATTACGATTTCTGTAGTAAGTGACAGGTCGTATAAGTTTGTGACAACAATAACATAAACAGCAAATTGCAAGCTGCAGCAAGCACTACTCTAGTAAAAGGGATACTTACGGAAATGCATAGAATCCAGCGAGCTCATCTTCGGGAAGGATGAGATAACCGGATGACGATGATTTGCCACTACGCTCGCCGTGATTGCGAATTGAACAGAAACAACGAAATCAAAAACCAAACGTCTGCTTCTCACAAAACCGTCGCCGACTGAAAACTGAGCAAACCAATCCAGATGGACTGAGTGATTTGAGCAAAAAGAACTGCACCTTGGCTGCTTCCAGTTGAAAACAGTTATGTACGAATGCAAAAACACTCGCAGCTACCTAATCGATGTTCATCAAATTTGGCTGCACGAGACTAGTCACGTTGCAAAATGAAACTCTGAGAAAACGAAGGTTACGCAGCTCGACAAAATCGGAACTAAAATGTTAGCCGCGTTATGGACCTCTCGATATAATCGGGCAAAGCAAACGTTAGAAAATTACAGCAGATGGAAATACGGAGAAACCAGGCCAGAGGCATCCAACAAAGGAAGCGTAACCGCACCATGCAGCGGTAGCGTGATCAGCTGTCGATGCAATAACGTTTCTTATTGGTCCATCCAGGGTTATCACGCGTAAAGCACTCGCCGTGCTCGTGGCAAGGTCTCCAAAAGGCAACGGACTTGATGACTAATTTTCGGCAGCTTAGTTCGGGAGCGTCACGAACATGGCTGGGGAGGCTCGCCCTAGGATGCTCGCCACCACCCGTTAAGGCCGACATTGTTCGCGAATCGGGTGCGGCTGCCAGCCCACGGTCGGGCGTTTGAATTGAACCGGCCGGCTGAGCCGCTGAGCTATTAAAAGTTACGTTTTTTGTTGTTGTTTGAAATTCATTTGCAAAAATTAAGTCACCTATGTAAGAGCATTTGCAAGTGTACAATTCGAATTCTCTTTTGTTGCACTTTTGTAGGCACCGTTTAAAACTGTGAAAGTAATGATTTTTTTAGCTGAACATACTTTCATGACTTTTACATTTGAGTCGTTTGACTCAAACTGACTGTTTCGATTTGAGTACTTACATGGTCGACGTTTGAAGTCTGTTTGTACGACTTGTACGAGTAATGTTTTTTAGTGTTAACATAATAGAGCCATTCATTTTACCTCATATGAATTTATTAAAAATCAAAAAGAATCTTCGGAAACCAATCGATACCAAAACACAAAGACAGCGATTCACGAGCGATTTGGGAGCTGTCCAAAAACGGTCACACGTACGACTCATGTGACCTTGGTTTTAATTGTACAAAACGTGAGCGGTAATTATGTAACAATTGATTTCCTCTATTTGCCACTAAAAGTAATCATCACAAACACACTACGGTCACTACCAATATAAAAGCACGAAAACAAGAGAAAAACCTGCGAGATCTAAACTGCACACCCGAAAGAATTGCAAATATCACAGCTGGGAAAATTCACACTAGGTAGAAATGGAGATTCCATGGTCCAAAGAGTATTTGTGGAAAATTAGATTACAGCTAGTTGAACACTGGAGCTGATACCGGAGAAGCTGCTTGTTTCCGGCGTTGCAAGCGATCATGAATGGTTCGAAAATGAGTGGCCAGGTACTGCTGATCGTCTCGCATCAAATTGGCCAATTCGGCCATACACTGGTCCGCTTCCGGTAATTTGCCTTGTTCGATAAAGGTTACGCAAAGATTATGAGCGGCCTGGAAATTTGCCGGCTCGTATTGAAGAATTTCGCGATATGCCTAGAGAGATAACCGAACTTTGAACTCACGTTTCCATGTAATTAACCAGTTTCAAGTAACAGTGTCGGTTTCCTTAGTACCGTCTCGGCTTTCGAGAAATCTTTCAATCCGTTTATGTAAATATCGCCAATAAGTATCCATGCCTTGATATAATCAGGATAAACCTGTGAAAACAGATTTCTGACCTAGCTGTACGAAAATCATCCATATTACTGACGAAAATACAACCACAGAACCATACTGTATATCTATCCAGATTCATTTACTGTACTTTTGCCGGAAACAAATATAAACACAATTAGCTGAATAAGGAATAAGGAAAACTGTTTGTTTTCCATTACATTATTACTTAATTACGTAACCATAAGCACAAACTTAGTAGTGACTTCCAGGTACCTTAATAAGATGCAATAAATGCTCCAACGCAGCCATAGGCTCCTGGCGGTTATTCAAAAGCAGAGCAGCATTGAAAAGACCGCTTTTATGGTCTTCTTTGAGCTACATAAACAAGGTAACAAACATTTGAAACTACTGTAAAAATGTTCGAACAGCGAAATAACGCCCGTGAAGATACCTTTACGGTCTTCAAGAAATATTTTTCAGCTTCCAGCGGCTGCTTGCGATCCATCATAAGAAGACCCAACTGAAAATAGGCGTTGGGATCATCCTTCATTCGAGTAACTTTTTCCAGTCTGAGAACAACAGCACTTTAAAGCAACGAAGGGTCGTGTATTCCAAATGAAGTCATACTGCACAAACCTCCACTGTATATCATCGTACAACTGGCTGTTCTTCAGTTCGCTCATCAGTATTGCAGAATTCAACAGCGCCAACTGCAATTTAAACATTCACCATAATATGAATTCTAAAGGAATTTTAGTATATATTATTTTACCGATACTGTACAGCAGCACGCCGCATAAGATGCAACGCAGTACTACTAAACCGAAACATATATTTTAACAGTTGAGCACCAAAGCGAAAGTAACCACAGGTTTTATATATTCATTTTCCTCAAGATAATTTCTCACTATTTTTCGTGATTTTTAAGGTTCGTCGTCTGCTAGCAAACAGTATATTATGATATCGTACTTGGTGATCCGGATTTTTTGCAAGACATTTCTCGAAATACTGTATCGCCTCCTCACTGCGTCCTTGATCGGTATACACCACGGCCAAATTATAATAAATATCGGCATTTGTGCTATCGATTTGGAGAGCTTTTGATAAACTTCCACAGCATCTTTGGACCGGTTCAGCTTTAGCAGCACATCCCCGCGATTGATATACGCTTCGACATAATCATTGCGCATACTAATGGCCTGCCGGTACAATTGGTCGGCTTCTTCTAGGCGCAAAGGATCCTTGGCCATAATGTTTCCCAGATTGAGAAACACATTTAAATGCTGCGGCGCAATGCGCGTTTGATACTGCTGACCGGGTTTGGGTTGTGGCAATAATTCCTTCGCACGCCGCCAGGCAGCCTCAGCTTCCTGTGTACGGTTGAGTTGGTTCAGAGTGCGCCCGACATTATTCCATGCTCCAATATCATCGGGTTGGACTCTAAACACCCCGAAAATAATTGTGAAACTTAAAAACTGAGTTTTCGAAACCATTGAAAGTGTTGCAGGACACTATTAAAAATTCGTACACACAAAAACAACAAAATTCAAAATTACGGAAGTATTGTAATAAAGGCTGCATCACGCATAAGTACATATTTTTTGCGAAATACACTGTAGAGGTAGCACAGACTAAGAAACCATCAATCGGAAGAAATTCGCTAAACTCCAGGCGACAGTAAAATTAAACCAGACTGAAAAATTGAAGGCAAACATTAGCGTACGCAAAACCAATCTCTTTGGCGTACGCATTAGCGTACGCAAAACCAGCTCTGACTTCTGTACGCAAAACCAATCTCTTTGTATGCATTAGTCAAAATTTTACCAATTGTTATCAACAAACAGATAAATCAATCTTTGACTAAAAATTTACACCAAAACTTACAATGCGGCGCTTTTAAAAAAATCCAGAGCCTCAGAAAGCTCATTCGTTTTTTCAAGAGCGTGTCCTATGTTGTTGAACACCTTGGCATTTGTTTGCGTAATCCGTAGAGCGGAGCGAAATAATGAACTTTCTGTTTTCCTAAAAAATAGAGACCTGCACAATGAGGATACAACTCACACGCGCGGTATCGGAAAATTAAACTCACCATTCCACATTTCGGACGTAAGTGCGATATCCCCACGTAATCAGAGTCAGAGCGATTGCGACGTATAAGAAATACTGCTTTTGTGATTTCCTGGAAAACCGCAGTTAAACTGTATTTGAGCACAACTGAATTGTTCGATTTCTGCAGTATCGCTTCATTACTTCGAGATCTTCCGCTTCAATCCGTCGAACCCATAAGCGATCAGAAGACAAAAGCCAACACTAGGCATGTACAAAATTCGTTCGGCGACAACGAATCCCACCGGGAACAATAGGTTACTAGCCGGCAGAAATGGGAAAACCATCCATGACAGCGCCTAAACGAAAGAACAAGTTTATGCATTTGTACAAAGTAGCGCAATCATCATGATGCTTCAAAATGTAAATAAAATAAAACTGAGGAAAAAAATTAGCTGGATTCAAGAACACCAGAATGTTGTCGCGGATGTTTCTTCTGCCGAAGCTGAGGAACCAACTTAACCGCTTCCGCAAACAGCTCTTACAGTGACGACAGAGCATCTGTGTAATTACCATAATTAATATCTTGCGTTCATTTGCACACTTGCTAAATACGGCTCGAGTGCAAAGTTTCCCCATTACAAGAAGAAATACAGTCGTTGCCAGATTCCTTTCATCAAAAATGGACTGAACAAGTGGAACTGTTCCCATAGTGTAATCACATAATAGACTCCAAGGAAAGATCAACAACCATGTATTTAACGCCAACAAATACAAGTAGGTCATCTGTTTCACCGGGAAAGCGGATACCGATGCAGGGTTGTCAAAACTATAAAGAAATAATTCCGCACCAGGGTTTGTCAATATTTACTCATAATTCACAACGGTATACAGTCCGTCAAATGGCTATATCAGTGCAACTTACGGCGTAAAAACAGGTAACTGGCCTTTCATAATATTGAAGCGCCATGCCATTAGCAAAATCGATGACACGAGGATAATCCATAAATTTCGGATAGCATTTATTACGGCCGGATTTGATTTCGGTTTGTCCTGGAAAATCCCTTTTGTGAACCGCAGGATATCTTCGACGGTCATCTATAAATGAAAAGACAACAAGAATTTTATGAAGTGGTTATTGCTACTATAGACACCACAATGGCCACATATGATAATAACAAAATGCAGTAATGAACATAACAATAAGTCTGAGTTTGGGTCCTTACTATCCTTACATGAAAAGAAGATAGTTACAACATAACTTATGGATTACATTTTTCATTATGGTTAAATTTTGACAATGGCTGAAATATCTTTACCCCCTGAAATGAAGTAATGGCCAATACATTAACACAATCATAACATAAATTTTTTTACAACATTAATTGTAAGTAGAGGAGCAGCGGCTAATACCGCCACGACGAGCGATAATAAAAGACACATTTATGAACATAAAATTCACAAGTCAGTGTGGAGACATACCTTCTGAAAGATAAATAATTCATAAAGCACACAAATCGCCACAATAGTGATTCCTTGTTCTTTGCTGAATAACGCTAAGACCAATAGCAAAGGCGATGCAATTTTCCATAGTATATCTGCAACGCAAACAAATTAATAATTCAAAATAAGGAAAAAAAACTTTAGAACCGAAGCACTCACCTTTCTTGTTACAAGAAACATAAAGAATAAAAATTCCACAAGAAAATGCAGTTGACAGTAACTCGGCTCTACCCACAACACCGGTAACCTGAAAACACTGAAATTTTCAGAGTGAAAACAATATAATTTAAAATAGTTTTACCGCTTCTGTATGAATCGGATGAACCGCAAAAAGTAATGCCCCAACAAACGCCGCAATTTCCGAAGATAGAAAACAAAAGCATCTACAAAAACGAACAAACTTAGATATCGTTTCTCCATGCCCAGGATTTATTAAAAAAATTATTTCGTTTATTGAACATCCCAGCAATATTTCCAGACTTTATTACCTATTGCGCGAAACTGCTAAACAGATAACAACTAACAGTCGTTAATGTTGTTAATGCTATTGTAATTTATTACTGCTTTACATTTTGGAATTCATTTGTTATACTTTTTCATTTACAGAGTATTAAACTTTACAATAGCTACTAACCCGGTTACAGTTTTTAATCTTTCTCGAGCGACAATTTCATTAATTTGCAATAAACAATTAAACAAAAAACCCAGAAAAAATTCTATCCAGTATTTTGCCAATAACCACGTACCTGTACACCAGTAACGAATTCAAAGCATGCAGAACGAGATTAATGAAATGATATCCAAAAGGCTCAAATCCGTGGATGCCATAATTCCATCGAAATGTAAGAACGGTAAACGGACGATATGATTTATGACTGTTTTCCTAAAAAAGATCCATAAACCGTATACAACTGTCAACTTATGCAAATGTACGTACTTCGCTGTTTTGCAAGGGAAAAACATCCCACCACAAACCTTGGACATCGGAGTGCCCCAAAAATCATTCCACAACAAATTACTAAGCGGTTGTGAAGGACGAAGATCTTTGTTGTCTTTGACAGCGGAAATATCGTCAAACACCAGATCACAGTTCGTGCTGTTAGAATAACATAAAATGCATATTACGAACAAGACAGCAGAATGTTTCCAGTTGAACAATTGATTCTGGCCGCTGTGGGAGAGTTTTTCATCCACTTGTGTGGGGTCTTGTAAAGAAGTCGTCATGATTGTCACACTTCGCGAAACAGCCAGGCTTCTGCAAATACTGCAACAGAACAACTGTCGTTTACTTGTCACCGCAAGGTTTTTTCTGAGTCCGCTTGACCACGATCACATCCATCCGTATTACACTGACAAGCGATAATTCGTACCGCCATACGTATAACGCAGCGATCAAATTTCCGTTGCTCGCAGAACATCAAAAATAAAAATCTGTGCTGAACTTTACTGTATTATAAAATCCATAATAATTATAAATCAAAATTATGCACTTGCATCTGTAATTTGTACCACACCTACATGTACACGATCACGAAACGCAAAAACAAAGAAAAAGCAACAAAAGTTACAAAACGCTGCATTTTCGAAAGCATAGTGTCTGTCAGTAAGATGCTGCCGTATTGGATAAGTGCCTCAAATTCTCAATATACAAACAACACCATTTGCGGAAGTGGCCGCTACAGATATCCATATACAGAGTACATATACCCATATATCTGTATGTACTTGTATGAAACTTGCGCGTGTGAAGTGATTGCTTGAAGTTTGAACTATGACATTGTATGGAATGTATTGTACACTCCTACAATTATGCAGTATTTGAGTTTTTTAGGATGCCTAAAAATCCGGCATAATGTGGGCTAAAATTGAAATCAACCTTTTCGCGAAAATATTTTACTAAACCTTTATGACAAATCACTCATGCCTCTCCACGTAGTAAATAGCTTTTTCGGACTGAATATCACAAAACTACAATTATTATAAAAAACTTTTATAGTTTGTCGAAGACTGCCTTAAGGTACTGTACTCGTACTGACTAATAAGTAATTTCGATGCATTCTGTAGGGATAATCAAAGATACAGTATCACTGTATTATCAGTAATGTATCATCCTGAACAGCAATAATTATCAAAACTAATACTTTGTGCAGGACGTAGAAATCTGCAGGAACAGTAATATTAATAATTATTTTATAAACATTATTTTATAATTATATACAGAGGTAATTGATTTTCTTCGCACGAATGCATTAGCGCAGTGATTTCTAGCTTGGGACACATTATCGGATTCTGTCGTTCAGATCACTCATGCACAACTTTTTCAACCGTCAGATTTCAATCAAACCTCGCTTTCACATTCAGGACACTCATCAAGCCAACTGTAAACTGTCCATCAATTACAGGCCCGCTGGACATAAGCTTTCTGTCAACAGGATAACCCCATCCCAATTTGACTGCGGGCAAAAGATCAAAACTAACGACATTAAATTGACTTTCGATGCTGAATTGGGAACACAATGGTCACAATCCCGCTGAGCGCCAAATCCACTCATAATATTAACGAAAGGGAAGTCTAATCAACAGCATTTGCCAGCAATATCGATTAGCGCCAAAGAATGACGGGTTCATCCACAAATATAAACAACACTTGTTAAAATTATTGCTTGAATACTATATTTTTTAAAAGAAATGGTATGTTTTCGTACACCGATAAGCCGCTCAATATTAATACTGGGTATGAAGTACCGTATGAACAATAACAGTGCGTACTGTGTAGCCGCGTGCACGGCGTGGTTCGTAGTTACTCGTATGCACATTAAATTTATGATCACACTACCCGGGTAGCTATCAAATTATTACTTAAAAGATAAAACTAATAATTACAAAAGGTAACTGTTTTTGTGTGTCTACAAGAAATTCATACTACATTCTGTTAGTTCAATTCAAAGTACTTGAACAGCAAAAATATGCCAAGTGCCGGTTTCCACCTGTGGTTTGAATTCCAGGTTCATCCAACAAGTACACCAGCGTTAATAATATAATTGTTATTTTGTAAGTCGCTAACTTGAGGAATGGACACATAAGTTGACATACCACATTTAAAAAATCTAGTAAATTTCAGCTTGCATACTTTTTGTAGTTTTACAATAGACTGTAAGTCTTTAATTGTATTAGTTATTATATGATACTAAACATCTCTTGCAGGTGTTCGGCCTTTCCTCATTGTCCCGCGCGATCTCCGCTCCTACTCAACCAATTTTCTCGCTTTAAAATATTCTAGAATTCTCTCATTGTCAGGGCGGTGCGTGTTGTGAGACCAATGACCTTTTACAGTTTTACGAATCCTAAGTACAGCGTTACTCTAAAGCTTGTTTACTGTATATACTTGCACCTATATCGAATGCTTTGGTTACAGATTTCGTTTGCTGTTCTCCAACATACACAAAAATTGCACAAGCTTACCTCGCTTCCTTGTTTAGAAACAACAGATGTTACTGCCGCCAGCCGAATGGCAAAGGGCCGGAAATTTTGAAACTTCCCCCAAATCGTGTATACGAATATAACGGAATATCAGAAGTTTACCGTTGCGAAAAGTGAATTAAAATACAGTAGAAATGAACTCACAACATTGGTGAGCAATCGCGTCACAAACAAATGCATCAGCGGGGAACTTTATTTACACATTGTATGCACTATGCAGTATTCAATCGCTATTCACAATGCATCCAGCGTATGTACGAGTATGTAGATTACTAAAATCCACCGTAGATTTTAGTACTCGTAGACTGGTAGAGTGAAAGTTGAACTGAAACAATTTTCCGTACTTTCAATACTAATTAATTTAATATGACGGTTAGTTTACATCAGCAGATCAGGATTTAAACAGCGATTGCTTGCCCCTTTGCCGGACATGAATATGACATCCTTAAACCAAAAGTGGAACACGAAGGAATCTCACGATCGACACCCCGCCTATATCATATTCGTACGAGTACCGTAAATGTCGCGTATAAGTGCTGAGCACCGAGTACTGCACACCACGGCATAACAAAATTAATAGATACTCTATATAATGCTAGGGCCACACTTCAAGTGCGATGCAAATTTCATCGAACTTTTTTCCTTCGCACAGTTCGAAGCTTTTCTTCGTACCAAAAAGTGCGAGAGGTGCGAACCGAAGAAAAAGTTCGAACAAAATTTACTTAAAACGTGAGCACTCACACTTCATCGAACTTCTACAAGAAACTGAGATCTGCTCCGCCTTCAGCAAGTCATGAGCGCAAAACTGACGGGATTCAGGTCGAGAGCTGCTGCATTTCGGTTTGAATTTATAAATCTTAAAATTGTTATGATAATGAGATAATCCTTAATAATTCTCTCAAGCGTAATTGAATTCCTCCGTTGAAAAATGCGTCCTAACATTCTGCCAAAAAGACGTGTGTTGTTGACCATCCTGCTGTCTAGCGGTACTAGTGTCCGTTAACGTCTGCTGTCAACGTCTAGAGTACTGTCCATTACAGTTGTATGCATACGTGCTGATTTTTGTACAAAATCATATACACCTATAACCTCTCAATAAAAACGTCGCTGCACTGGCGGGTCTATAATTAAATGATTTCGTTCACAGAATTTTGGCTAGCGGTTGTTCTCAGCACGATATCGCAATTCGATATCGATTAGGGAAAAGTACAGTCTACAAAATTTTTAAAGAAACGTTGGCAAGGCGTGACCTTTTATTGATAATGCATGTAATACACTTGCACATAATACATCTGCACAAATAGGTACCACTAATTATTTTATGCTTTTTCTTTGTTTTAGAAACAATCAGAATCACATCCGGTTGCTCGGTATTGGTCCATTCCTTCGCACAAGTGCGAAGGAGAAAGAAAATCCCCTCCCACCAAAAACGGTGCGAAGACGCTCTTCGCACTCGTTTTAAGAAAAAAGTGCGAAAGGCGCTCATACTTTTTGTTCGATGCGAAGGATCCCTTAGAACATTTTGCGCTCACACTTATTAGCATTTTTCGTCTTCGCACTGTGCGAAGGCCTTCGCACTTGAAGTGTGGCCCTAGCATAAAACTCCATGCTTATATAAATATTCTATATACTCGTATTATGAAGATATAGAGTACAGTATATGTGCAATTTTTATGTATTATTTTATTATGCCGTGATACTACTGTACCCGTGTACCGTCTGCTCGAGAACCGTACAATGTCATTTGATTCAGAGCGGCAACTGTAAGGCCGTAAGAGGAGCGACAGAGTTACATGGGCGGATATCCTTACAGAGGGGTGCACAGGAAACGGACAACGGCCGGATTTTATCCTATCCGAATTGGGATGCTTTATTATATGGACAATTTTGGACATCCCGTAGTCTGGGCATCTGCTGGATCACAGACTATGGGTGCTATCATTGCTATGACAAGCAATGGTTCATTATCGAACAAATTTAACTGCGAAAATAGTAACTTTTAACTACATAACATAGTGCAGTAATCTGTTGTAACTTGTAAGGTATGGGTAAAAGCATATTGCAGATGCAGAGTGTACTTACTGTACAATTGTTAATACTAAACTGCCAAGAAAAATCACACTAAGGCTGCCAATAAAAATCAGATTATAATATATGTCAAAATATATATTATTTTGTGATACTACACATGAATTATATAATAAAACCTTGTTAGCGAATACTAATTTAATATTATTATGGAATAACAACACCCTCTGGTAATTTCTTTCTGACAATAAGAGATGCTAGAGCTGGTGCACTAAAAATTGAATTAAATTGCTGACCACGGGATTAACTGAATTTCTTTGCATAAAATAGGATTCTGCAAAAGATTTTTGAAGTGATAGTGTGAACAAAAACCAATAAACAAGGCAAGCCGAAGTTAATATCCATTTTCTTTCAGTAGGCATTATCGTCTTAACTTAAAAACAAACCGAAACCACCACCAGCTTTCAGTTTTATTCCCTTGACAGGCAACCAGAAATTATGTTACGAAGTCCGCAACAAGAAGCCGAAGTCTAACAAGAAAGAAGAACTACCTTGGAAATTATGTTCGCCTTATTTAGCGACACCCACTCGAGCTGGACGGATAGTCCGGTTATTTAACTTAAAACCAGTCTGTGTGACGGCCATCACTGTTCCGGGTTCTTGTCCTTGCTGACCAGGTGCTTCGAAAAGGGCTTCGTGAACATTTGGATCAAACTTCGCACCCATTGCTTCAATTTTCTCCAGTCCGTGCTTTTTGAACACCTTGTTCAGCTGAGCTTCGGTTAATCGCAGACCTTCAAAAAGATTTTGCAAATGAGGATTCTTTTTGTCCGATAAAGCATCCTCTGGCACGGATCCCATAGCTTTGGATAATATGTCGGAAACTTCGAGCAGATCTTTAACGAACGACTGAATTCCGAACTGTTTTGCATCATCAATTTGCCGCGTTAATCTTTGCCGTACATTTTCAGTTTCTGCCAGTGCACGGAGATATTTGTCCTAAAAAATAGATTGAATTTATGAATGAATGCGACTGTCACATCTCTCTGGATAAAATAGAACCATGAAGGCGCACAAAATTTTTTTAATTATTTAATGACCATGCAGCTGCCTGCTAGGTAGTACCTGTCGGTCTAAATTCCGACAGGTGCGGGAACACTGTGTAATGTGTATGGAAGTATCGCCTCCCATCGCCTAACGTGACATCCGGTTACTTATTAATTCCAAGCTATTACTACACTACTACAGTAATTATGCTAATTCATCTAGCTCTTATCCTCGATGGTGTACAATACACAGCGATCATCAACAGTTTTTAGGTGTCTGGAGTGACTCTGGAGGAAAACATCTGTTTCATAATCTTAAAACTCTTAGAATTAAAGATCAAACGAACGAGTTGAAAGGTTTTCAAAAATAAAAAAAAATTGGACTACTGGACAACTGGAGCGGGCAACACTGTTGTTAAAACATAAAATAAACTCTTTCTGTAGTGGATGTTCCCTTAAAAGCACAGTACATTAGGTAAATATTTCCGATCGGCATTATTTTTTGTTCGGAAAGCCCTAACTGAACGATAGTTTTAATCCAATAGCTTACTTTACAATAATCAAAAGACGGTGGATTTCGTACCTCAAACGGAGACCTTCCAGACCACAACTGGAACGACTCTGTCACGGATGGAAAACCATCAACACGAGTCTTCAGCCTCCGCCATAACTCATTATAAGCGGTTCGCAGTTTCAAAATTCTACCAGCCTATTTAAAAACGGTTCGTACTGAGAAACTTTATATTATCGAAGCAGAACCCCCCGGTGCTGCCAACAACCATATCACTCACATGGGCATTTTTCGATGATGACTCCAATTTTGCGATTTCTTCCATCAGCTGTTTCTCTTTGTTAGGTGTGGCAGCTTGGCTTTCCTTGTTCGGATTCGTATCGGGAGGGGACTCCGGCTTCTTCTCATTTTCTTGTGATTTTTCGTTGGAATCCGTGGATAGTTTTTCATTAGGAACAGTCGCTGCGTAAAACCGGTAAGAAGGTAACCTGAGAAAAAGAGAAAACCAGGGTGTACTGCTGTGTGCAGAATAATTTGGAACAGTGATCGTACATCATTACATCATTTACATGTGCTTCTGATATCCGGTACGTATTTTTGTATTCACCGTAACAATCGCGAACACACACCAGAACAAACCTTACCTCAGACTAGGAAAGCAGGTATTCTGCAGGGATGCGGAATAAAAAGGCTTCTGTTGAAGAATATTTGCAGGACAAATCTGGTGGGTACGAGAAGAAAACGTCCGTTTGGAAGTTTCAAATATGGCAAGGCATGGATTCCAGACTCTTCTAGCCAACATCTTTGGACAGTGAGTGCTGTCGCCTGTCAGCAAATACTACTGAAGTAAGATTACACGGAAAGCAGAGTTTTAACTGGGGATTCCAACAGCGCCAAAGTCAATTTTTGGACCAAAAGAAGATAAAATTTGTATGTTTAACGATTCTTTTAACTGAAATATAAAATTAATAACACTTCTCAGTGACTTCTGAGTTTGCACTTTGCAATCGCTCTGTCGGCGAAGTGCGCTGATGAAAAGTTGTCAAAATTTTCCGAAAACCTGTGTGACGTTGCGAAGCTAGTATTTTAGGGGCTGGGCCTGCAAAAGATTGGGACGTTCAGACAGTCTCGTTCTGTCAGTGAAGCTCGAGCCGCTACGTAATGCTAGCGAGTAAACTACACGCAGAAAGTGGCACGCAGTATTAATGCGTCGTTCATACGCTGATTACGCTCCGGTGCAGTAGTCCTCGCTAACCATGAAAGTTCAGTGAAGTAGTTTAAGAAAGTGATTTGCTTTAGTTTTCGTAATTCAGAATTTCGTATTTTTTACAGTGCGTTATTCGGGAAAACTTTCTATTAAAGGTGAGTGAAGATTTCGCTGACATTCGGTTCCAGCAGGGTTCGTGACTTCGCGAACTCACGAGTACTTACGCCATTATGCTTACGCTATACGCGCTTGAAGATCTACTCAGTAGTCAGTACTGTTTTTGTATTTAGCGCTAACTGATCACCCCAAGACCATGAAACCGATTCTGCTTCATGGACATGACCGTGCCATCACCCAGGTGAAGTACAATCGCGAAGGGGATCTGTTCTTCAGCTGCTCCAAGGACAAGTACCCGGTCGTATGGTTTTCCGCAAATGGAGAGCGACTGGGAACATTTGGCTCTGAACAGCAATCCATTAATGATCGTCATAATGGTGCTGTGTGGACGATTGATGTTGACTGGGAGTCGCACAAAGTTATCACCGGCTCGGGAGACGCTTCGTGGCGTTTGTGGGATTGTGAGACTGGGAGAACTGTCAGCTGGCAGAAGACGCCAACCACTGTTCGCTGTGCTGCCTTTTCCTATTCCGGAAATGAATTTTATTACACCACAGAAATGCAGGCCGGCCACCACTGCTTCTTGGTCGTCAAAGATGTCAGGGATCCTGCGCAAATGCAAGACGATAAAAGCATCTTCGAGGTAAGGTGTGATGAGAAACAGTTATATGTGACATGTTATATCAACTTGAATTACGGTATAATGATGCTCGTTAACTTCTTTAAATAAAGTAACATTGAGTCGATTTTATTAACTGCTTCACGATTTTATTAATTTGGTGGTTTTATTGCAAGTGCTTAGTACATATTACAGTTACTTGTAACAGTAAATAACGCCGTTAATATTTCGCTGCTGTTATTGCTTGATATGGAATAACATGTCTTTTAGCTGGATGTCATGGGAAATAAAATTACCGCCGCTACGTGGGGGCCATTTGATGAAACGATTATAGCCGGTCACAGTAACGGTGATTTATCTATCGTGGAAGTTCGAGCCAAACAGTTTGGCAAGACCCATAGCGGAGCCCATGCAGGCTTAATCATGGATATCCAAAAGAGCAAAGATGAGATTATGTTGGTTACTGCGTCGAAAGATACAACCGCTAAGTTATTCGATTCAATGACTTTGGATTGTATGAAAACATACAAGGCGGATCGACCAGTAAATTCGGCAGCAGTATCTCCCATTAAGCAGCACATTCTCCTGGGTGGTGGTCAGGAAGCCATGTCCGTCACAACCACAGATGTCCGTCATGGTAAATTCGAAGCTCGCTTTTTCCACATGGTCTTTGAAGAGGAGTTTGCTCGGGTGCGTGGACATTTCGGTCCCATTAACAGTGTGGCATTCCATCCCGATGGTAATAGTTTTGCCACTGGTGGTGAAGACGGCTACTGCCGGTTGCATACACTGGATCCGGAGTATTTTGAATATGAACTTCAGTACTAACTAACCTCTGATGTTTCTTACTTTTCATATACTGAATTAAAGCTCTCACGTTATTTTTAACCGCTTTGACATCTGATTCTGGCTTTTATAATAGGTACTTATATTTTTCTCGCTGATGGTGGTATATTTATCTGGACGTCGAACTGAAGAAATAGACCATTAAAATATAAAATTAATGATGGAGATACTAAAACTAATACTGAGATTTTTTGTACACCATGCGCCTAAAAGATACAAAAAATGGAAACTTAATGCAGCCAGCTCTGGATTTGGTCTCGATGGACGCTAGTTTATAGGATCTCTATTTTTGAAATCGAAATTTAAAATGAGAACTTCCCAGATAATATTAATATCGATTTGTATAAAATAAAATCAGTTTGAATCACGGCTTTCAGGTTTTATGCATCTTTTGATTACTTCTTTTATCTTTAATCATAAATACGAGTACATGACATATCGAAAATAGTTAGTCACGAATTCACAGCAACAGAATCTCATTTAATGCTGCCGCTCCTTCCATTTTTCCAAGTACACAAGTGGCGTTGCCTCGCTGAATTTCCAACGATATTCGCTGGCGCAGGAACTCATGGGAACGAGGTTCACCTGTTTGGAGCTGGAGTCGTTTCCCAATTTCTTTAGTTAGAGCGATGGCTGACTTTCCCCACGGTCTTTTGATTTGATTCTGAATAGAGATGGGCAAACTAAAACTGACTAAACTAAACTAAACTAAAACTCGGTTAAAAGTTTTAGTTGCTAAAACTGACTTGGTTAAAACTTTTAGTCAACTAAACGTTGGCGACTAAATTTCTTAGTAGTTAACCACGAGTTGGTTAAAATTTTTAACCGGTTAACCAAAGTTAACCGAGACTAAAATTAAATTTTTCGGTTTTCAAATTAAGTGTAATTTACTGCGTCCAGGCTATTGTCATTTGTAAAAATATGTTGCTCATTTCGCCGTACGCCTATGGTTGTCGAGTCAGACGAGCTTAAACTTTCCAGTACATGTATATAAACAGTCATTTAGTGCGGCTCACTCAGACCCTGGAATAATATAGCCGTAAATCAAGATGCATTACACACCTCCTGGTACTGCTGCAGTCGTCCGCCCGTAGTTTCGTCATTTGGTCATACTTGAGGCGATTATTAGAGCAGTACTGAGTACAGGGAAGGTGTGTAATGCACCAATGATTTGTTTTGTACATTTGGGCTTGGTTTGTTAGGGCCCTAACCACAATTTTGGTTAACCGGTTAACCGTGGAGATTTAGTAACTAAAATCGACTTGACTAAAATATTTAGTCACTAAAAAGCTTCTGACTAAATTTTTTAGTTACCAAAGTTTGCTAAACTAATTTTTTTAGTTTTGGTCAGGTTAACCGAAGTTAACCGCTAATTAGTCGACTAATTTTAGTTTGCCCATCTCTAATTCTGAAGAGTGAAGCGGCTCGAAGTTGGTACGGTTCGGTTCAACTGGACCATATATCTGAGTTTTATAGCGCCACTGCTCGTTGCCGCCAGAAGCGATAAGTACCGCCAAAATCACCTCATTCATTCTATTCACACGTTCAAAGCAGACTCAGCAGAGGTTTGCTTTTCCTTTGTTTACTTATTAGTTTCAAATTTTTGCAGCTCACAGCCGAGAACTCAGAACATTTCGGAATTTTCTCTTCTTATTTCAACATTTCGCGAAGTCGTCCTGATCACACCTGGTAAGACCGTAAGAATAACTTTTACAGACAGTTGGAAAATCGTGGTAAGGGTTTACAATGTTAGGAAGTCCTTATTTAGTCCTATTAGTAACGGCAGTTTAGGATAAGGAAGATTTTTTGTGCTGCGTTTTTGATTTCAAGAAGATACTGGTATAGCTCTCCGGTGTTCGGTTGGATGCTGCAAGCGGCCAGATGAAGTATTTGTACATGTAACATGCTGGCAAAATACTCATGATAGAACATGCATAGCCGAAGTTAGCGGTTCAGCCGTCCGTAGGTGCTCGGTGGTACATAGCGTTAACGTAACGTTAAAGGGTGAAGTAACTGTAAATCAGTTTTTAATTTTAATAGGAAATCATCAGATCGTCTGTGACTTGTTTCCTTTATTTGTGCTCCCGAGTAGTTAAAGTCAACCACATCACATTGATTCTGATAGTAATTAGAAGTGCCCATTCATAGCTCTTATTGCGGATGATTGGTCGTAGGAAACAGTGCTGCTGCTGCAACGGCGAGAAAATGGAGGTAAAGAATGTGAAGGAAGCTGCGAAATCTCCGCTGAAATCTCCGTTGAAGTCTCCGCAAAAATTGGCGGCTGCTTTTCCCGAAAATCAATCCGTTGTATCGTCAGCAGGTATTTTGTGGATTCTGTGGAAGAACTTCCACTGTGACGTTAACGACAAAGGATAAATTCAGCGGTATGTATATTTTTCAATACGGTGGTCTTGACCGTGTGAGTCGTAACTCGTGTAAACGCTCGATAGTTGTAAATTGTAATGGAATCGTAAATCTTTCAGATTGCGCGAAAATCTTGTATAACTACATTAATCCGCGCACAAATCAGCCAGCGCCGATGGTCTCAAAGGAATATTTCGATGTGGTTATGGAGCACGCTGAGGTTTGATTTGATGACTTTTTACTCTAAAAAAAATGGTTCCCCCTTCAGTGTTTTTGGCGGTGACCATGATTTACCTGAATGCACTTAATTACAGATCCTGGACGATGCGGTTGATTACCAGCGTGATTATGAATACACATACTTTGGATTTAAGGTTAGATTTTCATAAATAATATTTTTAAATGCTGAGTGTTTTTTGTATAATGAATACTTTAATGCAGACGCTGGAGCGATCTTACCTGTTGAAAGCTAGTGGAAAAAGTAAGTCTTTCAACTATGCCATCCAGTTTCTTTTTGTTTACAAAAAATTTGTAAATTGGTAATTGCATTTTAGCCGCTGAGCGTCCTCAGCAGTTACTGATGCGGGTTGCTGTGGGTATTCATGGGACTGACATTGATGCAGCCATCGAGGTGATCGGAAATGCGTTCGTAATTGATTGCTCTTACTTAAGATAATTGTTGTAGACGTATGAATATCTTTCGCGTGGGCTCTTTACTCAAGCATCACCGACTTTATTTAATGCCGGAACCCCGAAACCCCAGCTTTCCAGGTATGTTGTGTATCGCTTGTTTTGCACGGACTTTTGGCTTGAATTTTATGTGGTGGAATAATTAGGGAAACAATTGAATAGTAGTTTGATCGCTTTGATGATATTCCGGTAGCGTAGTAATTGTAACGTTTTCAGCTGCTTTCTGTTGACGATGAAGGAAGATAGCATTGAAGGCATTTACGATACGCTGAAACAGTGTGCGATGATCTCTAAGTCTGCGGGAGGAATCGGATTGAATGTCCACTGCATTCGTGCCACGGGGTCGTACATTGCTGGGGTAAGAATAAAGTTTCCATCAAAAACATGCGATGGTGTGCGAACAATTTGTGCAAGACTGGTATCATCGTTTGCAGACCAATGGTATTTCAAATGGACTGCTTCCTATGCTGCGGGTATACAACGCCACAGCGCGCTATGTCGATCAAGGCGGAAACAAAGTGAGCTTTGGGATTAAAATTAAAAACTAGAACTAGCAAATTCCTAAAATTAAGTTAATAAGGTTAAGACTGTTGATAAAGATTAAAGACAAAAGAAATAAGACGCAGATAACTAATTTTACATGTTTCAGCGCCCTGGCGCGTTTGCAATTTATCTTGAGCCATGGCATGCGGATGTCATGGATTTCTTGGATTTACGTAAAAATCATGGCGCCGAGGAGCAGCGAGCGCGAGATTTGTTCTATGCGCTATGGATTCCGGATTTGTTCATGAAACGTGTTCAGACCAACGAGGAGTGGAGCCTAATGTGTCCGCATGAATGCCCGGGATTGGCTGATGTATGGGGGGAAGAGTTTGAAGCGCTGTACACCAAGTAAGAATTTGCTGAGATTGACGTTCAATAGGATCCTTCTGGTTTAATTTTTTTAATTCCCTAGCCTTGATATGTTTGCGGTGTGTTTTGTACGATTTTTAACACAGTTATCAGCATTCAGGATTATAGTATTCAATTGCGAATAAAATTTCAGGTATGAAAAGGAAGGTAAACATAAGCGACGCATGCCGGCCCAGAAACTGTGGCATGCCATCATGGAGTCGCAAATAGAAACTGGCACACCGTACATGGTATACAAGGACCACTGCAACCGCAAGTCCAATCAGAAGAATTTGGGAACGATTAAGTGCAGCAATCTGTGCACGGAAATCGTTGAATACAGCTCTCCGGACGAAGTAAGTATTTCTGTTTGAATTTGGTTTTATCGTGCAGTGGTAGTCTGAACTGAATCTTTCCCACTCTGAGTATGCTGACTTGTGAGTTGGATTGGTTTCGTATTAATTTAGTCTCACAACCTCTTTTCATGTAGCTGTGATTTGTTTTCAGGTATGATAAGCGACGCATAATCATGGAGTCGCAACGACATGGTATACAAGGACCACTTTTTCAGAAGAATTTGAACGATTATGCCAATCTGTGCACGCCGTAAGTATTTCTGTTTGAATTTGGTTTTATCGTGCAGTGGTAGTCTGAACTGAATCTTTCCTACTCTGAGTATGCTGACTTTGGACTGGCTTCGTATTTTAGTCTCACAACCTTTTTCATGTAGCTGTGATTTGTTATTTAAAAAACGACGTTTTTTTAGACCGCCGTTTGCAATCTCGGCTCCATTGCGTTAAACATGTTCGTTACGGAAGATCGGATGTACGATTTCGAAAAGCTGAAAGAAGCAGCTAAAGTCTTGACCCGAAATCTGAATAAAATCATCGATATCAACTACTACCCGACACCGGAAGTAAGTTTATTTATTCGTTTCTCGTACCAATTCTGGTGAAACTTTTTTTTCTCGTGTTAGACCAAGCGAAGCAATATGCGCCATCGCCCGATCGGTATCGGTGTGCAAGGCCTTGCTGATGCATTTCTGCTAATGCGGTACCCGTTTGACAGTCGCAAAGCAATGGAGCTCAACATCCAGATCTTTGAGACAATTTATTACGGAGCCTTGGAAGCGGTAAGGTTCCTTTAAAATTTATCCGGTATTACTTGAGAAGTGAACGATTACTTACCTGTGTTAGCAGTACAAAATAGGTACACCAGATTTTTAGTTGTGTGCTGGTGTTGAGTTATTTCGATTACTGTTCTAGATCTGTCTATTAAAGATTATTTTGTGAAATTTCAGAGCTGTGAATTGGCAGAAATGTATGGTCCCTACGAAACTTATCCAGGCAGTCCAGCCAGCCAAGGAGTAAGAAACGAACTCGAGTGAAATAATGGCGTCTTGCCGTTTGCTTAAAGCAGTATAAATGTTTTATAGATTTTGCAATATGACATGTGGAACGTGACTCCTACTGGCCTGCATGATTGGGCTAAACTGAAGGAAGCCATTGCTCTACACGGAATTCGCAACAGTCTTCTTCTGGCACCCATGCCGACGGCTAGCACGGCTCAGATTTTGGGCAATAACGAATCCATCGAGCCGTATACCAGCAATATTTTTGTGCGTCGTGTTTTGTCGGGAGAATTCCAAGTGGTTAATCACCATTTGCTGCGGGACTTGACCAATCGCGGATTGTGGAACGATGACATGAAGAACGACCTGATTGCTAATAATGGATCAGTTCAGGTGAGAGCTGTGTTACTGTGAGCCCTTGCTGGTAGAGGTATTTCCGTGCGCATAAGAGAAACAAATTTGAAACAAATGTTGTCGACTTGATTGCGTATCTATTTGGCATCTGCTTGGTGTTCCATTTTGTGGCTACTTAACAGCCATGTTCCTTCACCATTTTTGTTATTTCCTTTTTGTAGACGATCGACGGAATGCCGGAAGATCTGAAGCTCCTGTATCGTACGGTCTGGGAAATTCCGCAGAAAAGTATTCTGCAGATGGCAGCCGATCGTGGTGCCTTCATTTGCCAGAGTCAGTCCTTAAATGTACATATTGCTGAGCCAAACTTCGCGAAGCTGACCAGCATGCATTTTTACGGCTGGAATCTGGTGAGTTTTTCGGCTGGATTTGTAATGGACCTTGTTACGTTATTGTGTATCGTTTTAGGGTTTAAAAACTGGCATGTATTATTTGCGGACCAAACCAGCTGCCAATGCGATTCAGTTTACTGTGGACAAAGAAAAGGCGAGATCTGCCCAAAAGGCCGGAACTACAAAAGCGATGAATAAAGAAAACGTGAGTGCTTAATTCCGTCGTTGTTCGCTGTAGCCTGTATCTAAGCTGCTTCAAATGAAGTTGTAAACCATATTAGTGGGTTTGTGTGATACGTTGCAACTGATCAGTTATCATCGCTTCTTTACAGATAATGAAACCGATGTCTCCTAAGAAGAGCGCGGAGGCATTGTTGTGCTCGTTGAAAAACAAGGACTCTTGCTTGATGTGCAGCGGCTAGGCGAATACTGGCACTCCTTTAACCGTGGTATTATTTGACCAAACGACAGCATCTGCAGTAATGTCGATTCTTTGTACTTCTTAAAATTAGTTTTTCGATAATTGTTGTTCTCACATTTTCGAGTTATGAGCACGTGTGGTTTTTTATTGTGTTTAGCCATGCATTCAGAAAATAATGGCTCGTTTTAGTGTTTAATCAGTGTAAATAATTGTCAAGGAAGAATGGTTTTCGAATTATTGACTTAACTCTTTTGGCTTGTTTAAGTGGTTCATACACTTGCAGTTATTAATAAATCGAGCAATCTACTTTAAAATAGCAGTTGAAATTTCAGTTTGGCTTTCCCCTGTCCGTTTTTTATTCACGATGTCATCATGCCATAACTGTCTTGATTATCTGATATTATCCAAAATATGGTTATGACTCCGTTTTTCTTATATTAAGATAATACCTGTAGTTTATAATTTTGCGCAAGATGACCTGATAATAAGCACATGTAAGCTTTACTTTTAAAAGAATGAATCATATTGTAAACTGCAGTTGACAGCCTGTGGCACTTATCGAGCATGGTAAAACGTGAAAATTTGGCAGAAACTTCTGCCTTCAGGCTGGACATATAAGTCTCGTTACGATTCGTGACAGGGTCAAACTAGAGCGCTTTTCAGTAGCTTGCACTACAGACCATTTGAGAACCCGCGAAAATTGGAAGATTTCGTTAGAGGGTAGTTTGTCTGTCAACAATATTGTGTGAAATTGCTAAAATGAATTCGTCGGGCGGTAGCGAAGGTTTAGGACAGCGGAAGGTTGCCGTAATCGGTGCCGGTATGGCGGGACTGTGTACATTACGGCACTTCGCGCCTGATCCTAATTATGCCGTTGTTGCCTTTGAACGGATGAGCACCATTGCCGGCATTTGGAACTATCCAGCCCCAGAGTGTGAGCAGTTTGCCGAACTGGACGAACCGGAAACATCATCCCGCTACTGTCGAATTTACCGTGATCTGAGGTAGACAGTGTAAAATTTAAACTGTTGTACTGGATTTTTGATTTTGAATTAAGGTTTAACTTACTCATATTTGTACGTACCTGAATGTGCTTTCAGTAATCGCACCGGAAAATTGGTTTGACTGTTGTAGAACAAATTCTCCTCGGGATCTTACTGGCTACCCAGATTTTCCGTTCCCAAAACAGGACGAAAGCTATGTCAAGAGAGAGATGGTCGTTCAATATTACCATAAATATGCCAAACATTTTGATTTGCTGCGGCTTATAAAGGTATGGTGGTTAATACTGGTTGCGCCTTGAATATCCTCCAACTTACTTTAAGAACTTGAGATTTTGCTTATACATAATTCAAGTTGCAATGCAGGAATAGTTTTTGTACTGGACGTACTCTGTAGTTGTCTATTTGCATAATACTAAGTTCTTAATAAGCAGTTATCTGGAATCATTAGCTGAAGCTTATTTTTTATACAGTACAGTACCTCTCTGTGTGCATGTTTTGCATAAATTTGTCTTTTCATGATTCAGATAAATTTTACTTTTGTGACAGTTTCGTCATCAAGTATCTTTCGTGAAGCCCATTCGAGATGCATCGGGTAAGGTGAGGAAATGGCATCTTGAGGCACTGGATTTGGAATCTGGACGGACTTTCGCAGACGAATACGACATCGTTGTCGTTTGTAATGGGTAAGTTGTTCGTTCATGTGATGCGAATCGTACAAATAATAATTTAGTTGTCAGCGTCCGTCCGTTATTCACAAAACAGATTTCCTCGTTAGTGTTTGCCTTCTCTGTCAGATGTTTATGAGTGCCTGTTCGCTTATCCTTTTTCCAGTGCATAATTAACGATTCCTCTATAGAATTACAATCACGCCTCGTCGTTGCCATTATGTCTCTGCTGACTACAAATAATGTTATATTTTAGTCATTATCATAAGCCAAACATTCCCAAACTGGAAGGTATTGAGAATTTCCGCGGCCGAATAATTCATAGCAGCCAGTACAGAATTCCTGAACCGTTCACTAATAAAATCGTCCTGGTGATCGGCGCACGATCTTCGGCCATGGATATTGCCTGCGAACTGATTCCCTATGCCAAACAGGTGAGTGAAGGATTTCGTTTCACGCTGTATCTGAGAAGAAAATGCAAAATCAAACTTTCTTATTTTATTGCAGATAATTGTCTCTCGTCGCTTCCAAGCATCCGTCTTCAAAGACAAATTTCCCAACGTCACCGAGACAACCGAACTGACCAGTTTCGGGCCGGACCACGTCGTACTGCGCGACGGCAGCATCCGCCCGGTCGATGAAATCGTACTGTGCACCGGTTTCGTGTACGATTTCCCGTTTCTCTCCCCCGACTGCAATGTGCACTGCACCCGTGGCCGCGTCTATCCGCTGTACCGTCACCTGATCCACTGCGAAAATCCCAGCTTGGCCTTCGTGGGACTGGCCAACATGGCGGTCTTCAGTCACGTGGCCAACGCCCAGGTGCAGTACTATAAAGCCGTACTGGACGGACGTCTGGCGCTGCCCAGCACGCCGGAAATGCTGGCCGCCTCGGAGAAGGACCTGCAGGACAAATTGGCAGCCGGCAGTCCGGAACATTTGGCTCATGAGATGACGGTGTCACAGTGGGATTATATGGAAAGGCTGGCTAAGGAGGCGGAGTTTCCGTCGTACGAGCCCTCCACGAGACGGTTGTTTGAGTTGAATATCATGGGTATTCGGACGATGCCCTATGGGTTCCGCAACTTCCGGATGGAAAAGATTGACCGGGATAATTTTGTGCGGGAGCCGATTGAGCCGGGCTCCAAAGCCGCGATAGCCAATGGTCGACCAACGACGACAGTGCCTAATGGAATCGCTTCGTAGTTTTATTCTTGTAACTCAATAACCTGATTGTTGTGACTTCTGCAGTTTTAATGGCTTTTTTAACTGTGCACGTTTATATATACTCTTATAATATTCATAAGCTTTTGTTGCATGTCAGAGATGCGAGTATATGTTTTTGTCGGCGTCCGTCTCTTGCTCAAGTTCAAAGACGATTTCTAATTGTCCACAGAAACTGAAGTTGCCGTAACGTAAGTAATTTTCTCTTCCCATATGGGAGCAATACGATGTACGTACTTTCGTCTTCGCCATGCGACCAAGTCAGATACCTTAAACGTGAGTCATGCCTGTAATGAGGGTATCATTTCCAAAAAGACAAAATATGCCATAAGCAGACATCCTATAAATTACCTTGTTCGAGTCGCGCTTATATGACCCAAGGGCTGCTTTCCAATCCGGTTTAATTCCGCTCCTTTAACCTGCAGCAAATATATCTCGTTCTATGTATGGCAGTCAATGGTCATGCTTTTGTAACTGAACATATGTACAATATAAACTGCCATACTTGCATTTAGATTGTTTAATAAAAATTGTTAGAATTAGAGATGTTGATTGAATTGTTTAAGTAATTTCCCAGATCAATCGCTTTCGCTGACAACTGATCTGCTCGAGGTTTTTCTATTTTCTGTAACTATGCATCCAGAAGGGACAGGTGTCACTATTCCGGAAGGAGCCGAACCACCGGTTGTGCGGAAGATAGCCGTGATTGGAGCTGGAATGGCTGGCATGTGTGTTTTGAAACATTTTTCGGTCGATCCACAATACGAAGTTGTGGCGTTTGAGCGGTCGAATGTTATCGGTGGAATCTGGAATTATCCAGCGGAATGCGAAACGAAGACCGATTCGACGGGACTGGAACCACATTATTGCAGAATGTATCGCGAGGTGCGGTAAGTCCAGATAAGGCGTATACATACAGTACGTTTCGGAGAACGAAAAAACTATATGTATACAAAGTATTTTCCGTCTAAATTATGTAGTACTCTGTACTCGAATATTAATTTTCCCGAAGTTACATACTCGTATGGTAGAAAGTTCTTGATGTAAATAATTAGCGGATTTCGTCCAGGCTTAACTCGCCCCGATGTTTGACTGGATATCCTGACTTTCCATTTCCCAAAGGCGGCGACACCTATTGTCCAAGGGAAGTAGCTCTGCAGTATTTCCAGAACTACGCCAGAACGTTTGAATTGCATAAATTCATTAAGGTCAGTGGGCAATAAATAAAATATATTGGTGGATAGGTGGTTATTTAGGTGGATATTAGGTGGCCTGCAGGTGGATATTTGAGTACTCAATTTTACTGTTCACGTGCATACTGTAACAGCATTTTCTAGTATATGTACGTAAATGTCCATGATACAATATATGACTTTTCGAAGTAAAACCCAAACGATCTACACCGTTGATTTGCTACTCATTGCTTTGGGATTGGTGCTAACGCAAAAATTGATGCGATAGTTTCGCCATAATGTTTTGAATGTCACACCGGCAACTCGAAATCCAGACGAGAGCGTGTCCAAGTGGTCTGTCCAAGTCGAAAATCTGCAAACCGGAGAAACGACAGTTGAGGAATTCCATAATGTTATAATTTGCAATGGGTATGCACGCATCCTTAAATAAATTTCTTAACGTCAACTGTTCAGAATAGTATTTTTGTGGACACACATTATATTGTGTAATTTTAACATATGTCGCTGTAATACATCCTGTAGCAGCCGCTCTGATTTATCATGCTCAGTGCCACTTGTTCAAATCAGAAGCTGTTTTAATTTACCTCTGTTTTAGACATTTCCATAAGCCGTACATACCTCCCATTTCTGGATTGCAAGATTTCAAAGGCCCTATTGTTCACAGCGGCGAATATCGCTCTGCTGAAGCGTTTCGCAATAAAACCGTGCTGGTTATTGGAGGAAGATCTTCGGCGAACGACGTTACATTTGAACTCATTCCTTTTGCAAAGCGGGTAAGATAATAATTACTTCGAAGCACTATTTTCATATTGAAATATTAATGTGGATGTTATAAGAATGCCCACAATATCATCGCAATTCGTACCCAGAACATTTCCCTGTGTAGTTTTGTCGTTTCTGATGGCGAAACAAGAGGAGCAAAATTTGGGTTACCATGTATACTAGATTACGATAATCTGGCGCACTGCGTAACTGATAAAGTTTTACGTATTTCAAGGTTTTCATATGCCGGCGTATCAAGTCATCCGTTTTCAAAGGGATTCCCAACATTGAAGAAGTCACGGACATTGGGAAGATTGGCGCAAATTACATCACATTCAGTGAAGGATACACTCATCCCATTCATGCCATTATACTCTGCACTGGATTCCTATTTGACTTCCCTTTTCTGTCGAAGGAGTGCGAGGTCACCGTTACTCGGGGCCGAGTATTTCCCATGTATAAGCATATGATGCACTGCTTCCACCCGTCGTTGGCTTTCATGGGACTGGCTAACAGGAATTTGCACTCGTAAGTCAAACATGCTAGGAAGTGCTCCAAAACTTAACCATACATAATTTATTATTACTATCAAAAACGGACATTCGCACCATATTGTAACTCCGTACTGAGAAATAATGATAAAGAACAAAAACTTCACAATTAAAGCTTGTTTAATTTATTAATGTTTATTAATGTTAAAGCTTGTTTAATTTATTGATTAAGTTATTAATGTTTAATTCACTTTGCGCGATTTAAGCCTAATCAGTTTAGTCACAGGCTTCTATCGTAATCTGTATTTCGTACATACAGTTAATTCTACTGCATATGTCATAAAGAAATGGACTTTTGTGAATGTGTACTGAATGAACACTTATTTTGCGAAAATTAATATATGGGCATAGTATGAACGTTAAATCGCATTAAATTTTGCATGAACTGAGGTTTTGAACTGTTAAGTGGAAAGAAACTCAACAACATTTACGGGAAAATTATTTTGTAGGTTTGTGTGCAACTACCAAGTTCGTTATTACAAAGCATACCTGGATGGAAAGTTTGAGCTTCCGCCCGCTAGTGAGCGTCTAGCGGAAATCAACCAAGAGCATCGGGAGCGCTTAGCGAAAGGTCTACCTGAGCATTACGCGCATGTTATGACGGTGACCCAGTGGGATTATATCGACCAGTTGTGCCGCACAGCCGGCATGCAGTCGTATGACCCAGTGGTTAAAATGATCTGCGAAAGCAGCATCGAAGAAATACGTAAATCGCCGCACAACTTTCGCAACTTCCGACTGGAAAAACTAGATTCAAAGAGCTTTTTGCATATACCAAATACGTTTTTAACAGAGCGGCAGCGCATGCAGTGCCTGAGTGAGGAAGAACTGCGCAGCCTTGCTAGAAGATACCCACACTTTGTTGTACATGCTTCGACCTATCGGAACAATTTTCGTCTTCCCGCTGAATTGCGAGGATAACATTCGACTTCGAGCCTTATGTTTTATTTTTACTGGTTATTGTGCTCAGGTCGCCAAATTGGTATAAAATGTGCAAAGCCGAGCATATCATGATATGGTTTCCTTATTTATCAACGCTAATAGGAACAGCATTCGCTACACCAGAAAAAGTAAACGCTTCTGCCCAAAAGAGTTGTATTAACACGTACTCCGCCAAAATCAAAGAGCAGTTGACCAACATGAACTTCAGATTTAAAAAATTACTTCCCGCGATGCAGCATGCGTAAAAGGCGAAAAATGTTTACCTTACCTGGAAAATTTTAAAAACAGTGATAAGCGCAATGAGAGCACCTGACTGCAGTGCTACTTTGTGTTGAATTTGGTGCTTATACGTAAACATAGGTACGGTATATCTGTGCTATACTTGCCGAAATGCTGCATTACACGGCTTATATTGCACCTGACGCTCAGGAGTAGCAGGTTGAAATGGATAATAAAAAGGCAGTTGCAACTTTTTATTTACTTTTTATGGGCTCGCGTAATAGTGCCGATGCGTTGGTTCAAAGTTTCAGTCAATGTATTTTTGCTCAAATTTTCCTTCATCGTGAAATTAAAGACATCATGGGTAGAGATTTGCACCGTAAAGGCAAAACTGATCGTTTGGTTATTATTGCGCTGTTTAAATCTTGTAAATAAAGTAGGATACAAAGAAGTTAAGCAAACTTATGTTTATTACGAGGAGTTACTAACTCATGATAAAATTATAAATCACCGGTATTCTACATTACCATGCCAGCCGGAAGCTTTCGCCACTTTCGAATTCGAGATTTTTCATCTGTACAAGCAGAAACGGCGCTGTTCATCTTACTGCGCCTTTTTTTATTCATATTAGGTAAGCCGTTTGCAAACAAGTCTTACGTACAATAATATACGTGCGCGTTTATTTATTCAACGAATTTTAAAAAGAAGGTAGTCTGTCTATGCAGCATGCAGATCAGAATGAAGTACTGTACTTTCGAACTATACGAGACCGTAATGCGTGATTAATTTTAGCGAAATCAGAAATGATCGAACAAGTATACTAAAGCGTTGCGCATTAATTAGTTTGGTAATTGATACTGCAGTAACAGCTATTTACGTATTTTTTTCATAATAAACTTAAGTGTGAATATCTAGTGTTTTGTTTATAAAAGAAAATTTCCTTGCGGCCGGCCCTTAAACGAATCTTAAGTTTGTACTTATAAACGTAGTACTGTTTCCGAGCGTAAGAATTTTGTAAATATAAAAGTGTCGTGTTAACTAGCTTTAGCTATTATTATGCAGTAGCAAAATCTATGAAAATTATAGGTTTGTATTGCATTTCTGTTGATGCCTCCATTTAGGGACTTTTACTGGATATTCTGCTGGAGCTCGATCGTGTATCTCCGCAACTCTCGATATAAATGATTCTGTTTACGGACTGATAGTGTCCATTCAGTTTTGCGGACTGTGTGCTGGTCTAGTAATATTTTCTACGGTTTTTCATAATCATCGTCCGATGCTGTCGGCGCTGACGGTGATGTCCAACGGGATTTTCATCATTTTGATCGGAATCGTCCTTAATCATTATAATGACAACAGAACTCGCAGCGGAAGTGATCCATTAGGAAACAACGAATCTAATTTCAATGCGACAGCTTTGTTGTGCAATGAGGATTGGCTAAGAAGCACCAATCATATGCAAAATGGTTACCGCTTCAAGGACATCGATGCGCCCAGAACGGGGGTGTCGGTGACTTTAGGGATTATTTTCGGGGCAGTTGGGATGACAGCCGGTTTACCCATGACAATGATCCTCAAACGCGACAAACAACCAGGTCCGGAATGTCATTAAAACGGACAAAATTGTTTTATTGGGTTTTGACTTTTGATTACGGGTTTGTAATACCAAGTCGTACGCAACGCAATACGTGACCGTACTGTCCGAGTGTCTGTGGTAGCAATTAACATACAGTACTGATACGCTTTTGGTACGCGTTTTGAAAAAATTGCAGTTCTACACTACGGTATTCTATTTAAGCTTTCCAGTGTCTAAGTTTACGGGAACCTCCCTATATTTGTTTTTTTATCTCAAACGTAACTAATTTTTTTACTAGTTTTTACTGCTCTTGTATTCAACGTGGGAGCGGCAGCAGGAATGCTTCTCCCCAGGCCGGCTGCCCAGTCATCGTTTCCGGTTGAACTGGATATTAACGCCAACACTGTATGCAGCTCCGGATTTATTCTCTGCGGATGCGCTATCTTTCTTTTGGGAGCTTGCTTCAGTGTGAGTACGTTTGTCCAGTGTATACCATAGATCTGACAATAAGTATATTGTCTGGACGGAAAAAAGTGTAAAATTGCATGTACGCATGTACTTCTTTTCTGGGAGACTAATCAAAGTCGGAAAGAGCACGCGAACCGTACGCGAACACGAGTACAGTAATGGTCAAAGCAGTACGCGAACCATAAACAAATAAAGCGATGAAAAAGTAAAATATCTTATACCATGGCAGTACTATACTGTTAATAGTATAGTTCTGCCATGCTTATACAATCAATTTTAATTTATCCACGCAGTATTTTTCATAAGCATTCATTACGCATGAAGAATGATTAATATAAGTACACTCTTCCTTGGACTGATAGGGCTTTCCGAGTGGCACACTTCTGAATACAGATGATCCTTGCGTGGTGTATATCCCCGGAAATCGAGCTAGTTTAAGAGGTAACAACATCAGGTTTCTGTAACAACATCAAGCAGATTTTAACATAAAGGTTATATACAAAAAATAACATTGTATTGCAGATTGTTTGGGCAAACTCGGAATACTAATGCGAAAATGTGGTTTCTGGTGTGTGGTTGCAGTTATCGCGGCTGACTGCTTGTATATAAGCGGTACGACATTACATTGTATACCTTTCTAGTTACCCTCGATCGTCATATATATCAATGTTTTTCTCAAAATTGCAGTGTACATAAATATTTTTCCAAAATTTCTAAGCGTTTACTTTGATGTTTCATCCCTTACATCCGGCATCGCAACAAGTAAGGCCTCACTTAATATCTTCTTACTGTAAACGTTAAAAGTGTCGAATGATGCCTATTCTAGGTTTATGCCTAATCTTCCCGTATGGACTAGTGGCAGCTTTAATTTACGTTGTGAGCACTCGCTGGCACCAAACCAAAAATTTTATTATGATCTGTACGGTCTTCGTGTGTACTGGACATTTTCTGTTGCTCTTCGTTCGGTGCGAATCTTCTGTCTGGAATCAAAATGCCGTGGAATCTCAAAAAGAGAAGTACAGTAGTGCATAATATTGCTTATTTGTCTCTGTTTAACATATCTTTTCACTAACAGAGCATGATCTCAATCAAAAACCTCTGGACAAGGAAACCCGTTTTTTTCTTGCAGTCGAATAATATTTAAAAATATCTGCAATGACAAATGTGGGTGCCAGACTTCATTCAGCAGCCTCCGGCCAGTGTGCCATAAAGAAACTAAAGTAACCTTTGCATCGCCATGTCACGCTGGATGTTTTTCTTGGACAGCCGATAATGAGGTACATTTGCGCACAGCTCGTTCAGGGATAAGTAGGTAGGTATACATACATACATCGCTACCGCTACATACATACATATACATACAAGTAGGTAGGTATTAATTAGTTTTCGCGTATACAAAAAAATTATTGGTAATTCCTATTGCGACGATGACAAATTAACTAATTTGATGGTTATGGCTACCACCATAATTAAGTTTTACCAGGACCGACTCCATAGAGTTGGTCCTAGTTTTACATATTACAACTACTTCTGTTATTGTTTAAGACTTTTACAAATTGTGAATGCGTTCTGAATGGAAAAGATGACCTTTTGCCCCCTTTGGACGTGTCGTTGTCACCCGGTGTATGTTCTCGTAATTGTTCCGTGGGATTCTGGATGACGATACTGATTACAACATTATTAATCAGTTTTGGAGGTTTTGTTCCGTTAATTTTATTGCAGCAGTGGCAGAAGATGTGGTACGCGCAGAAATTGTTAAATTGATAAAATTCAACAGTAATTTTAATTTCTTTGCAGTGCAATCCTTATCGGAGCGAGTCATACTTCTTTAATCCCGAAAGTGGCTTTCTTTTGTTTGATTTTGCTATTTGGAATTGTGCCGGCACCCATCATTTCCGGATTATTGTTAGACTCGACATGTGTTTTAAAAAACGATGGACCATCACCAGACTTATCCGCGGCAACGTATACGACGTGTCTCCTTCACACTTCCGATAAGCTGGGAAATCGTCTGTATGGGTTACTCCTCTTGGCGAAAATCGTTATTTACACGCTTTACTTTACGGTACGTATAACATTAAAGATCTCGCTTGCTGCGAGCAAATGCGGTTTTCCTGGTCTACGCAGGCTCTCTATTTAATTACGTAAAACTGATGTTCCTGTCTTTCTAGACATTCAAATACAACAACCTATTACACGTACAAAATAATGCTCCGGAATCCAGTGTTCAGTACCGTCCGATTGTCAATACGGATACACAATAAATTTGGCGCGGCCGATTGTGGATGGTCAGGAACTGCAGTAGCATAAAAACATTAAACTAAAACATCAACACTGCTTTCGCGGTCAATAATCTTGTTATAGAGTCCGAATCTTCAATGTGAATGCTTTCCCGTTGTTCCAGCATCATTCGTGTTTCTACTGAGCGTATCAGCTAGTTAATGAGCTTTTTCACTGGGATTTATATTATAAGCCCAGCTAATAGTAGAATATTCTAATGTGCAAATGTACTACTGTATTGTTGAAAAGAAAATTTTTTATTAAAACATCCAGATACAGAGCAAAATTTAAATTGCACTCAGCAAAATAATATCACAATAGTGATGCTACTGTACCGGCTTTGCTGCGGCTGTGGTACTGCAATTTAAATGATTACACAAAGTAAAGTTTGTTCTACCACACACCAAACAAATACTCCCAGCCTAACTAAGAGTAATTATAGTAATTTTGTGCTTCTGCACTCTTTTTGTATCCTTAGCGTAACCTTTCGGGTACATTAAACATTTTATCTATACGTACAAACTCACAAAACTCAGTGATGCATCTAACTACGCTTTTAGGAGACAGAAAAATTGAATTAAGAATTTGCAATGCACAGTGCTCTAATTTTTCCTTTTCGCTAACTATTGATTTCCTTCTGGCATCCTAGCAATTTCCGTGCCAAGCACTCACTGTTAAATTGGTCCTTAACTATTCAAATGAGCAACGGCAATGCAGTTCCCATAATGCAATACATAGTATTCCAGTTGGTTGCTGGCGTCTTTAAATGTTAAATTGATCAGAACTGTACGGGCCAGTAAAACAACGAATTAGAAAAATCTCTTCTTAACGATCAGCCCATCAGCCGCACAGTGGCACAGCACAGTCGCATACTTGGGATCCATTACGCTCCGTTCATGTCCGCACTTTAAAACGTCGCTTTGCATGCATAAACTCGGCGTATAACTTTGGGACGACAAGATACATGCAAATGTAACTAGCTGCTTAAAATAGCCGCGTCGTCGCTCTGTGAATGATGATGATGCCCGTTTGATCTGTTTAGTCTGCTTGACATTTTGCGTTTAAAATTTCATATTTCGTCGCTTGGGATGATAATGTACACCATGCAATATGCACGACACTTACGGGCGATTCATCGTCATTCGGTTGCTGAGTTTTTCAGCATTACTGGCGGACTTCCTGACGCAGGCGGTCGCTGATACCTGTCCATGGCAATGTACATGCACAGAATTCATCCACAAAACATCCGCTGTTGGCTTCGAGGTAACCTTATGAAATCATACTGCTCGCAAGATAATATACTTATATTTAGAGCATTACAAATGGCAGGAATAATTTTGTTATGATGTATTTTGCAATGACCGCAAGCTTTCCACTTAATTCTGTAGTAATTACGACTTACTACAACACATAATTTTGCTCCGTGATACTCAAAATGTGTATAAACGTATTCGGTTATTTCGGTATAATGTATATCTTATTTACTTATGTAAACCATATGCACACTAAAATTTATTTATTGTGTTTTAAAGGATTAATCGTGTTTATTTTGCTGCAGTCCGAAAGCTTAAATCATGCACTATGACGAGTTGCATATATTTAGTTTACTTGAATTCTTGTAAACATTTGAAGTCCATCTAAATTGTATTGGATTAAATAAATAAAGATGTTGGCAAGCAGTGAAATTAAGAAATTCTTTCTTAGGTGTCATGTAACGGAAGAGACCTAAAACTTCTTCCGGTATTTCCGCGTAATACACTGACGATCGACATTTCCGGAAACAAATTTACCAAAATCCCGACAAATTTTTTTCCTCGTTTGACCCATCTGCACTCGCTATGGTTGGACAATAATAAAATTGCAACTATTGAACCGTTTTCGTTTCGTGGGATGCAAAATTTGGAAGTGGTATCAATAAGGAACAATAAGGAATTGAATTACCTTTCCAAATTCTCCTTTTCCGGGTTGCGATACGTTCACCGGCTGATCATAACGGATAATAACGTAAGTGATTTTGTAGGTTTTGTATCAATTTGATCCCAAGCACCTGTACCGTCATATTTTCGGTAAAGCATTAGCTGGCCTACTGTAGTTAGGCTGCTCGTATTCACAGCTGGGGTAAGTTAAATTTGTTGTTTGTTAAAGAGCCGTTGATCTTTATAAGCATTAACAATCAAATTTTTGTTAGGTTTTATTTGAAAAAACCGATGGCTTTATTTGTACGTTTTGTTGGCGGAAGGATATAAGATAAGTGGCTCAGACACATTGTATATACATTTGCTGGGGTCATAATTAATTGGCGCTACTCGGTATCATTTGTTATGCGTGAAATTGAGATTATGCAGTTGAATCGGCATCTGCTCCGCTTAAAATTACAACAAATTAGACTGTACCCGGGAGCTAATTGTTTTAGCTTTATAATGTGCATGTTTGGATCTTGCTGCAGATTTCCTGGATAGAGAAGAACGCCTTTTACGCCACAGCCTATGTGGACACGATCGCCCTGTATGGCAACCCAATACAGGAACTGCGCCCGGCAGCCTTCAACAATCTCAAGTATATCCAACATTTCCGGCTGCCAGTCGGCATAACCACCATAATTCCCGGATCCTTTGCCGGCTTGTCGTTGGTGCAGGACCTGACAATCGAGAGTTTAAATATTACACTCTTCCGGCCTGACACGTTCTTTAATCTGACCGATATTACGCATTTACGCATTCACGACTCCGCCATCCACGCACTGACCACGCCCCGCGCCTTGGCCGGCATGGAGCGGATTAATGCACTGATATTCGGCCGGTGCACCATCGGGGAGGTGGGACCGCAGATCTTTGAGGAATTCGATAAAGTGGCCAAGTTGCAGTTTGAGCGCAATCATTTTGTCAAAATACAGGAAAACTTTCCCGGTTCCTTGGCCCGCGTGGCGGATGTGGTGGAATTTCATGAAAATGACGCGGATTGTTGTAGCATTGATGTGGATTATGTACATCGCTGGCAACAGCTGGCCAGGACATCGCTGGTGGTTAGTGAGTTCTTGCACGGGATCATGTGCATTGCGCCAAAATGGGTGTTCGAGGAGAGCTTGTTTACGGTCAACATGTCAACGCTGCGAAATGCGTGTAGCGGTGCGCTGGACCGACAATACCAGGCTGAACTGGATGGCCGGGAAAAACAAAGACCGGCATTGAGTGAATTATATAAAGCGAAGAATTCTTGTACATTACTGTTATGCGAAGCGTTTTTTATTTTAGTTTCCATGTTAATTGTTATCATGCGCCCAGACGTATAGATTTTGGGCTTGGATTTAATCTGTGATAAAATCAGACACGAGTTTGTTATGGGGGATTAAATTTGTGTAAAAAGTTTGGTGTACCAAAATACACATACAGAGCGCCGATTTAATTAAATTGATCACATAATGGATTAATGTTTAAAAAAACTTAACAACCCTTGTAAAAATGTAGAGAATGCGTAAAAGGCATACGCGTTTCTCTGCACGTAGACAGTCATAGACCTGTTAGTATTACCCGGTTGTAGTCTTGTAGCTTTAAACTTGTGCAGACTAGTAACTGTTTAAAATACTGCAGGCATAGAATTTGCGTTTTATTTGTAATAACTTACGCTCGGTTCAGTTATTAGACATTCGAATCCTTTCCCATTAATATGGCTGTCTAAATCAGGCTTGGTAATATCCATTTACAACATCACAAAAATTACAGCAATGTACAATTTGCGGCACCGTGTCAAAATATTACGAAATTACTGTACAGATACAATGGTAGGTACAAAATATAGTGTCTTCAGCACTACAACATATACAAATACAATTTGTATATGAGTACATTCTATCAAAATATCCGTGCTTAGGCTAATATGATCATTGAATACAGCGCATATAAGAATTCGTAAAACTAAAACACGTACATACACACCTGTACTTACTCGATTGAAAAGTTCTACTGCCCAAAAAATTTAAAAGCAATTAACACTTAAACAAAAAAATGCAAACTGAAATCTACCAGTAGGCAGAATTTCGTGATTGAACTTTTTTCGCCGGTGTCCGAGGCTATTACACAAAAGTCCACATTTCGACAGCTTTAATCAAGAAATCTCCACAGTCACATAATGGATCACTGGAAAACGTGTTGCAACCTTGTGTTCGGCCACGATATAGACTTTCATCCAGCCAGATTGCAGCTGCCCCACTGTAAAAAATTAGAACAGATCTAGGCATATATAATATAGATATTGTATCTCGTGTGTACTATTTGTAAGTATGTATAGCTGAGTGAAAATTTTCTCATTGCGTTCTTTATTGCATAAATTTCTAGTTTTTCTACTAGTGTATATTGTGCTTTGCCTGCCACATCGAAAAAAATAATGCACATTGCCATTTCTATAGTAAAAAACCAAATTCAGATCTGTACACGGATTCTGTAGTACGGATATTGCTCTATGCTATTATGTTATCAACCTGACCCGACCAGTAACATGGAGTTACTGGACGATGAAAAATTTTCCGTTCTACGGGTAAAACACAATTAAACACAAACCTCGCACATCCGATTGTGAGGGAATCCAGCTCGCCTTTCATAATGTTGTAGTTGCTTGTATCCGTCCACTTATGTAAATGCCACTGCAAAAAAAAATTTTGTTCAGAGATATTGAGGTATTGGTTCTAATAATATTTTTATTTTCGTTTTTTATCGCGTTACGTTATTGTTAATTTGATCTAACGTCAGTTAGATACAAATACTTCAAATATAATCAAAATCGGCATAATGCAAGTTAATCCAATTACGCTAGCACAAATTCACAGTATCTGGGACGAATTAGTGTGGCTATTTTGATTCCCATACAAACTCATTATGGGAAGACACGTTTTGTCCTCCTCCGCAGCGTCGTATTACTCACAGTATTACCTTACATTAAGGAATCATTAAAGTACAAGTGCAACTATAGAAGCAATTCGGTGTGTAACTATACATACGCATTATCTGACGTGCCTCGATTTCCCGACAGAATACCATGCTTTCCCCGTTTCCCGTAAAGAACCGGGAGATTTTCGGAGGACAGGAGATCAGTGCACCGAAAACATGACCCTGAGCGTCCTCGATAATGATCAGTACCGGCGCTTCGCTGTCGCCAACCCGGCGATACAGATTATGCAGACCGTATCCATGCTGATCGGTACTATACGTCAAGTCCAGCTTCGCGAAGCGCGCCAGAGCCGGTAGTGATGTGGTTAAGGATATCACCAGTTCACTCAGATCATCGATGTTAAGAATCTTGCAGTCCTCAGCGTTCACTTCCGGTCCGTTATTGTCCACCACCAGCGGCGGATTCGATTTAACTGAGCTATTCAATAGACACGCGGGAATGTCAGCCCACTCGACAAATGTCCAGTCATCGTATTCGGTAATGCACTTCAGATGGGGTGGTGCGCCGCTGGAGCCCGACAACTCCAAACTGAGGCATGATGGGTTCTTTCTCACGGCCAGTATCTCGTTCGTACAGTAGTTGGAGCGCCGCTTAGGGGCGGGTTCCACGAATACTTCGAAAACTTTCCGCCAGAATGCAAGTCCGCCAAAAATGCAGCACATTTGATAAAGATGGGCGCGCAGGATTCTTTGAAAAATTCTCGATCGATAAGCACAATTACATGCAAAAAACTGTACTTTCATTACCTCAAATTCGCGTTGGTTTTGAGATATTTTTGAGACAATATTATTAAGCGTATTTACGAAAACGACCCGTTGAACTGGCGACAAACGACAACAGCGCGGCAGATTCTTCATATGCACAGCACGAAACGGATTCCGGTTCACTGTTTATGCCAGAGAAAGCTTTACATTAATTCCGTATCCACATATATTGCATAACTTTGAATAAGACAGCGCTCCTCTCTTGCTTGTGCATGACAAAACGATTCGTAGAACAGAACGCTGTCCAGTGTCCACAATAGCTTACCAGGATGTTACTGCACTGTCATTCGTACAGCGTACTTATCTAAATCTTAAGAAGCACAATTAATTCCAATCGAAAGTGGCGATTGTTGACGATCAGTGTTTCAGTTGCTTCAATATTGCACTATTACACTTATGCTTTCTTCGGCACCAGCCAGTGTACGTGACAAAAAGTCCGCGCTGGTAGACAAATATCTACACTTTGAAATAACAGCTTAAAGAAGACCTAAATTCTTTAATAATTCACAGTAATTAAATAAGCAACTGTATGTGCCGACAGTGCCGTAAAAGCAGGGCACTCCCTAATCCCTACATGGCCCATACTACGAACCATAGTATACCAGTACAGTATTATTACTGACTGTGACTGGTGAGTGCAGCCCGTATTCTACGCTTCCCGAACAGTTTAATTAGTTTGGTCCCGTTTGGACGACGGCAATTTCACACTGATTCTGAATTTTATCGTTATTTTTTTACGATTTCCTTCCTCTAACATGTAGTGAAATTCAGCTCGGTTTTCATCTGCAGAATTTCCACGCAGAAAAATGCAGCAGGCTCTCAGCAGCATATTCCTGGCGTTTATGTCATGGTACCGTCTTTGTACCACTGAGGCTGATACAGAAACAAGACCAGTGTCCACTTCTGCGGGAACATCTGATTCACTGGTATGGGACCAGAACGGCTATATCTTTTATTGTCCGTGTCATGGTAAATGATTTTGTGGTGCTATAAATTATGGTCAGCTCTCATTGCTATCCGCTGGTTAGGTCGTTTCGGGAACCAGGCGGATCAGTTCCTTGGTACACTGGCGTTCGCCAAAGCGTTAAATCGCACACTGATACTACCACCATGGCGGAGTTATGGTGCTGAACAACGGGTAATTTATTTGTTCTCAAGTAACAGCATGGTACAACGGGGATAACGGTTGCATCTTTTGCCATAGCAAATGGTGCCTTTCAACAGTATCTTCCAAGTGGAACCGTTACGGCGCTTTCATCGTGTTGTGCTGGCCAGCGAATTTATGGACAACTTTGGCGAATCGCATTGGTCACAGGACAAACGTGTGGCCTTCTGCCATTTTCAGCATGCGGAGAACAAGGAAAAACCATGCACGACGAATGTCCAATTCTTCGCTGAGTTTTGGGATGCTGTTGGAGTGCCTGAATTCACTGCTTCGGAGAATATACAGGGACTGTATTTTGATGATACCGAAGCAGAAAATTGGATAAGCAGGTAATTTCTAATTTTCTACGCTGATATTAGAAAAATAGAAAATAATCTGCTGTATGTTTCTTTTGGTGCTGCCGTTAGGAATCGTACTGTAATTTGCTTTGATGAAAGTAAATTTTTTTTCCAAATATATGTGGTCAGCTGAAAAATTCTCTTGTTGGCTTCTGCATTAATTACTGTAATTTTCGAACTTACTGGACATTGTTTGTCGGCGTTCCAGCATTGAAAGTAATTAAGTGCTGTGAAGGATTTTGGTATTGCGAATAGCCAAATACAGACAATGCCTTAGCAGTTGTTTTTTTGCGTTTACGGGTAAGTACAGAGTAGAACGATCGAGACATGCCTTTGAAAATTTATATGCAACATGGATACTTCTATTCTTTTAATAGCTCGGTAGAAAATTTTGTATCTGGATATGGTAAAACTAATCATGTTATCACTATTATTTTAAAATTAAATTTTTTAATACTGGACAACTTACACAATGATATTAACGTTATTGTGAGCCTGTGTCCGCCCTAGATTTCCAGCAGAAACGTATCCCGTAATTGCTCTGCGCGGTCCACCGGCACCATTTCCGGTTCCCCTCCGTCACTGGCACATTCAAAAGTATGTGGCCTGGTCCGAAGAAATACAGCAGCGTGGCGACGCGTTTATCACCGAGAAGTTTGGAACCGAACCGTTCCTGGGAGTTCACCTTCGCAATGGTGAAGACTGGGTGCGAGCGTGCGATCTGCTGAACGAAGATCGGCACGGATTAAAGAATCTCATGGCATCTACGCAGTGCCTAGGAGAAAATCCTTCCAATGCTGTAACACGGGCAATCTGTTTGCCAACGGAGGAGGATGTCATCCGCAGGGTGGCCAGTGAACTGGAAGTCCTGGGATTTAAACATTTGTTTATTGCTACTGATCACGATCCTTATTTGAAGCGCTTTAAAAAAGCAATAAAGAATGTTAACATCATCCATGGCAGTTTGGACGTTCCGCAGATAGACATGTACATTTTGGGTCGAAGTGGTGTTTTTATTGGTAATTGCGTCTCTTCTTTTTCGTCATTTGTGAGGCGAGAAAGGGACGTTTCGCATCGTCCCACTCTCTACTTTGGAATCTCCAAGGAATATGTTCACGAAGAGCTTTAAAAGCGCAATTTGTTTTGGTTTATATTTCTAACTTTTCAAGTGCGACTTTTGAGAATTGGTTTCCAGCTCGTAACTGGTGTAAACTGTTTTCCAGTTTAAAGCGAGACGGTGAAAAAATCCATCCGTTATTTTACTTCGGGTTTAATTAACCAAACCGAAACACTCTGAAAAACCCATTACGCGATAAAATGTTCCTCTGAAAATTTAGCTCGAACACGCAGCTAACAACAAAAACAACGTATAAAACCAAAAAAAACTTCCGTCAAAAACTGAACGCAGCCACTGCCAGTAAAAGGCACGGGGCTGTCAAAATACTACACTGTATGTACAACTGGGGCTTATGGACAAAGAAAATCAACTGTAAGATCTATAAAGCATTCTGTGCGTAAACTAGAGTAATCGAAGACAGACGTTTCAATGATCCTGGGTGGCGAAAAGGTTTCGTACTCCAAACAAATCGAGTCGCTGCCTGTACTCAATGAACATTCTCTGAAACTGAGTTTTTCGACCTAGCAATGGTAACAACTTTTCCAGCATTGCTCGTTTTGCAATTCCCTAAAAAGTCAAAAAAGCAGCGCAAATATTATTATTAGCAGGTGTTATCGAAGCAGTTGACAAGCCTTTCCTTCTAGCATACCAAAATTTCTGGTTCCCAGGTTGATTCTTCCAAATCTTCAGTGTTGCCGGGTGGGCCCATTAGCGAATCCAATAATGTCCTCAGGCGAAGAACTGAGTCTGTAAAAGATGAACGAGTAAATAGTAATAACAAAACCAGTGCGAGCTATGCTGATCAAAGCCAAATTTAATCTTGTAAGTAATTCAACTTAATGCCCATTAAAACTTAAAAAAACTTGAGAACGAATCGGTATCAAAAGAAAATCTGTGCTGGCTTCAGGAAAAAGCTCCGCAATACTAATTTTCGCAATGCGTAACAGAAACCGTTAACAGATTTTACCATTATCAACCAAAAACTGGACATATCCTAGCTGCCAACTCTGATACTCCGAAGGCGATTTAAGGACGCGAGCGAGGTGCATTTGCTTTTCCATATGATTGAGCAGAAGTGTGCGGCTAACTTCCGGACTAACATTGCGTCCAACAGATGATCCACTCCTAAAGAAGGTAATTAAGTTTCGACAAAGATTAAACCGTAAAAGAAGAAGCGAATATTATCAAAGACATGTTTTTATCATAACGACTAACCTGATTTTTTGTAATTTCGACAGCGGACCCCCACTATCCAGGACATCGGCCCGCAAGCCACCAGATACAGCCAAATAATTTCCAAAACGAATCACATCATCGTGAACGACGCTCCTAAAGAAAGTCACACACACATGAAAAAGGCAAAAATGGTATATATGCAGAAAAACACCAGATATCATATATATACAGCAGTCTACACTTCCTGGTATAGAATGCTGGAACGGAACCCGCAAACACCGGTTACTGATAAAAAGCAAGTTAGGGACCATCCTAAAATATCAGTACTGCACGAGCATAGACGACGAACCAAGTAAGATCGGATATATCACAGATAAAACAACGGTGGTCCGACAAAGTCACTACAGGAACTTCCGTTTCGGTGACATTTGTGTTAACAACGTTCACTATTCCACCGGGACTGCGCAACATCCATTCAATACTTCCTAAGCTTTGCCTTCTCCACCTTTCAAATACGTGTAACCTGGAAAACATTTCCCGTTAAGAACGGTTTCCACAGCAGTCCAAATTTCACAAAAAGACGGGCAATTAACAGTTCATGGACTTACCGTTTCCACATATCCACTTTTGCATCTGCTGTAATGACCAAGATAGCATTTTTCGAGCAGGCCAACTGCACGCCGGCTGCACTTAAAAAGTGACTAGCCAGGAGCGAACCCGAATCGCTTGACCAGACATTAAGAGAGTGGTCTTGGCAGATTGTACAGCAAACGTTCCTGCCAAAATTTTTTAAGAAAGAGTAAGCAGCAAAAAAATTAAAGCTCAGTCTCTATTTATTACTCATTCGTTGCCACCAGGACGATTGGAGAAGCGAGATACTGTATCCACCGAGCACGTCCACCAATCAAATACTGGATTTTGTGAAATCTTGTCAAAAGACTAAGATTCCCTGGCTCAATTTCATTTTCCACGACTAGTGCAGCGGTATCGCCGTTTTCGATTCCACCAGAATGCTCAACCTGAATTAACAATCAAAGGTCCCGATTTACTTCTGTCACTGATAAATAAACTTCTTTACGTACATTCGCGGTCAATTTTGGCAGCAGAGGAGGCAAGGGAAGTCTGCGTCCAGTTGGTGGACCGGGTCGTCGGTCTGGTCGTGGGGCATGTTTTATTATGTCCACTGGTTGCGGCTAAAAAATTCACAAGCACAAACTGCATCCAGTACTGTAATGAAAATGATATTCAGACTGATATACATACTGCGCTTTTTTTAAGAACACTATCCAATAGTGCGGGTTTTGGGACGGATTTTTCAACGACAATTTCCACATCTTTTTCGACCGGGGCTACGTTTTCCACAGCGGCCGGAGCAGGGGCGCTCCGTTTGTTTGGAGCTGGTCCAACTGGCGCTTTGTCTGAAGTTGTAGTCGTCTTCTTCTTTTCCTTTTCCACGGCTTTTTCGCCATTTTCTACCGGTTTTCTAGAGAATAAATACCGTAGAAGTATGTTATTAACTATAAAAGAAAAACGAAACGATTTGCGCAACTATCCAACTGCATTCATCGTTTAGTCAGAATTAGCTGTAACATCAACGTTGATTACACTTTCTTAGGTGGCGGGGGTGCTACTGCAACCTTCTCCGGTTTTTTCGGCAACGAAACCACACTTCGGGATGCTGCCTTGAGAGCGGATGGTCCAAGTGGTCGAGACATAGGTACTGGTGGGGCCTAACAATACAGTAATGAAATATACATAAGACAACTCAGAACAATACTATCAAAATATGAATGTAACAATGCTACTAACAGCTGGCTCTTCCTTGACACCGTCGCTCACGGCTGAATTGCTCTGCTGAGATCGCTCATCCAGGGTACTGTCACTGTGAGCGCCATTTATAACCATGCCAAAGCTTCTAGAAATTCGAATAATCAACAAACTACAAGAAATAATTACTAAACAAATTACAGCTTACGTCATAGGCTGAGGAACAGATTCGGGGATAAATACAGGCGTAATTCTCAGACGTCCATCCGGCAAGCGAGTTTCAATTTGTTTGGTCAAAGGTATCTAAAAATTTCGGTTTATTCAAAAGTTGGAAATTTAATACCGTCGGTTACTCCTGAGTATTGCAATTACAAAAAAAAAGATTTTCAAGAAAACCCAAAACTTCAGGTCGATTAATTCATCTTACTCCTTCGTAAGGTAGACGGAGCTGTGCCGGTTGTGCGGAGGATGTTGATGTGTTTTGAGGGTTGTCTTTGCGTCGTTTTTCGGCTTCCTGGGCGTCCAAAAAAACAGATGATTCGACGATGGTATTCGATCCCAGGAGATTTGCTATAGTATCCAAAACGGACTTGCCGTATAACTTTGTCAAGGCTTGAGACTGGAAACAACTCTAATTAAGCCCTTTCCGCAAAGTTCAGTAGATAAGGGAATACTTACTTGTTGGTCTTTCGTGATAGCTTTGCCGGTTATTAATTTTCCGCAATATATGTAGGCAATTTTACCATCAAGACCACAAGCCAGCATAGAGTATCCATCAGGAAACCTTGAAAAAAGCCCATGAAAAGAATGGCATAAACTTTTAGCCATCTTTATGAAATTTTACCACGAAATATCCATCACGGGTGCATCGAATAATCCGGTAAATACATGCGGTCGTTTGTGTTGAAATGTCTAAAACAACAGTTTATGTTTAAGAAAAGACACTGCAGCCCATAAAACATTAATGCATACCCAGACGCAAATATTATGGTCCCGACTTCCCGTTGCACACACACAGTAGGGCGTATTCTACAAAATACATCGTGTTAACATTAGTACATTGTGATTTTTCTTTTTCAGATTTAGGTTTGTTTTACCTCGTCCTTCATCGTGAACATTCTCGGATTAAACCGCTGCAAAAAGCACACATAAAGAAGGAAAAACCAGGAACCTCAAAATAGATAAATCTCAAATCAAAATGCTTTCAGATAGCGTACGCTCTACAGGGCAACATGCAAACTTACCACGCACACAACTGGCCTGGAATGTCCAGCAAAATAATTCACAGATTTCCAGGCATCCTGCGCACCCCTTTCAATAATCTGTGCCACAGGTCGGCCTTCATTGGTAGCATGTGAAGAAATTATATTCATACCATCTGTAGACCAATCGAGCCGAAGAACTTGCGTACTACCATGGCACTGTAAATCAAGCTAATTTATTAATCGTAAAAGAACGGCTTTCAATCTCTTCCACCGCAACTCCAACGTGCAATCAGTATACTAAATCAATAACAAACCTTGTCAAAAAAATCGCTAATATTATGCTGGAGCTTCCAGTCTGCCGTTCGCCAGACTTTAATTCGCTCATCCGACTGGGTGGCTAGGTATTTCCCAATAGGATCCCACACAACGCCCTTCACCGTGCCGTTCTGTTCCTTGAGCACTATAATACTTTCGAAATTCTTCTGGACATCCCAGATAATAATACTGTTATCCACACTGCAGGAGGCCAGCATGGCATCATTGGGACTCCAGTTCACACCCAAAACATCAGCGGTGTGCTTGTGCAAAGCATGGACGCGCCGCCAATTTTCCGCCTCACCAATGCGAGTCTGCTGCCAAATCATAACCAGACTGTCTCCAGCACCGGAAGCTAAATAGTTCCCTTTGTGTGACCACCGTAAGCAGTTGACGCACGCTGAAAGTTAAAGATAAAAGTCATAAAACCTAATAATACACTCCTATTTCTCTGAATTAATTTCCCAATATAATTTCGAAAATCCAGCATTCCACGCGAATGTTTACTGATGCTGATTACTGCGACTTGCCTGTATGGTTGTCCAGTTGGGTAATTAAACGAATATCCACGCGGTCCGGTTTCAGCGAATTAATATGCCAAATGCACAATCGCCCGGAATCATCACCTGACCATGATAAAAGAAGCCTTGAATCTAATCGTAAATTCCTTGATCAATGTACAACTTTGTCGACATACCCATTCCCCCGGCTGCAAAACGCGTTCCGTCCGGATGAACGTCAATTGCATAAATCAAGCTTTCTGCAAAAAATACACTCAATACATGCCGTCGACTGAAAACCACCCAGGTTGCATACTGTCAAAATTTGTGAATTTGAGCTGCATGATGAATGCCCGTCCTCTGTCCTCCGGCCGTATTCGGCTGCTGTAGGTGCGCGCATGGTTCCCGTTAGGAATAATTTCTTTGAGGTGCTGCCGACTTGTATCGGGTTCGCTGCCATCTTTTGCCATTGTGTTCCTCGCACAAGTTTTAACACCCGCGTATTCTAATTAAACATCCGAAAAATCCAGGAGCTACGGTTGCGAGCACCGTAAATTAACAGCAACAACGACAAAATAATGAAATCCATCCAAACTCGACACAGCTTGAAGAGCACATTTTCGGCAAAAACAAAGCCACACCAGCAGTAAGTCAAAAAAGCAAGCGAATATATTATTCTTGCTTGTGGTTGTGGATGGAAGTTTAACAGCAGTACAAACACGACGGATGCCGTGCCACAAAAAAACGAGATGGCAAACGTTAACGTGATCTGGCAAATCAATGTACTACATCGGCTTCGGAACCCAGGAAATCAAAGCACCTATCCCGAAGTTATCCCTTTTATAAAATGCAACAAGGAAACGCAAATGGCAAATCTTCCACTTTTGAGGAGATAGTTGAAATGTTTTGATAAATCCTACTCGTACAGTCGTACTGAAGTCCGGTATGAAATGGATGGTCATGTTTATCAACATGGCCCAAAAAGTTTCGCATTCTGGTTTATCGGCCGGAGCTGAGCCGACCGATCGCCGAACTCAGGTATCAAAGCTACGCTGCATTTAGACCGACCGAGTCCAAAACCGACCGCTAACAGACTGTCAAACGGTACACATGCTGGACAACAATACAGGCGGAAGTCGCAGTCTGCAATTTTTTCATGATTGAGCAATCTTGCTATCGATCACGTAACGTCCTGTACATACTTATTAGAACTTTTTATGAGGGTATTTCAAAACTTATCCAAATAGGTTTTAAACTTCATTTGGGATCTAGAAGTAGCTAGTCTTGGTCTGTTTTTGATTGTGATAAGGTCTCGGTACTTCAAGTGCTACTGTTTTTGAATCGTTTGAAACCGCAAAAGCTCCTTTCCCCCTCTTACCTTGTCCTTTCTCCCATCAGTCGAAAATCTCGAGATTCCACAGGATCCCATTCCCAGATCTGATTAAAATTTCTCAATCCACATGTCAGAGTCTACTGATCACGAAGAGAAAGGTAATTACTATGCTTTATAATTGAAGCTATATTTTTTATTAGCCAAAACGATTGGATTAACTGAAGTGTTCACTGCCCCAACGTTTTGCCTGATTTTGCAATCAAGGGCCAGTGCCTGTTAAGGATGTTGTAGTTGTCGCACAACAGCTGGCTGCGTTGGCAGACTTAACCCATTCCATATAATTTCTGCAGAATATCCGGGAGATTTAAATCCGTTCGGTTCGGACGAGGAAGGCGCGAAACCAAACGCCAAACCCAGCACAAATCCTTTTGGGTCGAGTGACGATGAAGACGAGGAGACGATTGTTCCGCACTCGTTCCCACTCAAGACCTCCAGAAATGCCTCACCCGTGCCGAATCCAACTCCCAGGAAATCCCTTGCCCTAGGTGTCCCATCCGATGATAATGCTTCAATACGGCGGGGCTCAGCAGGTTCGCCATCGCGGCTCAAACCTCCAGTACCTGCACCGCGCAGGATATCGATGATCGATGCCACTGCGAACGGCCCACCGCGATCCTCTTCGGGTTTATCAGTACAGGATACCAGCGCCGGAACTCCTCGCTCCGCATCCAGCCTCAGTTTGGAATCTCAAACGAGCGGCGCTAGTGCCAGTGCGGCCACTACGCCTAAGAAAAGACAAGCCCCACCTGTTCCCCGCAAAGACAACGACATGTCGAGAATCGCTCCGGCGAATGTGGCTCCAACGATAAACGGTAACACGCCGACCTGCGGAAGTATGCGAAAAACAAAAAAGCCAGCTCCTCCCCCTCCCGTGGGAGCTAAAAAGGATGTTTCCCCGAATCTGAGCGTAAGCCGAAAATTGCAAGTTAAATATATCGGGCCAATGTCGCCGAGTGTTGTCACAATTTTGTCGTTAGTAAAAGCGGCGGATGTTTCTGGCGTTCTTGTCAGTTCCAGTCAGTTAATTTTCTAATGGGAGATTTTTTGTCGGGCTCCCATTAGAAAATATGGGCACAGCGTTGTTTTGCAAATTTTTTAGCTGGGTACGCTTTTATTATTTTGCACGACGAAAACGTTTTGCTGAACTGTCATGGAACAAGTAGAGCTTATCAGTGTTTATTATTTTACAAGATTACGTATGGTCTGATAATGTGATAAAGTAGTGATTCATGGATGTTTTTTGTGTGTGGTGAACGAAGGCATTCATCGCACTCTCGTCGCCATTCACTTAAATTATTGTAACGATAGCAGGATTTTGATTACTTTGCAGCTTGTTTGATATTCGTTTATACTGAACTTGCGATTTTTCTCAATCGCATTTCTTGAAAACTGCTTATCTCTGCAACATTATTTTTTGGTTGAAGAATTCTGATTTGGAGCGCTCGCTGGAATCATCATTGAACGGTATGTCGATCACGTCAGCCAGATTTCAACCACCGAAATCCGGAGATTCATCCGCTGGTGCCAGTCCAGTTTTCATAAAACGTCCGACTCTGACAAAAAGCTCCAATGATCGTGAGATTGAACACACCGATACTGGTGCTGTGGATTCAGCTGACGAGAACCGCGTGATGGAATTGTTGGAAGAGCTGAACGCGGAACACCGTCTTATTCAGGCAGAACTGCGACAGCTTATTGAAATGCCAGTCGATCGACGGACGGATGCACATCAAGCCCGAGAAGAGCAGTTGTTGAAAGATCTGGTGGAAAATGTTAAACGCCGAGAAGAGCTGGAATACGAAGAGGACGATGAAGATCCAGGTCAAACATTGACCAACAAACCAACAAAGAAAATGAAAAAGAAACGCAAGTTCAAAATTAAGAAGCTTCTTGGTGTGGGCACAAAATAACTCCGTGAATGTGTACGTAAAGAGTTTGTGATGGTCAAAAAGGAGGGTTTCTCCAGTTTTTTGCTTTTATAAGTTGATATTCAACTCTTGACGACAAACTACGTTTTCAACGTTTTAATATGCTGTATACATGATTTTAATCTCTTATGTTAAATGAACGTCAGAAGCGAGAAGAAATCTCTTGAATTTTTTTATTGAGTAGCGACTTCTAATTAGTGAGAAAAAATAAATGGGAAAACTGTAGACATCTCTGTCCAAGCAGTCGTGTGCTCGTGTTAAAGCGAAATTAGAGCACGCTAATGGCGACCATCGACATACTGTACGTAGAACGTAGAAGACTAGAAACATACGGTGCTGTAATGTTCATTTTGCTGGCCGTGTTACAGTACTTTAACTTTTGTAAATGTTTAAATTATTAGAACATAATGAATTTTCTTTTAATTTCGCCACATAACACTTCGAGTGGTGCAAAATCAAATCGAGCGAAACGGTTTACGTAATGACCAAACGACTGGACATTTGCACAACAAAGCGCACAAAGGCTGGATGTTTTGGCAACGCCCACTGTTTGTCCGTTCATACGATTCAAAGCGCATCGGTTGTTTACTGCGCTGTACGACGTACCCACATGTTCGTGCTAGTGTTTCAGTCACGGCTGCATGACTGGTTTGCGTGCAACAAAAATGATAAAAAGTTGATAAGACGAACTTGTAGTAATTCAACAATTCACCTGAGTATTCTACGTTCTGTTTTCTCAGTTTTATTTCTCGCTTCGACAACAATACCTCATCGAGCTTGGATGCGCCTTCAAGACAGACTGCACAGCGCACATGTCTAGTGTTTTCAGTTTGTGGGTCTGCCAGAACTTACAAGTGAGTGCATGCTTACGAGCCCGATCTTTGGACTTCCTAAACGTAGTCTTATCGCGAAACTTCCCTGAACTTTATTTGGAAGCCCATCACTGTATTCTGCTTCATCATTTGGCTATGCTTAATTTATGATTCCGTCTAATTATCTCGGATGACGACAGAGATCGCGTGATAAAGTCAGTGATTTTGAGTTTTGACCAATTCCGCAGGGTACGATTTCGCTTGCCATTCATTAGCGAGCTGATTTGCCAATCTTGCCTGACCTTGTGCGAAAGTCCCAAGTGTCTTTAGTCGACTAAAATTGATCTGATGACTGGCTGGTTTAATGAAAAATGCATTCAGCGTATTATTCTGTGAAAAAATGGTTCTATCAGCCGAAGGTAGGAATTCCTCTCTGTTCGCATCTCCAAGGAGGATTCTTAGAGATTTTCATGGGCTTTTTATTGCAGACGAGCGATGACTCGCTCCTGTCCAAGTTTTATGCTGCCGACCAAGAGCTGAACTCGGTGGCCAGTGAATTGGATAGTTTTGATGGACGAAAGGAGCCGGAACGCTGTACAGCGTTGGTAGCGAAGCTGCGGAGTTATCAGGATAAAGTGCTGCAGTTGCTGGAGAGCGTCGTTTCCCATGCTGTACCACCGCATCTGCGCGCTCCCCGGGATTATCGCGTCAAATTCCCTGATGATGTGGTTCACGAAAGTCTGTCTGGACAGTTATGGTTTGGTGCTGAGGTAAGTCAGTACTCGAATTGAGGATTGCTAAGATTTCCCAGTACTGTTCAATATACGGTATTGTATAACCAAGGAGTGGATCGAAATTCGAATAAGTGGTAGTCAATTTTTTTTATAAATCTTGCTCATGAGTGAATGGCTGTAAATCTTAGAACTAGAGCACGGTTCACACTTATGGCAAGCCTTCCATGGAAATTTGTGGCTGGTGTTTGAATCTGAGTTTATGGGTAGTTTTTTTTAACCTTGCAGTTTTTCGAGATTATGTCTAAGATTTTTTCACCGATAGAGTTATTATTTATCTGCCAAAATCTGTGGTGTACCGATAGTTTTTCTCTTGTTCGAAACTTTGGTAGGCGATTCTTCCTTGAGAAGTTAATATTGTTTATCCATAGAGTTTCCTTGTTTTAACTAGATTTATGCTAACTCAAACGGTTTACCCGCGTCTTTGTTCGAGTGAGCATTCCTTTCCTGTCGATGTTGCACTTTCCTTGTCAACCTTGGACCAATTTAGCGCAGTAGAGTAGTTGCATGGCCGACGCTTTTTGATGAATGTTAAAACATATAGTGTTTGTAACATTGTGCAAATAGACGACACTATTTGCTACCGGGTGCTTGATGTTTTTGGCACTGATTTCGCATTCACGTTAGAAAATACACAGGAAGCGCTCTCAAATTATTCCACTGATGGTGCTTAATCGGCATTTTTTTTCTCTTTAGTGCCTTTCCGCCGGCTCCAACATCCTCAACCGGGAAATCGAAAGCGCCGCCATGCGGCCACTGGCGCGAGCGGTTACCCGACAACTGGATGCCTTACGTGTGGCCCTGCGTGAACAATGCTTACGTGATCCGTGCAACTACACCGAGAGGATTATCGACATGCTACGTGTCTTCGATCATATGTTTGCGGAATTTGAGCTTAGGTAAGAGGGGGCCATTGTTGTCGACGGGGGTCGCACGCTGGCAGATTTATAAAAACGGCTTGGACTGTGATAATCGTTTAGGGCCCTGCTAACTTTGTTTTAATGTTATAAACCTGGATTGACTGGTTTATCGGTGAATTGGCTGGGGTAATTAAAGAAAGCACTGCCCGTGGCTAATTTGTAATTTCGTTAGAAACGGCGGATCACGCTTGCTCATGATCGGACGATCCTTCCACTATTGCTGCGCTTTTGTGGTTCGAACATTAATTGTATGTTTCGCTAGTGCAAATCATTGTGAGTTTTGAAAATGTGAAGACGTTCGAAATGCATAGGTTGAGACAGTTAATGGAGCATCAGAATGCAAATGGGTGTTGTACGTAGGCGTTCGCATACTAATGTTGCGTCGAATTTTAGCATGGCTGTTCGCGTTTTGATCACGACTGCTGATGATATAAAGTAGGAATTACTATGAATAGCTACTTTAGATTTTCGGTGTTGTACGATTTGTTTGCAAAGAAAAAACATTAATAAACTCTTTACGAGCGTTAAAACCAACAGAACTTTGCTTATTAAAATTAAACGTTAAGAATGTGTACGTTTGGTGCAGCTTATTATTAGGTAAATCAGCTGATAAATTGATACCGAATGAATATCGTTTTTCCATGAAGAAATTCTACGACATCCGCGTGTGTGGATGCGGTAGATTGAATGAATTTATTACTGCATAAAAACGCTTATCTTTTGCATGCCGGTTGTGCTGCGCGATATATTATAACAACGGTAATTCTGTAGGTAAAAATTCACGTTGCCACAATTTTGCACTGTGTGAATACAGTGATGTCGCATTGTGACAAAAAAGTTTAAAGTTAAAATTATAGAATGAAATATGAATTATGAGTATCAAGAATAATTTAGGGGTTAGCATAAATTTGTCACATGTAACATTGGTTTTTTATAGTTACGTCAGTGCGATGGTTCCTGTGAAAAGTGCTAAAGAATACGCCTTGCATCAAGATATTATCGTTCTCTTTTCGGAAACCGCTTTACGGTAAGAGTACATTGGCTGGTCGAGGAACTGGTGCAGATGTGAGACGATGCATTAACCTTCGGTGCTTATCTTTACATCGTGACTGTTGTTGTATGCAGCGCCATTCGCTTGAAATTCATCAGCGTGGATATGATCGAGAGCTGTGATCCGGCTCTCATGTTTACCATTCCACGTCTGGCTATTGTTGCCGGTCTTTTGATTTACCCAGATGGTCCGCTAAAAATCGATCAAGAACCTCTTCAAGTGCCTGAAATGTTTCGACATTTTTTGCGGTTACTCTCGAGAATCAAGTAAGAGTTTTGCCAGTTGGTGGACCAAGAGTTTGTGGGTCGTACGCGTATCGTTGGTTGCTGACCGGCTGTATACTTTGTTTGCACGGGTCTTCTGAAATTGTGTTTTACTTTCGATGAAATTACGAAAGAGCTGGTCTGGTCTCATTCTTCAAATTTTAAAATTTACGCTATAAATTTCCAACCAGTTTATTTTTCATAAAGAAAATAACTGGTAAATGCAGAATACTAATAACTGAAGTTTGAAGTGAATCAAATTTATGTTTTTGTGTATTGAATGTTTAACTTTTTCACCGCATGTTCGTTTTGCCAGGGAGCTTTTGGTTACCCTAAACCGTACCGAACTCTACACGCTGGAGAAGTGCCTTTGCCGCGCGGAAGAGCCATCGACGATAATGAAAGAATCTCCAGAGGATGAATGTGATATTCAGGACTATGATATTCCTGTGATGCATGATTATGTAGAGAAATTATGCCGCTCCTTGCCATCTTTAGCCAAGGGTTCATCTGTGCCGACTTTCACATTGCCCGATACCGCGCGCACTTCGCGACTTGAAGAACCGTAAGTCGATGTCGGATTTCATGGCTGATTGGGATCCTTGCGGAAAAATGTTGTGCCGTTTGTTATAGAAGCGCCAATCTGAATGACGAGGAGTTGGCACTCATGTTGCAACAGATGGAAATGGCAGCGCATTACGAAATGCGTACAAAATTCCGTAGCAGTGCGGATCTGATTCAGCGACTCTATGTTTGCATATCGGGTATGGTGTTGGTGTTGTTGCGAAAAGTATGCAGTTGCGGTAATTTGATAAAGTTTACGCAGTCTGAAAGAATTTGAATGCCTATTGTTACTATTATTGTAACAAGTTAATGAACAAACCTCCACCGTCTAGGCATCCGCCATCGATGCCTCAGTAATAACTTTTCTAGAAATAATTCCAGTGATATTTGGAAATACTGATGAGAAAAAAGTTGTTAAAATTACTGTTGTTTATGTTTGTGGTTTTTTGTGTGCGTTTGGTTTATGTGGCATTTTATATATTTTTATGGCATTTACATATTATTATGGAAAACGTTAGCTTATCCCATTTGCAGGTGTGGCGGACCAGTTGCACCAGAATTACGCAAGTGATTTACGTTCCATATTGAAATGTGTATTCGATATGCACTCTGGAGATGTACCGGAACCTCCACCGGCAAAAGAACAGCCGGCAAGCTCATCTGATCATTCAGCCTCGCATTACCGACAGAATTTACTGGTCTCCAACGCGGATGCTAGTCGACCAGGAAATGCAAAAGGTAAGTGATCGGTGCAATATTGTTGTTCGTTTATGTGTGGATGTGCTAAATGGGATATTAATAGAACCTCCATCGTGGGTGCCTGACAGGGAATCGGCCACTTGTACAGCCTGTGATTCGCCTTTTACGTTGGTCCGTCGCCGGCATCACTGCCGCAACTGCGGCAAGGTAACGACAACGCATTAATTTTCTAATCGATCTTCGCTCCTATAGCTAGCTCGGTTGGTTACGGAATTGTAGTTATTTGTTTTATACAGAGCATATTTTTGAATCTTTTTAGGTATTTTATTTAGTTTTGTGTTCATATAATTTTTTTGTTAAGTAACGCGATTAGATTATGGTGGTAGTAATAGCTTGACTGTTGCTAACAATAATTCATTTGGTTTAATAGTGTGCGGTGATGCAGTATCGTTTTCCCAATGTGAATTTTTTTTTAAATTACTCGGTGATTGCAGATATTTTGTAATCAGTGCAGCTCAAATACCGTCCCACTTCCTCATTACGGAATTAATAGTCCAGTCCGTGTTTGCAACCATTGCATGTTGTTCTGCCTGACGCCGTATCCCGGGGATCGGGAAGTTGGTCACACATCGCCGGCATCAACGTCAGCTGTCGCCGCCCCTACCGGGGGTGGTAATGTCGGGATAGTCGTTGGCGGCGCTGATAATTCTCCTGCCTCTACCGGATGAATAATAACAATCCGATACATGTTTGATCCGTTCGTTTTGTTCTGATGCAGGTTTTAATTTTTTACTTTTCCTTTAACAATTCTTCATTTTGCACATTTGATTTTTCGGATTAAAAGCAATATTTCTGTCGGTATTATTTTAGCAGGGACTGGTGTGACATTCCGAATGTGAATAAAGTTCGTATATCCTGCGTTTATATGAGCAAAAGATCCATATATAATTATCAGAACATTCAGTATTAATAACCGGGAAGAAGAAGAGTCCGGCCTCAAGATGGTACTTTAAACTAAATTTATCATGAAAATGTTAGAAAGATCTGCAAGCGCTTTTAAAAAAACAAGAAATGTGAATTATACTTCAGGGTTCTCACATGTGCAAAGTGCGGTATCTGACAGCTGAAGGAGAATCTCAGACGAACGCGAATTTATGTAAACTGTGAGCGCTCGTTAATTCGAAACACCTATCATACTTCTATAGGGTAGAGAAGGGTCTACTTGCTTCAGTTACTTGTAAGATTGTAGCTGATTTATTTCTGTTAGAAATTATGGGCGCAATAGAATTCACAGGCGTGCAAAGGCTGATAAATAAGCCAGTAATGCAGTCGACCAGATAAAATTTGAAAGATAACCGCCAAACATTTTTGAACCGCTGTTGCATCCATCTTCTTCGCAAAGACATAAACTTCCATCATAGAAAAAATTGCTGTACAGACTACTGTTCTGGTTCAGTACATGAAGCGTTCGGCAGCCCGGCTCCACATCGTAAAGTCCATAAATCTCCACATCCGCTTCCCGCTGACACGCTCGATGTAGTCCTGTACAGTTTACAACTTTACATACTGTATAATAGTCTGTATTTACCTGCGTTTTCGAATTTACCGGCTCATTTTTACGTTGGCTCATTTATACTCTCTATTTCTAAAAAAGTAACAATACCGAATATCGTAGGACAAACTGCGCAACGTTGAATTGAAGTTTTGCGAAACCATCCTGTATTTTACGAATATTATTTCACTACCTGTAGAGATTGTCACTTTGTCGGTGTCCCGTGCTACTGATTTCCTGGTCCCGTTAAAGGTCAAGCAATACCTGCTATCGGCCCAAAATTCAGAACAGTCGACTAATCGATATTCCGATTCGTATTCGCAAGTATCTGCGGCAGTGTAATCGCAGATATAACAAGAAATTGCTCCAGCTAGAACCAAATTGTAATGGTTATAATGTTATTAGTTAATAAATTTGCAAGTGAGAAGTATGTGGCATGCAATTCATAGTATAATGTACCAGTACTTTCTGATACGGTGCTAGACTTTAATTTATACATGGCCTGGCCATGGCTCAGCGAAACTGGAACAGCATACCATAAAATACGCTTAAAATTCTCAGACTTTACAGGTGCAGGAAGTACAAGCCCTTACTGTTAGTATCTTTGTGTTCATAATCTTGCAATCACTTACCTGATCTGGTAGCATATAATAAGACTGTCGTAATCTGGAAGAGAATCACCAAAGCCATTTTTAAGATGGTTGTTAGAATTTCAGAAGGCGCTCATAAAAATACAGAACTTGTTGTCCGCTTCCATGACAGCACATTTACTTACCGTCTGTTTTATTTGCGAAAGCCTCTGGATCTGTGTAAGTTGTAACCGGTGGGCTACTTCATGGCAAGCGTTTGCGGCAAATTCAGCCGCACGAAATAATATTTGCTTGTTTGCATGATCTGTCGAACTAGCTTAAGCTGTTCATGTGCTGGCCAATGGATTATTTTTCATGTGTCAATATTTTACCTTGACAGAGAGTAGTGTATGATCTTTTTAAGCCTGTATACGGCATCTGTCTGGTGGGAAATAGTTTTGCTAGGTGTCATAAAAAACATCAATGTCAGGGACGAAATGTATTCGTCATTCCTTTAATTACTGCTGGTACACTACCGGCAGTTTTCCGGTACCGAGCCTAACGACATTCATGTTTGCGAAATCCAACCAAAATTGTCAACAAGCGCAAATAATAAACTGTATTCCAAACGAACATTTATATTAACCTCTTTCGCTAGAAAAATGAGCAACGACATAAAATTTCTAAAACTTCATTATCCAAACTTAATTCCACCTCCATTGCGCCAATGTCCTTAACAAAGCATCACCTCATCGCATTTTCTTAATACTTTCCAGAAAATCGTAATATGACTCCAGAATCGATATATCAGCATTAGCCATCAATGGCTGGATATGTTGTCCCGAAAATTTGATGAAGTCCTGTCGGTTTTCTTTCACATGTGCCATCAAATCGCCATTTTCTTGGACCAATACGTTAATCGTCTCTGCCGTTAAATCACTCTGCGTGTATAAAAACTTGACAAAGGAAGCTACGACTTCCCAACTCGCAATTCCATGTTCAGCCGCCAATTTTAGAGCATTCTTGACCGCGACCGGGTCCTTACTGGCAGCGGAGCGCAAAATAGACTTCGTACGATACTCCGAATCGCTGCGGAACTTTACTTCATCTACTCCTTTCAAAGTCACGGCTACATTCGCACTAGCACTGCTGGACTTGGAGGCAGACTGTATAGCTGCTGAACCTCTGGTCCTCCTCATTTCCTTGCACGCCGATTTCGTCTGTGGTGTGGACGGCTGTAATTTAGACAAATACTTCCGGTAACCGGCTTGCAGTTCCATGACATATTCCAAATTTTTGTCAGCACTGGGAGCTAAAACACAATGCAAATTAGTTTTTTTAGTCAGCTAGCTACAAAACACACAGAAATCAACAAACCTCTTTACAATTTTCAGGAACTTACATGATTTTATTACATCATTCAAATGCGTTTGCAACAGTGTCCGAATACCGACATCGGAAAACGACAACTGTGATTCCAACGCGTAGAAATAAGCAGCGAGATGCGTCACAGAAGCTGTTTCTGGAACCATATCGAAAAATTCTTCCGCGCCGGTTTTTCTTCTCAAGAATCCCAACAGTTGCAGACTCAGCGAAACATCAAACTTTACAACTTCCATTACCAAGCTGATAATAAAATGATTCACCTCAACAATTTCATCGTTCATCAAATTTTCTTGAGTCAAATAATCGATCGATGTCGATAGCCCTTTTAGCTTTACGAACATTTCCTCCACCGATGTAGACTTCATTTCCATTCCGGAATCTATCCAACAGGGATCAATCGGTAGCTTCGCAATTGGATCGATCCAATCAAGCGGCACATCCGATGGATTAAATTCTGCAAGTCCAGACTTTAATTTCATCATTTCAAACTGATTTTTCTTTTCCATAACTTCGGACAACCTGTCAGCCGGGCAAGATGCAACAGCAAAAATAAAAAGATCTTTTTTGAAATCTGTATCGGGAAATTCATCAACAGTGGCCAGCTTCAAGCAGATTTCCCAAGAGCTTTCTCGTTTTTCGTCCATCAGTCTTTCGCACAAATCTCGGCAAAAGGCGTACTCGTTCCGGTCAAAAGCTTTTCCAGCAACCATTTCAACTATCCTGGCTTTTTCTTTAATTTCCAGAGCATCGGTTAGTTCCATTACCCGGTCAACATACTTGTAGATAGTATTGTTCACATTCAGTACTTGCTGGACAAAACGAAACCGATCGGGATTGGTTCGTAGATCTAGCGGCTCGGCATCGACACCGCACATATGCAGTAAATCCAAGGCAGCGATTAACTTCAGTTCCCGCCTGGCGTCTTCGGACACTTCCTGGATGAGTTCAAAACAGCGTCGCGCATGCTGCAGACGAGGATCTTTCCAGTTGTCAGAATTGTTGAAATATTCTTTGCCAACCGTTACAAGCAGTGCTATACTTTTAACTTGGCTCAGATGTTCCGAGACAACCCATGTCTCAGAGTCTATGGATTTTAATGGCATAGCTGCTGGTGCGCTGGGAAGGGTCAAAAATTTTGTACCCAATTTAATACACGGAACTTTTCCGGATCTCAATAACGCTCCGGCGAATAGCTGTAATAAAATAATTACAGCAGATAAGCATAAAGAGCATTCTGAATGAACGTAAATTTTCACCTTAACACAGTTAAAACAAGAAAACCGTTATGCACTTTCGCAAAAGCAGCTATCGTTAGAAAACCCAGCAAGCATTTCACGTACTTCGATGATCATATCCTTTTTTCCCATAGGAAACAACCGTGTACAAATTCTTGAGTACTGCGAAAAAATGTTCCGCCATTCATTTTCACTGAAACCGGGCGACTTCTGAGTAGTGACTTTCAAAAAATGCGAGAGAAAGTCCAAAAGCATCGCTTCGTTGTGCTTAATTTCTCGGAGACTGCGCACTCCTAGCTGAATACCGAACTGGCTGAAAAACTCGATGCAGCTGCAAAACAGGAGGATTCAATACAGTGCTGTCAGAAGCACGTACGTATGTGCATTGACATACCTGTCACTTAATAACAGTCAAAACGAATAAGATACTGCCATTTCTAAACATACGAGTACTCACCGAATAAATTCCTCCAGTTCCGATGCTTGTTCAAATGCAGGATCTATCGCATCTCCTTTACCGCCCTGTTCGACCTGACTGGGCAAGCATTCCAATATGGCTTTCATTTGTTCCAGTTGGTCCAGGCGCGAATTTGCATAAATACAGTCGACTGCTAACTGAACACACGCAGTTGCCGATGAAATGATAGGATCGGGCATCTGTAGGGCATTTGAAAAAATATTAAAATTCACATGGTATCACGAAAAATTAAGAAACTGCATCGTGGGAGAATGGACAACATCATACGAGTTATTCAAGCTTCAGAACTATAACTGCTCGCCAATGGAAACTTGCATTTGGTAGCGACTGCTGAAAAATTTTCAGGCATTTGTCCAAAGTATTCGGAGCCGATGAAATCTCGACCAAATAATCCCGCAGAAGGCGTAGAGGATCGCCTGACCGCTTCAGTTCACATCGTTTCAAAAATGGCAGGATGTGCAATCGTAACACAGATGGAAAAGAAACCAATTCACACTGTAACGGCAATGACAGCTGTATAACTTCAAATACTGTATGTTTTTAATTTTTACTATTTAGGTCTCCACTTACTGTTCTAACCATACTTACTTTATCAAACAGCCGCAAAACTTGTTCATCGGACAAGATTTTCAGTTTTTCAAAGGTCATATCGTGCAGCTGAGCGCCGTACACTAGCGAAATCAAAGTTTCGAAATCGTTGCGAAGCGTGGCAAAATCCTAAAGAGAATTAACTTCAAATGCACCGGATGATAGTCGCCATCAAAATAACACTTCAACACGCACCTGAAGTCCTTTTGCCGTAGCGATTTTAATCATCTGTTGGGAATTCTCAACCAGACCGGTCCGCGATTCGATCTCCAAGGTCCGAGTACGCAGCCACTCCCCAAGTTGTTGTGGTGTGAAATCTCCTTTATACAGCAAAGCTCCATGCATTCTGCTGAGATTCTCGTTATACTCCAAGGTTCCCTGATCATTAACGGAACTGAATGGCTCTTGTTCGCTCCAATCCGGCGGCCGACGATTTTTATCCGGAAGATTTAAAATTTCGCCGCTTCTGTAAGCAAAAACTGAACTTCAAAAAGTTAACGGTTTTTTGCTAGATATAAGGATATAAAAGGAACACATTAACTCACAATGTCGATGGAATAAGAAACTGGTATTTCTCTGGCGAAAACGTTTCCGGAAAATTCGACAGAATATCCAACCAGAAAGGTAACAACTCATCAGACCGCAGAAATCGCAACGTATGCAGTTCTTCGGGTTTACAGTTTTGTGCATAGTGCAACGCCAATTCCAGAAAGGAACCTCTCCTGATTTCTTTGTATTCCGTCGCTAAGAAATACCGCAAAGCTTTCTCGCCACCACCCAGGATCTCTTCGTACACTGTTAGCATGTCAATATAACGCAACAGCTGACGTCGGTGACCAATCATGGAAATCTGTTCCGGATGAAGCCTACAACGGAACAGAATGTTAGCTGTGATTTACGTATCAATTTTAATACGCAAGAAAAATGGTAGACCACAATAATATAATGTGAATCAGGGATAAGAATTTACTTCGAAATGTCGACTTTTTCCGGCGAACAATCAATGTCGTAATTCACCCTCGCTTTTGCCGAGCGAGATTTCTTCAAAACCGGCGCGGCTGCTGACACAATTTCTGGACAGCATTCAGGGTGCAGCGCAAGGATGTTGGACAAACTAGTCAGCCGCAGTCCAACATTCAACAAGTCCCGCACGACATCTGGATCAGATGGTACACGATCCAGGCATTCTCGCAATACCCAGAAAGGGTTTGAAATTTTCACCTAATTACGATAAAACAGGAACCTGAATAGAACCACTGAAGATTGAGCAATATTATTAGTTTCAAGCATTAAACGAGAAACAGTCCTAATCGGAATTACAATAACTGTAAGTTGCGAACTAGCAGTTTTTGTTCTGTACCAAGTAATCCGAAATGGCCTCCTTCGTAACAGGGCTTTTTAACCACCGCTTCTGATAGACCAAATTAGAATCCAGTCCAAACCGCTGCGCGATAACCAGTGCTTCCTCTGCACAAAATTACAGAACAGATTTATAGCCATATATATCTTAGATAATCACAGAATCGATGGAAATTTTGAGTTCACCATATTCCTCATTCCCAAGTTTTCTGTTGAACATTTCAAGAGGAGAAGCCGTCTGGAAGCAATTCAAGCGGTAAGCGGAGACAGTCTTCTTTGGCTTTGTGATAGGCACAGGCTCTTCGAACCCCAGAGAGGCTAAGGTTTCTGATAAAATCGACCGCATATCTTCTGAATCATCACTGAGATCGGAGGTATTAAGTACAGATATTTCTCCATCCAAACTATCAGATCCATCCCACGGTTTCCCACTGCTTTCCTCCTAAAAACAGGACAACATAAAGGATCTATCTACAACAGTATTTTATTCAATCGAAATGCTAAATAAAATTTAATAAACACGGGCTGAAAAAAGCTGATGCAGGTGTGTGTCCAAACTTTCGCATGTCCAGCCACATTTCGAAATAATTTGCAACGGACCAAAGGTAGGCGACTCACCTCTAGAACAAGAAAAGTGTCTGAAAAGCTGCATGAAATTTTACAACCAGGACGAAACCGTTCAAATGATCCATGAGTAATGTTGAATAATTCTCGTCCAGTTATATCTTGCAACGATACGGCTCCGTTCGCTTGGCACAGAATGATCACACTATCAGACCACCATTCGACATCCGTAGGAAAGGATGACAAGTCCTTGATCAGAGAAAAACTTTCCTTTTTCAATCTCAGTTTTGTATTGGACGATGGAGCGGTATATTTTGGCATGTCCTCAGCCATCCATAATCTTCGCAAGCGCAAACTGGGGAATGCCCAGACTGCTACGCATCCAGAAGCAAAAAGGGTGACCAGAGCATCCTCTGATTGATTCAATGCCATTTTTATAACACCATCTCGAGCTCGCACAAATTTGGAATATAAAACTGCTGAATTCCGCGCCTGTTAACGTAAAATAATCATATACACAGGTAACACAGCCACTGAAAAAAGACGATGAGAAATAATTCGCAACTCAATCGTACCCTCTTAAGCACAACCTTAACTTACCGCGGTTGGAAAGCGTAACAAATAACACTTTGTCACTTAATTTTTTTTAAAAATTGCTAACCCCTTACATTTTTAGTACAATACACAGCCTTGTACCAACAAAAATCCATGGATAACTATACTAATTCGTCGAACGTTTAGAAAACGTCACGTGTGCACCTGGGATGTATCGGTTTTAGGAGCGGGAACCAGGAATGGAACCTCGTTGACCATACGCCAAAGCACAAGGCCAGCTTTCCATGATACATCCAGATCTTCGTCAACTGCCTGGTTAATGCTGGAGGCGGTAACTACGAGATCACTTTTCCTTGCGTACGCTGCCGCACAAATGCATTTGGATAAAAACGTTTTTCGCGATCTTGTCTTTATTGTGGATCGTTCGCAAATCTTTCCATCATGACTGCAAATAAAAACAGGTCTCAGCAAGATAAGCACAATATAAAACTATTCGAAAATGCGAGGATAACCAACCTAATTCCATACAGTCGCATCGAGCCGTTTAGCAGCGTCAGCACCAATCCATGCGCACTAACACATGTAAATTTGCGTATTTGATAAAGGATTTTATTCAGGCACGGAAGTTTTTGAAACGCTTACTCTTCCGAAGTAAATGGATTTGTCCATAAGATTTCCGAGACGATGCGCAGTCTTATCAGTTGTCCAGCGATGGCCCACTGTTGTAAATTTTAAGTTCTTCATACTGAAGCTGCTTATCCAACGGTGAAAGATCTACGGAGAAATTCTGCGGAGAACTTACTGGCTTCGAAGCAAATTGTTGACAAGATTTCCCGCTGCTGCGGTCAAATATCGTCAACTTCCCATCTGACTGAACCAGGGCCACGAACTTTCCATCTGGGCTCCAGGCAATTTTGCGTAAATATGGATACGAATCGCCGCTAACTAAAAAAGTTAATTTATAAAACGAGAGTGAAGTGAATTCAACAAAATTCAACTTTTTTTCGCAAAAAAAACATCGGAAAAATTAAGTAACCCAACCGTCAGATAAATCGTACTCTTTACAAAAATTATTCCAAAGATAGTGGATTTCTTAAAATGTACATTTAAACTTCAATCGAATGCAAAATTTATCAGTGTAGCATACTGCGAATTTCTTCCACGGCTTTGACGAATTCATCACTGAATCGACGGACTTCCAGGTTTGTAGATTTAACAATGGCAGCGTAAGTGGGATTGTCTGGTTTGTCGCTGTGTTCCGAACTACAATTACATGCAAGTAAATGAGACCCGTCCCGCAACAATCGTCAAATGTCAGCGCTGACCGAACAACGGCGATTTTCCAAGGAATCTGTGCACGCCATAAATGCATAAAATTTTCCGGAACAGAATACCGCCCAACAAATTCCCATAACCACCACGAAATCCACGATAAGAACCACAACAACGGCCCTAAATGCAAACAGCCGATGCTTTTTAATATTTATCAAACCAGCTCAGAACTCTAAACATGTCGCAGATCATACAAACGGTATCGAGTTTTGAATATCTCATAGTTAAAGTAATATATTAAATGTTATAGCAATAACTTACGAAGTAAAACTACACTCCAGCCATTGGGTTTCTCCGATTTTTCGGCATCCTTGGACGCATCACTGTCTGCTGCCTGCAAAAAGAAAGCAACGTGTTAAACATCGAAACATCAGATCTACAGATGGCAAAGCGTAAACTCTGAAGGGAGCTTTGAGGAACTCACAACTATTAACCAATTTCTGCGTCTGAAACTTACCCGAGCTTCAGAATTTTATATTCTTTAAAATCAACAATTTCAGCAGCGATTAATCAGTCTGCCTAGAAGATCTGTTGGCATCCTTACCTGGAGATGGCTTGGCCACTCTGCTGAAACAACTACTTCATACAATATTCCATTCTGCTCTTGATACTCCATGGAGAGCCGCTTAAAACCCTATCATAACTCCGTAATTGTTACAAATAGTCAAATGTTCTAAAACGAGAATTTTTGATTGTTACTGATTTTTATTTATGACCAATCTGGAACCGCAAAACGTCAACAAACACAGAAACAGCACCGCCACCCGCAATGCGGATGCAAGCTATTGTAACATTTCCGAATAAAATACTGTACTGTGATCTTGATTAACGATAAATTATCTTGGGTTTAATAAGCAAAAACCAATATAATCTGGTGCTTCGATTTATTTTTGAGTGCAGTGCACAGCACACATCTGCATTAAAAAACACAATCGTTAAAAACTTTGGGGCAATTTTCGGAAGCTGTTGCGAACACAGTCACCGGATCTGCCATGTCCCTTAATTCTTGTCAGCTATCGGTGTTAGGTATACTTGAACTCTTGAAGTATCGATGGGTATCGATGTTGGCTAATAATTATACCGGTAGCAAAACTGTGTTAATCCGTGATAACACGCTGGTGGTAGCATCTGTAGCATCCTTCAGTCGCGCAAACTTTAATCAATTTAGCACAATAAACGGCGGTAATTACTTAAAAGCAGCCAAAACTGACTAGTTAACGGCACCACAGCATCAGTTTCATCGCCCGCACGGTATCACATTAATAATAGTATAAACAAACGGTTGAAAAACACCTCGCCCAGCAGGCTAAAGAGAATTTACCGAGGAACGAACGCTCTTTTAATTCCAAGCTCTCCGCGCCATATACGGTTGTGGTCCTGGTGCACCTACTCCGGACCCTTCACTATCTGAATTGGCAACCTGGGTCAACTGCAATCCCTGACCAGTACCGAATGCGTTTCCGCTTGACGAACCAAACGCGTTCCCATTAGCACCTAAACAACGGCGAGAATGGTCAGTCTAACGTTCACATTTTACATTGCTGCCGTATAAACTGCATCACAAACCATACTGGAAGCCTGCAATACGATTACCATAACTTTTACCTGTCCGTGAAACCGTGTTGGAATCACCAAGAACGCGTCCTTTTTCAGCTTGCAGGCTGTTAACAAAGTTATTGCTGGAGCTGCCACTTAACGGGGCATTCGGTCCTGCCGGCGCTATTCCGGTGCCGGCCTGACCACTGTTGACCTGAGTGGCAGATAAACCGAGACCTTGACCGGAAATTGTCCCAGAGCCGGTACTTAAAGCTCCCATAGGACCTAAAAACAAAACATCAGCCCACATATTCTTATTCCCCATATGTTTTCCGAGAAGATAATTCCTAATTATAATGAATTCTGCATATTACTGCCTCCCGTAAGTTTATTCCACAGTGTTTATTGGTTACTTTTGCGAAATAAAGCGGTTAATGTGGATACCAGTATTAGTGTTCGTCTTTCCGGATGCGCTCAGTTGACCCTTATCAGCACTTCCTGTGTTAATGAGCGTTCCCGTGGCAGAATTGGTCAGTTTAGGTAAAGCGATCGGAAGCTTGGAGAAATCAACATTTCCGGCGTGGATATAAGGCTGCCGTACATCGTAGCTAAGGAATGCCGGGCCAGCTGTAAATTGTAAAACAGTGAGTCGTAATCCATATAAACGAAAATCTTATGATCCAAATGCTTTCGAAGTCAAGAAACGTTGAAAGACACTAATTACGTATGTAAGTCAGGTGTTCGCATTTATCTAAGTATCTGATAATGTTCATTTAAAAAATAATCCATAAAACTGAAAGTTAAAAAAATAAATTGAAAAATAATCGAAACTGTATTAAACTGCAACTAATCATCGAGAAAATATATCTTACCCTTCCACATATTTTCAGGCATAACAACTTAATAATAAGAAATTCCAAAACTGCAAGATAACCACACGAACTGTGCAAATATTAATCGATACCGTACCATACTGCAGACTAGACGGTTGTGCGTTGTGCTGGACAAAAGCAACGGCGCCACCAGACCCGGAAGGAATCTGCTGCCCTGGACCAGCGCCAGTCGGGTAGCCACTGGATGGGCCAAACGGCGGGTAATCGGCGGGATCCAAATCGTACGGTCCACCTAACGACGGAGGCATCATCATCTGGTCGCCCTGCCATCCGGGATTCTGAGCGAAGGATGCCGATCCAGCCGTCAGAGCGACTCCGGGGCCAGAGGGTTGTTGACCTGTTGCGACTGGTTGACTGGGCTGTGCATCAAATGAATAGACGGGATCGGCGTCGATGTAGATGCTGGATGCATATGGCTGGGATGACTGAGGATCATACAAATACACTGCAAACAAGATGAAATTGCTGTTCAAATTTCCTTGAAAGTTTTTGTAAAAACTTATTAGTTTTAGCAGGTGAAAGCAGGCGCCTCTACTCTCAAGGACCAAGGTTACAGCGAACCACTTTTCGCATGCAAAAAGTGGTATTTTCCTTAAGATCTTATGGTTAACCTTTGCTTGACGCAATAGTACTTATGCCCAAAACCATGCAACTTCATTCCATGCCGTTTTCCATTCCCATTCGGGTTTAAGCTGTCTACTGCTACATGCATCCAGATTGATACAGTTTTAAATTAATTAGTCTTGGACATCACACCCGAAGTGCAGCCGAAGCGCGCAACATATCCAATTCCAGATTTAGAACGTAGTATTGTTTTATTCCTACCTGGCGCGCTCGCACCAAAGTGGACAAAAGATATGATGGCAACGCAGACGATATACCAAAAACTTCTGTGATCCATTTTAATCAAAATCGGCAGTTAAACAATATAATTTTGGATTGTAAAAGGGCCCAGGTTACGGTTACAGTACAACTAATATCCCACAAAGGCACAAAGTTGAACCCCACAAACTGAACTTTCCTTCGTGCATGGCCATAAAAAGAGATTTCTGCGGCCGGAGTCTGTGAATTGTTCTGACTGGTGAGCGGAGATTTTTATCGCTGGTTGATAAAGCAAATACGCACTCCGCATGCAGTCCGCATTATTTGCATCTTGGAAGTGGAAGCAGGAAGAAACAGAGCAAATGATTAATGAGCAAGTATTGAAGTACTACAAGTACGTATGTATTTAATACCGTACAAAACAATCGTACGTACAATGCGAGCGCGAGGCGCAGATGTTGAAGTTTTGTCTACTCGTACTGTGGTACAGTAAGTACTACACTACACAGTACGCTGGCAAGGTCATGTTTTTAAAGTAAGTACTTCGTACTGTTTTTGTACGGCATTCCGTATTAAAAATAAATACATTGTATTAAAATTTAAAGGCGATAACTGTGGATTGTACGATACAACCTAGAAAGCACTGGGCACCGTCTTTTCTTTTAATTTTTTTCACAACTGACAATGAACATTTTAGCATCTTGCGAGCTTCCTTTCGTCATAATAATAGCATATTAACATTCGCGTTCGTAGGCACTAGGCATGACTGACGATTAAGTCTGAAAAATGAGCAATGGTACATGTTCGCGTCCCATGCAGTAATTATTGTGCTGTCCTAACCATGGTAAGTACAGATAGCACGCACTCAAAAATTTAAAAATCCATTTCCATCACAGTCTGATAAAAACCATCTTCCCTTCGATCTACTCCGATAGGACACAAATAAATATCTTTAACAATCTGCTTCCCAAAAACGGCATCTTTAAATCTGATGTAGACACTGGGATCAATACGTCTGCTGTGAGAAAATTGACGCTGGACTGGTCTGGTAATTTTCATGAGCGTCATGTGTGGAATGAAACTATGATTATCCACAATTCTGACAGCGCCTCGCTGCAGTCCACTTCGAACGTTGTCGGCAAACTCCATGAATGTGGCGTTATCTTTTATCTTTGCAAAGAGAACATTCTGATAAAAAGTATCCAGATTGGCAATGTCCAACTCAATCGGCTCCGGAAATGCTTCACGTAATTTTCCGCGCATGTTGCGCAGGACCGACACCGCATGGGTGATATCGGACAAACCATTCAACCGCAGCGTAGCTAGAGTAATGTGCAGGCATTTCACCGGCAAACAGCAGATTTTAAAGTTTGGCTCCATTCCGGCAATATGATCGGAAACTTCTTGGGCTTTAGCCAGGATTTCTGGATCGGTCATTCGGACTGCCACAAAGAAATTCGGACGGTTCACATTTGGATATTTCTTTTCGGTTGATTCCTCCAAGTTGTCATCGAATTCCAGATCGTCATCGCTCAAGTCAGGCTTCTTTTTTTCGGATGCATCACCTGTAAAAACAAGATAATTAACTAGAAGTCTAGAAGATGAACACGTATACATTGTCTAACCGATAGTGTTAACGTTTGTCTGCTTTTTCGATTTTCAAATTTTTTTAGCATCATGAATGACAGATTAGTTATTAAGCAGTTACGAGTACATCAATCTACGGTAAGTGTTTAGTTTATACTAATTTAAAAACCCTTATACATCACTCCCAAATGTTATCGATACAAAGTACACGTACCGTAATTAAATTAGTAACTGCGCACATTGTACAATAAGTACTGTATTATCTATATTTTTATAAATATACTGTATCTAAAATACATGCCGTACCTCCTGCAACGATTGTATCTTCGTTTCCGGCATTATTCACCGCTGTCTCAAATTCCGCGATCATGTCATAAATCGATCCCTTATGGCCGGATGATCCAAAAATCAAGTCCAGTCTTTCATTTTTATCCCACACTTTGACCTGTTTGTACTTAAAATACTGGATACGATGCTGCGGAATGGCCAGTGTGTCGTTGTCAACGGCATTGATCGGCTGATCCCAGCAGAAGGCATTGAATTTTTCTTCCACTAAGCCGGCAAACCGGTCATTGTATCCAACGGTAAAGCATGTTGTATCCAGTTTGTCATCCCATAAAATCCTGGAAATGACATCCTCTGCTGTTCGCAATTTTTTCTTTTCCGGTGTTTCGAGATCTTCTGTGGTGACAGTCGTATTAACAGGTCTGGCGGTTTTGCTTTTTTCGGATTTCGCATTCGTCGAGGGGAGTGGTAACAACTTTTCGGAATTTGTTACAATTTCGGTATTGGACTGGAGAAATTCCTCTGCTTTGTTGGCTAATTTTTTCAACATAGGAGTTCCTTTACACTCATTGGCAACTTCAAGTAACACGGTACGCAGGTTATCGCAAAGGTTGTCCGGCAAGATATTGGAAGCGGAAGTGGAATCGTTACGCTTTACAAATATGTCCGGCAATAAATCTGGGTAGTTGTCTGTTCCAAAAAACGCAGATATTCATTATCTCAAGACCAATTTTATAGCACAAAAGTTTCAACAACTATCCACCAATCTCATGTCACTAACGAGCTCGAGTACTTCTACAGAAATGTTGTACACGGTGTATAATTAATTGATTATCGGACATCTGTGCGAGTACAGAATCTCACGGCTATAAAAACCAAAGAAATGTCGACATACCGTGTAGAAAGAACTGAATCTTCACAGGAAATCCCTTGTTTGGAAGGACAGATACGATGAATTTATAGTCCCCTTGATTCTCCATGACTTTGATTACTGGTTTATTACCGTCCGATGGAGACTGTCGCAGAGCCTCAAATTCGGCTTTCACATCCATTTTGGCAGCAGTTATTAAATTATAAGAAGCTCAGAAATATCTGTACTACCGTAGACAACCAACGATCACAGTACACAACAGATCAGAAAATCTGGACTGACAATGAGATTTGAGATCCTTAATTTAATTTATTGCGCTCGCCTAATACTACCCTAGTTTATCACAGGCTTATACGGTACAGCTCAGATCACAAAAACAGTGAAAATACTGAAATCAGAATGAAAAAATACAGTACCGTAGTAAAATTTACAAAAATAAAGGCAACTCAAAATGCCTTGGTTATATCTATATTATTTATATACCGGCGTTTCTACTTGTAGTTTAAGGGGTGGTTCAGAAATGATATCACCGCTCTGACATCATACGGCACCATATAGTCCACTTGTACTCGTACTACGGTATTGTGCCACGTGCTGTAAGCGTGAAAGGCTGATGGGAGCTGAAAACCGAGATTCTGACGGTGCAATGAATGAAGTCATGGAGTGACTAATAGCTTTCAAACCGATACCGGAAGTCAAGTACAATACACCTGTATGTTGCTACGTGCAATCGCAGAAGTGCCGGTGACCCGCTTTAAAGTACTTAATTAATTTACTTAATACTCTGAAAGTTAATTACCCCGCACGATAAGATTTATTATACAGTACGTTAGTCATTAATTAATAAATCAACCATCGGTCCAGGGTACAGTACGCTGTGCCGCCTGCTGAAGTCCCCGTAAAGTCGTAAACCAATCGTGCAGAAGTTAGCACCACAGTACCACTCACAATAAATTTTGAATACTGCACGAACTTAATTAAATTTTTATTGCGGGAAACGCTGCCTGTGTCACGGGACAGTACCAGAATCGACCAAATTAGACGAAATATTCTGTGGGATTAGGCCGCCTATTTCCGGAGTCGGCTGAGGCTGTATAATCATTCAAGAAACAAAGATACAACAAGTACAGTACAGTACTTTACTTTTACAGAAAACCTCTGACTGCTTCGTACCGCCGATCTTAAAAAAAGTTTTGTTGCAAAAAAATTTTTTATCGGACAGTTTAGCCTAAAAATTTACCTTAGTGCTTTTGTTATCACCAATCACGACTTGGTGTTGGTAGCACATAATTATAGAAGAGGGGCTTCTTATACAAGTAGTATGGTGGTAATGAGCACATATAAAACATTTATTACGGATAATAGCATTGTTTTTATCCAAAACCAAAATCTTGCTAAACTAAGACTATTATGCAATAATCTGCAGAAGAAAAAAGAAATGAATTGTATATGTTAACAAAATAACCAACACTAGTACAATACAGACCGCGATCGTTTGATGCTTGTTTTACAAATTTTGGTGCAGATTTTGAAGAATAAGTACGTATGCATGCCGAGGCCGATGTCGCTACTGAGAGGCGATCGGCTTATAAACTCGTAAAAGTTTCACACTGAATAAAACTATATCGTACTTCTATCTATATAGTATACTAGTAAATACAGATATTTTGTACTTATTTTTCACTGCGTCGCTGAACGGTCATCAGTTGCAACCAGAAAAGTCAGTGAAACACCTTGGAGTGATACTGGATGAACATCTCAGTTGGACTGACCATGTTAAAAAGGTCCAAAAGAGTGTTCGGTACGGTATATCACTGTTAAATCGTGTGAAAATCGGCCTGCCAACATCCCAACGCATTGCGCTTTTCTATGCCTTGTCCAGTCTCATCTGGACTACTGTTCTACAGTGTGGAACGGGGCATCTGTGCGCTTGCGGGAAAAACTGGCCGCCATGCATCGTAGCGGCCTGCGAGCGGCTGCAAACTACTCTGGAATATCCACGGAATTGTTCATGACCAAGCACGGGATCCTTCCTCTGTTCACCAGATGGAGACAAAACGAAGCGATGTGGTTGTACAAAATCAAGCACCCGGAAAAATTCCATGTGCCACAGTACATCAGCGAGATGGTGGAATTTAAAGAGGAAGTGAAACCGTACAATCTTCGGAAAGGGAATCGGACCATAATCAAGGCGAAAGCAAAGAAAAAAGTCGGCGAAACAACCTTGGCTTGGAAGCTAAATAAAATGTGGAAATTTTTCGTGGATTCTAATTCTTCTGATATTTTTAGTGTTCGATCGGTTGATGCGTTTAAACATGCGTTGTGTAGTGTAAATTTTGTTTAAGCGTGCTGGGAATTTTCTCTATGCAGTTGCTGTTTGGCCAGGTTTAAAATCCCATGCTAGTATGTCACCCTAGCCGGAAATGGGCTACCTGCTCCACGAAGAAATAATAATAATAATAATAATAATGTGCAGTGGCTGTGTCAAGTGTCACCAGCCTATGTGTTATGTGTACTAATTGTAAGCTACAGCAGCGGCAAGTCTCAAACCAGGCAGATGTTGGTCTGTTTCTCTCGGTGTTGTTGGCAGTTTCGCGATTATGATATTTTGTTCCTAACTACATAATTTCAAGAGTTGTAAACGGCAACCCGGACACTGGGCTGCAAAGCTGCACGTTTTACCATAAATCGTCACTTTTCACCGTATTTGTTGATAAAAGGACTAGAAAATGTTGATGTTCCATCGCGCACTAAAGCCAGCCTCGACGACAAAGCTTAACCGTGCTGTTTTATGTCTGTCATTCTGTTCACAGTCAGCTGGAAAACAGCTGATCGCAGAAACTCATTATCGCCAGGTTCGTCATCGAAATACAGATGTGAAAGCGAATGTTCGCAATGCAGAAATTGCAAAGAGTGATGCAACGACCAGCGAGGAAGACATCTACCTTAAAACTTACCTGAAATCTCTATCCAGACGAGAGGAATACTGGAAAGACCTGGCGTCTGCACTGGTGTGGGATGAGAAGAAGGACAAAGTTTTAGATGACACAGATTCTCCGTTTGCTAAATGGTATGCGACTTAGCGACTATACGTAACCCGCTAACGCTTGCCATGCAAATTTTTTTTGGGATTTTGTACAAAGTTAAGCGGGTTTGAAACTTACAGTTAAAAGATTACGCTTTGCATATCACTAGACTGGTAATCTTTTCCGCTCAGAGCTTGCTCTTCTGGCAGTGGTCGCTTATTGTTAGTTGCGACACGAACATCGGCAGTACAGTACGTTGTAGTAAAGTACAAGTGCTGCAAATGCCTAACCATGAGAATTTACCGGAAATCATTTCGGTTTTTACAAAATTTTGATTTTTGGTTTGGGCACTCTACTGTACAATTCTCGAAAACGGCCTACTCATTTGTGCTCGCTCTAAATTTTGCAAACATGATAGTAACTGCAAGTTTACTTAAAGTACCACAACATAATGGTTAGGAGACTGGATTGTTACTTTGTTTATGAATGTGAATAAGGTATATACGAGTACGTGTACACAACACAAACGAGTACAAAACCATTGAAATACTTCACATTATTAAATTTTTATCTTGTGTACAAGTAATGTGTGAAGTTGACACTGTGCAGGTTTTCCGGATGGAAAATTAATGTCTGCTATAATGCACTGGATCGGCACTGTGATGAGGGTCGAGGAGGCGAGATCATTCTGCATCACGAAAGTCCGGTAACAAATTCAAGATGTTCCCTGACGTACGACGAAATTTTAAGAGAGGTATACCAATGCGAGCAGTGACGAAAATTACTTAATCTGCTTGAATGATTGTAAAATATGTGTCAACAGTGACGGTACTGTACTTAAAATTAGTAGGATGATTACCTTGCGTCCTGTGCAGGTAAAAGCTTTCGCAGCCCATTTGTCGAATCTCGGAGTCAAAAAGGGCGATCGCGTCATAATTTACATGCCGATGATTCCACAAGCCGTGACGGCGATGTTAGCATGTGCTAGAATCGGTGCAATTCATTCCGTGGTTTTTGGAGGTTTTGCCGCCAAAGAATTGGCCACCAGAATTTCTCATGCCAAGGTAAAAACTTTGTTTTCCAAAGCATGCCATGGAGGGAACTACGATTAGCTTGAAAATTTGCATATCTTAATTTTTCCAAATTTACCACTTATTTGAGTACATATGAAGCATGAAATACTACTACGAAGTCCTGATGCAACGCTAACTAACCCTAACCTTTATTATTGGGTAAAGTTCATTAAAAGCCTCTTACTCCAGACTTTTAGGTTGGGTGCTCAAATACATACATTTTACAGTACAAGTGTACACATAAACATACACAAATAAAGACATCAGTCTGTGTTCAGACTTTTTGTGCTGTTGTAGGCAGTAGCAGTGATCTGCGGGTCCCATGGCATTGAAAGAGGCCGTGAAGTGGACTACAAGAAGATTGTTGACGATGCCATTGATACAGCAACTAACAAGCCAAAGCACGTTGTCGTGTTCCAGCGTCCGGAAATGGTGTGTATCTATATTGGACAGTTTTTATCCACAGTCGTAAGAATCTTCAGTGCAGTTCTCTTCAGTCTCGCAGTTCGTGGACCAGCGGTCGTGATTCCGATTGGCATGAAGCAGTTGCGGCGGGGAAGAGTGTTGACTGCGTGCCGATCGACGCCATGGATCCGCTGTACATTCTCTATACAAGTGGCACAACAGGAACACCTAAGGTAAGGTGTGAATTCTGGGGCACAGATTAGTATCGTAGCTTCTGCGGAATGTGGTACTGTTGTTAGACATTGTTTCTTTTTTTGGCCAGTTTCACAGTATCTTTCAAAGCTTATAATTATTGTAAGCATGCAGTCAGCAAACCCGGCCCGTCGGTAAAAAAAATAAAAAATGGTTACTCACGGAGTTTTCTTAGCGATTTTGGTGATTTAGGCCGTGGTACGTCCAGCAGGAGGCTACGCGGTAGCACTAAATTGGTCAATGTACAATGTCTACGGAATGAAACCGGGAGAGACTTGGTGGTCGGCGAGTGATTTTGGCTGGGTTGTGGGCCATTCATATATCTGTTACGCTCCGCTGCTGCACGGTAACCCGTCCGTTATCTACGAAGTAATAGGATGCTTATTTGTTCTTACTACTTGATCTTATTAGTTGTACCACTACTGATTTCGGATTATAGGGAAAGGTCACCGATACACCGGATGGTAGCAGCTATTTTAGACTAATTGAGCGCTATAAAGTTAAGGGAATGTTCACCACTCCCACCGCTATGAGAGCGCTTCGACAAGTGGTAGGCTTGGAGCTGAATCTTGCTGACATATAAACTGTATCCCAATTTTACTTTTCTGCAGGATCCCGAGGGAAAATTTGGCCAGAAGCATGACATCAAAAGGTAGCTTCTGGTTTTGGATGTGACATTTTTGAAAAAATATTCGACAGCTCATAGTTGAAATGCAAATTGTTTCTTCGACAAGCTTAAATAATTTGCAAACGTGCATATAAGTACAGTAGCGTGGGTAATCTAATGACTGTCAGTGTCGGTACGTTTTAGTTTGAAGTTACTCTACGTTGCGGGAGAGCACTGTGATGAAGGAACCAAGGCTTGGACGAAAGAAACGTTCAAAGCTGCAGTTCTGGATAACTGGTGGCAAACTGGTATGTGAGGCTTGTAGTCACGGGCTTAGCCTGTCCTTTCATAGCAGGACTTCCGACGAATATTCAATGAAAATTTGAACTATATGTCCAGATTCGTACATTTCCAGAGACTGGATGGCCGATAACATCGACGTGCAGTGGGTTGGGTTCGAATCTCGATCCTCCGCCGCATTCATCCGGCCATGCTGTACCGGGCTACGATGGTAATAATAACTAATAATTTTGCATAACGTTCCAGATTTTTGTAGTTTTGTGAACTGACTTGTATGCGGGATATTACTTAGTAAACTCGATCTAAACCAGCTCACGTGATTTGTAAAAAGCTGAATAATATTTTACTGTCCAGTTAGAATTTTGGACTCTGAAACCGGAAAAGAAGCGAAGGTTGGCCAGACTGGTCGGATTGCAGTCAAGTAAGATGAGTCCACCACTTACCCTTTGAACCTATTGCTTTGTTATCAGTACATCTGTGTGGAGAACGGTGCATGGTTGAATAGATTGCCGTTACCACCGGGAACGTTTTCCAGTTTATGGGAGAATGACGAGGGATTCAAGAAAACGTATTTTGAACGTTACCCGGTTAGCTTTTCTCGGTGTGGGTTGTGTTGAGGGCTATCAAGTAACGGAATATTTTCAGGGCTATTACGATACAATGGATGCGGTAAGTACTCTGCACTGCTTAACTGTTTTATTTTCTGCTGGAGGCTGGTTCAATATCAAAAACTGCCCGTCGGCATCCTTGTTTTCAATGCTGTCAATTGCGTAGAAAATGTGGTGGAACTGATTTTTCTGTCGTTTCTGTTATGAATATAGGGAAGTGTCGACGAAGATGGATACGTGACGGTCGCATCCCGAATGGATGGTAATTTTAATTTTTTCAGAATTGCCAAATCCGTAAAAGTGGAGAGATTTTGTGATTGCTTTTATAGATATCATCAACGTTTCGGGAGTGCGAATTTCGACATCTGCAATCGAAGAAGTATTCATTTAACACCGCTTATTTGCGGTACAACAGATCCGCTGTATCAGGTTGCATTCTGCATGAACTGGCGCTTTCAGGCAATTCTGCGACATCCGGACGTTACCGACTGTGCCGTAATTGGAGTGAAGGATAAACTAAAGGGTCAAGTTCCCGTGGGTTTACTTGTGGTCAAATCTGGTACGTTACTCGTTACTGGCTGCGCATAGTCCGATAGGGTTCATAACAAGAGCACCTTACTGTATTTTCAGCATGCGATAAAAAAGGCAGTGATATTGTTAAAGAGATAATCAAATCCGTGCGCGATGACATCGGACCGATAGCCTCCTTTAAGAGCGCGTGTGTTGTTCCGAAATTACCGAAAACAAAATCGGGTAAAATTGCTCGGCCCAGCCTCATCTGCTTAGCTGAAGATCGCCCCGTGAAAGTAAGTCAACTTGTATTGCAGTTCGCTTAACTCCATAAAAAATCTTGAAATTATTCAATATCCAGATTTTACGAGTTTTTGTACAGTATTTATTCTGATTAGCGACTGTCAAGTTTACTGGTGCTGTAACAGGTACCGGTAACTATTGAAGATCCTGATGTTTACGAGCCCATCCAGAAGGCAATGCGAGAAATTGGATATGCGGAAAAGGAAATAGAGAAATGTTAGGAATTTCCAAGAAATATTCCAAATTAATTTTCTGCCACGCCCAGTATTGTTACTTGCATTCTCATATTGCTGGAATCTGTCTTTAAGTACCTTTTTGATTTACCGCCCCGTCTTACCGTTCCGTACGCGTTATTTTATAGTGTTTTTTTAGCCCGAAAATTGCTTTTCAAAGATTTATTTTAAGATTTTAACGGAAGCTTTTTTACGCATTGGTAATTTGAATATGTCCTGTCACTTTTATTATTTAAAAAAATTTTAATAAACCGATAAAACAAAGAATGCGAGAGATGCCCGTAATCGGTGCTTACCTTATGCGAAGCGATAAGTCAGTGCCCTGCACGCGTTTTGTTACGTAAAGCGCCTCACTAATCTAGCTAATTAACGTGCTATCAGTATTGTTTGTATAACTGGACACGTCTTGAGCAGCTGCTGGTTGTTCCAGGATAATTGCTGGATGATGCAAGTAATATGTTCTGCGGTCGTTGTCCCTGAAACAAAAGCTCAGCCTTCGGACAATGACCGTGATCAACCGTCTAGAAAAGTAAAATTCTGATAGCGGAAGACAGCCTGCCAGGTTGATCAACAAACCTGACCCAGTAGCACTCATCAAGCGGGCTAATCAGAGCACACGCGCTGGATCTGAGGAATGAATGGGTATGCTTTGCGCCAGACTTGCGCATCTGCTTAACCCCTGCATCTCTTGCGAATATTGTAATTAGCGCTTACAATCTAAAAACGTCGAATGGTTTTCATAGATCAGAAGTACTACAGTTCACGAGGCACTCACTGTACGTGGGGCCGTTTTATTCCGTACGTTAAAAGGTGACAGATGAGATCGCAAACAGCAGTCAGGGATGGAACGTATTTAAGGTTACTTTAAGGTTGCCTTTCGAATTGCCGGTTGATCATCGCGAAAGATAACATGCGATATAATTTTATAATTAATACTACTTTAGGTGTTAATATTTTTGTATTAATTGAATTTAATTCTTTGCCAGCGAAGCTACCATTCGTAACATGCAACCGGCTTCGTATGTACGGTATTTGCAACACCATGATTGCGAATTCGGCAGAGCAACCACTCCAATTATAAGCTTGATTGGTTTAAAATTTTGTTTAAACTATGAGAGACTTGCTGGTTCTTTACCAGAAACATCCGCAATAAACGTGAGAATCAAAATCTGTCTATAATAATTGATGTAATGATGGGCGAAGATGAACACGCACGTGCTGCACTGTACATGTATTGCAAATGGCCAATGCTAAGTGCATACTAGGTATTATTTCAGATTAGACATGTTTTCATACACATTTTAGCATTACAAATTACGTAATTTCACCTAGATGGATGCAGATTATTGCATAAATGAATAAGTAAAATTCCGGATGCTGAAAATTGAAAATATTTGAATATGCAAGTTAGCTGAAGTATCGCACACGTACGGCTCCAACACTGCGGTGCTACGAAATAAGGAAGGACATTGAAGTTTTCACCCGTAAAGTGTGTATAAATAGCTTAATGCGGGTGCGGAGATATGAGCATTTTCTAATTATGTCCGATGGCTGCCAGATGGTGCTCATATATTCAAAGTGTGATACGGATATATTGTAAACTCATTCATATGCTGTTAGAGCAAATCCATAACCACGGGGAATTTAAAGCCGACTGACATGAAATTAATCGCTTATTCTAGCGTATTATACCGTCTGTAGAGCGTTAGCACCACAGGCTACACTACTCTTAAAAATTAATCAGTCGAATAGATACTCGCAGGCCAGCCAACGTGCAGCGTGCTTTCTGATTAATTAATTTGGTGAAAATAATGCGTCCTCTGTTTGTTGTACTGACTAAAGGTTAATATCTTCAATGCACTATATCGAATTGTTCATTAAAAGCTAAAAACCACAGAAAAGATATAATATAAATATACTTTGGTCCAGCTGTTACTGCTTGACGATTTGGGAACAGAATGTTTCTTTCAAAAAACACTTTTTGCTCTGTTACGCAACTAACTTGTAAGCAAATCACTTAAATTATGTTAAACTAAGTAATGGTTCAACATATGTAATTTCAAAAAGAGCGATGCCTCCTGCACTGCAACCATAAAACTTTTAGCGTTCCAAGTATGCAACATTGGAAATAGCTACTGGGTAGTGCATGCGCTTGCGTTCCCTTGCAGTTCTATGTAGAAGAACACTGCGTCACACCGGATGTGCTTTTTCATCGTTTGGGATTGGTTTGGGGCTGAAGATGGCTGGTAATAGCAACCCAAATGGTGCAGAACGTTTAGAAGTGCCACACAATTTATCCCATGCGGTAAACCGGTAATATGCAAAGCGTCGAAACCGGCTGCCTGATAAAAACCTAACAGCTGTCCAATGGTTAAAGTTGGTAAAACTCGTGCAATAGTTAAATTTTAAAACTAAAAATTAAATTATATAAAATAAATAATTATTAATTAAAACTATTTTGTACTGGGTTTGAAATTTAGCGACCGGATGCCGCAGTTTAATTGACGAGGTACGTGGAACGGAGTTTTTAATGACGAACAGTTACTTCCTTATACCTTATACTGTAAATGTATAATTCAGTAAGTCGTTGTAAAAGTATCTGTACCAGTACATAATGCTGTACTGAAGTTACAATTATACAGGTTGGTTGCCGCTGAATTACGAAACATATCAAATTGCATCAATTCTTTTGCGCATCTAAATATCCTAATGTAAATTATTAGAAACCTGCTGTACTATGTTTCAGTTCCCTAATAAATAGACTTTGGAACTCCTTCGAAAGCATAAGGAAGTGCAAATAAAAATGCTAACAGACGTGCGCAGTTAACTATGCAATGGTAACGTAAATTCACAATGAATTGTAAGCTTCATCAAAGGATTTAATTATTCGCCATCCAGTTTACAGTTGTCAATAATAATTATGATTTGGGACATAATGTTATGCATGACAACCTAATTCTAAAGTCAAAATTGATGCTGTATAAAATTAAAAAGCCGCACAACGTTCGATACATCCTCGGTCGAAATCATGCGACGCATGTGCCGCAACAGCCTACCATATGCATGCTCGATAGAATTTAAAATGATTGCACAAGTATTTCAAGTACCGCCTTATCACTCGTCCAGATGTTTCATACGAACTGGTCTGTTTCAGCAAAACGAATAGTAGTACAGCTACGCACATTGATATATCCATGTACTGTACTGTACCAATCGCACACAATTTTGCCGACTCGATGGCGGCGTTTGCTGGAGAAACTACTGACATGAAACACATTTCACTTCGTATTCTGTGCCATGTAGTGCCACACATTTTATACTTGAGCTTTGGTTTGAGGCTTTGTCGGTTTGAGTCAGTGCTCGTGTCCTGTGGTAGATATAACAAAAATTTGTGCGAATTATAGGAAAAACGCGTTTTTCCTTATAATTTCGTCAAATTTGCGTTGTGCGTGTTAGTAGTGTGTGGCTTCGTTGAGTAGTTTTTTTCCCGGCTGCTTTGCTGCGCTTCCTGTTGTTGGTTGTTGCATATTATCGTATCCCTACATCGTTACATATCAGAACAGTTTATTACTGTGTATTAAATTGTACATTTCCAGTTATCGCTTGGAGTGTTCTGTATGTTATATTCCCGTATTTTAATTTGTTGTCGATATACCAGTATATTCAAGAGGCACACCATCCGGCATCCAGTCATATAATTATAATATCCGTGTGTCAACCATCGCATAACGAAAGAGCGTCATCTTGTTACATCAATACCTTATCAGAAAATATCAGGAAAATATATTTGACAAGTGAAACACGGCGACGAAATACTCACCCATATACCGTCAATTATTGTGTCTGTAGCGTGGTTATTTCCTGTGTGTGAATTATATTCCATACAATTTTGAATGAAGATGGCAACGGCAACGGTTAACGGTCTTGGCTTGGATCCCTCTCCGACTAATCCGAATACATCCTCCAATTCTGCATCGGGTTCTTCTTCCCCTGGACCAACATCCAACCATATACAGAGTATAACCGATGTATCCAACGGCTTTAATGGCAACAAAATAATAAACATGCCTAAAGACAGCGATGCCATCAAATTGTTCGTCGGCCAAATTCCCCGGCATTTAATGGAAAAAGATCTCAAGCCTCTTTTTGAACAGTTTGGAAAAATACACGAACTCATTGTGCTTAAAGACAAGTATACTGGAGTACACAAAGGTACACATTTACAAGTATTACACCTTAATATATATGGTAAGATTAACTTACTTTATGGATTTTGACAACTTTTGCGTATTTAATGTTTACGCTGTAAAAACGTTTGCGGGGTTGTCTTAAGAATATGTTTAAGCCTTGGCTGTAAAACAGCATAAGAAAATAGCCTGTTAGTGATTATCACACTCAAAATAATGCACTAATTCCAGCAGTAAATGAGAACGTTCCGCATGGGTTGCACTGCTAATGGAGGAGCTGGGTTCCACGCTGCCTACAGTATTTGCCGGTGTCCCTTAACGGTCTAGTCCCTTAAATAAAAGCATGAAAATTCGTTCATTTTCGGAGATTTTAAACCGAAGAAAAATGTGTAGGTGTTATTTATATCCCTAGTTTTCACATACGTTGATGCTTTAATACGTCATTGACTTAAAAAGGCTCAGAAAAAGACCGAAATGTACTCGTATCACGCTTCATTACTTATTAACGGACAGATGAAATTTTACACAGGGACGAATGAATTTATTTTACCAAGGCTTCGCATTTGTAAAGCTTTTCCTTTTGTTTTGGAAAACTTTAATGCCTATGGTGTATCCGGAGATGTGAGCGATTTTTCTCTTTTGGTGGAGTTGGTTAAAAGATCGAAGTCTTTCGTGTTGGAGCGTGCCGGTAGGCCGCTCACAGATTGCACAATTTAATCAGCATGCTGCATGCAACAGACAGTCGCCAGCTTCGCGCGTTTGGAAATGTATAGATAACGATTGCGAAACGCGTGTTATGATAGCGCTCGCTACCGTGGAAAAGTGCATAGTTTGCACGAGTTCGTTCTCTTGCAATTTTGTTTTAGAACTTGTGTGTTGCAATATTAGTTTCAAGTGGAATGCCGTTTGGCTGGTTAGTATATTATGCGTATTAACATGCTTATTTGTGCAATGCGTCCACATCATCAACCGGCATCACTCTTAAAGCACACAACACTCTAGCAAATGGTAATTTTTCGAAATATTTATTTTATAAAACTACATCCTTTACAATGTGCCATGCTAGCAGCTACAGTATATCATTGTTGCCAACAAAAAATTTTGTTTTTATGAATATCATTTTAAGAACCTTGTATAACTACAGTTGTGTGGCAAAATAGTTTTGCCATGGCTTGCTGTATAACTTCTGCGTTTGCAGCGGTTTGCTCAGTCTTCTGTTTTACTCAGAATAGCGTATCTAAAATGAAAAATATCTTAGAAAATGTGCGCGTCCGGTGACGTTCTCAGTTAAAGCTGACCTAGAAAATTGTTGGACCGTTGTTTACTATGGTTTTAGAATGAAGCTTGACCAGTACAGGCAGTGACCATCTGTCTGATCGTAAGAGCGGGCTAAATTAGGACGGTCTGTTTACCCCAACTGACCAGTGCCAGCTAGTCGGCCTTTGTCGCGCAAGACAATTATTGACCCGATGTAACCGTAGAGCATTCATACAGCCTCCAATAGGATGAGACCGGACCGCACAGTTGTGCAGACAGAAATCATTCATCGCAGCTGATACTGTCTGCGTTGATGCAGATAGTTTAAAGCTTTAAATTGTCCTGAAATGTCCGCTTTATCCATCAGCATATATACGGCAACAGATACGAGCTGTACTGTGCGGCTGCGTCGGTTGCATGCATTATAAAAATCCCGTCTTTATTCCCTGCTCTGCATGATGTGTTATATGGGCAACCCTGGGCGATAAGGATAGCAATTGTCGCCTGTCCGTGCGTTGCATATTTGATTGCTAAATGTGCTTGAGAACGACGGCGGAAAGAATGCCGGTGTTTATGGATAGGCTGGTTTAGATTTGATGGGAAAACTTTATACACATTCCCGATCAGGCAAACTTGAAGCACATTCTCACTCAGCTGTGTATGGGGCAGTTTTATTCTTTTCTCGCTCTTTTCCATGTCAATCGGGGCTCCGGCTCTCTTACTTTGCATACCGGAAAGCGCGGAGTGCACTTTGGGATATGTCGATGTAATAGTTGCGTTGGAGCTTGCTTAAGTAAAGCAGGCAAGCAAACAGTCGCCAGAGCCAGCATATACCCAATCGTCTCATAACTTTCCATTCGGTCATGTTATAAGTAGTGGCGCTAAGGCACGGTTTTAGAGTTGTCTTTATTTTCTTCCGTTCGAGACTATTCATGTCATAAGAATGCAGCTGTACGGGTGACATTATTAAACGATAATCCGGTTTTCACAAATGCACCGAGAATGAGAAGCACAGGCGACGTGAAAAATAAAATATCTTTGTGTCACAGCGCTGAGTAATCGCCGGTCAATGCAGTGGATCGAAGGCGACTATATATGTTGTTATAACGATCGCCGGATGACGAATGCACTAGATGTAGCTATATATAACACGGTTCTGAACTTCTGGTATAAGGCAAAATTTTGTACGAGAAAAATTGTTCAAATTTGGTGAATAAGCTGTTCCCACAGTCGAATAATACTGTATAATTTTATGATACATGGGACTATATAAATTATATGAATTGAAATTTCACACGCTTTAATTAATGTCAGATCCCTCTACATTGAAGTGTCAGTATCTAGATCTTCTGTATTTGAATTTGTTTAGGGATGTCAGGTCTCGCAAAACTCTAAGTTGAGAAATGGATCTAGGATAGATTATTTTAATTATCTTTTTAGTTTGACGAAAGTAGATCATTAATCCGAAGCTGGTTTTACGAAATCAAGTCACAAAGCTTTCGCTGTTGCGCATGTGCGCTATACTTTTGTGCCATATCTGTACATTGAAAACGTACAATGGTTCGTAGTTCGTCATTCACATAACAATAAACTTGCGGATTGTTTTTCCTTACCCTCCAGTAAAAACTTCACAAAAACTTCACAAAACACTCGGCAATTGACATACTTAGCATGTACGTATAGATAATATAAATGCAACCCATGCAATGTAGTATAGTACGCTCTTAAGCGTGCAGTAAAACACCTCCATTTTGAATCTTTTATTTGTACTGTAGTTGCGTTTGGACACCGTGCATAATTTGTGGTATCCACATTTCCACCAATGTTTCTGGCGCATTCTAATTTTACTACTATTTTGAAAAAAAATTATAATTGCGACAAAAGAAATAAAAAATGTGAAAGATTGTCTTATATTCATAATTTAATTTCGGGTAAGAAATGCTATAAATTGCACCAAATGAAAACGTAATTACAGTATTCTGGGAAAATATATTGTATAGGTCCAGCTAGGGTTACTACAGCTTGTCATGCTCAAAACGTACAGTACAAAAACATAAACACTGCACTAAGTAAAAAGGCATGGTCCTAAGTACTTCTAGAATTTCCTGTCGCTGCCTTCTTTGATTACAAATGTTCCTTTTCCTGCATCTTTATTTTTGAACTTTTACAGGTTGCGCATTCCTTACATACTGTGACCGCGAAAGTGCTATCAGATGTCAGAACACCCTTCATCAACAAAAAACCCTTCCTGGGGTAAGTTCTTCATAATAATTGTGAAGTTTATTTTGTAACACATTTTTGAGTTTTTAAGGCTAAAAAAAGTTGTGTAAAGCTTGCTTGAGTACTAACTTTCCAGTAAAACTGTCCTCGACTTGTAAGAATGGGTGGAAAACCGTGTGAGTTATGCATTATGTTCCTTTAACCATCTTGGTTAAACCAGGAACGTCGTAGTTTGCCGGTCAAACAGAGAGAAGTATGCTTAACTCAACTCAATAAATATAATGGAATATACAGATTTCAAATCTGTTATCAGGGCATGACTCCTCAAACTATGTACTAGTATAGCAGGTTTGAAATTGTTTTAGTAAATCACGCGGTAGGAAAATATTCTACCAGTTTGTTCTGCCTGTTTCTACTCTTGTCCAGAGATACAGCTTTGAATACATAAAAAACCTTTGCATTTAAAATCACTATTACGTTTTACTATCATGAACCAAAAACCTTGTAGAGTTGTTTTCTTACTACAGCATTCACATTCGCCCATAATTCTTAAAGAAGACTATACCAAAAGCAAAAATGCTCGTGTATTTGGGCTTTTATCTTCGGTTTGTTAAACCATTTTGGGATTGCACTTAACTGTATCGCATTGTGATACACGGAAAAGGAAGGTGAGCCTAATCAATGCCGTGTAGGTTCCTTTTTCTTTCTAACGTTGCGGTTCTGGCTCTTTTAATTTAAGCGAACTAAGCGCTTTTAGAATACATGGCGGAATTAGAGCACATAAGGACAAAAGTGCGGCTGCATGCGATATATTGCACACATCCATTGTACAAGTACAGTCATACGGTGCGTAACAGGGTAAATGCCAGTCGGTTGGGTTTTATGGTCAGCGTGGTAAATGTTACCGACGGAATTCGGGAGGCCTCGATCGTAAAAAGCATTGTATTCAAAGCTAGTAATTTGCTTAGTGAACCGGAAGTCAGTCGTTTTCTCTGTGGATCATTTGGCTTGCATGAAAAGTACTGGCATGATGGTGAGATGTGGCTTAACGGAGTCGGAACAGATCTTTATGCACCGCGTTATATAGAGCTATATACCCGTATTCTGAGTGCCTATATAGCGCGAGCGTGTATATACCAGACAAGTTGTAATATCGGGGAAGTGAACGCGTTTGCCAACTGGATAAACCAATACTAACAAAAAGGACAAGATGGATGATAGGGAATAAAAGCCTGAATGAGATAGATGTGAATGCAAATGAGGAGTGTTGTCATTGGGGTGCGACAGCCGGGGCCAGATGATGCAAGATGATACGCTTATTCCTGTTGGCTAGAGTTCGATCATCGCCGGCTGATATACATATATTCCCGGATTTTAACCGATCTTCGGTATGCATATGCGCACTTACAAACAGCAAAATGGACGAGGTTCTTCTGCTACGATGGATGGGTACTTAAACAAAGCTTTCCATTTGACGCCCCGATTCAGATGATTTCTGAAATATCAAATACTGTGAACAAGATTGAGTTGGCTGGTCAATTTATCGCATTTCCGTTGCGCATAGTGTGAACTCTCATTACTGGCGAACATCCATGCAACAAAAAAGTCCAGAAATTCCACGTTGTGACTAATTTCCAGCAATGTGCAAGGCGACAACCAGGAGGAACAACAATGAAACTAAACGTAGCATGAAAGGTTACCACATCGAACATCTCGCGTATAATCATTTGCATAGGACTTTATATTTATTTTGGCGACTCAGAATTTAATTCAGGGACTCGATCTTGTCCTGACAGAAGCTCGGTTAATTAGGTTTAGACGGATCCGCCCCATAATTTCGAATAAATTGAACAGGTTTAGTTTAAAAGCGCATAAACGGCGCGCAGATAAAAATTCTATCTGAATTTTGTAGCGCAAGAGTTTTTGTTGTCCAGGAAAATTCAGCAGCCATTCCCAAGTGATTGCCTAGGGTCGTTATCCGGGCAAGTAGTTAAGTTACGTATACAATTCCATGGCATAACGACGGTCTTTGGAGATTACAACAGTATCAATATTTGACAATCCTCATGAATGCGGCGTTATTTTGTATGAGACCAGACACGCATCCAACGTTCTTATAGTGTACATCAAACCGGCTGACCATGGTACTCAGGAGATTTTTCTTTTGCTAATCTTGCCCTGGCGAAATGACAGGGAAATGGATTGCTTCGCCATACGAAAAACATCTACATATCTGCACATTGCATCTGCGCAAACTGTGTTGCAGTTACAAAATATAAGTCCCTAATTACTGTAAAGTGCATAGGGCAATCGTAATGCATGCTTACTGCTATATATCGCTTCTAGAATAAGTGCTTATGCGCACAAACACATAATAAGTGCAATATTTTATGATCAACATGTCGACACGCGCCTGTAACCGCAACGAAAACAATTCTTATATGTTTGAAATCAGGTTCAGAGTATTTTCCAAGTACTTTAGACACTGCTTATTTGGACTGCATCCTTTCGTATATTTACCTAGTGAAATTCTATGTTTTGGTGTCTTTGAAGTGGTGTTGTAGCGGGTCTACCATGCACAGTCCTTTGGGTAGTTTATAAATATTTTTCATCGTCGGCATTTGCGTAATCAGTAACGCACACGCCACTTATGTGTGTTATTAAATGAACGGTACATTTACCGCTGTTATACACATTATTCAGATTGTCCTTACATGCCAGGCAACTGCAAAGCAAACTCGTAATTACAGTAAAGCCGTCAGACGGAATTGAGAAAGGGCTAACATTGCCAAAATAAATTGATCAAAACGTTTTGAAGCACGAATGGCTAACAGAGCCAACATAACGAATGTGCTGTATACATACATACACCTTTTTGTAGATGACACGACCAATTCAAGTGAAGCCGGCGGATAGTGAATCCCGAGCCGGTAAGTTTACCTGCATGCGCAACGAAAACGCTTCGCATATTCTATACCACATCTTACATATACACACCGTGCGACAATTTTGATTAGCGGTTAGAGTGATGCATAATGGATAGGATGAATTGTTGACCGTTATTATTTTGCAGAGGATCGAAAGCTCTTTGTGGGCATGCTGGGAAAACAGCAGACGGAAGAGGATGTTCGTAAATTATTTGAGCCATACGGAAACATCGAGGAGTGTACGGTGCTGCGCAATAACGAAGGATCTAGTCGAGGTAAAGTGCCCATTGTGCTCAGGCGCGCTGCTGGGCTTTGCTTGACCCCAAACTGACTTTAGTGATCGACTTCCATTACGGCCGGTAAAATGTTACTGTAAATAAAAATCCTCCCGTTAGGGGGATACGATTACTGTTTGTACGGAATACGATGCGATTTGACGAATTGCTGATATGGCGAATCAAACGATATAGGTCAGCTGTCCGCAGTATTTGTCGTATTACCAGCATTAAAGAATTTACGATTGCTTGGATCAGCATATAAACTATGCTGATTTGTGGTAATGTAGCTATATACAAAATTAATTAATTTATTCATTGATTATCTTTCGCACGAACAAATCATCCTTACTACCGAATATATGTGAATCCTGGACGTGCGAAGTACAGCAATATACTGTATCAGTAATGTGTCACCGGCTGACTCGATCTTTACATGACCATACGATACAAAATAAAAGTGGTGACAACAGCAAAGGATTTGAAATATAAGAGCATACAGTCGTAAATTGCTAAGCCTCTTGGACCAAATTAATAATCTTGGATGGTCGGCGTTCGCACGATAAAATTAATTTCTGTCATTAACAGGCTGTGCCTTTGTCAAATTCTCCACTCCTGCTGAAGCACAGTCAGCAATTTCCGCCTTACACGGAGCACAAACAATGCCTGGAGCATCGTCGAGCCTGGTGGTCAAAATTGCTGATACGGAAAAAGAACGCCAAGTTCGACGCATGCAACAAATGGCAAGCCACATGGGACTGAATAGTTTACTGAATCCTTTGCTCCTCAACGCCTCCGCCAATGCGTACGCTCAGGTAACCAAGACGGACACTATGAACATGCAATTATTTCGCCTTTGTGCTCAACTTTACTCTTCCTGATCGATATACCCGAAAATGGACTATCGTATCCTCTAACGACATAAAAGGGTTGCAAAACCAGTTCAAGATCTCTCTTTACTTAGTTGAAGAAATTTTCTTTAGCTAGTCCAAATATATGCAAACTTCAAAGTTGCTACTCGTAGTATTAAGATAATAATTTCATTAAGCTTCAAAGTTTACGGTCACGATAAATTAGCTCCTCGACTGGGAACAAGGAAGTCATTCAAGCAAAAAAGTTCTACTGATCTAATGCAAGTGAAATGTTTGCAGCAAGCGGCACTCATGGGAATGAATTCACTGAACTCCAGCCCCTTCGTTAACCCGGTGCTGAGCGCAGCCGCCGCGGGTTCGCAGTTCAACAGCTTGGGCACGACATCCATGGGCACCGTGGGCGGCAGTCAGAACCTGAGCAATCCGCTCAGTCATCTGTCCGGCAACAGTTTCAGTAACGCCAGCCTACCCGGAAGTATGCCGTCGCTCGATGCACTGGCGCTGCAAGCCCAAGCGGCCCATCAGTTTGCCCCAGGTAGATCATCACGGGACTCCGTCGAAAGTTCCGTCGCGCGCGGTCACGTGCTGCAGAAGAAACGGAAAGAGTGTGGTGTATCTGGTATTGTTTGTTTGTTTGTTTGTTCTATGTTTTTTTGTGGTCTCGACTATTTTCGTGGACTTGTTTGCATCTCCCTTGTGATGTCGCAACGTGTTCTGTATATAAAACGTGGATTTCGGCAACCAGATTCGTATCCGTCTTTTATCTAATTATTGTAGCCATCGTCGTTGTCGATATTATATTGGGTTTCTTTTGAAGGTGGAAATACGATGCACAGTGGGGATAATATGAACCAAAGTTTTCCGCATTCGCTGAATCAGTATCAGGGTATCAGTTTATACTCCGGACATGGCGATGCTAACGGTAAGAATTACTTACTTATATATTCAACATGACATTTGCAGATGTACCTGTACAGCGTAATTAGAAGTGCAGAGTATTCTGGAATGACCTTTCTTCGTACAGTCACGTAGTAGTCACCTTTTGCACCTACTCTTTTCCAAATTGCACGCTGTTCGGAATGATTTTTCTTCTACCTTCGCTCGGCCTTACGCTGACGATGGGGATGCCCTTTACACGCCAATTGTATTGTAGTAGTGAGCAGCTTGGTGCTGTCATCGTTTCTGTTTGGTATTTGTACCTGTTTAATTGGCTGGCCGCAGATGCGCGCGCGTTGTGTTCGTGGTTGCTGTGATGGTATGTGTCTGTGTGTTGTTGTAGGCTCTTTCTCTTCCGGGAGCTCTTATGGCCACATGAACGGGCACAATGTGGCCGGAAATAGTACACTGCATAACCCGATGACGTCACTGATTAATTCAGGTGAAAATTGACGCCGGTCTTATTGGTTTTTTCAGCATGCCGTCGATATTTTGCGGCCTGATGCGTTAAAAGCCGCAGTTGGGTTCGTTTTCCACGATCGCCGCTTCTCTCATGCTATCATCGGGTGGTGGATGTGGAAAACCCCAATGTTTAACCCGATCAGTCTCTACACATGCTTCTCTCTTCAAGTTGACTTGATTTTGCACACTTCCTACACCAAATAAACCTTTTATATCCACAGCTATAAACACTCTAGCCTCTTTTAAAGCAGATGATTTACTTTCATTTTATACTGCTCATCATTATTACTTATTCATCGGTTTCATTTTGGCCAACTCTTAACTCTTCGCCGGCACAACCGGGTATAACTATCCTACAAATCAGCTACGCATTTAATACGAGCTCGTACAATACAATTTGCTGTTACCTTGTTTGCGTATGCAAAACATTTTAAACGTAAAATATTGTTTTAGGAAACGTTTATACCATTTACATAAGACATGAAGCTACATACTCACTAATATTCTTGTGGAGCAAATGCGGATCATTTTCTAATACAGATCTGTGTTGAGTCAGAGTTCGTTTGCGTTCTTGGGTGGTGCTGCTTATCTCCAATTTTAGAGCATATTGGCACTTACAATAATAACTGCCAAACTTATTGTTATTTTTGAGTTAACAGTCTTCCTTGAAATTTATAACGGTGCTCCGTTTCGGTTGCAGGTTTGTGGGTATGACAGTTCCGCAAATGCTCAGGCCGCACTTTCCGCTCTCAATAATTACCAAATGGGACAAAAGCGTATGAAAGTACAATTAAAAAAGCCCAAAGACTCCAATGGTCGCATGTTTTAATCAGCGATCGATTAAATTATGTATGCTCCGATATTTAGCAAGTGAGTATTGCGCTCATATTGCTTGTTTGTTAATTGTGCGTTATCGTTATGCTACCACTGACAGCTGAAGCATACTGCAGCTGCCAACTGAGAACGTCTAACAATTTCTTAAATCATATATATGCGGTACATAAAATGTTACGATCTGATTGATATATATTGTACTAATAATGCAAGTACTGTATATGTACTTAATTAAATTAAATGGACTGATCTACGCAACCAAAACTTAGTATGTTGCTCTTTTTTTTGCAGGATTACTTATATTACAATTATCTCACAACATATATCCATAATTTTCCATTATCTTTCCTTATGGCGACCCGGATGCTCAACTGTGCCGGCGGAAGTATTCATACGCAACCTTTTGTTATTAATATACCTACAGTGCTGCGGGATAGTCAGAAATCCCATAACTGAATGGCTCAGTTCCAAGCTTCCAGTTTTTGAGTGTGTGCCATATATGTTTGAGAATGAATACTGGGCCAAGCAGAATGTTGGACAATTTTTTGCACATCAAAACGTGGAGAGAGAGAGACTGATGGCCGTCAGTTGGTTTTTACCAAATGATTTTAGGATTTTTCACTGTTTTACCAAAGTTCTTACTTTATTCAGCAGACAGTTTTTTTTCGTTTTATATTTTACAGACGATATATCATTTACGTTGTTATACTTAAATAAACTGCTTGTAACGGCTTATGCAATATGCTGTGTATTTTGCCGTCTTCGTTGAATGCTTTAGATTTCAAACTGACCAACTGTTGCCGAAATTCTAATCCTGAAGTTGTTTTAGCTGGTATGGTGTGTCACGTATTTAACCCGTATTTAAGTGCGCTGTTGTTCATTGCTGTTCATATTTAGCCTTTTACGTTTTATTTTGTTTTTTAAAGCAAATAAAATTTGTCTGTGGAAGCCGCGAGCATTTTGTTTCAAATGAAAGTACTACTCAAATGTTTCAGTACGCAGACATTCGTTAAGTCTACAATACAGTATCTGCGATACGAACCTTTCGTATGCCTCAAGGCAAGTGATAGTTCATGACCTTCGTATAAACCTGCGAGCGTCTGACCGGTAGCTGAAGATTATATTCCGCGCATTGTCTGTGAGACTGTGACCAACGTTTTGCTCAGAGATCATCAATGAACAATATGGTTGATGAAAAATTCACATCACACTTTAAAATCTTCATAGTTTCGAACTGCTTAGCATTTAACTGTACTTGTACGTAAATGTTTATTTACCTTCCCACTGATGGCTGACTACGGACAGCGAAACTCCAATGGAGCCAGAAAAACGGCATACGTATTTTGTTCTTATGGGACTGCTAAGTTTTCTCTGCATTTACACCGTGATTCCACACTCGCGTCTAATTGACAGCGTGACTTTGTTGTTTGATCAGCGTTACTACTATGACAAGGTTTTTCGATACGGAAGTGAAAACGATTCTGCTTCATCGCAGAACATGATAGCCGAGAGTTCCACAAACACCGGCGGTGCGTACAAAAAAATGCTAATTTGGACAAAGTGGAACAGCGAACAGCTGGCGTATGACCAGCACAATCAGCCCGGCTGGTTCAAGAACTGTCCAGAAAGCCGGTGTCTCGCCGTCACGAATCGCAATGAGCGGAAGCAAGCCAGTGCGATCATCTTTACATGCCCGATTTTAACCCGGGACTTACCCCATCAGTCCGCCAGGAATCGGTCTGTGTACTATATTTTTCATTTGGACGAATCACCTGATACGACGAAGAAGCTGATGAATTATCGCGCTTGGGATAATCATCCGGGTTTCTTCAATCTGACCATGTCGTATCGGTTGGACTCCGACATATACTCCGATTTATACACCGGTAATTTTCTACAGTTGATCCCGCTTCAATAAAGGCACATGCGGAGATGTGAAAGCTAGTAGTCAGTTTTACATAAACCTTTCAAAATAACATTTTTATATACAGCCACAGGTGCAGTATCATTAACGGACTATCATTTTAATGATAACATGCATGACAACTGATTGTGACTTTGTGAGCGTATTAAAATAAAGTATACACAGTTTAGGTGAGTATAGTTTCAGAAACTGATTTATGCACTGTATGAATATACGGATTATTGGTTGTGATAAAATCAAAAAGTAATTTTTGTAATACTTATTTGTTATAATATTTATATTGTATATTAATGTAATCATGCTAACTACAAATCTACAATGTACAATACAGATGCGATAATAGTACGTATACGTATCCATAAAGTATTGTATCTATATTTGCATTTATAACAAAAAATTGGCTGTCTTAAATTATAGACTGCTGATTTTCAGGAGGATACACGCCTCGTCATTTTAATCAATCCCGCTTAACCGACCCACTGTGGTATGCCTCCAAGCGTGACATCCTGTGGCTGGTATCCCATTGCGACACGGCCAGTAAGCGGGAGGATTATGCTGCTGAACTGGGAAAATATGTCAGCATCGACAAATTAGGCAAATGTGATCAGCCCGATCCATGCCGACATAAGCATGGCGCCAATGGCTGCGATTCGGAAGATCTGATCAAGCATTTTAAGTTCTATTTGTCATTTGAAAACAGGTAAATATATCTAATACTATGTTGTAAAGTTTGATGTGCCAGAATTGCTGCGTGTTTCAGCATCTGCAAAGGCTATGCCACCGAGAAGCTGTATCGCGCTCTCAACAATGACGTCGTACCAATTGTACTCGGAGGCGCGGACTACAAAAAACTTCTGCCTCCCGGTGCGGTGATAAACGTCGAGGATTATCCATCTCCCAAAGCGTTGGCGGAATATCTAATCCATCTAATGCGGAATGAAGAGGCGTATTTAAAACATTTCGCATGGAAGTATCCCCCAAATCCGTTGTGGTATATGCCAGGAATTCCCAACAGGGAGAGCAGCAGTTTTTGTAAAATATGCGAACTCCTGCACCGCCCACCGAAAGAGCGGATTCGTAAATCGTATGAAAATATGAATAAATGGTGGTTTGCTGGGCAATGTCGGGAGTCAACAGTGAACTATAAGAAAAACCAAAGCGAGAAGGCATCTCAAAAGGAAATTATTATGGATGACTAGCGACTAGCTAAGCCGCTGCTCATAAATGAGTACGGAAAACGGTTTGCACCGTAAAATACTAAATTCCCTTACAATTGTCACCTTTTTGAGCACTTAAGGTAGATAATGTGAATGTTTACATTTTACTTGTACTATGGTATTATTCGCACAATAGACATTTTGCGAGTAATAAAATTGATAATTTTTACAACAGTGGAGCAAATGATCAAAAGTAACATCCCAACATTGTTTTAAGGCAGATGGTGGTGTTTGTTATTGATGGTCGCTATTAACATTTTTATGGTTGTGATTTCCAAAGTTAATCAGGATTTCTGAGCAACGAATAGCTTGCCTTTTTGGTGTTCGACAGGATTGCAAACACTCTTAATTTTGCAGGTAGATTCAGTAAGTAACCATAGTGAAATTTTCAAAATGTTGAACTGATTATAAGAATAAAACATGCTATTATCCAAACATACCAAAGCGTACCGTTTGGTACTTATACGATAAGTATGGCTACTCCTGTAGTGTGCGAAGTATCTGTATATCCATCCAATTTAACATGGTTTTTTCTCAGTTGATCCATGTTAGGTCATGATCCGGAAGTAATATCTTAATAATTAGAATTCTGAGCCGGATCGCGCATCAGATACACAACCATTGTGTTGTGCGACTTTAGGCGCGGCATATGTGAATATGAATATGTGATATGAATATAGATATGAATACATTAATACGAATATGTGATATATGTTTGATTGATACAGTACTTACATGTAATAATATTCATAGCCAAGGCCCTAGCAGTGTCATGTACATACGTATATTGTAAAATTATTTTTTAATCGTTTGCATTATTTGTATTTTTTGTGAGTTCGTAATGCGAATTGAACGCAATGTGTCCAATGTCCATGCCTTAATCAAACAGCGATAACCTTATCGGTGTTTCATTTGACGATTCCTCTTTCGGACGACAGATGCATAAATATTAGTCACTGGTGTCGTGTCGAAGGTTATAAAGTTCCACCGATCAGCATACCGCTTGATTTGGTTTTCCGTGAATGTGAATTTAAAATCTGTTGTCACAGATTTTGTGTTACATGACATTAAAACGCTATTAATTTGTCATATTTGAACCTCCCTTTACATTTAATTACGATACTAAATTATACTTTGTGGTACCATCGATACACACCTCGGTAAAAGATGGATCCCAATCGTCCGCCAGCGTACAATCCGGCCTACAATCCGACTATGAACCATTCCATGCCACCGCCTCCGTATCCGGGGCCTCCGATGCCAACTGCCGGTTATCCCGCTTCACAACCAATGTATCCGAACTTGTATCCCCCGACACAACCGGTCCCTCCCGTGTCAGTGCCACGCCCATATCTTCCGCACAGCGCCCAGCCGTTTGCCCATGCGGGTGCCGGAGCAGTACCGCCCGGGTATCCGACGGGTGTGCCCCAGCCGCATGTCAATGTGTCCCCGGTCTTTCCCGCGGCTCACAGTCATCTGCCACCCGGAACTTTTCCGCCCGGTTATCCCGGCGCTCCAGTGGCGAGTGTGCATGGATTTCCTGTCACTGGACATCCTAGTAATCCCCCTTATGCCCAACAGCAGGGCGGTGGCAAATGGATTTATATTCAAACCCTCGACCGAGGAAGTTCGATAAAAAAATGGAAGTGCAATACTGTGCCAGTGGCGATTATTATGTGCGATCCACGACTCACGATAAAAAAAGTTCCGGTATGCTACAGTTCACATGAATCGTTTGCTTTATGAGTAGTGGTAATGCTTACTTAAACAATTTTACAGGATGGCGGTCATGTGTTTATGACGAACGTAATATGTTTCATAAAGTGGAACATGACTGGAAAAAGGCCTACATTGCTCGTGTGCCGAATAGTGATAGCGCTCGCATTGAATGGCGATTTGACGTTTCTGGGACCGGTGAGAATTCAGCTCTACACTTTACTGTCACATATCGTAACCGTCTTTTTGTTGTGTTTTTAAAATACTGCTTGAACTTATATTTTACAATTTACAACTTATATTTTACAATTTTTGAAGTGTCAGTAGGTATATAGATATAAAAAATGTTGCAGGCTATTCAGTGAAAACGGTGAAATTGAAGTTTCCAACCAAAACCTATCACAACGGATGTGTCAAGGCCACGTTCATTAGCGATAAAGGAGCAAAAATGGAGATCAACCCAAGCAATAAGCACCAACGAGAAGAGCAAAAGATCAAACATCTTCAAGGTGTTCACAGTTTCTCTGTTGTTGCGGAACTGCACGGTGGAAGTGGAAGCGAAGCTTGGCAGCACGCTCAGTTATTCAGACAAGACCTAAAGGACACCGATTGCCCTTTCGAAGTTGTGGTCAAGCTGCAAAACCGCTGAGGCTAGACTTCCAGATTCTATTACATTCCTCAAAATTTAAAATAATTCGTTACTGACAGATTCATTCAATAAAAATTGCGTCACTTAACAAAGTGCACATACAAGATATCTGTGAAAGTGATAAGTACTTCGTATCCGGTATTCGTATATTATGTTCCTATGATTTTGTACTTGGTACAAAAAGTTGTTCAAATACATGTAAATATCGAAATAATTTCAAACAGATATTGGAAATCACATAGAAGCACAAAGATTTTCTCAAAATTTCTTGCATTTAATATAACAGAAAGAAAAAGCAAAACACCACATCGAAAATAACAAAAACTGATTTATGCCCAAAATTGGAGTACTCTGGAAAGAATATGGCACCGCAACCAGTCGACTAACCGTCGTCACGTCGTGTAACCAAATCAAACAATAATCTCCAAAAGCCAACAAAACACGACACCGATCTGATCACGTACAACGAAACCGAACAAAATGTAACGCAACAGAATTCTACGTTCAACCTTTGTCTGGGAACTGTTTTCTTTTAACGGACTTTTCTTGGGGAAAGCTTAGTGTCGCAGTTGCTGAACAGAGTCCATTAAAGTAATCACAAAAATTCCAAACGGCCATGACGATTACCGCGATTCAACCCACCACGCCGACCACGAGCGGGCACTTTCGGCGGAGCCATACCCTTCCTGTTCAGTTCTTCCGAGATCTTTCTGTTCATCCGAGCTTTCATGGTTGAGGATGCTGCAGTGGCGCGATCGCTGTAGAATTCCTGCTAAAGAAAAATTTCAAGAAATAACTAACCGATTTATTCATATGAGTAATTATTTTGTTCTTTAACCGTTTTGGTAAGGCCTACTCAATACAAATGGATAATATTACTTCTTTGTTTATTAATCATATATATTTAAAAAATGGGGGCAAATTTAAGTACGTTGCCGCATACTTAAATTTGCAAAGTATAATAGTAATCTAATAAAATGTAAGCCAGTAAACAATTGGGAGCTGAAATACTCAAGTCGATTTACAGTATTTGCTGCCTCGCGAATGCGTTTTGGGGAATCATCTCCACGAACCGAATCCTCCGACATAATGACGCTAGTCTGCAACAAAATTGTGAAAGTCGCATTCAGTTCAAAATATTACTTCACCAAATTCTTAGAATTAATATTTTCTTACTGGGAGGTCAACATATTCGCTTTCGTTGCTGCTCATAGAAAGGGCACGCTTTCGTGGCACCACTGGACCGGGTCGTGGATGCATGACTTTTCCCGCGGCAGGCGGACGTGGTTGCAAAAATGTTGGTTGACCCGGTTTGCTTTGTGCCGGTTGTTCTGCTTGCTGGGTAGGTGGACTACAAAAGTAAGGTTTATTCGAAGGCGTTATCGGTATAGGAGAAATCTAGGTGTGCAATGGACGACTTACGGACTCAACATGATGGTAGTAATTTCCTGCTGGGAAAGTCGTTGCTGTTCCAGTTCGTTTGCAGCATTCTGTTCTTGGACGCGAGTCTATAACACATAATTTGTTATTAAAAAGCATAATGTCTGCTTTAAAATGCGAGGAAGTTAATGTGGACATCAGATACTCAAGTATTTGTGTCAAGGATATATGTACCTGCAACGAACTGACTTCTTCCCTTTTCAGACTGCATAACTTCGCCAGAAAGTCCTTCTTGTTTCGCGCACTTTCAAGAAGTGATTTTTCTTTGCTCACAGTTTCCTGCCAATAGTTTATTAAAATTAAAAAGGTCGACTCTGCTTGCACCGGAAACACCGCCGGAGCTAAAACATTTTCAAACTGAATGGCTGCTTAAAATGTTCTTAATTCTTGATCGGTGACCGGGGTCACCCGTGCACGCAGACAACGCCCGTGTCTACCTTACTCCTGCATCTAGCGTGATTCGAGAAATGCAGACATAAAAATGTTATGGAACTGGTACGTACCAAAATTTCGTTCTTTTTCTCCTGCGATGCTTTCTCAAAGGAATCACGAGCATCTCCAATACAACGTAACTGATCTTGAGCAGTTAAATGTTTTTCACGGAAATTTTCCTAAAATCGTAAAAGCGCGCGTAACCCAAATTAAGATACCGCAATTTAAATGACATCAACTTGTCGGATTTCCATTATAGGATTCTCTACACCATACAGACTGTAGCGTAGCGATTACATTTGCATTTTGGAGCAGTTGAAGTTGGTCTTTCAATTCCGCAATGTGAACATCCTTCTTGCCTAAATAGAGAGAGCATCAAATTAATGCAACCACAACGACAGTTTTTGTATTATACCATATTCCAGCTGCAGTTCAGCCAAAGTTCCCTTTAAACGAACTCTTTCGACTTCCCAAGCATCAAGACTGAAAATAAGGACACAAATCACGTCGACAATTTCTCAACACTGCATAATCCAGGATTAAATATACGGCTACCTTAACTTTACGGAAGCCAGTTTAATCTTAAAATTAAAAATAAAATTACTAACAAATTACTAAAACTAAACTGACCGGGTCTGGCATGACTTTCCAGCTGTTTCTAAGTCTTCAACTACTTTTTGCTTTGACAAAATGGTTTCTTCCCAGTTGGATCGAAGAGCAGATAACTTTGATTCTTTAGCCATCAAGTTGCACAGTTGCTGTTCATATTCCACACGACGTAACTGAAGTACCGTTTTGGTTTCTTGCAGTTCCGACTACAAACAAGTATACACGGCAACACTTAACCAGAGGAAGAAGCTAAAATAAGATAAAAGGAAGTCGTACAGATATTCCCTCCGCTTCTTTTTCCGCAAGGCTGAGAGCCGATTTGCAGCATTCCAGTTGGACTTGCAGTTCCAAAAGGCTGCTTTTTGCTTGCCCTAAGTGTTTTGCAAACCGATTCAACCTAGCTCAGCCTATTTCGAACACAAAACAAAACTGCGGTTACCGATGTCATCTGCTTTGTCGGTGTTGTCACTTTCTTGTTTTTTCTGCTCTTCATTCAACCGTGCTAAATCCATTTCGAGTCGGGATAGGAAATTCCGGCGAGTCTCCAGCTGAACAATTAAAGCACTTTTCCTTATCGAATGGGAAAATGCCAACGACTGAGCGAAAGTTATAGCCTACTTCAAGCCTGAGATCCGCTTCCGCTGCTGCAAGACTCACGAGGCTTTCTTCTTTCTGTCGGGCTAAAATAACGAAAACTCCACAAAGGATACAAGCCAAGTAAGTCGAGCGTGAAACTGACCTTTATTTTTGTGATGCTTTTCAAGTTTGACCAAATCTTTTTTTGCCGATTCGTACCAAAACAGTAGTTGCTGAAAAGTAATGACCCATGTAAATAATGGCTACATGACTGCAAGAAATAATGAAAAATTCAGGAAAAATGCAAGTACAATTGAAAGCAAACCTTTTGCTTTTCCTGACGGGAGGCATTGTTTTTTTCGACCGCTTCTTTACCTAGGTCATCTAACAGAACCACACAGAATTGAAAACATCCAAAACAATGGTTCAAAAAAGCACATGGGACGAAAATTATTTAAATACATACAATCGCATAATTTAAATGTAACTCATGTTTCACTACAGCAAGACACAACCGAAGGGACGAAAGAGTTGTTAACTGGACAGGGATATTAAGCAACGTACGAATAGGACTAATCCAAGGGCATGCAGTAAATTTCGTTAAATTACTTTATCTGTACCTGCAAACCTTATTTCCGTACGCGACTTACAGTCTCTTGCGATAAGCTCATGTTAATTAGAATAATGTCAAATGAAAAAATTATTAGTTATATAGACGTTAGTTCGCTCTAACTTGAGCTGATTTATCATGTATAACCATAAAATTTGCTTACTTGTACTGTGTACAGACAGTACAGTGATTATCAGTCCTCTCTCATCACACTCCGGGTTTTTGGCCACTTACACTGCTGAATAACATCCGACAGGCAATCCACATCCTCGATGAGAACATCCAGTCTTTGACGAACTTTATCCATTCTACAATACGGGAAAGGCTAGGATTATTAAACACTATAATAAATAACCAGACGGGGCACCAGATCGCGTAGGCAGCAGTTGCCTTTGGAAGAAGTTTAATTTAAGGTTTGGTACCTTGTCCCGCTCTGGTCACGGTAATGGATTTCATTGTGCAGTGTCGTTTCCAGTTTCAGTTTTTCACCTTCTGAGCGCTCCAGTTCCTGCAGCATGGCCGCATATTTCTGCTGACCGCGAGTAAGGTCAGCTCCCTGCAAACCGAAAAACGCAGCTGGTGCCGTCCTTTAAACGGCGAGTATTTGTGTCTACAAGTTAAGTCCGACACTGCATACCTTTCGGTCTTTGAGTTTTTGCCACTTTTCGTACCAGTTTTCAAGCTGTACCAGGTGATGATCAACCTCAGCTAGCATGATGTCAGCTACGACAGGTTCCACGTCGAACTGCTCCGCAACTTGTTCGGCAGTTTCAGCACGATCCTGTTCGATCTGCAGCATTTTTAATCGCAAATGATACGCTTTTAATAAAAAATGTGGTTAGTCAACTCAAAACAATGCGAAAAAATAAAGTGGAAATGCGATTCAGGGAAAAAAAAAGTTAAAGCTGAAGTAAACCTAGTTTTGACAGACAGCTGAAACACGAAAAACGTTTTTCGATTCAGGGAAAAAAAAAGTTAAAGCTGAAGTAAACCTAGTTTTGACAGACAGCTGAAACACGAAAAACGTTTTTCACATTCGCCACAGTCCAGTAGCCAGCAGGACAATCATTACTGAGCGCCGTGTATGGCATGCCGTTTGGCTGAAAACGTGGAAAGGGGAAACGACAACCCAAGCGTACAGCGCCGAGCACACATCTTTTCCCGATCCGCAGTACCATTTTTAGGTAAAATTGTAAAAATTTAGAAATCGCACTGAGTACGAATGCCAAACTTTTGCTTTCATTAAATTCCTAGAGCAGTTATTTGCATTCGTTCTTTCGGTGGTGCTATAAAATGAGGATGAAACGATCTGGTGTACTGGAACTTTTGGACGAGAAGAAACCTTTGAAGATTTGCGCTCCCATGGTGAGGTACTCCAAGTAAGTGAACACAGCATTTTCTGGCCGCTCTTCATATCAGTTTCAAGTTTCCACACCAGCTTTTTTGAGCTTCGTTGTAAAAATTATCGTATTTGGGATCAGTGCGGAAGTTTCACTTTTGCTTGTTAGATAGACACTTTTGTTTTCCGGTTGTGTTACGGCACAGAAAATCTTTCGAGACATACCGTATACGCAATTTTTCAGATTGCAGTTTCGACATTTGATGCGAAAATGGGGGGCAGACGTGGTTTTCAGCCCGATGATTACTGCGGATACTTTCAGAAAGTCTGCTAAGGCTCGCGATGCTGATTTTTCTACTGATCAAAGTGAGAGTGGTGTCTCGGTGTGTCTTAAAAAATAACGATCGTTTTGTGTAGACAGTCTTCGCCGTACGGTTTTCGGAAATTTTCGCATAGTAGTAAAGTTCACATAGTATGTCTTTTTTCACAGATGATTTCCCGCTTATCGTTCAGTTTGGTGCTAGCTCACCGGAAATTCTTTTGGACGCAGCTGAACATGTAATTGGGTACGCGCGCGGAAATTATTTAATTTCGTTTTTTTCAGCAAATGATTATAGTGCAGTGAGTTTCACCAGGAATTTCGATTGTTTGTAAAATTTATCGTATAGGCTTTGCGACGGGATTGATGTTAATTGTGGATGCCCTCAGAAGTGAGCTCCTTCCGGTATTTGTGTTGTTAACCTTGTTGCTGACGATATAATTTCTAAGGTGGGCGATTGGAGAAAAGATTGGAGGATATCTTTTGAGTCGACCTGAACTGATCCAAGATATGGTGCGGCAGCTGTGGAACCGGGTTCCGGAAACTAGTTTTACGAAATCTATAAAGATTCGAGTGAATGAGGATATCTCGTAGGTTTTGTAGAAAAGATTTTCGGTATTAGTGAATAATATTAATTGTCACGTAATAAAAAATTATTCGAAGCTTTTTGCTTCAAAGCAAAACCGTGGATTTATGCCGGCAACTCGAGGCGGCTGGTGTTTCTTTCATAACCATTCACGGACGAACACTGAAGCAGAAAAACGAGCCTGCAGACTGGGATGCCATTCGGATTGCTAAAGAAGCCGTCAGGATCCCCGTTTTCGCTAACGGTGATATTAAAACATACGCAGATATTGATCGGTGTGTGGCTGCAACGGGTGCTGATGGAGTTATGTCGGCTAACGGGGTTTTGATTAATCCTGCTCTGTTTTCTGGCTATGATGTGACACCTGTGGAATGTGTTGAAGACTGGGTAAGTTGCTAAAATCGCTTGTTTAACTCATGAAACGCGATGTTAAAAACATAGCCACAATTCGTACATCAGAACCGAATTCACGCGCATTTTTCTTGGTTGCCGTGTTAGAACTGATAACAGTTACTGTGACATTAATATTTTTTGTTTAGCTCCAGATTAATCAAAGAGATCCGTCGTGTCCATTTCGCATTTTCCACCATCATTTAATATGGATGACGGAAAAAATACTGTCGAAATCTGAGCGAATCAGATTCAGCGATTTGCAGAAGAAAGAAGATGTCGTACAGTATATTACGGATTATTTCCACATCGATCCAGAAAAATTGCAGACCAGTAGAGCGGCACAGATGGAACAATATGGAATTACCTGACCGCTTTCATTCCCGAATGCCCAAATATTGAATTGTCCAGCTGCGACTGGCAGTAAATTTTGTTTACCTTTGCCATGTCTGATGCACTAAAAGAATTGGAGCTGCCTAAATGTTCGTTGGGATCACTTTTGGATCGTACGGTCCATGTATCAGGATCGTTGGCGAATTTGTTTCCATCGAAGTGGCTGACAGATTCAAAATCAAATGGAAAATCCAGTGTGAGGAATGCTTCCGGCAAATATTTCGAGAAGCTCCGCACGAACCCTGCAACGATGTTGGTTCTGGCTGCTGTTTTGTGTAACTCAACTCACAGCTTTTTGATTAAAAGCACTTTTAAAACGTTTTACGTGGCCAATTGGTTTTGGTTACTACTATACCTGTTCGAATGTTTTGCCAGTTGATCTCGATATACTGGTCCCGGTCTGGGCGATTCAGCTCACTGTGAAAGCCTACAAAGCATTATTAGATTGCATACTGTACTCTGCTATAACTATACACCTAAGAGAGAATAAAATGTACAGTAAAATATTCCTTTCGATGTTCTGGGGTACGTTACGTTTTTCTTATATCGATACTGACGAACAATGATGAAAACAGATAACTGTAAAGAATTTTTTCTTGAAACATAGATTATTTCAAACCGAACCAGACCATAGAGCACAGATGTTCTTACCTAGAACGTGCATTAGTTGTCGGGCTACTCGAGCTGGCGTGAAACAGCCTGCATGGATAAATAACAAAAATTTATTATGATATTATTAATATTGAAAACAGCGTTGTACCTGGTGTGTTGTTGTTCAAAAACTATCGATACGTCGTGTACTTGTACTTGTAGTACGATAGTACTAGACAGTACTTCTATTGTAGGCATTGGGTATTGTTATAACAGAACAAATAATATATATACGTAAAACGTACCTTTTGATAAGAAAACATATTGTCGCTTTCCTTGCATCCCGACATTTGCAGCACATCTGGAATACATATATAAATATAAGTATACTGGGTAAACGAGAACGATTGAGTAATTTGAGCGTCCTTTGGGCTAACGGAGCTCATTTTGCACTTACGCCGGCCCTTTGGTGAACAAGGTGTAATTTTTCGTTTGACTTCACTGGGAATCGGAGACAGGTTTGGACTCCAGCTTCCCGAGGAGTGCATTGGTTTCGTTGCCTGAAATTGTGTGAGCGTCGCTTTACAAAGAGTTTCGTGCACTGGTACACGCACTTTTTCATTCTTGCTTTTGTTTCGTTACAAATGTTTTGTTAATCTTTTAGTGCGGTTCTTTACTGTAAAAAGAGAAATGACTTACCGGATAAATTCTCGGCAAAAGCAACCGGCACTGTTGCATTCAACCATATTGTGGGGCTGCCAAAAAATGTCTCTATCTTGCGAAGACTTCCGTTTGGAATCACCTAAAATAACAGTTTCCATACCGCGCTCGTTATAGTGATTTAGTACTATTTAAATACGGTATTTTTAGCTCATAAGGGAGTTTAATTTTCTTTCGCTCATTGTACGAAGGCAGCGACGGCGACATGTTTGGGCGTTTTGAGATGCCGGTTGTGCGGGAAGCGGTGATTGAGGCACATCCCGTGCGCTCAACCTTTCTGTATAGCAGCCCCGAATGCCCACGATCAGGTGTGCGGGTGCTGGCTATCAGACCGATCCCTTGCAAGCCGAACCTCCCCTTTATTATGAACAAAACTGCACATGGGATGCTAGCATGACAAAGCCTCCGCGCATAGGGCGGGCGGAACGGGAGAAAAAACCATGCAAACCAGAACTACATAAATTCAGGATGCAGCCGCAACTGTTCTGAAACTTCGAATAACTTAATAATCTGTATGCACGTTTCAGGAGTACAACCCACCACAAGACTGTTGCTAAGCAATGAGCGCCAGTAGAATACAAAAGAATCACTTCCGCTCAAGTAAATTAACCATAATTAAATGCCAAATTTAATTGTACATTAAATCTCTACACGGTCTACCGAGTATACACTTTACACAACTTTATGCAGCGTAAGCTGGACGAGCGCATAAATACGTGTATACGTGTATACGTGCCGGCACGTATACGTGTATACGTGCCGGTATAATTTGTATACGTGTATTATTCGGTAGACCGTGTAGAGATTTAAACTCCCTTATGAGCTAAAAATACCGTATTTAAATAGTACTAAATCACTCCTATAATGTTCTGACAAATCGAGAATGACCATAACTAATCTGTTATGAAGTACCATAGAATCACTGAAGTCTGTTATTTTAAATTCGCTTCATTCGTACTATGGCAGTAGTTATACCAACTTGCACGGAAAGCTTTCCCGTCAAAGATTTATCCACGTAATTGTCGGCAGCAGTTATCCCACAATAGGCAAATATACTGACACAGATAAGCAGCACATTTTTCTGAGCAAACATTTTTGCACTTTTGCTAGCAATTGTAAAAATATAGTCGAAAAATTACTATGTATATCTATTGTTCGTAGTGGATTAATGTACACCGCGCTTCGACAGATGCAGAATGAATTAGGATTATTGAAAAAACAACCGTTGCGTACATATACGTGACTGTAGAGTGATCACTTCCTGCAGGCTCGAATAGAGAAGTTGCTTAATTATGACACAAGCAATTAAAGATGTCAACTTCGTTAGGGGGTTTCTTTTCTTTCACTCTGGTAATGTTTGACAATTGTTACGGCGACCATCCGAAACGACACACTTTTGTTCATCATTGTTGCATCGTGAAAGCGACCCGGTTTCGCACCACGGAATTCAATAAATTTTTTTGTGAGACAGGCCAAAATAACGGCTACCATAGATTTAAATTAAAAACGGACTATTAATACGGAAGATCACCTATTAACATTCTTTATTTTAAAATGAACATTCAAATCTTCGATCTGCGTTATTGGGTTTACTAGTAATCTGCTATAGCGAAACGGTAAAGGCACCGTATAAAAGCACTGTTTTTACCGTATTATTTAAACTGACTTTTCAGTTTTCAAAATTTAAAGAAAACTTTTGTTATATTTGAATTTTAAACTCTCAGCGTTTAATGCCCGTAACCGAAGACCCTAATCGAAAACTGTTAAACAATATCCATGAAAGCAGCGCATTATTGATAGCTAGCACAGAATATTAATGCAGTAGATAAAAATTTTGTTTATCACTCGTCTGCCCGGCGACTGCCGGACAGCAGTGCGATGAGTCACATACTGTATCTCGATGGGTTGAACAAGTGGCTTCCACTCTGGAAGCGGCTTGACCAGTGGAAAAGTAAACAGCCTGTCAAATTCGCTTCTGGACACAAAAGCGTCTCTCTCTCTCTGAGTATGTGACGCAGCGGCGAGGGAACCGAACTAGAGAGGAGTGGGGCAGTAGGCAAACTGCGATATACTATACGGAGCTACCGTAGCGTAAACCTAATGAGACGTGGACTTCGTCGACATTTTGATTATGCCTTCATTTTTGGCTGGCTTGGTATTCCATCAGATCCTGTATTCACACATGCTTATCAGCATCAGAAATTCCCGTCGTACATTATTCCTGCGACAAGGTGGTTTCGCGCTTGAGCACACATTTCCTTAGAGACCTTTTCTGGATGCTTTAAAGTTAAAGTAAGAAATCCATAAAATGCCTGATAGATCGGGTCTTTTTACTGTTTCCAAGACGAAAAGTCGCCTCCCGCCGCGACGTCCAAAGCTGAAAAAGCGACCTAAGGTTTGTGTTCCACGTATGCTGTAGCGTTTTACTTACTTGTGAATTCATTCTCCAGTCAGACATCTGCAGTACGCCGTAAATGTAAACAATAGTTTTGGAAGCACTGCTTGTTAAGTTAACGGGCATTACATCAACTGAATCTACGTGATCGTGCCTGACTGGCTTTCGGTACAAAAGCGCTTTTGATCATTTCAACCAAAATTTTGTTAAAGTGCTTCGATTTACTAACTCCTACGCAACTCTTCTGGCGCGGATATCTACAAAATAACTTAAAGCAGAATCAATATCGTATAGTGATTTAAAATGGCAGTGGGGTATAACTACATCTAGCGCTATCAGGTTTTGACCGCTGGGCGCTGGTCAGTTCTGCTTGTGTTAACTGCTCAAATCAAGCGGATGCTGCTGCATGCACTGGTTGATAACTTGACAATAAGTAAAGAAGACTTGATGCTAAATCCCAAACATGCCCGTGTATATTATGATGATGAAGTTTGTTTGTAGCGGAAATGTTCCCCCGGGATCGCAATCTGGAAATCCGCTTCTATTGGTGGAGAACGAATATTTTCGTTATTCCGTATTGGAAAGGCTTTTTGATCCGCGGTTTGATCGAAAATCAACAAATTCAATGATAAAGGACATTTCTCCACAAGGTAAGTACAGAATAGTAATATCTATCGTATAATTTATCTTTTGTCAATACTTCTGTGAAGTACAGTATGTATGCAAATTTATGTGGTGTAGTGACTGGCCACTGCATATTCTTTCAGAATTTACAATGGATAAACTTCTGCGAGAGGGATTTTCCTGGCCATTGGTATTCACAAACGGTGCTCCAGTTGGCATGAGGTATGACTATACAACGATCGGCAATCGGCATCGTTATTTTTGCGTGGTTATCTAGAAGGCATCGTGGTTATTTGCAATTTTCCATTGCAGAATTCCAGAGGGCCTTACTCCTGATGTGGTTGCAAAAGCTGCAGGTTTGTTGCTGTGAATTTGCCAAAAGTTGTCAGAACTGCTGAGACCGTACATAATCTTGTCGCATACTTAACTGATTTTTGTGGATAACTTTGGATAGGTCTTAAGAGTAGAGTGGAGGTGATCAACTGCGCCTCGCAGGAAGGAATTCAGATGCCCCTTGGTCAGTTTGTTGAATACTTTACCGGTGGAGAAAAACGTTCTCTACCTCGAGGTCGTATTTCGGCCAAGATCTACAATTTGATTGATCTGGAAGTCAGCCATACTCGCCTCACCGATCTCATTGACGCTCCTTTACTGGTACTGTAACAACTGCACCGCCGATTGCCATAAGACCGTACATATTATATTTATTTTATCACCGTTGATTGGTCATGGTATTTTTTACGTTCACATCATGTAGATATAGTTGACAATGTTTTGTGCAGCGCCATAATTTCTGCCGTTCGCAATTGACATGTTAGAATATTTGTGAGACCGCCAGGTTTTTGTAGAAATACATTCGTTGGATGTTATTGGCAGGTTCGTCAGCTAGATTGGGCCACGAATCTTTGGCCACGTGATCTCCTGCCACCGATAGCTGATCTCCCTTCAGAACAGGATCATACATTTTCTTATCCGAAAACCCAGAAATATGTTCTGATGAGTAAAGCCGGCAGCTTTACGGATTTTCACATTGTAAAATTACTTAAGAATTTGGTTTGTTGCGTATTAATAATTCAGATTATCTATTTTTTTACAGGATTTTGGTGGGTCATCTGTTTGGTATCATCTCCTCAGTGGCAAAAAGGTAAATTGCAATGGTAATGCTCTTGTAGATGTTTAATAAGCCATATGATAGGCATGCAAGCGAAATTTTGTACTACTTTGTACTAATTTATACGCCATAGTCCATAATATTGTTCTTTTTCCTTGTATTATGTGTTTTGTGTGCACATGGTGTATTCGTTTATGTTTTAGATCTTTTTCGTCATTCCACCATCCGAAAAGAACAGGAACGTGTACGCCCAATGGGTACGCTCTGGACAACACCTTGTATTTCTTGCCGACGAAGTGGACGAATGCGAGCGTATCGAAATATCACCCGGCGATACTCTAATGTTGCCAAGTGGTAAGCAATATTAATTTTCTTGAACTGAGAGAAAAACATTCTGCTTTAGAATCTTATGTACTCTGTACAAGCACAAATAATCTTATAATATATTGGTGTTCTATTTGGTGCAGTAGCGCATGTTTTTTTAAGGCTGGATTCATGCTGTTTACACGTTGGACGATTCTGTTGTTGTTGGCGGAAATTTTCTTAACAGTCTACATGGAGAAATGCAGATAGACATTTCCATACTGGAGCAAACGCTAAAGGCAAGCAAAAAACGAATTAAATTTAATTAAAATGCAAAAACTAATTTTAGTTGGACAAATTCAGGTCAAGAAGTCGACACGGTATCCATTCTTCAGCGATTTGCTGTGGTTTGCCGTGCGCCGATACGCCGCTGTGCTGAAAGGACGAAGTCCAAACATGAGCCAATACGAGATCCAAAGCATCTCCGCCGTTGTTAATTATTTAAAAGCATATGCTGAACTGTCACCGTCTGTTAGTCCGGTAGCAGCAAAGAGGATTTACAGTCCGCTGACACTCCTGAAGGAAGTGGAAGTGAGTGTGAAGCCCTTTTGGAGGGTTTAAATATGTCGGCACTGCTCACTGTTCGGCTTCCTTTAAAGTCTGTTAAGTAACCGTTACTGGATAGTTCTTCAAAATTAAAGCAACAACTGACTGTGAATCTCGTTTGTTTTTTAAGAGTCATGTGAAAAGGTTGCAAGAATGCGCTACAAACAGCGGATTGATTTTTGCTATGAATCTTCCGTTGTATGACCGGCATGTGGAAAGCCCGGAAATAGGACATCCCACCACAGCGCCACAGTTGCTGGCCAGTCCAGCCAGAATGGCAAACGCGGATCACGTAATACCGATGGCGTTTGTGATGTGATTGTAACAGTGCTGTGATTTCCTGTGCGTTCGTGATTTGATAAACTGCAGATATTGCAAAAACAGGAATTTACTTACTCAGGAAGGTAATTTACAGAAATTGTTCAAAGAATGCCCCCCGGATGAAATTTCTACGGAGCCTACTCCGAGCACAGTATCTGACAGCTGGACGCAAACAGAGATCAGCTGGCCACTCATATCCCCGTATCCAGTGTTTCCCTGGCATTTTTGGAATTTTCACACCAGTTTTTGTACTGAAAATCCGGCCCTGTCCGAGACTAACGCGCTGTCTCCTACAAATTTCGGTTTATTTCCCTTCGATTTCCGATCTGCAGAATTTCGCGGAAATGGTTCAGTGGAACAGCCGCCTTTAACTTATATGCAGTTGTAAATTGTTTCACTTTTGACGTTTTGTCATTCTGTTCTGTTAAATTCTAAATACGATTATGCAGTATTATTAAATTTTGGGTTCTTTTATTGCCTTTACATTGCAGTGACGGTATTCAGTTGTATTAATGCATAAAATGCAGTTGTACGAAACTGTAGGAGTTCCGCTGTAAAGTGCGATCGCACAATGCATTCCACATGTAAAACTTCGTGCTTGCGGTTAGTCTGAATCCTGGAATTAGAGAAAACCGAAATGTAACAAGCTGGAAATTCGAAAGTATTTATACAGGATTGTAATTGTGTTAAGGTCAGCAGAAATTTTTGTCCGATAAGTTAACTTGAATTTATTGTCGCAAGACCGTATGAAACAGGCCAAAAAATATTAACGATGTCAAAATGTGTTTACGTGTACTCCAAATGCTCCTTTAAAGATCTTAAAAAAAGTTGACAACTTTTATGCACAGACTCCAGACCGTTCCCGCATGCGACAAATTAAATCAAAGCCCTTGCTAAAAGACATAGAAATCTTTGTAACGATTGTTTCACCGTAAAGATTTCAAAGAAAAGCACCATGCCGCGCATATTTATGGATCGTACCAAACCAATTGTCGAACGATACAATTAAGAATTAAGTGCCGAAACTACGAAACAACAGCCTGCTATTGCACGCACCGGCCTCGTCGCCTCGGTTAGTTTTGATTTAATTGTATTTCTCGGCGTCGTAACATTCAGGAGTCAAGGGACCTTTTGGAATTTGTTCAAAATACAAAAAGCCCCTTGACTTTGGTCCAGTTTAACTCAACTCGATACTCAGTCATATGATTAGTTTCTGAATTTCCTTCAGTTATGCTCAGTGACACTATCTGCATCTTTTTTATCAAAACTATTGTCTAAAGAAATTTGTGGATCAATCCTTATTCCGAGTCAGGAATTTCCGACAAATACCGCCCAGAAAACATTCAAAACATCTGCAGAAAGCCTGCAGGTGCATTAACGGTTATGCAAATCAAAATTTTAGGAGATTAAAATTTATTTTGTAAGAGTTTTCATTGAACTAATTGTACGGGAATAGAAATCCAAAACTGAAGGTTATCATCTGACATCATTAATAGTTATCAAAGGATTTCAAATGAGCGAACGGCCGTTTCTACTGCTGCACGTACAGTACGCGTAGGCTGCACTGTGGACAGGGCTGCCCTATTGGTTTTAAAATGACTTGGGATTTGGGAAGGCAGACTAGTCTGGTGCCACTCTACTAGAGTCTAGATCTAGAAAACTTTTATCAGTGACAAATTTGAAATTCCAAGTTCTGCTTTTGCGCGAGATTTGTTATCATCTGTTTTTGTAACTTGCACGCAAGGTTTTGGAACTTGTTTATACCGGACGGGAGTATGTGAAGCGTGTTGACGGATTATTTTTACCACAGTGTTTGGAGTTGCGTTACGGGTAACGCCGTCGGGTATGGTTTGTCGCTAGGATGGATAGCATGTGTGAAGAATGCACTGAACCTAAGCGAAAGTATGATGCTTGTTTCAACAAGTGGTTCTCTGAGAGATATTTGCACGGACACACTGATTTGGCAAACTATTGTGACGAACTCTTTAAGGAGTATCAGTCGTGTTTAAAGGTACGTTGCCAAATGTGCTGTTTCCTTCGTTTCTCAGTTTTGTGTTACCTGGTCTCGGATTCTTCGGTTCATATCTTCTACAGAGAGCTCGAGTCATGATTTTGAGATTTGTTGTTCACTTACAGTTTAAATTTGTCGTTTTCAGAAATGTATCGCGGATAAGAACATTGATTTGGGAGATGCTGCGAAGGGCATAATGAACGCAGATGCAGATAAGTTCTTGGAAAAAGAGAAAAAGAAGGAGAGTGGCCACCATTAATTCGATCACCGTTTGGGAATTCGCACTTCCCGTTGAACGCAGTTTCCTGGGTTTTGAATTTCATTTCGCTAACGAAATATCTAGCTGAACGTGGGACTTTTGAGAAAGGAACTAAACAGTGGTGGACAACAGTCACAACACGAATTTATTGGTGTCTGGAATCGCCGTTACTGGTTCTTCGTGTGCACTTGCGCGAGACGTCGATGAAAAACTGTTCCTACCTTGATCGCGAATGTTTATGTGAAAGACTAATTTATTTCAGTATTCAACCGTAAAGAAAACTAAATTGTTTTTGGTTTGATGCTTTTAGAGGGAAGGGTAGCCTGTAACCTGGTGGATAATAAATGATAGTGCGCTTGTTTAGGTTATAGAAAACTGTTATAATATTGATGCGAATGCGAAAACTCAGGGCGTGCTGCTGGCGATAAATGTTTTTGATGCTGCCGGCGGAAATTAAAAATTCATGACGTCACTGAACGATTGTGATTGGCTAGCCTTTTTCGTCCCGTTTGGAATCATGTCTTGCTCGGCAGCATGACTCTAGCAAGCAGCTTGTGATGTTGCCAAAAACTTAAAATTTTGGCAACATCGTTTTGGGGTGTTGGGGGAGGCTGGGGGTTGTTGCCGAACATGTCCGAAATTCAGATTGTGTTTGTGTCATTGCTCACCTACTACCGCCTTGCAATTACGAATATCGCCGTTTGAATTTACAACTTTACCGTGCAGGTTCCTTTGGATTTTCTCATACGCACAGGGTTTTTTTTAGTAGAATTGCCTGCTTCTACAAAATTGAAGCTGCTTTGAAAAAGCTGGGCGTATATTGAATTAACGCTGCAACTTGAAATTTGCACTCAAACGGCAGCTTGTTTTCGCATTCCCGTCAATATCTGTAGATTATTTATGTTTTCCGCGGCGTGCTGATGGCAAGGCTTGTGTCATAACTACAGTAACTTTGCAGAAAATAAAAATAATTTAATGTGTTCCCGGTCTTTTCCTGGTGAATTGGAAATGTCATAGTGTACGGCATACCGACTGGGATCTAGATATCTACAATATTACATGTACATTGTACGTAGATAATTAATTTTTATAAGATACAAGAACATGGTGATATGCAGTACTCAAGGGATCCGACCTATTATACTAGTACAGTAGTCGCACTACCGGCACATAAAGAAGTACAAAATTAAGTAAGAAGTAAGGGTAATTTGCGCAGACCCTGTGAGAGCAATCGATCATTTAAGGATTCAGGTTTCATCAATGCATCTGAGGACAGACTGCGGCGATTTTAATCGTGTCCAATGGTCAGCTGCCCGCGTTGACCGATATTCTGGTGAGACCGATGCGATGTTCTGACTAATGAAATGGTAGACAGTAAACTGTCCCATGTCCACGTTATCACGCGATTAAGTGGGCAGGTCTTCGTGTGAATGTTGCATGACCACTTCCGAGCGCTAACGGGCACTTAGGGACAAAACATGTTTATGCAGTCGATGCAGTGACTTTCTCATCTTCCTCGAATTCTCAATCTTCTAGTTAAGTTAAGTTCTTCTAGTGATTTGTCAGAATTCGATCTCGAAGACGTTACAGAAGAAATCAAATTTTCTATGTTTTACCAGTAACTAATTAAAAAAATGCTTCTGATTCTTTTTGCCGCTCCGTTCCATTTTTGAAGGTGCAGAGACGAGAACTCATACTCGACTTGAAACAAGATGCCCTCCATCTCCCAAAGAATGCTTGTTGTGGGCCTTTGCGTCGTTGCAATAGGTACTGCATTGGTTTGCAAAAGGTTTTTATAATGTAAATTTTATGTGTATATGCTTTCTTGCTGCTGCTATAACGTGTAATATTCATTATGTCAAGGCATATTGAAAAACAATAAAAATAAAACAATTACTGTAACATCACATCGCAGGTTTTTATTAGGCGATATGGCTACATGGGAATACGTATTAAACATGGAAAATATCAAGCAGCTATAAGCAAATTTCTTTTCTGTGTTATCTTGTGCCAGTTTTTAAGGCGTACTTCAACACATTTGTTATAAATATAGATATCTGTATTTAACTTATTACAGTACTTTTATTACGACGCGCGATATTATATTGGTCATGTTGTGTAGCTGCAATATGCAGGATTTACTACGAGAACATTACATCTGGCATGTTCACATTCCATAGCATTAACCACCACTTTCCATACCTAATTTTATTGTTTTCGTTAAATTAATTTTATTTTTTTCTCAGCAGGTGCAACTTTAGCTCGACAGACGATAGGGGTGGTGCCTGCCATACCGCTGACACGTACCGCTATGCCCACCTCGACATCCTCCAGCACCAACATTCCATCCAACCTAACCACGGAGGCACCGAGGTCAAGCGTTTCATCTTCGCCCGGATTGCTGATCAATGCGACTTCCGAAACATTAATCAACACAACAACTCTTACAACGCCAAATCTAGATGCGAATAAAAGCGTGCAGCTTGCGACCGGCAACACAAGAGGAAGCAACAGCGCGGATATCACAACGGGAAGCACGATACCGGCACAGACGCCGGAAATCAACTTAAATAAAAATGCAACCGCAACGACCACAATCCCAACAATCAATGAAACTGTTAGCGAAACCACACCGTTGTCATCAGAACCAAGTACATCAGTGACTACTGAAATTAAAAATGAGAATGCAACAGAATCCACAGCTACAATAGAAACCGGTGATTCTCATGAAAATTCTACCCAGCTGAACGGAAACCAGACGGCATCAGCAGTAATGGACACCGGAGAGAAAGGTGAAAGTGAAACCATTCCTGAGAATCAAAAGAAGCTAGAGATCAACGCAACGGATGTGACTGTTACCACATTTACCGGTACACCAAATGGCGTCACGGAGTCGTTTACAGCAACCCAGTCTTTCGATAAACCATTCCAAATGGAAAGTGCTACTACTACTATAGACTTACTTGGAAGTTCAACCATCACCCCCAATTTGAATTCCACCAGGAACGATACAGAACTAAGTAGCGAAAAGGTATGTGCGGGTCATACCTTTTTAAATCCTCGATTTTATTAAATCAGTACTTTCCATGCGTAAATTTTACAGCTTTCAAATATCTCAACAAATCAGACCACTATTTCGCCACCCGCCTTGCCCTTGGTAACCTCAAATGCCACTCACCTGCCAACAGATCTTGCTACGACCACTGTAATATCCACTCTGAACGTGACAGAAAGGTCAAATAATAAGACTCTGATCAGCAACGGCACAGCGGAAAGCCCGGTGCAAGATTCAAAGGAGCCGCCTCAAGTCAGCATTTCCAACATGAATCCTCAGCCGATTTCCCCTAGCATTGTGGGAGGACTGCGGCATCGGCGTCAGTTGCAAGGCCTACCCATCGCTGACAGCGTTGTCATTGAGGATGTTGCAGCACCAGGACTAGTGCCCCTAGCTGGAATATCAACGGGGCTCGGAGGCGTTTTAGGCAATCGGCCGACTATCGTGGACAGTGTCGTCATGGACGATATAGTGGCCCCGAATCCCGGGGTAATTCCCGGTGTAGTGGGCGGGGTAGGCGGAACACCAACAATTGTGGATACCATTACGGTGGAGGACATTGTTGTGCCGGATGCTGCATTGGGATAACAAATGACCGGTTTTAATCCGGATCGACCTTACCATTAGCACTGCATGGCCACTATGGTCATCGTTCACGGCACAGTGACTCATGATTTTATATGCTTACTAATTACCGTTATAAGTAACAATATTTTGGTATAGTTCTGATTGGGAGACATTATATAAATGGCTGGCGGACTTCCGTATTTAATACCGAAACAAACACACTTACTATTCAGAAATTTTCAAATGAAAGAACTTAAAATTATAGCTAGTGCAGAGTCTGGAGACCGTATGCGCGGTGTCAACTTGTAAGGCAATAATATTATTTTAACACACTGCGATTCCCTGCAACAGAAGTACTTCTACAGCTTCCCTTTGACCATCAGAAATACCAACACACTTCCATGTTGTTGTAACCATTAAAATTTAAAACCATTGCTTTGAATACGTAAATCTATAAACATAAATATGACTTAAGTTTAAAACTACAGCCGCAAAATAAGATATTATGGCCATTTACGGGTAATTAATTACTTGCATTAATTATGCGGCAGTGAGTCCAGTGAGTGCACTCGTCCAGTGACCAATGTTCAAATGTCACCCCGACAGAAAAGAAACCAGCCGGTTGGCGATTAGAGTAGCTCAGTGGGAAGGCGAAATTGGTGTTATAAATGTGTATTAAATTAATAATGCGTGCGCTAACAGCCAACCGCCCAGAACAGCGACCGCTTTCGCAAATTCAAAACAACAAGTTTGTTGAAAATTTAAAAATTTTTTGCAACTGCACACTGCACTGTGAAATATATATTTTTCGTTTTCAATCATCCTTGTTTTTCGATGGAATGGTACTCATTTTCTCTGATACTAAATTTTTCGATCTTTAGTTCAGGATTGTCGTTTTGCAGCAGACGGTAGAGTCCTGCGTAGAATGGTTCGTCCGCTGCATTACGTCTTGAAAACGACCGATCGAGCTGCAAGTGTGCAGTTCCTGAAGGACGTCCTTCTGATGAAGGTAAGTATACCCTTCGACGCCCATCAAATGGCCCACTAGTTTGACTTAATGTGGCCGCTTTTTAGGTTTTGAGGCACGAAGAATTTTCTGAAGGATGCCAAGCTACTTGTAACGGGTAGGATTACTGTGAAGCTGTGTTTTGATTACTTTTCGATGTTTCCATCATCCATGATAGTGAATTATGTGATACGTAATGTGTATCACAAATGTAAACGAATAATGTATTGTTTAACTGCTTGTACTATTACGTATTGATGGATACCGTACCGTTTATTTGAAGTCCATTCCAAGGAAGATGGAGCAAAACTATGATCGGTTATGGAGCAGAGGATGAGCATTTTGTTTTGGAGCTCGTGTATAACTACGGAATTGAGAGTTATTCAACGGGAAATGATTTACAGGTACGTGATTGGTCAGGAATGTGGTTGATTGAAGCGAAACCATGATAAGTGCGCACTTGATATCTGAGTGTTAATCACACAAAAAACACACGAGTCTGTCGATTGCAGAAGATTACAATCCGTTCCAGCCCAGTGAAAGAACGTATTGTCGAAAAAGACATCGCTTTCGTGACGATGCATGACGGGGCTATTTTGGTTACGTCACCGGTCAATCCGGAAACCAAATTTGAAGTTCATGATGGATCCATCCCAGGTTTGTTTTGGATGTATAAAAAAAATCGAAAAAATTGGACCTTGCACTGGACTTCCCAATGGTGCTAATGCATACCCACCTATATGTGGGTGCACACACCTTTATAAAGGCCTGCATTGCCGGCATCACGTACTGTAGCTTCATGGCAGTTTTCTTTACAGACCCCATACAAAAAGTTACTTTGAGCTCATCCAATCTGCAACGCACTAAGAGTATGTAGATCAGTGAAACCATATTATTGATGGGTTCTGCATGTTTCACGTGGTTATTTTCAGCCTTTTGGCATGGAGCGTTGAAGATGAACATTGTGGAAGATAAGGAACACTACGTTATATTCGACTATCCAGAGGCAGCCAAAGTAAACCCACAGCTTTTCTATAAAGCTGATATGGCGCACGTTTTACATAACCAGAAACGATTCAGTTTCAGTTGGAATTTGTACTGCTTCCTAGCTCTGTGGAGTATGGATCGTCTCAAGGCCGGACAGCATTTTCTTGTCTCACTGAACAGGTTAGCGCAAAAGAATTTTTTCAGGGTTGGTTTTCAAATGCAAATAAAAGTCCTAAAATAGAAGCAGTCGCTGTGATTTGGGAAACCGTATCATTTTCAGAACTTAAGTTGGACCTAGGATACTGCCTAAAAATTCTCTGCAGCAGTCGAGCAAAAATCTTTCATATCTCCGCTGAATGTGAAAGTATCAAATTGAAAAGAGTTTTTCGAAGCTTGTTGCTCTCATGTTTAGCTAAGGGATATTCAGCGTACAACAGTAGTACACGGGTTCAAAATAAAAACCCCGCTAGTGAATCTGGACACCCCGGATAAAGCATCTGTCCAAGTTGTCATCCTTCTGGATCCGGTCAGTCCATCTGTTAAGACAGACAGAATTGAGGCGTTTACTTATCGCTTGCTTTTGTAAAACAGGATGGTCATGAAATATGCTTTGTCGCGGATGAAGATTTTCGGAAGTTGTCAACATTTGATCCCGAGGCGGAAAATTCTCTCCAACAGGTCTGTACTATGTACTTCAGGTACAAACATAAGATGGACACTGGTTAGCAGAAGTGTTTTCTGAAATTGTTTTCTGACCAGTTTGGTTTTTTTAGGCACTGGACGAGCATAAAACACGACTGGGAAAAGCGATACATTAAAACTCAAGCGCGTTCGGTACTTCTGTAGCGCCGAACTAATTGCAGTTTTATGTATGATGTTTTTATACTCGTTATTAATCGTTCGGTGATTGACGGTTCTGTGATTTTTTTATAGTTCCACTTTCTCGGGTTTCTTTTTTTCTTTGCTTTCTTTGCTGGGCTTGTTTCCCTTTTCGGCTTTTGGTACAATCTGATCACCCTGTTGCTCAAACACAATTTTACCATCTCCTTCTGGTTTCAAGACGTGATCCGCTTGAATCTGAAAGATAATAATTTTATGATATCCGAATTCAGTAGCAATTTTATCTGGAATTTTGTATTAGCGCGCCTTTTTGATTTATCACTTATAGTTCACACTTTTAATCATATTTTATAGTGTTACCTTATCACGGAGATTTTCTGCCGGTGAATCCTTAATACCCTTGCAAACACCTGATATTTGAAAACAAACGGCGGCTTCCAGTTCATGCAGCGTAACTTTCGAGTTGGCCTCGAAATGCTGAATTAAGGACTTCTGAATTTCTTTTTTATGAGCATCTGCAGAAACATAAGCAATATTAATTTAGCTGCTAGGATATAAAAAATTACCATAGTATCCACGTGTTTCAGAATTTAGCTTACCCAGTAATTCGTTGCAGGCACGCACCATTTTAGGCGGGCTGTACACATATTTTACGAGGTTCTCCAAAGTACATATTTTCTCTAGAAGTCTCGGAACTCGCGCCGAATATGCACCGGAAGCCGGCTTGCTTAATTTTTCATGCAGTTCAGAAATAACACCATGGCATCCTTCGCAGGAAAGGGCTGAAAAACCACTTCGTAACAAATTTGCTGGAATTGTAAAATTACAAGTAGCACGGATTTGCATACGTATATTTGATCTGATTGATTTCTAATAAAAGCAGAATTTAGGTTTTGATGTGCTAGTGATACTCACGAGTAGGTTTTAATGCTTCAGTCGTCTCCAAGAACAGACTGGCCACGACTAATGCCGCCGATATGCCGAGTAAGGATGTCATTTTGTCGTTACAGTTTTGTGACAGGCAATAAATTTAACTATACGACTACGAGTAAATAATTAATTTTGTAATAAGTATAATGCTAAAGAACTATCAGTCAAGTACCTGCAACGTGCACTCGAAAACGGTTATCGAATTAAACTTTGCAAACTTAAGTACCGTAAAATTTTAAACACTGTTGAATCCATTAAACCGCCGACGTAGAGATGCACTTCGTACGAGCATATCAGTTCAACTTCTCCTGCACGTTCACTGATTAGTGTTATCACATTTCGTTATACCGAATGGATGTAGCGTTTGCTGACTGTGTACCTGCACTAGTATCGAGCGACAAACCGTAACTGTTATCGCTAGTTCAAAAATGCAAAAAATATTACTATACAAGTATACATAACCCTCACAGTTAAGTGCAAGTAATGTAATTGTAATTTGTAAGCAGTCGGCAGGCCCAAAGATGTCGAAGCAAAGGCAAGTCGAAGAAGAGAAAAAATCAACCTTTATCAAATCGCGTCCAGAGGCAAAAACTTCGCTTTTTAGTAAATTTTAAGAGTATGTTATCACTTATCAGTGTAAACTCTACTGCAGATTGTTTACAGAAATATGTTAACATTGAAAACAATAAAGTGCGTCATTATAACGTGCGCACAGACGCTGAATTGAAAACGCAATCCCAAACTGACCGACATCTGATCTTGTTAAACATTGGTACAAGGTTGGCAGTTTTCAGTCTGTAATGTCGCGCGCCGTTGGTAAATCAGGCTAACACTAACCGGTGGCAGATTAATCACACGTACTAAGAGCAATGAGCAACATCTGCAATTGTTCGCACATACGATCTAATAACAAGTTTTAAAAAAAATGTCAAGCTGCCCAATTGGTTAAGCAAGAACACACTTCTAAAAAACGCATGCCAAACCGGTGTACAATAAAACAAGTGCCCAAATCTCACACAGCCATACAGGTCTTTGCATTACCGGGACGACACCTTTGCAGCAGCAGCAGATAGCAGAAATATAAATCCTATCAATCCTAATTCCTGGAAGTCACGGTTTGTGATAGGACTTCAAATGAGTCGGAAGCGAATGCTGACGGCGTTGCTCAGATCCTTGACGGCCCTTCCCTGCAGCCATGGTAAAGGGAGGAACATTGGTCATCCGCGGATAGGGATTCTTGTAATGCCGCGCTACAGTAGGTAAAGTAGCCACTATTTCACCTGCTTCACAACTAATACTCGGCTTAAACGATGCAGAATTATGAGCAAAACGAAATTTACGAAACCGAAACAGATCAGGGGAACAATTTTTCTCTCGAAAAATAAATTTTCAGCCTTGTATTATCCTTCCCTTAAAAGTCGGCTCTAATGCTTCAGTTCAACTGCAAACTTAAACGACTCTTACCCATCTCCAAGCGAGCTTCGGCTTCCAGAACCCTCTCCTCAATCTCCTGCTCCGTCTTTAGCTAAATTTAATAAAGAAAAGCGGAACACATTATAAGTGCTTTATTATCTGACCCAATATTATTCCTGCATCTTGCGCAGGCATGAATGCGCATATACTATTGGGTATACGAGTATAGCAGATAAATAGCACTCGTAGAAATATACACCATAAACGAATTAGCAGTAATGATCCAGCAGGCGCATCACATTCAGCACAAAATAAGAAGGTGTGAAACCAGGTTTCCTTACATGCGCATTCTCACGAAACAGCCTTCGGGTTTCTTCCGCAATGTATTGTCGCTCGTCGGCAGTATTTTTTGCATCCACAGCTTGCCAAGCACGTCCAAGTCGGATGAAATCCCTGCTTCCCAGCACATCGTGCAAATACAGTACCAGTGCAGCCGAAAAGTGCAATCGATATCACGCTACTGACCGATATAGGGCCTTCACACGATGCCTCAATTGCACGTTCGCATGGACACTCATCCTACGGTATGTTCCTAAAGATAGATTAATCCGAAGGCCTAGTCGCTAAGTATTCTATCTTCAGGCGATTTCAAAAGTCGGTTTCATCAATTATCACCGATGGAGATATGAACACCCGAGTCCTGACACCAGTAATGGCCAACTACATTTCCACAATCTCATCCATACGATGAACGCAAACCGTTGATTTTAAGGCAAAAGCAAAAACTGGAGATTGAAGAGAACAAAACTGGAAAAAATTGCAGGGAAAATAATAATACGTACTGCTAAATGTGTGCCCATCTATAACTACGAAAACACAAGCATAGCAGCCACAGACGGTATAGACAATCCGCACCCCGAAAGTGGTCGAGATGCGACGGCGACGCTCTAAATTGACAGGCTGGACTCATCTACTTTTCACTTCTCGTTTAAGTCCAAGTCCAACGCGGATTTCCTACTTATTTAAACTATCATTTTTGGAAAACTTGGGAAGTGTTAATAAACCTGTTGTTACTTTCCTTCAGAGTGTTGTGAGAGCTGCTTGCACAGTCCCATAGCGTCTGAGGGATGGAATAATGATACACCATGCATCCATTAGTGAAACAGTGTACTTTGCTAATTTATTGCATAATTCTGTGCTCCGTTCTGCAAGTCATCCAGGCTCTTCATGAAGATCAAGTTGGTCTTTATGACTGGTTAGTGGACAAATTCAGGATAATACGCACAATATCTACTGGAAATTGCGCATTTTCGGTAGGAGTCTGCAGTTCGTCGGGAGACCTGTAGAAGTACTGTTGTCGTCCAAGAGCTCTTCTGCTACATCCCCCAAAACGCTGGCATTCGTTTATACCGAGCAGAATGTTCTAGCTGCTGTGGACTTGAAGTTTGGAGAAATTGGTAAATTTTTTATTCTGCGTTTTTGCTTGACGTAGTCTACGGCGTTTTTTAGCATGGCGGCAGGTGTTCGAGCGCAGTGAAAATCCGAGCATCGCGTCGGCTTTCCTGACAGACGAAGGTAGGCCGTAAACTCGGGTAACTCTTTAAAAAAATGTGCCGCAGAGGTGCAGTGTAGTTGTTGCTTTGCAGAGATTTGCGTTATTATCGGCCAGGGGAATATTTTGAGGTGTTTTGACCAAGTTTCGGGAGGTTTTAAATGGGAAAGAGCACTGGGAGGAAAAGGAACCGATAAGTACTGTACTCGTACTATATATTTTCAGTGGTTAGCTACTGAAGTGCGTTATGGGCGTTACCTAACGGGCGGAGTGGTTTTTCAGTGTGGCATGTGCTTCACTTGGAAGAGCGACCGGTGATGGTTCTACAAGCAGCCGTAAGTTGTATATGACTATTATTTTGTCTATACCGGAAGATATATTTTTTCCGTTTTTAATGTTTAATTTTGAAATTTTAATAAACTGGGTGTAATTTGAATTTTTCGTGGTGAAGCCTTCTGAGTAATTGGAAACAATGAAGCACTAATGCAGAATTTTTCTTTAATCATGATTCATGATGAAGAAATTTTATATTTTTAAAAGTAAAGATAAAGAAATAATTTCATTGTTGCTTATCTTATTATGATTATCTTATTATATGATTTTCTTATTTTGGCTTGTATCGTGTTTTTCACGCTATGATGTTTTGCACTGTATCTTCTCTCATAGGAATTATTTGTGCGGCCGGGGAAAAAGTGCTCAGTTTCAACTCAAAACTTGGAAATCAGTTGTGGGAATCGAAAGAGTAAGCGAACAAGCTGGCGGTAGAAATACTATGCATAACAAACACTTTTGCACCGTATGTTGCATGATTTTGATTGTAGTGTCAAAAGCCAAAAGAAGTTCATTAGTTTTCGAGCATCTGAAGTGTTAGTTGCCAGCCTGGATGAAAACAAAATCAGTGTGCGAAGATATTCGCCGCAAAATGGGGAACTTAAGGAAAACAGTTTTGAGAAAGCAGCCATAGTTAATCCGGCAACAACAAAGTAAGAAGTACTATATTAGCATAAGTGTGAAATGAAAAAATGGTAATAACTCAGGGATGCGATGCGGTTGAAAGTAATTTTCTTTTTTGTAGATGTGTTTTGGCACAGCCTGATACTCAGGCTGCGTACTTTTTGGTATGCGTTGACGGGATATCACAGCGGGCATTCACATTTAGTACAAGTGGACCTGATCGGTCGCAACAACTATCCACATTCGAGGTTTGCTTTACACTGATTTTTTTGTCAGAGGAAAATCACTGACAAAAAGCATCTTCTGAGTTTTTCCGGTTGCAGGAAATGGGAACTTATGCGCAGGGAGAAGAATTGTCAATACGGCACCATACGGGAGAATACTTCAGCGTACTATCTGGAAAGGAGTCGTTCTTATTTCAGCTGCAGATCGATGGAAAATTGTTACTATCGGCAAAACTCCCTAACTCTAAGGTTGATATGTGCGCTTCTAAAGAGTTTGTATCACTACAGAGAACGGAAGGAAATGTAAGTATGGTGGTGTATCCTGTACAGTTCCATGGAAAATGATTTATCGTGGGTATGCGGCTTACAATCAGTGCACCGGTCGCTTTTGCAGGTTGAGCTGCGTTCCGCATCTGCTGGCTCTAATGCAGAAAAATTCAGTCTTGTTTCGAGCGTGCCATTTCCTCGGTCTTTTGGGAATATCAAACAGGTAATACCCAGATCTTACTGTAGTCATTTGAGTTCATATAAAAGTAATTGGTTGGAAGATAGAACTTTTCGCTTCTGATCAAATCAGAAAAAAGCAACCGCTAACGGAGCATTCATACCTCCGAAATTTGGGAATTTATTATTGTGATAGTATGATAGATCTGTTTAACACTTCACGTTGTGCAGTTGCAAATATCATATAGACGTGTCCAATGTTTTACTTTAACGACTATTCCAGGTGCGGGTTATTCCCGGTAAAGAAGACTGCTCAAAATCGTCCGTTATCTTTTGGACAAGTGGCGACGTTTTTGGGCTGATCTCACAAGGAAAACTACTGTGGAAGCGGGAAGAAGGGTTGGCTTACCTGCAGTCGACTGCTATTGTGGACTTACCTGTTTCTGATATTGAAGCCTTGGTTGAAGAGGAATTCGAAGAGAAAGGTGAGATTAATTGAATTTCTGGAATGCTTTTGTTGATGTTTGATGTTTTTCAGGCACTTTCCTTCTGAGATTCGCCAAGCGACTTGTGGCGCAGGCCCTGCAGCTGAAAAAGCTAGTCGAATTAGGTGTGAACTCCCTTGTTAAGGGACTGCGAACGGGGCAGTTTTTTGAGAAAGAACACTTGGAACGCGATTACTTTAATACCCATAAAATTATCGTGGGTGTCAATGATCGTGGAAAGGTACAGTCAAGGCAATAGGTAGATCGTCTTAGGCAGCTATTTTTGTTTTTCGAACAAAGTGGCATGAACTTAAATAGACATTTACTACCTAGGTGCTTGCGTGCATTTATGCTGATAAAACCTTCGTTTATGTTGATAAAAGCTTTTTTATAGGTTTACGGCTTGGACAGTCATAATGGAGATGTTGTGTATTCGATGATAATCGAAGATTTTGTAAAACCGGTCAATCATAAAGTCGCTTTTTATCTTCAACGGGCTGGTGCTCATGCACCTTTTGCTAGTCAAGCGGTGATTATTGGAGCGGATAAGGTACATGGGTTTCCTTGCGAACATGCATTTGCCTAACTTGTCAGAAACGTTTTTGTTCAAGTGATTTATTTGGGTATTTATTTTTACTTTTTTAGAAATCTGGTAATGGGCTGATGTACTTCTTTGATTGTATTACCGGGGAAGAGCTGCAAAAGCCTCTACAACTTAACCGTCCTGTTTTGCAAACTGGTTTAATTCCCGTGATGACCAGCAACCATCTGGAAGCTGTTTTTGTACTGGACACCGATTATAATGTTAATATATATCCTAGCCTAAATATACCTGAACTGAAAGATTTTGTGACCAAATCACTGACCATATTCGATGCGGATATGAAAAGCGGGATCGTACGCGGGTTTCGAGTGATACAATCGGATCAGGTGTGTGAATATAATATTGCAGATGTCAGTTGGTGAATTGTACAAAATATTTATCTTGCCTTTGTAACGCAACTGTGTACAGGGATTCAAAGCGCGCGAAATGTGGACCAACACACTGACGGCTGAGGGAGAGTCGGTGGTATCGGTTACTCCCAAACGACCGCACGATAATGTTTATTCGCAGGGAAAAGTGTTAGCTGATCGCCGCGTATTGTACAAATATATTAATCCCAACCTGGTTTCGGTTGCTGTCCAAGGAACAGATGAGGCCAAAAAGCGTAAGAGCTGTGGTTCATGTAATAAATAATATGCTGATAAATACTTGGTAAGTAAAATCTGCTTTTTCGTAATTCTAGTTGTATACTTTTTCGTAATTCTTTGTTGTAATTCTAGTTGTTGTAGTTGTAGCTGTATTTTGGTTGTATCCAGGCTATTTTGATTTTATAGTGTCTTCTGTTATTTTTTTTACTTTTTTTAGTGTCTTGTGTTATTTTTTTTAGCATATGTGAAAATCGTGGCCCTGGATGGCATAACAGGTCGTGTCGCTGCCAGTCTCGTTCAACGACGCGCCCGATCACCAGTTAATGTCGTGCATTCCGAAAACTGGATAATGGTAAAAGTTTCGTCCGTGCTTATTGTGACATCTTCTTTTCGAATGTTTGTATATTTGCAGTATTCATACTGGAACGAAAAATCTCGTTCTAGTGAACTAGGCGTGGTGGAATTGTACCGTGGATTTGATAAACCGAATAAAACATATTTTAGCTCATTGGAATCTTTTGGTAAACCAGAGGCCATTGCGTCGGCTTTTCGATTACCGGGTTTCGTTAACGACATGCAGGAGACGGTTACGGCTGGAGGAATTACGCATAAGAATCTTATTTGTAAATAAGCCCTGTATATCTATGTATATCTCTCTTGTGCACACATCTTTAATAAGTTTATTTTTAGTGGGACTGGCATCCGGATCACTGCTGCAAATACCAAAAGTGTTACTAGATCCCAGGAGGCCTTTGTTTCCATCTGCAGCAGAAAGGTTGGTTCGTTTAGATGTCTAATACTTCCGTTACACACGGCCGTTCGCTCATAATTTTTTTCAGCGTTTTAGTTCTTGCATTGGTTTTATAATTGTTTGACTTTTGTTGTTAATGTTTTAGGTTTTGGTTTGACTATTCTTTTAAAGTTTTCTCTTTGTGGTTGTTGTATGTAATAAATTAATCGTTTAGGTTTGTATTTACTGATGTACCAACATGCCTAGTTTGAAGTTAACTCCTTTTACAGGGAAGAGGGTTTAGTTCCGTACGCCCCAGAATTGCCTTACATGACGGAACACGTAATAAATTATTATAAAAAAGTCCACAACATTCGCGGAATTCAAACCGGGATTGCTGGATTAGAGTCCATATCTTTGGTGTTTGCGTTTGGTCTTGGTAAGTATTTTCTGAGTTATTAGAAAAAAGTTTTGTGCAACTTTGTGCTTTTGAAATTCAGTTTGGTTTATGTTTTTCAGATCTTTATTTTACCCGGGTAATGCCGTCAGCATTATTTGATGTTTTGAGTGATAGTTTTGATTACTGGATTCTGTCTGTGGTGATGCTTGTCATGACCATTGCGTCCGTTATTGTTCGTAATCTGGCCAATGCCAAAGCGCTGCGCTTAGCATGGAAATAGGTTTTTCCATTGTTTTTTCTTTGTTTTTATTTGAACGTCTGCTATAAAAGTTTTTTTTACCAAAGACGAGGCATTTCTGTCAAACTTGAATAAGGCTGGTGCTGTTGTGGAGTTTGGGTTCAACTCAGTTGAGCTAAATAACCGTGTTTTTAAATGTCGGGAGATATAAAAAAATTTCACAAAATAAGCGTAAAACTTCTGTAATTGTAGCTTGTACATGTTATAAGTATTGTACGCGCATTTTTGCAATCGTGGGCACAAAAGTCTGAAGAAGCGAATACGCATCGAATTGACATCACGCGCATTGTTTAGTTGCTTCGATGTTAGTTATTGCCACCAGCTAGCTATCCGGAAGTTGAAAATGAAATGATCACCCAGTAAAGCAATATTGAAATAACATTTCGTGAAGTCTGTAAGGCTTGTTAAAAGTTGCTTATGTCCGTTTGACGAACAACATCCGATTCGCAGTGATGCCGGCTACACATACTAGCCCGTTGATTGCAATAATTGTCACTACGGTAGTAGTTTTTTCGTTAATTATCTTCGAATGCAGTCTCACCTGGGGCTTATCATTTCGAGGGAGGGCTACAGTGAAACCGCAATATTTGATCAGTTTAAACTGCAGCAACGAGACATTGCTAGCGAAGATCGACTGTCCGTGCGCCTTGATCGGCCAAAAGTGCTACCAGGCCGGTTCAGTCTGCTATGGACCGAACAACCGGACTTCCGGTGACTTTGGCAACGGCAGTCCAAAACGTGGGGTTTGTGGATGCCGAGCACCCAGCGTGCGCAGACTGACCATATGCACGAATATTTTTCGAATTGATATCACAGCGGGACTGACCAGCGCGGCAACGGTGGATGGATGTCTCTGTGCGTATTCAACAATTCCCGGACTTTCTATGAAGGTTAGTTGTGAAGCGCTCATATGTTCCTGCCGCTCAGGATGCGTGGGAAATTTTCGCATACGTCGCAGATTCATAAATCGAATCAGTCAGCTTGTATCAATGACTTCTCTGACGGATTTAGAATTATTTTGGGATTCTACCAATACAATTCTTGTTGGCTGTCGTCAATGGGACAAATAACGACCTGACGCCGTACATCAACATCGACTTCAGTACGCTGGAATTGTACGTTGAGCCTTTCATGCCAGCCGTTAACACCACCCAATACTATTCCGTGTTCGGCATCGATGCCACAAATCACAGCAGCAACACGCTAATTTTTTCGGTAAATTGATCATATTCATACGGCATTAATTGAAAAATTTGTTATAAAAAAAACAGTGACTTAGGAATTTATTTTTGTACTAGATGTGGAGCACGTCGCTATTTTTTTGGAATTAATTGCTGTTCTTTCTTACAGGTTAACTTCGTTGTTCCTGTATTAAGCACGTTATGTCCAGCGTGTACATCTTGACCTTCGTCAATGTTGGCATTACGGATCGAATTTTTTGTTACATTCAGAAGTAAAAAAAGGTTTACTACTACAGTGTTATGTTTCGTGCAATTTTATTATACCTTTATGAACTTCTCTAAAATAAGTTATGTGCTGGATCACTTCCTTTAATCAGCGCTTAAAATCATAAATGATCACGCGTGCTTGAAAGGATGCTGGTTAATGCGAAGAATATCATTTACGTCAGGTATTACATTTAAAACACTGAACACTTGTCCTGCACAGCCAGCTCTTCGCATATGAGTCAAATATTTCATGCAACTTGTACTAGACGAACTTGTTTGCTTTTTCCTGCCTAAATGTTGAAAGTTGACATAGCGTTGGCTGGTAAACCAAATAAGGCCGGCGCGCTATTTATTCAAGGACGGACCAAGTGTAACCCAAGTCCGCAACAGATCTTCCACATTTAGGTCGCCACAAGAGTGACACTTGCCTACTGTAGCAAAATCCATACGAAATTAGATTCAATATACGCGCCAGTTATTATATCCTATACCCAAAGATTTCTGGAACAATAGACTGCATTTCAATATGCTGATTACCCGGTGCATCACTTTACTGGAGCCAACCATAAGAAACGACATACATACTGTATACTCGTATGCAAGTACAGTATCTGCATTTGATTTTGCTGAACCCTAATAGTCGATCAAACGGTGTCCCGGTGTTGAAAGTTGAAATATGTTAACGCTTAATTAAAACAATCATGAAGTCCCACCGACTGCCAGTTTAAAAAACGTGACAGCATTTTATGCAGATACATGCATTTATAAATACTCGTACGAAAAATAAATATGCAATCTAAACAACAGTTGAAACAAAGAAAAGATTCACCGATATATACGCGTGCTGCCGGTCGTTCCAGTTAATTACATAAAACAACCATGAACTTCAGATTTTATTATGCATTGTTATATTCGACAATGCACTGGTTTAAGTCGACATAAAAGCAATGGGCTTGGTTGCAATGTGTCCATACAGATATATAGTGTTCTAACCCAAAAAGTTATAGTACGAGTAGTGCAAGGTACAGTATTTGCATTGTTTGTATCGAAATAAACTTGCACTTTGTCGGTTGACAATTTGTCAACCGAAAAAACTAATTTTTTTTAAATTAAAAATCGTTGTCGCTAATTAGTTGCACAAAACTATAAGCCACCAGCGAAATATTTATTACGCTTATATATAGTTAATAAAATAACCACAATCGTCTTGCAATCCCATCCAGTACTATGGTCATTAGCTTGCAAATGGCGAAAGTTATTGTTACTGCCATTTATTTATAGCGATAGATATATTTCACAGCGTTTGCCTATGATCCATCTGGTGAAACATTAGTGACAATACTCGGTGACAGTTGCTGTATACTTTACCACTTTTCGTAATTTGTCATATTTGCTGATTGGACTTAAATAACATCACATCGTAGAGTAAATGTAAATTTATCGCGAAATAAATACAGCAGGTTCTCTTTATTTACACGGGTGCAGTTTCACAAGCCATTACGCTGATGACGCCCATGCACCATGAAAACCTGATAAAACAGCTTTTTTTGAAAAGTGTTCGTGTGATTTAAATATTTAAGTATAACTTAGCTTTTATAATGATATCGATTTATTTATGTTGCGAATGAATGCCTCCAGAAACGTTTTAATGACGACAAGTATTATTCTGGGACAATACGCTGCCACGAAGGCAGTTGTCATTAGTGAATGATTCCTTTTTTCCAATCAAAAGATTGTACTGGTTTAAAGTAGCTTTGAAATTTTTTGTACATAATACATAGATGCTAAAATTGTTTGAAAATTTGGTATTCTGAATAGCTCTAAATGTTGTCATACATACCAGGATTTATCTATATAATTGTAGAATTTGAAAGTAATGCATAAACATAACACGTAAATTCGTTATCAAACCAACAACGAAATTATTCGAGTAGTTGTACTTCATTTTGGGTGTTTTTGGGTGGACTTGCGGTTCTGGGCATTCCCGGAGCGTGAGAAATGTTTATTAGACAGTGTACGCAATAAGGTACATGTACAAAGCATGCAATTAGAGCGTGCTGGAGTTTTAGAATCGCATTTTTGCAGGAGATACCGATAAAATACAGATAAAGTAAATATTGCAAATTGTATTAGCGTACTTAGACAGCGTACAACGGCGGCCAACAACGACGGCGGAAGACAAGCACGCCGAATATAACCGCTGAACACACATTACGACCATTTAGAGCGGCGATGCAGGTACTCTGGTTTAGCGATAGATAACTTGCATAATCAGCGAAGGAGAAGCGCACCGCGTACCACTACGACGCTGCTCAACATATGTCTCATATGCCCAAACCACCGGAAAAATTCCCTAAAAATTTGGATTTGAATACCAGGAGCTGATTCAGTTATAAGTGTTGCGCAAAATACTGTAAGGTGGATGATCGGCATAACGAAATCACCGGAAAATGTGTGTGTTTGCCATGCGAGGATTTGGATGCAAATTAGAGACCTGCAAGCCGGACAGTCAGCTAGCTATATTTGCTATAGGTGCGTCCTTGAAAGTCTTATATCCGTCTGTGTACCGATCTTATTTAACACAAATTCTAAACTATTGTGACATATATATCTCTCCATAGTAGTGCTTACAAACGGCTCGCAGCACCCAAGGATAGGAAGGTAATCATTTATGTCGGCACTTAAAAACCATTCCAACATTATTGTAACCGTTGCGAATCTACGCGTTGCAGCAGCGCCTGTGTTTTAGTGATGTGATAGTTGTCTGGTGTTGATCAACTTCGGTAACGCATTCCCTCTTTGGTGGCCGGCAAAGTGAGAGAGATATGGGATATATTGAAACATACATAACGCTGTATCCAACAAATAAATATAATATCGCGCGTTCATATTCCCGTCGTCCCACTGCTTGATAAGCCGACATTTTCGCTACGCTCTCTCTATGGATTTGGATACCATTAGCATGGACCGCACGGAGTGGTAAGCCAAGACTCATTGGTTAAACGTAATAAGATACAATGTCAACACTCCTTACCTGAATTATTTGAATTTCATCGAGGGAGAAAACATTTGCCTGCGTCCATCTCTGTATATGGAAGGATGTGCTGTGTGTATGCGGGAATAAGGAAGCGTCGACCAGTGCAACATGTGTGTACACTGTACATATGTGTATATATGTGTATGATGTGCCCGTGGTCTATCAGCTCAATTATCCTTATGTGCTCGACACGGAGACTCCGTTATCCGCGGGACGTTATATTAACTGCCGATCGGGTCCGCTTTTATCTTTCAATCCTGGTGTTATCCATATTTCACCAACAATATTATATTCTTCCCCTCAATTGACCTATTCGCATGTGTGGCACATAACGCTGCACTAGATATGCCAATATGTCCCGCTCTTTAAGCCTGTCTCTTTTCACCAAGTACTGTACATCTGAATTGCTTTGGATGCGCTGCATGGGAAACCGCTTCGCTTACCATTTTTTGTTTATCCTAGAAATGACATTAGTTTCTGTTTTGAGACAATACAATCAGCAATCAGCATTAGATTGTTTGCAGTAAAATCTTCCAAGGTTAACGTTAAGTGAGTTGTGTTAACCGGTCTGGTTTGTATCGATCTTGCGCGGGCATAATTAGTGTCCACAAGTTGCATATCTCAGGTTGCACATTTGATTCCGTTTTTTATTATTGAAATATTCACACTTATCTTTGATTTATAGTATTGTTCAATAAGGAACAATCTTGTGTTTCCCTGATGCTTTGTTTCTTTGATCAAAAGTCACTGATCCCGCATCCCGTTTGGTGGTTTAATTTTCTACTTGTCGATAATTGCATTTGGGAATTAGTGGAGCATTAGTTGTAGGCAAGATGTTGGCATAGCTGAGGAGCCATAGTATCACTCAGCATTGCCGGGCATTGGCCAGCAACTTTGCTCTTCCAGTATTCCCTTATCGCTGTTTTGATGGATTAATGGAATCATTGAACGATTTGGACATCGGTGACGAACCTACAGTTTCCCGGGAAAAAACACCACCAGGCAAGTTACCTCAGCTTTCTAAAACGAATGAAACCTAAGAAATTTTTAAGCAAACCATCGAGCACGAATAATACGTTAAACTTAAATCAGTAACGATATTTACGTTAAACATTACTGAGTATTTTAGTCCAATCTGTCTGCGCTTACGTTTAGGCAGCCGAGAAAATTAGATCGTTCGATACGATATATATGTGTTGCACACTTTGTAATTTTCAAACTGGCGAAAGAAAAAAACTTCGAGAAATCGAGAAATAAATGTGCAGATACACATGTATGATTAACAAAAATCCAAATTACAAGTAGTTGTTCATATTGAACGCATGACAGTATGCAGTTCCAATAGCCATATTGCGCTGCACCATTGATTTTAGTTATTCGAAACACTGTGATACTGGAACAAGTTGTTTTTTCGAACAAGTCGCGTTGATCCGAGACTGGGATTTTGGAAATCAACCTTTTACTTATAGACAAGCCCTTATCATCCTAGTACTGCAATACAAAGGCTAAGGAAAATCTGTTTTTTTCTTGCGCACTTCAAGTTTCGCTCCAGCGCAGGAACTGAATCGGCAAAACGGAAATTATTATTTACTGGTTATATAAATACCGGCAATTGACTAAAGACAAAATATGCGTTTAAAACAGCGGATGGCTGCTATTAAAATAAAACTACACCGTTATAAAACTTTCAAGCTGCATCTACCGTCGACTATCGAGGTGGATTAAATACGAATAATTAAACAAGCCCAAATAAAGAGTAGACATCACCAGTGCATCAGATACGCCAGAATAATTAAACATACACTGCAAAAGAATTGTTAAAAAATATTAATTTGAAAGCATACATTGCAGATTGAACTCGGTAATTCTTCCTGTTTTTGTACAATACAGACATCCATATTTAGCGCCCTTATATTATTTCCTCTTTATTCCAAATACAGTGCTTCTAACAATATGAACTAAATAAATTTTAAAAAATTTAAAAACGCGACGCGTGGCAGTAATTAAATTACCACCGAAGCAGGAAAAATATTTAGTAATCGTGGTATAGCAAAGGTCACAAATTTTACT